ATAAAAAAATTATAGTAAACTTAAGATTTATTTAAAAATATATAATAAAATAAGTAAACTAATAAAAGTTAAAGGAATTAACTTTTAAAAAAGAAAATATAATTTACTTACTTTATAAAAAATAAATTAAAACTAAGTAATTTAATAATAAATTTAATTTTAAAAAGATTAAACTATTTAAAATTAAAAAAAAATATTAAAAATAAATTATAAACTTATATTATTAAAAAAAATAAAAATTTACCTAGTTTTCTATATTTTTATATTAAAATTTATACTAGCTAATATAATACTAGCTATTAATATTAAGCTTAATAATTATAAATTAAAATATAAAATAAAATATATTTTAAACTATTAAATATATAGGAAAATAATAAAATATTTAGTTAAATAAAAAAATTATAATAATAAAAATAATTTATAAAAACTTATTTAAAACCTAATAAACTACTAAAAAGCACTTTAGGCATACTATTAAATAATTAGCTAAAAAAATCCATATTAACAGACTTTATTATAAAACCCTAGTTTATAATATTAAAACCCTTATTTTATTAAATATTAAAAATAGCTTTAAACTTTTTAACTATAACTTAGTTAACAGCCTTAATATAATTAGCCTCCTTAAATATATTTAAAATAGCTAAACCTTTATTTACTAAACTAGCCCTATAATAGATTAAAAACTCCCTTTAATAATATAAACAATTTAAACAAATTATCACCTTACTTACCTAATAATAAACCTTATACAAAACCTTTTAAGCCTCAAGCTCCTAAAAATATAACTTCTTTTTTTCCATAATAACTTAAAATACTAAAGGAACAGTTAAAAAAAAAAAAACCAAAAAAATAAAAAAAACTAAAACTTATAAATACTTATTAATACCCTAAAACTATTATACCTCTTACCTCACTTAACATAAGCAAAACAACAGAAAATACCCTCTATCATCTAATAAAACTACCCTTTTACAAAATAAAACAAATAAAGCATAACTTTAAAGCTTAACAACTTAATAAACACAAACAGTTAATTATATTAATCTAATTTCTTAAAACACAATTTCTTTATATATAATAATATAATTATTAGCAAAACAAACACAATAAACATATAAAAGGAAATAGAAGAAAAAAAGACTTATTTAAGTTTTTTAAAAATAAAAAAGCAATAAAAAAGGGGAATAATATTATAAATATAATAAAAATAGAACTAGGAAAGTACTATTAATTCCCTAAAAGCGTAAATAAACCCTATAAGCTAGTAAAGCAAGCTTAAAAAAATTTACTATATAATAAAAGCAAGTTATATAATAAAGTAAAAAAATAACTAAAATAACTAAAACAATGCTTTACTTTAAATAATTTAAATAATTTAACACTCTTATCACTCTAAATAAGCAATGCTTTAAATAAGCTATTAAAAATAATACTTTTATTACTTTAGCTAAAAAAATAAATTATATAAATTATATTTATTATTAATAAATAATATTAGTTTAGGATAGCTTTTTAATAGTTAATTTAAATATTTATTTAAAATAGCTATAACGCTTTTAATCTACTATTGTTATATATTACTTAAAATATTACTACTTTAAATATTTTCTAAATATAAACCTGCTTATTAGGTTTATCAGCTAAGAACTAGCTATAATTGTTATAATACCTTTAAGCTACATTTCCTTAAATCCATCCCAAAAGCATACCTTATAGCAAGTTTTTACAATATAACCTATATACTAAAAGTTTAAATAATAAAAATTACTACTATCCTATAAGCTAAATACTATCCAGTATTTAATAAGCATTCTTAATTAGATTTTATAATACTAATATTTATATACTAAAAGTTAATTAATTAATTAATTAATTTTATATTTCTACTACCTACTACTACTTACTAAATTTACTAAATTTATTAAATCTACTAATTACACTTTTTCTTTTTATCTTATCTTATTTTATTATTGCTTAATATTTAGGATAAAGTTATATTAACATTATTAGTTAAACCAGCTAATACTAGCCTAACCTAAAAGTCTATTTTTATTCATCTATCCTTTAAACAATAAAATTATAAATCCATAAACTATCTTAAAATAAGATTATTTATAAAGTAAAAGCAACTATTAAATATTAACTTAAAAAGCAATTTTAATAATAAAAGTATTATAACAATTTTTATTTAAACTTAGTAAACCTATTTATTTTAAAAACTTTTAAATAAACTTAAAAAAATTAAATACCTAGATTATTTAAACATTTAGTTAAGGTATACAAATAATTACTTTAATTATTAAAGTTTTAAGTTTAAATTATATAAAAAATAGTTTTTAAAAGGGTTTTTAATACTTATAAATATATACATATATTTAATAAAAAACTATTAGTATATAAATTATAATATTAGCGTTTATAATAAGCTAATTAGTTTATTAAGCTTATAACTATAAATAAGCCTTAAAGGGATATAGCTTTTAGCTACTTCCTATAACTAAGCAAGCAACCCACACCTAAATAAACACTAACATCCCTAAACGCACATTGTATTCAAATACGTAACCCAGCCAACAATTATCATCATTACACAACGGCTGATGATCGCCCACACACGTGTTTTGAGTCCGCAGACCTTCAGAAATGAGGTAAGACTTTATTGTTGATATTCTAGAATAGCAAGTTAAATGCAGAGAAATGTTTAGTACCGCAACAGCTAGAAATTTTAAATCTCGAAGTCAGTGCCATGGTGTATTCTGCATTTACTTCTTACTTCCTATGCTGCGCTCTAAGGCGCCTATCTACTTTCAAATATATACTTCTAAAAAAGTGAAATCAGCCATCAGGATAGACCATGGTTGTATGAGTGTCCGAGCAAGCTAGAGTCGCATGCCTTCGAACTGTATCGAGATGGATGACGTTCAGTATCGAGAATTCTGCCGAGTCACGTCAAGGATTCGATCATATAACAATCAAACGTTGAAATTTGATTCTGCAGCTTCCGCTGTAGGCTTCTCTGCTCATGTTGAAACGTTACACACTGCCTCTCGCCATTGTCGCTCTATTTCGTGGGGGCCAGGTGGACAACATGTCACCTGGACAATTCAATTCTTGACTGCAATCCAGTCGCAATCTCTTCTTCCGTACATCTTGTTCGGATGAGATTTTTAACGCTTCTGGATCAGCAAGCTGTTCTGCTGGGCTAACAAATCCGCCCGCACTGTCAAAATGCTGAGAGAAGTCGAAATCGAACAAGGAGTCCGCCACATTGCTGATGTTCATACTGGACAGATCAAATGAGGGCGAGAAAGGAAAGGGCAGGGAGCCTGGGCCTAGGGAGCCTGGGCCTGGAGAGCTCTCCCAGGAAGCACTCAAGTTCATGAAAGACGCCTCCGTGGCGCTCAGGGTTGTAGAGGAACCGAGTCCGCCGTCCTGCGTGGCTTCGGTATACCCGTTCAGTTCCGTAACTTTTTGCCTCATCTCCGAGGGCCCACACTCCTGCTGATCGAGCAGGTCACCGGCCTCGCGAATGAAATTGACTAGCGTCCGGACCACACGGAGTAGCTTGGAGCTATAATTGTTCTGTGCTTCATTGGATACTCCAAGTGAAGACTCGAGACTGCGAGCAAGTGCACCAAGGATAAAAAAGTCTCCCTCCGGATGTGCTAACGGCTCATTATCAGACGATTTGTCCGCTGCAGGCTTTTCAGGCGTAAATGCAGAGGGAAGATGAGACAGGCCAGCCTTCTTATAGATCCCGAGTATGTTCCGCGCGAGGATGAAGATGGCTGAAGTTGGCATGAGTTCTAGGATCCGCTGTGCTTGCAACGTAGTTGTGTTAGAAGACGCCAGTGACTCGGCACCAAACGGCCAGAATCGCTTGTTCGGCGCCCTAGGACTCCTAAGGTATCCTTCTGCTTCGGCCGACAAAACCCCTGATGATATCCCCGATCCTCCTGGTGACCGAGGTGAGACTGGTGTATCAGTTGTATACCAGTTGCGACGGGCCATGAGACGAAGCAATCCGTCTAGCGTTTCTGCTGCTGCTGATTCCAGTCCCGTGTCTCCAGAACAGGCGGATACGACCAAAAGGCAGGAAAGACGGGCATCATCTAACACCTCTTTTTGATCATCAGCTGTTAAGTTGACTTCGTATGCTCGAATCCGAGTTCCAAGATATGCCAAGTGCGTGCTCAAATCTTGAAATGTTTCTGGTCGTCTTATAGATGGCATTCGATGTGTTTGGGCGAATGTTAGAAGCTTCTGCCGGATGCTCGCTAACACCATTCTTTGCTCTTCAGGCGAAGTTCCCGGCACTAAAGCAGCGTGGACTTCATCCTGAATCATCGCAAGATTGAACAAATGCTCATTTGTCTCGTCATAATTTACTGGTGTAAGCGGTGACTCGCCACGGCTTATAGCCAGGGTCGTGCTTGATGCATCGTGGCTCATTGCACACGATGAAGTTCTGGAGCTGGCATCTGGTAAATACCGCGGAAGTCGGCGAAGTGTCCCACGAGCAGTAGCATAACATCTTTCACGTATGTAAAGAGATCTGAACAACTTCCTTCGTTCAATAATCTCATCCACTGATAGGTCGAGATCCATTTGACCCGGCGCGATGGGGTCGTGACAGTGTAGGCCCATTAATGTTGCCATGTGACAAGCCTGAGCAAAAAGGACATCACTGATGCTCTCTGGGTAATATGAGGGTGCAATAAGGCTCTAAGTTTCAGGCACACGTCGTCAGTTTTAATTAAAGCTAGTAGACTTGTTGGTATCCATATCATGGGGGTTTTGGTTGGTTGGTTTTCTGTTTGGGAAGGAAGGGGGGGGGGGTACGGAGGTAAACTCACCAGCAATGCCAGGGTCTGGACTGCGATGAGTCTCGGCGCCATAAACAATTGCTGTTTGCTAATTGCAGAGTCCACAGCGTCGAAGAGTGGCTGGGTGTGGTCCGCTGCTCGGAGTGGCTGCTCGGCGCCAAGAACAAATAGGAATATCAGGTCAAGACAGACAGCCCAAGGCTCATGATGGGCGTCTCTCGAGTCCGAGTAAGCTCTGTCAACCGCAGATTCAAGAGTCTTTCTCAAGAATATATCTGTGCAGAAGTCCGCCTGGCTCACGAAATGTTCCACCATAACAGACAGAAACACTTTGGGAAGCAGGCGTTCGCTGTTCTGGCCTTGACGTATCGGTGGAGAAGGTAGGTCGACTGGTGTACTCTCAAGAGCGCGTTGGAATCCTCGTACCAAATCTGGCATCGTTGAGATGCTGGAAGAGGAGACATCGCGGTTGAAGTCTCTACACTCTGCATCGAGTGTCCACGGGCCGTAATAGCGCTCGTTCAGAGTACCTTCTTCGCGGATGACGAAGCCTCCCGGAGGGACTCTGTCGCCCAAGTCGTTGTCAGGTAAAGTCGGACACGAGGCGCGACGGTTATGTTCGGGCCTGATACTGTTAGGTGCATCCTTTTGTGGTAGGCTGCGAGGCACTGTCGCTTTAGACGACTCCAACATGGAAGTCAAGGCCGAAAGCTGAGCCTGCACCATATTCAGGCGGTCGTTGACTTCGTCAAAGCTTTCACATCTAATTTGACGGCCACAGAATTAGCTTTGATGGAGGAATGAAAGTCTCGCCGGGACTCTACCCACAGGACTTTGACGTGGTTGACTCGCTTCGGCGGGGGTGTGTAGATACAGTCCACTTGGGCCTGGCGACAGATGCTGCATTCTGGCTTCTCTCGGCCACACTTGATCTTGCGGACTCTGCAATTGGAACATGGCCCGTCGTGGGACTGCAAGCTCCAGCTCTTCTGAAGGTCAGATTCGGCTCCTGTCACTGGAAAATAAGGACACATCTACTTACCTCTTTCTTGGCAGATGAATCGGCCATGACAGAAACGTGTTGATGGAAATTATTTGTGCAGAGTCCTTACGGCGTCCGGCCTGAAAAACCTTTGGTTGAATTGGGCTGCATACGCATGTAAAGGTGTGGTCAAACTTAAGACTTATGTATGAACTTCCAGCTTTCGAATTTGCCTTTTCTTCCAACAGCTAATAAACCTTCCGCATGCATGCCAATGGATACCCTTCACCACATCCCGGCCAAGGGAATTGTGATGACCCGCATGGATACAACAGTCCCTTGCAGCATATTTGCCTTTCGATGTATAATTCACGCGCGCGGCACCCTGGCGAGTGTGAACCTGCACACTCGTACCGTTTACGAGGAGCCCTACACCTCTGCCCCAATCATGAAATGTATTTGTGACATTCAGGCTGTGCAGTTGTCACTAAAACTAGTACGTAGTTTGGCTGTGTGCACAAGGAAACCGCACCAGACCTCCTAAAATCTCGGAAAGGCCGGCACAGAAGGAATATTGCAAGGGCCAGAGATTGAGAATCGCCTCAAGATAGAATCCATGGGTGTTTGGAAATGAACTACGATGAGACGAGGACCAGCCCAGGACTAGGGATCGAAAGCATGATCTATACATTGAGTAGAGAGCACATCAGTTCCCCTGTTGACGTGAACGTACATGATCCAATGAGATACGAGATTACGCCAGGACGTTTGTATCTAGTAACGTGACGGAGACAAATTTTGGGTTAAAGATCGGACTGAATATCCTTGTTGGCTGCGCGGCCCGGAGAATCTAATAACCCTAATCATAATTCTACTTATGGAGATCCGTTGCAAAGTTCTGGGGTAGATCGTTGCTACCCAAACATCTGGGACGGACAGCATGTTGAGCCACCAATAATTAAGTTTAAGTCGACGTTTCAGTAGCTTTCACAAACGTAGCATCTGAGGCCCCACAGATGACGCTTGCGACACGGCATGCCGGGCAGTAGCCAACCCTACATAGGTACATAAGAACGCCAACACATGCAATACTTCAATCGTGCAGATAATAATGTAGAAGTGTAGGATCGCATGAGGCGCCGGAGGCGATCTCAAAGCAATGACTTCCAAGTGCCCGACGGCGACTTCGAATGCAGGACATAGTCATATGCGAAGCTTCACTATCATGGGAACAAGCGCAACGCGGACATAACCCGAGACCGAAGAGTGTTCTGAGAATTGGAGTCGGCCCCCGCTACGAGTAGACTTAAGCTTAAATTTCAATTGTTCAAGGACCGGGGACCTTGTCACGGCCGTTTCGGGCGCCAGTATATCGTGGCGGAGGGCTCAAATCGCAGCCGCTTGCTCAAAGATAGAAGGCTGCATGCAAGCCACCCTCGGAATTTCCGCAGGGGATTTCCGACTAAACAGCTTTTGCTGTATCGTATTCGCCGCGTTATAGTGGTCCTCCCAGCCTAAGCCAATGCAATATAGAGCCGCGCGCTCTGGCCGAGGCAGCACTGACCCAGGTACTTCGTCCTTTGATGTCAAGATAAGGTTGAGACGTGATTGCATATCAGATGGCGGCTTGGCTTTCAGGAAAACGACGACAGAATCAAAAGGGTACCCTGGGCCAATACTTGCAACCCAGCAATTTCCCCACTTTGACTTTATCGGCGTTCTTTCATGGGTTCGTCGTGTCTCCATGTTGTGTTCTGCATTGTTACGCGGAAATCGGCCACGGCGAGAAAACGGTTTGCAAAATGTATGATATACAACCCCTACTTATCTCAGTTTATCACCACGATGCTGTTCTGAAATCCGTAGTACTAGAGACAGTCTAACAAAGCTATATTTTTGGTACAATTATTGAGTTGTATCATCATGGAGCGAATCGTCGAACTCAAAATCATATAGTATATTGGCCTCAACTTTGTACAAATGTGACGCGGAACACATTTTTACACAGAGCCTGGATTTCGTCAAAGATGTCAGATCCAGCGTCCCATAATCCCTCTGGTATACATGAGAAAGTTCCCGGAGAGATTTATTCCAAAGAGCAATTTCAGCTGAACTCCATGCTGTCAAGGGATCAAGCCTAGCACTCGGAGTAGCAGGCATCATGCTTTCGGCCGAAATTACCTTTGATCTCAAAGGAGGAAAAGATTGAAAATAGGAAAGAAAGCTCCCGACCAAGCCGGCCGAGATGTCACACCAGGATAACTAAGGATGACCTAGTACTTGCGCACAGATAATGTAGTCTTTTAGCAGGGCCACCGGCCCCCGAACATGGAATTAGAGTTGGTGATAAGGGCACGGAATTTTCGAAGCCCAGATCGGTGGCCCATCTCCGCGGGATGAGTGTCTTCCCCGTCTGAAGGAGGCATGTTTCAAGGTCGGACGGTTCTGGTCGCTCCGCGGTACGCGGAACGAGCCGCGCGGAGCTTATCGAGGTATGCCTATTTAGGTATGTAGTTGGAGACGTTTTGTGTCTATGCTTTCTTGTCTCGAGCTATTGTGGTCTCTCATACACATACGCAATGACTTCTTCCAGCGTGATACCGTCTAAGTCTCTGGTGCCTTGCACTACAACCCCCTTATCAGGTCTCTGGTGTCCTGAAACACATCTGAAGGGTTTGTTTTATGGCCCTGGCTGTGTAAAGACTCATCTTCGGAGCATGCTGCCAAGTACAACGTCACGCGCTTTCATCGTTACTGGAGCTTCATTATTCAACAAGACTCCACTCATACAAGAGCTCGAAAAACTTCTCGGTGAAAACCACGCGGGTACTTTTGCGGGCATTAAGCAGCATGGGCATTTCACAGATGTGGACGCAGCCTTCTCACATCTAAGGACAATATCATTACAGCAGACCGACGTGCAAGCCGTTGACACAATAATCTCTGTTGGTGGCGGCTCGCCAATCGACTCAGCTAAGACTCTCTCTTACTGGACGCACCAGGCCTCAGGTAACTTTCTCACTCACATTACAATACCAACTACTCTCAGTGCTGCGGAGTGCACTGCGGGTGGCGGGTACACAAACCATGATGGTGTGAAGGTTGGATTCATGTGTGCAGGTTGTAAGTAAACAGAAATGTTCCAACCTTTCCTCCGCGGTCTGGCGTGTTACATAGATGTTTGATAAAGTGGGCTTGTTAATTGGGAGAGGGGGGCAAATGAACAACAGTCCTTTCAACTTGCTCAGCCGACTAATATAAACCTTATTCAAGTGGGCGTTACGGCTATTTTCTATGATCCGACCTACACCCGACACACACCCCCGCGCCTCATCCTGTCAACAGGTATACGAGCTTTGGACCATGCTGTCGAAACAATATACCACCCAAACTCCTCTGAGGTACCATGGAAGGCACTGGCGGCGTGGTCGATTCAAACTATTTTTGAATGTTTGCCCATTGTGGCGCATTTGTCGGAATCAGTGAAACAGGACAGCACTAACCCTGAAGACTTCCAAATCCTTGAAAATAATGATGTTCTCGTACGGCTACACTTAGCTGCATGGGCTGCAGCGGGTTTGAGAGGCTCTAATTTTGGTGGAGGGATGGGATTGTCACACTCTCTTGGCCACGCATTGGGTAGCCCCTATGGCATTCCGCGTAAGTTAACTCGGCCTTGTATAACTGATATGAGACCAGACATATATGAACTAACCATCCCATAGATGGTGACACAAGTTGCATGACACTCGCACCAGTTGTCAGGTTGATGGCTCGTCACAAACCAGACGCCGGCGCACAAGTTAGTCGCTTGTGCCTACCTTCAGTCTCTAGAGTCCGGTCCGGAGATCAATTGGAAGACTCGCTGCAATTTGCAAGCTGCATCGAAGGACTGATCTCGGAGCTTGGACTTACACCCCGATCTTTAAGGGAGTGGGGGGTCAACAAGTCTGAAGTCCCTATAATTGTGAAAAGGGCCATGAAGGGACCTGCGGATGATAGATTCAGGGAAGAAGTGCAAATCATCGTGAAGAGTCTTTTCTGACTTCGAATGAATCTGCGTCGTTCGTCTTCATACTTCATATCGAAGTTTCACAGAACGGTCCGCGACGCGTAAGGCCAATTACTTCAGCAATTTCTCCCCTGGCGAAAGGTTCTCAACTTGAGGCTGTGTATGAGTGATTAGAGAAGGCATTCTTCCGGCACGTGCATGTTGCCCCAGGGACATACTCCCATATTCAGGATCTTTAGGACTGTTATTCCTAGCCTCGTGCACAGAATATGGACTGGATGAAAAGGTGAAGCTTACCGGATGCGAGAAGATTGCTACCATGTTCAATATTGCTCTTCTTGAATAAAGATTGTTCTCAAATCTTATTTAATGGCTATAAATCGAAGGTGATCTACAACAACCTTGGGGTGCTCGATTGTACCGAGCCTTGCGAGCCAATGCCTACAAAATCACGAATGCTCCGGTGTTCCCTGGTGCGTCTATTCTGCAAAAAAGAGAAGGTAAAACAGCTATAGAGGTGTGGTGTTTCTCAAACCTGATCGGAATTACTTTTATACTATACATCCAAGTAAGGGTGCGAGTAAAACGGGCAGTATTGGCGAATTGGAAGTGGAATGTAATTCTTTCTATAACGAGTCCAAAATGTGGGATTGCGCGATTGGCAACTTCTTTCTTTTTGCTTTGAACTGAGTATCAGAAACGACAGTAATTAGGGAACTCTTATTCCCAAGCTTTTCTGACGAAAATTCAGGACGCAATGGCGTTCCCTAGAAATCTTGCCGTGATTTGCCCAATCTCAACACTCTTAGAACCTGGATCCATCATGCTGAAGTGATTGACATCATCTACAATCTCAATATGCAAGTTTTCCCGACCGAGCAACGTGGCCCAGCCATCACCGGAGAAATCTGTTCGGTTGTTCAATAGCCACCGCATCTCGCGCGGATCCTCAGGGCGTATCTCAATCTTCGGACCATCAAGATCCTTGCAAACACCATCCCGTGCATATATAATGAGTGTCGATGGCGCATGTGCTAGTGGCCGTGGCTTATACTCATCAAGGACTCGGATGAAAGCGCTGAAGTGCTTGCGGAGCCAAGCTGGCATTTTGCCAGGGCTAGAGCCGAAGATACCAATCGAATCAAAAAAGTCGTAAAGTCTTTGGGGAGGATTCTGCAAACCAATCGGATTCGGCGAATCGATGAGGATGATTCTCTCTGGATGAGTACTTCCTTGGATATCCTGAATTTGTCTTGCTACCTCGCATGCAATCACTCCCCCGGCTGACCAGCCGCCAAGGCTGTAAGGGAGGCTGGGCTTACTGCAAATGATACGCTGGGTCTCAGCGAGGAACTTGCTTGCTAGTAGGTCCATGTCTACGTCCAGCCGTGTCATGTCCTCAGCATCCTTTCGCCAGGGACAATTAAGTCCGTAGACCGCGACGTCATTCCCAATGCAGGAAGCCAAAGTTGCATAAGAGGCAGCAGAGCCAGAGCCATCAGGAAAGAGGAACAAGAGTTGCTTGGCGTTCGCAAGAGAAACTGGGCTGGAAAGCAGGATGGAAGTTGCATGCGGAGGCAAGATGTCGGTCTGATGAGAACTATATGAACCTGCCGCACTATACGATTCGAGTGCCGTGCTCCATTTGGTGGGCACCCCAGGAGTTGTCGCAGAACTGCTAAGAGGGGGCGTTGGGGAGCTGGCGCTATCGGTCATGCTGTCTAAGTCCGACCCTGAGCCCTCAGATGACGAAGAATCGACTTCAATCAGGGCATCATCTCTTTGCGGCTGCGCTGAGGGGTTGGCGTCGGGTCTATTGGATGCTTCGCCTAGAACTAGACTTTGGAGAGCTCCTATAGTGGGATTGTCGACAAATACCGAGGATGCGAGCTCGAGTTCCAGCTCTTCCTGGATTCTTGAAGTCATCGTCAAAGAGAGTAAAGAGTCAATGCCAATTTCGGAAAATTCGGTCTCGGTGGTGAGATCGGACGGCGAAATACCGACCTCCTCGCCGATGATGGCCAGAATACGGTCCATTATTTTAGTAGATGGGGCCGATGTTGTATAGTCACCATTTGGGGTCTCCTCTCTTTCCGCTTTAGAATTTTCATTTGCATCGAGGTCATCCATATGAGACTCCAAAGTTCCGCTTGCAGGGGGCCCTACTTTCGCGGAGACATTGGTCGCTTGGGGGTTGATCTTGAGGATGGGAGCATTGGCAGCGGCTCGATTCGGTAATAGATGGTCCAGTGACTGCCTAGGAACGCCTTGAAACTAACAATTGCACTCTTGTCAGTCGCACCCAAGCATAAACAGGAGATAAATGAAAGTATAAGTCAATAGACTGTCCAGGACATACCGTTACACCTTCGAAGACGGCTATGAGTTGGACCCCGTCAAAGATATATGTGTCACCAGTGTACAAGGTCTTCTCGATCAAATGCATGCGGTTGTATGCACGATATGTCTTGCCGGGTTCCAATGAATCCGAGATTCGCATGTGATCCCACCCATGATTAACGAATACGGTTGATTTGCTGGACAATTTGTCATTGGCGTTCATGATGAAGCCGGCAATGTGTCCAAGGCTGTCGATCCAGCGCGGGTTCAAGTAAAATCCATCAGAACCGACCTGAAACTCGACTGTAGATACGGCCTCAAGTTGATCACTGTCCATTATGACATCTTTCATGCCTTGGTACTCTTTACCATAGTCCACTAGTGCACCAAAAAGCTTGTAGGCCATGCCTCGTTTGATGTGATGGCAGTTGCCCTCAACAACCCCTTTGGAAAGTGAATCCACCCGAGACTGCACAAGGTACCCGAGACGCTTCCAGTCATCCAACCACGTCTGGTTTGAAGTAACAAGAACAACGCAAGTGGCGTGTAGTCTTGTGATCCTGCCTGTCTCGTTCACACTCCCAAGTGTCATGTTGATTTGATTCAGCCGCCAGTCTGCTTGAGCGGAGATACGGAAGACATGGGTCTTTTCGTTGGGTAACGCAATGAGAGGTGCTTCAACTCTCATGCTGGACACATCAAATCCAATAGGTTCGGCAGCATGGCCAGCTTCACCAACCATATAATGAGCGATGGTGAGTGCGATATCAGCGTAAAGTGACTGCATTACTTGTTTAGTACTGAAGTAGTAGGGAGGTACTGTTGATGCAGGGATGGTTGCTTACGGAAGGGCACAGTGCAGCACCGTTAACTAGATGGCCTTGCAAGACTGGCAACAGCCTTCTGTCAAATACGTCGGACTCGATAACGACCTTTGATTCCTCAGTGCCATGCTTTTCTTCGATGACCCTCTGCACCGCTGGCGAAATGAACTTGTACTGTTGGACTTGCTTGAGGGACGTGCTGTTTGAGGGAATCGCATTATCCGGGTTCTCTCCCTTTGAGAGACAAAAGTTGTTCCTGTAGTCGATCCAATACCTCTTCAAATCCCAGGCATATCTTGGTAGGTCAACGACGCGCTGCGAATTTGTATATTCGCGGTGATACTCATTCCAGTCAATTTCTGATCCTGATAGGTAGAGGGATTCGAGCATCGCAGCCAAAGGACTAAAACCATCAGGAGACCTTCGAAGTGTGGAAAGAGTTGCCGTGTCTGATCCCAGTGTCCCTTTGATCATGTTGCCGCACACTGGATTTGGCCCTACCTCAAGCCAGACTTCGCAATTGCTCCAAGTTAGTAATTTTGGCCCACCAGGATCTTCACAGGATACAACTGAGGCAATGAAATAAATGAACAATATAATCGACCTCCGTCGGGCGCAGAGAAACAAAGTCGGGCTAGAACACAGCAATGCAAAACTTCACTTACTTGTCTTCCGATCCACCACACCGGCTCGCATGGCCGCCTCGACAGCTGCGAAGAAGACGACCGGATTTCTACACGCTCGTGTGAGATATTTGCCATCGAGCTGGCCCTTGTCTCCGGGAGAAACCGTCCGAGCCATCAGAGGCGAAAGAACTGGAACGTTTGGCGGGTTGTAGACAACGGCTTGTGATGATAGTCTGAGAAATTCGTCCAAGATGGGATCAACTTGGGCAGAATGGAATGCGTAAGGGACATCCAGTCTGCGGGTATCGATATTCATAGCCTTGGCCCGACGCTCGAGGTCTGAAATCTTGTCAAGTGGTCCTGCAATGACCTGACCGGAGGGCTGATTCAGGCAAGCAAGCTCACATCCGCATCCCGAGTGCGACAGGAGGCCGTTGACGATGTCCATCGGGGCTTTCACCGCGAGCATCGCATGAGTTCCTTGCCTGCAGTGCTTTTCGAGCAAAGTTGCGCGGGTGCCAACTAGATAGATAACATCTGGGGCAGAGAGCACGCCTGCTGCATGTAGTCCAGCATATTCGCCCAGGCTGTGCCCAATTACTGCAGATGGTTTCACACCCCAGGTTCCCAAAAGTTCTGTGAGCGCCATTTGAAGGCAAGCCATGGCCAGTTGTTGGGTTGCAGGACTAGCCTCTTGAGCATCAGCGGTGTGAGACCCGTCAATCAACCCGACAAATGAGGGAAACCCGTGAACTTGTGCTAGGTGATCAAATCGCGTTATGCTCTCCCTAAATTTGCTGTTGCAGTCGAACAGTACTTTGCCCATCGATGCATAAATCCCCCCCTGGCCTGTGAAGGTGAACACAATCTTTGGGGTATTAGCAGGTTGCGGTACCTGCTTTGGCGACACTGATTCTAGTTGCGTAATCTTGGAGTTAAGAGCGGCCAATATGGCCTCAAGAGATGAACCAGATACAATGGTACGATAGTTGTGGTGCATTCTTCTAGCGGTGGTGGTGTACGAGACCGCTGGTAGATCTAAGCTTGTGATCGGGTTGTTCTGCAGCCACGAGACAAGAGCTCTGGCGTTGTCAAGCAAGGACTTTGCTGACCTGCCCGTGCAACTGACCAAGTGAACAGGACGTGGGTCCGCAGACGCTTGGTTTCCGTAGTTCCGTCTTTCTGTTGGAGCATCCTCCAACAGCACCGCCGTGTTCCCGCCGGCGGCGCTGAAATTGTTCAGAAAGCAGGCACGCTTTCCTGCGGAGGTGTCCTCCCGTCGCCAGGGTGTCGGCTGAGACGCAATGTTGACGCCTCTCTCCACCAAGTCCAGTGGGTAGGAATGATTAATGCGGCTTTTTATGCCACAATGAGGAGGTATCTCATTGTGCTTCATCATCATCAGAACTTTGATGAGAGAAGAAACACCTGAGGCAGATTCGGCATGCCCAATATTGGCCTTGGCAGACCCAAGATACAATGGGCGGGCAGGTGCCTGACTCCGCCTGTGGTTGGAGGCAAAGACCGAGAGAACCGACCTCATCTCCGTTGCGTCTCCTGCCTGGGTACCGGTTCCCTGATAGTAAGAGATCTCAGTACACGGCGACCGGGTGTTTGAACACAGTCAAAAAGTGACAAGGATGGAAAGGCGTGAAGGGGGTGGGATCAATCGGAGACAGCGGATCCAATGAATCGTCATCTCAGATTTTCAACAAGCAGGGAGGACGGTAAAAGAGAACAGAATTCTATATTCTGGAGGTTTACTCACGTGCATTTCGATATAGCCAACATCGAGCGGATCATAATTGGTGTATCGCATTATCCGTTTGAAAACACTGCACTGGTCACCCTCATGGGGTCTTGTAATGCTGTCTGTCTGACCACAATGATTCGTGGTTGAGCCAACAATAACTCCAAATATAGGGTCATTGTCGGCTTCCGCATCTTCCAAGCGCTTTAGGATGACAGACCCAACAGCATCAGCACGACAGTACCCATTGGCACCGTCGTCGAAAGCGTTGCAGTTCCCTGTCAAGATCGCGCATGTTAGTAATACAGCAACTTTCCCAGGATTGAACCCATTCATGAACATTGAGGGCGCTTACCTGTTGTGGACAGAAAGTGGCCGCGGTCCAGACCAGCGAAATTATCTGGGTTAGTGAGGACATTGGTTCCACCTGCAATTGCGGTATCGCACTCTCCTCGCCAGAGATAAGTGCACGCGGTTTGCACGGCGGCAAAGCTCGAGGAACAGGCCGTGTCCATACTGATGCTTGGGCCAGAGAAACGAAAAAAATAACTATGCCGGTTCATAAGAGCTTGGCCATATCATGGTTTATTCAAAATGCTCACCTGATTCGACCGGGAACAAAAGCTCGATTTCCTCCAGGGATGAAATAGGTGTCCACGTCTTGGCCGCTATTGACCTCGCGCCAATCTTCTTCGTGTCAGCTGCTGGTCATAAAACACAGCATGGGAAAAGGCTGTACAAGATCGACTAAGGTATCGCCAGAGGATAAAGTTTTACGTACCATCGCTGGTGGTGCCAAAGAAAACCCCTATACGGTCTTGCTGCGTACTAGGGGTCCGATTGCGTACCATCCCGGCCATTTCCATCGCCTCGTACGTGGTCGTTATAGCAAGTCTCTGTGCTGGGTCTGTATTTTCCGCCTCGCGAGGTGACATATTGAAGAAGCGTGCATCAAAATTCCCAGGGTCGTCAATGAAACACCCGTACCTAATTCTACTGGTATTCTTGGTCTTCCCGGTCATGTCGTAATGTGCTTTCCAGTCAAATCGATCTGAGGGAATGTCTCTATGAACGTCGCGGCCAGCCCGCAGGAGGTCCCAAAATGCCTCATTTGAGTCCGCTGACGGGAATCGTCCAGAAAACCCAATGATTGCTATCTTGGAATCCACGAATCGTCCGGTTGGAATGTTGGAAGTGTCAGCCGCGCGCAGACTTCGTCTGATGTCACCAGCAACGTCCTCAACGGAGACCTGGATTGGGCCTGCCTTGCTAATTTGTTCACAGACCATCGATGCAGAATTGCTTGAGAAGGGAATGACTGTGCATTGGTCCATGGAGTGATCAGTCCAGAACTCTTGGACTGCGGAAAGAATTGAGTCCCACTGCACTGGCTCTCGTAAAACATCCGTAATTGTAGCTTGGAGGAGAGCCCTGAAGTTGGGGGCATTTGCGACCTTGCCTGTCGAGCCTGATAGAAGCCCTACGTCGGGGATTCTGTCTGCCACCAGCTCATTACTGATGTGGCCCACAATCTTTTCTGGGACGGAGGCGTCGAAAAGATGAGCAGCATGGAATGGTGAAAAGATGTCCAAATATCTGTATTTGAGACAGCTCTGATGCTGTTGGAGAAAATCGTCCAGTATGTGCGGTGGTCCTGTCAAGGTCAATCTGTTATTCGGCATCGTAGCACTGATATGGATCTTTTTGTTTTGATAACCCTGAAGAATTTCACTGATATTTGCCTTGCTCTTGGGACTGACAACTGCGGACCATGCCTTGTTGAGCGACGAGTCTTGTGGGGAAGATAAGTCCTGGCCGACCATATACGCAAGGTGTGCTGTTCTGAATGCAGCAAGGACCGACTCAACGGCCGCAGGGATCAGTTCTGTGAGGGTTTGCGAGCTGCAAATGGCTGCCGCCGCAAATCCACCGGCGCAAGGGCCGACAACACATGTCGTCTGAGCTGAAGGGTAGGGCTCGCCTCCCCTACCATAACGCCTGTTCTCGTCAGCATACCTATAATTAAACGAAAGCAGCTGCGGGTCTTGCCAGCTTGGTTCTCAGAACGTCAAGGGGCCCTCAGCAGCAAGCCTATAAACTTACACAATGAATTGCGCGACTTGATGTACGCTCAATAGGAAGAATCTCAATATTGGCGTTCCTTCAGTCTCTCCGACTTTTGCAACGAGATCAATGAGTGTCGTAAATCGAGGGAACAAATTTTGTTGCAAGGCTGGCAGAGCGCCTATGAGCCTCCTAAGCGCAAAACCAGTTCGTTCAAAGAATGAGACCAGTAGTGCGTCTGTCTTCACGTGTAACAAAAACCGTAGATCTCCGTAGAATCCATTTGTTGTCAGATCTCCAAGTAGGATGAGCTGATATCTGCCATGGGACTCTCCTTCTAAGGTCGAGGGTTCAGGAGATGCAGCTGTTGAAGGCATTGTTGACTGATATCTTGAGCGACGCAAACCGTTAGCGACGCAAACATTTGCCGTCTGAAATGTTGAAACTTGTCTGATCTTGTAATTCTATGCACTTCTGGAATCAGACATGGAATTAAATATCTTCTTGTACATTTTCACCAACCTGACCCCTAACAGACGATGTATATCAATAAGGAGACCTATCACCTCGTTCCACTAACAACAACATGACATCCTTGTTATCTGTGATGAAACTCCGTGGAACACCCAGTGATTGACATGGAAACCAGTGCTGTCGAGTCGCAGGGCGCCGTTCCTGCCCGAGACGGCTTGGGAGGCCTTATGCCGCGTCTAGAGTTGCTCCAAACACCCAGTATACAATTGGGCTGTCGAAGTGGCCCGCACTCCGGGCCCCGAAGATGGTTCAACTTCGAGTTAAGATCGAGAACCATACAAATAGTTCTCGAAACCCCGGTTATCTGCCCTTGCAGTACTCCGACCCCCGACCAAACGTCCCAGGGCCCCGGTTGCCGTGCCCCGAAAAATTTGGATGAACTTACCGCACAGCCAGTCAAGAGTGCTTTCGGAAGGAATTGCAACAGTATGGGTCACCAGGCAACGTTTACGTGAGATCTGAGATCACATGAAAAATTACAATCATTGACAGAACATCCATGGTTAAATTGCTGCCCGATCTTTCGGTATGGAAAGAACCCAGCTCAAAGACGAAGTTCCACTGCGCAATACTATGTTTCTCATCGAGTGCGAAGTGACCGCTAAACATGGACTGAGAACATATCAAAAGATCAAAGCGGTCCATTATGCGGCTGTCCCGGTCAAGTTATTGCTCTAGATGATCCCATTTTGTGACGAGGCAATTCCGAGGCCGATGAGAGAGAGCAGAAATGTTCTCATGCTTCAATGATGATCTCGTATCCGAATTTCCCACATCCCACGACAGCTATGTGACTTGAACTTCTCTTTGTACGAAATCTACTTTCAAATTAGCCACATGGGTATGCATAGTGTCATATGTGAGAATTTGGCGGTAGCTTACTTGGAATCGTGACTCGGCCTTTTTCATCAGATCTAACCACTGCTTCGCAGTCCGCTGCTGTGCATTGTGCATGGTCATAAGCGTAACATCCCGTCTGCGGAACGCTAATTCAACGTGTGTCTCGAATTGGCCTTTCTCTGGCGAGACCAAGTCACAGATGAGTAGGGTTGGCTGTGACGGATGCAAAAGTAAGGGAACAAATCTTCGCAACAAATCTACGCAGCGATCATCGTCCAAGATCCATAAGGTCCCATAGAGCAAGAACAGGCGTCTCAGCTCACCTCCAGGCGCATCTACCTCACTTGGAGCAGTGTCTCGAAGTTCGAATTTGACTTCGGGAAAGGCTGCCGCCATGCGTTCAGCAAAAGCACCAATGCTTTTTCCAGCGACTACTACAACCGAGGTTTTCGGGTCTGCCATGATCTCGGATTGAGAACCAAACCACTCAAATACCATTTCATTCCCAGCGTCAAGACCTTCACGGATAACTGTTAGCCCGTCTGTGCTACAGCTTTTCTCCCACGGGTGGGGAGGATTACCGTCCTGTGCGACACTGTTCATAGCGTTGAAAAATCTTTGGCCTTTCCCAGTGTTGATACTATGATACTTGTGCATTGGCATCCCGAAACTAATTTACGTAACATTTTTAGCTACTATACAAGCAGATGGGGTTTCTGGTGCAAAAATAACTTGTTGTGCGAACTGTGGATTACTTACGCAAGATCAAATGCAGCGGGGCCTGCGAAGTAGTCGCTTGGTTGCTTCAACCAATCTGCCAAGTTGGCGCTGGCAAGGCGGGTTTCATACAGCCTTCATTGAATAACATTAGTCAATTTGAAATCGAATACCTTGAAAATTTGGCACGGAACCAACTCGAAGGCGCCCGTATGATCGAAACAAGCTTGGAGCCGCTTACTGGAACCCGACCCAAGAGCTGAAGCCCTTATTTGAGACCAACGCTGCGGAAATGAAGGTATGAGAGAATTTCCCGTCTTCTTCTTCTTTTAAAATACCAGAGCAAGAAAGAAGACGACATATGGGTAACAGTTTGTTGGCCTGCAAGCTTGTACGTGCAGCGATCTCTGCGAAGCTTCGGGTGCCTCCATCTTCGGGAATGGCTTCTAGGACCCCAAGCTCCAGCGCAACATACAAAGCACCATGCTCCCAGTTCATGGACACGAGTTCATGAATGAATCCCTGAGGTCCAAGAGTAAGCTTTTCGAGTTGTTGTGCAAGACCTATGATGTTTATCTTTGCCTTCTCGATTGGGTCACTGCCGTTCCGGGTTTTCCACAAGCCAAGGAGGTCTGCAGTGGCATCTTGGCTTCCTGTGTCCTGTGTCAATACTTGATCGATACTGGCTTCGGGATAGATAGAAAGATCGTTGGCCAATCGTGCGACCTGCTCATGAAGTTCGGCGCTGGTTTTCAACAAGGTCTGAACGGTGATTGCTGACATATTGCTTCTAAATATGCAAACCCTCATCAGTGGTTTGGCATCGAGTCCTGCTGATTTGAAAAAGAGACAAGCTTTGTAAAACGCGGTCGGGTGGGTGTATGATCCTGCAAGCAGCCAGGACCATCATTTTCTAAGATGAACACGCGTATTATCGGGGCACTCCGCCTTTGTCATTCTGGAATTGGACGATCTCCACACTTGTGATTCGCAGCCGAGCTTGTCATGCATACCTTTTCGGACTTCCCCCCCACGGCGGCCGAGTCCCATGCTTATGGTGATCCGGAAAACTCAGATGGATCAGGCCTACAGGGATAAAAGGCCCCTGAAAAAATATCAATATGCACATTTCTTTGTAGGTATCAAGCACCCACCTCTAACTTCGAAAATCCACGCATAAGTGCTTGTCCAATTTGTAAAACAACATCCACCAGTATGGCCAACGACACGAGCCTGCCCGTAATTGTTGTTGGTGCCGGTAAATCATACCCGAGCACCTATTTAATCATATTTGTGGTATCTCTTACTGATAATTCAACTCCTATAGGTATAACGGGTCTGCTTACATGCCACGCGTTGACGAAAGTAAGCATTGAAAACGGCTCAATTCAACCTGTCTGGTGACCAAAATGAGCGCCGCTGACCTCTTTCTCGGAGCAGGCTGGTCTCAAGTATCAAATCTTTGAGAGAGATAGCTTCATGAACTCTCGCAGCAATGAGTGGACCATGGCCATACATTGGGCGCTCCCATTGCTGCAGAAAATTCTGCCCGATGACATCTTCGCTAAAGTCTCGGATATTGCCTGCAACCCAACAGTCGGCATTCATTCCGGGCTGTACCCAATTATTCACGGCGAGACAGGCAATCTCATCACTGGAGTACCTTATGAGAACGGGCTACGTGTACCTCGCAGCAAAATGCGAAATCTGAGTGCAGAAGGCATCAACGTGGAGGTAAGCCGGAATACATTTTAAACCCCTTCTGAGTCAGCGAAACTTTACGCATTTGAAGAAATATTTGATCAAGGATCACTGAATCGTAACGCAATAGTATGGCAAATTGCTATCCAACGTGGTCTTTCCCGAAGATGGTGGAGTGATCGCTCACTTCGCTGACGGCACAACTGTACACGGCAGCATGATTATTGGGGCGGATGGCCCCCGGTCCAAGCTTCGTGAGATAGCTGTGGGCAACGCTGAAGATGCAGCAACAACTAAATTCCAGATATTTCATACTAACATGACCGTATGCTACAACGATGCTGATAAGGCTCTGTTCGTGCGGAAACAGTATCCCACAAGCTACTTGGCATTAAGCGAGAAGTCCTTCCATGCGTTCCAGTCAAGTTGGTAACCTTTCCCGGATCGTCTCAGCCAACCTTCTCTGGTGCCTTACATTGACTTTGTGACATTGCGCAGTTTCTTCTATGCCAGACGGACCAGACCACCCTGAGTCATGGATTTTCCATATGGCTATGGCTTGGAAGGGCCAGGTAGATGATAACCTGTCCTACAAGGAGCGTCTTGCGTTGATCAAAGACAAAGCCAAAGGCCTCGGGGATCCTACGAGGTCTGCTTTTATGTGGATGCCCGATGACACGGAAGTTCACAAAGCTGATATAAGCTATTGGGTTCCGCATAAATGGGATAATCATCAAGGACGCCTAACACTAATTGGTGACGCGGCGCATCCCATGCCACCTTGTAGGTTCACTCTATACCGGCCATCCACGCCATCGTCCTACGGTGCAAAATTGTGGGGATCGCGGGTTAACTTCTAAACGCATCGTCAGATCGCGGCCAGGGACTCAACCATTGTATCCGCGACGTGGCATATTTGCTGGAAGCCATGCAGGCCTGGAATCATGCAGGAAAAGCCCTGCAAGACGTAATTCAAAATTGTATATATATATATGCCTCCCCACTCCCCTTCAGTCGACCATCCATTTTGTGTCAAATCCTTTCATGATTCATCGCTTCGGGCTCCGTAGCCGCTGACAAACGCGCAACAGATGAAGGGGAGATGGTGCCACGCGGCCAGGAAGAGGTCACTTGCTCGGTCGAGAATGGCTATATGCTGCATGACTGGGACAAAGTCCAACAGAGTCCCGTCTTCAAGCGTGGCTTTAAGCCTATGGATGGACATGATACTGCGAATAATGTCGGGGGTGCTATTAGTGCTTAAGGGATCGCGTGGCCTGGAATTGAGACAGTGTTGCACGGCGCTAAGTGTAAAATCGTAGAGTTTTTCAGAAATTCGAAGAGCACTCTCATTATTTGTTACAGTTCCTTGGTGAAAAAAGATGCTGTCGAGCTCTTAGGGTCGTATTCTTGCCCTAAAGTATCAATTCATCTTCAGCCGACCTCTCATTCAATTTTCACGTGAAAGCTTCAAAGAAGTCAGATGAAGGTGTAGAATCTATTCAGCCTTAGATTGGAGAGACATGAATGCTACAGATGTTGAACATGGACAGCGAGTGCCGTAGAAGCCACAGGTCGCATTGCTGAAGCGCTGAGCATGTTGTCTCTTCCAATTCTCTCCCCATTTCATCCCCGTTCATGTAATCACTCTGCCTATCCCCAACCCATGACTTTGCCTTCCATGCTGTAATAATTTTTGTTTAGAGTTTCTTGTCTTGCCATGTTGTCGATGGAATGACTTTGTTGCTCGCTAAACTCGTTTCAACTGATGCGAGCGTTGGATCTCAGTAGTGCCGCCCGGTAATACGACTCACACCGGACGCCGGCCCCCGACACAACGCCAAGGCGCTTGAGAAAAGGAAGTCCAATTTCCGCGTGATCTGATGCTCTGGCACTCACTACTGCCCCTGTCTTAATACTCACAACAACATGAGTAGATGCGCCGCAATATCCGGTAGTATATATACAGATCTCACATCATTTAGCTCTCTAACGCATTCGTGGAGATCTAGTCAGAGTACTTACCAGAAGAGCCTTGTCAAGATTTTCGATCAATATGGACAGGACCAAAACAACTCTCAAAGCCACCTATTTTCAGAACAGATTTAATTTTACAACGGGACAAGGGTGTATGATGCAATCCGTACTCACAAACCTGCATGACTTTTGCACGGCTGATCGAATCATTGTGCGGCTGTCAGCATGTTGTGCCATCGTTGTACGTTTTTGCGTCTAGGATAAAACGTAATCGCTTTCTAATTAATGACTGACTAGCTACTTGTATACACCTGTCGCAACGTCTTCTTCCACCCTCTTTCCTCTCATCCAGGCCCCAAACTATGGGCTGCTACTCGACTGCCTTGGTGTTGGTATCAGTGGAGAGGCCTGCTGAACCACCGTCTCGCCCTCATGCATGATCGATATGGCTCAGTGGTACGTGTCGCACCAGATGAGGTGTCTTACACGTCAGAAACCGCCTGGAGAACCATATATGGACAGAGGAGTGTGGAAATGGCAAAAGATACGATCTTCTCGCTGAGCAAACCTAGTGGTGCACAGGGTACGTTATTCTCAGAGCCGTCCGTTTCAGTACCGGATTGTCCGCTTGAGTGAGATGCTTAATCTTGAATGGTTGGAAATCACAGACCTTTTAACAGCTGACCGAGAGACTCACGCGCGCCAGCGCCGTCTAATGTCTCATGCATTTTCCGAGAAGGCGCTGCGTGAACAAGAACCTATCTTGCAGTTGTATGCTTCCAGACTATGTGAAGAGCTGCAGAAGTACTCTCGCTTCGGGCCAGTCGATATGAAGGATTGGTTCACTTTTGCCGGTACGTAGACTTGTCCTGTGGCGGCTCCAATCAAAGACAAAATTCAAGAGTACATAACATCAACAGGCGTGGGTACTGACCTGGGATGATGAAAGCTTTCGATCTCATAGGAGAGCTTGCCTTCGGAAAGGATTTCGGATGTCTTCTAAATAAAAAAGCAGCGCCTTTTGTTGCTGCCATTCCAGCCGGCGCGCAGGAGCTCACCATAAATCAAATGCTGAAATACTACAGCCTGTTACCAATGAAGCTAATTTTCGCTTCTATGGTAAAAGTGCTGCCTATGCGGCCTAGTGGTCACGTAGTTGGAGCGCGAGAGGAGAACATGAAGCGAGCTGTACAGGTTGTCCAAGCTCGCATATCGCGCGGTCCTACCGCAGACCGCAAAGACTTTTGGGTATTATCTTTCCATGCATTCTCGGCAACACTTTACTGATGAATCTAACAGCACTACGTGCTTCAGCACCTCAAGGATGAAAGCTCAGTGGCATCAAAAGACCACACAACCGCCAAAAGAGGCATATCAGAACCTGAGATGTATGCGAATTCCTTTTCCATAACCATTGCTGGCTCTGAGGGCACAGCAACTGCTCTGACTGGAGCAACATTCCTGCTGCTGAGACACATATCCGAGTATCAGCGAGCCGTAAACGAGGTTCGCAGAGAGTTCTCAAGCGAGACAGAAATTACGAGCAGCAAAGTGTTAAAATGCTTACCATTCTTGGAAGCCGTAATGCAAGAGGCCATGCGGCTGTACCCACCAGTCTCTATTACCATGCCAAGAAGGGTACCTGATCCAGGCGAGATAATTGACGAACGTTTTGTCGCTGGCGGAACCACGGTCGGAGTGAATCATCTGTCATGTTACAGATCCGCTTGCAACTTCGAAGACAATATGAGCTTCCGGCCGGAGCGGTGGTTGCGTGCAAGCGGAAAAGAGCACAGCGTTGGTGACAACTTTGATGCGTTTCAGCCCTTTTCATTTGGTCCTAGAAGCTGCCTAGGAAAGAACCTAGCAAGAGCTGAGATGTGCTTACTTTTGGCTCGTATCTTGTGGCGGTTTGACTTGCAACTCGTGGAGACGGAGGAGGGCCTTTCATGGCTAGACAAGCAAAAGATTTGGGGGTTCTGGCAAAAGCCTGCTCTCCTCTGCAGGCTAACCCCAGCTCGAAGAGATATGGCCATTTAGGTTCAAGGTGCCTTTGTATACTAGCCTCAGGCACTAGCATGCAGCATCGTGGGACTGCAATCGATTTAAGTGCGTCATTGCCTGCGTGAAGTTTCTGATGCCCGCCACGAGTCGCCGAGCCGTTCAACCATGACCTGTCTCAAGACTGAATTTACTATCGCAATACGACCAAGGTTTCAGCAACTTATCAAACTAAGAAAAATTGAATTTATCACATATTAGACATAAGCAGCAAGTCAAAGGGACAGATTGAAAGAACGAGCACAAGTTCCAGAGACTAGACTCGACATATTGACCTATGCCTTTTGGTGATTCCCGTTTACTTCTTGCCAGCCCTGTAACTCAAGGCGCTTTACATCCTCTGCTGGTACGGGAATTGTCGCAAAGCGCTTGAGTGCCTCTGCATTGATTTCAGGCGTCAAAACTTTGCCCTCACCAATCATATTCTCCAACAGCTCAAAATAGCGTATGAAGAAACCTGGAGTAGCTGTGTTTATGAAGACCGCCTCCTCTTCAAACGGATTACTGAACTTGTGCGGTAGTCGTACAGGAACAGTCAAAGCCTCACCAGCACAAACATCAACAGTCGGCCGTCCTGGGACGTGGAAGCGTACCTTGCCTTTCTTGATTGGGGAATCTATCCGTCAGTACCAAAGAAGCGTGTGCATTCGTATCATCACTGATTAATGAATGATTACTGACCGTGACAAAAAAGCCTTCATCATGCATCTCGTGGAAATGGACAATCGGACCGTCGCTCTTTGGTGGGATCAAGCTCTCAATAACTGCCAGACGGTATTGCGTGTTGGAACCGTCTTCAATTGGACGCCAGAAATCTGGAGTGTGAAGGGGTAAAGTTAAGCCAACTGTCAGAATTGCCGGGCGGTGTTGGAACTGGGCATAGGATTGCACTGGCCTATCATTCCACTCACACTGTCCTAATCTCCGCCAAGGAACATCTTGAGGTTTAAAGTGATTCACATTGAGTGTTGCGGCATACGCTTCATGTTGTGCGTCCATGATGAGAGGAGAATTCGAAATGTTGCTGAGAGACAGATAGTCTTTGATATGCACGAGTGAGCTGGGTAAAGGGCTACAAGAACGCACAAAGGTGTGAAGCTTCTTGCAATTGACGCAAAGAGACGTTTTCATTCTCTTGCACGACGTGGCACCATTGGCTGCTCTTGAGTTCGTGCCACAAGCGCTGTTCCTTATAGATACATTTATCGTAGTTGCGGACCGAAGCATCTGTCGTGCCAGTACAAACAGACCATGTATCGACTCAACACGGTATTCGGGCTTCTGCGGCCGAGCTACACAAGTTTGTCGGCAAGCGGAGGCCGGGCCTGTCGTCTTAGCCGGTGTTAAGGTTCAGACAACCGGGAAGTGGAGGAACCCCGGCGCCACAAGTAAATGTGTCATCGGAACTATAATAACGTTTTCAATTCTATACAGCGCTGCGGTTAGAGCTCATTTGCGCTTACAAATTCATCACACTCTGCTGTAACTTTTCTACAACCTCTTCAAAGGACTATCTAGTAGTTGTCCAAATTGGCTGTTGAGCACGGGAAAAGCCATGACGAAAGCATGTGTCGCGACACGAAAAGGGGGCGAGTTCAAAATAATTGAGGTTCCGCACCCAGCGCCAAAAGCAGGTGAAGTTAGCATTCGGAATAAAGCAGTTGCTTTGAATCCCGTCGACTGGAAGAAGCTAGAGTACGGTATACTAGTCGACAGTTTCCCTGCCGTCTTCGGCGCGGACATCGCGGGTGTCGTGGAGGCTGTCGGTGAAGGCGTCGATGTCTTCAAGCCGGGCGATGAAGTCTTCAGCCTAGCTGGTCATGAGAACCGTGCTGGTGGATTCCAGGAGGTTTCGACAGTGCCTGCACATTTCGTTGCGCACAAGCCGCCTTCGTGGACTTTTGAAGAAGCAGCGTCCCTTCCGTGAGTGTCAACCTCGTAATAGGACATACAATAGGTCTTCTCCACGCTGACTGGGCATGGTTCCTCACTCCAGAATCTGCTACTTAACGGCTGCAGCGGCAGTCACTCTTGGCCTCAAAATTTCCTTGCCATTTCTTCAAAGAACCGCACCGCTTCGGACAGATTCTCCAAGCAGTATTCTCGTTATTGGCGGTAGTTCTGGCGTCGGTGCTTCAGCAATTCAGCTTCTCCGGTTGGCTGTACCTTCTATCCAGATCATAACAACAGCTTCACTGAGCCACCACTCACAGCTCATCTCTCTTGGTGCAACGACTTGTGTAGATCGCACCACTCCTGACATCGTCGGAGCCGTCAGGGCGGCCTCTACTGGAGGGTTAGGAGTTGACGCTATCTTGGACGCGGTTGGAGGAGCCGGTAATGAAAATCAGCCAGGTCTATTTAACACGTTGCGTGCCCATGGGTCAAGATTATACAGCGCAGTTTTCACTGGTTCTCAAGTCAGTCTCCCGGAAGGGGTCGAGGCCACCACATCTTCTGGGCGTCAGACTTTCGAGGTTTCCGGGGGCAGGTCAGCTATGTCTGCCTTGGCAAAGTTGGCAGAGGACGGTAAGTTTAAGGCTCCGTTGAAGATAGAGGTTGTTGGGAATGGTCTCGAAAGCATCGGCGGTGGGCTTGAGAAATTGAAAATGGGCGTGAGTAGGAAGAAGCTTGTCGTTTCACTATAGAGTTTGTGATGATTTCTATTATTCTCGTACGCCCCAAATTAAAGATGCATCCGTGAGAATTTCTTTACTTGTGTAGAGCCTTGATACTGAACATTGGGTTATTGAGAAATGTCTTTGAAATTGTAGCCTCAGTCTGAGTTACGCTTATCCGTCTTTTGTTCCGCAAAGGTCACTGTTTCTAGAGGCGAGTCCATGCTCCGTACTAGGTCTAGATCTTTGCTGAGTGGAAGAATGTCAGTACACACTGCGAAGTTGGAGCATAGCTCAAGTTTCTAAGATTGCAATGAACAATGACAAATGCATATGCTCCCCCTGAAGAATTTCAAAATGCATTTTCATTCTCAAATTGCCTTGCCTATCCGACAGTGTGTGACTTCGAGTCAAGTCATTCGTCAGCCAAGTGATTCCCCAAACATGGTTGCGCTTCCGGCGCCCGCGGAGCTCGGCTGCCGGACTGGATAGTCTACTGTCCAGAGTCAATACTATCAATTTAGAAGACTGGTTCTCAGAGGCTGCAAGCCATCGCCATAGTACCCGAGACTTCTTAAATTACCACAATCCCGCGAGTAAAAACAAAAGACCTCACTTCTACGTTGACTTCCAGCTCAACTAATCCAGAGCCAGTCTTGTTTCATAGGTCCAGAGATTCTCTCATCAACAAATATAAGTTCTGCCATCATGGTTCTACTCCCTCGTCTGCAGCTCTTTGAAATCGAAGACTTACGCTGGTGCCCATCATGGCTCCGTGAGTATTCGCACAAGTCACTTCACCATATGTGGAACACAGTGGGGCCTGGTCGAAAAACCTCGACAGCAGCCCAGGCTTGCGACGTACTGGTATCAAAGCTACCAATGGAGCCAAGTAAATATACGTTCATCGATTGTTGCGCAGGTGCTGGAGGTCCAACGCCAATCTTGGAAAGCATCCTCAATCTCCGCCTGAGCATGCTAGATAGAGCACCAGCCAAGTTTGTACTGGCGGATCTCTACCCCGACTGGAAGGCCTGGACAAGAATAACACAAAGAAGCAAACATATCAGTTTTATCGACAAGCCTGTTGACGCAACGACCGTGAGAAGATACGTTGATGGGTATACGCCTGAGTGCCGCCTATATAATCTCTGTTTCCATCATTTTGACGATGACACCGCTTCAAAGGTTTTGAGAAGTTCCATAGAAGGATCTGAAGCCTTCGTGTAAGTCAGACTCTCACAAGAAGATGGTTACAGGTCTGACGGGCCCAGTTGGCCCTTTTTTGTCTCAATCTTCTCTTCAGTATGCTGAATGTATAGCTAACACGTTGAGTAGAATTTTTGAGATGACCTACCGCAATTTGCCAGCATTTTTGAATACATCTATTGTGATCTTGTCCCCACTGATTTCTACTCTGGCATGGTTTTGGTGGTCCCCTTTGCATTTGGTTTTTACATATTTAATTCCAATTGCGCCCCTTTTCTTCGCTTGGGACGGATATGTTTCTTGCATTCGCACCCGAACAGATGGAGAATTGAAGGAAATGATAGAGAAAGAGGAAGCCACTGGACTAGATTGTAGTGGCTGGACATTTCATAGTGGCCAGACCAAAGTCCTCCCGCCTTTCGGCAACCTGTATTGGTTCATTGGCACTAAGAATCGCACGGACTTACCAATTTAGGTGCTGATCTGGAGGGAAGGTCGAAGGTTCTGTGTTAATCTAGCTACTCAAAAAAAAATCCTGATTGTTTCAAGAGGGTGGCTGTCATGAAAGTGGTTAGATCTAACATGCAGTTTAGGCTCATGTTCACTTGGTGCCAAGGAACAATATCTGGATTTCACTTACTGAAGCAAACGATAGTGTTGTCACGTACTTCCGCAATGCGAAAAGCAATTGTGATTTTCCTGCCGACAACTCAACGTGTTAAGGCAATGAATGACCACTTTGTGAATTAGATCACCGGCTCTCTATACCATTCCTATCAATGCTAGAGAATGGATCCGGTTGTTTCCCCATGCTCAAAGGCGTAAGAAAGTTGCAATAAAACTAAAACACTCTATTACTCTAGATCCGCAGGTACCTGGATGCTATGATGTGGCTTCTAATAAAGATACCCGTATATGCTGCTTCTAAAAAAGTGCAATCTACCGACGCCCAGCAAAATGGCTATGCATCCTCTTTCAGTAATGAAGCATTGTCTTTCGTGTGCTTCGTCTCCTTCGGTTTTGTGAAAGACAGCCGGAATGAAATTTAGCATCCACTTTCATCAGGCCCGTGATCATGAAGCGAAATAAACAAGGATCATTCTCGGCTGACTATGGCCCTATCCCATCAGCCCTCCCGATCATACAATAATCACCAATAACGAGCAAGGGAAAGTACACACGCGCTGACCACCAATCAGATAGAGATGGATTTCGGACCTCCGATCTCAGAAACGTTACGTGACGCGCAGCCGAGTCGTTCACTGATGGTTCGCAGCTCGAGCCTGAACGTACTAGCCAGCTCTGGGTCCGATTCTGCCATTTCGGCACAGAGAGATAGGGGCAGAAAGATGAGAGGGTGGATCTTGGAGACAAAAGTTGTTAATAGGACTCCAGAAAGATTTTGGTAGGCTTATACAAGAGCTGCTCACCTTGAGGTAGTTAAGCTGTGACATTTGGTCAAGTAACTTGATAACCTCTCGAACAGCCGTCGCTGATTGTTGTGACATATACCCAGTCCTGGCTGTCAGGACATTCTCATTGGTACCAACAGTGCCACAAGTTAGATCCATGTAGCTGGCTGTCTGACAAAGATGGAGATCGACCGTATACCACATAATGCTGATGAATACAGCATTCGGGTCGTCGTTGTGCGATATAGATGAGTTGGTCAAGAAGCTCTCCATTGATTGGGACAATTCGGCTCTAAGGGTTTCATGGCGAAGGCGAAATTCCTCCATGCCTTTCTCATCAGCTGATGTTGAAAACCCTAGATGTCGATGGGATGTGACACGGCCGCACATGCTAGCAACACAAACGAAGATGGCAAGGATCGAGGAGCTTGCATCACACACCACCCCAGATTCTAGGACTGAATGGAGAAACTCCATCCGAGCCGGCTGATCATTGCGAAAATTGGCCTCTGGAGCCGGCATGCGCACCAGAACCTGATCGCTGAAGGTTAAGGGTGTGTCACTTCGCATGCCAAGGAGCCTATCAAGGCAGTACGCCAGCCAGAGAGTTCTGCGCCGCTCCTCCAGCTCCGCCCAAGCAGGCTGGTATTGAGGCGCGCTCTTATTCGGAGCATCCGTGCTCTCATAACCAACTAGTTGAATCAGGCGGAAAGCTCTTCCTGCACTGATCCACCCGCGCCTGAAATCCTGGAACATGAACTCATATATGGCCAACAGAAGCCAGGACTGGATGTATTCTATGCGAAGTGTGAGGCTGGCATTTGTAGAAGCCAGATTCTCAACTGCTCGGCAACTGGATTGGTAGAGCGAGTCCCGAATATTCTGATGATGCCCTGTCGAAGCGGAAGCTGCTAGTGCCCACATTGTGCTCTGAAGACACTTTTGAGCCTCTGTTTTGTCTGAGCGCCGGCTCCACGTGAGATATCGGCGCTGGTGGATAATAGGTATAAAGACATGAACTCGGTCCCAATAGAATTGATCACTGCATGTGCAAATCCTTTATATCAGTCACAGGACAATCCAACTCGGGCAGTAGGGGCGCGGTCGTAACGAATAGTCATGACTCCCAAAATGATCCACAGAGACATACAGATCTGCTTGCACCAGCCTTGAGACTTGAGGCTGTCCTAAGACTTCCTCGGTGTTGAATTCCGAGTCGATCGAGGCTCGCCTTTTCAGGGGATTGGCCTGATCAGTAGCAAAGTGTGTATCGAAATGGGCGGTCGGGGAGATGAGGGGTGATGTTAGTGAAGCTGACGGTAGGCCTGCATTCCAAGAGAAATCAATATCGGCTACGGTTGCCGACCTGGGATCTGTATGGAGGATGTCATTCAGAAATGGCGGCTCCGCTATGTTGGGGAGATCCATCCTCGCCTCAAACATCGCCGCATCAGGAGAGATAATGTAGTCATCAGTTAGGATCCGATTGCCCTCTGAAGCTGGAACTGTGACAATCTGGGTGGTTTGAGGCAAACTTCCATGTACTGTCTGCTGCCTGACGCTACCCTCTAGAGCATCTATATTACATTCACATGCAAGTCAGCCCAATGGACTCGACCTCAGAAAGCTGTGATACACAACTTACCGATACGTGCTTGTAGAGACTTCAAATAACCCTGCTTGGGCCCTCGAGGTGAGCGTGTAGTAACCTGACAGGCTATGCCTGCGGACTGGCAGTTCCCACATTGCGGTCGACGTCGGTCACACCTGAGCTTCCTCCTTCTACACTCCTCGCAAGCCACCCCGGGCTTCTGTCGCGGCCACTGGGACGGTGGATCACCTCCGCTGTCCAGTGGAATATGAATGCTCTTGGGTTTAGATGTTTCGGCCATGCTTTCGTAGAAGGGTCCTCAAATTTGGTCCTAGGAAATAGATGAGGCAAGATCTTGCCGGAGGGTTCAAGCTTATATTAAACTGGTTCCAAAGCGGGCCAAATTGCTACTGCGGACGCCGCCTCGCACCCCCGTCAGACCAATTGCAACCGGACCTGCAGAAGAGTCCAGGATTCTGGAGGGTCTGGCAGACAGTTCGCTTGAAGCGAGGAAGAACTCATGTGCATAGCAGCAAACCAGTCAGTGCTCGACCGCGCGGCTAGTAACGCCCAGGGCTGGGTGTTCAGACGTTGCGTGCGCCAGCACCACCCCGGGACTATTCTGTATTGCATAGTAATATCTGCAGTGTCTGCCAGGCGGCGGTCATCTCACCGGATCGCTGTACCTGTCCGATGCACACAATGCCGACCCCCGAGCTGCGATCAAGTGCTACCTTGACCAGATGATGGAATCGGGCCCAACGGCAAAACCCCCTGCACATTCGCAAACGAGGAGGACAACTTGCATCGCGACGAACTTAACCCCACATAGCGAGCGCTCTCGGATCTTGACAGAATGCTTGTTTCTTTCCCTAAGCTTGACACCTCCGAGCGATCCAGATTGATCCTCACATGTAGATTGACTTACTTTACCGGATCTTTATCTATCTGTTGGGTTTTGATCGATCGTCCTCAAGCCCAAGAGAATGTTCCATTGCAGCTTCTTGGTAGATAGTATCGACACAGCCCTAAGCAACAATCGCATGTTTTCAATTTATGAAGGCTCAAAAGCACCTGATCCAAGGGAGCTAAGAAAAATTACGTTCCACTCGAATTCTTGACCTCTCACAGACGCCCAGCACCATATAAGGTTCATGCTACTCGCCCAAGGCATTTCTAAGGCATTAGAACTCCCCAAGATGGATCACGGCAGTTGCTTCAGGGTGTGGCGTTCTGAATCACGGGATTCCACATTGGCTACGGCAGGATTTGTGGGTATGGATAGTAACTGCTGGCCCTTCGGCTTGCTGTCTTCAAGCCAAGGGCGATAAATATTGGACATGGCAGCAATTGAGTGCTTGGCGCAGTATGGTTGTTTGAGCAGGTGGTGGAGCATAATTATCCCAAACTGCATACGAACCACCCCAATCAATTAATAAGACTAATGTTTGGTTTCAATAACGCAAGGCGAGCCATCACATATTCCTGGGGGCTCCCAGCATCGCCCCAATAGCGCTCATTCCTAGGAATAGCCGCCGCTGCCATGTCCATGATACTCGTGGCGTTGGCATGCACCCAAGATCTCGTGGCACTTGCATCGGTGCAACACGCTGCACGCGGGCTCTGCCCCTGACAGCCGAATCGGCCCATTTTGATCAGCCTTAACCTTAATTTTGCCTCGGGGCCGAAGCCCGATACGATGCCATACTGAAACAGCTAGGACAGGTCAGCGACTTAGTATCACCATTGCTAGCTGTTGGTGCATGTCTTGACGTTGAGGGCGAAAGCACCTCTAACTTTAGCGAATTCCTGGTACACTGCTGCTGGCATACACCCTGCCTCCCGATCGTGCGTTGCCTTATGGCTGAAGTTTACAGCCCCCAAATCAGCGGAAAAATAACGGTAAACCAAATCGCCGGAATCACGGCAGGGCTTGGGCCAAGCAACCCTTGCAGCGCGGATTTCTCAAGTGACAGCATCCGCTCCAATCAAACCCGCTCTATCCGGAGCTTGCCTTCGTAATCGCGCATATGGTTTGTAGGATGTTGAGATACCGAAAGCGCAAAGGCCGTGATCTGTCCCCCACGCGGGCGCGGCCGCAGGCGGGAAGATTAGAATCTCACTGAATCTCCGGATCTGATCTCGGCAGCCGGAATACGCTGGGATATGACCTGGACAATTTAGCCCTTTGTATTTTCCCTGCGCGCCACAGCTCTGAAGCGCGTGAGTTCCTAGCCCGGAGAAGACTGCAGAGGCATGGACAAAGGACTTCGAGTTCACACAGCGAAGAGGCTTCTAGACGTCTCTTGAGCTATGCGATCAAGAACTTGGCATTGTGACTGCGCTGTAAAGTGGACAATGCTGTTGTCTTAACTCTTCGGTTAATGCCAGGCCGGACAACTGCCATCGTTTCTCGTATTTCCAGGGTAAAAGAAGCATCGTCTAACACTTTCACCATTCCGTTGATCCAACAAACATGTTCACGGCCAAAATCGATGTGTACGGCACCCGAGTTGCGAGTCCTGCCTCACGAGCGAAATCCGCAACATCGTTGTATTATTCAGGACAAGGGATGGATCTGAGCGACACCCCCATCCAATATTTTGGCATGTAATAAATTGAAAATATATGTCTGAATTTTCTGAAGTCTTGACGTTGGGTAGTCCGTCTATCCTGCATTTGAGACATCCATCCATCACCAGCATCCTGCAGTCTATTTTCACCTGAGATTGAAATTCTACACCCCTTTTGACGCACTTATGGCTTCAATGCCTAAAATATTAGACAGCGGCTGGCTTTCAACCGCTGCGCGTTTCTGGGGATTGTCAGTGGGTGCTATCGCTCTCGTGATCGCCATCGTATCGTACCGCTACTATGCCTTTCGACGCAAGCTTCCCCCAGGACCACCCGGCATCCCAGTCATTGGCAACCTCCGTGAAATGCCTAAAACTCACCCTTGGCGTACCCACACACAAATGCACCGGAAGTACGGTCCTATCTTTAGCATGGTCTATGGTCGCAACACAGTTATCTATCTTGGCACTTACGATATCGCCCGCGAGCTTCTTGAAAAACGGAGCAATATTTACAGCTCAAGGCCAAGAATGGTCATGGTTGGCGAGTGTATCAGCCAGGGTAACCGATCTCTGATCCTGCCTTACGGGGAGCAGTGGCGCGGATATCGCAGGCTGCAGGGTGCTTTTCTTAGCCCACGCATGTCAAATACGTACCGTGAATTGCAGGATCTAGAGAGCAAGCAACTAGTGAGCGAGTTTCTCACCAAAGACGACTTTTTCAAGCGGTTCCATCGTTATTCGTCGAGCTTAACCTTTGCGTTGGCCTATGGGAAGCGCATGCCAACGGGCCAGGAGGAAGAGGTCAAAGGCGTCGAGAGGATAATGGACCATCTCAACACCGCCTTTCATACCAATTGGATTGTCGACTCCTTGCCCATTCTAAATAAATTGCCAAGCTTCATGAAGCCCTGGAAGAAGATTGGCGACTTCCTTGGAGATGAGGAGAGGGAATTCTTCAGCAGTATTCGCGCCGGAGCAGCAGGCCGACTTGGGTACAATTGGTGCAAGGACATCCTGACCATGAAAGATCACAAGGCTCTCACCGACATGCAACTTTCCTATGTCGTAGGAAACACATACGAGGCTGGAGCCGATACAACCACTATGACGCTGCAAGTGTTCACCCTGGCTGCTGTTTTGCATCCAGAAAAGTGCAAAATCCTACAGGACGAGATCGATAGCGTGTCCGGGCGTGACCGTCTGCCCACGTTCGAGGATACCGAGAAGATGCCGTACTTGACGGCGTTTGTAAAAGAAGTACATCGGTGGCGCCCAGTGCTCCCTGGCGGTGTTCCACATGCTGTCACAGCGGACGACACTTTCATGGGCTATCATATACCCAAAGGTGCAACCATTGTCCCTGGTCACTGGGCAATGTCCATGGACGAGCATATGTATCCCAACCCCGACGTTTTCGAACCTGAGCGCTTCCTCAGAGACCCCGAGCTGCCTTATTCCCAATTTGGCTTTGGGAGGCGGAAGTGTATAGGTCAGTACTGAGTTCACGTTTTAATGAAAAGCAAACAACCCAACCCCCACCTCCCGCACGACTATGCTGACATACCCACTCGGGTCCTGCAGGCCAGTATGTTGGGAACAATTCCATGATGATTAACGTGGCTCGTATGCTCTGGGCCTATGATTTCAAGAAGGGCTGGGAGATCATTAATGGCAAGAAAGTTGAGGCGCGTGTTGATCCACTCGGATTTTACAACGGATTTAATTCCCCTCCGCTGCCGTTCAAGGCCCGCTTCGTGCCGCGCGATGCGCGGGTGCCTGATATTTTGAGGTCCGAGTTCCTAGAGACGGAGAGGAAGGGAACGGACGCCATCCTTCAGCGCATTGAAGAAGCCGCCTTAATCCTCAAGGAAGGCGAGAAGCCTGTCAGATTGTAGACATGCATTACCATTGGCTGCGATGTGAGCACTGCACAGGGTCTCAATTCATCCCAATTTATCTGAAGTGGCACACGTGTTGCTGTTTTGAGAGAGACTACGCAACCCGCGCTAGAAGATGCCCGCAATGCTCAGAACATGTAGTTTAAACCTGCAAGCAAGTATGCAAACGGCCACAGATTGTCATCGAAGTGATACGCAGGCGAACTAAAGGTTGAAAAGATTAGTCTTCTATGGAGGAGCTAGAAAGAGAAAGTAATCTTGCGTGCAACGCCTCTGACCGATAGCAGAATGATTCGGAGTATTAAAAATCCCGGTACGTTTCAAAAACGAGCCAAAGTTGTCGCGTGTCTTGATATCGGATAATCCCCGGCACGCGTTCAAATGTAGCCCATGTCACGGCCACCACTAGTTCTTTCGGCGCCCGAAGATATCCTCATAGGAGCGATCATCAGGATTCCTGACGGGGCCGTGATCTTTTAAACTAAGGGTACCAAGAAGAGGCGGGCTTGGCAAGAACAAGCACATAGTATATATCTTGAAATCCCGTATATACGGGATTTCAAGGCCTGTTCAGAATAGAGCAGCACTGGAGAGCTGCCAAGTGACCTGCATCATGAGCGAATACGGCGAGACTTGGAAGACCAATCGCATTGAACTTGGTCATGCATCTGCCAAGAAGTTACCTTGGATACAATTAGGTCAATGTCAGTCAACCCTAGACGAGGAGCGCGCTTGAAGGGACTGGGTTCTACATAGACCTACAACCACACACGGAAAGACTGACTCGTTCTGATTCCAGACAAATATCGCATTCTCCAGGAAGGACCTCAGACACAGTCCCGCCTTGGCATTATCGAATGGGCCGTTCCACCCCACGTTCAAGGGCCAGACTTCTGTTTTCATGAGAAGCACGAGGAGTGTTTCTATATCACAGTATGTAATCAAGTTTCAGAGCAAAGGCCGATTCAGAGTATGGGTAAGTTTTGACGGGCCAGCAGCAAGGAAAACTTCGCATCCATGTTCCCGGACGCCCGGATGTCGATGCAGGGCCATTTGACCTCGTGACGATCCCGCTCCGCCTCCCATATAGGTTCAGCAATCCGTTCGACGATGAAGCAGTCTTCATCAACACACTGACTCCAAGTTTCTTCGTGGAGTACTTCAAAGTTCTCGAGCAATCGATCCATGGAGATGCTGATGGGGACATGACTGGATTGATGAGACGTTTTGCTACGGTACCTATGACTCCGGATATGATCAAAGAGTATGAGATACTCTCAAGTATAGGCTGAGCCATGAAACAAGTTCAACCGCCAGATGGTAGCTGAAGTTAGAGATGTCAGGCAAGCGCGCAGAAAATGTTGAATACACACGATTATCTGATGCTTGTTGAATACATTCATCAATTAAATTTTAAATGTCTGAGCATGTGAGAATCTTCCCGGCGGCCCGCTTTTTAGAATACCATTTAAAGTTGACCCAGACTCAAAGCAGCGACTATCTCTCGTCAGGAACAAACACACACAAACACACACATACATGCATATACAAAGCAAGAGTGAGAGAGAGTTGCCCCAGTTGTACATGTGCTACGTGCAACTTGCGGTGTGGTGGGTTGAATTCACTTTCCGGAATAGGACCCCCGTCAAAAATAGCCTTTCCTTTGAGTGTATGGGTAGTTCTCCTAGAGAACGTATAAGGGGTGCCCCAACTAGCAACAAACGTAATAAGACTTATCAACGTCCGCCAATTGGTGAATAAGACGAAGATCGGACGGTTGTGCATTACAACACTTACATTAAGCTGCACATAGTGGCAAGTGGCGGGATGAATTGGGGACGAATCAGTTGTAAAATATCCCCTTTGATATTCAAAGTTACAGTATTGGTACGGACTGACGGGGATCTCTTTGCCTCCGAACAAGACACGGTTATATGGCAGCCACACAATGATACTCGATTATTGGGGAAGGCCGTTCAGGCAGCTCCGTTCTGTGAGATCTAAATGAAATCCTTTGCACATACCCACGTATGACAACGCATATACTAGATAGACCGATCCTATGAAGAAAGTGTATTCCGCAAAGACAGACACGGAATTTCCGGACATTTGGCTCATATTCAAGGGCGCCAAAGTCAGGCCTGTGTCGTTCCGATTTGTGCACAACCTTATTGGGTACCTTGAGCTAATGCTTGAGTACGTGCATTGGTCGAATTCTATCTCATGAAGCTCGTCGACTGTTTTGGAGCCCGACTTAAAACCAGCTCCAACTGGAAATTCCACCGCGGCAAAAAAAAAATGTCCGATGGGTGCAGAAATAGGGAAGAACACTTGAGTAAATAGGAGGGGCTGCGATAGAAGGTTGTATAAGCGAACTGTGTTGTCCGGGTTATACTCGTTCTCGAACGTTTTCAGGCGATCCAGATCGTCGGTGCTATGGATCTCCTCGGGATCTCGTCACCATGTGCATATTTCATGTGAAGGACCAAGTCGCCGCCATCCGAGGTAGCAGCCATGTCACTGCGCAGCTCGAGTCTCAGCTCGTGGGCATGGCCTTGGCCGGGTCGCCCACCGTTTCCCATCGCTTTTGATCAATGTGCAAGTTTGTCACCCTAGGTTCTCTCCATACGCAGCTCCGTCTCGATTGCTGTCGACCATCTCACAGCAGGGCTGTTCAGGGTGAGCCCCAGGAAGCTGGGACTTACACATGTAATTCTGTTCCTTCAAGGGCGGGCCTCTATATCGTCAAGCGTTGCTATCGCGGCCTGGATCGGCCAGGTTTCAAGGGAGATGATTGAGACGATCAGCCCATAAGAGTACCGTCTTCTTAGGTAATGTGAAATATCTACTGTCAAATCATGCTAGCTCCTCATGTTGGAAAGCGATGATTCCATGGAGGCATCTTGACGCTGACTAGGTAACGTGTGACCGCCCTAGGTCGTGAGTGGCGCTATGGTGTGTTTGGTCACATCTCGGAGGCCGACGAAGGCGATCACGAGGATGAGCTGCGATTGTGTGACTGGGGCTGACTGTTCGATTGATCCTTAAGAGCGTCTGAACCGAAGATATCGTGAACTGCTCACCTCATCGAAGGTGGTAAGACGGTGTAGGAAGGACAGTCTCGGTACTCAGCCACGGCGACAGCGAGTGCATTCTCGTGACTGTCTCAGAATACGAGTAGTTCCCTTCAGACGAGAAAAGCTTGTCAGCAAGGATTTGCAAAAACTGTCACCATGGCGTGGGATGTTACAGTGAGCCATATGCAGACCGGTAGCGGGCAATTAATTCCTGCTCTGTATGTAAGTCTGATACCAAAAGGATTGTCCAACTTGGCCATGTATGTGTGTGACAATCATCAAATTCAGGAAGATACCCATGACTGATTTCTGAGGAGTAGTTACAGTCTGCTGCTATTGGATAATAGAAAGAACATTTCCATCTACCCGGGCCTGGAGCGCACAACAGGGTCTACCAGCTTCATCTGCAAGGACATCGCAACCAATACACTCCTTCAAGTTGAAATTGTGTCTTGATCGAAGATATTTTGCCCATTTGGTGATAAAGCTGGCCATTATGGGAAGAAAAAGGATGGAAAAAAACATGCATACATTGCAAAGCTATGGGCGTGAATTCATTTTGCTAATCAAATGATACCAGACACACTGCTCATAATAGGACTGATAATGGCAGCGACGATAGCCTGTCACGTAATACGCAAGGTTGGCGACGTTCGGTCCAGAGTCTCAGCTATTCATGCACCGAGATAGCCTATCATCGGACGAACGACTTGCAGTCTCGTATTGCTCCAGATGGATGGCTGCAAGATTCGCACGAAGCACGGGTGGCGATACGCACGTACGCTTCTTTAATGTCTGTCTTATATGGTTTAAACACGCTTGACGTAGGCTTGGCGACATGCATGCACAAGCAGGGTTCATTATTGGATATAGAAAACGCTTAAGAGAATACGAATGTCCAGGTCCAATCCAATTAGATCCCGAAGCAGCCAAGCTTTCTTCCTGGCCTGCACGCTCCGCATCGGACTTCGTAAAGAAGAAAAAAGAAGGAAAGAAAGTCGTGAGACACGCTGCTGCTGTTGCTGCTATATGACCGGCCGCCGCCGGGTTGGTCATGACCTCATGCATGGATGCTGCTCGAGCGGCGGAGGAAGCTCCGCGCGGCCAGCGAGCAGTGGATTCCTGCTCGGCGACGAGGACCGTGATAACGTCGGTGCTGGGAGTTCTGGCAGCGGTGACGCGGACCTGCGGAGGCTTGCCGCAGAGCTGTGCCGCGAGAGCCCCGCCTCGAGCTCCTTCCAGTCGTACCTCAGGCCGTCGCTCGTGGTGCTTTCGGGCCTCTCCGCCGTGCTGAAGCGATCCAGGGTCGCGAAGGATGCCGACCTGCCTGACCTGCTCGCGAGCGATTTCCGTATCATTGCTGTCCTAGTGGACTCGGCTTCTATGTCGAGGTCCTCCGCGGTCATCTTCCGCTTTTTGCTGAACTTGTCTATAGGGTCTATTGGGAAGCCCGGGTCTCGCCGTCGTTCCTCATCGAGTTGTTTCTTGAGGAGTCGTCGTTTTGAGAAGGAAATAACAACTAATGCGGTGCAGGCCCCAAGCGTCAGGAGGGCGGCTACGGCTGCGAGTATTATCCAGATCCGGGTTGAGTCTGTGGTGGATGTGCTTGTGTTGGAATCTGACGTGGAGTCGCGAGCTGCGAGAGTGAAAGGGACTAGAGGCATTGTGGGGTCTCAGCTCAGCTCGCAGGAGCGTCGAGTGAGTGGTGTGTGCGTGAGTGTATATATGCACAGTAGGTATTTCTTGATGAGATGATGAGATAGGCGAGGACTGACTGACTGACTGAAGCAGTCTTCTATGTATGCAGCCAGCAGAGCAGTATCAATCTTTGAGGTTGTACTGGACACGCGAGGAGGGGGGGAAATGCAGGCTTATGTATATCGCCGGTGCATGCGGCCCTTCTCTCTCGTGAGAGAGAGAGAGTGTGTGTGTGTCTCACCCCACCCCGTTCCCGTCCAGAGTGTTGGGTCGGCCCATCGCATTCACGAAGGAGCGGCGTGGTGGCCCTGCATGTGCATAAGGCAGTCCTCGTATACGCCGAAAAAGGGCAGCACAGAGGTGCTATAATTGGGCCTGTTTTCGGGTCGTGGTGCCTTGGCTGCGGACTAGTAACTTGGTGGCCTCTAGGTGGTTCCGTAGCCCCCAGGCCAATCAGGTCCCGCGGGGTCGCCTACAGACAGCTCGCCCGATCCTGTTCGCTGCAGACCGCATCCTGCAGGTGTCAGATAGGTGTGCGAACGATGATTGAGGAGGAAGAACATTGAGGACAGGCGAGATTGCGCAGCGACGAATTGAGTGCTGAAGGATGAAAGGACGGTTCAACCTTAACATTCTTGCAGCAATTCAAAGAGCAAAGCTGTTACACACTCAGCTGACATCAAACAGGCCCGTCCCCGTTCCCGTCTCCCCACAGAGCAACGTTGAGAGTGTGCCTAGCAGCTCAGACCACGGGGCGAAGCAAAAGAATAATTGACGTGCTATCACCCACCCGTTGAATGCTACCTCAACAGCCACAGTGGTGTCCCATCTGCCTGCTTTGCCTGCATAAAAGTCTGCCTCGGACATCAACCCATCATGGCACATCACTACCGCGGCCTCGATAAATGTCCCCCAACCTCGGCCGCCCCTCTCGTAGCCGACCGCTGCTGTACCTTTTGCTGGCCGGTAGACCTCTGCCTGAAACAACAAAAAGGCCTCCCGCGAAGATCTGAGAGTTGGGCCGCGGTCTACGTCAGATGGGACGAGGCCCTTCGGACCGTGGCAGATCAGACCCGGGCCCTACCTAGACTACATGCCGTCTATCCTGCCGACTGAAGGGCCAGGCCCATTGCGCAGTGTGGCAAGCCCGTACAGCCCCGATAGAGTATCAATCTTGCCTTCTGCTGCCTGCAGATCTGCCCCCGCCACGGCTCATGCCCTCTAGATACAGTATCATCTACGCCATTGTAAGGGTCGATTAAGATCAACATTCTGCGTTTGAACAACCGCTCAACAGAACATTACTCTCGGCAATCCTTTCTTGCCCTGGGCGATTGTGGGCCCCGACGGCAGTCTTGCTTGGGTCCCCTGAATCCCTTTCTGCAAGCGCTTTAAGGGTCTTCCAGGTGGGTCTGCGTGATATATCCACTATGTGCCCAGGCACCTGCAGACAGCGCTTGCTCGCGGCCCGCGTGTAGTTGTCCCTGAGCAAGTGGGTATGTTTCGATGGGACCTGTTGGCATTCCAACGTTTTCTCAAAATAGGCGCCCTTCAAGGCGAAGTATGGCCAACAAGTGGGCTCAGCTTCAACTTGGGCGCTTGACAGATTGTTTGAGTAAAGTGTGCATTCACATCTGCACATGAGTCTACATCATCAACAATAATTACAAACCATGAGCATAAAATCTCTGCTGTCATCTCGACTGGCCGCCGGTCTGGAAATCATTCCACAATTCCATGCAAGTCCCGTATAATTCCCGGTTGCAGTTCCTCAGAGCATTCTTGGACGTTCATAAACACTGCAGGTTTTTATCATGTCGCGTCGTCTCTGGTTGATGCATACAAATTGTGATGTATACTGGGGTCCAAAGTTGAAGTAATCTGTCATAGCAAGCAAGAGTGACAGACTAGATTCCGGGAGATTCATGAGTTAGGCCTCTTCAATTTAAGACATCTCCATCCGCTTCCATGGACTATCTCTCGGATAAGAGTAGTTCAGATTTCGCATAGGATATATGTGTCTCTTGATTCTTTTTCTTCTGTTTTATCTTATGGCAAGCAATGCTGAGAAACCCAGAAAGCAAAAAAATCATAAGACCTTGCCGTCCTAGATTCAAAGGCCACGCTACCAAACCAATGCAACGATAACAGATGACTGAGCCCAAGAGATTCATTCGTCTCTCTTTACTCGACAACATCGTGGCAAACAGCCTCAATATTGTTGCCGGCAGGGTCCTAGATTCATGTTTATGTTAGCAAATATTGAAAATGACCACTGCCAACACACCCAGGTGGAGTAGGTGCGAGATTGTCACTTACAATCACGAAGGCCCCGTAATAGTGAGCATGATAGTGTGAACGGATGCCCGGCTTCCCGTTGTCTTTGGCCCCCGCTTCTATCGCTGCATTATACCAAGCGTCGACAGATGCTCTGTCTGGATGGAGTCGTAGCGTTAGCGAATTCACGCTCCCATCTCCAGGATGGAAAACCACTCCTACCGACCTTTGCAGCGGAACGCGTGGTGCGAGTTGTCCGGTTTTGCTGGCGAGGCGATGACCCACCAGTCGGTCTTCATGGGGCTATCCAACGTTCTGATTAGCTAACAATGGCAACGTGGTCGTCTGAGAGGTGTCTGGAAGTGCGTCTTGGGACCGTTGAATAAGCTCCCAAGAGCATGGGTCCAGATATAACAATCACATACTGGTGCGCAAATTCGCCATCGCCAAACCCGACAGATTCTTCATTGGGCCCGAAGGCGAGCAGTTTCTTGTAGCCCAAGGGCTTCAGCGCCGCCTCGTAGAACGCTACGACGGTCTTGTGGTCCGCGGCCGGAACGAACATTTGCGTGTGGTCGATCATTTTGACTTGAGTCTTGATTTGAAAGGTGCGGTGGTGCGATGTGATTACTTCCAAAGATACGTACGTTGAGGTTGAAGTGATGCCGTTCAAGTCTTACAGATGTCCTTCGACGGGATGCCAGCCTGTATTTATCTCCAGGTGCAAAGATCCTAGCGGCTGCTGGCCCGTCACGTCGGTGTCTCACTTGTTTGTAGCCAAAGCGTCCAGACTCTCGCTTTTGCCCTCAGCGTCGTATTTCCCAGCTGACGCCAAGGGCCTCCCGCCGCAACTGCTGCCTAGACGGCCCGTCACTGCGCATTGTTCATCCTTTGACGGTCCGTGAGGTTGTGCCGTTTATTTATGAGGATGCGTCTCTGACTGGTCCCCACAGCGGGCCGGTTCGGCCTGCCGCTAATGTCCGGACGACGGCCCCGAGCTAGCTCGGAAGGGAGTTGGGCCGACTTCAACGCTTCTTCTCCAGCACCTTGATCTCGGCCAAGTCTATATCCTAATTGGTTTCATAAAGCCACTATTCCAGGTTTACTTATTGTGCGGAGAGCATACGCATGTTTGAACATCCGCTTTCAGGCTATTCAGGGTCGCACAGTCTGAGGCTTCACGCAATCACAACCCGCCCCCTCCCCTGGCTGACTGGCTCGTGAGAGTCCGACACCCGGGGTTTACTCTGGCGATTTTGGCAACCATTTGGGCGTGCATCAACAGGAGTCTCTGAAGCAAGAACCGACAACACGGTTCCACAATTCTTCGTCCCTCGGTCCTCAATGCGCCTCTATTATTGCTTTAACCTGTGAAACGAATGCTATTTGGGGTATCTAGGCTCCTGTATGCTATTAGAAGATTATAGAAAAGTCTTGATGTGCAAATCAACGCTGGTAATGCTCCCTCTTCTAAGACTTCTAAGTATGCGTATTCAGTCCTCCCTCTGCCTCCTGGGGGCTCTGGTCCTTCTTCTCCAGAGCCGCGGAGCTCTCTCCCTTCTTGTTTGCGTTTCCGAACTTGTCCAGGCTCAGCCTCGGGAGGGACAGGCTCTCCCTCCACCCACCGTCGCCGTTGACCTTCTCCTCGCTCGACGACCTGGCGGCCTCCATCTCCTTTTTCTTCTTCTTCTGCACCTCATGCATGGCCTCTTCGGTCATCTCCTGTCTGGTCATCCGCTCGATGACATCCTTCTTCCGCGTTTGCCGGTCCCCGATCCAGATGAGCAGGCCCGCGGTCGCGTTGACCGTGATGGAACAGCACAGGATGACTGTTGTCAACGCGAACGGGCGATTTTCGGGTCTGATGCCATATGTACAGGCTCCTAGTGAGATCTGCAGGCAGCTGTGGACGTCGAGGAGGGTCGTGATGGTGATCATCAGGTTGAGGGGAAACGCGAAGTGGGTCTCCGTCTCGTGTGGTTTGTAGAATGTGTGCGACTTGGCGTACTTAGTCTGGTGATGCACGAGCGTCTCCTGCTGTTTGGGAGAGAGGACAGCAAAGTCGTTGCCGGGTGCCACATCCGCGAGGTCATTGTGAGCGGCCGCGGCTTCAACGTCTGGGATGACCGGGTCGGTAGGCAAGTCATTAGGGTCCCGGAGCTTGGGAAGAAGCAGCTTCTGCCGCAGTTTGAGGCTCAAACGATCTGCACAATGTTAGTCAGGCAGATTATACGTGTATCATGTGAAATGGATGCTTACGGTAATGTGCGATATAGGCCATGTGATATGTATCCACCGCGCGGAATGGGGCCAGTCCATCGCCCATGATTGCGAAGAGGGCAACAAGAGTATAGTCAATGATGTTGATGAGGTAGCTTTGTTTGGATCCTATAGAGATCCATCCGATAAGAAAGAGAACCCATGCGAGGCCGAATAGGGTGATGAGCGTAGCGTAAAGGGTGACAAAAAAGCCCAGAGGCCGGCTGACATATCTCCCAAACCCCTTCAGGCTGCGCTTGAACTTGGACCGCCGTGAATGCAACATGTGTCTGACGTGGTCGTTGAGCATCTCGACTTCTTCCTGGCTCCATCCCTCCAAGGATTCTCCATGTGGAAGGACGGCATAGTGGTCGTTGTCGAGGTTGGAGGAGATGCTGTAAGCACGGACCGAGCCGGGACGTTGCTCCTCTGCATGTGAAGGGGGTCGTTGCTGTTCCGCAACTTCCTCTCGTGATTTCCCAGCCGCGGGGGCCCGCATATCAGAGACGTCGTAAGTTGGGCGCCTGTTGACCCATCGCCCCAGCGAGGGGATGAACAGTGAGTTCTGAACATTGGTGATGGAAGTCAATGTGGACACCTCAGGATCGAGGACATCGAGAAGATCAACGATCCTAGTATCGTACTCGGCATCTTGTGCTGACTGCGGCTGTGCTTTCTGCTGTTGGTTATGCTTCCATGGCCGGAAGAGCATTGAGCCTTTTCGACTGGCGCGCCCGGCGCTTGGTCCACTCTCTGATAGCTCGGGGACAGAAGGCAAGTGGCGCACAGCACTCTGGCCCTGGCCATTGTGGGATGGGTCGGTGAGCCAGGTCGGACGTTGGGGGTCGGAGCTAGAGCGTCTCCGGCCACCTGTGCCCTGGGTGTCGTCGTTCTGACCATCACCGGCTGGTGGCTCACGGTTCGGCTGTTGCCAGTCTGTTGCGACGGGGGCAGTGCCAGTGGGCAGTGACGGAGCGCGCAGTCTTCTGAGGCCGATCGATGACTGCTGGCGACCTAATTGGCCACCACGGCTGCTGGAGGCAGACGGTCTTGTCAGAGGGGGAGGGCGCTCACGCGCCGGCGTGCTGGGTTCTGTACCACTCGCTGCTGCATGCTGAGACTGGGGCTGGGCTTGAGGTTGATGATGAGACTGAGGAGCGCTCCTAGAGGGGACTAATCCAGAGGAAGGGTGTGTGACGCGCGGGTCGAAGTAGGGATTCTCGTCCTGGCCGTCCGGGTCTCGACGCGCCTTGAACCTCATGGTAACGTGAAGTTGGAATAGAGGAGTGCCGGGATCAGTGACTGCGGGTAGAAAGACGACTCAAATCGTCTTGTCTGCTGTCAAGCCCGTGCAGTTTGTTGTTGCTGGCATGAATGAATTTTCCTCTCCCACGGACAGATCCGGCAGACGGGCGGAGATGTCTTCAAGAGAGCGTCGGATGTTACGGGTGTAATTGGTCGCGTGGCGGGTTGGTGGTGGGTGGCATTTTGAGTTTTGACGGGCATCCGGAGGAAACGAGCCCAAAACAAACCGGGGGTTGGCGAGATCTAGTCGTCTCTAGTGTCTAGTGTCCTGTCACGCCTGTATCTCCCAGGCCACGCCAGGCGCAGGGTGCAATCACAGGCCGGGCCGGGGCAAGCGGAGGGTGATGTCATAGCTCCATGCCGTGCCAGTTGACTTGAGGTGCATAGGGAAATGGTCGGCGGCAGCTGAACTCGCTATCGATGGCCAATCCCTGGATTTGACAGCAGATTGCGCATTTCCATCCAGGTATGCCAGGCCATCCCACAGCAGGCTCCACCTAAGAGCGCCAAATGACGATACTTGGCAGGGGTCCCAGACGCCCAGAACGCCCCAACAACACTGTGGGCAATGCAAACTTGAAAGAAGCCAGCAGCCACATAATCTTTCCGACGTCACCCAAATGACGAAGTTTGACTAACCAACTAGCCAGCCAACTCTGCTGTGCCAGACTACCCAGACCTATGCATTCGTTCTTTTACTTAGGAGCCCACACTGTTTGCATTTCCATTGTGAAACAGCTCCCCAAATTCCTGTGCACCACCGCTTCAGATCCTCTGGAAAACATTCCGACTGGGCAGGACTTAGGCCGGTGCAGTGCAACAAATGGCCATCGTGCTGCAGACCAGACACTCCTTGTCTCGTGGGAGGACCGGCTCACTCAGACCTACCTAATTCCTAGGTACAGACAGTCACACGCTGGCACGATACCACCCACCTTACGCAGCATGACAGATCATCTCAAGCAAACAAGCCTGACAAGCGACGCTACGTGCTGCCAATCCTCCCAACGTCGCCTCCTCGGTGGATACTCTACAGTACAAAACCTCGCGAACCCAGCTGCACGGGCCTGCCATCGGATCGGCCCGTCTAGACTTTTTGTTTCTCAACGATTACATAATGATCGAGAGTGCCTTTCACTTGTTCTCCCAACAGGCACAACCGGACTGTGTTTCGCGTGCAGAAACAATCAAGCCTTATATTCTTACTAGACGCAATGCTACTACCACACCTCACATGTGGCAGTAACGATCAGTGCCAAGTTTGAGCACGGTAATCGTGCTACACCTGCCCGGCTCTTCTCACTCCAACTCAAGCATTGCCGTGCATTTTCGAATAGCTCAATCAGTTCTCTAGATACTACAATCCGTTATCTTGCTATGCCTCTTCTCATGTGGCAAATCTTGGAATTTTTCATCCTTGCAATGCCTCTAATCAGTCAAGGGTCCTCACCGAGATTGAGACATGGCCGCCCAGACTTGGCCCTTCATACTATAATCTTAGGCGCAGCAGCATGTTCTTTGCAACTATTGGTTTTTTTGCCTTCTTATATCCGTTTTCAACCAACTCTCGAGCCATGGTGTTGGAAGACCAAGTCTATCCATCTTGGGCAGGCGCGTCGTTGGCATTAAGACACTGATAAATGGCCCAATCACAACTGACTTCTGTTGGTCTGTAAATAGGCGCTGGCAGCCCTGCACAGACCGATATTCACGCGGGCGTGCCACATTCCGCATGGAATAAGAACACGAGTACGACAACGCACGTGAAAGGGCACGAGACACTGCCGTATTCTCCTTAGCTGTGAGTACAAATACTGCTAATCATAAGAGTTAAAGCAATCTCAGTATCAATGCTACGAGTCTGTGTGGTCAAATTTATGCCATAGCAAAATGAATATCAACATTATTGTTGTGTTAGACCCTGGAGCAAATGTGTTGGTAAATCACATAACTGAGCAGGCCCTGTATGTGGGCTTATCCTTATGATCTTCATGAAGCGCCTGCTGGCTGCAAAATCGAGGAATCTGACTTTGACGGATCACTTTCTGCGATCATTGAGAGAGCCAGGCAAACATGTATTACACTATCAAGAATGGATCGTCCTGCAATCTTGAAATTTGGTCCCACTTTTACGACATGATGATCACATCTTCACACCTAGTTTTCGAGCCTCCAGACTCAATTGCTTTGAGTTTGACCCTCTTCCGGCCACGCAGCGATGCCGTCCACAAACTCGCATCCACCATCGGCCAGAAATTAGTTTCAATGACTGATCACGTCGAGGAGCAATCCAGACTGCTTTCTTTCCAGCGCCTAGATAGATTTCCGCTGTGCGAATCGCGTCTAGAGGACTAACAATTGGCTGACGTTTTTCCAGATAAGGCACGTTCTGAGTGGACGCATATGCACATGTAGCAACCCCACCATTACACTGTATCTTTGCAGCTGGTAAATCTATAAACTGCTTCATTATCGGGCTGCTGCAGGATTAACATTCCTACTCCTTGGCATACTGGTCCTCGTAATTAGTGGCTAAGATGCCATCGGTCATTCGCTGCACGCTATCTGCAAGGAAAGCTCCCGAGTCCAATCTCAGGTGAGCCTGAAGAAAATTGGCGAAGAAACTCGGTGAACAAGGAGTCAAGCGAGTGCCACCCCTTTGAACCCACGCTACTTGCCTTGAAAGACAGACATCAGCTGAAAATAACCAGGAGCGGCTGGAGCTGGTCAAGCATGCTAGCCTCGTGGCCTAGCTCAATGCGTTGTGCTAATGCATGCCGATTGCGCTTATAAAATTTAGATGTACCCGACCCATCGGGCCCCCTGATTAAATAAACAAGCCTGCCGACATCCGACCTTAGTCTCTGGATGCCGGGGCCACTATCCGAAGGCCTGTGGTGAACTACACGCCCGATCACGAGGCTCTGCTCCCGGACCGTTGTCTTGGCGTCCCGATTGGTGACCGGTTTTTACGAGCCGTTAGGTGCCGTAAACGTGGTCTGCCCCGTAGAACTTTCTACCTTGCGGCTAGGACAAGTATGTTCAAAATAGAACAGACGGCGCCATTAGCAACCAACTAAATACTATCGCGTGGGTGGTCCAGGAACCGAACCATCAAGCTGGGTCGTCCGAGTGACGGTACGGACGCCGAACGGTCACAAGGCGGATAACGGGATAGAGGCGACTGACCCTGCAAGCGATATTAGTGCCTCTCGTATCTAAGCTTTCCACAATTCTCCCGAGGACTGACAATTGCGCAGGCTACTTGATTTCATATCCTGAATACGCAGCTCGCACGTTCACTGCCAATGGACTATGTGATGACTGCATATGTAGTTAAGGAATATTCCCTGGCGTCATTCTCCCACACTCACAATGGTACCTGCGTATAAAGTGGGGGGCCGAGGAGTCTCTTGCCGAGCTCGCGATTGTATATATTCTCCTCGCTTGACTCCGTGATAAAAGGACCTAACGTCTAGGCATGCTCTCTTCTCATCTACCTTTCCTTCCTTTCACTCATTCCAAGGCACCATGTCTTCCTCCAACGTTGTCAAGATAGTTGTCGCTATTTGGTCCCTGTCACAAGTGGTAACCGCCATCACACAGTGTCCAACTACACCTACCACTTATACTAGTCCAGGGGGTGCCAAGTATGCCATTTGTGCAGCCACCGACTATCAGGGTCCCTCGGATCAAATATTGGCCAACATCGCTTCAGTGACAGCGTGTGCACAAGCATGCGATCAGAACGGGAACTGCCTGAAAGCAGTTTACGACAACACCAACAAGGTCTGCCACATCAAGAACAACGGCGCAAATGCCTTGAACTGGGTCCAGAATAATCAGTTCTCTGTTGTGTACCTGAACAACAATCTCCCGGAAGCGACCAATGTTGCTCGCTGCCCCTTCACGGAGACGACTTATACAAACGGCGGAAAGACATACAAGATTTGCCCTGATACTGACATCCGTGGGGCCAGCGCTCAGATGATCAACAATGTGGCGAACACCCAGGACTGTGCTCAGCGCTGTGCCACAACCAACGGCTGTGCCAGGGCCGTCTTCGACACTGTCGCCTTGGTGTGCCATATCAAGGCCGATGCTGCGGCCAACACCCTGATCTGGTCGACCAACAAGCGCTTCGATGTCATCCGCCAGGATGTCGCTGCGACCCCTGCGACTTCGGGGTCGTGGTCTGATCTGGTTCGGTTCCCTGTCATTCCCGTTGCGGCCTATATCGTCCCTGCATTCCCAGAAACCTCAAGGCTTTTGATGTTTTCCAGCTGGGGCAAGGATGCTTTCGGAGGAGCTGGTGGACAGACTCAGTTTGCTGATTACAACTTCAAGACGTGAGCACTGCCTGACACCCCCTTCACTGAAAAGTTTTGAGTGGCGTACTAATGGCATTGTTCACTTGCAAAGTGGTGCTGTCTCAGCCAGGACAGTCGCCAACACAGGCCACGACATGTTCTGCCCGGGAATCAGCAGTCTTCAGGATGGACGTATCTTGATCACTGGAGGCAGCAACGCCGATGTGACAAGTTTCTACGACCCGGCCAGCAATGCCTTCACCAAAGGGCCGAATATGATCACACCCAGGGGCTATCAAACCTCAGCCACTCTGTCTGATGGGAGAATCTTCACCATTGGTGGGGCTTACTCCCCGCCCATCGTAGGCAAGGATGGAGAAGTTTACGATCCCACTACCAATAAGTGGACGGCTCTCCCAGATGCCAAGGTCGGGCCTATGCTGACGGTCGACCATGAGGGCATCTGGAGAGAGGATAACCATGGATGGCTGGTGGGTTGGAAGAACGGATCGTGAGTTGTACACTTGCCTCAATTCTCTGCCTCAGAGCTAACCTGTCATGTAGTGTATTCCAAGCTGGCCCAAGCAAGAACCAGAACTGGTACGGAACGACTGGCACGGGCTCCCAGGTCGCTGCCGGCACACGAGACACTGATGCTGCTATGTGCGGAGTCTGGGCCATGTACGAGCCTGGCAAGATTTTCAGCGCCGGCGGTGCTCCCGACTACACAGACTCTCCCGCCACCAACCGTGCCCACATCACCACCATCAACAACCCCAACCAGCCGGCATCGGTCGAGCGTGCAGCAGACATGGCCTACCCACGCGGCTTCGCAAACGCCGTCGTCCTCCCCGACGGACAAGTCCTCGTCACGGGCGGCCAGAAGCGCTCGCTCGTGTTCACGGACACGGACGGCATCCTGTTCGCAGAGATGTTCAACCCGGCCACCAAGACGTGGAAGACGCTGGCGGCCGAGGCGGTGCCCAGGAACTACCACTCGGTCAGCCTGCTCCTGCCCGACGGGACCGTCTTCTCCGGCGGCGGCGGCCTCTGCTACGTCGGCCAGCCCGGCGCCAGCTCCGCAAACTGCGACAAGTCGGTCGATCATGCGGACGGCCAGATCTTCAGCCCGCCGTACTTGTTCAAGGCGGACGGCACGGCCGCCACCCGGCCTGTGATCTCGACCGTCAGTGCCACCACGGTCAAGGTCGGGGCGAAGCTCACCGCTTCGGTAAACATGGCGAATTCCAAGTTAGTTTTGGTCCGTATTGGGAGTTCCACACACAGTGTCAACAGTGACCAGAGGCGTGTGCCGTTGACGAGCGTGGCAGTCAGTGGGAATTCGTATACTGCGACCCTACCTGCTGACAGCGGCATTTTGATCCCTGGACATTACTACCTGTTCGCGGTCAGCAGCACGGGAGTGCCGAGCACGGCGAAGACGGTTAGGATCACATTGTAATAGAGTAGATACAATCTCAATTTAGACCCATCTATATCAGATATTGCCCCACGCGTCTCACTGCTGCGTGACAACAGTTCAGCCCAATGGAAGCCCCATGGGTTAACGAAAGGACTTCTAACCTGCCAGTATAAGCACTCCCTCATGCCTTCTTTCTCTGTATCCAAGTAGCAACGCCCCCTGAAATGCCAGCCATGGCAGCACCAGCGCCTTGGACAGCACCGGAGACCGCGGCGACCCCGTACCCACCCATGGCTGCGCTTTGCAAGGTAGCAAAAGTACTTCCAGCCGCCACACCCGATCCCATACTAGCAGCGGCAGCTGAGCCTAGACGGCAACGAAAGTTTCGTAAGCTAAGGGATCACTCAAGAGGGGAGCAGAGGAAGCCGGGCGCTTAAATCAAAAAACAACTCACCTCCAACGATACCACCTGAACCGAAACCTGCGGCACCCAAAACAGGCGCTGCCGCGGCCATTGGAGCGACGATGAGGGGCACGCCGACCGCAGCAACAGCAAGGCACGCCGCGGTCCCGGGGTTGGCAGCGGCCCAGCCGGCGGCCTGGACAGGAGGACGTCAGTAAGATCAGAGCTCCAAGCTCCGCAACCATGCGCACTCGTAAGGTTCGCTGGCGAGGGCGGGACTTGCCTGCGAAGCGGCACCTGGGGCTGCCTTGGCCAGCTCTCCTCCCTTTTCTGTGACGGCGAGCAGGGCGGCGCGCTGATTCTCAGGCGAGGCGGCACCTTTGACTGCCGTGATGCTTGCCTCTGTGACGGTTCTGAGGGCGTTCATGATGGCAGAGGCTTGTGACTGACGATTTGATGGCAATCAGCGCTTGAGTAGGAAAAGAGATGGAAAGCAGTGACAGGTTGGTGGGAATTTTGGTAGATAGGATCTGAGAACGGGACATAGACGAGGCTCGGCAAGGCATTCATGGGTGGGCCTCCTGCAGCAACGCCGAGCTGTGTGACCCGAAAGAAGGCCTGCAAGGCACCCACCGTCAGCCGGATTTCTTCAATGTAGGCAGAAGGATAAAACAGACTCTTGTGCGTTTGTTTGGGTATCTATTATCTTAGTTGCGCCTACTTCTTGCCAAGAGACTTCTTCTTGACCGAGGTGACCACACTGTTCAAGTCTTGGCTAGCATCTTTGGCCTTCTTGGCCTTCTTTTCCCTTGGTTCATCGGCGGCATCACCCCCTCCTTGTTTGCGCTTCTTTCTGCCTTCCTCAAGCAGCTGCTTCATTCCCGACGTGGCCTTGAACTTAGGATTGGATGGATCGATGGCAAATTCGTGGTCCTCGAACACCGCCTTGAAACGATCATCACCCACGTCCATCTTGAAATCCTCTTGCAGCCCTCCTGCGTTCTCATTATCCTTCTTGCCCTTCTTGCCCTTCTTCTTTTTCTTGTTCTTTTCAGCCTTCAGAATCTCATCCATATTGAAATGAGCCAGATGACCTGTCTCCTCATCGTGATTGTCTGCCATGAGCAGTTCCAGCTGTGCCCTATCAACAGCGCTCTTTTTCTCCTCGGCCTCCCTGGCCTCTCGCTTCTTACGGCGTTCTTCTTTGTGCATTTGAGCTTTTGAAGTTTGTTTAGGCTCATCAATGGTGAAGAAAGGGTCGTCAAAACCGAGGTCCTCCTGTGGCTCATCTTCAGCATTTGTGTTGTCGTTCCCTGCCTTGGCAGCAGCCTGCTCTTTCTTCCTGGCTTTTCTCTCGCGTTCCTTGCGGATGTACTTCTCAGCAGTAGTCTCATCCTCTGGATTCTTCTTTTTACCAGAACCTTCTGTCAGTGCCGGGGTGAACGTGATCTCCATATCCCCCATAGGGCCTAAGTTGGAAGACTTGTCTGTGGGCTCATCACTCAGCCCAAGAGCTTCCCGCATCTTCTTGCGAGCAAGCTCCTTCTTGCTCAGCTTTGGTGCGGCAGTAGTTCCCTCTGCAGCATCCTCTTCCTCCTCTTCGTCCTCGCTATCACTTGCCAAGTAGACTCGCAGGTCATTTTCCGCGATGTCTGCCCTACTTCCGCTGAAAGCGTTCTTGATGGACTCCTTTCGCTTGACTTCCTCAGGATCCACGTCCCACGTGAGCTTGACCTTTGAGTGCTGGAGAGCGTCGGTGACGAACTCGACTGGTTTGTAGTTCTCAGGAACATTTTCGCATTCGTCTCGGGGTTCGTCGTCGAACGTAACGTCGTCAGGTACAAATCTCAGGTCCAAGAAGTTGGAGGACGAGAGGTATTCAGATCCATCTGTTGCCTCATAGATTTTCTGTGCCGTATTTTTGTCCGAGCAGACCATCACAGCATAGTAGTACCGTAGCCTATCGAGCTGATACGTTCGTAATGCGTCGCTGTCGAAATCCTCGTCGTTGCCCTCTTTCAAGAGATCCTGCTTGACCTCTTCGTCGCTGTCCACTTCCTCGTCATCTTCAGCCTCCGAGACCTCGTCATCGTCCGAGTCTTCGTCCGAGTCTTCTCCGCCAGCCTTGCCCTTCTTAAAAATCTCTTTGGGTGGGCCCTCGAGCTCCTCGCGCTGCATTCTCTCCTTGCCAAATTCGGAGGGATATATGGAGACCCTCTCGATGCGCCCACTGATGGGCACAAAGCTCTTAAACAAAGCCATCAGGTCCACCGACTTGATGTTGTCCCAATCAATATTGACAATAGCGATGCGATTTGTGACATCTCCGGTTTCCACCTCCGTTTGCTGCGTTCGGTATTTCTGCATGTCGGGTGCTGTGTCGACCTCTTCCTGTGCGTCCTCATCTTCCTCGTCGGCAGATTCAGGTTCTGAGTCTGTGTCAGACTCGGAGGAAGAGAAACCACCTCCTCTTGCAGGATCATAGTTCGCTTCGGCCTTTTCCAACTCCCGCTGGATAATATCATCATCTTCGACCTCCACGTCTTCTTCATCGTCCTCGTCTTGGTACAGCCTCTGCAGGGCCTTCTTCTTGGAATCGGACTTGATCTTCCGCCCGTACTTGTCGACTCTGGAGACGGCGGTGAACTCGTCATCTTTCAGCATGCGCGAGAACCGTTTGTCGATGGTCGTCTTAGACTTCTTCTTAGAGGGAAGTGCATAGCGAGGGTCGGTTTCAAAGCTGGCAAAGCGCGAGTCCTTGATTTTGGCGGACGGAGCACCATCGCGCTTCTTGGACGGTCTGGAGGACATAGTGAATATGTTTGTGCAATTGCTGGGCAGGTGTCGCAGATGCAAGTTGGAGAGATCGCAATGCGCTGCTTCTTGGGCGGAAACTTTTAGAATTCTGCCGCTCAAGTTCCTCGGGCAGTGTACACAGGGAAGGCGGTCAGCATATCACGCACGGACCTCTCATCCCTTCCTTTTCTAGCCTACCGAGTTAACCACCTCCCCCCCCCCCCCCAACCCCCCTAACTTCCCCAAAGAGTCTTGAAAGTGCCTCAGATATGCAGAAGTGTGCTGATATTGCTGCAAGCTTCACCAACTTCCCACCTTGCACAATCCACAACCCCCTCCTGGATGGTTTTGCAAGTTTTTTGAGCTTGGCCGCAAATTATAAGCCAATGGGACAGAACTCAACTGCAGGATGTGTGTACATTTAGATAACCCGAATGAGTGGTCAAGGTGGACGGATTTAAAGATAAGTGTTGTGTGAAAGATTTGGCTTTGGTGTCTGTCAATTTGCATGCTCCGCTGCTCCGTCCGGTTCAATATCAATCCATGCTCGCTACATCAACTAGGGTCTCGTCTTCAAACAATCGCTCTGTAGACTGCTGTCTGGTATCGTGCCAGGGCGTCAACTCGATACGTATAGTTGTGTTGGACATCCCCGCGTAACGTGGACTTGGCACTTGGTTACACGTACATGATGCACTACACCCAGTCTGGTTGTCGGTGAGGCGGTTGTGTGTTGGATGAAGGCCAGGTGCAGCACGAATGCTAGACTGCTTACTTCGTGTCGTATTTTGCCGGGTCACAATCTGCATGTTGGCTGTTGGAACAGCACCTGTGACGGTTGGGGCTCGCGGCGCTGCACCATCCTCGTACGGGTTAGGGTCGCAATACCTTGTTGGGTATGTATAACACAGCCTCTTGCGTGGAGGGCAGAGTTACTCGCCTCTTCCCCTCTATTCTTCCCCAGACAGAAGATCACACCAAGTATCACACATTAACTTGACCCCTGTTCAATGTGCATTCCGGTATTGTGATAATCATCAACAGCTTCGCCGGGCGAATTGTTAGTATGACCAAGACGAAGTAAGTTGTACTAATCAAGTTACTCTTCCCAAGGTCTACATATATTCAGTTCTGGAATTGATCTCGCAACATTTTTGATACTGTAAGCATCATATCAGGACCGTTGTAACTGACCTGGGCCGAGGTTGCTATGAAGAAAAGTCACGCTTGGTGCTCAGAAGGCCAGACCAACACCCAGCGGCCCACAATCAATTCAAAGTTCAACACTTAGAGCTCGTAGACCAACAACATCTACATCACAACTGGGCCATCTGGCCACCCGCCGTGCTACAAGATCTACGACTAAGCCAGAAGACCTCGATTCTGGACACAGCATCCAAAGTCCACCGCCAAAGCAAAAAAATCGAAGGGCCAAGGCAGACGGCTCCCGTATAGCCACAGGCTCAGGGCAGGAGCAGAGACCGCTCGGAAGTGTAGAAACGGCCGGCTGTCAGACCACCCAGCGTTCTGCCTCGCATTCGGAGGGACTAGTTGGCCAATATTCCTACAGTAAGCCAAAAGATACCCGTCGACAGGCTATCGCTTCCTCCGTCGCCACGGGTCCCGAGCAGGAGCAAAGGATACTCCAAACTGTTGAAACTCATACAGCCGGGGCAGAGCCGAGCACTTATCACTCTGAAGAAGACGACATTGAATATAACCCGAGTTGTGACTCTGATGAGGAGTACGTCGAAGAGGATCCTCTGCAGGTCTATTACGAAAGGGTCGGATACTTACCACCCCTGGATGACGCCACGATCGAGGTCCTGAACTTTCTAAGCATGTCTAATCCAGATCTTGACGTGGAGGCAGGTCGTATCTCACCACAGAATGACGCCGAATTCAAAGAAGGGCTATTGTGGCGCATGGTGGACATCAAAGCCGATCGCGGCGATGACTTTCAATTGAAGGAGACGCAGGATGTGCCTCACCCCATTGTATCTGAAGATATCCAAGACTATAACGAAAAGCTCTGGGACAAGGACTTAAAGAAATGTCAAGGGCAGGTCCAGGAAGCCATCTTCCAGCGCACCATGATGCTCTCCATGATGCTCTCCATGATCGATCGTTACCGCCTCTTCTACGGGTATCGAGATACCAAGGAGCAATCTCCCCTTGAATTCGCAGTAGAAACTGCCTGGACCTGCCTGCCAATGCCTACACATGCCGAAAGGCGGGGGAAAAAGTTCCTCACATCCCCAAAGCCGGACTTGGCTGTTGGGTTTCGTCGACAGAACTTGTTCCAAAAATGCGACTGGAACTCCTTCCCCGAAGAGACGCAGAAACTCATATGTTATGAGGGCCAAAGGCCACCGAACGATGAGCGGGCGTTCTATTTTCTTACCATCGAGGCGAAGCGCGGGTGGAAGAGTGTTGATGATCCGGTTGCGTTGAACCAGTGCCTGAATAACGCGAGCCAGGCTCTGCATAATATGTTTGAAGTTTTCAAGGAGGCTGATAGAGAGGCAGGGGAAGAGTTCAAGGTCAAGGCGGATGAATATACCAAGACGTTCTTTGAGAGAGTTCGCTTCTTTTCTGTCGTCGCGGTAGCTGGGGCTATGAAGATTCGAATCCACCGCGCTTGCCAGCTGGGCGAGAACGACCCGCCGGGACCTAAAAAGGATTACCCGCTACGATTTGCCTATTCGAATTACAAGGTGGTCAAGGATGAGGATTTCAAGCGTCAAAGCGTCGTGGAAGAGCTCACCAAAATCCTTTATAACTACGGAGTCAACGAGCTCGCCAGCCACCTGAAAGATGCCATCAGGAAAATGAACGAGAAATTTGTCCACTACAGCTTTCTCAAAGGCCGTGTGCTGACCCGAGGCCCACTGTTCTATTCCTACAACCAAGCCGTTCCGCCTCCAAGGAAAGGCGGGAAATCAACCCCTAGGCCGAGCCAACCGCCCATGAGTGGATCCCAGACTCCTGTACCAGGACACGGCCCGAGGGATTACCATAGGCCGCAATCTAGTGCTTCGAGTCTGTCCCAGTCGATCAGTGCTAACTTGGATCAGCTCAACGTCGGTTGGGGGGCCTCTGGTGAGATGAACCAGAGGGCGAATGCTCGGGTAGAGAATACTCAAGAGGCGGGGACGATGTATGAAGGAATGGGACCCGATATGGGAATCAACAGTTCTCCGAGGAAAGGGAGGAAACGGCGGAGAACAGGGACTTAGGTAGCTAAAGTTGATTAATGGCATAGGAATTGGCACTCATTTAGTACAATGTGCTGTACATTATTGTGCAAAATCTTTTTGTACATGTACAGATATTGTGATGAGGAGTTTCAACTCGGTCTGATTAGGCACCAGTGATTGAGATTAGATAAAGCTTTGAGACTACAGCATTTTGATTTTTTAAGCCAGACCAATCCCAGATGCTGGCGGGCGAAAAATCTCGTCTACATTGAGTGCAGTATCCAGTATCCAAGAAGGTTTGCGTCAACGGCCTTGGAGACTACGAAGTGACGCTTGTACCTGATTCTGTAGTAGGTATTTCCAACATGCCACATCCGCGCAAATAGCTGGCGAAAATTTGATTAAAAATCAAGATTATTAAATTTTCAGTTCAAATACTGCGAGCTACAGTATAACATGCATTATGTCAAACAGAACTTCTCACCAGCCGCATTATGTAAAACCCTCGAGGGCTTTCACGACCCTGTCTCCCCCTTCGTCCACCACATGTAAGTGCTCAAAAGCCCCATTGAATCCGTCTATAACCGTGCTCTCGCCCAAGCTGTTGGTTCAGTCTTGGCGGTGCATTTTCCCAAATCCACGAAAGCCAAACCCATAATCAAAATAGTACCACCGTAAAAAGTTTCCACATTAAGGGAGTGTCGTGGACGGGTATCATTATGTGCATATGCCATGAATCCTTTTTAAAATACCAACCAACCATGCTGTAATAATGAGTGTCGTCGAATACCGTCAATTCGTAATTCTTGTCGTTGTAAATGAGTGTTGTAGTACGTCGTTGAATGAGTGTCGTGATATCATCTATGCTGGTCTCCAACAATAATATGCGTTAAACATTAATTCCGCAAGGAATGACCGGAAGTTGTGGGAAGGGAAGGAAGATTAAGTCATGCCGAAAACTCCGTTTCAGTCACGATTAAACCAGCATCAGGCAAGCCAACAGTGGGAGGACAAGTCCGCCTAGGTTCGTGAGGCTCCCGCTTCGAAGCTTGATGGCAGCAGCTTGGACAGGGCCAGAGGTGCTTGTACCAGATGGCGTCGTACTCGTGCCACCTGTTTGAGTTGTACCCGTGGCTGACGTCGTTCCCTCGGAGCCTGAAGCTGACGAGGCAGAGCTGGCTGAAGCTGACCCGGTTGCCGAGGGACTTGAGCTTGGTGATTGTCCGGAGCTGGCGGAGGTTCCAGAAGAGCTGGAGACTGTAGAGCTGCCTGACGTCTGGGTTGCTGAAGTCGAGGTCACAGATGCCGATGATGAACTCGTGCTTGACGGAGATGATGAGGGAGACGTGGACTCTGAAGCTGAAGACGAGGTCGACCGAGACGAGCTACCTGACTGTGTGGAGATGGTGCTGATAGACTGACTGGCTGTGGAGACTTGAGAGGAGGTTCCAACCGCCGTTGTGGACGTGACATCAGCAGCAGGGGATGAGCTGGTTGGAGATGTCGTATCAGTGGCGTCACAGAAGGTGACATATTGTGAGAATGCCTGAGTGATATACTGGCGTGAACTGAGTTTCGTCTGGTCCTCGTTGTCGTCGATGCAAAGATTGCAACCTTTGTAGTAGTTTTCGAAGGCAGAATCCGAATCGCAAAGCGCGGCGACCTTTCCCCGGGATTGGGCTTCCAGGTAGGCATTATTGCACTGATCGAAGCAAATCGCTGGAACTGTGGAAGCCACAGTATCGCGCTTCTTAAGCGAGACTCCCTTGGTCAGCTTTTTACTGGTGAAGATGCGCTTGAGTTTCTCCACACTCGATCTCCAAGGAAGCGCTGTTGCGGTTTCACTTATGGTAAACTCCGAGAGAGACGTCTGCGAAGCCCAGTTGCCTGTCGTGATAGTCACCTCGTAGCCAGCGATTTCCTCGATGATGATCTCTTCCGAGAAAATCTCGTAGCTCAGGCCAAACGCCTGTGGGTTAAGATTGAAGTAGCCTTCCGTGATCGGGTAGTAGCTCGTGTTGTGTTCTGCCCAGGTAGTGTTCAAGTAAGGTTTCACCGGCTCGCAATACTCCTGCGGGCAATGATAGTTGTCCGCAGGGATGTCGGACCACACATTGCAACCATCTGGCTTTGGTGGATTGCAGTTATAGCCAGGTGCGCAGCTCCACGTCAGATCCGACTTTGGGTCAAGGGCAGACGCAGTCGGCGCAGCAGGAGGCGGCGTACAAACACTGATACTTTGGATGATAGTCGACGTCAATGTGGTGACCTCTGGCGGCGACGTTACAGTCTCCGGCGGAGCTGTGATGGTCCGTGTCTCTAGCACTGTTGACTGCGGCAGTGTTTCTGTCACAGTTGAGCCACCTTGTGTATAGGTAGTTGTTACAGGGGGTACCACGGAAGTGATAACCTGTACCGACGTTACGCCTGGCAGTGTGACGGTGGATGCCGGAAGCGTGATGGTCTCTACTTGAGTTGTTCCCGGCAATGTTGTAACACTGCCTGGCTCAGTTGCTGTCAACGTAGTGCCGGGCAGAGTTGTAACGGAGCCCGGAAGGGTAGTAGTTATAACTGAACCCGGAGCAGTTGACACGCTTGTTGATGTAAGTGTCACGGTGGTTAAGCTTCCTGAGAGGCTTGTCGTTGTTGTCAGGGTCTGCGTGTATGTAGTTTCACTTCCAGGCAGAGTCGAAATCAAAGTAGTACCGGGCAAGGTTACTGTAGAGGCTGGAAGCGTGAGGGTCTGTGTTTCTGTCTCTGTTGAGCCAGGAAGTTGCTGAGTCGTCGTGACAACCTCGCCTGGAGCCGTAGATACACTGGTAGATGTGAGAGTCAACGTCGTTAAGCTTCCTGAGATGCTCGTCGTCGTGGTGTAGCTCTCTGTAAAAGTTGTAGGAACTCCTGGCAAAGTGATGAGGACTGTGGTGCCTGGTAAACTAGTCGTGACTGTATCATAGTTCGTAGTTGCACTAATTGAAATCTCAGTTTCTGTTGTCGTGACAGGTATATAGGTAACCAGAGTTGAGGTGGCCGTGACGACATCAGTCGTCCAGAAGGTGCTGATGACCGTCCGATCGCTTGTAACAGTATCCGTCACTGTCACAGGATAGCTCTCTGAGTATGTTGTGGTGATATAAGAAGTCGTCCAGATGTAGTCCGTCGTCGTCGTGGGGGTGTATGTTGTCTCTATCTCCGTAGTTGTGTAGGGCACAGAGGTCACGAAGGTCGAGACCGTGGTCACGAGCTCAGTGGTCAGGCTGACAGAGTACACGGTTGTGATAGTTGTGTGATCACTAACGACAGTGGTTGTCTCTGTCACCGGCCAGGTTGTGGTCAAGGTTTGAGTCTGAGTTGTGGTGGTTGGCGTATACACTGTCTCCGTCTGCGTAGAGGTGATGAGATCGGTCTCTGTGGTGCTGAAAGTCGACGTCTCGACGGTCTAAAGCACGCCTAGTTAGACAGGCTGAGATCTTGCTCTGCGCGGATGAAGCAGCTATGGTGGTGCCGTTCGCCTGGTAGAAAGAGCCACAAAGAGAAAACCCCAATCCAAATGCGAGGGAAGAGGAAGGGGTACGAACCGTATATGGAACGGAGCTGACGGTTGTATACGTGATATTTTCAGTCAGCGTAGACACGGAAGTTTCCGTGGTGGTAGCCCAGCTGATAGCAGTGGTGGTGTGGTCGACCGTGTAAGTCGTAGGCTTGACTTTGGTGGTCTTTTAACAAAGTTAGCCAAATCTCGCCTCAAGAAGTGAATTTGGCTGTGGGCGGGCCGCATTCGCGCAGCGTCTCAAGGTGGGCGTCTCTCTACGATGCGAGACCGTGGCGCAGTTGGGTGAAGGTTGCGCCGAACCCGCCTCGGAGTGTGAAGGTAGGGGCCTGAGAGCCGATTATGTGATGGAAGACGGGGCAACAAACATACCGTGTAGGTGGAAAGCCTCGTTGTGGTAGATATCTCAGTGCACGTTGTCGTAGAGGTGCGTGTTACCGTGTGCTCTTGAGTGGTAGTATGATCACGAGTAGTTGTATGATCACGAGTGATTGTCGTACCAACTGTGGTCGATACTGTTGTTGGAATGGCCTATTCAGTAGAAGGGTTAGCACACAAGCGTAAGTCAAGAGGTAGGAGAGATTTAGCCTCTCGACCAGACCAAAGCACATCCTATGATACCTCGAAAATTATCGGAGTATGTGCGGTCGATATTAAGAGTAATTTTCTGGCGAACGTAATGTCCAATACGGCACAGCTTCCTTTACACAAGAAAAGTAGCCTAAAGACTTGAGCATGCTTGCACGTACCGTAGTCGTGGTCACCGTGGTCCATCGCGTTTCTGTTGCTACGACACAGCCGATTGGAGTACCGGAAGCGGTCGCGCTGCTCGTGCGAGCTGGACAGTCCGTGACAGTAGTCGGGCATTGAGTGATTGTCGTATATGATGTCTCATAAACCGTGCTCTCGCTGACTTCAGCCAGGCCATATGTAGGGACAGGGTTATATGAGCAGAGTGAGGTAGTGACAGTATAAGGGTAGGACTGCAATAATTGTCAGCGTCAGTTAATAAAAGGATATTCGCCAGTTTCTCGAGAAGACTTACCGAAGTGAGCGTGATTGTGGTTAGTTTAGTGGTCCTATTTAAGCAGTTAGCACCACCCACTCGCGAAGATGCCGACTCAAAAGCAGCACGAGCCTTGCTTCCAGGTTTTGAGGAAGACAAATCTCAAAATAAATTGAACGTACGTAACGCTTTCAGTGGTCTTTGACACCTCTGTGGTTGTGTGATCGACTGTCGTCGCTACGGTCGTACCAATGGTCGTTGGGATAGCCTATTTCAGATAGTCAGAACATATGAGTTGAGAATGCACCTAGCATCCGAACGAATTTCTCTCCCTTCTGCAATACGAACTCAAGGAGAGGCATATGACGTTTCGAAACAGAAAGCAGTAGTGTAGTACTTAGCAGAATTGCAGATGCGCCGCAGAATTATGAACGCTGGCGCACATTGGGCCTCGCATCAGCAGACCCAGCAATATACAACCACCGTCGCATCACTCACGAGTTATTCAAGGAAAAAGAGAAAGACAATTGAATAGAATCTCGATACGTACCGTTGTGACTGTCTTCCAGCTCGTCACAGTGTTGCCTACACAGCCAATGGTTGTGGGGCTTGTTGGTGGTTCACTGGTGCTAGTTGAAGGGACGGCGGTTGGGTATCCGCTAGCTGAGGTACCTGGACATCCAACCACTGTCGGAGCGCAACTTGTGACGGTATGATATTCTGTGGTGTAGACAGTGCTAGTCTCGTCTCCAACGGCGAGGGCGTTATAGGCCACAGGAGAGGCGACGGAGCAGACGTAGTTAGTCGTAGTAACCACATATGACTAGTATCACTGCATGAGCGTCTATCATATCAGACTGTGCGTGGGAATCGAAAACTTACCGACACGACCGTAGTTGTGGTCGATTCGGTTGCCCTAGTCTCATCATCAGCAAAATTGATCCCCCAAAAAGCCACTCCCGGTGCGAGTGAGAATTGTCTCATTTTTTTTTTTTCAAAATTTGATAGGCCAGGTCCGAGACTGCCCAGAGTTGCACTTCGCTTGAGAAACTTACGTGATTGTTGAGTTCTGGTAGGCTGTCTCTGTCGTCTTCTCGGTTGTCTTATCTTCCTCAGTACTAACGACGGTAGAGGTTTTGTATTCGGTCAGAGTTTGGTTGCTCGACTCTCCAGACGCTGTGACAGTGGCCGTCCTCCAAGATGTCACAGTATCTCCATAGCCCGAAGCACTGACGATTTCTGTCACAGTCTTGTAAACAGTAGTGGGCTCCGCGTAGCCCACTGTCGCTGTTACTGTCTTCCAACACCAATCGGCGCATACACTCGAGGTGGTGCCGTTCGGATATGTAGCAGCTGCAGCAGAGACCCCCGATCCGAGCGCCGCAACGGCCCAAAGTCTGTAGAAAGATACCATCTTTCAAGATCGCGAGCACGAGTGCTGCCGTATCCGCCAGAAACCGTAAACGAAGGTCCAGTAGTTCGGCGCAAAACGAAAGAGTTGCAGAAGAACAAGTCTGCTGTAAAGCACAACGAGCTGTGAGGGATATGAGCGACGGTGTGGTCGGAGGAGGAGGAGGAGGTACCTGCCGATCATATGTGGATCGGCCAGGGCAATGAACGGAAAAGATGACTCGCCCGGACAACCCAGCTTCGAGTACACCCTGGCGGGAGAGCCAACGGCAAAGTCGCAGGCCAACCGAAATTGCCTTGATCTTAGCCCGACTTTGACGCCACTGACCAGGACGGATGGTCTTACGTGAAGATGCTCCCGGGGCAGAGCTTGCTCGTTGAAGAGCTTTGAAGTAGCTCTGATGGCACAGTCTCAAGGCTACACGCGACGCGTGAGTAGTCCGACCACAACCAAGTGAACACGAACAAGCTCAGGGACGCATTCTCGTTGGGAAGCAGGGACAGAAAAGAGAATCGACAGATGCCGGCATCCAAGGTAGCTACAGTCCAACTGCCTAGCAGCCTGCAAAGAATGCATGTAAGGCCGAGCTGCACAACCCGGGCTCTGCAGGGTGGATGCCACTAGGCATGGTTCGTGCAGGATGGACAACGAAGACGAGCCCAGAATTGTGGAGGTACCTTGTAGACGATGACGGGATCATATTCCCTGTACCACTAGGACCCAAGATTCGAGACCTTTGCGGCTGGCGGCCGGGCCTTGTCGAGTACCATGCGTGGCCTTGTTCGGCGGGCAGAAATAAGCACGACAACATAAGCTGATTAGACGCCTAGGCTCGTCATTTCAATGTGTCACTCGCACCAACATATTAGAGTGTGAACATGTTTCACCGAAGACGCGAGCCTTGTGTTGCTCGACGTGAGGAGGAAGACCACAGCATCTACCAGCGTTTTGACCCGCTGGGTGGTTCATGCAAGCATCATTGGGTCGGAAGAGAGCGGAAGAGATTTCAGGTTACCCGGACGACATCAACACGTTTGTGTACCGCCGCCTCTGCCAGTCTGCGGTCAGTGTGGTGGAGAATTGTCCAACAGATGGTTCCCTCCAGCCCTCCCGGTGCCGTCTCTGGAAGGTAGGTCGCAGCAAGGCTGCAATGGATGGCCCAGATGGGCGACGAGATCGGCGGAAAGGTAGCTACCCCTGTCGACAGCTCAGGGACAGGGACCAGGGGCCGTGGCAAAGTCAGCAGGTGGGGAACTATCACCAACAGCCTGTCATGATGGGACCCGTCCAGAAATATGCCGTGCCCGAAGGTGTGGATAGATGGGCCGAGAAAGTGTCGAGTGTAGCTCTCGTCAGATCTCGTGAAGGAAGCTCATCGCCACTTCCCACGTTGGCATGACTTGCCCACGAATTGAGAGATTGGTTGGCATTGTCAGACTCTGCCACCCAACTAGATCTCAGTGCGAGCGCGCGAGAATCATCCAGCCAACTGAAAGTATGGTCAAGGACAGGTCTCGGTCGTTGGTGTGCTGCTGTGCTGGGGGTTGCGTGGGCAGGATGACCAAGGCCAGTAACATCACAGACCTGAGTCTCCGTGATCTCACCACTCTGGCAGTGTGGTGTAGATGGATGGAGGTCAAGTTGCGAAGGTGGATGGAGAACAAGCGCAACACTCCTGCGTGCCGGGTGCCATTCCCCAGATGACATGGAAAACCTGGGGAAGCTACATAGTTGATCCATCACCGATTGAACAAAGCCGCCGTTTTGCAGTTTGCCTGTCTGCTTAAAGAGGCACGCAATACACTCTCGTTGAAGTGGGATGTTTTCTGGTGCCTGGAAGATACCATGTAGCCTCTCAAGGACCCGAATCGGGTAACTCCAAGCCGTATCTGATGGGGCACAGCATGGGATGGCTGGGCCGATCAACAATAGTGTCTCCTAGTGCTCACCGTCCAAGCATGGAGGAGCTGGGGTTGCACTACGGTAGGCCGGCTTGTGCTTGCTTGCGAGGACCGGATTGGCCGCCTTGCCAGGTTGCGTACTGCGTAGCACGGGAGCTGCTCTGCACCTCGGCAGGTAAAGGAGCGTGCGTGTAGACGACATAAGGACCTGGATGGTGGCGAGGGACGCAGTCGACGTGTCTCTGTGGGCGAGCACGGCATGCCAATCACAATGTCGAAAAGATGAATTGACAGGATAATATGGAGGCTCGAGCCTTGGGGTGTAAGGTGCGGTGCTGGCCTGGTTCCCTTGCAGGGCCCGTCCCTCCATCGTGTCTGCAGGCGGTTCCCCTCCCGGCAGCCTGGGCAGTTGGGGCAGAATTGACCGCTCGGTAGGCACCGAATGGGCAGACAGAGGAAGTGGGTTGTGTCGTAAAATGCTACCAGAGCACGAGAGAGGAGGGGAGGGGAGGGGGAGAGGAGGGGACCTGACAGGACCAGATCCAATATTGTATGCAGTTGGTCGTCGAAAATGGACCGTTGGAGCTAGGATCGGTTAGATCCAGTCGATAAGAGAGCTTAGTGCGCTTCCCCACTACCCACAGTGCCACTTCCCAGTCCCTCCCCCCCACCCCCCACCTGCCAGCCTGCCAGCCCACCCGCTATACTAGGTGTTCGGACGGAAGGTCGGTAAGATCCACACACCCTCAACGGCGGGAGCCAACGACCTGATCCCGACGCGAGGGGCACTAGGGTACAATTCACACCGGACATTGGACGGCCGGCAGGGACGGTAACAGTACGCACTCGTGCAGCAGCCTTGCTTCTTTGCATCACACCAAACCTGTCAGTTCGTATTATGTTATGGAACAACTCAGCTGTGAAACGTGACCATATTCGCGTGGGCGAACACAGTCTTATGTGCCATCATCGAGTCAACACCTTTGGTCTCGATCCAGCCCGCTTTTCTGGGCAGGTGGACCTCGAGGGATTCTGCGCTAATGCAAAAGTCTGTGCGGTTGTCAAGTACAACTTACCCAGGCTCGAGCCAGGCACCCGTCTTGTCCAGCTTGTACACTAGTATTCTCGTCCCGATCCCTCTGTGCTTTCACCCAATGGGGCCCAGCCCCCTCTCCTCACGTCTCCTTCGCAACGTAACAGCGCACTCACTCACCACTCACCACTCGAGACTCACTCTCCGATTCTGTTTTCGCTGCTCACGCCACTCTTTCTCCGATCATGTCCAGACCAAGCGTCGACTGTCCATTTCGTTCTCTGGTTCGGTAGCCCGGCAGCCCGGCAGTATTGGGTACTTTTGCAACAGCCATCACCGTCCGTCCAGACCGGACAGTCTGGGTATCCTGCATCTACAGACAGAGCCCGCTCACCATCCATGGGAACACCAGATGACCATGCCTTCCCTCGATGTCTTTGTCAGAGCATCCTGAAGGCACCTGAATCCCTCAACCATCGGCAGCATTGGGGACGGTGACATCGACATTTACGGCTGAGATGATGATTCACTGTCGTGCGCAGTCTAGAGTCCATATTCCATCTATCCTCCCAGGGAAAATGCACCGCAGGATTGTTTGTTCCTCTTCCATACACGAGTCAGCTTACAGGCTAGACATGGAGCTGTCCAGCCTGCAACTTGTTGTGCGTGACTACCCCACCAAGGCAGGTGGGCCGATAGTTAGGTGGCTCACGCTGGCTTGCTTACGTGCGGATAGTGTCCGCCCATTCCATCTGACGGACTCGCCTCAAGCAGGCTATCCACGCCGTCGAACCATTCTCATCTTGCTCCCGAAGTTCTAGAAGCAACCTTCTTCCCGTTGATGGTTGCGTGACGGCTCGGTCTGGAAATTCTCGCCACAAGCCATCGCCGGCCTAACACTCTGTAAAATCCGGGCAAAGATCGAATAAACCCACGGCGACTCCTTCGTCACACAAGGCGTCTTCGCTGAGGGCGACAAACGCAAGCGAGGTGTGACCTCCTGAACACCTGGCTTGAACACCCAGAGTGCACTTAGACAACTCGTGGAGAATTATTGCTTGATCCGCAGCCTCGCGATATGATACACGAGATTAATGACATGCGTGCTTGTGAGCTATGAGCTCCAAACACTGCATGTTGCCGAGAATCGTCTTGGACTTCGCCCGGAAGCAGTTTCCCGCACGCAGTTGATAACCCGCATGCATTTGTGATGCTTGCCAAACCGTGCACGGTGCCGTATTGCTGAGTAGATCTGTCAATCCGAGCCAGATTGAGTATCACCAAGTGTGGGCGATGTTCGATAGTGCGAGGTAGGTTCTTGGAGCGATATGGATGACCACCTGATTCTCTCTGACCGAGAAGAAAGGGTAGGGCAATACACCACGGCCAGCACGGGTACCTTTCCAGCGGCAGGGACTCGAGTGCAGGGATCTTTTTGCGCACGGGCAGGCCGGGCAGAGAAGGGAATGTCCCTGCACAGGCCTTCAGCCGCAGAGCCCTTGCTTCCTCCTCGACACATCGGTACTAATGCTGTGTTCCTCTGCGGCGCAGCACCAACCGCGAAGGACCTCGGCCATCCACCAACAAAGAGCGTGTAACCTCACTGCTCATCTGGTCCACAATGATCCAATCAGCAAGACATGTCTTTCCCGCGCATGCAGGATGCAGAACTCCTCAAGGCTAACTGATCCGCCTTCGCCACCTTGGGCGATTATGGAGGCTCGGTTCAGGCCATGGCACCCGCTAAAGGTCCAGTGTGGAGTGAATGTGGTGTACCCGGGGAAGGGCGAGCTCGGTCCACAGGTCCATTGAGGTGGTGTAAGTGCAGTTTGTGTATCGACGAAGCAGCCCGCCGTGCAGTCCCATCTCACTTCTCCGTCCCGGCCGTCGAGAACTGCGAGGCAACTTGGGAATTCGAGGATACGGCCCGTACACCAGATCCTCGCCGTTTCTATCTCTGGACTCTTTAAGCCTTTGCTGCATCTGGAAACTGTGCGTCCGCCCCTTCGGGCGTGTAGGCATAGCCGAAGAGTTTGGTAAGCCTGGTCCCGCCTTTCGCTTGCATCCTTCCAACCATCTGGTTCCAAGATCTTGATTCCTCCTCGAGACAAAGACTGGCTCCGGCTCTCTTCCAAATGCGGGCTCTCATCGATCCCGTGCTGTCTATTCGTGGCTGCGTGCCTCATCTTTCTTTGTGTCTCTAATGCCAACAACAGCATTTGGCGGCTCCTAATTCCGCATTCCAACAGCCCACGAGGCAACGGATTCGTCTTTGTCCAGCTTTGAGGACATGGTCAACTTGCGACCCCTCTAGCACAGCATTCGTCCTGGGAATATGTGTACCTAGCACCCCTTTTCAAAGCAATCACGACGTATTCCTGTTATTGTCGCTCAAAGATCCGTGTGGAAGAAGTCTGGAACCTTGGTGGTTTTCGTTTTCTTTGGCGCTCAGCATGTTGGGTGCAAAGATGCTGGCGTTTTCAATAGCTGCGGGCCTCGCGTCCGTAGCGGTGGCCCAACAGTCTGGGTGGACGACTGATCAGGTCAACGCGACCATGTGCATGTGGCAACAACCGAGAGGCAAGTTCTGCCACCGCTCGAGAGGAACCACGAACTAACAAACGCAGCGGCTATTCTGAAAGATACGGTTTATATCGACGGCGGTTATTTAAGTTGGATCCCAGGCATGAAGGATGGCTCCTATGGTTCAGCGACCCAAGACAGTAAGTAGATGGCTGATTACTTGTTGCGCGCGTGGCCGTCCTGACGACCTCGAATAGACAATCCCTTGGGCATCGTCTACTCCTTGAACTTCAGTAAGCCGTTCAACATGAGCCAAAATATCAGCGGTGTTCTGGACCAAAACCCAAAGGTCGCCGGCGCTGCGACCAACATCGCACCGAACTATTTCGACGGAGCACTTCTCGCGAATGATCACCAGTTCTTCATGTATGGTGGACTGCTGAAGCAGACGGACGTTTACGATGATCCGGATGCAGACGCAGTCACGGAGTATCAGCAATCTAGCTATGGTGTCCAGAAGCAAGTGACCCCGGGGTACATCAACACCAAACTGCCCGACGGCTTGACAAGATATCTTGCATATGGAGGTGCTGCCAACGCACCTTCTGAGAACAAGGCATTCTACTTTTCTGGGCTTCGCGCCCCCGAGTGGGGTCCTACCTATTATCCCGGCTACAACGATTCGCTAACAGCCATCAACGTCTCTAACACACTGATCACGCTCGACATGTCAACGCAGAACGATCAGGAATGGAGCAACCAGACCTTGCCTGACGGGATTTCAGGGCGCGCGAATCCGGAGCTTATCTGGGTTCCAGTCGGTGCGCAAGGCATTCTGGTCGCTTTAGGAGGCGTAGTCTACCCTGAATTTGTCAATGCTGCGCACTCCTCAGACAACCTGACCGGTAGTGTGAGTCAAATCCTGTCCACGAATCTTGAGTTGTGTAGTACTAATACTGCGCAGGAGAATGTGAGCCCGTCATTCATGTCCAACATCGATATATACGATATCGCAAGTGGAAAGTGGTACACACAGCCCACGGTTGGTGGACCTTCGCAGCTCGCTAGAGGCTGCGCCGTCATGCAGCCAGCTCAGGATTACTCGAGCTTCAACATTTACTACTACGGTGGCTACGATGGACTTCATGCTACCGATGCATCAGACTTCAAGGACGACGTCTGGATACTGTCACTGCCTTCCTTCATGTGGATGAAGGTTGCTTCTGGACGGTCCGGCTATGGGCGCGCAGGCCATAAATGCTTCATGCCGTATCCGGACCAGATGATGGTCATTGGCGGCTATCCAGCCCAGGCTGGCACGGCCACCACCTGCGTGAGTGGCGGGATCATCCAGTTGTTCAACCTGAGCTCGTCCAAGTGGATAGATAGGTACGACCCAGGCGTCTGGTCTAACTACCACGTCCCGGAAATGATATATGCCATGATTGGCGGCGATGAGAAGGGCGGTGCGACTGAGCTCACTCCCGGACCGACTGGCTGGGCTACTACAGCACTGGCCAGCGTCTTTGCATCACCATACCCTACCTCAAAACTCACGACGTACTACCCATACGCCCCATCGGCCACGGGCGGCTCAGCTCTGCCCACCCAAAGTTCTCAATCTGGCGGTGGTGGCGGTGTACCAGGCTTCTTACCCCCGCTGCTTGGTGTCATTCTTGGGCTGATCTTCATCACGTCTATCGTTCTTGGCATCTTGTTCTGGCGCCGCCGTAAAATACTCAGGAAGAACGGCGGCATGAGCGAGATGACCGATGAAAATGGCAATCGCATTATGTCCTGGATGCGCGGCCAACCCTCAGAGACTAAAGCACCAACTGTCACCACCAGCGATGATATGCCTCAGAGCCCGGACCCGGAGCGTGCTGCGTTGTACGCCCCTCATCCACACCAGCAGCAGCTACAACAGCAGCTTATGCGCCATGAGATGGACGACACTCAAGTCGCCGAGCTAATGGGTACGCCTTTGCTTCCATCCAACCTTAACTCCCACACGAATACCCAGTACTGATTGTTCGCAGACACCTCGCCCCGAGCAGAACTATCAGACACGGCCTTAACGCCCGTCGACATTATCAGCAAGCACACGCACTTCGGCTCGGCCGGCGGAAGTAGCAGCCCGCTGGGCAACCCGTCGTTTGCATACTCGTCCATAGCCGCGACAGATCATGCAAGCATGGTAAGCAGTAACTCCGCCGCAGGAGGCGCCATGTTTGCAGGCCCCTCCTCGAGGAGCCCTCCCACAGCATCCCCCTTCAACCCCGAGCAGCAGGTGCGCCCGGACTCACCGGCACTGCCAGCTACCTCCCCCTACGATGATGACCACACCCCCACCGCCGGAAAGCCCCTTCCGGCACCAACCTCAAACAACAGTAACGCCGCCGCCGCGGCCTCATCAGCGGCTCAGGGAGAGTCTCCGCGGGGCGAATCAGGGGTATCAGCGTTTAGCGAGCGAGACCGGTCCCACCTGAGGAACATCAGCGACCCAGCGACGGTCAGCACGATGGACGGCACGCTCGTCGGCTCGCCGCGCCTGGGCCCCCAGCCGACGGGCCGCGTCGCGAGCCCACCGATCATGGAGGAGGGCTCGCTCAACACCCTGCGCAGTCACCCGACACCGGGCGGCACACCCCCCGCGGTGATAAGTCCGCCGACGGGGGGAGAGGCCGACGGTGAGGACTACGTCAGCGCAAAGGGCAGCAGCGGGCCGGTCAGCCCGCTCAACCCGCCGGCTGCGCCGCCGGTGCCCCGGTCGAGTAACAGTCCGGCTCCTAGCCGGAAAAGCATTTTCAGGGAGTCCATGGAGGACATGGGAGGGTCAAAGTGAAGAAGCGGGTATGACCAGGGCGTGAAACGATGATGAATAGATGCATGGAGTTTATCTGGGTAAATTTTGGTTTTTAGGTCACTTTTTTGATGTATATAGTAGGTGGTGAGCCTCCTCTTTCCAGCGCCGATTGATGCGCTGATCGAAAAGCATCCGAGCCGCGCAGGGGCGCAGCATCCGTCGAGGTTCATCACGAGGTATCATTTGTTGAGACGTGCTCGGGGGATACCATCATTGAGCACAAAAGCTATTTTCCGGTGAATTGGATAATACCATCCTTAGACAATACCCACTCATTTCTCGTCTAAATCTGCGGACTCTGTCGCTGTGGCTAAAAGCATAATACTCGCTCGTGGCTATTAAGAAGGAGCCATATGAGATGTATCTGTCATTGAGACAGCAAGAGAATGTACACCGCAGCCTTGCCCCCGTAGCCTCACGTTCTCGATCCTGTCTGTTCGCCCCACAAGGCTTCGCGCATCATGCTAAGAGACTAGTTGAGAGCACGATTTTAGTTTCCCACGCGAGCGACGCTATAACATGATCAGCACCATCGTGTCTCATTGCCATGTTCCTCATGAGTGAGATTTACAGCGCTATGACACAAGAGGTAACGAGCAAACTCACCTCGACGCGGCATCCAGCCTCGTGCCGCTGCACTGTTGAACCTGCTGCAGTGGCACTTAAAAGTCAATGTGGTAGAACACGGCCCTGATCAGCAGAGTAAACGAAGGAGGCAGTGTGCCATAGCACTTGGACAAAGGATCTTGAGTGGACCGTTTGAGAGTTCTCGATATCTGGAATTAAAGTTGCTTTACAGCTTATGGTGTAGCACTCTAGGGAAGCATTTCTATACTGCGAGCTTTCCTTACACAGCGCAGCGCAAGCTGCCTTCTCGCCGTGTCTAGGTGTTTGGTCGATCCTGGCTCGCCGGCCTTGACCCGGTGAGCAATTACTCTCTACCTTGTATGTCGTCTTCAAACATCACGAGTCCTAACGCCTAGCCAATGCAAATGTGCGGAGGACACTCTTCTCCTCTCCTTCCAACGAACAACCACGCGCCCCCTTGAAATGTAACACGGGCCTACTTCTGTCTAGACGGACAGACCCTGTGACTTCCTCCTTCGGTTGTAATCCCTCGTCTCTTCCAGCTCTTTCACAATGTACTTGTTGAACTCATCCGGGTTATCCAAGTACAAGTGATGACCGGCTTTTCGAACGACGATTGTCCTCGCACTTCCGTTCTCATCTCTCCTCTCCTGCTCGGTGCCCTCCATCAAGGCCTTCTCAGCTCGCGCCTTGATCTTCTCCTCCGCAGCAAATCCACCAGCGACATCCATCCAGTCCCCGTCTCCGTACATCAAGATGATGGGAAAGCCGGTCTCGCGCTTCTCTGGCTGGCCGTCCGCAGCAGGTTTGAGGACCTGACGACCAACCTCATCTATGCGGTTGATGAGTGGGTTTCGCGCGTAAGCTCCAGGCGCGAGGATGTATGTCAGGGCAAATTCACCGCTGCCCTTTTGCCGGAACAGGTTGTACGAGTACTCGTGGAGCGCGGTGGCCTCGTCAGGCGGCAGGTGGTTGAAACGACGTGATGTCCAGCCGGACACGAAGCGCGGGCCAAGGGGACCGCCCAAGCGAACAATACTGAAAGGCGAAACGGCGTTGGTGTCCCAAAGCCAGACAAGCCAGCCAGGGAGTTGCCTGCGTGGAGCCTTGGGGGCCTGCTTCATTTTGTTGTTGCCGACGCGCACATCTGTAGTCCCGGCATTGCTATCCTGCTGGACGATGCTCTCCTGGCTCTGGGTGAATTCTTGCGCCATTGTTGAGTCTTGAGGTTCGGGCAGTTCAGCGTTTGTCGCATGGGGGTCCTCGGGGATCCCGACGGGCGAAGCTAGAATGAGCTTGTTCAGATGACCAGGATATTTGAGCGCATATGCCGTAGCGAGATAGCCTCCGAGGGAATGGCCCAAGAGCGTGAATTTCTCGATTTTGCGAATCTTCCGCCATTCCTCGAGCGCGTCGACAAAGAAGCCCTCGGCCTCCTGGATCTTTTCCGCGGGGTCCTTCGCCTTGATTCTGAAAGCAGGTCGCGATGAATTGCCCATGCCTAGCATGTCCAGAGCGTACAATCGCCACCCTTTCACCCTTGTAACAGGCTCAAAGTTCTGGTAGAAGAAGCCCAAGCCAGCGCCGTAGCCGTGGAGCATGACGAGTGTCTCGTCTGGGGACTCATCGACGCGTTCGACCGAGTACTCGTTCAAAATCCTGTTCTTGCCAGACAGGGCGACCATGGTGGAGCGCCATATCCGAGGGCCATAGGGATCGGACTTGGAGATGACACCCTGGGGGTTATTATTAGAGACGGAGTCGGCGATGGCCTCCCTGAGATAAGGGACATAATTCAGGACATTGCGTTCAGACGCGGCAGGAGAGAGGTTTGTCCACTGGTTCGAAGCGGTTACGGTCAGTATTTGGTAATGTGGTGGTCCTCAACCCAAGACGGGCAGAAGGGCAGATGGGACACAACATACCCATTGATAGGCGGCCTCTTTGTAACCCAAGGGAAAGAATGTCGACATTCGTTGCAAACCAGTCTGTTGCTTTTGTTTCCTAGACCTTGAGGAGTCCCTAGAGGACGAGGGTGTTTCGGAATCAGAGGGATGAATGGATGTGGGAGTGGGGGCGGCTTCAGGTTGTGGGAAATGTTGAGGTTGTTGAGGAAGTGTGGCGGCGGTAGACATGGTTGCGAGACTAACGCTGCGGCGTGGCGGAGAAGCGGTGTTCCTGTTACTGCAGCGGGCAAGGTGGGATGCGAACGGGAGTCTCGTCGCAATCGATCTTTGGGATACAATAGATCTGTATGTGGATATGGATATAGGAGGGTGAACTCTAGTGACCAACATGTCTTCCTCTTCTCTCCTAAAGAGAAAGGGCCGACCTCTTCATATTAATAACTTGAAGTACTGCCAATGTTTGAAACGTCGTCAGCGATCTGTCCCTTCGCATCGATTGCGGCATCACGTCTGCACCGGGACGGAGTTAAGGATCAACAACGGGCCTCAGGCGTGCAGGCACCACCAAAAGCCTGCGAAAGCCTGCGGAATAGCGACAAGGCCTAGAACAGTATGCGAGTCCGAAGATAGATCATTTACGCCTTGACCAATGGCCGTCATGTCGTGCGTCCATTGAGGCGTGAAATTGCTGCGTCGGCCTTCAGAATCCGCCCGTAGTCCGACTATCCTAAGACATCTCTCCGGCGTCTTGTTTCCGCTAACTCCAGATCGTATTTGTGTGCACCAGGCGATCACCGATGACGCAGTCGACCCCTGGGGGGGAAGGGGGGGGCTAAGACCAACCAACACAGCTGCATGGGCCTAGGCACTGAGAGGGGAGCTTGGGGCAGGGAGCGGCCACCCAAACAGCCCAAGCCAAGGCCCACCTGACAGGTCGAAGCTCGGTTCTATCCGTTGTTGGGCTGGGGCGATGCCATGCCATGCGCATGCCAATGCCATCCCACTTCTCCAGTTGTTGATGTAGTGCTGCGCGTGAGTGCCGTGCCATTTTATGACCAACCAACACCACAGCTCCACCGAAGAGAGCCACCCTGCAAACAGCTCAGCTCAACGAGAGCCCAGCTAAGTGCCCTTCGTGCACGGCACAGGCATAGCCTACGAATATACAATCGAATGTCCAGGCTAGCTGTCCCCAGCCTGACCGCCTCGCCCCCCTTCCTTTGCGACACATCGCTGCCGCCACCTCGTCCCACCGCAGTCGCAGTCGACAATCGCAGCCATGCCTGACGACCTCGACTCGATAGTCAAGGGCACCGCCGCCCCGCCCGCCGAGAAGGCTGCCGAGAAGGTCGCCAGCACCTCCGGCGTTACCCCCTCGAGTGGCAAGCCCGGCGACCCTCTCAGCCATGCGCCGTCCTCTCCGTCCATGATCTACCTCAACCTTCTCATCCTCGAGGCCTCGCTGCGAGCACAGTACCTCGAGCTGCGCGCGCGCAGGCGACACCATACCTTCTTTCTCTCCATACTCAGCGTGTGGACCGTTGGCTTCGGCTATGCCTTGTTCTTCGCCCCAAGAGAGGACGGAAGAGGAGTCGGTGGCTCTGTCTACTGGGGCGTTGAGATGATCGAGAAACTGTGCTTTATGGGAGGCGTTATCACTGCTGCCCTCGTCTGGGCCACGGGCATATGGGAGCGTGGGGTCAGGTGGCCCAGGAGGTGGTTTGCCATCACCAATCGGGGCATCAGGGCTTTCAATCTCAAGCTCGTGCTTGTCAAGAGGTCATGGTACGCCGAGGCGCTGTCCACGCTGGGGTGGTTCCTGACCTACGGTCTGTTCTCCCACACCGCTGGGTCATCGTACCAGTTCGTCGATCCCACAATACTTCGAGAGGTGGACAAGGAGCTGGACCTCGCGGGCAAAGGGCACCCGATCCTCCCATCCGTGACCAGTGACGAGGAGAAAGCTGGGCGGGAGGAAGATCTGGCCCCTGGAGGAGACTACGTGAAGCTCCTGCTACTAGCCAAACCCTTCTCGCCTACCTTTCGCGAGAACTGGGAGCTGTACAGGACCGAATACTGGGACCGGGAAAACGAGCGGAGGGCACTATTCCGTGCCAAGCTGCAGGAGAGAGACCGCCGTCTGCGGAAGGAGCAGTTTGGCTGGCTGTGGTGGGCACCATGGGCGAAGCCAGCCACTATCGTCGAGAAACCGCACCTCGCGCACCTCGAAAAGGCACATCACCGCAGGCTCTCCGTGGTCGAACGGGAAGGAAAGCGGTCACGTAGCGGAAGCGTTCGCCGGGGCAGCATGTCTGGTCATTCCAGCAGGAGCCCGACACCAACGTTGGAGGTCAAGGAGGGAAATGCCAGCAGGAGATCCTCTGATGCCTCGCAGAAGAGGAAGAAGGCCCTGTCGTCACCAGGATCCAAATCGGGGAAGAGGCCGGGAGTGGAGTCTCGATCTGTCACGCCTGAATTCTTATCACCACTGGCTCGAGAAAGTAGTGTTAGCGGGATGACGCCGACAGAGTCGGGCACGGGGAGTGATCGACGGGCGAAGTCACAATCGGATCCTGCCTAGTCTCAGAGGACATGAGATGCTACTCTGTACTGATGAAATGGAGTGCAGGAGACGTGGCCGTCATGTAGACTAAGGTAGACTTAGATGCCCCGGACTCTGCAGGTGGCTGCCTGTAGCAATATGTATTTCACCATTAAGTTACCACTTGATGCCACTACAGAATATCATATTGCACTGCATTGGTGTACCAAATGATTCGAGCATAAAAGCATAATACCAGGCGCACTGCATTCGAATAGGAGTCCAGTGCCTCCACAATGAAATGCACTTGGGTCTCTTCAGGATTTACACAAGGGACCCTGGTAAGCTCCCAATGGCCCGGGCCTCCTACCCAGTGGCTGATCTCCGCCCCACATTAATGGAATGCAACTCGACGGGCAGGTGCAGGTGCAGGGTGCAGGTGCAGGTGCCTGGCTGCGGCCGACGACTCACTCGACTTGCTCAACCTCTCACCTCATCCCTCGACATCTCGACACACAAGCCGATTTACAAACACACTCACATTGTCCATCACTTTTTTCACCACTGGCGCCAGTGATCACCTAACAACGCTAGTTCCACACCAGTCAGCAGCCAAACAAGAATCCATCTAAATGCTTGTCTGCTGTTGATGGCTAGACCGACGACCTGTCATTTCGCAGTTCATCACAACACCGCCGCACCACGTCCTTCTCATCAGGTCCTCAACTCATCCGGTACCCAACTCATCCTCTTCTATCGGAGGAGAGGCTTCCCATAATGCAGTCTTCAGGGGCTCAAAGCCTGCAGCCAAAATCGCTATCTGATGGTGTCGTCCGCAATGCATCCTTCACCAACCGGCCTCCTAGCCCACCATACATCCACATTCCTACCCCGCTAGGCGAGAGAAATAACGGACCTCTTGCTCTCACTCCGTCATACGCGTCTGTGGACCCGAGCAAACTCACCCCAGATGATTTGCAAATAATCACGGGCGGGAAGTCCCAGCAAGCCAACGACAATCACAAGCATGTGTGGAAGTATGAGGACCGCCGCAAGGCCCAGCCCATCCTCGACTTTCTCTATCTGGGCCCCCTCTCCGTGACTCGAAACCATGAATTCCTCAGACAGGAAGGTATCACCATGCTCCTCGCCGTTCGCGACGCCTCCATGTCACACTTGCGCCTCCTCCCCGTGGAAAAGGCCTCTGCAGAACTCAACTTGCAGGCCGAGTATGTGGACGTGGCCAGCCGCACACAGCTCATCCACGACTTACCTCTCATCATCGCCAAAGTCAACGATCACCTCCTACGAGTATATAAGAGTCAACTACAGGCGGTTAATGACGCCGGTAATGTGGCTATCGACACGTCCACGTTCAGGAGGGGCAAGGTGCTGGTGTTCTGCGAGACTGGCAACGAGCGCTCCGCAGTGGTGGTGGCAGCCTACATGATGGCTATTTATGAAACTGATATGGTTAATACGGTGCAGTTTATTTCTGCACAGCGCTTCTGTGTGACCTTTGATGAAGAAATGAAGCATCTATTGCGGTCATTTGGCGACATCCTCGAGGCGCAGAGAATGGTCGCTACGGGGAACCTGCGGGCAGCGGACCAGCAGACCACCGTATCCCCACCTGTATTTGGTGGCGCGGCGGCCCCAATCAAAGCATCCAAGAAACGAGGCATCGAAGATACCATGGACGAGGAGGATTACCAGGGTGACTTCTCGATGGATCTTGACCGCTATGAAGACAGGGCCGCCTTTACACCCTACAGACAGAGCTAGGCTGAGAGTAAATTGTCTAGGACAATTGTTCAGATCTGCCATACTACTGGACCTCCCGATGGCCCAGACATATTCTCGAGCATGCCGAGATCATACGTGGAGGTTGAGGCTGGGATGTCTTGCAAAGTTGGAGAGGCACGATTAGGGCTGTGTGCTTGATTTTACTTTCGATCACAAATGGTGGAGTTTTTGGTTTGTTAGGCGTTGGCTGGAAACGGTACTGATACCCTCTTCTCGCAGCGTGACGGTTGGGCTTTCTAAGGTCAAGAGAGCTGGTTGAGGTGTGGAAGCCCATAGGGGCTGAACCAAAATAGAGGTTCGACATGCATCAAATGCACGATATCAGAGTACGGCTAGACATCTCTGGTCAGGCGGCTGCGTCCCAAGTAGCCTCCCTTCTAGGATTAAGTAATTGAACATGCCTTCTAATCACCCGCGATCCATTCTCTTCGTGATCGCCATATAGAGGTGCCACTTATCCGCCTTGATCTATCTGTTCCATATTGGTGGCTTCTGTTTCGAGTGGTATGGTAAACACCGCGGCTTTAGAAGCAGCCCTTGTCCGTCTATGGAGAGATGAGCCATACGGCCTTCGATTGGATGTATTTAAGATACTTTTGTTGAAATAGCAGGAAATAATATCTGACGGCAACACTGCAGAGGTACATGGTGGGGGGAGCCAACGCACCCAGGGAAAAGAAAGTGATCTAGGCTGCATGGTGAAAGGACATCTTGAGAGGACGACCTAATCTGAAAGGCAGGACAGAGAATTCAACTTTGTTCAATCATAATTCAGATATATCAGGCCTCCCCAGGTAAAAGTTGATAGATTTATTCCTTGAGATTCTTATCAAGAGAGGCACAGGTGAAAGATGTTGCTTCCAAGACTCACTGAAGTAGCTCCAAGCAGCTTCACATTCACAGAGCTGGCATCTGACTTTACTGTCTTGCAGTTCGCAAACGCATTCCTTACCTTTGAGTGAGCTGCTGCAAAGTAACTGCTTTTGCTTCAAATGAAAGCTGTGCCTGAAATACAGCCATCATAACATGGCTGCAACAAACTTTCAGTTCTGATACCAAACAGCAACGACGATAGCTCCACATAACTTTCTCTCAGTACTTGGCTTTCCACTTGGAACAGATCAAGGGATCTCTTGGTCCAAAGTGGTCACAGCAGGGGTTTCTAGCCCTCGTTTTCCCAGCTGGGTTTCGTGCTGCTCTGTTGATGTTTGCTGAGCCCACTATCTATCATCTCATCTTCACGTCGGTCAGCTTCCAGCATACCTCACGGCCTGATATCGATGAATAGCGATGTGACACTTTTGGATCGCGAACTGACAACATTGGATCGCGAACACACAGCTTTGGATCGCGGCCGTGACTCCCTCCACTTTTCACCAGACCAACAACCTACCGATCCTATCTACCTCCCCCGTCGCCGACTAAGCGAGGCACCCCCTCAAAATGGCTTTCAACTACTCGGACTCAGACGACTCCTACGACGACAAGGCATCGTCACTCGACCCAAGCACGATGCCCAGAAGAAAAATGTCCCTTCGGGACACCTCTCGCATCAAACGGCCGGTGCGCTACCGCGACGACCTGGAGCCCATCGACCCCGGCCGCCCAATCTTCGTCCACCAAGACCCCATCTTCAACAAGGACCGCGCAAAGTTCGTGCAATGGCAATCGCTCGAGCTAGATCAGGCCTCCCCAGGAGAGGCACAGTACAAGGTGTGGCAGGAGCAGGGCGAGCCAAGAGATGCGTTTGGCGAGCCCGTTATGCCGTCGCCAGGCCGCGTCCACGCCGCAGAGTCGCCTGGCCCTACCGTCGCTCATCTGCGTCGCCAGTCTGTTTTCGTTCGTCCTGACCTGTCCCAGCCCATCGTGGATTCCGTAGAGAAGCGGGACGCGTTCGACGAGGCATTCGAGCGAAATTTGGCTGAGTTGGAGGAAGACGATGAGCCGCAGATGGACGGTGACAACGATTCCATCGTGATGCACCCCCAGCTGTCCTCAGAATACCTGGTAAGAACTCTTACCAACTCTCACTTTGAATATCCGGCTGGCTTCCTCACACCCTTTCCTCAATGTCATAATGAGGCGTTATATGTGTGTCGAGGCAAGAAACTGACAATGTTTTCGGCACTCCAGGATTGGTCAGCTCTCAGCGACAAAGTCCAGTGGGCCATCATCTACGACCTAGCCAACGACCACGAAGGCGGAATCACTACCGCCGCAAATCTTCTGGGTCTCACCCTCCCCGAGGTAATCAAGTTTGTCAACACATACGTGCGTGAGAAGACGATATGGGAGAATGGCTCATACCAAGGCGAAACCACCCATTCTGCTGGCGCCCTCTTCCGACGCAATGACGAGCAAGACAAAGTCAACCAAGTAGTGTCTGAGGCAGAAACGGCCCAATTCATGAATGACTATGAAGCCGATCGACGAGTCCTCGGGCCTGAGGCCTATCAAATCATCATCGACGATAAGTTCGACGTGCCCGTCATCGGAGATCAACCGATCCCCGCCAGCGAAGTAGACCTGTCAGTCCTCGAAGATCAAATGATCATTGACGGCGGAGTCGACCTGCCAATCTTTGGAGGGGCCCCTGAAGGACTCTGTGAAATGTGGAACGAGCCTGAAATGGAGCTCTTTCAGGAGCCGGAGGTCGAAAAGACGAGTTCCGCGGAAGGCGCACAGGTCATCATCGAGAAAGAGGTTGTTCAGCCTGACGCTGAAGGAGGGGTCGATCTACCGGCTGATGAAGAGATGGACGAGCAACCAGAAACTCAAGTTCGGCCGCCTCTGGTGGAACTCATCACTGACAGCTTCTCTAGAGAAGACATCGCGAGTGGCCGCAATTTCCTAACATTTGTCGGCCTCCAGCAGTACGCCGACCGATTCAGCCAGTGGTTTGGCAGAGGCACTACATTTCGTGAGATCCCAGGAATATTTGACGAGAACAATGACTTCGTATTCTCGACCGAGGACACAGAAAAGGCACTCTACAGTGGCAATGAGTCTATCTGGCAAGGACCTGTGCCGCAGCTTGGTGTAGGGCCTAAGCAGCGCGAATGGCTCATGGAAGCCCTTCCACCGGATTCGGCGCAGAACCAGAGCCTGGTAGACCATGACTTTGAGGAATTCAAGGCCTTTGCTGAACGCATCAACGGCCGCCGTATCAACCTGAATGAGACGGGCGAAAGGCTCTTCGACTACATCTCCGAAGGCTCGTATGGTGGCCTAAGGCGTGTGAAGCCCGTTCTGACTGGCACGAATGTTGCATACCACGGTACGCATGGTGATTATGGCGACAATGGCGCTCGCCTTTTCAATATGAGCTCAGCAATGCAACTTTGCCCCTTTATGCCTCGTTTCAACAACGGCATTGCCCCCCGGGTCCTTGAAGTCGGCCACGTCGACATTAACGAAGGATTCGTTCCACACCAGTCCGTCCCGCCACCATTTCCTCCGCCTTTCCCTAAGCCTCACGACAGCATCGCACAACCGGCGACTGGGCCCAATGTCACCTTGGGCCCCATCGATCGCAACAGCAACCATGTTGCAAGAAGCGACCGTGCATCACAGACTCCAGCTAGGAGTGCTTCAAACTCCAAGGCTAGCCCCACGGTTTCTCAGTCCATCGAAGTCCCTTCGAAACCTGCAGACCAGGCCATGGCAGAGAAGGCGACACATGATGTGGGAGACAACACGGCGCAGTCCAGCGCGCAGGGCCCAGCCGACACCGATCAATTCGCCGAGAACGGGATCGAAGTCGAAACATTCCCTAAGTGCTATACCTGCTTCCAAACCAAGTCTCGGTGCGACGGAGATCGGCCTTGTAGCAGCTGTCTCAAGAGGCAACGAGGTTGCAAGGATATCACAAAAGCGATCCTGGATAAGCACCCAGAAAGGGCGGCGCGAGTCCTTGTGGACAAGGCGAAAGCAGACAGGATGGCAGCTGAGGCTGAAGGGGCGAGCAAGAGTCTTGCCACTGCCTCGACTCCAAGTACTACGACTTCAGCTGCCCCAGTCCCCCATAATGTAACATCTGGGGTCAAGCAGAAGCAGCTTGCCGCCACGACTCATGTTTCGACCGACGAAGACGATTCGGATCTTGATCAGTTCCCACCCGAGAAGGAGGATCCAGCGGACAGCGATTACGGCGACGCACCGAAAAAGAAGAAGCCCAAGAAGGGCAACACCGCTACTGGCAAGAAGCGAGGCGCTGGCCAGGCCAATCTTGGAGTGCCTGCGACTTCTACTCCAATCAAGAAGCGAAGAACGTACCGAAAGAAAGACGACACTCCTACTCCCAGGCGCAAGGAGCCTGTTGCTGGTGCCACCAGTACGCCAACTAAACAGTCCGACGAGAGTGTCTTGGCCGGCAGCGTTCCTATAGCCGGGCCCATGCAGAGCGCTTCCACTGACTCCCCAACCGCCGGCAGCCACAAGTATTCCGGCTCTTCCCAAGGTGTTGGAAAGGATAACCTCGTGGGAGTCAAGGCAGGCAGACCCGTTGATAATGCTGTTCAGGGCGGGAGACAGCCAGGAGGCCAACTCGGGGTTACAAACGTTCAGCCCGTCAGTGGTATAAGTCACGGAGCGACTCCGAAGCTTGCTGAGAAGCAAAATGATGGTGGTCGGCGCTTGGTTCCTCCCAATTTCAAATCTGGTGCTGGAGACTCCAGGTATCTCAACGTACCGTTTGCCCCACGTCTTTCACCAACATACACACCAACGGACCGGCCTTACTTTCCAGGAGCGCCGATGACACCTGTGTTGGGATCAGTTGCGGGGTTTCCTGTTTCGGGCCCAAAGACCCAAATGGCGCAAGAAGGACTGTTTCCAGTGAACTTTGATCGCATGTCACTGATGCCGCAGATTGCCCATCATCATCCTAGCTTTGGTGGCTCTCCTGGTATGCGGAGGACTTCGTCAGCGTCCCAAGCAAGCGACTCGAGCAAAACTGCGTCAATAGACTTCTCGCGCATCCCTTTCACCGGAACTCGGGACTCTCTGGCGCAACGCGATTCAAGTGTCGTAGGCAGTTCTAGTCGAGGCAATACCGATCATCAAAGCATGTTGGGCTTCCGGCCAAATGTTCCGCCAAGCATGGTACTTAGAGAGTCACCAACTGTGTCTCAGCGACCACATTCGGTGTCGCCGTACAAAGGTGGAACGCGGCGTTCAGGAAACAGCGTTCCTCCTCCGATGACGGAGGTGAGCTCAGAGTTCGCCATGGCTTACGGGCCTGTGTCGCCATACAGAAGCTTCCAACGGCAGCCATCCAGGCCTTACCCTGTCGCGAAGATGCAGCAGGATACTCTTCATTCAGTCCCCCAACAGATGCTGCACCCTGCTATGCCCACTGACGTCTTTCATGATCCCCAGGGCACGGAGTCACGGCCAATGTGGCGACACGGTGACGCATCTCCTGCGCACCAACAATTCAACACAGCTTCTCCTCTGCCAGCAAAGCGCTGTGCCGAAGCACCGTTTGCTCCTGGTCAACAGCCCGCTGCAAAGAGATTGAAGGCCTCTGAGAGCCCTCTGGCTCCCCCGAGAGAGGCACGAAGTTGGAAGGAGTTGGCAATCAACCAATGGGCCACTGATACGCAGGAGACTCAGTCAGACACGGCTAATTTCTCAGTCAAACCGGTGTTTGGCGGTGATGGACCATTCGACGTCTCGTTCAGCCAATTCGCAAGGATCAGTGAGCAGGTTGACCCGCAGCTCCAAGAGCGTGCGATGGCGGCGGCGCGCAAGATTAACAAGTTGTCTGCTAGCCCTAGTAAGAAGCGTTAAACCAAGGTCACAAATCCACTAGAAACACTCACGCACGTCTTGACTTCTCGCCTAAGATCCTCGCCGTGTTTCCATGACTGGTGAGGGCGGGCTGGCCACAATGGAGAGATTGGTATGGGTCGCTGTCACAAGTCAATAATACCTATTCCGGTAGAGTGATTGGCTTCTCTTGAGAAGTCGCCCTTGTCCCGGATGCTTTCCTCGTCACCAGGCTTTCAAGGCATTGCCACGGGTGCACTGCTCTTGGAAGATGCACATTTCATCACCATGGCCTCTTTCAGGTCAAGGCATCAGGAAGAGAGATTTTTTTTTTTACCCAATTGAGGTAGGCTGAAAGTCTGGAAGATAGTTGGACTAGAGTCCGCGAATTTTCTTGAATGGCAGTTTGGATGAGACAGCCTTGAAGATCTCAAGGAATCATTGAAGCAAAAGCAATCTTCTCTGCCGACAACGAGACAGGACAGGGTGACAAAAGATTCATCATTGAAAGACAAGAGTTTATTCTGAGCAGAAAGAAGACAAAATGCAATGCATTATGACATACACAACATCTTGGAAGCCATGAGTAGCTTGATATGTCTATTGGTGTACTGATTGTCAGTGGTGACACGGGCAGGGGAGGTCGTAGAAGCTCGATGCTGTTGGCATCTCCCTACCCCCTGCCGCCGTGCACAGACCCTTACCCACTTGATGCAATGAGTGACTGCATCCACTTATGCTCCCAAGCTTGCCCTGTGCCCTGTGCCCGCTGTACCCAATGTAATAGCATCATTCTCCCCTGAACCGAAGCAGTTCCCTTCGATATCCAGACCTCACTTTGTTAGAGGCCATCAATACCGACCCATTATCAGATCAAGTGCTCTCATACCTCCGCGGCTTTCGGTACTCCATCCCACTCCCTAACGTACTTGGCGAAACCCATCGAGAGACTTCACGACTCTGCCGAACGGACACCCGAACCACCACCAAACCCCGGACCATCCACACGCTCCGGCGACTGGCCCCCGATCATGGCACCCCGCATAGAAGCTCAGGAAATCGAAACATATTGGAATATCTTCTCAGCACGGACTGGCGGCGGCCAATTCCTCACAGGAGAGCAAGCAGCGCCCGTTCTCAAGAACAGCGGCCTCAATGACGCGCAGCTAGAGCGGGTGTGGGACCTTGCGGATGTCGATAACGATGGCAACCTGGACTTTGAGGAGTTCTGCGTCGGCATGCGGCTGATCTTCGATATTCTTAACGGCGTGCGTTCAGGGCCCAGGAGCGGACATTGGGGCAACCCGGGCTTGCTGACAGTACTATTAGGAATATATGGACGTCCCCGCCACACTACCAGATTGGATGGTTCCTGAGTCGAAAGCACACCTCGTCCAAGCCAACCGTGCCCTCACAGGGAAAGCAGCCCAGTTTGAACAAGTCGACGACGATCCGGACGAGCTAGGCCTTAAGGATGGCTTCGATTGGTACATTGGCCCAGCGGACAAGGCTAAGTATGAGCAGATATACCAGGAGAACCGGGACATGCGAGGGGAGATATCCTGTGAGCAACCATGAAAATCTATCCTACTTCTAGGCAAACACGGAGCAAGGATACTAATTCAGTATTTGCTTTCCAACAGTCGGCGCCTTGCAAGACCTCTACGAAAGCCTCGACGTCCCCGATACCGATATTCGCTCAGCGTGGAACCTAATAAATCCCTCCGCTGCTTCTTCCGTCAACAAAGATGCATGCGTAGCCTTCCTGCACATGCTCAACTACCGCCACGAGGGCTACCGAATCCCGCGAACAGTCCCCGCATCCCTGCGCGCATCCTTCGAGCGCAACCAGATCGACTACCAGATCGATAATCAGCGCACTGCCGCACAGAGCCGATGGGCCGTCAAGGCCGACAATGAGACAGCCACAGGCCGCAAGGCTAAGTTTGGCGACCAATACCTGACGCGGCTCGGTCGCAGTGGGTTCAAGAGCTCTGGCACGGACTTCTCGACCGAAAAGACCGACGACTGGGAGGAGGTCAGGCTGAAGAAGCAGCTGGCGGATCTAGAGGCCAAGATCGAGAAAGTCGAATCGTCGGCTGAGATAAGGTCTAGCGGGAAGAGAGAGAGCAAACCTGCGCTGGTGAAGAGGGAGCTGGAGCAGCTGCTGGAGTACAAACGGAAACAGCTGCGGGATCTCGAGGAAGGAGGCGGCAAAGGAGGCGGTGGCGGCAGTCTGAAAGGAATCCAGGACGACCTGCAGACAGTGAAGGAACAGGTTGAGGGTCTGGAATCACACCTACGGTCGAGAGAACAGGTGCTGGAGCAGCTGCGGCGGGAGATTGAGGACGAGAAGGCAAACCGATAATCACAGGCGGACAGCGTCTTCCAACATGCCTATAAGAAGCAGGAGAAGTTGTAGAGACTTCATTTATAGCCGCACGGCAATTATTATGTAAAGAAGGAGCATACAGCGTCCTTCAAATATCAGCTTACCAAATGATCCCCAGTGCATCACAGACAAAAAGATTATAATCCTCACAAACATAAAACTCCCTTAAGCGACGCTACCGTTGATATAACCAGGCATTCGTTGGATGCCTAATGTCTTGCCTTTTGCCAACCACACCATGACAGAAAGCATCTTGACAGGGCCCATCCTTCCAGCGCCCCTGTTCCTGCCAACGGCGCACGCCATGATGTCTACGGGCATCAGCTTCACAACCTGCGGCTCCTTGCTTTGAAGAGCGAGCTCAACATTCTTGCCCACGCCTGCCGCCTATGTATGGATTCAGTATCAGTCACGACCCATTCGAGCGGACGAGCGATCTCAAATAGAACTCACCTGTTTCTGTGTGAAGAGGAAGCCGCCCCTTGGCTTGCTCACGACGTCGCCCAGCGCCCAGACCCCCTCCTTCTCCAGGCCCTTCACCCGGTACTGCTCATCCACGCTCACGTACCCCTTGTCCGTCAGGTACTGCTGGTCCATCATCTCGCTGTTGGCGCGCATGCCTATCGTCGGCAGGTAGAGGTCCGTGGTGATGGTCTCGCCGCTCTGCAGGGAGACCTCGGTCTTGCCGTTGGGAAGCTCCTTGCTGCCGGTGACGCGCGCGTCGAACTTGACGCTGACGTGCAGCTTCTTGAGCTCCGCCAGCGCGGCCGGGCCGACCGAGTCGCCGTCGAGGAGCGACGAGCTGCCCGAGAGCAGGTGGATCTCCTTGTTCTTGCCGTACTCGCACCCGAGCTCGCCCGCGACCTCGACGCCGGTCGCGCCGGCGCCGGCCACGACGATGTGCTTCGCCTCCTTGACGCGATCCCGGGTCGCGTCCAGGTTCGACACCGTCTCGTCGTAGCTGTCCAGTATTTTCCAGGGCACGCTGGAAGTCGTGGACCGCGAGCCGGTCGCGACCACGAGCTGGTCGTAGTTCAGAGACCGCGACGAGCCCGGGAGCGACACGAGGACGGTCTTGGAGCTGGTGTCGACCTTGCCGGCTGCGCCCACGATGATCTCGTAGCTATCCTTGGGATATCGCTCGAGCGCGGCGGAGAGTGGCTGGAAGAGCTGCTCATCTGTGATTTGGTCTGGGACGATAGCGCGGACGGACGCCATGTTCCAGTAGAAGTGCGAGCTCTGTTTGCATGTGTTGTCTGTCAGTCAAAAGAGCCCCGGAACAGGTCTGTATGAAGCTGCTCAGAGGTTGCGCCTTCGAGCTCAGGATAGCATCTGTGTAGTGTGTATCTGGTTCTGCACACACAGGAAAGTATCGCAGATTATCATACCTTCGACACAAGGATGACCTTAACGTCAGGAATCTTCTGCTTGAGCAGATAATGAGCAACATGAAGCCCGGCATACGATCCTCCCAGGATCACGACTGTCTTGGCCATGTTGGGCAGTTAAGTTGAGCCTTTCACTCGAATTTGGCTGGTTTGGACGGTAGAGAAACCCAGAAAGATCTTCAGTGTGTTACTTGAAGTCAATCGAAGATATGGAAAGTTAAACAGAGAGGCAGCACAGAAAAGAAACGGGTCCGGACGTGAGACTCAAACGCCGGAGATGTGTTGGGGAAGCTCATGTGGAAACATTCCGGTAGTGGTGTACCTGCACCCTGCCATTTCCATATTTGTCCGTGCTTAGATGGGACGAATCCATGAATGTAGGATGACAAATGGGACCAGAATGCAACAGCGGTACTGATTGGGGCAGAATAGGAACAGTAGAGTTGTCCTGCGGCTGTGATGGCTGATGAATCAGTGGACGAAGGGGACGAGCTCAAGCTCGACCTCGGGCTGGCGACGTTGCTCAGACAGTAGGCTAGCAACAGGCGGGGGTTTTCGATTAACAGCCAGCCGGTGGTCCCCAGCTCACAGACCTGCCTAGCTGCTGAGAGTAGCGAGCTTCTCGACTCATTCCTGAGGGCGCCAGGGTCATAGGAACAGGGGCACAAAAGCAGTTTTTAGAGAGGTTATTCGTGATATTTCGTCAAGCTCAGAGCACCTGCTGAACTTTATTGTCACACTTGCTGCACCAGGAACCAATTAGTCTGGTCTTGTCCAGATATTGGTGGCTGTAATCCTGCAGGTTGGATGCAGATCCCAGTTAAGCCGCCGGCTCGGTCCCGAAACGCGACCGGGACAACCCCATCTTACTAGCGACTATCAAACCGGACGTGTGCAGTCGCTTGCAAGGGCACAGCAGACGGTATCAGAATGAACGGCTGGAGACCACACTATTGGATATAAAAAAGGGTCCCACGGCACGTAATCCGATACAATGGGTCTCGATATTGAGTACCCTCCTTCAGCCTTCCCAACCAAGAAATGACCCCATAGAGAGCCTGGGTAGGTAGCATTCTGGAAGCGTATCAAGGCAGAACATAAGATATCATGGAATATGTTCTTGATTATGGAGCTTGCTCAAACCCTTCAGGCCAGAGCCCCATGTCTGGAACTCAAACCTCACCGTCCCTATTCTTACCCAGTACTGGCGCAACACGGAGCCGCCTTTCCACTGCCCGAGCCCAGGAACAGGTCCATCAACATGCACGTCGATTCTGTCAACAATAACGAGCAGACCGCTGGCCTTAAGGATCGGCCTCACTGACCTTGGATAAATGAGAACGATTTACGATGGGCGCTCACTAGCCCCGTCCAGTCTCACAACATCTTTCCTCGCAAGGGGCCAATGAGAGCGTGGCAACATGGCAGAAGATCATGCTGAGAATATGACCGAAAGCATCCCGCATGCTGCTTACTTGTGATGCCACTCAAGGGGAGCGGTCGACTAGTGCTTTTGAAATTCGCGATGGAAAAACATCCTGATGCTTCTCAACTTCCGGTTGCTTGAGGAAGGCCCGAATTCTCTCAAAGCACCAGCCTCAAGGTTACGGACTCGGCTGACGGCAACATGTCATGCACTGCGAACAGCATTGCTGTACAAAGGCCGATGTGGCTGGGCGAGCTGGGCGGTGTCATACTAGGTGATGCCCCAGAATGTTTGCCCAAGAAGTGACCAGACACGTCCTGCGAGAATTATTCGCGATAGTTGGGATATGAACCAGCTTTGGGGGCACTATGCGCTGTCTGGCAAGAAGCATAACTCATCATGTATGCTGCAAAATTGTGCACACCTCACATATGGCTCGTATGCATGCGATACATACAAAAGGGTTCCCCTGACTTACACCGGGTAAGGGGATATCGAGAATGGACGGGGAAGAAGAGGATGGCGGCACCTTTGGGACTGCCTGGAAATGGGCAATAAGATCATGATGAGGGCCTGGAAATGGGGGCATACGTGGTCATGTCCCCCTGATTAAAGTCAAGATAGGGTGTTCTGATAATAACAATAAAACAGAATGAAGACGGAGGCATCGTAAATATCATGTGAGGCTGCTGTCCAGGAGAGAAGGAGGCTGCCGAGGCTCAGGGCGGGCACCTGGAGCGCCGCGAGTGGGACCTGCCTCCGCAAGTCAGGCCCAATGACGTGCAAACCACGACGTTGGACCCCTCCCTCCGCCCGCCCTGCCCAGCAGGCTGGAAGCCCAGGTGATCAATGCCCCGCCAACTGCCCCCCCGGATCCTATCACACACGGCAGTAGAGCTCTCAACAACTTGGACGTCGGCCCTCCCGCATCTCTCAACATCTCGGCCAAGTTCAGTACGAAGAATAAACTTCATCAGTCACTCTTCTGAATCTTACCAAAGACCACCACTTTTGCTCTCCATACACCACCAACAAACCACCCAAGATGTCTGCAGCTTTCGACAAGGCCGTTGCCGACTCCAAGAAGCTCACCTCCAAGCCCTCCAACGAGGAGCTGCTGGACCTTTACGGTACGGCCCCTCGGCGCGACCACGAGAGTGGGACCATCCCACTCCTGGCCCTTTTACTGACAGCAGCGCAGCCCTCTTCAAGATCGCCAACGGCGAGGACATCGCCAGCGCCCCTGCGCCCGGCATGTTCGACCTGAAGGTATGCTCCCAGTCTACTTACCCCCTTGCTGGTCGCAAGACCGCCGGACGAGCTGTAGTTCCGCCCAGCCAAGGTCGTTCACACCCGCTGACATCATTTGTTTCCCCCCGGCGTACAGGGCAAGGCAAAGAAGAACGCATGGCAGAAGAAGGTCGACGAGGGCGTCACCGCGGACCAGGCCAAGGAGCAGTACGTCGCGCTCGTCGAGAAGCTCAAGACCCAGTACGGATACGACGAGAACAAGCAGCCCGAGGCCGTTGGCAACTAAGCGAGGACTTTGGGTGGAGTGGATGATACGAGGTCGCACGCGAGGAAGAAACACAGACATATATACACGCACGCACACATGCAAGCGTACACTGCCAGATAGACAGGCGGAAAGACGACCTGACTAGGTAGACACGAATACGGCCAAAGAGCTGCTCGAAAGCAAGAATCTGTCGTGAGTTCATTTGCCAGTAGAGATTTAATTATTCTTCAAGCAATCTTGCGTATCCTCCAACGTTGGAAGGTTGTGAGGCGCCCAAAACTCAACCACTATTGCAGCCACGCCCGGCCATTCCAGTCAGGTTCATGGTAGCTTGCCGTAGCGACCCATGGTTTCTCATCTGCACCATACGCCTGCAAAGGATGATTATACGGGATACGCAGGCCCACGATCGCTGCCTCCGAGCTCTCCTCTGGGGTATCCTTCTGGAATGTGCCGACCATCCTCGCCTTTTCAGAAAAGAGCGCTGGCCAGACCAGGACGCCAATCTCCCACGACGCTATCCGCACCTCCCCAGACGAGTTGGCTGCTTCTCCCCAGGCTTGTTTGGAGAGGTTCACCGACGTGGTCAACGCCCAGTCGATTGATTTCTCACCGTAGCGAATGTAGGTCTTGATGTGGGGCGCGGCTCGCTTGCGACCTGCTTCCTTATGTGAGCAGCTGGGTTCGAGATCTCGTCCACGCGGGGCGTCATTCGCCCAGTGGCAAAACAATGGCTTCAAGTACAGAAGCTGCTTGGCCTGCTGGGCTGACTGGATTTTCGTGTGTATGGAGCCTCCACTCTCGTACCCATCAAGGCTTCGCCGGATCTCATCAGGAGTAGGGAACACGACCTTGAAGCTGGGCGACTTCTGCGTGGCATTCCTCGCGGCCTGGAGTGAGTCAAACAGGGTTCGACGAATCCAGTTGTCGGTAGGTCCTAGAGTGGCAATGCTCGAGATCTGAACGACAATATCAGAATCACCTTCTTGCACTGGCACGTTTTTCAGTGTCTGCTTCAAGCCCGCCCAGCCCCATCTCGTCTCAGATTCGTCATGGATAAGGTGGCGGCCGGGGACAGATGCGATCATGGCAGCCCTGATTGCAGAAAAATTGTATCTTTCAAGTTCGTCAACTAACGTCTTGCAGACGGTCCTCCTCTGGTCGTATGCTCTCAGGTAATTGAGTAAATCAACCTTGAACTTTTCGCCGCTCCCGATTGTGGCCAGAGTGCCTTCCGTACTACCAGCCAGTGGTTCTTTAAGGAGTGGTAGCAGTGGGCTTCGCCAGAGCGCTTGGGTCATGTTAGTCCAGTCCCTCGCTATCATGTTTGCCGTATGGATGATGACTTGAGCCGTATCGTCATGGCGGATGAGAATTAGCATTTTAGAATGATGTGTGCCAAACATCTCAGGCATGAAAGCACAATGGAGCGTCACATTCTTGTGCCTCTTAGCTTGCTCCTGTGGATTCTGTCAGCAAGAGTGATTCCAGAATCATGGATCACGGTGGGATGCCGTCGAGACTATTGACAAGTGATTTTAAGAACGGATGTACTGACCTGGAGCATCAGACGGCTTGAGTCCTCTTTCTTCCAGAAGCCGTGGATAACGTGGACTTGTACCAAGTGTCTGATGTCCTCATCAAAATGAGATATCAGGAAATCAATGTCATGCAAGTAATTGAACTCCCAGCATTCTGCGATCAAGGGATCACCGAGGATGTCTCGCAAGGTGACGGCGTCAGTGTTGGCAGCTTCAGGAAGGTCTCGAATCCATGTGAGCTGGAAGGGTGAAGTGAAAGTCTCATTGGCTCTTGGTGATAGGGCGTCTGCACCTTCGGAAATTGCAGACGTAGCCTGGGGTTGCTCCCCATTGCCCTCAGCATGCGTTGCTTGAGGCCGACTTCGCTTCCTGGGAGGACTGACGGGATGGCTGAGCGAACGAGGAGTCAATTGACCTAGTGTTTTTGCAAGGCCCGTGTCGTCTTTCTCAGCACTCAGGCGGCGTCTCTTGGGAAGCGGCTCCATAGTTTCTCTCTACAGCTTCATTGAATGGTCATTTATTTCTGGAGGGGGTATTCGGAGCGGTCTCCTTGTTCTCGTGTTTGTCCAGCTCGTATCGGGACTGGAGGCGGCCGTCACCAGGGAATGGTCACAGATGGGCGGCACAGATTTGGATGATGAGGCGTCCAGAGCTTCCTCTTGACTGAGCAGGTATCCACGGCCGGCACATGAGCGAGATGTTCCTTCAGAGACTGAAATTGGCAGTGGGAATCAACATATGTCTCACACGGAAGCTCACTTAGACTACCTAGATGAAGGTCGCTCTTCCCACCTGGGCGGCCAGTCTGTTATGGCACGTATGGCTGTATGGCTCGCTGTATGGCATGGTGTTATGGACCTAGGGGTGGGTTACGGGTCCTGCCCCGATTTTAGTAGCTTCTACCCACCAGGGTCCTGGACGGCCTGGAGCCAGGCTGGCCCAGCCCAGCCCATGAATGCACTGTCCAATCACCGTTGGCTGCCAGTCTTTCTCTTGGCAGGCTGGCAGGTGAGTACGCACGCAGTCAAGAGTCGAGACGGCGCTTGGCTTGGGGCAATCTGGCACTCGTGTGACAAGGCACATGCATTTCCACAGTTGCCAGTTGCACTTGGACTTGCGCTTGCACCTCCTTGTTGAACAAACCACTTAGCCTTGCTCCATCCACTCACTGCCCTGCGTTGCAACCATCGTCTCCCTCTCCATATCAGCTTTTTTTTCCTTGCGTCGCCTGTCGCCCTCCGTTCTCTTGTTCTCTTTCCAAGCGATTGTTCCTGGCCCTGACCTATATCGCCACCCCCTTTCTCGGTATCAGGCGGACAAATCCCTTCCGCGTTGATCGCCACTCTTGCCCGTGCCTGCTGACGCTACCATCGTCGCCTTTGTCTGGGGCCACGAGAGATACCCGGTTGCCTCGATTCATCAATTGCATAACGCCTGATGTCTAGGTGACACGGTCGCAGACACGATTCGCGACAGACCCAGGCGTGCCCCGGCACGAATATAGTCGACAACCTCGTGTTGTCATCAACCAGCCATCACCCGACCATCCACCAGGCGCGATTCAACCTTCGACAACGTCGTAACTCCTGGGGCATATAAGCCATGAGGCTCTCATCCCTTGCCTGGGGCTTGCTCCTTGGGGCTGCTGCCCGGGTCGCCGCCGAAGACGACTTCGAAGACGATGAACCACCGGAGGATAAGTCCCTGGAGACGACCACCTTTGATGGTATCAAGGTCCCTCCGATGCTCGAGCTCACGCCCGACAACTTCGAGACAGAAATCAAGAAGTCAAAATACATGCTAGTCAAGCACTACAGGTGTGTTGCTGATTCTCGGTAATGACCAAAAGGAGTCACCAGTCTTGCTGACATGTCACAGTCCATACTGCCCACATTGCCAGGATTTTGCGCCAATCTATCGTACACTGTACGAGTTCTACTACACCGATCCCGCGCCAGGCCCCGGCAAATCGTTCGAAGAATACTATGACTGGCGCTTTGCAATGATAAATTGTGTCGCATTCTACGATCTATGCGCTGGGAATGGAGTTCAGTCCTACCCAACATCAATGCTGTTCGTAAACGGTGTGAAGAGCGACAGTTACAGAGGCGTTAAGAGCCTCAAATTCTTGACCGACGCCATCGAACCCGTGCTCGAGCGCGAGAGACCCGGATCCCGACCCACGACGCTGCTGCTTCCCGAACCCCTCGGCACGGCTCGCCCGAAGCCAGCTGACGATTCAAAGCTGGCTTCTGTTCCCAAGCCCGATGCCCAGCCGCAGATAGAGCTTAGGGAGCCAGCTAAGGGTGGTGCTGCAGCGGCAGCTCCTGTAGCTCCAGCAGCTCCAGCGATCGAAGAGCTGGGTTCTCTGAAGGCGGACAAGCCCAAGGCCGCAGCTCCCGCGAAAGTCGAGCCAGAGAAACCGGCGAAGCCCACCAAGACTCCGAACCCAAACGGCGCTTCTGTTCCGCTGACGGCGGAAAGCTTCCAAACGATGGTCACAATGACCCATGAACCATGGTTCATTAAGTTCTATGCCCCATGGTGCCATCACTGCCAGGCTATGGCGCCAAACTGGCAGCAGCTTGCTAAAGAAATGAAGGGCAAGCTCAATATTGGCGAGGTCAACTGCGAAGCAGAAAAGCGCCTTTGCAAGGATGCGCGTCTCCGCGGATATCCGACCATCCTCTTCTTCAGGGGTGGTGAGCGAGTAGAATATGAGGGTCTTCGAGGCATTGGTGACTTCGTTCACTATGCTGAGAAGGCGATCGACCTCTCGAACGGCGTTCGCGATGTTGATGCCGAATCTCTCGCGGCTATGGAGGAGAAGGAAGATGTCATCTTTATTTACTTCTACGACCACGCGACCACAAGCGAGGACTTCGCGGCTCTCGAACGGTTGCCTCTCAGCCTCATTGGCAGGGCCAAGCTAGTCAAGACCAAGGATCCTAAGCTGTACGAGAGGTATAAGATCACGACCTGGCCGCGGCTTATCATTTCCCGGGAAGGAAGACCAACCTACTACAATCCTCTCACGCCAAATGAGATGCGGAATACTCGCCAGGTGCTTGAGTGGATGAAGTCGGTCTGGCTGCCTCTTATCCCAGAGCTTACCGCATCGAATGCTCGTGAAATTATGGATGGCAAGATAGTGGTTCTGGGCATCCTCAATAGGGAAGACCAGGAATCATTTTCCAGTGCTATCAGAGAAATGAAGAGTGCGGCTACTGAGTGGATGGACAAGCAAATTCAACTCTTCCAGTTAGAACGTCAGGAGCTTCGTGATGCGAAGCAATTGCGGATCGAGGAAGCCGAGGATCGTGGGGACCAGAGAGCGCTCCGAGCTGCCAAAAGCCAACAGGTGAACATGAACCGAGCAGATCGGAAAGAGGTTGCATTCGCGTGGGTCGATGGGGCATTCTGGCAGAGGTGGATCCGCACCACATATGGTATCGACGTGAAAGATGGCGAAAGGGTCATCATCAATGATGAAGACGTAAGCTTGAGCCACCACACCGCAACTGTTGCATAAATACTAACACGGTCTTAGAATCGCCGTTATTGGGACCAAACCAGCACGGGCAACTACATTGTCCCGTCTCGCACCTCGATCTTGGAGACTCTCAACAAGGTCACCGCGCAGCCTCCAAAGCTCAAGCCGAAGCTGACCATCTCGAGCTTCGAGAAGATCTTCTTCGACATGCGGGTCACTTTCTCTGAGCACCCCTATCTTACTCTTGGCTGTATCTTTGGTCTGATCCTTGGCTCTGTATCATGGTTCCGAGGTCGTCACAGGAGGAGAAGCGGTCGACCATTCCTAAGCGAGGACTTCAAAGCACCTCTTCTCGGCTCCAACATCAACGGTAAGACGGACTGAGTTGAAGGAAAAGGATTCGTGCGACGAAGGAGGACTCGCGATTGCATAGGAACCTCCATGGCGCTCATGATGAGCAGGAAGGTCAATGGTGACCACAAATAAATTTGTATGTATATCAAACGTCATGCTTGCACATGTCATATACATGGCGTATCAGACCGGCTTTAGGGTCTGGAGACCAGCCTAGGAGATGGGCTTACTGCTCTGCAATGGGTCCAAGGTCAAAAGGGACTGGACGGGTAGGCTCTAGAGGGTTGTCAGGTTGACAGGACATGGGCCAAATGTTGCATACTAATATCACTTCCTTTTCGTTGGTTCGATGAATCATGTCCCATGCCGATGGGAAAGAAGCCTTTGGATGCGGTTGCGCCAAGTATTTGTGAATTACTGGAGTTTGGTGGGAATTTGGTTACGAGACAGTAGTACGCATGCGCATAGTTTCATCAAAAATTGAGTGGAACATCAGATTTGACCGTGAATATCGCGACAAGTCAGGCTAGTAGAATTCAACGCTGCTTCAGGTGTACACGATATATCCTAACTTCGCATTCCAGCGAGAAGCCTCTCATCCAGCATTTTCGGTGGACGAGAACACGCACCGAGGGCTTTTTACGTGTAAATCTCCTCGGTGAAGCCGTTCAGGGACAGGCCAGACTTGGCGATGTCCTTAACATCGACCAGGAAGTTCAGCGGCATCTCCACCAGGGTGCCCCTGACGCGCTGGAGCTGCTCCTTGACCTCCTGGACGCCGCCGGGGAACTCGCTCTTGACGACGTGGCCGTAGGGGACCTTGGCCGGCTTGTCCTTGTCGTCCTTGTCCTTGTCGTCGTCGTCGTCCTTCTTCTCCTCCTCGTCCTCGGACTTCTTCTCCTCCTCCTCATCCTCCTTGTCGCTCCCCTCGCCACCCTCGCCGCGCTCGGCCGCCTCGCGCTTCAGCCTCTTCTTCTCCTCCTTCTCCTCCTTCTCTTGGAGCTTCTTGGCCTCGTCCGAGCCGGGGATGATGAAGTACTTGCTGAAGAAGTTATCGTAGTCGTCCCACGTGCGCACGACGTCGTTGGGCACGTTGTGGAACACGCGGCTGAAGACCTCGGTGTTGGTGCGTGCCGTGTTGCGCCACAGCTGGTCGAAGTCGTCGCTGACGGGATCCTCGACCAGCCGGTCGGCCTCGGAGCCCCAGTCGTACTCGTTGGGCCCGGCCGTCACCGGGTGGAAGTTGCCGTCGGGCCGGTCCCACCGCTGGTCGGGCAGCAGGCCCAGGTGCTTGCGGAACAGCTGGCGCCGCAGGCTGGTCGCGAACTTGGACGCCGTGAACTCCTCGCCGGCCATGCGCGACCGAACCGGCGTCGGGTCCTCGATCACCACCGCGATCTCCGAGTCGTGCGTGCCCAGCTGAGACCGGTCGTTCAGGTTCGCCGACCCGCAGATGACCAGCCGGTCGTCCGCGATCAGCACCTTGGAGTGGATGTACAGCTCCTCCGACACGAACGCGTCGATCTCCGACTCCGGGTCGCCCTCCCACGGCAGCGAGTTCAGGTCCGGGCCCTGGTCCATGTACGCCGCCGAGATCGTGTCCCACGTGTTGTCGTCCTGGCGCCGCGCCGCCTCCTGGTAGCGCCGGTACTGGCTGCCCAGCCGCCCCTCGACGTGCTCGTCGCGGGAGTAGCCGTCGTAGCCCGCCTCGACGTGGTCGTCGAATTCGCGGCGGGCGTCATCGTAGCGCACGCCCGACTCGTCCTGCGCGCGCTGCATGGTCGCCGAGGTGTTGAGGCGGTCGTAGTTGCGCAGGTTGTAGAAGCCGATGTACTGGTCGGGGTGCACGACGCCGGCCTGCGTCAGCTTCTCGATGATGGAGTGCCCACCGCGGCTGATGGAGTTGTACTGGAACTCCATGATGCCACGGGTGCCCAGGGCGCCGTCCGACTTAAGGTCGCCAGCGAAGGCGGGGACGGCCGGCATGGCGACGATTACACGGAATTTCTCACCGGCCTGGTGTGCGCGCAGGATACGGGACACAATGGCCGCGCCAATCTTGTTGTACACCGGCTTCTGCTCGTCATCGGTGGCAGTGATGAAGAACTACACATGGTATTAGACGATGCACTCTAGTGAAAGCAATGAAAAGTCAAAAGAGAACTTACCTGGTTCTCGATGTAGATGAAATGCTCAGCCTTGTTGATGGCATCGATATAGGCGTTCGCGATAGAGTGCTCAGTGGGGTGTCCGGAAGACCACGGGCAACAGCTTCGGACCAGCTGGATGTGCACACCGTTGTCCTCGCGACTCTCTTCCCGCGGCTCTTCGCCCCAGACACGGCTCAGACCCCTGGTGAAGTGGCGCTGGATGCCACCAAACATCTGGCCGGCCTCGTACTGCCCTTCCTCGAGAAGGGTCCTGCTGGGAGGGGCATGGGAAACATCACTGTCCTCGAGTCTCTGGTACTTGGTGTTATCTTTGACGTTGTACTTTTGGCCCCAGATGTAGTTCCACCGGTCCGTAAAGTGAAGGGCCAGGCTGTTCACGATGGGTCCGTGAAGTGAGATGCTGATGTCGGACCAGCCCATCCTCGAGAACTTCGTGCGGTCGAGCTTGTTCTGCTCCCACTTATCGACGCCCTCGAAGTCGTAGACACGAGCGTTGTTATAGTCCTGACCCGGGAAAATGATACCGTCTACATTACCGGGGTGGTCATCGGCGATGGGGTGAGTGTTGGTATCCCAACGGCCGAAGCAAGCGTCGAGGCCGCCCATGAAGGCAATTTTGTGGTCAATGAGGCACAGCTTCTCGTGGTGAGCCCAGAATAGCACGACATCGTCATGAGTACCGTAGAGAGTCTTCAGGGTGTCTCCAGGCATCTTGGACAGGCTGAAAGCGCCCAAGGTCAGGTTGTGGAAGGCAGTGTTGATCTCAGCGCTGATGTCCTGCTTGGTGGGCATGTGATCGGGATGCCTGAAGACCTTGATGTTCTCATGGAGGGCCTCCAGCGCGTGCTTGGTGTGTTCAGAGTTGCAAGACAGGGCTTGAGCGACCTCCTTGTACACAATAATGTGGACCTGGACTCCTCGCTCCGCTGCGGCCTTGAGCATATTGTCCAGGCGGTACTTATTGTTCTGTGCTGGGGGCCGGCGCAGGAACAGCTCTGGGGACAGCCACCAATCCAGGATATAGATGGACTCCTGGGCCTCTGCAATTTTTTGCCGCCGTTAGTATGCCCTACATCACACTTGTCTCTCACTTCTCAACCGACGGCATAGAAAAGTGTCTCACCTTCGATCGCCTCGGAGAGCGCCCAGAAGTAGGCACAGCCGTCAACGTGCCACTTGGCATGGCCAGAGGTCTGGGGCGCAAAAGATGCGTAGCGATTCTCCGCGTGCTCAGCGTGCAAGTCCTGATGGCACTCGGCTCCATCGTGGGTGTGGGAGTGCTTCTCCTCGTCGGAGCCGAAAACGCCCGCGAGGCCGTGCTCGAGTTTCTTGAAGATGCTCGACATGTTTGCTGCCAGAAATTGTCAAAGGAAGTTACCGGGTGTGCGAAAGCAGAGCTAGACGAGGCGAGATACTCGGTGTGTTTATAAACACGTCGGTCGATAAGACAATGTGGGGGCTGCCTCTCTCTGCTGTGAGGTCAGAGTCAGGGGTAGCTCCACGCAAAGCCACGATGGGGTCTCCACGATGCTCAACGAGCTGCGGACCCTGAGAACTTTCAAAGTGTTTCTGTCGGCCGAGAAGCCACGCAATGGGTTCCCGGTGGATGCTATAACTGCAGGACAGCCCTGAGGCGAGGAAAATCGTTGAAGTCTGAAGATGCTTGTTCTCTGGTTCCCTTAGATTCGTTGGATGCCTCTCTTCACTGCTGGTCTAGAATAAGCCGGTAGTGATCCGCGACGATGGGACAGCAGCTGAGGGGTCGAAACAGAGCTTCCCTGCAAAACAGGGTCTTGGCCTGCATAATTTGGAACTCTTCACTGCCACTCAGGAGGAGCCACTCAGATGGAGCGGTGTATTCGATCGGTTGAGCTACAAGATTCTTACTTGAGAAATAGCTCTCGTGATTGTGGAAGCTCTGCTGGCCTACGTGGCTCAGTCGAGAGGGTGTCAATCACGATTGGATGAGACATCGCCGCCGCGCCGGTACAGTCACTGGCCTGCAGGGTTTGATCTGACGCGAACTTGCACAACTGTTCTGCTTGGCTTTACATGACTGGGTCCATCTGCCAGACCGCTAGGACCTGACGCGCTTGACGCGATGGCGTGGTTTGTGTGGTCCAGTACGCTGGTGTGACTCTCCGTCGTTTTCTGAAGCCATTCCAGTACGCACGATCTAATATGGCTGAACGTGAGCGAAGCTTCGACACTCACGACAGCGGGCACCTGAAACATGCCGTTATGCCGCCGGTAGGGCTGCATCCATGGCGTGAGCATTGGCTTAATAAGTTCCAACGGCTGCTACGGAGTTGCCCGAACCCCGTACGCAGCCAAGTGTAAGCCAAGTAAGCTGCGAGCCTCAGCCGACCTCATCTCAATGGTAGTCAGAGAACACATACTGGGACAGCCAGCCACTCGAGGATGTCACACAGAATATCCTGCGAGGCTGAAACAGGAAATATCAAGACTCATCCAAAGCATCTGATCAAGTTCACCAGTATCGCTAAATTATCCTGTTCGTACCACACCCTCAGAAAGGATGACTGGGGATGGTTCTAGAACGTGAATGTTTCTAGTCACACATGGTTTGGCAGGATATCAGCGTGGCATAGGGATCCGTTTTGATAGTTTCCGACTCACCAGTGAGACAAATTAGTCTGGTAGCACAGCACATATCCGAGACATCGGAACATACTGGCATGCACAGCATCGGGGCGTGGGACACCAGTGAGCCGAGCTGCCCAGGTGTATTGTACCTCCAGATGTCGCAGATCCAAGAGTCACCGCGGCGGTTTCGGCGAAGACATCATAATTAACGATCGGGATCGTTGGTGCAATCATCGTTCTGCCTCCAGTTTGCGTGTTGATATCGATCCACCGCATCCACTTGAGAGGGGGTACTCCTTACCCTTGAATGGTAGTCAACGACTACAAACAGGACCTCCATGCCTTGAAAGCCCTGCCGTGGCGATCTGTGGGTATCATATCCACAAGAGCAAGACGCCCACATCTTCTCCATAACGCACCAAAACATGACATGAACGGAAGCTCAAGCCCAAGAGCATTGATTCGCAGGCATCCTGCAAGGAGTGGGCTCGGGGCACTAGAGTGTGGCCGGACCCGAGTTTGGAAACCATCGCAGCACGTGTAGTCAAGGCAAGTGCCCCGACCACGCCCAGTCGCTGAACATTCTGAGTTGGAGTTCGACTGGCTTGAGCCAACTCTTCATGGACTGTGTGGTTGATTGTCTGGCACCGTCGCGACTGGTCACTGCTTCCGCGTGGTAGCAATCCTGTCCAGGCAGTAAGACGTGACTCCCGTGACTTTCAACAGACACTGAGTGGAGACCGCCATAGAACTCACTGAAAACGTAGAGCAGTCCACAATTTCCTGAAGCGCCGGCGCACCGTCAAACGAAATCCCGCAGGCGCTTGTTGTATGACTGCATAGCCCGGAGCAGACGATTTTGGTAGCCTCAATCATATTGTTACAGTATACTTTCTTACTGTCCATCGGGCAGTGATATAGGACTCTGAAGACCAAAGAGAGGGGAATTTCATGAGGATAATTCGTGAAACATTGTGCGTTGATGAGAGCCTTGTGTCGCCTGATTTTCATTCCAACAATTCTGTTGACACTTCTAACAGTATTCATTGCTTGGAGGTATCGAGATGTCTCTTTTCATTTATGGGTGTTTGAAGTCGTCGTCATGCATAATCACTGGGCTGGTGTCTGAAATATGTCTCCTCTTACAGAAAAGAGTTGGTGCTGTTGTTGCTACAAGAACGCAGTTGATGAGTACGAGACATATAATGGCTCTTGGTGGTCTAAGAGAGGCAAAAGATGACCCTCTAGCGTCTGTCGTCGTTGACGAACGTCCAAAGCCGTCACAGTGATAGAAGGGCCGGCTTGTGCAGAGGTAGAGTCCGTTTCCGCGAAAGAGATCGGCCCAACGCCGTCTCTCGTTTAAGCAAACCTGTGCGTACAATTGTGTGATACAGCTGATATAGTCTCTCCGTATTGATTTCGATTGTCGGCCAATTTGTGCCAAGGATGACAACAGTGCTTACACCTATGTGTCATGTTCGCACCAACTTCGCGTCTCCAAAAGCCTGTCCGTACTTGGCGGCAATTATTTGCATCTTCCAACGAGGATCTGCAGAAGTTTCTGGCCAAGCTGACGACCATCGCACGGCAAAGTTGAGGAGAAGGACATGTGAAGTGACCCGTGCTGACTTTTGCTCGCGGATGAGATCCCATGCGGCTGGCAAGCGAAGTATCCGCGTCGTGTGCGTCGTGATTGGAGCCTCGTCCAACGCTAGCTAAGTGTAGGAAGCATAGAGTCCATCGTCAGCTGCAGCTCTCCGGTGGCTGAAATCGTGGCACCATTCTAAGCGACGCTGACAACAGTTTCCGTATTCTGTCCTGCTGGGGACTAGGGCTCAGAGTTCTTCAGAGAAGCTTCGCAATGAAATGACCCCCGACGGCCAGATGTGACGGCATCGAACTGTGACTTGTCATTCGGGACATGGCATGCAGCCAAGTCATGGTCCTCCCCAAAATGACAGTGTCTGCTAGCCGCATATTGTGTTGGAGACGATGAGCTATAGCCACTGACTAGCCTCCTACCGTAAATGCTATTTTTCCCGTTGGTCACGCAGTAATAGCCGTGGGGGGTTGGTTGTTGCACTCGGACTTCTCTGGACGAGTAGTTGATGCCACGGACACTGCCTCTCGGGATCGCCAGTCCGAGGCGTGGGAGCATTGTGACTTTCAAGCCGGTCGCAGAGGCTTGCAGAAGTAGAGGCCCAGCTTCTTTGATGACTCTGGCATAAATAAGCGCCGGGCCGTGCCATTGCGGGTTGCGACGAGGGCGGGTCTGGCGGGTGACTTACCAGGTTTTCCAAGAATGCCCCTCTCCGAAAGGGCAGCTGGGTCGGCTACTGGCGTCGTATAGTCGAGACACTGAGTGATGCTTGGATCCAGGTTTCACGGAAGGGGTGGTGGTGTAGGGATGGTGCATAAACAATCACGAGTCTCTTGATGGCCGCATACCACCCAGGGAGATTCCTTGTCTTCCCTTGAGCTGCATCCCCAGATGGCGGCGAGAAGCGAGAATGTCAACGGATGCAACGAGCTGGCCACGGATCACAAGTTGCACAGCATAGGCGATGACGGCGAAGGAGTCATGTCATGGAGGGACCAGGTCGTTTGTGAAGCATTGGGGCTGAACAAGAAGGAGCGTTTGGGTCGCAGGAGGGGTTATCATGTGTTGAGGTCCATGGATAAGGTAGGCAAAGCATGATGATTGTTGAAACTCGTGTAACGAGGGCATTGTCGAGGCATCTAAGAGGGTGTGTATGTCATTTATGTCGATGGCTGTTTGGGGAAACTTTTCTACTTAGCAAGTACTTGCATATGTGCCTACCTATTGTACCATTGAGGTGGCCTGCAGTCTGCGGTCTGCGGTCTGCAGTCTGCTATCTCTACCTTGGTGCTGCATGGTTCTAGAAGCTATTATGCTGCGGCGGTTGCTCCTGCCAGGATCTGTGGTGCGGGTGGCCGCTACTGCGGCCATTTGTGAGCCAATGGCGCAAGAGCTGGCGCGCCATATGCTCAGCCTTATTGCGGTACTTACACAGTAGTCTACTGTCCGACTGTGCAGGCACGGTAACGGTAACTACACTACTGTGCTGCACCCCTGCCGTGCCTGTGCCTGTCACGCCTGTGCCTGTGCCTGTGCCTGAGCAGTTCGTGCCGCGGTTGCCATTTGCAGCGATTTCCTTGCACCTCTGCCGAGGTCCCTGGCCCTTCAGGTAGCTGTGCCCCTGTCCATCTTGCCAGGCACGAGGCGGGCACAGCACCAGGCACTAGTCGGCAAGTACCTGGCACGCCTGGCTACGTGAGTAGTGGCACGAGAAGATGTCGACATCGCGTACTGCGCTGTACGCTGCAGGTGTGCTCCATCCGTATGGTAGCTTCAAGTACCTGCCGACTCGTGCTCCCATCTCGTCAATTCTCTCCCAGAGAACTCATAGCAATTGTTGAACAGGATTGAATATCCATCTCCATGCCGTTTTCTAGGCCGACGGGCACATCCCCGATCTTTTTTTTGCTAGCTTGCCTACCCTCTCCCTGTGCTGTCCAATTGACTATTTAACTTTCGGCTGGTTCCTTCGCCTTCTGCTCCAGATTTCCCAGGCCAGTCCAGGATTCCCATACCAGTGCGCAGGCTTGTGTCAACAATCACCGAGATCTGCTGGTGATCGCACGAAACTCAATCCCTCCATATCAGTTGGATCATCTTCTCGAGCACTCATATTCATAGACTCGCTCGCCACGAGCTTGAGCACAGTCACCAAGCAAGAACAGCTCGAAAGCCTTTGACCCAGCAGGACGAGACAGCGGCACGCGACACTCAGTTGCAACGCCACGGCGCCTCTTTGCCTGTCTCCTACGGCGCATGACGTGTGAGACTTCTCGGCCAGCCATCGATATCACAGATAGATCGTCAGGAGGCTCTCATGCCTCAATTGTCTCAATCTCTCAACGGCAGCCCAATATGCATGGCAAGGCACAACCAACACTCTTCGATCCCGCCGCACACTCCCATCTGACCCCATACCTGGCCGGTCTGCAAGCACAATGTATTACCCGTGATCTCATGATTGGTAGTTTCCTTCCTCCATTGGCCAACGATAAACTCCTCAACTGGTGGAAGGACAGGATCGCCGAGAGCAGGGCAGGCACAAGGGTCATCATCTTACTGCTTAATGAGGCCGAGCCTGGAGCCAAGGTGAGGGGCGAGGATCTGGTTGGTGTCGCTATGCTCGCCACGCCACACTCAGAAACGAGCCCCTTCCGCGCGCGCGTCGAGAGTCTCCTGGTAGCCGCTAAGTATCGGCAAAAGGGTGGGTCTGTGGCCTTAATGAATGCCATTCATGGGCAAGCAACACTGAAGGGCAAGACTCTCTTGGTGAGTACCTCCACCAGACGACTGCACTCGTATGGGATCGCTGACTTTGAACGCTAGATGGCCGAGACGGAGAGCGGGAGTATCGCAGAGAAGGTCTTCAAGAAACTGGGGTATGACGAGGTTGGCAAGGTACCCAGATACAGTCTCAATGCCTCTGGTGAGCTCAAAGATGGTGTCTTTCTCTACAAGGCACTCAATGTTTAGGAGTAGACGCAAGAGAACATCGGTGCAGGGGAGGGGGGTGAACAGGCGATATTTTATTATGGCTCTGTAAGTGAAAGGGCTAGAGGCTCATTCACGCGAGCAAAGTAACGGTGAATAGGGCACCCGTTGGATTGTCGCCCGTACCAGATCCAGTAGTGTGTTATTTGTTGAATTACAGAACAGGACCTGCATGCGTTCGTATGGCTACGCCGTATACGATTCTTCCTGGATTCCACTTAATCTGAAAATGGTCTTCCACAACTTTCAATGTGTTTAACGGTCTGCATCTTGCATGTATCTTGATGGAAGAAGGCCGCATACGTATATGGAAACTCTGTACCTGAGCATTTCTTGCTAACAAGTTGTCTTTCAAGCTACTTTAACGTTCCACAGTGTAGCACATACTACTCCGAACAGACTATCAGGCTCCTCTCTTGTTATATAAGGCGTGTTACCTCAATAAACCCTTCCCATGTCTTAAATCCAAGATACGGAGCCGCCACTTCTCTTGAATCCGGCCAAACTCGTTGCTTTCCTCTGCATATGTAATGTACAGGCTGTTTCGACAGCGCTGAAGGTTGACAACACTGATGCCCGCCTGCTCATAATGACGTCTGATCAGGTGGTACCAAGTATGCAGAACAAGACTCGTCCTATAATTGAAGAACGCTTGGGGCTCACATGCTACGTATCCGCGCCTCCTCGAGACAGATATATGTTCAGGTTCCTATGGGCAGTCAGCACTTCTCGTTGGCCATCACATATTGAGCAGTTGCAGCATCATTCTTGTGCCGTGCCTACCGAGGGCCTTTTCCGGCGAGAAAACCGCACGATAAATACATAACAGTGACAGAATCCGTGCCGATCAAAGCCTCGATTGCAGCATCATTTCACATCTCGACAGGCTTCGTGTGCCATATCAAACCCGTACAATGGCAAGTACGCCGGCAAAGCTTCAATATTTCAAAGTTGCCTCACGGTGGCTACAATTACTCATGAAGTCAAAGGCGTGCCTGGATTGCTCAGATATCGGGGCGAAGATGAAGGTAGGCCTACTGTTCAGTGACGCGAGGTATCGAGCCAAGACGCCTGATAGGTGAGCCCCAAGTCAAGATGGAATCAATCATACTCGAATACAACAGTCTTCGCTTTAACTGTTTGTATATATGTAGAAGCAGGGATACTCAGGTTCATAGTCGGCTTAATGTTCGCGTATGTATGAATGAACGCATCGTAGTCTTTGAGACGTGCTGTCTCGGCTGCTCGGAACGAAGTGGTCAAATGGGGAACGCCTTTCGGCCCACCAGTTCATCCCAGCTTCGGAGATAGAGGATCAGGCCAAGGCAGACCGCTGCCAAGATATAGCGGCCCTAGAATGCACACTAGAAGGAATCCATCCGCCGCGCCGGGATCTCTGCTGATTGCCAATTGCCAATTGACCTGTCAGAGATGAGAGCGCGAGCAGGTGGGCCGCTGCTGCAGGCGCCGGCTCGCGTTGCCACACAGGGGCACGTGGTGATCTTCTTCTTCTTCTCGCCCTTTGCCCATCGTCAACTTCCTCTTTGGGCCCCCGGTCCGGTGCAAGCTTCGCCTCTAGAATGCAGGTCTTCCGAGACCCATCGTACGGGGGCGATAGGCGCTCCCGATGCTACGTTGAGATAGCTGAAAGACGCATAATATTTAATAGAAATCGCCTTGCCCGTCTCTTTCTGATCAATGGACCTGTACACGGCTTGCTGGCTTGATGAGTTCGTGACCTGACAACATGCATCGCTCTATTCTATCCTCAGTTGCGTTCGCTGCTGTCGTGCGAGAGGCTTCGGCTTCGGCCCCGATCTTTAGTCGTGGTCTCTACAACGAAAGCACTGCAAACCACACGTGCCAGCTGTGTAAGAATGACGGAATTGCATGCATAGTGAAGGGAAGCTCATGTGGCTAATCTACGTCGCTAGATCACCCGATTCTGTCATGCTCCGCCGGTGCCCAAGCCAGCCTCACCGACTCGTGCTGCACAGAGACATTCGGCGGCCTTGTTTTAGCAACCCAGTTCTGGGATGTCTACACCGGCCTTGAGTCCCAGGGACAAGTGCTCCCAGCCGACTCATGGACGCTCCACGGCCTGTGGCCGGACTTCTGCAACGGATCATACACTCAATACTGCGACCTGACCCGCCAGTATGACCCGAAGCCCTCGCCAAACACGACAACGGGGACGCCGTCAGGCACGCCGATTGTTCCGTATACAGGGCCAAACATCGGCACCTTCGTGGAGCCGTTCGGCCGGCAAGACCTGCTGGCCTACATGAACAAGTACTGGGTGGCGCAGGGGCAGCCCAACGGCGACTTCTGGGGCCACGAGTTCTCCAAGCACGCGACCTGCTACTCGACCTTCGACGTCGAGTGCTACGGCCCGCAGTACGTCCAGCACGAGGAGGTCGTCGACTTCTTCGCCACCGCCGTGGCCTACTTCCGCGGCCTGCCCACCTGGGAGTGGCTCGAGGCCGCCGGCATCACGCCCAGCAATAGCACCACGTACGACCTGGCCGACATCCAGGCGACTCTCGCCGAGGCCTTTGGCGCGGTGCCGTACATCGGCTGCTCGGGAAAGCGGTACAATGCCACTGAGGCTGGAGCCGGGAGCCTGGACAATGGGTATACACAGTTGACCGAGGTCTGGTACTGTAAGTGTTGCATAATGGGTCAGAGGAATTGTGGACATTGAGAGCACAAGGCTGACCTTGTTTCTAGATCACCACGTCAATGGCCGACCGCAAGATTACGACGCGGTGCCGGTGGCTGCAAACGCTACTGGTGGCAGTCTGGGTAACTGTGCTTCGACTGCTGGGGCTATCTATTACTATGAGCGTGCAAGTGGCTCTGAGGCGTGAGGGAAAATCAGCCAATAGCCTGGACTGTGTGGACATATTCGATGCTGTCAGATGGGTATCAATGGCGTCCTCGCCCTTCATTCTCCACAATAATGTACATAAAAGTAGCAATCTGAGAGCATGTCAAAATGCCCAGCCAATTGGCAGTGATCATTGTCTTGTTCGCTCGGATGAGTCGTAGTACGCAACTTTGCAAGTCAATGAATCTGCATAACGCATTGTAGGCGCTTATGGCACAGAAGGTTGTTCTTGTGATAGCTCTTACCACATACAGCAACTCGCCCAAGCTCCTCACGGAAAGGAAAAGAAAGATCAGACCTGCTCCTACTCGTCGTCTCCGAGTTCCTCCACCCTGGGGGCAACATAAGACCTCTGTTGTGCTTGACCGCCTCCTGTCTCAATCTGCGTCTCCGTCGCCGTGGTTGTCGCGCTGGCCGGCATCGGCTGGCCGGTAGCAGCAGCAAAAGATGAATTTGCCTGTGGGTTCGCGCTGCCTCCGCTGACAGATGACTTGGACCTCTTCTTCTTCTTCGCAGTCTGTGTTGCACGTCAGCGGAAAATACCCTTAAACCTGTGCGCTCAACTTTTCTTACCTCATGCCAAGCCCACACAGGCTTGAAAGAATCGACGAATGAAACATCCTCCCAGAGGTTCGGGAAGAGCCAGAGTCCAGGCGAAACGACAAAGTAGGTGACGCAGAAGAGGATGACACGGAATATTGCCATGAGGAAGAACAATCCTAACAGACACAAGAAGCCCCAGCTGAGATAGTAGACACCCTGGCGCATTTTCAGCGGCCACAGGGGGTAGAGGACGACAGTGAAAATAGCTAGGAGGGCAAGGGCTGCATAGACCTTGCGCTTGATCTGACTTCCCTCGTACATCCAAGTGTAGTACATGTCGTCGCCAGCGTCTTGTTGTGGCACGATGCGCACTGTCCAAAGACCCTTGACGCGCTTCGTTCGCTTGGGAGGGTGGGCATGGCCGGCATGGGGGTCGATTTTCTCGACTCGGAGGGCCAGCATGGACATGGGCAGGAGCTTGAAGGCATTCTCGAGGGAAGGCCGGTCGGTGACCTCGGGCAGCGCAGGGTTCTTCTTGCGGGCCTTCTCGTATGCCGGAGACTGCAACGCTCGAAGGGCTCTCTTCACTGTTTGGTTGTCAGTACCAAGTAAATCGAGGCGGTGGCAGGGAGGAAGGTACACACCTCTAAACATGTCCTTGCGCTCGCCGTTCAGGATGCAAGTGCGAAGCTTCAGGTCTTGGCCCCGCAGGAAGTTGGCGAGGGCGATGGCAACAGGGTTGGGAGGTCCTGGAGTGATGGGCTGCGGCTGGCCGGCGGGACGACCTTGCATCTGTTGGGGCGGGCCCTGGGGCTGTCCCTGAGGCTGTCCCTGGCCTTGCTGCTGGCCTTGCTGCTGCGGTCCACCTGCTTGCTGTTGCTGCTGCTGTCTTGCGAGCATCTGGGCCCGCATGGCCTGTTGCTGCTGTTGCATGCGCTGGACGAACTCGGGGACGGACAGGCCGGCTTTCTCGGCCTCTTGGGCAACTCTCTGGTTCATCTGCTGCTGGAACTGGCGGATGACAGCCATCTGCTCCGGGGTTGGCGGCACACCAGGCTGTAGAGGAGGCACTCCTGGAGGCATGGGCGGCACTGGAATAGCTCCAGGAGGAGGCATGCCGCCTGGTGGCGCGTTTGGATTCTGCATCGTGGGTTGCTCGATTGTTGTATGTGGCTGTTAATTGGTTTATCCGGGTTAACGAGAGTGTAGAAGGGGAATGGGGTGCCGTTTTGGCAGTCAAGATGGAGAGGCTGGTTGCGAGCGCAAGGTTGAGTCCAAGCACTACAATTCCGCAGATCGAAGGTGCAAGCCGAACAACAAGCTGTCCTGATGGATGTCTGCGCCTTGGCGGTTTTTGGAACGGCAAGCTGTTCACTTCAGCAGTTTTATTGCCGGGGCCGGCCCGTCAGGGTGCATCTCTAGCGGGTACCTAGTCGCTCAGAACAGAAAACCGACCGTGGCTAAGTACCAGAATCACCTCTTCGTCCAACTTCCAGCCACTTAGCTGTTACGACCTCAGATTTCATCCAAAACCCTTTTTACAGCTATAAAACAGCAGCCTAGTCAGATTATATCAGTGTATTAAAAATTTTACCCGATCTTTGTAGTTGCTGAGATATCCGTGGTCCAAAGTTGAAGGTTTTGGTGGTGAAGGGAGATTCGGTCGGTTACTTGTTCTGATCGACTGGTACCTGTGTATCCTTCAGAACTTAGTCAGCAAATTCTGGAAGGAGGCTCGCGCCTCAGCAAAGGAAAAGGTCAGCTTGTCTGTCATCAGCCTGACTCTGTCTGTCATACTCGTCACAAAGTGCCTTGACGATTTGTTTTGGAATTGTCTACTCGCTCACCACATCTCGTTCTCGCAATCGAGCTCGTTTATGGCAGTTCCCGAATGCATTGTGCAATCAGCAGCCCTACACCTGAGTCAGCCCGGACTCAGTAGGCCACTGCATAACAGCCAGCGACCAACTCATCGCCTCCAGCTTCACTGACTTATTCTATCTTTGGGCTCGGCCATCTCCCATTCGCTGCAATGTTTCCGACTGAGCACGGCTAAGGTCTTTTCGAAGTTGGAAACACCCTCATATTACCCAGCTAGATCAGTGGTATTGTCCCGGATGGTCCAAGACACCTGGGCACAGCTTCCATAAGTCATAGGGAGGACCGGACGGTAGTGCAAATCCACAAGATCATGACACAGATCACAGGAAGTCATCCCAAAGGAGTTCGTCCTATATTAGAACATCCCATCCGGTCATCCTGCACAGAAAAAACATCCCAAGATCGTGTTGGTAATCTCAGCCGCTACCGTTGGTGTTGGCGTCTCGGCGAGTTGTTACTAAAGCCAGACTGAAAGGAGGCATACTCCTTTGTCTGAACACAACAACACAGCCCAGTGCGTACCATTTTCCGGGTCAAAGCTTGCGACAGAATGACGCTCCTCGCCACCTTCTGAGACCTTCAGAGGCGCCGCGCATGACAAGCAAGCTCACACCTTCTTTGTGGGTGTTTGGCCGACCACTTTTCCGGCCTGCTCTGTAGGCAGCCTGGTGGCACGAGTCGCCTATTCTTAGAAGAGAGAGGCACTGTTGAAATTGCCCTGCCTCCATGACAAGTGATTACTCGACGAATCAGCGGCTCGCTTTGCCCAGACTTGATGCAAGGCGCTGGGCTGGCACATTCTGGGCTTGCTGGTCTTCTGCGAAATTGGCTAGACGCCTGCTCATTTGTGCCACCGTGCCTTGCGTCAGGCATTTGTCGAATAATTGTCCGACCGTTCATTGTCGAACATGTCACGGCACGCTGCTGTGGGATGGTTACCCGCGAAACAAGTGGCAGCCCAGCCAATTCCAGGCCGTGCAAGCCGCCCAATCCCACCGCGCAATCTATGCTTGTTTTGCTATACCCTTTTTCTGTAACTGGCGCACGTTACCGACGCGGGCCGTTGCTTCTTGTGTGGAGTGCAGCAAAGCAGCAAGCTCCCACACGAGGTGCCATCTTGAGGTGGCAACGACGGATTGGCAGGCACACCACACACCAAAATCCTAGTACCGGTTCGCTCGTGAGCGGGCGCGGCCGCTGTGTTGGGCCGCCCATCACCTGCACCAGATGAGACGGCGTGCCTGGCTTCAAGGCTGGCCAATTGGGCCTGCGACGCGGTTTCAGCAAAGAATAGCAACAGCTACCAATTAGCTACACGCCTCATGGTCGAGGAAACTGAGGCCTTTGCCGGGGGAGATGCACCCTACGTGCCCCCCTCGCGTCTGCCCTTCATCTCCTTCGCGGTCTGCTTTTGGTCAACAAGCCTTCCTTTGGCCTTCCCTTTTCCCTTTTTGGTCGTAGGGGTGTCCCTAGACTGCCACGAAGCCAACTGCCCCAGATGCCCCATTGTTCTCACCCAATCTTGGGGGTCCACGAGCCAATCTCTTCGGGGTTTTGTGGCGACGCTGGAGGAAGCTAGCACCCCGGTGCATGGCTCCCGGGATCCCAGACGTTAGCCCGCGACTTGATCAGCTCCGTCTGGGGAGCTTTGCGATGGACATTCTATCAAGTCCGACAGGATAGCTACCTCCTGGAGAACCTTCAAGCTTTGCAGGGCAATCAATAGGGTCAGGAATCGCGGGACCAACTCTGAGTGGGTCTTCTAGACTCGATCTGGTCGTGTGCTTGAGGTACCTGTCCTAACGTTCGGAGATCCCTGGGAGCTGTGGTTGATGGTGGTCACTAAACCAAGGCATTCTAAGACATCGACTCGCTCTACTTGATTGTTCTTCTAACACAACTGGGCCCTTGTAGAAGCAGGGGTGTAGCGCCAGCCATCCCGACCCTGGCCGTAGCCGCCGACTGGTCCTCGGCCAATCCAGCACGGCCTATCAAATGGCCCAAACTGAGACCTCTCCATCCACGACTCCTCCTGCCTTCGTCCACACAGTCAGCGTGCCCGGCGTGCCTCAGCCCAGAGCTGGACCTACCTTCTGTAGTCGGAGGGTGTGCACAATGGGCGCTGAGTTGCCGTGGGTCTCTGGAAGAAGGTGATGAGGGCCCGTAAGGGTCACGCAGGTAGGTCGGCAATACTAAAGAATAAGGTATGCCACATGAGTTTCCAAGTTTCTCCGTTTTCCCTTATTGCTGGATTCGCCGCCCGATCTTCTCAGATCTGGCCATGCGTAACGTTCTTTCTTTGTTTCCCTCGTACCGTAATATCTAGTCATTGTTTGTCGTGCCTATCTTTCGCTCTGTTTCGAATGCTCTCAGTTCGCTGGTCGTTCTTCAATACCCTGCTACCTTCCTCACACAAGCGGTCGGCATGAGGGAGTTCTCCATATAATCACCACAAAGATGGGTTCTAGTGGCGTGCAGGTCTCACATGGGTGGCTGGATACCATAAAGGCTCTGCTCTTCCCATGCTCCGACAGCAAGGACCCTCGAAGTGAGTCTGTCTCTGGTGTGTTCGGCACCCATCCCATGGACGACAGTCTCATGAGGCGCGAAGCACTGAACCGACAAGGCCTACCAGAAAAGAATTACTACCAGGTCTACTATGACCAGCCTGCACCGATGCCGCCGCCCCGGGCGCAAAGACAGCGGTCCTTGTCCATGGGAAAGGTGCGGAAAGAGAGTAAGAGGGCCGCAGCAAAACAAGGAGATATCGGCTGGATCGACCGGAATTTTCGCTCTGGCAAGAGGAAAGCGCCTCGACCGATGATATCGAACCCTTTTGACTTCCAGCACACTGGTACGGGAGCTGTCAATTTCATGACCTCGACAGCAGACTTGCCTCGATCTGCCCCACCATTTCGGCCGCTTGAGCTGAGCATCTACCAAGCGGACGAGCAAATATCACCACTGCTGCCGTATTTCACTCAGAACACTGCGCCGTCACCACCCCAGCGGGCACTCACTAGGGACACCTTCGACGAAGATGCCAGCACCCTGGCCCATTCGCGGAGCTATTCGTCTCAGTCATTCCACATCCCAAGACGTCCTGTGAACGATGTGGCGTCTTTCACAACTGCAACAAGCAGTACTGGAGACAGTCCTCCGAGGATACCACCACGTGCTCGCACCCGACCCCGAGCTTACACCTCACCGAGCGTGGAAGCCATCGTGGAGCGTATCGCAAGCGCAATGATCGAGAAGGAAAAGCTCGACATGGAGATCGAGTCGGTCAAAGAGCGGCAAAGCTTTTGTTTGAGCCGGCCGTCATCAATATATGGCGTGGCTGGTGAGTAGCCTGTCCTCTTTTTTTTTTTGCTCATTCTTTGAGCATCACGTTTCACTTGATCAGACACTTACAGTATTGCAGAGGATGAAGAACCCATGCCTCCTGTCCCACTCATGCCACCATCGGGTCCATCATTCGCAGAGCGCCTTAGCATAGACCGCCCTCGGACTGCGCCCTCGACTCGATCCACATTTGACATCAACCCTCCTTTCCCCCCTCCTCCTCCACCGCGAAACCAGCACCGCTCTCAAAGCATTGACGAGCCAAGAGCTCAGCAGGAACCGCCCTCGGCACCACCGAGGCCTGTGCCTGAGTCCGCATTCAACTCCCACCCTCCGTGGTGCAGCCCCCAAATCATTGACAACAGCGTCAACATAAGCGTCCCTCTCGCACCACCTCTACCGCTGATCCTCAGGCCTCCCTTGCGGAAGAAGAAGTCATTCTCGCGCGTGTCAAGCTGGCTATTCCCCGCGGGCGTGGAAGACCGCGAACAAGTCCCTTCTCCGCAACACAGGCGCGAGGTTTCACTCGACAGCGTCACCAACGCACCCCGCGCACTCACTGACCGCGACGGGTTCTACCAAACCCTACCGCCGTCGGCTGTCTTTTCCGGCCGGAGGAGCAGCTTCGGATCCATGTCGGATATCACACGAAGCCAGACGCACTCGGTGTACTCTACCGACGAAGACCCATTCATTGGCCCTGGAACAACCACGGCGACATCTAATTGGAGCCCTGGGAGCACACCGCCTGAGGCCGCGAGGAGGAAGGACAGTGCCTCTACTTCTGGATACATGAGTGGGCATTCGGCGAGTCTGAGCCTGTCCCGAACTGGGACCTTCGGTAGCCGTGAAAGGCCTGTGGATGGAGTCGCAGTACAAGGCCCACGGCCCACTTCAGTTGGCGTTGCTTTCTAAGGGCTGCCCCTGAGAGCGAGAATAGAAAATCACGAAGAGATGAAAATGGGCGTAGAAAGGATGCATTTTGGGGGTATAACATGACAAAATTGGGCAAGGGTCTAATGTGGCTATGGGTGGACCCGGCAGGTTGGAACTTCAAGGCCCAGAAAGGCAATGGGCCGGTGAAAGGCGTGGATGAGATATCATCATGGTTGATCTTTGACGTCTGCGAGTTGCTGCAACTTGCGGAGGGAAGCTTCTCGATCGAAGCCCCTTTGATTTACATTGTTTGTCTTCATGGCTGGCCAGCGCTGTTGTTGTCATTGTCACTGCTGCTGGTTGCAGCTTGCTGTTGAAGCTACTCTTAGATACCAGGATACCAAGTACGAATTGATATTGTCCAATAGGACCGCCATCTATCCCAACTGCCTTGGACCTCTGCCTTTCCCTGCCCACATCGGGGACGATTGCCAACGGTGCCGTACATAAGGAAAGGTTCCCTCGGAGGGTCAGCTGGACCGTGCAGGCACAACGGGAGATCTTCCCGAACTGAACCTTAACGTTAACGCCTAATTCTATGCCGGTAGGTGGCAAGCACAGCGCTGGCTTATGTTTGCTCGAACTTGTCTTGATTGGATAACGAGTTTATGCGTGGCACCAGAATATTACGTCGATGGAGATGCTCCTGAGGTGATGAAACAAGCCGTCCCGCTCGGCGGGGAATGCTTATCGGCCCGCCAACCTGGAGTGCCCTTGAGTGCCCTTGAGTGCCCTTGACCGTCGTGAACTGCTGCCAGCACGGCCAGCACTGCCGTGAGGGACTACTGTGGACCCTGCCGCGCAATCAATTTCTCACAAACGCTCAACCGCAAGAAGTCAAGGCGCACGTGGGCTCGAGCATTGGTCGACTCGCATCAACCCGCGAACTCAGCCCAACCACTTCTGTCACCGAGGGTTCCCAGACAGCACCCATCTCTTTTGTCTAGTGCCTCTCGACTCACGCAGTCCACCACCACCACCACCGCTCTGATTCGGAAGGTAACACGACCGGTGAAATGCCGTAGCTGCGTCTCCACCTCCGCTGGCAGAGTGAATCCCGGCATCCTCGACCCGACCCTGGACAAGGGATGATCGAGAGCACGTGCGGCGAGGGAAAAGGGGACCGCTAGTATGGGTCTCTGGGACACCCTGAAAGACACGGTCAATATGGCGCGTGGTAGATATAAGTACAGCCCCCTCGCCAACCGCAACCCGGCGAGGGAGGCCCAGGAGGCACTCGGCTTTTGGTCAAATCGCCATCGTACCGTGTTGAAGCTCACCATGGCCGCCCTGTCACTCATTCTCCTTTACCACCTGGTCACTGCCACTGCGTGAGTAGCCCATCACGTCGTCCCACCCGGACTTTCGGACCTGTTCATGCTTACTGACAGGATAGTTCAGGCGCGTGGTGAGGGCCGTCAACGATTCCAGCTGTGACACCGTCGCCAACGGCTTCCAGTGCTCGCCTGAGATATCTCACTACTGGGGCCAGTACAGTCCTTACTTCGCCGTGCCCTCGGAGATCGACAACGCCGTCCCTGAGCAGTGCACAATCACCTTTGCCCAGATCCTGAGCCGGCACGGCGCGCGTGATCCCACTGCCAGTAAGACGGCAGTGTACAACACGACGATCCAGCGCATTCAGAGCTCCGTGTCCAGCTATGGCGCTGGTTACGAGTTCATCAAGGACTATGTGTACACCCTGGGCGCAGACCAGCTCACGACCTTTGGCCAGCAGGAGCTGATCAATTCGGGGACCAAGTTCTACGAGCGTTATGGGGAGTTGACAAGGGTGGCCAGCCCATTTGTGCGTTCCTCGGGCCAGGACAGGGTTGTCGAGTCTGCGCAGAACTGGACCCAGGGATTCCACGAGGCCCGGCTTGCCGACGCGGAGGCCGATGGAGCCGACACCTTTCCCTACAACATCGTTACGATTTCCGAGGAGGATGGCATGAACAACACCCTCAACCACGAGTTGTGCACGGCGTTTGAGGATGGCCCGGTCTCTGAGATCAAGGACAACGCGAAGAGCATCTGGATGGATGTATTCACACGCAACATCACGGCCCGGCTGAACGCGAACCTGCCGGGTGCGAACCTGTCGGCTACAGACACGATTTCCATCATGGATCTGTGCCCGTTCAACACCGTCGCGGACGTGAATGGGAAGCTGTCGGACTTCTGCGGGCTCTTCACAGCGGACGAGTGGAAGAGCTACGATTACCTCCAGACGCTGGACAAATGGTACGGCTACTCGAACGGCAACCCACTGGGGCCGACGCAGGGCGTGGGATTCACGAACGAGCTCATCGCCAGACTGACGGGCCAGCCCGTGGTGGACAGCACGACCACGAACAGCACGCTGGACGGCAACCCGGCCACCTTCCCGCTGAACCGGACGCTCTACGCCGACTTCAGCCACGACAACGACATGACGGCCATCTTCTCGGCGCTGGGCCTGTACAACACCACCGCGCAGCTGTCCAACACGACGCGAACGGCCGCCGACCAGGCTGGCGGGTACTCGTCGTCGTGGACGGTGCCGTTCTCGGCGCGCATGTACGTGGAGAAGATGACGTGCCAGGACAGCGGGGCCGAGGAGCTGGTCCGCGTCCTGGTCAACGACCGGGTCACGCCGCTGCAGGGCTGCGGCGCCGACGAGCTCGGCCGGTGCACGCTGAGCAAGTTTGTCGACAGCTTGAGCTTCGCGAGGAGCGGTGGGGACTGGGCCTCGTGCTTTTCATAGGCATGGCACTTCTTGCATGGCATATATAGCATGGCGCAACCTTATCTGTTGTACATTGTAAGCATATACACTGGCATATTGATGAGGCATGAAATTGAGTTTCGTTGATATCTAAACGAACATTAATTCTGTTTCTACTCATTTCGAATTGGTTTCTTCTCGGTGGAGTCGGAGTCGCGACTCTTGACTCGTGCCGAGATGTTCGATGTACCATATCTCCGTGCTGGCCACAGCATCTTCTGAGTACCAGCAGCTCGGTCGAGGCCACGTGGGGACTGTCCTGAATGAAGGGACTATGTCTCTGGTGCTGATTGCCTCCCTGGAAACTTGACTGATAGTCCTTTGTAATTAGACTAGGTATACTTTACGTGAGAAATTAAACTGGGGACAATTGAGACATGAGTCTGTCTGCATTTCCCCCGAAATGCTGCCCTCGGCTTTTTTGGCCACAGCAAGAGCAAAGTCGCTGACATCAAAGAGAAGCTCATCCCAGTATGTTGATGATTGTGCAGTCACTCACTTAAGACAGTCTGTCAGTCAGTGTAGCATCCACATCGTGAGGACTCATGTGGTTCTCGCAGCCCTTCTCGGGCAGCTGGAGAGGCAGTGAGAATGGCTGGCATGTTAGAACCAGTGCTTGGGTTTCTTAGCGGGAGCTTGGGCCAATGGGTTGCTGGTGCTCAGCCCACTCCAGGTGGGCCCAAGGAAACCTTACTACCTAGGTACCTTATCGCAGCAAGGCACCGTGGAAACCATAGCCTGCTAAGACCCCAGACCAGGGCCCGCTGGCCCCCCTCCAAACCAAGCTTATTGGCACCCCAAATCCAGCCGGCTGAGAGTGATTGAGCGACGGGAGTGGTCGCTCCCCAAGCGAGCTGCTCGGTGACGGAGCTTCTGCGGCACCACCAGCGTCACACCTTCTCAGCTTCGCCCAGGGATTTCCCCTTGTACGAGAGTACTTGTCCAACCCAACCCGACCCTTTTTCAGCAGCAACGACCCGTTTGGCAAATGTTTCTCCGGATCTTACCTACCTAGCCCAAGGAGAGATCTCACGCGACAAAATCCAAACCTCGCATCAAATGTCAGCTGTGCAACGCCCAGGCCCAGGTTGAGATCAATCAGTCCATCGCCTCTGCCTGAACAGGCGCCCCTCAGCTCGCTCCCATCTCCCAGGTCGCCAAACGTCAGCTGTCTGCGACTTCATTTCACCACCATAAGCGCCAAGTCCGCCTCGCGACGAGACGTCGAGAAGACGACGACCACACATTCAAAATGGTCGGGACGGCTGGGGCGATCATCATCACGATAGTCGTGCTCGCTGTCGTCGGTGGCGTAGGATGGGTCTTCTATAGCAGGCTGCAAGCTAAGAAGCTTGGGGTACGTGATCGCATTCATGCTCACATCGCTTGCTTTCCCTTATTGTCCTCACCCTGTACATGCTATACAACGGCGCAAGACTGACAATACAATCAATACAGCTTCCTCCTCCATCACTGACATCCTTCGTACCTTTTATGCACAAATCCGACCCGTCGCCGTATGGTCCGCCGGCTCCGGCGCCAGGAGGTGTGTCCGGGTGGTTCAACGACCAGATCCGCAAGTTCAAAAACCGCAACAACCGTAGCGCCGCCGGCGCATACGAAGGCGCCGGCCAAGCCCCCGGACGGCGCGGCTTCGGACCTCTCGACCCGGACGAGGCCTGGGACTCGCGCGTCGGCAACGAGGCGGACAACTACGGGCCAGGAGGCTATTACGAGGAGCAGGAGCTGGGGCTGCACCAGCCCGGCCGGCCGTCGCGTCATGATGAGAACACTGCCTACGCCGGTGCTAGCGAACACGAGAGCTACTCGATGAACCTGGCTGCGACGCCGCGGATGGCTCCACTAGGGTTTGACGGGGATAGGGGCAGGACGCTGAGTCGGGACGGACGGAACCCTTTTGACGATGACGCCGCCGAGCCGTCTAACATCAGCCTGAGAGGCGTTTCTCCACGGCCAATGGACGGTGAGCGGCAGGCCGATAACGCCAGTGAGAGGAGGAGTATCTTCCGGGAGAACGTCTGATTGTGTGCAACACGAGGAGCTGGTTGCGGATCCGGAAATAAATTACGAGGATAGCGCGCGAACGCGATACAACGGGCTTGAATGCGGGATCTTGACGGAGCAAGGAGACATGGCATCGATTACAGAACTCTGGGGCAGGCTCGTCAATGCCTGTAGAGGCATTGAGCGGCCCTGCGATGTTTGGGGGGCGGGAGGCTTCTTGGACCTGTAACGAGTACACGATCATGGTTAGGATATGCGGGCGGGAGGTCGTTTGGGCTTGGAGACATGGTTTTTTTCTCTATCTGTTCATGACTGATTGATTTGTCTACGCAAAAGTTGGCGTGTGCTTGTTGGCTGTTTGATACTCCAGGTTTCAAGACCATTCTTTCTGATTCAAAGGCATTTATTACTCTTAGACACAGAGTGCCTACCTATGTCTCACACATATCCATTGTACGGCAGACCCTGGGTCGAAGGAGCAGACGTGCCATGCAATGCCATGCCTGCATGCCAACCCAGAAAACGGCCAGGACGGATCACAATAAATGCTTGGCATCTGATAAAGCCAAGGGTCCTCCCCCACGACGGATGCTTGTGCTGTGCGTGGGGACCTCTCAAAATCCCCCTCAGTGGACCCACTGACGTTGTTGCAGTCAAGCCCCTCCATATAATATGCTGACATGCCCCTCCACGCACTTCCTCCCCGACCACACCCACGAAATGGCGACACTCCCAGGTCGGTGCTTCAACCATAGGACAAGGCCACCTTGACAGAATTCAAGTTCTTCCCAAGATGGCGGAAATTAATTTGCAAAAGGTCCACGATGATCTTGTGGCCATCGCCTTCGAGGCGGGATCCATGATCATGGCTGCGAACCCAAACAGCATCTCGACCGGCACGAAGCTCAATTGTAGGGCCAACCCCCCCCCCCCTCTCTTTGATAGCGACTTAGCTGATCTTCCTCCTCTCTTCCCAAAGCCGTCGACATTGTGACCGAGACTGACCAGGCCGTCGAAAAACACGTCACCACTCGCCTGCAGACCCTCTACCCCAAATTCCTCTTCGTCGGCGAGGAGACATACGTAGCAGGCGAGACCAAGATCACCGACGAGCCCACCTTCATCGTCGACCCCATAGACGGCACGACGAACTTCATCCACGGTTTCCCGAACGCATGCATCTCTCTCGGCTTCGCCGTGGGCCGCAAGCCGAGCGTGGGCGTCGTCTACAACCCCTTCCAGGACCTGCTGTACACGGGCATCGCCGGGCACGGCGCCTACGCGCAGCGCAACGCCTCGCTGGCCGCGCGCGGGATCCTGAAGGACGGCTCCGAGGGCTGCGAGAGGGTGCGGCTGCCGGCGGCGGGCAGGGGCGACGGCAAGAAGGCGCCCGCGCTCGGCGACCTCTCGACCGCGCTGGTGGCCTGCGAGTGGGGCAGCAGCCGCGACGGGCCCAACTTCGACGTCAAGGTCGAGACGTTCCGCAGGCTCGCGGCGAGCAAGGAGACGGGGGGCGCGATGGTCCACTCGATCCGCAACCTGGGCTCCGCGGCGCTGAACCTCTGCGCCGTTGCCGAGGGCGGCCTCGACGTGTACTGGGAGGGCGGGTGCTACGCGTGGGACGTGTGTGCGGGCTGGTGCATCCTTGCCGAGGCCGGTGGGATCGTCGCGAGTGGGAACCCCGGGGACTGGGACCCGCCGCTGGACTCGAGGGTCTACCTTGCTGTGAGGGGCGCGCCCAGCGGCCAGAAGGAGCTTGTGGAGGAGGTGTGGAAGGTAATTGGTGATGGGAAGATGCAGTATAAGCATTAGAGTCGCATGCAGTGGTGTTTCTGGATAATGCGCTCCATACAAGACGATAGATCGCAATTTAGACAAGAATCTGGGGCGTTATACACCATTCACATGTGCATCAGGAGCCTTTCATTGACTCTTAACGAGTGATCATCGACTAGCTGGAACAGTTCGAGGACTTGGGGCAAGCATGGATAAGTGGCTTCTAGCATTTCATTGGGATTGAGTGAAGATCTATATCTTGTCCTCTAGAGGCGGAAGACAACAATCAACCACGATTGTCTGACGTATAGATGTTCAGCTCCCGGAACTCGGCTTCGCGCAGCGAGATACTCGTGCCTACTCGCATATCTGAGGTGTTCAGAGTTGAAGAGATGACAAATTGTGCGCTCGAGAAGAACTTGCACAAGTATTGATTCCCAATGTTCCTCGATCATTAAGCCAGGCGGCCAGAATCGTGGACAATGACATTGCGGTGTCACGCCAATGACATCCCCGCAGAAAGCTCCCAAACAACGTCAACGACAAATCGTGTTCATCAAAAGACTTCTCATAGCTATACGACTATTAACAAAGCTCAGTGCGCAAAAGATACAGTCTTCTCGAATTTCACAGTAGGCCTTGTGGGACAGCCTGTCGAGACACTCAGGGATGCCCGCAAGCACGAGACCACGTACACAAGGGCTCACTGTCAATCACCAAGTTTCTTGTGTAGGTTTGATGCCAGGGTGTTACTAAAAAATGCAAGACAGGACTGGAGTGATATTTTATGAGTCGGCACCTGGGCATTACGAGACCTGAAAGCTGGTATCGGGGCCGGTTGTGTCTAGGATATTTGTACAAAATGAGAACAGCTCACATTTCTATATTCCATCCTCGAGTTTGCATTTGACTAGTATAGTCCTTTTCAGCCCACTTTGCGTTGCCTTGAGCGATAATACCTCGATGTACCGTGGCGTATATACGAAGCTGGAAGCAATAAAACTAAATTGGTAAGGCTGTGCGAATTCTCGAAGACTAAGTAGGTCGACAGTTACTATGACTTGCGGTCATAAGCTCTCTGGACAGATAGTCGATATTTTGAAAACAATCTGAGCAACTGATACTCCTTGCGATCCTCAATTCGATTTGTAATCTCAGACGCCTGCATTCGGCAGCATGGCATTTGCAGCAATCTTTCAGATGTTGACGTTTTCTCGAAAAAGAAAATATGTTTGTGTATAAGAATACTTCTGTCGATGTTAAGCTCAACCAAAGGGAATGTTCTCCACATAAAGATATTCGCTACCGCTATATAAATGAACTCGCTATTTCCATAGAGCCTCGACCATATTTCTGCCACCGTGAATGCTTTCCCCATGAATCCCACTGCGATGTCGGCTGTTGAACTTCCACGCCGTGCACGCGTACAGGCGTGCTAATGATTGCAACTGGTTACACGGGGCGACGGACTTGCCGATAGATGATCAGCATATGCTTGTATCTACTCCTGACCGGTTGCCCGCATCCAGATTCCCACTGCTTATTCCCGCTCGCCACACGGCTCAAGCCTCATTTGCCACCTGTGTGTTGTTGGTAGACAGAGACATTTACTCGAGCCCGAACGATCTGCGCTACTCCAAACTTTCCATCTGTCTGCATAGAAGGCGGGCTTATTGAACCGGCCAGCCATAAAGTAGCACAATTCCCCGGGCAACTGCTCATGTCATCGAGCCCGAGAACCTTCACAACTTTCGGTATATTGTCCTGTCTACCAACTATTTCCTGGCACAGGGAAGCAGAAAATGCGAAACTGTTGCTTGTTGGTTTGAACCATTGTGCCCTTGGTGCGAGAATTGATATGTACCTAGGCATTATGTTCACCTGGAACTTTAGAAGAGACTACGAACGAGGGCATAACTTGACTTGACTAACACATGGAGATGCGCGAGAGCAGAGGCAAAGGCGATGTGGTTAGATCATGTATTCTGCAGAAGATTCTGCTAGATCTTGTATGGTTCGATGGTTTTTATTTTATTTTTTTAATTGCTTAATGTACTGCGGGATATATCGAGTCTGCTCGGATTAGGCCCGATATCCGATGCAGCTCCAACTTCGGAAAATACATCGCCTTGAGGTTTTAGGTAGAATATTTAAAATAAGAGACCACGGGTCTACCCGTGCCGTATCTCTGAATATAACAAGCCAATTGTTTGGCCGTTATTACGTGCTCAGGTACAAAGCAGGCTCGTGGGGTTCTGGTGCGCTTTTGCGGAGTTGTAATTCGACGATCCCCTGGGAACCCCCACGGGAAGACCCCATCAGTGCCCATACTAGTCTGGGGAAGGACGGGTCGGGTGGTACTTAAGCTGCAGGGGTCTTTCAGCCTCCATTTCAACGTTCCGGATGCAGAAGACTATTTAGTTGGGCCCTTCATGGACGTTCCCTGATCCGATCGAAGCCAAAAGTGACGACTATGGGATGAATGGTTCGAGAAGTGAGGTTCTCTGGTGATGGGAGCGTTCGTCTCAGGCCCACATCCGAATGAGAACCGGGAGCATTTCCCCCGAGCAAACTTGCACTAGCAAGACTTTATCCATCAGACCCCGGGAAAAGCTAGCGCATCTCGCACAGCGACAACGGCAGCAACCAACCCCGCCTGTGCTGGGAGATGGGGAGGAGGAGGAGATGGCGTGTGGGAAATTACAAGAGCCAATTTCGATTCTAGGTGGGTGTACGGGCTGCACACACGCCATGGTCGCATCCAAGGGAAGTGGGCACATCAACCGATGTTGATAGGCGCTGCTGTTGTGCCCTGGGACACACCGGCGCGGTGTGCATTCGCCCTGTACTGCATGCATGACAGCCGAAGCGAGTTGCACTCGATAAGACTCGCATCAACATCCGATCTTGTTCAACTGAAGATGCGACAGGGACACGGCATCGTGCCATCCTTCCCACATCTGGAGTGGTAATCTTGCGCTCAACGGGCGGCGATCGTGCTCGACTGTGGTAGTGTGGTGCGACCTCAACAAACAAACAATCGACCAAGCACGGCGCCGTCAAGCAAGCCACATGCATGTCGAGTGAGGAACATGGGGCTTGGTGGTTGTGCGTGCAGCTGCGGCTTGCCGAGGATGGATGCACACAGGTGCAGTAGCCACCGCGGGAGGCGTTGGAAATTTGCCGGCCTCTCAAGCGTACCATTTGATCATCCAGACTAGGATGAGCCGTGGCCAGTGACAGATGACGGATAACGGGGCGGTCTGGAAGAAGAGAGAGCCTCTGCGCCTCGGAGTTGTCTGTGCAGCCTGACTGGCCTGACTGGTCTCGCAGACTGTGCCATGGAACGACTTGGACTTAAACTTCAGCCGACCGGACATGTGGATCTGAAGCCAGGAGCCCAGGAGCCCTGCTGCTGCGTCGATTGTTGATCAGCCTAGCGCGCCTCGATCTGCAAATTTTTGCAGTGGGCCACTCGACGGTGTTGCAATGCAGGGTGCACAGTCTGGACAGTACATTATTGACTTGACAACATGGCTACTCGCTGCCTGTCCGGGCATTCACCGTCCAACGAGGTGTGTTGTTTGCAGAGGATCGACCGACTGCAAGCAGAGCAGAAAAGTTTAGATTCACTCAAGGAGAGTCATTTGTCGGCCCCCTTCGACGTCATTGCTGGGTAAGGGCGGCATCAATGCACTTGGGAGCGAGCAGATAACCATCAAACCTAGGTGAGCATGTTTCGGGAGGACAACTCACACTCACACGCACACATGCGACTCAGGAGAAGAAGGGTCACCAGCCACTCGGGAGAACGGGTGTGAGTAGTGTCTTGTACGGTTTCGCCGTAGCCGTCCCGATAGCCGAGAAGGGCTAGTTGTGCATGCAGTAGAGTCGACAGCAACTCTTGCTGTCAGATTGGTGAAGAAGGTGGAATCCAGACGTTTGTGTTGACGATCGTCGTGACGTTGTTTACGCTGTTCTTCGTTTGTGGTATGGCTCGCGTGCTCCCGACATGATGGGCGGTGCCGTTGTGTGGTGTGTATGGAACATGCACGAGGCGCGGGGGACGAATGCGGACCTTGATGTGAGACATGGGAGCTCCCTCCATGTCTTGGTGTTGACGTGGGGCCGGATGGAGGAAAGGCCTAGCTGCTGCTGGGATAGCGCCCAGGATGCTCGCTACTTCCCGAAGTCTGTGCCACCCCGGTGTGAAGTCGGATTCAACGTGCAGTGCAGAGCAGTGCAGTGCATAGAGTCGATCCTTGCACTGTCGCCTGTCGCTTCGCAGGTTTGGACCGCTCCAGACGCTTGCAGACCTGCATCACGAGCCGCAATGCTCCTCTCGCCTATTGCACATAGCAAGTCCGATGAGTCGCCGAGCGGTCTGGTCCTGCCTGCGCTGGGAAATGAGGATGACTGGGAAGGCAGAACCTCACCTCAGCCTGTTTTCTTGAAATTCAATTGCAGAATGTACAAGCTTCACATGCCTTGCACGACTCAGATGCATACACAGGGAGATAAGGGAACACTAAGAGAAAAAAACGAAGTGTTCATCACATGAAGCTGATGCGAAAACGTCAATGTCTTTGCGTCTCGTGGCATCCCTGCGAGGTACACACAGAGCGAGAACATTCCCTGGTCTGGCAATTGCAACTGCTGCCCCACCGCACTGCGTATCCGAAGCAGGACCCACTTCATGGTCGATCCGCTATGTTGGCGCCGGAAGTCGGGGCAGTGCGTCTATCCAACAACAACCCGCGCACCTTCCCCAGCCTGCACATCTCTCTCTCTGTGTCTCTCTATTCTATACTGTACCACAGACTACTCGGGTTCCACTGTGCGATGGCATGGGCATGGCATGGCAGAGGATGGGCAAGCACCACCAGATACTCCGTCCGTTCTCGGGCACTTGGCTAGGAAAGGAAAGGGAAGCCACCTGCTTCCAGACCAGACCAGCCCATGACAGATGAAAATCATCCTGACCGTACTTTCAACTCCCGCCCCGTTGCACTCGCTTCCGCCCTGCTTGTCGTGGTCTCTCTCTCTCTCTTTTTTCTGTTGCTTATCAGTGCACAGATATAACCCATCTGGCATGGCTCTCACACCAGGCACCCCAGGCACACAAATATTTACCTCCTCCCCCCGTACCACGCCGCGACTACTTCGCCAACTTTCTCCTTCATAGATCATCATCTTTTCCTCCTCTCTTCTTCTCCTGTTCCTCGCAACTCATCATCTGTTGTGCGCCGTCTCTACTACAGCTGTCAGAAGTAAACACACACACATATATAAATATATCAACCAACCAACACGGCGTCCTGCCCAACTCGTTGCACACTCTTCCACGGTCTGTCAGGATCGAAAGAGAGGGGAAAATCCAGCAGTATATTTGCTGCCCAGCATCGACGCTTCACTTTGCACTTGTACTTTCGTTCATCTGCTTCAGTGTCGTGTTGCGAGTCGTAAGACTGAGATCAACTTTCAGAAGCAATGACCCTAACGACTCAGAGATCAACCCGTAATCCGGACGACTTCCCAACTCTACAGCTCTTTCTACTTGGTATGAACGACTCCTTATCGCCTGGATACACACCTCTGTGGACATGTCGACTAACACCTCTAAGCTATCGTTCGTCTCGCCGAGCCTATCGCCCTCACTTCTATCTTCCCATATGCCTGGCAGCTCGTCAAGCGCTTCAAGGTCGGCAATGAAGAAGATGCATCCACCTATTCTGGCCTGCTCATCTCGTCCTTCGCTCTGGCGGAGGCACTGATGGGCATGTACTGGGGCGGTCTGAGCGATCGCATCGGCCGGAAACCCGTCCTTCTGCTGGGATGTGTCGGCACGATGATCTCCATGGTTGTCCTTGGCTTTGCCGACAATATTTGGGTGGCCCTAGCTGGGCGTGTCTTCGGCGGAGCCCTGAATGGAAACATTGGAGTTATTCAAACCATGGTTGGAGAGCTAGTCACGAAGCCTGAACATGTAAGTCCCTCGTCTGCAGCAAAATCAAGACATGCATGGCTGACTTCATCCAGGAACGTGAGTACTGCGGCGACCACTCGTTTTGCCTTCGACTGAGATGACATGACGTGCTAACTTACCGAAGCGAGAGCTTACTCCATCATGCCGTTCGTATGGAGCATAGGAACCATAGTAGGACCGTGTATCGGCGGCACATTCTCGGATCCTCACCAAACATGGCCGACCATGTTTCCCGAAGGCGGTCTGTTCGATAAATTCCCATATCTTCTGCCGAATCTTATTTGCGCCGCCCTTCTTCTTGTCAGCATAGTCCTGGGTTACATCCTGCTTGAGGAGACGCATCCTGGCATGCAGTCTCGGATCCTGCTCCCAGCAGAAACTTACGTGTCTGAGGAGACGCCTCTTAGGGAGACCTCCGATGCCGTCAAACGCCCTGCCGTGGACCTCAGGGCGGAAACGTATGGCACTTTCCTGACCCAGGAATCAGAGGCGACGGAGACGCAACAGGAGTCGGAGAAGATGGTGTCATTCAACATTTTCCGCAACAAGCGCATCATGGCAGTGGTCGTTAGCTTGTCCATATATGTAAGCCACAGTTCTGAGTCCTGTCAGGAATTGGATACTAACCTCTGATAGACATACCATGCGATGTGCTTCGATCACTTGCTGCCGATCTTCTTCGAGGATGACAGAGCCGTGGTTGACTCCATCAACTCTATCATCCCCTCGAATTTTCTCTATTTCCCTGGAGGACTCGGCCTGTCGGTTTCTGCGGTCGGCATGATAAGTGAGTATTCCACAAGCGTTGCGCCCTTTCTGGTCTGTCTCACGCACAGAGTCTTGGCGTGAAGCAGAAGACTCATGGCATCCGAAGACAGCTCCAGAATTCATTTCAGTAATCTCTAGAAACAGTGGACTAATGGGTTTCCTAGTGGCTGTTAACGGGGCCATCGCTCTCTTCATCCAAGCCGTCATATTCCCTGTCGCTGCTGAGAAGGTCGGAGTGTTCCGACTGTTCATCATTGTGACTGTGCTGCATCCTATCGCCTGCTTCTTAATGCCATTCCTCGTCTGGGTTCCTGAGTCCCTTCTGTACCCCGCCATCTACTTCAACCTGACCATTCGGAACATCTTCTCGATCCTCGTATATCCGCTCCTGCTTATTCAGATCAAGGAAGCAGCACCGAGATCCGTCCTAGGCAGAGTGAACGGTTTCGCAGCCAGTGCCGGAGCGGCTTGTCGAATGGTCGCACCGCCTGTCGCTGGGTACCTTTACACGGTCGGAAGCAGAATGGACTGCACGGCTTTGGCTTGGTGGGGAAGTGCGGCTGCAGCTCTGGTTGGGTCTGTCCAGTGCTTCGCTGTGCAGAGGACCAAGGCCGAAGACCACGTTTATTGTGAGGTGGAGAGCCTGGTTCGCACCCAGTCGAAGCAGGCGACTGTGTCTGTTGTGGACATCTCTGACGACGAATATTAATGGTCGGCATGTGTTTGTAACACCGGAACCAGGAGAGCTGCTGTGCAGGAGAGTTGTGGGGGAAAAAGACGAGGGAAAAGAGGAGAGGCGGCAATGGAGGGCTCCGCGACCTTGACGATGATATGAAGGAGAGCGCGGCCACGGAATTAGCGGTTGGTTCTTTGGGTTCACAATGGCGCATGTCACATATATTTGATGTCTTGGAGTTTGGGTTGGGCTTTGATTGTGTCGTGTACGTTCGGGGGGCGGCGTTGGCGCTTGGTGTCTTGCAATGGCGATTGAGAAAAGGATACCACAATACCTAGCATAGACAGACTTTGTATAAATTAATTCATCCCTATCAAGACAGTACTGTAAAATAAAATAAAAATCACAATTCGAGGTGATACTTTGTACCAAATTACATTTAGTCAAGGTCCCTTTGCCTTGGAAAAGGACGGGGGGTTCGTAAGGGCTAGATGGAGCTAACGACACCTTGCAAAAAGCAGATACACCGGCACGTATTTCTCATGTAAAAAATCGATCACCAGGTAATTCTGACGAAATTTATCGAAATCATGTATCACATCGACTACAATATCAAATGTGAAATCGGGTACAAAGGTGCCGATGTGATAGAATAGGCGGGGCCGTCCTGGCCGTCTCGGTCCTGATCCCTGCCTGTTCCGGGTCGGGAGCCTTGGATGAGAGAATGAAGGATGTATGAGAGAGCGGCGGGGAATCTCGCAATTCACAGTAGGGTATTAGTTATTTAAATGTGGATGAACCATGTATGGTAAGTAGTACATGAGAATTTAGAGGGTATTTTATGAATTTTAGTTGGATATGCATTTGTTTTTGTATATGCCTGTGATTGTTAGGCTGATCCAAACCTTCGGATATAACTTGGCCGCCCCGCCTCATCAAGGATTTCAACTGGAATCGCCGTTTGGAGAAACTTCGAGAAACTCATTATCGCGTTGAACTGCTTGACATCAGAACATCTCAACAATCCCGTGGAGAACACTCTGCAAGAGGGCAAGCAGTCTGCCATTTCCAAACTGGTCGCGAGGCGAACCAGTCCAACCCCGGCCAAAATGGTGCAACTCACCGAAATCACTGAGAAGACCGAGTCTTCACTAAAAATCTCAGACGATCAAAATGCACCACCACAACAAACACAAACAACAACTACTACAGACAAGGATTCTCAAAATGAGGCTATATCAACACCAGCGGCAGCAGGTCCAATCGGCCCATCACCGCCAGAAGTCGCAGCCCCAGAGCTGCCGCCCCAGCTCGCCCGCAACGCCGGCAAGACGGCCGAGGAGATCATGGAGGACCTGAACAAATCACCGCTGTTCATGACTGAGCTGGAGGAGAACGATGACGTGGCCGCGCTGGAGGCGCTGGCCTACGAGGGCACGCCGCTTGAGAACGCCACGGACTTCAAGGAGCGCGGCAACGAGTGCTTCAAGCAGCGGCGGTGGCGCGACGCGGTCGAGTTCTACGGGAGGGGCGTCGCGATCGTGGTGAAGGAGGGCAAGCGCCGCGAGAAGGGCGAGAGGCCGCGCGAGAACGACCCGCGGGGCGACGACGAGGCCGAGGTGGCGGCGCAGCGCGCCGTGCTCGAGGCGCTGTACGTCAACCGCGCCGCGGTGCAGCTGGAGCTGCAGAACCACCGCTCGTGCTGGCTGGACTGCGCCGCGGCGCTGAAGCTGAACCCGCGCAACGTCAAGGCGTGGTACCGCAGCGCGCGGGCGCTGCTGGCCGTGGGGCGGGTCCAGGAGGCCGACGACGCGTGCGCGGGCGGGCTGAGCGTCGACGGCGACAACGCCAGCCTGCGCGCCGTCGCGAGGGACATCATCGCGCGCGCCGAGGAGCAGGACCGCAAGGCCAAGGCCGAGGAGGACAAGAGGCGCGCGCTGCAGCGGCGCGCGGCGTTCCTGGCCGGCGCGCTCAAGGAGCGCAACGTCACCGTCCGCACGAGCGGCAGGCCGCCCGACATGGGCGACGCGCGGCTCGAGCTCGTGCCCGACCCGGAAGACCTCAACAGCACGCTCAGCTTCCCCGCCGTGCTGCTGTACCCGCTGCACTACGAGAGCGACTTCATCAAGGCCTTCAACGAGAAGGAGGCGCTCGTGCAGCACTTTGGCTACGTGTTCCCGCTGCCGTGGGACAAGGAGGGTGAGTACAGCACCAACTCGGTGGAGTGCTTCATGGAGACGGCGGCGGGCGGCTTGGTCAAGGTCGGCAAGAAGGTGCCGCTGCTGAAGGTGCTGAGCCTGGACAGTGTCGAGGTGGTCGATGGGGTCGTGAAGATCTACGTGGTCCCCAAGGCCAAGGCGGACGCCTGGGTGCAGGACTTCAAAGCGGCCAAAGCGAAAGAGAAGGAAGTTGGGAAGTCGTAGTGACAGACACGTGCATTGTGAAGGTATTGGGAAAGCGAGAGATCAATCACAAATAGGTCTTTGGCTTTAAAGCATCCAGATCAATCAAGAAATATGCTCTGCACTATGGGTCTATTGATGTCGACTGCCGATCCTATGCTACGAGCGTGGTGGTGTGGACCCCCTGAGAGCAAGCACGCGCACATCTGCCAGCATTGTCCAAATTGATGCTATGTCAGGCCTAGCTTCTTGAAAATCCCTAGAAAAGGTATCAACTCCTATCTTACGTGACCCATGCCAAGGTTGAGGGAAACAAAAAACAAAACCCAGTTCGAAACGCCATTTCCTTAGTGACCGATTGGAATGTTTGCAAGTAAAGCAACGGAAAAGGAGAGGAATTGAGAGACTGAGAGACAAAAACAGAAAAGAAATGAAACACGGATGTAGTCTTACATTGAGGTTGCCCTACGTCTCTTGCTTCTATGTCCGTCCGCCGTCGCCGATACAGGCGACATCGACATCGACTCTTGTCCACAGCCGCGCGGGATGCAGTCGCCCTCAGGGGGCGGGCCACCGTTCTCTCGGTCACCGCCGCACCGAACGTCCCGGTGGTCCCTCACGCTCAAATTCATCAGCAACATGGCCGCGTTCTTCTCGGCACCGGTGGTCGCGGCATTGGAAGCCGTGGGAGGCTCGTCGTCCTCGCGGTCCCGGTCACGGCCCCCTGAGGCTCTAGACGTCGCCGTGGTGACTGTGGTAGTGGGGCTGCTCTCGCTCTGGCCGTCGTAGTCGAACTCCACCTCGGCCTCTGGCGCTGGCCGCTTGGACGTGTTCCACGCCGCTGAGGTGCGGGAGATAGGAGGGAGCCTCTGGGAGGTCTGGTAGTGGTCAAGCCTACTGGCATGGCCGAAACGGGGGATTGCGCTGAGTAAGGGATTTGGGCCGCTCGGATACAGGAAGTCATCGGAATAGGTGTGAGGAAGATTGTTGGATAACGCTGAGGACGAGTGAGAATGTCCGGGGTGGTTCGCGACCGTCCAGCCGCTAGACCGTGGTGGCGACATGGGCGAGTATGGCAAGCTGCGGTGGTGAGAGGCGTGAGGCAAGGAAGGCGTCTCTGGCTCGATGTGTATCTCCGGGTCTGATTCCGTAGCATGCGGACTGTCCATGCCCCTCTTGAAGCACACACGTCCGCCGAAGTCAACGCGGTCCCTCTCGTAGTCGTATGGAGAACCATGCCGGTGTAGGCCGCGGCGTGCAAGACGTGGACTGGGGATGCTGGTGGGGCTTGGGAGCGCTGAGCCATGGCTATAGTGGTGCATCTGTTGCGGGTGAAGAGGCAGGTGGCTGTTGACATTGGCGGCGTTGACATTGGCGAACACCCGGCGGAATAACTCGGCCTCACGTCCGGACTCTGCCACGATTGCGGGATCAATGGCCATCCGACCGTGTTCCGGGGCGTCGGGGGATGTGCACTGGGAAGGAAAGTCAGGGCCGAAGATTGGGATCAGGGCGCCGGCAATGGGCGCACAGAACGTCGCGCAGACGGCTTTGGCGCACGCGTGGGGCATCCAGTAGCCTGTGAACAATCAGTCAATGGCTGCTATGGGTGGATAATGCTATCACGTAGGTTAATTGGAGGATGCTTACCCTGAGCCATGATAGAACCTCCGGTAATGCTGTGAGTGATGTCGCGGAGGCCAGGGTTCATGTTCAGCATCTTGGCTGGCATGGTCTGCTTTTGGTCAGCCTGTTATGTGTATGGGACAATACAGACAGGAGTGGGAGGGCTACCTTCGAGTATTTGCAACACTTGAAAAAGGGGGTCATGCGGACCAAACCAACATTGTAATCCCACATGACCGTGTATTCGGAATCATCACCCGGAACTTTGAAGATGTACTGGAAGACTGCGTGGCAATTGTAAGCATCGGGTCCTGGAGGGGAAAAGATGGTTGTGATAGGTGATTGGAAGGATCTAACCTTCAAAGCTCTCGCGGCCCGTCTTCTCGTAGAAGTCCTTCTTGCCGCTGTTGTAGGGTATATGTCGACAATACTCCTGGATCTTGCCATAGGGGTATACCTGGTATCTCTTAATCTCTCGGAGTGAGGCCTCGTTCAGGTTCTCGAAGGGCGGGAAGTTAACAGTGCCCTTGGCCTTGGACTTGACGAAGCCTCCAGACTCCTTGACCATCTTGGGCGGTTTTGTCGAAGAGGCAAGGTGTCTTTCGAACATCAGGCTCGTGCAGTCGTCGGAATAGGATGTAGCAGGCGACGACAGGCCCGGACTTGGTCGATACCGAGGAGTTGGCGGCGGAGGCCCAGGAGGCGCCGGGTTAAGAAGGGAGGCCAGGGACAACATAGCGGTGAGTCTGGGTCGAAATGTCTCGAAGGTGCAGCAGGAAAATGCAGGCGTAAGAGTAGAGGATGGGCACTGATTCTAGATGGACAGATTCCCAGGCCTAGGGGGACGGGTAGTGGTGATATGGACTCAGACAGCAAGACAACGCTTGCAGCCCAGTCGGATTGGGGAATCAAGGTGAGGCCAGTTCAGGCAAGGTAAGGGAAACCAAGTCCCTTTTCAATGGGCAAACAGGCAAAACAACCACACGATCCTCGCCGGCCCACCCAGACCACCCCAAGGACCAAGGGAGGGAGCGGATGGGGAGTGCGCGGGCGCGTGGACAAGGAACCGAGATGTTTTCTTTCTTCCTTACTTGAGACCGGCCATGCAACCACCTGCAAGTCCGGTGGTTGCTGCCCGTGGCGACGCAGTCGGCGGTGTTCTCGGTGCTGCTCCTTTGTCCAGGATGTCTTGGAATCGAGCCTCTGAGCGGAGAGATTGCCGTTTGGCGGCGTCCACCGCTCTTCTTGGGGGTCGAGTTGTAAGCCACAAAGTGAGTACTGATCGGGGTGAGCGATGGAGTGCGGGCCAGCTGATCAGGCGGTCGTGAATGGTATTGGTGTTGGTGATGCTGGGCCTGGGCCTGGGCTGAATACTGAGCAAGACCTTGTCGAGCCCGGCTGGTGTCCACGTTACCTTTCCTGAGGCATCGCTTCGGCATCAGGAGGCCAAGCCGATCGGAAAGGTCAAACGACTCCGTGACAGCCCTAGACCTGCGTTTCCCGATCTATCGAATTTGTTTCCTCAGAGATGATGGCACCGGTTCTTCTTTCCCGGGTCTCCGTTCATCGACAACCAGTCCACCCTGGTGGTATTCAGGGCCGAGTGGTACTTTAAGTAGCTAGTCAGTACTTTCAGGTCCATAAACAAGACCAGAAACTGAGAGGATAGCGGTGATGGCCGCACCAGAATCGAGGTGAGGTAGGTTTCAGTAGATTTCACCAGGCTGGAGCGCTGACCCGAAAGGGTGAACACAGGCGACTGCATGACGCAGCGGATATGTGGCTAAGGAAAAACAAATCAGTTTGACAGCAAATACTGTAGCATACACAGCCAAACATCCCATTGGCTTGTTTGAAAATGTACAGAAAAAGCTTTGACAGAGCAGCCTGACGGATGGCTGCAGGAGGTGCCGTCTAGTTACCAGGCTAAGCGGCTTCCTGAGAAGGGTGCAACAAAGAAAAGTCTGCCCCTAGACCCAGATATCCTAGACACAACTCCTGCTTGACTCGACACACGTGGCCGCTCTGCCCTCAATGTGAAGGAGAGGGGGGAGGGGGATATCGTGCCAGATCATTGCCCATTGCCCTGCCCCTGCCCTGCGCAGGGGGCGAGGCTGCTTCCCAGCCTTCTGCGCATACTTCTTTGCAGATGGTGAAAACACCTCTGCATTTTCCGGCTCCACCCAGCTTTCAGCCTTCCGCTCTGACCGCTAGAAGATCTGATGGCTGTCTCCATTCACCTCTGTTCTCACAGGAGAAGGTTCTGTGCGTATCCGCGTGGACCACAGGCAACAAGTATTGGGGATGGGACAAGTTGCTTGTCGTTGCTCGTGGAAAAGATTCCACCGCCTTTCCAGAAGCTTTGAGGGGTTGGGATTGCCCGTGGTGGACGGCTATGAAGGGGAATTGCAGGCTACGGGCTGCGCCAACGTGCCGAGCAATGTTTCCCCACGAGCTTGACTTGTACAAGCACGCCGTATGGCCTGAAAGCAACACAGAGCTTGTGCCTGTGCGGGGCCACCATGAAGCCATTTATTGATGCCCGTATTTCCCGTCTGGCCATCCTATGGACAGCCCTGATTTTGTCTCAAGGGACGTGTCTGTGTTAGCATACATAGCTGGCTCAGCCATGCCAAGGTATTAACCATCACCCCAGCAAACGGTTCGTTGAGGCAAGGTGAACACTCTCACGGAGCCGGGCACTCCATCAGTCAGCCTGTTCACCGTGGACGTGTCCACGGTAGATTCAACATTTGTGAGAAACTGGTGGGGTACAGCCAAGAAACAGCGCGCCTATGTGACCAATGTGTAGCCACTTAGGGGCTCAATTGACGGAGACCCTGGCTGCTCTGTCCAGATGAGATCGTCAAGATGTGGTCTTGACGGCGAAGTTCTGGTACTCTGTGCCCATTGAGTCTCAGCATGGGACGACGGTGCCTCGAGTCAAAGTGCCCCTGGTGGACAATCATGGCGGCGCACCGTTCCAGCCGTCATATTTCTGCAGCTTCCCGCATTGGAATGGAGCAGGTTGCCTGAAACGTAAAAGACGGCATGACCAGTGCTTGCTACCAAACGGGAGCAGCGAAATGACAGGCCTCTGCACCTGGTGCCTCTTGAAGCACAGACTTGGGCCGTAAATGTGACATGTTGCTGGGTGGGAATCACGAGGCATGCTCGATTAAGAAGACCCCGCGAGGATGAGGTGTCTCGCGGACTTCGTAGGAGCCTGGGATCCGCGCGGCGCACGCAGCCTGCTGTATGCGAAATGTGAGCCCGCTAGACCTGGACGAGAGACTATTGAAATGGATATCAAGAATGCCGCTGAGCTGACCTATACCAATTGAGGCAGCCAATTTCAGCGCGTCTATGCGTCACTGTAGCACGCCAGCCTCGACAACGACATCTGCCGACCAGCCCAGCCCTCTCCCGCTGTCGAGACTGCCAGGTTCCATCCGACTTGTAAGGCATTAAGTTCAATGGCCAAACCCCACTGCTTCTGAGGCCGTAGCTTTGTCATGGCATGGACCCGAGCTCGTCGTGGACATAAGCTTAAATCTGCCCATCTCTGCCATGTTACTTCTAGAAGTGCAGCGCCGAGGATGAGGAAGGCAGGCGTAGACACACCCGGCTGGTTTCAGATGATTGTGTTCCTCGCGGCCGTGACACGGCAGGACGTTGACAGGCAGGGGACAAGGGAGCTCTGGCAACGCGATGGAGGGCTGTACGACGAGTGTGGATATCCAAACGGCTGTGCGCTTCGATCGGGAAATTTCCTCTCCTCTCATGCTCGGATACATGTCGCACGGCAGCTATGATCTGCAGCAGCAAATCATCCACTGCCCATGCACCCGTGGAACATCCTCTCCACTCGGAGAGACGGCGATCGAGGGGGAAGACGAGAAATATAGAGAAGTGACATGAAGAAGGTAGCTCAGGTTTGGCCCGGTAGAAAATTGGTCCAGCTGGAGTTTTTCTGACGACAGTTCGGGACTCAGTCGATCCGATCTAGGTTGTCAATTCTTCGGCACAGATAGGTCCGCGACGGACCAGGACAAGATTGGCAGCTCGACTATTGATTTGAGCCTGGTGATGATGAGGTGACAGATCAAATGGCGAAGTAGGCGTCCGCTCAAAGCCCGAAGCACGGTCATATTTGCCTTGTCACCAGCCCCCTTTCTCGAAACTGGTCACTCCTGGCGTTGTCGTCTGGTTCCATGCGCACGGATTAGCCACAAAGCCAAAGAGAATATTGTGGTGGCCAAAGATAGCGCCCATCCAACCTCTTCCCCCCTGTTCATGATCTAGGAGAGCCGACCGATCACCTCCATAATTGTAATTTGGAGGCAGCCACAGCAACCACTTGACAAGAGCGGTTGTACCGGGATTGAGAAGGGAAGGTCGCGCAATTGATAGCTGTCGGGGCAGCACAGCAGGTGCCCTTGCGCGAGTTGAGAGGGAGGGGCCAGCCAAAGAAGGCCAAACACAACTCCAGCTGTGCCACTGGAGAATTATTACCCTTGCATTGCAGATGAGATATGGTCACTGGAGACGCAACGTTGAAGATGAGTTGGGATTCGACCAGCTGGTGTTGTCTACGATATGTACGGCCTTGCATCGCACGAGGTCGTTGGTCGAGGTGAAGAACTGCAATGAGCAAGCGTCTTGTGAATCTTTGCTGTGTTTTGGCTCTACTATGGTGGCCGACGTCTGAGGAGTGGCGTCACAACGACCAAGGCGGTACCTGTGTGCCGTTTGTGGCGCTTGCGGCTCGCTGACCTGCCAAGTACCTGGACAGGGCTGTGGGGTACTTGGGTACTTTGGTAGAGCTAGCAGAATGGAGCCTTTCCTCGAGTCCCTTCCCAGGACCCCTGCAAGACGCGCCTGCGTGGGATGGAAGCTGGGTGCTCTATCGTCCAATCATTTGACGGGACGACGATAAGACCGCGTTTTTAGCGCAGTCTCGGACCCGGGCAAAACAAACATCGTCCTCTGGGCCCGGGCAACCACTAGCCCGACACCAAGTGCGATTGACCAGCGCTTACCAGCAACGACATCCATCATCATCAACAACGGCGACAACAAACCCCCCCCCCGCCACAGAGGCTGCTGGCGTTGCTTCTCCAAGTACCACAGCACATCTACACCACCAAATCCTTCGCTGTCGGGCGCAGGACGAGCCCTCACCCCCTGCGGCTTGATATTCCCCACAACTAATCTTCGCCCGTTCATGCATTCGCCCAATCCTCTTTTCCTCGCTCGTTCAGTTCTGCGCAACGGCACCCTCACCAACTTGCGCAAGCCTTTGCGACTACGCGCCTGGGCTTCGACGCCCTCACATATACCACCAAAATGGATTCTGACGCTGAGTCGGCCTTTGATGACTTTCAACAAGATGACTCCGACGCGTTCTCGCCCGAGCCCGTAAGTAGCAAACAACTCCTCACCTCTTCATCCACCAATCACCCTGACCCCCGCTCCAAGTCAGCCTCTGTCAGTGTCGCAAACTCAGGCTTTCTCAAAATCACCTGCTTACGAGTCGCAGAAGCCCAAGGCCAAGGCTGCAGTAAAGAAGGCGACAGCAGCAAAGCCTGCCGCCAAGGCTGCGCCAAAGAAGATGCTCCAGACAACACTCAAGACCAAGGCCGCACCTAAGAAACGCGCAAAGCCAGAGAGCGACGATGACGGCGACGGCGATTTCGGTGGCGACATGTCCAACACGCCTCCCAAGAAGCAGAAGACAGCAACCGGCGCAAAGAAGTCTAGCGGCAAACCTCTGGGCGAAATAGAGAATGATAGCTTTACGCAACTCGATGGAACCTCTGCGGGCCCATCCTCAAAAACAAAGACCGCCACCGAGACCTACCAGAAGCTCACCCAACTTGAGCACATTATCAAGCGACCTGACACCTACATAGGATCCGTCGAACGCACCGAGAGTTCGATGTGGATCTACAACAAGGAGAAGTGCTTAATGGAGTACAGGAAGACCTCCTTCGTGCCTGGTTTCTACAAGATATTTGACGAGATTCTCGTCAACGCTGCCGACAACAAACAGCGTGACAAGGGCATGAGCTACATAAAGATCACCATCGATCGCGAGAATGGCGAGATCTCTGTCGAGAACGATGGCAAGGGTATCCCAGTTGAGATGCACGAGAAGGAGGGTTGTTACATTCCTGAGATGGTCTTTGGTCATCTACTTGCCGGATCCAATTTCGACGACAACGAGAAGAAGACCGTCGGTGGTCGGAACGGGTACGGTGCCAAGCTTTGCAACGTATTCAGCACAGAATTCTCCCTCGAGTGTCAGGATTCGACCAATTGCAAGAGATACAAGGCGACCTGGAGGGACAACATGAGCAAGATGGACAAGGCAAAAATCACATCCAACAAGACCAAAGACTTCGTAAGGGTCACTTTCAAGCCAGACTTCAAGAGATTTGGCATGCCAGATGGCATTGACGATGACACCGAGGCCCTCATGTACCGTCGAGTTTATGACTTGGCTGGTACCGTTGAAGGAGTCAAGGTTCACCTGAACGGAGAACAACTGAAGCTCGGGTGGAAGAAGTACTGTGAGATGTATGCCAAAGCTATCGCAAAGGAACGTCAAGACGTCGACGCAGACGGCAACGGACCCGCCCCTGCCACTGTCATCTTTGAAGACACCAAGGCTCATCAACGGTGGCAGATTGGTTTCACCGTTTCAGACGGCTCTTTTCAGCAGGTTTCTTTTGTGAATTCGATTGCAACAACTGCCGGTGGCACGCACGTCAACTACATCGCTGATCAGATCTGCAATGCTCTCCTGAAAGATCTCACGAAGAAAATGAAGGGGCACTCACTCAAGGCAAACCATGTCCGGAATCATATCTTCATCTTCGTCAACTGTTTGATCGATAACCCTGCCTTTACGTCGCAAACCAAAGAGCAGATGACCACGAAGCAGAGTGCTTTCGGCAGCAAGTGCCAACTCACCGATGGCTTCATCAAGAAAATCAGGGCAACAGAGGCGATTGACAACATCCTTCACTTCGCCGAGAAGAAGGCTGACAAGATGATGGCCAAGTCAGATGGAAACAAGCGGTCCCGCATAAGCAACGAAAAACTAGTCGATGCGAATATGGCGGGAACCAGGCATGGCCACGAGTGCACTCTGATCTTGACTGAAGGTGACTCAGCCAGAGCTTTGGCTGTTGCTGGTCGCGCCATTCTCGATCCTGACCGTATCGGTGTCTTCCCTCTCAGAGGAAAAATGCTAAATGTTCGTGATGCCAACATTGAACAAATCCTGAAGAACGCAGAAATCAACAACATCAAGCAATTCCTTGGACTCAAGCACAAGACGACGTACACTGACACCAAGAGCCTTCGTTATGGTCATCTGATGATCATGGCTGATCAGGATCATGACGGTAGTCATATCAAGGGTTTGCTCATCAACTTCCTTCAAGTTCAGTTCCCCTCCTTGCTCCAGATACCGGACTTCTTCCGGGAATTTATCACTCCCGTTGTGAAGGTCTGGCAAGGCCCCAATCCAAAGAAGCCACTCCAACTGAGGTCCTTCTTCACTATGCCGGAATATGAGGAGTGGAAAGAGTCGCACCATCGAGAGATCAAGAAGTGGCACTACAAGTACTTCAAGGGTCTGGGAACCAGCTCAAACGAGGACGCCCAGGTCTACTTCACCAACCTAGATGATCATTTGAAGGAATTCCAGACCATGAAGCCAGACGAGGCTAGCCTTTTTGAGCTTGCCTTCTCGAAGAAGAAGGCCGACGCGAGGAAACAGTGGCTCGGCGACTTCATACCAGGGACTTTCCTGGATCATTCGACCAAATCGATCACATACACCGACTTCGTCAACAAGGAGCTTATCCTGTTCAGCATGGCTGATAACCTGCGGTCCATCCCCTCTGTTGTTGACGGGTTGAAACCGGGCCAACGCAAGGTTGTCTACGCCTGTTTCAAGCGCAACTTGACCAAAGACAAGAAGGTTGTTGAACTGGCGGGATACGTCTCCGAACAGACTGCCTACCATCATGGCGAAGTCTCCCTGCAGCAGACAATCGTTGGCCTAGCCCAGAACTTTGTTGGATCGAACAACATCAACATTTTGGAACCCAGCGGTAACTTCGGTTCTCGTCTTGCCGGTGGTAGCGATTCGGCCAGCGCTCGTTACATCTTCACCCGCCTTTCTCCTTTCGCGAGGCGTGTGTTCTCTGCGCTAGACGAGCCAAACCTTGAATCACAGTACGATGATGGCAAGCAGATTGAGCCAAAGGTCTACGCTCCCGTCATACCAATGGTCCTCTGCAATGGCGCTGACGGTATTGGAACTGGTTGGAGCACTTCTATTCCTAATTACAATCCGGCAGACATTGTGAGGAATCTCAAGAGACGTATGGGCCGGAGCGACGATTCATCAGAGGAGCACGCCTTCGAGCCCATGATGCCGTGGTTCCGCGGCTGGAAGGGAGAACCTGAGGAAGAAGAGCCAGGTTCGAAGAGGTACAGATTCAACGGTATCGCGAACTTCGAAGAAAGCCAGGCCAAAACCGTTGTGACTATTACTGAGCTCCCCATCCGCATGTGGACGGATGATTTCAAGGCCAAGCTCGAGCAGATCATCAAGGGCGAAAAAGCTCCATCCTGGATCAAGGATTACAAGGAGTACAACGACCATGCAAACGTACATTTTGAGATTGAAATGGACGAGGCGCAGATAGAGAAGACTCGGAAGGAGGGTCTGCTTGAACGCTTCAAGCTGACCAAGAGTCTTGGCACCACCAACCTTGTTGCTTTTGATCCTCGAGGACAGATCCGGAGGTACGAGAAGGTCGAGGACATTCTGGAGGAGTTCTATCAGTTCCGCTTTGCAATGTACACGAAGCGAAGAGTTCGTCACACCCCAGTTCCCCCTGCATTGCATAGAAGAAAAGGCTGACATACTCTTCCCAGGCACACTGGCTTAAGGTCTATCACGCAGACTATCGTAAACTGAAGAACATGGCCCGCTTCGTCGAGGAGATCATTGAAGGTAAATTGGTTGTCTCGAGAAAGAAGAAGGCCATCTTGGTGGAGGAGCTCCGTGACCGCAAGTACGAGGCTTTCCCCAGGGGTGAGAGCGTGAAGAAAGCTCGAAACACGGACGAAGAGATGGACCAGGATGATGAGGACGAGGAGGACCTCACTTCCAATGAACCTGGCGCAGGGGACTACGACTATCTTCTTTCTGTGCGTACAAAACCTTTCTCTACTGAAGACCAGTGCACTGACTATGTATAGATGCCCATCTACTCCTTGACTGCCGAACGCCTTGAGCGGCTAAAGAAACAGATTGCTGCGAAGAAGGCAGAGCACGACGACTTGGAGAAACTCGACGAGAAGGACCTCTGGTCCAGGGATCTTGACGAGTTCCTCGAAGAATGGGAGCACCAGCAGACCCTGGATGCCGAGATCGCAAAGAAAATCAGGAACATGGGCCGTCGTCGCTCTAAGAAGATTGGGGCTGGAGGCGGCCGTGGTGGCAAGCGGGCCAACCGTGGTGATGACGACTATGACCCTGGCAAGACGAAGGCTGCAAAGTCGATGAAGAAGGACTTGCCCATAGTCAAGAAGCCTGTCGAACCGAAGAAGCAGGGCGCGGCCTTTGCTCAGAAGTTCAGCGGGGCAAAGCCCAAGTCCAAGACGTATGGCAATGATGGAGCATCATCGGACTTTTCTGACGATGACTTCGCTGCGTTGAGCAAGAGCAAGCCGAAGGCTGCGCCTGCAAAGGAGCTGCCCGCTCCCGCTGGAGCGGTCAAGGACGAAGATTCTGAGATCGAGGAAATCTCTGCACCGGCGAACAATCGCGCTAAGCGTGCTGCAGCATCCAAGGCCAAATCGTACGCCAACGACGGGTCAGACTCAGATTTCTCCGATGACGACTTTGCTACGCTGAACACGGGCAAGTCTGCTGCACCTGCACCCGCGCCAGTCAAGAAGCCCTCTCCAGTTGAATCTGTTCCTGAAGACCCTGAAGACCCTGAAGACGAAGAGTCTGAGGTCGAAGAGATCACTGCGCCTGCGGATAGTCGCTCCAAGCGTGCTGCCGCATCCAAACCCTCTCCTGTCGAGTCTGGTGTCGAGGACGAGGAGCCCGAGATCGAAGAAGTTGCTGCCCCAGCAAACGGCCGCTCCAAGCGTGCTGCTGCGTCAAAGGCCAAGGCCTGGATGTTTGACGATGATGACGATGAGTCAGAGGAAGACAACGGTAATGACTTGCTCGGTGATGTCGGTGCCATGGTCCGCGGGATCGGCGAGCCCGCTGCGGCTTCGAACAATGGCAGGCTTAGTCTGTTTGCCATGTCACGATCTGAGCACGGTAATGCCGCGATACCCAAGCTGAAGACGAAACAGTCGCGCAATTTCGACTTTGATGAGCCTGATGACACAAACTACGAGCTGCTCGCGAAATCGTCGCCTCGGAAGGACACCAGGTCCTCTGATATTGATGACCTGATGTCGGACAATGAGGACGTCCCCGCCACGACCACAGCAAAGGCCTCCTCAGCCAAGGCAAAGTCTGCCAAGGCTCCGCTGAATGTGGTCTCCGCCCCGGCGAAGAAACCGCGAGGTCGTCCTGCTGGCGCAAAGAATAAGTCCAAGGAAGACAAGCCGGTGAAGCCTGTTAAGGTGTCTCCAGCTGCCAAGGCCTATGCGGCGAAGAACAAAACTTCCACTGCTGCTAGCAAGTCGAAGAAGAAGTCCTTCGAGTTCAGTGACGATGAGGAGGACGAAGATGGGGACGTCGCCATGGCGGACTCCCCACCTCCTCCCCCACGTGCCCGTCCCGGCCGAGCGGCGGCTGCTAAAGCCAAGAAGACATACGCTATTATCTCGGACGACGATGACGAGGATGAGGTGATGTCCGACGGCGGCGCTGGTGGAGGTGGCAGCGATGTTTATGACATGGATGACTCAGAATGAGCGCCTCCAAGGGCTTTCACACGTGGCGAGAGTATGGCGTGAGGCATGATCCATTGCTTCCTTCTCCTTGAGCATGTTAAGGGCGAGTTATGGGTAGGGCTGGATGGGACTGACCACCGGGGTTTGCCACGAAGGGGCGTCGTGGGCCATATCATCATTGCCTTTTTGAGTTCTGGTATCTGGTTCTGATTTCCTTTCCTTTTTGGTCCGGGTCTAGATAATATTTCCTATGACGACCTGGGTCTTCCTCCCCATCACACGAGGACACATCGCACCGCACCGCACCACACGACGCTTCCGTCGTCTTTTCCTTGTCACGATCTTGATGACTGCCTGTATAATACGTCTTCCATAGATATTTGGAAATGCGAGGACTCAGAAAAACAATAAGTGATGCACTGTGACTGTGTGGGTTTCGTGACGATGTCTGTTCTAGATTCACTGGGCTTGTCGCACAAGTGCCATGTACGCCGACGGCCTCGCTACAGCAAACTGCACTCCCCTTGACGTCACTCAGCCCAAGAGTAAGACATTGACTTTATAGCAGGCGTCGGGAAAAGACGAAGTCTTTCGGGGCAGAGACCCTCTCGCGACGAGTCGCCGGTATCGCACCATCAGAGCACTGCTCCGAGCCAGCCAACGACTTGACGCCCCCCTCGCGGTAGCAGACTGCTGATTGACTCAGCACTGGCAGAGTTCTCGAGGGGGTTTGGGCGTACCCAAGATATTGTGTTATATCAGGGTTATGTCCCTGGCTCTGAGCCCTGCACTAGATAAGTCAGAACAAGCTCGGGAGGGAATGGGGGACGGCGATGATCTTCGTCGGTCGACTTCGGCCACTGCTATGGCTCTGTATGGTATGGGGGCCGCGAGAGAGTTCAGGCTTATTTTTCTCAATGTAGACGACCCATGGTTAGCGACCCTTGGTTGCGACTGGGACGTCGTGAACAAGTCATAATAGATAAGTAGTACCAAGGTGCGGTCAAAGCATATGAGGTGCAGGAGTAAAAGAGACTTGATCATACTGTCAGTTAAGGTGATACGCATGGTAACTGAGAAGAACCTATCGAAATTCGAAAGTGCTAACGGAGCAGCCTATTGCAACAATGCCAGGGGAAAGTTACACCATACCAAAGAAGACCATGGCAGACTGATGCAGCGATATGTTATGAAATCAAATCAAACAACGCCAGAGAAAAGGTAGAAAAGACACCAATGTGGATTAAGATAAAACCTCATCACTACCCGTCCACTGGCCGTTACGAGAGAAAAAAAGACTACCGGTCGTCCATCGTCAACCATGAACCGTCAATCTCTGTTTCTCATGACAAAGAGTCAAAATAACAACGCAATCGCTCTGCACGCCGTGATCTGATCCGGAAAGACAAGGCTCTCATTCTCCGTTATCAACATCTCTCAGCCCTTTCTCTGCTACCCACCACCCTTTGGTCACTCGTCTACTGACCACATTTTCCATAACAACACATTCTGTTCACCTTCTGTAGCTCTCTTCCAGCGAGCTAGCCTCGGGCTGGTTCAACCACGTTCGGTTCCATGCGGCCGCGGTCTGGCCTGCCTTGAGCAATTAGATGGTCACCAACATAGCTGACAGACCGGAGGAGTTGCTTTGATCGTACAAGAACCCGCTTAGGCAGCAATCAGAGGCTCTTGCTCAGCCTCCTCCTGCTTGACCACCGGCTCGCTCTGAGCGGGCAGAGCAGGCTCATCGGCCTTAATGTCCTCCTTGGGAGCTGCGGGGAAGTCGCTGTCCTTAACAGCAGGGGCAGCCGGGGCAGCCGGGGCAGCCGGAGCGGGGGCGGAGGCAGTCTGGGGCGAAGCAGAGCGGCCTCGGAGCATCTCCTGGGCCTTGGAAGTGTAGTCGCCCACGTACTGCTTGGTGACCTCGGTGGCACGGGCAGTGTGGGTGCCGGCGACCTTGCGAAGCTGCTCGGTCTGGGTGTTGACGATCACCTGGGCGTTCTTAAGGTGGGTGTCGATGAGCTCCTGGTTGGAGGTGTAGATCAGAGGGGCGGTAAAGAGCACGGTGGTGCCGATGAGGGCAAGACCCCAGTACGGGACGATCTTAACCAGCCAGTACGAGAGGAAAGCGCTCACGCAGACCTAACAGTAGGTACACTTGTCAGCTCAACCCCAGGAGACTGTGTAGGCCGGAGGGCCGGAGGGCTTTTTGTGGGATATACGTACAGCCAGGGAAGCCCAGATGTTCTCGGCAAAGACGATCCGCTGAGACTCGATGACGGCAAAGTTAACCAGCTCATGGACATCACCGATGAGGACGTCGAGGGTCTCGCGAGGGACGGTGTAGTAACGGCGAGGGCGGAGCTGACTGGCGATACCGGTGTTCATGACAGCCTTTCCAGCGGCCTCGGCGGCAATGGTGATGCCCAGGATCATCCAGGTAAGCTTGAAGCCCCATCGGATCACGTCCAGGTACCTAACCGAGAAGATGAAGGCGATGATGGAGACATAGGCGATTGCAGAGGCACCTGTAGACGTCTGTCAGTACTCCGATGCTGTTTCTGGTGCTCCGTGCGGAACCCAGTATACTCAAGAAAGCATGCGTGGGCGGTGGTACGTACGAGGGTTGCGCCACGAAAGGAGCTCGGAGAAGAAGGAGTGATAGTGCGTTAGAGGCTGGCCAGTGGCCGTGGGGTTGTTAGGTGTCTGGCGGGAAGCATAGAGGTTGGAGAGCTCGTCAGAGGTCTTCTGGTGCTGCTCCTTGACCTTGTCGGCAACGGGGCCTGCAGTTCACAGGATGTTAGCGGTGGGAAAGCAGTAGATAGATAAGGAAGAGGGCGCGGAGGTCGCGGAGGGCACGGAGGGTTTGTGGTTAGATAGCGGTGACAGAGCCATGGCCATCCAGCACAGGGGAGGCCAGGGTGCGGCAAGAAGGAGAGGCGTGGGACATACCATTGGTGACCGAGTTGGTGACCGAGTTGAGGGTGTCGGCCATGGCGAATGTGGTGATGGTAGATGATGAGGTATGTTCTTGTGCTGCGGTCTGCAGTCTGCGGCAACGGGAGCACGTGCTCTTGGGTGGATAGCTGGGCTGATTCTCACGATAGGCTGGGAGCAGGATGGAGCTCTAGAATAGGCAGTCTGATGCTGGTGATGCAGTTCGATGTGAGGTGGGAGATTGAGGGTGAGGGATGCTTCTGTGGAAGGAGCAAGAGTGAAGATGTCGTCGCTGTTTTTGCACAGGCGGTTTTGTTGTCGGGGTTGGCAGGTTGACCAGGTCAAGGTCAGTCAGGTCAGATCAAAGATCAAGCAAGGTGCAGCACAAGCACAAGCAAAAGCACAAGCACATGGGATGGGGTTTGGGTGGCACGCCTGGGCCTGGACCTGGACCTGGACCCAGAACCTCAGCAGGTGAGGACATCAGCTACGGCACAAGGGTGGGCTGTGGGTAGCGTGCAGCGGGCGAACAGTGACGCTCTGCAGCTGTAATCTGTGCATCCTGGGGCTACGAGGTGGGGCCTGTGGCTTGCCCAGCATGTAACCTTTTTTTTTGGCCTGTGAGAAACTAGACTACTGTGTCTGACAATGACGACAGCCCGCCCATTCATTCATTCATTCCATTCCATCAGTCCAAAGGTGACTGAATGAAGTCCAATCTTCGACCTTCAGTCATCTCCATTCAGCACCGCAGAGAGAGACCCATTCATTTGTCTGCTGTGATACAGAATACGATGCGATGCACTTCGAGCCATGACACAGGCGGCACTGCTGGTCTAATTACTTACACATATGCAGGACAGCAGTTTGAAACCTTGAAGGTGGGCAAGAGAAAAAGGGGGTCTCCTGGAGTACCGAGTCCCTTATCAACAGTAGCTTTCTACCAGCTTCTCTCTCTGGCCTCTCTGTGCCCAGACGCCACACAATTGTGTCATAGCGCCCACCCCCACTAGAGGACTTTTGGACGCCGTTGACGACACCCGACCCGTCTGCACGAGGACTACATAGACAAACCGCACGGCTGGACCAAGCTCTAGGGAGCTAGCTATAGCTATAGCTTCGGCCGTGGGTGCAGCTGCCGTACCTGCAGAGTTGATCCTCATCTCGGGACACTGTGTCTTCTAAATCTGCAGCTCAGCTGCTTGTAGACTAAACATCGTCAGGGTTGGACGTTGATCCGTAGGCCACAGGATGGCGGATGGGAGGAGGCTGGAGAAAAATAACGGCCCTAGCTGTCATCATCTTGCGTGACATCCACCAGCTGTCGTCATGCCGCCTCGCATTGCATGTGATTTTCCGAGCTAGACTGCTAGACCCCCCTCCTCGCTCGCCGGCCGCCCAACGAACGCCCAGATCCAGGGTATCTGAGACATAAACAAAACAGGGAAATATGGTAACCAAAAGAATTTGGCCTGCTTTTTGTGTGCTCTACGCAGTGGTATACAGACTACTGTGGCATCACTCCTATGCTTGATTCCTCGGTCCAACCACAGTGAGCACATCTGTCAGCCATGCAAGAGTCCTGCAGTTCTTGCCATGGGGGTGCCGCCATTCTGTGCTTTGCAGCAGCCTCTCGCGGTTACGGAGCATACCACAGGCCCGTCGGGGTAGCCTACGGCAATCCTGCTCCTTAGAAGGAAGGGTGACCCAGGCACAACCACGCCCAATAGGACATTTGGCTTTCTCAATTGCCTTTAATTAACAAGGCCAAGCTCCGAATCCGAGAAAACCAAACCTGAGACTATCGTCACACGCGTGAGAGTACGTCGGGGCTTTGAGATATATCTTAACGTCTCCCTGCGCTGCCCATTTCCTAGCAAAACCAACATGAGCTATTGACGTCGAGCTGCGGGTCTACTGCTCAAGACTTGTGCAGTCAATCCGCTTTGGGTCTTCTCCGCCCGATCTTGCGATGCCCGGGCCAGTCGGCATTGCGTCCGGAGGAATGGCTAGACGACGTTTCAGCATGACAAAGAGGGCCCTTGGAGGCGATCAGGAGGGAGTATTTACCGGGAACTCGGAGATGCACACTTGAAACGAAACACATCTCTCCAAAGAGATGCGTACTTCAGTCAGCTACATTGTCGCCTATCTTGGGGTTTGACTGGAAATCATTGTCTCAGAGCCCTGAATATTCGACATCTTCAGGACGTGATATATCTGTGCCTCTAGGGCCATCACCTTGCCTCCATGACCTCCTAGCGTGTCTGTATATTGTCAATGTTTGACATGTGCAGAACGAGCACAAGAGAGAGACCGCAGAGACCACCTAGTTCTGCGAAGATTTTCCTGCGTTACATCACAATGGAGTTTGAGAGCTGTAAAAGAAAGCAATGTGATGTTCAAAGGCAGTTGACGTCTCCATTATGGCTGTATTGTGTTTAACAATACGTAGTGGTAAAGTGATACTGTGGCAGAGTGCAGCCAAAATTTGATCTACTCTCCGACATGGGACGACTTGTTTCTTCTCAGCAGCTTCAAGTTGCAAGTGACAAGAAAACAAGAAAGAGAAAAATCCTTGGCGTCGAACAGTAGACAGAGGCTGGAGCACAACATGGAAGAAATAAAATGTTGTAGAGCCCGTCGTAAATAGAGCATTATCGCCCAGTAACACTTGATCAGGTATCATTCCCTAACACTAAGAAGAAGTGTTGGTACACAGAGAAAGGTATGTATTGTCCTCCATCCATTCTACAGTAAGCCCGATGATATGTGTGTATAGTAAAAACTCCGAAGTTACTCTCACCACGTCGTGCGGTGGATGAGCAGCAACAAAATGCCTCGTCCCCAATCTAATCTCTTTGTGAATGCCTTCCGCCGCCCATTTGCAATGCTTTTCAACCAAGAATTGAAGCTCCTGCTAAAAATGCCGCCCCCTACCTCTCCCATCAATTGCCCCATCCAGTCTGCACTGGATGGGCAGGGTATTTGGATAAATGCTGAAATCCCGACTTTAACTGGCTAGAATAAAAAAGACAAAAAAACAAAGGCCACCTTGGACACTGTAGTGATGTTGATGCTCTCCTCTGAACGTACAAGTTTTCCCCCTTATCAAGCATATGCAAGCTCTCTTGTTGGCAAAAGCAAAGATACGCCAGGGTATCCAAGCGAGCGATGATTCAAAAAGACAAAGCATAGCGTATGTCGACAGGTGTGTAATGCAGCAACACCTGCTTATTTCCTGCCCCAGCCCCAGAACCCACCACCACCTGAGGTCGCTGCTGGTGCCGCCGCCGGGGCTGGTGTAGCCGCCACAGGTGCAGCAGTCTTCTCAGCAGCCACCGGCGCTTCAGCAGCCGGCGACGAGAAGCTCCGGAACATGCCCATAACGGATCCAGATGGAGGTTGAGCTTGCAATGGCTGGTCCCCTGGCGGCAGTCCCATTTGCTTCCGGAGCTGCTCAAGTTTCTGTTTTGCCTCTTCGGCCTCTTGTTTCGCGACAGCCTGCGCCGTCTTGGCCTGGACCAGCTCAAGCAGCAATGCCTCGTTGTCGTCAGCTGGAGATGGCTGCTGTGACGCCGGCGTTGGCATCGACGTCGGTGCCGACGTCGGGGGAGGTGGCATGGGCTCCTTTGGATCAATCATAAGCAATGACGATGTACGCTTGTTGATGCTAATCTGCGAAGGGGTCGACTTGCTGCGGTTGAGCTTGAACTCCCGCAGGCCAGCATTGGTGGACTTGGTGCTGGGGGTTCTGGACAACCAGCTGTTTCCACCGTCGTTACCGGTCGAGTCAGAAGCGCGCACGCGCATGCTGTGAATCTGCTTCTCCAGACGCTGTTTGTCGGTGTGCAGGTTTCGCACGTGGGCGTGGCTTTCCCGCAGCTGCTCCTTCATGGTTTTGATCTCTTCCTCGAGGTCCAGGGCCCGCCTGTTGGCATCTTGAGTCCTGGTCATTTCGATGCGCAAATGTTCTTTGGCTCTCGTGACATCATCCCGCATCTGCGTCTTGGTTTGTGTTATCGATGACCGTCTCTTGTTGGGATCGATGCCGAATCTATCCTCAAGATTGTCCAAAAGCTCCGAAAGCCCCTCGCCAGTGAGCTTCTCTCCATGGCCGTGATCCGCGCCGTCATGTGGTTTGATTGTCTCTTCGCTGTCGGCGCTGTGTGCAGTCGTTAAGGTCTCGTTGCTTGCCTTCTTCCTCAATCCGCTAAGCAGCGTGCGGACGGCCGCGCGATCCTCTTCCCTCTCTTCCCTCTCCTTTTGTAATTGGTCGGCGAGCTGTGCGTGTTGTCGCTGAAGATCGCTCAGGGCGACGAGGAGGTCTTCGATCTGGCTGTGGAGGTTCTTGCTATCGGAGTTGTTGTTTTGGACGGCCAGCTTGCCGGGGATGGCGCTGTCGTCGGCGGCCGAGTCCCTGGAAATAGTGGTGGCTTCGGTAAGTACACTTGAGGCAGACGAGGTGGAGGTTGACGAGCCGGCCTCCATGGAATTCAAGGTAGAGGCTAGGCTCTGCTTGGATGCAGTGCGCCGCAACATGCTCATTGGGCGCGATGCTGCTCCGGGGGTGAGGTTGGCGGAGGTTGTATTGGGCGATGCTTTCAGAGAGGTGGTCGAGTTGGCCCAAAGGCGGCCCAGGAAGCGGGATGCAGCAGTGGACACGGCCGATGCCCGTGCAGCATTGGCGCTTGTATTGGCGGGTGGGGTGGTCAGTTGGCTCTCCCTGTACCCCTGTTCTAGCGCCGCGAGTCGTTCTCTAGTCACAACGCTGGATAGACTGACAAAGTCATGCACAAACTCGTCAGCGTTGTAGTGGTAGCAATCCCACAGGCCACGGGAGAGGAGGAGCTGCAGCACATCCTCCATTTCGGTGCAGGCAAGGATGCGCCCCTGATTCTTGCGCATTAGCGACAGGGCCACCCGCATGATCGTCTCGATTGCACCCTCGGCAAAAATGACATCGTAGATGCGAAACAGCATCGGCAGAGGGCATGTCACCGCGAAGAAAGACAGGAACCATTGTGAAACGTAGGCGGGATCGACCTGCAAATCATCGAGGTGGCCTGACAGCGCTGGCAGATCCAACCGTAGCAGTTCCCGGAACTGGTAAATCTTGACGTGCAGCCCATGCAGGTCCGGCGTGAAGGACGACCGCAGATCATAATTCTCCATCAACCTGAATCGGTGTCAGTGTCCAAATCATCTCATCTCGCCAAGCCAAACAAGACCAAAACAAAAATCGGAAGATGGCGATAGACACTCACTTGACCAACACACAGAACGCCTGTTTGTCCGTCATGTGCATCAGGAGGGGCCCGACCAATAGTGCGAGCCCCTGACAGTACCCGATCTTCTGGTCGTACAAACTGTAGCATTTGAGGACCCGCCCCAGCATCCGTTGCCCGTCGCCGTCAGGGTCACGGAACATGTCCACCCCCGGAAAGCTGCGCCCGAGGTCCTTGCCGATCAGGCCCTCGTACGGACTCGACTCGCCGGTGAACCTCTCGAATGCGTCCTCGAGCGTCGAGTCCCTCGCCCCGGACATGCTCTGCCAGACAACTCCACGAAGCGGCGGTGGGATGCCCTTGCGGATCTTATTGGCTAGCAGCGTCGGCAGGCGGGCGGCCGTTTGTTGGTAGTCCTTGACAAGTGCTGCGTAGAACTCGAGGTCTGTCATCGGAGGCGGCGGCAGCATCGAGTACCGCAGAGGGGCCGCAATGGGCCCCTGGACCATCTCTCGTAGCTGTGCCATAGAAGGCGGTCGCGGCTTGCGGGCAGATTGCTGAATCCTTTCGAGCGGACTCTTGGCCTTAATACTTTTTGGGTTGGTGGCCAGCTCATCATTTGCCTGCTCGAGGCGTGCGAGGAGCATGGCAGTGGACTGTAGATAAGGGCTTTGGTCAGCAGGCAGACGCAGCCAGAAACAGAGGGAGGCCCATTGGGAGGCCAATGGGTAGGCCCGAGACCGGGATGAAACGTACGTCTTCAGAATCGTTGTCCTTGACCACGGCGTCCTCTGTTTTCTGCAGTTGCTCCCAGTTTACCTCTTCGTCGTCGTCGTCAGAGTCCTCGTTGATTTCAGCGCCGCTTATCGTCTTGCTGTCGTCCTCGGTATCCTGGAGTGCATCCAATTCTTCTTGCAAATTTGCTTTTGAACCATACGTGGTCGTGACAGGGCTCATAATCTCGTCTTCCAGCTTTGTCTCAGAAGACGCACTAAGGGGGCTGGGGCTGATCGGGCTGGCACTCAAGTTGCCAGAAAACAGACTCCTCCTGTTCTGAATCGTGCCATTGGTGTCCACGTTGGTGTTGAGGGTCAGCTGTCTGGGCGGTTCCGACAGGCGGACGGTGACCAGGGAATCGTGCTCGTCGTTTCGCTTCACAGGGCCCTCAGAAGGCTGAGAGCTGCTTCTCTGTCGGGTTGTCGAGTTCGAGGTCGACGACCCATGGTTGTCGACCTCCATTGGGGCGGGATGTGACTGGAATGCGGGTGTAGCCTGAGTGACGTGCCCTCAGGGCCGCGGCAGCAGAGGGAAGCTTCCGCAGAATGCAGGCGGGAGAGCAGGCGGGAGAACAGGCAGGCAGTCGGGTACAACGGGGTTCGATCGAGTCGTTCCTGAAGCTTCGCAAGGGATCGATGTAGCTGTCAATGCATCCGAGGAGGATGTGTGGGCGTATGTGCGTGTGTGTTGTGTGCTGGCAGTTGGCCGCAGGGATGATCAATGGATAATATCTCCAGAAAGGCGCGTCCTCCCGTCGGGCTGTAATAAGGTCGGTGTGGGCTCCACGGGTGCCTTCGTTTTTCTTCTGCTGCGCAGGGTTTGGAGGCAAGCGAGTCGAGGGGTGATGCCAGGGGCTCGCCCACAAAAGCTCCGCTCTGACAAGGGCACTGGAGGAGGAGAGTCGTGCAAGAATGGATCGACGTCAAGGGAGTGGATGGGAGACGCGCCACACTCGGTGGTGTGCTCAGCAAGTACAGTAGTCGACCTCTCTTTGAGAATTCTCTCGAGTGGCCACTCCAGGCCGAGTTGCAAAGAAGTGTAGTGGTGGCGGCAGAAGTCGTCCTTTGTTAGGGTGCCGGGCAACACAAGGGAGTTGAAACACGGCGAGAGCCACGACCCGCTTAATGTCTGAAAAAGAAGCAGGGGCAGGGACGATGTCAACAACTGCAAGACGTCTCGAAAAAAGAGACTGAGACCAGAAAAAAAGAAGAGAAGAAGACAGAAACAGTAGAGAGAAGGAGCAATCCCCGGGCAACAATCGTAGAGAGAGTGGATACGAGAGAGCCTCAATTCAAACGAACGACGATGGGGTTGGTGGTTTGGGTGGAAACAACAGGAAGGTCGACCGGCCACTGTGCTGAGGTGGTCACCAGGTGCAGTACGGTCTTAGGCGAGCGGTGTATAAGCACCCCAAATCGAGCGCGTCAGAGTCAATGCAGGAGCCCCTTTTCCCCAAGCTTTGCTGCAGCCATTGGACATAAACTTTAGAATAGAAACCAAGCCAGTCTAGCAAGTGCACTCTGCGAGGCGATCTGCAAACTAATGCACGACAGGACAGACTGCCAGGAACAGAGCTCTCTGCAAACCTGCCACACTGCAGGTCCTCTGGTCTGCAGCTCCTGTCAGCCTCCCGCCTCCCACCCGATGGTCCCCTTCTCCCGCAGCTTCGACCCCTGAAACGGGCCGCTATTGGCTTTGAACACCCGAGTGCTTGCTTCAGGCCCAGGTCAGAGTCTCTTAGCCGCTTCGTCGCGTGGGCAGGAGCCGTGGTTCTCTGGCTGTGGTTCGTCTTCTGCCCAGTAGGCCCTCTTAGGGCGCTGTGGTTGGTGATGTCAGACCCCTTGTGGCATCACCTTGTAATCTCGTGTGGTCTTCCCACCGGAGGTTGTCCACCTGCCAGGCCCTTTGCACAACCTACAGTGGATTATCCCACAGGACATCTACGAGGGATTGTGTTGCAGCATACGGCAAGTCATCCCACAGTATCTGCTTTCAAGTCTTTTTGCGGGAAGCTGTCCCACTCGCCAAAGCCCACCCTCACGTTGTCATCGACGATCTTTTGTTACCAAGGCAGAGAAACCCAGCCAGCCAGCCCGCCCAGCCCATCCGCGGAGACGGCTGGCTCCGCAAAAACCAGGCTCTAGGCGTTCTAAGCCCACGAACAGTGCCGGCGGGTCCAGCACGTCCTGTGGGTCCCGTAGAAGAGAGATTCACGACGGTGCCTCTCTGTAGGTATCTCCGAGGCCCTGTCATTCCCAATCTGCTGCGTGCTCTCGGGGGGCGATGGCCCGGGAACAGAACAGTGTGCGGTCGACCGTTCGAGATCGTCCCATCGCCCGCTCCAAAACTTATCTCGCACACTGGCAGATCCCCAGAGCTACGTATTGCAACCTTCCCAAGAATAGCTCCCGAGCGCAGGTCAGTGTGAACAGTTTCCCCCCTGGGTGTTTGTCCAAGTGTGGAGATCCCTGTCCCTGCCAATGCAGCACCCCGACGGTGATCATTTTTGGGCCGCTCGCCCACCCACGTCCTCTCTGCCCTGTGACAGCCTTTTGTGTGGGAGGAAGCCGACAGAATTCCTATTTACCTACAATTACCTGCGCCTTCTTAGAGTTCTATGTGCGCTCTCTGTGTAAATCGAATCGAAACAGGAGACGGTGCAAGATGCTCAGGGGGGGGGGTGTCACAAACAGACCCGGCCGAGACGACCCGGTGATTCCCATCCAAACAATCATCCAAACAGCCAGCGGCCAACCGGCGGCCAGCCGAGCCCTCACCCAGCCCTCACCATCCCCAGGGCTTTATATCTCACTTCAGAGAGGTGTTTCGAGTTGAACTCTGCACCTCAAACCGACCTAGCTTACCCCAGCCCATGCTCGAGCCCGATCTCTTGGGCTTGCTCGAGTTTGGTGCAAGCAGGTTGGTCATGAAAGGGCTCTGGGGCATTGTGAAGGACGTGACCACCATGTGTCGACACAATCGGCGTACTCTGTGTTGCTTGCTATTTAATGCAATCCTCAAAGTCTTATCCGTTTCCATTAATTTCCAGCCAGGCGGTCGATCGTATTTACATGCCCAATTTCCCGTTTTCACGCCTGCTGGGCCTTTCTTCCCAGTACATAATCCCATCAGGTCACCATACGCCAAGGTCACAGCGTCAGAACATGCATGTTCTTTGGGTAGGGAGCTGGTCTGGTGTCGACCATTTTGTAACCAGTATCATAGGCGGCCCAGCCCGTAAAGCACCCGCCTCCAAGGAACAATCGACGCCAGGACGCCTCACACGGGTATCTACTTTTCTCGAATGAATTTGCCTGCCTCAGTGATCAACCTCTGACACCTAAGCCGAGTTGGCCTGGTTTGTCGGTGTTGCAGCATTCGACATCTGCGGCGTACCGTGATGTGCAGACGACGCGGGTGATTGAGGTATTGGTATTGATCCAAGGCTCCCCATTCGCTGTGCATTCTGCATGGCCATCGCGGGATTCGCAGCCCCTGGCTTCATCTGGGGTCTGGATACGGGCACGTTGTTCGGGTCGATGCCGGGGAAAAGAGTCTGCAGCTTCTGGTATTGTTCTCTCATCAGTTTCTCCCTCTCCTCGCGGTCCGCAGAACCGTCGACTTTTTCGGCATCCGGTGTTGCCGCCATCGGCCTGAGTTTGAGCCTCAGCGTAAGGGGCGGTGGAGTGAGGTAGGCTGGTGCATGTTGCGATGATTGCTTCCGGTCCGCGAGTGAGGCCAGGTAGGCAAGGTTAGCCTGCAACCTCCTACAAACCCTGTGATAACGATCAGCCACTTCACGTTCACAACGGAAACAGGTTTAGACGAAACCACATACTGAGCCCAGTCATGAGCGAACGCTTCCTCCTCCTCCTTCCTCTCCTTCTGTTGCTCGGGTGCCGCGGAACTTGCTGCTTCCCGTTTGACCTCCTCTAAGTTATGCCTTAGATTGATCGCCTCGAACAAGAGCTCCTGATTGATCTCCAACAGCAGCGAGATCCTCTCTTGCCCCTTGGCCTGCGAATTGGGGCTCAATGGAGTTGAATTTCCATTGACCGCTCCCTGCCCTGTCATGGGAAAGGTTGGAGTCTGAGGAGTCGTTACGCTATTCGCCGATGGTGGTGCCTGCGTCGGAGTCTGGCTCTGCGCCGCGGCTTGAGGGTTCGAAGGTGTCCCGAACTGGCCTTGTTGAGCAGGTACCGTCGGATTTGGTGTCCCTTGTGAGCCGGGAAACTGACGAGGTGGTGTTGGAGTGCCCATGCCACCAGAAGCCTGCTGTGACTGCTGCTGCTGCTGCTGCTGCATGCGTTGTATCAATTGCTGTTGCTGGTTCATCGGATAACCTCCCATGGGCCCACCCATCATATAATTGGGATTGAACTGGCCTTGGGGGCCTGAAGTGGACGGAACGCCGGCTCCATAGGGCGAGCTTGTATAAGGCGTATGGAAGTTCACTGCACCTTTGTCAGTCATGACTTGTAGTATCAGTGTTTGCCGTCGCGCATGTTATGAGACAGAATGGCAACGTCTTCGGCAAGACGAGGAAGGGGTAGGTGCTTGGCCATGACGACGGCGGCGGCGGCTGCTGGGAACACACTGCTCATGGAAGAAGAATGGAACTGGGCGTAGGACAAAGAAGGAATAGAACGACCAGACAAGGTAGGAGTTTGGGCCGGTCAGAGCGTGTGACGCGGGTAGTAGACGAGAGAACGGATAAACTCACTCTGACCGTTAGCGGGCATCTGCGGCATGGCGGTATTTTGCATCATTCCTGCAGGGCCAGCACCACCACCCGGCATCATTGCGCCTGGGTTGTGAGCACCAGCATACCCACCAGAGACAGATGGTCCCATGGAGAATTGTTGGTTATACATCATCTGCTGCTGAGGCTGGTTTTGACCAGGACCGGGCTGCATCTGAGGGCTCTGGCCTGGTGGGGCACCATTGAAAGCTTGTCCTGCAGCGTTGCCGTAGCCATAAGGAGCCGAGTACATGGCTCAAAGCCCAAAGGGAGACGGTAACGGCCCGGGGGACGAGCAAACAGACGATCAACTGAATTAGGAAGTGCGATTCGCTTCAGGTACGTACGTACGTGTCCCTGCGGGCGGTCGATATTGTGTGGGGGGTACCTTGGTGTGTGGGTAGGGATACGACCATCAGTCAGTCAATCAATCAATCAATCTTAACAGCAAGCTTGATTGACAGCAGTGCCGGGCCGCGTGGGACGGACAATCTGACAGGCGGCGTGACGGACGATGTACCCAGGAGTACAGCGGCAAGCAGGGCCTTGTCTTGTCGCGAACCAAGCCAATCCTGAGGCACAGACACGCTCCAGTGACGAGCCTATGTTCCTTTCACAAGGTGGATCAGGCTTGGAGTAACGGCGGGAAACGGTGACTGGCCCAGCAGAAGCGCGGGATGACGGCTTAGTACCTCTCCCAAGTTCCAAGGCGATGGAAAGCTCGCTCGCTCTGAAGACCAATTCAAGATGGCTGGGGGTGTGTGTGTGGAGAGGCGGGATCTCAAACAAGTGACAAAGCAGACAGCAACCAGCCTCCTGGAACAAGAGTCGAGTCTCGGGGGTTTCCCTTTCTCGCTTGCTGGCCTTGCCCCGGGCCTAGGTCTGGGTCGGGCTCTGGGTCTGGGTCTGGGTGACAGGCGGCCCAAGGGGATTGGATGGATCTTGGCACCAGAGGTGCGGTGACACCAGTGCTTTCTGGCTTCTTTGAGTGGTGACAGTGACTAGACTGTACGGGCTGCGATAGCACGTACGCCAGCAACGCAGCCAGCTGGAGCCGAAGCGAGGATCAGACTGAGACGTGGCTCGGACCGGGAGGGCCTGACAGGAACCAAGGCTGCTGCGAGCGGCAGAGAGAGAGAGTGTGTGTGGGTGTACGTATGTATGTGAGAGAGCGAGATGGGCCGATGGGCTGATAGGCCGGTGGGTAGGTACCGGGGAGTCGATAGGGTCTTAGAAAAGTACAAGGCCTAGCCAAAAGGCAAAGACAACCTAGATGATAGTAGGGAAGAGTCGACGAGGCGACGTAGAGAAGGTCTCAAGTTGGGGGGCCCAGTGGATCAATGCCACACTGAGAGCAATGAACCTAATCTAGGGGGGCCGCAGTTGGGCAGGGGGTGGGATCGTGGGGACGGAGACGGGGACGGGGACGGGCACTGGGGAGGGGGAGGAAGATGCTGGGAGGCTGGAAGGCTGGAAGGCTGAGAGTCTCGGAGTTCTGGAGCAGGCGGGCCGTCATGCGTCAAAATGCGAGATGCAAAGATGGGAACATGAGCCGGAGCAAATGAGCAAATGCGGTGTGATGCTGGCGTTGGCGCTGGGCGGGTGCTGTGCTGTGCTGTGCTGTGCTGTGCGATCGGTTGTGTGCTGCGCTGGGGATGGATGAGTCGTCGGACGGTCGGTCGGTCGGTCGATTCGCTTTTCTGGCGGGCGAGAGTCATCAGACTTTTTTCTCTCTCACTCTCAATCTCCCTCCCCCTGGCGCGCGGCGGGCGCAGCAGGATCCGAGGGGGAAACAGTCAGGCCAGCCCAGCCTGGCGCCTGTCAGCCTGTGTCAGTGCGGGAAAGTGGGCTAAACCCGTGGCACCTCCTCTCTCGAAGAGCGCGTTGCCTGGCGCTATTCCTATATAGGCTAGATCAACCAGGGAGTGTGGAATTATCATCGTACACAGTAAAGCTTGCTGTATTGCCCGCTATATTGCCCGCCGGGACATTGCACTACGTATCTATCACAAGCACAGTACGTGGATACATGATTACGCAGATACTTTTGTGCACTGTCCGGCTGGACACAGTCCTGTGTGAAAGGAAACCTACCTTTAGGTTTGGAAGCCTATTGTATATGAGGCTCTAGGTTTCCAATAGCATATCCTGTGTCCCATACGGACCAGGAGTCAGCTGAATGAGTTCTTTCTCAACAGGGTGGCAGCATCAGTGTTGCAAAGACAAGATCCTGTGACATCACGCTGCTTGATGCAAGCACATGTCGGTCGATTTACATCGGGGCTTGTGGAATTTCGTGCTTTTACAGCTTCATTACTGCTGCTTTGGAGTACTATGGTTGCCTGCGCGAGACCGTCCCTCCCTCTTGTCAGCCATAATGAGTCCCGTAGGACGAATTCCCAGCAACCACCCCAATGAACTCCTTCGCAATGATCTCATCTGTCAAGATAGCCAAAGTCAGTCGGGTTTAATTCAACCAGAGTTGATAATCCAGGGATCTATGTTACACCAGCGAAGCATGAGGCAGTCACTCACCTGTCCTTTTCGATGGATGCAACGCGTCGTACCACAAGAACGTGTCCAGTGGGTTTACCTCATCGACACAATTCGAGCCTGACGTGTCGCAGTGATGGTAATACCCGGTCACATTCGCCGGAGCATCCAGGTAGGCCGACGGATCGTTAAAAATGTTCGTGATCAGGGAGTTCACATCGAAGATATCGAATGACGCATCCGGCCACCTGTCATTGACCAGCACCTCGAACGGCACGCCATAGTCAAACAGCCTATCCACTACTTGGGTGTATTCTAGCATCTTGTACTGGTACTCGGTATTGTTATATAGCGTCTTATTTGGCCAGAACTGGTCTACTCGTTGACTTGAATCAGTAAAGGCTAACTCGGGGTCCAGGATTTGTGCAGCGTGCTTGCATCAGACCCCTGCCCTTGATATTCGCTCTCATGCCTTGCTCGGGACGAAAGATGGGATTGACTTACTGTCACCAACACCACCGTTGCTCTGCGACGCATACAGTGGAGAAAGCTGAAGAGGGGCCGTGTTCAGAAGAACGAAACGCCGCCCTCCAGTTTCGTAGATGGTGTCAAACACGGTCCATATACAGTCGATATAAGACGTGATGTTCGTCTGGACGAGGTCAGCCTTCAGCCACTTGGTTTCCCCAATGGTCATGATGCGCTTACCCCAGGGGCTTGGGAATCTGTCAAGAAAGCCCCATAGCCGAGATCGTTCGTCCCAATCCAGAGCGCGTAGACGGTATTTTCTGCCGTCCTGTTGGTGTACAGCGTCTCGACCTGGACGTCCGCGACGAAGCTCGGTAGCTCGTCCTCGAGCACCGCAGGGAATGTCCGGTTGAGAGATGGGAGATACCGAGAGATGATATCGTTGGAGCATGTCGCGCCGGACACGGCATAATCAAAATACGCTGCTCCCGTGAGCTGCTCGACGACTTGGCCCCAGGCGAGACCGCCAGATGCGGTCACATTAGTCGTCGGGGGGAGTGTCCCGGCCGGAGGTGGCTGCCCGCCGTTGCTGAAGTAATAGCTCAGTCTGCCATTGTCCTATAGCGCCTGCCGTCAGTTATGAGAGAACAAGCAAGCGAGGAAACCTTTTACCCGCGTCATGGGCCATAAGCTACAGCCGGACGCACGTTGAGGCAACCCCAAGATACAAGACTACCTGCACAGGAAAAGTGCAATGTATGTTCTGGGGAACGCGGAAATGGCCCCGGGCAAGCTGCTTACCGTGTAACTGTCTCCAAAAGTGACGAAGTTGTCAAAGGGCTCCGAGCTGTACAAAGCCCTCGCCGTCACTGCGAGCGTGCCTACGACGAAGAATCGGGAGTGCATATTTGCTCGTCCGGGAAACACGATTCAAGCTTCTGCCCATGAGAGGTAATCAACTCAAGAGCAGGAGCAACAGGCAGGGTTACTATTTAAGTAGGCGCAGTGGGCTTGGTCTCCAAGCCATGGTCCAACAGTGTGACCATGAGCGGGTATTAAGACGCACCCCAGGAACGCATGCAGGCTCATCTCCCAATGACGGGGGCACTCCATGGCCCATCCCGTTCATCCGGAGAGGCGGGATGAACGGGCCTAGGACAAGCGGAGCACTTGGAATGGGGTAGGTAGCTTTGAGGAGTGACGCCAAATCCAGCTATGCAGGCGCGCAGGCAAGGAAAGTGCTATTTGGTGGGTGCGAGGCCTTGCTCGCAGTATGAATATGCGGAGATTAGTCTAGTACGTTGAGGAGGTGCGCGAGTGGCACTTAGTCTTACTGATATCATGGGTTAGCCTGCTACTGCTTTGCTGCCGGCGGAAGAATAGACTCCTCAGTTCCTGGACGAGAAAAGGCTGGGGGTCACGTCTCCGCTGTGGGGGAGTTGGGGGATCCTTGAAGGCTTCAAGCAGCAAGGCCGCTCATACATCGTCATCCATGGGATTTTACCGGATTCTTCGGGTGTGGCTCGGGCAGAAAAGTAAGCGCTTGATGTGGAGATATACAACCTCATGTCCCCGTCAGGTTATCATTGACGCGCAGTCAGAGGGGACCAATACCTGAGCAGCATATCGTCAAAGAAGTACATGCATATAGTCTATGTCAGCACACAGGGTCTTTGGTATCAGAACAATAAAACGCGTTGATGTTGACATGGCCGGCTGCAGGGTAATTACCAGTGGACGGACTGTCTTTGATGAGGATACCCCTCTGGGTTGCCCTCATACGCAAACCCTCGCAGTCGGTGATCTTACTTTCTGAGCCTTAGCAGCCGTTGTTACCATGCACAGTCCACTCGACCAAGTGCAACAGACGGTGGAAGCAGATCCATGAGTCTGGTCGAGACGAGCCGGCCCGCAGATGGAAACTGTTGCAGTCATCTCCGGGCTCGGAGCCGCAGCCGAAGCAAAACACGGACGGCGGCGGGCCGGCACTGTGGGCACTGCAAAAGCTCCAAGACACGGCTTCATACAGGGGCCCTGTCTGTGACTCAATCCCCGGGTTATCTGCATCGTCAATTTGACTCACCTCAACTTCATAAATACTGCCTGTCTCTCACAGAAGCTGTTAGTTCGACTGATCAGGCTGTCTGTTCTTCACCAGCTGCGTTGGTTGGTGAAAATTCATTCATTGACGTCAACATGTCCCCCTTCAACCTCGAGACATGCGCTCGACCAAACATCCTTAGACTGCAACCATACCGTTGCGCAAGAGAGTGAGTAGGCACTAAGAGCCCGGTCCATATGAATAATTCAATTGAGGCTCACCAAGAAAACCCTCAGTGATTATAAAGATGACGGGCACAACATCCTCCTTGACGCCAATGAGAACGCCTACGGCCCGCCCATCTCTCAGCAGGCCTCAGCCGCCCTACAGAATGGCAACGCGGCCAGGCTGGACCTCCTAGGCCTGCACCGCTACCCAGACCCGCACCAGCACGACCTCAAGCAGCTGCTGTGCAACTTGCGCGGCACCCACGCCCACACGGACAAGGCACTCACCCCGGAGAACCTCTTCGTCGGCGTCGGCTCCGACGAGGCCATCGACGCACTGCTGCGCTGCTTCTGCGTCCCCGGCCGCGACCAGATCCTCGTGTGCCCGCCCACCTACGGCATGTACGCCGTCTCCGCCGACGTCAACGACGTCGGCCTGTTCAAGGTGCCCTTGCTCCCCGCGCCCGGCTTCCAGCTGGACGTGCCCGCCATCCTGGCCGCGCTCGACGACGCCGACGCCAACCACATCAAGCTGGTCTACCTGTGCTCGCCCGGCAACCCGACGGGCTCGCTGCTGGCCAAGGAGGACGTGCGGAGGGTGCTGGAGCACCCGAAGTGGAACGGCGTCGTGGTGCTGGACGAGGCCTACGTCGACTTCGCGGGCAGCGACAAGGGCGAGGCGTCGCTGGCCGAGTGGGTCAACGAGTGGCCCAACCTTGTCGTCATGCAGACGCTGTCCAAGGCCTTCGGCATGGCCGGCATCAGGCTGGGCGCCGCCTTCTGCGCGCCGCCCGTGGCCCGCATGCTCAACAGCCTCAAGGCCCCCTACAACGTGTCGTCGCCCACGAGCGCCTTGGCGTCGTACGTGCTGTCCGCCGACGGCCTCGGCGCCATGCGCGAGAACAGGGCCAGGCTGGTCGAGCAGAGGGACAGGCTCATCGCCGAGCTGGCCAAGGTCCCCGGCGTCGGGAGGCTGCGCGGCGGTACTGAGAGCAACTTCCTGTTGTACGAGATAGTGAACACCGAGGGCAAGCCGGACAACAAGACGGCGCTCGCGGTCTATGAGGGCCTGGCGGAGACCAAGGGCGTCGTGGTCAGGTTCAGGGGCAAGGAGCACGGTTGTGAAGGGTGCTTGAGGATCACGGTCGGCACTGAGGCGGAGATCACGCGGTTCTTGGAATCGATTAGGAAGACATTGGCTGAGGTGAGGGGCATACAGACCCCTAGCGATGAGGAAAGGAGGGAAAAGGAGGCCAGCGGTGTTGTTGCATAGACCAGTGGCTGCACTAATTTCTGTGAAAACGGATAGACAAAATAGAGGCTTCATCCACATTCCTGTCACGGACCGTTCACGACAGAACTTTTCCACCCCTGGATGCTCAATAACGGACCTACCTGACTGTCAGTCCTAATTTTGGCTTTCAAAATTTGATTGTTACTTCACTATCTGGGATTGTACCCTCTATGAACGCCTGACTCCCATATGTTGCCCAATCCCTCATGGGTCTTGCAGCATTTTGCCGCCTTGCCAAAAAGAACCTGAAAAAATGACCTCAAACAATGATTCCCCGAGGCAAGCGGTCATCCATCCAGAGCCAAGCAGCAGTGCCCTAAACCATTGCGAAGACAACCGTGAACAGCCCCAGCCCCAACGCATTCCAAAGCCGCTCGAGTCCAGGAACCACCGCGACACCAGCCGACTTCGATCTCCTAGTATCCATCGACGTGGTGGCTGCGGAGCTGGACTCGGAGCTGTCGGTCGGGGCGGTCGGGCTCGCGCCGGCGTTGGCCGTTTCCGTCGCCGCCGATTGCCTCACGTCCTTTATCTCCCCCTTGCCTAGCGGCGCAGCGGCTTGCCGTGCCAGGTGTCCCTGGACGGTCTCCAGCGCGCACATCTGCTGCCCAAGCCCAACGCTGCCGTCGAAGCCCCCGACATACCATTTCTGCCCGCACGTCGCCGAGTCTTCGCCTCCCGAGCACGAGTTTGCTGCTGCCGTGGCGGAGGTATTGAGGAGTTCCTGTACGGTGTCTTGGATGGATGAAACCATCAGGGTAGACGCGTACATGAACCGTGAGAGGTAGCCTTTGAAGGACTTCATGTCCGTGTTGCAAAGGTCCACCTGCTCGCAAGCGTGCTCGTACATGATATTTGTCGCATTGCTGTACGGGGTGAAGAAGCTCTTGCTCCCCTGCAGCAGGCCCTCCGTACGCTGCAACCAAGTTGAAGCAGCATCGCCCGCAGTGGTATTGGCCAGGACAGCAGCGCCGTACAGGTAGATGCCGGCAGAATAGCTGAAGGATATAGGATTCATGTCGGTGCAATTTTGATCGGAGTTGGCGCCATCGTACACTATGTATTCGTCATCGATCATTTTGAGGGCCCTTGACCAGTCCCAGACCTTGTTTGCCCAGTCGAGATAGGTCTGGTTGCCCGTCGCCCGGTACAAGCGCGCGCTGATCTGGAATAATCCTCCGTTGCTGACGGAGTTCCGATAATTGAGGCCGTTGGGATTGTCTTCAAATATTTGCCACAGTAAGCCACCGCCACATGCCGACATGTTCCAGCGGCCTGCAAGACTATTCCAGGAGTTCTCTGCAACCTGGAGCCAAGAAGGAACGTTTACGTCGTCGACTTGTGGAAAATTTCGCTCGGCCGCTGTAAGCATGTTAAAGGTCCAGAATGCTTGATCATCGTTGCCCTCTTGTCCCTGATACTTTGGTATCATCAGGTCGTAATTTGGGCCAATGTTGGTGGACAGAGCGGTGGACAAGAGGTCATCATAGCTGCTGTCGGCTGTATAATGAGAATAATCAAGTATGGCACCCATGAGAGCACCACATTCCCACCAGTAGTAAGGGGACGGCAGATCAACAAATTCCTAAGGAGGGTGTCAGTGATGCTGAAAGAAGATAATGACCTGTGTGTGTACAGGCCTGCATTGTGGCCCGGGAGGGGGAGGGGGGAGGGATGGGTTTGCTGAGCCACATCGGTCTTCATAGCAAACAGTTCTGAGCAAACAGTTGCGTCGTCTGACCATTTAAGCCGCTACCGCTAACAGGAGATGCTCCTTACCGTCGCGTTGCCGGAGTAGTACGACAGAGCCCCCTCTGCAATGGTCCTGGCCACGCCTTTGATGGATGCTGTGGAACCTGTCAGTCCTGAGCCTTGACTTTGCAAAAGACTGCATGGTAAACTTACTGGCCTCACCGAGGTTCAGGTTAGGAGGAGGCGTGATTGTGACGCCAACGGTGATGTCGGTGAAGAAAGCCAACACAGCGGCGATGGCGGCGATGGCGGCGGGAAAGGGTGCCATGGTGGCGGCCTCCAGGTAGTTGCTTGAGAAGTTCGCGACAAAACGACGCGATTAATTCGGACTACAGTACCGGAACTCATGAGATGGTACAGCTGGATGGAATCAAAATAAAAAGAGAGGCTGATATGTATGGAGAAAAGAACGTCTGTCTCAATAGGGCACTTGGACGAGCGTCGAGTCCTGGACGTGTGCACCTCGTGCAAAGAGCACAGACAACCCACGTGTGAAGGAAGTACAAGGGTTGTTAACACAAGACCTGCAGCCTGTCACGGAGGACAAGGTGTCTGCGGTGGAAGGGAAGCAAGTAATGACAGGAATTTTTCAGAAAGATGAAGCCATCATCGCCTTGAATCAGGAGCAACAGAGCTGGGCTCGAGATACGTCTTGTATGCATTACCTCCTATCCCAACAGGGGCATGTAAGCGCAGGGACAGAATGCTTAGATGCCTGCGACCCAATTGGCGCTTTAGATGAATGATCAAGCTTGGATGAAAGACGAGACGCGATACCCTTGTCCTGGCTGTGTTTCGTTTCTTTCTTCGGTATGCATGTCTTTGCCCCTGATGCGTATACCAGATCGGCAGTGACTGGTTTGTTGGTATTTGCAGGGTTCCTCGAGGCGATCCCCAGATTCCTGACCCAGGCGCATAGACAGTTGCTGCTGGATCCCAAAAAGGGCGTCTACTAGCCCTCATTGGCTGAATCCCAAAGCCACGCCGTTGGACTTGAAACGGCCGCCCGCTAATTTGGGCCAACTGCTGTGACTTGACTTTGGAAATGACGACGGTCAGTTGCCGCCCATTCCAGAGTGTCTCTGACACGAGGTAGTTAGTCTATGTGGACATGGAGGAACTACAGTCGAGCCATATGCTAGGAATGGGACAGAAATAGATTTGACATTCCAAAAAAGATGCAAGTGCTCGCAAACATGGGGTATAACTTTGCATCTGATCCTCCGCATCGTCATGAATTGTGGTGAGCAGAACATGACGGCTGTCAAACAATGCCAATCCGGAACGCCAGGGCAATATGCTATGCTGTCCACTGCACACCCATCCTGTGCCTGCATGGTCTTAGCAACCACTCGATCCGATAGATCCTCACAACATCAATGCAGCCGCTAGCACCAAGACGCTCGACACCAGCACGGTTCTTGGATTCGACCTCTCCTCAGCCCAGGATGTGCTCGTCGGTGAAGGAAAGTACCACGCCGTGTCCGATGGGTCGAATGTGCCATTCGGGTTATCAACGGTCGGCGATGCAGCAGCGGGTGCAGGTGTTGTCATGAGCAAAGTCCCCCATTGGACCTCGGTGCCCGAGTAGGTCACGGTACGGGTCATTTCAGTCGGACCTGTGATGTTGTTTTCCTCGAAATTCGAGCCGAACGACGAATACTCCGTACACGTCGCGGCGGTCGTGGATGCGAGCTGACATGATATTACAGCCGTGCTAAAGCGAGTCAGTCGTTGCAGCGGTGGGCGACCAAGAGTGAAGGTCTTCAGGCCGAGGGACTAACAGCTGGCTTTCTATAGACCCCGAGTACCTGAAAGTACTCGGCCCCTCGGCAAAGGTGAAGGGCAAAGGCCCCGATATTTGACAGTCTTTCGCATCAGCACAGAAGACGGTATATGTTGTCGCGGTGCTGTCCTGGAGCGGTGTCAGCAAATGTGAAAGCTACTTCTGATAACGGAAAACTAGCATCGTTCATCAAAAGGCGCCTCAACATACACTGGTAATAACACTGCCAGCTAGGTCTTCCCAATTCTGGGTTTCGTATCCGGGAACGTAAACGGACACGGTGGACTGAGAGCTCGAGTCTTGGGCGGCGATCGGCAGTAAGCCCGGCGCCAAAGCGACCAGCAAGAGGGGCAGAGGTGGCCACAGGCTCCTCATGATTGGGAAGACAGAGCGGTCTTAGAGGGGCTAAGGGCTATCGGATCATTGGAGACGGTGGATGAGAGGTCGTGGCCTCTGAACCAGCTCTAAACAGTCACAGGACGTCGGGTCGTAAGAATCTGGGTTTCAGTTCACAAGAGGACCCAGGAATTGACCAAGGTTAAGCAAAAGGGAAGGAGAATCAAGCTCCTCCATCCTATCTCGCTGGCCTGGGGTGATTGGCAACGGCCGCGGTACTTCAAAGTCTTGGCTCTTGGCTTGTCTGACCTTGCCAAGAAGCCCATCACTCCTCTGGCGCTCCTCTGAGGCCTCGGGGCCCCCAATAAATCCGACAGTAATGGTAGGGAGTTGGTCCGCAAGGGAATTCGTTCTGGCCGTGGCTGCGGACGAGGTGCCAAGCCTGGACACGATGGATCAAGCAAATGGGATAGCGTGCTTGTCAGTAGCCCTCGGAGATTTGCCCTGTCTTCTCGGCGCAGAGACCCGGATGCTGCCCCCCTCCCACTTGCCGTTGGCCGAGCACAGCTCACTTTTGGCCAGTCAGCTCGATTCCTCGAACAAGAGTCTTGTTTGAGCTCGACATGGAGCTGCCGATGATCTTGGATTTACGTGACCCTGGTCGCCCGCTGTGGGCCGGAGTCGATCAGCCGCCTGACAGGCAGTGGCAGGATGAGATGTTGACCTGATGTGTCTGTCACATTCATTGGTGTGGAGCAGCTGGGTGCAATTTTAGTACAGCGTCTACAGCATACTGACGCCGAGTCAGACGTAGATACTCAGCTCTCGCTCTGGTCAAGCCGGAGCAACAATGTAAAAGTACGTTGGTCCGATAATGCTTTACGTCCCAAATGCTCGCCCAATCCGGGAACTGTGCTTGGGGCCTTCCGAGGCTGTTATGGACACAGCCGTAGATTTGTCCAATTGAAGCAGGTGCAAGAGACCAAAGAGAGGTACCTGTGGTAAAGCCTCGCTATGCAAGTGGGCACGTCCAAGACAATTCTCACCAGGGGCATGGAGATGGACCCTGCTCCATCAACGGTCAGGCTTCATCGGCAACCGTAACCGATATAATTAAAGGGGGAGCGATGAGTGAGCGGGCCGTTCAAGTCAGTTGAATAAAGAGCCAGTCAGACACCATTCATCTGTCACAAGGAAGACAAAGGTGATTCCATACAGTTGTGTGTTTCTATTTATTGTGAACTCAGCAGTAACACGAGCGCAATACTTTGCACCAATGCAGAATCAAATCACCATGGCACAACGAACTATCCTGCCCTTACTGGCTGTATCTGCTAGCTCTGTATTTGCGCAATCCACCACAGGGAGCTCAGCAAGCTCTTCGGTAGTTGATATCATCTTGCCCATGCTCGAGTCTCAGACCATAATGGGCTCGGTCATGGGCGCAGACGCAACAGCGACGACGTTCTTCCTCACCTGCCCAACAGATGCGCCCTCCCTGCAATGTGGTCTTGGGAAGGGAATGGAGGTCGTGGAGGGATCCGAAGTTCTGGAAGTCCATATGACACAAGCTAATGTGGTGTGAGTACTTCGGAATTTTCAAGCTGCGAATGGTGGGCGACGGCCAGAACTCGGGATGACTGACATGATCTGACAGAACGGCTGACATATCTTGCTCTATTGCATCCAACACCGCCAGCTGCACCTCGTCGATAGCATCGATCGACCTCACTATCAGCAATACGGCCACAGCTTACTCCATGGTGACGACGACTGGTACTGGGACAATGGCCGATATCAGCTCCCACACTATGCCAGTCACCATCACAGCGGGCCTCGAGAAATTGACCACAACCACCGCTGCAACGGCTACTTCTCAGCCAAGCAGTAGTGTGGTCACTGCTGGTATGCCTAGAATGACGCAGAACGCTGTTCTAGCAGGAGCCGCAATGATGCTTGGAGGGGCGATGGTACTTTAAAGGTTGTGTGCCGGATTTGGGGCTCATGTTTAGCTGCGATAGAAACCCCAATGTGGATTGATTTTTTGGAGGTGGATGGATCGTGCTCCATGAAAGAGTGATTCACGACGAACCTGATGATTGTCCCTGCGAGCTTTGGAGCGTAGCTTTAGCCCGGCCTTCTTCAATCCAGCACTCAAAGAACAGCGGTCCGGCCTCTACTGTGCGAACAGGCGTCGTCTTCGTTCCGCCAACATCTACACCATTCCGGGTGCGCTTCCTCGAGGCCGGCTGAAGACCTGGTTGGGACGGTATCCATGGCTGAGGGTGGCCGATTGGAGCTCTAGCTTCTTCTCGTAGCTCAACCGCAACGGTGAAAGTACAACCAACCGGCAAGGCCTCCATGGTCTCGCCGGCGTAGGCAAGGCGGCGTACGGTACCGCGCAATTGTTCGTCGACGTCGGTCCAGTTGACCGTGTCGGCCTGGTCGCCGTCGGCAGCAACCGTGTCAAGAGCCGCATCTTCTGCAATGTCATCACCACTGCCAACATCCTCTTCTCCAAACTCGTCATCCTCCTGTAACTGGTCGCCTCCTCCCTCCTCCCCACGGAAGTTTTTCATTGCTTCTATCCCGCCGGGCCAAGCTGGGAAGTGGGAAACATCAAACATCCATCTCTCGAGAACACCCGCTGGGGCTGGTTGCTGCATTGGTGGGGCCTTGGATGTGGCTGAGTGGACGGGAGCGTGAATAACCACAGCCACTCGCTCGACCCTCCCCTTAGCAGCCTGGGCCATGACTGCATCTACGGCATCATTGATCCATGAGCATACTTTCGGATGGCGAGATTGATGCACGGGGAGGTTGAATGCCTTGGCCGAGAGAAATGTTTGCTTGGGATATATGCTGCGGTAGTAGAGGATGGTATGAATGGAGACGGTGAGGAAGCTGGAAAACGAGTTGAATAGAGTGCGAGCCTCAGCAATAGGCACCTCTATTGTCTGAGGCGGAGGCGGGCCTTCATCCCCTGCAGGAGCAGACGGCAGGGGCAGGGGGACTGCGGGAGGTGGCATCGACATGGTTGAGTTTCCTGAAGAAGTATCCTGATGGTACGCTCATGGACATGGACCGTGCCAACCTTATGAAGCCCCCGGGCAAAGACACCGTAGACTGGCCCCAATGCGAGCTGCAAGGCAGCTATGGCTATGTGTGTGGCTCCAGGATGCTTTCCCACCCAAGGCTGCATTAGTTGGGGCCTAGAGAAACGTTAGACCTTGCCCTCTTGACTCGAATTCGACATGCTCTTGGGCAGCTGCAAGTGTTGACTCGATCATGATCTTCGTGATATCCTATTTGGAGGCTCGAGAAAGTCTTGGCAGAATGGACAAGTGAGTTGCCTACCTGTTGATAGACTAGAAGGTGGGGGGCCCAGGCATGGAAGCTGTAGATGATGTGCAGTTGAGACGGGAATGGCATTTGTCTATATCAGATGGGGATGGATATGCGACTCCTTTAGGCTAGTCTGAGCTGGTGGTGTCGCTCCCTATTTACGCGACTCGACCGCGTCACGTCCTCGAGCTTCACAAGCCCGTGATCGAAGCAGGAAAAAGCTGCAGCTCTAGCTGCAGCTGACATGTCGGCCCAAGGTTCCTGCTATTCTTCGAGAAGCCAGAGCAATTTTCGGCGGATTACGCCCACAGGCAAGACTAGAAGTGCCTGCCTTTCAGCAGGGCTGGGCCCAGGCCGAGAACGCGTCTGGTCGATCAATGCAACGCCCAAACCCAAATAAATACTTGCTTGCTTGAAACCCCACCATACCCAAAAGCTCGCCCAGCGCCCAGCACCCACCCAGTCCCTCCTTTACCCCCCAAATCCCCAAAACCTCCCGCGCCAGCAACCCACCTTGCCAGGCAGACTCGTCTAGCAACTGCATCGCTTGAATATCCTGGGTTAGTCCACCACGCCGTTCCAATTCACCCAGCCCTCTTATCTGATCTTCTCACCGCCCCAGCCCAAGCCCGCCAGTATAAACCAGTCTGTCAGTCTGTCAATCAATCAATCAGCCAGGCCCCTGGACCCCGCAATCCACGAGCGAGTCTGAGCGACAGGCGGAAAAAGGCAAGCAGCCAACATGGAGGACCAGCTGGCCCAGCTGCTCGCAAACACCCAGCTCCCCGCCGAAGAGCCTCGAAAACGCGCCGAACTCGACCTCAAACATGCCCAGACCAATCCCGTCTTCCCAGTCGCCCTCGCCAACATCGCCGCTCACAATTCCGTCTCCACAGAAATCCGCCAGGCCGCCCTGGCCTACCTGCGCCGCTTCATAGAGCACAACTGGAGCGAAGAGGGCGATGATGGCGAGGGGCCCCAGGTACCCATTCCTGAATCCACAAAAGAGCAGCTGCGTCACAAGCTCTTGGATCTGGCTCTGAGTGAGGAGCCCGACCGCAAGGTCAAGGCTTCAGTCAGGTACGCTATGCCCTCCCTACTGGGCCCCGCGGGGATCCTAGCTCTGCTCGCAGGATCATGTCAGTAACATTTCTCAGTTACGTCGTTGGAAAGATTGCCAACAATGACTTCCCCGAGAAATGGCCCTCACTCCTCCCCGCCCTCCTCGAAATCATAGCCAGTGGCAACGACGTTCGCCTCTACGGCGCCCTGAAGGTCCTGAGCGACATTGTCGAGGAAAGCCTGACCGAGGATCAATTCTTCTCCATGGCCCGCCCCATCATCGACGTCGTGTTTAATGTTGCTGTGAACGACGGTCGGAAGCCTACCCTGCGTGCTCTCGCGGTACATGTCTTCCGTGGTTGTTTTGATCTTATGGACATGGTTAAGGATGACCACCCCAAGGAGGTCAAGGGCTTTGCCGAGGAGTCGCTCAAGAATTGGCTTCCTTTCTTCTCCCAGGTTCTCCAGGTCCAACTGCCTGATAGCTCCGAAGAGGCCTCACAGCGGGAGTACAGGAACGGCATTATCGCCTTTAAGCTACAGGTGGTCAAGACGCTGATGAAGGTCAAGAGCGTCTTCCCCACGCTTCTGTTGCCCCAGAGTACTGCATTCTTCCAGGCTGCCTGGCACGAGCTGTCCCTCCTCCAGGAGTCTTACAAATCGAATTATATCGACAACGGAAGCCAGGGCAGGCTGGAGGATTCCGACGGGCTGCCTTATACCCTCGACTTCTTGATCCTGGAAGAATTGGACTTCCTCAACCAGTGCATGAGGGCCACGCCAGTGCAGAAAGAGCTCGAGGCCCAGCTCGGTGCGGGGCCAGCCCACGAGATACCCTGGATACTGGACCTCATGAAGCTGCTGGTAGCTTACAGTCGGATCACTCACGAGGAAGAGGAACTGTGGGATATTGATGTCTCGCTTTACCTTGCCGAGGAGACTTCGGTACGTTTTTCTACACCCTTCGACGTCCCCGTTGGCACGGATTTGGGAGGGATCGGCATGTTTGGAAGCCCTTGGCTGTCCTGTTTCTTAGTCTCACACGAACTGTAACCCTAGCTGGATCTGTGACTAATATTCAGCAGGTGACAGCTAATTACACAGCGCGTACTGCTTGCGGAGATCTCCTAATAAAGGTGGGAGAGTGGCTTCACCAACGGGCATTGGAGGGACTTTTCGCCTACACCAAGAGCCAGTTCTCGGGCGAGCATGACTGGCGCTCTCAAGAAGCTTGTCTATATCTATTCAATATGCTCATCAGTGATCTACAAGATCGCTCAGAGGCTGTCCCTCCTGAGGTTGCTCAGGCCCACGTAGAATTGATCAATTATGCTATCGGTAAGCCCCCCCCCCCCCAAGCCCCCCCCGCCCCACAGCAGACCTCAATCCCTCTGACCATTTACCAGGCCAAGACCAGCCCCTTCTCCGCGCCCGAGGCTTTCTGGTAGCCAGTACCTTGGCCCAGATCTTTCCCCCTGTTGCTGGGATCGTAGACAGGACGATAGAGTCTGTCAGCCGAGACAGCTCGGAACTTGTCCAAGTGGCTTGCGTCAAGGCTGTCGAAGGGTTTGTAAGCTCTGGCAATGTGCCTGCAGACCGCCAAGTGCCGATGCTTGTGGCTATCAACGGCTTCCTCGACGGAAAGGATATGACTGACCTGGTGGATGCCGATGATCTCCTGGTCACTCTTGCCGAGGCACTTCGAGCAGTCATTGGCATCGACCCGAGGGTTGCGATCGCGTCAGACATCAAGTCCATTGACTTACTTTTCTTGATCGCCAAGCACGGCGCGTCGAACTTTCAAGTTACGGTTCTGGTCTGTGAGGCGTTCGAGGAACTTGTGCAGAGTCTGTCAGACTCGGCATCTTACGCGGCTCTGTGCGCCAAAGTTTTGCCAACCATCACCGGGGCCTTCAACGTTGCGGATATGACCTCGGACGACCCGCTTCTCACCCTCGCATGTGAACTTCTAGTACCACTTGTACAGAATGGCTCTGAGCCCTTGCCAGCAGGGTTCGTGGCTGCGACCCTTCCCAAGGTGAAGAATCTGCTGTTGCAGTCGCCCGAGGGTGAGGTCCTGCGACCTGGCGCCGAAGCAATCAAATACATGTTGATGCACGACCACCATCAGGTGCTCGGTTGGCATGACGAGAATGGCCAGTCCGGACTGGAAACGTGTCTGATCATAATTGACCGGCTATTGGGACCCGGTATTGAGGACAATGCGGCTTCCGAGGTTGGAGGACTTGCCGCAGAGCTTGTGGAAAAGGCCGGCCCTGAGCGTCTGGGTCCTTATCTGGAGAAGCTGTTACAGGCTGTGGCTAACCGACTGGCCACGGCTGAGGCTGCCCCTTTCATCCAGTCCCTAATCATCGTCTTCGCGCGCTTGTCACTAATGCAAGCCGGTGACGTCGTACAATTCCTCAGCAACATTGACATCAGTGGCCACAATGGCCTCCAGGTGGTCCTGAGCAAGTGGCTGGAAAACTCTGTCAACTTTGCGGGCTACGACGAGATTCGTCAGAATGTCATTGCCCTCTCCAAGATCTATTCATTGAATGATGGACGCCTTGCTCAGACCATGGTCAAGGGCGATCTTATCATGCAGCCCAGTGACGGGAGAATATTGACACGTTCGCGAGCTAAGCAGAATCCAGACCAGTACACTTTGATTCCTGCAACGCTCAAGATACTGAAGGTTCTGATTGAGGAGCTCATCTCCGCGTCTGGGGTTCAAGGCGCGGCTAATGCCGCGGCCGCTGCGGCCGCAGAATTTGCTGATGCGGACGAGGACGACGGCGATGAGGGCTGGGAGGACGAGCTCGACACCGTTGGCCTGGGAGCCAGCGCGCAGACTCTCATGAACCTGGCCGAGGGAGCCAGCAGCAGGATGCGGGACGATGAGACACAGCAGTACTTGTCCGAATTCTTTGTACGCGCGGCGAGAGAGAACATTGCTGATTTCCAAAACTGGTACGGCATGCTCACGGAGGATGAGAAGAGCAAGCTGAATGAGCTGGCAACGGCTCAATGAGAGGCTGAGATGAAGGATGTACCGGACGCGTTACAGGCGCACGAAGGTTGTGTCAAAGGTCTCGAAGTCGTTTCTAAACCCTTGGGTGGCCTTTTTGTCTCTCTTCCAAACACAGGGGTGACAGTACCTATGTCGGATGTGCCGAGTATAACATCCCGCCACTTGGATATGGGATGTTGGAAAGCAAGCTGCCTGAGGACGGGAAGATCATGGTGGTTCCACGCGGTGCTTTTCTATTTATGTCGATACCTCTCTCCAACTTCATGCACACAACTTGGCAAGAGCTTGATAGCCCTACCCAAACCCCGTATACAACTTGGTAAATAATCAGGGCCCTGGTGTTTTAGAAGGGACCGAACAAAAAAAATTAGATAGCGTATCATTGCAGCGGCTAATGTGCCTTGATTTGGCTGATTTCATGCACCTTCGCCTCATCACCGCCGAAGAAACGCATTTCAAAATAGTGAAGCCCTTGAAAATTGCACAGTATGGAACACGAACAGCAGAGATGAAGGGATAAGAAAAGGTTGGCGCAGAATCGGCCACCCAATGGCTGGTAGACAGATTCGTAGGCTATTTCGACAGGCCTCCGGGCATTGCACTCAGATATTGATGGACTAGTATGTGAGAAGGCAACTGCGGTATTGTTCATTCAACAAGCTGCACTGGTCCAATCTTGCTGGTGGCAGGTCACAAATTATCTACTTGAATACGAACAGTCCCTCCCAATTTCACAGCCGAGGCTCAAATTATATCTCCGCCAAAGGGATTACCGCCACCGCCACCGCCAAAGCCACCTCCGGGCCGTCCACCGCCAAATCTCGGTCCAGGCCCGCCGGGTCCCAGAGGATCCCAGCGCGCACCGGGCGGCGCTTGTGGGTCATATCCTGCCTGTCCGCCTCCACCCGGCCCTTGGAACAACGGGTCGTCGAACGTAGGGTGCATGCCACCGCCCATACCACCTGGTCTCGGCAGGCCTCCGCCGGGCACAAATGATCCTCTCAGAGGATCGTGCGGTCCAAGTCCGGGAGGGTGAAGGTCATCGTGTCCGATATTGAACGGCGAGCGACCGTCGCCGGGCATGCGGAGAGGTCCACGTAGTGGTCTGTTGATCTCAAACTCGTCCTCAAAGTCGGGAGGGGCAAATTCACCCGCCGGCACCGGCCTGCGAGGTGGTGCCGCAAGAGGGTCGTCGAAGGGGTATGGACGCGCAGGCTCCGGCAGTCCAGGCGGAGGTGGGCGCGGGTTGCTCGGGCCCTCCCGGCCCTGTCGGTCTGCATCTTGACGCGCTGCTCGGTCGTCCGGGTTCGTGTCCTCGTAGCCCTCCTTTTGCAGGCCTGGGATGAGCTTCTGAATGATGTTGATCTTGAGGAGGGACGCCAGGTCGGCCATCCGCTCTGGAGAAATGAAGACATTTTGCAGTTTGGACGGCAGGTCGCTGCGGTCCTCATTGCCATCGGCGTCGATGGTGATGCGCAGTGGCAGTGCTGAACTGGAAACATAGTCTCTCGGTGTGACCTCGAGTCGCACAATGCGCTCGTCGCCCACTGCAAGCCCGCGGATCTCGGCCTTGCCCCCCATGCGATCTACTTTGACGACGAACTGCATGGAGGACTGGGTGTGTGCGTAGAGAAAGGAGTAGGAAGATACAGAGGCATTCCATCTTGGTGGAAGACGAGGCGCCAGTGCCTGGCATTCCGTTTCTGGGTGGCAAGTCAGCTCAAGCAGGTCGAGATAAATGCGAGGATGGGAGTGATAGGTACCGTTTTTCTGGTCCTCGTTGAAGCCAAGCAGTCGGAAGCCAAGCTTGATCATGCAGGAATGTGTGAAAAGGGCAATGGCCTCTGCAGAGCTGCTCATATCTGATGTGGAATCGTCTTTCTCGTGGGTAGGCAAGGCGTCTGCCATGCCCTGCAGAACGTTCTGCGGGCTGAGGGGGTTGCTTGCCATAGCTGATCGTTGGATGGGTTCCAAGCTGTGATGACTGGATGTGTGACTTTGTTACTGCGTCGGGTTTGTCTGTTGTAGACCGTAAGAGAGTTACGAGGAGGATGTAGAGAAAGAGGGAGAGCTTGGAGAGGAGTTGTAGCTAATAAGTTTGAATAGAAAGTTCAGGCCTCCGCCGTTGAGGTGGTTGGAGGCTTGGGAGCTGCAGCTGGTAGTGGTGGCGTCAGAGGGGTCTGCCTAACCGTAGGGCTGAGTTCAAGGGGAGCATCAGAGGCCAAGATCTGCTGCGGGGGAAGCTAGCTACCCCTCTGGGGGCCTTATCTGACGTCTCTTATCCCGGCGTCCAGGCCCTCAGCTAGCAGCTTGAGCAACCTGCGGTAGGAGGGGACGCGTATGGGCGTACGGGTACACTTGCATGTTGGGCACCCGAATGATTCACTGCAGGGGCATGCGCATCTGAGTGGCTCAGGTGATGAGACGAACATATTCTCTATACTCGCATATCTGGAGTGTCCACTGTAAAGTGCTACTGTAGCTTTCGGGTGGCCAGCTGATTACCGTGTCCTGGAAGGGGGCCGATTGGGCACCTAATATATTTCTTCATTTAAATCGACCTTTGGAAGAAAAGGGCACATAGATTTGCAGCATACTGGCCCGAAGTGCTCTTGAAAACCCAGACTCGGATAAGCTCCGAGGCCCTGAAAATGTAGGAAATACAGGAAGCGGTATACAGTATCTAGTCTAGGTACCAAGTGGTATCCAGTGACCCCTCATGAGTATGGACCAGGAGGAGCAGGAGCACTCACCTGGGCAGGCGGCAAGGTGGGGTCGCACGGCTCGGATCATCTGCCTTGGCCGAGCGTTATCGACGGCTCGCTTGCTCGCTTGCTCGCTGGAGGGCCGGCGACTGGCAATGACATGGATGACAACAGCCTCGATGCGAAACGTGCACAGCTGACACAGGATCACCACGACTTTCTGCGGGGCCCTCGATTCCCCTGTTGCAGAAGCTTGTCAGGCACTCCAAATCAAAGGGCCAAGCTGTTGGCAACAAGACACCTGCCAGACCCGACCTGAATCCCTTCACCCCCGCTATTTCTCCTCGAGACACCGCTGTTCAACAAAGCTTTGTGTATGTCTCCCCCCTTCAACTCGGACGCCCCCAGCTCCAGCGCCAGCGCCAGCAATCCACTTCCCCAGAATCATGAGTCGTATGCTGCCTCTGGCGAGGTGAAGAGCTCGATGGAGCCAAATCCCCCGGCTTCATCACAGAATGAAGACAACATGGCCCAGCCCAACTCTGCTGCAGCGCCTCCCAACCCATCAGAGGACTTGATCTCCCTCGACGAGCACCCACAGCCTTCTCCCACGGCTGTCACTGTGGGTGCGCAACACGATGGCCAACCCGAGAAATCCAACCCGCACGAACTGCGACCAGAGGTGCCGCCAAAGACAGATGATGGCAGTGACGGCTTGAATGCCTCTGTTGCAACTCTGAAGCCTGCGACAACCCCAACCACCACAATCGCCACTTCATACCTGAATGTTGAAACAAAACCTTATGTCGACCCTACACCATCTACTCCAACCGAGTCCCAGCCTCCTTCGAGGACGCCTTCCAACGCTGCCGACCGGCCTCGCCTGTCCCTCGACTCTTCACGAGGAGGACGGTCAGACGACGAGAAACGGCGTGCAAGTGAAGATGATCGAGAGAACGATGCGTCTGAGATCCAAAATATTATGACCCAGTTCAGGGAGGGCGGTCCAGGCGAAGAGGAGGTTATGAGTCCACGACTGGAAATTGCATCCCCCTTCGGTGCCGGGCCTGTTCAACATCCTCCTCGCCATTCTAGCCTAGAGCCGCTGAGCCCGAATATAGCCCAACAACTACAGGATATGCAAGGTCTACGGCTAGACTCCAGTTCGCCAGCCAGCATGATGTCGAAGGGGAAGGACCCGGATGATCAAGGCCCGCCTGTTCCTCCAAAGGACCCATCCATACACTCCGGCAGGACTGGTCAACTCAAGGACGAACGAGAGAGTATCGGTGCTCCCATGTCTCCAACAGTGTCGTTACACCGACCACCCCCACCGGAGCCTGAGCCTGAATCGGCGCTGCCCTTCGACTTCCACAGGTTCCTCGAACAGTTGCGGAACAAGAAAGCAGACCCGGTCGCCAAGTATCTGCGATCGTTTCTGAATGAGTTTGGTAAGCGACAGTGGATGGTACATGAGCAGGTCAAGATTATCAGCGATTTCCTGGCTTTCATTGCAAACAAGATGGCATTGTGTGAAGTCTGGAGGGATGTGTCTGATGCTGAATTCGACAACGCTCGAGAAGGCATGGAGAAGCTTGTCATGAATCGACTGTACGCCCAGACTTTCTCGCCAGCAATACCTCCGCCTCAGCCAATACCAGGTGCCAAACCAAGGAGGAAGGGTGCCGAGCGACCCCTGGGGCCTGGGCGCAGGGGCCAGCACCAAGAAGATGTCGAGCGCGATGAAGTCGTTGCCCAGAAGATCAATATCTATGGCTGGGTGCGTGAAGAACATCTAGATATACCGCCGGTCGGGGAAAGTGGGAAACGTTTCCTCAGGCTTGCACAACAAGGTGCGAGAAACTTCACCCAACCCTGTAAGCCATAGCTAACTTTGACAGAACTCTTGAAAATTAAATCGTACCGAGCACCAAGGGATAAAATCATATGCATCCTGAATTGCTGCAAGGTCATCTTCGGTAGGTTACATATTGCCGTTCTAGCAAGCGAGCATACACGTACTCATCAGATGTAGGGCTTCTTAAGCACTCCAAATCCGACTCGTCGGCAGACTCGTTCATGCCACTCCTCATTTATGTCACACTCCAAGCAAACCCAGAGCATATAGTATCAAATGTCCAATACATCCTCAGGTTTCGAAATCAAGAGAAATTAGGAGGCGAAGCTGGTTACTACCTCTCATCATTGGTAATAAGAAGCAGCCCCTACTGTAGACACGTCACAGCCGCTAACATTGTTTCATAGATGGGTGCTGTCCAGTTCATTGAAAATATGGATCGCACGACACTTACGATCTCAGATGAAGACTTTGAAAAGAACGTCGAGGCCGCCGTTTCTGCCATTGCCGAGAGGCATCGTTTAGAGTCACCACCTACTTCAGCCACCGCAGAAAAACCACCACAGTCCCTTGGCAGCATGGGTGAATTCTCATCAACCCGACCATCGATGGACAACGACGCAGTGACCCACTCTTCGTACACACCTCGCCAGTCAACTTCTAATGACGATGGTGAGTACGACGAGAAGGCTGCCATAACTGGTCTCCTTCGAACCATCCAGAAGCCGTTATCTACTATCGGCAGGATGTTTTCCGACAGTGATGAGCCCGTAGCTGGTTCCTCAAGCGCGTCCGCACGCAGCCCCGCCCATACTCCTCTGCCAGATTCCAGGCCAAGCACAGGGGGGCAAAGGGTTCCGAGTCATCAAAGCCGCTATTCTGCGGAGGAGGCTGCAGCGAGGCAGGCCAGCGCCGAGGCAGCAGAGGCGCACAGGCTGCATAGGGCAGAACACGCCAATGTCGTAGAAACTCTAGCCGGCATGTTTCCTGACCTCGACAGGGACATCATCAGTGATGTTGTTTACCAGAAGGAAGGACGGTATGTTGAATTCCCATGTCTTTTCATTCTTTTGTTCCACTAACAGGATCTGATCCAGTGTTGGTTTGGCGGTGGATGCATGCCTTGCATTGTCTGCATGAGCGTCTGGGATCAGCTTGGACTTGAGAAATTGGAATTTGCTCGAAGAAATCGAAAGGGGGGGGATGATACCAACATCAGCATTAGCGACATTTGAAGACAGACAGGCCAAGCTATCATGGTTGACTTGAGGCTCGTGTAAATGCGGCGAGCACAATTGTCATCCGTCATAATCATGCATTTACTAAATATAATTCGTATATGGGACACAACGATGTTCCGCCTGGAGCTGATCTCAATACGTCGTTAGAAATCTCATACTTAGAACTAGAGGATTAGGGAAGACGGAACCCCTGCTCATGGCGGTCTAAAAAGTCAATGATCACAATATCGCCAGTGCACAACAGCCCACACTTACTTGTACATATACTTACCCTCGACAGTGTCTTGAAGTTGTGATGCTGTCCACAGTCTGCCAATGCTCTTAAGATTCGAGAAACCAATCTAGGAGCAAAAGCAAAAGAGTTACAAGATGGATTGCCTCCTGACGGAATCGAACCGTCGATCTTCGCATTACGAGTGCGACGCTGAAAATGGGTCAGGACGATGTTCATTGTGAATGAAGCGAATGGGCTGTTACCTACCCTTACCGCTTGGCCAAGAAGGCTTACGTCAACAGGGGTCATCGATAGATTTATATTCCAAGATTAGCTCAGGAATGTTGTAAATCTAGCACATTGCCACCATTATTGTCCAAGCTGTTGAACACGCCATTGATAACCGCGTTGGAATCATTGAGGTTGGATTTTTGGGTAAGACGTCGCAATACAGAGTAGCATTAATTATGCGGCGTCCGCAATACAGCTACGCTATAGGTTGTGAAGTTGGTAGGTATCATACTGGGTTTGGACTAACAAGGACATATGACTTTGAGTGTGCCTTGGAGCTTTCCTGAGATGTAGCATTTTGCATCTATTAGAACTTGTTACCCTGACTATATACGAATATAGAGTGGTCTCGGAAAACAAGATCCAAATTCTGACACGCAAAATCATACGTCGTTGGGTTAACATGCTTCACAGCCGAGGTCGTGTTATAGCCCAGCAGAATCAGCGTCTCGGAGTCAGGCTGATACTTGGGCCAACCCATCACGGAAGTCAAACCATCCGACGGATCAGCGGCAAAGGCCACCCACGCCTTCTGCATCGTCTCTTTGAGTCTTTCCTCCTGGGCCGACGATTCAATCCCGCTGACGCCTTCCGCGTTGCCAACAACCATGTTGATATCTACACCGTGGTAGGCTCCACTGTCGTAGGGTGGTTCCATTTGGTAGAAGAGCCGCAGATTATCCCAGTCTGCCATGTATCGGGCGCGGTAGCTCGTGATGTTCAGTTTTGTTCGCCCGTGCGCGTCTGCCGCGAGCGGACAGGTGAACGTCTCCTGCTCGAAGAGCGTCCAGTTGCTTTCCGGGAGCACGATCCCCCTTGCTGAGGCCGAAATCCTGTAGAAACCAGACTCGTGGTCTGTTTGCAACTGGAGGTGCGGGAGTCGTGCCAACTGCCCCGCAGCAAGTCGTGAAACGTACTCGGACCTTGAAAATACCGTGAGGTTGTCTTCGGTGATCTGGAAGGCCGGCAGGGAGCGAGTGACTGAGCCGGTCGTGGGTACACGAGCGGCAGCTGCGAGAATTGAATCAATAGTGATGTTGGGTGAGCGCATGCACTGGAGAGTCGATTCTGAAGCACCGCATCCGAGTGTTCTTGAGACATTGTACCAATTCGAGGCAGCTAGGTCGGCACTGTTGCTGTCGAACGAGAAGATATTGCCAGAATGAGAAATGAGCCCTGCAACGATTGGGTCCTGGTTTGGAGGTCTTGTCAGCGTCAGAGGTTCGCATTTGATCTTCACTTTGAGGATGATTTCCTCTTGCATCTCTACGGCTAGAGACCATATAGTGACAACAACTTACGTCCTGAAAAGCATAAGCCCAGTTACTCACAGCCCAGGAGCCCGATGACTGCCCAGCTATTGTAATACGAGAGGCGTCGCCGCCAAATACCGCGATGTTGTCTTGTACCCACGAGACGGCCAAGCGCTGGTCCAAGAGGGCGAGGTTCTTCATCTCAAGCTCAGGCGCTCCAGGGAACCCAAAGATGTTCATACGAAAGTTGAAGGTCACCACCACAACGTCCTGGGCATCCGCCAAGAACTCGCCCTGGTAGAACGGCGTGTTGCTGCTTCCGGCTGAAAATCGGCCCCCATAAATCCACACGAGCACAGGCTTCAGCCCAGAATTATCGTCAATGCGATTCGAGAAATTCTGAGTTGGCTTTGACCAGATGTTCAGCGTTAAGCAGTCCTCGCTTTGTGTGTTATTCAGAGAGTTGACAAAGTTGGCGTATATACCACCGTATTGACTAGTCGCGTTCGGATACGCGATATACCTAGACGGGTTTTGAGGACAGTCGTAGCCCTGAAATGAGGAACTTGTTAGAAACAATACTTGGACTGCCATATTTCATTGACCCACATAACTGCTGGCGTCGAAGGCGTCATTTAACAAGACTGGCTTGACAGGCGGCGCGAATCTTAGATCTCCAACAGGCGGTCGGGCATATGGCACGCCAAGCCACTCACATACCGTGGCCTTGTGCGTGCTATAATGCCCGCCGAAACTTCTGTCGTCTGTATGAGCGATGCAGTTGTGGTCGAGTGGAGAGTAGCCAAAGACAGTGTAGACCTGCAGTGTTGCACTGCCAAGCCATGTGACGAAGGAGTATTTCATCGTGAGGCTCGAAGCTCACAACCTGCCCACAGATCAAGGATGAGTTACCATTGACATTTTTCAGAGCTGGATAAAGCCCTCGGTAATTTCATAAAGGCAAAAGTGAGGAGAGGCATTGCTATCAACCCCCTGACGCTGATGAGTTGCATCACTAGCTGCTTGCCGAGGCGTCCGGCAATCAGGGCCGGGATCCGGGCTGGATGACTTCAAATCTAGCCGGAGGTGGCGAAGCATGCTAAGATGGGAAATTGAGTTACTAAGAAGCAGGAATCGTTTGATTCTCGTTAGACGGAACGCAGCTCATCGGATATTGGTCCATAACCGGATCCCCAAGTTTGACTGCGTACGAAGATCGTTCAAAGCTCGTCAATCGCTGGTGGAAAGCATTTCCTCTCATGTAAGTCCGAAAAGAATTTCGAGGCAGCCCTTACAAGAGAGTTGAATGCGTACACGGGTCAAGACTAAAAAAAAAAAATGGATGGCTGTCTATAGGTGCAACGGTCGATTTTCATTATTTCCTTATATTTTCTTAAAATCTATTCTTCATAGAGAGCTAGCAGTTGTCTAAGTTTACATGTCTTAAAGGATGTATAAGTTTGAGCTGTTACTGTGTACAATCCTCTTCAGAAGTAGTGTTTTGGATAATGTCATCCACCTGATACAAATTGAATATACGGACTCTGCAACCTATGAAAGAAACATGAAATTCAGGGAGTCACATGTTGATCGTTAGATAGCTAGTTGTGGTGTACAACTGCGTGCTTGAATCTAGCACTCACGTTTGCTGGAGTATACTATTAGGCACAATGAATGATCAGGCATATTTGTTTGATCTCTCTCAAACTGTTCTGTACTGTTGACTTGCCCTCGTCCAAGTCTGATGTAATTTGTTGGTACTCCAAAGATGCTCTCTGCCAGAATATCAGGCAATAGGAACATACGAGACCCCACACATCTCGTGCATCAAATAAAGAGCTCGGCCCTGACCCGACATTGAGCTAGTAGACAAATGCGTATATGAGTATTTGTCAGATTCTCTCTAATGGCTAGTCAAAATTGCAACGTGATGTCTTTTGTGCGAGCTGCTCAGACGCTAGGGGACAAACCTGGCTCGAGATACGAAGTGCTCACTCAGCACGACTGCTAACTACATTGAGCAGACAGGAAACCTCCCCTCACCGATTCCTCCTGTTTCGGTTTGCATATACTGCAAAGTATCTGCAAACAGTATAAATGAGCACCTCCCCAAGCGGCGGCAGACATCATAGAATAGTGTCAGAAACACTACACTGCACTACGCCTTGATCATTCTCAACCCATCCGTCTCCTATCATACCGAGCCTTAGCGATCCCTTAAATATGAAATCCACATTCGTTTCCGTTGTGGCCCTCCTCGCGGTTGTGTCCGCGACTCCTATCGAAAAGCGCATCATAGCCCAAGAGTTTGATGTCTCTGAATTCACCGCTGGCTGCATCCCTCACGGTACTCTTTGCACGTAAGCTGTTCTGTTCCTCTTCACCTATTCCTTAACGAGCGATATGTGATGACAAAAAGATACAAGAAAGAGTCTTGAGGGTGCTCGCTGACCAGAGCCTTTCTCAGCTTCAATTTCAACGTCGCCACCAACCAGATGCCTTATCAGACCAACTGCAATGCTTCGTTCACTACAGCCTTCAATCTCCCTGACGTTCCATTCACCGCCTGCGCAGACCCATCAATCATCTGGTCGTTCCGCGCTATCGGCCTTTCAGACGCTACTGCTTCGAACTACACCCTCATCCTTGCGGATGCTGATCAGAGCCTGGCTGCTGCCAAGATCTGGGACAAGGCTGATTTCCCTGTCCTCAATGCTGGTTCGACTGTTTACCAGCAGTACAGCGGTCCCACTCGATTCGTTGTCCAGTGAGGATATTGTTTGTTGTAGGAGGTAGGCTCCTTGAGGCGAGAGACGAGTAGTCATGTGGGGAGGGATCGTGCATTTGTGGATGGCAGTGTTGAGGTTCATGGAATTTTGAAGCGTTGAAGCAACTGAAATGGAATTGCAGCCTCAATAGGATGGAAAGAATTTTCCAGTAATTCACCCAAATTCCTCTTGTGACTATAGACATTTAGAATTGTGACATGGGCAATGACTATAAGTGATCCATTCATAAAATGAGGTTGATCATATGATATTCAGATCTGATTTAAGGAATTCACGACAAGTGCAGAATTTCTACGCTTGTTCTGATGTTGTTTCGTATCATTTCTCCTGTAGACATTTATGATAGCTTTGATATGTAGTTTCAACACCTGACTGGAAAATCACTAGTGACTCGTGCGTTTGACATGGTCAAGAAAGCAACCTCAGTGGTAGTGACAAACGGCCTTGTGGCTTGTTGACTCACTGCCTTGAGGCAAATGCACTATAAAATTTGCGCGAGCACTACTATGGAATTGGAATCCTCTTTCGCAACTACTACAAGTCCGAAATATTGCAGTATGCACATATCTCCTTCAAAACACAGTGTCAACTAAAGGAATGACATACAACGCCAGGCAAAGACCATACCGAGGTGTTGTTTATCAATCGCCTTCTCGAGCCTCCCCCCCCCCCCCCCAGAAAGAACTCTGCGTATCTCGGTCTATACGTTAACCCAAGTCTATCGGCTCCTGCATCCGAGGCGCATTCTCTACAAGATACCCGAAGGTCTCCTGACTATTCGCGTCACATTGACTCTCTTACACCAACAACAACAGTTGAAGAAATCTCTATCCAAGCTATCACAACTCCTCACAGTCCTGTCCAAACCTGTTTAGCCGAAACATTGCCTATCGAAGCCTCTGCTAGGTACGAAACATACATACATACCGGGAAATGAAACACGGAAACGTCGAGCCTGGGTGGCCAAATTTTGTAACAAGCCCAATGATGGCTGGTTTTCTTACCGACGCCGAATTGTATGCTCTTTAAATTTTGCTTGAAGACTTTTTCTGATCCTTGATTTTGTTTCTCTAGGGCTTTAGCTCTTCATGACGAAGAAGTGACCCAATTAAGCAATTTGAATAGACAAGAATCGAGGCCAGCAATACCCTTTACAGACGACGCTCAGATATCTGACGACTCAGAAGGAGCAAACTCAATCAAGGAATGCCCAATATGCTGCGACGAGAAGCACACTGATTTATATCCGCGAACCACACCAGTAAGTGACTGCACATGTTTATCAGATGCGTGTATAGTCTGCCTGCAGCAGCACATAAAGTCACAGATGGAATCAAAAGAGTGGAAAAAGGGGCACATTACATGTCCAATGTGCAATAGACCCCTCGAAAACCAAGAAATCGAGGAATATGCTGACGGCGATACCTTCACGACGTGAGTCAACCACCTATCTTATCCCTTCTCGTTGACTTCAAAGTGGACTGGTAACATAATCTCGCTAGATACCTCTCCCATATGATTGAGCAAACCGTAAAAGATATACCTAACTTTATCCGTTGCCCCAACCCAAACTGCGACTCAGGTCAGGTCCATGAGGGCGGCGACTCTCGGCCGCTCGTTGTGTGTGCAGACTGCAACACGGAATTCTGCTTTCGGCACAGGATACCTCTTCAGCCTCAAACACCACCCTCCCAACACGATAAAATGACTTGCGACGAATACGACCAATACCTCGCCGATCCCCTCCACTTCAGGAGCGACCACCAACGGCAACAAGAGCGCGCCGCGATAGAACGCAGGGAACTCGACGTCGTGCAACGTGCGCGCGAGCGGATGGAGAAAATTCTGCAGCAGCGGAGAGACGTCGAGAAGAAACGGAGAGATGAGGCCGCGAAGGAGGACAGAGAGCGCAGGGAGCGTGCCTGGCTGGAGGAGAAGCGCTATGAGGAGGAGCGCGAGATGGAGGAGCAGGAGAGACAGGCGAGGGCTGGTGAGATCCAGAGGAGGAAGGTGGAGGATGAGCAGAGCGAGAAGTTGATCAAGGTCTCGACCAAGGCTTGCCCGAAGTGTGCAAAGAGGATTGAGAAGAATGAAGGATGGTACGTTGTTACAACCTGCCCTACCGGGGCTGTCCCGTCCTGCCTCTTGTACCGAAGAGGTTTTACAGTTCCTGTCGCTAACGTCATTATGCCACTGTAGTATGCATATGACATGTGAGTCACTTAAGCTTCTTTTGCCCATCTTGAGGATGATCAAGTTGACAATTGGTGTAGGTCATTGCGGGCACGAATTTTGTTGGGAGTGCACCGGCCCGTGGGTTAACAACGGTTGTGCAATCTGCTTCGGTGGATCTGTGGTGCAGTTTACGTGATTTGAAGTCCAGCTTTTCACAGTGGCTCTTCTTCTTTTCTTAAACCAAAATTTGAAGTAGAAAATTTTGCGCGGCCTCCATTGCGCTGTGAAGTGATTGATTAAGATGCCTTCACGACATATTCACATTTGAGCAAAGGTAACTAGTCCATAGAGACAGGAACAACAGTAGTCAAGGTAGGCAATTCTAATCATTCAAATTTCGCTGGGGTAATAAATGCTTTTCTACTTTTAAACCATCTTTGTATCGCCGTCGAGTTTGTCGTTCCTCTCTTCAAGGTCGCTGCCATCGTAGGCCAGATGCACATCATCAATTGCATCACCCACTTCCATCCAATGGTCGCTGCAGGCCGGGATAGGGAACACCTTGCATAATGTCCAATACACAAGCCCAGAAATAATGAAGCCGCCGAAAAAGTTGACGTTGTAAAGGTACTTCGCCCCGTCAGGAACGTCGCGGCCAATCGCGCCGGCGAAACCCACAACATTGATCAGGATGCCCGCACTGTAGCGTGATTTGTTAGCATCGTTCACAAAAGCAGAAACTCAGCCCATGGCATATGCTTAATAAGCCTGGAGACTTACATGTAGGCCACATATGCCCTCCAGTGAATACCGTACGTAAAGTAGTACGGCCCGGTCTTGCGGGCGTCATATAGCTCCTTGATCTCAAGATAGCCCTTCCTGACAAGGTAGTAATCCGAGCACATGACGCCGGCGATCGACGACAAGAACACCGAGTATGCAGACAAATAAGTTGTGAACTTGTTTGAGTCCGTGAGAAGGGTGTATGGGCACATCGCCAGACCCACAGCTGCACAAATGTAACCTCCACGGCGAATGTTCAAATACCGAGGGAACAGCGCCGTCAAGTCAGTACCCGCACTGACGGAGTTTGCTGCAATGTTGGTGCCGAGTTGAGCCAGCGCAAAGGCCAAAGCGATGACGAAGACGCCAAACCGCTGTCCAGAACCGCCATCATCGATGAAATGCTCCAGTAACTCCAGGGGGTCCCAGACTGGATCGCTGTTGTAGATGACGGCCGAGCTTGACGAGACAAAAATGCCGATGAAGCTAGTCACGGCGAATCCCATCGGGATGGTGATCAACTGCGACCAGAGCGCGTCCTTGGGCTTCGTTGCGAATCTCGAGAAATCGGGGTCGTTCACGATCAGTGTTGCGAAGTTTGCGATAGCGCTCATGACACCCGTGACAAACTCCCATGCCAGGTCAGATCCAGAGATCGTGGCAGGTTGGTGGACGATGGGGCCGATGCCACCGGCGCGGACGATAGCCCAGATGAGAAAGGCAATACCAGCGCAGGGAACAAAGTATGCCTTTACTGTGAATAGGTGACGAATCTTATGTACTGGGAACCAGATGGCCGGGAGAGACACAAGCCAGAAGATGAAGAAGCTGACCCAGTCCGCCGTGGTAGTCCCAGAGTCTTCGGGAAATGTGTTTGGGATAGTGGTTCGGTCCTTCGAAACGAATTAGCATCTTAAGCATATGTGAAGCCGGGGTGAGCAAATGACCTACCCAGCTCTTCCAGATCGCTCGGATCATCAAATAAACACACTTCCCACCGATGTACGACTGAACACCGTACCAGATGCAGGCCATTGCAGCTCTGTTAAAAACCGGCCAGAGAGAACCCCAGATACCAAAGGAAGCACGGTTGACGACGGGGAAACCAATGTGGTATGTCGCACCAATGCGTCCCGTGAGGCAGACGAAGCACGCAGCGATAGTGTACCCGATCCAGACACAGAGCCACGACTGCCACCAGGACAGGCCGGCGACGACCATGGAGCTGGAGATCATCCACGTGTTTATGTTGAAAGAATCGGCGATCCAGAAGCCCACGAAGTTCCAGGCTCCCCATTGCCGGCGCTCGGGCTCGACTGGCTTCAGGTCGAGGTTGGTGAGCATGAGCTGGGCAGTAGTTAGGCCCGGCTCGCTCTCGACGGCGAGTTTATCACCCCATCGCCTGAGGCGGGCTCCCCTTGCCTGGGCCATGGCTGTTTTGCAGGGGCTGCAATCCTGGCCCGGAAACGTTGATGTTCGCGGGAACAAGCCGTTTGGAGGAGCAACAGGCCCAGGTTGCTAGGTAGTATAGCGGGGATAAGTTGACGTAGTCCCGCAGCAAGTCTATATCATGAAGGCTGTTTGAATAGTTGTACGCCTAGATATAGTATGTGTAGGGTAGTATGGGCTAGAAGTGCAAATATATAGGGCGAAGGTCGCACGAGCCTCGAGAGAGGGGAGTTGTTGTTTTGTTATATACTCCTAGTGCGGGTGCGAAGACTTAAGAGTCCGAGTTCGTTCAGGTCATGTCTCTGGGGCTAATGTGAGTGGTCGTGCGACTATGGGATCCCATCGGCTGAGACTGATAAGATCCCCACGCCCAAGACCACGCTGCCACTCTAAGGTGAAGCTACCTGCTGACCCCTGGCATTTGCAGAGATTTTCCTGCAGGTTACACGGACGTTGCAGGACATATAACAAGATGTAAAGTGTGTCGGGCCCAAAGGGTTGTTGCAGGGCTGTGTAGACATGCTGATCTGGTTGATCCAACCCCCGAGGGCTAAGCTTAGTTCCGCAAGCGGCCGTGGAGATGAGATATCAGATATGCACCTCTTGGCCTGTGTAATCGGACAGGCCGATACTGTCGATTGGCTACCATTGCTGAAAAGCTAAAGTGCAAACGTGAACCTTGGGAGTAAATTAACGGTCGGTGGAAGATAGCGGTTTGTCCTCGGAGTTGAACAGGACGAGGTCCAAGTACCGGTACACGACCGTTGCTTTGGGAACTCCTACGAGGAAAAGTACCTACTACCCGCGACTCTTGCAGGGGCCAGGCTGGATGAACAAAGATAAGCACCGCTTGCCAGGACCAGATAACGAACAGCTTATCACACGCCTCCCCCACAACTCCGCATCTCTTACTCGATCTCATCGAGTCAACCAACAACCTCTAATCCGTCCGAGTACATAGGTTCGGCCCGTCCGCCCTCTTCTCTCAATATCTGCCGCACGCTTGGCAACCCGTCTTTTCCCGCCCAAATCCGAACTTCGATAATATTTTAGCTTGACAGCCAGCCTTGTCGAAGCTAAAAGCCAGACATACAGCAAACGAGACTCGCCATTGCTAGACTACGCCAAGTCGTATATTTTAACCGGACGCGCCCGGCCGTTCTCAGATCTCAGCAATAGGTGTCCCATCATCTCTCCCATGCTACCAGACTGTGTATCATTGTGCGCTTGACCTCCCTATCCTATCGGTGGACACCGTCCAAGTCGAACAAGATGGACGTCATTGTACTTGTCCATAGCTTCGAAAATTGGCCGATGGCGGTGGACAAAGCATGACTACTTGGATTTTAGCTGCCCGAACATGGCGTTAACACCCACGAGCGAGCCCGTGTTCGAAGGAGACTGTGCGAAGCCGTCGCCATCGCCATCACCCAGACTCTGTTCCACGTGAAATATATTGACCAGCTTACGAAGTTGATGAGGTTCACCAGATGAGTTGCTGAAAAGACCTGCATACTGGTATGAATTCAGCCGTTTTAGAGAAAACTGGAAGCTGCATGGCTCTGGTTTGAAGCACAATCTTAGCCCTAGCTTGGGCAGTAACATAGGTGTGCGGGACGATAGTATGGTCACTGAGGTGGCACCTGGGGCTTGTAAGGGGATCGTTCATCGAGGGGCCTTTCCATGGCCCAGGTAGCTTCCAATAGTTCCTCAGATGGTTCTGCAGTTCGGCCCTTTCTGAACATGCGACGAGTCTGGCCTCCATCCATGCAAGTATGGACCCGCCGCTCCACTTTCGAGCTGGTTAGGACTGTACTTGACTTTACTGAGGCATCTTAAACCTTCAATGTCTAGCGGAGCTAGAACTCGTGGAGAACTCGTGGGGTCGACGCATTTTGTGGAACGATCGGATCCTGTCTCGGACCCGGAGTGAATTGTGCGAGTGGAGAGGATCCGAGAGTATCAATTCGGTTGTAAGACTTGCCCTCTTCATCTCTGATGATGATCTGTCTAGCCGTCAAGAGGATACGTATTCTTTCTACCTACGCACAGTGAGCGGGCCGAAGAATAATGACGACTTCCAACCCAAGCCCTTGTTCTATCACTGGCAGAGGAACTGAGTTCAGCCGAAACCAAGTTTGGGCGCGGTGTTCGCATCGTCCCTGAAGATGTCATCGAGCTGCTCAAGGTGAGGTACGACCTTGTTGAGGCCATGTCCTCGGTTGTAGTCCACTGGCCACCCATCCTGCCTCAGAAACGACTGTCAGTGTAGGGTTGGTTTTATTCGAAAAAGTTCCATCATATTCCAACGACGATCACTCTACTTGCCAGAGTTGTGCTCTCACTGTCGTGCATCGTGGTTGCTAGCTACTCAGCCCTTATTCACATCACCACAAACTCACGGCTGGTTGTGGCGAATGAACCGGCAACGCTGCCACATGAGATCAGTGTGTCCACTCGCTGCGGACTCTGGTGAAGCCGAGCGAGGAAGGAAGGGGCCGGAACCGACTATGTTACCAGACAATGAAAGCTCGGATCCATACCTTGCTTATGCAACTGGTGTGACGGAATTGCAGCACTCAGAGGATATTTCATATTAGATGATGGCGTAAGGAGATGGCGGAAGGGGGGGGGGGGGTTGCAAGCTGAAAAGTGGGAAGTGAGCGAAAATCCATGTTAAATGATTGGTTAACTTTCTCCGGGATGTGTACTCACTGCACAGCAAACGTGCCGGCAGACGGCTTGAAAACAGAAATTCCTCGCAGGGCATTTTTCACTACGAAAATTCAACGAAAGGAATCATGAGATTCCTGCTGTCCAGTTCATGATGTCAATCTTGTAGGCTTTGTCTCGCTACTCGAAATTCTTGACTCAGGCGCATTCTTCGTCGGGCAGCGGCGCCTTTGTTTACATTAGGAACCGTCCAACAGAACCCTTCCGCATCACTTGGTCAGATGTCGTATGTGCAACTACAGAATCTGGATGTGATCCTCATTGAATTTCACGACAGAATCTTGTGACAGTGCCGTGTGTATCTAGACTGGAAGTGACATGTAAGCTGCAAGCTACGCGGAGACGGTGTGGGCGGTCGCGTCATCTTGCCTTGCTGGGGACGAAGAATAGGACCGGTATGACGGTGAAAATCACCAAGACACCAAGCTCTACTATTGCCCTCGGCCCCGTTTGCGCCTTGGTTCCATGCGAGTCGCTCCTCCAGTCGGAACTCCATGCGAGGAGATTCCCTTGCCGACGCGTTGCCTCGGATATTGGGCACCATGACCGCTGCTCTGCATGCGATACGCGTCCACTGGAAGATGTTCCCACCCCGAAATCAGATGCTTCTACTCCAACAGCATGTTCCCTGCCCCAGCATCTTCACCATCTCAGCTGGACAGGCGCACCTGAGTGTCAACACCTCGAGTGAGGAAGGGTCGATGTCATATTTAAGCTCAAGATAAAGTTCTAAACTGTGGAGAAGGCGAAACTATGGGTATGAAAGCCAAACAAATCTTCGAGTCCTTGGTCCCAGGGCCCCTCCTCGGCCGTAGGGCTGATGACTCGGGATAGTTCGGGATGTCGGCAGGCACTCTTCGGCATCATACATATATGCCACATGAAAGACAAACACATGCATGTCTTTCGACATGTTGTACGAACCTCTTCGTAGCAAATCTCCCTGAACAATCTCATTAAATATCATTTATCCTTGCAAACCCATACTACTATCCAAGAGTGCGGGTCAATTTTTTGGGACGCACAGAACTTTTCATGGTATTCCTTTTCAATGACTCCCATAACATGCTAGGCCATCCACCTCATATGCGGTCGTCTCAGTATTAATCCAAAGTGCAGAGTTGGGATTGTTTTCGGGGGTAATTATGTCCACCTCTCAGTCACAGTCCATCTTCGCTTCGGGGATGTTAGATCACGCGGGATCTCGATTGTTCCGATGGGCTTGGGGCTGCCCCATAGCCCACCCGTCCCTGACCCGAGCTGTGGCAATGCAGGAACCTCATTACGTTCTTCCTCCTCGTGGTGTGAAGACTTGGGTGCTGGTACTGCTCGAGGTGACACACGGCTGTCTGCCCTGTTCCTCGTCGTCCCATTTCCGTTTGTGATAGGTGTGCTGGGCTCAGCCGCTGACCTCTCAGTTTCCTCAGCTTTCGCGCTCGGCGACACGATATCGAAGCTTGTGAAATTCGGGAGGAAGTCGTCATCGTCATCTTCTTCAGGTGTATCCAGGGTATTACGAAGTGGGGACCAGAGCCCTCCGGTAGCCGACGACGGCGTCTGCTTCAGAAACGAAGTCACACCGCTTCCGACCGTGATGCCCCCGCTATTTATACCTTTCGTGTTCAGTCCAAGCCGGCTTGCCAACCGTGATGAAGCCCCCGATTCGCGCCTCATGCTGCCTAGGCTGGCTGCTGCGGAGGAGCTCCGACTTCCTGAACCATCGTTCCCGCTCAAGGGAGATGATGTGAATGCGTTCGAGAGACGGCCTCGATTTTGCGTAGTGACAGACCCTGACCGCCCTGATCTTGTCGAAGTCAAGTGTTCAGTGCTTGCGAATAGTTTGAGGTCATAACACTGATGAATAGCTACCAGCCCCGACGGCGAGTCGGCGCGCGTGCCGTTGATACCTGTTACGAGGTCGGTTCCTGGACTATTCCCTATATCATCCTTGCCAGGCTTTCGTATCGCTGATGTTAGGGATGCCAAGCTGACATCTGTCAAGACAGGTTGATGTGTAATGGCTCCGATCAGAGCATTACAGCCAGCGCCGTGAGAAACAAGAATGACCACCGACTCCGTCTCGACATCTTCATCCTCGTCAATAGCATCATCGCTGGCCGTAACGCTATCCCGCCTCTCCTTGGTCACCATATCCGCTGGGTGCTCCTGTGTAGCGTACCAGTCGACCAAGCTCTGCAAGCCCTTGCGGAATCTCTGGTGCATCGCGGTCCACTCTTCGCCGTACGAGCCTCCGTCACCCCAGTCCAATGTCCCCCGCATCGAGTCCCACTGGTAGTCCACATCGCAGCAGTTGTCTCTGGCATGTGGAACATAACCCCTGGGGATCTCCGCATTGTGCGAAAGCGCATACGAGGGCACAGGGGCAACATAGGCACCACCAGTGATCAGGTGGGACTCTCCATTGCTCGTCACACTGTCACTCCTGCCGGCGCGTCTCATTGCCTCAGCGAGGCTGCCTACGTTCTCGAGGCCATTCTCCGCCGCCGCGACAGTTGGAGACTGGCCCCACATCAGACCAGTCCCGGGTCCAGATGACGAATTATGTGGAGAGTGGTGCGCGTAAAGGTTGGGATAACTATTATAGTCTTCCTTCCGCAGCAGCTCCGCCTTTGCGCTGGCAAGCATCAGACCCGAGCCAGGCGGCGGAGTGATGAGCTCAAAATAACCCGGGGTAAGCCATTCTCCCAGGAATGCATCAAGCCGCAGGACAGTCTTTTGAATAACGGGCTTCGATCTCGAGTTGGGACGCGAGCCGGTGGGAGGAGTCGGCGGCGGGACAGAGACATCGGGCTGGACGGTTGCTCGGAGACGAGGGTTTGTAACGGAGTGTGTGGAGGATGATCGAGTGACTGAGGGAGGAGGAGGCTCAGGGATGGAGGCTAGACCGGCGCTGATACCTATCGATGTCTGGATGCAACGTAGGAAAGGCGAACTGTGGATGACGATCTTGTACTTTCGACGTTTCCTTGGGGAGCCGTTGGTGGCAGGTGAGTCGCCTTGCTGTTCCTTTTCCCTCTCCTTATCACCGTCCCGCAAGATCTCGCCAATCTTCTGTCCGACTGCCCTTGTCTGGTTCCATCCGCTGTATGTCAGGGGTGGGTCGTATGGAGTGGGTGACTGGAGGTGCCACTGCTTATTGGCGGCGTCAAGTCGGTTTCCGTGTCTGTGGTAGAGAAGCGATGTCAGCAACCAAGGGCTACAATGTCCACGTCGATGTCGTTCGGGCGCGGGGCTCTGTTGGACCTGGGCGGTGTTTCCGCATCAGGGAGCGGGGGGGGTTCAGGGTCGGAATGCGGCCTACCTTACGACGAAGATGTAGGCCGGAGCGCGGCCCATAGCTGACAAGAGCTCTTGGGATGGAGTCTAGGTGATCGAAAGAGGAAGAGCGTTGGACTGTGGGCGTGAGAGAGAGAGAGAGGACTAGTAAATTCGCGACTTGTCGACGATCTATGGTCGATAGCCAAAAGGCGGGCTGTCTCTGTTAGGTAATAATGGACGGTTGGCGGCGGTACGGTGGTGCACCGTACGGTACGGGTACGGTGCGGTAGTCGACGGGCAGGGTGGCCCACGTGTGCCGGCTCCAGCAGCAGCAGCAGCGGTCTCGACGCAGTGGGTCGCAAAGCGAGATTATCTCCGAGAGCCGGTCAGTTGAGTCGCGGTGACACTCCGGTCTGACTGACTCTTGCTTCGCCTTGGAGGTCCAGTCCTGTATATGGTGACGCCGGAAGGGAGGGCTGCCCAGGTGCGTGGGAACGGTGTGACGGTTTCGCTTGCCAAATTGTCGTATAGGCGAAGTTAAGTGATCCCGGCAGATTTTATAACAAAGCAGGGAGGTCGTGAGTAGCCAGTCGTTCCGGATGCGCCTTGGGGGCTGTTTGAGCTGCACGATTACACCGAGTGTCGTATTATGCACGCGCAATAGCAGCAACAGCAGTGTGGCGGAAGGTCTGCGACGCGACGCAGCTCAGCCGGCCGCCTCGGGTGCGACCTCTGACCGTGGCCCTGATGGAGCGAGCGAGCGTACGTGCGTTGTGTCACTATTTTCGGACGAGCGAGGCCAAGGCCCTGGAGAGACCGTAGAAGGGTGGTTTTGAGACAAAACGGTCGGGTCGGGGATGTCCGCGGTGCAAAGGCATGGATCCAGCCTCTAGGATCTGCATCTGGATCTGAAAGTTAAGCGTCGGGGAAAAGTTTTGTTTGGATTGAAGATAGTTGAGATTAATAATTAAGCAACGGCCATCAGGGCGGAGGCTTGCCGTGATGGGTGCTCGACAGGTGCCTGAATTGAATGAAATGGAATGTATTTGGATCTGGATTGGTTCACGGGCAAATTGAATGACAGCCACCTCAGCCATCAACATTCAATCACCGAGGCCTGCTGCATGGTCTTGTGCGACTCGGTGGGCTCATGGTCGACGCAGAAGGACTCGTTGGCGGCCTGCCCACCACGTCATTTTCATTTTGTCACGATGCCAGTGTCATCGTCAAATCCCTCTTGGAGTCTAGCGGTGCCGACGCGGTGCGACGACCTCTCTCGCTCGCGGGGTCTTTCTCTCCCCTTTCCCCCTTCTACCCCACCAGCCTGTGCCCGTCCAGCCAGCCCAGAATTGCCACCAATCCTGAGGACGCATCATCATGCAGCTCTGCGCCTGCAAGCCTGAACACCTGCAACCTGCAACCTGCAGCTGCAAATGCAACTGCACCCTACCGCATCGCTGCTCTTCTCCCCACACCATCACATGCCAGATCCATTTTTCCCAACTGGGCCCCGCCTGCAACTCAATTCTGTCCCCACCTACGGCTTCACACCCCCGAGACCCCTGGCCACTGGGAATTGCAGTCTGTCAGTTCTGCAACCACCAACACTAAATTGATTGGACGCATTGGACGCATTGGACGTCCCCTGTGCCCATATTAGTGACCAAGGAAATCTGTCACTATGAAATCGTCCACGAATATGAGTATATCTTTGCTTGATCCGAATCAACGCCTACTGGAGCCTTGTTTAATGATTGATACATCGAGCTCGAGGAATGGCAGAGTCCAAAGTGACCCTCAGCCTCCACACAGAACACAGAAACGGCCTGTGTGGGCACCCGTCTGAATAGCTTCAAAAACCAACACTACATGCAACAAGAGCCTGACTCTACGGTGATTTTCACCAGGCACGACCAGGCACAATCCTGACGGTGTCTACAAGCTGAACCATAAGATAGGAATCAGACATCACAGTTTACCTTCACAGGTCGTCCTGCAAAGCTTCAAGATCTTCCCAGCCAGTTGGGGCCTGCCAACCTGGAAGAATCTATAGTCCGCCCCTCGCATGATGAGTTTATCCTTGATACTCATCCTCGATTCGTCTGCAAACTCATACGTAGCCATCACGTCTGCACCGCGCGCGACCAACGTCTCAATAACCTTCTCGAGCTTGTCGGCAGGGAGCTTGTACATGTATGGTACCTCGTATCCTCCCACGCCTATGAGCTGGATCCCCTCATCGATCTCCGGCTGCCTGGCGTACAGGTGCACCGCGTAGTCGAATGGGTACATCTCCTTCTTGGGGACAAACGGGCCCGGGGTAACTAAGGTCTGTCTCTCCCTCGACGGTCGGGAAGCGTACCCGTGACACGAGTTGGCACAGAGGCTCTCCCGCTCTTTTCGACTGGGAACCGAGAAACTCGGCGAGAAAAATGGAGATCGCCGATTTGCCCTGGTCATCATTAAGTTTGGGTCAGCGCCGGCCTGAATGAGGGCCTCGAATAATTCTTCGTTCAAAGGCTCTCCGGAGGAAGTTCTTCGGCCCATAAGATGCAACGAGGTCTCGTCCTTGTTGCTCTGGAGGTTAATGCGGCTCCGGCGGCCTGCAGGCTATGAATGAGGCCATCTATCGTCATTTCCGGGTCGTCGACCGGCAGCGGCGGCGGCGGCCGGAGTCGCCGGAAAACCTTGGACTTAGGGAAGCTGGCAATGCTCTATTAAATCAGCTCAATTACATTGGCGGCCGCCAAATTTCCATTCCAGTGCACTCAAAGTTGAGTGGATGGATTTGAATTGTCCTGAAACTGTCGCTCTGGACTGAGTAATGAAAAGCGCCGTTATCGTTCTTGTCGGTGACACTGGCGTCTGCACCATCTCGAAAAAGTTTGAACGGCCGTTTGATATCGTTTCTGGGCAACGGCTGTACCGAGCCGTTGAGGCCTGCCATTGACAACAAATCTCGTGGGCCATTCTGCTCTTCGCGTCGTCCATTGAGACTTGGACTGAAGTGGTTGCTGCTGGTGAGTTGCAATGGCTCAATATATGAGGTCGGAACCGGACGGCCATCTTGCATCCACTGGGGTCTCAAAGTGGCGCCAGAGTGGGTAATTTGTACTTGGCTCAAGAACGAGAGAGCGCGAAGTTACTCAAGAGAGGCACAGCTTTCAACGTTTTGGTTAGTTTGGTCAAAGTCGCAACTGTGCCGCAGGTGATTTTACTCCATATACCCACAAGTTATCTCTGGTAGGGCAAAACAGCATTTGGCCATTGCAGAAGTCACTCATAAATACAGCCTCTGTCTTACTGATAAAACAGCTTGAGAAAAGGCATTGATTGATTAATTACATGCTGTGAGACGCTGTTTCAAGACCGGCAGCTAGTTTACTTTTATGTTGATTTCTGAGGCCGTTCAGGAAGCCGTTTAGGAGGACGACGACGTACTTTAGAGAGGCCGAGGGATTTGGGCGAACGCTTTATTTCCTTCTCGTATAATCCTGCAGGCGAGCAGCTGGAACAGGTAAAGCGGGGTTCACGCTCAGCTACTTAACTTTATCTTACTTGTTGCTGATTTATCTGACCTGGGGTCCACTCCTGATGGAAGTCAAGCTACCTACGGCTTGCTCTATCTTCCAACGTCGTACAAGTATTCACGCCTGTCTTCCAAATCTGTCAACTCACCATCGATTATTGGCACTGCTGCGAGGCTGTTGTAGGAAGAGGTAAGGCGGAGATTCATCACGGCCATGGAGTTTTGGATGACTGTGGCCGCGGCAGTGGCCGCGGCTCTGGCTTACTTCACCACTCGACTTTCCGCTTCACGAAGGGAGCTGCGCATGCTACAAAGGGCAGGTCTGGTAAGTAGCACACAATGCGTATATCAACTCCAAGTTTACATTAATTATTTGTTGACTGTTTTCCCGATGCTCAGCCCATGCCGGACTTCCATCCTATCTTTGGCCACCTGCTTGTGCTGAAGAGGGCGTCAGCGGCGCTCCCGCCCGATACGATCATGCATAATGTAATGTGGAAGATTGCACGACAGCTTTTTCCTGGAGGGATTTTCTACTTGCACCTGTGGCCATTCAGTCAGACGCTTCTCATTGTGGCTGACGCCCACGTTGCGTCACAGGTAGAGGGTCTGGGCCTGGGCAAAGGTGACAATATCGTCAAACCTATCGAAACCATCACCGGTGGGCCCAGCCTTCTGACTATGGAAGGGACAGAATGGAAGCGCTGGCGTCGCCTGCTTAGCAACGGTTTCAGTGCCGGGTATCTCATCAGCCTGGCCCCAATCATGGCCGATGAGGTGGCAACTTTTCGTGATTTGTTGATCAAGAAGTGTCGAGATGGACCTGATGGACGCAGTGCAATGTTCCAGATGGAGGAATTGACGGTGCGGATGACATTTGATGTCATTGGACGTGTCGTGCTAGACACTCGTCTGAACTACCAGACACGCAACAACCCTCTGGCAGCGGCGCTGCGGTCATCAATCGAATGGACCTCATGGAGAAGCCAACTGAACCCTGTGGCTAAGTACCTGAACATCCGGCCGATCGTTCACTGGCTCAATAGCCGGACTATGGATCGATATATCGGCCAAGAAATTGACAAGCGCTTCGTGGAGCGCTGCGATGGGAAAGCAAGAGAAGAAAGTGACGGGGAAGACTTGAAAGACACTAACAAGCGGTCCAAGTCCATCGTCTCCCTCCTGGTAGACGATCTCCTGCTTGAAGCGGGCAGTAAGGACGCCAACCACGTCAAGGAGACGGTCAAGTCAGCCATAGCTTCGCAGCTGCGCGCCTTCCTTTTCGCAGGCCACGATACTTCTAGCAGCGCTTTAACTTACTCCTACTACCTGCTATGGAGGCATCCCGCGAACATGGATCGGCTCGTAGCCGAACATAATGCCGTGTTCGGTGATGAGCCCGCCGAAGCCCTGGCGCAAATCCATGCCGACCCGTACAAGCTTAACCAGCTGCCCTACACCACAGCCCTCATCAAAGAGACGCTTCGCCTGTTCCCACCGTCCGGATCAATGCGAGTCGGCCGCCCCGGGGTCTTTCTCGTCGACGAGACAGGCCGTCGCTTCCCGACCGAGAACTGCAACGTCTGGACGCTCAGTCTGGCGATCCACCACGACGCGCGCTACTGGGTTGAGCCCGAGTCGTTCCTCCCGGAGCGGTGGCTCGCGGGACCAGGTGACCCCCTCTACCCCGGCGAGACCAAGACAAGCGGCGCTGCATGGCGGCCGTTCGAACACGGTCCTCGGAGCTGCATAGGGCAGTCACTGGCACTGCTGGAACTGAAGATTGCGCTGGTTCTGACGGCGCGAGAGATTAATGTGGTGCCGGCGTACGAGGAGTGGGATGCACTACACCCAAAGAAAGGTGCTCGTGGAAAGGCTGGGATTGTGAACACGGTGGATGGAAACCGCGTGTACCAGGCAGAGAAAGGCGCGGCACACCCAGCGGATGGGTTTCCTGTCAGGGTGGAGTTAAGGCGGCGTTGACAGCCTCACTCAAGATTATGTACGACCGTTCACTCATTGTGGTAGCATGCGTGATAGATCTGTAAATGCCCTGTCCCATGTCCAAGAACCCCACAACACGGGACCACCCTAGCTTGTAGCCTGTGCGGGCATGTACCCAGGTACCATCGCCTCTCGGCTGGACCCCTGGGCTCTTCCTGCAGGGCGTCAACCGTGTCGGTCGAGGTACCGATCGGTTAGTCTGACAAATCCGGGGCATTGCATCTCACTTCGACCCGTGCAGCTCGACTTGAACTTGACTTCAAATCGACATCCTCCTTGCACCTCTGACTCAACCCCCATCTGCTTTACCGCAGATATCGAGCCGAGGTGCTGTCTCTACCGCCCATCATGAAGCTCTCCAACGTCCTCCAGCTGCCGGCATTGCTGGCCGCCACCCTTCTCAGCCCGGCCCTCGTTTCTGCAGAGCACACCAGCAACTGGGCCGTCCTCGTCTGCACGTCGCGCTTCTGGTTCAACTACCGCCACCTGGCCAATGTGCTCTCCATATACCGCACCGTCAAGCGCCTGGGCATCCCTGACTCCCAGATAATCCTCATGCTGCCCGACGATATGGCCTGCAACCCGCGCAACGCATTCCCCGGTACCGTCTACTCCAACGCCGACCGCGCAGTCGACCTGTACGGTGACAACATCGAGGTTGACTACAGGGGGTACGAGGTGACTGTCGAGAATTTCATCCGCCTGCTGACGGATCGCGTCGGCGAGGAGACACCAAGGAGCAAGAGACTCTTGACGGACGATCGCAGCAACATCTTGGTCTACATGACAGGGCACGGTGGGAACGAGTTCCTGAAGTTCCAGGATGCGGAGGAGATTGGTGCTTTTGATTTAGCCGATGCTTTTGAGCAGATGTGGGAGAAGAAGAGGTATAGCCTTATCACGTCGCACCCAGTGGCCCACAGGAATAGACTAACACGCGCGCCTTTTGCAGATACCACGAGATTCTATTCATGATCGACACCTGCCAAGCAAACACAATGTATACGAAACTCTACTCTCCCAACATCATCGCCACCGGCTCGTCCGAGCTCGACCAGTCCTCCTACTCACACCATGCCGATAACGACGTCGGTGTGGCTGTCATCGATAGGTACACATACTACAACCTCGAGTTCCTTGAGGGCGAGGTGCGCGACCTCAGCAATAAGAAGACACTGGGCGACCTCTTCGATAGCTACACGTATGAGAAGATCCACTCGCACGCTGGCGTGCGCTACGATTTGTTCCCAGGTGGCGAGGCGGCGGCCAGGACGAGGTTGGTGACGGACTTCTTTGGCAATGTGCAGAACGTGGAAGTGGACGGAACGAAGAACAACACGCTTGAGGAGGACCTGTTGGCACTGAGCAAGCATATAGCGGAGCTGAGGAAGCGGGTTGGTGAGGAGGAGGGCGAGGACGCAAGGAGTAATTCGACTCTAGACAAGAAGCGCGTGACTGGGAACAACAGAGTCAAATCTGCAAAGCCGTTAACGGAGGAAAACTGGTGGGCCAAGAAGCTTCTAGGAGCCGTTGTCATTGGGGGTTGTGTGTCGCTCTGGGGCCTGGGTTCGTTGCTGGAAAAGTCGACTAGATGAAGACATGTATCTCCTATTTACCAGCGATTACACTTAATACCTTGAAACCTACGGACGGGTCCCAGAGTATTTCGCGACTTCATATCCGCTCTCTCATCTGAGGATGCTAATGGTGTAGAGAGGTATGTCGCAATCTCGACCCAAGAACAAAGGTTAGAAAGGGCCATAAAATGTGAGTTCTAAAGTGCTTAATCAGCACAAATGATCAATTCGATCAACTGAACACAAGTTGAGGTTGATTCAAATAGGTGAATTTGAAGCTCAGTGAGACCTGAAAGCGCCTCGGCTTGGAGCGCGACCGTTCAAAAACTTCACCCTTTCAATTCGCCATAATACCGAATCACTGTACCATGTCCAACCACAACACCAACCTAAAAAAGCCATCATTCATTGATTTGGGAATTACTTAAAGACATTGAAGCGAATCGAATCCTCCATAGCTCAAATGAACTCGAATAACGGCTTGACATGAAAAACTCAAAGGTAGGTCGCATTCCCCAGTGCATTTTGCACGCGACTGAGTCTCACGCCGATCCACAGATATTGCCGCTCCGCGGCCTCAATCTTTATTCAAAACCGCTCAACCACAGAGCAATCGCGTGGTCCTGTGATGCAGAGCTAGCAGTCGCAGCTGATGATTCCTTATTCGTATTTCTGCCAGAGTTCCCCCTCCTGGACCCAAACGACGAAGACGAGGATGATGACGAGCCCATGGCCGAGGATGACCCGCCCGACATGCAGGTGCAGGACGGGTTCCTCTCGTCGCGCCTCCCCAAGAAGTACGGCGAAGGGGATGACGACGACGAGGACCGGCTGGAGGAAGACTCGGAGGACGACGACATCGAAGCGCCCGCAGCCAGCCAGGCCAACGGCGGCGTGAAGCCCGAGGGCGGGGACGACACGCACCAGGCGGCGACGCGCGCCAACATCGACCCGCTGGACACGTCGGACCCGCGGCGGCAGTTCTTTGACGGCATGCGGCACTTCCCCGTGTCGTGGCCGTACCTCGGCGCGGAGCTGAACGCGCACATCTGGGAGGCCGCGGGCCGGCAGATGCCGCTGCTGCACACCAACGTGCGCGACCACCTCGACCGCGACGTCACGCACATCCTGGACGCCATGCCCAAGGACGCCGAGCAGGAGGCCGAGTACCTGGAGAGCGGCACCATCATCCCCTTCCACGAGGTCAACCACCACCCGGGCGCCGGCGTCGGCATGATCGGCTCCGCCGGCACCAGCATGAACCACGTTGTCGCCGTCGAGTGGTCGCCAAGCGGGATGGGTCGGAATCGGAGGCCTGTCCTGGCCGTGCTGACTGGATGCGGCAGTCTGGCCGTTTACGGCGAGGGCTGTGCGCTCCCCTTTGGCAGCACGGCGCGGCCGCTTAGGAGCGTGGCTACAAAGGGAAAGGGGGCGGTAAGGGACCTGGCCAGCTGGGTGGTGATGTGGGCCGTCGGCGAGAATTTCGTCGTGCCTGGACAGGAGGAGTATGGATATGGAGAATTCATCAAGGCGTTCTCCTGGAGCCAGGAGATTGGGCCTGGGAAAGCGCTGCTTGGTTACGTAAATGATCTGAGGGAGATGGTGATCCTGTCTGTGGTGAGTGAGTACAGAAAAACCGAGGATGGCCTGGAGGAGGCGATTTGGAATGTCCAGGAGGTATGCAGATTTGAGACAGAGGCGCCCCATGGGCAGCAAGATGTAAGTCGAGAATATTCTTGTTTGTTGAAGTTGGACCTAATATCGGACACAGCTCAACGATCCAGACTATGTGCCGGCAGGGTCCAGCTACTGCGTACGATGGAGTCCATGGATCCAAGCAAACGATACATGGACGTGCGTAATGTCATACATGGAGAGAAACTACGTTGGTTTTCGGAGAATCACCATAGACGTCTCGACTTGGAAGCCGAGGGAGGTACCCAAGATCACCGTTGACCCCAACGATTGGGACGGGCGCTGCATTCATCTGGGCACGGATGCCTTCTTGGAGTTCGAGAACACGGTATGGACCGTTTCCAACATGAAGCTCTGCCGAGGCTTCATCGCCACGCCGCTCGTGGCCGAGCCCTTCGAAGTCGACCTTGCCCGTAGCAACCCTAACAGGCCGAAGCCTGAACACTCCACCGAACAGTGCAATACCTCGCTCCCGAACCACGACTTGATTACCAACCCCATCACAGGCCTGGTTGTCCACCCTGTGAGCCCTCAAACTGTCAGCCCACCGCCAGTACCTTTCTACACTGCCGTCCGTCTCTCCGCAACAGCGACAAACCCCGGCTGGTGGGAGTCAAATTTCACGAAGCCCGGTGACCACGAAGATGAGCCACAGTGGGTGGCCGAGATCCAGCAGAAAATCTGCTCGATGCTGCCCCAGGGCCTAGCCGGCCGGGTAGGCATCTTCGGCGACGATGGAGAGGATGGCGAAGACGGCATCGAGCCCGATGACGGGGCAGGCGGGGAGTATGCCGCAGATGCAGGACCTGACGATGACGATGACGAAGCCGGGTCGGAAGAGTCCTCGGATGACGAGACGGGCACAGCAAACGGCTATGCCGGGCCAGAAGTCCATCCGCACCGCATGCGCATCTGGGGGCTCGCGATATCGCCAGGCGGCGGCTCAACGGCGGTGCTCGCTACGTCGCAGCTGACGCAGAAGCCCGAGCGTGGCGGCTGGCACAGCCACCGCAGCCGCGTCATGTTCGGATACACAGAACACGGCGCGCCACGACTCCAGAAGCAGCAGCAGCAACAGCAACAACAGCAGAGGGCCCCTCAAGAGGAGGAGCTTCTGGACCCCAGCCTCGGTGGGACCGGACCCGCGGAGGGCAGCGCGGTCAACGTGGACAACCTGACCACCGAGGCCAGGCTGTGGGAGTGGATGTACGGCGGCGGCACGGGCGTCCCGGGCATCACCCACTACTCATACACCGCGGATAAGGAGGTAGCCGCCGCCGCCGATGGGACCGTCAGCCCCGGCAGGGCGGCGCAGGAGGCCAGGGATGCGCTGGCGCAGGCGCGACGCGACAGGGTCAAGGAGATATTCCGGCCGTTCGCCGAGGGCCAGACGTGCAGCATCTGCGACGATGGAAGGACCAAGTTCGTGCCCATCCAGGCAGAGGTCGATCAGCAGCAGCAGCGGCAGGGGCAGCATGGCAGTGGCGACGGGGCGGTCGGGGGCCAGCTGGACTGCGCGTGCGAGAACGGGCACCGCGTCGCGGTGTGCGGCGCCTCCGGGCTGGCGATTGGTGAGCCGGGCATATCGCGGTGCTGCGGGGTGTGTCGGTCGCGGTGTATCAACATTGATGTTCTGGTCGAGCAGGTGCTGTTGCCGGTTGGGAAGGCGCAAGAGGCCGAGATTGTGAGGCGGGAGATCGCGGGTGATGTCTGTGTCCGGTGCGGAGGGAAGTATCTCGATTAGGGTGAGGTGTGTGTCCAGCTCTGCTCTCAGTGGTCGCTCGATTCATCAACTCACTTCCAATTACTTTCATCAGGGAACCAGGGACTCGGTGGAGTTCAACGCAGATATTTTTTTGCGTGTATTCTAGATTGACGGTCTAGGTAAACAAGAACAAAAAACTCAGACATGTGTCTGGCGACTCTAGATGCTGAGAAAACAAGTAATTCTAGTCAAGAACTCGCTTCGTCCCGATACCGCGCATTGTTATCCTCCTCTAAACCTAGATCCGGGCCGAGTTGATGCGACCTGTCAACACACAGCAGCCACGGCGACCAGACCCCACTCAAAGACGCCTTGCTCTTGATCAACCCACTCGCTTACCCTTTACCCAAATGCCTTGTTCATGGCCTGGTGCGCCAGCTCCACACCCAGGAAAGTCGCGGCGTTGGCGGGGACGGCCCTCGCCAATGCAGGCCCGAAGCCGGGAAAGAAGGACCTGACGCCACCCTTTGCGTACAGCTCGCGTATGATGCCGCCGACGGTGACGTTGCCCTCGGAGGTCTGCAGGCGCGACTTGACGGTGTCGACGGGGAAGACGGGGATCCACATGGCGACGCCGGCGGCCGCGCCGGCGCAGGTGACGGCGGTCAGGCTGAGCTGGCCGCTGGGCTTGCCGGTGGCCGGGTCGATGGGCGTCAGCTTGCGCTTGATGTACTCGTAGGCGGCGAAGTAGGCGGCGCTGCCGGGCCCGTCGCGGGCGAGGGTGGCGGCGCTGCCGCGGAAGACGGAGCGCACACCGCCCTCGCGGTACAGCTGGCGCACGACGTCCAGGCCGCCCGAGTAGCGCGGCTTCTCGCCGGGGGCGAGGCGCTGGTCCTGGACCTGCAGGATGACCTTGACGCGCTCGAAGGGGGCGGTGATGGCGGTCATGGGGATGGCGGAGAAGAAGCCGGCGGCGGAGATCTGGGCGATGGAGAGGGAGCCGTCGGCCGAGGGGGCGGAGGTGCTGCGGACGATGGTCTTGCCTAGGTCGTAGCCCCAGAAGGACACGGCAACTGTGTGCACGGAACAAGTGTCAGTGCTGGCGGGACAAAGGCGAAGAGGTGGATGTAACCGGGCAAGCCGGGCTAGACAAACGTACACATGGGGGTGACGCCGACGAGGGGCGCGCTGACACCGGCGTAAAGACCTCTCCTCAGGCCATCTCTTGCGATGCTCTTGCGCACTACATCAACGGCGCTGGAGTAGACGCCCTTGTCGGCGGTCTGCAGGCGGACCTTGACAAGGTCGAAGGGGTGGCCGACGACGACGGCGCAGAGACCACCGAAGCCACCGGCAGCGAAGGAGCGTAGCTGGGCGAGGCCTGCGGAGGCGGCTGCCTTTGCCTCTGCCTTGGCCTCGTCCTTGGACTCTGGGATGTGCGGTACCTTGTGTCCGAGTTGGGTGGGGACTGTGTTCTGGATGGCCTGGTTGATTGTGGCGGCGGGGTTGTCGTTGGAAGCCATGGTGGCGAGTGTCGGTCAGCTCTGCAGCCGACAGCAGCAGCAGTAGCACCAGCAGGTGGTGGTTTGGACAATCGATCAAGTGAATGTGTATGTGCTTGATGTGTTGGTGTTTTAGGCCGTTGAAGACCAAGTCTACCGAGGGCCAGGGCCGCTTTGTCCTTGTCGCTCTCCGGCGTTCCCTCTGTGCTGTTGTTCAAGCGCCGTCCGTCCGTCCGCCCGTTGTCCGAAATGCGCCTAGCTCTCGTGCTTGTGAGTCCGCGCTACTTTGTCGTGAAGAATCGAGGCCGTCGTTAATAAGGTGAGGTGATTCTTGTGAGCCGTCACAAGTCAATTGTGCTGATACACTTGGCTTTTGTTGGGGCGACTGCAACTCTCTCTTTTTTTTTTAAACGTTCGGAGTCTAAAGGCCGGGTTGGCAATTCCCGCGGTATAAAGGGCGGCGGACCTTTGGGTTTGCGACGTCACGGCCGAGCCTCGGCTAAGTTTTGGTGGTGTGCGGGCGATTCCCAACAAGGGTCCGTTCTGGATTGTCCCCCACGCTTCTCTCCAGCTTTTCAATACTTATTTGTACTGTACAACCGGAGTTCGATGGTGGTCATCTGCGCCTGTTGTTGATTGTGAAGGTCATAATGACTCGGTACGGTCGAATCGGACAGGACTTGATCAGTCACCTGGAAGCCTCTTTTGTTGTCTTCCTTGACTCCTGATTCTGGACTCTAGTATCGATAGTTGGATTTCGGGATCAGAAAAGAAGCCTCGGCTACTCAAGTGCATCTCTCCATAATCGGCTGGCTGTCTCCATAAATCTCTCGGCCAGCTGAAGATGGGGTCGGGAGATGGGTCCAGATCCATCGTCAAGGACCAGGACTGTCAGGCGGGAGTCCCCCAGATTTCGTACAACACACGTACCCACTCATCCCGCGCTGAGGAGTCGAATGACAGTCAGCGCGCCCGGACTTGTATTGGATACTGTTCTGTAGCTACAGTTCGATCCCACTGGCTCCTCGGGTGACGAGGCGAGATGACTTCATCCGGCGGGCCAGAGGAAGGATGGGACCGCCCCTCTATCCGGCAACATGGAGACAGAGACTGCTAGTCCAGCCATGTGCCCTGATTTCTGATTTCTGATATCCGATGTCGACTGCAGCGGACAGACGGAGGGAGGCCAAGCAGGCTTATGGCGCAGGCGAACTTGGCAACCAATACCCAACTGGGTGGTGATTTAGATCTGCCCTGACAGCATACGAAGCCCAGAATTGGCAGAACTGGAGGGGAGATGAGGTGGTCGCTTATGACCAGCATCCAAATGGGGATGGAGTGGTAGTCTATATAACTCCTGGAAGCTGGAGGGGTAAGGGGCAGGAGACACATGCATCAGGACATGGTACAGCAGCGGGCTCTCACATTGCTACCCCGATTCGACGATAATCCCCATCCCGGAAAATTGCCGCCTGCTAGTCATTCCCAGTCCATAGCCTTCAACGACAGGTGATAAACAGTAGCCTGATCAATGCTTCTCGGTGACCTGTCCTGTCTGTCAACGGGTTTCCGAACTGGTATCCACTCGGCCCGCGCCGACTCCAATGTGTCTTCTGGCGGGGCCGGGCTCCGGGGTCCGGCTGTCCGGGTCCGATGCTTCGCTGGACAGGTGCGAGACATGGCCAGGTTGAGTTTTCAAAAGTGACCATCTCACCATTCGTACCCTGTCAAACTGTGTCTCGGAATGAGACACAGGCCGGAATAATTAAGCAAGCAGGTTGCACAAACATGACTGTTCACTATCATGAGAGTACAGAGCAGGTGAAGGCATCGCAATGTAACGGACCGCCTTTGACAGTCATGAACAGCAGCAGGGCATGTCAGGTACAGCTTTGCGCTCTCCATGTTCCTGGTCTAGTGTCTGGATGTGACTCGGTCCTCCCGTGTCAAGAGCTGCCGTCATGATTTGTACCGCGCCTCCGGGCCTCAATTCTGTTTATCTATCTCTCCCAAACCGAGTCCAATCCCAGCTACACTCACTCTTATAAGGACCCGGCATAGCTGAACATGAGAAATTAGGATTTGCTTCTTTATTGTCTTCGATGATTAGTGAATTCGATACAAGTGACAAGTCGCCTTCTCGGCGATCCCTGTCTTTCGGTCATCGCAGGTTCTCGGACCCTTTGCGGCACCCTGCAAGGTCATGCAAGATCCACAGCCGCCACTTCCACCCGCCAGAATCGCCTCCAACACTGTAATCAGTCCAACCTGCGCCAAACCATAACACAACGTATAACTGAGCAACGACAAACTGCAGCTTAATCTTCCCAAGCCCTCCCAGCCACCCACGCGATTCGATTTGAACACTGGCGGAAACACCTACAGCCCCCTCTGCCACTCTTCTTCCTCCTCCAGAGACATCATGTCTACGTCCTCGAGCCCAGGTTCCGCCGCCCTGTTGCGGCGACAGCTTAAACAAATGCAGACCGACAAGGACATTCCAGGAATATCATGCGGCCTGGTCAACGACAACAACATCTACGAATGGGAAGTCATGCTCATGATAAACGATGAGACAAAATACTACGGAGGTACCGCCAACTCAAGTCCTCCCCTTTCGCCCCTATCACCGTCCCCCCCTGAGCCCCTTCACCATGTGCCCTTCTTCGTCTCCCTCGTCTCCCCATGCCCGCCCTTTCTTCAGCAGACCCCCCACGCCCGGAACTCGAACCCGCTGACATGCGCCTCCCTCCCTCGCCGCAGGAGCAAACTTCCGCGCGCGCCTAAAGTTCCCGCCCGAGTACCCCCTGATGCCGCCGGCCCTGACGTTCCAGGACCCGATCCCCTTCCACCCAAACGTCTACCCGGACACGGGCCTGCTGTGCATCAGCATCCTGCACCCGCCCGAGGAGGATAAGTACGGCTACGAGGCGGCCTCGGAGCGCTGGAGCCCCGTCCAGACCCCCGAGACCATCCTGCTGAGCGTCATCAGCCTGTTCGCCAGCCCCAACGACGAGTCGCCCGCCAACCCCGAGGCCGCCAAGCTGCTGCGCGAGGAGAGGGCCGGCGCCAACAAGGACTTCCGGAAGAGGGTGCGGAAGTGCGTCCGGGAGAGCCTCGGGGAGGACTGAACATCCTTGTGCTGTTGTCTCTGCTTTTTTTTCTTTAACATTGTCCGGGGTTCAGGGCGAAGCGGCGGACGTCAGTGTGACAGTCAGTATATACCCTACAGCAGTTATGTGCGGTGCGCGTTGCATACCAAGCCCGGCGGTGGCGGTGTCATCCCTTTCAAGGGGGCAAACAGTTTGAGCAATACCGGAGGCCAAGCCGGGAAAGGTGGGAGGCCGGATCTGAGCGACCCAGAAAACGGGCGCCGGGACCGCATGTTGTAGACTTTAAGTGGTCCGTCAAACGGCCTTTGCATCAATTTGAATCTGAAGCGACTATAGCGAATTATTTCACTAAGACTAGTATCATCCACCTATGCGGATTGTGACCTTGAACCTGTCGATGTTCCGCTTTTCATTAGGAAGCCATTCTAGAACAAATTCGTGGCGGGCACACATTCCGGAGAGGCGCCTCATTCCTCAGAGAAGCCCAGAAGAGGCTTAACAACCTCATCCCACTCCTCATCCCACCGGCGGCTGCCCTCCCTTACGGCACCCTGCCTCAGCCTGGCCAGCTCCGCCTGGCCATTTTCGCCCAGCAGCCGGTCCATGACGTCGCCCAGCTGGCGCGACGTCTCGAAGCCACACCCGTTCTCACCCTCCCTGACCAGCTCGCCGAAGCTCTCGTAGCCCGAGTACGCCAGTACGGGCAGGCCGGCGCCGAACATGTCCACCACCTTCATGGGCAGGTCGACGCCCGAGCTGCTCATGTGCAGGCAGACGCCCAGGTCCGCCGCCGCGAGGAGGCGCGCGTAGTTCTCGAACGTCAGGAACGCCGTACGCACCGTGATGCCCGGCAGCTTGCCCTCGGCCGCAAGCCGAGCGATCTTGGCCTCGTACGCCGCCTTCTGCGGGCCGCGGCCCGTGATGATGACCAGAAGAGGGGCCCGGCTGGCCGCCGACGCGCCGTACTGAACCAGCGCGTCGAGCAGCAGGCCGAAATCCTCGTCGGGCGTCCAGGATGTGCTGCTCACGATGATCCGCTGCCGGCCGCTCATGATGGCCGGGACGAAGTCGCGTGCCTCGTCGATGCCCGAGAGGTACGACTCCCTCTCGCTGAGGGAAGAGACGGGCTGGAAGATGGCGGCGGGCCGGTCGTGCATCGTGACAATGGGGGAGCGGACGTTCCACGGCGCCTTCTGCAGCTGCCGCTGCATGGCATGGGTGACAGTCAGGTTGGCCGAGGGCGCGAGGCGGCCGAAGAAGCACTCGTAGAGCTTCGAGACGCGGACAAAGGGGTGGGACGACCCGCGGGTGCCCTCAAGAATGGTCCATCCATAGTTGTGCCAGTCAATGATGAGGTGCGTGTTGCGGAGGGTGCACGTCAACCACGCCACAGCCAAGGTTGGGATTGAAGGCGGATTCTGGACATTGTGTCAGCTTCTGTAATGGATTTATCTGCAAAGTGCCCAGACACAGCACGCATACCTGGACAAGCAGCCATTGTGCCGGCTCCGTCTTGTACAACAGGACATGAAGTAGATTCAGGCTCTGCCACAAGACCTTGAGTGGTCCCGTGATGATGAAAGGAGCAGACTTGGAGCGGAGGACAGCCGGTGGAGCATCCAATGCGCAGACACTGGCGTTGGGCAGCCTTGTGAGAGCTGGCAACAGGGCTGACTCTGTAAGGTGATGTGGTGGGTTAGTATGAGGCTACTCGTAGTGAGGAAGATTGGTCAACCCACCATGATAGCCTATGAGCTCAACAGTCCCTCCGTGCTTGGCAATGCTGAGTGCATGATATTGCATACGAGGGCTGCGGCCGATATCTCCCAGCACCAGAACCTGAGCTGCTACATGTCGCTTTGCAGCTGGGCCTGAGTCGGGACGGTACCTTGTTGGGAAGAGCAGAAATGAGGCGACAAGAAGCGTGAGAGCACCGGCGCCCACCAAAGACAGCAGAATCACCTGGATCTCCATCTTGACCTACGAGGCAAATGAGGGGAAGGAGTCTGGCTATAATTGGTACTCCATTGAAAGTGGTTGGCGCGGGGCACTGGACGTGAGGTCCGTGTCAGTGAGAAGTGTACAGGTGGAGTTGACTCTGGACTCGTCAACCGCCCAAACCTTTCCTATACAGCGACTCATAAGCTTCATACAGGGAAAGATTACACGGTCCTTGCTCTACTGAACCCTGTGCAGACTGCTATCAATAGTGAACACATCTCCAAATGGTCTAGATTTGCTCATGTCCTGCAGTTGCATCTCAACTTTAATGCATCCCGTCTGGTCTTTGGCGACCTTAAATTGCTGCCGTTCGGAGTAAAGTTGACGTTCCCATAACCCAGGCCGGGGTAGCTGGTCCCAGGCAGCTGGTGACTGATTAATCGAGTTAGCCTGTGCTTGCCGTGTGCTGCACGCTGCTAACACTGATAATCCCTCCCCCTTTCGAGATTAGCTCTTCCTGCATGCAGTCGCGGCAGAGGGAACGAGATCGGCAGGCGCCAAAAAAGAGACAAAGGCTGCTGAAAGAGACTGGCTGGCTTGGCTGGGCCTGCTTGGCTGCTGGATGGCGCGCTAAGCTCAGGGGAACCTTGGGCAGTGATGCGATGACGGGGTCCTGTGCCACCCTGCCACCGCTGCCGCCCTACCACTCTACCACCCACCCCCACGATTGCCCTCTCCTTTCAAGGAAGGTCGTCCCCAGATTTCCGCGCCCTCCTCTCCGATAACAACAAATGCGACCTCTTCCCTCTCCCCTCCCTCCTGACTCAAGCTTCGAACCAACTCAATTGAAGAGGTCGCGCTTCACCGAACCATCATCTCGCTCCAACATTTCTGGGTTCCCTCACAGGATTCTTGGGCAACGGACAGTTCCGCCTCGACTCGCTCGACACGGGGCTGATACGACGCGAGATCCAAGAATACCAGGGGCCACAAAGGGCAACCGGGCCGAGGACATCGTGGGCCATCCATCTTGCGGGGCCTCCGTCATCCTGTGAGCTGGGAGCGGCAGACGCGGGACATATCGCCAAACCACCTCATGATATAGCAGGCCTCTTGTCTTCGGGGGACCTCGTCTGGTTCTCCTAAGCACCTTGTATGCGCCTCAGGGGCAGCACGACTTATACGACGCCAAGCCTTGGGCTGTTCTCGCCCCAGGTACAAACACTATCATGGCCTCCACCTATGTGCTGCCGGGGACGACAATGCCCACCTCCCACCGGCACCACGGCCACAAGCATGGGCATTCTCGTTCGCGCTCGCCCTCGTCACTCGGCTCCTTGAACAGATCTTTCAAGATGGACTCGAGCTTTAGCATCCCAGCACCAAATCACGACAGCGACCACGACCACGGGCATGACCATTCGCACTCGCATAGCCACTCCGAGCCGCATACCCACGATCACGGCTCGCACGTACACATGCACCACGCGAATTCAATGCAGCCGCGCCAAAACGTTCCTGCCCCGCTGCTACCCAACAACGGGTGGAAGATGACTTCTACCTCCAAGGGAAAACAACTTATAACCCCCATAACCGCGTCTTTCTCTGAGCAGGAGCAGTACGAAGCACCAGAGGTGCAGGGCTCCGAACCACCGCACGATCACTCTGCCGAACGCTCAAGATTCACCAACATGCTACTCCCGTATACCTCAAAATGGCCCATATTACATGCTGTGATGACGGAGAAAGACTCGAGGAGGATTTTCTATTTCATGAGGTACGATTCGCAAAAACATGTCAAAGGTGTACAATATGCTGATGTTATCTCTTCCCAGTCTGAACTTCTTTTTCATGGCCATTCAGGCCTTTTATGGTTACATTACGGACTCTCTTGGCTTGCTGAGCGACAGTATACACATGTTCTTCGACTGTGTTGCTCTTGGTGTTGGTCTGTTTGCTTCTGTCGCGAGTAAATGGCCGCCCAGTGCACGCTTCCCCTACGGCTTTGGCAAGATCGAGACGCTCAGTGGTTTCGCCAATGGTGTATTCCTGGTCCTAATCAGCGTCGAAATTATGATCGAGGCCGTGGAGCGGATCATCGAGGGCAGGGAGACTAAGAGGCTGGCTGAGCTGTTCATCGTGAGCAGCCTCGGCCTGGCGGTGAACCTTGTCGGTATGGCGGCTTTTGGCCATCATCACCACGGCCACGGAGGCGATCACGGATGCGGCGGACATTCACATGGACACGCACACTCGGACTCACATTCCCATTCCCATTCGCATTCACACTCGCATACACTTTCAGAGAAGAGCGACCATTCGCATGATCATGGTCATGAACACGATCACCACACTCACGGAGAGGCTAACGGGCATGGGCATCACCACCACCACCACCACCATTCTCATTCGCATGATAATGAGAACATGATGGGCATATATCTGCATGTTTTGGCGGACACCCTCGGCAGTGCAGCCGTCATCGCTTCGACAGCAATTACACATTTCATCCCCTGGTCCGGCTGGGATCCCATAGCTTCCTTCCTGATCGCAGCGCTGATCATGGGGTCTGCGATACCATTGGTCAAATCATCTGCACGGCGACTTCTTCTGACCATCCCAGACGACATCGAGTATACTCTACGGGAGACAATGTCGGGAATTCCGGAACTGCGCGGTGTTGCAAGCTACTCGGTGCCTAAGTTCTGGATCGATGACAGGTTCTCGGGTGAAGATGCGCAAGCAGGCAAGCTGATGGGCGTCATGCACGTCGTCGCTGTTCGTGGCGCTGATATGGGGGACGTCCGAGATCGCGTACGAAAGTACCTTGCAGCGAAAAACATCGATGTCACGTTGCAGGTCGAGCGGGAAGGCGACGGCACTTGTTGGTGCGGCGTCGGGAAGACCCCACTGACCCCGTTGAGTCCCCCAGGAGGATCGCAGAGCCTGAAGGCGCGTTAGGCGATGCGTCCTGTCAGAGACATGGCGAGCTTTTACTGAGATGGATGTGTTTGTGAGTTACCACAATATTTGGCTGCATGAAGGAGGCATTGTAGTTGGTGTGCCACGCATACGGTGGTGTCTTTGGTGGCGGGAATGCGTGATGTGATATTCTGTACATTATTTTACATGATTCCCATTAGATAGGGTGCTGCAATAATGAGATACCCCATGATTAAATCCTTCCCTTCTGCTCCGATCCACTGGACGTCTCTACTCTTATGCTATCTCGCGACGTGAAGGCAGTTGAGCTTGGTTCCGGTGTCGAAATCGGTATTGTCGACACATGGCTACTTAGAGCACCAGAATATACCGCGAGTAGATTTCACAGTCTTGTCTGCTCTTCAGTACAGCCTTGAAGGGCTTGCCGAAAGCGGGCCACCTCTCGACAGGATGATACTCCGGCTCGTGTCTCGCGTCTGGCCCTGTGGTCGCTCTTCTGCCAGAGCTGGGCCATGACAATATGTGTGCCCGTGGTTCCTCTTCCTTGGCCCCGTTTGATGAGAGCGTTATCCCGTGTCTCATCGCTCACAATTTTAGGCCAGGGCCGGTTCATCACTGCACACTCGATGATGGTACAGTTCTCATCGTTTGAGATGGCGAAGGTCCCGAATCCGGCACAATCGCAGTGCTGACACCACACAAGGTCTCACTTCTTCGACGTCCCGAAGCCCGCGATGCCCATCGCAGCCATCATGTCTTCCTCGTCGTGCTCGCCCTCGATCCTCACGTCCTCGCCATACTCCATCTTGACGCTCTTCTCTTTCTCCCTGTCCGCGCGCCTCCTTTCTTCCGCCTCCTTCCTCTTCTTGCGGCGCTCCTCCCTCTCCCGGGCCTCGTCCTCCTCGTGGATTTTTATCCTCTCCTGCAGGCCCTTCGCCTGCTCGCGCTCAAGCTCCAGCTTCCTCTCCCACACCTCGGCGATGCGCCGGTGGACGTCCTCGGCGGACGCGGCCCGGACCTCGCCCGTCTGGCCCATCGCGCGGATGTGCTGCATCGAGTTGATGTGCTCGACCCACTGCTTGTTGTCCTTGAAGGTCAGGTCGCACGCCTCGCAGTAGAAGCCCGCGCCGCGGCCCCGCTTGCCCACGCCCGCGCCCGCCGCCACCAGCTGCGTCTTGCCCACATGGCTGCTCAGGTCCAGCACCGCGTCGCGCGCCTGCGTCAGCGTCTCGTCGCCCGTCAGCGGCTTGTAGTACTTCTTGCCCGCCAGCTTCGCCTCGTACCGCGCCTTGGCCTCCTCGCGCTCCGCCGCCTCGCGCGCCTTGGCCTTGGCCGCGTACTCGTCCACGTCGTACTTCTTGCGGAACGACGTGTCGTCCGACGCTGCGCCGTAGGCGCCGCCGCCTGACTTCGACATCGTGATGGGAGATTCGCTACGGGTCGAGGTTACCAAAGCAGAGAGAGCGACGCGGTTGGCGTAGGGCGATGGATTGACGGGAGGTTGTGGTATGTTAGGTCGATGTCCGCGAATAGATGCTCGGCTGAGCGGGCAGGCATGCGATAAGATATGGAAGAGCTCCTCCGCTGCTGTTAGTGTGAGCTTTGAAATACCTAGAATACATGCAGATTACAGGGCAGCTGGAGGTATAGTGGGCTGTCTCAGTAACGCAGACATTTAAATCTGGGGAAATTTTAAGATTTCGGGACCATGCAACCAATTCGAGGTTAAATTGACATCGTCTTTTCAATCACGTCGTCCGTGGCAGTAAAAGTCGTCAGTTTTCAAAATGCTGTACCTCGTAGGCCTCGGCCTGTCCGATGAGACAGACATCACGGTTAAGGGTCTGGAGGTGGTGAAGAAGGCGTCGCGAGTCTATCTCGAGGCCTACACCAGCATTCTGCTTGTGGACCAGTCCGTCCTGGTGAGTCAAGACTGAGTATTGTTATTCTGTCTCTTGTTCCTACAGCATATGAATAGCTAACACTAACACACCAGTAGGAAGGCTACTATGGCCGCTCCATCATCCTGGCTGACCGCGAAATGGTCGAGTCCAACAGCGAAGAGATCCTGCGAGATGCGCAAACCGAGGATGTAGCCTTCCTCGTCGTCGGCGACCCCTTCGGCGCGACCACGCACACCGACCTCGTCCTGCGCGCGCGCGAGCTCCAGATCCCCGTTCGGACCGTCCCGAACGCCTCTATCATGAGCGGCATCGGCGCCGCGGGGCTGCAGCTCTACAACTTCGGGCAGACGGTGAGCATGGTGTTCTTCACAGACAACTGGCGGCCAAGCTCGTTCTACGACCGGGTCAAGGAGAACAGGCATATTGGACTGCACACACTCGTGCTTCTGGACATCAAGGTCAAAGAGCAGAGCATAGAGAACTTGATGAAAGGAAGGAAGATTTTCGAGCCGCCCAGGTACATGACAGTTGGCCAGTGTGCCGCACAGATGCTCGAGGTCGAGGAGGAGAGGCAGGAGGGCGCCTATGGCCCCGACAGCCTGGCAATTGGCGCGGCCAGAGTTGGCGGCAAGGAGGAGAAGTTTGTCGCGGGTACGCTGAAGGAGTTGTGTGAGCAAGACGAGGTACTCGGCCGCCCTTTGCACAGTCTTGTGCTCTTGGGCCGGAGGACACACGAGCTGGAGCACGACTATGTCCGTGAGTTTGCCGTCAACAAGGAGACTTGGGACAGCATTTGGAAGGCCGAGTATGGCAAGCAGCAATGATCATCCGTTTCCGACACAGCATATCTCGCAGCCTATCCCAGCCTCGCACCTATGGGGCTCCTCATGAGCCTCAAGTTTGGCTCCAGCTAGCTCAGATCGAAGAGACCACATGCTAGAACCGTGCTAGCCTATTGATGTATAGGTAATTAGGGGAGGGGGAGGCGGCATCTGCGGCGGGGGACGGCGATGATCGCAACCCTTCAAGCGGGGCTGATCAATCCGTGTTGAGACTGGGTGACATCCAAGTCGCACCATTGCGACCTGTATTCCACAGAAATGTACAAGCGGAGAGCTGCAGGATGAGGATAGATGGTCGCTGCCCGTGACAAATGCTGGGTGCGAAGACGTGACGAAGAGCTAGCGCATGTCATCGAGCGGCTCGACGCACAGATGACATCATTAGGAAGGAGGAAAGGGCGATGTGCCTTTCGATGATGATATATCGCAGCTATCCGTTGGGAGGCGAAAGAATTGGAGAAGGCACAAACCTGAAGAAGAAGAAATACTTAAGTGCTATCCGGCCTGTCACAACCATTTCCCATCCCTTGCTCTTCTCAACACCAACATCAAACCATCTTGAACCAGACAAGCTCCTCCAATTAATTCACGAACCACCACCACAACTCACCTTGAATTACAGGTACCCACCAGAGTATGTTGCCTCTCCGTTCACGGCTTACACGGGCCTTGTCCTGTTCCAGAGCATCCATTCGTAGCGCCTCCAGACTTCCGGCCGTCCATCGATGCTTCCCACCGTCTGCCACTGTCACAACTCAAGTCACCCGCATGCTGACTTCCTCGTCTAGCAAGATGTCTTTCTCCAACACAGATACCGGCGACAAGCCCGCAGACCCCTACAAGGCCGCCAATGCAGACACTGATGTCTCGGTCGAGAAGAAGATCACGGACCTCAGTGATTTCATCACTGCCAGCAAGTTTGGAATGATGACCACACGCGATGCCAGTTCAGGCAAGCTTGTTTCTCGATGCATGGCGGTTGCTGCTAAGGAGTCTGGCGGAATTGACCTCCTCTTCCACACAAACACTGAATCCAACAAGACGGACGAGCTCCAGGACGACTCTCACGTCAATATTGCTTTTTTGAACGCTTCAGGAGAGTGGGCCTCCATCTCAGGAACGGCAACTGTTCAGACAGACCGGGAGCTGGTCAAGAAGCACTACAGCCCGATTCTGAAGACGTGGTTGGGAGACCTCGGGGATGGCAAGCATGACGGAAGCGAGAACGATCCTCGCATCGGTGTGATCCGCGTGAAGACGGTCACCGCAACATATGCTATTGTCGCGAAGAATCTCGTCAGCCGGGTGGTGGAAATTGCGCAGGGTGCTGTGACGGGCAAGCCTGCTGCCGTGAACAACTTGAGAGAAATTTCCGAGGCCGAAGTCACTCAATGGAGGGGTTTGCATTAGGTCCAGAACGTGGACGATGGCCGACGTTGCATAGCATATTATCAGTGTTTGGGGGCCGTCTGTAGCATACATCCCGACACATTTTAATGACCTATGAAGTCCAGTTGAACACTTGCGCGTTCTCTTCAAGCCCATGCACCCATGTCACGATTATATAGCTTGTAGGGATTCCAAACAGCTATGTCCTCACAATGTGGGATAACTTTCATACGGTATCCTCGAGTGAGATACAGGGTAACCACGCAAGATAACTTCTTGTACCGATAAGGTTCTGTTCTTCTAGTAAGGCTGTTGAATACTGAGTTAGACTTTACTATGCCTACAAGTTGTACTGTGGTAGAATGTTACAATCTACGAATCAGGTATCGTGAGTCGGAAAGAATGCTATGCTGCCGGGAATAGAAGGAATTTATCAGGAGAGACCCTGGAACGTCATAAGTTTAAAGGATTTGAAAGACGGGATGGCGTTGCCAATGGGACGGAAGACGCAAGGGTGTTCAGGCATCAGGCATGCTTCAGATCACCTCACGGGTCGTATTGATGGACGCGATGTGTTCTCGAAATTCAACCACACCGAGGTGCCAAGCACTTCGCCTTGCCCAAAAGGGGCAGCGTTGCTACTGTCACACTCTTGACACATGGAGATGTTCGCGATATATTTCACTTCATTTTCGTTTCACCCCTTCCCTACACGCTACCTGGAACGTTTCCTACAATTCAGTCACTTACATGATCCGATTCGCAACAGAGCTCACCCGCGACTCGCAATCGACGCGACGGACTGGCTCCTCCGCAGAGACACTCTGCTCACCGCCCTCCTCAACGACATGGTGGAGGTGACCTTGCGCAGCCTCGATGGCCGTTCCTCCTGGCTTGCCCCAGCCTCGGGCCTGTAATACGGTATGGCCGCGTCCTTGCCCGGCTCCCCATCCATATACTCGCGCAGAGTCTCGGGCAGCGGGGACGTGCCAGGCCGTAGCAAGCTCCTCTGGAAATCGCAGTCGCTCAGCTTGTAGTCCCTCAGCAATGCCTTCAGCTTCTTGTGATAGACCCTGTGTGCCTGGTAACAGACGAGAGCGTAGGGACTTCTCACGACCTTCTGCTCAGACATGCGTACGGGGATGGACATGTACTGTAGCTGCACCGGCCATAGGAAGTGGTTGAACATCTGCAGCTGCCAGATCGTATCCCTAGGCAGCACGATGAAAGACACCTCGCGCTCGGCGGCGGGGCCCTTGGGTGCGAGCCTCCCCTGACCGGTGAGGTACTCGTCGACAAGCTGGCGCTTCGGCTCGTAGGCGCGCGTTTTGCGCGGGATGAGACGTGCCGTATGCACCTCAAAGGGTCGGATGGGCTTTAGGAGGGCCTCGTAGAGCTCCACCGAGTTCAAGGGCGCCTCGACCAGGAAGGGGACTTCATCGGGCCCGATGCGAACACTATTCTCTGGGATCTGAGAAGGGGGTACTGCTTCGAAGATATTGGTATATCGATCGTATATGAGCAGACCGTAGTCATCCGTCCGCTTTGAAGTCGACCTTGAGGGCCCAGCCGTAGCTGCGGCAGGCTGTTGTAGGACGGGGAACGTAGCCATCAGGTTGAGGCTGAGGCCCACGGATGGGGGACTTGAGGAAGGGGAGAGACCTCGATGTGAAGACCGTGGAGGACTTGGTCTTCACACCTGGGCATTTCTGCGGGGGATCACGGCCATACATATACCTCTTCTGTGGCCTATACGTGGAGGCAAGTGAGTTGATCATGTTGCAAGTTTCCACATAGACTTTGGGAACTTGAAACACTGCGGGTAGAGAGGTCGAGCCATGACAGGAGTGCAACGCCTCGGTCTTGTGGTGTGATGGGGTGTGCTGTGCATGTCGTGCAGATCTCCAAGGTCGGTGAGGTCCGTTTTGGGTGGAATGTGTCGTCGTCTGGGGAAAGTTTAGACGGAGGTGGTATTGCTGAGTGGTAGACTATTCAGATGGCAAACGGCAGGATCCCTGACTGACATTGGGAGCAGCCAGCACCCAAGTTTCATGATCGAGTCCCGGTGAGCCCCGCCCCTCCCGCAAATCACCCCCCGTCACACTGGCACTAAAGCACCACCTGGGCCAGGGCAGTCAGCGCTGTCCAGGCATGTCAGGGTACGGGTCTCGGGCCCGTCAGCTGCTTCTAGCTGTTAGCCGTGCCTGCCGATCCAGGGATCTCCGGCCGACCAGACAGCCGGGACCTTTGCGAGGAGACCTAGCGAGGTACCCGTACGCCGATCCCGACCAGGCCGATTTGCTTGTTCGAGTAGCGTGTAGTGTGTAGATGTGCAAACACAGAACAAACAAAGTTGCACAGATGCAGCTGCTGGGGCAATCTCTCAAAGCGCAGGGCCCTGCAGTGATGCTAACGACTTGTATTGCGCCTTAAACAGTAGGCATCTGGAGCTCCAGGCAGGTGGGAGGAGACAGCGAGGAATAGCTTTCAGGAGTGCCTGCCCAAGCAAAGGTCGGAGCTCTTAGAGCAGTAGTTTGGGGACGCTTGCTCTCGTCCCTCATCCCCCTCCTTCCCACCTTTAATGCTCAGTGCTCAATGCTCAATGCTTTCCACCCTCCCCGTTTGGGCGACGCAGGAGCCACTTGCACCCGCACCCGCACCCGCACCTGCAGTGCCATCTGCACGCCGTGCACTTGACGACCTTAGTCATTCGCGCACTTTGACCTCCGTCCGTCTGCGGCGTCCCCTCGTCCTGACTTGACCTCACCTCACCTCGCCTCCTCTCATCTCATCAACCTCTCCATCTCATTTCATCGACTCACGATTTCGCAGTCGTCCACCATCCTGTCCAAGGCTACTCACCCACCGTCGCGCTCACTCGGGCCCGTCGGGGCGGTGATACTCATCCGTCTCTGACACCTGGGCATCTCGGTCGCGGCTGGCCTGACTTGGTGCTATCACCTCGCACCTCTTGTCATATCGCCGCAGCGTCCCCTCCTCTTCAGCCGATTTCCACGCTCAGGCAATCTCACCCAGCGAGGCTTGAGCGAACTGTTGCCCTCGTCCCCTCGCATTCACTCCTCTTAAGGATCTGCCAACTCACTTCTGAACCCACGTCTTACGTCATCTGCGACATCGATATCGGCGGTTGTCCCAACTTTACTGTATCTAGGGATTGGTCTGTACACTCCTGCCACCAAAACACCAACCAGATTTGTGTAACTTGTCTATTCATCATGGCCGGAACCATTGTGAGTCTCAACGGATACTGCTCCACATCCATGAGGCTAATGAATTTCAGGTTCCGTGGGATGGTCGAGACCAGGAGGAGCAAAGCGAGATCCTTTTCAATGCCCCCTTGCGCACCAAGAATCGGCAGCTTGAAGATGAGAATATGCATTTGAAGCGGCTTCTGAGAGAGCATGGAATCCCTTGGTCCGACTCTGTTGGCTCCCACCACGTCTTCCAGTCCAGCGCCTTACATTCTACCTCAGGACGCCGACGAAGTTCTCGCCTCTCTGCCGCTGGCCAACACCGCTTTCCTCACCTACCCGTAGAGGTCATCCTCAGGATTCTCCATTACGCGCTGGTTGCAGACGGTCCCATTATCGACCCCCTGTCCAAGCCGAACTCTGAGGTTCTGACATCCGGCGAGGCCAAACGCGGACCTCAAATCGCCATAGGCTTTCTTGCTACATGCAAGGCATATCACGTGGATGGTAAAAGAATCTTGTGGTACGTGCATATTGCGTTTCAGGGTTCCCAGATCCAGCCCATGATCTCTAATGTCTCCATCCAGGTCAAAAAACAAGTTCTCTTTCACAAGCCCAGCGGCTCTGCGCAAGTTTAGCGAGCTTGACTTCGAATTGCGCAAGGGTATTGAGTCCATAACTTTGCGAATCGTTGCGCGTTACTATGACGATGAGAAGCGCCGTCATAGGCTGAGCCAAGACTACCACCCGGAGCTCACTAAATCCCAGAACCTCAAAGTCATACCACGAGTCAAAGATGAGAGCAGCATGGCGCGAAAAGGCTTCCACTGCTATGCCTGGACTCAGACTGTCGACTTCTTGGACGCTCTACGCCCTCCATTCGACCCGCATCACGCCCAAGGCAACCGACCTCGGCTCTTACCCGGACTCTTATCCATGCGGATGGATTTTGTCAATTTTCCAGATTACTTTCTGCCCTTCCCAGAGGTGGATCTCCATGAGATCGCAGCCCACGACTTTGGCTGTACCTTGAACGAGCTGATGGTCACCGGACTGCCTTGCTGCGAGGTTGGCGTCAAGGCTGGTGCTGATCTACAGGTCAGTTTCTCGCACTCCGCTCTTGAATGTCGGCTAACAGCTCCTGTTCAGGGAATGGTGAAAGATGACGGTCTATTTTTGTGTCACGCCCCTTCCTATGTACAACAGAAGAAGTATTTGAAGCCGCTCTGCGGCTACGAAGGTCTCTCAAGGGTTGTTCGAGCTTGGCGGAAACTAGCCAGGGAGCGCCAGGAAGCTGCAGGCCAAGTTACGATGGCTAACGTCCCTTCAGTACCTGAGGAGCAGGGACATCCCAAGTCGGTTTGGAAGAAGAGAAAGACCATCTGGAAGCGAGTTCCCATCGAGCGAGACTCAGAGGAGAGGGATTGGGTCGAGTTTGACCGTAATACCGGAGAGCCTGTTGATGAGGTGTTGGATGACTATGACAGCGACGATAGCGATGCTATATGTCCCAACTGTGGAGTGGTTCACGGTCACTACGACTACTGGGGATCCGACTCCGATTGAGGAGCTGCTAGACAGGCGAGACGCCGATTTTGGCGAGGTTTTTGCTGAAGCTCAGCAGCATGAGGCGATGTACTGAAAATTATGGCGGAGAAAGGCTGGCCAGCATTGATTGGTGGTAACTGCCTGTGGAATCGGTTTTGGAGTTTGTTGCCATACCACATGATACCAAAGCAACCGTGGACTTGCCTGTTTATATCCCGAGAGCTTGTTTGGGAGCTAAACCTTAATTGCATTATTTGAATACTACGTCCCTGCCATATTGCTTATGGTACTAGCGAAGGTTTTGGAAAAGATCGCAGGTTGGAGTCGTCCTCGGCCGCTATGCAGCTCATGAAGCATGTGGCTGCGCTGTTCTCCACACGCAGGGTAGGATCACGGACAACTTGCAGGGATTCCAAAGGCTTGCCAGATACTCAAGGATAACTGCAATGCGCGTAAGAAAACCATTGATATGTTTTCTCCTTTTCATTAGGCTTGTTCTTTCAGAAGGTTGTTAGCTGTGGTGCGGATCGTGGAGTCCAAAAACTGCTTGTGGAACGTCACATTGAAGCCGTCCAACTGCTTTCTACCTGGGATATACCAGGTCATCCTGCAGCTGGTCCATATCATGGAGGTTATCACATGGGCTATTATCCCAGAGGAGGTTTTTCCAGAGCAGGTTATGCGAGGGCAGGTTATCCGAGCGGGTATCCGACAGGGGGTTACCTCAAAGGAGGTTCTCCCACAGTTGGTTGTCCCATAGTATGCTATCCTATGGGGGTTTGTTATAGGACAGTACCTACAGGAAATTATCCTACGGGAGGAGCGATAGACCTGAGACTATCCCGTAGAATTAGACCGGGGTAATTTACATCATAGAACGTTGTTTTACTGGGGATCGTCATCTGAACTGGTCAAGGCATGCCCCATCCTTTGGGATGCCTCGAGCTGTTCGCATATGTTCAGTCCATATGCGTGTCTGGAACTTTTTTGGGCTCTCCAAATATGGTCATTCGCAAGACTTTCACGAACCCAATGATGTATATGGCTTGTCGCCCGGCCCGAGATGGCACAGAGACGCCCCCATGGTGCCAGCGAGAGTCAGATCACTCAAAATGTAATTGGGCCCGTCTGCCAAAATTTTCATGAATTCAACGCCCGTATGCCTAGCCTCGTGACTGAGAGGTCTAGAGATGTCAAAAAGCAATCATTCTCCCCCGATCATCCCATCGAGGCCACCCGAAGACGCCCTCACCGTAAAGAATCTGCTGTACGTCATGTTCGACGAGCCTCAACATCCAGGAGTCCTCTCGCACACCCCAAGCGATATAAACTTTCGCGAGAGCTGCCTACCCGGAATTGGAGGCTTCGATATGATAGCCAGGTACTTTCCTAGCAGCCAGCATCACCTGTGAGATCTTCGCCAAGCTGCTCGGAGAAGATTCCCATTCCCGTCTCGTAAATCATGAAACCAACGCATTGATCGAAGCAAATGCCACACGTTGACATTAGTCCAGATAATCACCATCTTCAGAGTTGTCCTCCTTGACTTCGTAGTCAAAGTCACTCTCGTCGTCGGAGCCATGATCGTCGTCGCCCTTCTCCTTCCAACGACTACCGAGCAGCCTTCGCAGTGCTCGAGCTCCGAGACCTTTATCTGCTTGAAATTCTTCCAGACAGTTTCTCATCTGGCTGAGTTTCTTCTCCTGTAAGTGGTAAATCTCATCGTCGATGGTGTTTCCGGCCAATACACGTGTAGCATAGGTGGTCTTGATTTGCCCAATACGGTAGACGCGAGCAATTGCTTGAGCCTCAACCGATCGGTTCCACCAGGGGTCAGTTATAATAACGCGATTCGCTGTCGTCAAGTTCAAAGCCTCCCCTCCGCATTTCATCGAAATCATCTTGAGTAGGATAAGTAGAGGAACTGGAAGCAGAAGATGAGAAGGAGTGTGTACTTACCAATACCTTGACCTCGCTGTGTTCCTTGAATGTCAATTTTGCCTGTTGACGCTGGTCGTCATCCATTTCTCCGACAAAGAAAAGGAAGTCAATTCCATTGTCCTGAAGAACGCGTCCAAGAAGCCGGCTGAAACCAATGAACTGAGAGAATACGATTATCTTGTCCTCCTTTGCTTCCACCTCCCAGTCTTGGATCTGTTTGAGTACGGCCTTCATTTTAGAACTGAGCGGAACCGCGGGGGAAGCTGTGTCCAGGATCCGAAACAAAGTAGATCCACTTTCATCTCTTGGCTGGAAGCCATTGTAGTCGTCCCCTCTCAGCCGTGATCTTCTGATCTTCGACTTTCGAGATCGGTCACTGATCGTCGGAAGGAGCGAGCATGGACGAGATGCTCCTATTGCTTGTAAGCAGCGAGGACACTGAGGATCTTGGTCTGGCTTGATGTACTTCAAGAAGCTTATTGTGCCCTCCAAGCATCTCTTGCACCATATGTGTCCACAGTCAGACTCCTGTGGTTCGGTTTCTTCGCTATGAGGCTTAAGACACTGCGCACATACGGTCGTACCTGCCTGCGCCTGCAATTCATCCACCTTCCTGTTTCCACTTGAATAGTCGCGAGATTTTGGCTCCTTGATCCATTTTTCAAACAGGTCAATGAACGGTGTATCAACAATTCCGGTCTTGTGGACTTCGTCTCTCATCGATCTGACTTGGTCGAGAGTCCAGATCCCGCCTTTGACGAGGTTCTCAAGTAGCGCTGGGCTGGCAACAGATTGCCTCTTTCTCATCAGCACTTCATTGAGTGACTGCCAGCTAAGCTTTTCACTCGGCACGCCGGCGGCCTGGCTGGTGTTCTTTCGTGGTCTTCCCGGCTTCTTCTCTTTCGTCTGCCCGGCTGCCTTCTTAGTGAGGTAGGCGCGCATGTGCTTGTCGATGTACTCTTGTATGATTTCTTCCTCTCGAGAAAGCGTCACGTGGCTTAGCAATGCATGAGTCTCTGGGAGACTGACTAGAGCACAGCCGAGGAAGCTGTGTCCTGGAGTACGCATTATCATGATCGGCTCGAGCAGTCGACTCAAGTCCGAATATCTGGGTCCTTCTGTAGGCAGATCCTTTCCTCCTCGTCCTCCCAAGTACTTGGACTTGAAGTCTGAGAAGTCTTCCGCCATAGGATGGCCTAGAAACTTGAGTGGAGCAAATATCTCAGACACTCCGTTTTGTATGGGAGTGCCTGTCAAGCACCATTTGTGCTTTGATTTGAGCTTCAAGCAAATCCCGAAGATCTCAGACTTCGGGTTCTTGATCTTGTGTGCCTCATCAAGCACCACACGATAGAACTTTGACTCGAACAACCAGGACTTGGGCTTCTTCTTTCCCTCAAACCTTTGGTGAGAGACCCGAAGCTGATCATAGGTGATTATCAGGATGTCAGAGGCCAATTCCTTTCTCCATTTTTCTTTCGACGCCTCAGAGCCTTTGTCATATACCGTGGCCGTGACGTTCGTACAATGAATTTTGACCTCATCGGCCCATTGCTCGGCAGCAGATTTAGGGACGACCACGAGAGTCGTCCATGAACCGTTGAAAGACCGCTTGCCTCTTGGACTGTTGCTCAAGATGCATGCTAGTGTTTCTATGGTCTTCCCGTATCCCATATGATCATAAAGCAAGCCCGATAGGAGGGCAAATTTGGTTGACCCATCATTCTCATTGTCTTTCTCAATGGTCGACATATTTCCAGCTGCGACTAGCTGGTGATGGTGCAATGGGTAACGCATCCCTGTGATTTGCCATTTGAAGTCATCAATGGTCTTTTTCCCATCTCCCTCGGTCACCCATGGAGAGACAATGGTGCTGAATGCACGTGAGATTCCACCCAAAGCTTTGGCATGCGCCTTGATTATTTCGGGCTTCGCATTGGGAAGCTCCAATCCTGCAGCCTGGATGGCCTTCAGATGTTCCCGTATAAGAGTCGGAGCCTTGCTGATGGACTCCAAGTTCTTCATCGCGTCGGCGTTGAGGCTCTCATCTGTCTCGCCGCTCATTTGATTGAACATGCTCTTTGTGACAAAGTCCACAGCTTGCTTCTGGCCCTTAGTTGGCTTGGTAGATGTTCTCGGCTTCTTGACAACCGGATTATCATCGGTTGACGCCTCGGACTTACGCTTATTAGAAGCGGTAGACTTTTTCGTGCCGCGTACTGGCATATGAGACTGAGGAAGCTCGTTGTGGCCGAGGCATTTGGCAGCTGCTCTTGCTTGGGGCACTGTTCTGCTTGCCCACACGTTATCTAGCAGCTCCATCCTTTCATGAACCCATTGCAAACGCATTGCATCCTGATCTGTCCAGTAACTTTCCGATTGCCTGTGTTGAAGCAGCTCCTCTTCATGAACCAAGCTTTTCATTTCCTTGTCGATATCATCATCGCTACGGTCGCAGAACATATCGTCCTGATTCATGGGCAACGGATTCGCTGTGTTGGCCGAGCTCTTACCAACGGCTGCTTCCGCATCATCGATGGTGTCATGGGGATGCTCTTGATGAGCGTCCTCGAGCTTGGCCTGGGGGACTTTGATCAGGGTAGATGCGTCAGAACTATTGTCGACGCCAAATGATGCAGGTTGTAGTGATGGCTTGTTGTAGTTTTCATCCACGAGTCTCTCTTTGTCTAGTGCTGGCTCCAGCGCTCCGACAACAACGTCCCCCTCTTTGTTTGGCACATCGATCGTCGAAACATCGATCGCGCCAGGACTGACATCTGCGATGGGCACAAGCTCCATGACCGTATCGAAAGATCCCCCGTCCTTGGAATCGTGACGCTCCTGGGAACTCGACTCTGATTTATGAGTTGGCTCCGGTACTTGAGCTTGGGTGAATGGCGAAGCACTCGCGACTCCCTCAGGCTGGGCTGAGCTTTTAGATGCATCGTCCATGGTGGTTTCTTTGGTGTATTCGACTTTACACCGCTGCGCTGAGTGTTATGGTGCCTTATCTTTTGTAGAAAACCTCAGTAAGAGTCTAATGGTAGAATGAAAGTGAAAAGCATGACAAGCGTAGACTCTGGAAGCTCGCAGGTAGTAAGCAGCAGCAGTATCTGCCCGCTGGTGAAGAGGGAAGTGCAATAGACAAAAGTTGCCCTACCAAGGGCGCCTCTGCTGATAAAGTCTGAGATCAATGGATGGGTGCTGCTCTGCGTGTAGAGCTTGGAATGTGGTTCAATCAGGAATGCTGCGCAGCAAAAATCACTGAAAGTCGTTTGTGATCGCGTTGAAATTGGCGATATTGGGTCTTAGGGAGTGTGAGGAGGATGGAGTGTGTAGAGTTCAAAAGAGGAAGTGTGAGGAGGCAGTGTGGTGAGACTTACAGGGAGAAAGTTCAATACATGCGAAGCGTCAGGAAAGGAAGCATCTTGTTTTGGGTTGCTTCGGTAGTGCTTCCTCCTCGGCGAGAAATCCTTGCTTGGTTTGTTGAGACGAGCTTCGAAGGTCGTATGAAAGTGTTGGAGTGACAGCTGGGTGATGTTGCCGGTAGGTCGTACAACGAAGCTGTCTGATGTGTTTAAGTTGAGAAAGATTTTGAGAGGGTCGGGACAAAAAAGTTGAAAGCCTTCGTATCCAGAGTCCGGGACAGCCGCCGAAAGTGTTTTTTTTTATGTCAGGAACGTAGTTGGGACACGAACATGAGGTCCTTCCAGTTCTGGGCAACAGGATGTTGTTTGTGTTGGCTTGGGGTCGCCAAGTGTTGAGATGAGATCTGAAATAAAAGGGTGGATTCAGAGAAGGGTGAGAAGTTGCAGGTCCGAGGAATCTTGTCATAGGACGAAGCCAGCCTCCATATGGTACTGGGAGGCTTTCAGCACACAAGATGCTATACGAAAACTTTCTTACACATCAACCGTTGTTCTGTAAGATATAGCAACAAGTTACATCGTGGGAGTCGCATTCGTGTTTGTCGGCTGTGATTGACCAAGTATTCTCTTTCATGTTGGGGCGCTTCAAGTGCTGCACCAAGATCTGTATATGATGGCTGGTCATGGCCACACCAGTGCCTTGCTAGATACATTTAAGCACTTCCTCCAAATGAGATCATTGCGATCTCAAGGCAGAACCCAACTCTGTGCTAAACCTACCATCTTACACTTGCATACTAGACCAAGTAAATGACTGGTTATAAGAGGTTGCCACACAGGAGAACGTCACACGGAAGGTTGTCCCACAGGAGGGTATACCACAGGAGGTTATGCTACAGGAGAGTATCCCGCAGGAGGTTATCTTATGGGAGATTATCCTGTGGGAGGTCACCCTGTATACCGGTAAGGAGGAGGTTATCTCAACGAAGATTTCCCAGACGAATTTGGCCCATAGCAGTTTGTCCCGCTGTAGAAGGACCGTTGAAAAACATTCATTATCAGTGCCACGCGTCATGGAGTCCGTTTGGCCATTATCCTATCTGTTTTTGGCTAGAGATGTTATCTTGTATTCTATTTTCGTGCGATTATCTTGTTTTCTATGTCAGGCGAAGTTTCTATGAGCTCTAGCGAATTACAACGAACATGAAGACAAAGATATGATCAAAAAGTGAATGTAAACTAAATACAGGACTGGAATTGGAAGGGAACTTTCTCTTTGATGAGGTTCCCATTTCCTTCAGCTCTCTCCTGTCTCCTCTATTCAGCGATGTAAGTGAGCCCGTTCGCGGACGGACAGATCCGCCGAATTCGCATTTTGTAGGGCCACAAAAGTTCTTTTGTGAAATTAAGGTGGTGAGGTTCTTGCTGAGAGATGTGTGCGTTGTCTGGTTACGCGGCGCGGTGAATGCTAGGGATCCCAAACATCCAGAAAACTTAAACAATGTGTGTTTCCTATGAATTCACCTGTCACATAGTAAAGTAGGAATTGTACACTGAATTGTGAAGAAGTTCAAAATTAGAAATGTTTTTTTTATACATAAGTAGACGTTTCTTGGCTCGTCCTAAACACCGAGGCAATGCGTGCAGTTTGGGACTCCTCGAGCTGCGTGCTGTGACGAGACGGCTCACTCAACTCGATGTGAACTTCCAGGCAAACAAATGCTATGATCGCGGCCAGTTGAGATCGGATCTACAGGATCTTTTTGGGCGTTTACATGAATGTATCGCAATTAAGTCCTCCTGGATCATGTCAATTCAAAGGAATTGATGGGGCCACTGGTGCCTAGCCATAGACAGTATCCCGGAAGCATAGCCAGCTTGTCAGTGTCGTTGAAACGAAATCCCGGGAGCGACCGCTCGGAAACCGGATGATTAGACGTTGGTAGATCGGTCCAAGTTCAGCCAACACAGTCACAAAAAGTCCGAGCGAGGGAAGCCAAGACGATTTAGAGTCAGGTCTTGATGGGTCGAGATGCCGTCAATACCATGTAAGTTCGGCGAAGAGGTGCCAAAGAAGAACGCCCATTTGTTTCTGGAGTCCAAAAAGCCGTGGCGCTCAGCCGCTTTGGGCGGGCCATGGTGAAATGCAGACGTGGGCTTTGTCGATCACCAGGGGTTGGAGTTGCCCAGCCTGGCAACGTCAAACGCCAAGGAGGCAAGGAAGCCTCATCCTTTTGCAGCGCTGGCGGATCGGCTATAGCTACCCTTGGTGTCTCATAGTGGTCAAGAAACAGGAGAAGGGGGGTGCCAGGATGGTAGGGGTGCACTTTCTTGGGACTTATGCCGACGTCAGAGAAGAAATTCTCTCATCGAAACATCAAGTACTGGCTTCGTCAAAATCTCCTTAACATTTGTTTCTGGTAGCCGCATAGCCGGTCGCAGTGCTTGAAGTGGCCGGTTCTCTCCTGGTCGTGATCTGAAACATTCCGGCTGGCTGCAGCTCGAGGCACCCCGCTAAACCTTCTTCTAGACGCAGCTTCGCCACTCACGGTACCCACGATCCGCGGCCTGGACAGCGGCAGACCTCCCGACATCTATCTCTCGCTTTTGAAGACATCACTTCGAGTGGCAAGTGCAATCAAAGAGCATTGCTCTGCGGGTGCTTGCATTTGGAATTGGATGCTGTCGTGCATCTTTTTAGTCCAGCCCATCTTTCGAACGGGCTCGAGAGCCAGGTCACCAGCAGATTGACGCGCGGTGCGGAGGGCCCTTACCGGATGTGACCGTGAGGCTCACCAGCCTTGATCATTGCCAATCGCCAAGTCACACCGTCACTGGTGTTCCTCCATTGCAAGCAATCAGACACCTTCTGGACTCCAACCTTGGAAATTGATTGGGCTTCTTCAGCTGTGAACACTGCAGCACAAAGCAAACTGTTGCCGCCTGTGCGGCGAAGTCGGGAAAGGATAGTGGTGGAGTGCAGGAGCCCGCTGCTTGAGCAACGTCTCGAATTTCCGCAAGACTGCTGAGGGAAGCAGTAAGGCTTTCTGGTTTAGGCCGATAGGCCTCATCACATTCCATGTCGTCTTGAGCGGTTTCGACCCCATCAAGGGTGTTTCTTCACAATCCCTCTTTTCCAAATCTCAGCAGTATCCGCCATGGCTCTTTCCCCAGTCAGCACCGACGAGCGCATATGGCGCTTGCGACGATTAGCTCAGGAGTACGACATCGACGAACCTCCAGAGCCAACACCTTTATATAGACCGTCAGCTACCCCCTCGCCACTGACGCCAAACTTCAAGAACCCCGATGATGAGCACCGGGCGGACGACCTACTTAAGCGAAGGAGACAGGTAAACACTCAGGGAAATGGTGATGTCAATGGAGGTGGAGGGAGCGTGAAGAAGCGGTCGTTCACGTTAACCCGAAAGGACAGCTTCACATCCTCCAAGTTCGCATCCAAGGAGATCTTTGACGCACTAGATGCTCATGTCGCAAACGCTGGCGCGCCAGGGGTGGCGGAGGCACTGATTCACAAGCTGCGCATGGCAGGCGGGGACCTTAATCGCGCAAACGCAAAGTCCAAGACACCTTTCAACCTTAGGAGGAGGAGCCTGGACGACCTGGGGCAGGAGCAAAGCCGGATCCTGCAAAAGGCCGTTGAGAATGGGCAAGAAGATATGGTCGCCGTCCTCGTCCCTCACGCCGAACCAGCAACTCTCGACGCGGCATTGCCTCCAGCTATGCGCAACGGAAATCTTCGTATCGTTGAGGCCCTCTTGAGGTATGGGGCTAACGTGTCACAGACTCCGGAGGGACAGTTCCAGTTTCGGCAAATGTGCATTAATGGTGGACAGGCCGATATGGTTGGTTTAATCCTGCAGTCTGATGGCAGACCTCCCCCAGACTGGGTTTCGGGGGCAATGATCGACGCAGCAAGGAAAGGTTGCGTGGGCACTGTTGCCCAGCTAAGTCGATCCGTCGCAGATGGCAGTTTCAATGATGGCGCGGCTCTTAAGGAGGCCATATCACAGTGCCGAGTCGACATCGTCCTGGCAATCATCATAGGCAACAAGCCTCCCAATAAGCAGTGCCTCAATGAGGCGTTCATGAAGGTCGCCACACATCCCGCGATGAATCCACCAGAAAAGATTACCTTGACGGATATACTACTGCTAGCTGGCGCAGAGGGCGACGTGGTTTCGGCGGCGTTAGTTAAGGCCTGCAAAACCGAGTTCTACGATATGATCGACCTCCTTATCAGCAACGGCGCCTCTATCGAGTTTGAGAACGCTATGGTCGTGAAGAATGCGATTGAAAGTGGCAACATCGGCCTGGTGCAGCTGCTGCTGAGCGACAGGGCAGTCTTGAGTCCCGTGCTCGCCGGTGAGCTCATCGGGTGTATAGGGAAACGCATCAACCCGGAAGATAGACGAATTCTTCTCAGTACGCTACTCCGTAAAGGCGCCAAAGGTCCACCCCTTAATGAGGCTCTGATCAGGGCAGTGGAAGGCAGAGACACCGAGTGTGTCAAGCTCCTTCTAACGCCACACTTCGCTGGATCGGGCAAGTTGAAGCCGAAAGCGAGCCACGATCTCAAAACTGGCCCGCGCAGTATGGTATTCGAGCATCATGCAATGGCGGATGTGAATTACAAGGGCGGCTTGGCACTCTCAAAGGCTGTCTCCGCTGGCAACCTTTCTATGGTTGAGTACATTCTTGCAGCAAAACCAAACATCGAAACCCTCGTTGCGGTATTTCCGAGTATCAACGCGCTTCCACAGATGGAAAGATATCACATGACAGAGTCATTTCTCCATGCCGGTGTCTCCGGGCCTTGTGTACATGTCGCTTTACAGCAAGCCATTGACGAGGCACCGCCCAGAAGAGACGAGCGCCTCATTAAAATTCTGCTTCAACACGATGTTGATGCGAACGTCAACGATGGCGCACCGATCATATCGGCCATTGAACATCTCGATGCCGATCTTTTGGAGGCTTTGCTGCGGAAACGACCAACGACCAAAAATGCGGCGGTAGCACTTCAGAAAGCCATGGCTGTGGAGGACAAGGGAAAACGAGCGCGGATGGTGAGCTTGCTTCTTCGAGCTGGAGCAGATGAAGCGACCAAGACGGTGGGCGAATCTTTGATGAAGGCATTGCACGAGCAGCCGGTGGACACTCGATTACTTGGTGCGATTTTACAGCAGGGGAATGCCGATATTAATATGGATAACGGCGATCCTGTTGTGTTGGGTAAGACGGCGCAAACCTGATCACTTCATGGCTCTTTTTGCTAACTGACCGCGTAGCTGTTCGAGACGTGAACCCTCAGGTGCTCGAGCTCGTTTTACAAACAAACAGGGCCACACCAGAGACGTTCGATCTTGCTGTGCAAGCCATGGCCAACGTCCCTTCAAGTCAAGAGAAAGCAACCAAGTTAGAATCGATCGTGAAGCGTACAAAGCAGAAAGAGTCGCTAAACAGCCTTCTCGCCTACGAGGTTCAATCTATTCTCCAGTGCCCACCTCAAAAACGCACATTGGTTGTGCTGCGGGCTCTTCTTGCCTTAGGAGTCGATGTCAACACAAACAAAGCCGCGGCGCTCTGCTGTGCCGTGGCCGGCGCAGATTCAAAGATCACCGATGTTCTCTTTGCGGCCAAGCCAAGCACAAAATCACTGGCAGCGGCGATGCCTTTCGCCTTCAAAATCGCTGACCAAACTGAAAGACTCACTTTCATCCAGAAGCTTCTGCATGCCGGTGCCCCGGCGGTCGAGGCGAACAGGGCATTAGTTCACGCCATTGGAACGCACCCTGATGATACCGCCTTGATCAATACTCTCCTTGCCAGAGCGGACACTAGTGACGGAGAGGCCCTAATGGTAGCCGTGCGGAAGGCGAACGTCCTTATGGTGGAGATGATCATAACCAGAGCCAAGAAGCACCCGGCAGCCAGACTGAATGACGCCTTCGGCGAGGCAACCAAAATCGAGAACAAGGTGATTCGAAAATCGATTTGTGAGTTGCTTCTGAGGGCAGGCGCGACGGGCCAAGTTGTCTCTGATGCTCTTCTTGCTGCCGCTGGCACAGGGGACCTGACCCTGGGAAAACTGCTCCTGGACCATGGCGGTAGTGTAGACCATCAGGAGGGCCAAGCTGTGGTCGAAGCGTGTCGAGCTGGATCGCCAGATGTCTTGAAGATGCTTCTGTCTAGCAAGACCGCTGTGAAAAAGGAAACACTTGAGCGCGGCTTCCAAGCTGCCACGGAAGTGGGTGATCTAAATCATCGTGCGGCCGTGTTCCAACTCCTCTTGGACAAGGGCGTCAACGGCGAAGTCCTCGATGCACAACTCGTCTCTACAGTTCGGTTTGGAGATGACGCTCTCAACCTAGTTCGTCTTCTCCTTATGTATGGTGCTAAGACCGACTATAATGGTGGCGAAGCAGTCTACAATGCTACCAGATGTGCATTCCTGCCAATACTCCAGGTGATGCTCGGTGTCGAACCAGTGGGTGGAAAGCAAGTCAAACCGTCAAGCCAGACATTGATTCGCTCCCTGAAGGCCTCGTCAAACTTAAGTGGTGTCCCGAGATACCAGGTCATGAAGTGGCTCTTCCATGCCGGCCTCCCTATCGGCGACGAGGTACACATCTCGCTCGAGAAAGCTGTCAACGAAGAGGAGCCAAATATTGATTTGATCAAGCTGCTCCTGCAGAACGGTGCATCACCGCTCGCGAATGGCTGCAAGACTCTGGTCGATGCCACTCAGAAGTTACATTTCGTGGTACTAGACCTGTTCTTGGAACTCGAAATCTCACAAGATGACATCAGCTGGGTCTTTTTGCAGACTTTCTCGGCAGCTGATGCAGACAAGTGGTTTACGGATCCCGGCTTTCAAGTGGCGCAACGCCTCCTAGAGAAAGGTGCCCGAGGTGATGGCCCTGCGGGTGCTCTCATAGTCGCAATTGACCACATGGGTACCGACAAGGATGATCTTGCTCGGCAGTTTGTGGATCTTCTCATCGAATACAACGCAGATGTCAACCGAGATCAAGGCGCTGCACTAATCAAAGCTGCGAAGAGTGCGAATGCTCACCTCATGCGACAGGTGTTGCAGCAAAAGCCAAACTCGGAGTCAGTGTCCATGGCTTTTCCATATGTCTTCGACCACGAGGTGCCCGAGGACCAAGCGTTGGAGCTCATCTCCTTATTCACGGATTACTCCGACGGCGAAACACGCCTGGATGCGATGTTTGCCCATCCAGAGGCCGAGCCTGTGGTATTCAAGGCAATCTCACGCTACCCTCGCTCAACTACGATTGTTGAGACTCTGCTTGATGCCGGGTATTACCATGACCAAATGACAAATGCACGGATATTGGACGAACTTGAAGAGGAGGAGCCGGTCAATCTATTGCTGTGGTGTCTCATCCAACCGCAAAAGAAAGTTAGCAGTGGCATCATCAACATGCTCATCGACAGGGGTGCACGCGTCAACTTCGAGGCACGACTATCGAAAACCACTCCCTTGATGCTGGCGATAAGAGAAAGAAGACATGACATCGTCAAGAAGCTCGTTTTTGCTGGTGCCGAGGTCGATGTGGCCGACGTCACAGGCAACACGCCACTGACCCTGTCTACGCAGATTGGAGGAGATCTGGGGACAATGATGATGCAGAATATCCTTGCTGCCGAACCATCGCAAAACGACGGTTCGCTGCACAACGCCGCGAGGGAGCTCAACGTTCCAGCCATGCAGGTTTTGGTGGACCACGGTCATGAGATCGACTTCCCGAGTCCAATACACGGCGGCCGGACTGCTCTCGGTGAGCTTTGTCTCCATGCAGCGGACGGCGGAGCCTTGACAGCGGCCCAGGAGAAGGCTATGGAGAAGGCTATGGGGTACCTTCTCAAGCAGGACACAGACCTCAGCCTATTGTCAGATGGAAAATCGGTTCTGCTCCTTGCGATGGAATCGCTTGAACCCATCATAACTACAAGGGCCCTGCTGAAAGTCGGCATGTGGAAACATATTAATCGACAGTTCAACCACTTCACCGACAATACATGCACTTACTCGCCGACACAATATGCCAAGCGGGTGCTGCCGCAGACCGATGTCACTGAGCAACTGCACAAACTTCTCAAAGCCAACCGGGGCCAAGACATCTACTACGCGAATGAAGGACCGCAACCGGAAGGCGCCATAGGCCTACCGGACGATATAGTCCGTATCGAGCGCGAGCGGAAGGCTCGGCTTGAACGGATCCAGCTCGAAGCCGAAGACCACTCGCGAACCCTCTCGCGCACCAAGGAGGTCGCGGACATCCAGAACCAAATATTCGCGCAGCGCGCCCAGCTGGAGGACACGCGATCGCGGCAACAGCAGAACACGGAAATCGAGGGCATCCGCGAGAGAGCGCTTCTCGAGGAGGAGCTCTTCAACGAAGCGGTGCGGCGCCAGCGAGCCGAGAGAGCGGCCGCAATGGAGCACCAGTCGTCCATCACACAGGCAGAGATCGAGCGCAAGCGGCTCGTGGCGGACACGGAGTTCGAGGCCGAGGGCCGCAGGCAGCTGCAGCTGCTCGAGTACGAGAAGCAGATGGACGACACGAAGGAGGCCCACGCGCGCCAGATGACCGCCAACCGGGTGGACGAGAGGGCGGCGATTGACCGCATGGACCGGGAGCACGACTCGCGGATCAAGAACCGCATCGCGCAGCAGAAGAAGCTCGTCGACAGCCAGAACCAGCTCGCCTCGAACCTGGGGAGCGTGGGAATGCCCCAGAGGAGGCAGATTGGGTACATCTCGGGGGAGCTGGACTGAAGTGGGTCCTGGAGGTGCATTTCGGGTGCAAGGGCATAATTATTGGCGCGAATGGACGGTGTTCAGGACGACGGGGTGATATCTCTGATGGATTGTTGATTTGCTGTTGTAGAATCGTGTACAGTGCTAGAGCCTAGCGGTGATTATTCTCGTAGTTTGTTGGGTTGACGAATCTCATGATATGATGCCATCGTCTCCCTCTGGTCATGATATCGATGTCCTGATCCACACCGAGGTTGGGCCGGCTGGTGTGTCTGGTTCAGTCGTAGCCTATGTTAGACGAGGTGACGCTATCCTAAAGTGCACGAGGGGATTGTGACGAGTGGCTTAAAGGAATTGTGAGAGGTCAAAGGTGCGGAAAGGCTCCGCCGAGTGGTGCTTCCGTCGTCATTGCTGGATGCTCTCGGCTCGGTTGAGCTTGTTTTCAAGCTTGAATGTCCCGTCTCCAGCACAGATACGGTTACACGGCAGGGATTCCAGACGAAATGAGTGTAACCCAAACGACTGCAGTACAATTTTCCTTGTGGGATGCCCTCCTGGATGATAGACTCTTGTGAGATGTATGACTTCCCGTATGATAACCTCCTATAGAATAATTTCCTGTAGAAATGACGTCCCATGATTTGAGCCCCCGTGGAATAATCTCATATTAATGTTCCACAGCGGGATGACCTTTAAGATGCTCTCTTCAGCAGCTAGGTCTCGGCTGTCCTTCTATGTGTAATGATCCTCTGGATAAATATCTAGCAAAACTGTACTGTGTAGCCGCTGTGGCACTCCAGGTCATGTGTGTGTTGGAATGAATGTGTTGTGTCATGGGGCTAGTCTAATTAATCACTCAACCAACAAGCCCATTGTCCCCGTTCCGCTCATGGGCGGAAGATGCGATCAGCTTTGGTGCAGAAAGACACAAGTGATGATCTTCAGGGTGCAATTTTGTGCGGCGATCGACATGTTGGAAGACAAGGCCCAGACAGGCCAGGAAGGACAAATTTCTGACAGAAGCATGTGAAACTGCATGATCACCACTGTCGGGGTCTGGGAGCTGTGGGCACCGCTGTTCTATGTGAAACTGGTAGGCCTGCTCGGCAGCTCGGCCACCCCTGCTCCCATTCGGGCCCTAGGAGATGGGTTGCTTGCGTCAGTGGGGGGGGAAGATCTGGAAGCTTGGGGCAGGAATGGAGGGCGGTGGGCCCGCATTGTGGAGGGGCAGCGTGCCGCCATGCTTGGGAATCCTGGCCCTGGCTGCCAACTTTGTGTTGCCAGGCAGCCCGGGTAGGGTACCACAGGACCACACACAGGACAGGAGAAGCTGGCACGACCAGGGACGAGGGCGTCCTGCCAGGCCTGCATGCTGCTCGTAATGAATCGGGTGAGGGGCGAGGGGTGTTTTGATTGCCATCAATTTCAGCCCCGCCAAATCCTCCCTCGCCGCCGCAGTTAAACAAGCTACTGTGCCTACTTACCTGTACCTGCAATCGCATTGGACCGACTGCGTCGACGTCGCAACGCATCTTTTCACCGTTCCTTACCTACCCAGCACCATTAACTCTGGACTTTTTCTCTCCCTCCCTCTTCTTTGGACCTTCCTTCCCGGTCCCTCTTCACCGCAGTCTGTCCCTCGAAAGCTAATTCAAAAACCACACCACCAAGCCTCTGCTCATCATGGCGCCTGTTGGAACTGTTCTCATCACCGGGTGCGCCAATCTCTCCCTCCTCCCCTTTACTTTGCGCTGTCACCAGCCCAAACTCTAGACACGCCTGGTAGAAAAGGACTTTGGCTTACTGACTGTGATTTGCAGTGGCACTGGCTACATCGGCTCATTCACCTCTCTCGCCCTGCTTGAGAATGGCTACGAGGTGGTGATTGTCGATAACCTCTACAACTCGTCCGAGGTGGCCCTTGACCGCATCGAGCTCATCTGTGGAAAGCGACCAAAGTTCTACAAGGTAGACATCACGGACAAGCCTGCTCTCGACAAGGTCTTCTCGGAGAATCCCGAGATTGATAGTGTCATCCACTTTGCGGCCCTCAAGGCAAGTCGGACCCGGCCGCGCATTGTCGCGCAAAGGCTACGAGTGGGACCGACCAAGGGGAGGCTAACATAACCGTACAGGCCGTGGGCGAGTCTGCCGAGATCCCTCTCGAGTACTACCGTGTCAATGTCGGCGGCAGCATCTCCCTGCTGCGCTCCATGACCGACCACAATGTCACCAACATCGTCTTCTCTTCCTCCGCTACCGTCTACGGCGATGCGACTCGTTTCCCCAACATGATTCCGATCCCAGAGAACTGCCCTACAGGGCCCACAAACTCATACGGGCGCACCAAGTCTATGATTGAGACTGTCATCGAGGACCACGTCGTTGCCCAGCGCAACAACCTTAAGAAGGCAGGCAAGCCTTACGAGCAGTGGAACGGCGCTAACTTGCGGTATTTCAACCCCTGTGGCGCCCACCCCTCGGGCATCATGGGCGAGGACCCCCAGGGTGTGCCATACAACCTGCTCCCCCTGCTCGGCCAGGTTGCTACCGGCCAGCGCGAGAAGCTGCTGGTGTTTGGCGACGACTACGCTTCGCGTGACGGCACGGCCATCCGCGACTACATCCACGTGTGCGATCTGGCCAAGGGCCACCTGGTGGCGCTGAACTACCTACGGGAGCACCAGCCAGGCGTCAAGGCATGGAACCTCGGCTCAGGACGTGGCAGCACCGTGTACGAGATCATCAACGCGTTCCGCGAAGTTGTTGGGCGGGACCTCAAGTATGAGGTTGTGGAGAGAAGACAAGGCGACGTGCTGGACCTGACGGCGAACCCGAGCCTGGCCAACAAGGAGCTGAATTGGAAGACGGAGTTGAAGATGGAGGACGCTTGCTCGGATCTGTGGCGGTGGGTCAGCAACAACCCCCAAGGGTACCGCCAGAGCCCGCCCGCGGAGCTGCTGGAGGCTTTGAAGAAATAAATGCAGCATGCAGCTGGAAGGAGCCGTTTGCATTCAGAGGAGGACGTGAAAAAAGAATAATGAGAGCCGCTTCGGGGATGCGGCAGTCATGTTTGCTAAGGAGGTGGGGATGACCTTCCAATTCACGCATGGCTGCAGTTCAGGCTGGTGCATCCTATTAGACTTTGCCTCAACGACTTAGACGAGTAATGGAACTTTTCGACCTACAGAGGCAGATGTATTGCGAGTTTCCAAGTTGTTTGGTATCATCTGTCAACGCCGGTACGGTCCGGTGCAAATGTCTATTCTACACTGGGGAGGCTTGATGAGAATTGGCCTTTCAAGTTGGGCATTCAGTAGAACTCAACATAGGTGCTGAATTAATGGCATGAGTTTTACTGTAAACAGTGTGCATGGTGAATGTGACGGAGGCTTACTCCACCAACCATTGCGACTTAGACAAAAGAGATCTACCCAAGCTTCCCCAAAGAGAGAGGAGCTGCCCCACGATGGTGCTGACTAACCAACAAGCCCACCTCAGCACTCATCTTGCGGTTCAGATTGCTTGGGCGACGACACGTCCTAGGCCAGACGCGTCTCCCAGAACGCCACGCCATAGAGTGAAAGCCGACTGCGTACTTCACTCATGCGCCTCTGCATCACCGGTTTCGTCTGGGGATTATGAGAAGGACAAGCAATTCTTGTATCACAAAGACAGCACTGCGAGACGCAATTGTGCATTTACCTACCGTTTTCAGCCCGCAAACAAAGGCCTCTTTGCGCCATGCTACTTTCCGACAGCGCGCGACAGCTGCTTTTCTCGACCAAATCGCCCGCTTCTCTCGAGGTCATCACCACCAATGCCCCAGACCCTTGACCTCGATTTTGATTTCAGCTTCGACCACCAGCGCTAGCAAACCTGACAACGACACAGCGTGTGCTCAAATTTTCATGTCTTCGCACTTGGTCTTGATTGCTGTGTGTGCACGAACCTGATCTCACTCCTATCGCATCTTCCTACCGCAGGCTCAGTGTGCTCCGCACAATTCGACGTATCGTCGATCAATTTCTTAGAGTGCGGCTGCCGACAAGCCTAGCCAGCCAACCCAGCCGCCATCGTTTGGACCCGGCTTTGAAGGTAAGCGAACTCTCGTCGATTCAACCCGAAAGCTCCTTTTACAGCCTTGAACCATCTTTCCCCAAGGCAACAGCAGCGTATTGCCTCATCTCACATCGCTCCTGTCGTCACTTTCCTCAAACCATGTCACTACCGCAAACAAAAGGATAATTCTAATTCGCAAAAGGGCAAACTCATTCTCTGGTCAATAAGCGCCTTCAAATTTCAGCTCACTCAACAGCCACCATGCCACCCAGGCGAGGTCGTGGCGGCAACGCGGGAGGAGGCACTCCGTCCCCAGCGCCGGACAGCAGACCGAGGGCTCAGAGGACTCCAGGGCCGAGTAGATTCAGTACCTCCTATGGGTCCCCCGCGATGTTGACTGCTGGTCGCAGTACCACGTCATCCTCGATAGGCGGCATTGGAAATGCCTTGAGGAACGTGCAGAACGCCACCTCAGCCGACAGACGGACCAGAGCAGCTCAACAGGCTGCCGAGGGCGGCAACCAGGGCGCGCGACCCCCTCCCAACCAGGGACCGGCGGCTCCTCTTGACCAAGGTCCAGCGCCTCCTCCCAATCAGGGGCCAGTGGTTCCTCCTGTCGCACAGAAAACCGCGGGGCCGGCGACCAACAATCAACGTAAGTCTCTTGAGACAACCACCCCCCCCCCCCTCCACTCTTACCATGGCACATGAACGTTGCTCTACGTATGAACAATTGTTTTATCTAACTTGGTCGCACAGAAAACCCAGCTGGGAGCAGAGCCCAAACCGTCCAGCCACAGCGCCAACGCCCAGACTCTGGCACTGGCAATCGCAGATATTCTCGATACATGTCAGCACCGCTTCACTCTGATACCCCGTCCATGAGAAGCTTTATCGAGGAGAGCGAGATCTTCCATGGTGCAGATGTTGGAACACCTACACCGGGCCGGAATCGTGCACCTGTGATTTCAAATCGACCAAATCAAGGACCCAACTTTGGACCACTCACGGCCGATGCGCCGTCTGATGGATCTGACGGTTCTGATTTCATTGATGACGACGACGACGAGGATCCACTAAACCGTGACACGCCCCGTAGTACGAGGAGTCGCAGAGACTCAGCGACGACCCCACAGTCCCAATCGCGGCCGCCACCGAGCTACCAAGCCGTTAGCTGGGCAGACCGCTTTACACAGCGTGGAGGATTTGGGACAGCTACCCAGGCTTCTAACCAAACTGGCACTGCTACACAAACCGGCACTCAAGGAGCACGTTCAGACCAGACCTTTAATCCTTTTCAGTCGCCCCCAAGTGCTACACGAGACAGTGGTAGGGGACCCAGCGCTGTAACTGGCGCTAGAGGCACTGGAACTGGCACTGGAAGCACTGGCACTGGAAGCACTGTAACTAGCACTGGAGGCACTGTAACTGGCATTGGAGGGCCCACCTCCACAGTGCCTAGTGCTGGAGGACCTACGACCGGGGGACCGGGTACTGGATCTGACATCGGAGGTCTTGGTACAAGAGGACCCGGAACTGGACCTACCACCGGAGGACCTGGTACTGGATCTGGTACTAGATCACCGGGTATTAGGCCTGGTACTGGAGGTCCTGCCTTTGGAGGTCCTGGCGCTGGAGGACCCGGTACTGGTCTCGGTACTGGTCTCAGCACTGGAGGGCCCGGTACCGGAGGACCTGGTTCTGGGAATGCCACGGCGCCTCCTGTTCAAGGACCGGGAGGGCCGCAAGGAACGCCAGGTCCGCCGGGTCAGCAGGGAGCAGCCGGACTGCCCGGTTTGCAGGGGCAGCCAGGCCCACAAGGACAAGCCGGACCTCAAGGACAACCAGGAGCCCAAGGACAGCCCGGGCCTCCAGGACAGCCTGGTCCTCAAGGACTACCCGGACAGCAGGGTCCACAGGGGCCGCAAGGACCGCAAGGACCGCAAGGGCCGCAAGGGCCGCAGGGGCCGCCAGGGCTGGCGAACAATGGCGCCATAATTCCACCAGTCGCTCTGCTTAAGAGTGACAACTTGTTCGCTCGAAGCTTGAATTGGGTGTACTCGCACTTGCGCATCAGTCGATGGCCGCCCTGGCTTCGCAAAGCGCTGCAAATGTGGGGGCTGTTGATCATCATCTGCTGGTTCTTCTTGATCCTTCTCGAACTTTATGTGCCCGTCACTCGATGGGAAGGTATCGAAGTCGGCAAAACTTATCAGTACCACGGCAACTCTCTTGTGGGATGGAGACAGAACATCCTGCAGTTCGTGCCGTGGATAGTGTTGCACCCTTTCGCTGTATTGACCGGCAACCTCGATTACGCAGACTACCGCAACACTCTACACTGGGTGACTATAAACCAAAGCCACAATGAGCACAACTTGAATACACTCGCACAGGCCGTTGGGCAATTGCGCAAGATTCTTCCAGAGCTCATCAAAGTCGATGCAGACATCGCGACTTCTGAGTGGAAGGTACAGGACGAGTTCTGGCATGCCTTAAACGAGGAGATGAAAAAGGGAGGCTTGATGTGGTATCTGCTGAGCGTTCATAAAGACAGCAATGGCTCTTATGCCATCTCTGACACGCACTGGGATGCCATCAAGCAGCGAATACAGAACGAAGATCCTCTCGCAATGAGCAACGAGGTTATGAGCTATGTGGACACGTCTGTTTCCAAATCCTTCCACGATTGGCTTACGAAGAACGCGGACGCGGTGCGGAAAGCGCAAGGCGCGGTAAAGGGCGAACCGAGTTCCTCCTACACAGATCTCTACGGTGATGGCGACAAGGCAGTCGCTGCGCGCCTCAAAGAACTTGGCCTGGAAGAGCGGGTCATTACCAGAGAAGAGTTTCTATCCAAGATTCAAGAACTCCGCGATCGTGACGCCAATGTTCAGGACCAAATGAAGGTTATGAATGACAAGCTTGGACAGGCACTCGGTATTGCCATGGAGGCCAAGAATTCTGCCCAACTCCCGCCAGGGCTGAGCCGCGCCGAGGTCGATGCTATTGTTGCTGAAACAGTCCGCCGAACCGTTGCAGAAGCCCAACTGGAAGCTTTAGCCAAGGGCTCTATCAAGTCTCACCTCAATAGCAATCTCCTCGCGCAGAAGAACTACTTTAGTACTATTCGAGGAGCTCTTGTCGATCCGCGCCTGACTTCAGATACATTCGATTGGAGAATTCTGAGGGATGCCAAGCAGCAGGGCGAGTCTAAGATTAGATTTTTCAGCTTGGGGTCTTCAAAGAACGACAAGGAGCACCCGGTTTTCCGCCGTGGAGGGAAGTACAGCGGCCTCCCTTTTGCTCCATCCTTTGCGCTGGAAAAGTGGGAAGAGGACGGAGAGTGTTGGTGCGGTGGACATAAGGATGACACGCACGTTGTAGATCTGTCCATCTTCACTGCCGCGTCCGTCGTACCGCAATACCTTGTTGTCGAGCACATCGACCGCGGCTCTACGTTTGACTGGGAATCCATGCCCAAGGAACTCGAATTCTGGATCAAGGCCCCAGAAGACAGTACGCAGCGCAAGCTGACTGCTTGGAGCAAGAAGCATTGGGGCGATGCCTTTGCCGGGCCGGGATGGACACTCGCAGAGAAGGGTTTCGTCAAGGTCGGTCAATTCGACTTCGACTCTGGAGTGGGGAAGGGCGAGAGCCAGGTGTTCAAGTTGCCCAATGAACTGGTGGACTATGGAATCCGAACTGAACAGGTGCTGGTGCGCGCGAAGAGCAACTACGGAGCAGACGATCATACTTGTTTCTACCGGCTGCGCCTCTTTGGCCTCGAGCCAGGCGAGGACAAGCACGACGAAGCCTCTGACTAGGCATTTCCTTTGCAGTAAGAGGGTACGCCTCAGCGGAGGAGGGGTTTTTCATATTGGGACTTTTGGGCAATGCAAAGCAGCCCTTTCTTGAACAGGGGCAGGATTACCTCATGGCGGCGTCTTAAGGAAGGGAAGGGTGTTGGAAGGTCAGGATAGGGCGTTGGTCGCGCGCCTCTCGAGCACATGGTGATTGACTTGGGCGTTTGTTGGAGATACCCTTCGTGCTGTAATATTGGTTTAATGTACACTGGTCTACCTTAAGTTTACCTATCGCAACTCTGATGAATGGCAGCCGGAAACTTGACCTGGTACGACGACGACGACGACGAAGGCTATCTTTCCATTTGTCCCGAGTAGACAGAATGATCACACTATTGGTGTCTAGATAAGTGAATTATATTTCTATGCGACATAGACCTCGAGTGCCTAGCCCGTCATAGTCTCTCATGGCAGCTCCTACGCTCAGCATAAGCGTGATAAGTCCCCTGATATGATATTAAGTGACAGCAAAGATTGGTTTACAACAAAAGAATGCTTGCGGAGCGATTCAATCTTGTCAGAATTGCTGCTCCCTAATATACATCTCATGTTTGGATGCGCGGGAAGGCGCCCTGCTTGTTATGCCAGAAAGTGGTGTATGGACTCTATGCACAAAAAGAAAACCCGCTGATTGAAGTGATGATGTATCCCAGACTGCCGGCCTTCGCCCGTCCCCTCCACTTTCCGTCGCCGAAACCGTTGCTACCGGTCCCGGCCTAACCTCTCCTCGTCGTCCTCTACCAGCTCGTACGCCGGCCTGAACCCTTCGCCCTCGGCCTGTCTCTTGAGCAGGGGGTTGGGATGAGTGTCCTTGGTGCCGCCTAAAGATGTGTATCCTTGGTCGTATAGTGATATATAAGGGATGTCCAGGTGTCGGAGGAACTATACGCTTGTCAGCCAAGAGCTCGAGAGCACCCGATCCTGCTAGCCTCGCCACTACACCAGCAACGTGGACTCGTCGACACCGAAAGCACAATCACTCACCGCCCAGATCTCTGCGTAATGCCAGTCGATGACGGGGTGCACCCTCACAAAGGCGGGCCAGTCGCCGTCGGTGGGGTCGAAGTGCGTGAGGGCGGCGCCGTGGGGGTCGGTCCTGCGGGTGCCGACGAAGACGGCCCTGAGGCGGGGGCGGTCGCGGAGGTAGGCGTCGAGGGCGGCGCGCATGGGCAGGGCGTAGCGGCACAGGTCGAGGTGGTAGGCGCGGGCCGAGTGCTCGACGAAGGCGTCGACCTCGGCGAAGGGGTCGGGCGCGACGATGTAGACGGACTGCAGGGTGGAGGGGAAGGGGTGCGGCGTGGGGCTGCGCACGGGGGTCGGCGCCGCGGGGGTGTTGGTCGGGATCTGGGAGGTCAGGCCGTTGGTCGTCGTGCCGGCGCCGGGCGGGATGGAGTAGTAGGGGGGCGGCGGCGGCGGCGGCTCGAAGTGCCGCGGGAGGCAGGCGAGGATCAGGACGAGGAGCACCAGGCAGTCCTTGCCGCCGTTGTAGGAGAGGGAGAGCTCCTCGATGCTGTGGCGGGGTGGTGTCAGAGAGCCTGGTAAGTTCATGGCCACGAGGACGAGTGCTCCGCCGGGGCTGACGGCGTGCATTGGGGGGCTTACCTGTATCTCTCGAGGGCGTCGTCAATGACGGACTGTGCCTCGCGGACACGGGACTGCACGCCCTTGAGGAGGCCTGTCTCGACATTCTGGGCCAGGAAGGCGTTGACCTTGGCCTGCAGCTCGAGACAGACCTGGCGCAAGGAGAGGGATGGAGCTGTGGACGCGGGCTCGGATGCAGACGCGGGTGCGGCTGGCGGCTCTTTAACCCCGCCATTCGCAGTGGGTGCGACGCCGTTGGCGAGATGGTGGTGTGGCATCGCAACAGCAGCTGTGTGTGCGGCGTGAGGTTCGATGTCGTGCTATGTCCGGATTTCTGCAGCCATGGACACCAAGCAGAGGATGCTGAAGTGGCAAGATGGGGTGTCGGGCACGGTGGTGTCAGAACAAGTGTGATGTATGACTAGAGCCCGACAAGAATAACGGTCAGGAAGCTGTCTGTCTGTCTGTCTGTCTTTCTGTCTGGCCCGTTGTGCAGTCAGTCCGTAGTCCGAGCAGGCAGTGTTAGCTGGGGCTCTTTCTCCACCGCTGCGGCCTCGGCCACGGCGGGGAGATCGGCGCTGATAGGGAACAAGAGGTGGAAAGGATCAGGGGTCCACATCTCCATCTCCCGTCTTCCATGCTTCCATGACGTTCGGCTTCGGCCACCCAGTCACATGTGTCTCTCTCTCTGCGCCGCCCAGACTAAGACACAACACAACAACCATTTGCTCACTACAGGCTGACAATCCTCGACGCTTCAAGTTAGACTATGAGAAACCATCTAGTGCGCAGCAGCGACGGTCCGCCCGCTCCATGTTGTCAACGTAAAAGTACAATTCATACTGTACTAATCCGAGAAATAAGGCTTGGAGAGGTCCTAGAAATTTGGTCGCTGCTTTCAAATACAGGTAGACACAGGAAAGCGGGCAATGATATATCCCACGTACTGTCTGACATCCCCACAAGAGATTGTCCTAGAGGTGGTGAATTTCGATCAAAACATTGTCTCGATATATTAGAAGCAGCCTGTCACAGAGAGGTTGTCTCAAGTTGGTTTCCCCTAGAGAATGGAAGGGGTCATCTCAGATAAGGTAAACCCGAAGAAGACTGTCCGAACGATATTATCATAAAATAGGTCATTTCAGAGAATAAAGGGAGTTATCCTAGAGGAGATTATCTTATAGACTTTGTTCTAGAGGGGTTTATCCCAGTGGCGGTTATCCCAGTGGAAGGGTGCAGTGTACTATCCAGAGCCTCAGGTCGGTAAGCTCTAGTCTAGGAACTGTCGACCGGCCCCAACGCTAGCGGCAGGTATTTACCGAACTAGCCCCACATGCCGACATCCCTGTCCAAATATTCTTTCGCTGCAGTACTGGGAAATTTTCTGGAATGCGATGCGACCACTCTTTCTCTTACGAAGACTTCACCTTCAGCAAGACGAAGATGCCGCTACATCCAAAGCCCGGAAAGTCCGGGCCCAAAAGGCACCCCAAAAAGGAAGACAAGACTCTGAAAAGGAAAAGGGAGGCAGAGGACCACGACCGGCTCAAGAAGGTCATCGACGAACTGGTATGTCTGTCTGTCTCCTCGCCCACGCCCTCTTCTAGCTAACAATGTCTCCAGGACCCAAAGTCACCAGTCGCAAATTTCGCCGACTTGCCCCTGTGCGAAGCCACAGCCTCTGGCCTCAAAGCCTCTCACTTCGAAGCCCTCACCGACGTCCAGGCCCGAGCCGTACCTCTGGCCCTGAAAGGCCATGATCTCCTCGCAGCCGCCAAGACTGGCAGCGGAAAGACGCTCGCCTTCCTCATACCCGTCCTCGAGAAACTCTACCACGCTCGCTGGACCCCTCGCGATGGTCTCGGCGCCCTGATTATGTCGCCGACACGTGAACTGGCTGTGCAAATCTTCGATGTGCTGCGCAAAATCGGACGCTACCATGACTTCTCTGCCGGCCTGGTCATTGGCGGCAACAACCTGAAGGAGGAGGCTGACCGCATAGACCGCATGAACATCCTCGTGTGTACGCCCGGGCGCATGCTCCAACACCTGGATCAGAGGTTTGGTTTCAACGTCGACGACTTGCAAATCTTGGTCCTGGACGAGGCCGACCGCATAATGGACATGGGTTTCCAACACGCCGTCGATGCGCTGATCGAGCATCTGCCCAAGGAGAGGCAGACACTGTTGTTCAGCGCCACCCAGAGCAAGAAAATCTCGGATCTGGCCCGACTCAGCCTGAAAGACCCGGAATATGTTTCGGTCCATGAGGCTGCCGAATCAGCAACGCCGAGCACCCTCCAACAGCACTACATCGTGACACCGCTCTCGGAAAAGTTGGATACGCTATATGGCTTCATAAAGGCGAGCTTGAAGACCAAGATTGTTGTGTTCTTGTCTTCCGGCAAGCAGGTCCGATTCGTGTACGAGGCGCTCCGACAGCTGCAACCGGGAATACCTTTGCTCCACTTGCACGGTCGCCAGAAGCAAGAGGCAAGATTACGGATCACACAGCAATTCACATCGGCGAAGCATTCCTGCTTATTTGCGACAGACGTTGTAGCTCGAGGTGTTGACTTTCCTTCGGTCGACTGGGTCATCCAGGTCGACTGTCCCGAAGATGCAGATACCTACATTCACCGAGTCGGACGGACAGCAAGATACCAGAGTAAGGGCCGTGCTGTCCTGTTCCTGGATCCTAGCGAAGAGACGGGTATGCTGAAGCGGCTGGAACAGAAAAAGATTCCAATAGAGAGGATCAACGTCAAGGATAACATGAAGAAGAGCATCAGGAATCAGGTGCAAAGCATGTGTTTCAAGCAACCCAACATCAAATACTTGGCACAAAAGGCATTCGTTACCTATGTCAGGTCGGTCTACGTACAAAAGGACAAGGATATCTTCGATATCAAAAGGCTGGACTTGGACGCGTACGCTGCGAGCCTAGGACTACCGGGGACGCCGAATATTAAGTTCAGACCGGGCGAGGATATGAAGAAGTTGAAGAACGCCCCCAGGATGCCTATGAGCGACTCGGAAGAGTCTTCAGAGGATGAAGGCGGCAAGCGAAAGAACAAGGACGAAGTGAAGACGAAGGTGCAAAAGATGTTTGAGCGAACCAATCAGGACGTGCTGTCTAGCCATTACCGCAAGATGGTAGGACCGGAAGGCGAAGGCGACGACGACGAAGACGACTTCATGGTTGCCAAGCGTGTTCTGAACGACGAGGATCTCGACAAGGCAGCACAAAACGGTGAAGAGGGCAATATCAAGGTTGTTGACTTTGGAGGAGACCAGCAGCTCGTCATCGATTCGAAACGGCGCGAGAAGCTCCTCAAGTCCAAGAAGAAGCTCCTCAAGTTCAAGGGCCACGGGCAGAAACTTGTCTTTGATGACGACGGCAATGCACACCCTATCTACGAGCTCATTGACGAGGACGATTTCAAGGCACAAGGTCCCGTGGAGGAGCTCAGGCGGCAGTTCGTCGACCAAGAGACGGAGAAGGTCCAGGAGGCAGATGTGGAGGACAAGGAGCTGGCCAAGACGAGGAGGAAGGAGAAGAGGGAAAGGAGGAAGGAGCTCGAGAGGATGGAGCGTGGCGAAGGTCCTGGGCCAGCCGGGCCTGTTGCGCAGCTGGAGGGCTCGGAGGACGGAGAGGATCCACTTGCGCTGCTGCGGTCGTTGCCTACTGGGGATGGCACAGACCACAGCGAGAGCGAGGCTGAGGAGCGGAGACCAACGAAGAAGCAGAAGAAGTGGTTCCAGAACGACTCGGATGTCGAGGACGAGAAGACCACAAAGAAGAAGGCCAAGAAAGCTAAAAAGGACAACAAGAAGGTCATCGAGATGGCTGAGGAACCTGAGACTCTCGAGGACCTTGAGGCTCTCGCTGCAGGGCTGTTGGAGTAGTGAGAGCATACTTGATACCCTAGTCTCAATCGTATTTACCCGTCACAATGGGACTACATTGCTGCTCTAACTCATGCTCTTTGCCTCTTAAAGGAGGCTTGGTAGGAGGGTCTCCAACAGGATGTTGTCCAACAGGAGGCAATTCCACAGGGCTTGATCTATAAGAAGTCGTGCGATAGGAACCCATACCACACATTATCTTATTCTGTGGAAGCCTAGTCCACAGCAAGTCATTATCACGGGTCATCCCTTAGCAGGTCTATTATGCAGGATTCGACTTCTATACAACCGATCTTCATACCTACAATGCTCCTAGTGTACTATGGTGTTTAGCAAGTATTTCTCCCTCGGATCTACCAAGGTAGTTGCCGAGCATGCGGCAGAAACTGACTACGTCTGACTGCCCACTCAATGCTACACACATACACAGCCTCCTCGCCTACAGCTTACCCGCCGTTTTCAGACCCCTCTCGCCGTCGACAAGCACGCACCATCCCTCGCTGCCGACGGTGCCGCCGCCGAAGCCAGCCACGACGGCCTTGAACCCCTGGCCGTCGGCCTGGGCGCCGGCATCCTCGCCCTCGCCCTCGCGAGCGTACTTCAGGACCTCGTCGTCGAAGGTGCCGGGTTGCAGGAACACGGCTGGGACTATAAGTGTCTCTAGTCAGTCCGTGCCTCGGAAAAGAGCACACTAATTGATGACAGCGATGGTCCCTCGGTGGGGGCGGGTGCGAGGAACACCGAGTGTCAATACTTACTTCCTAGCTTCTTGGCCTCCTCGAGCACCTTCAGGGTGACCGGGGGAGGGGTGATTATGGACACGGAGGTCTCCTTGGGGTCGGGCAGGGCCGAGAGAGACTTGACAGTTGGGATCTCTGAGGGCTTGCCTGCGGCGTCCGGGAGGGATGGCACGGCGATGGAGGGCGCGGCTGGGTTGATTGGGATGGCCTGGATGTCGTGGTGGAGATACCAGGCGAAGACTTGTGTGTGTTATTGTTAGTTCAATATCAAATTCATCGTGTGCTTTGACTTGGCTGGGTAGGATACGGAACCACAACGCTTGAGAGGCGGCTGACGATTCCCTTGCAGTCTCGGGTTTCTAGGGCTTCTCATTTGGATTCTAGCTATCTTACTCTTGTGACCAAACTTGGCCGTGTTTGAGCTTGCGCCAACGACGGCAAAATTTTTGGACGAGAAGAACGTCCTTAGGGATGCGTCGGTGCTCATTTTGGGTGATGACGAACTAAAGAAGCGTGATATGAGAAAGGCTGAGCTGTTTTGGCGAGCCTGGGCCGGGAGTATCTTGTGAAATGCAGATTGGAGTGCAAATTGGAGCATGAGGCAACAAGCTCAGTCGACGATGCCAGGAACAGAAGCCAACATGCAAATATAAATAAATGTATCTCTGATTTGTAATTGTGAGGCTGTCTTTGAATTCCAAATTGAGTCGGCTGCAAGATGTCTCTTTTCCCCACGTTGGAGTCCCGGCGGGTGCTAACGTTTTTCAGGGTCCCTCTCACGTTATCAGCTGCCATCACCAGAGCGATGGACACTCACGTCACAACGTCTCATGAGACTGACACTTTGTGCTTTTCATTGTCTTGGGTACTGCCTATCTGGGTAGGTGTTTTGGAGACCTCTAATCTGTACCTGCGTCCCCACCCAAATTGGTTGAGCTTCGGAGGATGGGACGGATTGAGATGAACTCGCAGGAGTTGTGCGTTAATGGACAGCCCGGCATCGGAGGAGGCGTATTCTGGGACAGACAGTCATTTTCTACATGTTGGGATATATGTGGGTGTCATGTCACACCTTTTGACATGCCGCCGTGGGTAAATAGGTTGTGTCCTCATGCCGGGATGTTTCCGCCGACAGTCATGCCCAAGATTTCTCGGTGCATGGTACCACCGGCTGCACTCACGGCCGAAAGGACTTGGGTTTCTCATGTGCCAGACATTTTGTAGATTCCACTGCTGAGCGAGGCAGCATGTGTGTGTGTGTTGGGGGACAAGAGTAGTAGAAAGAGTGTGGTGTTTTCCTCCACCTTGTGGGTCCTCAGACATGCAAGAGCGTGCTCACCACCTTGTTTGTATAGGTGGGGATCAACTTTAAATGGCTTGCAGAGTGAATTGTGAGAAAGTCCATCGAGACCATAGACTGACTGACTACCTATATGTGCCATGGTAGTCTAGTGAGACCAAAAAGCAGATGACGATGTGTGCCGTTTCGTTGCCCCTTGCCAGCCCCTCGTCCGTTGCCCCGTCAGTTTCAGCCCCACACATTTTCGTTCTGGTCCTGGCTCCTGGCTCCTGGCTCCTCCTCGGGACTCCTCTGAAAACCGCTGGCGGCCTGGCACTGGCGGCTCGCGTCGCCCTGCTCGCTCGCATGAACAGCACAGACCACGGAGGGCCCATAAACAGGTCCATGTCCAGGGAGACGACGCAGACGGAGACCGCTCTTCCATTTTATTTATAAAACACAGCTGGATCCCAACCTCAACTCCAGGAAGCATCATCGCCAACCTCGTTACCGTCCCTCGCCCGCCATCTCCGCAATTTTCGCTGCCCCCAAGGACCCACAATGGTGAGTGCGTGACCGTCAATAGACAATGACATTCCCGGACGAGCAGCAAGTGCGGCTATTGGACGGTGAGGCTGGGAGCTGGCAGAGGTAAACAAATGACCTGCAGCACGGATGCGTTTGCCCTCGCAGGTTCCAGTTTAGCGCTGGTTGCTCTCGTTTTCCGTTTGCTGGCTGCTGGCTGCTGGTTGCCCAGGTGCTGGCTCGGGGAGCACAAGCACCGGCACCAATTCCCCCAGCGCCCAGCCCGACCAAGGTTGGAGCTGTGTGACGCCGTCGTACCTTGTTTTGCTGGGTGCCGGCGGCCTGGCGGTCCCGAGGAAGGCGCTTGACTCCAACCGTTGCCGTGTTGTCTCCCAGCCAAGCTGCAGCCCTGTCCACGGATGATCCCATCTCCAAATTTCCAGTCCAGCCACCACAGATACCCGCAGCCGCAGCACCATCCTTTCAATAGCACCCTTCTTTGTCAACACGCTATCACGACATCACTGCACCAAACCTGCCTCGATCCTCTGCATCCGTCCCCAATCCCTCTCATCCCCCATTTGCTGCTTCGTGACAGACCGGAATCGCAAACACCGCAGACATGTCTTCTAATCAGTACGATGCCCAGGCTTCAACCAACTACAAGGAGGCTTTCTCACTATTCGACAAGCGCGGCAATGGACGTGTCACCCTCGATAACCTCGGCGACCTCCTGCGCGCCTGTGGCCAAAACCCTACCATGACCGAGATCAGGGACCTGGAGAAGAGCGTCGGCGGCGACTGTGAGTCTTGACTCCTCCCCAGCCACTCTTGTTTACATGGGCAATTTTGTCGCACAACACAACATGTAATTTTACGCGATCAACTCGCACATTGGCAAAGCATCGCCATACGCACGTATGCGACGAAATAACAAAGGTACTAATTCGCATTTGACAATGCCCAGTCGACTTCGAGACTTTCCAGCGCGTGCTGAACCGCCCCGGCGGCTTCCGCGACCCAGGCGAGCCTGACGAGTACTGCCGCGGCTTCCAGGTGTTCGACAAGGACATGACGGGCTTCATCGGCGTCGGCCAGCTCAAGTACATCTTGACCAACCTGGGCGAGAAAATGACGGACGAGGAGGTGGACGAGCTTCTCAAGGCCGTCGACACCAGCTCGGGACAGGTCAACTACACAGGTGCGTGCATATCTGATTGCCACGGCAATGAAATGATCCGACACGTTGTGATAACTGACGCGGATTTTGCGCAGATCTCGTCCGGACAATTCTTGCGAACTAGACGGGTGACAACGAAAGATACCAAGGCGAGACGCCACGAAAGCGTGCGCGGAGGGGGTGATTGCGCCGTACAGTGGAAGGACATGGCATAAGAGGATATATTGCATGGATTTTTGTCAGGGACTGGCCGGCGTTTACTGCTTTTGTTGCTGACGAGTGACGAGATACGCCTTGAGCAAAACAGACGTTGGGTATCCTGAATCGGCTGTCGACCAGGACTGTTTCGAGAATAGGTACAATCAATCAGACATATGAAAATATGGAGCCTCTATTGCTCGTCACCTCACGCGTCTTTCCTCTCAAGGATTTGATGCTTTACAGCAGTAATACTTTTATCCTCGGCCGAAACGTAGACGCGTCTCTTAGCGGAGTCTCGATGTCGATTTGATCAGCTATCCATGCCCCATGCAAGCAAGCTTGGTGGGCGCAGATTCGCGAACCGTTGCGTAGGCACCTTGACTGCTGTTGAACACCATCGGTGACGATGCTGATGGGGACGCCAAGCGCAGAGAGTAGAGGCTGCAGCCTTGCTTGGCTCACTCGAAGCGGGAGTCATTCCTGTATTCCTCTGGGTTCGGTTGGCCTATATATCTGTCTGTCTCCCTGCTGCCATCTTCTGTTGGCCAGCGAATTATCCCTTCACAAGCTCGAGAGGTTAGGGCAATCTATGCAGCTGTGTCGCAGCATTCGCGACGGCTCTCACCGCACCTAATATGCCCACACGTATAGGTAGCCGTAGCCAGACATCACGGTAGCAAGGCACCCTGCTAGGCCCGCATCTTGCAGGGGCCCCCTGATCTGCAGTGTACTCACCCCGCAGTGTCCCTCCGCTGCAGCTTCCCCATCCAGCGAGCTGCGTGTCACGAGCCTCCTACCACTCCCTCACTGCATAGGAACATCCTCCGATCTCCAAGGTGGCGTTGCATATTCCAAACCCGACTGTGAAGCCTAGGGGTAAGCCGCATAAGTTTGGTGTCCTCTCTGTCTTCTCTTTCCTCGTTCTCGCTGTCTCCATCATCCTGGCTGTCTCACGAGCCGTTCCGCGCATCTCATTGCTCGGGACATTTGCCAACTTGAAAGCTGGTCGCTTGGCCCGGATCCCTTCCTTTGCGGCTGCTCCGTATTCGACACACAGACTGTTGGCATCCCATCCTCCCTACGCCATGGACAAGTACAAGAAGCCCCCGCAGGCACCGCCGACCTTCATTGGCACCAAGGAGAATATTGTCTCGGACACCAAGGCATTGTGTGACAAGACGCGGAGCCTTCTGGACGACCTCGTGGCCAAGATTCCTGCCGACGACTCCTCTAAGACCACATTCCAGAACGTCTTGCAGCCTCAGATTCATGACGAGAATGACTCGGCTCTGACAGCCCGGATTTTGGGATTCTACCAATACGTGTCCAGCAACTCTGAGCTGCGCGATGCCTCGACGGAAGCTGAAAGCATCATGGACGAATTCGCCATTGAGATGGCCACCAGGGAAGATGTCTTCAAGATTGTGGATGCGGTCTACCAAAAGAAGGATAGCCTGGGTCTAGACACCGAGGATAAGAAACTCCTAGAGAAGGAGAGGAAGAACTACATATCCAACGGATTGGGGCTCCCCGCCGGCCCACAAAGGGAGCGCTTTAAGGAGATCAAAAAGAGACTCAGCCAGATCCAGATCGAGTTCACAAAAACTTTGAACGAGGAGAATGGTGCCATCTACTTCACCCCTGAGGAACTCGATGGTGTGCCGTCCGACCTGACTGAGAGCTGGGAAAAGGGAACTGGAGAGAACGAGGGCAAGCTTCGTGTTTCCTTCAAATATCCCGATCTCTTCCCAACGTTGAAGTTTGCCAAAAATGCCGAGACGCGCCAGAAGCTCTTCATCGCGAATGAGAACAAGTGCAACAAGAACATGCCCCTGTTCAAGGAGGCCATCCTCCTTCGGGATGAGGCTGCCCGTATGCTTGGTTTCCCAGATCATGCCTCTTTCAGGATTGAGGACAAGATGGCCAAGACAACGAAGACCGTCAACGACTTCCTGGGAGATCTGCGCGTCAAGCTTGCTCCTGGTGGCAAGAAGGAGACGGAGCACCTCAAGGCGATCAAGAAAGCCGATGTGGAGTCCCGTGGAGAACAGTTCGACGGCAGCTATTACTTGTGGGATCACCGCTTTTACGATCGCCTTATGATCGAGCAGGAGTACTCTATTGACGAGAACAAGATCTCCGAGTACTTCCCGCTGACCAAAACAGTGGCTGGCATGTTGAACATTTTCGAAAAGCTGTTCGGATTTGTTTTTGTCGAACTCTCCACTGAGGACAAAGCCGCGATTAGCCCAACCGGAAAGGCGGAGGATATCTCCTGGCACGAAGATGTCATTGTATTCTCAGTGTGGGATGACGAAGGTGAAGGCGGCGAATTCGTTGGGTATCTGTACCTTGATCTTCATCCTCGAACTGGAAAATACTCTCATGCGGCCAACTTCAACTTGTCCCCAGGCTTCTTAAAGGCCGATGGTAAGCGGCGTTACCCTGCAACAGCGTTGGTTTGCAACTTCAGCAAGCCCACGCCGAGGAAGCCCAGTCTGCTTAAACACGATGAGGTGGTTACACTGTTCCACGAATTGGGACACGGTATTCACGACTTGGCTGGTCGTACGAAGACATCTCGGTTCCATGGAACATCGACGGTGAGAGATTTTGTCGAGGCTCCTTCCCAGATGCTGGAGAACTGGTGCTGGACTCCTAGCCAAATCAAGGGGCTGTCAAGCCACTACGAGACGGGAGATCAGATCCCGGATGAACTCGTTGAGAAGCTAGTTTCGACGAAGCATGTGAACGGCGCGCTCTTCAATCTGCGACAGCTGCACTTCGGCATCTTCGACATGACGGTCCACTCGCCCAAGAGCCATGAGGAAGCGGAGAAACTGGACGCCAGTGCGGTTTACAATGATCTTCGGGCTGAGATTGCCGGCTTGCAAGGTCCCGAGTCCCTAGGCAAGGGAAGGTAAGCAATTCTCAATATTGGATTGGTTTGGGCATGGAGATGCTGACCTTTGACATAGCAACTGGGGCAACGGACCGGCAACATTTGGTCACCTAATCGGAGGCTATGATGCCGGCTATTACGGTTACCTGTCTTCCCAAGTCTACTCCACAGACATGTTCTACACTGCATTCAAGGCGGACCCCCTGAATGGAAAGGAGGGCAGAAGATACAGGCACACCGTGCTTGAGAGAGGTGGTAGTCAGGAAGAGATGACCACTTTGGAGCAGTTCCTGGGCCGAAAGCCTGCCAACGAGGCCTTCTACAAGGACCTTGGCATTGCCAGTTGACTCGAGCAGGCGACGGTGAGTCGTCTATGATGACCTACTGCTGTTGAAAATATACTGCATGCTCTAGCTTGACTGGGCGGCAGTCTCTCCAGTATAAACAAAATATAAATAGTAAAGCATCGCACACTTCCGTCCTTGACTTGACATGAGTAAGCAGCGGTTCCTCCCGAGTAACTTCGTTATACGTAGGGCCCAGAAGGGGAATTGCGCAAAAGCCGACAAAACAACGACCAGATTCAGCCCAGCTCAAGAAAGTTTTGAAAACAACATTCAATCAATAATAGGAACTTTTGCATCTGATTCTGACGTGGACTATAGCATCAATGAGCCGGTTCAAGCATCTGAGAAGTCGCGTGTGGGGCTTCAGCACTAGGAGCAGATTGACCACTGACCCGGAGTGGGGCGCCTCGGTTTGTTTACTTTAGGGACGACGGGCCAATGACGCGTGTAGGTTTGCGACCGGGGCTTTTGCTTTGCCTGGCCCTTGTCTCGACAGCTCCATGCTTTGCGACGCGACTTCTTGCCGTCAACCCGCCCAATATTTGCAACCACAACTGAAGCGTCTCCCCACTGCGCTTTCTTGCATTTGTGAAACCTCTACAAGTGGTAAATCCTTTGGATCGCACCTCTATATTGTCTCCACGCGCCTGCCCGGTTGCTACTTGAACTGTCCCAGCTGCACGCGTGACACGCGCCCACGAATCTATAATACGACACCCTCAAGCTTCGTGGAGCCGACCAGGCTGCAATCGCCCTCACGATGTCCACCGATGACATTGATGAGTACTTCATATACGAGAACCGCCTTGCGTCCTTCCATGGCCCGCAACGTGTCGCGAAGCGAAGAGCATCAACCGCGGCCACATCCCGTGCCCCCAAGACGCTATCATGGCCGCACAAGTCTATCAAACCTGCCGATGTGAGTCTCTTCCCCCATATGGATCCGATCTTCACCTTCGAACGCGTCCTAATGCGTGTCTACCGCTTGCAGATGGCCAAGGCCGGCTTTTTCTTCCAACCCCTACCTAGTAACCCAGACAACGTCGTGTGTTTCCTGTGCAGCAAGGCCCTCGATGGCTGGGAAGAGGATGACAGCCCCCTTGAAGAGCACCTGAAACACTCCCCCGAATGTGGCTGGGCTATCACCGCGGCGGTAGAGGCCGAGCTGGGCGAGTACGCGCGAGAGGACCCCAGAGACGCGCTCATGTCCGAGGCCCGGAAGGCCACCTTTGCAGGGCGGTGGCCCCACGAGAACAGGAAGGGCTGGAGCTGCAAGACCAAGCAGGTAAGACGGGGCAGCTGTATCCTGCAACACAAACATGCGGCTAATGCTTTCGAAAGCTTGTTGAAGCCGGCTGGAAATACACACCGACGGTGGAGTCAGACGACAATGCCACTTGCACGTATTGCCATCTGGGACTTGACGGATGGGAGAAGGGCGACAAGCCTTGGTAAGAAATTTGTATGTCTCTTCCAACACATCTGACGTACTAATATGCCTTAGGGATGAACATTACAGCCGGGCGCCAAACTGTCCCTTCTTTGGCTTGATCAGCTCGAAGCCGGCGCCTAAGAAGACAGGACGGTCCAAAGCTGCCAGGAGCTCCAAGGCATCCCGTCTTTCGCTACAATCTGTTGCTACAGCCATGTCTGATCTGACATCCGTCGCCGATGTCACCGCAGATGTCGATGACAGCGTTCTTACGACGGCGTCTACTATGACGACAGCTTCTAAGGGATCCAAAAAGACGACGAAAGGAAAGAAGGCAACGACTGCAACGCGTGCCAGGAAAACCCGCACAAAGAAGGACGAAGCCGTTGAAGTACAGGAGGATGGCCCCGAGCAGGAGGCGGCCCCAGCCCCTCCATCCCCCGCGAAACCTGCAAGAGGCCGCAAGAGATCCAGCGAGGAGGTGGAAGATTCAATGCTGACCACCGCCGAGGCACCTGCTCCCAAGAGACAAGCCACAAAGACGCGCAAGGCCCGCGGTAGCAACGCGACTGAGGCGTCCTCGGTCGACACGGACATGGTCGATGCTTCAGTGCCATCCAAGAAGCCTGCAGCCAAGAAGACGAGGAAGGCATCTGGTACGCGGAAGGCATCCGGAACTCAACCTGCTCGGAGATTATCGACTGCTTCAACGGATTCTGCTGCGCCAACAGGTGTACCAAATGACGACGAGATCGATCGACAACTGCAGGCTGACCTGGAGCGACCACTTTCGGATGATGAAGACGTCCTGGCCGACCCGGACACAAAGAAGGCTGCTGCTTCTCGCATGAAGCAGGAAGTCAAGGAAGTTTCCAACCAGGATGAGCTTTTGACTCGCACTGCAACGGCTGATTTCGCCATGTTTGATCCTGCACCGGCCCAGCCAACCGATGCACAGATTGATGCAGATTTGAAGACCTTAGAGGATGAAATGGAAGTTGACCAAAAGGACGAATCAGAAGAAATGAAAGTCCCCAAGAAAGGCCGCAAGGCTGGCACGCGAAAGGTGTCAAAACAAACTGCCGCTAAGAAAACCAAGGAGCCCGCCCAGCCAATGCTCGCCGAGCCGCCACAACCACGAATGGACGCAGAAGCAGAAGAGCCTGACGAGCTTGCAGATGCCGACGTTAGCTTTGGGAGCAACGGCACTGTCGTCAGAAAGTCCTTGGGCAGGACGTCGCTGGGCAGGACCTCCCTCGGCAGTGTGACAAGCACCACGAGCACCAAGAGCACAGCGAAACGTGGCCGTCCAGCAAAGAAGTCGAAGCTGTCAGAGATTGTGGGGAATGATGAGTCCACTCCAGTTCCTGCTGCTTTGGAAGCTGCCACGATACCTGCTGCAAACTCCTTGGATGTTGAGACAGCAGGCCCCGCCCCAGCCCCGGTTGAAGGCACGAAGAAGCGGATAAGCACCGGCAAACGCGGCCGACCTCCCAAGAACCCGAAGGCCTCAGTTGCTGCACCTGAGATACCAGCTTCTATCCAAGCAGCGGACGAGGCTAAGCCACGAAATGTTCAAACCGAGGTGCACATTGAGTCGGCGACGATACAAGAGAGCTTTTCTGCAGCAGTCGGCAGTCCTCGGGTAGCCCGGAAACCAGTCCCACCCCCCAAGGACTCGCCATTTGCGATACGCAAAGATGAGCCTACTGGCTCGGATTCTGCTTCCAGTCTCCTTGCCATTCCTCCAAAAACGCCTCGCCACCAGGCTTCTCCTGCCCAGTCAGCCAAACAAGCCACCATCTCGCCATCTCCCTCCCCTCAAGCGTCAGATGCAGAGAATCGACCTCCTTCCTCGAAACCTAACACTGCCAGCAGCAAGACCAATCGTATGCCAGTTGTCACTTTTCCCGTCATAGGCACGCCTACGCGTCAAATGTCACCTTCTAAACAGCTCTCGCCTTCAAAACAAAACGTTATCGGCAGTCTGCAGAGCGTAGAGCCCTGGACGGCAATTGATCTGGATTCCATCTTTGAGGATTACCACAATGATCAGCAGGATGTGGATGGCGCAGCGGACCGCTTTTTTTCCAAAGGCGGCGAGCTTTCGGAGCAAGAGCGCAACATGACTGTAGAGGAGTGGATTTACTACAACGCGAGCCAAGCTGAGCAGAAACTCAAGCTCGAGTGTGAAACCATGGTGATGGCGTTTGAGAAAGAGGGGACAAGGGCCATGAAGGTCCTTGAGGGCTTGGTCGTCGCTGAATAAGATAGAGCACTGCTCTCCTTGGAAGACCTGGTTGATGTGACTTTGTTGGATTAACAAGATGTTGGATTTCTTAATTGGTGTTGAAGCGCGGAGCTTCAAAAGAATGGTGTTATTGGCGCAGGTGAATAATGTTGACGTTATACTGGGACCGGCGAAATGGAGAGGTCGAGAACGGGTGTGAACCTGATGGTACAGCCCGGTCTCTAACTTGAACCCTCTTGCCCCTGGCCCTCATACAGCAGCTATGGGGGATGGCTTGGCGATTTGAAATGGGCGGATCTGGTGCGGAATAGATTGAGCTCTTCTGGGTTTGTCGTTGGGCAACGAAAGTTAAGGTGATCGTCGAATCCGGACTCCAGCCACACGGCTTGAGCTCTTTTGTGTGTGGCCACGCGCAATCAAGGTGCTCGCCGTTGTTCTCCGGCTATTGGTTGATTGGGATGCTCGCTATTATTGTTTGGTCAGGCTGTTTGGGTGGATTTGAGCATTGCATGGCACTGGCGTTGATTGATTCCACGCATGTTTCTCCATGTTGTTATCGTCGAGAGGAAGACTTGACTTGACTGTTGCCGCTTCAAGTAGGCGAATGAAATTTGGTTCCAGCCCGTACTCGTCTGTGCCTCTTTCTCAGTGTTTCAAGCTCCCTTTTGCTTGCTTGCATCTTCCAGTGAGCTCGTAGGGATGAAGACATCGGATGTGGACGCAGGTCTGCCAGCAACTTAGACGGAGGATATCAAACACCTTGTCACGGGGCTATATAAAGACCTATAGTTGTAAATTGTTCTTTCGCAAGGAGAGGAAAACCAAGAGACAGCAAACTTCTTGACACATCAAGAGAAGGAAGCCATATTCTCGGGTAATTGCAAGGCGGTCTTGGGTGAGATCTCGTAGTTGCTTAGGTTGGTAAGAAGCTCGTTAACCTTTTCAGAGCACTTGACTGATTTTTTATATTTCAAGGTATCGAGTGAATCAATTGGTCTGGTTTATATAACACAAATCCTGTACAGCTATTATCTGTGTACGTGCCTTTTCCATTCATGTTTTGTTTGTGCTTCATATACTTTAGCGCTACCACTTCCTGAGCGGTTCAAAATGGTGTAAATATTGGGTGCTTAATGTAGTCAGTAGTGATGCGGTGCAATGTTAAGTGTGCCTGCCATGAAACCCAGCAGCACCGCGTATCCGCTCAACGGTAATGGGCTTGGGGTGAGGAATGTAAGTGACGATTAGAACAACACTGAATATAATGCACATAAGAGGAAGAGGCCAAGGAGTCTCCGCCAATTTGTTTGTCTTGCCCTTGGCGAGCAGCGTGACAAGACAGAGTCCAATTCCCATCAGTCCTATTGTAACCGAACGCATGATGTTGAATACAGTCCATCCCTGCCTCTTCGAGACACCATGAAGAATAGTGAGAAGCATGAGCATGACACCAGCTGACAGGAAGGCGTAAATGAACTGAAAATTGTGTCAGCGCTTAATGAATCGGAAAGCGTTGATTCCATTGCTAAGAAATCTTACCACAAGATTGAATTTCTTCGAGATGTAGCTTGCAACAGGCATAGTGGACATGCGGTCGCGCTTGATGCCGTCCATTCCGAAATTGCTCAGTACTGAGTTCATGACAGAACATAAGAGGTCCTCCCTGTCAATGAGCCAGTGTTCCGTAAGTGTTATGTTCCCGCCTGGTAGTCCATTTCTGTTGACAGGCGTGCCACCGTTCCGCAGGATCTGGCCCCACAGCTCATCTGGGAGTAGTGAGATATCATTAAGCATCGCCATAACCTTAGACAAGATCACTGCCTGATTCTTAGTGGCGGGGAAAGCCTCGAGGTAGCCTGTGACAGTGGAGTTTAGACGACTAGCGACATCGACACTGGTAGGTACGTCAGGCAAGAAAGACCGCACGACGGCGTATATGGCGTCAGTAACCTGACTGTTGATTTCTAAGAGCTTCCAGTTGATTATGAATTTGTTCACGGCAACCATTACTATAAGGAGGGCAAAGTGGAACGGCGCGTGAAGCATTGCCCAGAGTAGCTGGCGGCGGCAAGCCATGTGATTAGGATGCATCCAGTCGAAATAGATCTGGAAAATCAGGTAAATAGCCACGAATCCGGATACGAAGACAGCCCACATGGACGTGGCTGGAGTTATCTGCGTGTCAGCTGAACAGAATCTGCTCAATGGAGTACTGCTGGGCATCGGGACTTACTCCACTCGTGCCATCCTAACGTAGCTTCTATTGTCGAAACATTTTTTGCAAGCTTGATGATGCCTAAAATGTACTGTCAGAGATTTAAATCTTCTTTTCCTGTGAAGCTTTTCATAGAAATTCAAGACTCACCTTCGCCGAGGATAATGAGCGTTAGGAGGTTGAGCCGTTCCGCCAAATGCGACCCTTCGAAGCTGACGACCTTGTAGTTGCGGACCGTAGATATGGCTAAGTTGCCCACAATCTCTAATATGGATATGACGAAGAGTATATCGTGTGTCATGTACTTGTCTGAAGCACTGGCAGCTGCCAGTATTCCAGCATAGCAAATGGCCGCGACGAGAGGAATCGACACTGTTATGATCATTGGCAGTCGTGCTTTCTTGTAATGTCGTAGATGCCACAGAATGATGCCATTCTGTGCGAAGAGGACCAATCTCGAGAGCATCAGTGTCGCGGCTGGTACCTCATTAATTTACTGGAAGATGCTACAGGCTCGGCTGGGAGTAGGCTCACCCAAAGCTTTTGAAACACCCGTCATCTTGTGCAAAGCGTTGAAGAACGGGGCGACCTCAGTGAAAGATATCATTGCCGCAAGGTGAAGGGCCAAAACAATCCGTTCTAAATTATGAAATCCCTATCAGCAGAGTTCTCCCAGACTGAGTTCTGAAGCATTTGTAACATCTACTAACCTGTCCAGCTGTCCGAGAGGAACCTCACGTCATAGATGACCACTAGAAACCAAGTCGTCCACAGGAGACTGAAAGTACGGTCAGATCTCGCCTGCCTCAGCTACTGATTTAAATTTTCTTCCTGCACTCACAATTCGAATTCAATATACGAAGCTAGGTCTTTCATCTCCGTGATTTCGTGGGTCTACGTAATGTTTAATTAGCGACGAACTCATTTGATCCGATCAGAGGTCACCAAGTCTCCACACCTTGAGCGGAACGAGTTGAGGAAAACCATACCGATGCGAAGATATTGAGCGTGGCCACAAACCAGAGATCGAAAAATAGTTCCAACAATGTCGCGCTTTCTCTCTGTGATGATATGTTACCATCTTCGCCTGATCTAGGCACTAATTGAGCATGCTGACAAGATTGAGTCTGAGCACATCATACCTTAACGATTTCCGGCTGCGACTCAAGATAAATGGACATATCATCTATTTCTGAGTCCCGCACTGAATGGATGATAGAGCCATGGTCATCTTTAGAATCTCCATGAGCCTCGACAGGGCTAACATGCTCCTCGTCCTTTGAGTCAGGCGCATCTAACTTGAGCATCAAGCGCAGCTTGTGTGTATGGTACGCGAATGTCGACATCCGCGTCAGATTCTTCCGGGAATCTGGACTGGGCCGGCCAGCGTCGTTAACTAGGTGATTAGACGGCATTTTCTCGATTCAATAAAGACTACTTGATAAAATGGAAGCTGCAGAATCGAAAGAGGTGTCAAGAAATGCGTGCCTGGAATTATTCTAAATCGAGTCTCGGTCCGTTGTGTTTGGCGACCATCTTATGAACAGCCAAGAAGGCATCGAATATTGCTGAATCTTATGTAGTTCTTGATTGCATTCAGGTTCAGGCATGCCCTGCCGACGGCCATCCAGTTCCTTGTTGGATCCTCACTGCCGCCGGCGATCCCCTCGTTTTTCAGTGATTTGGGTTCTGCGCATCGTTCTTGGCCATAAACTCCCGCCCATTGCGTCGTCACTTTCTGATCTGTCTTCCCACTCGTCGTCTGCCAAGCGGCAGGCTATCTATCTCATCAAAATGGCAAGATGCTTGGCAGCAGACAGTGAGGAGGCATTTGCCCCTGAATCCAAGTGGCTGATGCAGACTTAAACCAGTCCTGAAAAGGCCAACTCTAGCACGTGGAAGATTGAAAAGCGCTGGCATCTTCAATATTCCGTTCGGAATAATTTACAAAATATGGCACTTGGAAGGCACTTGGGAGGCCTTGACTGGTCAAATTGTCTGGGAAGCCCCGGGTTATCCAATTTATGCAGTGAATGAATTATAGCGGATAGTTTGAGAAGCCAGTAAAAAGGGGCCCAGGAACATTGTCACATTCGGTGAGGATCCTGTTCGTGCCGCGTAGCCGGGGCAGTTGCTGAGAGCTCGAGATCATGGCGATCGAAGACATGACGCGGCGCTGCTGGGGTTGGGGCCGTCTGGCCATTATGATGCTGCCTCGATCCAACAAGCTTCTCTTGACTTGGATCGTCCGAAGTTCCAACACAATGTGCACTTTGCCACCTGGTTAAATCCCCGACATACCATCCGATGTTAGCGGTACATGCGGCGAGCACGGGTAACGCAGATCCGCGGGCCGAGCGGAGTAGATATAAGCGCGACCGCCTCAAACTCAATCTAGTGACCGTGATAGTATGACTACGCGAAGTAACTTGTCAAATCATCTCGATCAAAGTAGCAGGAATACCAACTACGCCAAGACCATGCCTCTGACCAGTGATATGCATGCAGTAGGAGACTTGCCGTCTGAGCGATCGGACACAACTTCGTCCATGACTTAAGGTGATTATGTAGTACTCCAATTATATATCTCGAATAATAGAGCGCAGTGCAGATATATCAGTTTATATGAAGATTGGACCTACCCGAACAGAGATCGCGGTGTCAAACTTTCGTCACCACTGTTTGTTTGCAGCCCAAGCCTTACAGTATTTTGCCTCTCCAAGAATAGTATCATTTGCAAAGTGTTACCCGAGATGCCCCCCCCCCCCGGCAAGCACGGTCCAGACCAAGACAGTCAGAGGTATATTAGATACACGGGAGTGCTAAACTCCCCGTGCCAATTAAAGAGGTGATCCTTGGCACCTGTTGAATTTTGTACGGGGACAGCTCGATACGCGTAGACATTTAGAGGAGATCTAGACCGTCATGAAAAACTGTCTCGTCATATACTTGGACCCGCACTACCTGAATGGCATCGGGCCGTATAGTATCTTACCACCCGGCGCCGGTGGCCAGAGAACATGTAACAAGTCAACTTCAGAGGCATACAAGCGTCGAGTGTAGAATCGGCTAGATCGGCATGGAGAGCAGTCATAACTGGACCTCAATCTATATCATGAAGTGCTAGATATAGTGGCGAATTAATCGAAATCAATCGAGCTTTCAGATCTGTGTCAGACGCGATGTGATGCCTCATTGCAGTCACTGGTGTCTTCAGTTTAATAATCGACTCATGCCAGTCAATTATCGCTCCATAGTCATGCTAAGAAGACCAGCCGGCCTATCCAGCGATGCAACTCAGACGGCCAACAGCGCATGCTTCAGTCTGACCACTGCGTGATTGTGTTGACAGTAGAGCATGTAAATTGATCTGTGTTCTTGCCAGCCGGATAAATGTGATCATCGCTGTTCTGCACCACATGGGCGAAAGAGGCCGGCTTTCCTGTTGTAAAACGGTCAGGTCCGAGCTGCTCAAGAAAATACTGACAGAGCTCAGGTACTCGGCATGTGTGGCCCGTTTGGCACCTCTCCAAGACTGTCACATCTCCTGAATAAGAAGCACCCAGGACGTCAATCAATTGACGACCGGGTTTGAGTGCGGGAACTTGGGGTACTGTGCTGCTCGTAGGTTCATTTGACGACTCATTATTGGTACTGTTTGATGCGATGGGAAGTCAAGTCCTCCGTTTCACACACATATATGAGCAATTCAGGTCTGCTTGCGCGAGCTGGACCATTATGATGATTCGACCTACCCAGTGTTCACTTAAGAAATTCATATTTAACCAAGGGGGGCCCTCAAAGCCCAGGGAGAATACCCAGACAATGGGATGACACATGCAGACTTCAATTTGACTAATTTTTGTGAATGAGCATTGGAAAGGTGAGACTCAAGAAAAGGGAATGCAAAAGTAAGAAAGATGTCCGAACAGAAATATTAACGCAAATGATCGCATGCTACTTCAACCGGTCTTGACACCTGGTGCAATCACAAGACTATCAGAATAATCGGCTGAGTTACTGCTAAACTCTGAAACATGTTCTAAACTAAGCTATTTGGGTTTCACATGGAGTATATTCAATTTGACAACTGTGAATCTTCGAGCCGCGTAGGCCATTGCTTCAACCCTGGCTTTTGTGCATCATGCAAATTTTGAGGGGCAAAACGATGCTATAGTAGTCTTTTTCGGCTTCTGATTCTATCTTTAGGCAAATTATTCGCGTTCTAGTCTCAGAGAAAAGGAGCAGCAGGCGAGAAAAGCAGCAGGCTAAGTATAAAAGAGAAAAAAAAGTTATACAAATTAGAGACCAAGTAGTCATCGCTAAGCGGAGTTTAGCTAGGACGAGTGAAGCTGGTAACCGATTTTCCAAATGAGGAAATCACTGTCATAAGGTCAGCGCCCATTTAGCAACTTAAAAGTGTGTCACCAAGACCGTCCAATTCATCCCTTGCCAGCGATCTTCTCTACATCCCAAGAGTCAGCTATGTGGCATTGTGCTCGTCATCCCTACTGTGTTACGTGTCCCGGATGGTCACAGTCTAGTCCGAATGTCAAGCGCAGCTGGGCTTTCCCTCGTAGAAGAGAACAGACAGATCCACCAGATCGATGAGAATTCGGAACAAGCAAGAACGATACGAAGCTAGAGAGCTTGCAAGGGGAAGCCCAGAAAATGGGCAAAGCGCGGGTAAATGTGTGCGCTGGAAAGGAGGAAATGACGTGAAGGGCATCTCAGACGACGTGACGCGAAGACGAGGCAGCATTATTCTTATCCAGGCATGCTAATTCATGGAAAATTCAAATCGCGCTTGGACTATTTACACCCCCGGATCAGCATGTGCGATGGCGAGTCTTGTTCAGACCCTTGAATGACTTTGTGGACATGCTGAGTATGTGATAAACTTGAGAAAGTACATTTTGCCGAAATTCTGGCGAGCTTGGGGGCAAACGTGGCGTAATTGCCACCTGGTGTGTTGCCTTGAAGGCACGTCTGCAGGGGGAAATATCATACTATTCTTCTGTAAAGTGACACGATTCTATTCTTGAAGTTGATCTCCATGAGAAAGTAGAATCAAGGATCTTGGTGGAGACTCATTTCGATTCATAACATGTTCAAGGCTCATAATTCAGTATCGTGAATTTTGACTATTGCTTTACTGTTAGTAGGCTCTACTTATCGCAGAAATCCGTCTGACGTGTATCGCATGTTTGAGCCGCAAGTTTGACGCGCTACTTAGCTTAATTTCTGGATCCTCACATGTTAATACACACGAGTCTAGGCCGATCTTCAACGGTGTCCGTGTCTCACAGCAAGCCGGTGGGTCCATGTTCTGGAAGCCTGGGGATCGTCGATGACCTAGACTTCATCCCGCCCACGATCTTCTAGGCATTTATTGCTTAGTTATGAATGGATCTGGTCTAAGCGCGAGCATATTATCCAAAGCACAGATTTGATATCGTGGCACCGTCCCTGGCTTCATGCACAAGAAATTATGCATGCAGGAACCCATAGTGTTAATAGAGCTACCGAAGATCCGAGCACATGGATAATAATTTGCAGCAGCGGCCGTGACTTTCGATATGTCCCATTTTCAACTCTCGGCTCCGAAGTCCGACAGGTTGCAAGACTAGGGTGAAATCTTGAAATCAAGGCCATTGACTTTGAGTCTCAACGAGATGACATCACAGAGATATAACGTCAGCAAAGCAGACGCGTTTTCTGGCACCGACTATCATTGCCTATTCCTAGCGCGAGGCAACGTTGTGCTGCCCATGGCAAAAGAGGAAGGTGTCCAGGGCATGTATGGCTGGGTCAGATGAGATGCGACGCAAGCGAAGCTTGAACGGCATTGGTATTCGGGTGCAGTATGTCGGTCATGCCCTGGCACCTTGGCGCCAGCAACACAAGCTTTTGACAAGGGATCTTGGCGATTTCCCCAGGCCGTTAGCTTCCAGACAAGCATTAGATGAACGCTTGTCAAGACCGATCGGCACATAGTAGTGCCTGGGCAAAATGGTGAAGTGCCGCGCGGCCTGCGTCTGGCGCTATTCCGAGTTGTCCAGGAGGGGAGGATTGCCAAGGCTCGCTTCTTCTCCAGCGAGGTCTATGCTGCTGCTCAAGTCATGATCCGGCCTCTAACCTTTCAATGAGCTGCCCCAGGGACCGTGATGTTGCCGGGTCTCTCAATTTTGACGAGATATGGCATCACGTCAAAGTCTTACGAGAATAAAACAACCTGTATATGCACTGCCAAATCACGCACTTGATAGCGAATAAGTCGACTGCCCTGACGAAAGTCGCCTCCTGGCCATTCATAGGACGTGTTGATAACACTAGAGGAAGAAGCCCCTCTCTGTTTCCCTGCCAATGGCCTGCTGTGTGGTATCTGGATGTTCCCGAGAATCTAGGCGTTGCGAGGTCCACACTTCAGCAGTACGTCCCTCGGCCACCACCACCTCGAATGCTCCCACCTCCCGGGCCCCGCCCGGCCGTTAGACCCCAGTCTTGGCTAGATCTGCCGGCCGAGTTCGGGATTAACTTGTTGATTGGTGGACATGACTGCCTTCTGAACGCAGGCATGTTGCGGTGCCACATGGAGTTCCGATATCTGATATCTTATACTACGGCTCATTGGACCGACGACGTTGATCTTCAATCTTCTTGGTCCACACACTTTAAGCTTGATATAAGCTTGGCGGGATGGCGAGAGTGCTTTCGACATCCCTGCCAACCGCCCTGTCGACACCAGCTGACCGGACAGAGACTCTACCCTAGAAATTGTTTGTTCTTTTTGAATCGGGAAGGTGGTAGTAGACCCTTCCCACACTGCTGTGGCACCATATGGGGCAAGATAGCCTCATTCGATATCTCTATGGTCTCGTATTGTCGTGTCGCAGCCCGGGTCGCCGCCGCCGGACCCCGTGAGGAATATGTAGAGATGTTGACTGCAACTGCACGTCAGTCATGCAGGTTTTTGATCATGAGAAGTTCAAGTATAAAGATGTGGTAATGTCCTCGTCGTAGATACCGTCTGCCTCTCATCACCAGCGGCCTTTGAGCATCTACCAGATCCACGACTAGCTGTTGCCCCCTCGTCTTCCTCTTTGTACCAATCGGAACGAACCCGTGACCACCTTCAAAATGAAGTTCTCCGCCCTTGCTACCATTGCCCTTGGCGCTGAGGTTGCTCTTGCTGCCCGCTGGACTGAGAAGCGTCGTGAGCGCCACGCTGCCCGTGCGGCGAACCGCCAGAGCAACCCGCCTCTTCCCGCCACTGATGCCGACGGTCTTCAGGTGGCCGAGGCCTTCACCAACGGGACTGTTAATGAGGAGTACTCCTCCAACTGGGCTGGAGCCGTTCTTATTGGCACTGGCTACAAGTCGGTCACGGGCACGTTCGTCGTGCCAACTCCCTCAAAGCCTTCCGGAGGCAGCTCCAGCACTGAGGTTAGTGAACGATCCTCGAAAACTGCCCGATGAGGCTCTGCTGTCATTGGAAACGATGGTGCGGTGAGAAAGTTTTGGAGCGAAACATATTAATTTGTCGCAATATAGTATGCTGCCTCAGCCTGGGTTGGCATCGATGGAGATACCGCTACAAACAGCATTCTCCAGACCGGAGTCGACTTCTACGTGCAGGGTAGTTCGATCTCTTTCGACGCCTGGTACGAGTGGTACCCCGACTATGCGTAAGTTGCCCCATCATCCCCCGAGCCTGTTCTGAGACGCGCTGTGAAGCTAATAAGGAAACAGTTATACCTTCAGCGGAATCACCATTTCAGCTGGTGACACTATCACCGTGACTGTCACAGCCACCTCAACCACCGCTGGAACCGCTGTGGTTAAGAACGTGTCCAAGGGCACCTCTGTCACTCACACTTTCAGCGGCCAGACCAAAGCTCTGCAGGAGCTCAACGCCGAGTGGATCGTGGAGGACTTCTCCTCTGGCGGTTCTCTCGTTCCCTTTGCCGACTTCGGCACTGTGACCTTCACTGGAGCTTCTGCCAGCGGATCTTCGGGCACCGTGGGTCCCTCCGGCGCGACTCTCATCGACATCAAGCAGAGCAACAAGGTCCTGACCAGCTCCTCTGTCTCGGGCTCCTCTGTCACAGTCGAGTACATCGGCTAGACTAGCCAGGTACTGTTCGTACAGTTGATACGCTTCTGTATCTGAGATCGCCCGAGGAAGGATGAACTGCGGCCGAAAAGGCTGCTGTAGGGAAACACGTCGGAGTAGCAGGGGTTTGAAGGTTGCTGAAGTATTTTATATTCTCATCAGCTAGGTCTGGCCAAAGCAGTACCTAGCAATTTTTGGAATAGACAACGAATCCAACCCGCTGCTTCTTGAACTATGTCTCTGTGCAGGCGTGAAAAACTTGACAGAAAAATTAGTGCTTGTAGTTGCAGGAAATGTGAAGACGAGTACTTTAGGCCAGTTTTGACACGAGGAAGAATACCGATAGAGTCGGCTCCGGGCCGTTCCACCACCGAATGGCCGAAGCTGAATGCCGACCCCACTGAAGGGCCGTTAGTCTCCCGGGGGCATACAGTGGACCTCGGCTCCCAACCACCGTCTCTGCGATCTCGGCCGGTGGAGGGACTGACTGGCTTCTAAGTCCTGGGCATCAATTGAATTCTCAAAGCAAATTCAAAGATGACTTCCATCAATATGTCAAACATGCTGCGGACATGCAAAGGTGCGAGACCATGCCTGTCTCAAGTGTCGAGTGTCGGCAGGTTTCACTCCGGTCTCCCTCGTTGCTCCTCGACAGCTGCCGGCTTGCTGCCTCTCCAAGGTTACCGAGTGCTTGACATGACACGTGTGTTGGCAGGCGTGAGTTTTCCTTCGCGCGTCGAGTGTCCTTCACTTTGCTGATTGAATATGATACATAGCCTTACTGTACCCAGATTCTCGGTGACCTTGGGTAAGACCGTCTCCAAACGATCTCTCCGAGACTTCGTGCGACAACTTCCGGTCCGTAGATGCTGAGCCTATCTAGTGCTGAGGTCATCAAGATCGAGCATCCAGTCCGCGGTGACGACACGAGGGCCTGGGGCCCGCCGTACGCAAAGTACGGGCATGACTCTAAACACCAAGGGCCCGGCGAGTCGGCTTACTTTCTAGGTGTGAGCGATTGACTGCCTGGATGTGGTGAATCATCAGGGGCTAACCAGAACAAGGTAAATCGGAATAAGAAATCATTGGGTTTGTCCTTCCAGGACCCTGCAGGTGTCGACATCCTCCACAAGCTGGCAGCCAAGTGCGATATCCTCGTCGAGAACTATATCCCTGGAGCCTTGAGGAAGTACGGTCTGGACTTCGACACCATCCACAAAATCAACCCGGCACTGATCTATGCCTCCATCACCGGATACGGACAGAATGGCCCTTATTCGCAGCGAGCAGGCTACGATGTCATGGTGGAGGCGGAATTCGCCCTGATGCACATCACCGGAGCCCGTGATGGGCCCCCGGTCAAGGTTGGTGTTGCTGTTACTGATCTGACCACCGGTCTATACACGAGCAACTCCATCATGGCTGCCCTTCTCGGCCGTCAGAAGTCTGGCAAGGGGCAGCATCTGGATGTCGCCCTAAGCGACTGTCAGACTGCCACTTTGGCCAATATTGCCAGTAGTTGCCTTATCAGTGGCGAGAAAGATACGGGTCGATGGGGCACAGCACATCGTGAGTTCAAGGTCTTCCACAGCGTCCTTTGTCTCCGTTCGAGCTGACCCGAGTAGCATCCATTGTCCCGTACAAGGCATTCAAGACGAAGGATGGCGATGTGCTCTTTGGAGGCGGAAATGACCGGTTGTTTGGTATCCTGTGTGACGGCCTGGGTAAGCCAGAGTGGAAAGATGACCCCAAATTCAAGATCAACTCGCAGAGAGTTGCGAATAGAGACGAACTCGAGGCGGAGATCGAGAAGATTTCAACCCAAAAAACTACACAAGAGTGGCTGGATGTCTTTGAAGGGAGTGGCATGCCCTATGCCGCGGTCAATGACATCCAAGGGACGCTAAGCCATGAGCACACGCTCGCGCGGAATATGGTGATAGAGGTTGACCATGAGGACTGCGGTCCTATCAAGCTAGTAAACACCCCGATGAAGTTCTCTGAGAGCAAGCCTGGACTCAGGAGCCCGCCGCCAACTCTGGGACAGCACACTGACGAAGTGCTGCGTGAGCATCTTGGCTTTAATGAAGCCCAGATAAGTAGCTTGAGGGAAAAGGGTGTGGTCAATTGAGGTCCAATGTCTGTCGAGGAAACAGAAATCGGTCTGTTAGATCCTTCATGCATTTCAATATACACTTTAGAGCTCTGTAATGGCGAATTCCTGTGAATCGATGGTCTCAAGAGTAGCCTCCCACAATCGGCTTCGACTCTCTGATGAAGGTGGCTGCCATTGCTTTAGAACGGCGACAGTCAGGGCCAAAGTAGTCACCGTTGGAGTTAAATTGAAATAAATGCGCGTTATAATCAAATTTGACAGCTTCGGTCCATAGGTAGTGAATGAACATCGGGTGGAAGCAAAGGTTTGGACGGGGGTCGATTTCCACGTGATCTGCACGTGCTTTTTGACGTCGTACCACGCCTCGATCAAACTCACTTGCAAAGCTTCCCTTTCAAGGCGCAACATAACACTTACAGACCCAACTCAACCATGAAAGGATGAATGACCACAATTCGGCGACAGGCGCCTCGGCGCCAATGGAAGGCAATGATGATGGCAAAGTCATACCACCCGCGTCAGCAGCAGCAAACCCGTCTCCTGCGCCTGCCTCGCGCTCGTCCTCCCCGTATGTGAGCGAAGCCTCCAGGAAGTTCTCGTCACCATATACTCCCCAGTTCTCGCCTGCGACACAGATGATATTGAAACGGATGCGCGGCGAATCTGGTGGGCTGAGTTCCGCCCTGGCGTCCGCAACGGCGCCCGACGCGCCAAGACCCAACTTCCCACGACCGATCTACGAGAGTGTCAGAGAGCGCATCGTTGCGAGCATGACAAGTGGTAGCACGATGTCCTTGCCAGCGCCGCCGTCTTCTCCGAACACCACAACAGCCAGCACTCTGCGCCTACCAGTGAAACCCGCCTTGATGAGTGGCTCAAACGGCAAACCATCATTATCAGGTGGCCAGAAGCGCAAACGAGGTCATGGTGATGGGAGCACTAGTGATGCGTCTTCACCAGCTGAGGGTTCTGATTACGGAGAGGGCATCAAGAAGGCGAAACCAAAGCAGGCAGCCACTCCTCAGATCACACAGTCAGGGAGGCGCATCCTCAAGCCCGATACGTATGATCCTGCGGCGGAGGATAATGCAAAAAAGAATGCACGCTTGGTCAAGCGTACGACTGAGCAGGCTCTCTGCAAGAGGTGTACACGTATGCACAGCCCGGCTAGCAACCAAATGGTGTTTTGTGACGGGTGCAACGATCCATGGCATCAGCGATGTCACGATCCGTGGATTGAGGACGAAATCATCAAGGACCAGACCCTGAAGTGGTATTGCGTCATCTGTCAGGCGAGAAGAGAGCGGCTGCAGCCCAAGAAGAAGGTCGAGCAGCCTAGATTTGGTAGCTGGGCTGGCAGACCAGCATCGCAGGTGAGCCCCTTACTGTCCTATAGCTCCTTCAGACTTTTCATGCTCATGTGAATGGACTAGAAACGAGCCTATCTTTCAGCACTTTCTCCAGACGACTTGGTCAACCTGCTACTACACGCCACCGAACTGCATCCCGACCTACCGATTTTCCCAATCGAGTCCACTTCCACGCCAAAGAAGTCACCAGCAGGCAGCACACCGCGGTCCCTATTCGCAGGCGTCTCAGCAGGTGGCCTATTTCACCGTGCCGAGGCGAATCCCACCGGAACCCTGAATTTCATTCGCAAGATCCCAGCCAACGCAAAAAAGTCGACACTCGCCAAAGCTCGGTCGGGCACCGGCTCCCTGCAGAGCAAAACGGCCGCACAGGCCAATGCTCTCGCGGCCGGACACCAGGTCTACGACGAAGAGGAATCATCGTTCACGAGGCTGTGGCCCAGGCCGGGTAAGGGCATGTACAGCCGGCTGCCGCCTGAGGCGGACGATGATCGGGGCTTGACGGACGACAATGACCACGCTGCATTCAGTGTGATTATCTTTAATGAGAAAGGCAGTACGTCACGATCTTACTCGAAACTTTCTTACAATCCAGAGACTTTTCCCCATGAATCCAAGTCTCATTTGGGCATGTTTCTGTGATAGCTAGCTTGATAAATTTGCTGACGCACACGCGAACAGAGAAAATTGAGGAGAACGGGGTCAAAGTCTAGAGGACCATTCCGAAGATCATTTTGAAGACCAAGAAAAATCGTTGACCTGTCGGTCAATTGAAGCATTTGCGCGTTTAGTTAGCCAAGCGCCGTAGGCTTGACTGGTTTACCAAGGCGATTGAGCTTTCACCCTGTTTCAGAGGGTGGTGGTATTAGCATTAAGCATATATGTAAATAATCATAATTGCCCAGGGCCCTATGAGATCATGGCTTCAAGTCTTCCTGTGCAACATCTTTGACTACACCTTCAGCTTCCAAGGTGTCCTCTGTGGCAGTGCTTGCCCTCCTACTTGTCACAGCGCTGACGGTCCGGCTCTCTGGATTTCTCGTGGGTGCTGCCTGGGATGATGACTCCCCTGATGTCGAAGACGTCCCACTTCTACTCATCACATCTAGTTGCGCGCTATTCTTTTCACCCGAGTGAATCTCTCCCAAAGCAATTGTCGCCTCCGTTTCATGGCCGCGCTCAAGCTGGGAAGGCGTCCGTAGGTGGCTTGCCCGTGTACGTGGCGCTGAAAGGGGGTTCGGGCCTTGGACAACGGCACTACCCGTTGAAATCCTGCGCTGAGGTCTACCCAGAGTATGTCGGTGAATGCTTGTGTGTAGCAGGTCCCATATACCAAGCACCCATAGGAAAAGGTACACGACGGGGTCAGAGAATCCAGAGGCCATCCCCCAATATGAATAACCACGTGGGAAGACCTCCCGGAAGCCGACATATACCAAGAACATCGCAATATATCCCAGCCCGGATAGTAAGCGAAGAACTAGGGCCCAGGCTTGCCATTTTTTCTTGGCCCTTGCGACGGAATAGATGTCGAGACAAATGTCGATAGCAACGAGGGCAGTGAGAGCGATAGCTTGCGGTCTGTTCGTAGAGGGTCAATTTGTCAGTTTGTCCGGTCCAAGTCCAATGCCGTTCCGCGACCACTCAACTAGATCTTCAACAAACCTTTGATTCCGACCCCTATGTCTGTAAAGGAACTCTGCCATGATCGAGAGCAGTAACGAGCATGCAGCGGCATGCGCCACAGCGTTGACAAGCCTCAAAGCAGTCTTCGCCCAGCGGCGCTCGTAGATGTCAGACCAGCTCCTGCCGCCTCTCTCGCGGATCGACGTCTCGTATGTCGACTGCGCAGGTGTGTATTCCTCCATTGGGGCCTCTATAAAGACCGACATCCGGCTGTTCGCCGTCGGCGGCGGTCGCGTGTCGCGTGTGGTCGACGCGAATGGTGCCATGCTGCCGTTCTAAACCTTCTGCTCGCCCCTCGAAACTTGACGTGTCGGTCTGCGCCGCTCCTGATCCTCGCCCAGCGTGGAGGTGCCCCAAACTTGAGACATGCAGCTTGTTTCCTTTCAAAGGCCCAAGGGCCCCCTTCGAGTGCGCGCGAGTCGAGCCGACACAGGGAGAGAAGCTGGCCTCGTGCCGTTGTCTACGCTGCGTAAGGACCAGTTCACTTCTCAAATAGTTCACGAAAGACGACCAAGAGCCAGCGAGCCCGGTCCAAGAGGTCTTGAAGGACCCAACTGTTCAGGGAGAAAACATTCGAGTCATGGTGCCTCTCGTGTCTTAGAGCAAGAGGCTGGGTCTGGTGGGGAGGGGCTCGTCCTTCCGGCGAGAGAGCAGCCAGATCGGGGCAGATCACCGTTAAGCCGCCATGTCACGTCTTGGCAGGGCAGGCGAGATCCTCTTGGGGTTTCGTGCCCTCTGCTGGAGCGTGTGAAAAGCCGAAGTCCCTCGTTTACAGCGGCAGATCTGGGACTAAACTGTCCCACTAGGAGTATTTGTTCTTGCAAGAAGCGTCGTAGGTTTGCAAGGTCAAGAGCCGAGGCGTTTCGAACTTGCAGCTCCCGAGCAGCCGTTGCGGTTGAGGGTGGGCGCCCAAAGCACCGCCCCAGTGGACGGTCTGGGCCTTTCCGTATCCTTGTTCAGGGTCTTCGGTGGGGGCCACTCCACCCCCACAGCAGGCCGGAATTAGGTTCCTGCAGCTGTGACGTCCAGTTCGTGCACAGGCAAGGATCCTGATGGGCTGGGATCAGGGGGCCAGCATTTTCAATTTCCAGCTTTGGACAGAATGGGGGGCACGGAACGAATGACTGGCCCACAGCCTGCTCCTGCATTAGGAATGCAAATATTGAATTCCCTTGTATCTGCCTCTCTTTGATCTCCTGATATTCTCCATTATTCTCCTCATCGCAACCTCGCTGCTCCAAGCCTGGCTCAGACTTGCCTTTTACGACTTCATTGTCTCGTAGAGCCAGATGATCGAAAGACAACGGGTTTCTGGTTGAAACAACACAATCGTCACGATATCGGTAGAGGCCCCATAACTCAGAAGTATCTGTAATGTCATCACCGCCAGGATGAGGTCAAGCTTGCTTCAAATCGCCTGCTCCTCACGATAAAAGTGTGGTCCCCTTGACCTTTCCGCTTTCCATCTTTGCAGTTCGGGAGCCAAATTGGATCTGTCAGGACTGGATCAGCACGAAGCGTTGAAACATGGGGGCATGCCTACTCACAGCCCGCTTCTTTTCAGTGGCAACCTCGCCCATGCCGAGCTCTAAAGCCAGAAGTCGCAATATCCGCTTGCCCGGTTCGACAATACCATCAAGATTGCCAAAATCGCACTTCTCCCATACAGGGGTCTTGATGGCCCACCGAACCAGCTCTTCGTCCAGATATGGGAAGCGGACCTCCTTTCCCCAGTGCGACATCACTCGATCATCTCTGCCCAGGTTTCGCTTCCCTAGTCTGCTGACATCAAGTTTGAGCTCGTCGACCAAGCCCGGGTAGCCTTGTCTTTGGTAAGCTGTTGCGTGGCGTTGATAGCCCCCGAAGAGCTCGTCGGCCCCAAGCCCTGAAAGAAGCACACGGGCGCCTGTGGTGTAGACTGCGGCCGCAGTTGTTGAGGCATCAGAGAAAGCGATGCCTTGACCCCGCGCAGCAAAATACAGAGCACTAGCTATGGAGAGGTCCATCTCCGTATTATGAGGATATATCAAAGATATTACCTGGCCTTTGTGACTTAAGTACTCGGAGTAGGGAATATTGACCTGCCAGAAAATGAGTATTGGCCTGGAAATGGATATGATTGGAAAGACGTACTGCAAGGAATTGCCAGGCCCGCCCAGGACAGACAGCTTGTAGTTTAGCGAAGGACTTCCTTCCCGTTATTCTGTCTGGGCAGGCCTCGTAAACATCAAAAGGCCCCGATTGATCTTGGCCTCTCGACTTTTGAACGTTGGCCACGACTCGGGGGTTCTCGAACGCCACATTGATCAAATCTATACCCTCATCTACGGGAAGGAGATCATGGCACATCCTCGCCACTACGGTGCAGTCCAACCCACCGGAGAACAATACAGCCACCTTTGGTGCTGTATCTTGTTTGTCAGCCCCTGGTGGCGAAGGTACATCGAGGACCCGCAACCTGAGGGAGTCCGTCAACTGCTGGCGCAGAGCATTCACCGATGGCGAGTCGGAGACTAAGCGGATGTCCTCTGCTGGCACAATTGCATTGAACCTGCCAATATTGGAGACCTATACGAGTAAGTCCCAGATTATTGTTGCGAGCACTATGTAGCACGTAGATGAGCTGCAGCGGTACACTCACAAAGTCCGCTGCGCCGGCGTCGTCCAACCAGTCCAGCCTCCTCGCCACATGAGCTCCTTCACCACTCAGATGGTGTAGATGATGAACGTTCGCCACATCTAGGACGTATATGCCGTCGGCCTCGACCTCCCTCCACTGCGGGTCGGCAGCATCTGCAACGCTGGACAGGACAACGTGTTGGCTGCCGTGGCGGATCACCATTGATCGCCTTCCGAGGCGATCGCGGCCGTAGTAGACCTTGCCCGAGGGCTTATCAAAGAACGTGAAAGCGAATGGACCATCGATAGATCGAAGTACCTGTAGGATGGCCGCCTCACGCTCTCCCAAACTGCGGCTCACGGCCTCGCTCAAAAGGGCAGCTATCGCCTCGCCGTCATTGCCAGAGACGTCATGGTGACGAATCTTCCACGCCTCGCCGTTCCAGCAGAAAACTGATCCGGTCTCAAGATCAACGAAAGGCTGCTGTGCGATGTGGTCACCACGAAGAGCAAGGACCGAGGAGGTGAAGGCGAAATGAGTCGCCGATGCGCCGTCGGCGGTACCATCGACCAGTCGCGTCTCGTATGTGGTGATGTGATCCGGTCCGCGGTTGCATAGGCATCGCCTCAGACCGGTTGTGATCTCCCCTGGCTGAGATGCGGAAATCACAGCGTGAATCCCACACATATTGCCAGAGGGTGTCAGAAGCCGGGGGGGAGAGAAGCTTGCATTTTGATGAGAAGTTCATCGCGAACGCTCTAGCTAGACCCATGCTTTGTTTTTCAGGGTTGGCAGTGGAGGTCCATCCAATTCGTGTCTCAGGGTTCGGAGCTAAATAGGAGCCCCCCCCCTGACTTCACAGAACGTTTACTGGTGTCATGCTTCGCAAAACGCTTCAAAGTATCTACTAGCGCGCTTGGTGCAGCTATGCCTCCGGGGATCGCCGTGGGACGACTCTGTAGATGAACAAACGCGAACCTTGCAGACCAAAATGCCGACGGCCGAAGCAAATGCCAGGAAACCTTTTGTTTCTGCCGAAAGAGTACTGACCATGTGTGCCTGTTCAATCAATACGAGGAGAAGAACATAACGCTTGGTCATTGACGTGACATTGTCCTGAGGCAGGCAATTGACTGCCTCATCTATCTAAGCAGGTGGGGTTTTCGAAACACGGCTTACGCCTGCTTTTCTACGTCGTTTCTAGTCCATTTCACCTTCCCGTACTTGTGCCTCACCTCATTAATATAAACATCCTCGTCCTTACCTTCAGCAACCACGTCCCTCCGGATCAACGCCCTCACGTGGCAAACAAGGACAAATAGGTACATGGCGATCAGCATTAACGTCATAGCTGTTCCCACCCATTCCACAGCTGAACTCTCAAACGCCTGGCCGATGTTGATGGTGGCTATCGTGAACCCAACATTGGGGAATATAAAGGCATACCAGCTCATTGAAAATGGCATTGCCTTCCAGCAAATGAGGCATGATGCCACGGCAATACAGAAAAACCAAAAGGCCGACGACCAGATGAAGACGGCTACCATCGTCGCCATCACTTGTAAAATCTGGCTCGTCACTTCGTCGTCGCCAAAGTAGTTATAATGGGTCGGCCAGGCCTTAGCCAGGCCTATGATCGCTAACGCGGTGAAACCCGGGGGCCCAACGGCGATGAACATCGCTGGCCGCGAGTGCGGGCTGGGTAGGCCAAACTGGACCATGCGTCGGATGTAGCATGCGTACATCATGACCGAGACCAGCATCCCGAGCCCTTGTGCCGTTAGGCCTGCCACAATCATTGGCATGGCTTGATGGGCGGGCTGGCCACCTGAGCTACCCGCGCCGATCGTCGCAATAGTGCCTGAAAGCATAAAAGGGAATATAGGGAGATCCCATGCCGGCGTCATGTCGTCGATTTTAAGCTTGGGTGACGTGAAGAGGACCATGTACATGCCTACGGCGTATATAGCCGTGGCGGCAAAGTAAATCCAGAAGAGAATCCTGTAGACGACCACTAGCCAGTACCCGCAGTTCGGAATGCCGTAGCGTACGATGGAGCCGATAATTGATGCGAGGGACAGGAAGAAGCAGGCCGCTGTTGAGATCTTGTAGTTAGTAATTGCGCAGCCAGGAGAGTTCTGAGGTCCGGAGGCAAGCTTACAGAAGAGACCTTCGGTCGGATGCGCAAGAGAGGCCAGGAATGTGCCTTTGTACTTGATGAAGCGGGTGATGAGGAGGGTTGTGATGAGAGTAAACAAGACCAGGTCGAATATGTACACGACTTTTCCGATGGTCTGCTGGCCGTGGAATGTATTTGGCTGTGTGCTCTCTGAAATGAGCAAGGATATCCCACCAGTGCTCATCGTGAGAGTATAGTTGGCCCACGTAAAATGCTCCAATCGACCCAGTATGTCGCCCCGAGGCTCACGATTATCTTTCTTCTCATTGTCGACTTTGGGACCATTTTGACGATGGTCGGAAGTGCTATCCGAGTCTTGGTCGCTCATTTCAAATGATCGTCAGTTGTCGTCGTGTCGCTCATGAGACAGGATGCTCTTCTTTGCCTAGATTGTAGGAAGCGGCCGCATTTTTATGTCAGTCAATTTTGAGTTTGTTGTAGGCAGGCGAGAATCCTGTTGCTAATTGTTGTAACCAAGGACGTCACAATTGTGGGTGCTTATGAAGTCATCCTCGAATTCCCATTATTACATCGTGAGGCTTGGCATACTCCACTGAAAGACCAAGATTCTATCAGGAGGAGCTCAGCAGTACCAAAACCCGTATCTCCGTGGCATGTAATGTTCTTCGTGACAGGAAAGACGCTAGCACCCTTGTATGTCATGAAACACATGTAAGTTTGTCAGTGGAATATCTGAACGCAGTGCTTTGAGCAGTGACGGTGATGATAACGATAGCTCATGGGGCTTCCCACAACGGATAACTTGACGAACATGCTTATTCTTTGTAGATTCGTGGGTGGTGTTGTCAAAAAGACGACTATTGCGATTTTTGCTTTTGGCCTCTAAACATAGTGAACCTAACCCGGTTCTTAGCCTCGCCGGCGCCAATTCCATCCACTCTTGCATGTGTTTCCCAGGGATTGTAAGATCGGGGCGTGCTATGATGATCCACCAAAATACATTGATGGGTTTTTTGAGATCATACCACGTAGCACATTCTCTTATGCGCTGTAAGACAAATTATGAGCATAATCGTTCGGTAGACATGCCGTGCTCATGTAGATTGGTAGTCCAGTATGACGGATAGAGAAATTCTTCCCACAGCTGCGCAGGTAACAAGTCACTGGGAAAATAGAATCAGATGGAGAAAGGTATAATATATCCGTACTAGAAGAGTCTATGTGCCCAGATGCCATATACAGAGCTGCCTAACCGGTCCAAGTCCCTGAACATACAAATTGGCCTCCACCTGCGATGCTAAACCCTCGCTTAAGCGTTGGTCCTCTTCACGACGAAAGCCCCCCTCTCGATAGTGTTGACGACGATGAAGCCGGATGGGAAGAACGGGTAGTGGCCCCAAGTGCCGACAAACTCGATGCTGCCGCCGCCGGGCAGCGCGTCGTTCTCGGGGTAGATGTCGAAGTAACCGAGCTCGGTGACGCCGGCTCCACTCTTGTCGGTCTCGAGCGAGGAGATGTCAATCACGTGCAGGCCGGCGCCGTAGTTGCTCTGGTACGCGACGCCGTCGATGACGTACTGGTTGTGGTCGATGCCCTGGGCGTACTCGTTGCGGAAGTAGCCCGTGAGGACGGGCGCCTCGAGCGAAGTGATGTCCCAAAAGTACGTGATCGGGAAGCCGTTTGCACCGGCGCCAGCCGAGTCATACTCATCGTACTCGTCGTCCTTAGTTTTGTCAGCGTTTTGTTACGTTGCCCAAAGTAACAGTATGAAGAGGGCCTCGAGGATTGAAACGAGGACAGGGTTTCTTACCAAAAGAAGAGTGGTTTGCCAGTTCTTGTCAGTGACCCATCCTTGGTGCGTGTAAGAAGCACCGTCGTAGCCGACACGCGAAATGATGTTTGTGGTAGTCTTGTCGGTCACGTCGTAGCTAAATTTTATATGTCAGTTTACTGTCCGTTCAAAACACATAAGAAGCGCAAGAAGTCAACTCACATCGTCAACGTATCCTCATTGTAGCCGTAGCAAATATCACGGCCAGCGTACTTCTCGTCAGGGCCACGGTAGACCAGGCACTGGGCGTCGTGGACGTAGCCGTCGCCAGACGCACAGCCGGGCGAGGTTGGGTTGCTGATGTCCTTGAGGTCGATGAAAATGAGACCGGACGCGCAAGACGAGTTCCTGGGTTGCGCGCCGACGGCGACGGCGTACTCGAGCTCCTCGTTCACAACGACGTTGTGCGTGCGGCCGATGGGGAGGTCGTTGAAGTGGCCTGTCAGGTCGGCGTCGCCGAACGTCTTTGGGCTGGCCGGGTCGACGTCGACTAGCTTGGCCATGTCGAAGAACTGAACACCGTGCCTCTGTGCCTCGCTACCAATCACGATGTGGCTTTTATAGCCTCGGATCTCGCGCCAGATGCTGGGCTGAGCTGCCGAGTATTGTGGAAGGCGGCCAAGGTAGACCTGTGTTCGTTAGATTTTCCTCTGTGACCGCTTGGATTTATACCCCATCTGGTCATTTGCTTACCAATTTACCCTCCGTGGAGACCTCGGCGAAAGCAGCACCATCAGCTTGAGCGATGGCAACGAACTCCCGGCCTTCTTCACTGGTCCAACCCCAGGTCGAAGCACCCTCGCCAACAGAAGAGCCCAAGTCAGCGTGGCTCTTGAAGTCATAAAAGTCGATCTAGGAATCTGTCAGTGATGTTTGTTCTTTTTGTAAGATTGCAATGCAGGGCGAGATTCAATTTACTTACGTTGCTGCACTTGAACGTATTGTTCGCATCGCCGGGGACGACCTCAGCGACCCCATTGACACAGGCAACAGGTGCGGCGCCAGCGTATGACTTGTAAAGAGTCGAGTCCATGGCACCAGAAGCCTTCTGCAAATCCCAGGTGGCCTAGTGACAGTATCTATTAGCATTTCACTTCACAACACATTTGAGACATGACACTCACGTATTTCTTAGCCATAATGCCGTCCATAACAGCACCGCTCGTATACTTCTCCTGCTTAGCAGGGTTGTTGACCTGACTGATGGCAGCCGCGAAGGGCGAGCCAGCCAGTAGAGCCAGGCCTCCAATAGCAGTGGTCTTCATGATGAAAGCGAGTTATGAAGGATCGTCAGAAATTACACTTGCCAGGGCTTCCTCGGGTGAGTGGCGGTGATCAAGGGGAGGCTTGGATCGTCGCTAAGCGGCACAACCAGATCGACATCAACAGCATAAAACAAGGGTTCCCGCATGTTGGCACGCTCTACAATTTATACCTCCTGCGAAGGACTGCAAAGGCATGGCATTAGTCACCATAGTTGAAGTTATCAGCACGCCATCCAGGCATGCAGAATCTATGATCACCTCCTCTATATGCGATTTGTACGAATTAGGTAGGTGTGAACGGTACTTGGCAAATGACCCCCCAAGGCAATAGCATTGGAAATGCTGTGGGTTGTATTGGCTTGCTTGGCTATTGCTTGGCTACATACTCCCGTCGAAAGATTCGCCGGCAACCAAGGCTTGTACATGAGGATCCTCGCCTCCCAGAGGACCAATTGCCAATCGGATAAAAGTAAATAGAGGACAAGCCATTCGCATACCATCACGACTCATAAGCAGGAGTTGATGCAAGCGCAGCCAAGAGATAGCGTTGTCGTATTTAGTGGCCCAGTGCCCTAGGACCTTCTAGTTCGGAATAGGGGCCGCAAATATGTCTTGCTTGGCAGTGAGGGGAGGTAGACTCGTGCACGCCCGTGCGCCGTCGGTACAAGTATTGCCTGCTGTCCCTTCGGCCTTGAATAGTCCGGGACTCTTGCAAAAACCGATTTACAAAGAGTTGGAGACACGAGACACCGTCGCAATTCCAACTTGGCAGCTCTTTATATGGTGTCTTCGAATCAACGAGGGCCAAGGCTGAACGCAATCGCAAGGCCGGCCACGTCGCCGGCGGCTTTAGCACCATCTGTCTATATATCGATTGTCAGCGCTTTAAACAGATGGGATGGCAATCTGGTGTCTGAGTTATACTCAACATGCGGCGTGGCTGTGTATCTGAGAACTCACTCCCACTCGAGTAACAATTTGGGACGGACTCCGTTGTTGTGCTTATTTATCGGGAAGATTCGCCGCCGGGCTTACTGTCTACTTTAACACCTGCCACCTTCCTCAAGGTTGGGTGACTTGCATTTCACCGTCATTGGCCGTCTATCGCAATTGATAGTCAGTAGGCTGTTCCTTGCGCTGAACCGAGAACACGAATCGACTTACATGGGTCATGAGCTGCCGGTCTGCTTACGTCCGGCAACAAAACAATGTACCGACTAGGTACTCCATGATTAGCGAACTCTTTGCTATGGGAACGGTACGTTTTGTCATCAAGTTCAAAGAGACTTTCAGTCAAAATTTCGAAATGCATCTTTATTCAAACATAGTACACCTAACTCACTGCAACCGTCCAGATGCTACATTTATTGCTCCACAGCCTTAGAATCGATCGTCTCGATCCCTGACGGCTTACTTTCACCCCTGACGCCCTCGACCACCTCCTTGCCCAGCGCTTCCGAGTCGATGTGGGGGCCTTCGTAGTTCTTTCGGCCATCAATCAACCACTGGACAACGGCGATAATAAGAACAACGCCGAAAGCAACGATGGCGTAGTTCATGTTTGTCCCGGTAACTGGTTGCTCAGGAGGGAAAACAAAGAGGACAGTCGTCAGGAGCGTCCAAGCGATACCGACCTAGGAAGGAAAGTTGTTAGTTCGTGTTCCACTGATGACGTCTGGGCCTGGACCTAGGAACATGGATGCACTCACAAGGTTGGTCAACCAGCCCAGCCACTCGGGCATCTTGAAGGCTCGTGTCTCCGGCAACATTTTGCGGCCACGCATGACATTGATCGCTGGTGGGATGGCATATGTGACGCCCAGAGCGACGACACTGGCGGCAGTAATTGCATTGAAGGCACTCGAAGAGCCCAAGAAGACGCAGCCGAAGATGATGACCCAGACAGTGGTCCAAATCAAGGCGTTGAGGGGCACGTCGAGTCCTTTGTGGACCTTGGCAAAGATCCGGCTGGCAGGCAGTCCACGGTCGCGGGCGAACGCGTAGCTCATACGAGAGCTTGTCGTCATGATGGAAGTTGTCGTGAAAAGCATGCAGACGACAGGGAAGATCAGCAGGCAGATCGCGCCGGCCTTGTTGTCGGTTGCGTCAAAGAGAATCTGCAAGAGAGGACCTGCCGCGGACTCGATCACGGCATCGACATCCTTGAGTACAAACAGGAGACAGGTCAAGAAAATAAAACCGGTGAACATGCCAATGCAAATGGCGTATATCATGATCTTAGGACCTTCGATCTGAGGACCTATTGGGCATTGAAAGGTTAATTTCTGCTTGACCTAGGGGCCTATGCTACACATGACAGTACACTTACGTGGGATTTCCTCGATCATGTGAATGGTCGCATCGAAACCGGTCAGAGCAAATGCGCCTTGCAGCAGACCAAGCATCCACGACAGCCCGTCCGGCCAGGCAACCTCGTTTATAAAGCCGCCAAACACGAATGACGCCTTCTGGTAGTTAGGAGTAGCGCAGGCGAGGACGGTGATGCAGATGATTGTGAAACCAGCAAGTGACCACAGGAAGGCGGCCTTGTTAAAGTACGGCAACAGACGGTTGGCGAAAGCGTTGAGGAAGAAGGCAGCGAGAGTGTAACCAATGTATATCAGGAACTGGTGCCAGCTTGCGGGCTCGTAGGTGGGATTCATGAGGGAGATAATGCCGAGGATGAGCTGGCTGCCCAGGAGGCCACCGGTGGCAGTCAGACACACCCAGGCTGCGGTGTTGATCCAGCCTGTCGAGTACGAGATGGCCCTGCTGAATCGCTTCCATGAGATGATAGCAACCCAGTGATATTGGCCGCCGGCAGTGGGCCAGGCTGAGAGAAACTCAGCAAGCGAAGCAGCAAGGCACAGGTTGCAGAGCCCAGCGACGATGAGTCCCCAGAGGATAGCCGAGGGTCCTCCAGAGGGGAGAGCCAGAGACAGCGAAGCGGCCAAGGCAGTCCAGCTGTTGAGGATGGCAAAGGCGAGGCCGAGCATGGAAATTTTGGAGAAATTTCTGTGCAACTCCTGCTTGACACCCAACTTCTCGAGGGTGGCGTCGGCGTCGACGTCAGCCTGAGGCTGGGCCATGATGCCGCCTTCGTGCATCTTGATGGGAGTGCCTCTTTTGTCGTGTCGGTTCGGAAGAGGCGGAGGAGGGAGTCGATGCCAAACAGGATGCAAAGCCCGGGCGAATGTGAGATTCCGGGGGAGGAGTGCGAGAGAAGGGGAAGAGGCTAGCACTCCAGGACGAGAGATGGACAAAGAAGAGTTATAGGGCGAGGAGCAGGCGCCAGGAAATATAAAGATGGCCTACCGAGTACGTATAGATATGGCTCGTGTGTAAGAGAATGCCAGGCACATGTGTAAGCACACGGACAGGGCAGGGCAGTGGATGTGCACGCAGGCAGGTTGTACACAGTAAGGTCGGAGATGATGTAGCGATCGGCCCTCGTGACCGACCCGAGGACGTGCAGTCTGCGTCGTTCAAAGGCTGTCTGGCTGTCAAGTCAAGTCAAAGTCAAGGCCTGCGACGCCAGTTGAGGCCCAGGCGCCAGGCCAAGGTTGGGGGAGGCGGACCCTTTTCTCGTGTGTACTTGCCTCTCTGGGAATCGCCGTCGGGATGCGGCTTGGGCGTCTCCACCTGCTGGAAGTCAGTCAATGCTGCTTGGGAGCCATCGACATGGATTGGGGATGCTTATCAGGTGCAATCAGTCAGTCCGTCCTGTCAATCAATCATTCACAATCGCTCAATCCGTCCATCATTCATGGCATTCATTCAAATTCATCAAATCAGCCTGCCCTGCCCTGACTTGCCATGCCATTTCCCACCCTACCGCCGAGATAAACCCTACCACTCCCGACAGACAAGCTTTTTCTCGGCGCCTTAATCAAGCCCTGTGGCTTGGGGGCTGCATCATCCCGCCCGCCCGTGATCCGCCTCATTCAACCTCAACCTCGTCTTTACTGTGTGTGTGCATTACTCTCGTCCTTCCTGTAGTCAAAGCTAGCAGCCACATCTACCCCAGCTGCTACGCCAATGGCTGCCACATGCAGCCCCAAGACCTGTCGTCCACTTGGATTGGATCTAGGCCGCAGATGCTCGACCCCAACACTCAAAAAGTGGAAACGTCTTCTAATCGAAACCACTTCACCATCACCGCGGTCCCTGTCGATGCTCAATCCCCATGGGACAGGAACACAACCCGACGCCACTGGGCCTTGCCTTCCCCCCGTTTCGGTAATCTCGAGCTAGGCGAGTCATTATCATGCCCCACCGTTATCTAATTTATAGATAATTCTGTTTGCAGTCTGCTACGCAACATCCAAGCCGCAGCAAAACCCAGCTTGGTCATGGCGGGTGATGAAGCCTTGGCGACATGTCTTGGTACTCTACTTACACATACTGTGTGTTTGTGTGTATGTATGACTACGCACTCGCAACAGGGACACGACGCCGATCAAGGCCAAGACTTTGAGCTCCATTCCTACTCGGTATACAGCGGATTTGTGACAAAGATTAATACGCATTTCTAACTCCTTCCGACAAGACTCTAAGCGAGCTACATTGCCTTTATTACGCTGGTACAAATAAAAAAAAAGAAACCCAAATCCAAGGACCCTTAAACCAGGAACGCCACGCTGGCCAACGCCGCGACCGCAACTGCCAGCCCACTCCTCTCCGCCGCGGAGCGGACTCCCGAGCTCTTCCCCGGCTGGTTGGCCCCCTCCGCCCTCGAGCCGCCGACGGGCAGGTTCGTGAAGAAGTCATTGGTGACGTTCTGCACGCCCATGGTCGGCGTGACGCTGCCCTCGACGCACAGGCCCTGCGGGTCCTTGAACGTCGCGTCCACGGCGCGCTTCCACACCGCCTCGGGCCCGTAGATCATCTCCTTGGTGTAGAAGAAGCGGCACTGCGCCGGCTGCATCAGGAACTGTAGCGGCGTCTGCGCGTCCGTGTGCGAGAAGGCGTTCTTGCCGTTGATCGCGCCCCCGTTGCTTGGCGTCGCCGACCGGTCCAGGATGTAGCCCTCGGCGATGATCCCGAGCTCCGACTGGCTCAGCTGCTGCTGCTGCTCCGGCGGCGCCACGAACACCGCCGCCGCCGCCGCCTGTTGGAGGTCGTTGAGTGGGAACACCTGCGCGCCCTCCACGCCCGCGATCGACTGCATCGGCCCCGTGGTGGGCCGGCCGCCCACGACGACGGTCTTGACGTTCTGCTGCATGATCATGAGGTACGAGAAGAGCGTGCACGTCGAGCCGCAGGTGCCGTCCGTCAGGATCACCACGTTGTTCGGGTCGAACACCGCCGGTGGGGGGTTGGCCCGGTTGCCAGTGCCGGTGAGGTTGAAGTCCGACGCCGTGTCGTTCAGCGGCGTGCTAATGTACGACGTGAACCGGTCGCCTTTGATGGTCACCGGGTTGATGATCTCATCTGTCGACGTGAAGTTCACCTGACCACCGGCAGAGAACACACCGCCTGGGATGAGGTTGCTGACGACGCTGCTCTGCGACAGCGCCGCAAGGGCGAGCTGCCTCTGCGTCGCGTTCTGCGGGGTCAGGGTGTTCAGGTCCAGCGCCAGGATCTCATTCTGCACGGATGAAGCGATCTTGGCCATTTGCTCCATGCTGTCTGTCAGGCGCATGTTGTTGGCCTGGAACAGCGGCGTGTTCGGGAACAGCTGGGAGTACAGCTCAAAGCCAGCCGCCACGAGGCCGCCCCCGTTGCCCGTCACGTCAACGACGAGACGCTTCTTGCCCGCCTGCTTGGACATGGCCAGGAAGTTCTCCGTCAGCTTCTGGAAATTCACCACGTACTCGAGGATGTCGAAGTCACCCTCGGGCGAGAAGCCCAGCACCGACAGCACGGCGACGTCCTCGTACCCCGCGCCGGTCAGGAAGTAACCAGCAGTGATGTTGGCGCCACTGTCGCGGATCGCGGGCATGGGGAACCCGGGGATGGCGGGCTCGGGCGGCTGTCGTGTGCCAGGAGCCGTGGTCGGCTGCGGTTGGGAAGGCGTTGTTGGCTGCGCGGCGCCCATGCCTGTCCCAGGAACCACCGCGGCGGGGTTGCAGAACTTTTGGTAAAAGTCCTCGCCGGTGTTCACGCCCGTGAAGTCTGCTGTTGGGCGGATCAGTGCGTAGCTGTCCTGCGTCACCTTCTGGCCGTTGTCATATTCGAGGGTCAGCGAGTCGCCCTGGTAGAAAATTGACGAGGCCAGTGCGGTGCGTGCTGTGGGCACGGCATACTGTTGGAACTGTGAGTTCCACTGCGAGTCGGGATCCTGGAAGTTGATAAACTTCAGGCCTTGTGCCTCGATAAGCTGTGCTGCGTCCTGGCCGTTGATCTTCGTTATCGCCGGGGGCATCCCGTTCGTGCTGTTGACGGATGTCTGGTTCGTGCCTCCAATGGATGCTGTGCCGTTGAGAACACCTTGTGGAAAGTTAGTAAGGCAATACTGGCTTTGAGTGATCATTGGCGACTCTGGCAAGCCGCTCGGAGGCAACACTGACCAAGATTATAGAGCTTGGGCACCTGCTTGCCATCGACAGACACAGAGACAATGTCCGCGGCCAGGTCATTCCTGAAGCTGAAGGCTTTGAACATATCCGGGCGAATGGCGAAGTGACCGTCGTGCGCCGATGCCACCAACTCGACCATCGCGGTCTGAAACTCATACTCGCTTTGGAACCTTCCTGCCGTGGCGTTGGCCCCTATGGCATCAAGCCCACCTTCGATGTCCGTAGGCGCAAGCATATAAGAAGTTGGAGGGTCCTTGAGCCATGCGAGCGTACTCTGCCACTGTACGTAAGCTTTGAGGCTGGTGATGAGCTTCGCCGCTGGCTCTGGTTTGTTCGGCACGGACTGTAGGCATGCGAAGGCTGTTGAAGCCGGTACCCTTGCGACTACTGTGGTGATGAGTTAGCCCGACTGGTCTCTGTACCCGAGCACTACCTCATCACGACGACATACCTTGAGGGTTGGCGGTCATTTGTTGGGCCTGGGCCTGAGATACTGCGGCGCAGGCATTGTTCCCGGGTGCAGGAGCGCCGCTGGCCTGTGGAGCGGGTGCCCCCAACGCAACAGAGAAGAGCCCGAGCAGGCCGGCCGCTCTTGTGGTGAAGCCCATGACCGTATATGTAAATGGTCTCTATAAAAACGTACAAATGAACGCAAATACGTAGCAGCACCCGGCCAGCTACGGGTATATACAGACGAAGGGCACGACGATGACCTTCGACGATGCCAGTGAGGTCGCGAGAGGTGCACCTTTACCAGGGCATTGGATTCCCCTCAGGACCCTCATGACTATATGAACTGCGGTTTCCGAGCTTGTGTTGCCAAGAAGGATGTCCATGATGCTACCGGGCTGAAACAGTCGAGCCGCTGCCCCAAGAACGATAAGCTTCCTTGTCGTGACGATCTGCGGCACGCGAACAGTATGCGAATGCCACACCCGGGCACGCTAGATAGATGGCGTTCGGTTTGACACGAAGTATATCCTGTCTGCATGGCTGAAAGTTATACCAAGCATATGCAACAAACTCTCCCTCCCCTCTCGAGAACCTCATGTCGAACTGGAGTTCTTCGATTCCATCCCCACCAGCTCAATTGAGCCCCTCTGCGCAATTGTCCTTGGCATTTTGGAGAAGTGTGAGACTGGCGTGACTGGGAGTCAGCCAGGAGGACGGAGCCTCCAAATGACTTGCGTCGAAACACCGCCCAGCCAGCCGTCGCCAAGACCAAGCAGAAACCAGAGCGATACCGCCAAAGACATGGCCACACATTTGCGATAGGGGGACCATACCACAACAGGACATCGGACTGCCGCCTGTGCTCGCTCCGTCCTACCGCCAACCAACCCAATCGACAGTACCGTCCCATCTCGACATATGGCCCCTCCAAACCCCTAGAACTGTCGCAGGCACAAGCACGCCCCTCCGGATCCGGGAAGTCTTGGGTTTAAGTACTCCCCCCACGCCACGCTCGAGGGCCCCGGGAGACGGCCGACCCGAGCATTGGCATTAAGGTTGGCTGGACGAAGAACGGTACGCGGGGAAGGGAGGAGGCTAGAACGAGCTACTATGGGCCAGCAGCCTTTCCGTCCGAGGGCTTAAATGCTGCCACACTTGACACCACACGCCCCAATCGGGCGCCCGTGTCAATGCGTGGCTTATCGCAGAACACCACCGCCGAGCGCAAATACAAATACAACCCAGGAGCTGAAGAGACATAAAATCCTAAGTACTATGATCGACCGGTAGCTCGAGCACGTCGTTTATATCGGCCGCCTGGGAGGGCTGGAGGGGTAGCCCCTCAAGTCCGGCCACAAAACCTCCCGGCGGCTCGAACAGACCGTCAACGGCGCGCGCTCAGCGGCAGCCACCCGTTGACAACAGCGATTCATATAATCTGAACAGCAAACTTCACTCACGGGCCCTTGATCAAAGCTTCCTCCACGACTCGGGGCATTCCAGTATTTTTGTTGGAATCTATTTTTGGCCTGGACTCGGAATGAGAATCGCCCCCGCACGTTAGATTTTATCCACTCGTACATGTCCGTGTTCCTGTTTCAGCGTGTTTATATCGCACTTGAAACATTGTCTAAGGGGAATACTCCTTACCACGTGAAAATTAGTTCACGTAGCCAACCGCATCAGCATTAGCCCAAGAGGGACTGCCTTGACTTTACGACATCAATAGTGACTCGTATTGGCGATAACATTAGTTGTCAGGGCGCCCTTCCGAGTCTATAGAATTGACCTGGATTCTCGACACCACGCATGGGTAAGACGCACTTGGTTTTCACAAATTATAGGGCTACACACGTATTAGCCAGGCAAAGCACTGCGAAATATCGCATGCCTGCCACCTTTCAATCATCCCATATACCTTGTGCCAGTTCTGCACACAACGTTTCTTCAAATCTCAGCCGTCATTATCAAACATGCACAAAACTTCATCGGATGCTTCTCTTTACGGATCTTTAGGCGCATCTGCTGACACTAACACGCCAATACTCCCTGGTGGTTACACAGACCCGGTTCTGATTCTTCTCTCACTTATTCGTAAATGCAGCCAAGTGCCTGACTGTCTCACGGCAGGGCACTCTGTTGCACTCGAGCCACATTGAGCCATATTTTGCGGGTATTTCGGGCGGGAAGCTTGTTACGAAAGCTGGGCTGATTCGTTATCAATCAAACAGCCATGATACGGTAATACAGACCCGATTGGAGGCGAGAGGTGTTTTAATAGCCATGCAATTGGCTCTGTGGTTGCTTGTATTAGAAATGCCGCCAGACACTATAAGAGCCTCTCAAACCAAAGCCCCCCCCCCCAACCACTAGGTCTCTCTCACTTCAACTATACCATTACTTAAATGACCTGTGATAGATAAGCCAAAATGAGCGGCTTATGCTTCTAAACCACCTACAATAATAGACGCATGTCATGGACTGCTCACAAGTGCTAATCCATGAGTCGCGCTTAGCTGGCGACTCTTTTTCAACTCGAGGTGCCGACCTTCAACATGTCAGTTGATGAATTGATTGAGCGACTCTCACAAGTCTATGCATAATCGAAAGAGGTACTAACCTGCCAAACGTCGAGCGATACCCCACTTTGGCTCTGCGAGCCTTTCCCGTATGCGACGACTGAATTGAGCCAGTCATACTTGTCGCTGCCAGTCTCGAAGAGAAGCAACAGATTTGGAGCATGGCCTTTCTCTCTCACGAGGATGTTGCATCCGTCGCTGGTCTGGAGCACGTAGACGACGTCCGGGTTGAAGGCCCCGTTGGCGTCGACGAGACCCGCATCGCCACCGCCGGAAGCAACAGTACCTGTGTAGATTGGTGTTAGTTTGGCTGTGCATTGTGGTAAATAGTCTGAGCGGCTTGCTCACTCCCTTGCATGTGAAACTTACCTGAGAGCTTGGGTCCTGTGAATGATCCACCGATAATGGGCTCAAAGACTCTGTCGCCAAGAGGTGTTGATCCCAGGGAGATTGTTGGACCGCTTGTGATGTTGGCCGTGAACAGATAGGTAAGGGCTGGTGGGCTGGGTTGACGCGGACCAGCAATGGCAACGGCGGACAGAGCCAGCAACGACAAACACAAGCGGATCATGTTGTTTATTGATTGAGAGATAATTAAGAGACTCTGTTAACCCAGATATGGAAAATTAAGCAGTACGATAGCAACGCAGGGCGATTCTGTGTGAAAAGGTCTCGGACCGTTCCTGCTGGTGCAGCTGGTTTCTCGAGTCTTATAGCCTTCAAATCTGCTACCAAGCACTTCAGCCCCGGCTGAAAATGCAAATAGCTTTGCTTTTGAAGCCTGGGGTCATTTGGACGGCTGCTCGCCGTCTTAGCGTCTGCCACAATGCCTCACCAACCCTATTATCTCAGCACTATAATCCAATATAAGCCACTTGGTGCTGAGACGCCGGCATTGGCGTCATAGTCAGCATTTATGCGCGGCGTCTTACTAGATTATGGATGCAGGCGGGCCTAAGTCCATATGAGTTGGCGGTGACCATCGCGCGCTTCCAGCACTTTACTCAGGCACGCTGAGGGCGTGCTTTAGTTGTCTCGCGGTTGTTTACACGTGCCAAGACAATGTAATTAGCACTTTGAGACCCCAGACACAGGTCGCACAGGACAACTTCCTACTGTATGCGCCTACTGGTTCATCTCAAAAGAAGGAAAAAAAGACGACTTGGCCCTTGGCAACCAAGATCTAACCTCTTTCGACTGATCAGGCTTCGACCTCCATATTATGGTACAAACGCATTGATACTCAAAAGTCAAACAGGCGTTGAAGTGGAGTTATATAGTATACCAATTTAGAAGACGCCCCTGGCCTCCTAAAGTCCTTATGAAGGCGCAGCGTGGTTGGCATGCCTGCGGGAGGTTAAGAACCCCGAATCGGCAAGACTCCAGATGTCTTGAATCATGGGAAAAGCTTCTCGGCAGCGGAGTAAAATTAGGAGAAGGACCCGATTTTTACGGATCAGGAGGGATTGTCCAATTCAATATATTTTCGACTGGCGCGAATTCACTTTGTACGTTACAATACTTTCTCCTCGTTAATAACAACACTCCTTCCCGAGACCGCCATGCACCGTTCCAGTCTCTCCCTCACGGCGGTCCTCCTGCACGCAGCCGGAGTATGTGGCGCCACCCTATCGCTCTTTAATCCCTGGAACGCTAGCGAGTGGATAGCCTCTGATGACACCGTCCGCGGTGGCTTGAGCCGATCGGGCCTGGAAATCATCTCCCCCGACGCATCCGAGAACCCCTTCGACAGCCCCATCGCCAGTTTCTTCGGCACCCTCGACTACGAGGCCCTCAACGGCAGCGGATTCGCCTCGCAGAGGACCGTTGACGGCTGGCCCGGCGTGGACCTCTCGGCTTATGACAGGCTCGTTCTGGAAGTGCCCTACACTGACGGGAAGACTTACACGCTCAATGTCAAGGACACCGTGCTCCCGCCGGTCAACGGGGTGGAGCAGGCGTCTGTCAGCTGGGAGCACGATTTCCAGCTGCCGGCCCAGGAGGCGACTTCCGCGGATGACTATGCCCAGGTCGTTGTCATGTTTGAGGATCTGATCCCGACCTATCGTGGCAGGGTGCAGAATGATACGGCGCCCCTTGACCTGGCGGATATCAAGAGATTCAACATTATGATCCGCAGGTAAGCAACTAGATTTTACAGTTTGGAACAGTGGAATTGCTAACTATGTTGCACCAGCTTCTTCGGCCAAGAGACACAAGCAGGCGACTTTGAGCTGAGAATCAAATCAATATTGGCTGCAGATTCTGCGGCTGTCTGACGCGTGACGATGAGCTTTTGAAAAATCTAATGAAAGCTCAAAATTTGACTTTCATAGGATAAGCCATAGGGAGTCTGAAGCAAAATTAAGTAAGCATCTTCGTCATAGAGAGAAGACGAGGTCTGGAATGTACAAGTACTTGTGCAACTAGAGATGGTGTGATGCACAATAATCTTCGCGTACTTTAATAGTTCATGCTCATCATTTCATTTCATACGTGGTATATCCTGTCTCCTGCAGCTGCTCCTCTCAAAGCTATACTTGGGTATACCTGGATACCGTCTTTGTTTTTGCAAGTAGAAAATCCCATCGAAGCTATATAATCAAAAAGAATGCGGTCATGCTGGTTTGCGGCCCCAGACCGCCTTCACCTTGAAATATGCATGATGCTTGCTGTTGCGTATTTCCCTTCTCAGCTGGGCAATGTACACTAGGATTTCCTCCCTGCTCCAGCCAACAATGACGTTCGCGATGAAAAGCACATAGCCCTCAATATCGGACTCGAGCGCGGTTTGCGCCCAGTGACCGATCTCCTTCAATTTCTTGTCTCGGGGCCAGCCGCCAACAGGAGCCTAGAGTTTTATTTGTCAGCCTTTTCTCGACTCCCGTATCCGTATCTCACTTCCCCCCGCCGACCGACATGCTCACCTTGAATTCCCATTCCTGAATGTCGATAAAGCCAGCCTCTTCCATGGCCTTCTTCTGAATGCCTTGGTCGACGACCAGAAACGTCCGCCCGATGGTCCTGCCGCCTTCCTCAAAGAACTTGCCCCATTGCGAGATGGCCGACTTGTCGGCGACCGATCCATCGTCGCTTATCATGTGAGGCGAGCCTTCAAAACTCTCCAGCCAAGCCCCGGGTTTCAGCGCATTGTATGCCTCTTTGAATAACGCGGTCCAGTCGACGATGCTGCCGACGAGGTAGCGCATATGGATGTAATCGAACTCATTGGGGTGGAAAGTCCATTCTGATGTGCAATCCTCAATCTCGCTGCGGGAAAGTGGTTAGGGTGTATATTTACATACACGTCCAAGTTTCTGCCAGAGGAACTCACAACTTCAGATTAGGAGGCACCCATTTGGGCTGGATCGGTGAGATATCCGTCCCGATAACGTTTGCCTCGGGATGGTCGTCGGCAAAATCTCTGCGCACTTGTGAGCCCCAATTCGGGCGATCGGAGGTGAGGGGAGCCGCTTACATTGCCCATAGTCCTGTTCCCGTGCCGATATCTAGGACTTTCTGCTTGAGAATCAGTGCCACAATTCCTTCTGTTGCAGCGGTGATCCGCGCCGTACCTGAACATTGTCACCCAGCGGAGCGAAATAGAGCTTGTTGTCGGAGCAAAGGCTCAGGAAGTGATGGCTGTTTGGCACGACAATCAGCCAAGGGACACTCCTTAATTGCTTGCCCAAAATGCTCACTTGATGTCCATTGCCTCACTTTGCATCTCATCGTTGGAGCCCCTTCAGGTTGAGACGTGGTCAGTTGCCAAGACTCTGGGATGTTTCCGGGGTTGGTCAGGACTGGGAGGGGCGGAACAGTCGCACCAGTACTGCGCGTTATCGCCCACATGATCGCTGTGGTAAGTTCGGCCATGGATGGTTCTGTACTCGAGAATGCTCGAAGTTATCGAGTCTGTTGAGCTGGCCGTGTCTCCGAATGCGGAATCGTTGTCGTCGTCAAGATTTTGCTGTGCGTGATCTCAGCGCCAGATCTCTCCCCAAAAGTGGCATGCGAGTGAGCTGGTCACACCCACCTGTTCTGCGAGCTCTGTCCAATGGGTGGGGGGCAGTAAGCCCGTAGTCTGGCCCGCGTCGCCTGCAGCTGGTGGTTGCGCGGGCGGAGAAGAAGTAGGTGACGGCTCCTGGGCTGGACCGGCTGAGCCGGCTGAACCGGGAGAAGCGGCTGGAACCGCTGGATCTTCAGGAGGCTCACTGCTCGCCATTGTTGGTGAATTGCAATCCGATACAAGACTCTCGTGAACGAGCAGTGTCGGTAGTGAAACCTGATCAGAGGTGGGAATTTCCAGGGTCACGGCTAGGTAAAGTACTTATGCAGACTACATTTAAAAGAGGGCCATCACCCGCCGCGAATGGCGGTCGGAACGACGCCCCGAGCAGAGGATTCCACCTGTTGGCCCGGATGACCCCACTGTAGTACTAAGGGACGGAGCTGTCAAGGCCAGAACTCGTGGCTTTGGACTAGGATCACAGAGGATAGTTTCGGGGCGTCGTGGTCATGCAGATGCAGACTGATTTACTGCGCGGTGGCCTCACTGGCTTCAACCGCCGAGGCACTTGGCCGCTCTCCACTTGTATTCGGTGCCCTCCAGCCCTTGGCGTTGGTAGCGTCCAGCCAGTGTTCTCGGCCATGCCACACGTCTCCTTAGCACGCTCTCTTTTTGAGTCGGGTGGTGGTAGGGTCGTAATGGTAACTCAAACTGCTCAATTGGCTCGATGCAGAGAGCAGTCATTCCCAACGTTGGTCAGGATCAGGGGCGATAGCCAGGGCCAGGGGTAGGGCCGCGCCAGGGTTGTTTCTTGAAGACAGCAGGCTTAGGATGGCGAGAGCCGAGCTATGAAACTGTAGCCACATGCTGTCTGGCTGCCATGCTGTGCCATGACCGACTATTTGCGGGAACGAGTGGGAGTGAGTGTTTCTAGAATTCCGTCCTACCACACAGGTATCTACCTATGTGGGTAGAGTGAACATGAGCTGCAGCGAGAACCGTGCAGACATGCAGATAACACGAACGGACGTGCATGATGGTCGAGAAAGTAGACTGGTTAGCGCAGCCCATGTCCTGCAGTACTGCATGTGAATACACGGTACTTAGTCGTGGTGAAACAAGTAGAAGGTCCAAAGTCGCAGGCGGAGGAGAAAAGGTTCCCCTTTTATGTAACCTTTCTTCGGTGACTTTGTCCACTTTCCAACGCCTCAGGAATGTCGTCGAGGAGATAGATGCCGTTTGGTGCGAGAAGGACAGGTTAGGTTATGTCGACGGGTACAAGGTCTCATGTTGCTAATCGTATGATCCTTCTAACCGTGAGCTGGCGTGGACCTCGTGGAGTCGCCCCTTTGCCTTCACTCGCGCGCCTGGCATTTCGTGGTGCTTTTGCGCCGGTTGAAGGCGAAAATATCTCGATCTCGAACAGAAAACTACTCAGAAATACGTGTGTTCGATCCTCGTCGCGCTGGTTGAGCAGTTCGAGGCGGAAGTATACAACGCCGCGGGCGGGAGACCAACCCCTCACGGTGTTTCCTTTGCCCGCCCGTGGCCGGAAGAGGCCCGACGCCGTCCGTAAAGCACCCCACATACGGCTTGAAGACCGGCGATATATATATGTGTGTGAGGTTATGACGCAGAAAAGATCTCTTATCGTACTCTGCACATTCCATTAGATCCTCAGAAATTGTGTGCAAGCCGAAATCATGTCTCCCTCAGCCGCCCCAGCAGCAAAAAGCTACAGCATCGCCTCCATCCCAGCGGTAAGTACTGGAGCAGGCTTGGCTCCCGCGCGCAGGACAACTTATTGACGACGCCTCAGGACGGAATCGGTCCAGAGGTCATTGATGCCGCCATCACAGTGTTGAAGACGTTGTCAGAGACGCTAGGGTCTTTCGACATCGACTTCACGCACTTCGACTGGAGCTCGGACACCTTCAAGAAGACCGGGAAGTACATTCCCGACGGCGGACTCGATGAGCTCAAGAAACACGACGCTATCTTGTTTGGCGCCGTTGGGGCCCCAGGTAAGTGCCACAAAACCAGGGCCTTTGTCCGGCGGAGACATGTGAGCTCCTAGCTAACAATCCTGAAGATGTTCCTGATCATATCTCGCTATGGGGTCTGCGTTTGGCAATCTGCCAACCTTTCCAGCAGTACGCCAACGTGCGACCAACCAAGGTCTTCCGAGGAACCCAGTCACCATTGAGGAATTGCAACACAGGTGATCTCGACTGGGTCATTGTCCGCGAGAACTCAGAGGGCGAATATGCGGGGCAGGGTGGACGCAGCCACCGCGGTCACCCCTGGGAGACCGCTACCGAAGTGGCCATGTTCACCCGCCATGGCGTGGAGCGTATCATGAGGTTCGCATTTGAGACGGCGCAGAGCAGGCCCCGGAAGCTTCTCACCGTCGTGACGAAGAGTAACGCTCAACGAAACGGGATGGTGCTCTGGGACGAGGTCGCGGCAGCCGTGGCCAAGGACTTCCCTGATGTTACAGTTGACAAGATGTTGGTTGATGCGATGACATGCAGAATGGTTTTGAAGCCAGAATCCCTCGACACCATCGTGGCTACAAACTTGGTGAGTAGAGCTCCAGCCGGCGAGTGGCCATTCCCAGATCTGACCGCTATGCAGCATGCCGATATCCTTTCCGATCTAGCGGCCGCGCTGGCAGGATCCATAGGAATTGCACCAACATCAAACCTAGACCCAACACGCCAAAACCCGAGCATGTTCGAGCCCATCCATGGCTCTGCATTTGACATCACCGGAAAGGGAATCTCTAACCCTGTCGCCACATTCTGGACGAGCGCTGAGATGTTGGCCTGGATCGGGGAAAAGGACGCCAGCACGAAGTTGTTGGACGCCGTGGAGCGTGTCTGTGAAAAGGGAATAGTAACTGCTGATCTCGGCGGCAGTGCGAAGACGGCGGACGTGACTGCTGCGGTGTGCGACGAGATCAGAAGCTCGTACGGCAAGAAGTGAGGCAGAGCCAAATTGAGACGAGGGGCTTCGGAGGGAACTTCCACATCCAAAGTAAAACATAGTTTCATAGATCAGGCATGGATTATCAGTAAAATCCGAATCCTGTCGTGGAGTCTGCGCTACCAGCTTGTGCGAAATTTGAAAAGTCCAGCGCGCCGAGGGGGTCCCACCAGTCCTGCTCACTCAAGTCCATGAAAGCGGTGGGTTCTTCCGGCATTATATATGGAGTCGTAGTCACCCCTGTGTTCCATCCCATAGGCGCTGGCAGGACACCGTACGACTGTGTGACCTCTGACTGCTGGGGAGCCAAGGGAGAGCTGCACCTCACAATTAGCCGTGGTGAGCGCATTGATGGTGGTGATAAAATGCTAGGTAAGAGAAGACAAGTTGGGGCAGCTTTCAAGATTGAGAGCACTTACAGTCGAGCGGTCTCAACAGGCCTTGGGTCATGGCCGCGTCTGCTAGGATGATACGCTGCGCCGACACGCTGTCTCTGTGCCTGACTGCCTGACATACTCGAAGTATCATTTTTATACTGGCTTTCTCGAATGGTATGACTACCTCTGTTGCCTTCAATCCTGTCATGAGACCGTGTAGCGCGTCCTAATGAGGGAGATGTAGCCGCTGCGGAAGGCTCCTCTCCAGAATTAGCGACAGCATCTGGCTTTGACTTCCTCTGTTCCAAAGCCGTGATCAAGTGCCCTACAGCCTGAGCACACGAATCGGGCCATGATGTGCCTCGCTTGGAAAGCTGGCCAAGGATTCGAAGCGTCCGCCTGGAATATCTGTGCCATTGTGAGCGGTTGGTGCCAGATCCAGCCTTTAGACTCTATACAACATACCTCAGCGCAGACGAGATACTGGTCACGCCTTCAAGTGCAGCATAACTGAGAATGAAACAGCTCATCCATACCGACCACGTCAGGAGAGGCCAGACCATTACCGCTGCTAAAGATGCGTGACCGGTGTGGTTCAACTGCTGGTTACCGATCGTTTCCAGAATCGCTCGCGAAGCTCCAATGCAAGCTTCAAGGGCTGCTTGGGAAGCAGAAGTCCGGGGCGTTTTAGCTAGAAGTGGCCTGTTGAGCGCGATGGTAGACTCGTGCTGTAGTACTAGTAGTAAAGTGTTGTAGGAGGGGTGAGTGTATTCATTATCAGATCGTCCTGCTGGCGCTTGACCCTGCTGGTCCTCATCGTCTGTGTGGTCGCCGTTCAGAGCGTCGTGTACATCGTTTGTCCATCTTGCAAGCTTTGATTGAACGTGCAGTGATCGTTCTAGGGTGTCTTGTCTGACATGCAGGCTCTTATGACGAAGTTCAAGAATCATGCCTCGTATTTGCGCATGTTTGGACAGCAGTGTCAGGAGCTGTAGCTGATCTGAAACCCAATGAGCTTATAAGTCGCGAATGAAACACCAAGGCGCCCGTAATGACATACCTCTGGACTCGTCTTTGTGCGACTCGTCTTCACTCCCTGCTGCTTGATGGTACTCGACATCATGTGGGAAACACACGTCAATGTCGTCATCTTGAACATCAAGCGGTAGGCCCAGAGCCTGGCAGACCAGCCTTTCTAAGCAGTAGAAAGACCACCATATACGTTTCCTCATCGACACCTCGTGCGAGTTGAAGTTCTGGTATCGCCTAGGACACCTGTGCAGGCCTAGATGGTATGCCATCCTGACGAGTATACCACCTACCCTAGAGGCCATATTCAGCTTGAGCATAGAGACCAGAAAGAGCTCGACGCAAAGGGCGGCCTGCATGTTCTTGAGTGATGCTGGAGTTCCTAAAATGAAGTGAAGAGATGACGCTACATGATCAAGACTGTAGAAAAGGAGGTCTAGAGGAACCGGCCCCGTGCCTGAAGCGTTGGCCGTGCCTAGCTGACGGGTGTCTGCCAAGGAAATAGAGACTATTGCTCGCACTATAGCTGAATCCTGGGCAGAAAGACTCTCGAGGCCGTTGCTGGCGACCTGCTCCAGAATCTCCACCACCTCGGGGCCGTGCAAGAAGGGAAAGACTGGATGCCAGATCTCGAAATAGCTCTTTGTCCAAGCTATCAAGGCTTCGAATGTGACATTGGAGACCATGGGATTTCCACTTGGTACCACCTCGTCCGATCGCCAGAAAGGAGCACGGGCGCCTGTCCCCGGAGTAGCCGGATTCGCCCCAACAGACTCACGAGCATCGTCAAGCTGGTCGTCTTCACCCGGCACCAGCTGGGAAACGCTGAGTTGCTGGCCGCTGCTGCGGGAAAGAATCCCGTAGACTGTCCTGACGAAATGTATGCCGCTGCTGCTGCCCACAAACCGAGGCAGTCCCGGGTTGCCGCCATCTCTCATCAAGCCCGTCTCCTGGTTCTCATGATGGCGGAACGAGGCGGTGCGTCTCCTTTTGGTGGCACGTTCGGCGGGAGAACGTGGCTCTGTCTGGGACCAGTCGCCCTCGTAATTGTCCGGGCTTGCAGACACGCTCATTGCGCTCGGAAGTCGCCCATTGCGACAGGGGCCTATTCAGAGTGATAAGTGTTGGGGTGATATAAGCTGATAACCAGACGGTGGAGGAACTTTGGAGAGAGGTACGGGATTTCCAAGGCTCTGTGGTTCTGGTCTACAGCGTGTGGTTCACCTAGACATTTCGGACGTTAGGGGCTCAATTGATGATTGAGCGGGGCTCGTCCGCGTTAAAGGGCCCTACTCGCGCTAGGTCTCTTCTGTGCACCTGGGGCATAGCTCGGTAAGCCTTGATGACTCAATTGTCTCCGAAGTCCACGTCTATTGCTTCTCGTGGGTATTATCACGCGAGGCATAAATGTTCATATCATGATTAGAAGTACAGCCTTTTATTGTCATTGGCAAATCTACTTGCCCTACTGGTTGTTGGCTGGCTTGCCATAGGAGTTGTGCTCCCTCGGCTTAGGGGAGAGTGTCTCGAAAGACGAGGGGCTTGTTGAGGACGCATGCTCGATTGCGGCGAATCCGATTGACCGCTTTGTTGACCTCCTACTGGCGTGGACATGGGACCTCGTAGCTGGCCATCATCAAGTGTCTGGCCTGCAAGGCTGCCAATGTTGTGTGAGCCCTCCGTGGGAGGTGTGACGGGAGCGACGGCATCAAGTTCTCTCACGACGCGACTCTGGCCAAAATTCATGTCTACCGGAAGCGTATCTTCCTCTCGGTTTGCCACGAACCAAGCCTCCACCTCAGCGCGCTCACCGAGCGGACTCTTGCTCCAAAGAGTCATGAGTTCTGCCTTCTCTTGCTGCGTCGTGGGAGTGGGTCTGGAGAGCACCGATTGCCTAAAAGCAGGCCGCGATGTCGCGGTATCGCGATCCCTAGCCTCGGCATTCGCGTCAGCGAAAGTGAAGAACAGAGCTCTTTCTGTCTCGGCGAGCCGTTTCTCCAGAGCATTGACATAGCCAGCCGGAATGCCCCTGTCATGACGCGCCATTAGTCAAGTTACCTCGATGGTTGAAGATGCTGGAGCAAGAAGATGAAGATTCGGGATATCCTACCTCCTGTTCTTCTCGGGATAGTGACAATTCGCCGTTGCACTGGCGCATTGTGTGCATGTGGGTCTTCAGAGACAAATCAGCGCCTGAGTACTCGCTATGCAAAACGTTCGAGGTCCTTACAGCTTGCGATCACACTGCCGGGATGGATCCGATCGTCAGTGAACTTCTGGGCATGCCATTGAATTTAGACGGCTGCTACCTGAGCCGGGGAAAGACAACACCGACCTTGCATTTCTTGTGCCTACAAGGCTCACATGCTATCGATGCGGTCTCAATTCCGTCGTCACTCATGATACTACCGCCGGTCGAGTCGTCGATACGCATCAGACGCTCCAGCCGTTCAATTGAGTGCAGAGATGGACGGAAGAAAGCTGCCCGCGATGAGCGAGTGCTCGAGATACACCCCTCGCTCTACGCGAAGAACCCTTACCCTCTCGCCGTCCCTCCAGCTCCCTAAATCCCCGGTCTCGAAGTTTAAGGTGCTCGCCTTGACACGTAGAGGCATGGCTATAACCAACATAAATGTAAGTTATGTTGAAATATCAGTTCAGAACTCGCCGGCATCCAAGGTTGTTCACAGAGTGGTCTGGTTGTAGCAAATATAATTACCCAAGTCCGCTCGAGACGCGCATAAGGGCAGGGGAGGTGGCCCAGGTCGAAGATGGTTGTCATTAACCAACCAAACTGGTCTGTTTCAAATTTCAAGTTACGTCTTATGGGAGACTGGCTTTGGTTCTTGTCATGATGGTCTATCTATTTGACTATTCAAGGTTCTGAAGGAGAAGTTACGGCCGTTTCTGCGCCTACAAGGTCATACCCGCACTACGACGCTACTCTCTCTTCGTGCAGGACAGAGTCAATCAGAGCCTCTCCTGTCATCTCGTAATCCCAGACTAGATATAATCCAAATCAACCCAGGCGTATCTACTCAGTTCCACGGGGAAGTAGCTCTACCACAATGAGCGAATGGGCACTCCCCTCTGGCCTTCTTTGCCCCGTCACCCGCAGCACCCCTTCTTCCCGTCCCTCGCTTGCCCTTCTGAGGAGAGCCTCCCAGTCTACCATCTCTCTTTCCTTTGCGTTCAGCATTATCAACATTTGTATATCTAAGAATCTCATCGAATATTCATCATGTGCGGATACGCCGGTATTGCCGCCACTGGCGCTCTCCGAAGAGCTCGACCCGAGCATGGGCGTCATGATTTGGTCAGCAATCAATAGCTTAGACCCGCCTGGTCCCTTTTTCATCGCGGGCATCAGGTTATGCAGGATCTTGACGGCATACTTGTCGGAGTAGTTGTGAAATATCATGCGCAGGAAATAAACGTCGGCGTTTTTGACGGGCTGCGTGGTGAAGAAATCATGGGAGTAGAATGAAACCCTCGGGGCGACATCATTCGCAATACCAAGACCGGCTTTCTTCTGTGCTTCAGAAACGATTTCCGGCAGGTCTTGAACGATGAAGCTGGGGTTCTGAAACGCCTTTGCGAGGGCATATGCCACGGTGCCCCTACTGCCTCCGACGTCGACCACTGTGCTGCCGGGAGTAAGAAGCTGCCAGTCCCATCCATTGATTATATGATCTGTGTGATAGGCTGTGGTGGACTGAAATCCGTCCATAGCACGACCAAAGCGAGGGCCTCTAATAGGATCCAAATCCCAGGCCTTATACACAGGGAGGGAACTTCCCGAGGTATAGTTGAAGGCGGTCTCGTTGGGCTCTTCAGAGTAGCCCCACTTGTTAAAAGTCTGGAGGTACGCCGCTGCCCACTGGCTGCTCTCCAATACGGCGAAATAAGTCAAGTCTCGGGGTCCCGGGATTGTCATAAGCTTGGATCCAATAGTATGAGCAACAAAGCCTGCCATGAACGTGGTCAGAATGGTTCAGACGGACATTGTAGTGTAGGGAGACGTAGATACCTGGCCGTGGCTCGCGAAAGATGTTGCTAGTCATCAGGAAGCGCAGCATACGCTGAGTGACATCCTGGTTGGTACGAGTCTTTGCTGCTAGGTCAGAGTAGCTGATATCACCTTCAAGAGGCACAAACGAGGGCACATCGTAACTACAAATCCAGCGAAACGCGTTGCCAACCTGGTACTGTAAGAAAGGTCGGTCAGTAAGTGGTGGTATAGAGAGGTCAGGCTATAACATGGGCATACCAAGCAGGAGTACCAGAAAAGGTGATCCCTTGGGCCCATGACCAGTTGCTGGATCTTCTTGGAGGCGTCGAGTAGCTGACTGCGTGCTTCACGCACGTTCCGAGGGCTGTCCGGGAAGCTCAAGGGGGCATCGACAGAGAACGACGGCGGTGGGATGTTGCTGTTCGAGAGGAAAGACTTTACGGTCTTTGCGTTGGCTAATATCACATTGGCTAAGTCCTCGAGATCGTCAATGGCTCGAATGTTGAGGTTTGCTGCGAAGTCTGCCATTGTCGGATATATTCCAAGTTCTATCTTGCACTGTCTTCAGTTAACGTTTATGATGTTGAAGTGTCTCAGAAATTTTCATGATGAGCATCACTGCTGAGGGGGATGGGGAGGGTCTGATTTATTTACCCAGGTCTTGTCGGTCTAAGCTAATGTGGGCAGAGCCCCGGTGTCAGCATGCTTGCATGAGGCTTGTCTCGATGCATGCTGCTGATCCGCTACCTATGCTAAAGTTATAGTAATTAATGCGAAGAACTCGGACTCGAAGTGTAACGGTTGCCAGCGAATACATGTACGTATCCAATGCACTTATGTGAAGTACAAGCCGGCCGCCCTAGCCGCGATTACGTATGAGTTCGCGGGCGGGTGCGCATGCTCGCAAGGAGTTGTGATCTTGGTGTTTTTCTCTCAGTATACTAGCGTCCTCCGCTGCAAAAGCTCAACACGTTGCCGTATTTTTGAAAGACAAGTGTATGCATCTCAAATTCTTTGAATATATGCTGGTCAGAACTCCATCAAGATCATGGATGCAGCGTATGCAGTACCCGTCAATGATAGTTAACGAAGGTGCAAGTTTGTTCAATCGCAGGGCCACCTCAGAAATGGCCGGTCCCATCATCTCAGTCAAACTAGAATCCGGCTCTGATTCTCTCAGACGAGAGATTATCTGATTGCCACGGCAGCTTGACAAGCCCTGGAACAGCGTTGTGTATAGCAGGGGCCACATCCCAGTGGCAAGGAGACTACCGCCTGTAGTCGCGCCCCAATGCCCACGTGAGGCGGCCCCACATATCACCCACAGTAGGCGGTGTCCCCAAGGCCGCCCCTGGCCTACAGCCATGCGGCGGGAAATAACTCATCGTCAACCTCATAAGAGCAGCCAACGTTGCCCCCAACTCATCACGCACCGCAGAGAAGCCACAAAGGCACAGTTCTGTTCATCGAATCTTCAATCCATATTCCAATTCGAAGCCACGGAAACGAATAACGTAGTCTGTCATCTACGTTCTACCTCGATGGAGTCTTCTACGGCCAACACTACCTTACGCAGCTTTCGGCGTGTCAGACACAAGCATCCGGTGGCTCCTTGACAAGTCCTTGGAGTGTATGATTGACCTCCTCGACTTCGCAATCACCCACGCAGGCACAGAGGCTCGCCTCTGGCTCCAACCAGGTATACGTACGGCGTCCTTTGGCCGCCAGATATTGCGAATCTAAGGCCCCCGCCAGCGGGAAGATAACCCGGCCCTCCAGTCCAGAAATCATGGCTGCAACCACCGCCGGTTTCCTTCAATACCATGAGCCAGGTATCATAAGTCTCTTGACATTGATATCTTTCTTCTTCTTTCTTTCATCTGTGGGATGGGTCTTCAACAAAGCCATCCGTGCGGGCCTCATCGGCCAGATCCTGATCGGAATCGTGTACGGTACACCCGTAGGCGATATCTTGGATACGGCGTGGCAGGAGACCTTCATGGCTTTGGGCTATGTTGGACTGATTCTCATAATCTTTGAAGGAGGCCTGACAATCAGGCTCGATCTCCTGAAGGCCAATTTCATACTCAGTATCATCGCTGCAGCCATAGGAATAACTGCGCCAATAGCTTTGTGCTACTTGCTCCTCTATCTGGGGTTCAAGTATGGAGCCTTGGAGACGTTCATAATCGGTGCTGCTTTGTCCACGACGTCGATTGGTACCACTTTCGTGGTCATCAGCAGCTCGACCCGCGTAGACTTCACGCATACCAAAGTCGGCACCGTTCTGATCTCTGCCGCGCTCTTCGACGATGTTGTTGGCTTAATCATGGTCAGCGTTATATCAAACCTTGGGGGCATTGGCGAAGGCGGAGGTGGAAACATCGGCTGGATTGTAGGCAGACCAATCCTGGCGAGCTTCGCCATTGCAGCTGTCTCGCCTTTGATGGCCAAGTTCGCTGCCGGTCCACTATACCGGCGCTTTGCAGAGCGACATGTAGCCTCCCTAGGGCATCGAGCCACGATCTGTATCATGACGCTGGTCTTATCAGCCCATCTAGTTGTCTGCGCCTACGCTGGTGCTTCTCTCCTGTTTGGGGCTTTCTTAGCGGGCACGTTCCTAAGTACACTACCAGAAAAGCTCCCTGGAGCTCTCCAAAGTGAGGATGTCGGGTCAGTGGAGTCCCCTGCTTTCCATAAGACATTCGAGACTTTCATATCAGGTCCACAAGCCTTCATCCTGGAGCCGCTCTTCTTTGCGAGCATCGGCTTTGCCATACCCTTCAAGAGATTATGGACTGGTACTGTTGTATGGCGGGGCATCGTGCTTTCCCTGTTGATGACAATTGGAAAGGTAAGAATCAGCAGACTTTCGTTCATGCTTTGTCGTCAAGTCCATTGAACTGAAACTAAAGGCTATTGCAGGCTATCGTTGGTCTCTCCGTCCCACTGTGGGATCATGTCTATCAGAGATCTTCAATTCCGCAGCGCAAGAAGTTCTCAAGCGACTGGGCTCCAGCAACACTGTTGGGAATGGCGATGGTGGCCAGGGGCGAGATTGGGTTGCTAATCATTCAACTCGGGCTGAATGATACCTCGTTCTTGTCCGAGGAGGCATTTCTTGTCGCCATTTGGGCTATCGTCCTGAACACTATCCTCGGTCCCCTCTCTGTTGGCTTGCTGCTCAACAAATTTGAAGAGACTATTGCAAACGACCCCCGGTGGGGCGTCCAGAAGCAAGGGGCGGAAGATGGTAGCTCCCCAGATCTACCACACAGCTCAGCGCCACAGGTTGCACCAACCGAAGACCGTCGTTGATCTTCTTGTGGTCTCGGATGGGTGAGCAAGACTGGATATTGCAAGTCTTTTGTTAGGTTCGTGCTTGTCTTGTGAGGGTGGGAATAGTCTCGCAAGATTGCTTACTGCCGCCTTGGAGGAATGCCTCTCTAGTCTTCATGATAGATTGCTATCTATCTGAAAATATTTGTCATAAAGTTTTCTTCAAGTCATCAAAAAGTGGTTCTGGAGCCCATTCAACATGGATCTCCAGTATATTGGTATCGTTGCCAGCTAGCGGGCAAGCGTGAGAATGGAAGCTGGTCAATCTACTTTTCGTATTGTTTGGAATATACCGTCGACGGGAACTAGGAATAAGGAACAGATTGAAATAGACAACCTTTTTCTTTCCCTTTTGTGTGAGATTACGCCGTCTTGATCCATGAGGTGCTGGCACCAGACAAATGTTAGTACAAGAACCGCAACCTAGGAGGTCGTGGATCTGCATTCTAATGCTATAGTAATTACTGACGTGTTTTTAGTATCGGATCTCGAAATTGTCCTCGCGGAATCATCGGACACGAGTAATCTTATGGCACGGGGTAGTGCTATGGATGGTATCGTATGCGGTGCTAGGGTTGCCGCAGAACTTTGTCGATGGCAAAAGTAAAACATATTGGTTCTAAATGAGAGTTGTTATTCCTGGAAGAAGAATTGCAACTAAATACATCGGTAAACATTTATTACAAGGGAACCGTAACACGGTGCCTAGGCCGAGACCTCTTGCGAAACATCGATCCATTTAGGCCTTAGGACAGCTGGATTATTCGATACTTCAGCCGGTCTATTACTTAGAGTCATGGCTTGGTGAACGGCATGTCAATGAGGTTGATTCGAGTTGATTGGACGGGGAGGCGACAAGTTTGCCGGAATGTCTCAAGGTCTTATGTAATCCTAAAATGACCAAACTACCTAGGGGACTCGCCGATCGTGAGGAGTAGCAGTAAAGGGAACTTTCTGCCTTTCCCATTTTGTGTCACACAGCCAATGTCTCGATGAGATACCATGAAAATCACACAGGTGAGCATCTACAAGCGAAACGGTATAACGCTAGAACATGCAAATTGACTTCGGCAGCTTTACGTTTATCCAATCAAGTCGCTGCGAGGCATAGCGCTGCAACGCACGAGGCTTGATAGACAGGGCGTCCAATATGACCGGCGCTATATGCTGCTAAGGGTGCACGATGACGGCCACCATGAAGCAGTTGAAGTTTCCAGATATCCAGCTTGTGCTCTTTTCATCCCCGAGATCCTTGAAGGAAATGGAAAGATCACTGTGAAGTACCAGAGCCCGGAGGAGCCAGTCTCTCCGCCGACACCAGCGCAAAACACAACGCTTGAGATCCCATTGGAGCCGGATATCTGCAGCCTGGAGACTGTGGAGGTTGACTTATACAAGAGCATGAGCATGGGCTATCGTATGCCTGAGGCTCACAACTCATGGTTTAGCTCTTGCTTCGGCTTCGAGACTATCCTCGTTTATGTTGGCGATGGCAAACGACAGGTACTTGGGTCTATGTCCCCGCATGTTCAAAAAAAGCGAAATCAGGGGTGGCTATCGTCCATGAAGAGCTACATTGGTTCGAACGACGAAGATCCTCACTGGCTCACGTTCACCTGCGTCGCATCGTATCTGATCACAACCGAGGCGTCTTTACACGATGTGAGCAGCCGGCTTCCGCCTGGCGAGGAGATGGACATTCGCAAGTTCAGGCCCAACATAGTTGTCGACGGTGAGGGAGCATTTGACGAAGATTACTGGGGGGAGATTGAGGTTGACAATGGTGTCCGGTTTGCTCTGACAGGGAACTGCGGGCGTTGCATGTCTATTAATGTTGACTATGCGACTGGGAGGCCCGGAACAGGTGAAAGTGGCAGTGTCCTGAAGAAACTGATGAAGGACCGCAGGGTTGACCAGGGCAACAAGTACTCACCGATCTTTGGGCGATATGGCTTCCTTCAGGCCGAAGAGGCAGAGGTCCAAGTGGGAGACGAGGTGGCTGTGACCAAGCGGATGGAAGAGAGGTGTGTCTGGGTAAGCACTTTCGGAGTTTCTTTTTTTCTTCTTCTTCACCTTGTGGGGACAGGTTTCCATCATGCAACCCCTCTCACAAACCACATCTTGCCTTCTGTCGGACTGCAGTGTGTCCTGTGAGATGGGCTGTGGGCAGAAAATATGCAGACCATTTCACCTTACCCTGTCTTGTTGGTGGTGTAAGGCGAGATGCGTGGTGCCATGTCTCGAGCGCGAGCTAACTCGGATGCTGCAGGACTGGCCTCCATACAAATGAAATTGTCCGGGGAAACGATACTTGGACGTCAACGCATTTTTTTTCCTAGATGGATGCGTCTTGACTTCGGTCGAGTCGAAACTTGTCGAGGCGGCTGCTGCAACTTAGATAAACCCTGGTTGTACGGTAACTTCGCGGTTACAGTGCAGCTGCTGTAACAATGGGCCTGTGCTGGCTCGAGCCGAGGCCGCTCATCCGCTAATAGAGGCTAGTGCTGCAAGATGGGGGTCCTGTTTGGGACAGCACCACACAAATTGCCTGCATTCAGATCCAGCTCCTTCTGGCCAGACCCAAAAAAAGTACAGATGGCGACTCCAAATTTCCTTCGTCATCTGCTCCCTGCCTAGTTATCGACACCTCTCACCTGCTACCACTCTCTCCCATCTCCGTTCCTTTTTTCCCACTCTAACACGACCCACGCGCCGCCCAGTTGAAGCGCCCAACTCCATCTCCAATGCGGTAGCGCATCCATAGACAATTGACCTCGACCCGGTTCCCTCTCATCGCAACCACCACTGCGCAAGTGTTGCTGCCGCCGCCCCACCATGGCGCCGCCGCCGCCTCCGACGACTCTCGTCGACAATCCGCAGATCAAATCTGCTGAGCTCCTGTCCCCGCGGCCTCTGTTCCTCCATGCCTACGTATGGCCCTTCACCATCATCTGGCCTGTCTTCCTGGCCTTCTACCTGAGCCCTGAGCTGTACGACAAGCACATTGGTGGCCAAGAATGGACCTTTGTCTGGATGGGAACAATCATCACCTTCCAGAGCCTGTTCTGGTTGAGCACCCACTGGAGTGTCACTGCCAGGGCCATAATTACCGCGAGGAAGGCTTCGTCCATCGAGGAGGCGCAACAAATCAAGGTCATTCCTGTCGCAAATGCTGGCGTAGCTGACATTAGCGACCTCATCCGGGAGAAGGTGAGTCTTTGGCGCCAGCGCCCTATATTTGTTGGAGCCCATGGAACTGTTGGCTGACCTCCATCAGATCGATGGCAAGAACAGCCTTTCCTTCCTCTTTCAGAAACGTCGTTTCCTGTACGATCCCGATAAGAAGACATTTGCAACCTTGAGCTATGCCATCGACGCCGAGCCAAAGCCTACCATCGAGACCTTCCAAAAGTCCAGAGGCCTGTCCAACGCCGCTGAGCTCAAGAAACTGGAGCAACACTATGGCGCCAATACGTTTGACATTCCGGTTCCTACATTTACAGAACTCTTCAAGGAGCATGCTGTTGCGCCGTTCTTTGTCTTTCAGGTATTCTGCGTTGGCCTGTGGATGCTGGACGACTATTGGTACTACTCGCTGTTCACCCTCTTCATGTTGGTTGTCTTTGAGAGCACCGTTGTCTGGCAGCGCCAGAGGACCTTGAACGAATTTCGTGGCATGAGCATCAAGCCTTACGACATTTGGGTTTACCGACTGGGCAAATGGACTGAGGTCCAGAGCGACAAGCTTCTCCCCGGAGATCTCGCGTCTGTTGGCCGAACCAAAGAAGACAGTGGTGTCGCATGCGACATGTTGCTGGTGGAAGGAACAGCTATCGTTAACGAGGCCATGCTGTCTGGAGAAAGCACACCCTTGCTGAAGGAGTCTATTCAGCTGCGCCCAGCGGACGCCAGATTGGAGCCTGAGGGCCTCGACAAGAATGCCTTCCTCTGGGGCGGTACCAAGGTCCTACAGATCACCCACGGCAATCCTGATGACCCAAAGCCTCCCGTTGCATCCGGAGTCCCTCCACCCCCAGACAAAGGTGCGATGGCTATTGTTATCAAAACCGGTTTCGAGACGTCGCAGGGCAGCTTGGTCCGCACCATGATCTACTCCACAGAGCGTGTCTCCGCCAATAATGTCGAGGCTCTACTCTTCATCCTGTTCCTGCTCATCTTTGCCATTGCCGCGTCTTGGTACGTGTGGACAGAGGGTGTTCAGAAGGACCGTAAGCGATCCAAGCTCTTACTCGACTGTGTTCTTATCATCACGAGCGTGGTGCCTCCCGAGTTGCCCATGGAGCTTAGCTTGGCTGTCAATACAAGTTTGGCAGCTCTTGCCAAATACGCCATCTTCTGCACGGAGCCTTTCCGTATTCCCTACGCTGGTCGCATTGACGTGGCTTGTTTCGACAAGACTGGAACCCTGACCGGAGAGGATCTTGTCGTTGAGGGCATTGCCGGTCTTGGCCTTGGGGCGTCTGGCACTGATACGCCACAAGAATCTGATGGAGCGCACAGCAACATGACACTGGTCAAGGATTCTGGTTTGGCCTCCACACTCGTCCTTGCTACTGCTCATGCACTGGTCAAGCTTGACGAAGGTGACATTGTCGGCGATCCAATGGAAAAGGCTACCTTGTCTGCTCTTGGTTGGACTCTTGGCAAGAATGACATATTGACGCATAAGCCTGCGACAGCTGCTGCTGGAGGAACTCAAGGGACTGTTCAAATCAAGCGTCGCTTCCAATTCTCGTCCGCACTCAAGCGTCAGAGCTCGATTGCCACTGTCACAGGCAGGGACCCAAAGACTGGTGCACAAATGCGAGGGACCTTTGTTGGTGTGAAAGGCGCGCCAGAGACAATCATGAAAATGCTCGTTACTGTTCCGGCGGACTACGAGGAGACTTTCAAATATTTCACTCGCAGGGGATCTCGTGTATTGGCCTTGGCGTACAAGCAGCTTTCGACAGAGGATGAACTAGGTGCCAAGAGGATCAACGAGCTCAAGCGTGAGAATGTTGAGGCTGGTTTGACATTTGCTGGATTTTTGGTTCTCCACACCCCATTGAAGGACGACGCCAAGCAAGCAGTCCAAATGCTGAACGAGAGCAGCCACAGGGTCGTCATGATCACTGGTGACAACCCTCTCACTGCTGCTCATGTGGCTCGTGAAGTGGAAATTGTTGACCGCGACGTGCTTATCCTCGACGCTCCTGAGCACAATGACAACGGAAACAAGCTTATATGGCATAGCGTCGATGGACGAATCAATATCGAGGTGGATCCGTCAAAGCCCATCGACTCCGACATCCTGACGAAATACGACCTCTGTGTGACTGGCTACGCTTTGGCAAAATTCAAGGACCAGGTTGGCTGGCATCAAATCCTGCGATACACCTGGGTTTATGCCCGAGTCTCTCCCAAGCAAAAAGAGGAGCTCCTCTTGGGTTATAAGGACATGGGCTATTTTACCCTGATGGCTGGTGACGGAACGAACGACGTTGGTGCTTTGAAGCAGGCTCACATCGGAATCGCCCTCTTGAACGGAACGCAGGAAGACCTCACCCGTATCGCCGAACACACTCGCAACACCAAGATGAAGGAGATGTATCAAAAGCAAATCGACCTGATGAAGCGCTTCAACCAGCCTGCGCCTCCAGTACCTCCACTGATTGCTCATCTGTACCCTCCTGGACCATCCAATCCCCACTATCAAAAGGCCATCGAGCGTGAAGCGCAGAAGAAGGGGGTCTCCCCGGCCGAGTTCGCCCGGTCTCAGGGACATCAGCAGCCTATCGAGACAGTGACATCTCCCGGCGCTCAACAGCTGATCAATTCTGACCCCCGTGCTGCCAGACAGGCAGAGGCAGCTAAGAAGGCCTCCAGCTTTGCCGACAAGCTTCAGCAATCAATGATGGACAGCGAACTTGACGACGGCGAGCCTCCTGCTCTCAAGCTTGGAGATGCCTCCGTCGCTGCGCCGTTCACCTCTAAATTGCGAAACGTCATGGCTATTCCCAACATTATCCGCCAGGGTCGGTGCACGCTTGTCGCCACTATCCAAATGTACAAGATTCTCGCCCTCAACTGTCTCATCAGTGCTTACAGCTTGAGTGTCTTATACTTGGAAGGTATAAAGTTCGGCGATGGTCAGTATACCATTAGTGGCATGCTTATGAGCGTCTGCTTCTTGTCTATCTCAAGGGCCAAGTCTGTCGAGGGCCTTTCCAAGGAACGCCCACAGCCTAACATCTTCAACTTCTACATCATCGGCTCTATTCTCGGACAATTCGCGGTTCACATTGTTACTCTGATCTACATCGCGAACGTCTGTGACAAGCTTGAGCCGTAAGTTTCTATCATGCCATGTTTCAAAGCGGGATTTGATGCTAACATCTTTTACAGCCGTGGCGACATTGTCGACCTTGAGGCCGAATTCACCCCATCGCTCCTCAACAGTGCCGTCTACCTACTACAGCTCATCCAACAAATCAGCACCTTCGCGGTCAACTACCAAGGACGCCCCTTCCGGGAAGCCCTTTCTGAGAACAAGGGCATGTTCTATGGCATCGTGGGTGTGACAGCCATTGCCTTTTCTTGCTCGACTGAGTTCATTCCCGAGCTCAATGAACAAATGAAGCTGGTGCCATTCTCGAGCGAGTTCAAGTCCACCATGACGGCCGTCATGGTTGTCGACTACGCAGCGTGCTGGATCATCGAGGTTGCTCTTAAGAAGCTATTCTCGGACTACCGGCCGCGCGATATCGCGCTTAGGAGACCAGACCAGCTGGAGCGTGAGCGTGTGCGCCATGAAGAGCAGCAGAAGCTTAAGGAGGCGGAGGAGGAGAAAAAGAGGCTCGAGAAGGTGGCTGAGTTTGAGCGGAAGGTCGAGGCGCAGAGGCAGAGGCTCGAGGCCTGGAGAGACGGGCGTCAGCGAGCCTAGGTGGCCTTGTGAATCGACACAAGTTAGAAAGGTTCACGTTTAGGAGAGCATATAGACTGGGGAGAGTTCAAGTAGAACCACGCAATATCTGGTAGACTAAGCGTAGTGCAAACGCTTGAACCAGTGCAAGAAGTTAATTCACCCAATGCTCTCTCATGGTTTGAATGTCGTTGAAGGCTTTGTAAAGTCTGGGGGTTCTGGACAAAGTAATGAGTGCAGGAGGGTGTCAGACAAGGCGACTGTCGTCCTGAATCATTACCATCAAGTCATACGTTCATCACCGTTGATATTTCAGATTGGTTCTCACTTTCGAACCGAAATCCAGGAAATCATTGTGCTATTGTACAAGCAGCTGTCTATTTGCATCTTCGATGAAGATCGAAAGAAAAAGACTAGACCACGCAGGAAGTAGCAGCTCTCTCGTTTTATCTTGCCTCTTGTCGCACCCATTGGATCCAAATCCGCAACAACGAAACTGGGATATACCGGCCAAGGAAGTTCAGCGGGGGAAAAAGCATCCAGAATAGTCATCAACCCGTCCCTCAACCATTACAGGCAGGCAAAAGTCCACATGTGTCCTGAAACAAGACGGCAAGACAGGGGGAGATTCACCAGCAATCCTGTGTGCCCCTCAGGCGAGTGACATGCACTCTCCAAGACTTTTGGGAGTCGCTTAGCTCATCCCAAGAGAGGTGCTCCGTCCCGTCCAAGGGGTTGAAAGGCGCCCATAGAGAGTCCTAGTTTCCGGGGTTCTTGGCAACGAAGGCGACACCCTTCTCGATGTTGTTCTTGAGGTCAGCCAGGCAGGCCTCGAGCATCTTCTCCTCGTTGGCATCCAGCTTGCCGAGGGGCAGGATCTTCTCGACACCGTTGGGGCCGAGCTCGACCTTGGAGGAGAAGAAGTCGATGCCCTGGTCCTTGTACAGAGGGGAGTCGACGAAAGTGGGCTCAACGACGCCCTTCTCGCCCTGGGAGGCGCGCAGCAGAGACTCGGCCATGCGGGCACCAGCCATGGCCATGGACAGGGTGGCGGAGCCGGCACCGTCCTTGGCCTTGACGACCTCGTCGCCACCGAACTGGACGCGCTTGACGATCTCCTCGTTGGAGGACAGGTCAGGGTGGGCGGACTGGGAGAAGAGAGGGACGATGGTCACGCCGGAGTGGCCACCAACAACGGTGATGTTCTCGTCGGCGGGGTCGGTGCCCTTGACCTGGGAGACGAAGCGGGAGGCACGGACGACGTCGAGAGTGGTGACACCGAACAGGCGCTTGGGGTTGTAGACACCACGGGCCTTGAAGACCTCGGCCACGATGGGGACGGTGGAGTTGACGGGGTTGGAGATGACGAGGATGTTGGCGTCGGGGGAGGCCTCGGCGGCGGCCTTGGCCAGGTCGCGGACGATGGAGGCGTTGGTGTTGAACAGGTCGTCACGGGTCATACCGGGCTTGCGGGGGACACCGGCGGGGATGAGGACAACCTCAGCGCCCTTGAGGGCATCGGCCAGGCCGGAGGCGGTAGGGTCGTAGCCCGTGACAGTGGACTTGGTGTTGATGTGGGAGATGTCTGCGGCAACACCTGCAAGGGACAAGGGCTGTTAGCATCGTGCTCCAGCTGCCAAACTATCACCGGAGCAAGCTGCACCGGCAATTGGGGCGCGACTGAGGCGACTGAGGGCAGGCGATCATGATGGGGCGGACAATGCTTACCAGGAGCCATGCGAATATCGTACAGGGCAAGCTCAGTCACTCTAGGGTTGAGCTTGAGCAGCAGGGAAAGAGGCTGACCAATGCCACCAGCAGCACCGAGGACGGTCACCTTAGACAGCTACAGAGGGGACAGTACATGTCAGTTCTGGCTGCGGAAAAAGACGCAAAGCTGCAATGGAGGATTTACCTGGCGAGCCGAGGCCGAGAAGGCACGGCGCTGGAACATGGAGGCCATTCGAGGAGCGGCGAACATCTTGGCGGTCTTGTTTGGATGTGAAGAACAGAGAGAGACTGAGGGCTGGTTGAAGGGGTGACTGTGTTAGCACAAGTACCGCGGCAGGTCAATGGGAAGTGGCAGGCAGCTTTACCGACAAAGACGAGAGGCTGAAGGGTTGATGGTGACGACAATGCTGTCAAGAAAAGTTTCCAATCTGAGGTTGCAGGTTGCGTCCAAAAAGCTCACTCCGGTCGGTCTTGCTGATGTGGAGCCCAGATGGCAGTTTCGGCGCTAAGGAGCTAGCCGAGTGTCCCCTCAAGGCTTAGCGTGACGGGCCATCGGAGCACCTCGGGATTCCTAGACCTCCAAGCACCTGTGTGGTGCTACAGCCGTCGCCCACACACACACTCTCTCTCTCTCTCTAATGAAACTGGGCAGTCAGTCCGGTAGTCCGGTACTCCACATGACGATGGACTGAATCCACACAAGGGTTGCTGGTGGTAGGCTTCACCAGAAGAAAGACTCCCGTGATCATGTTCAAGACCAAGAGGTGATGGTGATGGAGAGTCTCTCCTCAGCTGTGCAGCTCCACAGTCCAAACTGCCATGGCTTCATCTGGGCAAATGCACATCCTAAAGCCTATCTGTCTCTTTCAGCATGGCAATGTTCACATGTGTGGCCCATGCATGTCCCTCTATCTTGCTCACCTCTTGGCCTGGGGATCTTCTCTTGCTGCAGAACAGCATGCAGTAAAAAGTCAAGTCTCCTCAAAAGTCTACTACACACTATAGGAGAAGCTGCACCTTTAAGATCAAGCTTTGTTCACCTCATCTCAAATACCACCGGATCATCCGTCCGTTGATGCTGGCTTTGCCTCTCCGGACTTAGCCACTTCTACCGGAATTGCCGGACCAGCCGCGCGGGGAGTGATCGCACTCTCGGCCTCCGACCTACTGAGGAGTGACTGTCTTGATAATAATCCATATATACAACTCTCTCATATGGCCACTTGTGTTCACTGTGTATGCAATTATTGACCAAACCTTCTCACATCGACCCCTTCTGTGTACTCAGCTTCCTTCAGTGATTTATCGGTATGGAGTCCATAAGGGAAGCCCTGGCCAAATTCGGCAATGCCTGGAACAACGAAGTGCCTCCTGCGCTGGCAAAACTCTACGGGCCCATTCAAGCCCAGCACAACAAGAAGTACGCAGGCCAGATCAAGGCGGAGACTGCCATCAAATATGGGCCGGATCCGAGGAATCGTCTCGATGTTTATACCCCGGTAGAGGCGGACACATCTGGGGGCTCCGGCAAACCTGTTGTTGTCTTCATCCACGGTGGTGGCCTTGTGACTGGTGATAATACCATGTATGCTAACATTGGTACGTGAGCATTCCACAATTGCTGCTCCCCGTACAGATCTAACTTGTGTACAGGCAATTATTTCACCAGTAATGGCTACATCACATGTCTCGTCACATATCGCCTAGCTTTGCAAGGGGGGCACCACCCCAACGGTGCAGAGGATGTTGCCTCCGCACTCCAGTGGATCCAAGCAAACATCTCCAAGCACGGTGGAGATCCCGGCAAAGTTGTCGCCATCGGCCAAAGCGCGGGCGGCCTACACCTCGCCACGGCAATGTTCCTCGGCAAGCTCGATCCAAACCCCAAGCCGCTCGTCCACGGCGCGGTCCTGCTGTCAGCTGCCTTCATGGCAGATAGCAGCGACCCCAGCCGGGCGAGCGTGCTGAAAGACTGGTTCCAAACCGATAACCTGTTCGAGATCAACCAGCGCTGGTCGCCGGTTGCCATCTTCCGTCAACAGTTCTTCGGCACGGCGACAACTCCGCCGCGCGAGAAGCTGCCATGTGCGCTGCTGATGATGGTCGGCGAGGATGAGGCCGATGAGATCCTCGACGGTACATTCGAATTCCTGAGTGATTACAGGAAGAGGTTCTCCAAGATGCCGCTTTTCGAAGTGCTCAAGGGTCACAACCATGTCTCGTACACCTTTGGGCTGGGTCTGGATGAGCCAGAGTATGCAGCTGTCGGAAATAGGCTGCTTGCTTTCATTAAGGAGAAGACTGCATAGTTGAGAATTTGAAAGGCTTTGAGGCATGCAGCTTTCACTCCTTATTTCTGTGCCAATAACCCCGCAGACGGCCTCACTGAAATCTGGTTAGTCACCTCTGTAGTGCTGTCAGTCCCTCACTATGTCCACTAAGATGTTCTGTGAAAAGTTTTCTTACTGGAACAAGCAACTAGGAGTGTAAGATTGATTTTGTCAGGCTCAGGTCCTTGTGGCATAGAGCAAAGAATGCTTGCTGATTTCATGCATCGGCTCTGGAAATTTGTGTGTCCAATATGAATGGTGAAAAAGCAGGGATCGAAAGAGACATTCAGCGAGTGTTGGAGCCGTAAATTAATCCAAATTGTCCATATTTTTACTGTGGTTCTCAAGAGAAAGAAGTCTGTCAAGATTGTATTATGCAGAATTCTCAGAGGCATCTTTCACTGAGGATAGCTGATCGTGAATCGCCATGAGAGCGCTTATGAGATATAGCCAGACAGAATAACTGTCTGTGCTCTGTCAAAAGCTATAAAGCCAATAGGCCACCCACTACCATATAGATTTAGCAACTCAAATTACATGGAATGCTTTGCATGTGGAATTGTAAAACATAGAGTGAATGGGGAACTTCAACTTATGTGAGCACTCTCGTATTTAATAGTGTGAAAATACAACACAACTATCAGTAAATCAGATATTGGAAACACATGGTCAAGCTCACAGTTGCCAGACACATAAACACTTACCCTCATCAATAAAATCTAGATTCCTACTTCCTCAACTGGGTGCCAATATCAGCGATATCATATCCTACTAGCGAAACGATGCAATGAGAATCCCACTAGCATGTCTTACGCGCCTCAGATGCTTTATACATGCAACAAGAATTTAGAACTGCCTTGACCTCAATGAATGTAACAATATGTCTCAATGCTCTAGCAGCTAATCAAAATGCTTGATAATGACTTATTCACTGACCAAGCTGAGTTGGAAGTTTTCATTGGGTTATTCGAGAATTTCTGAGCTTTCTTTGTAGACGTAACTGTTCAAGGTTTTGCAAGCTCTATATTTTTCATAGCAAACTAGCTTGCTGAGATGATCCACTGGAGCCGTCACAGCCGGTTCTCTATCCACAGAGAAAGCAAGGCCAACTGTCTTGATGCCAAGCACGACACAGCCCAGTCCCCAGATGTTAACTCCAAAGGGAGCATGCTTCTCGGAGCTTTGATCATGGAGCTGCTCGCATACGGCGGAATCCCGGAACTTCTCCGGCCGCACCGCAAAGGCGACCGCTCCCAGATCTTGAGCAGCCAGAGTGGTATCGCTATCGACCGCAGAGCTGTACACCTCTTCCAGCTTGTGACCACAGACGGGCACATCCCATACCAAACATGAGATATTTGGCAAAGACTGCAAGATGAGTTTTAAGTCCCACACCGAGCCTCCACAAGACTGCGGACCCTGGAACACTTGACAATACTTTTGCGGTGGCATCACCATCGGAGACACTCCACTATAGACCATGCCGGAAAGGATGCCGCTTTAATCCGGAATTTCTTGAATAAGAACATCCGGGTAATCGGCAACGTGAGCCATTTCAATTGTCGTTCCACAGCAAAAGGAAGAAACATGCAGCCGCGAGTCCTGCTACCTTATGTGCTCGAGTTGCCAGATAAACATGCTAGAAGACATGTTGCCTGCTCTCGTGAAGGAGAGGTCGACAAGTTTCTCCGAATGGGTGCGAAGGAGGTGAAAGGAGAGGTCATGATCGGGGAAATCACGGACGGTGCAGCGATCATGTGGCTCGGCTTTCTCATCCGGCATGGCATTGTGGATGAGCAGAACCAGCCTGACTTGCTTCAAATCACCGACCGGATTCACCGCCACTTACCGTTTTCAACTGACAAGGCATAAGCATGGGAAATGATACTCCTTAACATCCCACCCGGAAGAGTCCTCATCCAACAGCGGGGGCGGGAGGATCACCCGAACGCATCACTTACCCAGTCTATCTTCTAGAAATGGCAATGCGATTTTCTTCTGACTATGCTTATGCTTGTGTCTGACTCTATACACCCACGTTCCGACGAGTCACGGCAGCCGCTGTTCCGCCCCCAAAATGCCAAGAGAGACTGTGTTTTCACTATTGATGACGAGGACTTCGCCAGTTGAGTCAAGAGAATCAGACGTGAACATTTCTCCGTAGAAAATCATTGCCGCGCAGAGGTTTGCCCCGAGCAAGTTAACGTGCTTTCATCTATCGCAGTGGGTGCCCAAGGCCGACTGGGTCACGACTAGGCAAGGCAGACCGCAGTCCTTGATCCTCAATACCCATCCAGACTACAATGGACCTCAAAGTTCACATGATTCCTCGACACATAGTCACCGGGATGTGGGCGGCAAATCTCGGCACCGGACCCTGGTGTTGGCAGTGCAAGTTTGAAGATATTTTGGGACGACCTTATAGGGCTCTCTGACTCGCATGAGGGGCCGGGACGAGCTCCATTGATCCACGGAAGCGAACCTTTGAATTGAGTTTTTCTGGGGAAGCCGCATCGCGGTACCCTATTTTTTACCTTAAAAAACTGAAGCGAGATTACCATCGACGTCGGCTGAGTCGAAAATCGAAGGAGTCGGCTCCGAGCGCAGAGCCTGGGCACGCCAGCCCTGTGGGTGCCCCCTTCATTATCGAGGATCACAGACGCAGATCCCTCCACATAGTCTTCAAAATAGATCGGTGGCTTTGGGTGGTGAAAGAGGGGACTTTTTGACAGCATTCAGCAGCACAGGGATCATCGGTGATCGGCCTCGTCTATGTGGGTTCCGAATACCGGTGCCAGTTGGGACGAACAGTCCGCATGGGGAAAGTTCGCCGAGGACTCCTTAAGCTTTTGAGCCTCTTTGACATCAGACGGTGTCCATGGATGATGAGATTGCACTGCTATTTTTCGAATGTGTGGGGATGCATGGCGAGGATGTTGTCAAAATCAGGGGACAACATCGAGTAAGGCTGATGATGGAGATTTTCAACGCCTAAGGACTGTGATCGTGAAAACTTCATGATCATTATAAATGAGCAGCATCTCTCCATCTCATCTGGACTTTGAACTTCTATCTCATCACCATCACACACAATAATCTACTCTCTTTTGCATCATTCAGTCTTTCCTTAACAGTCTCTCTCGTTTCTAAAACAACTACACTCATTCCTGATTAATTACAATCATCAATCACACTCATTCAAAATGCAGTCCACTCTCGTGTCCATGCTCGCCATTGCTGGCGCTGTCTCCGCCGCTCCTCTCCAGAGCCGCGATGTCCAATGGGTCGACGCTTCCGAAGTCTCTTCCTGGAACAACAGCCTGGTGGACGGGTGGGCTGGTCAGGTCATCACCGACTACCAGCCTTACCTCAAGGTCGTCACCGGCTGTGTGCCTTTCCCCGTCGTGACCGAGGATGGCAAGGTCGGGTAAGTACATTCCCAGACTCGATTCGACACAAGCAAACACTAACAGCAATCCAGCTCCGGCCTCAAGCCCACTGGAGCCATGTCTGGCGATTGCGACTCCAGCACCGGACAGGTCTACGCTCGCAGTGGCTGGTTGAACAACGGCCACTGGAGCATCATGTACAGCTGGTACTTCCCCAAGAACCAGAACAAGGACCTCCTGCCCTCGGAAGGTCACCGCCACGACTTCCAGAACGTCATCATCTACTTCAACAACGACGATGACGACTTCGCTCACAACCCCCCTGTTGGTGTTGCATACAGCAGCGGCTCCGACAGCGCCTACACCAAGCTCAAGCCCGGCAGCGACGCCGCCCCGGTCTTCCAGGACAACACCCACCTCTACGTCCAGTACGACCGCGCCAGCGAGGACCCCAAGCTTCACATCCTCGCCTCCACCGAGGAGGCCGGTGGCCAGCAGCCCGTCGTCCAGTGGGGCGCCTTCACTGACGCTGCCCAGCGGGCTATTGCCACCGCTGACTTCGGCGAGGGCGTCACGGTACCTTTCATCGATGCCAACTTCCAGAACAACGTGGAGGCTGGATTTGACGCCGGCTTCTTTGCTTAAGAGCCTTTGACTCTGGGCTACACTTAATTTCCTTATCTTGTTTGATTATTGTGTGGGCATGGTGGGAAAAGGTGCCTTGTCTACGGGATAGGGCTGGGGGCGTTTAATCTAGAGGGCATCGGGGGGATAATTAATGTGACCATAGATAGAATCATAACTTTTGTCCATATAGGCCGATAAATATATGGGCGTGGATCATACATCACAATGGCTCGAAAATGATACCATGTATAAATCATCCACTATCTCTATGTGCTAGGCTCGCTACTCCTAAGAGACTTCTCAATCATGATCGATCGAGTTGGTGGTGATAATCCGTTAAATTTTCTTCGGCGAGGAGAATTGACTAGAGGTATCTGTTTTCGCTAAAAGGAATGAGCAAAGTCATATTGACACTAGGGGGCGGGCAATCATTGCCACAAAGTATCTGATTCGTATCAAGCCAGTCATTGCACTCAATCAGAGACTCTTCGCTCTCGCTTTTGAACGTTATGGAACAGCTGGCACCAGCTGTGGCCACCAGCTCGGGCCGTCCGAGTACGAGCAGGGATAGACCATCATGTGGGGTCCCCACATGCAGGGGCGCAGTAGTGACGTCGCCTGACCCAATCTTCTGGGAGCGTGAGGATGAATAACCTTTTTGGCCACAGCCACCCTCGGAGAGCGAATGGCGAATAGCTGGCTCGACGCCCAACACTCGCAAACAAGCCGCGGTGATTCGTAATGCGCAGCAACGAGCCTCCTTGTACTTCGCCCCCATAAGCCTCAGCAACTACAGCTGAAGCTCCGTTTCGGAGTCAGCCTAGAAGGCGACCGAACACGCTCAGGAAATACAAAAGACATGGCTTTCCCCAGGTAAGAACAGGTGGGTGTCACACAAGTCACTCTATTCAGAACTGCACCAAATCAAGCAACACCACTACCAACTGAAACAATCACATTTGTACGACATACATACAGTCAAAAACAAAATCGGCATGTCTGCATCAGAATACTACGGTGGCCACAGCCAACAGCACTCTTACGGCGCGCCCCAACAGCAGCAATACGCATCACCATACGGGGGCTACGCTGCACCAGCTCAACAGCACTATGCATCCGGGCCGTCACAATCATATGACAACCGCCAACCAGGCCAAACGCAGGATGGCGAGAAAGGTCTGATGGCAACGGTCATCGGCGGCGGTGCCGGCGGCGCCATCGGGCACAAAATGAGCCACGGAAGCAAGTTCAAGACACTGTTGGGCGGAGCAGCCGGTGTCGCAGTGGCAAATGCAATTGAGCACAAGATGAAGGGCAACAAGCACAGTCATGGTCACCACGGCCATGGGCATCACCAAGCGCCACCGCCACAGCATGGACACGGAGGTTCTTTCGGAGGACTGCTCGGGTCCGCCGGCTCTCACCACGGCGGCAGTCATGGAGGCTCTATGGGTGGGCTTGGTGGCTTGCTTGGTGGCAAGCAGCACCACGGTCCACCTGCACATCATGGTCACGGGCACCATGGACATCACGGACACCATGGGTGGTAAATATCGACTGCTACCGGCTTTTCTCATGTCATATATAATTGCATTGGCTTATTGGAGTTTTGGATTACGATCAGCATGTTCTCAATTTGGTTGGAGCGGACTGGGGAGCTTGATGAATTGATCGGGCTTGAGAAGGGCTACAGTGATTATACCCATGTTGAACAGGCGTAATTAGACTACGCAACAAGATACAACGAGAATCAAAAATTTAAACAAACATCGACGAACCATTGTTTTGATGCAGCAGATTGTGCACTATGTTGGGCGTGAGTTGCACTTCATGTACGGTCCAAGTGTCGGAAACACCCACTTCTACGTACGGCAGAGCTTGAGTTCGCGTATCTGAAATCAACGGGCGTGCTTCCGTACCAGAATTTGCAGGTTCTGACTCCAGTGCACACGCTCAGTTCTTTCTGCACCACAGTGACCACATTCTTCCCCATTCTTCACATCATCTGGACCCTAGACGGAGTCACAGAATCAGAAACGTCGCTCCTTCATACATTCTTTCCCCTGGTAGTCAATCTTTGGGAACATCGGACACTCAGCGTACTGAGAGATCCGTCATGCGATCTCATCACCAGGACCGCAAACGCACTCTCCAATATCCTAGCCTAGCCATGGGTACCATGCTCAGGTAAACAAGGCTACGACGTGGCCCCGCTGTCCCAGGTGTCCACATTAACATCACCCGTGAATCGTACGATGTTTATGCGCAGTAGATCCAGTTTGCACCTGCTGGAACATAAAGTTTGGGGCAGTCTGCGACGACCGGCCTCGTTGGCAACTGCGGCATAAAACCGTTCCAATGCAGACGCAACGGCGTTCCCCTCATTCGACCTTGGGTTGATAACGTGGAGATAGCCTTAGGCCTGTTTTGACCGGGACAGCCCAGTGATCAACGCCAATTGTGATGTGTTGGTCATCTCTACGTGGCGCTAATGCCTACGGCTACAGTATCGGCAGCGAACTGCTCGAGCGTTGAAAGCACGGGAACAGGCGTTGCCTGCCTTGTCTGGCATGGGAATGGCTTGTCGAACATCCACGTCGGCAAGTGACAGCAATAATGTTTTGTTCCCGGAACAGCCTGGTTGATGCAACCTATTTTTTTGCTTATCGGCAAAGTAAAGTGCGCGCGGCGTCTGACCATCAAAGAATGTTGACCTATGTGTGAACGGTATTTCTTGGCTATCGTTCGGAATGAAGCCATTGCTGATCGGGTCCTCGGATTTCTTGCTGTCTGAATGCAAACCTGTGGCCACGAATGGAAGCCTTTTTTGTAGACCGAAGACCTTTAGTCAGAAACATACTGCCCTTCAATTGATGCCCGAGATACTGTCAACTATGCATTCTTCGATTTGTGTTCCTAGTACGATAACTCAAATACATAGCATGATAATAAAGACCACAGAGTCAATTTTGGGTTGAGAAATTTTTATCAACACTGTAATTGCGATCAAGTTGATAGACGTTGGAAAATTGGGATGAGGGAAAGTTATAATGTTGGAATACGAATGGAGGTTAGCGCAAAGTACCTAAATAGTAAGACGTGTTTGTATCTGCCAATCGGAACTGATGGGCTGGGGCTTAGTCCAGCTCCTTCAACTCCCACGGCACATCCATGACGAGCGTTGCTGGCCTGATCAATTGTATCGAGTCAATCTTTCCTGCACGTATCCCATATTTACTATTTTGCTCATCTCTACTGCAGCGCAACGCAAGGAAGCCTCATATCCAGCTGTTCTCTGATGAATCCAAGTCAAAGCCTCCAAGTTCTGAGCACCCTGCCTCTTGTGCTGACTCACACTGATCTTGGAGGGTCTCCATACTTATCTCTGTGAGAACATGGTCCCTGGAACAGCTCTATTAGTGCCAAATTTGGCAAAGATGAATCAGCGGAAGCGCAAGGCCCACACGAAATCTAGAGCGGGATGCGGCAACTGCAAAATCCGACGTGTCAAGGTGCGTAGAATGTGCAGGGCAGTTCCACTGCTATCCCGGAAACACTACCACGCTAACCTGCGCTCGTACAGTGCGATGAGGCCAAACCAAGGTGCAGAAAGTGCATCGCCTTCGGAGTTTCTTGTAACTACGGCACCACGGGGAGCACAGGCGTTGGAGAGCTAGTTCTTTCCTTTGAGGGAGCCTCTTGCATGGAGGCTCCATCAAAAGCCCCCATCTCTATGAACCAGACCATGCTTGATTTGATTAATCACAATCTGCGCTACTCCCCGACTGGAGAAGTAATAGGGGATCAGGTCTATAAGCTCAAGGCCCAGGACCTAGAGGTTCTCGATAGATTCAGCAAGAGGACTATACTTACACTTGGCACGGATGTTACAAAATGGATCCTTCAAGCTGAGACCCCTAGGCTTGCCTGTCTTGTAAGTTGTGGTGACTAGCGTTACTTTCAATTCGTTCCTTCATCTGTTCTGTTTATAAATCTGCCAATTTTGCCATGTTTTAGAGATTCAAGCTTCCTTCCAATGCACTGTTTTCTTCTCTAAATTCGGCGTATCTTTACATATATACTGTCAAGCTTGATCTTAACCCATCCCTTCGCTTACCATGCTGCTTGACTCTCATCCTCATCTCTCTACCATATTTTCGAAGTTGACAATCTTAGCACCCGTTCCTCATGCATATTGTGTTGGCCTTCACGTACACTCATGACCGTCTTCTCCAACCGATACCGGACAAACCATGTGCGGCTGAGCTCTTCCATCACTACAAAGGATCAGCACTATTCAATTATAGACTGCGTGAAGATGCCACCCCGTCAGAGCGCGATGCAATAGTAAGTTACAAATTGTTCATCCCGTTGCATCTGACAAGAAAGCTCATGGGGCGCGTGTGAAGCTGTCTGATGCCCAAAGGACATCAAACATGGACATCTGCTGACCTATATGTTTGAAGTGGATCACGTCAACTTTAATCGGGGCAATAGAATGGAGCAAAATGGAAGCTGAGTCCTTTGAAGAGGCCTGGCCATTAAAAGATCGGGATCCCGGAGAGCCAGACTATCTGACTCTGCTTGTGGGTAAGCAAGACGTCTGGGATTTTTTGGACCCGACTAGAGCAGATTGTTGCTTCAAAAGCCTGCTTGTCAAATGCAAAATCGATGGGGAAGACACGGGTTTCGACCCCTACCAGCTCAAAGACGGTGGATTCTACAACCTCCCCAGCCCATTACTGGATTTTCTAGGACTCACGGACCCATTAATCTGGCACTCGAGCCCATACCACCGCGCAGCAAACATCATTTCGCAGCTTATCCCTCTTGAGTACAACCAGAGAACTCTCATGAAATTCACGACCTTTCTCTTCCTAATGGCACCTGAGTTCAAGGACCTATGGATTCGAAAGGATCCTGGTGCACTTCTACTGATCTCCTATTGGTACGCCAAGACGATTCCCTTACGGCAGTGGTGGACGTGGAAACGAGCTGTCCTCGAGTGCCAGGCCATTTGCATCTTCCTCGAGCGATACCACGACGATATTCCACATTTGGAGCGCTTGCTGGAATTTCCTAAGCGCTCCTGTGGCCTAGTCTCGACAAAGCATTTCGCTGCCTGATCCAGCGACAACATTGTGTCGCGTTTTTAGGCTGAGCGACGGGCTCGCGTTTGGAAGAGAACGTTAATTACGCACGAGTCACGACGGGCAATTTCTGAAGGCACGTTGTTCGACCCAGCCTACCTTTGGTGTTATTATTAGCGGTAATCGACTCAACGGCGCAATTGAATCTGATCGGTGCGCTTATGCCCCTGCATTAACATGCGGGGATCAAGGTCGGTTCACCCGAATCCGGGGAGAGTCTGTGGGGAAATGACCTGCAGAATACGACATGGGACGGGAATAGTCTACACGAACAGTTTACTATGGTACCTTGCCTAGCGAATTTGGGTAATGTGATGTCAAGTTGAATTGCCGCGGAGTACACGAATGTACGTGTATATATATTCCAACCTCCACTCATTGTCGCGTGAACCCATCCATGGGTGGACGACAGCATCCGCCCGCCTTAATTTCTTCGGATCCCAGTGCTCGTTGTAGATCTGAACTGTCAACATGTCGTCAACTATCCTTCTCGGCTTGTTCCTGACAAGCACCCTTGTCTCCTCCACGACCGTGCGTACGTCCACGCCAGTGTTGGGGTGGAATTCGTATAACTACTACAATTGCTACCCGAATGAGACAATCATCAAGAACAATGCTCAAGGCCTGGTGAATCTGGGATTCGATAAAGCCGGTTATAACTTCGTAACGGTGGATTGCGGTTGGAACGCTAACTACCGAGACTCCTCCGGCCAGTTGGTGTGGAACCCGAATCTATTTCCTGCTGGTGGTCCGGCCCTAGGTGAATACATTCACGGTCTGGGTCTCAAGTTTGGCGTGTACTCTGGCGGTGGCATCTTTCAGTGTGGGTCAACTGACCAGCCTGCTTCCCTGGGTAAGTGCAGTGTGACACGTCCTCCTATTGAATATTGACTCATAATCTAATGCCTGTCGTTGGCTCTTTGTAGGCCACGAGACAACAGATGCTAAGTCATTTGCTGCCTGGGGTGCGGATTCCCTGAAGTAGGTACGCCAATTTTTCAAGGTTTCTTGAAGCGTTATTAATTCAGCTCAGGTATGACAACTGTTTCGCCAACTCGACAACCAACGCGGCAGACTATGATAATGCTGTCACACAGGATCCCACCAGATTTCGTACCATGAAAGCTGCACTTGACGCCACGTCTCGGCCCCTTGTGTATCAGATCTGCCAGTGGGGCGTTGGAACTGACATTGGGACTTGGTGAGTACGATTGTAAATCTAGAGACGATCTATCGAATAAATCAGCTGACCTTGAATCTAAAAGGGCTTCTGAGATCGGAAACTCGTGGAGAATCAGTAACGATATTTATAACGCCTGGCGAAGCATCTGGCGCATCACCAACCAGGTCGTGCCGTACTACAAGCACACGGGAGTCGGAAAGTATGCGGACATGGACATGCTCATTGTCGGCCTGAAGGCGCTGTCACTGGAGGAGGAAAAATTCCACTTCGGCATGTGGGCGATCAACAAATCCCCCCTCACGATCGGGGCGCCCCTAGACACAAAACTGGCACCCGCCGCCTCGCTAGACATCCTCAAGAACGCTGAGGTCCTCGCTCTGAACCAGGACTCGCTCGGCAAGCAGGCCCAGCTCGTCCGTCGGTACACCAACGAGCAGTACGACGTCTGGGCGGGCGAGCTGTCCGGCTCGCGCGTCGTGCTGGGCCTGGCCAACTGGAACAACGCCAGCCAGAGCGTCACCGTCAGCCTCCCCGCCGACCTGGGGATCGCCTCCGCGGCGGGCCGGGACGTCTGGGCGGCCAAGGACCTCGGCACGCTCAGCGGCTCTTACACGACCACCCTCGCGGGCCACGAGCTGCGCCTCATCGTCCTCTCCAGCATCGTCAACGCCACCACCGGCATCCAAAAGTCCACTGGGTACTACACGGCCGCCACCGGCTCCACCCGGTCCGGCGCCGCAGCCGTCGTGTCCTGTCCCTCGGGCCAGTGCCTTCCCGCGGGCAGCAAGGTTGGCAACATTGGGCAGGGCCAGGCCGCAGCCGCTGTGACTTTCGCGAATGTCACTGCTAAGACTGCTGGGAAGAAGCTATTAGGCGTAGACTTTATCAACTACGACGCCGCGCTGGCGACGGCGTGGGGCCTGGGCGACAACACCCGCAACATGACGATCGCGGTCAACAAGGCTGCGGCGAGCGGCACGCGCTACGCTTTCCCTCTTTCTGGGGGCGACTGGTATGATTCTGGGCGGCTGTACGTCTATGTCGATGGGTTCCAGGCTGGCAGCTCTAATCAGGTTGTGTTCACTGCGTCTGGCACCGCGCAGACCTGGGCGCCGGACTTGGTTGGCTTTGAGGTCTACGAGATTCAGTGAATATGTCTTTAATTTTCTGTAAATATTCTGTAGTTAGTGAGGACGAGCAGATTATATATGCACCTAGCCAAATCTGTAATGTAGCAGGCAGCCTCTACAATGAGATAATTCCCCAGACGAGGATTCCAACATTTGAACTGCATTTGCGTTTAGGCACTAGCTATTCGCTGTAATTGTATCATTTCATCCTCGTCTGTCGAGAACAATGCAAATGGGTAAACGTTGTCCCAGATGCTCCCAATTCCCGAGGTGCCGCGTTCAAACCATTATCTATATCATTATCCAGGTTCTCACTGTTGTGCTACGGCAAATCGAGGACGACGCAGCTCCATCAACATTGATGACATTGACATCGAATTCGTGTTAGCTACTGTGGGTGGCAAACTGGCATCTATCTTCCCTCATGAAACGGCAAGTGCTAAGCAAGTTGTTCCTTCTTCCTATTTGCATCAGCTCGCTTGGACTTGGAAGAAATACATGCTTTGGTTCTTGACTCATAAATTCACAGGCAATTGTCTAAATAAACATAAGATGATTGTGTGCTTGTCCAAATCCAAAGTGCAGATCGCAGAAAATCAAATCAAGGTGGAATGTCGTGTAGTTATTCTTATACTCTCCATCTCCTTGCCCTTGCACAGTTTTGCGTGACAAGCATTTGAGAGCCATACGTCTAAACGAAGCGCCCGTTACGGTACACAGTCTTGTCACCAGTCAATCGGCAAAGTTCATGGCAGGATCTGAGACATTCACAGCGGAGCACATAGCAGTAGCTTTGAATTCCTTGGCTTACTTGTACACATGTATATATAGTGTAAGCTGTTTGACGCATGAGTAGCGTGCCCCCAAGTCAAAACAATTTCGCCCGCCCCGCCGTTCGTTGTTCCTAGGTTAAGTCAAGAAGAAAAACGCCGTGGTCAAGATGCAAACTCCGTCGATCAGCCAGGATACCGTTGGCCAGATCTCTCCCCCGGCCCTGGCGAGGGCAAATGCTGTCGTGGCTTCATCAGAGTAATGATGACAATAATGGTACACTAATCCTTAGCAGGCCTAGGTCAGGAACCTGAGGCCGTCCAAAACTCCGTGAGAATGATGGAAGAAACAAGTTGCCGTATATATGAGCAGAAGCATGATATTTGGAACATGTAATAAACAAGGAGTATCGGCTCCTCGAGTTCGCGCACGAGGCGCGAGGCGAGGTCCGGCTCCAAAAAAGAAGTTAAACTCGCGCATGGGGCCGACCGCCGGGCCTCGGGTCAAGACTCCACACAAAGCTGCCGAAAAAAATGATGGGTCACCCAGGAAAAGTGCAAGTCAGCCCGGCACAGCCAAAATTAAAACCAAACACCCGGGCCTGGACAAGCCATTTGTAGGCATCTGTCTCGGCCACTGGTGGAGATCGAATAGCCTGCAGGGTCCCCGAGAAGTCATATTGTTAATAGACATCCTAGGTGTTCAACCACGCATCCCGGCAGAGCCCTCGCGCCTTCTCGATGACACGGAAAGGTCAATTTCATCGTCAGAGTCCGATGACGAGGCCTCCGCGGCCACACGGTCGAGCATTGCGTCAAGGTCCTCGTAAGACCTAATCCTGGGCTTAGGCCGCGTGGGCCTGCCGGATGCTGAGGTGAGTGGCACCGCGAATTTCCCATGTGGCGGTAGCATGTCTACTGCTGTGCCATTTGCTTTCCGTGGTGGTGCCGCCGGACGCGCATAACCGGCGTGACGGCGAGGACTCGTAGGGTCGTCAATCTCCATCTCACTTAGCGTGCTATGAGATTTCCCAAAGCCAACGCGTTTCTTGGGCGAATGCGCCGTGGGGAGTGGTTGTGAGCTATGGGTTGGACGGCCGTTGGGAAGGCTCTTCCTTTTTGGAGCGGAAGTGGGCAACGCGGTCCTTTGCGACGCAAATGCGGCAGACGCCCCGTTGCGGACACGCTCGAGGGGTTGAGAGTCCCTTGGAAACTGCTTGAGGTTTGCAGAATTGCCCGGGCTGCTCATGAAGAGCAGAGCTTCCATGGCATCCTTCTCGCGGTTGTTGTGAGTGGGTGAGACCACCATTGGGTCTCCAGCATTGAGCAGACCTCGCGGATCTGGCGAAAGATTCAAAGAGGCCAGAGAAGGCGTTCGTGGGCTGGCATGATGCGGCTGTGGTGGTGGGAAGTTGGGCGGGTGCTTTGGGTTCGGATTCCGCCGAGGGTTGCCTTCACTGTGATGGGGTTGTATCGATACTGGAGGGGCGAGGGAAGGAATGTCCAGTAGCTGGATATTCGCGGGATGTGATGCTGGACTGGCTGGAGGGCCTTGCGAGGCATTCTCAGGGGCCGTGATGGGCAGGGACGCGGCGTGTGGAGTCAGAGGCGTTGGAGCATGTGAAGTTTGGATGCGCGGGCTAGCCGACGATCTTGGCGCGCCGGGGATTGTAGAGTTGCTCGATACCGGAGAAACACCTCTTGATGCCAGAGTCTCGACTTGGTTGATGTTTCGCGATTCCCAACCGTTGTTGACCTTGAGCAGAGCGTAGGAGAGGCGTGTCTTCAGCTCGGAGGAAAGCTACGAGCATGACGCGTCAGTATCTGCTTACTATGTCGTGGCAGTGCCGAAGACAGTCAGAGGTCTTCTGGACCAAGCTTACCTCGGTGACGCGACTGCTAGCAGTAGAAGCAGCGCTCACGGCACTGGTATTCCTCGAGTGGCTGACGCCCCGGCCTGGAGAGGCTGTAGGGGAAAATCGTGGGTCCTTGATGGTGCCGTCGGCGGTCCTCTTGACGGCAGAGCGGAGGGGCTGAGCTTGGCCGGGCAGCTTGTCCTGGGCAGCAGCCAGTTGCGAAAGCTGGAACAATTGCGACTCCTGGCTGGAACCTTGGCCACTGCCCGGGCCTCCGTCGCTGGCGGCTGTCTCGATCATGGGCGGGGTGAAGACGCGGTTGGACTCGTCGGAGGAGAGGATGGTGGCCTGGGAGTCGCTGTTGGAGGATGAGCGCTTTTGTGATGGGCGAGAGCGATGAGAATCGAGGTGATCTTGGGAATTGGAAGTGATGTTGTCGCGAGAGAGAAGAGGGTTGGCCGTGGGATCAGGGGCACTGTTGTCACCAAGTCCTGCCTGACTCGGCAAGCCGTTAGCAGGCCGAGACATGGTCAACAATGGGCGCTGTGCTGCGGTCGAGGTCGAGGTCGAGGTCCGGGTCTACTCCCTCCAACAATGGTCGAGTCGCGATTGGGGCGTGGTGGTGGCGCATGCGCGCGATGGGCGAGGGCAGGCGGTGCGGTCGGAGGGGTGGACTCGGCGGGGAGTGGCAGGCAAGGTGGGCAGTAGGGTGGGTGGTGACGGTGACGGTGACGGGCGACGGGCAACGGGAGGCGGGAAACGGAACACACAGACAGGCTGGTGGACGGACGGGCGAGGTGGTTGCGACGCGCAGCGCGGTAAACCGAGGGGCGCTGGGTGCTGGGTGCTGGGTGGGTGATCCCTGCCTAGCACCAGCAACAGCAATACCTAGGGCAGATGATTGCTGGAGCTCTGGGCGGGCGAGCGAGAGGACAGCCTTTCTTTGAAACCTGCAAGTCTGTAGTCCAGACAGTACTGAATGTAATGTTGTACAAATCTAAAGTGTTGTCGTGGGTATCCAAGTGGCAAATGCGATCAGATCAATCTGTCAAGTCAGTCTGTCGCATTGTGTTGCACTTATTTGCATTTGCAGTCACCAGGGCGCGGGTTGCTTTGGCCGACGCGGTTCGCGGGCAGAGCATGTGTGGGTGAATGCGAGCATGCGTGGGCTGCGTTGGCGGGGGGGCCTTGTGGGCAGTGGGCAGTGGGCACAGGTGGGCTGCACTATCCAAGTAGCGCGGTGGGGACGGCCCGGCCTTCTCGACCGCTGGCGTGCGCTGGCTACCTATTGAAGAACCATTGCGACGACAAGGCCTAACCCAGGCCATACCCAGTCCGTCCATCTTCCGTCCGTCTTGTCGCTCCCAGCCACCCACTTCTCCAAGCTCTCCCCCCAGTCTGCCGCTTGACACACCTCGCTTTGATCTGGTTCGGTTCACTGGCGTCTGTCCACGCAGCAGACTGACTACCAAAACACCTAAGCACCTGGTTCGTTGCCACTTCGTTCTCTGATCTGGACGGAACTGACCTCTACGAATCCATTACGAATCTGGGCCAGAACAGTCACAAGATGCCTTGAGAATTCATGAAAATTTCGGGTTGCCGCCCAAAGAACTCGGGTCGAATAAGAATGCTATTGTTCCCTCTCTGTCGCCGCGCCAAGTCCAGCCGCGATTTCACGTGACCATTAAACCATGACATCAGGGAATAGTACGGCTATCGTTGGTTACGAACTTCCATCTTCCTCGAATTGTAATTCCCATGTCTAATACCATAAATGCTATGCACAACAAGTAAATAGCTAGCAGGCGGAGCTTTTTACAACTTTAGGTAGCTGAGCAACACTGTAGACTCCTCGGCATATCAGTTCCATATGTCAAGTCCGGCAATCGCTTCCAACGAATCGAAGACAGGCCATCAGAGCCATGGTTTGGATGTTCCCACCAATCGCCAGCGGGTACCGAGCAAGGCATTTGTATCTACATATGCCAGGGGTAGTAATGTGCAACAGTGTCCCATATCGACTAGGCTAGATCTTCCAGCGACCGCATCAACCACCCCCGTCACTTGTATTCATGTGATCAACAACACTCCCATTAAAGGCTACACACTTTCTCAGTGCGCCCATGGATAAGATGCACATGCGCTGCAGACCACCAGACCTCAAATGTTTGTTCGTTGGTGACATTCAATTAATCTATGGCATGCATGCAACCGGACTGAACTCGTTCTAATTAGGAATGGGGCTCTCTCTCCGCCCTAAGTTCGTCATGAACCCCATGTAGGCAGACCTTGAAACCATATGTAGCATGTATTACCAGCGTTCTGTCGAGGTCGTGACACGTTGGCAAGCATATGCAAATTTGCATCGGTAGGACAGTTGACATTACACATGTGAATGTGCAAGTATTGTGATGCAAAGAACATCGGAGTGTGGGACCAGCAGTCTAGGCCAGGTGAGAACCCTCACAGTACTGTGATACTCAGGCACATATATACTGTTCGCAACAGCCGATGCGAAAGCAGGATGAAGCTGCACTGTGGATTCTGGTCACTGATCAACTTCCCACGGTGGCAAGCCTTGGACCCAGCCGACCGTTCGATCCTGGCTCGTTTGAACCTTGCACGAGAAATCATCGTGAATTGAGAGTGAACATCTGGAGAAGTGCATATCATGAACGAATCAAGTATCAGAAGGTCAAAAAGCTCTAGGAGGGTATTACACAGATTGACTCAGCCCTTCATGGTGGTTGACCGCATACAAGATCAGTAGCAGGACTATTGAGGGCTGCGTACGTGCATGAGCAAAACAGAATATTAGGGACACTATTGGGGTATATATATATCTCCATCTCTTCACCATCCACGACTATGCCTTATACCTACGTACATAAATAGACTTCACGAAAATGGCAGTCCTAGACGTCGCATCACGTTCAACATTCCTCTCTAATACTGGAATCGCCACCTCGGGTCGTCGTCGCCTAGAGTCCAATCATCTAGCTGGCCCACTTCTTTCACCTCTTCAGCAATTGCCTCCCTCTTTGTGTTCTCCTTCTTCAGTATCCAGTACAGGAGGCCAGACACTATTACGTTGGCCAAGAGGTATCCTAGCGCAAAGCTGTGCCCGACGATGTACCGCGGACCGTCATTGGCGCGGTACAGCTGCGTGCCCAAGACCGCACCGCAGTTTCCAATCGAGATTTGCATGGCGTTCGCGATGGCTCGCTTGGTCTGGCCGGAGACGTTGATGGCAGGCCAGGAAAGGGCCAAGGCGGTGGCTGGGTAGATCCCGCCGGCAGCAAAGAAGGTCCCGAGGTAGTGGATTCCAGGTCGGCCAATGGGATCCTTGTTTGCGAGCAGTATAATATAGCCTATCGCGCCGAAAGCAGCCGAGCCGGCCACGAAAATAGCGCGTTTATTGAGCTTCTCGGAGAGTATTGCTACTCCCAAGGTGGTGAAGAAAGCGAAAGCATACGGGGGAATGGTGAGAAGTTGGGCTCTTGCTGCTGTATATCCAAGGGATTTGATGATGCTTGGCTGTAACCTATTGTTAGCTAATCTTCAAGGACAATGAGAGGTAGCATGTGACATACTAAGAAGAGAGAATAAGTGTATAGAGGCAAGCTCATCGTGTGGAACGCAAAGCCATATAGCCAACACTTCGGGTCCTTGAGTGCTTTTGTAACATTCGCCCAGGTGAAAACCTCGTTGTGCGTTGAGTCGCTATCCGCAGATAGTCGGGCTTGGATGACAGCTCGTTCTTTTTCGGACAGAAAGCTGGCGGTATCAGGGTAGTTAAAAATAAACCAGTAAGCACCCACGGCGACCACGATCGTTGCGAGACCTTCCTATAATAGCGATGTTGTAAGTAAATTGCTCATTATACCTTTCGATTTCAGTGTGCGCACTTACCAGAATAAATATCCATCTCCAGCCGTTTGACCACACAATTCCGGCCATGAAGCTGATTCCCTGATCACTTTATTAATATAAAGCCTCTATTTGTCGCACAAGAAACTCGGATTAACTCACATATGCCAGAATGCCGCCAAAAGATCCTGCAAGTGCTGCGGCACTGAAGAAAAGCGATATCCGGTATTGTCTTTCGCGTCGCTTATACCACATGGAAAAGTAGTATACGACTGAATTCCATCATGTTAGCCGCGATACCAGGTGGAAAGGTGAGACGAGAGCGGCGCAATTTACTCACCACCTGGGAACAAGCCGGATTCAGCCACACCCAAGAAGAACCGGGCGGCGAAGAAACCTGCAAGGTTCTGGACAACTCCTAGCAGCGTGGCAACGATTCCCCACGCGATCGTCAGGGTGGGCAGCCACAGCCGCGGCGAGGTCCTCTTGAGGATAATGTTGCACGGTATCTCAAAGAGGACATAACCGATGAAATACAATGTCAGGCCAGTCAGATATTGGTTGCCAGTCATTCCCAAGTCATCGGCGAGACCCTCGATTCGAGCGTTGGCGACGTTGCTTCGGTCCAGGAAGGATAGCAGGTACAGGATGCCCACGCCTGGGAGGAGGCGAAGATCGATCTTCCGGAGGAGAGAGCCTTCGTTGATGTCGGCAGTTCCAGCTTCTTCGTTTTCAGATGCAGAGCCGGGACTCGCTGTCTGCTTCTCCGTCCCCTTTTCATCGTGATACTGGACGCCTTGTTCCGCCATAATTGCTGGGGAAGATGGCTAACGACGCCCAGATGGGGAGCTAGTCAGAGTACACACAAGACCTCTGAGACAAGCGTTGGTACAATTTAGAATGGCAAGGTGCAACGTTTGACAAACTTCGCGTTGGACTAAGGGACTATTAAGATGAAGCTCAGGTCACAGAGGTTCAGGTTTTGCAGAAGGCAGCACATTCAAGACTTCTTAAGTTACAGGCCGTCGTTCCGGCACTTCAAATCACCGACCCAGGTGTCTGGGACGAAGGGCAAACCCTACGTACCGCCTGCCTATGCGAGTTAAGTTATCAATCATCGTTAGGGGCGATGGCGACATTTGTGGATGATGTAGCGCTGTAGGAACCGCAATTATATGATTGGATGGATTTGGTCACTTCGCGGTTGCGTGCTCGATGGACAGGGGGTTCTAGCGTAGATCAAGAATCGGAGAAGCAGCAGAATTGAGCTTGAAACTTCGATGCCGCGGAGGTGTGCAACGAAGGAGTGACGACTTTTCAGTATTTAAAATCGCGAATCTAGTCGAGAGACAAGTTCAGGTTACTAAGATCGATCACCACCTACTGCGAATTTTGTGTCACCGTTGTGAACGTGCCGCCCACGTGGGAATGTTCCTCGGAGGTCACGACATCGCGGCTTGGGGCTTGTCATCTGTCGGAGACTTTGTACAAATCCAGCTCGAGCCGCAGTCTTATGCTACGCTTATTCCTCTTGGTTGGTGTACTAACTCGTTCGTCGTCGGGCCCCTCCTTTGTTTCCCTCACCTTACTGGCAGCCTCGCCATCGCAACTGCGAATGCCGTCTTTGGCATTTTGTTGACCTCGACCCCGAGCGGAACTTGTGTCCTCACTAGTGCCGTCTACGCATTACCTTTTGCGAGCTGCAAGATATTATGTTGATGACATTTCGACCATGTTCGGGACGAGTCTTCCTTTGCGCGTGACATCTTTCTAGTTGGTCCAGACAACATTTCCTTAAATGCTGCTCACAGCGCTCTGTCGACTACGAAGGAAAATATACCAAACTCATGAAGGTGTTATCGGCAAGCAGCAGAATAACAATATGCGCCAGGAGGACCCTTGCCGCGCCGAGGGTCTCATTTCCCATTCCTCACCTTCCCAGAGCACACCGCTGACCGTTTGAGATTGTGTGCTCCCTGATAGCAAATGCTTGGGCTGAAATGTCGTTATTGGCATTGATTGGCATCGCCACGCCCAAAGCAACTTGTTTGGTGTTTTCCGCCAGGTCCTGCATTTGGGCAATTCTCGTCGGCTGGTCTCCTCTACCCTGCGACTTTGGTCTTCTGAGGTCACGGACTCAAGGGTCCACGGCTTCGGAATAAGTATCAAGAGCCTAGGGATAAGTCTCAGGGTACACAACTGTACGTGTCACTCCGATGATTATGCCCGAAGTCCAAAGTGCGGGCAAGACTGCTCAGTGATTAGAGTGCAGGCAACAACAACGGATCCGACGACAGCTTGAAGCTTCAAAAGAGATGAGCACAATCAGACTTGACAGCACGATGCTGCTCTCCTGGCGCCGACGGCGACAACAGTGAAACCGGCCTGGAAAATGGCAATTGTCTTGAAGTTCATACTAACCATCAGCGCTAACCACCTCGTTCGCATTCTGTACAAGTTTCGTTGACGAAAACAAGTCTCTTGGTTTCTTGCAATGAACACATGGCGTCTGCAAACGCAGGTTGACATATTTTGATGCTGCAGTGAATTTGGACGTCAAATTGCTTGTCGCAGTCAATAACCCATCAAACAGAGCAAGGACTCATTTCCGTAAAATCTGAAGCTGTTCATCCAGCATCTTTGATGTGATGCCAAACTAAAGGCGCATGGACCGCCGTCTGGGCGCTTGCCAACGTTGAATGTCTTTCAGAAAGATACGCAAGGATATCTAAGGGCCGGTGATCGAGCTGCTGTACTTAGTGAAAACCTCGTGGATGAATTTCTGGAGCTCAGCCCGAAACAAGGTCAACGTAGTTGATCGAGCTCATCAGGGCTATGGGGTCAAATATGGCTGGATCAAGAACGGGACGAGCAATGCTGATTGAGATCATCCTGGGAAACAGGTCAAGCAACAGGCTTACTTCACTCATCACATCAGTACTTGCAAGAGGACGGATTCAAGCTTTGGTGCGCACCGAAGAGAAGCCCTTGAGTGGAGTGTACCTGTCGCCACGGATGCCAAGCAGGCGATGACTCTGTACGTACATGGTATGTAGATACAGCGGATGGACGTCGCTGCCAAAGTAAAAAGTGCTAGATTCTATGGCCGTGTCTGGGCCCAAGACGAGGGTTGAGTTTGCGCCAGACTAGGAGCCGATGCGTTTGTTCGGCAACTCCCGAGCCACTCAAGCCACTGGGTTCCACGGTGAAGGTTGGCTTCCCGCCCGCAGGGACGAACGGTGGGGATCAGCAAGACAATCTGACAAGGTCAAAGAAACAGGGGTCTCGGCCGTCCGCCTCTAGCGCGTTGTGGAGGGTCGCAGGCTGGGAGGAACTCCAAAGAGCTAGGTGCTGTCTCTGGCCTGTGCGGGGATGTTTTCGACTACATGCATCTCGCGCCTCTACATCCAGGGACAAACCACCACCACATGTACACCTGGCCAGGCCAGCCCACCACACCAGGCGTCTTTGTCTGATCAGTGCAAGCGACATCAGGACCCCTCAACACTTCCTCTTGCCTGTCGGACACCTACCTCCGACCACTGCTCGGGCTGCTTTTCGGCAACGTCGTCGTCTTTATAAAGTACCTCCCCGACGCGGTGCCTCGACTTCGGACCCTTGTCTGCCGCATCCCACGCGCGTTCACCGCCGACAACGATGACAGCGAGGCCCAATCTGACTTGAATGCCGTTACCCGTGGCTCTGAGCTTGCAATTGGGTCTGCTTCTACTTTCTTCCGACCCTCATCTTGCCAGTTCGTCGTCGTCTATAATCCTCTCGGCAGAGTGGCGTCACCCGGCCCGAGAGTCTCTGGCTTCACCACTAGATCACCCATGCCACGATCTACAGCGAGGCGATCCCCGAACACTACACAACGATTAGAGTCCTCTTGGGAAAACTTCGAGCAGCCGGTGTCTCGTCGACAGAGAATCACTCCGAGAATCACTACCGCCCTTGCCGCAACCCACCAGACGCGACTCCGTGGCGTGATACATTTACATCCGGGTACATAAAGGACGCAGGGTGCTCCCAGAGAGAAAGGCGTCACGGCTGCGGGGGCTTTCGTATCTGGCTAGAGCTACGATAAATTGCGCTTGGAAGCCACAGCATATGCTGGTCCAGCCGGGAACACGATCAAAACCACACACGGATGGCCGAGACGAGCACACGGAACAGTCGCGTAAACACCCCTGCAGAAAGATTGGGAGGACTAGAGGACACAGCCCTGAACCATTTCTGGGTCAGGGCCGTCCTTGCCCATTAGGGACTGCTGGACACCGGCCACCAGATCGTGGCGGTGTCTACCCCAGCACTGGCAGCAACGGTCCTCCAAGCCTCGGGCATTCTCTAAACAGTGTCCGCTTTACCGTTGCAGAGACCCTGTACTAGCCCAACATGCCCACAATACACGTACAGGCTGGGTCAACAGACCAGCTTCAGGAGATTGCCGATTCGCTGTGGAAAGCGAAGAAGGTTGTGATAGTGACGGGGGCCGGTATCAGCACTAATTCCGGGATTCCTGTGAGTGCATTTGGATACACGCGTGCGCCTTCCATATGCTCTCTGCTGACAAGATATGCAGGATTTCCGCTCAGAAAATGGCTTGTACTCCATGATTCAGGGCCAATTCGATGCCGCTGCCAAACTGCATGGATCCAAGAACCAAGCGAATGGAGTCACACCAGACGATAGTGGCGATGAGCGGCGCCCCAGAAAGCGAAGAAAGATGTCGCTAGTAGGCGATAGCATTGAGGTCGGTGTGCCTAGGCTGGCCAGAGATGCGACAGTAGAAGGCGACAGCATCAGGGTCCTAGATCCAAACGAGAGCCAAGTTTCGGACGGAAGCGAGGGGAACAATTCTGGAGAACTTATTGAGCAAAATGATGCGAGGCCCAGTGATGAGGCTGGTGCTGGATATGATCGGGCGGACCCAAGTGAGGAAGAGGTTGTTTTGCTCACTGAAGAATCAGTGCTGGCAGGCGAATCTACTCTCCTGGAATTGGACGGGCAACGAGATTCACAGGTCAAATTTGATGGACAGAGCCTGAGCCGCGAAGATGCGCATTATGATGGAGAAGAGAAGGGCAACGCACACGAGGACTCTGAAGTCCAAGCTCAACCTGCTTCAACAGCCGTATCCTCAAGACGGACATCCAGGCGTGGCTCTCCGGCCCTCAAAGTACGATCTTTGCATCAGCAGCGACAAGACACAACATCTTCTGAGCTCGAAGCACCCAAGTCCCCTAAATGCTCTTCAGATCCACGCAACGCCTCCTCGTCCGAATCCTCGACACCCAAGCAAACACCCTCAGATTCTGGCGCCCAGACGAATACTCTCAGCTCTCCCCTGTCCTCACCTCCCCCCGTCCTTTCTGATCCTTATGAAGAGGTATTCCCTCACTCATCCACCTCAAGCAGCAGGTGCACTTCACCGGAGATTGCATCCGAGGCAGAAGATTCGCCACGCTCTTCGAAATGCTTCAACTACTCTCAGACTTTCAAGCGCGCTAGTCTTTCCACTATGAAGGGGCGTGACCTTTTTGACGCCTCCATATGGTCGGATCCCATCAAAACCTCTGTCTTCTACACCTTCGCCACCAACCTCCGTCAGAAATCCAGAGACGCCTATCCGACCGGCTCGCATCACTTTATCAGCCGACTTCGGGACTCTGGCCGGATGGTCCGCTGTTACACTCAAAACATCGATCTTCTTGAGGACAAGGTTGGGCTGTCAACGCGTCTGCTGCTTGGTCCAGGTAGCAGGTCGCGATTTTCTGCACGAGCTTCGCGAGCAGCGGCTGCCGCTGCCACGGCAAGTGCAGCAGCAAGTGCAGCCGCAACTCCAGCAGCAACTCTCCCAGCTGATGACATTGTTCTTCAAGAATCGGTCGATGAGAGCTCTCAGCGAAGCGACGTGCGCCGCGAAGAAGACGGAAAGGATGGTGCAAATGGTACAGCACAGCCCATTGCTACCGACATGGCAAAGGGTCAATGCACACAAGGAGGGGCTCAAACAGTTCCCTGCTCTCCCGAACCGGACCGTGGTGTAGAGTGCGTCTATCTCCACGGCTCGCTGCGCTCACTCCGCTGCTTTCAGTGCGGGGGCGTAATCGACTGGGATGAGGGCGACCGAGAGTTGCAAACCATGTCAGGCCATCAACCGCCCTGCCCTCGCTGTGAGGACGCGACGACCGCTAGACAAGAAAAAGGCAAACGTGCACTCGGCGTTGGAAAACTGCGGCCTGACATTGTCCTCTACGGCGAAGAACACCCCGAGTCACAGCGGATATCTGATATCATACAGCACGATTTATCCCTTGCGCCAGACTTGCTTATTATCATGGGCACCAGTCTCAAAGTTCACGGCCTCAAGACTGTCGTAAAGGAGTTCGCAAAAGCAATACACAACAAGAAAGATGGCAAGGTCATTTTCGTCAACTACACGAAGCCAGCTGACAGCGTCTGGGCGGACACAATTGACTTCTGGGTGGAAATGGACTGCGATGCCTGGGTGCACGATCTAAAAGAGAAGAAGCCTATCATTTGGTCACCTCCAGGTACTATTGACGATGAGTCCCGAAGCACCAAGAGAAGACGCCGTACCAATGTCGATACAGAAAAGGCGACCAACAAGACAGATAGCAAGAGCGAGGCTGCTGACCAAATGCCTTTGGTCACACCCAAATCCACCACGAAGAAGGCCGAGAAGAAATGTTCACAGGCAACGTCAAAGCCGTCTGTTCCCAAGCCAGCACCAAAGCGGCCAGTTTCTGAGCGAGAGCACAAGGATAACGGGGCATATTGGACAACCAGAATTATGGCAAATTTGGCACTTCTCAGTGGGCGCGAGGTAAAAAAGTACTCAACAATATCGACAAACCCTGCACCAGCAAAGAGGGCTTCGGGATCTGGGCAAGCTATCCAGAAACCTGCAGAGCCTGTGGCTCCGAAGCAACCCCTGAAGAAGGGTCGTGGTCCACGCCTTAAGAATGCGAGGACCAGAAAGCCTCTCCCTGCAGCCGTCACATCTGAAGATGATGGCGCTATTACCATGGATCGAGCCAGCCATCAGCCCGACCAAACGGGTGATCAGAAGCCTGGAGCTGTTGAGTTGCTTGCAGGCCACCTCAGCCTTGAACAAAAATGGGCCACATCGATTGACAAGTGTCATGTTATCGACACAAAGCAGCCGAAACCAGACCCAGATATGAATGCTGCGGACAAACTGTCATCACAGTATTCAAGAGCAGCCACAACGCATACAGCAGAAACCAGCCAGGGGGGACCGGTGCCGGACGCGCATGCTGGTGGTCTGGATGCCAAGGGCGAAGGAAATTCTATTCTCGCGGCCGTCAAGTCGCATCATAGGATCAGAAGGCCCAAAACAATCTTCGAGCCGGAGCCGATCTCTGTCTCAAAGTCAGGACGGGGTACTCCGGCTTCAGCAAGTAACGCCAAATCAAGGACAAAGTCTGGGTCACAGGCGAAGAAAGTTAAAGCTTCGGGCAAGACGGTGAAGACAGAGCAACCTGGGGAAACTCCAGAAGAGAATAACGCTATACTTCCACCCCCACGACCCTGTCCTGGTCCGGCCTCTCAGTCAAATACAAGCAATCATCCTGGGCTAAGACGATACGGTACTCCTGACGAGATCTATACTCTGCCACCTCTCCACCCAGAAAATCTCGAGAGCTACAAGTATTCGAAACAAAGCAATGATTTGCCGTATCCTCCTGCCAAGCCACTGGAGCCTATCGTCGTTGTCGAAGGGCCACCTTCAGATATGTCACCAACGTCGCCCCAGCACTGGCAGAACCGTGCCTTTCTCCTGAGGGATCCACAATCAAGAAATTTTGAAGGCCCTTGCCGAGGTCTTGACTTTGTAGGCATGTCACCGGCAGCGCAGCCAGATGGACTATCTGTAATGATGGGTACACCTCCGCCGCCTTCCCAATTGGCTACGCAGCTGGCTATGATCACAGCTCCTCCGTCATACAACTCGTCTGCGTTTGCCAACGCGCCGATTCTGTTGCCCCAAGGCTCAGGGACTGTGGACGTTCAGCTGCCACCTGAAGCACAATCGATTCATGACAGCCCAAGCCGGCAGCTCCGTCACGAAGAAGCTCTCGAGGCTGCCGCGGCTTTGAACCAACTGAGAAGCCCGCCCGTCTTTGACGAGAGACGCTTTCTCAGAATTTGAAGTGGAAGTCGAAAGGAAATCTTCACACAAAGATGCAAGACACTCGAATGATGAACAAAGTTAACGCGAGTCTCGAGCAGAGACTTGCATGAAGCAATATTGTAGCAGGAGAAGCAGCAAGATGGCCACACAATTGGTTGAAGGATGCTCCAGGATAGAGTAACACAAAGTGTATATATATTGTCCAAGCATTGAATACGTCTCAGGCATTGGTCCTATCCATGGAGAGAGTAGTCCTCCAGAGCGGTGATGCTTATCCCTGTGAAGCTGACGCCCACATTTGTAGAACACCTGCCCATTATGTTTGCTTTCCTGCGTGACAGTTGCCTCTGAGTTGCTGAAGATAATATTCTCGAGTATGCCTATCCGAAGAGACAACCCCGAGGGTCCGGATACAACATCCAGTCCTCATGATAAAGTTGACTTGGCCATTAGCATGATTTCGCACATGCCGCATCAGGAGTCAGAATCGTCGCGGTAAAAGTAATCGAGTTCGTCGTACCACAACTCCACATGCTTGGCTGCAAGCGGGCACTCCTTTGCACAGAACCATAGCATCGCCGTTATGCGTGCCCTAGGGAACAGGTCCAACAGGGTTATTGTTTCTTCCAGCACCCATGCGTCCAACTCGTTGAGCAAGGCAGTTCGCACAGTAGTGAAGTCTGCCCAGTCGACGACGCTCTCGCAGATTCTGACCCAGTCGGGCAACCCGTATGGGCCAGGCTTCGAGTAGTTCAGACAAAATCCAATGGTTGAAGAATCTCCAATGTGATGATATTGGTCGTAAGTGACGAGAATGTTTTTGATGTGGCTGATGCAGCTGGTTCCTGGGCCGTCACTTCCCGAGGCCGAAAACGCCTCGAACATTGCGATGTAGCGCTTGTACGCCACGTCAACCCCCCGGCGGCATTCGTGACTGAAGACCGGCCTCATAGAGTGGTTTTCGATGCGAATGACAAGATTGTTCTCTCCATAGAAGATAGGTAGAGCCTCGGCGCGGAGCTGCCTACTGACACGTGCAAGGGGCGGTTGGGCCAAGGAACACACATCCTCCTTGAGGCCTTCGGGTGTTGTAGTGACGAGGGCCTCTCGGTAGACCATGGTTCGAATCTCGCCTGGAAGTGCCAGAAATCGAAAAGCCTAACACGAATGACATGTGAGCATATGCACAGGTTGATGGCTCAAGCTGTCAGGGCGCGACACCGCGTCTGGATCATGTGGCGGAATGCGACCTACCATCAATTGTAGGCCGCGCCTACGAAGTCGCCCCATCAACCCGTCGCTGTGGTTAGCAGCCATCGCAGCTCAAAATCCTCGTCCGAAAAATACTGTGGTCATGGCCACTGCATGTAGGGAGAGGTGAAATGAATAGTGATTATCAGTGGAAGTGGACAAGTTCAGAAGTGCTGCTAGGTGGGAAGGTGATGCTGTCTGGGAGATCAGAGCAGGTAGGTCATCTCTGGTAGGTGCTCTGCAAGCCCAGCTTAAACATTGGCCAAATTCCCCGCTGAAACTGTTCCATTGGTACTGCCTGACTTCCAAGGAGAAGAAAATTTGAATTCAGGCCAAGTTGGATTTGGGGGGAAGTAACAGCCTTCTGGAATCAAAGTAGACCAAAATAGCGGGTGCCTGCACGGCTGAGTGTGCTCTAGCAATGTTCCAAGCGGTCAAGCGCTATCACTTCAGGTATCGCTGAACTCTGTTCCTCAAGGTGTAAAACCGCCTCGAATCTCTGAATGAAGAAACGACAGGAAGTGAATTTAGGACATACAGCAACTGAGCTGGAGGGAAATCATCCCAATATTCTTCAACGGCGGAAAACACAGCTTTAGTTGTGACCATGTGCACATAGCTCTAACAGAAGGAAGTGGCGTCAATGACTTGAGATCGACGTTTGATACCGCGTGCCTGGGTAGGGCTGAGCCTCAAACTTTAAATCATGCGGCTCTTATCGATTCTGGGCTGACCTGCAGCCAGTGAAACCTCCCTCACAGCATCCTATACCAGCTGGTTGTTCAGTAAGGGCCGCAACGGCTCGACCATTGAGGTCATCTTTTCTATAAGAAACCCTAAGATGTTTTGTTCTCCAACTTGGTACAGTCAAGGCAGAGAGAGTCTCTATGTTAGTTCTATCTAGTCAACGCAGGATCACTAAACATTGCATCCCAAGATGATAACTCAGTTTTTTTTCCCTTTGCTGGAATTCTTGTGAATAATGAAATGCTTCCAACGATTTTTTTTGGGAAATTGTCCTCAGATAGAGGGCATCTTCTTCTTTTCGTGGCCCAAGTACGCACATCGGGTGCGGAAAGGGACCCGACACCGTATAAATCCGTGCTCCACTAATAGTGTCCGGAGCAATAATTGGGCCGACTGCCCAAGTTGGGAAGTGATTGTAATGACGCTGAAATTCCAGCAAAGTATCAGTCTAGCTAAGAAGCGTCATAGTCAGGTCCTTTTTTCAAATTTCGGTGTAGGGCTCATCGGATGAATTGATCAGATTTATGATCTCGTCGGGCTCTAGAATGAATGCGGGCGTCAAGAGCATCTCCATGGCAAACCCCTTAAATACGTCGTTTTCTCCAGAGATTACGGCGTGAATTTTCAATATCTGCCAAGTTCTCTAAGTCTTACAAATTTTGTTCTCTCAACATATATGTCTCGTCTTTTGAGAATGCTGTCGGAATTTCTATCTCTGACTGAGCTTCTGTGGCAGGCTCAACTGGGATTGATGCTCGTAGCTCTCCCAATTGTGAGTATTCTCGTTTGGATCGTATATTCCCGGACTTTCCACCCATTGGCTGGCATTCCTGGGCCATGGCTGGCTTCGTGGTCAAGACTGTGGTATATGAAAAAGATCTGGACCGAAGATATAGAGATGGACGAAAAAGCCCTCCATGAAAAACATGGTCCTCTGGTCAGAATTGCCTACGATGAAATTTCTTGTTCAGAGTGAGTGGCATCCGATGCCTTCGAAAAGGTTGTGGTGGGCTCTCACTAACAAGGATCCTTTGTGCGCAAGCCCCGAGGCCATTCACCAAATCTATCGGTACTCCAATGCGCTCGACAAGGCACCGTTCTATGGCCCATATAACACAACGGGGTTCAGCAAGCACGGTGATGTTTTCTCCAAGTCGAATGACAAGGATCATGGCCAGAGAAGAAGAATCGTCAACAATGTGTACTCAATGTCGAATGTGTCAAAGGGTGAACAATACGTGGACATATGCAGCAAGCTATTCATCGAAAGACTTGGAGAATACGCCGATCAATCTACGGCTTGCGACTTTGGAGAATGGATTCACTGGTAAAAGAGGCCGCTTGTTTCTCTCTCATACTAATATCAAGTCTGACTTTAAACAGGTATACTTTTGATGTTCTTGGGGAGCTCTACTATGGCGAGATGTTCGGTTTCATGAAGGACAGAGAGGATCATAATGGCTGGATTTGGGCCCTCGACAAAATGATTCCCTTCGTGTGCTTTGCCGGAGTAACGTCATCTTTTCTGCGGCCACTTGTTTACGCCAGTCTGGCATTCTTGCCGATCGGAAAGGCTATTGGGAAAGGCTCGTAAGTGTTTTCCTCAGTAAATTGGACCTCAAGTCCCGGGAAAATGCTGATACTCAACCCCCAAAGTAAAAACATTGCAGATTCATCGTCACGTCTCATGGAAGAGCGATTTGACGGGCGCGTATCATCTGAGAGACAAGACATGGCACACCAAATCTTCCAGATTTACAAGGAGAAGGGAGACAAGGTTGACTTTGGATGGGGCGATGTCCAGCAAGAGTCTTTCGGTGCCCTCTTTGCGGGCAGCGACACAACCGCTATCACCTTCCGCTCACTTTTCTACCATTTGATGCACACGCCGGCCGCTTATGACAAGCTGCAGGCGGAGATCGACCAGGCTTTTGAGGATGGACGTCTCAGCGAGATCCCCACATTCCAGGAGGCGAGCAAGCTTCCGTATCTGGATGCTTGTATCAAGGAAGCGCTGCGAATTTATCCTGGAGCACAACTGTGTAAGTCTGCTGTATACCCATCCCTTCTCTGTCCCGAGAAAGTACTAATAGCCCATGCGAATTTTAGCGTTGCCAAGGATTGTACCCAAGAAAGGGATGACGCTCTGCGGCAGGTCTATTCCAGGTGGCTACGTAGTCGGCTGCAACCCGGTGGTCGTGCAGTTGGACAAGAAGGTATTCGGCGAGGACGCCACCTCATTCAATCCGGACCGTTGGCTCGACCAGGAGCGCGCAAACCACATGGACAAATACATGATGGCGTTTGGTTTTGGCACTCGTACTTGCTTGGGAAAGAACATCGCTCGCATCCAGCTTTATAAGCTCAGCCCGCTTATCATCCGCAACTTCAAGCTTGATTTCTGGGACCCAGAGAAGACGCAGTGGCACACCAGAAACACGTTCTTTGCGCGACAGGAGGGAATCATTGCTCGGGTTACGCGGAGGAACTGATTTCTCAGCTCGTTAATTTCCTTGCTCGTTCTCAATAGCCTCAAGACTGATCACATATATAGATTTCCTATCTATATAGAATCGACTAGACACTTAGATTTTAGAATGTATACGATCTCATACCGACGTCGCCCCGGTCATACATGCTTTCATGAGGATTGGTACAGAGTCGAGCTTTCTTCTACATTCTAATTAGTTTCTACCAAATATCTGCCTCACCTATCGCCCTACATCAGGGACGGGAAACAAGGCGCCTCTATCGGGTCTGTTGGTCTAGTGGTATGATTCTCGCTTAGGGTGTACCCTGAGTAAAATGCGAGAGGGTGAGTTCTTTATTCGCCATTGCTCCACTTCAATTAATTCTAATATCGGTGTAGTCCCGTGTTCAATCCACGGACAGACCCCAAAAAGCGCGATTTGACATCGTCAAAGAGAATTTTTTGTTGTTTTGTGGGCCCGGCCACTGGGTAGTGGCGTGGGGGCCGCGTTGACTTCGGCTTCACGAGTCAACTGAAATATTTTCTTTCTTGATACTTACTTAATTTTGAACCAGGGTAGTCATGTTCTTCCACTTGTTCGATGCTGTTGGTTTACGTACGCGGAATACGGTATTCCTCTACTAAAGTGCGTCTGCTTTCGGGCAACTGTTGCAAAAGGTGTGAATCGTGCAATCATGAGAATACAACAACGGTGTCGTACACTTAGAGCTTAACACTTAATTGTATGGAAAATCTAGTATTCCAATTTTCCCTGGGAGCCCGTTATAACATAGTGTTCGTTCTTGAGGCTACGTATGTATTCGATCTGCAATTTTCATAGCTAAACCAAACCAACACCATGAGATCTCAGTTCAATAGCTTCATCACGAAGCGATTTAGGAACCGGTCCGTACTTTATATTTACTAATTCAAACTGCCAGCGCTCTCGAGTTCCTGAAATATTTCGTAGATGAGGAGACCAATAGACCAACCGGTCTGGCTACTTAAATGGACAGAACAATCAGGATTGTGTGACAATTGAAGTATATGGCATAATTAAATGTAAACACTACATGTAGAGCTCCCGGTATCGGACCTTGTCCGGCACCGAATCGCTCAATGAAATGCTCCTTAGCTTTCTTCTTGAGCTTTCACCAACTTTCTGCTCGAAATATTGCACATGTACTTGGATTCCAGTGAATTTATGACCAGTATCAGCTTATCTTATCACGATCAATCATCACTATATTCTCAATTTACTTTTTGATTACCTTCCTCCGTTGGTATTCTAGCTTGACAAACAGTAGAAATGGCGGAATCAGAGTTGACCCTCTTGGCCTTCTATGGAGTATCTTCCCCTTGGGCCTACTTGGGTGCAGAAAGGATGGTTGCTATCGCAAAGCAGCGCAGTGCGAAGCTCGTCCACCGTCCAATTCGTGTCATTCAGGCAAATGGAGGCATCCCCCTCAGAACTCGACCTGACAGCCGGCAACAATACCACGAGGTCGAGCTCGATCGCTGGAGGAAATACCTTGGTATTCCCCTCAATCTCAAGCCAAAATTTTGTTAGTAATCTTTGGCGGCTGTCCGCCTCCATTTTCAGTGCTGAGCCAAAACGCGCCCATCTGATGAGCAGCCATTGTTTAACCTCCATTGTCGAGCAGACCCGTGCCGAACTATTGAGACTGCAGCGCAAGCTATCATAGCGCTTCAAAAAGCCGGTTACGATGCCTCGGGGTTCTCATTCGCGGTTCAACGTGCGCTGTGGGCGGAAGACCGCGACATTGCGGACCTGGCTACCCTGAAGGAAGTCGCAACGGCCACGCTGGGTCCAGAAGCCGCTGAGCTGGTCATCGAGCCGCAAAACCCGGATATAGTGGCTGATTGGCAAGAAAATCTGGCGGAAGCTGAGCGCAGGGGAATATTTGGTACGCCTACTTATGTTGTGGACGATGAACTCTTCTGGGGACAGGACCGACTGGACTTTGTCGATCGCGCACTGGTTGCTGCTACGGCTAGGCGGGAGGCGAAGGAGAAGTGATGTAAATTATTTCGTCTTGGACTCATTCTTACAGCCGGAGAGGCGTGCAGTGTTTTCAGGCCGAGGGAGGAAATGGACATGGCATTAGCCCGCGCTTCGCGCATGCGTGATCACGCAGATAATTTGCTTCCAACGAAAATAACGAAATTCCTGCCCTTGTGTTTAATAGAAAGCTTGCTAGGCTCCTAGGGCGAAATAGGTCCTTACGATCTTATCGTACCTACAGAGCCATCGTAGTCTGTCCACCTACAGAAGTACAGGACCCTTCTGACTTAGTCAAACTCCCAAAGGCATCATATGATGGAAATTGCCCAGGGGCGTATCTTAAGCTTCACTGACCTCTTTCATCCACACCCAGACAAGAATTGCGTTTGGACAATGTCAAACACAGTATCATTGGTGCTCTACTGTTTGACGAGCCTTTGAAGATATAATGTATATACACAAGGAAACCATGGACCATCTTGATCATGCGAAAGCCATCCCGCCCATTCCTTATTTGGTCGAATGCCCGCCAATGTGGGCCTAGATGCTCCATGTCAAAAGATTATCCTACTGCCCGCAAATGTGTGAATATATTGGTTTCGAATTGAATAGGTGACGAGCTTCAATGAGGACCATGCTTGGAATGAATATACAAGGCTGCCACAGACAAACAATCCCAGAGCCAGCGTGCCTACCCAAAGTCACACCACCTAACAGGTGAACACGGCAGGGCCAGGAACGGTGTAAGTTTGAGCTGCGAATTGTTAGTTGACGCCGATCATATTAATCTGAAGTCTATCGTCTTGTACTAACCTTTGTATGCGTCATATGTGATGCCCGCATCAGTGCCCTTGTAGGCACCGGGAAATGCAACGAGGCTGCTCGGAGTAGTCGAGCCACCGCCAGTGACCTGGAGCTGATGACATCCGGGGTAGAATTGTGCACCAGGGTACGCATACGCCGAATGCAGAGCGATGATCTCGTGGCGCACAAGGTAGTAGCCTGCTTTGAGGCACGATGGGATGGTGTACTTGACTCCAGCATTGCCAGCGACCATCAAGGAAGACTGCGGGTTTGTCAGCACCATTAATTTGCCGTGCATGGCTAAAATGAGATACTAACATCAGCCCATGTGTTTGTTGTTCCGGTGCGGCCTCCTTCAGCGATCTTGAACCAGACAGCACTATTGAATTTGACGAGTTAGTTTACACGGCGAGCTCATCTCTTAATCACCACGCCCTTGGTAGAAATTCAAACCTACCTGGATCCGGGCAGCCAGCTCTGGCAGCCAGTGTCTGGGCAACGGGCCATATATGTGACCACGGGTCCTACGTGCGAGTCTGGCCATAGTGTCCAGTAGAGCGTCGAGGTCGAGCCTGCCGCAGCTGTGGCGTGAAGGGCGGCAGGCTGGCTGCCGGACACGCCACCCTCTGTGTATCCGCCGCATTGGAGGTCGATGAGAGTGACGTCGGTCACAGGGCCATTGCCCTGGATAGCACGAGAGATCCTTTGAGGCTGGACCGGGGAAAATGTCAGTAGGCATGTCAGATTTGGGCGGCCGAAGGCAAAGCACTAACCGGAGTAGAATAGTATGGGTCCTGATAAGCTGAAAATCGTTGTTAATAATGGAGCTTCAACGGTCACAGAATATTCTGGCTTTGATCGACTCACGTTGGTAGAACTAGTGACGTTAGCAATGCTGATCCAAGCCATATTGTAGGGTTGGCTTAATTACCTGATAGTAAGCTCCCCCTATAGTTCCGTTATCGACATATCCATGAGCAGCAACCGAAGCTGCAAAGCTCAGAAGAAAAGCGAGGGCCTTCATTGTGTGATTTATTCGTCGTTCCTTGAGTTACAGCACAAAATTGATAACGGTGCAGTGACTTCACAAGGCATCAAGCGTCATAGATAGCAGGGAGCATCTATAAGTATTTGAGTATTGACATTACTATCCTTGCACTCAAAGTCAACATCCACAAATTTTCGCTTTGCTGGGTGGCTCCTGGCCCTGGTGTTCCCATTGCGGACGCCATCTTCCGTGGCGACGAACACGGCTCTTGGCGCGAGACATGCGGGCCGGCGAGACCTGGGACTGCTGTCCACCTGAACGGTCGAGCCTCGTGGACTGGGGCGCGGAGGCAGGGAGGGTCCGTTATATATTGTTTAAGACTAGGCGCAGTGCATAGTCACAGATGTTCCGCCAATTATGCGGGACAGGTAGGAGTTGTCCCACAAAACGTGTCCACCAATTATCCTCAAGATCAAATGGTAAGGCTGCTAACTACGAGAATCATCACAACCGTCTTTGTTTTAAACCTTCATTTGAAATCCCTCTTTTGTGATCTTATTGCACGATGTTGGTGGGATGTCATCGAAATACCTGACGCTGTCGCAACAACTTCTACATTGGTACGCAACTTTCTGTGACAAATGCAATTTCCTACTGCCGCCATCAGCATCCGAAATCGAAGCTCTAGCGCTTAGTGTATGATTGATCTGGATGCGGAACGGAGAACGTTATTGAAACGTGCCAGCCAGAATGTTACAATGCAGGCTATGTCCTGGATTCTAGTCGACTCGTGCCTCTCCTCAGACGCGGGAGCCCGTCGTCTCTTGTAATCGCAGAACACGAATCCCAAGCAGTGGCCGCCCTGTTCGGAAGCAGCCTGGCAGCGGGAACAGTCTGATTTTGCCATTGCTGTCTCATTCTGGGCGAATCATTGACTTGATGCCAGCTGCCTTGGAGCTAAGTCTAGTTGGAGGGCTTGGATTGTAAGGATGGCGGTCAGTAGGTATACCTGCTATACGTGCATTTGCTGATCTGGGTATCTCGTCATTTCAGGAGCCAACCATGCGTACGAGCAGGAAAATTGAACGAAGTTTGACTCTTATTGACTGTAGTCTCAACAACCCCCTTGTATGCCCAAGTGACGATGATGCGAATCTTGTGTGAGACGGTTTCCGACTATTGACCCCATCCGCTTCAGTTCCACCAAAGAAAGAGCCGCGATCTCCAGGCGTCGGCATCTCCAGCACCGAGACACGCGCTCATGATATGATTATCATCTTTGCCCGTGTCTGCTTCTGAACATGACTTGATTGCCGCTGGTGTAATGATGCTAGTACTAGTCCTGATGAAAAGTCCGCTTGAATCCTCAAAAGGCTGCTCCCATCTTTATTATTCGCTCATGTGTCAAAGACTCTCAGCCACCCAGCCACCCACGACATGAAAACAATTTTGTAAACCATCCATCGTGCCTCGTTGTCTGTCAAATTGCGTAGCTCATACTGAGCTGCAATGCGCATTGCGACCCGCAGTCTCTCCATCTGCTCGTCGTGGGCCTCCTGACAACGATACTATCGTCTGACAAACTTGACAGTCCACACGGTTGTGTTCCATATTGGGGTGTACTTCAGGAGCAGAAAGACTGGCAGAGCGACAGGAAGGCCGAGCCATATGAAGACCAGCTTGCGGAGGAGAGTTGACCTCGCTTGAGCACATGCCCAAAAGCAGTGCAGGAAGATCGACAGGTATTCTGACATGGGTAGCTCCGACGCCGGCGCCTGATGAATGTCTTCTCTTGCCTCCCGGAGGGTCTCAGTCAGGATGGCTTGAACTTCTCCCTCAGTGCCATCAGTGACGTTGCGGCCCCGGTAAACATAGTAGGCCAAAAGGACGGAGACAACAACAACCCTACGATGTAAGGGCGATGAATTTGGTGGAACCGACATGGCGGGCGTGTGAAAATTTCTCTTGATGTTGTGAGCATACGAATGCGAGACGAGATGGTGTTTGTTTCTTGATACAGCAAATGCTCGAGGACAAATGACAGGAAGATTGATGCACACTGAGTGAGCGAACTGATATGAGTAGGTGTAAACGCAGAAGGAAAGCACGAGTGACAAACCATCGACAAAAGCACGTTATAGTCCCAAGCTCACTGATTTTACACGTCATTGCTTCGTACTTCCTGATCTCAGTTTCTGTTAGAGACGGGAAGGTCCCAGGCAAAGGTGCCCAACATTGTAGTGTCTCTCTCTTCGACCATGTATGATTTATCTTCGTTTGGCAACTCGAATATGCTTTCCTCAAGCTACCACGATCGTCCGTTCACTTGAGGGGTTTCCTTGGACGATCCGTCATGCAACATTAGAAGTTGGAATATGGAAACACATGTGATGGTGCCCCCTTGAAGCCCTCCAAGTAATGGAAGTGGAAGCCAAAGTCACAGAAATGTCCCAGGAGAGTAGTTCCAATGCTAGAAGCAAGCTGACTACCAAAGGTGAGTAGATCACGGAATAACAGTAGGCCATGTTTCATATCGCGCAACCATTACCGGCACGGCCAATTTTTTTTTTTTTTTACGCGACGGTGAATGTCTGTCGAGCACATTACGTTCATCCCGCGGGACTTGCCAAATATGGCTTAGAACACATGTGGCGAGTCGTCGCCTGTGACATTCTGGGCATGATCGAGCAAGTCAAATGCGGTACAGGGCGCCGGGAGAGCGAGTCCTCATTGTAAACTCCAATGCTAGTCTTCTAGTAATAATCCCAAGTAGTTGTCTTGAAAACGAGAATGGAAGAAGAGAGATGAGCCAGAGGCAGAGCCAGCTATGGAGTTCCGGCGCCAGATCCGGCTCCGGCTCCGGCTCCGGGTGCTCCGCCGCTGCCGCCACCACCACCACCTCCCATCAAATTCCGAGCCCTGAGACGATGTGTTAGCTTAGGTATTGTGTTCGGAGAAAGAAGACCAAACTTACATCTCCGCGATGCTGGGGTCGGACATCAGGGCTGACGTGTCGGGCATGCCTCCTCCCCCGCCACCACCGCCAAAAGAGCTGGCCATTTCGCGCAGCCTCGGGTTGCTCATAAGGTTTGACATGAGGTCCGGATTGCTCATGAGGTTCTGAGCCATGGATGCGAACATAGGGTTGCTCATTATGGATCCAAGGTCTGGCATGCCACCACCACCGCCACCGCCACCGCCTCCTTGCCCACCACCACCAAACATGCTCGCCAGATCGTTAAGGTTTGGGGCACCTCCAGCCGGGCCACCAGCACCCCTTGACGCAACCTCATCGGACTCGAGTTCCTCGACCCGCTTCTTGGCGGTCTCAAAGCCCTTCTTCATGGCATCACTGCCACCATTGCCCTCGTAGTCAATGCCCTTCTGGTATGCCTCCATGGAGCCCTTTGCATCTCCAAGGGCAAACCGAGCGAGGCCCAGGCGACTCCATGCCTTAGTATACTTGGGGTCTATTGCGACAGCGGCCTCAGCGTCAGCCTGTGCGCTTTCATGATCCTTGGCGGCACTGTAAGCGGCGGCACGGTTCGACAGGAAGATGGCGTTTCCGGGGTTGAGGCCCAGCGCCTGGGTGTACAGGTCGATAGCCTTGGGGTAGTCCTTCTGGGCCATGGCAGCGTTGCCCTTGGACTTGAGCGCCTCAGCCTCCTTCTTGGCATCTTCGCTCACTGGTGCTGCTTGGGCTGGGGCGGCAGATGAAGAGGAAGCATCGGCAGCAGGCTTAGAAGCATTCTTCAGCTTCTCGTAGACGCCATATATCTTTAGGAGGTTCTGGTCGCCGATAGCTTCTGAGACGGCGGCCTTGTTGGAGGGGTCGACCTTGAAGGACTCGGCAATACAGTTGACAGCGACGTCGATGGATTCTTGATCATCCGCTGGGAGTGTACCATCGGTGACAGAAGAGGAGAGGAAATCGCAGATAGCCAGCGCAAGGCGCTGCTTAGATGTAGTTGCCTTCGACGAGAGAGCATTAGCGGGGCAGTTCATTCTTGCTCGAGTTGGGAGTCCGACGGGATCAGCAGAAAACGTACCATATCACAGTATATCTCTGGGACCAGATACAAACGATTCTGTAGGGTGTTCGTACTCGAGAATGCAGGTCGGTCGTTCTCAGGAGGACGGGGATTTGTGAGGCTCTAGGACGTGTCTCGTCTAATAATTATAGGCGTCTGAGACCAGTGAAATGGAAAGCGAGGGGCTGTTCTGGAAGGAGCAGATCGTGGGGCCTGCCGGGGGGAAAGAAAGGTACCGGAGTACCTGGGTACCTGAATGCCTGGGGTAGTTTTTGGGAGCTGTCAGCTATCTGGATCTGTTAGTGACCAGCCCGTCAGTAGGCGATGATCAGTTATTCTTGGCTGGGCTACTCTAACAAATCCCAACATACAGGGCACTCGGGCATCAACTCAAACACTGATTCCACTCGAGGCTCAGGTTGGAGCTATTCCGCCAGGCTTGGACCCCCCCCTTCAATCCAGGCCAGGAGGTGCACACAACCCTGGCTGTTTCTGATGTCACTTCAAACAATCACCACTTCCTCGTTTCCGCCCCATGGCGCAGTTCCTTCCGCACACCCCTTTCAACTGCTTCACTGCTGCTTGTTCGCTGTCGTCCTGCGTCCTTATCACTCTCTTTGCAACAATGACAAAATAATAGCACGCAAACTCGGCCTCTGCACAAGACGAAACACCATACTCCAGGAAAGCCGCCGGAGTTGCCGAATAAGTCACCTCGGCCTGATTTCCAGCCAGCGGACGCCCGCCATTCGCGTTCTCCTTCTCACTCAGAAATAAAGCCGCAGCACGCACACAACGCTTCCCAATTCGACAGCTTGACGACGTGACAGCTTACGAGAAGACCCATTTCCCAGTCTCTGGGAGTCGGTGCGACACGTCCAGTCGTTCCCCCCTGAAACCAACGAGCTCTTCGCCGACATCAGTCCCCCCCCCCTCCACCGGAACCACCCAACATGTCCTCCCCCGACGAGACCGATGCTGCTCCCGCAGTAGCCCCCACGACACCTCATCTTCAGCGAACTCAAACCGACCCCAGCCTTCGCAGCTGCTTTATCTGCCTGCAAACGCCCGCTGAAACACCCAATGCCGTATGGGTCAACGCATGTCCATGTTCGCTTGAGGCGCACGAGGATTGCATGTTACGATGGATCTCAGAACACGAGCGCGAGAGCACCAAAACACTACGGTGTCCCGCTTGCAAGGGAAAGATACAGACCACTGAGCCCAGCGATCGCTTCGTTGGCCTCCGAGACCGGTTACACAAGATGTACAGTCGCATCACACCTGCGATATTGTTGGGCATCGTCACAGGTTGCAGTAGTAGGTCCACCCCCGAGTTTTTCAGACCATGTTCCCGACCAGGATTCGCATGGTCTGGGCACACTTCAGGCGCCTCTACGGTCCCGTATCTATCTATAGACGATGCGTCCCCTGTCAAGCAGTGGAAGTTGCTAACCGCATGTTTGAGCTAAGTAGTGGCGGGATCAAGTTATTATGGAATGCTATCCATGTGCGTCTTTGCGGGCCCTGGGCCAGCGATGGGATGGTTGGGCCTCGGACGTGCCCTAGCAGATCGTAGAATCAATCCAAGCATACCTTGGTACAGATGGAAAGCTGGTTGGGAATTTTGTTTCAGATTCTGGATGCTCAACTTCATCGCTCCCGCGTTGATGATTCAAAAAGCCCTCCCGTCCCAGCTGGTGGATATGCTGACTTTGCCGGCTTCTATCCTGGTAAGTCAACTGCCATTGATTGTGGAATCCGCACAAGCCTCTAATGAGCATGACAGTACGGCGCTTCGCTCGTTCTTCGCGATGAAATGCCTACTTGGCCACCATCGCCAGCTTGGGTTCTGACGATGATGCCATGGGTAAGCTTCTCGTACAACCGGATCTACTACGATATCCTCGGTGGTTACGAGCGGCGCCTCAACAAGGCACTCAGGGGTCGTGGTCTTCCCAACGAGCAGCTACCTGCTGCAGCAAACAATGAGGGCGGCCAACAAGCCAACGTCGCGGCAGAGAACCCCGCTCCAGCAGAGGAGGATGACGAAGGCTACTTTGCCCAGGCACTGAGGGTTGGAAACGCTGTGCTCAACTTGATGGGTGACGAGAACAACCAAGAAGAAGTTGTGGCCGAAATTGAGCTTCACATAGGCCCTGAGGAGGACGAAGCAGCCGCCATTCAAGAACTCCAGGAAGAACTGAACGAACAGGGCATTGTGGTGGTTGAGGAGGGACCAGCTGGCGATGCCGTCGCGGGCGCGGACGAGCAGCCCCAGGAGCAAAACGCGAGCGAAGAAGGAGATCAAGACGCCGCCGAACCACCACCGCCAATACGGATCGAGCCCCAGGGCAATGGCGAGCAGAATCCTCCCGCAAACGACAATAACAACAATAACAACCAAGCACAGGAGGAGCCGATCCGGGAACGAAATGGCGGCCCTTCGACAACCCTGACTGATCTTGTCAATGGCGTTGTCACGGCCATTACCTTCCCGCTTGTGTGCTGGGGCGCAGGCGAGATTCTGCGCCATGCTTTGCCTGAGAACTGGATCGTCAGGCCCCACCCTCGCGCTGCCACGGGCTTGCTTCAGGAGCAATGGGGACGCAGCCTGGTCGGTGGGATGGTATTCATCGTAGCGCGAGATGCGGTCAATTTGTACACTAAGCATAGAAGGGTCGAGGTAAGGAAGCATCGGAGGGTGAGGAACGTACCACGGCGGAAGTCGAAGCAGACGCAAACACAACAGGCCGATGGGAACTCATAGCATGGAGCAAGGATGTAGGCTTAAATGCCGAAGAACAATCACGACACAACTTTACAAGACTAGCGAATATCCGTAGGGCTGATGATTATTCTGGTTCTGGAAGATAGCGGACATGATATTCCTTTCACTGTTCTGATCTTGCCTCATACCTGAAATTCAGGACTGTTTCTCTCGACTCCCCTGGTCCTAACATATCTCAGACACAGCTATAAAAACATATCGGAGGATATATTCCATGACTACTTATTTGGTTACCCAATCCCAGGCGTAACAAGTTACTGGTGGCCTCTCCACACAACCACCCACAGGGTGTCAGAGTCCCTAGGCCACGAAGCCTTCTTGCCAAGCGTACGGAGGGTACAAGCCGAAAACAGACTACACTTTAGATAGGGTGGCTGATCTGTGCTTCCCAAGATTAGTATTCGGGTCGACATGACTTGTTCCTGGCACGGCCAACCCCGCCGAAACAAGCGGCTTCTTCCCCAGCTTCTCCATCTTCTCCACGTCTGATTCCCCGGATGCCTGAGGGATTGGCACGGAGTGACTTCACGCCTCCCGCCCCATACGGAATTTCTCACCCCTTTCTCCGCGATAGGATAGATCCCGCCCGTTTTTACCTAGTAGGTGTTTAGAGCTAGGTCGAGTATCACCCTGACTGCACCGGTGATGGATATAACGGGTGTCCGGTCAAGGGCTTCCAGAGGCAGTGCGATGGGAACAGGATTACCTTTGTCGTTCTCTCTCTTATACTGGTAGATACCAGGAAGTCTCATTAGTGTGACCTACCTTGAACACTCATCTCTCATTAATTGCTTGGCCTTTCGCCGAGTCACCATGCCTCACGCAGAACCACCTGCTCAGCCTTCCCTCCACGGGGCCAACCTCTACGTAAATGACGGCCGCTTCTCACCCTCAGAGGTAACACAGATGCGAGTCTCTCACCCAGACGAGCCCCTCGACGTTCTGCGGGACCGCTACTACACGGACGGCCATGTGTTCCTCAAGGGACTCCTACCTCGCGCTGACGTCCTCAAGGCCCGCGAGGCCTACTTCGCCAACCTAGCACACACAGGCGTCCTCAAGCCGGGCACCTCAAACGAGGAGGGCATCTTTGACGACAGCAAGCCACCGACCGACTACCCGGGCATCGGGGCGGGTCAAGACGCGCTCGAGAGGTCCACGGTCGCGGCGCAGTTCGTGGACGCGGCGCTCGCGCAGCACACGGCGGAGTGGTACTGGAACGAGGCGGGAGAGGGGTTCACACAGCACCCGGCGCTGCGGGATTTCGTGGAGCGGTTCACGGGCTGGGGCGACAAGACGCTGCCGGTGAAGAGGACGCTGCTGCGCAACAACACGCCGGGCAACAAGGCCATCGGTGTGCATTATGATCAGAGCTTCCTGCGGTACGGCGAGCCGACGGCCGTGACGGCGTGGGTGCCCATGGGTGACATCGGCCTTGAGGGCGGCGGGCTGATCTACCTCGAGGATGGAGTGAAGCTTGGTGAGGAGATCGAGAATGACTTCTCGGCCAAGGCCAAGGCGGCGGGCATGAGTGACGAGGAGATGCGGAACGCCTTCAACTCCAATATGATGAGTACAGGTTTCCTCTGCGACGGGCCCCAAGAGTTTGGGCGCAAGTATGGAAGGAGGTGGCTCGCCACTGCGTACGAAGCTGGCGATGTGGTGCTCCACCAGTCGCATGCGGTGAGACGAATATCCTTCTACCGTGATGGTCATCTTTGCATCGTCAATTGCTGACTTTCAATGTTGTCGGCTCTTAGATCCATGCTTCCACGATGAACTTCGATCCTGCAGGTAAGATCAGGGTCGGGACGGACTTGCGGTTTGTGGACTCATCAAGGCCATGGGACAAGGTAAGTTGGGCACCACGCCGCACGTTGCCGTCTCCTCTGAGCAGATGCTAATTCAACATGCCACAGCGCTGGGACAAGCACTATGAAATTGGCGACGGGGTGTGATAATATCGAACGTCTCGTCAGCTCTACGACGGCTTTGGGGAAGTCTGCATGGGTAGCTACCAGAAGGTCTTTTTTCTTCTTCTTCTCATGTACCCATTTGCGTATGATATTGCTGGTCTGGACAATGAACAATCATAGCCTGAAGGTTCCAGTCGTGCTCAGTGCAACAGGCGAGAGAGCATTTGTGATGCTAGCATCGAATTGATTGCCACCAGGATGAGAGCTCTATTTAGCACCGCATTAATTATTCCGGGCCGGGGAAGTCCGGACCGAACAGTCAGTCTATGTGTACAAAACTTGTTAGTATGGGTCGCGTGAGGCGCCCCAGACCCGCCCGTGGATCGTCGTTTTTAACGGCGGAGGGAGCTGAGAGGAGCAAGGAGGAGGAACAGGCGCATAACACTGAGTGGTTGGTGTGTGTAGGTTTGCAGCATAGTTCAGGTTCGACTCCTGTCCCTGGTATCTGGAAAGCTCTCAGTGCCAATGAGAGCGAGGAATGATGCAACAGTCCAGGTAGGAGCCTTTGAGATCGTGGTCGGTGTTGTTGAAGAAGCTTGGGTGGAACGCGGGGCAATTTGTGGGATGGCGGATAGAGGGGAACGCGCTGGGGATGCGTGGGGCTCCCAGCCGAGCTCCAGCTCCAGCACCAGCACCAGCGCCAGAACCAGCACCAAGCTCCCGCAGCGCATCCAGGCCTTGCTTGGTGCGGCTCAATCCTCGGCGCAAATGTGGGAGATCACCAGGCTAACAGATCATGAAATCACCTCACCTCACCTGGTCTCACCCATCCTCCTTCTTGATCGAGTCTTCCTCTCTCTCACGACATTCTGATTATCCTTCTGAAGCAAATATATCTACACCTCTCCTGTTTGCTTGCTGAAGTGTGGCGTGCTGGAATTTGAGCTCCTCCACTCACACACCAAACCACCATCACCCCTCCCCCACCATCACCATTGTGGGGCATTGCTCTCTTCCAAGACACCACCTTCACCATGGCGGGCCCAGTACCCTTCGCAAAGTCTCTGGACCAAATATACCCAGATAATGCCCTCCCTTCTCAGGGTAAGAGATGGAACAACCTCCTGAGCCAGTTCCAGTCCACCTATGGCCAGCCTGCCGAGTTCGTCGCCCGGTCGCCCGGCCGTGTCAACATTATCGGCGAGCACATCGACTACTCACTGTACTCGGTGCTGCCCATGGCCATCACCGCTGACTGCCTGATCGCTGTGTCCACCAAGGTCGATGCCTCAGCGGTCAAGGAGGGAACCTACAAGATCAAGATCGCAAACGTGCAGGGTCAAAAGTTCCCCAGTCACGAGTTCGACATTCCATTTGACGCCGTCGAGATCGACGCCACCGTTCACGAGTGGACCAATTACTTCAAGTCCGGCCTGAAGGGAGCCCTGGAGCTGCTCAGGAAGAAGCATGGCGCCGGCTACAAGCCCATCTCCATGCAAATCCTCATGGACGGGACAGTGCCTGCTGGCGGCGGTCTGAGTTCCAGCGCCGCCTTCACGAGCACGTCTGCACTGGCCGTCATGGTCGCAAACGGCGAGAAGAAGGTCGACAAGACCGAGCTCACGGAGCTAGCCATCGTCTCTGAGCGCGCGGTCGGGGTCAACTCGGGCGGCATGGACCAGTCGGCATCAGTCTTCTCCGAGCGAGGCTCGGCACTCTACGTCTCCTTCTCGCCCAGCCTCACCGCAAGGCCGGTGCACTTCCCCAAGACAAACCCGGAGCTGTGCTTCCTGATCGCGCAGTCCTTCGTCGTGGCCGACAAGTACGTCACGGGCCCGATCCACTACAACCTGCGAGTGGTCGAGTGCAGTCTGGCAGCTGCCTACCTAAACGCGGCGCTCAATCCCAAGGGAACACAGCTGCCCGCCGACGCGGCGCCGCTGGGCATATCGCTCAAGGGCTTCCACGACACATACTACGCCAACCACCCAGAAAATGCCGCCAAGCCCGTCAAGGAGCAGCTGCGCGAGCTCATCTCGCTGACCGAGTCCACCCTGAGCCAGGCCGGGGGCTACACGCGCGAGGAGATCGCCGAGAAGCTGGGCGTCAGCGTGGACGAGCTCAACGCGCGCTTCACGTCCAAGTTCCCCGTGCGCGCCGAGAGGTTCAAGCTGCGCCAGCGCGCGCTGCACGTCTTCCGCGAGGCCCTGCGCGTGCTGGACTTCATGTCGCTGCTCGAGGACCCGGCCAACCACCCGGAGGGGTCCGCGGACACGACGGCCTACAACGAGAAGCTGGGCGCCATGCTCAACGACACGCAGGACAGCTGCAGGGACGACTACGAGTGCAGCTGTGCCGAGATCGACGACATCTGCAGGATCGCGCGGAGGGCCGGCAGCTACGGCAGCCGCCTGACCGGGGCCGGCTGGGGTGGGTGCAGCGTGCACCTCGTGCCGGCGGACAAGGTGGAAGCCGTGAGGGAAGCGTGGGAGAAGGAGTACTACAGCAAGAGGGAGCTAACGCCGGAGCAGAAAGAAGGGGCCGTTGTCGAGAGTCGGCCGGGTAGTGGAAGCGCGGTCTACGTCGTCGCCGACGGCACATTGTAGTGTGGCTGTGGGCCAGAAGGCTGTGGAAGGGACCAGGGGCGCCTCGTCATGTAGATATCCTATGTAAGGCTAGCTTTAGCCGGTCAAATCACCCCGTTGAATTAAAGCACTGCACAGTGAGCGAAGAGCTCTCGAGGCGATTTCTTTACGGCGCCCCCTGGTGACGGGCGAATGACGAATGCCTCTGAGGCCTGGTGAGATCTGCTCCAGACATCAGAGGAACCTATCCGACAGGTACCTATAAGCGTGCCGTAATATGTGCGTTCATCCGAAGCGCGAGAAAACAAAACGATGACTACCTGACTGTCAGGGCCGTCGAGCTCAGGGTTCACGCCGAAACGCCCCAGGGCACTCTTCGAACGAACCTCACACGAACCCGGCCCCGAGCCACGAGGCCGTTGGGGCTACCGGTGTCGCTTCGATGGGGCGATCGAACCCGCGTCTTCCTCACAATATCAGACGGTTCCGACATCAGACGATGGAGCGAAGGACGGAGGAGGGGACGGGTGTGGGTGACGGAGATCGTTCGCGCCGCAAAGCTCTTGCACCGGCCGAACTTCCCTGACGGCTCCCCACGGCGTGTGATGTTCGCTCGGACATGGAGTCTCGGAGTTTGCTCGTCGTCCAATTCACAAAATGTAACGAGAGGTTTTGGTCAGGTCGAGTGTGAGAAGAATCGGTCCCGCGCCCAAGGCTGAGGTGACACAGGCCGCTAGCCCGCTGGGCAGATGCGAGTGGCCTGTTACAGAAGTAAGAAAGAAAGAAAGAAAGAAAGGGAAAAAATATAACGAAATTTATTGCAACCCGTGCCTTGAAGAAAAACTTCTTCAACGTTTCCAAAGAACAACTATACTGTAGTCCTAAAATTGCTTTTCCACTGCGCGTGTGCAGTGCCTTGCATTCCGGCTGCTTGTTTGATTGTTGCTCCTAACTCTCGCCTCCAACTGCCTCCTGCATCTACCTGCATGCATGCAAGATCGCCCCATTTAGGATTTTCCTTCTTCCTGACCGGCCCCTCGGACCATCACATGCATCCAAGCCATAACGTAGAGAGCATCATGCAAAAGAGTGTCCCCCCCTCCCCCCGGCTCTCGTATTGTAATAAGCAGCATTGCCTCGCTCCAAAAGTAGAGCGGAGCCGGAAGGGGCGCAGAAGCTGGAGCTAGGCAATCTACTGTCGACCGCGCGGGCGATTCCGCAGCAGAAGCAAGCTTTCGTATGCGCGAAGAATTTGGGCACTTGGTGGGTGGGTGTGCACGCGCAATGGCCGTTTCGGAAGGTTTAAGAGAGGGTCAAGGGGACGCGGGCTGTTTTGCTGCCGAGGTCCGCAAGTATCTCGGGCCAGATGTGGTGTGATCTCGCCGCCACGCGGACCTTGGAAGCCAGGACACTTTGACTTTGAGGGTCATCAAGGTCTATGTATATTCATCACTATATAGAAGACGGGGGGGTATTTCGATATGAGAACAAAAATCCACATGCCGTGTTAGGTACTCTGGACAAGACAGCCGTTGTTACCATCCGACAACATTAAGGAAAATGTCCGATATGTAGGTGTGATTGTGGGTATTCTTCATTTCCAGAAAAGTCCTTTCCACTCCCAATAACTCGTTGCGTGGTCCAACCTCCATTCTATGTGCACAAACAGCAACAGCAACGCTTCCATGAAAACAAAGAGCGGGATAAATTGAAAAAGAAGAAGCGAAAACAGGATGGGTAACGCGGGAATTCAAGGCAACAACTGGTGGGCAGATTCCCAAAAATTATTCACAGCAGAACCGATGATCAACATCCTCCACTTTTTGGGAATTTAGAAGAAGAACAAGACTGAACCGCCGAGGAAATGACACAAGAGAATTAGTTGTTCGTGTGAGCGACTCGGATCGACGTTGGCCGTCGACCAAAAAAAAATGGACAATGGAGGGGGGTATCTCGGTATCTCTCGCATACGAAAACGTAGTTGCGTGCATCATCAGCCGAAGAAACGCTCAGACTCCAGTAAAAGTACTAGACCGACCAGCCGGGTTGGTGTGAAGGGTGACAGGTAATGAGATAGGTAGTGATCGTGATTGCTTCTCGAAAATTCATCGGTAGATAGCAAAAAATGGTGCGGTCTTGTCTAGATCTTGGACCGAATCTATTTTGGACGGCCACAAGGGCGTCTCGGGTGAACGGCCCTAGACATTTATGACCCGCCAAAGTGGAAGACGCTGGACATGATCGAGCCAGGTCGCGACTCAGTGGCTGTGGTCAAGGTTGAGTCTCTGTAGGGCACGCCCTGGGCGCTTTCGCGAGGAGGCCTAACCGTCTGGCCAGAGCTAGAGGTCCGCATGCTCCATCGTCGCTTCTGTGACGCCTGGGACATACTGCCCTGCTGCTGGCCTTGATCAAGTCCAATGGGCGGGTCCGGGGCCCTCGATGTCGTGTAGTGTTGCTGGTGCATATGGTGACCGTGCTGGTGCTGTTGATCACCTGGAACGACCATCGACGCTGACATGTTTGAGTAGTTGTTGCTCTGCGCCAGAAGATCCGTCCAGTAGCCGAAAGAATTCGTTGGCGCCGTCGGAAGCTGCATGTTGGGCATGTTGGGTGTGCTCATGATAGTGTCGTCGGGGTCGAGGCTAAGATTTCAACGGTTAGTATCGTCTGAAAAGATGGCGGGTCTTGGCTTTGTGAGACATGACATGAGCCGTGAGCTGAGACATGTCTCACAATAAAGGTGCGCCAATAACTTCTAATAGGAGAAGAAACAAAAAAGGGCTTACAATAGGAATGACGTGTTAGACAGATCTTGTGCTGAAGTCATGGCAGATTGAGGATCTTGTGTAGTCCATGACCCGGCATCTGACGGAAGACTTTGAGGTGTGAAGTTTAGCGGCGCCGGCACCATGCTTATCTTTGACATGCTCTGGGCGTCCTCTTCCACCTTGGGGAATGTAGGCAGGGGTGTCTCGAAAGGACTAAAGTCGGGGATGTCAACGCCCTGTTGCTGCTGGTGTTGGTGTTGTTGGTGTTGCTGGTGGTGCTGTTGAAGCTGGTCCAGGCTGGTCTGGCTGCGGTTGGCGCGATGGTTGACTGAGGCCATTTGGCATGTGGCACGAATCGGGATGAAGAATCCGGGTGGCAGGGTAGGCGGTGTGTCCTTCTTTGCATATCCCATCGCCGAAGCGCATTGCACAAACTGCTGGACATCCGAGATGTGGCGGCACTCGAGCATCTTTCGTAGCGTGAAGGACGATAGGGCCTGCCAGGCGGGCGACTCGGATGACATTTTAACGCGGCGTTTCCATGCCTCGTCGACTGGAGACTGCCGCATCAGGTTCCGGAATCTCGCGGAATAGGACCAGTCGCGATGCGTAAGACCATCTCCGTCAAAGTGGTCTGCAACGTGAGCAAAGTATTCGTGGGCTTTCTTGTCGGCGTCTTCGTCGCTCTGTGCCTCGAAAATGCGCTTGCAGTCCTGGAAGCCGCAAGCGAACACAACCTGTGGGCACGTCTTGGCCATTGCGTCGTCAGGTAAGGGTCCGACGCCCTGATGGCAGGATTTCAAGTGGTTAGTGTACGCTGATTTCCACTCGAATGGCAAGCCACAGCCGGGAGCTGCGCATGTCCAGACCGAGTGGTTGGTGTGAAACTCGTGGAAGTGGCGCTTCAGATCGTTCTTCCGCTTGATCTCAACTGTGATCCCTCGTTCCCCGCAAAATGGGCACTCGAAAGGATCTTGCTTTTTGTTCCCCCACGCACTGCCAATCCCCCCTAGGTTCGAGCGTTTTGATGCGCCGGCTGCTCGACGGACGACCTTGCGGCCAATAGAGCGTACAGACGAGGTTTGTGCGGGATTGTGCCCTGGCATCACGTTTTGGTTCGACGCTGGAGAGGGCGCGAGGCTCAGGCTGTGGAAGGATGAGGTGTCGGAACAGGTAGAGTAGAGACTACCGGTGATGGAACTGGCGTCGGAAAAGGAGATCGGACTCGGGTTGGCTTCGAAAGCCACAGCAATATGACTGTTGCTGCTGGAACTAACAGGTGGTACCATGCCTTGCTCTGCGACAGAATGTTAGACACGAAAGGTGATGGATGGAGCCAGCGCAGGCGCCGGCGCCGGCGCCTGCGCGCAGTCGGCTTGAATGGGACGTTCTCACCATTTGCCGACATTGACCGTAGCATGCCCACAAGATCCGTCAGCCCGTACTTCCCCAGCAGGTACCGCATCATCGCGCTGTCGTCCATGGCGTTGTTGTTGTCCATCCTGCCGAAATTCAAGCAAATGGGCTCCACTGGCTCAATTCGGGGGAAGGTTCAGGGGCATGTGAGGGCGCGACATGCGTGGTTCGAATAAGAACAGACTGGAATGGTGGGCGGAGTTGAAGAAAAGGAAGAGTTGGGGGCGAGAAAATGCTCGTCCGGGTTTGATTTGCCGTAATTATCGATAAATTGGTGTCTGCTGAGAAAGCGAAGACGCAGTCCGTGGTCGGCGGTGTGGAAGGTTGTAGGGATCGTGGTGAACCGAAGCGGTGATGTTGGAAAGCAGAGAAGGAAATAAAATGGAAAGGGTTGAAGAGAAGAAGAAAAAAGGATCCGGGGGGGAGAAAGAATGATTGTCCTCTGAAGCGAGTTTGTACGAGGCTCTTCACATCCAGGAAGTGCCAATCACATCAATAGCTGCAGGTGAGGAGAGAGTAGGTCGAGTGGTGTGCGGCCTCAAATATAGATAGGTAAGGTGCGTGCGTGTGGTGACCGGTTCGGTTCAAACGCGGCTTTCCACAACCTTATTGCCCAGGGCCTGGGTGTGGATGTGGGTATGGGTAAAAGGTATGGTTCACGGGTATAGGTATGGGCCTGGATATGGACGGATGGATCTGGATATGGCAATGGACGGTCTCAACCCAAATCAAGCGGTGTCCATGGACTGACTGACTGACTGCACGGCAGAGCAGGGCCAGTGACAGGAGGATGAAAAGGGTTATATGAGGGCGTATGCACACAGATGGGGTCGCGCTGTAAAGGTGCGGGAGGTGAGTGGCCCAGCCTGGCCAGAGAAAAGAGATTATGAGCTGATGGGCTTGGGTGCCCGTTCTGCTTGCACTGGTTTAAACCCGGAAGGGCAGTTGAATGGGCGCGAGACAGGCAAGGACCACCGCTGCCTGTCACAGGTGGGAGCGCTGGGTTGAATTGGGAATGGTCGGATGCTTGAATGGGAGGGAGATCGGCAGGAGCGTTGCCCGTTGTCGACGTCTATTCACGGAGCAATCGGTTCGTGCTGCTGTTGGCGCTGATGCTGGTGCTGGTGCTGATGCTGCTGGTGCTGGGAAAGGTGAGAGAGGAGGAGAGAGAGTCAAAAGATCAAGGTGCGGTGTGTGGTGTGGTGTGGTGTGGTCTGTCTGGCCTGGTGTGCCTCCATCAGTCTGCTCGGCTCGTCTGCTTGTTCTGTTGGGCAAGGTAAGTTGGTGTCTTCGGTTCCTCCCCCTCCTCTCCCACCTCCCTCCCCTCTCGCCCCTCTCGTACCCTGCCCTCCTGCCTTGCCCTGCCCTACCGCACTCACACAATGCCTGCTCACGGCTAACTCCAGATCCTACCTCCGTCGTCCGTTTCTGCCTCTGCTGTGGTTACTCTACTAGCCTTTTCGCTCTTCGGATCGTGGTTGGCCGGGCCATTCGGCAACGAGCCCAAGGTCTCCAAGCCCACACCCCTTCAGACTCCAGTCCAGGATGCCAAGGGCGCGTGCGCCACGCTTCGGGTTCGTGGGCCACTGTCGCACTAACAGCATTGTGCTCTGGGCCTCTGGCAGTACCACAGGCTGTGTGCACGTAGGCTAGCTCTACTTTGTACAGAGCAGCTGTCGCGGTAGCAGGCGGAAGACGCGGGACCTCGGGCGGGGGTCGCTGTCGAGTCCTCCAGGGCCCTGCTTGAACTGGGGACCCAGCTCTCGTTTCCAACTGGGGACTCCCCATGAATGGGCTGAGGGTCCATGCTCCTTGCTCATCACCACTTTGGGCATGTTTCGACACGGCTCAGAATGGTTTTTCGGAAAGGAGCTAGAAGTACTTGAAACCAGAAGCTGCAAATAACAACCACTCACACGGACCCTGTGGCTTCGAGCTCCAGAGAAGTCCCTCTTGACCGCAACTCAACTGCCTGCTGCATAGCAGTCGCGGTGGTGTCAGGGATCACAAACTGATGACTGCGGCAGCCCCGCGCGCCCCAGCTGGAAAAAGCAAGACACGCTCTGTACTGTGCTGTGCATCCGCATCCCATATGCACCTGCGGCCTGGTCCCAAGTTGGTGGTGCACCAAACGCTCAGCCAACATGCGCTGCTGCGTCACTCCTTCTAAGCGGCGTGCTGATGAATGGTGCCCTCCATCTCGGCCTGGTTGATGATCGACCCCCAACAGCCCAGGGCTGGGCCCAGCTGAAAATCCCACAGCCACCGTCCATTGAGACCGAAGTCATGCATGAGCAGCCACAAACCCACGAGACTGTATATAGGTGTGTTGCCAGAAGAGATTTCACTCCTCGCCTCCTCCTCTTCTGGGAGAGCCAGGCCGTGTGCGCACATAACATCATCGTGCTGCTCAACCCGACATGGTGCCGGGTACGACCCGGAGCAAGCCGATTCGATGCTACAGCGACGACATGGCGCGGTGAAGCTACCGCCTTAGTTGGCAGATACGACCTCACAGACGAGATATCTGGGGGAACGGGCCATAGGCCAGCAGTTATATGACAAGGTAACAAGGTGCACCATTAAGGTTGACGCGGGCCCGGGCGGCTGTCATGGATGAGCTGAAAAGGCGCTGGCATTGTTTGAATGGGAAACATGCATCTTGCCGAGTACCATCCCTGGCGTCCTGGGACTTCCGGGTAATTGCTTGTCGTCCTGCCCGAACAAGTGCATCTTGCGCATTGTTGCACAGAGCGGGAGAACCCAGAGGAGCGATAAGCCGCATGATGTGAGCCGCCGATGAAGGAACAATGAACCACGTGCGTGCAGATCGTGTTCGTTAAGATTTGCCCTGTCCACGGCATTGGCATCGGCTCAAGGGCTTGTTCAATGTTGACAGCAGCAGCAGGACTGCAGAAGGATGAGCGCCACCACGGCCAGTCCCATGCTAAGTAACTTGGTAGTCATTCCTGTGTAATGCAACGCAGAGAGAACAGGGCCACAGGCCTGGCCATTTCCCAGAGGTCAAGCCGGGGTAGAAGAGGTGACCGACCTAGCTTGACGCGAGCCGATCTAGGTTTGATCTCAGTTGGGCCCCGTCTGTTTGTCCCGGTCCCAGTACAGGGCACGCGAGCAGTCCAATGATTCTGGCATCAATCGACGACTCCACGTTTGCGTGGGACGACGGCGGTCTGTTCCGCAGGTGATCCATCGCGGACATGGTATTGTTATGTACATAGTGAGATGCAGCGGGGTGGCCTTGCATTACCCAGGCACCCAAGGTGGTCATAAATCGTAATTGTGCAGGACAGCGCGGTGGGTTGGGTGATGGCCGAATCTGGGAATTGAAGGGCCATTTTCCAAGGCCGGCCTGCTTGATTGACGTGCTGATTGACGTGGCTGGCTGATCAGATCGACGGATGTTCATCCTCATCTTGACCGTCGCCGGCCCGCTACTCTGTACTCGGCTGTCGTTAATTGCACACAAGTCAGTGGTGTGCATGGTGGGATTGGGGATTGGGGATCGGGATTGCAGGTGGAATTCGAACCGTTAGAAACAGCTTGCCTGCTCTGCAGCTGTCCTACCCTCAAATTGGTCAGTGTCAGAAAAGCGGAGCCGACATCACCTTGTTTCTAAAAACAGAAGCAAACGACCCAACACCTGCAGCCTGCATCTAAACATGCTTGCAGCCTCCGTGCTACCCCAAAGCTAGACCAGTCCAACCCAGGCACCCAGGCTGACAAGTGTGTTAGTCTGACAGCCTGGCATGTTCGCATGTCCCGTGCTCTACATACAGTAGACTACCAGACTACCAGACTACCAGACTACCAGACTACGCAAGTACCCAGGTACCTATGCAGGTAATTACCTACAAGGAATGGGGGAGGGGGGGGCCCAAGTGGGTGCGCAACATGAACAGGTGCAAGTGCGAATGCGAGGGCGGTTGCCTCACAGCTGCACAGCTATACTGTAGCATGCAAGATCAGATGAATGACTGTGCTGATGTATTTTGCTGACTTCGGCAGGTGCAACCGTTGCAGGTCTCGTCTCGACCAGTCAAAGTCAACATGACAAACGACGACGACGACAGCCTCAGAGCTTGGAAATTTAATTCATGCGCCGAAATACCCAAGTACAACTCAGTCACTTACTTCTTCTCCATTATGGTCCGCTGCTGGTACACCTGTGGACTGTTATTGCCCGCATGCTCAATGATGCCATCCATGCCACTGCTCACCCCGCCCTAATGTCACCTCGGCTGCCCCCCACTTGTAATAACACTTCAGAGCTCGTCAAGCTTCAATATTCATCAAACAAGCTGCGCTATTGAGTTTGCTGACGACAAGGCACATACGACCGCACTGACCGAAATTGCTCGGCGCCGGCTGTCCCGCAAAGCATTGCAGAAATGCACCGTCGCTGCCAGTCAGTCAGTCACTTACCTACTTGTCATGACTCCATCCCCAATCCACTCGACGATCACTGGGGGACTGGGACTGGGACTGAAACTGTGATTCTTGTTTCCGTTCTGCTGCCCTCGAGATTAGCGAGGGCACGCAATTCTTCTTGCTGACTGGGGAAGCCGATGCGTCCGGATATCCCGCGTATCTGCAGATCCGCCAGGCCTTTCCGTACCAGACTGTCTGTCAGTTGATGGGCTGACGACAGTTTTCCAGTTCGTCAATATCAACCTCCACGCCAGCATTAGGCATCTCGGGTATCAACCGCCTCGGGCTGATAGACAACAGAACTCCCGATGCGAGTACATCCACAATGTACATTGTGGCGACGCACATGCGTAGGTTGGGCTGGATTGTATCTTCCTGAGAGGGTGTACACGTATGTATCTTCCATGCTCGCGTGCCCAAAAACAACATCCTTCTTACCACCACCTTTACCTCACCTCCCTTCCCTCTCGGCCCCTCCCTCCGCGGCTCTTGCTTTTTCCCACGTGCTCGTCGGGCCCCGAACTTTGACAACGTGGGAATCATGCATGCAAGTTCGTACCACGAGTCACACGGCCGTGTACCGCAGACAGGGCTCACCAGTTCATGATCTGCATCATGCACAAGGAGAGTTCAATCTATCCCATGCAAGCAAGATGCCCATCGCAAAGACCCAGCAGTGCTTGGCATATAACGTCCCTCTCTTCCGGCTCCTCAGTCCAGTTCCTCATCGCAGCACGGAGAACTCGCGGGGAGGGCCAAGCGATCCATCCCGTCAAACTGTAATAAGCCGCATCAACGCTCCGGCGCATGGAAATATTGCCCGAGCCAGCCACTCATCCTTAATCCCTAGCCCTGCCGATAGGAGCTGGGGCTGTCACTCATCAATGTCAAATACGCGTCCTCCTCGGGACCAGCGCGCTCCCTATCCCCCTTTACCCCCTTTACCCCCACCAAGACGCACACAGAGCGAGTGCAGCCACAACATGTGCGCCCAATCGGCATTTGTTGCTGCCGTCAGAATCTTCTTCGCTTGGGAAAGAACGTATATCACTGCTGCGCTTGTGGGACACCCCTTGAGAAGAGGTTTCGGGTATGGTCTCAGGTGAGGAGAACTCAGTCAAATTCCCCTTATGGAAAGGCCCCTTGCCATACATTCTGTACGGACAGTTTCCGGTATCCATTATCGACGAGGAGCTTTCGGACTTCCGCACCCATTAATTACAGAAACATTATCTGTGTAAAAAGAGTCAACGCTGTCCGTCTTGGAGCTGTGTTTACCCTTGACCAACTTGACCAATCAAATTGAGAAAAGAGTGCTCGACTCCCCTGGCAATTGGACAATATGGGCCCCATTATAGCCGACGTGCCGTCCTAGTATCATGTCCAAGTGGCCGTCGTCTGCAACCGTAATCCGAAGGAGAACCACGGCGAATACCAACAGCCGTTTGCCTTCTGAGAGCCCCATGTCAGCATCCTTGAGTTCGAGCAGTATTGAACATATCACCAAGAAAAGCACTTTAGCTCTGCGTCGACTACCTTCTGCTGTGTCACCTCGCTTCGCTGTCGTCTCAAGCATGCTTGTCCATATGGCCCTTCTTATCAGGTTCCCCTGAAGTTCATCGGCCCTCGCCTTCCACCCCCCTGGGCGGCTCCAGAAGAGCACAACTTCATGCATGCAGAACAGTCACCCCCTGAAGTGTGGTAGACTTTTTCCTGAGCAAAAATTATCGACATGCTTTGCCTAGTGCCAGCCTCGCCGTTGGTCGTGCAGCCGTGCCCAGCCCTGCTAAACATTCACGGGGCAAGCACCAATCGCTGCGCTACCATAGTTGTGCCCCGCGGGTCCCGCCGGTCGGCTCTTGCCGCACATCTAACAATGCGTTTGGACGATTGGGCTGGCGAGGATCCGTTCTTTACTCTGGTTGTCTCCCTGGTATCATGTGTGTGTATACGTATCTGCCGACAGTACGATTACTGGGCGGAGTAGAAATAACCAGGGGTGGGACCCTGACCCGGTTTTACCTGGGTCACGCCGTCTTCAACGTTGCTCCTGGCCTTGGCTTCGTGAGGGCGCAAAGAGGGTCTCACACGATACGATTCTGTTGCATGTGTCGAGTGGTGACCATTGACACTCCGGCATCCTGATTTGAGCCCCGGGGCGCTCTACAAGTCCTACCTTTCGGGCGCGCAGTGTGAACCGGAGCCCGCCCGGGGCATGGGGCTTCCGCTCGGACAGTTTGTGTGCGGGGAGTGTCTTCAAGACTCGGACAGACCGGATAGACCCGGGCAGCGAGCCGCCTTTGAGAGCCGTCACGATGTTCGGTAGCTAAGACAGGCTCATTGTTGAGTCGAGGATGAACAAGCGCAGGCGCGGAGAGAATGAGTGTCCTCGGACAGGGCCACGAAAACGGTCAGTCGGCACCCAGTGTCACTGCGGAGCCCATGGTGAAATTCATGTCGGCTTGAAATACGAGTCTCAGGCTTCACGCTCGTTCTGTCAGCTCCAGCAGAAGGGGGAAAACAGGATGAAGGCCCAGCCCAAGCCGGATTTATGGCGTGGCTTGTCGGCTGCGATAAGGCTCGTGTGCTCGTAAACGACGGGACCAAGTCCAGTCACGACTCGCAGGCCTTGGTTCGCCTGCTACTGCCCTGTCTTGCCTCCGTGCTGGCCCCTATTGTTCCACCCCGTCCTGGTCCTCCGCGTCTTTGCCGGCGTAATACTCCTGTCGAGTAGCGCTTCTTGCTTGTATTGAGTGCAAGCCCGTGTACACGAATCCGTATTGTACGAAATGGCCCTGTTGCTTCCTCTGACTCCTTAGATGGGCCCGGACGTTGGCGTACCCCCTTGATGCTCACGTCTTGGCCCAGGACTGCTTCTGGGGAAGCAACATTGTGACGTGCTTCTCATCGATGGTGTTCTGTATCGCAAGAGAGAGAGATGTTTGCAATTGAAGAATTGCTGCTTTTTTGCATTGCTCCAAACCACTGTCCGTTCATTTTACTAATTATTTACAATCGATACAAATCCAGCCCGTTTGCTCCGATAAAACTCCTCGATGTACGAGGAATGAGCCGCACATGCAATTTTTTGAAATCGATCAACCCGCAGGTGGGTATATCTCCGACGACCTTCCATCATTTTTCCGACGACGTGAACGGGACACTTGTTTTCGAGACAGTAGCAATGCAAGAAAGGCAACATGCTGGCTGAGAAGACTCTTGAGAATGCGGCACTGCTCATTGCCCGTGGAGACCTCCTGTGCGCTCCCTCATTGTTTCTCTTCGAACCTTGTCCTTAGCTGCAAAGTATGTTGTTAGTCACGATACAGGTCATTCAGAATCCAAAAACGTATGAGTACTTACCAGCATCCCAAGTGATAAACTCATGCAGGGCATGACCTGCAGGCACCATGGGCAGGACAGGCACCTTCTTGTCCGTGATAACCTCCAAGACGGCCGGGCCGTCCGTATCGATCAGCCATTTCAGGCAGTCGACGACCTCCTCAGGCTTGGAGACACGTCTGTGAGCGAGACCCATCGCATCCGCGAGCTTCATGAAATCGGGGTTCTTCTGGTGGGTGTGGCTGTACCGGTCCTGGTAGAACAGGTTTTGCCACTGCGTAACCATGCCCTGCTCCTCGTTGTTCAGGATGATCACCTTGACGCCAATGTTGAACTGCTTAGCAGTGCTCAGTTCAGTCAGGGTCATGCAGAAGGAGGCATCTCCGTCAATATCGATAACAAGGGAGTCGGGTTTCGCAACCTTGGCTCCGATGGCTGCAGGCAGACCGAAACCCATGGTGCCCAGGCCACCTGAGGTGATCAGAGTGCGCGGGTGCCTCCAGCGGAAATGTTGTGCGGTCCACATCTGGTGCTGTCCAACTCCAGTGGCGATGTATGTGCTCTCTTTCCGATCCTTGCAGAGCTCAGAAAGCTGCTCGATCATCTCCTGGGGCTTGATGCGGCCAGAATCTCCAGCCCTCTCAAAGTCGTTCATGGGCCACTTGTCCTTCCACGCTTTGATCTTACCAAACCATTCTTTGCGGTCCTCCATGGTCTTGGACTCAACCATTGGCAGCAGCACGTCCAGGTTGGTAGCCACATCGCCCTCAACAGCCTCTGTGGCCTGGATGACCTTGTTGATGTTCTTGGGCATGATTTCGAACTGGACAATACCGCCACGGCCCTCGGCGGCGGCAGCCTTGGCACCAGGAGCGAAGCCAGGGACACTCAAAGTAACACGGTCGTCAAAGCGCCCTCCCAGGGCTATGATCAAATCAGCCTCTTGCATGGACATATTGGCGTATGCTGAGCCGTGCATGCCGAGCATGTGGAGGGATTTCTCATCCAGCTCATCAAAGGCACCCATGCCCTGGAGAGTGGTGGTGACAGGGATCGAGGCCTTCTCAGCCAGAGCCCTCAGCTTCTCAGGACCATTCTCGGAGCAGATGACACCGTTGCCAGCGTAGATGACGGGCTTCTTGGCGATGTTGATCAGGTCGGCAACACGTCGGATGGAGGCTTGCAGCTGCTTCTTGCTAAGCTCTGCCATGGCCTGCGAGGCCGCACTCGGAAGGAACGGCAGGGCAGATTCGGTGGGGATAGCTCTCCTCAAAACACCTGCAGTGATATCCTTAGGCAGATCGACAAGAACGGGTCCAGGCCTCCCACTGGTGGCGATCTCGAAGGCCTCGTTGATCCTCCGGGGCAATTCGGCCACACTCTTGACCATGACATTCCACTTCGTGCAAGCCCTCGAGATACCAATGACATCAGCCTCTTGGAAAGCGTCACTACCGATGGCGCTGGTAGGGACCTGCCCAGTGAAGACAACCAGGGGTATACCGTCAGCAAGAGCATCGGCCATGGGCGTGACAACATTCGTTGCGCCAGGACCAGAGGTCACCAGGACAACACCTGGCTTGCCTGAGGCGCGAGCATATCCCTCGGCCATGTGCCCAGCTCCCTGCTCATGTTTTGGAAGGATGAAATCGAAGTGTTTCGAGTTGTAGATGGCGTCGAAAACGGGAAGGATAGCACCGCCGGGGTAGCCAACTGCGTGCGTGTCAGTCAAACGGTAGCCCCCACCCCAATCTCGCGTACAAGCTTACAGATGTGTTCGACTTTTTGCCTCAACATCATCTCGTGGAAGATTTCTCCTCCGGTCTTGCCAATGAACCTGCACATGCTGTCAACATAATGTTTCTCTGAGATCCAATTGGAGTTGGAGGAGGAGGAGGGGAGGATCCCTAGGAAGCAACATACGATTCGTCCATGTCGGCTGGTTTGTCGGCGAGGGGCTCGACATGATTTCTTGATAGGGTGTTGAAGGAGGGACTTGGCTTTGAACGGACATCACTATAGAAAGGTGAATGTTGGCAATTGAGTCACAACAATGGGCGGGACGGAGGGCGAGATTCACTCGCGCGCAAGACTTACGGAGCTGTGGTTTGTGTTGCTGAGACAGTTGCGTTATTCCTAGCTGTGGAATGGACCTTCCTCCGTCTTGAGGCCACGGCCAGGGCATCTGATGTGGTGAAGGACCGTCGAGATTGTGACTGTGCCACGGCCTTGAAGGCCTTGCTGGCCTGGTGGCTGCCGGACCGGAGCATTGTGTGTGTGGAGGAGTGGAGAGGGTCTCAAGGGGGAAGAAGAGAAAATGACAACAAGACTGGACGTCAAGCGCAGGTGTATCCTGCTGGTCTCGAAAATTGAAAAGCCTGCGACGTCTTCATCAACGTGAAGAGCGTCAATGGCAGTGGCAGCAGTGGACAGCAGAAGGGGCGGATGAAGGTTCAAGCTGGGCCGAGCAATGGCCGGCGAAGAAAGTCTGCAGTTTATTTTGTTCCAGTGAACAAGGGTCCGGCAGTTGAGTCACTCTGGGGACGAGAATTGGAGCTTGGGGTCAGAAGGGGGGCCCTTTAGAGGTGGGAAGAATTGGGCTCCGAGATCGCCCACGACTTTTTGCCATGCACGCTCATTGACTTTTTGGTGCAGCACACGGCGGAGGCAGTCTGTTAGTCGGGTAGGCTAGGTTAGGTGGTTGCTCGGAGTCGGTGGATGACTCAAATTGGAATTTTCACTCCGTTGCGGGCATTTGCGGGGGAGAAAGGGGCCTGGGCACCCGGCCACTTGCCCGCGGCCAGTCCTCCCGTTCTCGTGCCCCGTGCCTGTGCCTCCAGATCTGGAATCTTTGGTGGGGAACGGCGTGGTGGGGTTCAGGTTTGAGGTGGCGATGGTGTCGCGTGGATTGTGTGGATTGCGTGGTCTGCGAGTCTGCGAAACACAACTCCCATTTGCCTGCCTCTCCATTGGCCTGGCTGCCTTTGCCTGCCCACCGTAGCCGCCCACATCCCACATCCCACCTGCCCATGCCCGCTGCATGTCTGCTGCAGTTAAAGCCGGAATCCACTTCGCTCGCTTCAAGTTGATGCATCTAGTTCAGGCAGGTTGTTGACATATATAGATTACATAGTCTATAGCCTATGTATGTATAAATGTTTCCATGTACGTGTATCGTGGCCAACAATCCAAGCTCTCGATGTAACTTGAGCGTTAGATCTCGATTCCTTTCCAACTCGATCCTGGCAAACACCCCCCATCCATGGCCTATAGTACGATTTGATACCCATAAAACTGCCAAGGTACAAACTATCGAAGAGACCAAATCCGGGCTTTGCCCGGATTCGGCTTACCTACGGTGTCCAGTGCTCACCTGCTCGCGCATGTCATGAATGGCGCGCAGAACCGTTGCAGCGGATCGAACTAATTTACGTGCTACTTTGTGTGCACAGATTGTCAGTCCCGAAGCTATCGAGGTATCCCAGCCCACACCAATCTTCAGCTCCTGAGGTCCAGCGTGCCTGGACAGTCATGGAGTGGTGATATGGTCACTGGTCGCAGGGTAGTACTGTGCTGTGCTGGACACCATCCAGCTCGGTGTCTCTCTTGTGTGAGAGGCCCAGTGGACGGAGGAGAGGCCGATGATGCCCTCCAGGCCACACCAAGATCGTACGACACAAAACCTGTTGACCTCATCGAGGGTCCAAATAAGGTTTCTGAAGGTCGCAGCACAAAGGGTCCACAGCCGCTCGTCCACCAATGGTGTCCTCGGAGGCGCTGACTTTCCATGATTTCAAGCTTATGTGAGGTCGCTATCGCCCCGGGGTGCCAGCGTCCTTCATCCAACTTCTCAGGGTCCTCTTGCTGGAAAAGGTCAGGGCAACGGACAGATACCTGGTCCATTGCTACACGACACCCACATTTCGGCCTTTGAAGAATCATCGTGTCAGCCTTATCCTGCCGCTTGCTCCTCGTAGTCAGGAACCGAGCCTGCTGGCTTGGTTTGGTTTGGTAAGTTGGATTACCAACGTAGGAGCCTGCTGAGTAGAGGCTATATGCCCTATACCCTCCTGTTCAGCCCGCCTCTCTCCTTCATATCTCTCACCCATCCTACTGGGCCATTGCAACTGCAGATAGTCGAGCCAGTACTCGGGAAATCCTACTATTGCGTTCTCTCTTTTGCCTTCTTCTCTATTTTTCTCTTTTTCATTTTCCTTTTCCCCGCCTCTTCTCCCTTTTTAATGGCCTTGAGACAACTCCATTTCGGAGCCACCACACTCAACTCTTGGCGGGCTGGACCTACGGCGGTGGCGAAAACGGGGACTTGCGGTAAAAATAAGAAGAAGACGATCCTGTGGTCGAATTCCGTGGCTAGACTGCGACACGCGCTCCATGAAATGCGCCTAGTCAAAATTTCCTCGTGGAACTGACCGTTCGAAGACAGCCGGCGGCGAGTAGCTTGCAGGACTAACTAACGGCCGATCGACAGCCGGACTGTTGATCAACGACGGTCTTTTTTCGGTACATGATAGCGTCGGTGAACAGATGACGCATCGAAAGAACACGACTTCGGTTCGAGATTCCTTGTCTGATAAACCGTACGGGGTCGTCCTCGGCTCGGTCATGCTTGGGTTCCTCTGTCGACAGCTTTTGGTCGTTGGAAACGCTTTCAACGTAAAGGACAACGACCGCTCGTTTGCACCAAAGTTATCGCTACAACGACGTAAAGACTCGGGACATCAGTCATGATCCCTATTCATGGATGGACGCCTTTCATCAACCCAAAGTGTCTTTCCGTGAGCTCTGGACCGATTGTGTTTCTCCGTCCTCGGCATCTTCATTAGGGACAACGTCGGGAGTTGCGTTGGTATCGACAAGGAGATTCAAGAGCCATGATGTGCAAGGCGTATGACAACGAGAGGATGGACAGCACACATGAGCCTGCTTTTAGGAAGGAAGACTCTGAAGCTCCAATGGACAGCTGCGAGCGGGATCAGCCAAGATAACAAGGTCGCTAGAAGAAGAACAAAGGAAGACGAAAGCACATTCGAGGACGATGATGGATGACATCGATGACCTCAACGATCGCTCATCGGGGCATCTTCCATCCAAAGAATCGTTGTCGCCATTTCTGCCGCACTCTGTCGAGGCTTTGAGGTTGGCCAGCTCGATCAAAAGCGATGATATGCTCGTCTGAGCCACCAAACAACGCCAGCTGTTTCCTTACTGGAAGAATATAACCCCTCGCCAACGGCCAAGCGGTGCATGAGATCCTCGCAGATGGCGACCTTCAGGATTCGATGCGCGCAGAAGCTCAATCCGCGTTGGTAAAGATGAGATATGCACAAGTGACCATCGCAGGGTATTGCCAACGCTGACACAACCTTCACTGGCACAACCTTCACTGACATCGCACCAGTCGCGAGCCAGAGGCACCATGACACAGCGAGCGCGTCGGAAAAGTATTATCATGTACCGTGTGAGACACCAGTGACAACAAATTTGACCTGTACAGATAATGGGAGTTGATCAAATCAGACCAACAAAATACCAGTCAGTCTACTGCCGCCCTCCCATTCAGTGGCAGGCGACCAGGCTGTGCGGTATTTCACGCAATCCAGCTCATGCTCGTGCCGAAACCGTGGGAGAGGAGCCACGGCACTCATGGAGCCAGGTTGAAGAGGGATCTGTCCGAGAGCATCACACCGCCGATAACGAGACTGACCAGCAATCTGAGCGTCTGAGTTGGGACCTCACGCCACCGACCTCATGGCTGCTGTGACCCTTGGAACAAAAGCGCGTTGTGCAACCGGGAACAGGTTTCGGACAACTGACGCCAAAGTAGACGGGTGGCACCTCTCTTGTGCGACAAGCCTCCGGTGGAACGGGGCCGGCGTTGCGGATGACTTCTGCGGTGTTGCGAGACATCCGAGGGCTCACAAAGGCTTGCGGCTCGAAGCATTGGCCACCACAGGACGACAACCTCATGCGAACCCAGACTACAGCCAAAAAGTCTTGCCGTTGCAGTATAGCAAGTCATTTCCTCGTTATCGCTTCGTTGGTTTGTTATGATGATTTTCCTGGGTCAATTGTCAATAGCGCCGGTCGAACTTTACCAACAGGGTTGGTCATGACACGCTCGCATGAATGACCGCTTGAGCCTCAACGGCCACTATCCCACCTATAACGTGGGGGATATACCCAAGCTCTGTGGTTTGTTTGTTGTTCCATGTAACAACAAAAAAGAAAAGGTCAGCATCAAGAAACATTTATAACAAGGTAGGTCATCATCGAGGAGGAAGATCTCCTCTACTCACATATCCCAACGTGGAGTTAACAGCACCGGAACAAGCTCACTACGATGATGATATTTTCGCATTACATATAGGTCTATGTGAAATATCGACCTGACGCTGTCCTCCAAGCATCATTTTGAGGTACAAAGAAAAACCACGGCACCAAGACAGCAGTTGAATATTCCCAACCTGACCAAACCAAGCCAATTCGTTCGCATAATCATCACATCGTGGAAATCAAAGTCAAAAAAGTACACAGCACTTCCGCCCTGCGCCTGAGAACTCAACGCCGTCGAACATGATATTCGCCGGGGCGAACACGACGATTGCACAGGAAGAATGTGCTCGAATCGAGGCCGCATGGATCAACCGTCACTACAATCACATTGTACTTGATTAGCACTTGAATTAGCCGGATGAACTGCGTACAGTCTGGACGATAGGCAACAATCAAACGGCACACCCGCGAGCATCACCAAAGAAGGGATCTTGACCGCACCACAGTAACCAAGTGATCCCTTGGAAGACAAGACGGGGTCGAGAAGGGAATGCAGAAGGGTGGGGGGTGATTCAAAGGAAATTGGGGCTCAAAAACTTACAGCAAAGCCAACTCTAGGTCACCGTGGATATGCGCCTTGAGCTCGATCTCAATCTCGAGGTTCAGGTCCAGCCTCAGCTTGAGCGGGTTCTTGGACTCGCCGCCGCCGCCGCCCTGCTGCTGCTGCATCATCTGTTGTTGTTGCATCATCTGCATCTGCTGCTGCTGCTGCCAGTATTGCTGCTGCTGGTAGTCGTTGTCGTCCTGGTAGTCTTCCTCGTCCTCAGACTCATATCGTGGCTGCCTCTTCTTGCTCTTCTTCTTGCTCTTGTTCTTCTTGGGCTTGGCCACCTGGCGATCCTGCTCCTGTGCGCCGTCCTGCTCCCAGTACGGTGTCGCCTCCTCGTTGTCCTTGGGCGTGGCGGGTCTGTCCGACGCCGGTGTCGCAGCCGAATCGCGCGAGCCGTCCCGCTGCATCTCGGGCTCGGGCTCGGGCCCGTCTTCCTCTTGTTCTACTTCTTGCTCCTGCCCCTGGTCTCCTTCGGGCTCGTACTGCCCCTCTTCGCCTTGCTCGGCGTCGGAGTAGGCCTGGTCGTCATAGTTGTCGTCCTGGTCCTGGTCATAGTACTGCTCATCTTCATCGTCGTATTGTTCTTCATCTTGGTTCTGGCCGGCGTCTTCTTGCTCCTCCTCCGCACTGGCCTGGTTGGTGCGAGATTCAGGCTTAGCGTTGCGGTTGGTCTCCTCAGCTTCTGGCTGCTGGGTCTGGTTGTTCTCAGACTGTGGTTGTTGGGTCTCGTTCTTCTTTTGTCCTTGTTGTTGCGACTCTTGTCTCTGCTGGCCGGGACGGGAGGTCTCGCCCAGAGACTCCTTCTTGTCCTCAGTCTTCGGCGTTCCTTGTTGCTACGAGTGTGGTAATCAGTAAGGCTGCGTGCGACCGAAGCGCTGTTAGGCAAGGTTGACGACCTACCGAAGACGACATGATTACTGTGGTATACTATTACTATGTCGAATGTGTTGAGTGACTCTAGTGAGTTGACTAGAATGATGATATTTGGGAGGAACACTGAGACACCAAGTTGACAAAGTTGACTTTACAGAATTCTAAGAGGAGGCAAGTGCTCTCCCTGGTATGTCTATGTTTTAAACCAGGCGATGAGATCAGAAAGACCCTGCATGAGAAAGTTGGCAACCTTGACGCAATGATTCTACTACCGCGTGTGCAGGAAAACGACTATCTGTCCGAAAACATGTTTTCCAACGAAGGGGACCGATCACATTTCGATCATCTCACACCCTTACTCCGACAGCTCGCGGCCGATGAACCCATGGCCTCTGTGCACTTGCGTCAGTGGACCCGGGATGGGCTGGGTGATGCCGAAAGCTGGGGATGGAATCTTGTTTTCCACGACAAGGGACCGCTGTGCCTGTGTATCGTGGTCTAGACCGCGCCTGTGGGCATCGAGGACATCGAGATGATGTGGGATGACGTCGAGGAAGCTGAAAGGACAGGCAGAAAGGGTTGCTGTCACTGCGAGTGCAGCGTTGACAGGAGATGTACTGTCGAGTACCGACTCATGGGGTCTGCACCACATATGTGTGATGTGGATACATGGGTGGGTCTCATCAACCAACCCTGCGGACTGTGAAGTCATAGCTGGGATGCAGCTTCACAATGGAGGGTAGGGTGAGCTTCAGATATGTGGAGACAGTAAGGCTGGACCCGGGGAGAAGATGACGAAAGAAATGAATGGTTTCAACGATGGCATAGAACCATGATGAGTGCCGAGCTGGCGACTTGCCGTCCGACTTTCCTCTCTGACCATCCACCCAGTGGGCTGTACGACTGCAGCGAGACGACCCGCAAGAAACGCGACCACGACGACCCGGAGAATCTCTATTCTTAAATTGGCAACGGAGTCCCCACATCGTATCGGACAACACGGAGAGATCATCGACTATACGAGACGACAAAGAAAGAAACTCGAGACTCCAAGATGGTCATAGGACTACTTGTCCTCACGTCCATACCGACGGTGACGGGCGTGGCACAGGGCATCAGCGCGAAGAAGCAGGAGAATGCAAAGTTGAAGGAGAAGATCAAGTTCAACATGACAGCAACGCTCTCTATCGACGGGGGGCCGCCGACCGAGGCCTGGATCGTCCTCGCAGCGGGAAGAGTGAGTGGCCTAATATCTCCTGTTCCGGCATAGCGGCACTAGCCACACCTGTCTCATCAGGCTTGGGAGGAAGCTATGGCATCATGCCTAGTTTACCCAGGATTCGATGGGACACGCCAGCAGCCACCAGCGCCAGCGCCAGCGCCAACGGTGAACCAACATGCGCCATGCAATTATGCCCATGAACGCACCGTCGCATTGGGGTGTAACTGCGAAACGGTTGCGCGCGCTGGTCGCTGTTGGATGTGCCGAGCCACACCACGATGAGGAAAACAGGAAAAGGGCATCCCCAGATGGATAGCTCGAATCAACGAAGACGAAACGAAAAGGGCTGACTGAATCGTGGCAGATGTGGATAGATCATCCTCAAGCGCCGATGCCAGGCCACAAATTCAACGGCTACTACTTCAAGTACCCATCCGAAAAAGAGTATCAAGGCCTGGTATCCACAATCCAGGAGGACCCACCGATGTTGAACTGGCTGTACGTCGACAAGGACACAGGCATGATCAAGTACGGCAGCCGCAAAGACACAGCAGAGCATGTCATCGGGCCCTGGGGCTGGAGCGAGGACGAGCAGTTCCTCACCTTTGATGAGGATGACTGGCGCTTCATCGCAGTCGAAGTTGAGGTAGCACTGGGGGGAGGGACCAGGAAGATGTGGGAGGTGTTCCTTTCGAGGGATCGAGATGGCAGCTTGAAACCAAAAGCCGAGATGGAGGGGGACGACAAGGAGCAGGATGATGAGCAGCCGGTCTTTGACCCTAGGACGTCGTCCTACAGGTGGGCGCCGATCAAGCTGCTCAGAAAGCTGCAGCTGGGGGTGAACAGCCAGTGGGTCGGGGGGAAGAAGGACAAGGAGAAAGAGAACGGCCAGTAGTATGCAGTAGCACCACCAGGCTAGAGAGATGTGAGAAGGAGGAAGGCCATCGCAGACGAAACGGAGGGGAGCTAGCTGCACCAGTTTGGCAGGCTGCAGGAACAAATTGGAACGGTCACCGACGGGACAGGGCGTTGACGGAAGGGAAGGGTACCTAGGTATGGAAGGGGAGCTCTCCCGGCTGAAGTAAACAGCAGGTCTGGGCTTCTCCAGCCCCAGCAGCTCGCATGGGGCCGGGCTGCGTGGCATAATATGTTAGTGGAAGTCAATCGCCGACCCAGTTCATCGGACCGGACGTTCACTCCCTCACCCAGACCCAGCCCTCGCTGGTGTCTGGCCGTGCTGTACCTCATCGTAGATGGGCTGGCCTATGCTGACTGGTCCGACAGGCTGACAGGAAGACGGAAAGACGGAATCGTGATCGACGGCGCCCCCTACGGTGATGTATCGCATGTATCTTCGGGTCCCACCGCCTGCCACCCATGACGGCCCCAGTCTCGTCTCCACAGGGGTCCCGCCCATGCAGTCACCAGCCAGCATCGATCCGATCAGCTGTGATTCAGTCTAGATCACATCTGAGGGTGCAGATGACGAAGCCCCGAAGGCAACACGGGGGAGGTATGATCTCATTCTGTTTTGACACCTTCGCAAATCGCAAAGGAAGGGGGAAATCAGGTTTTGATGCCACGAGGGACGAGCCTTCGGAAGCCATATTAGGCCACGGCTGTTCTGACAAAGAGGGATTGTCATGTAAAAGAGGGACAGACACTGAACATATTCATCTTTTAAGACAGAAGAGAGTTATTCACTTACCAGCGACCTTTCCTCCTCTACTCTTACCCACAGCCATCACCAACACCCATACCATCTTCATTCACCTAGCCCCCAACCAGTCAACATGTCTTCTTCCCAAGAGCGCCAGCCCCGCAGGCAAAAGAAGCAACAACAGGAGGTTGTCGAGGAGTCTGAGTCTGATTCCGGCTCGGAGGAGCAATATGAGCCCCCGAAGAGGTCGAACCGACGCTCGCGCCAGCAGAACAACCAGATGCAGCAACGCAACCAACAAGGCCCCATGAATCAGATGGGCGGTGGCATGCCAGGCACCATGGGCAACGTCGCGAACCAGGCCATGCAGCAACAACAGCAAGGCGGCGGCGGCGGCGGCAAGTCAGACACGCTGCGGTTGAGGCTGGACTTGAACCTCGACATCGAAATTACTCTGAAGGCTAAGATTCATGGTGATCTTGAGCTGGCTTTGCTGTATGTGCTTACCTTTACTTATTTATCTTACCCCTTGTTGCTTTCTTGCCACCCAGTTGTATGGTGCTATGCATGGGGGGAGGGGCTGCGTACCGCCAAGTGGACGAGCGCAGCCCACTGCTTCCAGAAAAACCCACCCTGCTTTTCTCGTCTTGTCATACTGCCTGCCACAGGGAGACTCGCAACACACAACACTGTCCAGCCTAGAACATCAAGCCTCCCACCTTCTCCACCACACTGTAACCACATCTGTTCTGTTTCTAAAGGACGGCCAGGGATACAACGTAAAAAAGATCGAAGGAGCACCGTGTACGGCAGCTAAAAGGAGAGAACACAGTGAGACATAAAGAAAAGCTACCCCACGAATCTCGAATACCAGACAGTGTGTGTGTGTGCGTGTGGCGGAAACGGAACAAGGCCAGGAACCAAATCATGTACCAATACCGTTGTCATCTGTTCCCGGTTGGCTAGTTTCTGTTTTGGCTGCGCAGTGTTGTCCCGAGCGATTAGCGTCCTGTCTCCCACACCAGCATGTACCGTTGTTGCGACAAGGAAATTAAGAGGCAACATGGAGCTAATCCCTCGGACACTAGGAACTGAGAAAGAGCGCGCACAGAGACCTGCTTTCCAGGACGTTTTACGGAATCTTTTTGTCGTTTGAATTTTTTATCGCACTTGGTACCGGCGCTGTTTGGAAATTGGGGACTCTCAAAGAGTCATGACATGAAAGGGATGTGGATTTATCTAGACCCTATTTGGGGATGATTACGACCTATCTACGTTAATTCATTTTACTGTGTAAATGTTCTCCAAGTCACTGTATTGAAAGTTCGCCTCCCTCGGGAATAGTAAGAAAATTCAAAAAAGGTTGTTGATCTCAGGGGTGAATCATGCCCTGGAAGGCGAGTCGTGAAAGTGATCGGCTCCGTGTTGGAGGGTATGAGGTTCTAGATCTTCGCCTCAAATGTCATCCTGATGGGATTGACCGTGCTCCCCAGGTCTCCAATCCAGCTCAATGACACCCTACTCGGGCGGGAAGGACGGTTGCTTGCAGCATCTTGTGAACAGAGTTTCTCCACACTGCGGTGCGCCACAATCACCGCCGCGGGAGGCGAATTGTCATGGACGGGGGGAGGTGGGTGGTCACTGTTGGACGGTCTTGGCTGTGGCGCGCTGTCCGATCTGAACGGGATGATCACTGGGGTGTTGCCCGCCAGCCCGTGAGGTGGCGCATGAACTTCATGTGAAATGCCATCGAAGTCCGGACAGCCGATGCCCTCAAACTTTCGCAATGCAACGCCGGATTCCCAGAATCTTGAGCACAGCGGACATGTCTCGGGAGCTCGTGTGCGCAGTCCTCCCACCCTCCTTGCCGCGCCTGGCCGACCACAAGACCTGACTGCTCCCTCTCGCAAGAAAATCGTGTTCCAAAAACGAGAAAGCGTACGGGGAGGTCACAGGTGAGGTCAGGCCTTGTGTCCAATAGGACAGGGCCGCTGGTTCCACAGCCCAGTACTACAGTCACACAGCAACTGATTGAGCCGTCTCCGGAGAGCTGGGAGCGGCCAATAGCTCGTGGGCCTGGCCCTCCAATTGGGTTGGAAGATGGGTCCCTGTGCCCTGACGCGACCTTGCTTCCTTCTCCACCTCTGATGTGCAGATCATTGCAACGTCGAGCGGTCCTGGCGGTCTCTCAGTAGCGGCGGGGAAGGTCTTGTCGAGATTCCCGTGGCCTGTCCCGTACTCACCCTTGTCGTTTTCAAGCTGGCGCTGCCCATCTGGTTTGTGTAACACAGCACCAGAACACATTGGTATGTACTTTTCGAGCCATTGGCTATCCTCGGGGACGAGAGGTCGTGCGACCACGAATGGAAATCGTGTCTGTCTCACTGTGATGTTAGATCGGGAATTTTACGACATTGACGACTCCACCACCTTGAGTCTATTTTCATAAAAGACCACAACCCCCGCGGGATTCATGATTCAAGTCGGTCAGTCGTCGGTCAGTTCAGTCCTCTCTGCGTCTGTCGTCCACAAAAACAGAGCGGGATGTGTGGGCGGTGGGTGGCTTGCCTGCCCGTCGCTGAGGTAGGGGGGCCCCGGCGACGCAATGGAGCAAAAGCTCCTCCCCCAGCCCCGAGACGATGCCCAGCAAACTTCTGTCTCGTCAAGCCACCTCTGCCTGGGGCGCTGTGTCGCAGGACCGACAAGTCGGTATAAACGAGCTGCCAAAATTGCATGTGAGCTTTGGCCATGGTTCTGCCCTCCTCTGGACACTGATTCAGCCAGACCCGGGAGTCCATGACCTTCTCCCGTGAACGGCAAAACAAGCTCACATGAATTGGACAGCGCGGTGGGCGGCTTGCGACACAACGTCCCTCCTTGAACATTGGAAACCGGTAATGGGACAACGCAGAGGCTAGACAAGACACTTGCGAGTATACTTTCGCACGAAGCGCTCTGTTTAGCCACTCTGGCGTGTGCTCTCCACCTTAACAACGTCATTCGTCCAAGAAGCGCAGTGCTAAAGAGAAGCAAACCTACCATAATTCCATGCAAATATTCTCCGTACGAAAATCCCAATCACGCCTCACACGAATCGGGTGCGGATTCCGCAGCTAGAAGGGCCAAATCTCTGCGATACGCTATTATGAAGCGGGCTAGTCCACTCGCAGTATAGCAGAGCAGACAGAGCTCATCACATAGTGAGTAAATACTGTAGTAAACAGTAACGGTATGAGAAAGGGCCACGCGTTGAGGCGCCGATCACCTGGCAAAGAGCCACCGACATCCTGACATCCCAGAGGTTGGAGTTGCCCGCTCAGCCCGTTCAGCCTCCAGGCCGCCCAATCGGTGGGCGCGCGTGCTACCTCCATCGTCGCATACCCTAGCCATATCTACAGCGTAATATGCAGTAGCGCACGCCCCGTCCAAAGGCTGTCACTGTTGATCATGTGGTCCAGACCGCATGCGCCGTCACAGCAGGATGGTAATTATTGCCCTGTTTGCCAATCCGATCCGATGCTACTGGGGATTGGCCATGCATAACAACAGGATCGCCAGGATCGTCTGGAGGTGCGGGCAGCGGGAAGGCAGTAGAGCGCAGTAGCATGTGGCGCACGGGCTAAGAGCAGAGCTGTGGCTCAGCTGCGCCGTGGTCTAGCGGTGTTTTAGACTTCGACGGGAGCAGGCGATCATGAAACGGTGTGACGGCGTGATGGCAGCAGCCGCTTGGGACGGCTGGACGGGCATCTGGTTGCTTGGCGGATGGCGGATGGCGGGGCAGGGCACGAAACGTCGCGGTTGGCGCTAGAAAACGCCCCTACCGTGGGAGATGAGCCTAGACAGAGGGCGGAATCTGCCCTAGAAGGGCCGGAAGACACGGTAGAACAGGGCAGCCGCCGTCCCAAAACGTTGCGTCCCATGGTAGTAGAAGCCGCTTACTAGGTAGCAATGTAGACGGTGTGACCCAGCATCTCGAGGGCGGCCTACGGGAACCTCGGACCTAGACACTCCAACCTCCAGTAGCACACCCGCTGTCACACTATGCTGATAGCCGTCAGTCAACTCGAAAGCTTGGGACGGCGTTGTGTCTCACCGTAGGGAACCTATGTCATCCCTAGCGTTGCGGCTTGGTGGTGCATCGTGCATTCCAACCTCACCCGCTCGCACTCTTGCACCAAATACAAGTATAAGCATCCCACGGCATCCATCTCGACGGCCACTTGATAACACCCTCCAAGGGGACTATTGAATAACGACATCGCCAAATCTGACTCTAGACAACGGCAAGTCGTGTCGACCCAGTTACCGCTAACTGCAACAAGCTCGAAGTGAGACGGTCCTGCACACGCCGTGCTTTTACTATGGGCGAACTATATAGCTCCATTTACGAGGCTCTCCCGATGCGACCATTTCGCGGTTGCCGACGTCTCAACGCATACATATAACCTTCGCCCTCTACCCAACGCCAGCCTGTTGCACCACGCAGACCTGATTAGCTTGACTGCCTAGAAGACGACACACCCTCCCTTTTCAATAGTGCAGCTGCCGGGCTGGCATTCCAAGGTCGACAGACGTTGCAGTTCCATGGTCGCTCAAATTTTGTCTCAGAAGCCACGATACACAGATCCACGTGGCCCCCTCGACCTGACATTCCTGATAGACCACCTCTCATCGATTATACGAGATCCTTGGTTGTCTGGTTGTGTTGTCTGTTAGTCCACCTGACGCATTCGGGTCCGTCGTCTTCGTATCAACCACATGCACCGGCAGCGCCTCTCGCCGTGTCTGAGCGTCGCCACTGCACGGAAACTCCGGGTGCCCGCCATGTGCAACATAATCTTCGCCGACCACGGTTCACATGGAACATATATCACTGTCCCTGTCTTAAGGGCACATGCAATGGACAGCAACCGTACGCCTTCAATCTCTGACTGGCCCAATCCGATCTGCCATTCGACATTGTCTGTTGAGGAGCTTCAATGCTTCCAGGTGGGTAGCACGGCAGTCTACTGCGCTTTCGTTAATTCGTTGCGATCGCATATGACCTGCAGCGTAGCGCTACTGAGGTGAAGTTGCAATTATGTTAGTCGACCAACCAGCACTCTTCAATGCAGGCCAGCCTTGGAAATCCAGCGCCCCTTTCTCTAGGGCGTATACTATTAGTCTATCACGGTGTTGAAGGCCTCCTGGAAACCGTCTGCCACGGCTGAAACGGTAGCCATACTCGGCACTGACCTTTGCGCAAAAAAAACTGTCAATGTCAATACTGTCCAGGAGGCCGGGAGGTCTGCTGCCATCCAAAGTCGCAAGTGTGGCTGGAGGGAGCCAGGACTTGCCACAGATGGTTTGGCGCTGTCATTTACATCGCATCATGGCGTCAGCCACACCTCAAACGCCTGTTGAGTCTGGACTCCACCCTAGCCTCATCTCACGCAGGTGTGGAGCAGATCTGTCCGCTTCTGTGGGCCCGAAGCAGGTTTCTGGCTTTCCCATCATTGAATCAGAGACTGCGATGTTGTATGCGAGACAGTCAAGTGATGTCACCTGCAGATTGGCTACTCAGAGATGTGGCTTGACGCTTGTCCGGCGGCGTCTCGAGAGCAGCGGGGACGCATTCCCACGTCTCCTTGCTGCCCTTGCACGCTTGTTCGAGAGCGGCGCGGCGCTTCTTTTCCTTCTCGCAATATGTTTTCCCTTGTCTAGCACTAGTTTACCTCGTGTTCCTGCGTTCTGCCGCACTGTCATCGGTGCCGGACTTCCTCTTTCACACCTCTTTACGCTCACCTGCCTTTCGCATTGCATCCTGCAACTGCAGCCTCCCTTGTCCACACACCAGACCGGGCCCAGAGCAGCAGCATTTCCCCACCCACCATCACAAGTGACGTATGCAGCGGCACCTTCCGCCGCACATGAGAGCTCTCGCGATCGAGTGACCAGAGGGGAAGCTGAGCTGAGCGCGTCGTTGCCACCAGTCGCGACGCCTGACGCGACAAGTATTGTCTTGGGTACATCGTCGCAAGGAGCTCTTGTTGAGGTCCCTTCCGTCAGCCTTGCTTCCACTTCAAAGAGACACATTGTCTGCAGTCTACGCCAAGCAGTCAGATAGAGGGTCGATCCATGTCGACTGAGAAAGTGTCACACCAGGGACCATTACGAGGGTCCTACGAGATCCCCATGGAGCAGAGTACCACCTTTGGCGGCAGCAGCGGTAGCCACAAACCTGCTGCGCCTGAGGCGAGCAGTGAAGCCAGTAGTAAAGTCAACGACGTTCATCGTCAGTCTGCACACCGGCAACCCAGCGCTCAGACCGAAGTCCACAGTGACGACGGTCCTGAGGTCGAGGAGGTTCTGGACGACGAGTCTGAGACGAACAGTGGCCAAAGCGCAGAGCATCCGCGAAAGAAGACACCAAAGGATAGCCCGGCTTATGTTGCGCCTATTGGGGGCATTCCAAAAATCACTCCGATCGATTCTTTAGCATCCAATCCTCTGTCAACACCACCACCGGAGGACCAATCTTCAGATCCACCAAAGAAGCTGCCTATACATCAAATTCCCAAAGATCATCTCGTGGGCAAAACTATCGATGAATTCGGAGATATTTTGGATGATGAGGGCGCCGTCCTTGGCCGAGTCGAAGGTGATTTGCCATCTATGGTTGGGCGGACGATATCGAACGCTCGAGGTGATGTGCTTGGTGATGAGGGCGAATTGTTGGGTTACGTGGCTGAAGTAGAGACTGGAGAGGGCGAGCAGCAAGAGTCAAAACAACAACATCCAACATGGGATTTGGCAGAAGTCATGAAAGCCATGGCTGCTGCTGGTCAGGGACCGGGCGGCTTGAGAGTCGACCCGTTCGGAAATATACTGGACGCGGAAGGCAATGTCGTCGGTTCATTCCATGACAACAAGACTGGCTTTGGGAAGAAGACTCGCGAGGGTGGTAATGGTAAATCGGGTAGTGGCAAGGCTCGTTCAAAGCCATCCAGCTCGAAACAGAAGCCTGATGAGACCGGGCCGGAGGACCAGGCGGAGTCATCGTCGGGGTCGCACCCACGCGAGAACGCCCAGAGCCACAGGAGGCAGCCTGAGGAGAGGAAGCCAAGCCCTTCAGACATTTTCCTAGATGTCAAGTCAACAACGGAGGGCATTCAACTCACCATACGCATTCCAACGGTCTTCAACAGCAGCGGGCAGCCAGCCCAGCCCAAAATTGTGTTCTCGTAATAACTTGGCCGGAGGACGTCTCGCGTAAAGCATGTTGATAGTTCGAGGTCAGAGCCGGGCGCCAGGAGTTCTAAATAGGAATATGGATTACCCCACGGGGTTTGTTCTGAAATGGCGATCCATGAGGATCAAGAAGTGGTCTAAGTGGTGATCTAAGAGGTGGCATTCCGTAGATTCCGAAGCAGGCGCTGAACACAAGACGAACCGTTGGCCCAAGCGGAAATTGTATGGTCAAGATAGTGGGAATACGATCGTCAAGATTTCACCTTAGCCGGGAGTGCCGGTCCCTAGGCTGTGGGAGGTACGAAAGGACAGCAGCAAGCAGCAGTGAGCAGACTGTGGAGAGCCAGCACATCCACACCGTGACCGTTGGTAGAGAAAGTCAGCACCAAGAAGCAACCCATAGGATTCGTCCCAACCGGCCGAATGACGTAGAACTCGGGGAGCTACCCTTGTCCGAGCTCTTCGCTGCAGAGCTCAAGGCGAGACCACATTGTCGATCACGGCTTGTCGAACGATCCTGGAGGGCGAAGTGCATATCTGATGGGCACTTGCGGCTGTTGGAGGGCTCCCAGTGGCTGGCTTGACTTCATTCTGGTGTAAGTCCTTCGCCACACGTCAGGGAGGCAAGCCACACCTTCGCAATAACCTGTTTCTTGTCCCTCGCCGCCTGCGATGATACGCTGAGCAAGGTCTCCCATTCTCTCAGTCCGGCCAATGGCATTACACGAGACGGGCCCACCCTCCATGTCCACATCACCTCGCTATGTCAGACAATATCCATGAGGCCCCGTCTGAGACATGTAACCGCTCATACCCTGATGGTCTGGGCCTGGCTGGGCGAATACTTCAGATGTGATGTGCACTGCAGCATTACACCAGTACGAGACAAGTCACTCCCATCCCCTCAATGAAGTCATGCGCGGGAAGCTCAATTAGCTTGTGGCTTGATGCCTGCTTCCTTCTGCTTCTGTACTCACCACCATCCTGTCATTATGCGATGATCTCCTCCGCCGTCCGGGACAAGACGCGATCGAGATGTGTGTGGCTGTGACGTAAGGCTGGAGGGACGCTACCTATCCTCTTCCACAGATGACGTCCCTCGTCAGGAAGCTGTCGACAGCTTGCTGCTGCTGTGGCGCTAGGTTGGATCACACAGGGTCCCATGAACGAGCGTTGAACGCATATAAGCTGGCATCGCAAGCGAATTCAAGCTGTGAGATTGGTTCCTACCATTATCCAAAAGTGAAAACCACACCCAGAACCCAGTTACCTCAAACTCAAAAAGATTCCCCTAAATACTCATCTATATTCCCTCAAGTCGCGTCTCTTTTGAGCTATCTGACCGAGATACCACATCTCATTACCATACTTCCACACCATCAACGCTATTTGGTGTAACAAATCCTTTATTCACATAACCAACCATCAACATGGCGGACACACAGCCACCAGGAGGTTGGCCATGGGGCAAGAACAAGCAGCAGTCGTCTAAGGGCGATGATGCCTCTGAGGCCCCCACCAGCACAGCCCAACAACAACTTCAAGACAAGGGCGTCCAGGAACCAGAAGTTTTGCAAGAGGAGAGCGGCAACGCACAATCTCAAGTCCAATCTAAAGTTGGCGACGCCAAGTCGGCTGCCGGCAGTACAGCCAACAAGTCCGTCAGGTACGAAGGCGATGACGAAGCCGTCAAAGGACCGGGTAGTAACAACAGTTTCAGCAGGAACGCCAAAGAGCCCAGTGTCATGTCCAATGGTTATCACCAGGACGACATTTCCGAGGAGGCCAACGGCGCAGTCGAGAATGCGCAGGAGACTGCTGAGTCCAAGAAGGATGACCTCCCCGAGGACGAAGGCAAGGACTTGACTGAGCCTGCAGAACAAGCTGGCGAGGAGGCCACTGAGAAGGTCGGTGAGACTGGCGAGGAAGCCAAGAACGCCGCACCATCTCAGACTGGCTCTCGATTCTCAAACTTTGTGAGCGGTGCCAGCAGGATTGTTCCCTCTTTCGGTGGTGGCAGCAAGAAGTCTCAAGCGGAGGACGACTCCGAGATACCGGAGTCCATCCGCAAGATTCAGAGCCAAATCGGCGACACAGGCACCAACCTGACCCTTCCGGAGGGTTCCCAAGCGCAAACCCAGGGAACCGACCTGAAGAGTGGTGCCGAGGAGGGTACCGAGGCTACCACCCAGGAAGGTGACGAGCAAACTCCCGCCGAGACTGATGTGGAGGCAACCACGGAGCAGGCCACCACGACGGCAAAGCCTGAGGACAGCCAACTCGAAACTGAGGGTGACGAGTTGGACGACTCGGAGCTGCGACCTGAGGACTCTGTAACCTACGCCGCTGACAATAGCCAAAAAGTACCAGGCGAAGAGGAAACTGAGGGAGAGTCCCAAGCCCAGGGCACACTGAAGTCACTCCCGGAGGGCACCCAGCTCCCCGAAGGATTCACAGAATCTCAAGTCGACCTGAGCGATCTCCCCGAGGGTACTCAACTCCCAGACGGTACCCAAATCTCGGGATCCCAACTCCAAGATGGCACCTTCGCAGGCACACTGAAGTCACTCCCGGAGGGCACTCAGCTCCCCGAAGGATTCACAGAATCTCAAGTCGACCTGAACGACCTTCCTGAGGGTACCCAACTCCCAGATGGTACCCAAATCTCGGGATCCCAACTCCAAGATGGTACCCTGGGTACCCAAATTGAGGGTACCGAAGCCGGAACTCAGGCCGAGGGCACTCAGGCTGAGGGGACTCAGGCTGAGGGCACCCAAGCTCCCGGCTCCGAGGCCCAGATTCCTGATGATCAGCAGACGGAATACACATACGCCAGCGGTTACCCAACAGCTACCGTGCAGCCCGAGGCCGAAATTGACTACTCTATCCTCAAGGATGCTAAAGTCAACAAACTGGGTAACGTTGTTAACGAGAAGGGCCAGGCCATTGGCCGTATCACCCAGGGTATTATGGCTCACCTGATCGGCCGCAAGGTTGATGAGAACGGTATCATCTGGAACGACAGCGGCAAGGAAATCGGCCGCGCAGAGCCTATCCCCGATAATGAGCTGCAAGAACTGATGGAGTCCAAGCCCTTCGAGTCATTCGAGGGTAACACCATTGACGCCAAGGGCAAGGTCATGTGGGAAGGCCAGCAAGTTGGCCAGGTCATCGAGGGTGACTTGAAGGTTCTCCAGGGCAAGACTGTCGATCCCGATGGTGAAATCCTCGACAAGGCCGGCAATGTCATCGGCAAGGCCGAGCGCTGGGAAGAGGAGGAGGAGCCTGAGCCCGAGCCTGAGGCTGAGGTCGACAAGTCCATCCTTGCCGGCAAGCGTGTCAACAAGGCTGGCAACGTTGTCGACTCCGCCGGCGTCATCTTCGGCCGTGTTGTCGATGGTGATGTTTCCAAGATGGTCGGTCGCATGTGCAACAAGCTTGGCGAGATTCTGAGCGAATCTGGTGACGTTATTGGCCATGCCGAGCTTGTGACTGAGGGTGAGCGCGAAGGTTCCAAGGAAGGTATCTTCGCCGAACTCCAGGGCCTGACCGTCAACAAGGAGGGTCACGTCGTCACACCTGGCGGAGACATCGTCGGCCGTCTTATCGAGGGTGATCCCAAGAAGCTCGCCGGTCGTGTTGTTGACCAGGATGGAGACATCCTCGACAGCAATGGCAACGTGCTCGGCAAGGCTGAGCGCTGGGAGCCTGAAGAGGTCGAGAAGAAGAAGGGCGCCTTGGCTGGCCTGCACGTCAACCAAGAGGGTAATGTTGTCGACACTAATGGCAACATCGTCGCCAAGCTTACAAGTGGTGACCCGCTTGTCTGCGCAGGCCTGGAGATTGACGACGACGGAGATGTTGTCAACAGCAAGGGCCAGGCAGTCGGCCATGTCAACCTACTCTCTGAGATTCCTCAGGAGGAGGAGGTTGGAGAGACCGAAGAGGAGAAGGAGGAGCGTCTTCAGAGAGAGCAGGACAAGAAGCTCGCCATTCAAATGGCTGCGTGCCTCGAGAACTGCCTCGACAAGATCAAGCCCATCTGCAAGATGATCACCACCAAGATCGAGGCCATGGAGCGCAAGCCCGAGGACGAGCGTGACGAAGAGGCGTTGGTCAAGGAGGTCCGTCCCCTCATCGAGGAGGGTAGCAACATCCTTCGCGAGGCACATGGTGTTATCCGGGGCATCGACCCCGACAGACACATCCAGGCCAACGCCAAGCACAAGTCTGGCACCCGCGAGGCCACACCCGAGGAGTTCCACCTTGCTGAGGTCATCAAGGAGGTAAGCACTACAAGACACCAGCATATCCACTTTTATATTATAGCCATTCTAACTCAAGACCTTCACAGCTCACCGGCACCGTTACCGAGACTATTGAGGGCGCCAAGCGCAAGCTCGAGGACATGCCTCACGCCAAGAAGGAGCTCAACCCCCTGTGGGGTCTCCTGGGCGAGCCTCTCTTCCAGATCATTGCCGCTGTCGGCCTCCTGCTCACAGGTGTTCTCGGCATCGTAGGTCGCCTACTCAGCGGTCTCGGCCTCGGCGGCGTCGTCGACGGTTTGCTGGGCACGCTCGGCCTGAACAGGCTGCTCGACGGTCTTGGCCTTGGCTCAGTGGTTGGTGCCCTGACCGGCAAGGACAAGAAGAAGAAGTAAATCACGCGCATGGCACTGATTTCTTTTTTGCTTTGACGGAGCCCTTTGGATGTTTCGCTTACGGTTAAATTTGCTGGCTACGAGGAAAATGATCGGTTTCAAGGGAAAAGGTGATGTTATGATGGTTACAATAGTATGCGACTACGAGTAACGCTCATGTATCTTAGTATATTTGTATGATTTTCAGAGGTTAATCAGGTATCTTAATGACAATTCTAGTCTAAAATATCTTCAAAGTCCTAATGTTCTTTCCACTTCCTTCCGTTAGTATCAGATGCATTCAAGACATGAAATCAAGTCCAGTGTTCTGTAATTGGAGATGATTGCGGGCGCGGCGTAGCTGTCTTTTCGCTCGTCCTTGCGGCCGATAGCCGTCATCAACATTGTGAACCGACCGTGTTTCCTGCTCCAGGCACCTCAAGACTCCCGATTCAGTCTATATGTGCGTAGTTCGCATTTGATTTCCCACTCCAAAAAGTAAGTCCAGTCCAAAGAAATGCTTGCCGCTAGTGTTTCCGTAAGCAAGATTCCAGAATAGATATTATCTTGGCCCCGATAGCATGTCCGTCGACTCAGGAGCCCGTGTTGCGCCGGCGTAGCAACCAGCCTAGTGACAGCCTCCATCTGGGCTGCGGTTGGTTCCCATTCTCTCGATGCATAGCTCTCCCGAACCAGGATGAGAAGCGGGGAATACGAAATCTGAGACGGCGGTATCCCCATCCAAGTCGTGGTGACGCTGCAGAACAACGCGAAGATGGCAACGGGGACGAGCGGATCACGATGGGCTCACTTGCGAGCCTGACGACAGGAGCCGAGTACCGTTGTAATGGAGGCAAGTCAGGTGGAAAAGGCATCAACGCCGGCCCGATATCTAGAGGCGGAATCGCCTCTTCTGCCCAGTAGAGGCGCGAGCCGTCCCTGGGAAACCGTGCATTTGGATCAGGATGAGGGGATCTGCGGTATCTGAATCCTCCAGTCGGCGGTACGCGCTCGGTGTTGAGACCATTGGGCCGGGGCTGAGGCGTATGTCGTTCGCCTCGTTCAGTGATGATGTCGGCACCCCGTCCCGAGCCTTCGAGATTCTGACTAGCGAGATTATCCAGGGCGTGACCAGGTACTGGGCTGTTGCCAGCGTCTTCTTGTCTCAAGTGGATCATGTGGTTGAAGCTGACGGAGGTTGGAGAGTCGCTGTTTGATGTGCCGTTGTCTGGTGTCAACTCTGGACAAGCATCATATGGAGGCGTAGAGTCCAAAAGCATTGTGGATTCGAAGTATTCCTTGTCCAGCTTGGTGGTTTGGTTGATTTGTCGGCTTTGTAACCACTTGACAGAGAATTGTATTGCGGGAGAAAGGGGATTCTCTGTCTATTGGGTATTGGAAACTATTGCTGGAGTCTCGTTTTCTGAAGAGGAAATTTGATGCACCGTTGACTAAATAGTCGATTGAAGAAGACTTTGGGACCCGTGAAAAGGAAATATGCAAAATAAAGGGAATAAATAATCCAAGGGAAAGGCTTTCAATCTCAATTGTCCCAAATTGTAAAAATGGGCATAAATACTGAACAAGATGTGCAAGGAGAAAATTGAAGGGTATTAAGTCCATATTACTATAGCTGGCACGTCTACGCTAGTAGTCTGGGTGAAATGAAGGAAAATACAAAGCTAAATGTAAACAAAAGGTGACTATACGCAAGGTTGAAGGAGGGCGTAAAATATTGCCGTGTGAGAGGTCTGCTTGGATGTGAAGCTAAATTCTTGTACGTTGGTCCGTAACACTTTCTAATGGCACCGTGTTGGGCTCTACCGCAATTAGCGCGGACTATAAAGGCGGGCATTGCGCATTTGTGTTCATGTGAACATATTTTTCTTTTTGCAACTCTGGATCCGTGTCTGGAAACAGAATCTCTGATTTTCAGTATTTCTTAGGGGCACTTGTTTGCTCTGCTGTAAACAAGAATTCTTTTCTTGTTCGGAAATCTATTTTTGACTCGACATACAAAAGCATTCACACCTCGCCTGCCGCTCTCACTCTGTCGGATCGCCGCCCGGATAGGGTAACATCTTGTGGGAATGAATTCCATGTTGATATAATACCTGATGCAACGTGGGCATTTCTGGTGTGGGTGTCTGATGAACACAGCCACTCTTGTCGAAGGCATCCCTATCTCGGTCACTTGGTGTCTTAGACGCAGTTTGGCTGTATCATGCGGTTAGTCCGTCTGTCCATAGCGCCGGCTTTTTGGCATGTCTCAATCCATGATTTTCAACCGGACCATAAGCTCTGAGCGTGGCGGACACGTGAGGGCAGATCAAAAATCTACCCAAGTGCAGGCAGGTCACAATTTCGCAAAGAGAACAGCCGAACGACCTATGAGGCAGGGAATATTGCCATATTCCCAGAAGACCGCCATCTGACTCCACGGGTGCGGGTTATTTGACATCGCTGTGGATGGGCTGTACCAAGAGGAGCTCTCATGTGACAAGACGCTGTCCGAGTCATCATAACTGATGGGCACTCTGTGTGACGTGAAGTTGGCTTTTTAACGTGCCGGCTGGATCTGCCATGGAGTGGAATCACAGTTGGCCTGGGCCAGTTGGCTTGGGCCGGTTGGTGGTGTTTGTGGGTTGAAGTCTGAGCGTCGTACCTCACGCTGAAGAGCCTCAATGTGACAAGGATGCCACACGCGGGGACCCACTGAGCCTGAAAGAGCTCTGATGCTACCCAGCTCGGCAGCACCCGGCGGACGATCTGAGACAGGTACGTACCTGTACCTACCCGGTTATCGGAGAGTCGGGAGCTGAGCTTATCCGACGATTTGGGATTTTGCGCGGGTCATAGCGAGCTATGTCGCTCTTACTGCGTATTCCACTCCCTCGAGGCCAAGCACGTGTTTCCTGCCTATCTGACGGACAACGACTGCGCGACTCGAGCCGAAATCTCGCAGATACATTCGATTGACGCATCGGCTAGTACCTTCCCCTCTCAGCTCCGACACGCAAACGTGCCCAACTCGCTGCGTCCTACCATCCGCAGGAGCGAACACGAGAGAGCTCACTCAACCGTGAAGATCGTCCTCAGAGCCGAGGAATACACCGCTGACCCAAGGCGAGGATCTGCAAGGAGCCATATTGATCAGCTTGGAGATAGTATTGGCGGCCGTCGTCGTAACCCCAGCTTGCGGCGACCTCGAGATCTACCAGGCCTCCAGATCGCGGTTGATTAACGCGCCTTGCAACGCCCGACACGTTCCTGCAATCGAATTCGCCCGACGAGGTAGCGTACCTCGATAGTACATCACAATGTCCACACCAAATGGCCTGCGAAGTCTCTTGAGACAAACCAGCACCACCATGCGCCAAACGCCCTCGTCGCAAAATGGCCCTCTTACCTCTCTCGTACGCGCCACGGCCGCACTCTCAATCAACTCGCCACAAAAACCACCACCCAGCACGCCACGAGCCTTCAGCACCACCTCTCCCACCCTCGCGCGCGTGGCCCCCAAGCAGGCGCAAGGCAAAGCCAAGAAGGGGGCACCTCTCGACGCGGCGGCGCGCAAGAAGCGCCGGGCGCAGATGGCAGCCAAGCTGGACCCCAAGGTGGCGGACCTGATGAAGTTCATCTACGCGGGCTCGCAGCTGCCGCCGCCGCTGCGGATGGCGCGCAACCGGTGGCTGCGGCACTGGACGATCCACCGCGCCTGGCAGCTGTTCCAGCGCAAGGAGCAGGAGCGGAGGGAGGGCGAGATGCTGCGCCTGCAGCAGAGCATGGAGCACGCCTGCGAGGTGCTGAGGAACATGGGCGGCCCCGGCACGAGGCCCGAGGGCTGGCTGTACCGGAAGGCGATGGAGAAGTTCGGCGTTTGGGGCAAGGGCGCCGTGCCGATCGAGTACGCCCGGCCGCTTGTGGAGACTCCGGCGGACAAGCCGTGGAACCATGAGTGGAAGAGGGTGTGAGCAACTGGCCTTGTTCGGTCCGCCGGGGAGGCGTGATTTCTACGGGGTCTGAGGCTCTGCCTTTGAGACGGTCGTTGACGATTTGTATCATATGTATTCACAGAAGCAGAGATCGAGATGGACTAGTCTCCCGTGTCAAGCAATCTTGACCACACATGCCTCTCCGTGTCGTGCAGAGAGTGTAAAGAATGGAAATTAGATGCCTATAGTTAAAACCTGCTACGCTGCAATTCAGTCTGCCTGAAGAATGCGCATTACTGCGGATGCTGCCCTGGACGACCTCTTTACCCCTTTCCCTCCGGTGACCATTGCCACAGATCGTACCTTTTGCCATCCATTCCGCCCGACTGTGAACCGGGCCTTGCTGGCCAGAAGTTGGGCACCCCTTGCTTTCCTTGCGATTTTCCTTCATGGGGTATTATGCCATCGATGATACAGGGCAGCAGAGCAAGATTGCTGCCGAAGTTGTTTGGCCGCCGGCATGCGTGTTGTTTCGTTCGTGGATTGGTGGCCCTCGCGGTGGCCTGTTTATATCCCGTGAGTACCGAGTGATTGACGGTTTGAAGAAGAAGTGGCTGTCCAGTTGTTTGGGTTGTTCTCTGAAGTTCTGTCGCTTTGAATGCACACCGCCAGAATTTCCATGTGATTCATGGCGATACCTCCTTCCCACCAATTACCAATATTTCTGCACCCTCACAGAATCACACAACAGCCACCGCCCTCGCCCTTCTCGAATGTGAGTAATGCTGCTCTCGTGGCCGCCTCGAATACGTCGTCGACACCCTCCCCGCTGAGACTCGAGCACTCGAGGTACTTCTTCGCCCCTACTTCTCGCGCGGCCGCCTCGCCGTCGTGTTCTGTGACGAAACGGAGCGACTTCTTGCGCATCTCCTCGATAGCGACTGGGTCTTCTCTCAGATCTTTCTTTAATCCGACGAGTATGATCGGCACGCCCGGGCATTTTTCTGTCGCTTCCTCAACCCACTATTCCACGCGAGTCTTGTCAGCTTCTGCAATCGTATTCGGCGGGAGCCTATTTGCATCGAACGATCGGCTAGGGACCTCATTTCGAAGTTGACCGCTGCGAACAGAGGTGCGACGTAGGGTCTCGGGAGGGGAAACCATCCGTCGCACGAGCCTTGTGTTGCCATCTTCTCTTTGTGAGGAAAAGCTCCCGGGAGAGGGAAGGTCTTACCTTGTGTTTGACGTTGTCAAGTGAATCTGGCGTATCCACGGAGAATCCTATCAGGATGACATGTGCTTTCGAGTATGCCAGGGGGCGCAGCCGCTCATAGTCCTCCTGTCCCGCTGTATCCCATAGCGCAAGCTGAACTGATTTGCCATCTACCCTACAGTCGGTGACGTAGTTCTCGAAGACGGTGGGGATCTGGCACGCGGGCTCTCGTTAGATATCGTGTCCGTGGTGGTAGGGGCTGTGCTTTGTCGCCGTGGCAGTCCGTAATGGCGGCTGAGTGGTTGGGATAACTTACATAGTGCTGGCAGACATCAATTAGTTTATTTATTTGAATGAAGGTGTTTGTTGGGGGGTAGACTAACCGTGGGGAAGTAGCCGAGTGTGAAGACGCTGAGGAGAGAGGTCTTGCCGCAAGCTCCGTCGCCGATAATGACCAGTTTCCTGCGCAGACCGATGTTCAGAACCAATTGATGCCTGGGTGACGGACCGGGCAAGGGGCAAGAGAGTAGGATTGTGGGCAATACCTTCGGATGACGTTCTGAGCACTCCCAGCGCTTGCCATCGTGGAGAGCAAGGTTCGAAGCCCTCTTCACCGAGCAATTGCTCCTTTCGGGCGGGTTGTTGGAGAGCTGTCGCAGGTGGGAAAGCTTATGATGTCGTTATCGGACTGGGATGTCTGTCGGCACCGATGCTGCTGACTGATCTGGCGCGAGTGGTGTTTCTTCCCGCTGGTGTCCCTGCTGCCGGCTGGGTATGGATGAATGGATGGATGGATGTAACGGTGAGGCTCTCCTTTCCCTCTGCGAGCGAATGCGCCTGATGGGGCAGTAAAGGGGAGCGAACGATTGTCGAGAAGAATGAATGAAGCAGATAAAGTAGCTGAACTGCAGTGAAACGAGCTGGTCGTGGAGAGAGGCGAGAGGATCGGGCGGGATAAATGTTTCGGACTGGGATGTCGTGGGGGGGAGAGCTTCCAAGGCTGGGGGGGAATTGGGATGGGAATTTTTGAGGGGGAAAGATTCTAGGTAAATGCGGTCAGGTAGGCGGGTTCTCTGGGCCTTTGCCAGGATGGTCTTGGTCTTTTGTTTGGGATGGTAGTCAGTCTTTCCGGGTTGTGCTGCGTGCTGAGCTGTGCTGCGGTATGGTACGGTACGGTACGGTACAGAGTTACGGTTTTCTGCAGGGCAGTCAGTCATCGACAAAGTGCCAACCTTTAGGGAGCCCTGGAAGTCCCGTCCTGGACCGAATTGAGACAAATTGGGGGGATTGGGGGTTGCTTTGCTGCGCCCGCCTAGATGGGCCAGTGGATCGGCGGTAGGGATCTCCTGTGGTGCCAAGCGTCCCCCGTCCAAGAACAGTACCTAGGTATCTACAGTACCTTACCTGGAGCACCTGCCCACCAGCCCACAAGCCCACACACACACACACACACACACACAGCACCTGCAACCTAGGGGACTTGATGTGCAGGCGGCAGCAGGGACCACGAGCTCTGCATTACCATTTCCCACCCGTCGTCACTCCACTCCACTCTCTCTGCCAGCTCCGCCAGCAGCCCGACAGACCCGCGTACCTGACGACGTGAGGATGTGAGGACGTCAAATGACCTCTCGAAGCAGCATCCAAGGACTGCCGCAAACCGCCAGGCCACCCTATCCCAGAAAGCTCACGGATCGGGGTTCACTTCCACTGCAACCTTGTGACGCCATGGTGCACTTGCCAGCATGGAGAGCACGGAGTGCTGTGCAGTCAGCAGTCTACAGTACACCAGCCCTTGAAAGGCCATTTTTCTATTTCTGACCACGGCTTCGGCTACCGCTTCGTGTTCAGATGCTTTGACGATCAACACTGCAACAGTCGTCTGTTCCCCGAGGCCTACAGGTGACTATCGACAGGCTGCATTGGGTCTCGTGAAATGCAACGGGATCAGGGCACCGCCCAAGCGACCCGAACAGCATCTAACAAGACCCTGCTTGCAGCAGCAGACGCATACGGCACCCTTCGATGCGATCTTTTCTCAGGGGTTTGTCCAAGCTCGGGCGCTTTCGAGCAACCAAGCAACGAACTACTGCAATGCCACTCCACCCAGAAATATATACTGTACTGTACTGTAGATACATACATACATACATGGCAGTCTGTCGCGTCGCTAATTATCAGAAACGGCCACGAGTCATCGTGAGAGCCTCTCTCAGCCACGACACCAGGATCCAGGACACCGCAATTGCGCGAGACGCGTGCATGCATACGTAGACTCGTCCGGCTCTGGCTTGTGCTCACTCCCCGCCAGCGAACAACCACAAAGCGGCGTATCATATCGAATCAAAGTCACGGCCGTCGACTCCTGGACTGACACTGCTGCCGAGGGTGGAGCCACCCGAGGCCGCTGGTGAGCTGTGCTCTGCAAAGCAATGGCCATCATGCCGCCCGGGCTGCAATGGCCAATGAGGCTGTGCAACCATGCCCGAAGGGGGCCCAGGCTCTATATCATGACACGAGGCGAAGGGAGAGTGAGTGCTACGCAGTTACCCACGGCTTCCCCCATAAAGGTGCCGAAGATCTTTGTCATAAGCCTCTTGGCTCCCGGCCGCCGTCTGGAGGCGAGGAGGGTCACAAACTGGCGAAGCTAGCATTGTTGTGGGCATCGGGGGGAGGCAACCCAAGCGTGCAAGGTTTTGACGCCATGGCGGTTGTTAGCTGATGTTTCGGCCCTACGACCCAAGCAGCCGGGCACGAACCAAGAATAGAGGCGAGATACGAGAGCCAATTTGATTTGGAACGTTGCGCGGGCTAACGTGAGCGAGACAACTAGCTACACACACTAACCTGACTAACCGTCGAAGACTCCGACGGCACGCATGAGGCTGTTGCTGTTATCGTCGTCGTCTTTGCCGTGCCGTCGGGTGTGGATCTTATCAAGTGGTCCGTTTTTGCAAAAGGCCATGACCATCACATGCATTCGATGCATTTTGCGCGTGCTTCACGCAGGCACGGCAGTCTCGTGCGGACAATAAGCAGCTCGTCGATCAGGGGGATCGACGGTAGACCACCACCAAGCGATTCGAGTATCCGTAGTTTCCAGACCGGCCGTCGGCTGTCGGAAGCCGCTGCCCAACATCTGCCAACAGCCTGACAGCTCGCCCTGGCGGCGCTTCTAGTTTTGGTACGGCCCCAGTGATTCCAAAGCTCCATGCAGGTACTCGAGTAATTAGAATGGGGCAGAGAAGGATCTGCCTAAGTGAGCGCATTATCCTAGATATCTCCACACATTATCCTAGAAAATGCAGCAGGGCATCCCGCAAGCAATTCAACAGAAGGCACATAGCGGTTAGGTTCCGCTTGGACTCCCGCAAGCTGTAGTAAACGGACTGCTAAAGATGTCAAAGAACCCGAGTTGACATTTGTTCAGTCTCGGAAGACCCGGGGAGTCGCTTCGCTACTCTGAGCCTAGGGCGGTTCTAGCTACAACTCCGAGCTCGACCAGAAGGCGGATTGCATGCGCAAGTTGTGATTGATTCACACAAAGTTATTGGCCAAAGGTCTGCAAATCCGTGGACCGTTATGAAACAGCGTGACTCATTACACGACTCTGGTACTGCATATGCCTCGAGGCGTGAAGTTGACTGTGTTCAGTGCCGGCCGCTCCACCTTCTGTCAGAACTAGCAGCCCTAGAGCATCCATCACCATCACCAGAGCTCACAGGATTCGGACTAAGCTCATTATCCCCGATGGCAGTTTCTAATACGGAGCTAAGATTCGGTCATCATGTTCCCTCGACTCGGTCATATCTATGGCCTCAAGACCTCCCTCCTAAGTATTGGCAGGTGGATATAAAGGTCGGGATGGCTTCTGCCCGGAGCGTTATCACACACCAGTCGTTGAAGTAGGCCAGAGTAGCTACGATCATTCGAAATGTTATACAGCAGACTCACCGCTCTAGCTATTCTCTCGGGTTGCGCCATCGCGGCCGAAACCCATGACTTCTCACCCAGGGAGGACCAGGCGCGCACTATATACCAGTTTCCGAATGATACGTACGTGGAGAACATAGCAATTCGCCCGAATGGACAGATTCTTGTCAATATCCTCACCTCACCTCAAATCTGGCTGGTTGACCCAGAGTTCCCTGGCAAGGCCGTGCTTGTTCACGAATTCTCAGACGTGCTGGGACTGTCTGGTATAGTCGAGTACCAGCCGGACGTGTTCGCAATAGCGGGCGGAAACGTCTCCTTGAGCACTGGCGAGAGTATTGTTGGCTCCTGGTCCATCTGGAGCCTCGATCTGGGCGGCTTAAATATTAGTTCATATGCGCCTGTCTCGGCACAGCTACCAAAAGTGAGCAAGATTGCTGATGTCCCGCCTGCAACATTTCTCAACGGCATGGCCCTGCTCTCGGGTCCGGAGAAACAGCTCCTCTTCGTTGGGGACGTCAAGACCGGGACCATATATTCAGTCGACATCGATACCGGAGAATATGTAATAGCGATCAACAACACGTTCACAGCCCCTGGCCCTGATTATGCCTTCGGCGTCGCCGCAACGGACGGATTACAAATGTGTAATGACACGCTGTATTTCACCAACGTAGGTCAGAAGAAGCTGAATAGGGTCCGCCTCGACGTTGACGGCACGCCGGCCGGGGAGTTCGAAACGGTTGCGCAGACAATCACTCCGCTGGACCAGTGGGACGATTTCGCACTCGATCACGAAGGCAACGCGTGGATGTCGACGGGAGGAGCAAACACGATCCAGAAGATCAATACGCGGACAGGAGACGTCAAGATCGTGGCTGGTGACGTGAACTCGACCGCCATTGCAGAACCGACGTCTGCAAAATTTGGAAGGCGTGAGAATGATGCGATGGTCCTATATGTGACTACGGCCGGCGGGCTCGCGACGCCAGTAAACGGCGACATTGTTGTTGGGGGCCAGGTCGTAGCCATCAGGACCGAATCCAGGGGCTGGTCTTAGACATGTTGAATGTGGCCAGGGTGTGTTGAGCATTGCCTGGAGCCAAGTGAAAGCAGGCAAGGCAGCGGAGCAGAGCACTGTAGAGTATGTGTAGAGCAATTGCTCATGTTTCAGGATGGGGAAACTAGGAAATCCGATGTTGCAATCTGCATTTCGAGACATGGAATCAAATCAATCGATCAATCAATTGACGCTGTAATTGATTGCCTCGCTATTCAGGCTTCAGGCTTCAGGCTTCGCAGGTGCCCAGGTCCTGGGCTGCCAGCCCCGATAAGGCGAGCGCGGGGGAGAATGGAGCGAAGTGGGCCACAAGGTCACATGAGGCGTGCCTCATTGGCCTGGTCCCGCGCAAAGTCATCGGCACGTACCAGTCACACCTTGGCAGAACGAGATGGCTACCTGGAGGGGACTTGGTGCCACGCCGCCCCCCCAGTGGCCGAACTGTTGGAACGACGTGCCGAACCCTGGGCTCTGCGGAAAAGTGACTGATTGCGAGTGTCACCACGGCGCCCCTTGGGTCTTGGTTCTATTTGGGAAGACGACAGACAACCACCTGAGCTCTTGGGGGCAGCATCATCATCGCTCTTTTTGTGGCAGCCTGCCTTGTGGTTTTTTTTCTGCTGACCCGACCCACCGTCTGGCTCCCTCACCCGCAATCAACCTCTCACTTCCCCTCGCTTTGGTCCATTCGGGAAAGCTGCTGCTAGCTAGGCCAGCCCTTCAGACGCTGTCAGGTAAGGCAAGGCGAGGCAAGGCGAGCCATCAGAGCCCCTCCTGCACCCAACGAACGAGCCTCCCATCAACGCCCGCGATATTCCTGTGCACCGAGCACTATCCACACCTGCACCTGCACATGCAACCGTGCCTGTTTTCATTTTTTTGCTTGATTCATACCACCACGCCTCCGTCTCATATGCCGCACTCTCCCCCGTCGCAATCGAGCCATAGCTACCGCCAGAGCTCCTACCACTCAGCGCAGCACGGCCGCGGGACTCATTTGCGTGTCGCCCTTGGACCGAACCCTCAAGACCAACGACTGGGCCGGTCCTGCAATAGAGCAGGTTGGCCTTGGCTGCGGAGCATCTGAGCTGACTTGCGATCCCACCGACGTCTAGATCACGGTCGATACCCGAGCTCTTAGACCTTGACGACCCGACGGGCCGCGCTGTCGCCGAATACCCCTCTATGACCTCGATACCCGCCCCTTTGTAGGAAGAGAGTTTACCAAAATGAAATCCAAAGGATCTCGGAACCAGCCTGCGCCCCCCGCTCCTCCTCCAATGTCCCCGACTGCCAGAGGCGCAAAATATAGGAACAGAGACGGCTCCAAGTTCATCACCCTGCCCGATACCATGTCTGCTCCAGACTCCGCGCAGCCCTCGCCCACGACTTCCGCCGCCTCTGGCGCAAAGTCGCAGGCCACTGGGGGATCTGGCGCGACGAGCAATGGACCCGCCACGGCACCACCAAATGTGAACAGGAAGAAGCAGAAGCGTCGAGAGAAAGCCGCAGCCAAGGCCGCAGCCGAGGCGGCTCTGAACGCAGCGAATGTCAACGGCGCATCAGACCCCGCAGGCCGCAGACCGAGCCACGATCCCGACCAGGAGGACAGCGAGGAGGATGAAGATCAGTTTGACAGCCAGCTTCACCAGGCACAAGCTCAAGTGAACGGCCGTACGCCTGGCACTTCATCCAAATCCAAGAAGTCCAAAAAGAAGAGGCACAAGGGCGCCGCAGGGGCAGGGGAGCTGGCAGATCAGCCGGCTTCTCCTACACCGCAGCTGAGCGCCCCTAATCCCTCCGGGATCTCTAAGGAACGGATCTGGAATACCAGTTCTCAGGAGGAGCGGGAGAGGATCAAGGAATTCTGGCTCGGGCTTGGCGAGGATGAGCGCAAATCACTTGTCAAAGTCGAGAAGGAGGCGGTACTAAAGAAAATGAAGGAGCAACAGAAACATACGTGTAGCTGCTCAGTGTGTGGGAGGAAACGACACGCAATAGAGGAGGAATTGGAGGGCTTGTACGACGCCTACTACGAGGAGCTCAAGCAGTTCGCCAACCATCCCCAACAAGACGGCCATCCGCCCTTAATGGGCGCTTCCCGTCATTTTGGCTTCCATCACGGCAACAGGTTCCCGAGCTATGCAGGACATCAACCTTCACGCGGGCGAATAGTGGAGCACGTTGGCGACGAAGACGAGGACGATTTGGACGACGAGCCCTATAGCGAGGACGAGCTCGACGACGACGAGGCCTACAGCGACGAGGAGGAACCCGAAGAGGAAATACATCGCGACTACGCTTCCGAGTTCTTCAATTTCGGGAGTAGTCTCACTGTTCAGGGTATGGGTGTTCCTAAATCCTCTATGCGTTGTTGCACAACGTTCCAAGATGGTAACTGGGGTCTGTTCTAGGTGGCATACTAACGGTAGCCGACGATTTACTGAAAAATGACGGCAAGAAGTTCATCGAGATGATGGAACAACTAGCCGAACGACGTATGGCACGCGAGGGAGACTTTGCTCAAGACCAGTATTCTCGGAGCTATGGCCATGGTGTCAACGGCGGACTTCCCGGCCATGATCATCCTCCACCTCCGCCAGTCGATGACGAGGAGTACGAGGATGACGAAGACGAAGACTACGATTCTCAGGAGGATGACGAGTACGAGGAAGAAGACGATGTAGGTGTCTCGCTTATCATCGGGAGCAATCGATTTGTGAGATGGCTGACGTTTCGCAGGACACTATGACTGAAGAGCAACGCATGGAGGAAGGACGTCGAATGTTCCAGATCTTTGCTGCGCGAATGTTTGAGCAAAGGGTACTCCAAGCATACCGCGAGAAGGTAGCCAGGGAACGACAAGCCAAACTAATGGAGGAAGAGGAAGAGGAGCTTCGGAGGGAAGAGGCCCGGAAAGAGAAGAAAGCAAGGGAGGCCCAGAAGAAGAAAGAGAAGGCAGCCCAGAAGAAGCAAGCTCAGGCCGAAGAGAAAGCGCGCAGGGAGGCTGAGAAAGCGGCGGAGGAGGAGAATCGTCGACAAGAAGAATCTCGAAAGGCGGAGGAGGCCAGGAGAAAGGCCGACGAGAAGCGCAAGAAGAAGGAGGCTCAGAGGAAAGCCGAAGAAGACGAACGGGCAAGGAAGGAGGCTGAGAGACAACGCCAGAAGCAACTCCAGGTCGATCAGGAACGGAAAGCAAAAGAGGCCAAGGAACGTGAGAAGAAAGCTCGCGAGGAGGCTCGTCTCAAGGAGAAAGAAGAGCGGGAGAGGCTGGATCGCGAGGCCAGAGAGCTCAAGGAGAAGCAGGACTCTGAGAGGCGCCAGAGAGAGCTCGAGACCAAAACTTCGGAGACCGGACACAAGTCGAATCAGAAGCAAAAACAGGAGGAACGCGCAGCTAAGAAAGCAGCAGCCCTGGCCACAGCTCCTGTCACGATGACGCTTCCGAAAAGGCCAGCCCAGCCTCCTACAAACCCAGCGCTGCCCGTTCTACCTCAGCAACCTCCAGCAGCGGCTTTCGCTTCCCCCAAACCTTCCGTTGCCACACCGGCCTTACCGAAGGCACCGACGCCAATCCGGCCACGGCAGGCGTCCCAACAAGACGCAAGCTCTTCAGGTCCGGGAACGACGACATCATTATCCGGGTCCAACAGTCACGATCCGTCTCCCAGTGCCAATACACCAGCCCAGACGAGCCCGCGGCCGTCTGCACCCCCGAGCGCCAGAGGCAGCACAGCAAGTCAGCATTCGGCGAATGCATCCCGGCCGATGTCACCAGCGCAGCCGAGTACGGCGAGGTTCCCTTCGGCTCAGCCTGCTCCCATCAATATTCCACCCTTGGGTATGCCATTCCCTCCTGGGCTCCCACCCCCAGGCTTCGGAAATCCTTTATTCCCGCCCGGGCCTCCTGGCTTCAGACAACCACCGCCTGGGATGGTTCCGCCGGGACTAAGCAGTCCTATGCTTGGCCGAGGCTTCCCTGCGCCTGCACCGCCGCCGGGATTCGGTCAACCGGCTTCAGATCTAGTATCGCCTTTCAATCCCTCGTCGAAAGACGCGATTCCCGGGACGCATACGCGACAGCAATCAGGAGGCTATGACTCTCCATCGCTGCATGCCGCTCAACCCATCAGTCGACCTACGCCTATCGGCCGGCCCTCGTCCGTGGTACAGGGGCAACGTCCGCAGTCAGGATCCCCGCCAAAAGCCTTGCAGCGGGAGTCTGATGACCCACAGGATCATCTGGGAAGTAGCGCATTGTTAGACGACTCTGAAGACGTCCTTCCGACGCTGCCCGACTTCCAGCCGGGCTTACGTCGAGGGTATGTCGCTCCGGGTCGACCTGGCCCAGCTTTTCCGCCAGCTCCCTTCGCCGACCCAGCAATCGCTTCCATGTGGGGCAACCCCATGCAGCCGCCTGGGATGAGCCCATTCGCTCAGACACCTGTAGCTCCTCCTGGGTTTGGTGGCCCCGTCGGATGGCCCGCCAGTCCAAGTCTCGGGTTTAGTGCACCTATAGGCATCAATCGTCCTGCGCCAGCTCGTCCTCCGGCAAGCGTTGCAATACGACAGATCCTGTGTAATGTCTGCCGCGATCTTGCCATGAAAGAGCCCGCCAAAGATGGCTTCATTACCCTCGCTTCTCTGCAGGAGGCAATGAAGACATATGTTGACTTCAACCCCATGGGTGACGGCCCGCTAACAGAGAACGACATCGTGGCGCTCTGCGAAACGGAAGGAAACATGGCGAATGGCGGTGGTAACTTCGACTTTCATGATGAAGCTGGCACGAAGAGCATCCGATGGAACCCGGACAAGATGCCTCAGCCATTAGGTGCTTTCGGAGCGCCAGGCCAGATTGGCAGTCCCATACTGGGGTCTTCCTTTGGCCGATAGCTTTCAGACATTGACGATGGGTCATGGGCCGCGGACTGATGCATTGTAACATATATGGAAGCGCTATGCGAATGTCACCGGCGCTCGAGACATCGTGTGACGACTGCTTGTCCTTGTATAGGCTCTAGTTGTGAATGCCCTGGAGACATTGACGACATGAAGGGTTCTAAAGTCTGGACCTTGACGTGCCGTTCCGCCTCTCCTCTTGTAGCCCCCCTGTATAAATCGTTGTCATTCAACGAAGCCAAAGATTGATACTCCGATCAAGGCGTGTTTTGGCCGCCCCTGTTTTGATACCCCTGAGCGTACCAATCTGTATGGGTTATCACGGCAATACTAGTTGGTATCCGCACTGAAAGTGTGACGCGGAAATTGCACAGAAAGGTGACTCTTATTCCCACAATGATTAATCATTGAAGTCGATTGCCGGCCCTGCCTACCACATGCGTTTTCACGAGTGATTGCATGTCTATTATGGGTATTTTGTCTTCGCCTTGATAGGTCAAATTAGTTTCTTCCGGCTGTATGTATGTTGGCACGATTACAAGGCCTCGCCCGTGCAACTGGTATGTCATTTTTTGTTTCGAGGGTACTGCGCCACGACTTCAAATCACGGTGCCGTATGCGCCCCATGACACCTCAGATTGTGGACCATGGATGGCAACTAAGGATCCTTCAGCTTGAGACCCAACGGAACATTAGCCGCACCAGATTTTGCCCGCCAGCTAGCTGAAAAGCTTGCAGCTGATCTAATGCGCAGCTCGGCTTGAGGGAACTTGCTGATCTTTGCCCTCAAACGACCGCAAGACAGAATCTCCCTAGGAGGACTGATAGGTCATTGAGCCAGCAAATGTGCCGGTGAGGACCAAAGGGGGAATGATGGGGCGAGCAGGGGTGCGATTGGCTGGTGCCGAGGTCCTGGCGAATGAGACCGTGAGACCGACTTATACGGGGTTTTGGTGGTACCCATATCTGATCCTTCACGACGAGAAAGCCCAACGGAAAGGCCCAGCCGGCGGCAGTGCCTGCATGGAAGGAAGGAATACCACGCATAAGCAAAATGCGACGTACGACAGGCAACTCTTGGCTGTAGCATGTTTTCTGACTTGGGTTTTTCTCCCTGGCCACACCGGCCTTGAGCGTCGACTTTTGAGTCTCCTCTGACCTCAGCAAGTTGTGGTACTCCTCTCACCCAGCATTCACCTCTATTTTTCGAATATGACCCACTGATTGCGTTCCGAATCCGCTTCTCCGTTCTGGGCTCTCACTCCTCGGCATCGGGGCCGAGCTACACAACCACATGTCTGATCCAACGAACGCCCGAGCCGGCGCCACGCCGCGTGCGATGCCGAGGGCGCTCGACCAGGCTACGAACCCGAAATGGGCTACAACCAAGATCACTTTCCGGGGAATCATCATGGTTCTTTCTCTGGCCGCGAGCATCATTAGTTTTGTCTACATCAGTGCCCCAAGACAATGGAGTGATTGGATCCTCTTATCGCCGTTGTATGGGCTTCCATATGTAAGTCCATCTATACAGGCCTGCAGGTTTGTCCAATGACTCGCCCCTGCCCGGAGAAGACTGGCGATGGGGGCAGCTCGGTTAGACTTGGCGACGCCGGAGACATCACACACAGAGTCGCATAGACACTAATACAAGCTTTCATGGCAGCCACTTCTCAGTTTTATCTGGGAGGCAATTGAGATCACCATTCTCATCGTCAGACGCGATAAGAACAAGGGAATTATCCCGGCTATGCACCTCGCCTGCGAGCTGCTGCTGTGGCTCGGCGGCCTGATCGTTGCGATCCTGTGGGCCACGATAGTGACTTCCACTGAGCAGCACTCTTCTACTTTCACGCAAGGGTCGTCCTCAGGCATACCGGCATCTACTTTCAAGAAGTGGGCGCATGTGATATACGCCTGGTGCGCGCTCAACCTCGCCACGGTGTAAGTCTCGGATGCCAATCGCGGCTCCTTTTGCCTCTTCATCCGCAGCAGGGCTCACCGGATAGCTCCCCGGATTGTTGAAAATCCATCCCACTGACAACTTTTCCGCAGGGTGTGCCAATTTTTCATATTCGTGGTCTCCTGCATAGAGGTCGACAGGAACAGGAGAAACATGGAGCAGAAGGTGAACACACTGCTCGCAATGATGGAGGAGCGAGGCCACAACCCCAGTGACGTCCTGGCGTCGCTTCGCTCGCCGCCCCCCGATTACGATAGCACCAAGCCTTCCTGGCCTATCGAGATGCCTGCAGTGAACCTGCACCCGGTAGAGATGGGCGTTGACGAGCGCCCGATGGAGGTGGCTGGCTCGCAGGTTGGCCAGGAGATGGCCGTGCCCGGAACCGAGGATCTGAGTGGGAATCAAAAGTTTGTGCTGAAGCCATAGAACTTTTTCGGCATATGATGGGTTCCCGGATGAAGCTGGCGGGTAGCGGAGCTTCGGATGAGACAGCTCATGACATGGCAGGTGGTTGTGAGCACTTGTATCTATCGAGTTTAATGTCAATAATATACCCTAGAAGCTTGTCAACTTCGTAAAAAAAAATACCTATTTGCTTTCAATATGGCTATTATGAATTTTTGAAGCACCGTCATCATCGCATTTATCAGTCTATTTGCCTCTATCTTCCCGATACCTGGCTGTCGAATTCTATTATCTCAACGCATCCTGCACGTCTTGCTCTTCCTATCGTCTTCTAGGGCAATTCATCTCCTATTTTGAGCTAGAGGAAAGACTATGTTCCGCGTCGAGACGCATGGCCGCTCTTCACCTAGAGTCGTAATACTGCTGCCCTTCGTTGAAAGGGTCAGCTTGGCCAGGACGTCCCCGGCTCGGCCCACTACCACCAGCACCCATCAAAGGCACGTAATCACCACCAGCCATGCCAGTGCCGGCACGCGAAGCCTTCTTGGCCTCATCCACCGCCGCCAGCGCGGCCTGGGCCTCGGCGGCGCGCCGGTCCCTCTTGTGCGCGCGGCGCTCGCGGCAGCACATGAAGCAGACCGTGACGACCGAGAGGGCGACTGCGACCCCCAGCACGCCCGCGACGATGAAGCCTCCGGTATCCATGCCGCCCCGTGTAGCGCAGCGGACGGCACCGTTGGTCTGGCTGAAGGAGCACATAAGGCCCGGCAGGCAGGTGGGGATGACTGCTGTGGTTGCGACGCACTGAGTGTCATCCGCGTCGTTGATGAAAGAGCAAGCAGAGGTCGCGACGGTGGTCGGTGTCATACAGGTGACGGTCGTGTAGGTCGTGCCTTTGACATGGTTGACCATGACCCATGAATTTGTCGTGGAGGCTTCTGCTGTAATGTCGGAAGTTTTGGAGGTTGAGAGGGTTGTTTTGTCGTCGTCGCCAGCGGCTGCTCGGATCTCGACAACTTCTCGAATTGTCCGCAAGCCATGTAGCCTATGCAGTCGCCGCAGCTCGAGATTGCTTTCTTCACTGTCCGAGTTCATCTTGCAGCTTTTGGCTGCCCATGTTGCCTCGCGCTTGGCGTCTTGTAGGGTGCAGCCTGCACTAACAAGACAGTTCTGCAACAAGTCTTGGTCCTCTGCGAGATCCGAAAGACAGCGAGTGACTGCATCTCGGCTGCCGCAGGAGACTGCAGCGGCGATGTTTTGTCTGTACGCAAGAGAACATCCTTCAGCTGTTTCCGCCATGACCGTGCTTGCTAATGAGGCGGTCAGAAACACCGCCTGGAAGCTGTGTCGAATATTTGCCAGCTTCATTTTCGCTGGGGGGTTCTATTCACAAATTGAAGGAGGATACACAGCTGGGAAAGAAAAGGGAATTGACGACAGCTCGTCAAAGCAGAATACACGGGTAGATCTCAGGATCAGAGGACACAAAGCATCATTGAACAGAGGATAGCCAGGCGATGTACTTAGTATGGTAGGAGAAGAAAATTTATTGCTCGCTTGGTCTTCTAGGGACCAAAGCTCAGTCAGATTCTCATCTTGCTGACGTTCCACACTGCCACGCAAGTCTATCACCAACCGGTGCAGTAATCCTGTCAGACTCCCCGCAGCTCTGGCCTACCGCTGCCTGGTTCGGAATTGGCAAACAGTTCGGACTCCAGCAGTGTTTGGTGTGACAAGTCACTGTGGAACAGCGGCGTCTTGCATCCTGTTAAGAGCTGCGCCGCAGTGTTGGCCGGTTGTGGTGGTCTCTCACAGGCTGAGGTGCAGTAAGATGAGACGACGTTGGAGAGAGAGGCTGAACAAAGGATGTCCGTTGGCAGGGATCATGCTTACTGGATCAGCCTACCCCTGAAGCATTCCTCACCTTGTGTTTATTCCCATAGATGTAAGTCCTTGTTTGGAACCGAAATAGCGGGTGCAGAAAAGTGCTGTAGGTCGTATATGGGAAGGGTCATGTCCCATCGTACAGAATTCTTCCAATATCAGGGCTGTTCCACTGCGCCGGGTGTGCTGTCGTGGCCCCCCTGTCCTTCGCTATCTGTCATCATTCTATTTTCCCCGAACTGTTCCTCAAATTATCACACAGGATGATAAACAGAACCTTGTGGCTGTCATTGTGGCGAGCGCTTAAGCTGGAATCTAGTGCTGACTTCAGGGGCACTCGCGTCTGACATGATTTGCTTCTCCACACGTCACAGATTTTAGGCTGAACAAGTGAATAGTACCACTCAGAGCGAGACGACAATCTTCTTAGCAGATACGCCCTCTCTAAGAATGTCCATGGCTCCTTGAAGGGCCTCGAGACCGTTTCCCACAACATCCGCCTTAGGAGCAATTGTGTACTTCCCATTCTCCAGTGCTCCAGGCAAGAAGTCATTGAAGATCGCCGAAGCAAGCTCCACATCGGGCCGCAACTCATCAACAAATTTGGTCTGGACGCCCTCAGGTATCGGAAATGCAGGAACCATTGTCAGAGCAACGAATTTCTTGCCCTCTGTGCTCAATACAACGGCCGCGCAGGCCTCCACGATCCCCGGGAAGGTGGCTGGCACAACTCCGCCGTTGGCTATAGCACCAGCTGCCTTTTTGCCTTTGAATGCAGCGACCAGGTCGTCTTGTACCGTGGGACTGCCGTCTATGATATGTCAATAATGCTTGATGAAGATCGGATTGACGTGCTTCCAGAAGAGAGCCAGACACAGAAGTTGAGAAACAATTCAAGGAAAAGATACTACACACAATCATACACCTGAGCAGCTCCAAGCTCCTTGACGTACTCAAATCTATTCGGAGAAGCTGTTGTGATCACCTCATAACCAGCGGCAACCGCTAGCTGAATCACGTTCGAGCCAACGCTGGTCGAGCCACCCCAGATCAGAAGCGTCTCTTGCTTCGGAGTCGGTGATGCTGATGGCAGGTCCAGGGCCAGGAAGTCCTTGTGAAAGAGAGCCTTTGTCGCAACAGATACGCCCATGGGTAGGACAGCAGCCTGCTCAAAGTCGATAGAACTAGGAATGATAGATGCCATATGCTCTGACAGAAGAACGTACTGCTGGAACCCTTGATTTACTAGTCCAACCACCCTATCACCGGGTTTGAACTTGGTCACACCGGATCCCACCGACTCCACCTCGCCGGCGATGTCGTAACCAAGAATAGCTGGGAGTTTGAGCCATGGGATGACTTCAGGCCCCATCGCCTGTTGGAACCAATCGACAGGGTTAATAGCGACGGCGCGATTCTTGACTATGATTTCTTTCTCTTTCGGCGTTGGGTAGGGGACTTCTCTTAGTTCGAGCGGCGCCCGGGTCGCGGTCAGGTAGGCGGCTTTGTTGGAAGACATCATGTGCTTGTGTGTGTTTCGATTCTGCATGCGTATGTCCAAAGAAGTGCTTAAACATACATGTATTTCGTGGATTATGAGATTGCAACGAAAGTCAGCATCTCTTTATATTCAATATTGCGATGTAAGACTGAGGGGGTAATCCCGTAGCGCACCTCCACCCCGACGGACTTACACGGAATTACGTCCCATCTAGGAATTCGGAACCGACACGCATTTAACATGCAGATTCCGATACCAGCCAATATCAGGAAGAATTGGCATGAGCGGTTGAGGAGTTTACTAAAAGAAGAACAATTTTCCAAGTGCTCAACTGGATCAACTAGTAATATGACCACTGACTACTACGCACAGAATGATCATCGCAAAATGCTATGCTGTGATGCTTGTGCTCGCGATTTCATTGCAAAAGGTCATCGAAAGCGATTTGGTGACATCGCATGCTTTATGGCTTGAATGAATCATCTCAATCGTATTCAGATACCTAGATAGTAAGAGCTCCCCACAGATCAATTGTAATATGCTTTACTACCATTAGAACCGTGCTTAGGCATACATCGTTTGGCTCTTGAGGATTTTTGCCCAAACTTCCATATTGGCACTGAGCGCCTCAAAGCCTCCACGCTTTGATATAGGAAAGCACGATAAGTATCTATTCCCAGGATTGGGATCGCTTCGCTTCTGTCAAAACGGTTCAATTCAGCAAAAATTCGGACTTCGAACTTGGGATCCGCAACTATCAGTCTGAAAAAACCAGCAACACAGGCAAAGATAAATGCATTGAGGGAAAATTCCCGAAATCATTGGAGCGAAAAGAAGAGCGTTCCCTTGAGAGGAAGCAGTTGCCTATGTCACTCAGCATAAGTCATTTCATGACTGCCTCCGAAATGAAAACCAACCCTCCGTCGGCGCTCGGCGCATCAACGCTGTATTTGCCGTCAATTTTTTCGATGGCTCATAGACCCGCCATATCCTCACTGACATGAGTACTGATCTCGAACAGTGCGATTTCGAAACGCGTCGCACTCAACACTTTTAGCGGTGGTGTGACGAAACCTCTGCTTCTCGGACGGCCGAACCTGCGCCTCCAATCTGCTTCGAAGCCCTCTTTGAATCAGGTCATCGCTGCCTCAGCTGAGAACTTTTTTCAAGCCAGAGACCGGTAGAAGTGGCGTGAGATTTACAGTCTAATGCATGGGCTGCAGACCAGCCAACTGCTTCGCCACAGAACTCTGCCAGCGTCTCCTCGGGCTGGTGTGACCGAGGGGGTCAAACAGCGATTCTACTTCATCGATGAAGAATGACGAACTCCCAGAGGGAGTTCATTTCGGCCATTGAGACGAGAATGCGAGCCGTACTCTCAACCAAGTCAACAAATCTATACTAGAAGTGACAGAGAAGTATGCGGCCGTTGGACTATCCCAGGCGAAGTGAAAGTCCGACCCCATTTTCAACGGATAGGCAACTAAACAGCACGTCTGCGGGAAGCAGGTGACGTACATGGTCGATCAAGTTTTGTGCAGGTACGCTCTGCTATGTAAGTGTCGTGCATCTTGGAGCGGATCTTTGGCTGATCGTCGGGCAGGATCTCTGGAGGCTGGGGCGTCGCTCGTGGGGTTGCCCGGGGTCATTGCAGCTCCAAGCCCAAAAGGGGGAAGTTGCTCCATCTTCATGCATATAAAAGTCCCTTTGTTGACCGCATCTGGTTCCTTTGCCTTCCGTGGACTCAGAAAAACGAGTCTCTCGTGCATTCTCCGCGTCTGGCTTCTTGCTTCTCGCGGTTGTGAGGACCTGTGCAAGCTCTAGGGATTAAAGTCAAAATACCGCAAAGCCTTTTCATGTGTATTACTCCCGTAGTAAGAGTGGGAATTGTCAATGAGTGTCAGGTTTGAGTGCAGGATGAATGATTAGTGCCATCAGATATTTCAAGGTGAAGGCCCACAATAATAATAATGGGCCGTTTGACGGTGAGTGTGGAATCACTCAAGAACCTACATCATGATTACCCCTCGTTCGGGGGACTCCCTAGTGTAATTGATGATTTATTGCCTGATTTGTAAAATGGTACGAGAGATTGGCTCAACGAGCCTCTGCCACCGCCATTTGACTGTCTGGGTGCTAAGACAAACGGCTCTATAAAAAGGGATGTCGCAAACTCGATGTGGAACAAAATGTGAGGAGTCAGGCGGAACATATTTGTGAGAACAATTCGTTTTAGGGCTCTCTATCTCTCTCATAAGAAAATTTGTACCGGAGCAATCCAGAATATCCCCTCTGCCAGTAATCAACCATGCTTTCAATAGCCATCACTCTCTTCGCAGCCCTTATAAGTGGGACGTTCGCCGCTCCAGCCTCTAGTCGGACTGCCATCCAACCACCCAGCGGAAGCGGTCAAATCATTGTGAGCCAGACCCAGCTCCGTGTGACGGGATGCCTAAACGCCCAAGGCCTCTGGAACGTGGCAGACGACTGCGCCACCTTTTCCGGTGATGGTGCCGGCGGTATCTCCGGCCCGGAAGGATTTCTTGCTCTCACAGAGGATTCAGAAATCACCACTTCGTCGTCAAGCTATGAGACGACTTGGCTTGGCTATTACTTGAATGGAAACGTGAGTTCCGGCAACCCCCGCCTTGACAGTTCTTGACTAGGGCGGCAGTGAACAAATGTGGACTGACTTGTTGTGCTTGTGGAAAGACATCGGCTACATACATTTCTGCAGATAAAACTACTAGCGATGCTTCTGGACAAATATTGCGTAAGTTTGTTGCTTATCCATTCCACCCAGACCCCCCCCTTTTTTCTTAGAAGAGAAAAGGAAAGAAAGGTTTGATTCGATTCACAACAAATGCAATTTACCGCAGTCTTCTTTTGCAACCATAACAGTGCTGACTCTGGATTATGACAGTTCACGCGGACCATGTTCCTTCTGGTACTGAGACGGTATCAATACACGGATCTAGCTCAGAAGGGGATGTTGCTGTGTACCTCTCCTGGATTGCACAATAAAAATGAAACTCGAAGGGCTCTGACAACGAGAATGACGGAATCGAATTGAGGCGTAATAATGGCTCAAGACGAACATGAACCAGGGATATTATGACTATATAATAATAATTATGAAAATAATTAGCTGAAGCTTGGTCACATTGCACTATCCTTTTACTCGCCTATTTTCATCGATACTCTGGTCACAATATTCGTCGGTGGACCTTTTGACACGTTTAAGTGTGTAAGTCGAAGACATCTGCCAGTCCAGACTCTTGGCTCGGCTCATTCGGCACGTTCCTTACCATAGCACTAGACTTTGATCTTAATCCCAAGCAAACAGGCAAACAAGTAGAATCTGAAGTCAAAGGGTGCCTAATGGCCTTGTTACTCAGATGTGGTGTGCTGAATCACCACTTGCTCTCCAAGGCCCACAATCTGGACCGGAGGTTTATCATTGATGCATTGTTGATGCCACCTAGTTTACTATATACAGGTCACATGTTTCAGGGCTGCAGAAATATTTGCATGAGAAAGGTACCCAGCTTCACTCGACGTTCCATCTCTTCGAACCACAAGTTCAGTTTTGTCGAAGTAATATGACATTGAAGAGGTCCACCGATGGAAGACTTCAATTGTGCGTCGACACCATGGGAAGAGTTGACCGAGTAACGCGCGGCGTAGCGTCCTATGCAGCTGAAAATTCTACAGTTGATCACAGACATTGAGAATAATACTAATTCAATCAGCGGCGATTTTCAACCGTAAGGAATAACGGAAATAAATACCTGGTTGGTAGCAGAGCAAGTGCTGCCTGACACGCAACACGTAGCGCCTGTCCAGCCCTGGCCGCCACATTGTGCATATTTCGCTGCGCAGTTGGAGCCACCTCCCGATGAAGCACTCGTCGTTGTTGCAGACGAGGTTGCCTTGGAAGTGGTTGTGAGCGTTGTGGGAGCAGCTGTCGTCGATGGAATGACTGCGGTGCCACTTGGGCCCGAAGTAGCGGCACAGGTTGACTCGCAGCCCGCGCAAGCTGCACCGGCGCTCTTGGTCGATCCCTGTTATATATTAGTCACCTGCTACGAAGCCCAGATCGATGCAAACTCGAAAATTGCAATGATAGACAGATAGGCAACCGTGGCGGGTGAAGGGTTATACTGACGCCAGAGTAGACAGTAGGGCCTGGTGCGATATATGTACTCATACTCGCGTGAATGTCGACCAGAATGCCAGCATCACTAGCAGCGTAAGCACCAGGTAGCTTGACAGTTGCAGGAGAAGCTGATCCACTGCCGGTAACGGTAATCTGATAGCATGTCATGTAGAATTGAGCACCCCCTGACGAGCCTGCCGTGTGCAATGCGAGGGCCTCAGCGCGCACTATTTTGTTTTTGTTAGCTCTCAAGAGACAAAGTGTGAGGAAATTGGAGTACGACAAAACGGCAACGCATCTCGGTGTTGCAGCTCAGTCGAGGCCGTCGATTCGTGAGTGAGGGTATTCAGTAGGCACGGAAGGTGCTTCCTTAGGGGAGGAAATATGTATGTCAAGCAACTTACAAAGGTAGTCTCCTGGTGCGATGTCGGTAGGAATCTTGACGTTCATCCTGCCTATAAAATGATATGCTTAGTACTTGATTCAAGCCAGAAATCTTTAAAAAAGGGAGACTGGACTCAGGTAGCAGAAGGCTCCAAGTCTGAGGACGTACCACAGCAGGTTGTAAGGTCTTTTGTGCCCCAGTAATCATCGTCTCCACTGCTCCCAGAAGGATTCTTTGCCCAGGTGTCGGCAAAAATCTTGAACCATCCTGCCGAAGAACCAACAGCTGAAGCAGCGTCTGAGACTTTGGCTAGGTAGACTTGAACAGGACCATAGTGTGCTCCACCAATAGCCTCGGAAGCACAGTCCTTTGTGTTAGGCTGTTGATGCATCTCGACAGTGACGGTAGAGCCAGCCTTCACCGAACATTTCCCTGCAGCGGATGAGGAACCAGCATTGCATGCGATGTCGGTTGACAGGACGTTCGTAACGGGAGAGTTGCTCGCAGGCAGTCGAGCGCACTGGGCCCCGTTCAGAGGAGTTAGCCCGCAAAGACAACCTACTCAAAGAAACGAGAGACTTATCATATTGACGCCATCAACGTATAGAAGTTGGAAGGTGGCATGGCCTGAGGCTCGATGAGCAGCCAGGCCGGCCAAAATCGCAATCAATGTCGATTTCATTTCGGTCTTGATCCGCGCGATGATCGACAATTAAAGAGTCTTGGCCTGAGAGGATCGTCAGGGACTCGAAGTGAAATATGTGTTTCGCCTGCCGAGGAGCCTCCAGGATGTATGCATGGCTTGTAGGGCGATTATATACACTTCATTTGACGGCCCAGGCGCAGGAAACCTCAATCATCTCGGTCGATCGATCCCGTGCCTTTCCCATTATCGATTTGTCCTAGCTCAGTTCCGGAGAGGCAGCATGGACATTCGAGGCACAAGCAGGCTTGAGTTGCGGTGTGTGAGTCGTCTCGTGCTGTCTAGGGTGTGTACATTGTACATGGTACAACTTGAAGCAAGACCTTGGCTGGTGAGCGGCCTGACGTGGCGATTGATTACATGCTACCTCGAACCAAGATCTGTTATGAAATAGAGACCCATCCAACGGCAGCACAATATCGTGTGATCCACATTCGGGAAAGACGGCCCTGATAGCGACGGCCGGATTGGCTGGCTGAATGTGGTCAATATACCGGCAAAAAGTTACGGTAGGCTTGGCAGACCACTTACTTGGACATATATGTGACAAGGCTAGGTCCACCGATACCCGGGGTGATGAGTACCGTCTCCGTCTCGGGCACGTGCCGGGGTACGGGGATATGAATTAGGAACCATGGAAGCAGCCTCGCCGAGATCCTAAATCCCACCTGTAGGGAAGGCAGAGGAACACGCTGACAGAGATGACCATGTCTCTGATTAGTGCGCGCTCGTCCGATCACGTCGACACTATGTACACAGTACCTAGAGAAGCTGAGACGTTCACAGCGTCCTGCTCTACAGTCTCTCTATTTATGTCCAGTTAATGAACATGGAATTCGGGGTTGTGCTACTTAATGTCAATATCTCCGGATGCTGCGCAGCTGAGGCTAAGATCCTTGGCAAAAGCTTGATTCTTCTACATCATCGGTAACCCATGGCTTCGTTATTTTCCAAACACATGGATCACCAATGAGCAACAGAGGGATCTCGCAGCAACATGCATTGAAAGTGCCATGCGAGAATATTCACACATGATTTACCGTCAAATGCAATCTCGCAGCAATGGCCTGCGAAAATCCACCTGCCACGTCATGAGCTATCACACAGACACCTAGGAAGCAGATTAGAAGATCGTTCTATGTCCTCGCTCTCTGGTTGTTCCTTAGTTTGCGATACTTTTCAAATTTCTATGGGAGAAAGAAACAGCAGTAGATGGCAAAGCACCAATCGCGTGGTCACTAGCCACTAGAATGTGGTCGCGCAATGCTGTACGACAGCGCTGGACCACAAGTACTCAGCCAAGGGCCGGCCGCCACAATAGCCACACGTGTTGGTTTAAGACAGTAAACTACGCTTAGTAATCGGCAGTAAGAAATATTGAAACTAGATACTCATGAATTTAATATGACTGGCGTTCTCTACAGCGAAAGCAAAAGTTGAAACGATCAATGAAATCCCTTAATACATGTCCACAGCGAGACGGTTGTTCTCCGAGCGAACGACAGTGGTCCCTGAACCTCCGAGCACGTATGCGTTCTGCTGGCCCACGACAGCCATCTCGTGGTCGCTAGCGGCCTTGTTCGGCCCGCCAGCCCAGTAGCCCTGCGTGGTATCGAGCACGACGGCGCCGTCGGCGCGCGTTACCTTGGCCGCCTCGGGGGCGCCGCTCACAATGTCCTGTGTGAAGCCCGCACTCACGCCTTTGCCATCGGTTGCCGAGATGACAGCCGCACCGTCGCAGCCCATGATGAGCGATATATTGCCCCAGGCGCAGCCGTCGTCAGCCCGCAGCTGAAACTCGACCCAGGTCGCCGGCTGCTGCGTTCCGCGCTGCACGCGACCCTTGAAGGAGCTGTCGAGAGCTACAAACTGCGTCTGGCCACCCTCAAGCGTCACGCTCGCCGTGGTGTTGTTGAACTCGGGATTCGCCCACCCATCGCCGTTGGCCGTATTGTTGTAGAAGTTGTAGTTACACTGTGTCCCGGACTTGTTAGTCAGGACGATCCCTGGACCCTGTTGCGCGTCGGCGTCGGCAGCCTGAGCCATGAATATGAAGGCTGCAGCTGGTTCGGGCTCTTTTGACCCACCTGAGGCGCCCAGTGTAGGATTGGCGTTGCCATCGTTGTAAGTGATGATGATGTCCTGACTGCCGGGGGCAGCCGAGCTCTATTAAAGTCAGTTAGTATTAGCCATGACAAAGAAGAATGAATTCTCGTCTTGTGGGCGTAGGTACGCAATTTACCTGATTGTTGTCGTTGACATCTCCCTTGAAGTCACCCCAAGCGCCGATGCCTATGTAGGTCTTGCCGTTGGCAAAGCTGCGAACCCAATTCTCCAGCGGCGGGTTCTCCTTGGTAGGTCCAATATAGACAACCTTGCCCTCCCCGTTGATGATGACTGCGCTTCGGATGGCATCTTTAGTTTCCTGGCTGGCATTGTCCCAGGCCACCTGAGCATCTTGCATGTAATCTGGCGCCCCCTTTATTTTTTTGGAGTATGAATTAGTCTCTAAGCCAAACAAAAGCGCTTGCCAGAAAACTTTACCTTGCGGGTAGAGTCATTGCCCCAGTGTTGCACTGTGATATTTCCGCCAGAGCCAGCAAGGACGCTGGTATCAAAGACGTCGTTTCCTGTGGCCAGTGGTTAGCGGAGTTGGTCGAGGAAATCAATGCTGACACAAATACATACCTCCCCAGCCGGCCTTGGTAACCTCAACTTGCTCCCCCTCACGCCCTTCATGGACGGCTATGATAGCGCCAGAACTGCCGTCTGGCGAATCAAAAGTATGCATCTGACCAGCACCTACGGTCGTATCGTTCTGTCCCCATCCGTGGATGTAGAACAGCTGATCATGGTTGGAAATGTTGTGAATGTTGATGACACCCATTTTGATGTTTTGAAGGTGGTGCGCTATATTGTTTCTTGCGGAGATAGAGCAGAATTAGGGGCCAAATGCCTTTGAATGTTTAGAAGTGTTATTGTTCAAGGTGTATGTGATTGAATCTTGGGATTTTCTGCCGTCGTGCTTCTGGCCTTATATATCCGTGTACTCTGGTCTACCTATTGATCCCATTTCGGAGTTTTGCGCCATCACTCTCAAATTGCTGCTATTAATACAACCTGATAAAGCAGAATGTGAAGCTAAACCATTTCCACACTATAGGGACAGACTACACTCTTACACCGCATGAGGCTTATAGTAGGATCAATGGTTAGTAGCACAGCATCAGCGCCTCTGGGGTCCAGTTCGCGATCTGTTAGGTATCATGGGACCCGATCTCAAAGCCACAGAGTATTCCTGCATCGTAAAATCTGACAAGGCTTGATCAGATTTTCGACTTACTCACCGTGCAGTGTCCAAATTAGGTAAGCTCTTACAAGTCGGCTGACCACCCGCTTGACGATTTGATGAAGGCTGATGTAACTCGCCAAATTAAAAGTTACGGAGTCAGCCGAAGCATGTGCGGACTCAGCCTTGCATTGAGTTCGTCATCTAAGAGGCTAGTATGCAACTGGTAGGTGCCACAGCATATTGGCCCGCACCAAAGTTGAATGAGTACCCAGGTAGCTAGGTATGGCGCTTGGGCTGAGTAATTGAATGTTTAGGATGAGTATTCTAGCTATTATTTTACAGACTCGAACATCTGTGAGGCGGTCAGCATCTCAATGTTGACGCCCCGTATAAGCCTAATGGCTCAAGGCATCCTTCGCAGAGGCCGACAACACACCGCCTCTCATCGTTTGCGATCACGTTAGCCTGCGGTGAGGCTATGTCAGAGACTCTGTATTAGATGCCGTAAAAAAGTCCAGCATCAAGTCTTGTATACTCAACACTTCCTTCACAAAACAATAAAACGTGCCCCCCCAGGGTTCAATTTGTTGCAACCCGCACATTTGCTTCCACACCAAGACACTACAATCCAAAACTTGAACTCATTCATTCCCTAACATCAACCCTTTTTGAATATATCTTGCAAACAACGTTCGTCATCATGGTTATTAGAAAGCGAATGCTCCTCTGGGATTACACCAACACAAACAGCTTCCCGCAGCAGCTCGATCAGGTTCCTCTCGACAATGATCATCCCACATCCTCGGTCTCTAATTGGAACGCGTGGGTGCCTCCTGAGCTCAAGGGCCGGGCGCCTTTCCGGCCCATGATCCACTTGATAGATGAGACGCAGGGCGACAAGTGGCAGTGGATCCTGAACAGCGACCAGCCGCTAGTACTGTACTTCAACGAGCCAGAGCGTAACGGGATTAGCCCACAACAGGCCGCAGACATCTGGCATAATCAGGTCCTGGAGCTGCGTAGTCGCGGCAAGCAGCTGTGCAGCCCGTGCCCGGCATGGACTGACGATGGCCGCGCCTGGCTCGAGCAGTTCATGGCTCTTGTCGCCGACAGCCCCCCGGACTACCTCGGTCTGCACGCCTACAACACTGACGCTGGCGCCACGAAGGCCTATCTCGAGGAGATGCACAACCGTTACGGCCTGCCCATTATCGTCCACGAGATCGCCTGCGTCGCGCGCAACTACGACGAGGTCCTTGCCTTCACCGTCGACCTGGCCAACTGGATGGATGAGCAGGACTTTATCTATGAGTATGCCTTTTTTGGTTGTATGGGTCATGTCGCCGACGACTTTGTCAGCCCTGACGCCCAGCTGATGAACCCCGACGGATCTTTCAAGGACCTCATGTATAAGTTGATGTTCGATCAGCCTATGCATGTCTAGGCGCTGGATCAAAGGCAACGTGGAGGTTTTTGGGGGGGGGGGGGGGGAGACGGGTTGGGTGTTGTTTGCTTAGATATATATGAAGTTTAGAATGCTTTGAAGGTTCTCTATGACGTTGATCTAAATTTCCAAAATTTCCTGGGCTTACAGACGTTAATCTGCTCTATCTCCCCCCCGACTCTTTCTGTGAGAATATTGAGTCCGATGGTTTTGCAATCAGAGTCACAGGTATGATGCAGCTGTTATGTTATTCGTTCCAAATTCTCTCCCATTTTGAAGAACAGTGTTGTGGTTGCTGAATTGAAGTTTACACAAATGGTGACACTTGGGTCTTTGTCTTCTCGCCAAAAGACACATGAAAATAGTTGAGTATACAAAAACTGAAGTATTCTGCTCAATTGATTTGTGCAAAATTTCGATTGATTAGAAGCGCAGCTTACTCTCACCGATTCTTGAAGTCGAGATCGTGCGTTCAACCATTGATTAGAAAAATCTGAATGCACTGGGCTTGCTGGTACCTCTAAGAGCCCAGGCAGAATGTCGTACCACCCTCCACGCTGATGTAGTGAGCGCCTCTATCCAAATTGGCTGAAGAATCATACGATCGTATGTTCTTGAGATATGAAGTCCTTACACATAGAGAAACAGTCCTTGTTGTATCTAATTGTGGCGCATGCAGCAAGGTGCTTACTAAAGGCTGAGGTCATTCACAGTCCGAATCTCGGACCATCCCGCCTTGCAATTGCCATTTCAGAAAAGCAGCCCCTCATGTGATAAGAACGATGTTCACTGTCAGCTGAGATGGGGGCTTATATGAGATTGAACGACGACCGCAGGGCAGAGAAGTGGACCGCGGCTAACATGTAATAGGCATACGCATATCTTCAGGCATATCTTCGGCCTCAATGTGTCAGCAAACACTTCTCACGGCCCCATTGAGGCTTTTGAAGCTGTGTTGTCTCGGGACGCAGCAGTGGCTTACGGCATTTAGCTGGTTAGTAAATCCTCAGCATCAGACGGCGCTCTTAGCCTCCGGTGGCTTTGGTCTCATGTGAGTCAGTCTATGTTATCCTTTTTGAGTTACCATCACTCTGTCAGCTAGAGATGAGCAGAAAAATTAATGACACAATTGCAGCCTTCGTTCAACCCTCGTCATAGGCCCAAAAAAGCAATATTCGAAAACAGTGTTCTCACTTGCTGCAATTTGATAGGCTTTGGCAGGTACATGTTATAGTAATATGCGACTTGGACAACCAAATTGGGTAATACCACCTTTGAGGGACTTGATGAGATTGTCGGGTTCTTGTGAAGGCCTCGAGTATATAAGTACGGACGAGGCCAGCCCATCTGTAGTAGACTGGTCTGCATCCATCTTATTATTCTCGCAGCTCTAGTCCCATACATAACTAAGAATCCCATTTCGAACTTTACCGTTTCTATTTACAAGCACAAAATGTCTGACAACAACTCCGCCGTTGACGCTCACAACACAGGTGAGTTTCTCTAGACACCCCGACCCCTCTGGAATGCACGTCACTAAGTCTGTGTCCCAGCTCGCCGCTCGGCTCCTGGCCAAAACCGACCAGATCTTACCTGGGACGATAACCTGGCTCAAGATGCGAAGACATATGCCCAGCATCTAGCGGACACCAACACATTCGAGCACTCGGGGGCTGCTGGTCAGGGCGAGAACCTGTACATGTCCAGTGGGGATGCCAGTCTGACTGATGCTGTCAACGCGTGGCTTGACGAGAAGCCCAACTACAACGGCCAGAAAATCCCGGACGGCAATTTCGGCAGCTATGGCCACTACACTCAGGTGTGTGTTAACCTCCCCTTTTCCAACTGCATTTATTGACCATGCTTTGTGATCAGTGTATCTGGCCGACAAGTACAAAAGTCGGCCTCGCTGCCGCCGTGGCCTCGAATGGCGCGACTTACATAGTCGGCAGGTACACACCGCCAGGGAACTGGATGGGCCAAAGCGCTTATGGAGACACGGACAACGTCTCAGCGGCAGAAGCGACTGACAACGCGCCATCCGGCCCGTCGCAGTACACTGTCGTCGATGGCGACTCCATGTGGAAAATCTCGGAGAAGCTCGGAGTGTCCTTGGATGAGCTCAAGAGCCGCAACCCACAGATCCAGGGTCCCGACTTTGTAGTGCGAAAGGACGACGTGCTCACGGTGCCTTGCGAGTCTTCGCAGAAGCAGTTCGGTGTCAAGGTCCTGTCGGCTATCCAGAGCGGCGGCTCCGGCTACGTCGTCGTCCCGGGCGACAGCCTCTGGGCTATCGCGCAGAAGCTCGGCGTGGATGTCGAAGCGCTCAAGGCGGCCAACCCTGACGTCCAAGGACCGGACTACCAGGTCAATATTGGCCAGACTCTCAATGTCCCAGGGCAGGGTGGTGGCAAGTACACGGTCGTTGCCGGAGACACTATGTATAGTATCGCTGAGAGGTCCGGCGTTAGCCTGCAGGACCTGCAGAGCGCCAACCCTCAAGTGCAGGGACCTGACTACGCACTTCACGAGGGTGACGTGCTGACGATCCCGGCTGGAGGCCACGCGCCTGCTGGCCCACCTGTGTCCGGCGGGGCCGGCGGTGTTGTGCACTACAGCGGGCCGAGCAGCAACTTCCCGGGGCCGGACAAGTGGGTATCGTGGGAGACGATGGCGGCGCACAACGCCGAGGTGATGAACACGACGGGCAACTCGGCGCAGGAGACGCAGTGGGTGTTGGATGCCGTGAACACGGTCGCGGGTGAGGTGGGCATGGACCCGCGCTGCATACTGGCGGTAATTATGCAGGAGTCTCACGGCAAGGTGCGTGTCAACAGCACCACGTCGCCTGGCGCCGGCATCAACAACACTGGCATCATGCAAGCCCACAACGGCGCCTCGTTCGATGAGGGCGACCCTCAGGGCTCCATCCTGCATATGGTCCGCGACGGTGCCGGCGGCGTCCCGGGACCCACGGGCGGTGATGGCTATAAGCAGCTGTTGGAACGATATGGCAACGACTTTTACGTCGCTGCTAGGGGCTACAACTCTGGAGACCTGGGGATCAACCACCAGGACCTGAGCTCGGGCGGTGGGGCGACGAATGCGTACTGCTCTGATATCGCAAACAGGCTGTGTGGTGTTGATCCTAACTAAGGGGTCGATTAAGTATCTAGGTAATAACCACGCGGCAAAAGTAATATTGGGCCGAGTTTTGTACATGAGGAAGAGAAACCAGAATTTGTAAAGGACGTGCTGTGACGGAATATTATGATTACATTATTGCTATGGAAGAGGATTTGAGTTTCGTCCCACACGAAAGAGGTAGAATATGATTTTGGAAACCCAAAAGTAGTTGTATGGAACCCAAGTGCCGCGAAAGAAGTAGGCTGGTGCCTGTTGAAGACCGGCGAAAGTGATTCTACCTCGCGTCGGTCTCATATGTATGAATCAACAGAAAATCACGACTTGCAGTATGTCACTGCGGCCCAGGTGACTTGCGGTTCCCAATGAGCCTCATCTACATGAGAAAAAGCTTCGTAGTGGTGATGGGTGCTGTTTTGTATGGGAGTAAGTGAAGCAGGCTGTCAGGCGACTTCGAGACTTCAGCATTTACGCCCTTGATATACCAGGGATACCAGACTCAACCGTTTGGGGGCAGACATCTTGTTGAACAGTTTCTGTCTGTGTTTTGGAGTTTTCAATGAATTAATTTTCATCCTGACGAGTAAATTATCATATAGAGGAAAATGAACAGAGATTGACGAAATGCGTATTATTCCAAGTGAATCTAGTCTTCTACACTTCATGAGACCTCACATCGCTTCCACGTACCTCGATCATTTCGAGTGGCAATACGTTGTTGGCTAGTTGGTCATCAAACGACGGGTATTTGCAACGGGATACGCCTTGAGGTCGAACTCTAAAGTCTTAAGCCGCGTGGGGGGCGGTGCGTCCCGTCGCAAGCCGGTAAGCCAGTAAGCCTGAGGGGCAGTGATTCGAGCTTCCTAAAGGAGTAATCAGGCCCCATACCAAGCCTACGTCATGCGCTGGCAATCAGACGAATCTCCAGATGCGAGATTCCAGACTCTTTATAACTTCTCTCCTTCATCCACATCGTCTCATATCTCAAATCGCTAAACAAACACCATCGTCAAAGTGCCGCTCTACAGAAGATTACCTAGATTTATCACCCCCAAAATATCGCCCAACATGCCTCTCGTCGTGCCAGGAGTCACCAGCCAGCCAAACAGCAAGACAGAGGAGTGGTCCAACAAGTTGGTCGGCAAGAAGATAACCGACGATGAGGCCTCCAGCGAGATCGTAAGTCGACCCCCATTCTAACACTCCAGGAGACCAGAGTCAAGCGAATACTGACAGGGCCACTGCCTCAGTCTTTCGCAAAGCGAGAGCTTCCGGAAGCCCACAGGATCATTCAGCCAGGCGGAATAGTGACCAAGGACTTCGTTCCTGACAGGCTCAACGTCCACGTCAAGGATGATGGCACAGTCTCCCACGTCACTCATGGTTGAGACGAGCCGGAGGAAGGGGCACGCACTGCTCGGTAGCTGTGTGTGTAGTTGATGTGGACGAAGTTGCTCGAGGGGATGGAGGAGGGGACGCGCATCCATTCTTTACCAAACAACAAGGGATTGATTTGCCTTCATTACGACGCTGCAGCTCCTACATACCTACCTAGCCACGTTTAATGAGAATACGATACCAGTCTCGCGTCCTGGAAATGATCGTCCATAGTAGTGAACATGTAGATCTCGCAGCGTAGGCACTTTGTACTGTGACCATGACCTAAGCCCAGCAGCTACCCCGCTGACGACATGGTGTGGCGGAGCTGATTGGCGACGGCGCCACACCTGGAATTCCTCCACCTCAGTCACCCCGCGATCGCTTCCGCGGGGCATTTCTTGCAGTGAGCAACAACACAGGAAGGTTACTCTTCTCATACTATCAACTGAATACTCCTGCCCAACAATCGGCCCTGGAACTACCAGTGCCTCCAGAGCCCCAGTCAAGATGTTTAAGAAAGAGTCAGTGCCCACCTCACACCAGGAATCACCGTAACAGTCTTCCTGATCAACCTTACTACCCCTCCTTGACACACGACCTTGGATGAACTGATGCGCAATGTTCACCCACCTGTCCGCTACGCACCCACGAGCTCCGATACTGACCAGTACTTGTGCAGTCTGCCGGGCGCTCCTAAGCAAAAGCTCAAGTCTTCGGTACAACGCTCCCTGCGCCAGTCCCTCCTGACCACCTACCCGCTCCTGAACCCATACATCGACGAGGTCCTGCCCAAGAAAGCCTCCCTCAACCAGATCAAACTGCCCGAGCGCGCCTCCCTGTACGTCGCCGATGGCGAGCCCATCTTCTTCCAGCACGACAACGACACTCTCCTGCCGCACCTGAAGCTCGTACACCGCTTCCCCCAGGCCTTCCCGACAGTGCGCATCGACCGCGGCGCCATCCGCTTCGTGCTCAGCGGCGCCACGCTGATGGCCCCCGGCCTGACGAGCAAGGGCGGCCGGTTACCTGAGCCCAAGGAGGGAGACGAGGGCGTGGACGACGAAGGCCACTGGAGCAGGGAACTCGAGAAGGACGAGCCCGTGGTAGTCATGGCGGAGGGGAAAGACCACGCTTGTGCCGTGGGATTGCTGGTGGCTGGGACGAAGGAGGTCAAGGAGAAGGGGAAGGGCCCCGTGGTAGAGGAGGCACACTTCCTAGGGGATGGGCTGTGGAAACTGCATATTGATTGAGACCAACGCTGTTGACTAGACGAGTCCATCTCCGTCTATGTCATGGTGGCGGCCATATCCTCCAGGGCCTGGAATGGGAGATTGGGAGGCTCGGCTCTCCCTAGTGACTGTGAATGGGTTGTTGTGCCAAGATGTGGAATAGATGTCCTCAGAGCTGGTCCAACCTGCTAACAGTGGAGCTCCAGCGCCTCATCAAGGCTCAGTCCTCCACCCTGACGGAGTCTGCTGTTGGTACTGCTTTGGCAGACAGGGCTACAAGTCTCCCAGTAGCAGACATCTGGCAGTAGTTCGTGGGTGCTATTTGGGTTCCGTGGCTAGAATGGAAGGTATACCCTGGTCCTTCGGTATTTCTAGGCAGATCTTATAAGAACCTGAATTCGGCGCATGCAAAATGATCTTGGCAGAATGTTGCAGATCCCTACCGAATTTCCACGGTGATTCTCATAGCAACATTTGACACAATAAGCAATCAGAGCCCCTGTGAAACAGACCATAGATCGATGATGAGGTCAGGCCGGCTGCGTCGGGTCTCAACCGTGAGCTAGAAACCAACCCATTCTTCGTGTCACGCGTGGCCAGTCTAAAGTAGATCTCGTCTTCTTCCTGAGATCAATGCCATAATTTGAGATGAGACCAAAGAGACACTATTGCTCTCGTGCTCTGAGGTCCCTTGCGCTCGCATTTCAGTATTCTGATATTGGTTGGGAGAGTTCACACCGGCTAGCTTCTTAACACGAGGAAGTGTTTGAAGCTCTTCAATACAAATATGATGAAAAAATGCAGGCGTCGTAATTCAATTCTCCCGACAAAGATGCCTTGTATGAGGGGCTTTGTCCACGGCATCCCGATTACTTTCGAGTCTTGCTCTAGTATTCTTGGATATGGTCCATCCAAGTTCCAGTACCTCGAAGCTTAATGACACTAAGAGCAGTTCCATACAGAGACTTGGAGATCAATTGCAAGATTGCAAGATGAGTAGAAGGTCCCAAGGGTAAGGAAATGGACCTTGGAAACACACACGAATCATCACAATTCACCCTGAAGAAGCCATAAATTACGTGAAGATCCATATTTTCCTGTATTTTCGATCTGAAATTGGCGTTGCAGACTAGAACGCCAGAAAAGACTTTTCCCCTACTCTCTCATTCGTTTTGACCGATGACCGCACTATCCTACTGTGCGAAAATGACTTTTGTGGTACCAGAACTCCCGAAAGCACTTTTCCCCTTTTCTCTCACACATTGTGGCCAACTGAGAGCTCACATGGAGACTTCCGACCCCTATGGGCCCTTCTGACGTGAAACGAGAACAACAAAACGCCGTAACTTTTCTGAGAGATGCCATTCAAGCATATTCAGGCATTTGCCTTTCTTTGTAGAGATGCCTGTGCTGAGAAGGCTGGTGTATCAAGTAGAAAATCAAACCAGCCGTACAGGTCTTGAGGTCGACGAAGGTGGTGTCGAGTAGGTGAGCCAGCCGTATCGGATCACGGCATCTGAGCTCAAGGTGGTGGTAGTGTCTGAGCTGCTCTAAATTGTGGGCACCAGCATCTCTTTAGTCAATGCGACGATCAACTGAGGCGGGAACTCGTCGACCATCTCCGCCAGCAGTACGCGAGGGCACGCCGTGATCAGGAAGCTGACGTAGCGGTGGCTCTGGACTGGCAGCTTCTCATCCTCGTACCGGACGCTGTTCTGGTACGCATCCGCGACGTCTAAGACTCTGTCCCTGTGCTTCTCCTCGAGTCCTGCGTTGGGGTGGGCGATCACGTCGTGGTGATATCTCGCCGACCAGTTGCCCATCTCCTGCATGTAGTCGTTCATCATCTTCTTGATCCAGCCACCAATCCTGTCCATAGCCAATCGGTCACAGAGGAACGAGCACTGCAGGAGGTCTGAGAGCGTCGTCCAAGATGGGCCAATGTTGTGGGGGGCCTCTGGGTGGCCGGAGGAGATGAGCATGACTAGACGCTCGAAATGAACGACGTTGACGTCGTCGAGGTCGAGGTAGCCGACCGAGAACTCGCGCATTCCGAGGCCAGTTCGGTAAAGGCGCCTGAAGTAGTCGCTGTGGTCGCACAGCATCTTTTTCGAGTAATCGATCTTGCGGTGGCAAACCGCCTCGCCCATCTCGTCGCACACTGCCAGCCGGATCTTGAGCTTAGGTCTGCCGGAATAATGTCAGGTAAATGCTCTATATATCGTTCTGGAACACCTCAAAAGGCGAGGAGGATAGTGGACTTACCCCTGCTTGCAGAAGAGCAGGTACTCAGGCCAGCTGGCGAAGTTCTCGGGAAGCGTGTCCTCGTTGACAGGCTGGAGTTAAGTACGCGTCAGTATTGACAAGAGTCTGAGGGAGTTTGCAATGCCAGAGATGCGACAGCCTTGACAAGACTCTGAGAGATCTTGTAGTGCAGGGATGCAGGGATGCTGCAGACTCAAAGGTGAAAGAAGTGGTCGATGGAAGTTGAGAGGACAGGACTCGGAGATGAAGGGGGAGGAAATGGGTATAAATAGTTTGAGGAACCTCGCCAGCAGAGACATTGGACAACCTGAACAATCAAACAATGTGATAGCAAAGAGATTCCAGGAGAAATACAAGACGAGTTGACCAATGAAACAACGTGCCGCCGAAGACGGGACGGATCTTTCAGACGGAAGACGAGACGGTGTACCCAATGATGGACATGTAATAGGAGATGGGTCGAAATACCAAAACATATCAGACGGAAGGTATGTCTAAATCAGGAGTACAGGACAGAATATTCGAGAACATATTAGAATGAAACATGAAGAACAAGTTTAATTGGATAGGAAAATCACAGCACCAGGGCATACATGAGACGAAGAGCACAAAACTCCAAAACAAATGTACATAATAAGAACAGGCGGAACATGAACAGACAATTTAAACTATAAAGAATGAAGGTAGTGTATTTGCAGGTAAGAGTATAAAGACGAAAAGGCATTAACACTTGTTTGACTGGAAAACTTACCGCTCCAAACTTGTCATAGAAGGGCACCTGGCCCTCCTCGTCCTCGGCTTCCCCAGCAACGCTGGTATCCTTGATGATGGTGATGTCTCCCTCCTCATCGGAGGCAATGCTAGACTGTTTAGCAGGGGAGGACGATCCACCGAGGTGCATGTCTGCAACATGAGAGGACAGAGAGGAGACAGAGTCTGTGTCACTTCCGGTGGCGACAGCAGCATTCTGCGCGTTGTCCTGGATGTTGGAAGACATGATGAATATGTGGGACTTGTCTTGTAGGTAAACCTTGATGGGGTAAAGCTGCAGTGACTGGATGAGGCTGTGTACTGATTGGGGAACCCTGTACTGATGGGGGTGTACTGATGTGGGTGTACTGGTGTGGGTGTACTGATGTGGGTGTACTGATGTATGTGTAGCTTTGGTGGAGAGATCTCTGTAGGTAGATGCTGACTTCTCGAAGGACGGTTTGGAAGGCTCGATAGGTAGATGGTATCTGTCAAAGAAGTTCTTGAAGACTCGGTCAGGAGACGAAGAAGTAGCTCTTGGGCTTAGCTGTCAGGAAGATGGTCGTTGTCGAGGTTGTGGGAAAGGAAGGAGAATCTCGTCAGTTCTTGGTGTGGAGGGAAACAGGTTTAAATAGTATTTGTCAATTGGTGATGGAAAGCAAACTCATCACCAGAAGACCCATTGGCTTTATTAAAATGTAAGACTTCAACCATGGCCAGCAAAATGGCTGTATTGTGGTGAAGACATCGCGGAGTCCGCCATAGCTCCTTTTTACCTTTGCACCGCGGACTTTGCTAGACGACAAATTCACTGAAGTATTGTCATCCAAGAAACCGAATAGAGGGTTAGGCTTGTAGCCCCATCTGTCATGAAATTTTGGACTGGTAGACTGCCATTGTTCCCGCGCTGTAGGCAAGTGTACCTGCTTCGGATGTGGAGGAGGCATTCCGATCGAAGTTGCTGGTGGGTTCTTGAGACCTTGTAGGTCTTCGAAGTCCTTCAAAAGACTTGATATCAAAGAATATCTGACAATGCGGAACTCTAGATGATGATTGTTCCCCAATATCAGAATGTGAGAGGCTAGGATATGGAGGAAGTGGAAGTGGTTGATGTTTTGTTGACAAGACGCAGGCAGCCCAGTAGGACATATCCCCATAACGCAGGTAGGTGCCCCTGTAAGGCATCATTGTCATGCAGGCCACCGCTGCTATTCTGTCAGGCGCAAGCAGGGAATGCAATCGGATATTCAAAATGGGAAACACGTGACAGCATGATGAACTGATTGGCTGTGCCTTGAAGCTGCAGTCGTCTGCTTTGTACTTTTTTTCAAAGTTGGCAAAAGAAACCCTGGTTTTGCTGTAGTACATTATTAGCTGAGTTGCCCAAAATAATGCTGAGAGTAGCCATGGATCAATACACTGTTCAGTCGTATCATAAACCTCCAATGTCATCGCAGTAAAGCCGGAATGCCACTGACTGTTACGATACATGATGGCATCACTGTGGGGAGTAACTGGCAGCCCGCTATTCACCAGCAATAGGAGACCCGAGGAGTTCGTTAAACAACAGAACAGGATCAGAAATAGGCCTTGCTGTAGCACTGAAGGCATTTGTCCACTATCTCGGTAGAAGCTTTTGTGAAGGTATGATGCTTATTGTCTTTTCCTTGGTCAGGTAAATCCCTGGGACATTCTGCTGTACGTTCTGTAGTGGAATCAATGCTCGATACATTCAAGAAATATTATAATTATGCCCGTGACATACTTGTTACTTGCTTGACTGAATTTTGCCTGCTTGCCTTTGGGCCTTCAGAGGCAGTCTCCAGCCGTGCATCAGTCTCGTGTGGTCAGCCTGAACTGCCCCAAGATTAATTTGGAAACGTCGCTGAGTAGGGCCACACCCATTCAAAATTATCCAACAATCATTAGTGGAAACCTCTCTTTCATTCAGCCATTCTTTCAGATCCTAGTGCCCTGATATAAAGTTCATAGGGGTCATCTTCTCGTCCTTCTAAATATTTCGGCCGCGGATGTGGTGACCCATGCTTGTACCCAGCCACATATTGTCTTCGAGTCCGCGATGATCTTAGAAACTTGCGCATTCCGGTTCGTAGCTGTTGCTGTCTCATGTGATTCTGCGCTCCTGACGGGGAGGGGGTTTCGATGCTTCTTCGTGCTGTACGTAGATCGACATCGCCGCCTGGGCCACCAAGGTAGGTTTATGCCAGACATTTCTACCGGCTCATGATCTCGTAACTGGTCTGTTTGCAGGTGCGGGTGGCTGACGGTTGTCGATATAGATAGGGGTTGGGTGTCGATCTGGTTTTTGTCTTTGGTAAAGGAGAGAAGAGGCGCTAGAACGTGTTGCCATAAGGAAACTGCAGATTTCGACCCGACGCGCCTGGCACTGATCCCCAGCGGAAAATCGTCTCGATCACTGGTCTTCTTGACCAATTCTGTTGCTTCTGAAACAAACTGTTTTGACATGCGTGCTGCTCGCAGGTCCTCGCCAAGACACAAATGTTTTCCCTTCACTGAGCAATTGCAGCGTACAACTGAGTAGGCATTGATGCTGGTCAGTGACAGACGGTGCTACCATTACTTGAATGCAAGAAAAGGCTGTACAACCTACTGGAAAGAAAACCATGAAGATTGACAGCTCCTGCGGACGAACCACAGCAACCCTGGAATCCCGAGACAGACGATCCCCAATAGTACGTCAAGGCCGGTGTAAGAACTGCCCAGGCAGATTTTACCTGAAATTAACATTGCAGTATTTCCTCTCGACATGGATCAAAAAAATCAAAAAGAGCTCCATCTTCGACTAATTCCTACACAAGCCTGATATCGATGTTGAAACCGCGGTGTGAGCAAAAAATAATATGGTCACCATTCCGAGTAGCGGCATTTGTACTTCAGAAGATCAAACAATTAAGCCGGTGATCTCTTGAATCCGTCTGCAACTGCGCCATGATAGTGCTGTAGACTCAAACCAGGTAGAGGTTCCTGTCAAAGGACGGAGCAATACGAATTCTTGATGAGTTCACGACAAGTATCTCTCCTGAGACCCTGTTCGGCCGGGCTTCAAGCCGGAGCGAATCAGCGGCACGCCGTTCAGGGAGTCCCATTAGCGTCGGCAGAAGCATATTCTCGGACTTCTCTGTTACAAGTGTAAGTTGTGAGCTTTTTGTGACCTGTCGATACATTTTGTATATCTACCGTCGCTGGTAACTTCCGAAGTACCCATCCCACTCTTTCCAGAAGACCCTGGCATCTGTATCGCCTTCTCCCTTGTCCGTGTCCATGCATTATCCATGACGATCCTTTAAAGACCGATGAAGAATAACGAGGCGCCGAGAAAGCCATGGGGTTGCGAAACCGTCAGGACTTCTCTCGGATTCGTTCTCGGTTGGGTGAGTTGGGACGGAAGTCGTGATCGCATTCATTAGTCAAAGGTAGATGGTTCTATTAGGATAATCGTGACCTTGCAGAAGGTCATGGTAGCTTAAGGCGTTAGTGAATACTAGTGAGGCCCTTGAAGTCCAAGTCAGGGATAAGATTTGAGAGATAGGCAAAGTATTTGGAATGTCTTGGTACCATGTATGTAGGGAAGAACCACGCGGGAAAAGAAGATCGGTAGGTGGTGATGGTGCTGATAGCAGAACCATAGATGTGATCGGGCAGAGTGCGTCTGGTTGTGAGCTGACATATTCAGGGAGAGTGGAATGCTGTTGATGGCTTGAAGAATACTAAATCGAGAAGGAGAACATCTGCTGCGCCGACGTCGAAGTAGAAGTGGTAGCTTGGAGGACTTTTAGGTTTAAATGAAGGGTAGAAGGGAGTACCGTTGTTTACTGGGCCGAAATGGGATACCTGGTTGTTGAGCGCGACAGCCTAGAAAGTGCTGGTAGGATCTCGGATCTAGGCACAAGAATTAGAACACAGTGCTCAATGGGGAATGAGGAAGAGTCAAGAGGGGCGTCCACTCTTGAACATTAGGAATGGAGCGATGCAAGTGACCTAGTACATGTTGCTGAGGCTGGACTTGGACCGAGAGAAGCAGCAGAAGCAAGAGAGATGATACACAGTAGGACCCCAACAAGGGTTTTGATATCTGAACCAACCACTGAACGAGCCGAGCCCGAGAAAGAGCCCCAGGGAGGGGGTCAAGAGGGAGGAGAGGACTGAGTTAGGCTCCCAGGGTCTTAGGACTCAATATTCCGCACAATATTGAAGGGAAAGACTAGAAACTGCATGATGAGGAAAGAATTTGCAGATCGGCGAAGATCACAGTGAGCTCGCAGACCTTTAATCGCTGCTCATAATTTGAACACCGTGAGGCGAGGCTGAAGTCCAAGAGGTTGATCATGCTATGTGCCTGACAAATTGTGATCAGGAAATGCTTGCGTAACGCAAATTATTCCGACGACAAAGGCGAAAATCTCGAACAACAAATCTTCTCGCAGAGCTTTCCGAGAAATTCGCCAAAGCAGTATGTGCTGGCATCTTGTCTATGCATGAGACCTTTTTCACACAGGAGTCTAATGAAGAGCCAGTCAAGCAACTTTGGAGGTCTCAACCACTGGGAAATAGACTGTTTGAAGGTTCCCATAACGGGTCCTTCAGAGACCACTAAATTATATTTAACGCCTCTGCCTTGACAATGGCATTGCTGATATGCGTCCAAAGACCCTGCCAAAAGCGAAGGCTCAGACCCGCCATACAAGGCCCCTGGCCAAGCACTTCAGGTTGATAAGGCTGGCTGGCAGGCTGGCATTCTTGTTGAAATGTCAAAATCTCCTGTCATATGCCCCCTCTCTGGGCCAGCCCAATTGCTTCGGTTGGCAAGAATTCCGTCCCCTTCACCGTCATCTCATATCAACTGGAGCCCTGCCGTTATACTGGCTCCCTGCAGTCACTCATATCTAGTGAATCTCAACTGTGATCTCCGTCGATTGTGAGATCGAACCATACCTCTCCTTGGCATCCTGCCATTTGTCGCCATGCTTTTCGTACACTCCGTCGATCAGGTCCTTAAACTTCTCCTCTGTGTGCTTTCGCACTACACTCCCCTTTGCTGTCCGGACGAACCCGTCGGCTGTCACTAACACAACATGTGTCTTTGCCACACGGATGTGTGTCTGTACCTTCTCGTTGGCAGGCTGGATGGTCTGCTCCCATATCTCTTTCGCCAGTTTCGGGGACGGCTCGGCTCCATGCATGAGCTCGATAAGTGCGAGGGACTGTTGGTGCTTATCTCCTATGAGGATCGCAGCGCGGACTTTCTCGGCCGATGTGATTGCGCGCTCTATAGGAGCAGGGTGTCCTGTCACCCCCGTTGAGAAGGAGATGAGGTCGTCTTTTCGACATACGAACTTCCAGGCGTAAGCCGCTTTCGCTGGGTCGGGGTGGGGTGTCCAGAGGTCTCCTGTAAACCATTCCGGGAGAGGCGGGGTGGTAGTCGACGGGTGGATATTTTGACGGGCATGCCAGCTGGCAATCGGTGCCGAGGTCTCGTTCAGCTTCATGACAAATTCATACAGGTCGTTGGCGACGCCATCTTCTGACACATATCCTGCGTCTTCGATACGACGGAATTCATAGCCATTTGTGAATACGTCGAAATAGTTGTAAGCATAGTCTTCTCTATCAGCCTCGAGTTGAGCCGCAGCAAGAGCCTCGGTGGCGCCCCAAAAGTTTTGGATCCTGGTATACTTGGCCCAGATACTCGCTGCATGGGATGACAGCACGGCTGGCGGGAGATTTGTTAGTCTGTGTCAAGTCTGTGTCAAGAGGAGTTCAAGAGTCCATTTGTCACCCACCACCACCAAAGCAGACATGCTGCAAGGGCTTTATGAATTTCGCAGCATCTGGACGTCGAGAGATATCTTCCATTACCCATGGCGTGAAGAAAGCCTTGGAGGCATTCGCGTGTGGAATCAGCAAATGCACCTCGCTTGCGGAAGCGGTGCGGTGGCGGAATCCGGGAAGGAAGACGGTCTTGCCGAAGACTGAGATGCACTGTGGAGGCCGTGTGAGTGACTGCCAACAGCAGATTAAGACTTCAAATCACTGACCATAGCGAATCCTGAAGAGATAGCATGGAACGGCGAGGTCGTGATGATGTAACGAACGTCCTCACCGGGGTGTGACAACATCAAACAGTGCTTTCGTCCCTCGCGTTCCTCTAACAGGACATGGCGGTCCTGTGTTGCCATGAATGCATGATTCCAAACGATTGGTTTCTACAGACTGACTTTAGCCGAATACAATCTGAATGTGTGTTGTAGATAGTCCATGCTAGCTTGGGCGAGGGTAGAGCTGCTGCTGCTACTGATTCTACTCACTGGATCTCCTGTCGTCCCGCTTGTATGAAGGATAAGGTATGGGTCGTGTTCGGCTTCTTCAAATGTCTTCTCGTACGGGTAATACGGCACAGGACCTCCTTCCAACAATTCCTCGAGTTCAGGGATTACCGCATGCTTCATTGGCCGGGAGGCTAATATGTCCTTCACGTGGACTCCTTGAGCTGTGAACAGGGTCTTGCAGCCGGTCTGTTCCATCAGGGAGACATGAACTGCAGGGGTATTGAGCATTGTCGAGAACAGCACCTTATGACCTGTTTTGCACACGGCCATCTGCATCAAGTGGTAGCGAACATCGTTTACCCCCAGATACGCGACGGTCTCGAAGGAGGTGGATTTCCCGATCGTCTTCTCGATGAACCATGCTAGCTTGTTGATACCATTCGCAAATCGAGAGAACGAGATGTCTTCGAAGCCTTTGGACAGATCATAGTCGTCTCTGGGAAGGGAGCACCAAGGCCTCTCGGGTTCGTCCCTGGCACGCTGGTCGATAACCGCTGGGAGAAGCCGTCTGCCGCAGTCAAGGGCTGGCACTGGACTCTCGGATGTCATGATTCGTGCCGACGCAAAAACACAAATTCGATAGTTAAAAGATGGGATTCTCTAACGATTGGTGATCCTAGTCGTCCAAGACCCACGAAATTGAAGCACTTCAAACTCAAACACAGGCACGATCAAGTGAAAGAAAGAAGAAGCCAGTATTGATGCCCATCCCCAAGACCAGTCTCGCGCGACAGACTTCTGCGCGGTCGCGAGCCCATTAGGTAAACAGAAAATGTGGGCGATGTGGGAAGACTTCGTTGTTCCGCACCCTGATGACGTCTAAGCCGTTGCCCCTTTTCACAGCCTGAGAGTCCGAACTTTGGTACTGTGGTACAGTATTGCTGTTGGCTTGCCTAACCGAGCACAGCTAAGCAAACGCGGATCCACAGTATAGATGATCTTGAGATGTGGCTGCATGACTGCATGGAGTTGGTAAGCTGACAGTGCCGATCTAATAGCCCCAGGCGAATGTCAGCGACCTGGTGCAGTATGCGAGTTGAATGTATGGGCCTATTTGCCGTGGTGTATATACTAAGAGCCCATGGCCATATGAGATCCTGGTCTACCTCGGGGGAATGGAAGCTGCGATGGTGAGCCAAAAGAGCCACGGGTCAAGGAGCCGTAACATGTGAACATCGGACATGTTCCGCGCTTTTGCAGCAGAGGTGGACCATATGGAAATCAACTAATGTTGTCACTTGCCTGAACAGCGAGATCGAGCTCGCCAGACAGGCCGAGAGCCACCTGAAGGATTTAAATCTGATCGAGGTTCGGCAAAACGCTCATACTGCAAAGGCGAGAAGCGATGCAACGTTGGGACCTGGTAAAAGATTCTGTACGCGGCAGATGACAAGTTGGTGCCCTGTCGGCCTGTTTGAAGTGCGCTAGAGTGCTAGCAGAAAGTACAGTAGCTGCTTGAGCTCCTCATGGGAATGTCCAATATCTTGGTCAGGATGCCCTGATGTTGGAGCTTTGTGGTGGGTACAGCAGTGCGGAAACAGCCTGGATATATCCGGTCGGCTCGTGGCGAGAGGCTTCCGCGTTCGCGGCGTCAACTTAGCTCAGCCCGAAGAACTGGATCCTCGGCAAGAGAAAGTGACTGACGTAAACTTCAAGACCACCACAGCGTGGGATCTTTACGAAACTGCCTGCGAGACTTGAGCGATGGGCATGACGCCATATCGGTACGGGTAGGTCACTTCGATATGTGGCTCGCTATCTCCTTGATAGCTGTGTCTTCATGTCTAGTCAAGAAATCAACTCGACCATGGCACTTGATGGGAGTTGAACAGCGTCCCGAATGCTTCAAAGAGCATGTGTCGTTGATGCTTGATGGTGTTCCTCTGAGCGTGTAAGTTGTGAGAAGTGTTGCACTGCAAAAGCTGGACATCGGGTGCACGGGCCACAACGACCACCGCCCTTAAACCATCCCAAAAAAATCCACCTGGCGACAAATTTTCCGTCTCTGCACACACACCGAGATCTGACTGTGCCGCTACGTTCCACACGCTCCTTTAACACACAGCCGGCAAGTTTGCCCAACCTCACGACGATGCAAAATGTCCCTAGCATATTCAGCCACAGTGAACGCTGTTGTCAGCCTCTCGAAATCGCAGGCGCCGCGGGGAAGAGCTTGACAATGGATCGATCAGTGTGAAAGCTCTCGAGATTCACTGGCCTCAGCCCCCCGCGGAAGATGTCAAATCGTCGCGAGAAAAGGTCTTCTTTCTAGAGAAAGCACTCCAGCAATGGGTGTTCCCCCAGTTGACGGCTGATGACAGTCTCTGCTGGCGATGGAATATGGCAGGGTCAAATCCGGGTGCGGTTGAATAACGACATCCTGTTCTTGATCGACCGACGACAATTTACGCATCCAGAGTCGACGAGCCCTTGAAATCGTAAGTCTTGAAGCATACTTTTTTTGTGTTCAAAGGATGACAACAACTCTTTATCATCATTGAGAACCGCCATTGCCTATTGTGCATGGTGATTCCGTGATCAGATAACACTGAAAATTCTGATATCGCACCCTTCCTTTACCTTGCTCAACGTTATTGCCTGGTGTCAACACAGAGCTAATTGTTGCCTAGATTGCCTACAGTCGCGTCTCTTATTGAAATCACGCCCACTCACGTTATGCTGCATCAGATTCGAAAATTGCTTCACTTGCCATGCTTTTGGTACGGCAAGTGCGCCAATCGAAAGCGCCAAGTGGCCATGCCTTGGGGGTGAATTGATTGTTTCTCAGCCGAAGTAGCTTTTGGCCAGCTCTGCCTGTTTCTGGCATTTCCTGTTGCCCTGCTGTATTGATCGAACCCCTTTGTAGTCTGGCGATCTCGAATCCCACGGGTGACCCAGAGAAACTACGTTTTTGGTACACATCTCATCTTGGGGGAAGCCACTTCCCACTTTTTTGGCATGCAGCTCGTCAATGCACCATTGCATGGGACTAGACTGCATGCTTGAGCGAGATGGACCAAGCGACATGTGGAGAAAGGAGTCTCGACTGGTGGACTACGCCCAACACCGGGTAGGCTTGGCCCTCCAGGCTCAAGATACAGTTTTACACCGGATGAAAATCTCGCCTTGATCCTGGTGCAGGTGAGAGTAGAATCATTCAACTGGAAGCTTGATTGTCTTTATACCAATGTCAGAATATCCCCGAGATTTGTATGAATTTCTTGTTTGACTGTCGCAGGTGCTGTATGTTTTACAGAACATCTAGTGGTCCATCCAGTCTCTACCAAAATAAGAGTGAACTACCAGCTTAGATACTGGCTGATACCAGAACATGGAAAACCATTCAGCCTCCACCCAGCAACTCAGTCAGCACTCGCTGATGACTACAGCATGTTTATCAATTTCCACTCGTCTCTCTTTTCAGCCCCCTCTGTCGTTTAGCTGTCTTGCCCCTGGCCGGCGCGGCTTCGGACGGGGTGGTGGAAACGGGGCCGTTGCTTCTCAACTTGCACCACTGGCCTTGCAAAATATGACCATAGGAACCTTCTCGCACTGACAATTTGCGGTACACGATGGCTGTTGCGTAGTGGACACGGGCTAGAGATTGAGGTGGGTAAGGATCGCACAACGGGTACTTGGGGGCCGCCGCTGGTCGTGGGTCGCTGGGGTTATAGAACGTTACATAATGGATAACAGACTTACAACGCATAAATATAGCCCTTGCCCGCTCGTTGAAGCCTGAATAGGTTCTGCTCAGAAGTGTCGTCGCTCACGGTCGTGTGATCATCCTCGATCATGCTTCGGGGGTGGGTGGAGCAAGGTAGGCTTGCTGGTCACGCGGTACTCATCTCGCAAAGAGGCTGCCTGTCGCCTATCAGAGATTCACCTGAGTCCAGTCTAATTTCCAACTCCTTACTTCTTCGATCAACTCACTGATACGATATGGCAATCGAGGCGGCCGGGTCGAAACGAAGCCGATGGTGATATATGCAGGTGGCAATCATATTTTGGGCAACAAATGTGTAGCAGTGGTACAGTCCTGACGAGATGCGTGTTTATCAAGTACAGAAGTTTGTGGTCATTCAAGGCCATGGGTGACCTTCGTGTTTTATAGTATGTTATGTCCGACCTCACAGGACACGGGCGGGCGTATCAATGTGCTCTTTTGAAGTTATGGATTATAGGCGCCACGTACTACAACGTCAAAAAGGTATCAAGCTCCAGTGAAAACTCCCATGCCTGTCGTCAACTTTTCATCCCCTCCAAAATGTGTACGCCTCGCCTCAGCCGCAGGTCGGATCCGCGGGTTCCTTAACCATCTGTCCCACTGCTCCTGAAAGTGGCGCACAGAGCCGCGTAGTGATGCGTCAAGTCTAGCACGTTCTGCGGCAGACTCGTCGCTTGGATGATACTCCTCACCTTCACAGCGCCCTCATCCTCGATGAGCGTCCTGATTGTGTGTAGCAGTTCCGGGCTGAACTCGCTGTACCAACGGTATTGCCAAGTGACGAGGCGGATCGTCGCTGCCACAGTTTCCCTCGTGTTCTTCTGTTTCTCAAACACCTTCAGAATTCCAGTTAGGGCCTTGGGGCTGAAACGCTGGGAAAGGCATGCCCGGTAGGCCTCGACAGCCTCCTCGGTGTGCTGGAGACGATGCGCAAGGGAGCCGAGTATCTCCCATTCTTCGGCAGACTTCTTATATTGCATGGATTGAGCGCGGTATTGAGCCATCTGCGTTCGCCAGATGGTATAAACGCGCAGATCCTCGTAGAGAACCATGAACAGGCTGTCCAACCAACGCTCGCACAGACGCTTGTTATTCAAGCGGGATAGATTCTCTTCTGGTTGAGTTGCGGTGCCCTGTGAAGTCGAGTCAGCTGTATGCGCAAAAATTGGCTGCCTGAATGCTTGTGTACGTACGTTCTCCTCAACTTTGGGTTCTCCGGGATCGGCGGCGACGGTTGGCTTCTCTACATCCCCACCATCCCCATTCGATACCGACGACTGACCAGTCGCATCAGTATCCGTTGGCTTCGAGTCTGTTTCAGATGCATCTTCATCTGACTGATCACCATTCGTGGTAGGCTCCGGTGTCCCACGAAGGACGTCGGTGCTAGGTCCACGCTTCGCTGGGACGGGGGGCCCGGCATCCTGCTTCTCAGTTCGGTATTCGTCCTCCATAACAAACACATTGCTCCGAATTTTAAGTAGCTGATCCCATCCGATCTTGGCTGTCATCTCTGTCAGGATCCCGTAGGCTTTTTTGAATGTTCCCCGGTACGAGGCAGCGCGCAGGTTGAGCAAGCTAGGCTCCACTTGCTCTGCGTATCTCGACTCTGGCTCGCTATCAATCTCGTCGAGCCTTGTTTCAGGCAGTGTTGGAAGGTAGACGTCTTTGGGTTCTGGCATCAGAGGTGCGTCCTTGTCCTGGTATGTGAACATTGGGCATGAGTTCAGGATCGTGAGCGCGTTTTCCCAGTCTTCCATGGCGACGTATACCTCGGCGAGCCTTGCCCACGTTCCGAACTCGCTCGGGGCTGCGATTGTGCTCCTGTCAGCGCATCCCAGCGCCATTCGTAGGCGGTCCTCCTTTTGATCCTGAGTTGAAGCATTTTGCGCTTTCTTCAACAGGAAATCGGCTTGTGTGTCGAGCATTACATAGTCCATCGGTCTTTCTTTGAGAGCTGTGTGCAAAGCTCGGACCCCCTCCACTTCTTCATTGCCCATGAACAAGACCTTGGCCAACAGTGACGCAACCTCCACATTTTGGGTTCGGAGCTTCTCGAAAAGATTGATGCCGGATGAGTAGCGACCCGTGGTTTCGAAGTATTTCAGGAGGCCGGTAGTGAGGTGGTTCGAGACAATATTCGGTACCTGAACGATAGAGTCCGAGCCAAGCTGCCAGCCTGGTAGGGAGTTAGCATCCCGTCGTATCACAATGCCACCTCGGTCGACTCACCCCTGAAGAACAACTGCTCCGCAGCAGCCAGAAAGCGCTGTTCAGTCTCCGTGTTCGTTACTGGGTTGAAGCGCCGCACGCCCATGACCTTTCTGATTGTGTCACCACTACCATCGTCGGCGTAGGAGTAGGCGCGCAGCACGCTGCACAGGTAGGTTTCCAGCCACAGATCATCTGTTGCCTTCCTCTTCTCGCCCCTTTCATCAACACAATAGCTTTCGACCGTTCCTGGGATAGTGACATGGACGCGCATGTCTAGTCTGGAGAAGGCATTGTAGCAGCTGCCCACGCATGATTGTTAGCTCGAGGGACATGCATCAGGCACATAGATGAGACCATACCAGTATACACCCTCGACGATCTTGGCAGTCTGCGCCTGCCCATGCTCTTTGTAGGTAAGTGTGTTTATGTACGCAGCCAAACTGGCAGAAGAGGACGCATCCACGCCAGTCACATGGTGGTATACACCAATCTAAATCAAGGTTAATTGTTGGCTCTCGGCAGGATACTATCGGGGAAGAGACAGGCTCCTAGCATACATGTTTGCCAGAGTTGCGAGCCTGCTGTTTCAAGAGGTGGACAAGATCTGGAGGACCAAGTTCGCGGAGGGAGACGAGGGACTCAGTGCGAGCATCGATGGATTCCTGTAGGACTTCCTCCGTGATTCTGAGGATGATGCCATCAGTTAAAGGTCAATTGAGCAGCAGAGAGATCGGGCACACACTCTGGAACAGCTGGCGCAACCATGGCGACGACGTCCTCCCCTTGCGACACGAGAGCAAATGGATCTGCTTGTGAAGCTTCAGTTCGCAGCGGCTCGAAGCAACAAATCGCCGGAAAGGCAGAGCACCGCCAGAGAGAACGAAACCAATGGACACGTACTCGGCATGCGACCTCTGAGACAAGGGCTGCACGGGCGGTCGTTGGGTGAATGTGTCTGCGGCTGTGTTGAAGTAGTCTAATCACTGATGAGACAGGAGCGTGCGGTGGTCGAAGTACGCGAACGAAGGGCCGGGCCAATACTTGTCCACTCGTTCAGCTCCAGCCCAGGTGCTGCGCGATCAGCAAACAGTTGGCAAAAAGTGGGATCCTAGGTCGAGTTGCCTTGGAAGCTTGGGGTCCTACAGCATGCAGGCTGGGCAGGCCGGTGGACCCCTGTCCAGGTGGCCAATGCCGAGCTGTCAGGGCGGCCGGGGGGAGCTGGGGCCAGATGCCCAGAGCTCAAACACACCTGCAGCGCGGCAGGCAGGTCTTTGGCGCACCGCCCAGGCGTCTGGATTATTATCAGCCTCGCTACGCGTAAAGCACCTCGATTGTGTTGCAGATCCAGACCAGACGCCCACCGTCGCAAACCACATCACAGACTGGATACAAGGGGGGCTTGTTCGGTCTGGCTGTGGCTCCCATTCCAAAATTCGGGCTTTTCGTCACAGCACATATTTTTGTGTCAATTGGACTTGACGCGCCATGGTAGGGATTGCTGTCACTGCCAAACCTGACGCGCTGCGCTGACTTACAACTCGCAGCCTCCCTTCTCGGCCATCAACCTCGAGCCCGAGGAGAACATCGAGGAGGAAGTCGACACAACCAAGGAGCTTCAGGTACTGCGCCTTCTCTGCTTCCTTCAATATCTGCGACTGACGCAATTCAGGTCGACGAAGCCCTGAAGCTTTTCCAGAATGCGCTCAAGCTCCACGCCCAAGGCCCCCAGTTCTTCGACGAAGCCTCCGAGGCCTACGACTCCCTCTTCTTATCCGACATATTCAAGCTGCCCGAGAGTACGACCGAATATGAACGCACTGAACGACAGCAGAACCCTTTTGTGCCGCTCGAGTCGACTTTCGGCACAGGTCTCGACGTGACTGGCACAGACCCAGATGGCAGCGCTGCTAGTCTACCGCAGGCCCTGTTTCTCTCTCACAAAAACCATGGCCAATTTCTCTTGGATAGGATAAAACACAAGTCGAAGCCGACTGGCTCGTCTTCAGACAGTGTCTTCGAGGAGCCAGAAGTGATAGCAAACGCTCGGAAAGCACTTGATGACTTCACTGCTGCTCTGGACAGGGATCCGTCGGACGCCGAACTCTGGAGAAGGACGGCAAGGACGGCGGCTTTCCTGGACAGTACTCGCATGAGTCGATATTGTCTTGAAGCTGCAATAGAACTGGACGATGACCCAGCCCTGGTCGAAGCCGAGCCTCCGTCATTGGCCGAGGGGTTTGCCGGCGAACAATTAAAGGATCACCTCCAAATTCTCTCTGATGACACTGCTTTATCGCATCCTATTATGAAATCGTTCATTGAGAAGGAGATGCCTTCGCTGCTAAAGCCACACTTGGACCCGTTGCCTTTCCTGCCGGACCCGACAAGAGAGCTAGCCGCCCACAAATTGTTGGCAGCAGATGTCAATCTATCAAGACTGAGTATCGACATCCCGACTTTATCATGGGCGCAGATCGGCATGCGTCTTGTTTTCCTCGTCACCGAAGTTGGTTTCACAGGACGAGCAGTCGTCATCCACCTTCCGGACGGACCAGACGAAGACGAAGAGGCTCTGCAAATGGAAGTTGACCAGCAGTCTCCTACCGCATTAGTTCAGGAGATGTCCCAAGATAGTCCTGCGCTTGAGACGCCGACCGATGGGAAGTCCTCTTCCAAGGAAGGGCAAGCAGAGAACGGGGCAAGTACTGCAAATCGGCAGCGAAGCGTGTCATTGCCATCGAGGAAGCGATCGATGTCCGTGGCTGGCCTCCCAGAACCAACTGAGGAAGAGAACGCTGATTCAAAGCGGCCGAAGAGGGTGCGAAGACGAGAAACTACACTCACTGAGGAAGCCGTCAACGAAACAAATTTGCGGGCGACACAATTGCAACCCTTTCAGGGTGCCGACCAGAACCTCTTCCAGTTAACGAAGAATATCCTTGAAAATCTCGGGGTCACTGATAAAACCACGGTTGACAGGATTGGAGAAATTATCGACTCCAGTGCTATTGAGGAAAGGACCTCAAAGATCACACATGCTGCTAGCATAGATCTACGTGACTCCCTAGTCTCGTATGATGAAGAGATTGCACAAGTCTTCCTCACTAAACTGAAGACCCCTACGCTAGGCATGAATACCTTCCTCGAACACACCAAACCAGGTGCGCAACGAGTGGTCGAGACGGCTGGCTTTGATGAGCGCAGCGGTTTGAAAGCTTTCGTAAAGAGGGTCAACTCGGGTTGGATGACCGCTCAGGACGCCGCATTTGACTGGATTTTGTTAATATCCAAGAGCTACACAACGAAGAAGTGGTCTGAGCAGCTGAAGACTGCAGTCGTTCAAGTGATCAGTCATTTTGATGAGGCCATCCACGATCGAGTTGTTTATGAAATTGGCCTGCTTCAAGACCAAGATCAAGAGAGCAGAGAATTCGAGCTGGTGGAACTGGACAGCCTTGTTCAGATGTTATTTGAGCTGTACCTTGATGTCTACGAGCGTATCACGAACCCAAACAGCCGCGTCGACGTTGCCATCCGAGTTGGTACAAAAGGTCGTCTTGGTCGGTGGTTGGATCTAGCATCTGACCTGAGGCGCTCACGACCAGCTGATACCAGTATCGACTTGTCTTTACGGTTTCTCTGGGCTTGTATCTTCTCAACCACCCTAGCTGAAGGTATTTCGCGGGATCACGTCCTTGCTTGCTGGCACAGCCTGCGGGACTATCTGACGACAACTGGCTACGACAGAGTTGACTTGCCGAACAATGCTATCATGCCTGAGATCTCAGCTGTCGAAGCGGATCGAGAGATCAGTAAACTAACCACCATGGATTTCTTTCTTGGTCTTTTCCAGGAGGAAATGGCTGATCCTGTGGCTGTCATTGACACGCTCGAGCCAGTTCTCAACCCCGATGCCGTTTTTGTGACACCGGGCCAAGGCTCTGCCACGAATGGAGACAAGGCTGGGAGCGAAAATGTCGCGAAGGTGCCCATCAAGGAATGTGCCAGTCAAGGTCTGAAAGACTTGTGGAAATTCCTTCTGACTAGCAGCACCGATCTCAGACTTCTCTTGTGGTCTCGCTTGAGTGACGCATATGGCACTATCAAGTACACCACTAAACAATTCTCTTGCCTTCTAAAGAGTATTGAGATGGTCATCGAGGATATAGACAGCGAGACATACTCGACCGCGGCGCCGGAATCGCGAAAAATGGCTCTGCTGAAGCTCTTGAGGTCCATCCACGATATGATGGTATCGGCGCTTTCTTTGGCATTGAACGACAATACCGCGTTCGACATTATCGACGAGGAGCACATCCGGTCTACATCATCAGCCCTCGCGAGGTTGAGCTGTCTTATCCACGTTGCTGTAATGCAGGAGGACGAGTTCCCTCTAGGCATTACCCCAGCACCTTCAAAATCCGCAATCTTCAAGGAATTACTCGAACGCTTGCGGGATCTGGAGGTGAGAACTTGGACACTGCAATACTGCTTGATGAAGGTTGGCATTCACCAGGATTCTGGGATTTTCAAAACGCCAGACAACGATTTAGCGGACTTTTTGAACGCTGTACACCAAGTTCTGGGGCTGAGAAAAGCCTGCAGTGCGTCAAACAAGATATTCCTCAAAATGATGCGAATAGAACTGCTGAAGCAAAAGAATATCGAGAACTGGGAGGACTATCTGGGCCAGGTTCTCTACGATTTGCATGGCCTCAGGCTGGGCGTTGGCATCTGGGAGGTCCACGATCATGGGTGCGTGACAGAGAAATTGGAAAAGCGACAGGCGATGCAGCTCGTCGAGAAGATCACGACCCTTGCCAATCGCATATCCATGAAGGATTTACTCAAGTCAGATCTCAAAAACACCATCGAGCACATGCAAGGTGCTATAGGGCAGGCCAGGTCCAGCACACCCATGATTCACAACCTTCGCAATTTCCAAGAATACCTCAAGAAGCCAATACATCCTCTGCGTCTTTATCAGGCACTCGATGGCACTGTGCCGCTAGATGCGACAACTGTCAACACAGCAGAAGCGTCTCTCGCCAGACATGGCTGGTTCTTCCTCCTTGGCATGATAGCCCTCACCAAATTCAAGGGTGTCGATCTGAATCGTCGCCAAACTCCGGGAGCAACAGACGACCTCCGTATTGGAGCGACATTCTTACGCCTACAGCTGCAATTCACGCCTGACATGTGGGAAGCGTGGTTCCGGCTGGCAGAATGTTTCGACTATGAACTGGACGAAGCAGTCTTGTGGTCAGCTGACAAGATGAATAAGGATCGCAGCGAGCTGCTAAAATTTCAGCGTCACGCAATTCACTGCTACACACTAGCATTGTCACACTCCCATACGTGGACGCCTGAGACCAAAGATGACGAGGACAAGCTCAGCCAATTTTACCACAACTTCGCGATGCGCATGTATGCGTCAAGTCGCGAGCCTTTCGCGATGGAACCTTTTCAGCACAGCGACTATGCTCGGTTTTACCCCGAAGCAAATGGGAGTGGCACATTCAAGCGGCTTCTGCACAGAGAGATGAGCGAGTACGAGGTGTGGAAATACGCGGCTACATTATTCAGAAAAGCGATGAAAGGGAAGCCAAACGACTGGAAGAACGCGTATATGCTCTCCAAATGCCTATGGAAGATGCATCAGAAACCAGTGGATACGCTTGAGCTGAAAGATCGGAAGACGCTGCCGACGGTGAAGAGACTCGTCGAGGCTCTAGAGAAGACAATCGAGGTTGTATCCCTCCTGCCCAAGCCCCGGCATGGTCAGGATCCAATTCTTGAGCCACATTACAAGATTGTCTCAATTTTGTACAAGCTCGTTACGCTAAAAAGCTTGACCGCCCAGGAAGCGTTTGGCATTCTTCAGCGGCAGCCTTACGCCATACAGCATAGCCAGCAAGAAAATATCCAGTCGTCTGACGATTGGAAGGCCTACGTTATAGAGACTTTGCGCCATTTCCGTGATAAGGACAAGTCACACTGGCAGCACCGTATCATTATGCGTCACGCCCGCATGATATACGATCCACGCGAAGACGAGCCTCCAGACCAACTCGCTGAAGCGCAAGCAGCTTTCGCTGTCTTGCGTGAACACATGATCACGAAGACGATGGCCATTAACGTATGGAAGTGCGACGCCGAGCGTGCGGGTCGCCACCATGTATACACTGAACAGTATGTTCGATACACTGTGAAGCTGTTGACGGTCACGAAGGATCATGTGAACATGGAGCTGCTCTTGCGCAAGATTCGCAAGAAAGGTGCGGACTTCTATCACTTCAGCGACCTTTGGGCTTCGTGTGTACAAGCATACACAAGGTTACTACGCCGTATCCATCAAATCCCAGCCCTAGAAGAGGACACTTTCAAGAACATGAGTTTCGAAGAGTTCGATATACTGGGAGAACGTATCAACGACTGGGCCGGCGCGAAGGACAGGGTCCATGCTGCCCTGAGCGCTATGAAGGATGCTATCGAGCTCAAAAAGCTGAACGGTGGCTTGACGAAGGCAGGTATGATTGACGATTTGATTCATGACTGCTACTCCGATCTTTATCGAAGTATTGCCAAGGAACTTCCCGGCCCGGAGCCTTCACAAGTCATCGAAGAACGCAATCGGCTCAAAGACTCGGAAATGCAGACAAATGGCAATCATGAAAAAGAGCAGTTCAATGGCCTGCTACATCCAAATGCTGTGGACAGAAATAATGATCCAGGTATTCCAGCGACGGCTCGTGCATCTAGTGAGGCGCCATCGGCCGGTGTCAACGGCGGTGAGAAGATGGAAAGGTCCACTTCCAATACCGGAGATCAGGGAGTTACACGCCGTCGGTTGCTTGGTGTCAGACGGGCCGATGTGCTCCGCAAGGCCGAACAGGCAGCCTTGCGGGCTACTGAGCAGCCCCCGCCAAAATCCGCCGTCAGTGAAAGATCCAACGGTCGGAGGTCACGGCGCGGCAGTCCGGGCAGCGGACAGAATGGCTTGGAGGGCAATGATGGGGAGGAGAGTGAAGGTGAGGATGGAGATGGAGATGTTGAGATGAAGCAAGAGAATGAGAACGAGGATGAGCAGGCTGACGAAAAGCAAGAAGATGGTAACGAAGCAGGTGAAGAAGAGGCTGCGGCGGAAGGCGAAGAGAGCGAGGCGGCGAGCCCGAGGCCTGAACACGACGACGCAGATGACGAGAGTGACCTTAGTGATGTCCCTGATGACTACGACCAGGATATACCGCCGACCTTGATGTTTCCAAACCTGCGCCGAAGCGCAGATCTGTCGGTCGTGGCGAGCTCCGGATCGAGCAGCAGTGCGTCTGATGACGAAGATGAGGGCGACGAGGACGATGAGGAAGGCGAGGACGAGGAAGAAGGCGAAGAAGAAGAAGGTGAAGGTGATGATGAAGACCAGGAAGAAGACCAAGACGGCGAGGAGGGGCAGCAAGATGAAGACGAGGAAATGGCGGAAGCAGGGGAGGAAGACGAGCTGGAAGTGCCCGATAGCCAGCCTACCGCTGATGACGACGGAGAAGAGACTGGCTAGATCTCAGGCTCGGCATCTGTGTCCAACCAGTTGCACATAAAGCAAAGACTGCGGCCAAGACGATTGAGGCCGCCGGTGCAATGAATCAAGGAGCTTACACGGGGCTCGCATTAATACACTAGGTCGCCGTACAGGATCTACGCCGTTGCGGCATACTTCGGGGAGGACCCGTGAATCCATATTTAATGAAATTCGAAGTAGATCCTTTAGCTACGCTCATGTATCTAGCGGGGGGGGGGGGGAGCTGGCGCGTTGACTTGAAGGGCGTCGCGGCACGGAAAATATGCATCAAATCGATTTTGTGATGATTGGCCAATGCTGGACAGAGACAATTTTACGATTTATACACTCGCACCGTGCCTCTCGCGCCAGAGTCAACCTCAGCCCATGCCTCGATCTCGACCAAGAACTCGTCCTCATATAGAGTCGCCTCGATGAGTGTGTTTGCGGGGAGAATCCCGGCGCACTTCATCCTCGCGCCGTGAGCCTCACTCACTGCTTCAGCGTCCTTCCTGCTGGACAGGATGACCCGTGTCCTGACAATATCGTTCATCGACGAGCCAAGGGCTTTCAGCGCCCCTTCGATGATGTCTAATGCCCAGACTGCCTGACTTGCTGCAGATCTACCACCGACGCATGACAAGGAGGAGACTGGTGGATTCGCGGTCGTCTGGTACATGTTAACTACTAGCAAGACAGCCTGCAGCGGAACGGCCGAGAAGGCTACCAAGGAGGGGATTATGCATAAAGAACTGATCAGAGTAATACGTACACCGGAGACATGGATAGATGAACCGACGCGAACGGCGCGGGAGTAGCCCTGAGGTTGGCGGGTCAGCATTGCAAGTCACGAGGCAAGTTTCTCGCACTTACGCATATGGGCTCCCATTTGCTACCACTCAAGTATTCGATCCTCTGGCCGGCTTCGACAGCCTCCCTCACCGACCTACTCCGATCCGCATCCTTCACATGGTGACTTAGGTCCCCGGCAGCTGTTAAATATGGCGGCCTTCGGTACTCATCTCCACAATCACCTGGTATGTCACTAAGGGCCTCCTGAGCTTTCTCAATGATGCTCCTGTCCTCGTCATCCAGCTCGAACGAGAAAGCCAAGAGGCTTTGGTCGATATATTGCTCAGAGTCGGCACTCAGCCTCGTCCCCACAATGACAGCTTTCACAGATGGGATATCCAGAATCCAGCGCAAAGCCACTGCAGACATGGGGACGTCGTTTTTCTTCGCCACGGTTGCAAGCGCTTCTAGAATACCCTGGAAGACAGTCCATCCTCCGGCAGCCCAGATAAAGCGGAGGTATTTCTTCAGAGACCAGTTCAGAGCATTGATGTTCTTCGGCTCGGGCTGCCCAAGCCATTTCTCGGAGACGAACCCGCCAAGCAGCGTTCCGTAGCAAAGCAGGCCAACGCCACGCGATATGCAGAGGTCATTCAGCCGGCCCCGAACGACACGGCGGTCGATGACTGAGCAGGAGATCTGGTTAGTCGCAATATTAAAACCAGTGTCAAGCAACATCTCGAGATGTGCGGCGTCGGTATTGGTCAGACCCAGGTGAGCGATTTTGCCTTGTGACTGGAGCTTGGTCAGGTGTGTAAGGTTGTGGATGTATGTGTCATCCGTGTAGTCCCAGATGTGATCTATCGGCTGGTAAGTGAGCTTCCAGAGCTTGGATGGGCTAACAACGGTTGGTGGTTGGCTCACACTGCAGCAGGGGAATTTTGTCCTGTCCTAATCTCCTCAAAGCGAGGTTGACAGCTGCCTCTGCATTCTCAAAGCTCTTCACTCCGTCTTCTGCAGGGCACCACTTGGTAAGGGCAGTCAGTCCCGCCCGGGAGTTGGCGTTGTGATGCCCGACGACGAGCTCTAATGGAGGTCAGTCGTGTTACGTGGTCAGGGATCTCCTCGTCTGCTCATGCTCACCGGCCTCCCCGTAGTGATCCGCCATATCGAAGCCCTCCAGACCGTTACTTATTCTAGGCCGTGGTTAGAATCAAGCAATCGTTTTCTACGGAGATATTATCACATACAACGCATCCATGGCCGCTGATGCATTAGCAATATTGACGTCCTTGTCATGCCCTCCTGCGAGTTGCCACAATCCATTCAGCATCCGGGGAATCTCCAGTGAACCACCAATAGTCGTCCGCTCGGGACGCACGGGTGTTTCTGAGGCCATTGTGGTCGTCACTTTGGAGGGTGTCTGACAGGGCCGGTGGAAGAGGTGTTTAGCCCACAACTCGTAAGGACCTTCACAGCAACGAATATGAAGTTTCCTTTTGATCAAGACTCATCTTCTAGCTCGCAAATGAGCACCAGCTCTAGCACAGTCGGTAAACCTTCCTTTTTGGGTGGTGCTGAATCCTCCCGGTGTCGGATGAAGGGCATAGAATAGAACGCTTCCAGGTTCGGTTCCAATGATGTTGTTGATCCCAGTGACCCCACGTCTGAGCTTCGGCACGACGTCCAGGGGTCCCAAGCGAGAGCCCGGAACTTGATCTAAAGCCCAAAGTCACCTGGGTAGCTTTTTACACAGACGCAGATCGACAACCTACTGAGTCACCTCAAAAATTCGTGCAAGACATGAAGATATCGTCTTATCCTTGACTAATATATGCCAAGTATCCTACACTAACGATTTCGATCTCCAGGAAGCTTAATGTCCGGATAGCGCTACACCTAATTTCACTCAAGCTTCGCTTACACCCCAGATCGCTTCCATCATGCTTTCAAGATAACGGCTCATACTCTGGTATTTTTGGTTTTAATGAGATAATATGTGAAAATCTCTGTTCCCCTGGCTTCTCATGTACTTCTGGAAGGGATCTGCGCGAAGAACCTTGTTGAGTCTCCATCCTTGGCCATAGTCTCGTAGCTCTCCTCCAACGTGAGTTGAGGAGCAACTCGACTTTCATCCAAGCTATCAGCTTCAACCCTGAAGACTCTTCGAAGCCTGCGTTGATGCCACCAAGTAAAGGCACAAACAACACAAACCAACCCCACGGTAACCGATCCAGACGTAACGCACCATCGTTGGGCATCTTTTGTGCCCTCAGCTCCCCCTGGACTTAAGTCGACGTATGCCCCTGGCGCTTCTGGGTGCAGCCAGTAGCTGACCGGTACCTAATGCCAACAGATCAGCCATTAGAGCCTGTTGGAAGTGTTCGCTGGCGCACAAAGGAGAATGACAATACCTTGCAGGCGCACGTCCTGTATACTCCAAGTAAATGCATGACGGTGCTCACGACAGTGGTGAAGATAGCGAAGAATCCTACAAACGTCTGGCCACACCAATTGATCGTCTTTGCCCGGGTCCGCGCTTCTGACCATCTCTCACCATACATGCGCTTGAGTCGCCCTTCCCACACCCAAAATATGCATTCAATGACCTGGGTGATACCATATATCAGGTATGTACCGCTTCGACATGAAATGCCCTTCCGGGGCATGTTGTACGATGTCAGGAGTGCAAGCAGAGATGGTAACATCAGCAGCACGGCACTTCCAACCATGATCATGGCCTGGTCCCCGAGGTCCAAGTCCAATCGTTTACGGATCTCTTGCGGAGGTCTTAGTCGGTCGCCATGCTCCTCAAAGTTGGCGGCGTAGTCTCTGATGGCTTCGTCCACCCATCGCTTCTTGTTTGGGCCGCGATTCCAGAGCGTTACGGTCTTGAACTGGCCGTCGTACATGGAGTTGAGCAGTTGATACCTGCTAGTCTTTTTCGCAATCCACCTGCCTGCCGCATAACTTTCGACTTTAGTTTTCACCAAGTCCCAGGAGCCCCTTTCCGATCTCTCCCGGGATGCTATCGCGCCACCATCCCATACAATACCTTGTAAAACACTGAGGCTTGGGGACGCGAGCATGGCGCAAGACACTATGGCGAGATGTGGGACTGTCATCCACCCTGGTTACAATGTGAGCGTGAATCAAGCTTCTCGGCCTCGTGTGACTTACACATCCCGAAAGCCAGAGCGTGGACTGTGTCATCGCCCTGGAGACTCCCGTTCTCAATGCCCAGTATGGTGTAAATAAAGCCACCAACGAAGAAAAGAATCGGTGCCCCAATAGTCGTCCCAAAGCTATGAATGTTAAATAGTGGTTGTTGGACATGAATTCTCAGGAAGGACATACCTTGCCTGTGAGTTGAGAATGGCCTTTAGCTTCGTTGACAACAGGACCTTGCCACCATGCCACGCAGTATCTGACTCATCCTCGTCGATCATGGTCATTATCCTTGTCCAGGTGTTATCTTTGAGGATATCACCTATAGACAGCCTTCTCCGGTTCGTCTCCGCATCCCATTGAGAGAACATGGAGATCCTTCGGCCCGTGGATATTCGCAAGTTCCCAACTACCACTGCCAGCAGCAACTGCGCCCTCAATCTTGGGGAGATGTTTGTGCTATCACACCTCCCACTTTCTTTGGACGCCTCAAGGAACTCCAATACTTTGCTGTCCAACACATACTCATACATCGCACTTAGGAGCATTGGCCCGGCAAAAGCGAAGCAGATGGACAGCCAAACAATGGTGTCGACCGTTGCGAGGACCAAAGCCCACAGTAACCTTATACAATACGCCGCAAACCAGGTCAAGCTCCGTGGGCGCGCTCGGGATGCCACATCTGGCATCGCCAGTTTGCTTGCCCTCGGTACATTCAGGCAAAATGCAAGGCTAGGTAGGATGAACTGGACCAAAGGCCCGACCCATTGTTGAAGCATATTGATGTGGCTTATCTCCCATCCTGCACATTGAGATAAACACCAATGATATGGAACCCGAACTACCGGCACTGTATCTGGATTGCCGCTCCATGATGTGCCGCATGGGAAGGAGTTCTGGTCGCCTATGAGGGCAGACTCGAGTTCCGGCAAGGTCACAGGCGGCAGGAAGTACGACGGCGTTGTGAGAGACAGTGTGCTGTTCGGCCCGGTGACTGTGAGGGATTGATTGATAGCAACCAGACAGCAATGCGTGAAGTTCTGCCCTCCTGCTGTATTAGTAAATGAACTTGTGGCGCGAACCGTAAGGTTGGCGAGCTGCGGGACAAGTTCACCAATGCTGTAAACCATCTCGAAAGATTGTTGCTGCCCTTGGACCACAAACAATGACGAGAGGATTGTATGAGAGCGGAAGACCAAGAAACAAGCTGGCGACAAATGTGACACCAGCTGGAGTTCTTGTAACACCTCTGCCAGAAGAAAAGCTTGTGATTTTCAATGCTGGCCCGTCTGGCCCACGACGGTCTCTTCTGGCTCGGATGGTCTTTGTCAAGATCTGGATCGCTATTATACCTATTTGGGCCCAGAAATAGTTTCTAGCGCGGAGTCCATCCTACACTGGTTGAAGCCAGCTGCGTCCCTGCACGATCGACACAGCTCGCCCGGACCCATATCTAATCAACACCAACTCTAACCCATCCTTGTTCCTCATAGTTTGCTCAGCCAACCCTGTGCGCTTTGACAAAGGGGGCTATATCGGCAAAGCAACGGCCAGCATCTGCCACCGAGGCGGAATAGCCATAGAATAAAAAAGCGCCGAAAAAGGGCAGATAGAGGATTTATGTTCTGACAAATAACCACCGCAACGGCATTATCCAGATATGTTGACCAATGTCAGCACAACGGCCACCAGTGTTATTTCACACGCCTGCTCTGGCGGCGGCGAAGACCACAAACTTGCTTGTCAGTGGATTTGAAGGATCTCTGAGGAATGTGATCTTTGTCCTAGGTTTTGTCTCTATTTCCATTTGTTTGAGTCCTGAAACTAAAAGGTACTGACGGGAGGAAACGACAGGCATGCGCGTGCATTCGCAAAGCCGAGAAGGCATACATTCTCACTACCTGATCGGGGCGCTATATAGATACAACATGTGTTCAAATCCTAAATCTACTGCGACCATGCAGCGTCCCGCTCTCATACAGCTACCGGACTGTGACCGGGGACTTGCCCAGACCATACAATCATCTATGAGTCTTGCCATTTCGACGCGTAGGGTAAGCACATAGAAGCTTTCATATAGGCTATCCCGGCGGAACGGCAGATGCACAGACACTGGAGACTGATCAAGCAGACAAAGACGAGCTCTAAGGTTTACAGTCTGTGCACCAGCATGTCGACTACAATCGACTCAGAATTGACGGCAATTCTGGTCTCCACATCTTGTTCAGAAGTTGGCTGGCATTGACCATCTCCGGCCGAAGCTGGTCGATCGAGGTCACGCCCAACAGCGCCATCCCCAGCGCCACCTCTTCCGACAAAACTAGATTCCGTTGGTCAGTATCGCCTCGCATGACAATGAGTCGGGGTTTCCACTTACTATCTATGCATCTCTCGACACCCTGTCCACCATAGGCAGCCAGCGCATAAAAGAAAGGCCTGCCAAAGCCGACCGCTGTGGCGCCCAATGCTAAGGCCTTAACCACGTCTGCTCCGTCGAGGCATCCGCCGTCCACGTAAACCTCCAATTTCTCGAGCACTTCGGGGCAGTACGTCCGGATCTCCAGCAAGGTGGACAGCCCACTCGGAGCTGTGTGTTGTTGCCTCCCACCGTGGTTGCTAAGTAGAATGCCCTGGCAGTCGTTCTCCGCCGCCAATTTTGCATCCTCGGCTGTTTGGATTCCTTTCAGGACAATGGGGCCTGTCCATTCCTCCCTTATCCACTCCAGGTCTTCCCAGGTGACCATAGGGCTCAACTGCCCCGGCACGGGCCGCGCGCCGACAGCAGGAGAAAAGGCGTTCTCGTTGTTTTCCTTGCCTACGGGGGTCGAATATGTACTGTGGTCTAGTCCATCTTCAAGTGTTTCTTCAGCCTGTTTCCGTCTATCCTCCGTCCTCTTGCCTAACACAGCCGTGTCGACAGTGATGAAGAGGCCCTTGTATCCAGCCTGTCTTACCTTCCGAACTAATTCCACAGCTTTCGCTCTATCTGTCGGGATATAAAGCTGGAAAAACAGTCTCGATGGACTGGTCGCCTCCCCGCCGATCCTGTCCAGTTCCGCTGCATGCGATTGCTTGATACTCTCAAGAGGTTTGGTGCTTGCTGTTGACGTGATGCCGTGTACGCCTTTGCGCGCCAGCGCATTCACCAGCTCAAACTCTCCTTCAGGATGCGCCATGCCCATAGTGCCCATAGGTGAGACAAAGAAGGGCACGATAGAAGGATTCCCGAGTATAGATGACTTCGTAGACACACTGGCCACATTGCGTAATACTCTCGGCCGGAAGTTTACCTCGGACCATGAATCGATATTGCCCTGCAAGGAGAGACCGGCATTGGCGCTACTGGAGATGTAGATCCATGTCCGGCGGTTGAGGATCTTCTCAGCCTCGACTCGGAAGTCGCTGGCCCTGACGCAGAGGGAGAGCGGCCTCACTTCTTTGCTGTCGGCTGGTGCCGTGGCACTTGGCGGATCTGCCGGGACATTCAGTGAATCAACTGTCGAGGGATCCAGATCGCCCTTGAGACTGCCCTCGGGCAGGTCCTCGATGACGTCCAAGGAGTGTATCTGGTCGAATTCCGCTGTGGCGTCCTATGGATCCTGGTCAATACACAGATCCCGACCGACTCAAGCTGCATAGACTCACAGCGCCTCCCTGCCTCAGAAGTATGCTTCGGCCGCCTGGGTGCTTGTCCAGGAAACTTGTAATATCGTAGACTTTGCCATGTATCACAGTCCAGCACGAATCAGCGGACTTGTGCTGTGCAACTTCAGAACCAGCCCACATGGCGAAGTGATGACTGGTTGAGTACTTGGACGGTGCAGCCTATGTAGCCTTCGCGATGAGTGTTATGTTTGTAAAATGAATGGGTCCGGCCGTGAGAAATAAGAGTAGCAGGAAGAGAATCACTTCAGCCATTCAAATAGCCTACTTAGGTGATTACGCATCCACCGGCCTCGGGGTTCCCACGGGAGTGCATCCGGCACGGCATGCCGCCCGGTAGTCGTGCCTAATACTGCGGGGAAATTCCATCAAGTTCCACTCGTAGGGGCAGGGTCGCACCCTGTCCACTATTCTTCACCGTAAATAGAAGTAAATGTGAGAAATAACATCAACGCAGACACACCATATGCAGATCGGTATGATATAAGCACCAGCCCGTTGAGAACAAGATGTTGACATTACATGTAAGAATCGGCTCATGGGTCGGATTCCCTATTAATGATGTTCCACTGTATTGCAACACAAAATGATGTACGGACACGCCGCAACAACTGTGTTTTTTTTAAACTTACGTAGAAATCCTAATACAAGGGTAAGAATATTTGGACTTCCCGTGTATGAGCCATACTTGAAGGATAAATCAAAGTCTTGTAATTCGTTCCCAGCCACTGGTGAAAATCAAATCTTGTTTGTTACCCAGCGGCGCTCAGCAATACGGCCGGAAGATCAATACTCCCCAGCGATACGTACACTTCTGTTGCAAGCCTAGACAGGCCAGACCTCGAAGAACACGCTGGAGAGAGGACACACTAAATGACCAACGATAATGACCACTTCGTCTTGAATATTTGATTTTGATAGAGACTCCTAGTGGCCATTTTTGGTTCTAGATACTGGGCGATTTCCACGTCCGACCCCAGGTGCTATTTCCGGTTGCAATGTCCACGAAGGCCCGAGCGATGACTCTATCAGTCTGCTCTGACGGGTGCAGCGAGTCGTACCACAGATAGCTATCTCGAACTGAAGAGTCGTTGCAGGCAGCGCCGCACGCAGTGATCGTTGAGGTCACGTTCACTGGGGCAGTTCCATTGAGATACGAAGCCGGGTTGTTCCACATGTCGCTCAACTGTTTTTTGATTTGGCAGTCAGCAAATTGGTTTCTGCGAAGACATACGAGAGGACGCAAAGCCGGCCATAAACAAAGTGCTTACCAACGAGTGCACGTCAAAGATCGTGAACGAGCTTGCTGGGTAGCGATCGGAGATTTGGACCTCCTCTGACGTGCGGTAGTTGTATATACTGTTAATGAGCGCGACGTATTGGCGCATTTTCTCGCTAACCTGTGTCACATTGGCATTGTAGGTCTCCTCGTCTTTCCAGAAAGTCGTGTTGATTGTGCCGCCATTCTCGGGCAGTGCATACATGGGCGCGAAGTTGAGCGGCGCGAGGTTGAGTAGCACAAAGTTACGCGCGCCGGCCTCGTGGAGAGCATCGAGCTGCTCATAGACACAGTCGATATAGTCGAGGATTGTGAGGCTCACGCGGTTGTCGGTGAAGAAAGCAGCTGGCCCGACTGGTATGTGTTAGTCGCCCGTCACGGAGCCCGAATCGATGCAATCTGGAAGATGGTAATAAAAGACAGATGGGTTCCCGTAGCGGGAGAAGGATTATACGTACGATCATTTGTGCCAATCCAGATAGCGCTTCCATATTCTGATCAGCAAATGTGATCCTTACTGGCCTAAAAGCGGCAAATGAGCCGATGACGGTCCACTCACTAGATTGTCTCATTGCTAGGATTTATAAGTGATCCGTCACCAACGTAGTCCTTGTCTTTCAAGAAATATGGTATCTGATTCTGCTTGACTCCATTTCGCTTTGAGGGCGAAAAGTATGTGTCACAGACAGCTCCAGATACTGCATAGTCATACAGGTTAATGCCTGTGTACTGTTGGATATATTGCGGCCAGATCCGTCCCCCGGTGGAAGTGACAGTCGACTGGTAATGTGTGAGTACAGAGTAAACGATACCTTGATTAGTTTATCAATGTAAATGCTTACGAGATTCTGGCTGGGTTCCGGTGTGTAATATTCTGGTCCATCATCCGTATAGCTGTCACCAAAGACGCTGTTACAAGTAAGACCGTGTATTTTTTGTTGAATGTTTGGGCTTCGATTTCTTACACGAGACTTGAGAAGTCCTGCAGCGTAGATGACCCCACAAGTGCAGCACTTGTTACACTGCTGAGCCAAAGCATCGGCAGGACAATATGTTCGAGTCGCGTCATATTGGGTCTTATTTGTGCAGAGTTTCACCTGAGTGCACGACGAGTACGGGTGCACCGGAATTGAAGGATGGTGGGATCCCGGGGATTTATTAAGGTAGAGCATGTTCTGATACTACGCAATCGGTAGAAACTCTACATCATGGATTCTCTTGGCCGGCACAAGGCAACGCGAAATGGTTACACGGTGTAGACATGCTCGTATTTTCCCATACAATTCGCGACCCTCGGGGCATTTTGGGACGAGCATGGTAGGACAGACGGGAAAGAGGGGCACCAAGAGTACCAGAGCTAAGGATGCCGGATAAATTACAGTATTTGCCAGCTTCGCATCACGGCCCACATTTGTGTGCAAGGACTAAGATTTGAGCGTATTGATCGAAATCTGACAATACAATGGCTCAAGACTGGCAGTTGATGTAGATAGTTGCATAGTGCAACGAAGGTCTCCCTTTATAATTTCGTACCGTTGGGGCCTATAGGGTTCTCCGATCTCGGGGAAGCGAGCCCTAGGCCGATATGGTCAGACACAAGTAGCCGACATCATTAGCAGGTAGACTCCAGAATTTAGCTTCATGACAGAAGCTGGACTGAGCAATAACGCGCTTGCATCAATCCACCTTTCTCCCCGCGAAACAGCTTCATGAAGCTCATAAGCACCAACACGTTAGTCAATCGAAAACCGATCCAAAGTTGCCGGCAGCGTTCTACTCCAAGCCAACCCTGCAGATCATGTCGAAGCCATTAGCAGTCGTGAAGTCTCTTGACCACCTGGTCCTCACTTGTGCTAGCATACCAAAGACGGTTCAGTGGTATAGTAGATACCTGGCAATGAAGCCCGAGACGTTTACACCACCATCCGATCCGTCCATTCAACGCCATGCCCTCAAGTTCGGCACTCAAAAGATCAACCTGCACCAGAAGGGGAAGGAGTTTGAACCAAAGGCCACAACTGCTTTGCCGGGGACTGCGGACCTCTGCTTCCTGGTAGAAGATGATACCAATCTGGAGGAGCTGGTCAAAGGATTCCAAAACGAGGGTGTGGAGGTTCTTGAGGGAGAGCAGGTGGTCAAGCGGACTGGTGCCAATGGCGCTATTCGAAGTGTCTATGTGAGAGATCCGGATGGGAATTTGATCGAGTGGGTTTCCGTACTTGATGACAGTCAGTCAGTCTTGATGACTAATTTCTTTTCTACAGGCTCTCGAAATATGTCTCGTAAGATCTCGGACCGACAGAGCATGCGATGATCCAGCGCGGCTCAAGCGCAAAGAAGTTTGCTCAAATGCATTCGAGTATGCTTTTGTTCCAGGAACCCTTCTAGGTCGAATTCTCCGTGCACTATACTTGAGAAGACATACGCGTACGTCGATGTAAGGTGCTTCCAGAGTACGTACAGATTGAGAGCAACACACATGTCTGTAACCACTCGCTAGGCCAGATATAGAAGAGAGTGTGCCAACAAGTAAACTCCAGAGAGTGTATGGTCATAGATCAATGCTGTCGATGATGATGTTTGACTCCTGAGGATTACCTTCTCCTGTTGGCAAGACTAACATAAAAGACCTCAGGTTCCTGATTTTCTGTATGAAGGATGTGAGAATGAGATCTGAGTGAGACCCGGCGCAGAATGATTTGATTGAGATACAGCACTTGGGACGGATTGCGAACTGGGAGAGCCAGCTGCTCACCCAGCCACCTTTGCCGCCAAGCCGGTTAAAAAGGTGGCCCTGCCAAGTTCGAGCCATGCTTTTCTCCATTCACCTACGCACTGCCTCAACAGGCAGAATACAACGCATCGGTAGCGTATCCGAAGCAAGGTCAACATTCCAATCAAGCGATGCAGAGTTGGAGGCGGCGCATCTGAGAACGCGGGGAGAGAAAATAAGCTTATTGAGATCTGAATGCGATAGCAGCAGTTACATCCAATTCGGCCCATGCCGCCGAAAGCCTGGACCCTGGAACGCGGACCCAAGGCCTTGGGAAGCGGTTGAAGGGACAGTCAAGCAGACTCTAGTCATTGGAGGGATCTCATTCCCCTCATCTTTGATGAACAAATTGTATTTCTTGGCTGGTCAGGGGGCAGAATATCATGACTAGTAGGCATTGTAGCGCAGAAACACTGATGGCTCATATCAAGCTCGTAGTCGTGCCACCCTCGCCCCTATAATAATAGGCCTGCACTTCATACAGGCAAGGCAAGGTAAATCCCCCCTTCTGTTGGACATCAAGTCTTTCAGCCAGGCTCAGAATGTACTTCTCTACCATCACTTTGCAATTACTAGTTGCTTCCTTGCCTTTAGCATCGAGCCAGCTCGACTTTTGGGGGAAAAGGGCAGGGCTGAAGTACTTCGGCGCCGCGACCGACTCTCCCGGACAACGTGAACGTGCTGGATATGAGGCATCGTACCATCAGTATGATGCTATATTCGCAGATAATGGTGAATTCGGGCAGGCAACCCCTACTAACGGCATGAGAGTACGTTTTACGCCCATTTATTACAAAGCAGAGGACTGACGCACCTAATGAAGTGGCTGTATCCCATAGCTCGAAGTGACATGATCTGACTTCGTAGTACTATCGCCACGGGCGACTTTGTAGCAATGCGATATGGGACAAAACGACGAATAGAGCAACTAGATAGATGCCGGTATCAAAAGATGGGTAGCGTTTTGTGTATAATGAAGTTCCTGGCAGGCTGGTACATTCATGAATATCGCCCGGAATTGTCCCCAGCGGCTCCACACATGCAGGCCACATCTACAGTTTGATGTGTATACTCACAATGTATCACCTTCTTCGGGTTCTTCCAACACTCTATAAATTTGACGATATTGTCCAAACACAACCCTCAGAGCGATCTGTGACTAACTCACCAACCAATTTCTGCCCACATGCAAATCTCTTTGAATCTCGACTAAGAGCTTGCTGAAATTCTAGTATGAGAGCTGCCAAAAGCGTAGTTGAGTCACGGATTTGCGTCCCTCACACACTCGACCCTAGTAATACAATACCAAGCAGCGGAGGCCAGCCGAGTCATCTGAGCTTCTTGATCTGGCCAGTACATTGCAATCAAATGTATCATAGCCACATGGCTTTCATCAAAGTCACAAGCCGCAGCTGAAGTAGGAGCAGCATCGATGGCATCAACGCCCAAGCGCGCAATAACACGGGTGCTTGCAACACAAGCGTCAGCTGGGACAAGCAGCAAGAGGTTTGTCTTACATCGTCTCTTTGTTCATGGCTCTGAAAACTTGACTGTGTTCAACTTATTACAGGCATTTGTAAGTCGATACGCCGTGGAACGCATCCTTGTCCGTTACTACTGCCCTTCCATTAACAAGCTACAAATTCGCATTGTTCATGAATTGGTCAGCCTCTCCACACACAACTGATACGGTGCTTACACAGCATGCAGAGCACTCCATTGCAGCTTTCATAAGCACTCCTGGTTGTAAAATAACCTTAAACGATTCTCAAGGCCTACCAACCGCAACGACAGGGCTGTCATCTTTCACGATGTCCGGCTCCCGTGTCCTGAGAAGTAGAAAGCGAAAGCAAGAAAGAGAAACCACATGCGGGAGCGAACACGTTCAATCTTCAAAGCGCATTCAAGGAGGTGTTCCTCACGAATTCAGCTCAAACAAGTTACAATCAAGCGCATCTGGATCTCCAGGCCAGAATCTTACTGGCGAGAGCGCGCAAAGCCTGACCAATGTCCAAGCTTCACAAGCCCGTGAACATCAAATTTTGTTGGAAAGCCTCGAGAGCCTGAAGCACAGCAACAGGCAGCTAGACCAGGAGAAAAGCGACCTCATCAACAAGGTTTCCAGGCTCGAGGAGAAGTTCCAAAAGTCGAACTTCACTTTGATGCACCGCCAATTCCAGCTTAGCAATGCGGAAGATAAGGCCAAGTTATTTCAAAAGACAGCTGAAGACCTCGAGGCTGGTCTAGAGAAGGCAAAGACTAAACATGCAGAAGACATTAGTGGACTAGAAGCCAGGGTCACGGAGCTTTCCGAATCGTACAACAAGGCATCAATTGAGGTAACGAGGAGGATTGAAGAATTGAGCAACTTGCGGGCAGAAAGTATGGAGAAAGACAAGGCACTGAAGAGAGTTCAGGAAACATATCAAGACACTGTCGACAAACTCGCCGTCAAGAATCGCGAGGCATCAAAAGCCGAGGCGGAAATTGTTCGTCTTCGCCCCTTCGAGCTCGCCGTCACAGAACACAACAGGGCTTTGACGAGACTCGAACAAGGTCGTCAGGACTTTTTCCGACAGCAACAGGAACAATTGAATGCCCTCACAGCGGCGCGGAATGAGACCATTAGACAAAAAGGCGATAACATAGGACTGCGGAGAAAAAATGACGCTTTGAATCGGAAAGTACGAGCTCTGGAGACGGCAACGAAGAAAACCGAAGCGCGTGTTTCGCAGTTTTTGCTTTTCATTATGGACCAGATTTGGCGTCAGATAGAGGCCCATCCGCAGGAGCCAGGGCATATCGTGAAGGTCAGTGCTGACCATGCCACCTTGACGCAACTGGAGGACTGGTTGCAGAAGAAGCTTGACGACATCGAGCATGAGCTACAGTGGTACAAGAATGAGCACACCACAATGTGGAACGAATCTGAGCGACTGGAGCAATTGCGAAATGAAATGGTGAGCCAAGTCGTCAGATTGAGCACATACAATACGTCTGAACTACGACAATCCTGGGACCAAAGTATGGTGGAACGCGAGAGACGCTCATAGCCTTCGTTGTTTTTAAATTTTAATCCCGGTGGCAGAGAGCCAGAAGGAAGCAAAAGGGAAAGACTCGTAGGGCATTGGTCTCAGGAGGTAAACTGAGCGCGGGTACTCAAAGGTCAAAGGCAACAATCATCTGAGCGATCCTTTAACAACCATTTGTTTGTTCCATTGGTGTTTCGACCCAGACAACCTCAGGTGAGAGGATTATAATCAAATGATCGGCTGAGACCAGCATGTGGTACTCAGGATTGAGCAGCAGACGCTGAGGTATCCCCGAAGGTCGTCGGCCTTGAGGGATGGTCTTGAGGAGGATGGGAACGGCGAGTCTTTGTGGCGCCTTGCAACTATCGCGACAGCATCAGATAAATTGCAGTTGTCATACCTTTCTCTTTGGCAATTTCCTTAATCTTGGAACATGAAGCCTGCCTTAGTGCGCACCTTGAGCTGTGATATATGAACCTTGGTGAAGTATCGCTTGAAGAAGCAATCTTTTGTTTTCTTCAAAATCATTATGCAAAAATTTCCCATTGATAGATCAGGTCTCAGGACTCATATCTACATGCCCATTGCTGGCACGGGGTTGTATCTAATAACAAAATCGGCAAAAGCTCATGTACACAATGTGCTACTCTTCTATACTGTAGGTATTGACTTGGTTAGGGGGCTTATGATCTTGAGCATCGGCGCCTCCTTCCCAGCTAGGAATCATTTGTTCGCATTTCCACCCCATATCAAATTCGTAAGTATTCTTGGCCTGTCTGCTCGTCGCAGGACGTCAAACTGATAAACTCGAAACTCCATGACCTTTTTTTGGTTCTTCAGGCGTGGGGATGGGGCAAGTGGGTTAGGGGTAGGTGCTCAGTCCGGCCGTCCGGACTCTGGGGTTGCAGGCTTCTCCCCTGAAATAAGTGGGCTCTGGGCGATCCGTTTCAGGGGAATTAGGCCAGCACAGCTCAAAGTCAATTAAGCTCGGATAGCGATGTGACCACGAAACGTCCACCCTACCCTCTGGCCTCTCAGCAGTGTTTGTTGTACAATGTGAAAAATATCTTTTTTTTTTTACCAGTTCTGACGCCCACCCGGAACCCTCAGACAACAATGTTGAGCAATCTCTGGGGCGGATCTGCCCCGCTGCGGGAGGAGCAGTTGCTGCCCCAGACACGCACAGACGCCGAAACCAGAGAGCACAAGGACGGCGACGCGAAACCATTGGACCCGGGCAAGCAGAGGGACAAGATCAAGTGCCTCGACGGGCTGCGGGGCATCGCCTGCTTCCTCGTCTTCAACTACCACTTCCTATGGCCATGGACACCCTTGATAATGCTTGGGTATGGCGCAAGGCCGCCGTTCTCTCCAGAGCCGTTCACAGAGTGGGCGTCGCTGCCCATCATATGCCTTCTCCACCGTGGACGCCCAATGGTTGCCATATTCTTCGCAATATCTGGATATGTGCTCTGTCGGCATATGTTGAGGTCAATGTACCAGCGTCGGCTTGACGACACCCGCAAGAGACTTGGCTCCGCGGTGTTCCGGCGAATATTTCGCCTGTACATCCCGCCGTCCATCAGCATGTTCATCGTGGCCTTGCTGGTCCAGATGGGCGCTTTCAAGTCTGAGGATGCCATCTACAAGGGGAGCGATTCCATCTGGATCAACGGAACGGTGACGCACGGATTCTTCAATGAGACGTGCATGACAAACGACACTATCGCCGTGATGGGGACCGAGGGAGTGGCAGGCGCTTTGGGCTTGCAGAGCCCGTTGTATCTCAACAGTTCGATTCATTGGAATGACACGTTGTGTCTTAATACTACGTCGAAATTGTACGGTGCGGCTGCCATCTACGACCCTGCGAACCAGATCAAGGTGAAGAAGCCCAAGAGGATGATCAACAGCACTCTGGGGTTCAACGACACCGCGCAGTTCAATGAGACCGAAGGCTACAACGAGACCCAAGTGGGCACCGGCAGCGACAAGGGGGGACTGCGTGGGCTTTACAGTTATCTGGGATACCACGCGGATGGTTCCCAGTTTGAGGTGCCTTACCTCAATTCGAGCTTTGATTTCGGCCTGAACACCACCAACGCCACGCAGAACTTCACCTGGATGCAGCTCGGCGGCATGTGGGAAGAGCATCCAATCATTCACCCACACATTTTCAAGGCGCTTGCCAACTTCACAGTTGTGTACACAGAGTGGGCGAACCCGTTCAACTTCAACCACTATCACCCGCGATACGACCCGCACACTTACACTATACCAATGGAGCTCCGCGGCTCGATGGTGCTCTATACATTCCTGCTGGGCACCGCAGCCCTGAAAGCAAAGTGGAGGCTAAGCATAGCAGCGGGCCTGTCCCTCTATGCCCTGACCCTGGGGCGCTGGGATATCGGCACGTTCGTAGGGGGCATGGTGCTCTCCGAGGTCGACGTACTCCGCTCCTCGGACCCCAGTGAGATAGGACCAGAGGACCGCGCCCTCCTGCTCGCACTGGGCGGCGGCAACGGCATGAGGGCCAGGCGGATGTCGCCGCTCAAGGCCAAGGTCCTCCGCTGGCTCCTCATCTTCGTCGCGCTCTGGCTCCTCTCGTACCCTGACGCCGGCGCCGAATACACACCCGGCTTCAGGCTGCTGGCCTGGCTGGCGCCCCGCTACTACCTCCCGATATCGAAGTGGATGTACTATCAGGCCATCGGCGCGCTGCTGCTCATCCCCTGCGTGCTCCGCAGCCCTACCCTGCGCAACCTGCTCGAAGGCTCGGTGGCACAATACCTGGGAAAGGTCAGCTTCTCGTTCTACCTGGTCCACGGGCCGGTGCTCCACAGCCTCGGGTTCTGGATCATGCCGCGGTTGTTCGAGCTGTTTGGTAGGCCGGTGGGGTTTGTGATGGGATGGTTCATGCTCTTGAGCGCCACCCTGAAGCTGGTCTCATACTGGCAGGTGGTCGATAATTGGAGTGTGACCGTTGGGAGGAGGGTTGAAGCTGTGTTGGTCCAGTCGTGATAACTCTGTCAATAAGCTATGTTTAGATATGTACATTTACAACAACGGCAGCTGTTCAGTCGATGAGCAAGGCTCATGTTCCTGCGAGGGAACGGGTGTGCCTGCCCATCGGACAGTGCTTGGCGTGTGGCATGGCTTGGGCAGCAGCCGAGAGGGCAAAATTCGTTGCCGAGGGCGAGGCTCAGGAGTTGGGTGGTGAATTTCGTGCCCAGATTCATTGGGTTGATTCGGCGTTGGCAGGAACATACAGGCAAATACAGGTAAATACAGGGGCGTTAGACACATGGCAAGTAGATATTTCATTTTCATGCAAAATACCTACATCCCACCGGGCGGGCCCAGAACCCAAGCTCCGAAGGATTCGGTGGCACTATTGAAGCCCTCTTCTGCCAATTTAAAGGATGGGTCATCGGCGAATTCTCCTCATAAACCCTGTTCCCGAGCCGCTCACACGCACCTCAGACAGATCCGCCCCGCTGATAGATTGATTGATTCACTGGGTGTTGTGGCAGACTGGATGGGATGAACAGGCCCGGCCACAACGGCTCGGTATCTGCACGACAACACGCATCCTAAGATCCTCCGATGTCAAGCTGCGAGCCCATATCACAATGCACACAACGTCCCATTGGCCTTCGGCAACCGTGCCGGCCAATAGGATCAGAATAAGAAGCAGTTGGTGTTAGAGATGGGAGCCTTCCTGCGGGTGTTATTCCCTGGGGACACACCTATTTGGCCCCTTTTTGCCGCCTTTACGACTTTGACAATATTTTCCAATTTTAGGAATCCTCTGTGCCGACGTAATTTGCTGCGAGGGAATCGCGAGACCAGGAACCGGAAGCTGATTGGATTGGCGTGCCTTGCTGAGTCGCTGTGCCCCGTATCTACATACGAGCCGATTTTGACTTCTGATTTCGAACTGGTTGGGGAAGGATTCACGGCGCAGCGCCAGGGACGGAGAGGCACTTAACCACAAAGGGCGCTGCGCAGCCCATGACAAGCTATGCCTTGTGGGCCCACGATGGATGCGACGCAATCAAAAGAACCTGGCCGCGCCCGCACTTGCGGATCTGCACGCGAAGGGGCTCGTTTTCTCCAGGTTTTTGCAGTCCAACTTCTGTCGACCTGCATGCCTATCCATACAACGAAGCCGCGGCCCCCAATGCCTCGAGAGGGCGCAAGCCAGCGGGAACGTCCAGCTCTGATTGATAACACGGATTAATGGTCTGGCCTGTGGGGCCTCCTGAGCTTTTTGATCCTTCTATGAGATCTCATTACCCCGGGGGCAGACACTCGGGGTTTTCTCCTTGACCATCACGTCGATAGCACCATTACTTCGTTGCTCTCGGGCCATGTTGATCTCGCGCTTTCTCTGCCTGATGGCTGCGCCGCTGGTGGCCCGGGCTGCAGACACCTCATCACACCGGGTCACCTCAGTTTTTATTGACACTGTCTCGGGGTACGACGAGCTGTCGACCTGTGCCGAGGAAGTCCTGTCGACGATCGTACGAGCGCAGTACAGTGGTTGCGGGGACAAAGGCGCGGTGACAAGCTACACATGTTTCTGCACGGATTCGAGCTCAGAGATGAGCTCGATGATCACAAATGCTGTCTCACTGTCTTGCGACTCTTCTGTTGTCTCCGCCCAGGCTTCAAGTGCGATTGACGTGTTCGATGCGTACTGTGCTATCGGCGTCCCAGATGATCTAGTGGAGACGACGACGACGGGTGGTACGTATCATTTGATAGGAGCCAGAGCTGCAGAATGTAAGAGGTCTTGTACTGACCCCAGGAATGACAGCTTCCACAGCAAGCGCAACAGGAACTGCAACGCCAGCGGCCACGGCGTCGACAACTGCGGCATCGGCGACTTCAGCGACTTCGGCCACCGCTTCTTCTTCTTCAACTTCAACGTCCACGCCCAGCACGTCAACGAGCCACTCGAAGGTCGTGGCCATTGCAGTTGGTGTCTCAGTGCCTTGTGGCGTCATAGGCATCGCTCTGATAGCTGGCCTCCTCTGGTGCCGCCGCCGCCGCCGACATTTGCAGCAGAGATCCGAGAAGCGACAGCAGTTGGAGTCGACGTCTCAGGCGACGGGTATGGGCAGTTCGAGGCCCGAGTTCAAATGGCCGACCCGGATCGCAGGCACGCAGGAGCTGCCGACGCAGTATCACAGCCACGAGATGCCGGCCCAGGAATTTATCACCTCACCCACCAGCTCGGACTTCCATATATCGCCATTACCAGTCACGCCGGCCTATCAACAACAACAGTCTGTTTATCAGGTTCAGTCAGAGAAGCACCCACATCAACATCATGAGTATTACAAGCCGTCTAAAGAGGCTCACCAACAGCAGGAACCGCAAGAATTGCCCGCGTCGTCAGAGCTGTCAATCGAGAACCGGCACGAGCTGGAAGGGAGCCTCAGCCCCCAAACACCAAGCGCTCGCTTCTCGTATCAGCCGTACGAAAAGTGACAGGGCGAGGCTTTAGTGAATGTGGAAGGACATTCTGCGTTCATGTATTTATGACCTAATGTAAATAATGAGAGGGCTTCTTCCATTCGAAGCCATTATGACACTGCCTTTGCCGCGCCGTTAGTTGTTTGTCGTGTTCAAGTCCGCGGCTACCCCAGTAAGAGAAGACGGAGAAAATAGAATCGACACTAAAGAGAGAAGCGGGTGTAATGCCTTAAAAGCCAACTTTTTCAAGCCAATTTTACTCGACTAGTACTTGCCGAGTCATATGAGTATCGTGAATACAAGGTTTTAAAGTTTGGGTTCGGTTGAGGCAGGAGAACTTAGGTAGGGATTATGATGATAGTGATGGTGATGTGATGGCACAGGCCTGTCAGGCCACCTGCGTGCAGGGACGTATGCACCTCTAGCTTCCAGGGCACCCAGATCTCAGAACTCAAAAGTCAGGCTACTGCACGGTTACCTAGCTATGTTCCTGGCTAGGCAGTGTAGGTGCTTTGCCCAGGTAAGCCCATGTAGACTAGATAGTCTACCATCCCTCAAAGCAGGTCCCTGGGTATGCTGGGGTTTGGCCTGCCTCCACCACACTGGCCTGGAGCATTTCTCCGCACTAGCGCGGGGTCTCACAGATGGCTCCCGTGGGGTAAAAATGCAAGAGAGCTGCACGTTCCTTTCCTTCCATTGATAAGATAGCCCGACTAATTACCTGAAGTCTCCGGATTTGGGTTCGTTACCAGAATATCTTATTCACCAACACCGACTGAAGACACACATACTTGGTAGGTGAGACTAGATTGGCTTCCTAGAATCTAAACCACATGTCCTACGTATTCTCTTTATTCGGGAGCCCAGCTTCCGCCTAGGGGGAAGTGGATGCACTCAAGCTCTCTGAGTATGGCTTGGATTTATACAATCTGGGATAACAACTCACCACCGACCTGCAGCACCTCCGACGCGGTCCGTAGTGCGTGGAATTGGCCTCCCGAAGCCATTGAGAGACCTGCATGCCAGTTATACTTCCCAGTGTGTCTTTCCTGGTCTGCTTCGTTAACCTTGTTCAAGGTACCACCTTCGTTTTCACCTACTATTCTGCCCAGAACATTTTGGGCCGAGAGACTCGTCAGTTTAGATCAACATGTACCATTTCTAGGTTACTGTAAAAATTGCTAGCTTATCATGACCTTGTGATTCAATTGTCGCTTTGGGCAATGTCTCAAAACCTTACATTAATTGTTTTGTAGAGGTATTGCAGCGGCTCCTGGCTTAGCTTCCCGTCGGTGCCGAACGCGGCAGGGAAAATTTGGAGCTCTCAAGTCTCTCGTCCCCGATCTGACTACTCTCTGGTATCAGCGACTGCTTGACTCACCTCGCCATCATCTTTTCTGCCCGGTCGCAAGTCACTGATACTGCAGCTGTACTTTCTGGCAATCTAAGAGACTGCATCGTTCAATTTCAAAGCCAGGCAAGCCAAAATGGAGGTCGATTCCCAACTAATCGACCCCGCCCTGTCCGACTCGACGATGGACCACAACCCTTCCGCACGCGCTCGTGCCCCAGCGAACGACGACGACGACGATCCCATTGCCGCAACCTACAACATCTTCCTCAAGCCCTCGTTGCCTGCCCACCGCAGAGTCATGATCTTGGAACACCCGAACAAATCCGACGGGAAGAAGATGGCCCGCGCCCCCTTGGAGATCCGCATGAAGACCAACACTGGCATGATAGAGGTGGACTACCCGATCGACTACAACGCCTTCTACGACAGGTCCAAGGGCCTCAACTGGGGCACACACCTGCAAAAGAGCACCGAGGCCAAGAAGGGCGGCACTCACGGTCTCGCAGGTGGCTTTGGCGTCGGTGCGCCTCCACCGCGCGCGCGACCTGGGAGGGGACAGGACGAGGTGTTCGACCCGAGCACCGACTGGGCAGAGGCGTTGAGGAAAGACTACGTACTGCGCACACAGACCTTGGGCGGACAGATGCCGGACACAAGCCAGGAGTCCAAGTACATGGTTGGAGTATTCTCCGGGCGTACGTGAATTACTGATGTCACTCTCGGTGCTCCTGCTCCTGCTTGTACAATTGCTTACCATGCTTTCTCTCTTACACAGCAAACCTACACCTCACCCCCGCAACCTCCCTCATCCACCTTCGCCCACAACTACACCACATCGACGCTGCGACCGAGCAAGAACGCCTCGCCGCTTCTCGCGGCGCCGGTGGCGCCGGCGGGGCGGCAGCAACCAAGGACGTCGCGCGCGCGATCCACATGACGGTGAAGCAGAACACCGACGGCAGCGAGGAGATCGTCCAGGAGACGATGGCGGACCGGCTGAAGAAGGTGCAGCTCGAGGCGTGGAAGAAGATGCGCTACGTGCACGAGGAGGCCAGCGACTCGTGGGCCGTCGCCGAGGAGGCTCTGTATCTGCACCAGCCCGAGGGTGGCGTGGCGGCGGCGGCGGAGCAGGGCGGCGGCAAGGGCAAGGAGGCGGAGGCCGACGTGCTGAGCCAGCCCGGCCTGCCGGACTTGGTCGACAAGGTGGCGCGGCTGCGGACGGGGTGGGACGAGGACAGCATGCTGGAGACGACGAGCGGCATCTCGAGGCCCAAGAACGTCAAGATCGAGATTTCCGATGATGAGCCTGCCGAGTCTGCGTCCAAGGCGAAGGGCAAAGGGAGAGCCACCTCGACGACCACTGTGAAGGCCACACCCAGGGGTAAGAGAGCAACCACCACCAAAACCGCAAAAGCAGGGTCTTCGAAAGCTCAGAAGAACGATTGACGATTGGACGAGTGCTGATTATGGATGGCTTTGTTTTGTTTTTAGGGTCAGGATCAAGGTCATGATGATTTGCGCAGACAGGAGGACTACTTTCCGGTTGCATACAACGGCGTTGGTTAGGCGTGAAAAGGTCATGATACCCATCACCGATGAAAGAGGGATTGGATGACTGCAAGGTACTGAATGCATATATGCATATTGTATTTCCATTCGATGGATACTATGATTTGCTGATCAACAGTGATCGGCTCAATCTATCGAACAGGCTCAAAAAAATCGAGTTGAACTTCACTCGGTACCGTGAATGAAGCACGTTTCCCACACTCTTCTCTCGCGTTGGTGCCCACGGATACGTACAAGCCCCCCATGCCTGTCGCTCAAAAATCCGTTTGTGGTGCGATGTCGCCTAGATCCACGATCCTCACTGCGATCGTCCATTCCGTCACACAGCGAGCTCGTAGCCCGCCGCAGTCCTTGACAATTCGCTCAGGTTTCCTCATCGCCTCAGGTCTCTATTTTATTATCGTCTCCAGCACCTGGGGAGGACTCCGTTTGAATCAAGTCCACCACGCTGCTAAGAGGTTGCAGCCGTCAACTTAGTTGTAAATTGTATGTATCAACCCAGCAATGACACATCGAGGCCGATGGCCTGCATGAACAAGTTCACGTTGCCGAGACGCTGCACAGCCAGGTCCTGAGGCAGGGTCTTCGCAACCTCGACTGTTCCGAGCACACGATCCTTGACGCCTACAACCAGCCGCTGCTGCTGGTCAGCATTGGCACCTATGCCAAGGGCTGCGAGAAGCTGCCAAACGTAGGCGTCCTCGCCAGATACAGGGGTGCCAGGGAACATGTATGGCAGTGTGGGCTCCAAAATGTTGAAGAGATTTGCATAGTTGCGCTCCCTGCGGACAAATGATTAGCATAAAGCAACGAAGTGGATAGGAGTATCTACGTACCAAGCGCCGCCATCCTGAGACCTGATATTGTCCTTGCCTCCTTGCTGCTGGATCATAATCTCAGCACGGCTCAGAATCATGGTCAAGAAACCAGCGCCGACACGAGTTCTAGCGACAAGGTCCACGTTGGCTTCGGAACAGAGAAGGCCGAGAATGCCGGTGATGATGTTCAACTCGAGCTCGCCCATGAACATGAACAGCGTGTTGTGTACTGCCATGCTGAAAAGCTCAATATCCTCGCGCAGCTTGGCATCGAGGTTGATGTGGCCATCGGTCACCGAGCCCCTACGGACAACGTCAAGCTTGTCAAGATTCACGACTATCAGGGTGAGAATCGTCGTGCGCTGCTCGAAGTTCACATGTCGGAAAACACGTGGGATGGCCTTCTTGCCCTTCGCAGTCTCGAGCATTGCGATGAAAGGATGGATGAAAGCCCCGGCTGGTACAGGTTCGTGGATCTTGAGCTCTCGCCAAAGCTGCTGGTTGAGCTTCTGCGTTGTGGCCTCCCACTCAGCGAACTGCTGGACGAGCTCCGAATCGTCCTCACCCGTCGCTGGAGGCGGAGGCGGCATCTTGCGCCCATGGTCTTCGAGCTTCATCAGAGTGTTGTAGACCTTCTCAATGTCTGCGAGCAAGTTCTTCCTGTTCAGGATTGAGCCACTGGGATGATTCTTGTGGGGTGTACCTTGACGATGTACATCGCCGCCACTCTCAGTTCGCTTGATGTTGAGCAACGGCTTTGGGGTCTTGGCGTTGCTGAAAGAGATTTTGCCTAGACTGCCCTCAATGACAAGTTGCGAGTTCTTGGGCTTGTTTTTGGCCGCCTCTACAGCCCGCTGGACTTGCTGCTCCATGCGCTGCATATGGTTTTCGGGCCCGCCACGGTGTCGTCGGTGGCCGCCTTGACGGTTGCCAGTCTGGTACAAATATGTCTGAGCGAAGTTGCTCAGAGGCTGGCTAGGATTCTGGCGTTGGCCACCGCGAATCTGGTTATGGACCTGGTAATAGAAGTCTTCCGCCAGAGCCTCATCAGTACCGTTGTCGGACGGGTTGCCTGTAGCAGCAACAAGTTGTTGCAACTGTATCCGCGTGATAAAGTTTTTATCATGCGGGGTCATGATACCATTGTCGCGAGACAGGAGATAGATTTTGTGGTTGCGTTTGGCCCGGCGCGCTTCCTGCTCAAGGTAGGCAGCCTTTTCCTCTTCAGAGAGCTGGGCCAGTTGCGAAGGGTGGGTAATGATCGGTGGCTGGCGACCAATTGAGCCTTGAGACTGATGTGCGGGGTGAGATGGGTAGGATGGTGCTCCTACGCGAGCAGCGTCCCCAGACAACCGGTTCGGGTTCTGCAAGATCTGGGTAGGCTGAACCTGTTGAGGCGCTTGCTGTCGCTGTTGGATCATAGGGCTCGAAGAAGTTGGCGCTGTGGGCTGCGTTTGCTGAGGCTTCGAACGAGGTCGCTGGAGGATTTGCACTGGTTGCCCATGCGAGTGAAACTGCCCAGTTTCGTTGGGACGTTGTGCGTCGATTGAGGTGGTAGGAGGCTGACCAGCACGGTTGGATGCACCGTAGAGATCAGCCTGTTCGAAACCACCCTGGACCTGGGAGGCATGCTGTTGCTGCGGCGGGGCCGTTTGCTGGTAGGTAGCTTGAGCTGCAGCAGCAGCATCAACTTGTGCTTGCTTCCTAGCTTGGGCTTCGGCTCTCATTGCGGCCTCGACCTCCTCCAGGCTCATGACTTTACGCCCAGAAGCTGGTGCGGGTGCCTGGGCCGGCGGCACGGGAGCGGTAGGGGCGGTCTGCTCCGTGGGAGCAACTCCCCACAGGGTAGGGTCGACCTGGAGATCCATGCTCGAGTCTGGTGCGTCGTACTTTTCATAACCCGTGCGCGCAGGTCTGTAGGACGGCTGCGCATAGTTGTAGGAGGGCGCGTACTGAGTATTAGCGGGAGCAGGTGGTGCGGCAGCCGCATTGTTGCGGCTGTAGAGCATATGCTCCTCCTCGATGGCGTTGGCTACCTGGGCGGTCCGACCAAAGAAGTCAAAGTCCTTGCCAACTGGCCCGCCGCCCGCACCATTGTCACCCCCAAAGGTATCATCATTGAAGTCATCGCCTGTTTCATCGAGCTGGTCGCCGAGGCCATCGTAGGTATCTTCGAAATCGACAGCGTCTCCGCCACCGTCCTGGTGGCCGGAGAGTCCGGCGAAGGGATCGCGTGCCTGAGAGAAGCCAGGGGCAGCCTGGTTGTGTCCTGTGGTATCGAAGCCAAAGAAAGACATTTTGCACGTATTTGGCTTCAAGAAAGGTCCGTGGAGCGGATACGGGACTGAAACTCGTCAGTTAGAAAGGAAACGGATTGAGGACAAAAGTCACAGGTGGTACAAGAGAATAAAGAGGAAACAAAAATGACTTTATGAATGGTTGAAGTGAAGAACGTGGAGTTTGCTTTTGGGCAGTGGGGTAAGGCCAGCGTTCCGATAGTGCGGGTAGACGAGATGAATGGAGCTCCGGTGCCAAATTCAAGGCCGAAGCTGTTGTGAGGTGGACGGGAAACCAGCAACCCAAAGCTTGTCTTCAGTGAGCAGCTTCCAGACTTTCTGGTAACGCCAGAGTGGGTCTTATGGTCGAAGGTGGGCAAGGGAGGGGTGGACAAGTGAGGGCCAAATGATGCGGCTGAGTTGGGAGCAAGGACTTGCAAAAGCGCGTCAGGACCACGAGAGAGCTGGCTCAGGACTCACAAACTAGAGGAAGTAGGGGTAAGGTGTGTCTCCAATGGTCGGCTCTATCATGATCATTTCGACACGCGGGAGGGCAGGTTCGCAGCGAGACTGGACCTTGATCTGGCCAGTCGAAATGGAATCAAGAAGCAGGGCAGGGCAGGGCAGTCCGAGTCCCCAAGAATAAGTATGTGTAAACAGTCAGAAAGCAGCGGGCATGCAAAGGAAGGCAGGAGGCCCTGATATCAAAACAAGCGACGTGGCCGACGTGGTAAGGATGGTTGGGCGGTGGTGGGAGGATGACGCCTATCACGATACACAACAGATGGAGGTGATGCGACAATTGACGACGAGAGCTCCAAGACCGGTGGAGCTGCACGGACCACCTCGAGGTCGGCGCTGTGGCTTCCGGCACCCGAGGTCAATGTGGTCGTTGGTGGCGTGGAGGGGCTACGGTGTTGTTCAGTGACCACATGTAATACACGAATCAATCGCCCATTCAACATTGTGCACGCTTTCTTGCTGGAGTAGGTAGTTCCCCATCGAATATATGAGTACAATTCAATCATTTTCACTTCTCATTTTGTATGCAGCTTGTCTTGTACTACAGGATACACAGGTCCTTGGAGCTCATTCATTGTGCACGGCTCAACAAAAGAAGCAGGAGGATATGGTGACACGTTTGGGCAAGTAGCAGGTAACAAATAACAATACCACGGCACTGTACATACGGAGACTTGGATAGCTGCCGTAACAGGAAACGACCCGCCGCTATACGAGAGGTAAGCTTTGTGTCATTGACTGGGTGTTTGACATGACTGGATCCGGCGGTAATACGAGATTCTCGAGACTAGCCAGGTACTCTGTAGTCTATAGATTTACAGACTATCTAGGTACAGACTATCTAGGTGGCTGCTGGCTACGGCTGCCCGGCACAGGCACAAGTACCGCCGTCAAGCTGTCAACGGTTGACGGCGTGTATGCAGTTGATGTCGTCCAAGGCTGTCAATATCAAGATGAAATGCCGAGGAGAGCCATAGAACAGGTGTCAGGGCTGAACCAATGATTCGGTCAAAAACGAGACACCATGTGGACTTGTGGGTGGGAAGCAAATTAACAGAATGTCGCACCTCACCTGGGTGCTGGCGTGTTGACAAATGAATGTCGACGATGCGTGGCTGTAGATTGCGACAATTGGGCCTGACTGGGCAACCTCGGAGCATCATCAGGGTCCTCCCAGCTGTTTTCTGGCCGGCCACTCCGTTGCTCTCTCTACCGGAGACACTCGCTCAGTCGACTCGCCACCAGAGTACCGAGTGCCGCGCTGCGAAATGGCGAGGGTTAAAAAAGGCAAGTCGATGCAGGCCACGAGAGACACTCGCAACAACTAGGCCAGATACTAAGTTTGTGACAGACGGAAGGGGAGGCAAAGGGAAATAGGGGGCATTGACCGTTCACGGCTGGGGGGGCTTAGGTCTTGGTTCTGAATATTCAAAAGTAACTTATCGATGCCACTCTAACTGATAAACGGCAGATCAGCGCAGCCTTTGTGTTAGTGGGCACGGTGGTCCCTGGGGACTAATTTAGCGTGCAGTGCAGGGGAGAAGGACAAACTGACGCGGCAACTAGACTCAGACAGGAGGTGTACTGACAGAGTATGAAGACTTAACTCGCCTCCGTCCATTCGCAGTCCTGACGAACACTCCTTTTCGTTTCTTCCACCCGATCGATTGTTCTGCCGGAATCACCGTGCTGGCCGACTCTTTCTATTTTGCAACAGCGAATCACCCTCCCCTCCGTCTTACCTCAGAGTGCCGAGTCGGCGCGGAAGCGTTGGCGGAGAATGCTACGCTGAAACCGAATTGCGATCTCTAGGTGCCGATCGAGCCACGACACCCGACCAGCAACGGCGGCCGACCCTTCAAAAGGTTGCGGTGCACCAAATCTCAATCATTTACTCTGGCGACTCTGGCCCATTCCAAATAGCTACCGATCCTCCTTTCCCGTTGAACAACATCCTCTAGTCTTCAACATGGCTGGCGGCGTACGGATCTTGCGATACGCACTGCCCACCGTCTTTGTATGTTTCCGCAATGTCCACACCACATCCACCTACACTCTCTACTGTCCCCTTGCACCACTGTGCAATGCGCGCAGCCATAGCAGGCTCTACTAACACCGCGCTAGATAATCATACTTCTCTATATAGCTCAGACTTCGTACCGAGGCTCCATCACAAGCCCTGGGTTTTCCTATGGTCAAACAGGTGCCAGCAAACCGAACGGAGGAAATACACAAGCGACCACGCCCCAGACCGGCTCAAAGAAAGAGGACCTCGGAACAAGCCCACTGGTCACCCAGCCTGGCTCGCCGCAATGGGAGGATCTGGCCAGCACTGCTCCGGGCCCGCGCGTGAATGCGACTTTTGTGACCCTGGCCCGTAATTCTGACATTTGGGACATTGCACGATCGATCCGGCAGATCGAAGACCGCTTCAACCGCCGCTACAACTACGACTGGGTCTTCCTCAACGACAAGCCATTTGACTCGACGTTTAAGAAGGTGACCTCATCGCTGGTCTCAGGTACCACGCATTATGGCGAGATCGCTGAGGAGCACTGGTCATTCCCTCCTCACATCGATCAAGAGAGGGCTAAGCAGGTGCGGGAGGACATGCGGGAACGCAAGATCATCTATGGCGACTCCATTAGCTACCGTCACATGTGCCGATTTGAGTCGGGCTTCTTTTTCCGCCAGCCACTTATGATGAACTACGATTACTACTGGCGCGTCGAGCCCAGCGTCGAGATCTTTTGCGACATCCACTACGACCCCTTCCGGCTGATGAAGGAGACGGGCAAGAAGTACAGCTTCGTGCTCAGCCTATACGAATATGTCGAGACCATTCCCACTCTTTGGGACAGCGTCAAGAAATTCATGAAGAACCACCCAGAACACATTGCGAAGGACAACTCTATGGGCTTCCTCAGTGACGACAACGGCGAGAACTACAACCACTGTCACTTTGTATGTCCCCCTACAATTATTTCCTTCGACACTTCACTAACTTGACCAGTGGTCCAACTTCGAAGTTGGCGACTTGAACTGGCTACGTTCCCAGGCATACATCGACTTCTTCGAGTCTTTGGATCAGGATGGCGGGTTCTTCTATGAGAGATGGGGTGATGCCCCTGTTCACTCAATCGCTGCTGGACTCATGCTGCCGAAAGACCAGATCCATTTCTTTAACGACATTGCATACTACCACGTCCCATTTACACACTGTCCGACAGGCGAGAAACATCGGCAAGATCTGAAGTGCCACTGCAACCCCAAGGATAACTTCGACTGGAAGGGATACTCCTGTATGTTTCGCCCCGCTCGAGATGCTCAGCATTCTGCTAACACAAGGCTACAGGCACATCGAGGTATTTCGATATCAACGGCATAGACAAGCCAGAGGGATGGGAAAGCCAGACAGACTAAATTTTGGGTCTCCCCGCAAATCTATGTATTCCTACATTTCTTGTAGTTTGAAACTTTTCTTCCAAAAGGCATGGTGCACCCATACACCTGAAGGGGCCAAAGGATCTCGGGGGCGTCTGGATTGGGGACTGGCAGGTCGCATTTGGGCAATTCGGCTGTTTCTCGTGACTGGTATGGCGTACATAGTATCAGGTGCATCGTCATGATTCACTGAAGCCATAATGCGAGACCTGTGTCGCTTGAAAGAAATGATGAGCGCCACAGGGAAATTGAAGACATCAAAATTGACAAGAGACGAACGAGCCACCCGCTGTTTTATGTGTCGGAGGATAACCTGCTGCAAAACAAATGGCAGATGGAGTGAGGCCCCCTAAAATTGATGGACAATAGCACCAGTGCGACAGTGCAAGTAGGGAAACGCGAGTGGAAAAATAGAAGGTGGTGGGTGAGTCTAATGACATCCAGTCGTGTGTCGCTTTCACTTGACCTGGGCCTCTTGATCATGGATACTGATGCCCCCGTTGTTGAATTTTGTCCTGCTCGGCAGTCATCTCTTTCAAGATGTATTGAGGTGCTAGGATGTTTCTCATCTTGATTTACAGGGTAAATGTACATCTATCTCTCCGTTTGTCCCTGAAAGCCAGCCTTGTCCCCCAGGACTGTCTATCCAGCTTTAACTAACACTCGCCTTCTTGGGCTTCTTGGTGCCGTACTTGCTCCGAGCATTTGTCCTGTTCGTCACTCCGCCCAGATCCAGCGCGCCCCTGACCAGCTTATACCGCACACCGGGGCAATCCTGCGCCCTGCCGCCCCTTACCAGGACCACGCTGTGCTGCTGGATGTTGTGGCCCTCGCCTGGGATGTACGCCGTGATGGTCTTGCCCGTAGTCAGGCGCACACGTGCTGTCTTTCGCTCGCCCGAGTTGGGCTTCTTGGGCCGCGTGATGCCGACCTTGATGCAGACGCCCTTGCGCTGCGGGTCGTGGCCGCCGGCCAGGGCGGGTGAGACGGCGTGGCGAGCTCGTCGGGGTTTGCGGCAGCCCTGCGGTACACAGTCAGTATATCTAGTGTTGAGCAGCGGAGAGCCACAACTATAGGGGAAAACGTGCCTTGAGAACTTGGTTCAGCGTCGCATTCTGGGTTGGTGTTGAGGAGAAGGAGCGGAAGGGGGTCGATGGTTTGAGGAAGGCAGATTTTGCCACAGGTCGAGCTGCAGGAACAAATGCCCTTCGTAGTGATGGCATCAAAAGATGCCGCAGTATTGGCATCGCCATGATTGTCAGCGATGGGGCTGTAGGTTGGTATATTGCTATCACAGCTCGAGGCCCACCGGCGCGCTACAGCGCTTCAATCCCATGAGCCCAAAATCTTGGACTGTTCAATGTGGCCCGAGCGTTCTGCCATGCTTAGTCACTTTTTCTTCACATGCCTTCGAGAACGACCCTTGGCCTCTTTTTCCCCGGACCCCAATTTTTCTCCATGACGCACCAGGCCGATGCCACCCCTGTGGCCAGGTGCGTTGGAGGCAGGGGTGGTCTCGGTGGGCATTGGAATGCGGGATGCGACCTTGTGGTTATCCTCGGCTTGAGCCCGTTCACTCCATCGCCTCGCACCAGGTAGCCTACTTAGTCCTCTTTTTTCTCACACCCGTCCCTGGTCGGTGAGACATTCTGTTCAGGCCTTCTTCTGCTGATCTTCTTTACAATTGCAAGTACAGCGTTGCTTCTGTCTGCTCTCTCGTGACAGTTATCACCTCAGCACACCATGTCGTCTCTAGCGAGAGCGTTGCGCCCGGCTGTCCGGGTGAGCCAGAAAGGCTTGGGCGGTCTGCGGACAACCCCCAGAGTAACACGCCCTGTTCAAAGGCTTGCCAGTATACAGAAGTAAGGACCATCCGTATACCTCGCTCGTGTCGACAGCAAGTAAACTCACCGGCTTGATTCGACAGTGCCCGCCCTCTCTCTACCAGTCCGCGGTTGATGTCCGACATCACCGAGATCCCACCAACGCCTATCACACATTTGTCCGAGGTCGAGACGGCAATGCAAGAGTCTGTGTCCAAGTTCGCCAACGATGTGATCCTACCCAAAGTCCGAGAAATGGACGAGGCCGAGAAGATGGACCCTTCCATAGTAGAGCAGCTCTTTGAGCAGGGTGTGATGGGCATCGAGATCCCGGAAGAGTTCGGTGGGGCCGGAATGAACTTCACGGCCGGGATCCTCGCCATTGAGGAGCTCGCTCGCGTAGACCCGTCCGTCAGCGTGCTCGTCGACGTGCACAACACGCTGGTCAACACCGCCATCCTCAAGTGGGGAAGCAAGGACCTCCAGAAGCGTTTCCTGCCCAAGCTTGCCACCAATACAGTGGGTTCCTTCTGCCTCTCGGAGCCTGTGTCCGGGTCAGATGCCTTCGCGCTGGCGACGAAGGCCACTGAGACACCGAACGGATACAAGATCTCGGGCTCAAAGATGTGGATCACCAATTCCATGGAGGCGAACTTCTTTATCGTATTTGCGAACCTGGATCCAAGCAAGGGATACAAGGGCATCACTGCCTTCATTGTCGAGAGAGAGATGAAGGGCTTCTCTATCGCCAAGAAGGAGAAGAAACTCGGTATCAAGGCCAGCAGCACATGTGTCGTCAACTTCGACGATGTCGAGGTTCCCAAGGAGAACCTGCTGGGTGAGGTGGGCCAAGGCTACAAGTATGCCATCGGTCTCCTAAATGAAGGCCGGATAGGTATCGCCGCGCAGATGACTGGTCTTGCGCTGGGTGCGTGGGAAAATGCCGCCAGATACGTCTGGAACGACCGGAAGCAATTCGGCCAGCTGGTCGGCGAGTTTCAAGGCATGCAGCACCAGATTGCACAGTCATACACCGAGATTGCGGCTGCGCGCGCGCTGGTGTACAATGCCGCCCGGAAGAAGGAGGCTGGTGAGGACTTCGTCAGAGATGCCGCCATGGCGAAGCTGTACGCGTCACAGGTGGCTGGCAGAGTCAGCGGCCTTGCGATTGAGTGGATGGGAGGTATGGGCTTCGTAAGAGAGGGGCTGGCCGAGAAGTACTGGAGAGACAGCAAGATTGGTGCTATCTATGAAGGAACGAGTAACATCCAGTAAGACTCCACCCGACACCCTTAGAAGACGACTGCATACTGACACTGATTCAGGTTGAATACCATTGCGAAGCTTTTGCAAAAGGATTACACTTCCTGAGGGGTGGTTGATGTTTCCTCTCGAAGCGTTATGGCGCTGGTGGCACAAATTCATGTAGAACTAGATCACTCATAGCTGAAGGAGAAGCAACTGGCGGGCAGCAATGTACCACTATTTGAATTTCCTCTGGTCATCCTTCTTACCTGCACCCAGTGGCTGCCATATACCAGCCTTGTAATCTTCCACAAGCTGCTCCAAGACCTCTGGCGGTTCCTCGGCAAAGTGATCCATCTTTTCTCTCCATTCCAGCTCTTCTTTCGTGCTCTCACGGCCTCGAACTTCATTATTGTATGGATACCTTCCAAATCGATCAATAACTGGTTTATGAATATCTATCAGCATCATCCACCACCAGGACCATGTCTCCAGCGTCACGTCCTCGCCCAGCGGCGGACCCGCACGTGCTACACGCGGGAAGCCGTAGATGTCGGACAGGACCTCATCCCTTTTCGCCCTCCACGGATCTGTCACCCCCGTCTTGGCTTCCACAGCCCTACGAGTCGTGTCTGTGAACTCCAGAGCGATCGCCTGATTCTCAGCTGACTCAGAGTGCACGAACGGGGCCCCCATCCAGAACCGGACACACGTCCAGTAGTCAAACGACGCTCCAAGTTCGGTGCACCAGCGCGTCTGCGAGTCTGGTCTCTGATCGTCTGGGAGAGCCAGCCATGACCTCGCAAACCGCTGGCTTACCACGTCGAAGTAGCACGACCTCCACCTGCCGTCAACGCCGCGGCAGAGCGAACGTGGCGCCTGGTCCAGAAGAAGCTGCATGCCAAGGCACTGGCGGGGGAACTCCGCGCTTGCCGGGGGCGGGAGGAAGTTCGCCATCAAGAACTCAGGGCTGAGCGCATCCAGACCGGCTTTGCTGAGGGCGACGAGGACCGGCCATGCCTTGGGCTCTATTGTAGGGAGGAAGGGTCCTGCGCCGAATGTCTTCCGAGCGACTTCCCCGAAGTTGAGAGGCGCTGCCGGCGAGAAAGGTATCCGCGCCTCGACGAGGAGAGTGAGCAGAGAGGGGGTGATGAGGTGCTTGAGGTCGTCCATTCTTGCAGCCGTTCGATTTGCAAATATGAGGTCGCCTCACGACCAGCGAAGCGAAACTCCGTTGTCGAGGTGCCATAGCATTTATCTAGCTCCAAGAGGGCCGGCGTGCACGCGTTGCCCGTCTAGGAATGTAAGACGGATAGATTTGGTCCATCGAGGTCTCCACCAGCTTATCATATGCCGGTTTGATGCCAATGAAGATGAAACTTGAGATTCAAAAAAAATGTTCGAGCAGTCAAAAGCGCTTGAATCTGGATCAAAGCTTGTGGAATTCATTTTGAGCTGGAACGGGGGAATTTGCTCGGTCTCAGCAAAGTCCGGTGTATGGGATACTGCGAATCTATCCGACAATGACTTCATAGAGACGCACCAAGAGGTAGCGTGCCAGAGCTATGGGCTAGAGAGCCGCTCGGATGGTAAAGATGTTTGCCCTTAAATATCAAAGGCGGACATTGCTGAAGAAATTGCCATGTTTCATGCCGAACAACTGAACTTGGTATTCAAAGCGCATCTGCTCTCACAAAAGCCACGGTAGCTTTCCTTTCTGACCGAAACGACTCATAACTTCAACTTGACGATATCATCAATTAACACACAATGTCAATACTCAACAGTGTCCTTCAGGCCACAAGCATCTCCATCTCTCTCCTCGCTGCCGGCGGAATTGCAACCCTCTCCCTCTTTGATGTGCCTATCCTCAGGGCTCAACCAGCGTCACGCTCATTGCCCTCGATCCGCTGGCTATTCAGCCGCGGCTCGCACATCTTTCCAACAGCTGCGTTTGTCTCCGCTACCGGCTTTGGCATCTTGGCATACCGATCATTGCCAGGCTCTTTAGCATCACGTACTGTATTGCAGCTGTTGCGTGATGCGAGAGTAAGAGGATATCTTGCCGCGGCTACTCTGAACATCGCCATTGCACCCTGGACCTCTGTCATGATACCGAATAATTTTGAGCTCATTCAGATGAACAACAATTTGGGCGGCCATCGAAGTCTTGCAAGCTCGCAGGCGGCTCAGGAAGAGAAAGGCAACCCTAAACAACGGAGCGCCCGGGACTCTGTTGAGGGTAAGGGGGAGGTGGTTGCTGAGTTTCAAGATGTCAGCGACCCACAGGAAAAGACGACGCGCGAGTCTTCTGACTCTGAGGATGAGCAGGTCAGGGTCATGCTGACGAAGTTTGGGTTTCAGAATTCTGTGAGGGCTTTGTTAATGCTCTCTGGGGGTGTCATTGGGCTTGTGACGGCGCTGGGGTGACAGCAGCAACTCCATAGCTCCAGGATGACATGGAACGACTTGACCTTACTAGATGATATCAATTTTGGCAAAGTTTCCGGTCCTGAGCCTGGATTGGCAAGTACCCCGGTTGCACACACTCAGAACGAACAGTCTCTCAATTGACAGCAAGTGTGCTCGATGATGCGGCATTCAGGACCGCTTGATCCACTTCTCAAGTCTCAATGGGGCGTATGTTTAATTAGCTGAGAGATCTCTTTCGTGTGGTGAGTAGCAAAACGAGGCAGTTGATGTTCAAGGAATCAGGTATATTTTCTCTGGTCCTGTTTTTGGCTTGACTTGGACGAAGGGAATTATGAAAGCCATGCCTCATTCCTTGAGCCATGTGAACACACTGATCATACAACGCCGATGTTCGGCCTGTCTTGCAGTATGGTTAAAAGAGGCTACGGCGAAGATTTTGCGCGTATTGGTGAGCAGTCCATCCTCGATCGCGAAGCTCCACATTTGATTTCCAGTGACAACATTAATGTCCAAATAAGATAAAATCTGAACAGCCCACATAAGTCTGATTGTCGATCGTAGACCAGAACCATTGTAAAGCGCAGTCCCCGGCCACACGACAGTCCGTGTCTGCTAGGTTGGTGGGCATTGTGACGGCGAAGTCTGTGTTGTTCGGCGGCAGCGCGGGCAGGTCTCTGTTACCATAATCGTCGAAAAAGATGAGCGGAGGCCCGATCACGCTGTTGGTTGATGTTTTCACAATAGACACGTTCGCTGGTCCACCATGTAAAATACTAAGTTCAATCTTCATAGGGACGATTTGGCCAGGCCTGAATACGGAAAGTTTGTCCAGGTTGTCATCGAACTGGTGTCCGCGACAAAGAGTGAGGGGGCCTAGGAGGATAGATTAGCATTGGCCGCTCCCCTTATTTCACATCTTGACTGACATCCAGCCGTGATGTTCGGGGCGACGGTCTCCAGGGACGCAGTGACATCGCCTTTAGCAATATCGAAAGCAGTCTGCCCACACAAGCGCGTCATCGACGGCCCTAACACTCGAGAAGGAGGATTTCTGATGACGCCATGCGCGGCGACCGTTGCGACGAAGAGCGCAATATTTTGAACGAAGATCTTCATCTCGAAAAGTCGCAATTGACACTAAGTGCTGTAAAGAGCGTGCACACAAAGAATGAATACAATCAAATGAACGAAGGAAGGGAGCGTCCAGCGCCGGACGACACAAAACAAGCCTGCTCACTGGGTAAGGAGTGTACCTCAATGTGGGGTGTGAACCTGAATGGAAGCAAACCCACGGCATCATGAAAAGAGGTACTAGGGGAGTCTTATGGAAACTCGTTCTCCATAGCCACTGGTCGATATGACATGGTTCTCTGGCGCGGGATCCCTTTAGACATACTGATGAGACGAACACCCTCGCACCAGAGTCATTGTCTACCATGGGTAGGTCCACCCGGAACGACAAGATTTGCAGTGTTGCTGAACAGTTGCGCCGGTGAATTGGAATCCGAGCCCCCTATCATAGAGGTAATTTGCATATGCCAAGGCGTCAGGAGCATTGCCTGAAACCTAAGAGGGCCTCACGGGTTATTGTAATGTTAACTGTTAAGCTTTCTCCTGACAACACCAGGTGCTTCAGATGAAAGTCTAATTCGATTCCCGTCCAAATCCGACGTTTGGATCCACAAAGAAATCTAATGGGCAAATTCTTTTTTGTTCCGAAGTCCTACCGACTTTGAGCTGAATGACTCTTCATGCCAAATCATGGGAGCTTAATTCATAGAGCTTCCAATGATGTCTTTGGGGGACTGTCCGGAGTGAGTAATTGTTGGTCCGCAGGTCTGCCTTCGGGCTGCGGACCGTGCTCCCTTGAATCCTGGGGCTTTTAAATTTGAGCTATCGGCGATTAATCTCATGCGTACCACAAAAGATTCAAGCATGTAATACCTGAGCGGTAGCTACGGTTGATTGCTATGGTTCGGTTTGTAACTTCTTGTGCAAGCTAAATAGGCTTTATTGCCAGTCTCGACTAGTGTGACATTTGATTAGATGTACGCGAAGATACCAATTCTTCCTCGCCCCGTCCGAAAAAGTGCTTGCAGCTACTGAGGCTACCTTCAAGTATTCGTGCAACCCCTCAGGCGAACAATCCTCACCATTCGCGGTGACTTCTGACTGGCTCGAAGGTCACGATCAGTTCACATTGTCACGAATTACATGAGCAACCTTTGCGAAATACTAAGAAATCATAGTGTGGAATTACATCGTTGACAAAACTCATATTATCAAGAGCGTTGAAGATGACCCGCACCTCGGTACCGCCAATGGGATTCGCCAATGGTAGGGATGCAGCATAAGGAGAGTGCTGCATATCGTGAGTATCGGGAATCACTGAGGAATAGTCGAACTTTGAATCTATCCTTCTGCGTCATTAGACCATATTTTTCACCTTACGCTGCAGTTCCTGCTGGCTTTGGCCCTCCTTTTTGATCTTGACTTCCTTCCGTTGTCTCTGCTCTACCTGTCGGATTTAAGATATCGTGTCTCCGCTAAGTCCCGCTGTCCCTTTATCGATTCCTGCCTTCTGTCACAAAGCCGTCACACAAGACTTGCCTTGTGATAGCCACACAGGGTGTGGCAGCTCAGGATTAGGTTTAGTCCCTATAGATGGGCTCTCTAGGAGGGACCAACTTCGTACTTCCTTGCTTTGAATTTCATCTCGGCAACACATGTTCGGTCACTTCAGTACGCCGCGCATCTTTACGAACCGTTCATCATATTTCTACCAAAATATAACAATTTGAATCGGTATTTTTAGCGAACGGATTCAGAAGCCATTTGTAACAATAAGTCTTACAGACAAGATGACTGTACTTGCAGGCAAACAAGTTGGGGGTAATGCCCTTGGCCTCATGAGTAAGAGCCCGCTTCGGCCTGCTCTCCCATCTGCCCTCACGACCATCACTTGACAGCTGATGAAGATTGACACTTGTTTAGGAATGACAACATATGACTGGACAATGCCAGACGAGGATGCTTTCAAGGTCCTCAAGTCTGCTCTTGCAGAGGGTGTCAATATCTGGGGTGGTGCCGACTTCTACGGCACGCAATCCAGCAATTCCCTTCATCTCCTGGCACGGTATTTCGCCAAGTACCCAGAAGACGGAGACAAAGTCGTTGTGTGCATCAAAAGTGGTGTCATCGACATGAGGACGTTTTCAATCGACGGCTCACCGGATATGGTGCGGAAACTGGTTGCCAATGCCAACAAGATCCTGGGCCCTTACAAGAAGATTGACATTTTCGGGATTGCCCGTGTGGACCCCAAGACTTCTATCGAGGATACCGTCAAGACCCTTGCTCAGCTGAGGAACGAGGGTGAGATTGGTGGTATTCAGCTGAGCGAAGTTGGCTCTGCTACCATCCGCCGTGCTGCCGCTGTCACCAAGATCGACTTTGTGGAGGAAGAGGTGAGCCTGTGGGCAACCGACATCTTCGACAATGGCGTTGCAACAACTTGCGCCGAGCTAGATATCCCCATTACCGCCCACACACCATTGGGTGCGGGCATGCTGACCGGCCAGATCAAGACCCTTGATGATTTGCCGGCCCCTTACCTTAGGATGTTCCCGCGGTTCCAGCCAGCCAATTTTAAGAAGAATCTCGATCTCGTTGACGAACTGAAGAAGTTGGCGGAGGCCAAGGGCGTTACTGCAGCCCAGCTTGCCCTTGGCTGGCTCAAGTACCAAAGCAGCAAGCCCGGAGCGCCTCTCATTATTCCCTTATCTGGGGCGCGATCTCCGGATCGGGTCAAGGAGAACGCCCACCCTGTAAACCTGAATGACAATGACTTGAAGGCGATTCGGTCTATCCTAGATAGCTTTCCTGTATCTGGACAGAGGTACCCCGAGGCGGGAATGAAGGTCGTCGAGTTTTAGCCGCATTCCAAACTCGAGAAAGATGGCGCGTGACAGCCGAGATGGCATGACGTTTGGGAATGTGCGGATAGCATTTAGCACTCAGTACGTAACTCAGAGCAATTCTTCGTGGTTTCAGTAAGGTTGCCTTTTGAATTATATGCCCTAAACTCACGTTGCGTATTCATGTTCAATCCTCATACAACTTCGGGGCCGTTCCGGCTGTGACAAAATCACGGCTGAACAGTCTATCATATCTTATTATAGTTATTGTGATAAGAATTGAAGTAACTTTCATGATTGCACAACAAATCAAGCTGGAAATATCAAATCGAGTAGAACGTATAATAATTAATGGATGACTGCGTGGAGGATGCCTATGATGCCATACGAAATTCAAGGCTCCTTGGGTATTTCCTCATAAAAAGGTTCATACAAAAGTGAGATGCAAAAGGCTTTAGCAGATATAGCATCATCTATCTCATGTTTCTCCATTGTACTGCCTATCGCGTCGAAATTGCTTTACTCTGTGACACCAATGATCATAGAAAATTTGACAGAAACACCCACCTAGTCTTTTCACGAAGCTTGTTTTCCCTCCAATCATTGATGTTGTCCGGGAACAATGGAATGCGGTCTCGAATTGAAGAGTCATGTGAAAGAATGATCAACACCTCGTCCAAAGCATCGAGCTCTTGGATCTTGGCAACAATGTCCATCGTCGCTTCGTGGTCCGGGAACAGGGGACCAGGAGGTAGTCTAAATAATGGACGTTTCTGATTTTGATTGAGAACGGAGAGGATGGCCTCACCTGGACAAATCGGTGGTGTAAGCGGACCAGTTTCACGTGTTCGATCGTTGCACGTAGCGTGGTGGCTGTGAGGCCAGTCGTCCCATGGTAGATATTGGGAGGGCCGAAGAGCTCCAGCATGATGGCAGCAATCGGCGCCCATAAATACGAACGACGGCGGATCGGCTGCCGTTCTGGCCAAAGCGCACAAATGGCCAACCGCGTGACCTGGCGCATCCAAGAGGTAGGAAGAGCCATCTTCAAAATAGTTCAGTGCGTCGAAACGACCGATCTTGAGTGCAGAACCAAAGTTCGCTTCCTCAACACAGCGACCGTCTATGTCCTTGTCAAGCACCATGGCGTCTTGCTTTCTTGGGCATCCGGGCCAAGACGCAGCCTTCACACGCGGACCGACTACTATCTTGGTCTGATGAGGGAATGTTGAACCGCTATTGAGTTCATATCACTTGAAAGTGGCACCAGAGTATTGAGCCAATATCAATGCCGGCTTCTTAAGATTCTAGCAACAAGAACCTGGGCCAACTATTATATTTGAAGCTAACAATAAGAGCGATCCATTGTTCGGCTCCTCATTTCTACTTGATCAGCTGCCAGCATGCTATCAACAAAAAATGCTACCTCATTTGTTGATTGTTGCGCCCCAATTAACGACCCTCAACCGTGGATTCAACCAATCAAATAAGTATTGTATGTGTACTCGAAGTTGTCCAAGACTGTCGCACCGAGAACACCCACAGTGTCGAAGGAGGTAGTGAAAATGAGACCATGAACAAAAGTAAAGTCGTCACTGAAGACTGCTTTGGTCACTACAGCATTTACGTTAACCATCAGAACACAAAGGGAGAAGGTTTATTCGAAGATACGTCGAAGGAGCCCATGATATTCCCAGTGCCTGTTTTGAAAACTGCAGCCTAACAAAAAGGTTTTGATTCAAGCAGTGGAGCAGACCACGCGTATGGCAGATGCTTCTCCCTAGAAGAATTGAAGTCGGAATTGGAAAGCTGCTTACTGTTCACGCTCAAAGCCGTGGCAGACGCTTCGAATCTAAAGACTTGTGTTTGCGCAGCCTGTTCGTATTGATAGCTGGTGACCGTGACGTTGCAAGAACCGGGCTTTGCTGACAGAGTCAAACAGCCGAACCAGAACGAGTGAGGTTTGAAAAGTCTATCGTATGATCCCATGTCGGTAGGCCCTCTAATAGGAGTCGATATCTTGACTTCAGTGCTTGACAACAGACCATTGACACCGCCATAGTACACGGTATTGGGCATGCTCTGAGGGACTATTCCGAGAGTCTGGGACAACTCAGACGCTTTTGCGACAGCTTTGGCAGGGTCAGTTCCAGCAAGGTGAGGAAACATTTTAGGCAATGGTGATTGAATAAATATTCCAACTGACCAAGTCCTGTATAATCGACGTCGCCATAATGACCCAAGGCCGTAAAATTCACGAGACCTTTACTGACCACATCATCGTAGGAGTCTATGTGATAGACACTAACCCATGGATATCGAAAAAAGTCCACTGGGATGTAGGCCGCTTCAACAGTGGCATAAATCAGAAGTAAGGCGAACTTGAGCATTTCGAATCCGTAAAAACTATTGTATTGGTTTCAGTAATCAAGAATTATGTGATAATATGGTGAGGACAAACGAGACTTCCACCTCGATGTCGACGTCGAAAGACCTACAAGACTTTATACCTCTTGCCATCGTCAATTTTGCGGCCACCCTTATTGAATGTTAGACACAAGTTATTGACGATCATGTATAATTTAGGACGAAACCCACTCATCCCTTGTCTTTGTATGTGTCCCGCGACCTCTGACCGACAGAAAGTGAAAGGTCGGTCAAAGCGGCCAGACAATGAGCCGTTGAATCAAAAAGTGGGGGATACGAGGCAAATGTATCAGAGAAGGAATGCTTCTATAAGCCACAATTCTCACTGGCTGACCATGCAGCGGGCGTGAGACCTATGGGGAAAACCATTGGCTCTGACACTGAGGGGCTGTGAGATCTTTAGTCCTTCGACCGAATAGGACTTCGTGTCGAGTAACGTTCGAGCTTTCCTTACCTAATGGGCACTGCATCTCATTCCACAGGGCTCCAGACGTGTGTATAAATCCACCCTTCCGGGAGATATCGGCTCAAGGGCTATTCACCAGATGATCAGGGCTTCTGATCGGCGAATACATTCTGAGTATATGTTCTAGCCTTGTCATAGTGGCTGCCACTTGCAGATATGAAATAAGTCTCAGGCTTCTTCAAAGACCTAAGTCTTGCGGAACACCCTTCAAGGGCTGGTCAAAGCAAGCTTTGAGGATCTTTAGCCATACCTCATTCCGTGTCTAGGGTTTCCAAACTCACCACGAAGTAGAACGGTCGGAATGGCTTTTTTTCTTGTTTTGGTAAGAACCGGCCCTTGCGCCGCCATGTTTGAGCTTCTATCTGCCTTACCGTTTCACTACCGTAGATGTGATGTCAAACCAGGCTTTTACACCTCGAGTAAAGCTTTTCACCTATCCTACGCGTGACAATCACCAGCCCATGCAAACAAGTTGATATTTATCTAGATTTACGACGACTAATGATATTTGACTAGGAGCGACGGCGCTCTCTGATGCTCCCTCGTAAAGATCATCCAAGTGGTGTGCTAAGAAATTTCATCGGCCAATATTGCGGACTTCACACCGCGTATCCAGTGGCGTTTTTCATATTGTGATTCCTGCTTCCCTCTTCCAGATATTACGAAGACAATATCTCGATCATAAACGAAAATTCTTGGAACCGGATTCGAGTAGTGATGTACGCAATGGAAAGGTGGAACTTAGATCAAGGATGAACAAATCGGGCAAACAGGTCTAGGCTTCATTGCCATGTCCCTCTCTCCTGGGCCGTAGACTTGAAGGCCTAGACACCACACTCTGACATTCAACGGTGTCTACGATAATCTCACCTTTGATCTTTCTAGGCGCTCTACCATTCAGATCCCACCTGATTATCTGCCGCCAAACACAGCTGCGAGGGGAATACTGACCTTGCTGAGTCAAGAACACCGCAGTCTGGCCTCATTGGAACGGCTGCTAACCAAAAGATTCTTTAAAAATGTAATTTCTCTCAAACTCGGTCTGCTGAGAAGAAAAAAGGGAGTACTGACCGCGTGTGGGCCATTGCTTGTATTTCGTGCGGGAGTATGTACAGATCAACGCGATTCATGCACCATTATTCGGATTGAGCTGCCGGAAACAACGTTATCTCCGTGTCTTCACTGAAGATTGAGAACTGAGCAAAAGGTGTTACGTGGGGCAAGTTTGGATGTTCCGTTGATACTCTCGATTGTTAGGGCCACTTGGACTAATCAGCAACCTCACCCAGCTCTATGAATTACGCGACGCCAAGATTTGAGCGGCCATCTAAGGGCGTCTCCAGGATATTGCGACACCAGAGTCTCCATGAAAGTCGTGGCATTTTCCCTCTCACATGGTTTAGGCTGCCAGTCAGGCCGCACAGTCGATTATGAGCGTGCTCAGAGGCTAGAGAGCATGTTTGGTAGGAGAACAAGGGTCGAAGAAATCGCCAATGCAAAGAACCAAATACACTGTATTTGGTGTTCAACTCCATCTAGCCTGATTACATCTACGACCCCTACATCGATAACTAAGAATCTTTCGATGAATGTTCCCCTTCTTCGGTGGATCGAAAACCCACTTGACAACGGATATGAAGATCTCAAGCCGCCAACTCGGACTTAAACATGTTATTTCCTAGTTCGTTTTTTACTTAAGAAGAGGCAATGTTTTGAATAATTTCAAGTCGTGCTCCTTATCACGGAACTCGCACTTTTTATGTGGCAGTGTACACTCTTTACTTCCGCCGCGGTCTGTTATTTAGTTTTGAAAATGCCCAAGCACCCGTCACTAGGGCTGATTGTCCTGACCTTGCTGCCCTCAGTCCTGTCAATCCCCGCCAGCTGCGATTGGGCAAGTGCAAGCGATGTCACAACTGTGCAAGTCGTACCTGACACCCGAACTCTAGAGAATCTCGCTGTTCGGAGCAACGGCGACATACTTGTCACGTCTGTCGCTTCCTCAACGCTGTTCGGGTTGTCCTCTCAAGGCGAGCATCCACCACTCCCGGTTGCCGAAATTTCCGGCGTCACTGGCCTTCTCGGAATCGTCGAGCTCGAGACGGATATCTTCTATGTGGTGGGGTCTAACCTCACGTCGACCGAGGACTCGAATGGTTTGTGGAAAATTGATATTCGCAACTTTGAGGCTGCCTCAAATGGCACCGTCATTCAGCCGGCTACGACGTCTTTGGTTACGCGACTCCCATCAGCTCTGCAACTCAATGGACTGGCTCGCCTCGCATCCAATGACACCAAGAATCTTCTCGTCTCGGATTCGTCTCAAGGGAATGTCATTCGACTGAATGTCGATACAAAGGCAATCGAAGTGGTCATCCAGCTGCCCGAGATGGCCCCCTTACCAACGGGCTTGGACATCGGCGTTAACGGGATTCGGCTTCGTGACAACAAACTCTATTTCGTGAGCTTGGACCAAGGTCTTTTCGCCAGCGTACCGATCTCTCTCGCTAGCGGAACACCAGTCGGGCCAGTGGAAACACTTGCTTCCAATATTACATTCGGCGACGACTTTGGCTTGTCAGACGACGGTAGATGGGCGTATGTTGCCACTAATGGCCCCCAGGAGATCATTGGGGTGGATGTGTCGCGTGGAGGGAAGGTCGTGGTAGCCTCTTCGCCTTTGCTTGGATCCGCTTCCTCGGTAGCTGTGCAGCAATTTGAAGGGCGCAGGTTTCTATATGTGACTGGGGCGATACAATCTGGGAATAGCACGGTTGGCCACGTCTCCAAGATAACGTTAGAGTGCAAGTCCGATGTCTAAGGAGTCATCTGATTCCAGCCACAAATAGTAATACCGTGGTAGGAACGGTATATGATAAATATAGCCTGCCTCTACGTCAGACCTTGCAAGGACAGAAAGAAACGGCCCTGTTGATGCACGTGCAGAATAGTGCACTCCATGGAGCTCTTCTTGAGGATATTAATTATTTCTTTTATTTCGCTCGTTGTAAATTCAATCTATGCTAGCTTCATTGGGGTAGAGCTATTCTTGTAGACGAGGAATGTCAACTATCACGTCGTGACCAGAAAGTGCTCCCTGGCCGGCTCTTCGGCACGGCTGTCACCCCACCAGGAAATGAGGCATTGCAGGTCAGGATTGCCACGCAGCTATCTAGTGTCTCATGGAGTCGGGTAGAGTGGAGTCCATGCTTGCGCCTTGACTTTCAGCGTACGCAGGTGTATGAAGGTAATCGTCAAGGGACCAAGTCCACCAGCGGAAAGCTGATTCAGTCGAACTGGCTTAAGCTCTGGCAGCCTCTGCATAGCTTTTAACAGATTTTGGGCCAGATTTTCGATTCCAACATGCCGTAGTCAAGGCATACTCTTTATTGTTGCATCGCTTGCGGAGTTCGACCAGCTTGGGGTTTAGCTCGTGAATGTCCATCCGACTCTTTTGCAATTTAGGACAATGGGGAGTGACATGCAACATGTCAAATTGGATGAGGTTTAGAAAGTCGTGGAGATACTCAGTACAGTTCGGGTGTTCATGAAGCTCCGTAATGAACTATTTGGTCATGATTAGAATAGTTACGGCGTAGAGTCTCGGCAGTGTCTTCATGACAAAGAGAGGCAGACTAAAGAGATGGCTTACATCTGTGACGGCTGGTTTGATAAAGGCCACTCTTTTGCCCTCTTCATCCTTCACCTCGAAGTAAACATCGGTGCAGATATTATGCCAGCCCGGGTCAAGCGAATTTCTGGCGGCAGCAAACTTCGAGATCAATTCCCAGCCCCCCAGCAACCAAGCAATGAAGTCCAGGTAGACGCATCCTAAAGCCCAGATATCATGCGAGCGGCCGTTTCCTCCCTTCAAATCATACTCAGGTGGGCGGAAACTTGGGGAAACTGGCGCCCGCTTTCCGGGTTGATTGAATGTGGTTCGGCTTGCTTTGAACTCAGTCTGACCAAAATCTGTGATTTTGAGTATCCCTCTATCAGAACCACCGCCGGGATTTTGGAACCACAACAAATTCTGTGGCTTAATATCCCCGTGATGGCCTATCAGATGGCTGCTTTGTGAAATTGGTTTTGGGATGGTGAGACTATGATGTTTCCGTCCGTAGGGGGTTGAGTTCCATCGATGAATTCGAGCCAAGCCATCGGCTAAGCCCTGGCATTGTTCGGCCATCCACCGGATGATCATATGGCTCATCATTGGTGCGGGACTTCGATTTCTCCAGTACTCCTCGAGGTTGGCTTCGGCGCAAGGGAAAATCAGATAGAATTTCTTGAACTGCTCGTATGTAGCTAACAAGGAAGTGAGATGTGGGTGTGTCTCATCGTTGAACTTCCGCAGGACGTTCACTTCGCTGTTGAATCGATCTCGGCTTGGTGAGTTCAAACACTTTACTGCGAAATGTCGGCACGAGAACTAGCAGCTGTCAGCCGGGAATAATGACTATCACAATCAGGTCCACCAAAAAATAATTACAGACCTTGTAACCGTGGAATCCATGCTGCTGAGGATGTATGTCCACCTTGAACACACGACTGAAGCCGCTGTCAACCTCAAGTTTCTCTCCACCAGTTTCATCGTATCGACTGTCGGATGTGAAAGGGAGGGGAATTTGATCTGGTAACACGAAATGTCCAACACGTGTGCGCTTCGTTTTGAAGAAGAACGGGGGCAGGGTTGTCCATTGCCATTCCTCAAATCTCAAGAGAGCCAAAGGATCCCAATCCTTGAAACAGCCCAATTTTCGATGGTGTGCACCTATATCTCCCTTTCGTGCGAGCTTAAACAGGTTCGGATGTGTGTTGGGTGGGACCACCTTGCGCAGCGGTAAATCTCGATCAGAAACACCCTCATCAATGAAAAGTAATATCGATTGGAGTTTGTCACTCAATCTCAAGATGGCGAATATTTTCTTGAACGACAAGAGGTATTCAGCAGCATTCTTAGCCTCCCTCCCGCATATCGTCTGGGTGTAGAAGTGGATTTTTCCGGGTCCAAGAACACCCCTGAAACATTGCTCCAGCTCTATTCTCACGGATTCTTCGTCGATCAGACTATTGAAAGTCTTCTCGGGGAAGTATCCTTTTTTCTCAGAGTGGCCTGGGATTTTCTGGAGAGCAGTCACAAGGCGCACTGCTAGTGGAGTTTCCTGTGACTTGATGATGGATATCGATGCCGGATCGACTTTTGCAGTATCTGTCTCGGCTGAGATATTGCGACCTTGAAGACCCAAGTCTGTGACGAGCGACTCTGATTCACTCCTGAGGGACGGTGACTGGCCGTATCTCCGTCTGACGTCTGGAATGCCACGCCCCTTCAGCGGTGCGATGTTTATCAAGTCCTGTCCTGGCCAGGTTTCCGATCTGGTAGGCTCGCTCTGGCAAGTATTTTCGTAAGCTTTCAGTCCCAATTGTCCTGGCTAAGCTTTAGGGTAATACTTACAATCAAGAGTCTATCGTCTTCGTCAAGGGCCGGCTTGCGATCTAGTTCTTCTCGGGGTCCCTCTGACAAATAGACCGGAAAATCAGTAGTGCGAGAGCCCTGCGATTTAGAGGGTGTGCGGCCGAACGTAGTAGACCCGCTTATAGAAGACGACTTTGAACTAGACGCAATGCTCTTGAGGCTCTCCATGATAGCATCGGTCGTGTCAGTAAGTTCAGAATGAGGCAGAATGGTCGATAGACCGGCTAGCTGTCTTCTAACCCGGTCATGCAGAGGACGCGCATGATTCGGACCGTTGACATAGGGCAAAGTTCGGGCCATCTTTACTGTTTCGTTTCAAATTAGTTGAGTTGTCCATCTACATGTAACATGCTCTCATAGGAGAGACTGTCTGAGAAAAGGCTGCAGAGGAATAGCACTGAGCTTACCTCCTGGATGAAGCGGAAGGATTTGAGAAGCGTCTTCCTCTTTATGTGAGGCTGTCTCTGGAGCCATCGTATCAAAGTTGCTTGACAACAAGTGTACACGAGCAGAAACCGAGAAATGGCTTTGAAAGATGAGCCCTGGCGAATTCAAAGCAAATCAATGGGGTAAGTGCATACATACATATGTAATAATGAGACGTGAAAGTCTATAGATATTAGAATTTTGGACTCGCTCCAGAGTTAGGACAAAAGTAGTCTGGCCGTGTACACTCCCAGTCTCTATTCATCGCTGCACACACCATGAGCATGGTTTCAAGGTTGTCAGCCTTCTTGTTGAACGACTACTAAATTCAATAGGGTACAGCCAAGAGTGGAAAAACACATTTTTACATTCAGCTACTCTCATCTCAGCACACACCCTCATCCTTAGGGCCGTAAGATGGGGCCAAAGTCTGCCTCTGCCCCTAAGATGGTTGCAGAATCAAGCCACAGTATGCGGGCAGCTGAGCGACCTCGCTGAGAACCTTTCAATGTGATATGGGACCAGATTTATTCCCCTGCTCTCACAACCATGCCAATTTTGCACAATGTAGTGAGGCAATTAATCGAAGCACTGCAGGATAGCGTAAGGCTCCAAGGCTCCCTTGCCGGGCAAAGGGCGGCCGATGCATAGCACCACCTAACTGCACTTTCATCTTCAGCTTCCCTGTTTTACCAATAAATGCAGTCCCGTAGGATTCGTATGAAGTTGAAGGTGGTCCGACCAGCTGAGCCCGGGCTGCGTCACTGCGGCCACAGCGACTTACGGACCCCAGTGACTGCAACCCTACAGACTTTTTCTACTTCGGTTCCTAGGCAATTTCGGTCTTGCTGTTTGCTATTTGATAAATAGGGACTCCTGATCTACTGGATGCGAACTCTCCGCTCCCTTCCTGTGTCAAGTTTACCAACGAGGTCCACAAAATCCTCCCTCAACCAATTGTCGAGAAAAGCTTCTCGAGAGCACTCCAGACCGTTCCAATTGTATTATCTCAGCACCAGATTCCATGGACTCATGCTGCCACAACCGAGTGTCTACCCTGGACGCGAAGTCATCTTCTGGCTATGCATACGGCAAACCACCCCAGGAGATCTCAGACAGTCGGATTGACGCTGGCAAGTTGATAGAATTGCTGAGCGCAAAATTTCCAGGCTCCTACCAAATACGTGTAAGTGGACACCACCCGGTGGAATCCAAGTTCTGAACGATGCGACGCCAAGCTGATATGAACGTAGGTCGTAAGAAACGTCTACAACATTTCTGCTCCAGCCGACCTATCTTTGAATGATATCGTGCAGTGCAGAGTTTGATACGCATGGAACATGCACGTCTTCTAGCTTTGACAAAAGGACGTCCTAGCTTCAATTGTGGCTGTTAGCCTTGTGCGCCATGGTGGTACGAATTTGCCGAATATCTGACTGGCGCCTACGATAATGCATGTGGTCCCCACCAGCAGCTCGGCTGCGGGTCATTTGAAGGAGTTGCTGGAGTTGAGGTGGGGGTTGTCAAGATATGATTACATCCAGTCTATGAAAGCCATACCTATTGCTTTTGCTCTTCATTGCAGTATTTGCTGTCATGCGCTTTGCCGTCCCTAGTAATCATGACCTTGGGTGTGGGTGCACATGTGGCGGCCTCATAAGCGGACAGGGCTCAGAACCCAGCCTCGACGAAACTCGTTGGTGTGTTACACAAATGCCTAGAAGTATAAGGCAGGTATCGCATGATACTATCAGAAATCCGCAGGATCTGACCACCCCCTTGACAGTCATGGTGCGTTCTATCTCGATACATCCGATGAGGGGGTCTGCAAGACCTTTCGAAGTCTCGAGTGGCCGCCTACTCGGTCATCATCAATCGGCTTAAATGAAAGGTAGCCGATAAATGTTATCTACAGACATAATGGCTATTGAGGGACTTGCCTAGTTTTCTCTGATGTTTGGAATGTTGATATCGAATTATACCTGATTTCCTTACAATCCTACATGCCCATCCTATTCGCATGCCATGGCAGCTACCGTAAAGTCGAACTTGTTCCACTCAGGGCAATCACAGAATCTGGGGGATATACTTGCGAAGTCTTTCAGATACTCAGTCTTCCCTGATGGAACCAGCAATCGATTCATACCCAATGGTCATGTCGAGGATTTCGTCACAAGTGATGCCGTCATGAGAGAGTTCTTCGACAGGAACTTGCCAGATTGGTCGCCCTCCAGCAAGAAACAAGTTGACGAGCTCGTCCAATATGTGATTTCCTCAGCTAAGAAGCTCTTAGCTATCAGCATATTGAGCGGTGTAAGATCAAACAATCTTCGGAGAGCAATGGAAGAATTCAAGCAACACGACTTTGAAGACAACGATTTGCCGCTTCTTATCGAAAATGTGGACCAATACCCTCCTTGCTTCGGAGAATGGGAATTCTTGAGCAAGGAAAACTTCCGCAACGAGCAGTGGAGGCTTGTGGTTCCAGTGTTTCCAAGAGCCTTTGAGAGAATACATTTGAGACCTGAACACATCCTACCATTCACATACGTGGACTCGGTGAGGAAGGAAGGCACATTTGGGGATGTCTACCAAGTCACCATCCACGAATCACATCAAGAAGACCCGATGAGAAAGGTCGGACTTTGTATTAGAAAATTTGTGGTTAACTTGTTGCTAACAAAGTGCAGGCTGATGGAAGTTTAGCGAATGCTGCCATAAAAGAATTAAAGGCATGGGCAGCCAGCGGGAATCTTAGTGACGGAAAGGGGAAAGCCCAGCAAGTGTTCAAGGAGTGGCAGGCTGAGGCCAAGGCGCTTGAGGATACAAGTCGTCTGAAGCATGAACACATCGTCACCGTCAAAAGTATCTTCACAAAAGGTTCGCGTCACTACTTCATGTTCCAGTGGGCAGATGGAGGAAGCCTGCGAGACTTGTACAGGAAAGACCTGCGGCCATATTTAACGGCAGAACTTGTAGAAGAGATGGTCCAACAACTACTAGGCTTGTCTGACGCTTTGTCGGCTCTTCATAACTACCGAAAGGTCGAATCGCCAGACCAACCTGGCCAAACCAGTCTTCTTGAGGTCCCGAGGCCGGCTCAGAATGACGAATCCTATCGACATGGCGATTTGAAACCAGAAAACATTCTACGATTCGAGGACAATACAAAAGTCGGGGTGTGGAAGATCGCTGATATGGGACTAGCCAGGCATCATCTTGCAGCAACAGACTTGCGAGGACCGACTGATACTCTCAACGCAACACCATCCTATGAAGCTCCTGAGGTCTACACCATGCCCGACCAAGGGCGTTCTCGTCAATACGATGTCTGGTCTATGGGATGCATTATCTTGGAGCCTCTAGTCTGGATGCTGTATGGACCAGATGCCATGATCAAGTTCATCAAAAGCATGGATGGCGATACGGGGCAGAGATTCCCCTACTGGGAGTTTGTTCCAGGGACGAAAAACAAGGAAGCACGCCTGCGAGAGGTTGTTCTGAAGTGCATGGCTCATATTCGGAACGACCCTGAGTGTCAGCGCTCAACAGCCACCAGAGACCTCTTGAAGATCGTACAAGAGAAACTTCTCGTCGTGAATTTGCCTGTCAATAGGCCCTCTGGCTTTGGGTCCGCGGTCTCAGCTTCTGCGCTGATGTCCGGGCCAAAGCGAGCTAAAGCAGAAACTTTTCGCGGTGCTCTGGATGCGATCTGCGATGAAGGTAAGAAAAGAAAGGCTTACTGGTTTACAGGAACGGAAAGAACCAACGTCGCTGGGCCACATCAATCCGCAATACCGAAAGAATCAGAAGTGCAGGTGAGGCTCCACCATGTCAAGAATATTTAATTACAAGCTTTAATCAACGAGAGGGGGAAGGCATCGACATTGTTTGGCGAGGAATGAAGCTCCCGAAGCACCTGGTTGTGTATGAGAATGGGATTGCTAATTATGAGAACCCATATCCTCAATAGTTGCAAACCGTAGGTATTCGAGAATGGGTCCACATGATGAAGCAACACCACTGAAGCTGACGGCTGCTTCAGTATGTGAGCAAATGATCCAGCCTCCTTGATCGAATCACAGTGTGACGTTTCCTCCTGAGCAATTAGACAGTACGTATTCAAACCTAGACCCGTCACTGAAATAACATCTCGTAGGTGACTAAAGTCATTCATAGCATGTAAGTGTTCAAATGGTTCTAGAATAGTTTAAGGACTAACAGATCATGTCTAGGACGTGAGTCAACTTTTTTCACCACAATAGATGAAAATGCATTGACCCGGACTCTGACGGACGAAACTCGAAGCCTGTAGGTCGTGACCGAGATACCATACGCCATGATCTGTTGAGCTAATTCTTCACCAAAGCTTCACAACACTTGGGAGTTTCCCATCGACAATTCCTTTGTACAAGGCCTATTCGACGATCCAAAAATATGGGCTGAGACCGTCGTTCGACCGTGTGTGCCCGCCAATTTATGTGGAAGCTGCATGAAAATGGATCTCTGGCAGGAAGACTTCAATATGCAAGATGATACAAGAGAATTAGAGGTTCTTTCGGGGATTTGTGACTTCTGTGATATGCGGTGGAGCTACTGCAAAGCAATAGATCGAAGTTATGGCACCAAGGTTCACTTCGACAAAAGACAGTCTCACTTGAGACTTAGCGAAGGGTATCCACCGGTGTTGACACTTCATTACGGTCCCAGTGAGTTCTCGTCGCTTCAAAAATTCACGCCTAATCGCTTACCAGGTCACTAGCCCTAACCGGAGAAGTCGACAATTCCGGAGGCGAAATTCAACGAGGCCTTCCCCAACTTCCACAGCCCGGGGGAACCGCCCATATCAAGATACTCCGGCACTGGCTGACGGACTGTGACTTAAACCACAAGACATGTGCAAATGCAATTACCAGATCTCTTCCAACAAGACTGATATATGTGGGGAACCGGAACAACCCCAGTCTCAGACTACACGAGACACAGTCCACAGATAGTATGAGTTATTTCGCCCTATCACATCCATGGGGGGAGCCTCCACATTTCTGTACCCTTCGCTCCAACATCGCAAGACATGCACTGGGTATGGCTTTCAAAACTCTGCCCCTGACCTTTCAGCACGCCGTCGCAATTACCAGAGACCTAGGCGTGGAATACCTGTGGATTGATTCTATGTGCATAATACAAGGCGAAGACGGCGACTTCAAGTATGAGGCTTCACGGATGGAGGATGTTTTCAGTAACGCATACTGTGTCTTGGCTGCGAGCTCGGCTTTGGGTCAACATGACGGCTTCCTCAAGGAACGTCATCAAAGACGGAGCCTCCTGCTCCAGCAGAGTGGGAATCCTCCTGTCTTTGTATGTGAATTCATCGATGACTTTCATCATGACGTTCTGGAGAGCAATCTCAGTCGTCGTGGTTGGGTGTTGCAAGAAAGAGCATTAGCACGAAGGACAATATATTTCACCGACAAGCAGACATACTGGGAATGCGGTGAAGGTGTACGCTCTGAAACGATGACACGAATGCACAAGTGAGTTCAGGATATCCTACAGCTCCAGTACAGCCAATCAGTCTTACAGTCCGGCGCTGATACTGTTTTGCACAGCACGCTTGCGTCTTTTCTAGGCGATCCAAATTTTCCAAAGATCGCTATCGAGTCTTCTCGCGGCGGCAAGATTCTATTGCATCAGAGTTTATGCATGCAGTACTCTCGCCTTGCTCTCACCCGGCAAACAGACCGCCCCATTGCAATATCTGGGCTTGAGAAACGACTCGTCGAGAGCTTCGGCCTCACCGGCGGCTTCGGAGCTCTGCACGATGAGAAGAATCTCGGCCTTCTTCGGCGCAGCATGCTTTGGCATCGGGCTTCTGATTGCTCCACGATGAAGAGAATCAGTTTCCACGGAGGCGCACCACCGACGTGGTCATGGATGGCTTATGAGGGACAGATTGAATACCTGGATCTACCGTTCCGCAAGATGGACTGGGCTAGCTTCGAACGCGATTTTCAGCCGCCGTGGACGGTCAGGAAGGCTGGCAGATGGTACAGCAGCAGTGATACTCCGGATAGCATGGCGATGACTGTCATTGTCAGAGACCTGGAGCTCTCCTCTTCCTTGACGGTCCAGGCGGCTCAAATCATCCTAGATATAACTAATGGGATAGGCGTACGGAGGCCATCGAAATGCGTGGTGCTCGGAAGGCTCGTCGAAACCTCGGCTTATCGTCAAGATGACAGTGGGACAAGTTTCGCCATATTGCTAATATCCGAAGAGACAGCACCGCAGCAGATCTCAGGAATCCCAGTCTATATCAGGATGGGAGTTGCGTCTGTGCCAGGCAGCTGGATCAAAACAGCAAAAGATGGATCGAAAGGATTGCTGATGTAGGCGAGCGACCTGTCTGGCGCCTGCTTCCTAAAATTATTCAAGGTCTCAATATTATGTCTACGCTCCATGCCGTGGAATAGCTATTCTCTGAACAGAGAATGCTGAATTAAAGTAGATGATGCTCACCAAAGCAATACCGAGAAGCGCAAGATCATTCCGAACCCACTGATGACTTCATTGCTACGATAGAAGTTCCTGCTAGCGGACATTTGATATAGGATCTATGGGAAACATTTCGGATGCCTGAACAGCGCCGATAGCGTTGTATCATTGTGAGGTAATTAAGGACACTGTGGACTCGGGGAGCAGAGATAGATGCCGCAAAGTATGAGATTTCCGCGTAGGTACGGACGCCCGGGCATGTTCGGGCCGTGCCCTCAAAAAGAACGCTGAAGACTATAATTTAGCAAGCTTCGGAAATTACTGTAATGCAATTTTTTGTTATGACAGCTAATTTTTTTTGAAGCGTGGAACTCTCTTAGATAAACATTGCGGTATTGAAGTTGGTCGAAAGGTGGGTGGTCTACGGTACTGGCCCTATACGATCAGAAATGAAGCGACATCAAATCCGTCGTCATTGATGCAAGCGATAGATGTTGCCCATTTCTGATTTTCAGGTTCAACTGCCTTGTCAATTCCTTGTCGATCGGCATTCGTAACCACCATTTGGCCATAAGCCGTGCTTTTCATAAAGCCAGTCTCGTTGTAGTCGATATCGAAACTAAACTGGCTGTTCCAGAACGTTTAGGGTAAGGATTTTCGAGAGATCCTCAATTGCAAAAGGTTTCCTACGCCAGTCAACTTGAATTCGGTTGCCTAGTTTAGTCAGTCATTAAATCAGAGCTGAGGTATGAAATCGGAATTTGAGATGGGTCCCGCAACCCGCGTGTGTTAGTTGAAGGCGGAGACCAGACTATACAGTTTAAGTGGCTACAGCATGACTGAGCTGACTGAACAGAAGCTCAAATCTATTTCTCGTAGTGCTTGCATAACAATTTTGTAGCGGATCGTATTGCCACATGCATCACTCCAGGGATTCTCAAGCGGCTGCCACTCACCCTTCGGTACGCACATACAATTACAGTGACCCGAACCCAAAATCCTGTTTCGAGGAGTGCTTCTTCAACAGCGCGATTCCATTCGACCTCAGATTCTCTGGCCGTATACTTTCAGATGCAGGGCGGCTAGAAGCCACAAAGTTGTTATAACTCCCCAACATAGCCTTGATGTTCCGCGGCGGCGCGTATGGAAAGTCACTGCCAAACAAGATGTGCGACTGGTCACCACCCAAAGATTCGAGGAAATCCACGAGCCCGTTCAATTGCACCGCGCTCGTACTCACCGCCGTGTCGTAGTAGAAACTCGCGAAGTCCGCGGCTGCTTCCTTGTCCGTGGCTCCAGCCTGAGCGGCAAGATGTGGTAAAGTTAACGCGCCGATAGCCCGTGCTCCAATGAAGGGAAGAGTTCCACCCGCATGGGAGAGGATGATATCTACGTCGGGACAGGACCGCACGGTACCTGTGACTACCAGATCGACGGCTGCCCGAGTTGTGGCCAATGGATAATCCACGATGGGCTGCGGCAAGAAGCCGCCAATGAATTTGGGCTGAAAATCCGAGCTCGTTGGATGCAGGAACACAAGGGCCCCGTAGCTCTGGAGCTTCTGCCATATGGGCTTGAAGCTCTCGTGGCCGGGCAGCTTGCTCCCGTACGTAGTGTAGATGCCCACTCCGTTGCAGAGCTTCTGCTCCGAGAAGAGGAAATCGATCTCCGCGCAGGTTCCTTCGAGGTCCTGCCAGTCGGGCAGGACGCCGAAGAAACCGAACCTGCCGACGAAAGGGGCCTCTGTAGTCGTGACCAAGCCGCCGAGGTATATGTTGAGCTCGCGGGCAAGCTTGCGGCCTTCCTCACCTGCCCCGGTAATTGGAACACCCGGCGAGGAGATGGATATAATTCCTGCTTGAATGTAAGTGGCAGATCAGTCAATACAAGAAATACAATTTCAAATCATCTGTAATCACCAAGAGATGCGCCAACCGCCTCCATTGAGGTGATGGCCGCTTCTGGAGACCAGTCTGGCTCGGGAAAGCCTGATGGATCGCCACCATGCGCCTTCACTGCAGCCTTGTAGGCTGGTGGCAGCGCATGGAAGTGTACATCGATGTGGCCAGCCATGTTGCCCAGCTTAGGTGTTCCAAAGAAGCTGCTGTACCTAGTGCGTCTGAACGTTCCAAGGTGGGCAATTGGGCCAAGCAAGTGGCCACACCGGGATGAGTGAACAAAGTCTAAGCTTTCCCAGGATTGAATTTACACTCCAATGCTGATCGGTACGGGCCGCGTGGCCATTGAATCACATGTTATTGAGGTGAGTGGAGCTGGGAATGTTGGTCCGCGGCGAGGTACGGGAGGCGTATCTGGCCGACGGCGGGGACGAAGAACAATGGCCGGCACATCCGGCCTTGACTTCACATTCTGCCAGTACAACAACACATATCTGTCACACCTAATAGCGCCGCGGGCTTCATGGCCTAGAAGCGGCAACAGGCAATCATCACAGCCATGATGGCATACCAAGAGCTAGAACAGACTTGTGTGGACATGGAAGGCTGAAAGTAGTCGAGGCCTGAATCCATGACCGCATTATCTCCCTGCTCTCCCAAGGCAGCTAGGTAGATCTTGTGCTAAGCAAACTGGCTCACGTTCAACGTTTTGGTGCGAGGTTGGCGCCCTGTACTACACAGTAGGCGGCTCGGCTCAACTACCGGTAGTTTGGACAGGCAGCCGGGCAGGCGGGATCTCTGAGTGAGCTGACAAGCGATCAAACATCGAAGAGGGCCCGTTGCTCGCCACCAGTTGGCGTTGGGGTCGACAAGAGAAAGGTCTAAACTGGAGGGTTAGGGGAGGCAAAAGTCCTGGGTGGGGTCTGCCTTGTAATACGGTAGGGCGGGCAAAAGTCCTAGACTAAGGCAGCTGAGAACTGAGGGCTGCGGACTGCTGGTTGAGGACTGAGGACTGGGGCGCGGGCGATAGAGGTGCCCAAAACAATGCTCGCCGCATGACTGTGCCGATGATTGTGCCCAAGGTTGTCCGGGCGATGGCGCCCCTGGACCCGGCAAAGCAAGTGACGGGAAGGGAACTCCCGTACTGCGCATTTATGCAGCCTAGCATCGCGAAACGCGAATAGTAGAGTCGGTTGCTCTCGTCTTGGCCATCGGTGAGGGACCACAGGCACAGGTGCGTTGGCATCGTTTGGATGACGAGGACGGGGTGAGTAAGGAAAGGTACCTAGGAAATATAGTAAGGCATAGATGGCCTTGCTGTTGAGTAACACACCCCGCCTGGCCGTCTTTTGGGTACCAGGTGTGGGCTGGGGCTGGGGCTGGGGCTGGGCTGAGCTGGGCCGTCTGGCTGTCTTGTCTGTCTTGTCTTGGTCGCCTTTTCTTTGACCGTTGAGTGAGCGAGTCCTTGGATTTTGCCACAGTCTCGATGAGCCCATGGGCGAGCCCACCTCAGCTCTCAGCTGTTCTGCTCCTTTCTTGCGAGGACACTGGTCAAGATTAAAGCCAATTAGGGAATTCGCCGCCGTGGCTGCCTCCAGGAACGTGTCCATTCGGCGTGGTTGGGCAAGTTTGTGGTATTGTTTGATCATGTTCAATATACATGAAGTATTGTTGTTGTGCAAGGGAGCAATCAATCAACCGAGCCTAGGGATTTCCATTTCCCTCTCGTGCACACCCCACCCAGGCGCCCCCGCCCCCCCCCCCCAAGCCGCACAGCAGATGCTGCGGTGTTGGTACCTGTGCTCTCCGCTGCTGCACGTACGTACATACACGCATACCACAGTACACACATACACACACGCAAATGCACGGCTCACACCCCTTGTCACTTGTCACTTGTCGCTTGTCTCTTCTTCACCCCTCCCCCCCATCTGGCCCCTCTCCCTCCCACCCCCTGCTGCCGTAGCCCCTCCCCAAGAGCTTTCTGCTCTACCGTACCGCACTCTGCTGTGATGGTAGCTTGCAGAACCGGCCGACAAGTCCATCCGTCCATCCATCAATCCATCCCTCAGGTCTGGCTGGCTGCCCCCCCTCCCTCTAGACCCCCCTCTGGCCCCTCTATCTGTCTTTGCTCCGCTGCACGCACTACTGCGCGCAGTGCACTTCTCTCCTCTGCTTCTCCAACCCTTTCCAAGGATCCCCATCCAGAATCGCCTGCTTGTCTTGCATGCCGTTTCATTGAGGTGAATAAACGAGCGAACGGTTCATTGCGCTGGCTGAGGCAGGCCGATGCGAAACACAAAACCCCGCCATTGAACCTCCGACCTCTATCTACCACACTACCATCCATCCGTCCATCATCCACTACCACTACATACCAGCAGCAGCACTGACGACATTTCCTTTCAACATTTCCAACAACACACCACACCACACGCGCCCTCTCTTGGGAAACACACCCCCCACCCCCCAGATCCCAGATTACCGTCTCCACATCCCTCGCCCAGTCTGCACAAGATCGTCTCTTCACGTGAGCTGATACTACCTTACTGCTAGCGGTCGGGCGAGCCTTGGAACCCAACCGAACCCGAGTGGCAGAGCGGGTGGCTGTGGGACAGACACCAGACAGACGGCCGGAGACAGACGGCCAGAGAGGCAGGACAGGCCCAGCCCAGGGTAGGGGGTGGAGTCCTGGGCGCTTCCGTGGGGACTCGACTGCATCTGCACCTGTACCCGCACCTATTCGGGCACGACTGTCAACTCAAATCTTCAGCAAAACGCGAGGTTCCCCCGTGGACTACGACAACCTCTTTCTTCCGTCGTGTCGCGTGGGGCGACACGATCAATCTACCCGTCTCTCCATCCATCTATCCACCCATTCACCCATCCACTCAAACACCAGCCCATCCAGCCAGTGAGCCAGCGAGCCAGCTCCTCACCTACGCACTCCTAGGCCGCATCCCTTTCCTCCCCGGACCCTTCTCTTCTCTGCCCTGCGCGCCCGCTCGCGCAGCACAACACCGCCAACATGGCCGACGAAGACAAGATAATGGAGGTCTACAAGAAGATCGAGCGCGAGAAGTCGCTGATCCAGGCCGCAAACCTCATGCGACAGCAAACAAACAACGACACCGTCCGCTCCAAGCTCGACACCCAGATGCGCGAGGGCAAGAGGAATCTCGAGTTCTTCGAGGAGAAGCTTAAGGAGCTTCAGCTTCGTCGTGGCATGCAGAGCATGGATATGGGCTCCGGTGGCTCGAGCTCTCGGCCTCACGGTACGCGCGCCGACTCAGATGCGCCTCCTACGCCTCCGCCCAAGGATGCATCCGGAAATGCAACCTCTGGCGGCGAGACTCAGTTCAGTCAAATCGGTGGCCACAACGACTTGATGCCTCCCCGCCATCCATTTGCACCACCCGGCCCAGGATCCGGGGGTCCCAAACCTCGCCCCAACTTCACCAAGCTTGGTACGTCTCGAAGACCCTGATTCCATACCTCTTGTGCTCTCTTTATAGCTGTGCTTACAATGCTGACGCTGCGCGCTCTCACAGACCTGATTAAATATGATACCCCATATCTGGGACCCCGCATCCAGCTCATGCTCTCTCAGATCCAGTTCAAGCTGAATGTTGAGGAGCAGTACCTGAAGGGCGTTGAGAAAATGGTGCAACTGTACCAAATGGAAGGCGACAAGAAGAGCCGTGCCGATGCCGCAGCCAGAAAGGTGGAGAGCAAGCAAAAGATAACTCTTCTGAAGCAAGCTCTCAAGCGGTATGAAGAGTTGCATATCGACACTGACAGTGCCGAAAACTCGGATGGTATGTGACCGCCTGCCCACAAATAATGAGAAAGGCAAATGAAGAAGAAACAAAAGACAGCTCAAGACCTCGCTGGCTAGTCCTCGCTAACAGATACCCTGTACAGATGATAGTATCAACATGCCGAATCTGCGGAAACCGTTATCTGGTCAACTCACTATCAGGGTCGTTGCAGTGAAGGATGTCGACCATGCCCCGACTGGCCGTTTCAGCCGAACCCCCGATACCTTTGTCGCTGTCAAAGTTGAGGACGCCGTTGTTGCACGAACCAGGGCCACGCGCAACGACCGATGGGAGGCCGAATATCACAACATCGAGGTGGATAAGGCTAATGAGATTGAACTGACGGTTTACGACAAGCCCGGCGAGCACGCTCTCCCTATAGGCTTGCTATGGGTTCGCATTTCTGACATTGCAGAAGAGCTGCGTCGGAAGAGGATTGAGGCGGAGATCAACAACTCGGGTTGGGTGTCGGCTGATAGGATGGCCAATCCCAAGACTGCTCCTGCCCAGTTCCCAATGAATCCACAGCAACCACAGCCTCAATTTGGGCCTCCCCCAACGTCACCAGGATATCAAAGCGCCCAGGCCACTTATCCGCCGCCTCAGGCTCCAACGCAATCAGTGTCCCAGCCTATCGAGGGGTGGTTCAACTTGGAGCCCACCGGCCAGATCCTGTTGAACTTCAACTTTATCAAGCAGACCAGCAACACGCACAAGTTCGACGTTGGCCTTGGTCGAAAAGGTGCCGTTCGTCAGCGCAAGGAGGAGATCCACGAGATGTATGGGCACAAGTTTGTGTCACGGCAATTCTACAACATCATGCGTTGCGCCTTCTGTGCCGACTTCCTCAAGTACTCGGCCGGTATGCAGTGCGAGGACTGCAAGTACACTTGCCACACGAAATGTTACACTAATGTTGTCACCAAGTGCATCAGCAAGTCGAACGCCGAGACCGACCCCGAGGAAGAGAAGATCAACCACAGAATTCCCCACAGATTCCAAGGTTTCTCGAATCTTACTGCCAATTGGTGCTGTCACTGTGGCTATCTTTTGCCTTTTGGAAGGAAGAACTGCAGGAAATGCTCAGGCATGTTCATCTATTCTATTATTGTGCTCGATATACTAACGTGGTCCTGATAGAATGCGCCCTTACTGCCCACGCCCAGTGCGTGCATCTGGTTCCTGACTTCTGTGGCATGTCCATGACAACTGCAAACCAAATTCTTGAGGGCATGAGGACCCAGAAACAACGGCAGTCTCAGAGACCATCTATGAGTGAGAGGACACTGCGGTCGGGCACGACAAGCCCCGGAGCTTCCCAGGCCTCAACCCTTTACGACCGCACGAGCGGGGGCTCCTTTAGTACGGTGTCCCCCGAAGCTGCAGAGGCTGCCAGAAGAACTTATGGCCAGCCTTCACCGGACCGCCCAGGAAACAGTCGTATGTCAAGCTCCACCGACGCCGCGGCTGCAGCGACGTTGGCTATGAGCGGGGCCGTCGGAACTCAGTCGCCGAGGCCACAGCAAGGCGGGCAGCAAGACTACATGGCTCGCCAGGATAGCTACGGACAGCCACAACCGGGGCAAGAAGACCCATACGCCAATCAGCATCCTGGAAGTCCTACGCAGGGCCGGAGATATAATCCAGCTGATTATGCTAATGTCAACCAATACCCTCAACAGCCTCCAGTGCAGCAGTCCCGACCACCCGTCCAAGCCCAGCCACAGCAGCCTTATCAGCAGCCGATCGCTGCACCGAAACCGCAGCCAGAGCCCATTGCCCCTTCGCCAACGTCCTCAACCGTCTCGGCTCCGGTGAAGAAGCCTCTGCCATCCGCTACTGATCCAGGGACCGGGATGCGGATTGGTTTGGACCACTTCAACTTCCTTGCGGTGCTTGGAAAGGGTAACTTTGGAAAGGTCATGCTGGCGGAGACCAAGAGGTCAAGGAAACTCTACGCCATCAAGGTGCTCAAGAAGGAATTCATTATTGAAAACGACGAAGTGGAAAGCATTCGGTCCGAGAAGAGGGTCTTCCTGATTGCCAATCGCGAACGACATCCTTTCCTGACCAACCTCCACGCCTGTTTCCAGACAGAGACGAGAGTCTATTTCGTGATGGAGTACATTAGCGGTGGTGACTTGATGCTTCATATCCAGCGTGGACAATTCGGAACGAAGCGTGCTCAGTAAGAAGCCTTCGCCGGAGGTTGCTGTAAACTTGGCTAACACTTTTCCAGATTTTACGCTGCTGAGGTTTGCTTGGCTCTCAAATACTTCCATGAAAATGGCGTCGTTTATCGAGATCTGAAGCTTGACAACATCCTCCTCACTCTTGACGGTCACATCAAGATTGCCGACTACGGTCTCTGCAAGGAAGATATGTGGTTCGGTTCCACGACAAGCACGTTCTGTGGTACCCCCGAGTTCATGGCACCCGAGGTATGTACTATTGTGGATTTACTTTGTTGGACTATGCTGACATTTGACAGATTCTGTTGGATAAGAAATACGGACGCGCTGTGGACTGGTGGGCCTTTGGTGTTCTTATTTACCAAATGCTTCTGCAACAGTCTCCATTCCGAGGTGAAGACGAAGACGAGATTTATGACGCTATCCTGGCGGACGAGCCACTCTACCCTATTCACATGCCTAGGGATTCCGTGTCGATTCTGCAGAAATTGCTCATTCGTGAACCTGACCAGCGGTTGGGAAGCGGTCCCACTGACGCGCAGGAGGTCATGAGCCAGCCGTTCTTCCGGAACATCAATTGGGACGACATCTACCACAAGCGGGTCGCGCCTCCTTTCTTGCCTCAAATCAAGAGCGCAACTGACACCAGCAACTTCGATTCTGAGTTCACAAGTGTTACTCCAGTCCTCACACCAGTCCAATCAGGTATGTCCGGTTCTTTCTCTCAAAACATTTTGCTCTGTGCATGCACTGATAAGGTTTGCAGTGTTGTCACAAGCTATGCAAGAGGAGTTCCGTGGTTTCTCTTACACCGCGGACTTCGAGTAGGCGAGGAAGCCATCCTGGCCAGGGTGATGATTTTGGGGGGAAGAACAAGGATGGCTGCAGCTGGCATCCTCGGAGCCATGTGCTTACATGTAGCCGCGCTGCCAGAATGTGCGGGCCACGACAAGGGTTGTTTTATATATAAAGGGCTAATAATACCTGGGCGAGGCCATGCGCAGCGTGTTTTCATGCGCACGCAAGCGCTCAAACGCCACACTCCTCGACGCTGAAGAAGCATCTGACGCCTCGAAATGCACGGGACTGGATGTTAGATACTGTAGAAATGACGGCCATGGATTGACGATGGGTTGCGTGATGCGGACAACGGCTAGACAGCCTAATTTAATAGAGCATGGAAACGAAGATCAGGTTCTGCCATGAGGTTGTCCGCAATTGAATACGGTGCTTGTAGGACAGCACTCACTAGTCTCCTATCCACCTCAATTCTTTCACGTGTGTTCCTTTCGATGGGCCTGGACAGGACTATCTCGATGACCGGTGTTTATTACAATAAGCGAAGTGCCCAATATCGGTCGCCACACCCTTCGCGGGGTCTGGTTGTGCCAGACCATGTAGAATCAAGCGCATCTACCAGAGACAACGTGAAATTGGGAGTCGCTAGTATCTCTATACAATGGTTTTACAGATCTCTATAAGTGCTTGACGCAAAGATCAACGCTGACGCGCCAACAGCACTGCAACGCCGGCCATTGCCACGGCACCAGTCACGACGCCTTCTAGAGCGATGAGTGACACGTCCCTCATGCGCAGATACATCACCCTCTCGCTATAGAGGTCCTCCAGCGCCTCCCGCCACAGGCTGGGTTCCGATAGGAACTCCTTCCACGTCAAACCTGGTGGGTTACGCGTATGCTCCGGGATCCCCACGTCCGGCAGGGATGCCACCGGCACAGCCTCGACACCGACGTCCTCGACGACGGCGGTGGGGGCCGCCGCCGCCGCCGCCGCCGCTGCGGCAGCCGCGTCCTCCCTCCTGGTCATGGCGCCCTTGACCTCCTCCAGCTCCCTCCGCACGGCCTCGAGGGCGGCCTTCTCCTCGGCGGCGATGCCCTTCATGAGGCGGTTGCGCTTCCAGGGCTCGGCGACGAACTGCAGGACGAGGAAGAGCAGGATGTTGACGCCCATGAGGCCCCAGGTGCCCCAGGTGGACTGGCGGCGGATGCGGTCGCTCCAGATCTGCTCCTCGTGGTAGCGGCGCAGGATGCCGCTGTTGAGGGCCTGGCTGAGCCGCGCCTCGTCGGCCTCGGCCTCGGTCAGCGCCGCCGACGCCTCGCTCACGGCGGCCTCGAGCTCGTGGTCCTGCCGGTACATGGTCGTGAAGCGCTCCAGGTCCACCGGGGTCCACGTGTCCTTGCGCGCCAGCAGCGCCGTCACCTCGCGCTGCGTCGAGGCCCGCTGCGCGTTGACGGCCTTGTAGTGCTGCCGCGCCCGCTTCAGGTCCGCCTGCGCCTGCGCCAGGTCCGTCTCGAGCTTGGCGTTGGCCGCCTTTATGGACTCGATGGCCGAGTAGCCCGTCAGGTCGTTGAGGGTCTGCGAGGCCACCAGCACGCGCGACTGCAGGTTGTCCATGAAGTGGGCGAAGTTCTGGGACGCGGCAGAGCGGCGCGAGTCGGTCTGTGAGGGGAGCTCGGGGCTAGGTCTCGAGGGTCTTGCGGCGGAGGAGGAGCTCTCTGGCGAAGAGGACGAGGAGGCCTGCGTTGCTTGGGACGGCTCCTCGGCCTCCTTGGAGCTCGCATTTTGTTGTGAAGGGGGTGGTGGATTGGTGGAGTAGAAACGGAGCCTGCTGCATCCTGTGCGCAGGGACAGCTGCCCTCGTGGGCTGCTGGTGGTGGTGGTCAGGCTAAGGATGGTCGAGGTCGCTGGCCGCAGGCGAGACGATGCTGATATTGATACTGATACTGGTATCGATGGGCCACTGAGCTGCTTGAAGAGTAAGGAAGACCCAGGCCGCAACAAAGGCCGAGCAGCAGCTACAGGGCCCGTCATTGCCAATGGGGTCGTGGTCGAGGCCGAGGCTGAGGGTCCGTAACGGCGCTGGAGAGTTGCAATGAGGCGAGAGGCAGCTGTCAGTCTCGGTCTAGCTGTCCCTGTACCAGTATGCAGAGTGGACGGCCCTTCGGACGCGGCACTTTTTCAGTACCACCTCGGGACACTCGACAGCTGCAGGGGTCTCTGGGTCTCTGGGAGCTTGGAGCTCCCGCCCTGCCGGTGCCGGCGGTGGGGCCGCTCCACGTCACAGAGCCCCGTCGACAGGGGTCAGGGCCCCTCGTTCCGTAGCACTCGGTCCAACGTTGCGATAATCATTCCCGGTTCAACCTTCTCTTATCCCAATATCTATGTTATAGGGCAGGTGAAACACTTCACTTAGGAAATCATACTATGCGTTCCAGCTTGATTGGCAGCGGCCCATGCATATGGTAGGCTTGAGAAAAGCTTGCATTCACACACTTGGAGAGATACTGGCAAGACCAAGACTAAAGCTGTTATGCCCGATAATGTCTACCTCGTGTTTTCTCATAGGCAGAATAACGCTGTTCGAGCTATCGAAATGAAGACAGGCACAAAAAAAGTCAGGGATTACTTTGCAGAATATCGAGCTTGAATACGGTACCGAATAGGAGATAGTTATATACTGGTCCCGGGGAAACCATGAAGAGTACAGATGCTTGAGCACACTGGATGACATGTCATGTCATCCGATTCAAGGGGATCAAGCGCGAGATCTCCACCAGAAGTTTCAATTGGCTTGATCAACAATAATAACTTGCCTTTGAAGAGATCCGCTGGCTCAGTCATCCCTTGCTATGGTGCACGTTTCTTCGGAAATTCTTTCATTAAGACGTTACTTCGTTAGTTGACTCTAAACTCTATTCAACAGATATTTCGGCTTCATATTGTTGGCCAATCATCAACCCAATCAATAACATTCCACCCCCACTGGTAGTCGCTGACAGCATAACCTATTGTTGTGTTGACTGGGCAATTGATATTAGTAAATTCAATATCCAAAAGTTCAGTGACAGGGAGGAAAGACTCACCATATCTGTAGTACAGAATCGGTCCATACGTTGGGTCATCCAGGACTCCCTGGCCACCAGGCCCGTACACATCCCCATGGCTCTCAAGCACAGTGTTACCGCCGCCTTCCAGGCAGCTGGTCCCGTTCTGGTCCGCATAAGGTCCACCGATAGCGGTGCTCCGGCACACGCGAATTTTATATTCTCCTCCCTCGGTGGGTAGTGACACATCATAGTCGTTGGCTTGCCCCTCGCTCCAGAACATGTAGAAGTAACTCCCGTACTGAAAGGGAAAGCTGGCCTCAACATCGTGAATCCCAGATGGTTGGTAGATGGTCTGGTATGGATCTCCTGTAACAGTCGTTGCATTCGAGTTGAAGGTTACTTGCTGGATGTCATCCCAGTAGGATCCAAACGACATAAAATATGTTCCGTCGACCAGAATCATAGTAGGATCGATGGCGTTATATGAAGCGTCGGACGTCGATTCTACACCCGTTGATCCATGATCGACCCAAGTGCCGCTCTCCATGGTCGTGCTGGTTGCGTATCCAATAACTGAGTCCTGGCTTGCAGGGGTAGATACGCTGTAGTCTATGATATGGAGCTTCAAGTCAGACCTAGTGATATGGCGAAAGTTGTGGTTTTTCATGCTCTTTCTCCCAAAACATATACTCAAGACATGAAACTTTTCCTTTGTTGTTACCCAAAATGCAAAAGGACGGACTTCAAAACTTCACTTACATAAAATGTACGTGCCATCGTTCTCGATGATCATGGGTGCCTATAATCGCGTCAACAAAACATCTAGCCAGCCCGTAGCCAAGACAAAAGCAACTGGCAGAGTAATACTTATGTATAATAACAAGAAACTTTCACATACCCATAAAGCCGTAACATCTGTCATATTCACTACAGTGCCACTTGGAAGCACATTTCCAATGGTTTCCCATGGACCAGAAAGCGAATCGGATTTCATAATATCAATGTACGTATCCGTGTTGAAGCGAAAGTGGACCCCGTCGGAGGACCGTTGGATAAGTCCTGGGTCATGCGCAAAACACGTACCGGAGCATCGCTCAGGGTCAGCATAGCCTCTTGCGCCAACGGCCAGGGCTAGCAGGCACAAAAGGGCTCTGGCGTTGGGCATCATTATAATAATAAGTAATAAAGAATTTGGGGTGTATCAAGAGCCGGGACTGTTCATTTCCACGGCTTGCCTGTTGCGGGCGGCTCTAGCCATTATTTATACACATTGTTTATGCCAGCCTATAGGCAGACCGACTCCTTGAGAAGTGAACATCAAAATCTCTCGAAAAGTGAAGGAATTGCTTACGACGCTTCAGCTGCCGAGACGCGGATAGGTCCGAAATACCAGCATCATCGTAGGCGATGGCGTAGAACTGCGCCGTCAGTAAAAGTGGTCAAATATGGGTCTTCTTGTTCCTGATATTGATCTGGCCAGTAAACTCTGCTGGTACTTCTCTCGGCTGCGTGTGGGTTCTACATATACATGCAGAAGCTACGAATCGGAGTGACAAAAGGCTTCTTCGCCAGGCACTGCCATGCCGGTAGCTTGCATCCACGCGGAAGGGCTCCTCTCGAGCTTTTGTTCTGTGGGGCTTGACGGTGTGACGAAGGATTATGTGATTCCTGTCAAGATCCGGCGTCTATGTCTCTGCTTGGATTGGCTGCCTGGCCGACCTCCTGCACTGCTGCCTGAGTTTACGTATGGTGAACAAGGGAGGCTGTGGGGAAGGGGCATTGGTTCAGGATTTGAAGTTGCGGTATGTAAAAGGAACATTGTTCGGATCTGATAATCTGCTGCCGGGATCAATTAAGCATTTAAAATTCCCGAAGTCTAGCCTTAGGAAGATTCCTGGATCTGCATCGGGCACTATGCTTTAGATTCAGATATTCAGACTTGAAACAAGGAAATTTTGGGTTCATCTTTCAAATATTACGTGTTTAAAATGGAATTGTAATCATATTGACGGTTCCCCACCAGCCTTTCCCTTGACGAAACCAAAGAAAATGCCGTTCAGTCGTTCGGCAAGACCCCTGAGTAAAGCAAAGCCACTTTCGGTCCAGATTCATGCCCTGGAACGGACCACGTTGACTTGCATGTATGACATGCAGGCCGTGGATCAGCCGTGCCAACTTCATGCCAACATTCTGCTGGGCTGATGACTCGACCGGGCGCTACCAGCCCTACATAGCATTCAAGACCAAATCTGTGATCAATATAGCCTTTGTACGACTTCCTCACACATAGATGGGGAAAATTCGATATACAATTCTGCACAGCAAAATATTGCAATAAATCATCAAAGCGATGGGTTCAAAGTATGATATAACAAGCACACTGTTCTGCAAACGACGGGTTGGACAAAAACTCATGACTAGTATGTGTGGGCCGCAGTCTCCGGTTTTCAACCCCTCAAGGAATTCCAGGAATCCCAAATCCTTCTGACCGTCGACCAAGACTGGCTCGAGAAGAAGACGTCGAACCGGTTAACTTCCGTGGTCAAAGCAGAAGTCGCCATGATGTTGACAACGACTTGGCATTGGTCTACAAAAGTCTAGACCAGTCTTTCCAATGGAAGAGTCGGCATTGCAGTAACAATCGGACAACTCCAGTTTGGTAGCGATACGCATCTATCGGACCGAAAGCGCCGTAATTTGTTCGTTAGTCATAGTGAACCCGTAGGTGCCGACGTCCTTTCAAGGCCTCCTGTGATATTCAACCCCTCTCGGCATGCGAACGTATAATCTGGCTTGTAGGACGGAAGCAAGCAGCACCAAATTCCGATAAAAAGCTGTAAAGGCCCGCAAGAAACCGGGTTTGTTGTTGTTTGCCCTTTGACGTGAGCATTGTGCTCTGTCATCCAAGTTGCTCTGTCAAAAAATCAGCTCGTTGTGATCTTGTGTGGCCCTGTCACTTCTCTTAAAGATCCAGTACAGGTTGCGTCAACCCTGTAATCAAAGGTGTCTGGCAGGGCAGTAAATTTACCATCTGTCGTGGCTGTAGCCCACTATCCCCACCAAATATCGCTACACAATCTCATGTCGCGGTTTCCTGTCGCGGTTTTCTGCTGAACCAGGGGTTTTCAACAAGCCCACGGACAGTTCTTTAATTGCCACATCCTCTTATATGACCAATATAGCGCTGGGTTTGAGACACGCATCGGCCGTTTGACGCATGCCGGCGGCCTCAAAGTCAAGACAAGCATCCCACAGGTGGCGGGCCGTTTTCCTAGGTGCAAGGATATCGACACATTTCAGCTAATGCGCTGGGGTGTCTTTGCAAACCCGCGCGCTATAATGGGTAGAAGCGGTCGCCGTTGATGACGCAAACGGATATCTCGAGCTTTTTGACCAGCTCTTGCGCCAGAAGACCCCTGCTTGCTTGGACAAGGCTGGCCATTGCGCACCTGATGCTTTTGATGGCCTTGTCTCTTGGCGTCCTGAGAAGCACTTCGAGCATTTGTCTTGGCTTTCTGTGGGATGATAACAGCTTGTGGATTGCGAGGGAACCCACGACTTCCAAACCTTGGGTGGCTAGTTCAGCAAAGATCTGACAAGCGTGCGATTTCGTCGTATTCTGAAGCCAACTTCATTCAATCATATTGACCCATAAGATCCAGCACAGCTTGAAAGAACAAAATTCGCATGCAATACATCAAATTGAGTAAGATTTGTGAGACAGCAGGGTACAGATGCACTAAGCTTCCGGGCACCATTTGTTCGCTGTCCGCAAGACGCAAAACAAGCCATCTAAAGGTCTTTCTTCCCAATTGAAGCTGTCTTCATCAGACACAGATTTTCGGGTTCATTGAGGGCTATGATACTGGTCGGAGGAAAAGCCAAGACGCTCGGATGATAAAAATTTGCTCGAGTTCTTCATGTTTCAAGGCTGTGATTGCGCAGACATGATTTATCATTGGCTGGCGCCGACGATGAATCAGTACCACATGGTGAATTGTCTTAGCACTAGGTGAAATCAGGGATCCAAATTCATCATAAAGCTGCTTGTGATTATCACCATAATGGGTGTCAATTCCCTCACCCCTCTTGGACCTCGTTTCTTTGAAAAAGGGGGCCGGGGATTGTCGAGAAGGAAGCCATGCGTCGACCAACAATACCTCTCCGCAACTTAGAAGTTTCTGTGTCACATTACTCCGAATCAGGCATGGCAAAAGCAACATGGAAAATGTGAATCTAGGTAAAAAATTGTATTCAACCTATTCTTGTGTCAAGCTGCCTATGGAGACCTATTCAAGTACTCAATTACTACCCATATCTCCAGGCCTAAAGTCTCATAATTGCCATCTCTTCTTGTAATTCCTATCATTTCCATCCCCCTTCCGTCTTTTCAATACATTCTATAGCCCCGAAAGTCTTAGTAGAGTTATTAAACAGAACCCAAGATGCCATGCCTCTCAAATCCCTTACATCATGTGTCTTCCATTCCCACCCATATTGCGTTTTCCAGGTTTCCAGAAGTTCGCCATCCGCTTTTTGAGCTCATCTGATTCCTTGGGATCGATGTAGAGGAACTCAACAGGCCCTACGTAATCGCTGTCAATGTACTGGTCAAAAAAGGCCTGCCTGCCGTGCTTTTGGAAGTACTTCAGACGCCGTCCATCCTCATCCCTGTCAATTTCCCACAACCGGCAGCCAAGTGGTATTTGCACATCGAGCTTGTCACGGAAGTTCTTGATCTTGATCTTGACGAGGTACTCGAGCTGATCCCGAGGAGGGAGGGACCTGACCCATTTGTCGACGGCGGTGAGGTCCGGGTACCAGATCCTCTCATCAACCTCCAGACTTGGTCCCTCGGAGTCTTTCTTGTAGGTGGTTGCTTCTGTGGCGTTCCGGGAGACCCTCTCGATGGTTGTTGCAGAACCAGGGAGATCTCGCTCGGTGTTTGCGGTAGACTCAGCGGAGGCTGTTTCGGTTGGTGCTGCGTGCTCAAGGGTGGTCTTCTGGGTGGTTTCTGAATGCTGAAACTCTTCCATAAGGATAGAGATGTTGTTGGAGGAGTTGCTAGTGCTTGGAGGCTGCTCTGTTGTGCCTACTTGCGCGAGGTACTTCTTGGCAACTAGGTACTCGATATCGGAGTGTAGCCCGTAGGATTGGCCACAGGTTTGCTGTGCCAAGTGCCTCCATTTTGAAAATTCGTGCAGATACTTGCCGCCAACGAGGTCCTCGATCTCAGAGCGTAGCGTGTCGGTAGTGGCAGGTTTGTAGGAGATGCCATAAATTTGTTGGGCCCAATGAGCACATTGGTTGCTCTGTGCGGAAGCCATGATGGTTTTTGTCTGTGCGAGGAGTGGTTGATGGCTCGTGAGAAAGAGGTGCTTTGGCTTGTATGGTATGTAGGGATAGAGATCTCAGAGATCTTGGGTATGATGGGTGAGTGTAGATGTTGGTTGTGACTGAGAGTTGAGGTACTTATGTAAGAACTTGGATGTCTGGGCTTTTGTTTGAGGTGGTCGTTGTCAGGATGATTTGATGAAGTTTCATGGGCTTGAACAGGAGGGATTGTTCAGGGGGAAGTTGGATAGCACGGTTCATTATATATTGCCTGTGGCCACAAAGGTGCCTTCATTCTTTGCAATTGTTTACTGCACTAGAGAAGAAGAATTGGCATGTTTTGATGGTCTATGTGAAATAGTGCAAATTATCTGAAGAACTTATAGCACTAGCATCAAAATTGTCAGTAAAGTAGTATATGATCACCTTGCAAAGGTGCCATTTGAGTAATCAAGCCTAGAGAATATGAGTGGCCTCCCAGGGCAATGAGCATCGACTTGAGGTGAATAATTGTGGACTCAAGGTCCGAGGGGGAGCTACATCGACATAGCATCACGTTCTATAATGCATCATCACTAAGTACAAGTCGTGATTGTTGTTGTCATGGCGTGTTGAGCATAATTCCATCGAACTACCGAAATCCAAACGTGAGACTTGGGGCTTCAGGAGGTATAGTAAAGCTCCCCATCATGCTAAGACAGCATACGTTCAGAAACCTCAAGTCAAAGTCTGTCAATGAATGATTGCGTATGTGTGCATCCGATGGCTTGGTCCTTAGGCTAAGGCTAGCAGAGACGTCCAGTCAGCTGGACCACACATTTACATATTGATTATGGCCGGACTGTCTCTTTCTGTGTCAATCTTCCGCTGGACCCTCAAGTGGCTTTGAACAATGAGCATCTGGGGCTGCTTTCGGGTCAAGTTTGGTCTAGAGAGTGTTCAGGAAGGCAGTCTAGAAAGCGAAGGTAAGGATTTGACTCTCGTCGCTGGCACGAAGACTCTCCTTTTCCATGGCAGTCCTTCATACGCCATGCCATTCCTTAGCGTGGCAGTGAGAACGTGCTCGACCATCAAGGCTCTTGAGTTGGTGTAAGGACTGGTGAAGAATAGTACATTTTTTCCTCAAGATTTCAAGACTCGCGCTATCTTACAAATATGCCAAAAAAAAAAAAGAAAAGATTTACTTGCCCCATTCACGTGATTAAGACTGCCACTCAATCATGATGTATACACTGGTAAAGAACACCGGTTGAACTGCTCGTGCTAATTAAGACAAGTTGCGGAACACATCTGAGCTAATAGAGCAACAGCATTGGAGACGGGTTGTAACCGCCACTTCTAAACCGAGCTGAGGCGTTTTCTTGAGCGGTGTCTTCGTCTTTGACTCAACTGGAATGGAACTGTGAGTGCTCCACTGGCGTGAAGGGGAAGAAAAAGGGCCGCACGAATTGCTGTGTCCAGGAACGAAGTCTTCCCCAAACGATCTATTCGCGCGGAGTGCTCAAGCGTCCTTGCTCATGCAAATCAACAGCAGAACCAGAGGCGCTCGTTGACCGGTCACGGTTGCACCATAAGGTTGTACATGGACGAGTCAAACGCTCTTGCATGTATGTACCTGGGTATCAATCACTCTACGCAGCCCTTTCCAGAAAAGTTCAGGGGGCCTCGACAAGTCAGCCAAAATGCAATTCTATGTTCCACCGCACAAGCAAATCCAGCCCGGACCATTGCTACTTTTGTTGCGTCTCCCTCTGGACCGCAGCAGCCGCCTTCTCCAACTCCTTGCGCTCTTTCCTGTCCCTCTTCTCATTGAGCTTCTTTTCCCTCCTCAGCCTCTTCTCCTGCCTCCACTTGATCCCATACTTGGTCTCTGCCCACAGGATTGGCATCAGCACCACTCCCAGCAGCGCAAAGAACGTAAAACACCAGCCCGTCCCCATCCCGGCGATCATGAGCTCGATGACGGCCGTCGCGGCGGCGCCCATCTCGCAGCGGACGAAGTTGTTCGCCGCGACCGCTGTGGCCGGCGCCTCGGGGCTCAGGTCGACGATGAGCGTGTTGAGGATGCCGAAGGACCCCGTGATGCACAACCCAATGACGAAGTGCAGGCATAGCGGTGCGGCGACCGAGGGGCGGAGCTCCAGGACCCACCCGTAGACGATCACGGCCACGATGCCGACGGCCACGAAGAAGTAGAGCGGCACGATCCTCGCCTTCTCGATGGGGAAGTTGGACAGGTCGTCGCCGCGCTTCTTGTCGATGCTGAACCCGATACTCTTCGCTGTGCGGCGGTAGTACCAGTCTAGCATGTAGCCCTGACCTATAGCTGCGGCGAAACAGCCTGCTCCATAGGGAAGGTAACACAAGCCTATCTGCAGATCATCATAGCCATATTTCTCTTTAAACTGAGTAGAGAGCGTCGCGACCGTGGTAATAAACATGAGGTATAGTATCGAGTTGTATAGAATCACCAGGCCAACACCCTTGTCGAAGACAACTGCCAGGGCGCGGAGGGGATTTGGGAAGCGAAGCTTTGGTTTTTGTCGCACAGTTCCGTCGGCCTCGGTAAATACGACATCACCCTGTGTGCCGCCGCCGCCGCCTTCTTTCTGCTGCTTTCTCTGCCGCCGTTTCTTGGAGACCCAAGCGACGGCTGTCATGTTGAAACCGGTCGGCGTCACTGAGCCATTGCCCACTATAGTACGGCAGGTCTCAGGGACCGTCAGCCCGTAAAGCACGAAGACGGAGCATGCGAAGATGAAGCAAAACCAGAAGATAGCTCGCCAACCGAGGTACTGAGATAGCAGCCCACCTATGACAGGCCTGTTTTAAGTTAAGTGGTTAGAAATTGAGGTCCAGAAAAATGGCAGGTATATCAAGCGCTAGGAAGTGCTCCATGACTGCGCCTGGCGATTTGAAGAACAGACAAGAAAGTGTTCGGCTTGTGGTAGATTTCACTTACGATAAAGATGGTCCAACATTAATTCCCGCACCAACCACGCCCATGTACTTACCGCGCTCAGCGCTGGTAGATATATCGGCAACGACCGCATATCCCAAGGCTAATGTGCCGCTGCTGCCTCCACTTTGGACCATGCGGAGGATCAAGAGAGCAGCAAAGTTGTTTTGAAGGGCAAGACCGAGATTCGCTGCAGTGAGAAGATGTCAGACTTTTTCGACAAGTCGAAGAAAGTATGACGATGAACATACCAACGATATAAATCAGCACGGCAACGATGAAAGCCGGGCGCCTGCCCGCCATGTCGCCAAAGTCGCCAAAAATAGTCGGCGCGATGCCCTGGACGGCTTTTCAGCATTGTACAGCATCTTGATAAAATAAGGCCAAGAACTGCCCGAGTCCACCGCAGTCACCGCGGTCTGATCGTTAGCACCTACCTGAAATATCATGTACGTGGTCAATGTGAGATTGATCAAGGTCACAGTGACGCCCAGATCATGTGCAATTGGATTCAGGGCCGGGAAGTAGATATTCTGACACGCTGTTAGATGCTGCCATCAGGCCCATCACAAGACATGGGACTATGCGTACAGCTGTCATGGGTGAGATGAAGGATGTCAAGGTCACGACCCCTATGATCCACTTTTTCATGCCTCTCGAAAAGACAGCTAGTTGATGCGAATTAGTAAATGCCAAGCGAGGTGCTTCGATGATACGGAAACAGCCTCTGGTACCAGAGGCATGCTGAAAAATGGATTTGGTCGTCTCAAAGTGGACTCAACAATGAACTACCACAGGGCTTCACCTACAGTAAACAGGGCCGCTAGTCGCCCGGGTAAGAGCTTCCGGATCCGGCTCCGGTTCCTCCGTGTCCGAAGTGCTCGGCGCGGGATCTGTACACCTTTTTTGGGAGTCTGCGGGGCTTGCCCCGGACGGATCAACAGCGGCCTGATTGACCATGTGCCTGGCAGACGGGTCCTGACCGGCTATCGCTTGGGCATCAACGGCAGCTCCTGGCGGGGTGGGAGGAACGACGGAGGGGGACCTCTCCGGATCATCAAGACCCCTGTTGGCCATGGTTCGAGGACAGGGCAGGGCTTTTCTGGTCGAAAGGATGAGAGGAAGGAAGCAGAAACTCGTTCTGGCTACTCATGTGGTAGTAAGACAATCTATGTAAAAGGGATCGAATCACTTGTTCGACAGATCGGGATCTAGGCCGCAAAACCCCAGCAGAGTCCAGACTCTCGTGGGGATCGTATTGAAGCTGAACAGGGCCAGAGCCATAAGGGGAAAGAGGACTGAAGCAGGAATGCCAAGAGACTGGGGAACGAAGAGACCGTCGATGTGTAATAATGGAAGAAGGACAGAAACAGAGGTCAGGGTCCACCGCGAAGGGACCTTATTCCCGTTAGCTTCTCCATCACGGTCGAAGTCCGTCCGACCTCACCCTGACAGGCCTGATCGGCGCCTGTTTCTAGACGGTATTCCAAGGCAAACTTGGTTTGCCAGTGCCCACACTTGTAGGGCGCGAGGCTTCGGTCAACAACCACATGCAGGTTGGCAAGGGACCATTCGTGTTCCGCCGGGCTGTGATGGCCGGACTGCAGAGGCACAGAGGCATCTGGGACCAGCTTGGTGTGGTTTCCTAACGCCCAAACGCTGACACGGCCACGATTCCTGCCCTGTGGGACCAACTTTGCAACTCGGCTGTCAAGGACCCGCACAACGGCGAGCGGTCTGATACCCGCAAGGGCAGTCCGGTATCGGCACCGTGGCCGAAAGGCGAATCGTAGACGGCGTTGCCGGTCAACCGCTTCGGCACTTCCCCTTAGGCCGTTTCCTCGTCAGCTTATCCAGGTTGCCGATCGCCCGCTGGCGCACTGAAGAGGAAGGAGGTGTAGCAAACTAATAGAGGCAGCTGGATTGGTCGGATTGCCCAGGTGCGCCTCAAACCTCTGACTATCCAACGGCGCGGACGGTCTCTGGTAGCGTGCATCTTCGGGGTAGTAACCGAGGACTAGTCTGGGAGGTTGCAAGATAGTGTTCCCGCGAAGACTGTGAGGTGATGTGGAGGCCGTGCACAATATATGTTCGACAAGACCAGACACGATCATATTGTGATACCGCGTGAAGGCCTCGTAATGTAGGTTTCGAACCTTGTAAAAGACGAGAGATTATGGGCCGCGGTAGATATGTCGTTTTGCACGACCACATCGCAACCTGAGAGGCATGTGAGCAGCCCGTTGATTGTCGCTGTATGATCGCATTCCGCCTCCCTTCTGTTGTCACACGTGGGCACACCGGTGACCGGATCCAATTGTGAGACTACTGACAGGGATGTCCACATGATTTGCTCCAGGACGCGAGGATCAGACGAATTGGTGCAACTCGTATCGATGCTGTCATTTCATTGTTAGAAGGCTGTGTGTGTCGAATCCAGGATGGTGGTGTGGTGCTCAGGGCAGTCATGATGGCAGATGAGTGGTCTTTCGGAACCGAAGCGGCGAGCTATGTTCGCCGAGCCGATCCTCAAATGTGAGATATTGGAAGGAGCTCTCGAGATGTGGCTGATATCAAGCCACACACGGCCTGCACTAACAGTGACAAGGTCTTACCTCTGCTACTGCTAGAAGCTGGCGTCCGTCATTGGCAGGGGTTGACAGTGGTTCGAGGCAAGCTTGCTGTCCCCATCGCAGCTTGGACGGCAATCTGGCTAACCCATCCGGCCTCGTCAATCTATTTCCTGTCCTTTCCCTCTGTCGCAGCACGCCCGGTAAACAATCACCATGGAGGTCACTGTCACATTCAACGAGCTGCTCAAGGCTCGCTCGGCGTCTGCCACCCGCGGCACCCTGCCGGATCTCGACCGAATCGATGGGTACCTCAAGGAGGCATCCTCAATCAATCGCGACATCGTCAACCTGCACAGCGAATTATCCCAAATCCGACAAGCCTACCTGTCCACCGCTGCGCCCCGTAAAACACAGCTTCGAAAGGGCGCCCAGGACAAATCCATCTATTTAACTGACGCAGACCGCAATGCAGTCGATAAAATGGCCAAGGAATCTCTACAACGGCTCAACCTGCGCATCCGCATATTAGAGGACGAAGAGGCTAAACGGCACGACGCCGCCATGAAGGATATCAATCGCAAATATGGGCGCGGCTTGCGAGCACTGACGGGCTGGGCGGCTGGCGGTGTGCTGGGCCAGGACGAGGACGGCGCAAAGAGCCCGGAGCACGCAGCGGCCATCAAGCTAGAGATGCAGCTGTTTGCTCACAAGGGGACCATCATTAGCTACCTCAAGGAGAAGCTGAGTGCCGCAACCAAGCTGCAGGGCGGCATGATGGAAACGAGGCTAGCGAGGGAGATGGAGAAGAACAGGAGCATCCTGGCCAAGGCCAGAAGCTCGCAGCTGCCGCCTGCGCTGGCCAAGGAGTTTGGGTTTGACGACGCAAATCCAGGCCCAACCCCAGCCCCCAGGGCGTCCGCACCTGGTCTACCCGTCGATGAGGAGGAATCGAGGAGGAGGCAGGAGGAGGACCTCGACCTCACAGACGAGCAGAGGCAGATGTTTGAGCGGGACAATCAAGATATGCTCAAGCACTACAACAGCGCGTTGGACAAGGTCAAGACGGTGGAGAAGTCGATCATGGAGATCTCGGAGCTTCAGCAGATGCTGGCGGACAACCTGACGGTGCAGTCGGCGCACATCGACCAGCTTGTGACGGACGCAGAGAGGACCGAGGAGAATGTCGGGGGTGGAAACAAGCAGCTAAAGAAGGCGACGCAAAGAAAGTTCAGCCAGGCGAGGGTGACCTTCTATGCGGCCAGTGCTCTGTGTACGGCTCTGGTTCTATGGGACTTGATAATATAGCATAGCAGTACAACCTAGGAGCCTCCATCTGGTTCCCCTCGCGGGGATGCACCTTGATCGCTGTCGGGTTGGGAGGCTAATCGAGTGATTGTTTGCCATGGTAACCAGATACACAACCTCTCAAAGTGAGGGCAGAAGGGTAAGTGCACCATAGACTATACGCAGCAGGTGCTGGGGAGCAAAAATGGTGACTCGTGAATCGACAAGTGATCCAATGACGTGCTGGTCTGGTGGTGTGAAGGCGAGAAAGTCCACGGGGCCATTTTTACCTCGGGAACTCAGCCGGGGCCCGATGGGAATTCGACCGGTGGGCCGAACAGCAGCACCAACGGGATGACACCCTCCAAGCCAGACCACCCGGGGCCCAGCTGCTGCAAAATCACATGCATTTGCTTTGCTTGGCCGACAAGATTCAGAGAGAAACCATAGATAGACGGTCCCTGACATAGAAATCTGTCAACCTTCTCAACTGTGTACTCCCGATCTGACTATTCTACTCATGCTAACTGACAAAAAACCCTCTCGAATCGAACTGAGCTGCGGCATTTATCTCATCTTTTGTCGACGCCTGACTCCTGTAGAGTTCCGCTCACTCGTATGATACCAGGGATCCCTTTGGCCGCCGTGGATCCAGCTCGTGCCAAGTGACGCGGGTCTCTTACATACCATACGTACTCCAGCGTGGTATCTGTCAATCCCTTACATCACGGCTTCCTCGCCCGGCCACTGGACTTTACTCGGCAAGATCGGGGAGACGTTCGAAACGCAGGCGGACGGGTAACTGCGCGGTTCGAAACGGCATTGGCGCGCATACGGGGTCTCGGCAATTATCCACAACTGTTGCTGTGGTCACAGAGCAGGCAATCCAAGCTCAGTCTGGGTGCTATTTTTTGGTGTCCTGTGTACACAGTAATACAGGTTTCCTAACTGGATCCCCTCCGCCAGCCCGCCCATTTGGCTGTTGGTTTGGTTGTTTGAATAATACGAACCCACTACCCCGGCCCTTGTTACCCCGGACGGGCCCCTCTGACCCCTCCAACCTTGGAACCCCTACCACAGCAGCTGATAGTGCTCGGCGAGCTGCTGCTGCTGCGACTGCTGCCCTCCCCTCTGCGAATACCTGCAGCACATACCCTGCTGTCCAAGTAAGTACCTGGCTGACTGCCTCCTGATCTGCCCAGGTGCCTGCATAGATCCATCCCTCAGGTCCCACGGTCCGTCCCAAGTTCAGCTCAACAGCAATATTAACATCTCTCTGTAGGATGCCTCCCTCCACCACCAACAACACCAACGACAAATCCCAGGCCCAGACTTACAACGCTCACAACTCGCCGACCAACCCCACCGACCGGATACGCAGCATCGCCAACCAAATGGCTTCCCCAATACTTGCAACCAGCTTCCCAGCTGATACTGTCCCCCAAGCTCCTGAGGACCCTTTGTTTGGTCTGATGGCAGCTTACCGGGCAGACACGAGCTCGGACAAAGTCGACCTGGTGGGTCATCAGAACTCTCCCTTTCTTGAGGCAGTGACATGACGTCTTCCATGGCAATGCTGAAGCTGCCCAGCTAACAATATGCTCCATCACTAGGGAATCGGGGCGTACCGTGATGATAACGCAAAGCCGTGGATCCTCCCCGTCGTCAAGAAGGTAAGTGAGCACGGATTGCCTCTCTACACCTGAATCCAGCAGTGCGGCGGTTCATGCACGCACCTGTGTGGCATCTGCAACCTCACAATCGACTGCATCTGGGGCCCCTCCATCTCCCCCGCTACCCCGGAATCCAGATCACCCCAGATTTCCACCGCAGCCGTGAGGTGATGATCAGGCCACTTTGCTAACAACACGTTTCTTTGCTTCATGCAGGCCGATGAGATCATTCGCAATGATCCCAACCTAAATCACGAATACCTGCCTATTGCTGGTCTCGCCTCCTTCACCACCAAAGCACGCGATCTCGTCCTTGGGCCAAATTCGAACGCCATCGCCGAGAAGCGTGTCACCTCCGTGCAGACCATCTCCGGCACGGGAGCCTGCCACTTGGGAGCCCTCTTCCTCGCCAGGTTCTACAAGGGCAACCAGACCGTCTACCTCTCCAACCCAACATGGGCCAACCACAACCAGATCTTCAGCAACGTCGGCCTACCCATCGCCACCTATCCCTACTTTGACAAGAAGACCAAGGGCCTCGACTTTGAGGGCATGAAGAAGGCTATCTCCGAGGCACCAGACCGTAGCATCATCCTTTTGCACGCTTGTGCCCACAACCCCACCGGCGTCGACCCGACCGAGCAGCAATGGCGCGAGATTGCAGACGTGATACGCGCCAAGAACCACTTCCCTTTCTTTGACACCGCCTACCAGGGCTTCGCATCCGGCGACCTAGACCGCGACGCCGGCGCCATCCGCTACTTTGTCGAGCAGGGCTTCGAGCTGCTGGTGGCCCAGTCCTTCGCCAAGAACTTCGGCCTGTACGGCGAGCGCGCCGGCTGCTTCCACTTCGTGACGGCGCCCACGGGCCCCTCGGCCGCCGAGACAGTCACGCGCGTCGCCTCGCAGCTGGCCATCCTGCAGCGCTCCGAGATCAGCAACCCGCCCATCTACGGCGCGCGCGTCGCGTCCACGGTGCTCAACGACGAGGCGCTCTTCGCCGAGTGGAAGGAGAACCTGCGGACCATGAGCGGCCGCATCATCAGCATGCGCAAGGCGCTGCGGGCCAAGCTCGAGGAGCTCGGCACCCCCGGCACCTGGAACCACATCACCGACCAGATCGGCATGTTCAGCTTCACCGGCCTGACCGAGCCCCAGGTCCTCAAGCTGCGCGAGGAGTTCCACGTGTACATGACCAAGAACGGCCGCATCAGTATGGCCGGCCTGAACACGCGGAACGTCGATTACTTCGCGAAGGCCGTGGATAAGGTTGTGAGGGCCTCTTCGTAGTCGTAGTGTTGGGGAGCTGGATTGGATGCCAGATGGGAGGCGTGGTGAGAAATTTCAAGATCATCGTCAAATCAGATCATCGCTGCTCAATTCGGAGTCTCAGGGGACGGGGCTTCTGGGGGAAAAGGTTAAGAGACGATGCTATACCATAGTGAAGCTGCTTCAGAATGTTCAAAAATGTTGAATGCTCTAGCTTCCGTCGTTTGCGTGGAATGCATATATTTGTACATGCTTGTGTCCCTGATGTACGCTACCCGCCCATGCACCAGTGTCCATAAATGCCGAGAAGTGTGCCACAGCCTTCAACGCCGCCGCTAATATGATACTCTCAAAACTGACACGTGATGCATATGAAGGAAGTTTGCAACGCCTAGTGGATGATGGTGAGCCATACTTCCAAAAATTCAAAAATACGTGAGCCATCCGTGCACGCCTCGTCATTTTACCAACGGCGTCTGTGAGCGAGTTAGCACATTGTTCGTTATATTCTGTACCGTCGTTACACGCGTGAGAAAAGCTTACCCAAAGGCGTCGTTCAGTTTGACCTGCCGCCTCTTCGCAACAGCCTTGCTCGGCGCCGCCTTCTTCTTCTTCTCGGGCCGCTCCATGCCCAGGAGCTCGTACTCCAGGTCCGACAGGTCCGCGGACTCGGTGTCGCTGGCGACAGCGACCGGTGTGGGCGAACGCGTCCGACCTCGCGCCTTAGCATATGATGGGGACCACCTGCGTTGCGGCTGCTGGCCGTCGCGGCTTCTGTCACGGCTGTGTTCGCGCTCGTCCCGGCCTCGGCGCGAGGGCGGCGGCGACAGGCGCCTGCTGTTGCTCCTCTCGCGATATGGTCTGCTCCTGTCGGCAGAGTATCCGCTTTGGTAGCCCGAGTCGTAACGCTGCGTCGAGTCCCGGGGGGTGAAATGGCCTTTGCCGTTGGAGTCCTCCTTCTGTAGGCGATTGCTACCAGGCGAGCGAGAGTAACGGCCTCGGGAATCAGGTCGGCCGGCCTCCTCTGGTTGTGGAGACCATGGGTCGAGACTGACGTTTATGTTCGAGCCCATCGCCGGTGACCTTGGCCGCGTCATTGGCCGCGGTGGTAGACTGTGCGGCACTCTCTCGGGTTGCGCCTTGACTCGCTTTAGCTCTCTTGTATCTTCGTCAGTATTGCCGTGGCTTCGTTTGCCATTGTTCAGCTTTGACACAGCTTGCTGATCCTTTGCGGGACTTCCAATAGGATGGTGGATGCGAGGTGGAATGGCATCATTGAGACTTGGATCGCTGGGTTCTCGTGAAACAACTTCCCTGTCAGCCAACGAGTCCGTCTCAAGCTTGCGAGAACAATGATACGTGAAATATTCATGGTCTGCCTCCGGAAAGCGGATGACGACCATACCACGTCGATATCGAAAGATAGGATCTCGTTTGACGCTGGGCCACTGCTTCGATTCCCGGACTGACAATTTAAACGTGTCTAGATTCTCGGGATCACAGAATGCGGACTTGACGCACTTCGCATTATATGCTGGAGGTATCGTTGGTTCGTCGCTCCAGTCTGCTGTAAGTGGCTTTCCCACAGGGTCGGCTGGCTTTGTGTCCAACTGAATGAAAGCTTTCTCCAGATCCCATGAGAACTCCTCATCAGACTCGGAGACTTTGTCGTCGGCCCTCACATCCTCTGTCCGTGGCGTCGTCTTGACGCTGTCTTCCCTGGTTTCCTTCGCTTCGCTCTCTAATCTCGGAGTTCGCTGGCGAGAGTTGGATGAAGACCGCGTACCCGGCCCTTGATGTCGACGGTCCCGGCCACGCTGGTGTCTGTCATTGCCCCGGCCAGATTGCTTGTTTCTGCCACCTTTATCGCGGTCATTACGCCGATCGCGGTGGTCTCTATGGCGCGATTGATTCTGGCTAGTAGAGCTCTGGTGCCAACCTTGATTTTGTGGTGGGGGGTACGGGGCCGGGTATGCGCCTTGAGGCTCGTAGCCTGATGAGTACGGGGCTGGCGGGTACGAAGTTGAAGGAGGCGGAGGCAGACTTGGGGGAACACCTGGCGGGAGACCTGGCGGGAGACCGGGAGGAAGACCTGGGGGGCCCGAACTGCCATAGGCTGGCGGATAGCTTGTGGGAGGCGGTGCGGAAGGAGGCGGGCCCGGGAAAGTAGGTGGAGGCGCACCGGGATAACCTGAATTTGGTGGTTGATACGGAGGGGGGTAAGAGGGCGGTCCGTACGGTGCCGGAGGGGCATAGGATTGTGGAGGGACAGGTGGTGGGTATGGTGGCTGCCCGTATTGCCCATAGCTTGGGCCAGAAGCCGGTGGAGGAGGAGGAGGAACTGGTGGTCCGTAGACGCCTGGTGGAGGATTCACATTTTGGTAGGGAGGTGGGTATGGCGGTAAGGCTTGGGTTGCTGGAGGGTAAGGTGCAGGCGGCTGTGGCGCGTATGAGCTGGGAGGCTGGGCTGGGGGAGGATAAGGGCCGCCAGGAGGACCCCAAGGGTTTTGCGGAGCAGGAGGAGGATATTGAGATGGAGGTGGGCCATATCGAGTTATCACCAATCCCTTAGACCGGTTGTTCGGGGAGCCCTGTCCGCCGTGACTGTGCATGCTCTTGGCTGCCTGTCTCTGGCGAAAGACCTCTGCGCCGCTGCATCGACCGTTAGCCGTGCGTGAGAAAGGGGCGAGGAGCAATTGACCCTCTCGACCCCGATTCATGCAATGTTTGGGGCTGGACGAAAGAGAAAGCAACCTACTGTGGCTCTTTGCGTGTCGGTTCGGGACATGCGTAGGCGAAATGAAGCTGGCTGCCGCAGTTAAAGCAGCCCCCTTCGGCCTTGGGGGCATCAAAACCTGGCGGTCGATCGCCCATGTTGCGCCGACATGAGTGAGGGTGTGGAAGCGTGATGACAATACGCGATCAAGTTCTGAGAGGAGAGCCGCGAGGCGGGACAGGAGAAATGATCGAACTGAAGTCCACGAAGTGACTTGTTCTCGTGCGCAGGACCCGCACACAGTTGCCCGGACTCGATGTGTTAAAGAAAGGAACAGGGAGAGAGGAGCTGGGTATCAAGCATCGAAGTGGACCCTCGCGATGAGGATGGGCGACGGGGAGCGACGGCAGCAATCGTGGCTGCAGAGGTTTTGCGGATGCTGACGGCGACGACCGCTGGGTAAGACACCGGGGACTAGACGACACACACTGAATATGATGGAAAGTAGACTGCAGCAGATTGACACAGGCCCGCCGGATGAAGCTCCGGGGAGCAGGGCGAGGTACGGAACGGTGCGGTGCCGTGCAATGCGGTGCGGTACGGTACGGTACTGTGCGATTTTGGCGATGTTGAGGGTTTGCGGCAAAGAAAGGCATGCGCCGCCAGCCGAGGATCAAACAGTGGCCTGGCACCGGCCGTGCGCAACTCAGTCGCTTCTGCTACGCTCAGCTCACTCAGCTCAGCTCTGCTGGCTCGCTTGCCTCCGTCTAGCCCGCCTAAAGAGCCGGCAATCCGCAGCAGAGACGACGTCGGAAAGGAAAGAAAGATTACAGATTGACTGCGAGTCAGATGGACTAGTCGCAATGGGTGGTGGCAAGGAAGAGATATTGCATGGAATATTGGCACACGAGCGTCGTGCAGCGGATGATGGTGGTTGGGTTGGGGAAAACGGACGGGTCGAGCTGACTGACCGGCTCGGAAAGGAAAAGCGCCAACGTTGGCACGGCACTCATTCAATCAAGTCCAGTCAAAGTAAAGTCAGTCGAGTCGGTCAGTCAGTCAGTCAGTCAGTCAGTCGGGCTGCCAGCCCACCCCGCGCGCCTGATCTGCCTCCTGGCCTGCCTCCTCTGCCGACGCCTCTGCGTCTGCCGCTGATGCTGCTGTTATATTGCTTGCTTTGGTTTTGGTTCTGGCTCTGCTTTTCGTCGTCGATGCATCGGCCCGACAACTCCCGAGACCATTCCTCTTGCAAAAGATTCCAAATCTATGTCTCGCACGCTTGCTGGCCTGCGCGCGCTCTGACTAGAAACATCTCTCGCAAAATACCTGTCCTGCCGACGCTTCATCGGCCTACCCGTCCGCTAGGTGATGTTCTAGTGTCTATTTTGGAGTGTAGGAGAAGTCATATCATAGAAAATAGTTGGCTATGAAATGAGGCCAGTGGTTTGGGACCGACCGACGGACGAATGACTGACTTGATTGACATCGACATAGGGCAGTAGGGAAGTGATGCAGTACGATAGTGCTTTGCTTCTGCTTAGGAAGAGGCCAACTGCAACAGGCTCGTAGATGTCTGGTCATCTCAAATGATCAAATGCAGCCAGCATGAAGTGCTTCTCATCAAATAACACTGGATTAGAGGCCCTTTGAATGAAGCTCTCATGACCTTGCCCGGGCAACTGAAGCACGACAAAGACGACACTGAGAAAGGAGACAGCCGCCCACTTAAAACCTCACCAGAGCCAGACATCGAGTGCAGGTGTTGGCTCTGGAGAACTGAGGATTGGATCATCCTGAATGGGCAGCCAGACAGCCAGACAGGCGAAAGGGATGGAGCAACGACAAGCGGGCCTTGGAAGGAGGCGGCCGAGCTGCCTCAGCTCGACCTCAACTCGTCAACCATAACAGAGTTGGTCCCGACGATTCTTCGACAGGAAGACAAATGAAATGAGATTCGGTCCGCCGCGATAAATGCCTCCATGCCCTGGCCTTGCCGGCTGTGAAGTGCCGATCAGATCGATAATGGGTCAGACCAGCACATTTGAGATCAGAACCTCGTCCGGCATGGTCAAAAATGGGGCTCTGGGCGACTTGCACACCGGGATAGACAACAAGCAAGAAGGAGAGGGACAGCATGTACTGCTGGGCGAGGAGAGATGGATAAAGGGCGAAAGAACTGGGCGCAAGGGGAGGGCAGCGGAGGGCGAGGGCTGGTTTTAAAGCAACTTGGGCCCAGCTTGTGGCCTGAGGCATCTAGAATGCGGTCGATACGTGGGACTCTTGCTCACAGCACCCCCCCCCCCTCCCCCCGTCCCAATTCTGGGACGGTCGACGGCCAATGGCGAACTTGGGCCGGCCGGTCGCCCGCTGATTACGGAGCAGCTTTCAAGGTTTCTGACGACCGCGGTGGCACTACCTGGTTCTTGAGCTTCGCCTGCCAAAGCTGTTGCTGGTGGGATATCTGGACTTGGATATCCAATCCGCAAGAAGCCAGCATTCTGCATCGAATTACTCAACCTCGCCTCCCATGTATTCATCCACCCTCCAGGCCTCCTGATCGTCACGGCGCTCCAACTGCTTCAAGTGAGAGCTTCGACTACCACCAGCCCGTCGTTCCTTTCTCACGATCATGTTGGTTCTTCGGCCAACCACCTCAACCATCGCGTCGACCTTCTTTGCCGGGAGAAGTCCACCACCACCTTCACGTCCCAGCAACGGTAGCAGAACGACCCCGACGTAGCTAGACCGAGATTTGCTCTCATCCCCCGACCCGTTGTGGAAAACAACCCCTCTGCATTCTGCCTCGCCTCGCCCCCGCCCCGCCCCTTCCAGCGCAGCCTTGCATCTGGCCGGCTGCCATAGCCGACCACCATCATGCCCGGCCTGCCAGCATCGGTCGACCTGGACGAATGTATATCGCGCCTCTACAAGAAGGAGCTCCTGGCCGAGTCCGTCATCGAGGCGATATGCGCCAAGACCAAGGAGCTGCTCATGCGTGAGAGCAATGTCGTCCACGTGCGCGCCCCCGTCACGGTCGTCGGCGACATACACGGGCAGTTCTTCGACCTGATCGAGATATTCAAGATAGGAGGCTGGTGTCCCGATACCAACTACCTGTTTCTAGGTGCGCGTGCTCCTGGCAACCTCGAAAGAGGCGGCTGCACCTCTTCCGCGCTTGTCTGTCTCTATGCCTACCCGTGTACACACTGCTGACAAGTTGCGACTACCCGCAAACAGGCGACTATGTTGACCGCGGCATGTTCAGCGTCGAAACCATTTCCCTTCTCGTCTGTTTGAAATTAAGATACCCCAACCGAGTGCATTTGATCCGAGGCAACCACGAGTCCCGCGGCGTGACGCAGTCCTACGGCTTCTACACCGAGTGCTCCAGGAAATACGGCAATGCCAACGTTTGGCATTATTTTACAGACATGTTTGACTTTCTGACGCTCAGCGTTGTGATAAATGACCAGATCTTTTGTGTGCACGGAGGTCAGTTAACAACCATATACTCCAGCACTCCCTGGTTAGGAAGGGCATTGCTGACACACGGCCGTACTTCAGGGCTCTCCCCCTCCATCCACTCCATTGACCAGATCAAGATCATCGACCGCTTCCGCGAGATCCCCCACGAGGGCCCCATGGCCGACCTGGTCTGGTCCGACCCGGACCCGGAGCGCGACGAGTTCTCCCTGTCGCCCCGTGGGGCGGGCTACACATTCGGCGCGCAGGTGGTCAAGAAGTTCCTCTCCGTCAACAACATGAGCCACATCCTGCGGGCTCACCAGCTGTGTCAGGAGGGCTTCCAGGTGCTGTATGACGACCGGCTTAGCACGGTGTGGAGCGCCCCCAACTACTGCTACCGGTGCGGCAACATGGCGAGTGTCCTCGAGGTGAGCGACACGGGCGAGCGGTTCTTTAATGTGTTTGCCGCCGCGCCTGAGAACGATCTGCACAAGGACATGCAGCAGCAGGGCGCCGACAAGGGTCCTGACGGGAACGCCCTGCCGGACTACTTCCTGTAGAGGGAGGGGGCACCAGGGGAAAAGAGATGCAATACTGGATAGCTGCCTGCGATCAGCTGTGTGAATACTCGATTACTTTAGACATGGACATGATTAAGGGCTCATGCGTTCAAGACAAAGGTCACGAAACATAGACTACGGGGGATCCTGGGAATCATCAGATAACGATCAATTCTGGAGCCCGGTTTCTCTGCTCTTCTCTTGTTTTCTCTGCACGTAGAGTGCGAATCTGGTTGAGTGCTATCAAGCAAGCAAAAACGAGGGCAATCGGCGTAAGGGGGCGTGAACCAGATGGGACGGAACGGCCTCCATCAGCTCAAGCCCCTCATCCTTCCCTGATCCAACACCACCCCTCCTTTTTCTCTTGCGCTTCTCCATTGGGCACAGAACTCCACCCTGGTTCGATCCAACCTTGATTATCTCCTGCCATGATGCCTCGCCCCCAGCGGCACAGAAGGTAGGTCCAGTATCCGAGCCGTGGTCATGCGAGAAGCAGACTGAACAGTTCCTTTTTATCGCTTTACTCCCAGTCCTTAGCGATGTCAAAGGACCACTCAAATTTCAGGTGCTCCTTCTTGTCGTCATCGACGAAGGAGGAGACTGCGTTGTAGTGGCCACGAGCCAGCATACCGGAAGGGGCCTCTTCTTCGTTGACTATTGGAGGGTAGAACGTGTCAGCATTGACTCCCCAGGAGGGTGGCCAGCCACCAAAAGGGACCTACATTTCTTGGTGTAGAGGGTTTGCTTATCCGTGTTGGGAGCGTAGGAGCCCTGCACCTCGTCAGTATCCTCCTTGTTCTCTCTCTAACAATATACATATATGCGGCAGGATGTTGCAGTAGCACGGTGAAACTCACAATCATCTCGCTATCCTTGGAGACCCTAACGCCCTTGCGCTTCACGATCTGGACGTAGTGCAGGCCGCTGAGGATCTCGTGCTGGACGCGAAAGGTGGCGGACATGGTGAACTTTGCGCCCTCCTTGATCTTGAAGGGCTTGTCCTTGAGCGTGCTCTCGCTCCCGGCCGTGGAGAGGTCGATGGTGACTGGGGAGCGGCCGGGCGAGTCCATGGTCAGGGACTGGATGATACAGACACGGGGGTCGCTGGGGTCGGAGAGGTCCTTGCCGCCGGTCAGACCGAGGGACTCCTTGTAGCGTTGGAGGGACTCATCGTTCGAGTCTGTTGGAGCGTGCAAGAAGAGTTGTTAGTGATCATTGCGTGGTCAACTAAGAGAGCTCGCTCTTTAGGATTGGCGACGGCCCCGTAATGCTTGAGATGCCACTCCTCAATGACGAGAAAACATGAGAAGAAGTAAGGTCTCATCTATACATTCTCAAAGTCCGGTGAAGTAGCGGGTTTAGCTGCGGGCATGGGAGTGACCTTGTGCTGTCGGGGCTCACTGGGAGAGTGGTCTGGTTGGAGAGGGGTAGATCCAACAGGATTGCAATGCAAGGTGCCAAGAGGAAGCTGTCACCAGTAGAAGAGCACCGCATGCTGACATGAAAGTTGTCTTGTCTTGTTTGGAGTCGGTGGTGCTTCGGACTGAGTGTTGACATGACACGGCTCACAGCGGAAGAACTCGTGTTTCTGAAAGACACGTCCAGCTGCAGGCCACCATGAAGCACTTGCTTGCGACGGGATATGGCATGAGGTCATGGGCAGGTGCACACGTGTGCAGGGAGTCTTCGTATACTGGCATTGACCGTGTCCCCTTTGCGGGTGGGAGGTTTGGGCGTGTTGATCGACGTACCCATCTGTTGATATTCAGCTAAGCTCTGCTTGGGCTGGGACAGCTTGTAGCCCTGGGTCTCCTCGGGCATCGTGTCTTCATCATGGTGGGAGGCCATCTTGGGCGGCGGCGAAGGTGCAAGTATAGGTTGACTGGTGATGGTACTGGTATTTGGATTGGAATACGAGAGGTTGCAGAGTGCTGTGGGAAGAGGGGGAAGTCGGGTTCGGTGTGTCGATACGATACGGTGAGGCCAGGACCATCAACAGCGGCAACGAGGCGGACAGTTCAACACACATGTATTTATTGCCAGTTGCCAGCCTGATGAGGGGCACAAGGGCCACAAAGAGCGGGCCAGCACCCGGGCCCATAGTGGGGTCCGTCGTGTCTGACCAGGGGAGCATATGCATGACTGGACCTGGCCTGGCTGTTCTGGAACAACGCGCGACCTCCAAGCAGCCGGCCAAACTAGCCATACAGGCTCCAGCTCTGCACGGCAACGGTCTGGAGACTGGGGACTGGAGAACTGGAGATCAATCAGCTCCTCCTCCCTGCCGACGGTGACAAGCTTCGGATCATCCGTCGCCATCAGCCAAGAATAGGCCCGCCGTCAGCAACTCAGCTCTACTGAGTGCTAATGCTACGCACCTGGGCCAGTATGTGATTCCTGCCGGCCAATGTGCTCGGCCAGCAGATACTACACAACATCTCCCTCAGTCTCAGGCTTGACTCCCAATGATACATGCTCACGGCGCTTGCACTATGCACATGCCGTACACTACGGACTTGGTCTTCTTAGTCTGCACCCAACAGCCGTTGTCCCTCGCCCACACCGATATTTCCGACTGCGGCGCTTCTTCCGAGGCTATGCTTATCGTTAGACAGTAGCGGATTACGAGTACTTGAAGCTTCTGATGTCAACAATCATGCGAAGTATACACAGCATCAAGGACTTTCATGGATAACCTCACACGCCTCGAGAACACCTGTTCCTGAAACGGCATGGCTGATATAGACCCGGGGGCAAGGATGTGAGCTTGAACGACCATGGCTAGCCACCGGGCCGGACGGCTTGATAGATGGATGGACTGGTGGCATGGTTCGAAGCTTGAGCTTGAGCGGAAGCTTGAGCTTCTTCACTCGCCCGCACCTCTGACCTAGGAGGTACCTGGCTGCTGTCAATGCCTCCTGGGTACGTACCTAGGTAGATTGTGCTGGGTTAAGCATTTGCGAGACCTTTCCAATGCTGCTACCTTGACTGCTTGGTGTTCTCTGTAGGCAGTAAGCACAGAACCTGTGATTCGTCATTATTGGCTGGTATTGTATTCCTTTGAAGAGGTAGCATCGCGGAGGATGTTTGGGTAGCAAAGGGCGAGTCCCAGGACCAAAGCTGTCAATCCCCTCTGGCCGGCAGCTTCCATTCTGGGGTCCAGTCCCACTCGGCAAAATTGGGCTTTCCAGAAGAGAAGTGTTGCATTGAGATCCGGATCACGGCGCATGTTAAGGGACCTGTGAGAGGTTAAGGCAAGATGTGCGGCAAACCGGCATCGCGACCTTAACAGCCGGAGCCCACTCGAGCCCCTTTCCTCTCTCGTCCCCTCCCACATGGTCTCCTCACCCTCGAGAGACAAGCACTGGACCCCCATATTGACCCCCCAGCTCATGGATCTCATCTTACCACCTGAGTAGATACTGTACTCCAGCATTTTCATCGCATCCGTCCATACAGTCGCTTTCCTCCGATCCGAAAGATCCAGACAGTCTGTCAATTAGAACAGTAGATTCCTGCCGATCGCAGTCTCATCACAGTCACTTCGCGGCAACACATCTTATCTAGACCACTTACTGTCTACAGTGCAGCTACCAGAGTACAACGAGCTTACAAACTGACCGCCCGCCCACCACGAAGACCCCTTTCGCCGCCCCGTCCCTTCTTTTCGCTCCCGCTCCACCACTCCAAAGTAGCGCGTAACGGGTTGGCGCACAATCTCGAGACCTTCGTCTGCACGTAGAATCGAATTGGCCTCAGACCCCGTCTGTCAATCGCACGCACACAAGCAGGTGAGTGGGCCCAAGCTTTCTGATGTTACTACTGCTACATAGGCTGCATCAAGCGCACGCGCTGACTCGATTAATGCAGCCAGGTGTCGACAATAATCTGCTGCGAGCTCGCTAGTGTCGCATCGCCTTCTGTCCAAACCTAATACGCACGCACGTTGGCGGAGACGTCGATTCTCTCCCAACACGGTCCCCGTCTTGTCTTGGTCCACCAGTCTGGCCGCGATTGTCCCTGACGGCCTGCGAACCTCGTCCTTTCGATCAAGCCCGCACAATCAGCGCATCCACCATGGCGCCGCCACCTGCGCGAAAGCTGCCCGAGAAGCGCAATCCTTTCATGACCGCGGATGTGCCAAACTGTACGAGTCCTTACGGCGCGCACAAGGCTGCCGACTAGACCAAGATAGAAGCTGACAAGCCCGCTGCAGACACCGACCTTGTATCGCGGCGTCGCCTGGGCCAGACCCAGTTGACTGCGAAAATGGTTGCTACTCTACCCGGCGCTGAGGTCGACCCGTCCAACCTCGGCGTCTTCGACTACGCCCACCTACGCGCTCCGCTGCCCAAGGGTATCGTTTCTGGCATCTTCAAGTCCAGCCCTAACAGCTACTTCCTGATGCGCCGTAGCAATGACGGTTTTGTCTCGGCTACTGGGATGTTCAAAGCAAGCTTCCCGTACGCTATGGCTGAAGAGGAGGAAGCAGAACGTCGGTTCATCAAGTCTCTGTCGACTACCAGCCCCGAGGAGACCGCCGGCAATGTCTGGATCCCTCCAGAGTCCGCTCTTGGCCTTGCTGAAGAGTACGGCATTGGGCCGTGGATCCGCGCCCTCCTGGACCCTGCGGACATACTGGTATCGAATGCGACCGAGAACAGTAGCCCTCCCAAGAGAATCAGCGCTCCCCCAAAATACTTCCCCACTGCGTCCGCTACCACTCTTGTCCCACCCACGCCGACCTCAATGCGAAGCACACGCAGTCGCCGATCTGCCAGCCCAACCAAGGCTTCCTCTAGTCGCCGAAATGTCACCGCGAGCCCGCGCAAGCGATCAACTAGAACCGCCGCATCGCAGCCCGAGGCCAGTGAGGCACCGAGCAGCAGCAGCCGAAAGACCTCGCTCACCAACGGTGACATTCCAGTTCTCGCCCCCGCCGAGACTCTCAAGGTTGAGGAACTGAAGGTCGAGCACGTCGACAAGGGGTTAGCAGGGACGTTAGAGACGGTAGAGGAGGAGCCAAAGGTGAAGGTGAACATCGAGCAAGACGTTAAGATCGAAGAAGATGGCACCGAAGTCGAGCGCACCAAGGTTGATCTCAAGATGCCATTTACCGCAGGCGGCCCCCCGAGTGCGGACGACGCAGCTCGGATGATCGAAGAGGCGAAGGCCATGGTTGCCACGGCCGAAGCTGAGGCCGAGGCCGCAGCTGAAGCCGCCGAAGGTCCTTCCAAATCAGCTAAGGGTAAAAGGAAGGCAGAAGATTTTGAGGCTGACAACGAGGAGGATGGCAAGGATGGCAAGACAGTGGATCTCGCTCTTCGACCGAGGGCAAAGAAGGTCAAGACCGAGGTTGAGCTTCGCAAGGACAAGGTGAAGAAGCGCGCGTTGGTGGGCATCACCTTTACGCTGGCAGCTGGGTAAGTGCACACGATTCATGGGTATATAATGCAGGAACACGCTAACAGTCCGGCAGAGCTTTGATCCCGTATGCGATGAACTTCCTTTGAAATCGAGGATAGCTCTGAGAACCGGCAGGGTTGTGTAGGAAGTAGCACGCGGCATGGTGTTGGACAAAGAACAGGGCCCTGAACGAACGAGATTTCTTTGCTTTTGGGCTTGGACTGCGGAGTTTGGGCTACTTAGGGTCGGACAATTCTTCGTGTGCAGAAATTTGCTCTCGGACTCGAGGATTCGAGAGACTATCATACTTGACGGAAGATGCTGGATACAGCATCGAGATGCGTCTCGCCCTCGCTTGCGGATCTCGTTTGTTTCAACGAATATCTAGGCAGAGGAGTTGAGAGGGACGGATCCTTTGTAACTAGTGTACACTTCGGCCTTGAATTAAACCTTTATTACTCAGTCAATCTCTGCGTTGAGAGTCGCGCGGGTCCTGGCTGCCCCCAACGGACCTCTACTGGAGTTGCAACAGTTTCTCTGGTTCAATTGTGAGCAGCCCTGTCCGTCCGGGGCCGCAATCTGCCGCTGCTTACCGCTCTAAATGAGGCTAAACTGTATTTTGGCTGCATCTCCCACCAAAGAATATTTAGCCCTTGCTCTTTCCCCTTCAAAAACTTCACAAGCAGCTCACTGCCAAGTGTGTCGGGCAAATCGCTGATTCCCCATGAAGTGCTTCAGAATTGACGGATGCCAGCTCCCGGAGACTGCACTTTCATCTTCCAAAAGATCATTGTGGCCAACATGAATGTAAGCAGCCGCAAAAGTGAGCCGGCTCGTGGTGGCCGGCGCAGCTCACTTTCGCCCTCGTGCCCCAATCCGCCGAGGTTGGAGAAGCTCGGCAATGGGCGGCTTTCGTGGGTACAGTGACGATCCATCTACTACCCCTCTGCCCAAGTGCTGAGAACGACTGCTCCAAGGCGAGCGGGTCGTCACTACGGGCTTATTCTGTCTCTCACATCGCGCCGCCAGACGTTGCTCTGCTGCTTTCCCTAGCTAACACACAGTTACAATGCGCCCGGTGTCTACAACATGGAGGCGGTTTGGCCTGCAACACAGGCGCTACTTCTGGTCCTCACCTCGCAGGCTGGACAACTATGCCTTCATTGGCTTAGGGCAGATGGTGAGTACAACCTGCTTGGCCCCATCATGCACGCATGTCGGAACAGAACTGATTGGGCTGTCTTCCAGGGATTCAAAATGGCCCAGAATCTCCAAGCCAAACTCTCTCCAAGTGACAATCTGAGGATATTCGACATTAATCGTGAGGCCGTGCAGAAGCTGGCCGGGGAAATGGCAGCTTCGCAGGCTGGAGGGGCATCTGTGGAACTGGCGGAAAGTGCAGCAGATGCCTCCATGGAAGCAGTAAGTGGTTCTTCTCCCCGTCCTACGCCTCTTCTCTCCGCCGCCTCCAATGATGAGTTATATTTTCCTACCTATGATCTAAGTTGGGGCCAGCTTGCTGGCCCTCCCGTGATTATCAATACATACAAAGCCAATCCTCTGACACCGGCACTCACAACTCCTTCTTGAAACCACCCAACACCAATGCGCAGGTGCCAACAGGGTCGCTAACAGACGGGTTTGTCACAGGACGTCACGATCACTGCGCTCCCCGAGCCAAGTCACGTCAAAGCCGTATACGCCTCAATCCTGGAAGCCAAGCCAAGCCCACGGCCGGCCTCGCGTCTCTTCATTGACTGCTCCACCATCGATCCCTCGTCCTCACAAGAGGTAGCCGCCCTCGTCGCAGAGGCATTCCCTGGTGGAAAAGCACACTTCGTCGACGCGCCGATGTCAGGCGGGATCGTTGGTGCGGCAGGAGGCACGCTGACATTCATGCTGGGGGCACCGACCGACCTCGTCCCAAGGATAGAGCCCATCCTCAGGCGCATGGGCAAAAACGTGCTGCACTGCGGCAAGCAGGGGACGGGGCTGTCAGCCAAGCTCGCGAACAATTACCTGCTCGCCATCAACAACATCGCCACGGCCGAGGCCATGAACCTTGGCATTCGCTGGGGCCTGGACCCAAAGGTGCTGGCGGGCGTCATCAACGTCAGCACGGGCCGGTGCTGGCCCAGCGAGGTCAACAACCCGGTGAGGGGCGTCGTGGAGAAGGCGCCTGCGAGCAGGGACTACGCTGGCGGGTTCGGCATCTCGCTGATGCGCAAGGACCTCAAGCTCGCCATGGTGGCAGCGAAGGAGGCGGGCGCGAGGCTCGAGCTTGCAGACCCGGCCAGAGAGCTGTACGAGGCTGCTGAGAAGGATGAGAGCTGTAAGGGCCGCGACTTTAGTGTGGTCTATAGATGGCTCGGAGGCAAGGAATGAGATGAATTCGTGCCTCAAAAACAAATTGTCGTTTTCAAAACCTGTCTGTAAACGTGCAAGTATTTAGTAGAGCCACCTGCGCTGCGGTCCTGACTCGTCAGCTGACGAGGGGAATATGCGTGCCATTGAGCGAGTCAGAGGATGCTACGGTCGAGTGCATATCTCTACCTGCTCTAAGCGACGGCAGGTAAGGACTGGGCCTCCTACCAGGGCATGATGATTGAATCTATGTGTAGCATGGGAAGCAACAGACCTAGCCAGGCAGAGGAGCTTATCCTATTACAACTCACATAGTATATTTTCTAGAGGACACTCGAAGATCGTGCCTCATGACATGACGAATCCCGCAGTATATGATGACTGACCCAAGGACGTTGTCTCGTTCCTCCATGCTACTGGTCAAGTCCCGCGCCGTTGTCTGACGGCGAGCGGGTGCGCAAATCCCATAAACTTGCACAATTCCCGGCACTTGCACGCCGGGGCTGCACAAAACTACGCCGGAGCGCTGCTGCTCCGGGATTGCCAGCCTGCCAGCCCAACCCGCTAGCGCCCGTGTCCTGGGACAACCGCGCTGGTTACCCAATTCGGCCGTGTCCTGTCCATCCTTCCTCATCACCTACCCTCTCTGTCTGTCCGCGCGCCACAGCCATCTCCCCCCCCCCCCCCAATATGTCTCTGAGGCCAATAGGTCAGAAGCTGCAGTGCGGGTAAACATACGCGCACATAGACGGGATTGGCGACAACTTGTCAGCCCGAGATCCCGCAGTCGCGTGGAAAGGGAACCAGTAGAGCCGCCTGCTCTCTCCTCAGCCCAGCTCGGATGCCGGATGATATGATGGCCGCCAGCGACACGAGGAGCACTAACCACCTCGCACCAAGGCGTGGCTTTGACACGATGATACATACACATGGCCTTGGCTGCAGCCTGCCAACAGGTCGTCTGGCCGTCCAGTCCATGAGTAATGGGGCGGTCACCTTTGCGGTGTCAAAGTGAACAGTTCCATCCCATAGGGGCTCTCGTTCTCGCCTTGGTTGATCTCAGCACTCCACTCCCCCTCGGATCTATCGTCCCGTCTGGTAGTCTGGTTGGCAGGTCCTCTCCTCTAGCGTGGGAATGTCACGGCTTACGGAACACCCATGAGTTCGCCGCACCTAGTCCCCGTTTTTTCTCTTCAACAGCCCTGCGGCCTAGACCGTACTTATACCTAGAGTAGGGTGAAACTGCCTTCCCTATGCCTCCTTCTTACCCTCTTTTCATTCTTTTTCCAAGTGTGATTTCGATTCTTCCAGCTCTCTTTCTCCTTGTTGCGCGCGGTAGTTGTGTTCACCCGGTCCGCTGTATTTTCTCACCATAGTGTGCCTCTCTGTGTTCCCGCACCAAGGGCTCGCCCCATTACATCGACGACTTCGAGCGAAGAACGACCCCTGTCGGCAGCCCCAGAGGGAGAGCATCTTGCTCAACATGGCGTCCAAATGTACGGAGGTCACCCCTCTGTGTCCGGTGGAATACACCACGCTCGGCTATTACCCTAATAAGCCCTTGAATATCTTTTGCGCTGCTGCTTTCGGCGTGGCTATGGTGATTCAGCTCGTGGTGTGCGTGTGGAAGAAGACGTGGGCGTTCAGCAGCTTCATCGTGGCGGGATGTGCACTCGAAGTGGCCGGTGAGTAATTTCTCTTGGTTTTGTTTGCGAGAAAGCGGTTATGGACATTTGTGAACGCTTCTGGACCGACGGCGGTGTCTCGGCTGTCTCAGCCTTGTCGATCCAGAGCAGGAAGATGGAAGGGATTTGCGACAGTAGTGAACGGTGCTAGTTTGCGGAACTCATGTTGCTGTCTCAGAGGCAAGAGGAGATAGTGCTTAGCTGACATGATACTGAATAGGATACGCCGCACGCGTCCCTCTCGCAGCCAACCCTTGGAATTCGCAAGCCTTTCAGACCCAGATTTGCGCAATTATTCTCGCTCCGACTTTGATCTGCATCTCAATCTACCTGACGCTCAAGCATCTCACCCTCACGCTCAACCCGTCCCTCTCGCGGATCAGGCCCAAGTGGCTGCCCTTCATCTTCGTGCCCGCCGATGTGACTTGTCTCCTGGTCCAGGCCATTGGCGGCGCTCTGGCAGCAAGCGGCGGGAGCGAGAACCGGAAGCTGGTCGATGACGGGAACCGGGCCATCATCGCGGGTATTGCGCTGCAGGTCGTAGTGTTGCTGTGCTTCGGGGCCCTATCCCTGGACTACTGGCTCAGGGCGAAGAAGTGGGTTCACAGCGCCGATGTCACTCCCGCGGCACTTGCGCTCTGGAACGACAAGAAGTTTCGCACTTTCGGGTATGCCGTGCTGGGGGCCTATATTTGTGTGCAGATACGGTGTATTTACAGGTAAGTTCGCACAACCCTCATCACATTCGAAAAGGTTTGTAATCTGATGTACTGACGTTGCACAGAGTGGCTGAGATGGCTGGCGGCTGGGGAAACGTGATCATGCAAGACGAGCCATCCTTCGCGGTCCTCGACTCCTTCATGGTGCTAATTTGCGTCTATCTCCTGAGTTGCTTTCCACCAGGGATCTATTTTCCGCAGATGGCCAAAGGCGGAAAGTCATCTCGCAACAAGAGTGGGACCCCAGAGAGTGCTGGCGAGGAAAGCCAAGATATAGAGCAAGGTGGGCTGGCCGGTGAAGAAGAACCAAAGGAGGGACATAGCTCGAAGCCGGAATCTTAGTGTATATTCGACGCTATGCTGTAATTCTAACAAATGTTTCGACGACTCTATAGATACAATGTAACAAATACGCTCCAAATGCACCTCTAACCTGGCCACACGTTCAGAGTTCCTGGACCTGATCCTGCAATCTCTGCAACAGAGGCTCGTTCTCGCCCTCCAGGGTGCCTCCATAAGCAAGTCTTCTATACACACCACCCGACACCTTGGCAACCCTCCAAGTGCCCTCCTCCTTCGCGTCGATGAAAAATTGCTGATTATCCTCGAAGCTCCGCCCGCCGCTCTCTGGGAGGTAGATGTAGGTCCAGATGCCAGCGAAGGCGTTCGTGGCCGCAAAGATCAGGAAGATCCAGTACTTGAGATTGTTGAACATGAGGGGGCTGAGAAGTGTAACAGCGAAGTTCGCAAGGCCCCACACAATCACGGATATCGCAGATGCTTGCGCCCTTGCCGTCGTTGCGTAGATTTCCGTGGGGATGAGCCACACGGTCGCGAGCCAGCCGATCCCAAAGGCCCCAGTGGCGATGAAGAGCGTGACTGTGCCAAGGATTGCAGACGCGCCAATGTCCTGGGATGTCGAGTTCATGGCGAGCGCGCCAAAGAGCGTGAGAAGCGCAAAGCAGGTGGTGAGTGCTACGCTGCCGCCAAGCAGGAGCTTGCGGCGGCCGACGGCGTCGATGAGGATCCAGGCCAAGGTCATGAGGAAAAAGTAAGAGACGTAATTGGCCTGTGTGACGTACTCTGCCATCCTGACGCTGAATCCGAGAAGCTGTTGGGAATGGTCAGTTAAATACCCAAGAACTATGCCGACCGGGGCGACCTACTTCGAAGATCTGAGGACCATACACCGAAACTGCGCCATATCCGGTCAAGGCCTGGTTTACCTGGCCCATGAGTACAATCACGGTAGGGTGGAACGTAGGCTTCCCAGGAGTCAGCATGTTGAGGTAGGTCACTACTTCGTCATCCTTCTCCTTCTCGTGCGCCTCGAACAACTCTTTGGCCTTCTCCTCACCCTCGTCATCGCCATAGATTTCGATCAGTGCCTCCTTCGCATCATCGTCCTTGCCATGGAAGATAAACCACCTCGGGCTCTCAGGCAGCCTGCCGATGACCAGGAAGAGCAACACCGGGTACGCCTGCATCACGACGATGGGAGTGCGCCACGCCCACTGGTTGGCCTTGCCCAGCGTGTAGGTCACGGCAAGGTTTATAGCGAATGCCATATTCAACCCGAATATGTTCATTTGAAACTCCTAGGACAAGTTAGCACAATCTTATGTTTTGTACATTTTCTTATGTCTCATACCTGCGCCAGCGCCTTGCCCCTCGCGCCATCGCTGCTCAACTCAGAACTGTACACGGGGATGACGGCGTCGATGCCGCCCACACCCAGGCCCATGATTACACGGCCGACCCAGAACATGTGGATCGCATTCTGCGTCCAGCCGCCCAGCCCGGTGACAAACATGATCAGATTTCCCAGGCTCGCGGTAGCCAGGCAGGCGAAGATTGCCTTCTTCCGGCCGTAGTTGTCTGACAGGTAGGAGAAGAGGACGGCGCCGAGCGAACAGCCCAGGTAATAGACAGCTACGAGGATGCCAACCAGGGGATCCTCAGGGCCAATTCCCATGGTCCGCAGGTAGTCCTGGTTTGTATTGATCAAAGACATCATCCCTTGGTCGTAGCCGTACAGCGCAATGGCTGTGGAGCTGAAGAGGACGACCTCTTGGGTCTTGGAGAGGCTGAAGGCCGTCATCCTGGCGGTGGTCCTGCTGGCAGCTGGGAGGGAGAACCGATGCACGCAGTGTGAGGTTAAGGGGGTGAGAGATGGGCCCTGAGTCTTGAAAAGATCCAGCCAAGGGAATTGAGTAAAGGGAAAAGCCTCCCGGTTCCAATCTTCACCATACAGACACGGCTTCAGCAGGTAGATCCAAGGGAGCAATCTGGAGGGGGGCGGTGAACGGCGGTGATCGCAGGTGCGGCGGGACTATTTATTTTGGTGCGAGCAACCTGCTTGCCGCGAGCTAAGCAACAGGCAGCACGGGGTCGGGTGGTTTGGTGGCATACATGACGATGAAGGGCAGTAGTGTTGCAAGATCCAGATCGTAGCCCCATGCATCTGCACAGCTGGGGGGGGGGTGCGCTCTAGTCCCTAGAGACGGTACGTCATTGCCAGCCCACGCGACGCCCTCGGCGCCCACTCAACCACCACGTTAAGCCGGCCGGGCGGCAGGGCTAAGCCGAGATAATAGCGATTTTTAGAGCTGATCGACGGTAGTTGGGCTTTAAAAAGACAACTTGTGACTGTTGCTGACTCTTTGCCCCTTCCAAAAGTCTACATGCCGAAGGCAAGTTGGATTCAGATATGCCATTGGAGGAGGGGTCACTCGAGCCGTGCTCCAAGGCGAGACCTACCAAGCTGATGTGAAATGGATTCTCACTACATTAGATGCTTCATTATTTCAGACCTCGACCTAATACACGCAATCACTCCAACCCAAGCACCTTCTTCAATTCGTCCGTCTCGGTATGGTCCGTCGAGTTCCGCATCCGATGACACCACTTCAGCTGCCCGCCCTGGAACAGCCACTCGCCCCCGTTCTGCGCCTTGGCTCCACTGGACCACGGGTGGCCGGACTTCAACGTATTCCACGTCGAAGTCATGAAGTTCTCCAGCGTGCTCTTCTTGAGGTAGCTAGGTCTCGTGTCGCCCTGCCACATATTCGACATCATGCCCAGCATTTTATAGCTCTGCACGCTGGGGTCCGCGTAGATGGGGAACGGGCACCCGGTCTCTTCGGCGTACGGCGCGATCCAGACCGTGTCGCCGCAGCCGATGATCGTGAGCGCTATTTTGGCCTTTGACAGCTTCTCTGGCGGCAGGTCCTGGACGAGCGCTTCCACATACTGCTTGCAGCTCTGTTGGGGCGGTGGTCAGTGTGGTATCCCTTGTCGGCAGCTCAGCTTGCGCGATCAGGACTTACACCGCAGTGGAAGTGACGGACAAAGACGATGAGCTGGCGCTCGTTCTCGGGCTTCTCGGTGTAGAGAGACTTGAAGGTGATCTCTTTCCCCTCCTTGTCCTTGATAAGGATATCACCGGCCTCGCCCAGTGTTTTCAGATCGGGCAGTTCACGGTGAGGCTCTTTGTGTTCGTCGGTGGCTCCCATTTTGCGTTTTTCTTAAGAAAAATTGTGAGCAGGATGACTGTCTTTCCTTTCGGGTAGGAAGGAGAAGACAGTGGTGCACGCTGTTGGAGAATTGAACGGCCGAGGCCATCAAGAAGTGTTGGTAGGTAGCTTGCGGAGCCAACACACGCGGGCTTAGTCAACTAGATTCTGCGAACATGTACTGGGTAGTCACACTCACGTCGGGGCTGTTGGCGTCCAACCTGGATTAGGCGGCAGGGCCGCAATTACCTATACACGCCTCACCCACACTCACTGATGCTCACCGGATATACCAACCCACTCCGACCACGCCAAACATTCTCTATTTACCACTCAAAAAAAGAAAATTTTCAACTTTACGCGAGCATTACCTTTCCTGCGGGAACTTGCTGCGTCACAGCTTGGCAACCTCCTCTCTCTTTTCAACATACAACTTGCAAAGACTCAATTTGGTCCTTCCCATCCAGTCTCTCCTGCAACCCCTTGATAACTCCATTCCTCCTTTTTTGAATCATGACATGGAAGAACAAGCGGAGAGTCCGCTTGACGACCTCGACTTCTTCCCCTATCCTTGTGATGAAAGGACAATCGAAGAGTTGGACAGATACAAGCGGCATGGCTTGCATCCTATCATACCAGGAGACATCCTACCCAAGCCATTGACATGCGTCAGCCATCCACAGAAATAACCACGGTATACAATCTATGTTAAAATTGGATTTGGTGCCTTCTCGACTGTATGGCTTGCACAAGATGCTGATACCAGGTGAGCATTAAATAAGACCTACTGATTGTAAAACCCAATTCCCTTGTTCCTACCAAAGCAAATACAATCAGACCACCCTTTTTAAGTCTTCAAGCTTACTGAGAGACTGCCTATAGGCGATTTGTTGCAGTGAAAGCTGGTCTGGGAATGGATGATGCTTCTCGAAGCACTGAAGCTCAGATTTTACAGCATACTCGCCAGACCAAGGGCCGTGGTCAGGAGCACATTATTCAACACTTTGATCTCTTCACTATTAGGGGCCCGAATGGGTACTACGAATGCTTTGTAACAGAAGTTGTGGTACTTCTTTCAGTGCTGGATCTTGAGACTCGGAAGAAACTCCCTCGATAAAGCCTAAATAGGCAGATTGCCCTTGGATTTGACTATCTCCATATTCAAAGGATTATACAGAGGTAAGTATAAAGCATGCATATACTTCTTAAATTTTATTGCTAATAAAGTACACCCTTATCTAAATCCACACCATGGAAATATTGGCATTGCTGTGCCTCGAATTAACCAATTCAACGGAATTAATCTCTTTGATTACATGGCAAGACAACTCGAGATGGCACCTGTAATACCGACAAATATATCATACCCTATGGAAACTGCCCCTGCTTATCAGGTAGGATCTATATCGATCTTTGACTTCCTGTGTACTGAGGGTGCTTTCCCTACCAATAGCCAACCTGCTATCAGAATCCTTGACTTTGGTAGAGGTAAGTGTTAATTCTAAAAACAATATATATCAAGAAGTGATGTTAGTATGGAATAGACACTGATATATATTTACCACCTTCTTGGATTGATACACTTTGTTATCTTAAAGGCGAATGTTCTATGGTATACCAGCCTCCTGAGTTTGCTATGTATGGGCCTGAGATATCAAATGGGAAGGTAGGGTGTGCCTGGAGCCAACCATCTGATATTTGGGCGATTGCATGCCTTGTAAGTTAATTCTAATTTTGTAATTATACATAGTACAGTGGATCTTATTGACTCCTTTTATTTCCAAATTCTTTCGAATTGAAGCGGGCATACACCTCTTCAAGCCTAGAGGGCCGTTAAGGGATCAGATTGTTCGTAACATAGAGCTCTGCGGGCCGGTGCCACAAGAGTGGTGCAAGTATTGGCCCCAGTCCGCAGGTGTACAAGCCATTTACCTCCTTATATATTCATATGTCCTTCCATATGAAGATAGCTGTACAGAAACATAGAAATACTAATTGCAATGAAATATGGTATAGTACCCTCTACAGAGCTTGACCGCCAGAAGGTCGAGAAGGCATGGCAGTCGCGCTTGCCAACAAACAGTGCCTTGCGTTCTTTACTAATGCGTATGATCAACACCAAGCCAGAAAGCAGACCTTCTATAAGCGATATTCTAGCAGACACTTATTTGGGTCATGTCGAATTTAGCAATGATACCTTTAATGCTTGCGATCAGGGCACAGCCAAGATTGACAGTACTCTCTCTAAGGATACAAGAGCTAAAACAGTGGAAATGTAGTGTATACCGCAACAACTTCAGCCATCCCTACGTTACCAACTCGCATTCACGCCAGCGACCACAGCGCCTATGACGGCCATGACAAGAGGATCGGAGTCAACCAAGGTCTGATTTGAAGTTCTCGCAGCACCCAACTCTGATGCCATCGCTCCTGTGACACCGAGCACCTCGAAACCGTAACTTTAGCCACTTGGCTAATTATTTCCGTAGTTTACTTGACCCCTTTGTTGTCATGGAGCCCCAGTTACCTCTGCCCAACATGATGCTTTGACTTGTGAGGAAACGGCGAGACGAGGTCGTAACATTAAAGCAAAAACAGCCAGGTAGCATCTCCCCGCCTTGTGTGCCATTTGCAACAGTGGTCGAAGTTAGAACCTTGGGTCCTCAAACGGTCGTATAAAAATACGTATCTCTATTCACCAGATTTTCGTGCAAAGGAGATACGGGAATGGTGTTCAGTCGCGCCTTTTCAACGCAGTCAGGAAGCTTGGGCTCCAGGATCTCATCAGACAATATCGCCTCGGACGGCCCAATTGCCGAGCCATCAACCCATTGCGATGTATAGGTATTAGATTAGTTAAGCTCCAAGATAGACAGCTACATAGTACTGTCAATTCCTCCGGGGAAAAAGGATTAGAGATCCGCAGCCGTGAACCACCGAGTATGGTATGACGGTCATTTCTTCAGAAGAAGTTAGTGTTCGCAATCATATCCCAAAATCGGAATCCAATGTTGGTCAAGACATGACTCAAGCCTGACGGGGTCCCTTTGCCTCCATGTCTGCTAGCACAGGGGAGACGACGACCTGGTCAGCCAAGATACTAGCATCGGCCCACAAGGTGTATTAAGCTTAATCTTAATCTAACACCATCTTCTCCAGCGCCCTTTTCTTTCGTGATGTTCACATGGACCCCTCTTTCTTTCCGGCCCCGGCCCCGCGGGGTGTGCACTCCACACCTCTTCCCCTGATCCTTCGTTGTCAACCCCGTCTCCACGCATCCAATGAGCGGCTTACTTGCTCTTATTGACAACACTGCCCAGTCTCCTCGGCTCGAAGTCGTAGGTCCCTCTCGTTGTTTCCTCCCATTAAGCAAACTCGGCATCCCTGCTACGGCAGAAGAATGCGACAAAATACAATGCTACCCGGATTTGTCACGGCCTGTTCGACGCCTAAAACCAAGAATTGGATTTTCGTTGTTGTAACGCCGCCGTACTTGGCCCACCCGGCATTTCACTTGGCACACCCAGCTGGTTATCTTTACTTTCTACCACGGAGAGACGGCGTGGACTAAGTCCGCACCGTGCGATGAATCATCAACAGAAGTGATTGCGGAAGACTTATTTGCCAGAGGTCTTGGATCGATCTAAGATGACTCTGGGTCTTTTGTGAGTTCGCGTGGCCCAGGAATCTGTGAACAAAAGGATATGTAGAAACTTCCTTACCACTAAGTCCGTAGTGTTGACCGGATTTGAGGGCCATCCAAATGAGCTCAACCAAAACGACAAGCAGTCTCTCATGGAGCACAAACGCGTGTGAAAATGAGGATTTACTGACTAATCTTTCGCCTGTGGTGGGTCAGTTGTCGCGAGAAAGCTTCTCAAGCTCACTCGAGGCATCTTGGATTCGTGGCGAAGAATGCCTTGTCTATTAGGCTAGCTATGGCTATGGGGTGGGCGAGAGCCCTCTATTAAATAGTCAAAATCTAAAATAAGGTGTGGCTTCCATAGAATCTAAGACATCCCATATTTACAGCCAGCTCCTAACCTAGGATACTTCAACAAAGCAGATATGAATTCTGCAACTACTGTAGCCCAACGCCGCAAGCAGCGAGAGTAACGTAAAATAGCTTTGTCTGCCCAGTAATGATCATCCGGCCATTTCCAGCGAACTGAAAATTGGCAGCAACAGCGCCAGTGTAAATCTTGCCGATAAGCTTGCCGGAGGGATTCCAGACGTGGACCCCGTCGCCACAGCCAGAGTAGACGCGGCCAGCAGAGTCAGTGTGAACACCTATGAAGAGTTAGCTTGTGAAGAGCAAGAATGGGCCGAGAGCGTACCATCGGGGATGAAGGAAGCAGTGTAGGCAAAGGTCTTGCGGTTCTCCCAGGTACCGTCTTCGTTCACGTCGAAAGAGTAGACAGAGGCGGGAGATGAGAGGTTGCGGCCGTAGAATCCTAGAGCAATGCCGGTGTCGGTGACGTATGCCTTCTTGCCATCAGGTGAGAAGGTGAGACCTATCGGTTGTTAGCCACTTCTACAGGAAGGGTGTGAGTACCGACCTCACCATTGGGCAAAGTGAAGTCGTCGGCGACAACCGCGATAGCGCCGGTCTCGAAGTTATAGCGGTAAACTTGGTTGCGCAGGCCAGGAGGAGGGCGAAAGTCCTGCAGGAAGCCGTAGAGGGTATCGGTGAAGTACAGTTCTCCATTACGGGGGTTGATGACAACGTCGTTGAGCGAGTTGAATTGGCGACCAAAATAGTTGTTGAAGAGGACTTAAAGCATGAGCTCCTAGTACATCTGTATAGACAAGCCGAACTTACCTGTAGTGTTAAATGGAGCCTCGGGGTTCATGAGATACATCGTGGAGGTGATATCTTCACCCTGGCCCTCTCCAGCAAAGACAATGTTGCCTTTGTAATTCGTGCCACCTAGTGTGCCGTGAGCTGATATTTCCAGATATCATATGAAGTGACATACCATTGGGGTTGACGACCTGGGGATTTGAAGGCACTACAGTGACGGTCGCGTTGTCCTTTTCACCCTTACGTACAGCCTCGGCTTCGCTAAGTGAGATCTTCTGGATGATGGAGGACTTATTCAAACCAGTACCTGCAGCAGGAGCACCAGCATTCTGGACGAAAAAAACCTCGTCTTTAGGAGGGTACCACACGACAGCCTCGTGAAAGATAGGGTCGGTCTCAGAAGTAGCAATGAGGGTCAGGGAAGGATCCTGTCCAATGACATCGTAGAACTCGTCGTCGTATATGTGGAAGGGTTTCGCTTCAAGAGACTCTCGAGTCACACCAGGCCAGAGAAAAATCTAGAAATGAGTGAGCAACAGCCAGCCACATGCTACTGGGAGTGGCAGACCGTCGAATCGTTCGCCTCCGCGGGAGGGGCCACGGTCTCAAGGACATTGAAGCTCTTCCAGTCAACGAGCTGAGCGGCAGCAGGCACTTTGGCAGCATGGCTAATTCCGGGGATGAGACACCCGACGGATAACAAAACTAGAGAGAACGACATTTTGGAATTTCTAGAAGGAGTGTGTTTGATGGGACGAGACGAAAGCAAGATCTTGGAAAAGTTGGGTGCGGAGGGCTTTGTATGTTACAGTCAAGATCCCTCAGGGCGCGAATCCTTGCTGCATTGAAATTATAAAGCCGTGGTGGTCGGCATATTAAAATTAATGGGATGAACCATCCATGAATGCGGCTAAGGAACAGACGATAGAATACTAGTGAAGCTTGTCGAGAACCTACAGTCCGAAGCTTGGCTATGTCGAGGTTGTGTTCCTATACCGGCGAGTTCACCTTGGCACTCGCAGGTTTGGCTGCATCTAGCAACTTGTCCGTCTTCCGGGTTTGATGCACTTAACACTGGCCACGGCATTCATAAAGCGAGGGTATATGCCAAGATGTTACTTCGCGACATGATAGTGACAGAGGTCCCAGGCTTGTGGCCTCGTATCTCCTGTACGTCCTGCGACTTCAGGATGTGTCGGTAGGGGCGCCATGAAACGCAGGCTGGACGACCACACAGACTGAACGAAGAGACTTGAATGCCAGTTGCTCTTCAAAGATCACATTCTTCGCCACTTTTGGTTGTCCAATCTATCATTTCCATCTCTGGTCAACCTGCGTCCTGCTAGATACGTTGCGCCATTCCCTCATTTTGTCATAGACAGCTAGCAACCATGGCAGAGCTCGATCCCGACACCGAAAGGATGATTGTTGCAATCATCATCTGCGTCTTCATTAGTATCGCTTTCTATAACGTTCTCGAGCTTACTGTCTCAATCTTCACTTCGTTCAAAAAGCGCTCAGGTTTATATTTTTGGAGCATCCTCATCGCGACGTGGGGAATCGCATTTAATGGCACGGGCTACCTCTTGATGCACCTATCACTGACAGCGGAGGCGACTATTTATGCCACGCTCATTTTGATCGGCTGGTGTGCCATGGTCACGGGCCAGTCGGTTGTGTTATACTCGCGTTTGCATATTGTTATGCATCACCAGAAGCGCCTGCGACTGGTGCTATACATGATCATCGCCAACGCAACCTGGCTCCATCTCCCTATCATCGTCTTGGTTTATGGAGTTAATTCTGCGAACCCGGAGCCGTTCCGCAACCCTTACGTTATCTTCGAAAAAATCCAACTCAGTGTCTTCTTCGTGCAAGAAATCATAATTTCTGCCCTCTACGTCTGGGAAACAACCAACCGTCTTCGCCTCGAGAAAAGCATCGGCAACACTCGCACCCGGAAGATCATGAACCACCTAATCTGGGTAAATGTCCTGGTTGTCTTCCTCGATATGACAATCTTGGCCCTCGAGTTCACCAATCTCTTTGAAATCCAGACAGCCTGGAAGCCGCTGGTGTACAGCATCAAGCTGAAGCTCGAGTTCAGCATCCTCAACCAACTCGTCAACCTCACGCGCGGCACCTCAAATAGCAGCTACTACACGCGCAGCCAAAGACGCGGGCATGGGAACGACGTTGCGATGGAGACATTCAACGGCGAGCGCTCGAGGCACTTCACAGTAACTGACGAGCCCGAGTATGAGATTCGCATCGGGAAAGGAGAGATCAATCATGCCACGCCTGCGCCGAATGCTTATCCAACGAAGACGACTGAGATTACGATACACACTGAGTCGCGACCAGGCCACGGCGCCCGCGATAGCGATGACAACAGCGAAGTTCCAGAGAGGGAAAGAGAAGGAGACGTATGTTCAACATCATCGGAAGTACACTTTGCGAGACGTTAAGATATGAAATCACAGGCCAAGCCAGTACTGTACCTTTGAGCGCCTTTCTTTCTTTCTCGCTTTCTTTCTACAAGAAATCCCCAATGAATTGCGGAACACAAGTCTGGATTCCTAATAATAGTTTGCATTTTCGAAGATTCTGCGTTTGTCAGGGGGGCAAGAGGCAAGACAGTGGCAACGAACTATCCACTGGCTGAAGGTGTGCTTCTTTTATAAGCTTCACTCTGTACCTGATCTGTTTTGAACTCTCAGCATTGCCTGCAACTACCAATTTCCCAAGACAACTTGACTACCGAGTCCGATGTGAGATTTCCCATTCATCCCCCCTTGGAGACTGACCCAGTCGCTAAACTCGGTATCGAGGCCCTGCTCCTGGGTCAGAACATCAGCGTCAAATACTATCTCAACCATCACAACCTCGCGCGTAGGCTTTTGCAGCGCGAATCTAGTTCGTGCTGCAACAAGAAAGTTTCCCATGTGGTCATAGTGGCTCCAATCTTCTGGACTTTCAAACTTCCACGATTGTTTGCATCTCTCGTACAAGTCGAAACCATCCGACACGCGCGTGAGCACACACATCCACTGGCCTCCTAAGTCCCCGCCCACTTCATCTATCACTTGGGCTAGATAGATGCCAATCTTCGACGGATATTCCTCATCAGGACATTTAGACACGTCCTGAAATACGAGCAGACCGTGAGCAAAGGGTTGTCCTGAGTCTGCAACAGGGGGGTTGAAGAAGCTTGTGCTCATCTGAAGTGAGTCAGCGGGGTATGCGCCGACCAACTGGAATCGTCCCATTCCACGCGGAAAGGTCAGCATGAAGCCTGGATTTTGCATAATGTCCTCGTCGAAGCCATTGAGAGCAAGATCGAGTTCATATCCAAAGGCTGGATACACCTTAGTGAAGTGCGAGACAAGATATTTCGTTTCCACAGGTGTCGTGAGGTCCTCAATCTCGGCACGGATTCCAGGAATGTACATTTCTGAGAGACTCTTCTTGATAAGACTGAAAGGAGCACGTGCGCGCATATATACACCGTTCTTTCCAAGAAGTGGGAGGCAGAGCTGGCTTTTTCGCATTCCCTTCTTTGTCTCGACTTCGACGCAGTTGAGAACGGCAAGAACCCAATGTGGAGAGAGAGTCTGGATCAGCGGTGTTCGTAACGAAAGACCAGCATTCGTCAGTGCAAAAGGCGGAGTAATTCTGGAGAGCAGTTTTGGTTGTAAATTTTTCATGCCGCGGAAAAGATTGGGATGATCTGCGAAAAGGGAGTTCGTAGACAATGGAGTATTGAATGCCAGGATGCTGTGGTCGTCGGACTGTCGGATGATCTCCTCCTGAAGACGAATGAACGCCCTATTGCCTTCTCCGTATAGGAGTGGCATATTGATGCCAAAAACGCCTAGAAGGCAGTACGCGATATCTTCAGGCCTTGTGGTAACTCGATCGGCAGCCCACGACATCCTCTGGGCTATGCTGTACTCTCTCAAAGCTTTTTCCTTCTGTATACAAAGCTGATCTATACCACTCACTTTGGACAGAAAGCTAGAAAATGCCTTTTTTGTGCCAAGATGAGTCCATGATTTCGAGTAAAAGACAACGTGGTCCGGGGCGATTAACTCTTGCAGCGTCCATCCTCTAGAAAACCACCGACTCGATCCCATTAGCTCCAATAAATCGACCCCTCTAGGAAGTTGGCTAGGAACGTCGGCCAGGTATACATAACAGACGTATGCCTTCTCGTACCACGCGAACATGGAATTAATCGCTTCTGAAAGCTCCGCTGAACTCGTTTTATCGATACATACGGTATCTACCCAGATATGCGACAGGCCATCGCGGCGGGCCTGTTTGCAAGTGGCGAAGACTTTGGCGAATCCTGGCTTGCTGGACTTCCACCGCCGAGTCACCACTGAGCACCACTCAGCGAATGTTGGCTCGCAATCGCCCCATGTGTGAGATAGGATGGCATATTTCGGAAGGTTTCGAGGCCCAAACTCCTCAATCTTCAGACTAGTGGCATTGATAAGTCGCATAACTACGTGACGGAGCCGGATCTCTGAACAAGCAAATGAAGGAACAGGATTGGCAAAGCTGACGGCGGAAACAGGAACGCCAAAAAGCTGAGCACGACGGGTCAGCATTCGGCAAGGGGTAACTTAGAGGAAAGAACCCGAACCCTGCTACTCGCAACGGATGATGTTGCCAGCATAGTCTACAGCTCTTTCTCGATCAACTCATGAGACCGCAGCATTTCCTTTAGCCACAGGGCTTGATGACTTAAGAACAGCTTAGATCAAGAACAGACCGTTACTAATGGTGCCTACGATCACTACAATCACTATGACACTCCCTGATAGGAGGCGCTTTAAACATTCCAACAGGCCGTGATACAGAGAACCAGACATAGCAACATTCACCCAAGGCTTCACACAGCATCCTCATGTGGAAACCTCAAGTCCCATCGAGACACATATCCCATGTAGTCCCCAAGATTACGCTTCATGCCGGCCGCCATCACCGCTCCACCTCCGATATCAACAGCACCACCTACGGGCACGCCGCCGCCTCATTTCTCATACGTCACCCATGACTTCTCCTGCCCAGATACTTTGAGAGTTAATTTGCTACATACTGACTTTCACAGTATTATATGACATACATGCCGAAAATAATCACTGGGATTCCCGTCTCCAGTATAGTTTCAAACTCACAGCTGAACATCTGATAATTTGTATCCTCCAGGGCATAGCTTCTGGAAGACCTCTTGAGGGTCGTACTCAGCCGCCACCTTCTTCATGAACTTGATGTTATCCTTACCATAACTGGCCAATGGTGCTTGGCTTGGGTCAGCATAATTGAGGTATACAAAATCAATGAGCCCGTCATCGATAGTTCGCGCAAAGTCTTCTATTCCCTGATTCCAAGCCTGAACTTTGGGATATGCGAAATCTCGCAATTCCCTTGTGGGGAGTAAAGCCGTTCCCAAAAAGAGTATACCATCGTGTTTGTAGCGCTCGAGACCGATAACATTGCCACCAGCTTCCTTGGACTTTTCGGCAAACAGTGTTGGCAGTGGCTGAAAGGTGCACTGTGTAATGAAGTTTCCATCGGGCACCACGACCTTGAGGTCCTCGACCAACTTGTCATGTAGCTCCGAGGCTTTCGCCATGATGCGCTTGTCATTTTTGAAAGCCGAGGTAAGCCAGATGACACTATAACAAGAACAATTAGTCTGCCGAAATGACGAAATATGTGGGATTGAAAGACGACTCACTGGTGATGACTTGACTGGGTATATTCCACCGTAAACTCACTGACTGTCTTAATGCCCAGTTGGTTACTGATCGTTGGAATGGCTAAGAAATCCTCAAAGGCCGGCGCCTTTTCCGTTCCAACCATGCTCGCATCTTTCAGTCAGAAACAATTAGCATGGTTCAAGTGTCAATCACCGGGCGTATCTGTCAAGTGGTCACACCAGTAGTGCTACTCACAGGCGGTCGCAATGACAGTATCCTTCAGCTCAGGTGAGTGCATGTACAGAGTCCACACAGTCTCATCAGGTTTGTCTTTGATGTTGGTCGTGAAATTGTGCATGGCGTCAATGGAAGTGGGTATGAATTCCTTAGAGGAGATCGTCAACCCGCCCCAAATCTTATTGTTACTCAGCATTTTCATCTTGAAGTTGGTGACAATGCCAAAGTTGTTGGAGCCGCCTTTGAGGGCCCGGAAGAGGTCAGGATGATGGGTTTTGTCGGCCGTGACAATGCTTCCGTCCGCTAGCACTATCTCGTACGAGACAACATCGTCGCATGCAAAACCTCTTCGCGAGTTCAAAAATGCCATGCCACCTCCGAGAAGGAAGCCAGCAACACCGACATTCGCTTCCCGACCCCCTGCAACCGTGTAATTATGTTTGTGCAGCTCGTAGTAAGCATCTCGCCATCGACCACCGGGGCCGAGATCCACCGTCTCAGAGGCAGTATCAACATTTACGTGATTTATCATCCCCAGATCGATCTACCACCGTCAGAGTCAGCGTATTGGTGTTTTCGAAAGGGAGAACGGGTTGAAATACGGTGACTCCATTTGCGATATTATTTGCTCCAGCCCAGTTAGTGTGACCGCCGCTGCGAATGGCGAATTTCTGTCCCGCGGATACTAAGGCCCTCAAAGCTGTCGAGACATCTTCTGCTGAGTGTGGTCTGACTATACAGGCCGGTCCAAGCTTGGCATCATTGCACCAGTATGAATCCTCGCGACCGGCGTAGTCAGGGTCCGACGGTAGAAGGACTTGGGATGCCAAGCCGGCCTTGTATAGGCAGTCGACCTGGGAGGAGGGGGGTTCCTTGAATGCGACAGCCATTTTGATGCCAAAGTATCGAAGTTGGAATGCATACACAGACAAGCTGGGGAAATTGAGCTCGGGACAAGTGGAAAGAGGCACGGCTCTTTAAAATCCCAACCACAACCTTGCCAGCCCCACACACCATAAGGATTGGCGTGTAGACGTCGTTCGGTGATAGGAGCACAAGTGGAGAGAATTCGGCACTTGGTTGGGCCTGACGGTATGGATCTACATACTGCGTTGTCGAGGAGGTGAGGCCCCACCACGCTTGCGCAGTTCGGTCAGCATTGCAACTCTACCTTACGAGCTATCTCTCACCAATGCCTAGGTACTCTTGAACGTGACGTGCCTGCCAGAGAGTGAAACCACTTCCAGAGAGTCAGGTCAGAACTCCAAGTTGAAGGTGATACCTAGTTACGTAGTTTTCCAAGGGAGTTCAGAGCGTCATGCAAAAATTTGTTGTCAAACGGGCGAGGGTGCCACGTAGGTGAATTCGTTCTAGAGGGTAACGGAAGTATATAGCTGGTATCTCATCGGTCGAATCTGCTGGGTACAGGGCTGCAAAATGGCATTCACACACTTTCAGCGACGATTTCGTTGCAAACTCGTTTGGCCGTGGGAATTTGTTTGTCCATGTTTGGTTCCAAAATACTCACCCACTGACATTGAAAGTTAGGAATGTTTCTAGAAATAGTACTCCACTTTTAAGATTGTTGGTGGCACGGTCTTCTTACTTGTTGTTCAGAGTCATTAAGAATATTTTGTGTGGACAGGGTTCGGCACTGCACGTTAGAGCGTCAGTTTTACCAATTTTATACATAAAACTTATCACTGCGGTTTTCTTAAAGATATGGTTCGTAAGATGAAGCTTGAAAACGATTGCAAAACTCGTGCGCTGCCGGGAAAATGCACGAGCTGATCACAGACCGACGAAGATTGTAAACATTGTTGATGCGACCGAGGTTCGCTTGAAGAATATTTTGACAAACGCACAAGAGACTGTCCATTTGAACATCAAGCGCAATGCTTGGAATGCAGACGTTGCGCATTCAGGATATATTAAATGCACGCACGCGTCCGGTCAAGAGGCGGATTCCTAGGTGAGGCCATACGTACAAAATCGTCCTACAAATTACCCCCAAGGTACATTCCTGACCTCTCTGTTCAAACTGAGGTATCATAGTTTCGAATTATTTCATTTGATATTCATAAAGCCAAAGCAATGCCTGCAAATGCACACATGCTTCGCCCCGTTCAACCATTCCAACGCCCGGCTTGCTATGACTGTCGCTAGATGAGAAAGAGAATCGAAGTAAAGAGGAAAAATTGACATCAACTATCGATATCCCGCACCATAAGGATACTCCGGCCCTGGTTGGTAGAACCCCGGAGGTGACCACTGTCCTGGTATGGGACTTGGCGGATACGGTTGACCAGGGACCCCATGAGGATAGGCATTCGCAAACTGCGGGAACGTATACGGCCTCGGCTGCGGCGAGAACGGATTCGGCCCCGGCCGTGGTGGCGGCTCGCGGTCGGCCGACGGCGGCTGCGGTACTGGCCTGGGGGCAGGCCGGGCGCGACCGTGACCTGCCTCTTCGTCCGATCCGACCTCGCCCATGGTCGAAGAATCGCGGACCCTGTTCACCTCGGACACGAAGACCCTGATGTTGAAGACGGGCGTCCCTTTGTTGTTTGGCTCTTTGATCATGCTGAGGTAGTATGAGATCTCTCTCCCGTCATCGTCAAACGCGGTCTTCATCGTCTCGGCCATCTTTCGCAGCGGTAAGCGACCATATTCGTCGACATACCAGGAAATAACAGTACTCCTTAACTTCCTCAGCTCGTCATTCCCATGCTTGAGCTTGTCGATGATCTCCAACTGAAGCTTTGCAGCGGGGTCCTGGTCCGTAAACATCGCCATCCACGGTGTAACGCCGTAGCGGTCCTCTTCGTTCCAAAGGTCAGACACGCGTGGTCTCTCATTCCTGACGTCTATGAGGCCACACACGATTACGAATCTCCACCATATCGGCTTCAAGTTGAACTCGATGCATGCGGTGAAGTCCTGCCGGTTTCCAGTGAGGAACAACCTGCCATTCTTATCCCACAGACTGGCCGGGCGAGCCGACAAATTACTGCAAGTATAATTTGCTCTTGGTTGCAGGTGGAAATGGAAGTTCAGCGACCGAAGCAGCTGAGCCCTTAGTCTGAGCGCGAGGCTGTTGCTCAGGGTTCTGGCAATGTATATCGTGCTTCGCTGTCCGTTCCAAAATGCCTTGTCGGTCGTAGAGAACAAGTCGTAAGCTCGATCACGGACGAAGCCAGTCTCCGTTTTCATAAGGTAAACCCCGAGTTTGCGATTGTTCTCGTTGACGCAGTCTAGAGCGAAGACGTACTCCTTATTGGGGGATGATCCCAGAACTGTCTCGATGCGAAGGCCATTGTTTGTCATCGCGAACTCCTTGACGGGCGCGACCCGGTCTCGCAGTATCTTCAGTCTGCCGCAGTGCACAAATTCTGCAGGCGATTGGGCGAGGATGCCGCGTAAGTCCTTCCCTTGTTGACTTGAATGTGTTGGCCTTCTGTCGACTCCTGACTCGTTTTGAGACGTCCAGGCGAAGAGTGTGAGGTCGTTGGTGCTCTTTGCTATCTCCTCCTGAAGTCGCAAGAATGCATTCTTGCCCTCTCCGTAGATCATGGGCATGTTCACGCCGAAGATCCCAAATAGGCAATAAGCGATGTCTTCTACCCGTGTTGTCTTTCTATTGGCTGCCCAGGACATCCTCCGTCCAACCGGTATCGTCGGCAACAGTTCAGAGTCTTCGAGGATATCGGCTTCGATACCTGTAATCTCAGATAGCTCACGCCTAAAGGTCTTCTTGCTACCCCTGTAGTTCCATTCTTGGTCGTAAAAGTCGAGCTCCTCAGGCCCGATTAGCTCCTGAAGGGTCCAGCCTCGGGTGAACCACCGGCAGTCTTTCATGAACTCTGTCGTCTTGCTCTCTGCATGCTCGAAGTTGTTGACTTTCAGATCAGACAGATGAGCAAGACACAGGGACGACTCTTTGTACCAGTGGAACATGGAGTTAATGGCCTCGGAAAGCGCCGCGCTGCTGGTCTTGTCGATGCAGCAAGTATCAACCCAGGCATAAGAGTACCCTTTTTGTTTGGCCACCTCACACGTCTTTTTGATTTTCTGAAAACCGGCCTTTTGAAGGAGTCTGGCTGGTCGAGATTCGGCCAGCATCTCATGAAATTCGACTTCATCTTTCTCCCATGTGTGAGACAGGATAGCATACTTGCAATCCTGCAGGTCCACAACCTCCTCCAGTCGGAGGGTGGTGGTATCGATCAGCCACATTCTGAGGCAAAGAAGCCGCGCAATAGGTCAGCCAAATGTAGGCATGAGGCTGGGACTGGTCCCTGAAACGTTCAAAACAGGGAGGGATTGACGCGGAAAGACTTGATAGAGGCTGCTCACTGTTAAGCAAGGTCGCATTAGTGGGAACAGGTGAAGTGGGACAGGGGCGTGAGCGGAACAAGCAGAAGATATGGCACAGAGAGTAAGCAAGAAAGGCCAAGGATGAGCATCCCAGTGCTTCCAAATCCAGGCCTGGATGAGGCTCTGCGTGGGGAACGGGGCAAGAAATCATGCGGAGGGACGACGTGCGTCATTCACATTATTGGATCTGGATTAGTTCCACTGCATCGATGCACGAGCTATTGGCCCGAGTTGATGCTTGATTCGATGGTGCGAGGTGGCTGCAGCTGAGAGTCCCACTCCCAATGAAAACGGGGCACAAGATCACCCGAATCGTGGTGAGGGGACGGCTGAAGACAGTTGTCTGGTCTTTCTCACTATAGGGTATTCTTTTCGAACCCGCGACAATCACGATCATTGAACCAGTCGTGCGTGTTCAGCTTGCCCAGTCTCGTTGTCGCTCTGCTCACCCTCTTCAGACTCTTCTTCTTCTTCGTCGTCGTCGTCATCTTCCTCTTCCTCTTCCTCGCTCTCCTCCTCGTCTTCTTCTTCCTCGCTCTCGCCTTCCTCCGATTGGCCATCATCTTCAGCAAGCCAGTCTGCAAGCGACTTGCTGCCGAGGCCGGCCCCTTCATCTCCATTAGTAGCCTTGCCTACACCAGACCTTGCGGTCGCGCTGTCGAGACTTTCTGCAGCAGGTACAACACGCTTCTCTCCGTACGCAAAGCTGCTACTGGCTGACTCTCCCTCGGATCTGAGCTTCGGATCCGGCTCCCTGCCCTCCTCTACCCAGTCCGGCAGAGCCTCATATCCTTTGAGGCCGTGCACCCCGCCTCCACCAGCCAGGACCAAAGCTGCTGAGCCCAGTGTAAAATCTTTCCTGGTCTCAGACGGACTAGGGGCCTGTGGTGCGGGCTTGGGTGCAAGGAGCATGAGTGTTGCTAACTGAGGAACGCCCAATAGTGCTTTGAACAACCTTGCCCTGTCGCGTAGATCGTATGAGGTGTCGTAGCGTACCAGCAAGAGAACGTAGTTCCATAGCCGAGCAACGGGGTGGTCTTCCACTTCATCCAGGGATGTTGGCTCGGCTGCTTCACCTTCTGCCTCTTGGCTCTTCCTGGATTCTATCACGCGATTCAGATGGTGGAGATAGACCTTGGCCGTCAGGAGAAGTATCTGGCGTTTGGCGATTTCTGATTCCTCCGCAAAGCCCTTGAGCAGGATCCTGCAGACATCTGCGGCGATGTTGTCTTCGCCGTTTAGACCAGCAAACTCGCTGACGAGCCATATGATGGTTGCTCGGGCTTGTGGATCCGTGGCAGAGTCCAGATTCTTTGCTAACCTCACAACTGTAGAAGTATGAGCGGTGGAGTCCTGTTGAATCAAGTGTCTGATGACAGTCAGACTCTCTGCAGCCAGATTCCCATCAAGGCTGGTGATCTGACTCAACAACAGCCTTAAACATCTTGGGCTTGTCGCCGGATCGCTCTGCGCGCATCGCCCGATGGCTCGAACAGCCTCACGCACCAACACTTTGTCGGAGCCTCTTGAAAAATGTTCCAACTCATTCAGTATGAGCGATTTGACGTGTGGCGGAGCATGAGGAAAGACGAGTGTCAACACCTCCAGTTTGAGCTCCCACACCGGGCCACTATCGGTAGCTCTGATGAGGAAATGCGAGGCATATTTGACGAAGTCCGTTGGCCGAAGTAGACAGACAGACACGATGTTGTAAAGAGCAATCTGCTGGATGTCGGAGGGGCCTCTGAGGAGTGCGACCAACGGTCCGACGGCTGATTTTATGTACTCCGGTGTGCCTATTGAAACGAAGCAGCGTGCTGTTGCCACAACAACGCCCGAGTTTCTGCTCTGGAGCAACGGTTTTATTGAATTGAGCAGCAGCTCGAGGTCGGGGTCCAAGATGACAGCTTGTACCCCCACGTCCCCATTGTTCCCTGCCTCGTTGTAGAAACCTTGCAAGTCTGCTGCTTTTTCACCAGCTTTGACAGTTCTCGTCCTCCTCGGAAAACACTTTCGAGCATATATGGTCAGCATTCTCAATGCCGAGAGCTGACTCCATTCATCCATGTCGACGATCTTGCGAACCAAGCTTCGGTAATGCTTATGTATGACATCCATCCTTTCGGGGCATATCTCCATGAACGCGGTGACGGCCGCACCGGCCACGTAATATTGCTTGTCTCCTAACAGAGTCGACAGGTACTCGGTCAACTGCGGTGACTGGTTCGGGTCCAGACGGAAACATTTTGGTATTGCCATGGCTGCCGCCCTCCTCACGTACGGGCTCATGTCTCCAGCACCCTTTTTGATCGCCAGTGAGACGATCTGGCTGATAACTGGCACTCGTATTCCCGACATAGTCTTGAGCGCCAACGCGCGCACTTGAGGGTTGCTGTCCGACAGGGACTTTTGTATGGTGTTGATGGACAGCAGCGCCAGGTCAGGTTCCTGCTCGGCATGGTGGATGAGGTAGATGTAGACGAGCTTCTTGATCTCGAGGTTCGGCGATGCGACGTTCTTGACCACGGACGAGAAGAAGGGCAGGGTCTTCTGGGCGCGGTACATCATGGAGATGACCTTGCGCAGGCCCTCCAGCACCTCACGCTCATTGCGGCTGTCGAGAAGCCTCTTGATCTGGTTCTTGTCCAGAGACCGGGGCGCGCTTCGCGAGCTCCGGGCGGCGGAGGCGGCGTCGAGGGTGAGCTCCTGAGCTGGGTGCGCGAGGCTGTCAGTCTTGCCGGCCGAAGGCGACGGGGAGCGTGGGTGGCTCACCTTTCTCGAGCAGTGACGAGATTCGGGATATTGGTTCCATTTTGGAGAACCATAAGACGCAAGTCTTTGGGTGCTCGGGAGTGTAGTCTGAGTGCCTTGGGTAGCTGCCCACTACACATGGTGTAGTTAGGCTGGGTGATGATGACTGGCGTTGGGTGACGTGCCTGGAGGATCCCGGCAGGCTTGGTGGGGCAATCGCGGGCAGGCATGTAGATTGAACATGGACATCACTCCTAAGTAACATCACCCACTTTCCTTTTTGGGCACACGTGGGAGCCTCATCGGTTGGTAGAGAGGTGTCTATTTCACTGAATTATCCAGCCATCACCATGAAGAACATATTCGTCTCAAGATGCCGCTGACGCCGCTGACGCCGCTCATCTTGTCCCCCGCGCTTCCATCTGAGCTGCTCACATACATCATTCGACACCAGCAGCACCCTACCACGCTGATCATATGCTCGTCGCAGGCAGCATTTCTGAATTCTCTCGTAGCCGACGCACAGGAGTCATTAGAAGCGGCGTCTGGTGAAAGCCAAGCTCCCAGTCTCTCGCCCCTCCTCTCGGGCCCCCTCTACCAGGTTGCCATAGCGCGACATATCCGCATGTTATTTGTTCCCACGGTTTCCCACCTGCGGGCCTGTCTTTCTGTCTTCACCACCAAGGACTCGAGGGTCCCACCGCCTCCGCCAACCACCGCTCAGGGGCAAGCAAGAACGTCGCCTCTTCTGCTAGTCTACGGCTTCCTCGCCCTGCACCGTGACACGAGTGAATGGAGCGCCCAGGGAATAAGTAGCACGGCTACAAACCTGGTGGAAGCTGCGAGGAGAGTCGGATTTCGGGCTGTTGTGGTTGATTCGTCTCGGGCAGCGGCGCAAGATGAGGATGGCACGGAAGAGCTGGACACGGTTGATGATGGTGATGGGGTTGTGGGGAGCAAGACGGAGCAAATGCTTTTGTCTGAGGAGGTCCCTGTGCTCAGTGCCAGTGCTAGGAGGGCCGGTGCTGATCTGGACGAGGCTGACTGGACTGGGCGAACAGTGACTTTGATGAGGGTCCTGGGGAGGTGGTTTCGTTACCGCCAAGGACACTGGGCGGAGGAGGTGCACGAGGACACATGATCACCAAACGAGCTGCCAGACAAATTGCTAGGATGTGGTCGTGATCCTGCTGAGAATTGAACTCGTCTTCATTCTCGATCAGCAACAAACAATGTGTACTCAGAGCCCGAATCTCAACCGAACGCCCCAACCTGGTATCAGCCCTCCCAAAGTCATTATGAAAATATAAGAGAACAGTCGTTTCACTCGTTGAACGGAATGGCCTGCTCCATCTCCGTGATGTACAGCTTGATATGTGCCTCCATCTTGAGGTACTCGTCATGTGCATTGTGTACCTCGTTCTCGATGGCCTCCTTAAGGTCTTGCATCTGTGAAGGACAGGTTAGCAGTCAAGACAGCGTGGCACGATATGTACAGCCTGCAACTTACCTTCTTCTCGGTCTGCTCGATCCGTACCCGCCGTTTCTCCATGTCACTTCCCTTCTCTGTCCGCTCCTGCTTCAGTTGCCTGTGGACCTTCTCCAGCTCCTCCATCTTCCTCTTGGCCTCCTGAGCTTTCTGGTTGGCGTGCTCCCTAAGCTTCTCCGTTCTCTCAAGCCATTTGGCCAGTTGCCGCTGCAGCAGTGTCTCAGCTCGCTCAACATCCTGGACGTCTGTCCGCCGTTCGAGCAGGGCATCTTTTTGCTTATTCTTGCGCGCAGTCTCGTCCTCCTCCTTCTGCAGTTCCACCGCAATTTCGTCCAGGAGCTTGATACATGATGCCACATCAGTCGATACCACGCTGAAGGAGTCTGTCGAGGTTTGTAATGCCCGCGCCCGCCGGTCGAGTGAGTCAATGTGGGACTTGTCATTGCTGAGCGTGTTTGACAGCTCTGTCAGGCTCGCTTGCAGGGAGGACGCGCTCTGCAAGACGTAGGGTCTTAGCTTGGCACTTTCATGCTTCACAGCCAGCTTCTCGGCTGTCTTCTGCTCGAGCTGCGTTGACAACTCGCCCTTTCTCTCTTTGGCCTCCTCCAAGCGAGCTGCGACCTTCTCTTGACCCCGCCTGAGCTCCAGCAGCCTCTTTTTCAGGTCCTCGTTGCGTCGTGTCTTCTCCGCGCACAGTCTTTGCATTTGTGACCGGGTTTGCTGCATCTCGTCTAGCCGGGCCTCCATGTCTTGATTGTCACTATATAGGCTCTCGATTCGCGCTTTCGTCTGTTCTGCTTTGTTGAAATGCGCGTCGATGACTGAGGTTTGGCTCTCGCGGAAGCGCACGAAGTTGATGAGGTAGCTGAAAATCTTGACCAGCCTAGGCTGCGTAGGTTTGTACAGATCGGTGAAGCTGAAGTCCCGGATACCACACTCCAGCAGTAGCCGGCGCAGCGACACGTAGAAGCCCATGAGGTTACGCGTGTCCGGAGGGAACAGCATATCGCCGTTGTCGCTCGCAATGTCCTCGGCGGCGGCACGCATGGCGGGGTCGACGGTCTCGCGGGTGGCATTGAGGATGAGCTCGGCGAACCACTCGAAGATCATCTGTACTTGGAGAGGATTTGGCTTTGCCAGGTCGGCGACGGTGAACGGGATTCCAATGTCAGTGATGCAGCCGACAATCTCGCTGTCTTTGAGCAGCATGAACGCGTCGGCTTCTGGCTCCTTGCGCTGGGTCGTGCGCGAATGTTGTTGCCCCGGAGGAATGATGCTCATCCTTGGGTTGTACGCCATGTTGGCTCGTTCTTGACGACACGAGGTCGGCGGTCCAATGCGGTCTGGGATAGTGCGCAGATGGTGCACAGGTGGTTTTGGGTTGGGGATGAGATTCAATGATCAATTAGTCAATTTGCGACCCAAGAAAACACAACGGCGCAAGACCCCAGATGACGGGAGCTAATCGCCGGGCGTTGGTACGGCAACGTGTGGGGCTTACCGCTGTCCCGCAGCGGGCTCTGCGCCTCTCACATACTCCCAACTGCACCTTGTTAGTCTCCATGGTTCTGTCTATAATGCGAATATATTGTGAAGAAAATAAACCCAGAATAGCCCCCTTCTAAGTCTTCTGAATCTCCTTCTCTTGTCTCACTCAGGGCCATCTACGCTATCCTACTCGATTGCCCTCCTCTTCAGCACCGCCGAATGCTCGTTCAAGCCCGCCCAGTCATGTGCATCTAAGCACGCTTGACGACTAAGAAGCACAGCAGCACTTGTCCTGCTTCTGAGCTCCTTCTCATACTTGAGGATGGCTTCCTCCATGCTTTCGCCGCTTTTATACACATCTTCGAGGGCTCCACAGAGCGTGAGAGCATCGAGTATTCCGTGATTGGCCGCTTCACCTCGATACATCGTCATTGCATGTGCTGCGTCACCAGCTAATGTCACTCTACCACCATGGTTGTCCCAGTCCAGGCAAGGCCAGTCTTGTAGAACAATCTCGAGGCATTCAGTGTCCTCTGGGATGGATTGTACCGCGCCGCGAAGGTTCTCGTGGAAATCTTCTGCCCGGCGCTTCATCTCCTCCAGACGTTCCCCTTGTGTGGGCTTCACCTCATCGTCTGGTGACCGAAACGGCCAGGACATGTTCATCTGCACACGATATCGCTCACTTTCCGTCCCCTTGGTCCCGTTGACCTCAGGCGTCTCGAGCATGCTGACCCAAAGAAAGGTCTCAGTCCTGGGATGGCATCCCTGGAACAAGAGGGGATCCAAGTCCCGCAGCGGCCTGGCCTGCTCTCGCGTGAAGTCGACAGCTACTCCGGTAAACCGCACAGGAAGTTGGGTGTTTTTGTACGTCTCAGGAGCGACAAGCTGTCGCGTTCGCGAGTTGGACCCTTCTATTCCAACGATGATTGAGCCTTCTGCACGCGAGCCATCTTCGAAAATGGCAACGACTCCATCTTGCGCTTCCTCGATCCCGATAAGGCGTCTACTCCAGTGTACTTTGTCGCTTACTTCTTGCAGAAGAACCTGGCGAAGTTTCTCGCGGTTCACACGCCGCCGCTCACTTGGTGGGATACGGAACTTGGTCTCGAGGGTCTCCAGATTCAAGAAGATGAAATTACCGGTGTCATTGCGGCCGACTTCAGGGTCGACTTGTGTCTCTTCAATGTAGGCAAAGGCCTCATCCGACAGGAGACTTTTCAGAAATCCGAGGGCCCAATTGAGAGTGATAGCCCAACCTTGGCCTCTTGTCGAGATGTGCTCATCACGCTCGAATAGCTGGAAAGGGATATTCGCCTGCGCATAATGTCAATCGATCTAATCCCCATGGTTGGATGTTTTTGCCGAAGTAATTTGCTCACTTTCCTGAGGCCGTTCGCAAGACTCAGTCCAACGACTCCTGCGCCGATAATGAGGACGGGCTTTGCCGGCATCCCGTTCGTGATCGTTGGCCGTCAGGCAAATAAGTTGATGCACAAGGCTTTGCTTTTTGTTATTGATCCCACGACGACAGTTTGTCTTGGATCGTTCAGCTCATTTAACTCACTTCCCAGTCGTCTACGCGCACGCAAATAGCGCTAAATATGTATTGTCCCGTCCTACTCATTTCCTTCATCGTCATTTCCAAGTACGGACGCGGTCATGCTATCTGTGGAATTTCCTCATGATGCCGCTGACCATTTCCTTCTGCACTGCGGGGCTGTCATCCTTCGGTCCGCGGTTCCTGGTGCATGGCGTACGCAAGACCACTAATGCAGCCCCTCGGATTGGATGTGTCCAGAACTCTGGCTGTGAGCAAATCCGGCAATGGGAATCTACGCGCCCAGGACAGCTGTGTCCTTGAAGGTATGCGATTGGAACAAAAAAGGAAAGAAAACGTACAGCACATCAAACGCAACAGCAGGATTAGAGACTCACTGCAAAGGACAGAGCAACTTGTTTCTCTGTTCAAACCCTACATCTTGAAGAAATCATACGCTTGGTTTAACCCAGATATCACTCCTCATCATGCACTGACGCCAGTCGAAGGCCGAAGCTTCGATACTCATTTACAAACCTACAAACCGACAGCGTGTTCTACGCATGCTTAACGTCCGCCTCGTTCCTCTGTGTGCTCCTCAGCTGACCCCTGATGCGCAAGTTCTCGACCATCTCTTCAACGGGGTACAATAAAATATGCCTCACTCGCAACGGACAGATCGGTTACAGGTGGACCGAGTGTTTTTCGGATTTGTTCCCGACGACGTCCTGGGTGCTTGGTAGCGCGTGAGCGTCTATTGCCGGTGGACCAAAGCCAGAAAAAGCCTTGGGCGGAGACCCCGTCTTGTATATTCGTTGCGCCCGTCTCCGTCTCTCATACTCTCCTCTCCAGGGCGGTCCCGCAGGATGACGTGCTCCGGCCCTGGCTCGAGGCTCAAGGCTCGCTTGTGAAGCAGAACAGATCCCGCGTTGAGGACGCGGTGGTCATGCCAGATACAGGCCCGAGAACAGGCGGGAAACAGCCTGCGAGAACCAGCATTCTAGGCTAGTCAACGAGGCTGTGAGATTTCACCCATAGAAGTCAGAACATGCAAATGAGGAGGGAGTCAGCTCTCAGCGGAGCCTCAGCAGGAAGGACAAGAGTCGCGAAGCGTTCCATGCCGTCGCAGCCCCACTGAAAGGAAGTAGCTTCTCGTCGTCACAGTGTACAGCCAGTAAGTGGGACGCGATCTGGGCTTATTATGCCTCCAAAGACCTGTGACGGTCTGGCGTATGTTTTATGTCTTGTTTGCAAAATGTCCGGGTCACGATGCGCCGGCGCAAATAGCTAGAGTAATTTTAAGTATATTCCTCCACGCTGTGGTATCACATCGACAAGACCGTAAGCATATCCAGCGAACTCCCTCTGACGAAGAGAGAAGCGATTCTGCGGTACCAGAATCGCGAAGCGGAAACATCCTTATTTCGATTGACACCCACGCGGACGGATGTCACGAGCGGGGCGTTGCTGAAACTTTTCATTACATATGGAGATGCCGTCTTGCATGCGGTAAAAGGTCCGAGATCTACCGAGATACGATGCCCGATATCTGCCTCCGCGGATCCACTGTAAACTCTCCCAACAGCTTTCAATCCTTCTGCCTCTGACGCATGCCTTGCGAGGCGAATGCGCGCGCAGATTCCGGACCGAGGTCGAAATGACTTGCGCAGGCCGGCAGGACGAGGAAGTGAGTGTGCGGACTTCAGTGATCAGCAGGCTCCGCACCGTTCGATTCAAGGCGCAGGTCAACGCGACCTTTTTGGAAGTTTATTCAATTGAAAAATTGTCCAAAAAGAGCTTCATAAGCAACTCGTCCCGCCGTGGTGCACTTAGCTAGTGCTCCGACATGATCTCTCAAGTCACTGTTTGCTGAGCTTTGAGCCTTGCTGAAACCTCAATTTCTTTGCCTAGTGGGCCTGTGGTCTAGCCCGGCCTCCCCGTTCCACTTCCAAGATTCGGAGCTTTTGGCTTCTGCCGATCGCGGGAACAGTGGGGCCCAGCGAGGCATCGCGTGCACATTTCGGCATCGAGTCCCGCGGGCAGGTAGAAGAGCCTACTTCAGCATATATTGTGCCGCAGGTGGTTTACAGGTTGTCAGAGATGCCGATCAACCGTTCCCGACCTGTAGCGACGATCTTATCACAGAACAACGAGTACGATAGGCCAAGAGCCAGACGGATCTGAGAGCATTGTCGCATAATTCCCAGGCCAGGGAGGCTGACAGGCGACAGAGCATACAGTCCCAACGGACCCCCCACATCGCGGGACTTTTCGTGACGAGAAGCCTGTGCAGGCGAGCTCTCTGGCTCTGTGGCCTGGTACTGTGGTAAATCCTGCAGGCCTTCTCAGGCAATGTGCATTCATTGGTGACTTGGGGTTAGCCACATTGGAACCAGTGGCGTCCTGCAAGATCCGTCAACCAAGATCTAAAATGGAAAGACGATCTGCTCATCGCGATGATCTTTGCTGCCGGAAGCCAGATGACCCTAGCCAGCTGCCACGCGAACCAGATATTTCCGTGAGCCACGTCCGTCATGGGTGCGGCGAATGTCCTTACTGTAGACTATCCTGGGCAGCCAGGGCGGCCAGGGCGACCAGGCAGCCCGGCTGGTTTCGAGAACGGACAGACAGTAGCCTCTGCCGACGCTATAGGGGCTCCTTAGGAGTTGCTTCGGGGAAGTGAAACTCGGAGGGAGAAAAATTACCAGGTCGCTTGCACACCCTTGTGTTCATTGCAGGAATAGAATTTGTGCCACACCTCCCTCCATAGTGCTCCAACATGTAAGTAACGATAACCCGGGGTTGGATCGAGATGGTTCGGTCAGTCTGATATTGGCTTGAAACAGCCATCCCGTCACCGACCTCGAACCGATCCAACTTGGGCCCCCTTGCGGAACAGAGCGAGGGGTGTGACATTGGGACATGGAAGCGAGGTCAGGCTCGATTGCTAAGACAAAAGACCCAATTTGCTAGTCACGATCGCCACACGAATCATGGCCATCGTCTCTCCGCAGGAACTTTGATCAAATTGCGGCCCTTCTGATTCTGGACATGGTTCGTCTGGCATCTTTGTAGAACTTTTTCATTAGACCTCGGTCACGAGCCACCTTCAGATGCTGCAGCCCAATGGACGATGAAAAGTTTAGCAGCGACTTGAGCAAGTGCATGAATCGGCTTTGGTGCTAAGACGTCGAGTGCGGTATCACGAGGTTCTCTCCCCACACAACGCTCGGCCTGTGGCTAAGATGGCTGCCATAGTCTAACGGCCGGCCCTTGGCGGGAAAGCTAGACCAAGCCTGGTGTGGCTCGGAAAAATACACCCAGCGAGAAACGAAGGGCCATGGGCATGCCAGACGGGTTGTGGTTTGCGTTGTCGCCAAATATTGGTTCGGAGCAGCATCCGAGCTATCAAGGGCGATGGGCCGACGAGGCAGAGGCACTCAAGAGCGGGCGGGAGGAGCAACGGTGAGGTCCAAAGGGATCCTGCGCCCCAGCAATGCTCGGTTTAGTGCCCGTGTAAAACCTGTACTGCAGCTAGGGCGTGGCATGCAATGCAATGCAACTAGTAGACTACGTGGTTGCTCCACCGAGGTGCTGCAAGTCAGTCGCAACGAACAGCTGTTTGTTGTTGGTCGTGGTCAATCCCCACGAAAGGCGCCACTCCTCAAAGATGTGTGTCCTCAGGCTGGAGCATCTAGAAGACAGGGCCTATCAAAACCAGCCTCGTCAGCACCAAGGTTTTGTGCGCCGGAGCAGGTGCGGAGATGCGGCCGTTGTTGCTTTGGATGGGCTGCTCGAGGATGTTTTGATCGGCCGGCGTTAGAGCTCTTTGGGGTTAGCTCGACGTCAACCACCGTTACGGCGATCTTTCTCTTAGCTCTCGCCTGGCAGGTATGACATAGTGGCCCTGATGAACAGACGCGGATCCGTTCGGGAAAGGATTGGCGGCCAGGGCGATGCGACGTGTCTCTGGACGGAGATGTATCTCGAACTGGCCGTTCCTCGAGGAGCGGTTACGTATTGTGTAGAGGTTGAAGTCAATTGGCAACCAAGAATGTATCATGGCGAGCCTAGTAAGTTTGATGAGTTTGAGGGGTCTGACGTCTGATCTCTCCGCTGCCCGGAAAGCTACCTAGGGTGGCCTTTGGAAGGCTGGCCAAGGACGGCTCCCCTGGATCCTGAGGACGGTGTCCAAGGTTTCCCGCTGTCCCCGGTGGGATTGAATGAGGTCAAGCGACATGGTAGAAACCTTGATGGTGGCCGTGGGAGCGGAAGCGGCTGAGATGTGCCGCTGAACAATAAAAGGCACCGGAGGCCGAGGATTGAGGATGAGGACAAGAGCAGAGTAAAGTTGGCCGTCGGTGATGTTTCCAGAATGCGGGTGGCTGTGAGGTTTGAGATAGGGAGGCCAAGCTGCGTGAGCTGAGCCTTCACTTGGCTTGACTTTTCCTTCGCTTCGCTTCGCTTCGCTTCCCTTTCCTTCTGTGCATGGGCTGGGCTGGGCTGGCTGGCCTGCCTGCCTGCGTGCTGTCGGGTGGGGAGAGTGAAGGTGCTCCCCTAGTGCCACAGGTACATGCCCGTTATGCCTGATGCCAATTCTGGAGTGAGGAGAGAGAAAGAGAGGCCCAGCCGCACGTTCCTCGTGTTGCTGCTTGCTTCTTGCATCTCTTGTCCGCTTGGCCCCACATACATCGCCGCTTCCTTGTCTACGTCGGTAGGTTTTCCCTTTCCAAGATTCGAGCTCGCCCTCAATCAGCCCGCCTGCCCGCCTGCCCGCCTGGGCCCTGGCAGCCCTGGCAGCCCTGAGCAGCCCTAGGCCCTGGGCCAGAGTCTGGGCTCTTGGGAGCATGTCCCTGCGCCTGTGCCCGTGGTCTTGCCCCGGGCCGGAAACCTTGAACACGGGCCAAGGAAACATACGATTATTTATGTCGCAGACCAGGTACTGGGTATGCAGTAGATGGTGTTCGGAAGTTTCAAGGGATACTTGGGTACTTGAGCACATGGGATGATATCGACTGCTACGTGCCACTGTACGCATGTGCACACACGCAGTACCTGCCTAATAATTAATCAATTGATGCAGATAGTTCCTGCCCGTATTGAACAGAAGTAAGCAGACTAGAGTTGTGGGATACGCAGGTACCTGGGTACTTGACCGGGCCCAGTTGAAGCTTCAGGACCCAGGGCCCACTAGCCCGCCCACCAGCGCTTGGTCCAAGTGGTCCAAGAATGGAGCTCGAGCCAGTCAGACGGCCCCAATCCCCAAGGGCCGACATTGAAGGCAAAGCACCATGTTTCCCCACTTCGGGCAGCGGGTCGATGCCCTGCTGGCGTTGGCTCTGGTGCTGCTGCTGCTGCTGCGCGGGCTACTGCCGTCGCTTAGAGTAAGTGGTCTAGAGTAAATCTGATGTCGTCTTCCCTTGCTTGCTTGTTTGTTTAAGCACGCTAGCCCCGTTGGAACGACTTAGATGTCCTCTTTCCCAGGTACCTAGATATATGTACCTACATCCAGACCTGGCCCAGTCACTCACTAGGCCAGTCGTGTGGCATGGCATGGTATGGTGTGGTGTGGTTGTTTGTGGTGTGTGTGTGGCCGCGCCTGGTTTGATGGGTGACCGACCCGACATTGAACACCCGTGGTTCCTGTCCTTGGTACTGTGCCTGTTCCTGTTGTCGTCCCTGTTCCTATTCCTGTTGCTGCTCATGTTCCTCCCTTCTCCTTGACTGCAGCATGATGAGATGAAGCATTGAGAACCCGCGCCGGTACTTGATTTTAAACGCATTCCCCTCCCTGCCAGGTCCTTGCCTGTCGCTCGCCGACCACCCACGCTTTCCCAAGGTCCCCCTTTCACCAACCCAATCCATTCCAGCTTTTCCCAGCGTTCCGTCAGGGGTTTTTACGGGGCCCTTGTCTTCTCTTTTTTTGTGATCTGCCACCTGCGACGCTCGATTCATCAGCACGGCACAGCGCATGCAACCTGCAGCCCGCTGCCCGCTCCGTCCAGGCCTCCCAAGCTTTCCCAGTCCCAGGTACAGCACAGTCATACGCAACGCCGCATCTAGTCTGCCATTCCGTCAGTCCCCGTCCCAGTCCCAGTCACATCTCTACCGACAGCAGGAAAAAGGGGTCCTTGTTCGATGGTCAATGGCAAAATAGAAAGCAGCATTGACCAGTAGTAGCACGGCGCCAGGCCCCCCCATTTACGGTCAATCACGAGATACCAGCGAGACGTGCCGCCGTGGTACCTGCATATTCAAGGTTCACAGGCCGTATCCTGCGTATCACACCCAGGTCGAGCCTCCTGGGCCGTCGCCACTCGCCGCGCCATCGGGGTCACACAACCTCCCTCCCAAGTCCCCAGTCCCAAGTCCCAAGTCCCAGTTTGCTACGGCACGGCGCAGCTCGCCTCACCTCGCGCATAATTCACCCTTTCCAACCTTCTCTTCTTCTCTTCCCATCACACCCTCTGTCTCGACACGCCCAGGCTCTTTTCTGCGCCCGAGTACTGAGTACCCTTGAATCATACCTACCCACGACAATCTTAGCATCCCTATTCTTGCGAAACAACCCAGTCCAACGCACCTCTGCCGGGCCCACCTGCCGATGACCCAGATCTACCATTGCCAGCAAATTCTCCGACCAGAATGACTTCGCTTCTGCCCACCAGCATATCGCAACAACCAGCCAACCATCAAGCGCAACGCTTCGTTTCGTTTTAGCACGCACCCACAAGTCACATCCCACCAGAGCGGGCGGAGGCCCGACCAGGGGAGCAATGGCTCTCTGGCCCTTCCGTCGGCGGAGCCGTAGAAAGAGGCCCCGTAGTGGGAACCAGTCTGAGGGCGAAGGTGCTTCAAGGGGCGCGCCAGACGACGTAGCCCGTGCTCGCAGCAGGAGGAAAACCGAGCCTGCCAACCCCAGCGCTTCGGAACCCCTGCCCACCGCCCCGATCCCAATCAAGAGACAACCGAACAAGCTACACCGTCGAGAACGCACCTACAGCTTCGAAGAAGGGAGGGACGATGACTTGGTGGTCCACCGGCAGAGACCCAGTCGAAAAACAGGGGCAAGGGTGGCCTCCCAGGGTCCAGTGGGCCCCCGCGTCCACTCTCGTTCAAAAGAGTCGGGCATCCTCAATCCAACCGACCCTTCTGTCTTCAATTCCGACAACTTCCCAAGGATGCCGACCCTACACAACAAACGTAATGGCGAGCACCTACCGCCCAAAAAGTCAAGTAAGCGGAGGAAGGCCGACCATGCCCGCGAGCAGGAGATCAAAGCCATGAGTAGCTTCGAGCCAATGCGGCCGGCAGCTGAGCCATGGCAGTCAGGACGGCCCATGAAGCGGGATAGCAGGAGAGTCAAGACCGGGCTCGGACTCGGTTTCCGGCGGTCTTGGGAGAAGGAGCACCCAACCTCGGACATATCACTACCAATGCCTGGGAGCATTCACTCCAGCCTCTCCTCTGATTCAGAGCAGGTCTCATTTAAGGTGTCAGCCCTAGAAGCTCTGGCGCCGCGGCCGACCTTGAGGTATGCCGTCTACCCTCGGTATGGCACACCGCCCTCTGGGTCCGGTCGGCACCTGTCAGTGAAGAACAAGTTGTCGGAGAGGGAGCCAATCCCCGAGGCAACGCTGAAGGCACACAAGCGAATCGACGACCTCGCCGACGATCTTACTGCAAGTGACCTCAGAGAATTAATGGAGCGCGACGAGCGCAGGAGAGCCAAGAAGCGAGAACGAGAACAAGAAAGAATGGAACGGAGACTAGCCAGAAGGGCTGAGAAGGAACGGGCAGCCAAGAGAGAGGGGAGGGAATCACCACCCAACATGGAACGAGGCGTCCTCGGTCGAGAATCGGTCGGCTTGGGCATAGGTCCCGAGTCCGCTGTTGTGACGTCTTCGAAGAAGAGAACATCCCCCAGTCCCACGGCGAAGCAGCTTGGCAAGCGCCCCGCTGCAGATATGGAGGATGATCACGATATTGATGACCATGCCGCCAACGGACCTCTCGAACATTTCCACAGGACCGACAGCATACCACTGGATCAAGTGTCCATGGCAGACGGCTCAGAGCAGCCCGAGGCGCCACGGGCAGAGCGAACGGAGAGCCCGAGGAAGAAGATCGCTTTGATGTCGAGGGTGTCGAGATCAAAGTCACCTCACCCATCTGAGCCTGCCAAGACCGACATGTCCGACTCACTCAGAAAGGTTTCCGAAGGAAGCTCTGCTCCATCAAGACCGAGACGGTCATGGACCAATCTGTTCAGATGGGGCAGCAGGTCGAAGCGCAATTCTGGCCCATCCTCATTTTCCAACACCTCCCGGGACTCGATGTCGGCGAATTATGTGCCAGCCCCTCCTATCTCGGCTGCCCTGACACGCAAACTTAGCAGCAACGTGCCAAAGAGGACCATGTCTCGGTTCCGCGAAGACCTGCCAGAGTTGCCTCTGTCCCCACCTCACTCGCCTGACGCCGAGCCTTTACCAGCTGCAATCATTGAGCAGGACTCACCGGAGCTCGAAGCCAACTCTCGTCTCGAAGAGACGGTGCCAAAGCGTCGAGACACACCTATGTCGCCGGAGGAAGGCACCGTGAGAAGCCTTCCGCAAAGCGTACCGACATCAGTTGATCCGTCTCCCGAACCACAAGCGATGTCTTTGAACTCCGTGGATTCGGAGGGCGCATGGTTCGGGAAAAGAATGACGCCCCGCCGATCGATTCCTACGCCAGTCTCGCCGCCTCGCTTTGAGCACCATCGTACGCCGTCTATGAGCTCTGACGGCTCCTCACACCACGACCCGGACCTTCCAACTCAGGAGATACAAGACGAAGAAGGCGCTTACATCGCTGATGACGAGTACCTGGATCGGTTTGCGAATCACCGGAGCTCAGACTCTCATGCCACCAACGCGCGTCCATCTTCTGACGAACTTGATGATCCTCGCTGGGGCACTGTCGGTGGACACCAACCCAATGTTGTTACTGGGAACTTTGTAAAAAGCCGCGAAGGACTGCTCAACACATTTTCTGACGAAGACGACGCCAGCGATCTGAGTGATAGCGACATAGAGATCAATATCGAGGACGGTGAGGGAGGCCTCAAGCGTGCGACGAGCATTACCCAACAAAAGGGCAACGCCAAGTTGCTTGAGATCTCACCGCGTTCTTCTGAGGACGCAAGGAGGAGAATCTCGGCCAGCTAATCTACAGCAGGGCTATGACATGTGAGAGACAGAGACCGGGAACGGAATTGACAAGAAGCTCGACCAACCTACGCGAAGATGCATACCACACTCATTTGGATTTCCTTAAACTCTATACGACCACAGTCTCAACGACATTTCCTTATTACTGTCAGCACCGACCTCTATTCGCTCTTTCGACTTTTCTTAACTTGTCATAAAAAAAAGCCATGATGAAACACACAAAAACAGTTCAAAAGCGACAAAACCCCAATGACATCCCGCGGGTTGGTCGCTTCGTCGCTTCGGTGCTACCTAGTCTCTCGTCTCTCACTTCTCACTCATCGTCTCTCTGCTCTGGTCTGCTGGATCTTACGGGCACCTCTTACCACTCGCGCCTAGTCTTGAACCTATCGTGTCAAGGCAAAGGGCGGAGTCCCAACAGGCATTACGGTTTCGTTCTCCATTTTACAACTTCAGCAGGACAGTTTTTTCTTCCACAGGATACCCTTGACGCGTTTTGGTTTTGTTCCATGGGGAAAGGTAAAGAAGGAGAAGGCAAGACGGGGCGTTTCGGAACAAAGCCTCTGAGAGCGCGTTGAGCTTTTGCATTAGCATGTACATAGATTATTACCGTGACGTCGACGGCAAAGGCGTTGATATTCATGACAAATACCCCTTTTTATATTAACTTCTAAGTACGCCCACCTCTTCTTGAGTGCTGGACTACGGACAAACCTGCGTGCCGTGGCGGCAATGGATCTGTCCCTGGATGGACCTGTCTTCTATCTACAAGGATCGTTGGGTGATACAAAAAGGGGGCAAAGGAGCCAAAAGTGAGCAATGTGCTACCATCGCTGTCAAAGATAAAGACTGCAAAAATGAGAAAGATCTTTCTTGGTTATCCGTGGACAAACTCTCCTGCGTGAGTGGTGCACACCATACGAGGTGTGAACGCTGGGTGTGCAGCTCGTTAAGAGGCGCCAGGTGCAACGCTGGGCCCGTGGACTAGACGCATGTTTTTAACAGCCATGTGTTTCTTTACTTTTGTGCCACGAGGGTCGATGGCGGTGGGACCGGCATTGTTCTGTTATCACGTTGACAGGCGGGAGCCAATTTAGTGGCCGTTTTCTTGTTTCTTGTGTTCGAGAGCATGCGGTGTTGCTTCTAGAATGGGGCCACTGAGCGGCTGTAGGCAGCCGAAAGCCTTGGAACGACCTCTCAAAATGGTTGCATACATATACTAATGAGCATCACATGCTGGGCGTGCCTGTAATGAGAGACAGCCATAGAACCGTGGTGTGTGATGGCTTTACTATTTCTAATTCAGTGATATTGCCACAGAGAAAGAAGTAGAGAGAGCTTCGTTAAGCATCTTGATTGATAAGTGAAGTGCTGTGGGGCGGATGTCGGCAGTCGGTGGCTCAGACTCAGACCCAACAGCCCGCGCCGCATACAAGCGGGAATCGCGTCATCTCGGGCCAGGCTTGGGAGCTTGGGACAGCTGCAGGCTTGACAAATCAAGCAGCTTACATCATTGAGACTTTTCCCGAACGACTGCAGATTTCGCAGCAAAACGGACAGGCCAAAGCCCCAGCTGATAGTGCAGAGATCGAAAGGGCGCGACATTTTTGGGGGCCCAACTATCTACCAGATTACCATACCTAATCTTGAGACGTTTTTTGCCGCGGCCTGTACTGTACAATACAAAAGGGCTGCAATCGGCATTTCTCTCAACATCTCCACACCCTCTCTCCCGCCCCGTGATACAAATGCCTACAAAACAATTCCTGCGACCGCTTCTCAACATTGCGACACGCACCTGCACCTCCAGCACACCTCTGTCAACATCTGCACGACTTACTTTTGCGAGATCGTTCCACTCCACACTACCCAAAATGACTGTCCACAACATTGAGACGTGAGTAATTAGTTGTTGTTGCTGCTGTCACATTGTTTCCGTGCTCGGCATTCAGCACGCAAGCACCCGGCAGCTCCATCTGCGGCTGCAACTGTGATTGTCTCCATGGGATTCACAATGCTAACATTATATTTCTCTTGCTCTCCAGTGCCTCTGGCTTCAAGGAGACCCTCGCCGCACACCCCGTCGTCGTCGTCGACTGGTTCGCGACGTGGTGCGGTCCCTGCAAGCTGATCGCTCCCCAGATCGCCAAGTAAGCAAGCCCTTTCTACCCACTCCCCAATTGGCACCCACAACAGACCACGCCACCCCATACCGCAACGCGTCGCGCAGAGCAGTACATTGCAGCGGCACCTCGCTGACGGTGGGCACCCGCCCGGGGAAAACAGGTGGTCCCAGTCCATCCCGTCGATCCACTTCGCCAAGGTCGACGTCGACGCGCTGCCCGACCTCGCGCAGGAGTACAGCGTGCGCGCCATGCCCACCTTCCACATCTTCAAGGACGGCGAGAAGGTCGACGAGTACGTCAGCGCCAACCCGCCCGCCCTGCTCAAGGTCATCGAGAAGTGGAAGCCCGCCGAGGAGGGCGAGGCTGCCGCCGCGGAGGAGGCCAAGGCCGAGTAAGGATCCTCTCCTTCCTCGCTCACACGCACACACACAATGCATGGCTACGTCGCCCGAGTTCCCGTCAAATTGAGCAACATTCTGGTGTACAGCAGCAGCAGCAGCGGAAGCAGCGGAAAGAGTCACTTGTGACGTGTGTGAGCAGCTGGGTTACCTTGGGAATGTGATGGAGAGCATTTTTAGGGGTACACGTGGGAACACGACTTGGACCTGATGGGGCTACCAACGAGTATTCTAAAGAATATCAATCTCAATCACAATATGAGATTCTTCTACCGCCAGCGTATTCAATTATGAATCCCCAATGCTGCCAGCGCGTAAATTGGTCGGTATGCCAAATTACGTGCTTGTGACGCGAGCCGCTTTCGGTTCTCCAATTTGAACTTGTCATCGCGGGGTCACCCAAGATCCCGGACTCGCAGCAGTGGCGGGGTAGGTCCGCCTGCAAGGGTTATACCCTTGCTTTCGATCCCCTTTTCAAGGTTGCGCTGCAGTGTTGCAGTGAGCATATTCGAATATTCCCTGAGCAGACATAACAGAGCAGAATAAAGTTTGCGCATATTTGATATGTGACAATCACCACCGAGTAGAGAAATCATGCCTCGTTTCGCTGACGAAGCTGCATCTAAACTATCCAGACCTTCCATCCCCGTACCCCTGGGGCTCGTATCAGTCTCCCTTATTCGCATATCCTAGGCAAGTACTTTTTCTTCATGACGCCTGTGCATTTGCCCAACTATTCTGGAACTCGTCATCACCCAGCCCCCCAGCCCTAGGACGCCGCCGTCGCTAATGTCCTGGCTTCACTCCATTCCTTCAGCTGATCCTCGGCGTGCTTCCAAGCGTCGTGGTTGATGCAATATGCCATCGCTGCGTTGAACTCCTCGACTGAGGAGAACGGGTCTTCGTTTCAGTATACATGTACACAAGACTCACAAATAGTCTCGGACTTACGAGTCTGGGGTGGGCCGTTGCTCCCGTCTGCCTTGCGCGCCCTATGCCTGGTATGCAGCACGATCTTGGCCGCCCTGTCCTTCCTGCACTGCTGCCACAACACCAGCCGCGAGGGGATCCTCTCGGGTGTAGTGCCGAGGGGGAGAATCGCACCGAGGGCGCAGGCGTCCTCTATTGCCTGAGCTGCGCCTTGCCCCATGTCTGTTCATGCTCGTGGGTTCAGTTTTCAGTGCGCAGACAGTGGTGAGCCTTGATCTTGACTACGAGGGCGGCAGTTCAACTCACGTGGGAGGAAGGGGTGCGCTGCGTCCCCGATGAGGAGGGCCTTGCCTCTGATCAGGTCCGGCAGCAGCTCCATGTCCAGAAGATCCCACAGCATGACGGCGTCGTCTGGTGCCATCTCGAGTAGCCGTAGGACTGGCTCAGACCAGGACTTGAAGTGGCTCATCAGCTGCTTCTTGTTAGCAAGCTGATCATAGCCGGTCAAACCTGCGGAAGGGGCCATCGTTAGCGATGATGATCCGACGCAGGGATGTCAAGATGGTCACTCGCCCTTCTTGATCTCGCCAACCTCCTCCCTCGGTGCGAAAGCCACGCAGTTGATCACCTCCCCTCCGGCACAAGGATAAAACACTATCCTTCTATCAGAACCGGTGATCTGCACAAAGTGGCCTGGAAGATCCAAGAAGGTCTTCGTGACGGGGTTGTCGGCCAGTAGGGACGCTGGCATGAGCCACCTGTAACAGGTGTGCCCGGTGTTGATCATAGGCACCTCGTGGCCCGCGACCGAGGCGCGGGTCTTGCTGTGGACGCCATCTGCGCAGACGACCAGGTCGCCGCTCACGCGGGTTCCGTCGGATAGCTCGATGGTGCCTGCCTCGCAGTCGACGCTCTCCACGCCCGTGCCCGTGCGGATCCTCACTGGCACCCCTGGCCCGTCTGGGGAGACTGCCTTCTGCTTCAGGGCGGCGTGGAGGTCAGGCCGGTTCACCAGCCACCAGTTCTGTGTGAAGGGTATGCTGTTAGATACCATCCGGTGCGAGGAGAGAAAACACGAGGTTGACATGTACGTACGGCGGGCCACTGTGCTCTCTGCTCATCCGTATACGTCCACATCTGCTGTACATCACAGTCGGTGTCCAGGAATTTGAACTACTCAGATATACATCAGAACCGGTGTCTGTCGCACTTTTCGAAATAGTGGACAGAAGCACACTCACCCCGCGATAGTCGGTTCCTCTGAAGTCCTTTGGGTCAAGGTCCAGATGTGCCAAAGCAGCGGTGCAGTTGGGAGCGACGTAGACGGCAGCCCCGAGCTCCCGGTGTAGCCTAGACTTCTCAAACAACTGTTTGTCTCACAATCAGTGCTCAGTATATGTCTTCCCAACCAATCATGAAAACTAGGGGAAGAAGCAAGAGCTGTGTCCTCGCACCTCGACGTCGTGCCCTTGCCGGCGAAGGGCGATGGCAGCTGAAAGCCCCCCAATGCCACCTCCCGCGACCAGCACCCGCAGCGCATTGACTGTAGAGCCCATCGCTGCAGTAAAACCAAGACTGCGAATGTTCTATGCTCCTGAGATGCACGACGTGAGTCTTGTCGCTTCTGAGCTTTTGTCTTTTCTGCGTCCACCCCCGCTTAGACTCGTCCGATGCCTTTCAAGCGGGAGGGGAGCCTAACAATGCTCGGGCGGCGAGGATAGAGCTCCTACGGTGTATGCGGTGCGACGGACATCCGAGCCACAGCAGCTGAGCACGCTCCAACGCCGCGCCGCCTGGCTTTGTCGACCCCTCTTTACATGACATCCTCGCTGCGGTGCATTCGCTGCTACACGAGGCGGTCGCTTCCTGCATGAAAATGCAAATGGCAGGTAGTTGGCGACCAATGACGCTGGCCGTCGTAATGCCGCTCGGCTTTGGTCCTTTGGTGTACCCCGAGCGGCCGCGGCTTACTTTTGGGCTGCACTTCTGGGCGGATGTTGGATTGTGTGAGGTTTAAATCGGGATGTGTGGGGAACGCGAGATGAATGTTTTGTTTTGGTGCAATATCGCGGCTGTTATAGATGCAGCCCGAGTATCCGCTCTTAGTGAACGGGCAAGAGCTGTGGCTTCTACGCCGCATTCAAGCAGTAAGAACAGCCATGAACATTTTCAGCACAATCCTGGAGCTACCTAGGTATTGCCAGTATGAAATTTGTCATACGGAAATATGGAGCAACACATTGTTTCTCCCATCGTAAGTAATCTCACGCCACAGGAGCTCGATTTCGCGCTTAAAACGGTCACTTAAGTTCGAAATATCACAACACGTCTCCTCCCCTGCATAGTTTGTCAATTTAGAATTCAGTTTATCTACTCAACGGCAATTTCTGCTGTGAATTTTGGGGCGTGTACGAATTCAATATTCCAATGCGGATCGCATTTACCCTGCACAGGCTTAAGTTGTCAAGAATGTCTAAGGCCTGCTGAGCCAGAATAGCCACCCTGCAGCCGGTTGTGATTTTACTTCCTCTAACCACGAGGTAGCTTACGTCTCAGGCATTTATGCCTTCTAGGTGTAGGCACACTCACCAAAACAGCTTACTTTAAGGGTGCCCACTTTGCCCAGCTTTGGAAGAGCGAAGATTCCACTTCGCTGACGTGAATGATCAGGCCATTTTTGAACCGTGGCTTTCCAGATTTGAGTCCCTATCTCTGTCCCTGGTCGCCAGATCTCAACTGAATCGGGGAGAACAGCTCATAATAACTCGGACGGTGACGACTTCGGGAGAAATCTTGTTGAGGCTGTAATCTATACCTGAAAGGGCGCATAAGGCACAGGCAGCCTAATCACTTGAGACACATGAGTGAACTCCCAGATGCCAGACTAATTAACACAGCTACGCAACTTTGCGAATCCTCGGTCAGTGTTTGGGAATATCAGTGCAGAGCTACAGAACGGATCGTGAAGTGAGCTGATCTCCCAGATTCTCAATTTACCAAAACAGGGGCTCACCGAAAGATCTGGGGGCAGAGTCGTTCTGTGGCAGCCACGTCCTCAGATGTGAAAGATAGTCCGACGTTGATGTGCGAGAGGTTCTGTTGCCGGATTGAAGAGCGAGCGGCCGATTTTGGCGCCGTCCGGCGATCACAGGCTCCGCTTCCGCATGCGGGGCCGCGGTGCCGGAGCGTTCTCAGACCATCCCGTTATCAACGCCCGCCCGCGGCGAACTTAACTGCTGATCGTCTCCGTACTCGACTTAATAAATCATACAGAACGTTTTCACGGGCTACTTCCATCTCTGCGCCAAGTATCCCATCAAACTGCTTAAAATACGTACAAACATGCCTGAAATTGTCGTGGTCGGGTGAGTAGATCTGAGAACCAAACATCTGAACGAAGATGAACTGACGCCTTTATGATGAATCAGTGCCGGAGTCGTAGGCCTTACTTCGGCCTTACTGCTGGCCAAGGAGAAGGGAAATAATGTGACTGTTGTCGCAAAGCACATGCCCGGAGACTATGATATTCAGTACACCTCTCCGTGGGCCGGAGCCAACTACTTGCCGTAAGATTCGACCCATGGCATGGCGGCCGCATGAGGTGCACAGCCCGTTCTGACTCTCGGCAGCATGTCGACACAGGAGAATAGCCGTTGGGAGAGGAGAACATGGCCTGAGCTTAAGAGACTAGCCGCAGAAGTCCCCGAGGCCGGCATACACTTTCAGAGTGAGGACTCGCGAGAAGCTGTCCAGGATGAGACCACGCTGACATATTCCTCCAGCGGCCCTCGTCATGCGCAACGCCAAAGACCTAGAAGTAAGTGAAAGTTGTGGTTTGGACGAAGACCGTCTCACTGATCCTTCGTAGCCAGGTAATGATGCCAAGAATGGTCTTGGAGACGCGCTCTTTGATGAGAACCCATGGTATACCACCTTTCTCGATTACCGCAAGATGAAGCCAGGGGAGTTGCCTCCGGGAATGGCTTACGGACACGAGTTCGGTTCAGTCTGCATCAACACGGCAATCTATCTGCCCTGGCTTGTCGGCCAATGCCGCAAGCGTGGCGTGGTCCTGAAGCGGGCCTCGTTAAACCATATCTCTGAGGCGTCGTCACTTGGCCACTCCGGAAAAGCCGATATCATCGTCAACTGCACAGGCCTGATGGCGAGTAAGCTCGGCGGCGTGATGGACTCGAAGGTGATGCCAGCCAGGGGCCAAATCGTGGTGGTGAGAAATGTAAGCCCACAAATGATCGCCACATCCAGCACGGAGGACTCGCCGGACGAGCTGATCTACGCGATGACGAGGGCTGCCGGTGGTGGAACGATACTGGGTGGAACATACCAGAAGGGGAACTGGGACCCGAATCCAGACCCGAACATTGCTGCGAGGATCATGCAGCGGGCGGTGGATTTGTACCCGGACATCGCTGGTGGGAAGGGTGTGAAGGGACTGGACATTATCCGCCATGGAGTTGGGTTGAGACCGTATCGGGAGGGAGGAGTGAGGCTCGAGAAAGAGAAGATTGATGGGACATGGGTTGTTCACAACTATGGCCACGCAGGTTGGGGCTACCAGGGTTCTTATGGAACTGCCGAGCGAGTGGTTGAATTGGTTGGTGAGATACAGGGCAAGAAGACCCCTCTTGCTCAAGAGAAGAGCAAGCTGTAAGCAGACTCCAAGGGGCACTATACCGCTTGACGAATCAAGTAATTCTCCTTGAGTAAGGACATTGTTAGCTGCAGTTTGCAGCTGGGAGTCTTAAAGCGTTGTTCATTTTTATGCACTCCAATATCATCAGCACTTTACCTAAAGTAGACGAATCGTTCACTGTTCACAGTTCACGGGACCAGAGATGACAGTTTGATTATCAGCCCTAGCGATATAAACATGCAGGTGACGCAGTTCTCCTGAGGGAGGCCGAGACCACAACACATAACAGGGGTTGCAAGTTACGATGGGAGAGAGGAAAGGATTGACAGTGTCAAGAATACGCCCGGTAAATGAATATCGCTGAAGTGGGGATCCTGGGACCCCAGCTTGAACTGCTCTTGGAGTGGGCTGACAGGGGTAGCTCCAAACACGTCGCCCGCAATTCACTGGTGTCTACCGTCGATCAATCCTCGACCTTCTCAATATTTATCATAATCAGCCAGAATCCTGCACCATGGCCACCAACCAGGACCCACTATACCTGCAAGTCCTTAGGTTCGCTCAAGATGTTGCCACAGGAAGGCATTGGCTGTCCAGACTGATTCCACCTGCGCTTCTTCTTCTGGATGCAGCATTATGTGTATTGGTGATTGCCAAGGTGGCCTGTCAGTGAGCCCCTGAAATGAGAAGAGACACACCCCCACTAACATTTACTCGTTCCAAGACACCGAAATTGACTGGACTGCCTACATGGAACAGGTCCAGCTGTTTCTTGATGGAGAGAGAGACTACACAAAGATCGAGGGCGGCACGGGTCCTCTGGTCTACCCAGCTGCCCACGTCTACATCTACACTGGCCTGTACTACCTCACCAATCATGGCAAGGACATTCTCCTAGCCCAGCAGTTATTTGCTGGACTATACTTAGTCAACCTAGCCGTGGTGATGTCCTGCTACTGGAAGGCAAAGGCAAGAATTCGTGCTCAACTTTGTGAAGCAAGCTTAGACGGCTGACTGATGACAACAGGCCCCTCCCTACGTGTTCCCTCTGTTGATTCTCTCAAAACGCTTGCACAGCATTTTTATGCTCCGCTGCTTCAACGATTGTTTTGCGGTCTTCTTCCTGTGGTTCTCAATCCTGCTTTTCCAGCACCGCCAGTGGTTCGCCGGTGGTCTCGTCTACAGTTTTGGGCTCGGAGTCAAGATGACATTGCTTCTGGTGCTTCCGGTGGTCGGCATACTCATTTTCTTTGCCAAGGGCGTAATTGGGACCATCGCGCTGGGTGGACTGATGGCAAGCCTACAAGTACAGCTCGCGGCGCCGTTCCTCAAGCACCCCGGCGCCTATTTCGGACGCGCTTTCGAATTCTCTCGCCAATTTCTATTCAAGTGGACCGTCAACTGGCGCTTCGTGGGCGAGGAGGCTTTCCTCAGCCGAGCTTTCTCAACTTCCCTGCTCGTCCTGCACATTTCCGTCCTCTTGACCTTCATTTTCACCAGATGGCTCCCGCCAACAGGAAAGTCATTGGGAGATGTTCTGCATGCAACATTCAGCCGCGACGGCCACGGACGTAATTGGCAGGCACTGTTCCAAAGATTCACGCCAAAGTACATTCTGACTACCGTCTTAACTGCCAACATCATCGGCCTGCTCTTCGCCCGATCTCTCCATTATCAATTCTACTCCTACCTGGCCTGGTCCACGCCCTACCTCCTCTGGCGCGGCGGCCTGCATCCTGTGTTGCAGTATGTCTTGTGGGCCCTCCAGGAGTGGGCCTGGAACGTGTTTCCCAGCACACCAGTCAGCTCGGCTGTTGTGGTGAGTGTCATGACGATCACGGTGGCAGCGGTGTGGTTTGGCACATCGGACGATGCGACGTCTTCAGCTGCAGCAAAATCGTCCACTGACAACGCTGGAGCGCCAACTCGGTCCATTCCGAAGCCTTAGGCTGGCTTCCAAAGCGGATGGACAGAATTCAAGCGTCCAATGTGGTGAGGCGGCATCTCCAGAAGTCATGTGTTCAGCAAAAGTTGCGTAAGGCCAATTCTGGGATCACTCCTCGTCTTCGGAGTCCGTCGGTGGGAGACCTCTTGAGTCATCCTCGTCGTCCTGGTAAGTGTTCTTTGGGAATTCTTTAGGCCTGGCAAATAATACGATTGTCAGAGCTGATCGGCACTCAGTAGAGCAGCGCCACTGCAGGCTAGAACAGCTCGTGTACAAGCAGAACAGGCAACATAGGACAGGGGTCATTCATACCAGTATGGCATTTTGCGCCACTCCTTCTCGTCTCGGACCACATTGATAATCTCCCCCTCGACTTTGTTGTTCGTCTTGCTGCGCTCCTCACTCGGCGTCAGGTCCACGACGACGAACCCTCCTCTTTTGATCCATATTGTGTTGCGGAATCTCTGTGCGAGCTCGACGAGGCTGGTCTTGGTATTGGGCAGGATGCACGTGTACGTGTTGTTGCCCTCGGGCTTTCCGACGCGGGCGACGAATTGGTGCTCGGTCAGCTCGTCGGGAGGTGTAGTCGACTCCGTGGCTGCTGCCAGGATGTTGCGCTTGGGACGACCCATCGTGAACTTATTTGTGTTACTGGACAGTGGACAGTTTGGGTGCGATCGAACCTTGGATTTGCGGCCCCACCAACTTTTTTTGTGGACGTCAAGCTAAGTGCATAAGTCGCATAATGAGATAACTTAGCCAATATGCACTTATTGCACTAGTCACGACTTACACCCGACTCTGTTCTAGATGCCACTCTCCCCATCTACGAAAAAGTGAAGCATTTTCAGGAAGTGTTCGGAATGGAACATTTAATTGGGATGTATTGCCTCACCGACAAGTGATTTCAATGCTTTCTTCCCGCGGCGTTCTCAAAAGACGGCCCGGGGGGTTGAACGGCCGCAGCAGGTATGCAGAGTGCACCTTAATTTTTTTTTGGAGCCTACTGATCAAGCTTCGTTGAATGGGAATTTGTATAGATTCTTCGCTGTGAATTCGAACGTAGCTCGCGCCGCAAGCATTACATTGCCTAGGCAAATCTCAGCTTGACAGGAAGAATGACCGAGACTGAATGCCATTGAGTCTTTCCCACACGGTTTCAGCGGCAGGCTCTTGACGTCCATCTAATTAAGACTTTTCAGGCGCCTGGACTATGCTTGCACTTGTTTCGACTCTCTCTGAAGGTCCAGTTGCCTTCTCAGCCGAGTCAGATTGCCCATCGTGCTCATCAGGTCTTTGTTTGTACTCCAGTTTCTTCCACTCCATCAATCCCGCCGTCACGAAAGCTACTGCTGCAGCAGCCACAGAGACATATACTGCGGCCTCAACCGCATCACTGTAAGATGCAGCGACGTACGGCACCAAGTCAGCGTCCATGTGGTCGGCATCCACACTAGAAGCCCCGAGGTCCGTGATTTGAGTGGCCTGAGCGTCGGACACGCGTGCGTCAAGCCTATCGCTCAGTGTGCCTAAGAAGATAGCCTGGGCAATGGGCAGCGCAATCACCGTTCCTAGGCTCTGGGCGAACATGAAGAGAGAGTTGCCGGTCGGGAGGTCGGCCTCGTTCAGGACATTTTGCATGGCCGTCAATGGCACCTGTACACTGAGCCCGAAGCCGACACTCGCTATGAACTGATCTAATGGCGCCTTTAGTCACTGATATTAATGTGGAGTATCCAGAAGGCAGATGCGGCGGGAGCTGGGGCGCGGAAGGTTGTTGATGGAACGTGCGGGACATGGAGGTAGTCTTGACTTTTACTTACAGCCTATGATATGTCCCACGTTGCTGCTTACATCCAAAGTTGATAGGAGCCCGGAGCCGACCGCTAATATTGCAGCGCCAGCCATGAGATAGGGGATGTAGTACTTTGTCAAGGTCATCGCGAGACCACAAGCTACTGTCGCTAGGGAGTTGGGGATACCTAGAGCAAGGATGTACAATCCGGAGGTGGCTGGCGATACACCCTTCGCAGCTTGGAAGTAGAATGGCAGATAAATGGTCAACACGTTGATAGCCATGAGGACGGCTCCTCCTGAGATGCAACCGAAACCGACGGTACGATGAGTCAGAATCCGGATTGGAACGAGCGCCCTGTGCCGTCACAGTCAGCAGCGAAGATGATAAAACGCAAGCCCAGTGTAAAGGTGTAGTGAGGATGAGCGTCACCTTTCCTTCTGCCTCACTTGTAGAAGTAAAAATAGAAACAGAAGAAGCCCGAATCCGAGCAAGCATCCCCAAACTCTTGAGTCGCTCCATGGAAGAGTAGAACCGCCCCATTGTAAAGCGAGAACAAGACAGGTCATGGAGGCTAATATGAGGCATGTGCCCATAGGGTCCAGTGATGCGAGCTTTGCTTTCAGTGGAACATTCGCGGTCTCTCTGTTGGGTTCCTGGAAGGAGATGTACGTGAAGAAGAGGCAGACGGCGCTGATAGCTTTGGAGACGTCCACATGTCAACAGATAGTTTTATTGGGAAATCGCGATTTTTAGTCCTGTCTTGAGCGCGTAGCTCTTTGGGAAGATTGATGATCCTGAAAAAAATTGACTTACGAAGATTGATCCAGAAACAAAACCGCCAGGTCAAACTGCTTTCGGTGAAAGCTCCTCCCAAAACAGGGCCTACTATAGAGGCCACCATGAACATGGTTGAGATGAAGGAGATGAAGAGAGGTACTTTCTGTTTGGAGACGATATAGCCAGATAGTACCAGACCGCCTGTGAATACCCCTGCGGATGAACATCCTTGGATTGCTCTTCCAAATATGAGAACGGCCGAATTTGGCGCGACGGCACAGATGATGGATCCTTGTTTCCACTCATTAGAGAATTTCCCAGGAAGCATGGAAGCCTGTGCAAATAGGCTGTTCGAGGTCTTCGCTTGGCTTTTCGAGACTTACCAACAGCAAATACTACAACACTCCAAAGAAATGTCCATTTGAGGGAGAAAGATGTGTACAGGCGGCCGAACGCTGGCTGTGTTGCCAGCTTCGCCAAATTGTACGAGGTACCATACCAGGCTGTGTCGTCGAGGCTGTGGAACTCAGTTGTGATTTTTGGAGTCGCGGTAGCTATATTTCCCTCAATGTCAATGCTCCGGTTGGTGGCGAAGTACCTCCGAGGCTTTCAGTGGCAGATGGACGAACCAAGAATATTGACATCAAGAGCCACGAAGAAGACGCCAGTCAGTAAAGCCACAGTCATAAGTACGGTTCGCCATAATGGCTTCTGACTCGACGTGTTGTTCAGCATGGGAGAAGAGTCGACACTCGGAGCCTGGTCCGGCGACTTCTCTGTGGACTTGTCCGAGATCTCAGCCATACTGCTTCTTGTGGGCTCACTGCGACAATAATATCTGTGTTGTGGGTCAATTATGAAATTAATTCGTGCGTTGCTTGGCTCCCTTTGAACAGAGACGAGCGCAATCGTGCGTTCCGGCCTCACTTTAAGCAGATATAAAGGGTGCCCAATTTTCGCCTGGCCACGAGAGATCTGGGCTGAGGAAACCCCATGTCAGTCGTGTACTACGTGTGTGCCACGAGAAATCCAAATGCGCTGTGATTTGCATTCTGAAGGAAAAGATACCAAAGATGATTGAATGCAGAGCTGTGATTCGACAACCTTTACGACGAAGTCTGCAGTAGTTCGCGAGGACAGTATTTGTGTCAGCAAACTAGACCGCTTCTAGTGAAACGCCTCTCCCTTTGCTTCAGGCGGTCTATCTAGCTGGTAAGCACCATGGCATACAGGGCCGTCTTCCGCACGCGCATGACTATTGAGACAGAGTTTGGATATCACTTGAAACCCTAATCCCATTGGACTTCCCCTCGTCAAATTCCATGACCGACCAAGGTAAAGAGCCATGTGCAATATCTTGAACGGGAACAGCTCTGTCCCCAAAACCAGTGCGCAGCCCTGGGGACTAACAAGCTACCTTATGTCTCGGAAACTGACCGATACCTATGACTGAAAGCAATCTCAATCTTCTATAATGCATTCGATCTATAATCAGGGACTCGACAGGAACATAAGATACTGGAGTATCTCAACAGAATTTCGTACTTATAAATGATGGGCAGGCGAAGGACTCTAAGCGGTGCCTCGTACCCTGCCTGGCTCTCTCGGCCCCGCCTCCATTGAAGCACAGTATTACATAGAAAATGGAGGCGGAGAAGCTATTCAGCCAAATTTATAGCTCCTCCACTTGGCTCATACATTGCGAGGTGCGAACAGATTGAAGTCGACAATACAGGGACCGTGTTCGTCTGGCCATAATTCGAGGCAGTCGCAATGTCATCCCTGGTTGGGGACTCAGATGAATTCTCTGTTCATGATGAAGAATAACACAAGATGAGAAAAAAGAAAAAAAAAGCCCCAGTTACTATTTATCACACTATTCGAAACGTGTAAATGGGAAATGTACAACACTTGTTCCCACTGGCTCAGTGCATTCCTGTTCTAGACGTCCTTGAAGTCACATTGTTTATCGTTTGAACAACCGACTAACAATAGTTAGTGAAATATCTCGCCACGAGAAGTTGAAATGCAAAAAAGTTTGTTTTAGGGACGAAAAGGCAGAGACTTATACAGCTTATAGGCATGGGACACCCCACTATGCCCCCTGCCCTCTACCAGCAGATGGGTTAGGGGTATCCCTGCCCCTTGTCCGGCGAGCTCAAATCGGCAGGCCGAGATGCCTGCCTGTCTGCTGCGTGCTGTGAAATAGGACGTCATCCCAATTATTTCGTGAGCTTCGGAGCCCGCATTCAACTTTCCAAATCCTCGACTTGCAAGGGCGCAAGATGTCGCTCAACCAACTATCCATGCTACTTGGCCTTCCCGACGCAGACTGCAAACAGATACTCGACTACGGATCCACCCTTTCCAAGGCAGAGGCGGCAGACCACTTCAAGAATTTGCTTGGCGACTCGCCTCAGGCCATCGAGTTCATCTCTTCCTTCAACTCGCGACGACAAGACCCAAAACCCGCTCCCACTCCAGCCACACGCCAACAGCCCCCCTCAGACTTGGAGGCGGTGCCAAGACAACAAAGGGCGCCCAAGAAGAAGAAAGCACCACTACACACGCCAGCTCCGCGGCAGATCACAGACGCGACCCCGGCGTCGGGAACAGTCTACAGCAAAAAGACCATCGAGGATGACTACATAGCAGGCAAGCCCGGCGCATCGACGCCTTCTAGAAGTAGTTCACCATTCAAGGCGCCTACGCCAAAATCATCCACACCGCCACCCCAGAAATTCAGCAAGCAGCCTCCATCCGCAGCCGGGTCCCTCGTCTCCGACCGCTTAGCACCTAAGCAGAAGCCGAAATCGAATCCAACCTCACGCAGCTCAACACCAGGGCCGGCCTCCAAGGGAAATGCGCCAGTTACAAAGGTGTCCATCGCGGGCGGCACGCCCATGCACGGCGCCTCAACCGCCGTCGCAGACCTGGACGCAGCCATCCGGTCGCTAGAAATAACGACGAACCCCTCGCTGTCCACCTCGGGCGACGACTCCGCGCGGCGTTGCAACTGTGTCGCAACCCGGCACCCCCTCCAGAGCGCCGCGCCCAACTGCCTGAGCTGTGGCAAGGTGATCTGCCTGAAGGAAGGCCTCGGGCCCTGCACGTACTGCGGCACACCCCTGCTCTCCCCGAGCGAGATCCAGTCCATGATCAAAGAGCTGCGGGCAGAGCGCGGCCGCGAGAAGCAGGCGGCGGACCGCGAGGCGCACAAGCGGGCTGACGTGGCGACCAAGCCCAGGCTGTTCACGAAGCCGCGGACGGGCGACGACGACCCCCAGCCGAGCGAGGCGGAGGCGCGGGCGCTCCAGCATCGGGACAAGCTGCTCGGTTTTCAGGCGCAGAACGCGCGGCGCACGACGGTCAGGGATGAGGCGGCCGACTTTGACGTGTCTGGCGCGATGGCCGGCTTCGGCGGGAACCAGTGGGCGTCGCCCGAGGACCGCGCGCGCGAGCTCAAGAGGCAGCAGAAGATTCTGCGCGAGATGGAGTGGAACGCGCGGCCCGATTACGAGAAGAGGCAGCAGGTGGTTAGTATCGACCTAGTGGGCGGCAAGGTGGTCAAGAAGTTTGTGGCGCGTGAGAGGCCCGCCACGCCCGAGGACGAGGACGAGCCACCGCTGGGGGACTCTGGCGCTGGTGTTCTGGAGGAGACGAGCGCCAACCGGCGGCCCGGGGCCGGGGGTGCTTTCAGCAGGAACCCCCTACTAGGCGGCATGATCAAGCCGATATACGACGCCAAGGGCAAGGGCGCCGTGCTCGAGGGCCGCAAGGACCGCTCGACGAGGTGGCGGAGAGTGCAGGACGACCTCGAAGACAACGAGGCCGTCATCCTGGACGGCGGTGTGTATGGGGGCCAGCACAGCGCGAGCACAGGCCGCACAGGGGATGAGCCAGACTGCGGGTAGACAGGAGAGGCAGGAATAGACAGACGACTTCTCACCGCGTGTTGTTCTTGCTGGGCTACGCCCAAAAGTTTGGTCCCATCGTGAGAGCCACGCTGGCATTGCTAACTCGCCATTGATGGGTGTTCGATTTCTCCGTGGCGCCACTTTGCCTAAGCGGGACCAAATCTACGACAGCAGTCTAGACTGGACTCAGCCCTACGAGCAGGACCCCCACTCAAATGGACAGGTCACTTTCTTCATGACCCCGGCTAGTCCATGCTGTGGGCGAAGGTGACTGCCGACACGTGATTCAAGGGTAACACGGCATGCGATACGGTATAGACGAGCATGAGAGGCTATCCAGGACGTCAAAACACCAGCTGCTTCGTTTCCCAAGACAGGACAATGATCATATCACTTCGGTGCTTTTGGGGAATGTACAAGTATTGAGGATGGGTTAATTTTTTGAAATCGTCTATGAGGTATCCATGCCTTTTTCTATGATATATGATGGGACACCGTAACCCCGAGCCGAAACTTGAAGGATACCGAGTCTGATCAAATGCACCGCCCCGCCTCTACTGATTACCAGAAAAAGGAAGAAAAACACCTGTAAAATGACTCCGATGATGATGATGAAAAACAGAAAAACCAGAAACCCGGAACCAGTGACCAAATATTTACAATGCTTGTCAAGCCTTCGAATCTTGTCTCATCCCAGTGACAAGGCTGCAGAAGGCATAGCCACCAAGCCTGCCCTTGCCGTCATAAACCTTCTCCACAATTTCTTCCTTTGTGAGGCTGTTCAGGGCTTCGTCGCCCGCCGCGAGCCGCGAGCCGCCGCCGGTGTTGGACTTTGACTCCCCTAGTAGTCGTCCATGGTCGAGGCCTTCGGCGGTCTCGCGTTAGCGGCTGCGACGTAGTGGCCCCATGTGATCAGTTCCTTACTGCAGTCGTCCTGGTGGATAGTGCACTCGATCAGAGCAGGGCCGGCCTTGTGGTTGTTGGCGGCGATGATGGCCTCCTTGAGCTCGCCGGCGGTGTTGGCGACGAAGGAGATGCCGTTTCCGTCGGTGGAGTTGAAGGCCTGCATCAGCAGGGCGTAGTTCCAGTTCTTGATCTTGTTGTAGCTGCCGTCGTGGATCTCGACCTCGATGGTGTAGCCGCGGTTGTTGATGAGCAGGATCGTGATGGGCAGGTTGAAGCGCACCATCTGGGAGACCTCTTGCGCCGTCACCTGGAAGGAACCGTCACCGCAGACGCAGATTGTGCGGCGCTCGGGGTAGCGCACGGCGTAGCCAAAGGAGGCGGGAACAGACCAGCCGATGTGGCCCCACTGCATCTCGATCTCGTAGCCTGCGCCCTTGGGGAGGTTCAGCTGCGTGCCGTTGAACCAGGAGTCGCCGGTCTCGATGAAGAGGGTCGTGTTGGGGGTGACTAGGGGCTGCAGCTGGCGCTGGATCTCCTTTCGCGTGAGCTCCTCGTCGTCGGAGGCCTCGTGGACGACATAGGGGTCTGGGCGGAGGCGCTTGTACTCGACCATGGTGGAGTCGTTGAACTGGACCTCGGTGGAGAGGTGGTCAAGGAACTCTCCGAGACGGACACGGCTGAAGTGGTTGCCGGGGAAGGTGACGTGGTCCATGTCGCACTTCATGAGGGGGATGTTGGGCATGGCGGTCCAGCCAACGGTAGAGTAGTCGTTGAAGACGCAGCCAGCGCAGATAATAGCGTCTGCCCAGTTCAGGATGGCGTCGGCAGCCATGGTCGAAACCTGGCCCCAGAAGACACCGACAAACTGTGGGTGGTCCTCAGGGAACATGCCCTTTGCGGCGGGCTGAACTGCAACAGCGCAACCCATGGCCTCGGCCAGCTTGACGAGGGCCTTGTCAGCGCCGCAGCGGGACAGCTTGGGGCCGACGAGGATCAGAGGCTTGAGCTTGCCCCTCAGGTACTCGGCAGCGCAGTCGGCGGCGGCGGCGAGAGCACCCTGGTCAGAGATGACGGGCTCGGTGACGGCGGAGATGGGGCCGGGACGGACACATGTGGCTCCTGACAGGTTGGTGGGGATCTCGATGTAGCAGGGCTTCCTGGACAAGATGGCGGCGCGGATGGCTCTGTCGATGAGTCTGGGGGCCTCCTCGGCACGGTTGACAGCGACGGCGCAACATGTGACCTTCTCGGCCATCTCGAGTTGATAGTTGTAGTCGAGCTTGCCGAGTGTGTGGTGCAGCAGGTGGAACTGGCCGGCGTCGTTTGTGTTTGGGGAGCCGGAGATGAGGATCAGGGGCAGGTTCTCGGCGTAGGCACTGCCGGTGCCGTTGAGGGCGGAGATGGCACCGACGGAGTAGGTGACGACGCAGGCAGAGACGCCGTTGGCACGGGCGTAGCCCTCGGCGGCCATGCTGCAGTTGAGCTCATTTGCGCATCCGATCTCCTTGAGGTCCGGGTGGGCCTGGAGCTTGTCGAGCAGGATGAGGTTGTAGTCGCCAGGCACGACGAAGTGGTGTCGGATGCCGACCTGGGCCAACCGTTCGGCGAGGTAGTCACCGACGGTGAACTTTCCCGGTGTGCTAGTCATTGGGAAGGTTTGATGTGAGGTTATTGTGGGAGTGGGAGGTGAGGGCGGCAAGGGTGTGTTTACCGCAAAGGTAAGTTGGGTGGTGGTGGTGTGTCTAGAAGACAGGAAGCTTATTTGCTGTGATGAGTGGATGAGTAGACAGGAGCTGCTGGATGGAGGTCGTATGAGGCTCAAGATGGTTTTATATCTTTTGCATGTGGGAGGTCGAGGTGGCCTTCGAGTCCTGTTGGGAGTGGTCGTGTCGTGTCGTACGCTGTGGCCATCGCCAGCGTCCGAGGGACGGATCGGGGCTCCATTGGCGCTTCCCTGGAAAAAGTTTGCGATGATGGACTGATGAAAAGTGGAAGCGACATGTCACAAAGTCACCGGCTGCAGGTTGTAGAGTGTCAGGGCAGGGCAGGGCAGGACAGGACAGGGCCAGGACTGCAGAGAGAGTTCGAGATGCGAGTTGGCAGCCAGTACGTACAGTCAGACAGTCAGACCGATAGCCACAAAGTTGCTCGGGAGTGGCCACCGATCATCCTGGAAACATCCTGGAAAACTGGGGCAGGAGGTGGACGGGACTGTCCACTGTTGCTTCCGTTGTTTACGAGGGTACAGAGGTACATTGGACGAGGTCTCCCAGGTCTCGAATGTGGCCAGAGTGGAGTGAAGATGAAAAGTCGGGTCGGCCTCAGCGCTTGGATATGTATGGCCATGTACCAACACAGGCACATACGCCACACGACTGTACATCCCACGCACATACATACAACACATTACACGTGCACGTACAGTATTTGCTATTTACCTACCCGTCGTGTATCACCCCCAAACAATACGTACCAAACACACTCTGCAGGCAGGCATCCAGATACTCGGATGCTACTGTACATAGCCCACGATACGAGCTGCTTGCTGCAGAGCCAAGTCGAGACAAGAGCAAGCCCAGCGCTGACAGACCAGACAGGACAGGCCATGATGAAAGACAAGAAGAGAATGAGAAAGAAAAAATAGACACTCGTTTCGTCATGATCACTCCATACTGAGAGTGTGTCCTCTGATAACGGCGGAAACGTGCAGTGTGTGCAACGCATGTTTTGAAAAGCCTCCCTCACTCATCCACCCACTCTCTATCAACTAGACATAAAAAAAGTTTTGATAGAACTAAAAATGCCCTATCTCTCAGTCAGCTCGGATCCCTACCGACCATCAGTGCTCAGGCGCGGGAGATGACGGATGGCCCAGATGGCATGGTCCCATGTGCTGGAACGACGGGAAAAGGCCCAGGAATCAGGCCACCCGCCTGACGTCTGGGCGGGTCCCTCCTGCAGCCTCCGACTCTTGACACCTCACTCCCGTCTGCAGCCAATTCTTCACCCTTTCCCACCCTTTCCACCCTGTCCACCCTGGCTCCCTTTCCACCCCCCTGCCGCCCCTGTCCTCCAGTCCTCCCAGCAACCCGGCCGACATCATGAGATGCCACGAGACGCATATACTGGCTGTCTGGCAATATCAGATTGCGCCCCCCTGTCGGTCCAGCTTGCAGCCACCCGCTCTTGGCCGCTATCACGCTCTGGCCCAGAGTGTGGTTCGACGTTCGATGCTTCCTTGGCCTGCATCCCGAGCCCCCACTCAAGCCTCTGAGGCTCTCGGCCCTGCCCACCACGCTATTCCCGGCCGAACCTCGCACCATTACTCTCGCCAGCCCTGGCTGTAGCTCCAACCCCTGCCCGACAATCTGCGTGGGGGCCTCTCTCTGTCTCTATCTGACTGTCCTGCCTGTCCTGTCTGTCCTGACGCAGCCTGACTATCCGACTGAGGGCCCTGCATAGCATGAGTGAGCCGCATCAGATCACGCCGACTGTTCCCACTCACATCCACCTCGAACCCATGCCTCCCCTGGACCTGGACCTGCGCAGGGTGGGCCTCGATCGCTGTCATCGGCGCAGACCCAGAAAAGGTTTCACGATGCGGCGAAAGTTTTCCCTTGCATGGAGCCTCTTGTCTTCGCCTCAGCGGTCCCGGCCTCGCGTCTAACCAGCCAAGACGAAGCCGAACGCCATGCCCTGCGACAAAAATTATCCAAAGCTGCCCTCGTCGTCCATCCGGCTTAAATTCGACCGGACCTGATCTCGGAGGCGGCGATACGCCTCGATGCGTGTGGACATCGCTGCCTGTTTCTTTGATAAGTTTCTGCAAGCTCGCCATATCTGATCTCTCCGGGATCGCAAGGGAGGCCGCTCAGCAGGCCGAGATCGACAGCATGCTTGTCAAAATGCCCGGTTTGGTCCACCATCTGGCCTTAATCCGGCCTCTACGTACGATATCGCGGGAAGTGGGTCTTCTGTGATCTCCCATAGCATTATGTCATGACGACAACGCAGGACCAAGGTAGTCGAGAGCATGGAAACGGAGATCTTGCCTGGACTTGGAAACAAATTCGACCAACTCAATCCAAAGGAACTCACGCATGGACAACCACTGACTGGTTCGCAAACAGTTACTCAGGATCGTTTCACAGATGGCGCCTGTGTCTTGCCGTCTGACAGCTGGTACAAATGCGTATTAGGATGAGACCGGTCGAGACATGTGCTGCCCGACATTTGAGTCGTGAGCTGACTGACACGTTAATCAATAAGTAGCATTGAGCCCTTGACGTCGCCACCCAGGTGAGTCCGTAGCGGTTACATTCTGGACACGCTTCACCGTCTATCCGACCACAATGCGTGCCTGGAGAATGCTTAATCGCAGATGTTTGCATTCAAAGTGCTACCTCGAGTTTCATCAATCTGTAGAATCCCCAGCAGAATGTTCTCAAACAGGCGGTGCGACCCATCTAAAACCTTATAGTGCATGGGCCATTGTGGATGTTTTGTCCCCGGTTGAGGTCGCGACATCTGGTAGCTCTGTCCAGATTGTTGCGCAATCCGAATGCCCTCCTGGATACTGGGACAGGTTCTACTGCCGGCTTGTGAAGAGTTATGTGCGAACAATCTTGCCTTTTGACATCTGCAGGGCACTCTTGGGGGTTGCTGACATTGATCTCAAGTATCACTGTCATTTGATAAAGTCAGATCTGTAAGATCTAAGCCAGATCGGATACTCGTTCTGCTCCACACAACGTGATCACAGCCTCGACCCCGGATTTCTATGCGAGGGCATGAGCCAACCGCGTTGTCATCTTACAGACCCAGTAATTTCCATCTGCTTGGTATTCCCGCAGGAGAAGTCAGGCCATTGTTGAGCAGACTCTGGCACATGGAGATCACAACAGCGCTTTGGACGAACCCTGTGGCGCAGCTCATGGGGCCATAGATCTCTGGGCCTCCTCGCAGGCGTGCTGCGGTCGCGTCATACAGCGCTCGCTGGTTAGCTGTCACGCGTAGTTTGCAGGTCTTGTAGTTCCGATCTCGTAAGCTTTTGAGCGAGCACCCCGGAGGAAAGTATTGGGCACTTGAGTGTCGAGTACCCAAGCGGTTGGAACGAACCGAATAGTAAAGGACCAATCCGGTCGTCGGCCCTTTCTAGATGATGAATCCCATATTCAAGCGAAGAAAAAGCCTGAGCGGGACTTCTTAGTGAACTATTTGCTGAGCCCCTGAACGAACTGCTCACAAGTCAGCGCGATGCTCAAAACATGACTTAGAGACCAACTATTTGCAAATAGCATAATAGTTTCAAAATGTTCACAGGATCGCGATGATCGTAACCTCTGAGAGTAATAAGAAACAAGTTAAGAATCGTAGACATTCTCAGGAAGCCATTGATTTCCTGACTGTTGAACCGAGTTGAGGGAACCAATCAAATCAAATAGAATGTCCTTTCACAATTGGACGAAGAACAACAGCTCGCAAGTTTATGTAAGACGTTGTTTCGTAGTTGACGGTTTCTTTATGCGTGTTCTGCTCGATCTTCTGGCTTCTCACAACAGCATTGTATCCCGGACACTGACCAACCGTGCGACAACAACCAAAATCTATCACCTTTTTCTATTTAATACAAAAAGATTTAAGAAAAATTTGTTTTTCTCCACATCTTTTGTCCTCGAGACTGTAATCAGTTCAATCATGGACTCTGTGTGTAGTGTCGCGAGAGTTGATCTCGAGTTCTTGAGCTATGACAAGATTAACACTTTGTGACTTTCATGAAAAGCGGGATGTTGTCAATATATGCCATGTTTTTCTTCTCTTTTTTCTTGACCAAATCACATTCAAGGTAGGACAATTCACGTCTCTCTGGAACAATAGGCATCCCGAGGTAGATGCATACATGCACTTATCGACCAGGGCACTATGGCGCTGGGCTGCTTCATATCTTAAACTAAATTTCAGAATACAGCTAGCCGCCCTGTCTCTTGTGTCTGTACCAATAAGGCCGACCTGCTACCCTGCCGTGACCTGCATGTGTAAAAACTGCGCTCTATCGCAACACGCGGATGACCGCGTCATCTTCGTAGATTTCTATTCAATACCACTGGACGTTGCATAGATGGCTCAGCAGGAAGAATTGAAACCTAAACAAGATACGGACATTGTATGTGACGCGGTTGTTGCATGTCCGGATATTGGAAAAATCTGTCCTGGGAAGCGTTTGCTATGTTGATACTTCAGTATAGATACAACATCTGGCACAACCAGATTCGTAGCGGTAGTACCATGGCTCGAATCAGAATGGTAACCAGATGTAGATCGCTTTAGGTAGCTTTAGCTGCCATTGCACTGACGTGGAACTGCCATGGTCTGTCTGGGTTCACATGTACTCGACGCGCGTCAGGGCGAGGAACGCTGCTTTGACTTGCTGCAACATTTGGGCCTGAAGAGCTACACTGTAGTCATCTTTGTCCATGAATGCACTGTAGCGAAGTCAACGTGTTGAACTGATAGCTTCGGAAACTCTTCGGGGGCCTCCCTCCTGATCTACATGCAAATTCTGAATTATGGAGCTGCTTGTCGGGGAGCACGTCCACTCGTATCATGATTTTTTCATCTTGTTTATGTTCTTCGAACTTTGTGTTCTCACTCTTAGGTTTGATTCTCTTGCTTTTGGCTTCAAAGAGTGACGACCATGCCGTTTGCACATTGAGAATCGTTGGGAGAACAGTCCGAGGCGCATAGTAGCGCCAACATAGGGAGGATGCTAGGACCATTTGGGGAACAAGTAAAAGTAAAAGCCTAGCGACACACGGCCCCTGTAGGCCTTATCGGCCTATCGGGACGGAGCTAGATGCTCACTGCCCCGGCCCGGAATGCTCACCTGGAGTTTTCGGTCTCACTCAACTGTAGGCCTCATCCAATATGTCATTGGCAGAGCAACTGCGGCGAAATTCCCTCCCGGTAGCGTGAACATGCCGTTAGATTTCCTGCTTCAGGCACGGGCAAGTTTGCAGATGAGAACAAGGTTTAAGCATATGACAGGCTAAAAAGCCCTTAATTTAGAACACGCGACTGGGGCTCCCCCGTGCGGCTCCGTCACCGTCCGGGGTGGTCCCTCAAATGCCGAGTCAAGCACACGCAAGCCTTCAGGGGTCATCCGGAGCACATCGACAAAGACGGACACGGGAAACAGACACCTCAGGGGCCAAACGCTATCGAAGTTTGGAATTGTCAAACATGAAATCTTCATCTCAATGCTTTCATATTTCCTGAAAACTCCAGCCTTTGAGCGTGAGTTGAGCCTTGAAGGCGCGTCACTCGTTTAAACACATCAATCATTCGAATATTCCACTGCAGCCGCTCTTTACGGAGTACTGACTCCACCAAAACGTACAACAAACGAGGTTGGGCGATAAGGGTTCATTTGACGCGCGTCCAAGAGACGCGGCAGCCAGCCCTCACCCACAATGGCAGATTCCGGCGGAGCAGGCTCTGGGCCAGGCGGTGGATCAAATCCAGGACCGAACTCGGCCTCCAGCTCCGAATCACAAACATCTACGGCCAGCACGACGTCCACGGCCTCGTCCAGCGCCTCGTCCGGCACCTCGACCGCCGTGCCCCTCGAGCTCGTCGGGCCCGAGGAGCTCAGCTTCGTGCCGCGCTTCGGCCGGTCCGCCTTCCAGGTGGTGCTGAACACGACGTCCTTCGGCTCCATCATCTCGCAGCTGGACGACGTCGCGAACTCGGCGGCGGCGCAGGCCAGCGCGCAGCAGCCGCCGCCCATCTCGCTCCTGGAGACGGGTTGCTTCACCAACTCGAGCGCCGGCAACGGGCTGCGCGCCGGCGAGGGCTGGCGTGACTGCGTCGAGGCCTGCTCGACCCCGGCGTCCATGTTCAACTCGAGCTTCACGTTCTGGAACTGCCTGACGATCGGCGCTGTCGCGCTGTATGCGCAAACTGATGGCATGGTGTTGGACTCGGCGAAGGTGGCGTCTGTGGGCCAGGGCCTGGGCTTCAGCAGCCTGGACGAGTTCAACAGCACCCAGATACTGTCAAATACGGTCAACTGCATCAAGGGCTCTTGCCAGGATTATAGTCTTGGGTCGTGCACGGATAACATTACCACTCTGGATATCAGCGGATCCCAGGACAAGGTGGTTGATTTGTTCAGCGCCCTGCAGGGGTATTGTGACGGCGAGGAAAGTGTCGTGAATTCGGACATTGCTGGCCCCGGTGTAAGAGCCCCAAAGCTATACTGTCTCGTTTGTCTGCTCCGTTGCTAATGGTTTGCGATGCTACAGGTCGTACTCTCATATATCCTGCAGGCCACGCTGGCAATCGCCGTCTATGTCTTTGTCAATCTTTTCACCAGCTGGCTGCACCCTATTCTCTCACTCATTTATACCATCCAAGACCGCCTGTTACCGGCCCGACCAGCTCGGACGACGGATGACTCGTTCGTCGGCCTTCAGCAACGACAGACGCCATGGCAGCGAGCAGGCGAACATCAAGCAAACCTCTCCAGATCGCGCCCGGCGGCAGCGTTGACTTCCGCCCTGGTCGAGTTTCAGGAAGTGCAAGGCTTCTTCGTGGCATCGATACAATTCGCCACGCTGCTCGTTTTCGCCGCAGACGACCAATCCGCCATGCTGAGCAGCACCAGCTCTTTCGGTGAGGCGGTGCTCAACGTGGAGGTTGTCCAGATGTTATCGATCAATGGAGTGTTGCCCGTTCTTTTCATCCAAATCGGGCTGATGCGCCTGGGTGTGCGTTGGTGGTACATGACGTCCATTGTCGTGGGAGTTTTCATCCTGTCCATGGTCATCGCAACCAGGAATCTCATGCCAGACTACAATACCCTCTGGGCTTACTTTAAGGAGTCAGGGTCGATTGAGATGTGCGGTGGGAACCCGTCTCCCATGACGTACTGCCTTACTTCCGTGGACAGGCTGAATGGCGCGCTGGAGAGCATGAATACTGGTCTGATCCTGGGTTGCGTGACTGTCTCAGTGCTGGTTTTGGATCAAATCTGGCACTCTTTGAACCGCAACCGCAGGTTGGACGATGTTCTCGATGAGTGGGAACTTTCTAGCGCCCGGGGAATGTTCTTCAGGCGGCGGGTCTGGCCAGTATTCATGGCGTTGCTGTGGTTCTGTCTGGAGTTCGGCCTGCTGATATACGTCGGGATCTACCTCAAAGCCGTCATTGTTGTTCTCTCAATCGTCGGTACGAGCGCATCGAACTGGACGTACGGGCAGTTGATCGCAGTAATGGTGTGGGCGCCAGTTATTGGCAAGTATGTCTATTTCAACATCTTTGGCATCACAGAAGGGGTTGGCAAGCGCCTGGCGAACAGATACAAGGTCATTGAGGTTGATCCGGATGACGATGATTTTCACAAACCAGGATCGAGCGGTTTCGTCAAGCAGGAGGACGATATCGAACTGTTCGGCCCCCGGAAGGACACTTTCAGGCATTTCAGTCGCGAGGACACTCTCGTGGCGACCATGTCCCCTTCCGTGACGACGGTAAATCTATCGGGGAAAGAGGAGTATGGGAGAAAGAACAACCCTTTCGACGGCTATGTCAAGCGAAGGCATCGCAGTGCTGGCGCAGATGATTTGCCTGGAGATGGCAAATTTAGTAATGTTTAGATTACCACTGTAATGACAATAACGTATCCAATCATGCATAGGCAGCAGCAAGTCATTATGGATTCAACCCAAATTTCCGCCCAGTCATGAGGAGTATGCATTTTGGTCGAATGCTCTCTCATCTCCCAAAATAAGGAGCAGGGCCCACGTCCAGTCCGTGCTAGACATATAGGCCTAGGATCCAGGTCAGGCGGCAAGTCCAGGCGATTCGGCGCTGCCGTCCTTGTGTTGAAGTATAGAACCGTGGGAGACGGCTGAGCATACATGAGTATTCAGAGTGGGTGCTTGGGGAGTTGAAATTACCTTGGAAAGGTAAATTTACAGCACGGTAGACAGTCGCCAGACCTGAGATCACATGCAGTGAGTAGTGGAGTTCACTCAGCCCTACGGGCGGCCAGACTTGCGTCATAGCAAACAGTAGAGCGTCGGGTGCCGACCCGGCCTTCCCGGCGCAAACCCTCTCAACGCCAAAGCCCAGTGCACATATCAGCTCACATCAGCGCCATTTACGTCTGCCACATGAACTGTCTCTCCGCGCGGGGCAGACGAATTAAAGTATTTGGGTCAAACGACCATTTCATCTGAGTGGCTGGGCCTCGACTGCGGCTGCCAGTGAGACGGAAGCTAGAGAACCCGATTCAAGTCACCGAGCTATCCACTTCACAGCCACTCCTGCGCCGAGACGTTTACGAAGCTTGGAACAAGGTCTCGGCGGGCGGGCAGGTGAACGCACTCCACTGCCAACCGCGCGCCCGATTCATTGCTATCGACAAACGACGACGAACGAAACATTCTTCTCATCCACACCTACCTCGAGTCTTTCTCAATCACTCCAGCGCGGCTTCAAGGCTTCTCTGACCGGAAGTACCCCGGACTCACCACCAGGTCCAAGACCAGCAGAGGAGGCCCATCTCTGGCCAGTATTGTCCGGGAAAGGCCGGCTTCTACCGACAAACATTATGAACAACCATGATATCTTCGACGAGCCGCCGCCTTCTTACGAAGAGGCAACCGGCCGCCCATCAAACAACAGCAACACCAATCACCAGGGACCACCACCGCCGACACCACCAAGACCTGCCAATAACAAAGCCAACGGTACCCAAAACGCCCCAAGCACCCCGGGGGGGCCAGCATCACCAACAGTCACGCCTCACACGCCAGCCCAGACCTTCCAGCAAATTCTCCCCGTCTCCCAAACTGTAAATCAGCAGTTCCCACCAGCCTTCAACCTCTACCGCGATGCGTTTCCAGGCCAGCGATCCTACTTCCTCGGCGAGCACCAGGTCACCCCGCTGTACTCGGTGACAGCGTGGACGGGTTGGACGACAGGGGCGAGCCTGGTGCTGCACAACGGGCCCAGCGACGACCACCCGCCCCTCGCGACGGTGGTGTACGAGTCGCTGGGCCGGCGGATGAGCGTCAACCTGCCGCCGCTCCCGGGCCACAGGCCCGAGCCCATCTCCGTGGCGATGCCCACCTTCATGAGCGCCAAGTTCACCTTCGTCGTGGAAGTGAAAAATGGCATGACGTACCGGAAGGAGGCCTTCGAGTGGCGCCGGAGCAACAGCCTCGCCATCAGCGGGCTGGGCGGCCGGTCCCAGGGGTGGAAGCTCGTGCGGCTCAGCAACGAGCTGCCTCCCGGCGGTGTCACGATTGCGGGCAGCGGGCCGCCTTCTGGGGACGGCCACGAGGTCGTCGCTGTGTGCACGGATGCTGTGATGAGTCTTACCAAGATGTTCAAGTTCTCGTTCCTTGGCACGGGCCTCTCCGGCGCGCTCGGGGAGAGGTGGGCCGTCATGGCCGTGGCGACGGGGCTTGTCATCTGGGACCAGGAGCGCAGGAGGGACTAGGAGTCCTTCTGGTGACGGTGCCTGGGCTGGGGTGTCTGCTCAATCGCTTGGGAAGATGTATATTTTAGCGAGCAGCCTTTGGCCTCCCCGCAAACGGTTTGGCGTGGGTGAGTGGGATTGGATTGCGTTGAGGACCTCACTGGGCTAGTCGGAAAGAGGTATATGGAAATGAGGTCCAGGCGCACGTGGCGCATAATCTGCACATAATTCGGCTGTGTTTTACGTCTTTGGATGTTTGGAAAGAGTTCTTTAATGTAGGAAGGGCGTAGAATATTAGTCTGGCCAGAATGATACCACTGTTTTTACTTGTGCTTCATGTTCGGAACCAGACGTGTGGCGAACCACGAACTTCGAGATGATATCACGTATGCTTCACACGTCTCACATTAAACATTGTACTGCTACTTCCTGGATATCATACGGTCTTCATATCTTCCCTCATGCTCATCATCATTGTTCTTCATTCTTCCTGGTTGTACACGCGCTTCTAATTGCGAGGCGGCCGGATATAATCCGCAATGAGCTGCTTGATGCTCTTCTGTTTCCGTACCGGCCTGGACGGTGACTTGACGCGGGTGGCACAATTAGGTGCTGAGGCTCTTCTCTCCCAATTTTCCCTGGCCCCACATGTGTTGCTGAACTTGATGTGCCTCTCCCCACCGATGTCTGTGTTGGCCCGCGAAATCGTGCTCTTCGGCGGAGGAGCTTTCTCAGCATTTTCCTCACTGGATGCTTCGGAGGATGACGCATGCCGGTCTGACTCTCGATCCCCTGAAGTTGGGAGAGCGTCGTCACCTTCTCTTCCATCGTCGTCGACTACCTCTTGGATTTCTGCCAGTTTTGGTGGTGGTTGTGATTGGTCATCCCAGTTGTTGGAATAGAATGGGTTCAGTGGTGGTTCACGGGTAGGCTTTGAAGGTAGTTCACCGTTCTCCTTCCGTTGACGTTCTGCTTGTTCCGCTTCTCGCATGAAGAGCTCGTAGTCCGATGGAACTGACTCCTCTGGTGGTGGTTGTGGATGAAGAAGACAGGACTCAGCACTCTCAACCCCCTGAGATGGAGGCTGCAAGCTGGCGACTGGTTCTAGGCACGAGCTCGGGTCACGCTCTGGTCCGTCATCCGAGGCATCTGCTGTCGACGCCTGGTCATTCAGTTGTTGCACACCATATGAGTCGGCATCGATCTCAGTCTCCGTTGTTTCTACAGACCTTTTGGCATATTGCTCAAGTTTGTAGTCCAATTCGTTCAAGTCTAGGCCTTGTCCGGGATGTTGAGACCTAGCGTTGGACACTGGCTTCCTAGGTCCCTCGTCACGGTAGCGTGCAGCCGGATGCTTGTCCTCAGACTGGATTGGAATGTAGACTGATCGCTTCTCCGTTATAAATGTGGTCTTAGAGGGAGAAAAGGCTGCCGAGCCAAATTGGCGGAGGCGATCGACCAGACTAGGCTTCCTTTTGAGTGATTTGGTCCCCATTTTCGTGATCGTTGATGATGCTCGTGGCTAGCTGAGCTCCTCATATACAGCCCGTGGTTTGCCTGGTGTGTCCGCCTAAATCTCGATAAAATCTTGCCCGAACGCCCCAAGGAACGGTTTGGATATGAGATACGGGTCGGATAAATGCGTTGATTGTCTCACTTCAAAGCCGCTTGGGAGCTTTGCAAGACACACAGTGGCGCCAACCTCGGGCTGGATATATCTGGACCAGACCACTGTACTTGTGGAAAAAGGGCCAGCTCCTGCGACGCCAGATGCGTTGTTTAAAGCGCTCGCCGATGAACGATAGTTTATAGGCGTAGGACTCCGAGTTTCCCGCTTTTAGCACGGTCTGAGGTCGTCCCTTGCATGAGCTTTAGCGAGGGCTAACGAAAGCATCAAAGGGGTGCCAAGTGTGATGAGACGAAGACAGATGAAGGGATCGAAAGTTTACCCGAACTGACTTCTCTCATTGACTTGGGCGGAATTCGTGGGACTGACGTATCTGGATCAGAATAGGTTGCTTGGAAAAACCTTGAGTTCCCGACACTCGGTGATGTGGTTCAAGGTTTTCCGCGAAATGAAGCAGGAGATTTCCCCGGATGCGTGTTGGGGAGTGAGGTGGGGGTGGCATATTCGCAGTGGAGGATCGACGGCCCACCTCCACCTTACCTCCTCCCTAGCTGTCTGGTCTGCTTGGTGGACCCTTGATGGACCAGTTCCCGGGGCCTGGGCCGATTGGCGGGTAACGGGGCTGACGGGTAGCTCTTGGTATTGAGGTTCTCGCCCACCTAACCTGCAGTACTGTACAGTATCGATAGCAATTTCGTACATTACTCGTGCATAGTGATACGGATTATGTAATCAGAATAACGCTGTTCAAAATAGATTCCAACTTCATACCGGTATGTTCTTGAACAATGTCTTGAGCATGCATCATTAATGGTCTACTACCTCGAACATGGAGTCACAAAGTGATCGGCTTGATGACGGATTGGCAGATGGAAACAATGACGAGCATGCATCTGCTACCCGATTCTCATGCCAGCAGTGTCGATCAAGAAAGGTTAAATGCGATCGGACTCGGCCTCGTTGCGACCGATGCACCAGGTTTGGGGGTACTTGTGAATATCCTGAGGCAAGGCGAGTAAATGTGGGCAGTCGGAAAAGAGTTCATGAGCTGGAAACGAAACTAGGTCAGTCATCGCAGCTGCAACGGTCATTGGACCTGGACCAGGGATACCAACTTCTACCCAATAAGTCGATGGAAAACTTATATAGGTATACACTCGTCTCAAGTGGCCTAACACCCATGCTGCAGATCAACTTGAACGACTGGCGAGAGCTGTCGAAAAGCCTTCTGCGGCTGAAGAATCCCAGAATCAACAGTCATTTCAGCAGCACCCGGATGAGTTCATGTTCAGCAATGAGACTGAGCCTCTCACATCACAGTCATTAGGGGCAACTTCTAGCTTTTACCAATCGCAACCAGGCAATTCATATACGGGCCTGGTGTCACTCGGGCTATTTGAGCAACAGCCTCCACCAGACCTTGCTCTTCTACTGTATGGTGTTTCTGTCGATTACCACTGATCTCAGCTGATCAACATAATCTGTAGAACCAATGTTTACTTCGACAAGTGGCACTTCGCAGCCCCGATGCTTCGACGAGGTCGCTACATGATGTCATTACACTTGCCACCTCATATGCGTCCGCCTATGTGTCTCCAGTACATCATACTAGCCCTTGGTGCAGACATGACCAAAATATATAGGAAATTGGCAATCCCATTCTACCAGCGCTCTCGGACATACATGCAATCAGACGAGATGAAAGTAGGTCACGAATTGCTCCGTCAACGCAAGGGACAACATGCTGAGAACCACAGGGAGAGGGCCAACACTTTACCACGATTGCGCACGCACAAGCCTGGAGTTTGATAGCGAATTTCGAAGCACAACAGCTTTTTTTTCCCAAGGCGTCAATGAGCCTTGGCAGAGCTATCAGAATCGCCCAGATGATCGGACTTGACCGCGTTGATGGACAGAGCGTGAATTTGTTTCCCTTGTTCTCACCACCACGAGACTGGGCAGAAGCAGAAGAAATGCGTAGAACGTGGTGGGTTGTTTACTGCTCCGATCGTCTGATATGCGGCAGCACTGGTTGGCCAGCATTGATCAATGAGCAAGACGTATGGTGAACTCTTCTACCATTGTGGTCCTTTTCTACAGGCTCGCTGACATGATCATAGATTGACACTCACCTCCCTGCTTCTGAGACATCATTCGAAGCAGGCTTGGAAGAGCGCACAAGCCCTTTAACAAGTATACTGCATCTAGAGGGCCAGAATCTTTCTTCATTCGCAGCACGAGTCTTGGCCGCATCTCTTTTTAATCAAGCCTTCCAACATTCAACCCAGGCTGCTTCAGATAAAGACGGGCAGGACATCCAAACAAGTTTACACTGGAAGCGCCATCGCGAGATTGATAATGACCTAGCTGTGTTTCTTCACTACCTTCCAGACGACGTCAAACTTCCCAGCAGCATACGCTGTCAAAACGCCACTTTCGTCAACATCATTCTTCACACCTCTGTGATCTTCCTTCACAGGGCAGCCATATTGACGATGCAAAAGCTCGGGATTTCCGGAGACATGGTCCATCAGAGTAGGGCCCGGCTGATTGCCGCGGCAGAGGAAATTCTTAACATCCTGAAGATGATGCCAGATGTCAACGACATGCTCAAGAATCCGATGCTGGCCTTTTCGATATACATGGCGTCGTTGGTCTTTCTTGATCGGCCGACATCGACTCAACCAGACTATCAACAGCAGAATAACCTCGACTTCACCCTCCGTCTTATGATCTTGGCAGCCAAAACTTGGGGTAACCCTGTGACAAGATCTATGGCTATCCAGTTGGCTGTGGACATGCGGCAACGTGGTTTGGAGTCGGTAACAGTCGAAAAGGTCGGTCATTGACTATTTGGTCGTTTGAAGCTTGTAAATTGACCAAAACACAGGCAAGCGAGCTGCCACTGGAGAGAAGTACTGTTCCCATCCTTGCAAAAGGGGACAACGACTCGTCAAATTTCCTATTTCAACTCAAATCTCACAATTCCGAAAGCTCGCCTGGTGCCACGGGCGCTTGGTAAATGCGACATTCAGCTTCCGATTGGTACTGTATGATGATAACACTTAGGGCCTCGATCCGAATGAGTATGAGCATTGAGGCTTGTCAAAACCAACCCGAGTATGTCAGACTAGAAGGTATTTCTCTGTCTAGAGCCCTACACTACATGGCTCCTTTGCTGTCCATTCCTGGCATTGTGAATCCTAATCTAATTCGCTGATATCGGTCTAGCTGAACAGCCTCTTCGAAAGATGTGGTACTGCACGACTTGGCTGTGAGCAGAATTGGTCTCGGTGCCTTGTTAAGGTCATGCGATAAAATGGGCCGGTTTCTAGACGACTTCGGCTTTATTTTCCACCCGTCGAAAGAGATTCCGGTCAGCGAAAAAGGAAAACAACCTATAATCCAGTTCTCGAAAGATTAAGAAAGGAGAGCTAATCACCTCCAAACTTGGGGTCGCTCTGACATCCACGAGATTTAGTACCAACCCGGATTACTGGATTCCCGATCCGACAAGATGGAAATTATTTTGGAGTCATTTTGAACGGCATTTTATTGCAACCGCTACATAAGTCTGCATCAGAGAACACCAAGTTCTTCCGCAGTCTTTCGAACCAGGCTCTTCAGATCCTCCTCGCTCAAGACCCTGAGACCCAACTTTTCATTCCAGGACAACTCCTTGAACTCGGTTCCGCCATAGCCCTTGCTATACATCATCGGGAAGTAGTAGGAGATGAGCGCAGACTTATCACCCTTGGCCAACCTCTCATCCGCCTCACGGACCATGTTGTCAACGTCAAGATCAAGGATACGGCCATCTTCCACGCTGCCAAAATCAATGCCAGTGACCTCAGACGCGAGGCGAGTGAGCTTCTTTTCGCTGATAGCGGCAGAGTAGAAGTAGACAGGCTTGTTTGCAGTCTCCTCAAAGTGCTCCGGTTCAAGAACTTTGACCAATGCGGTGCCAATGTCCGGGAGCAATGATGCACCGATAATCTTATCGCCGCCGTCACGGAAGGTCGCCTTCTTCTGTGCTAGATTGGGGCCCAAGACGCCAAACTTGAGGCACATTTCTAGGAATGCGCCGTTGTTGATCGAAGTCCATGTCGTCGATGGCGAGTTCTGCACGGTGGATTCGAGGTATTCGCGGACTGCGGTCTTGCCCAGGACATGAAGCAACTTGCGGGAAAGTGGGGTGTCCAGATTGGTGGTGAACTCGGATGGAATGATGCGCTTCACAGAAGCGGCGACGGCTGCGTCGATGATGACCTTGTCCGACTCGAGTTTCGGGTTCGGAATAGCACTGTCACAAAGTCAGTGACTGGTTCACAGTCACTCGGTCTGTTGGCGAGTGGAGGTTGCAGACCTCACAAAGACATCTTGTCCCTTGAATATGGAGACGAGTTCGTTGAAGTTGGTCAGGTCGGCTTTGACAGATTTCACGCCCTGGGGTGCTTCCTTTGTTGATTCCTTGCGCTGGATCACACTGCAGCATTTAGAGTTAGTCATCAAAGCATCAAAGAGGAAGTTTTAAAGGGAGAGAGGTCGAAGTAGATCACGATATGCCCAGTGCCTGTCTCGCAAAGTGCGGTCAAACGATGAGCTCTGATTCAAGCAGTGAGACAGACCACGCATATGGCGGGTGCTTCTCCCTATAGAAGGTGATATTCTATCCGGAAGCTGCTTACGTGACGGAGTGGCCGGCTCCAGTCAATGCCTTCAATAAATGAGGGCCCAGTGTGCCTGTGGCCTGCAAGCAGTAAGTGACAGAACTCGGATTTCTTGTGGTTCAAGAATAGGATTCTTACCCCTAGGAGCGCTACGTTTCTCACGACTTTAGCCATTATGTTAATTATAGACCGTAAATATGGATTCTTGCTTGAAAGACAAGTCGCGTATATTTTGACCGCAGGCCTGCTAATATTTATATACAGTTGAGATCACTCTAGATCTGGCTTCAACGAGGCAGCTGAAGGCCGAGACCCACGGCCTACAGTTCAGAAGCGGCTTTAGAAAGAGTGCCGCGCCGAAGTCAGATTTGTAATTCGGTCGAGTACGTGTTCTGATCTACACATGATATCGGTATCCGGACCGCACCGGTGGTGGAATTGATCGGGTCCGGGTCCCGGGTTTGCTCCACATACGGACCATTTCGGAGGCCGGCGACGCTTTCAAGCCAAGGACGAGCTAGTCAGACACGTTGCTCCTCTTTATCTAGAGGTCAAGTTCCTTGCCAAGCCACCTCCAAAAGAGTTATTAATTAGTGTAGAAGGATAAGCAACGCGAACAGCGAGATATTGTTTGAATTCGATCTTTGAACCAACTTCTTAGAACATCGCCATTATTGACTCTCTTAGCCGGCATAGCAATAGGAATACCGTGGAATTTTTAAACCTGATACACCGTTGTCACCTTAAATGAGAAAAAGCGTTCTTTTATCTATGATTGGAGCAAGAGCATATCGGCGAGAGACTTTGAGCATATCAAACATTCAACTGACAGGCCAAGCACGTCGGGTTTGCGAATAGACAAGTGTTCACATGCTCCCACTCCTAGCACGTCACACCTGACAGCTGGATCTGCGTGGAAGAAGCCGCGCCATCGAGCCAAACGCGCATGTTCCTGAGCTAGGACAATATTTCCGCATGCTACTGCAAGCGGTTTGCTACCCGCGAACGGGCCGTCATGCCAGCCCCCAGGGCCTAGAGCTGGACTGTCAATTGAGCAATGAAAGATCCTCATGAGTGAACTATCTCGAGACTGCTGACTCAAGACAAACGTCACTCATCGAACGTCCCTCCACCTAGTGTAAATGCCGGAGTGAAAGCTCCGGATGAGGCTTGTGAAAGGCTCGCCTGGACCTGTAAGTGCCAACATCGAGCTTCAAGGGCATCTTTCATCAGTCAATGTCTTAGACGTCAGACTTTGATCATACAACATGTGTAAGTCAAGACAGGGTGGTTGATAATGATATGTCCTCTTCCCCCAATTATCGCTTTCTCAAAATGCTCGCCAAATCTAGCTTTGCTGGATCTGCTGCGTGAGAATTTGCTGTAACCTGCGTCTCTGACCCAAGCCAATACCCAAGCCAACCCCCGTAGAATAGAAAAGAAACGCCGATTTCCTTCAAGTTGGAGGGGGGGGGGCATAATCGGTCGGACGATGGCACCGTTTGCCAGTCCGTGACTCTTGTTGCAGAGCACCCACCAAAAGGAAGTGCATTGCTTACTGACCCTTGATACAGTCAAAATGTCGATGACTACACTCCACCAATTGGTGTTTTAACCAAACACTCCTCTAGACATTGGAGCAGAATGCCCAGAAGGATCAAGTCATCACATCAGGCGTCTTTGATGAGAACAGCGTCCCTCCAAGTCAGCCTTATCACAGCGCATAAAGTTATGCTCGTTATAGAATCTCGCTGCCGATATTCCCTGTCAGTTCACTGTGAGCACTTGATCTTGGAGGGACCTGATACTGGCAGCAGCATCGTGTCGCTCAACGGAGCGGACAGTGTCAAATAGCGATTGCAGTAACTGTGACTAGGAAAGGAATTGCGTGAGAATGAATGACTGGCCAAATCGTTCGGGTTGCATTCATGGCGTTTATACGCCAGCGAGTGACCGTCGAAAATATTTCAAAAGAAATCGTCGGGCTGTTTGGCTCGTCTTCTGTTATGAAATCCTTGCTTGCCTATTTCGGATAACTCTACATATTTAGGTTGTGCACGTAGAGCTTGGGAGGATTTTCATTATGTTCCCTTCACAAAGATGTTTAAACAATAAAGGGGCTATGCAGACTTTACACACCATCGCAGAAAAATATGTTCACCGTCTTGCTGTTCCACCACTTTCGTTAACTCCCCAATAGACATGAATTTCTGAGTGTACGTAAATTCTAGCAAATCTGGGTAAAAACTATTTTGCTTTGTCTTCTGCCATACCCGAAGATGTTTCCAATTTTGTCTCTACTCATTCAAAAGCCACGTGTGCGATATAGCGTCTTTAAATATTCCGGCGCTTGGTGGTGGCTAGAGGATGGGGACAGGTAGTTGATGCAGGGGAGTGTGTAGTGCGGCTTACAAACCACATGCACGTATCCTGGCTGTATTTCTGCTCTTTCTCTCATATGGGTATTGTGATTTCGGGAACCCTGGCTTGATCAAACTGATTTGATTATACACTTGCTCGCGTTGCAATTGTTACCATCAAGCCTCGGTCCTCACAGCTCAGGTGAGCCACACGTTCCTACGTATCATGCAAAGCTTGCAAAGAGCATTGTAGCTGATGCACCGAATGCAAAAACGACAGGTCCTGGCCGATTGACAGTCTGCATGATTCAGACGGCACATTGATCATCAAGCCGAGAAACGTAGATCTAAGCCACAAATGTGGTTCAGCGCACCGTAACCCGTTCTGTCAACTTACTCCCCGAGAGATGGTCAAATCTCACAGACAAACGCATCATACAACGTCATGACTGGCTTCATAGCTATGTCCATTTCTTTGCACGGTTGTTTGTCCGGCCTTTGCCATGGTACGATGGTATCGAGATCGTGCACTCTTAGTCAACAGCTAAGTCGGTACCAATAGCTTGCGGGTACTATGTACATGTGAGGGTTGCAACTCGAAAACAAAGTACTATATATCATGAAGAGCAAGACATGTTCTTGCTTTTACCATTGTTTTTGTTGTTGGTGTTGCTTATCAATGGCTGTCAAGCTCCTCCTCTTGTCTCATTTTGTTGACACCTATTTCCGTGCGAACACTCTCGAGTAACTCAATCATGAAGTCCATCTGGATCACAGCCCTCACGCTCGCCGCTGGCGCTCTTGGGAGCGCAGTCGTTCCACAGGGCCCACAAGTCCAAGTAGAGAGGAGGCTGCATGATTATCAGTCTCCTGTCCTTGCAAATCTTCTCCGTGAAATTCGGAGCCAGACCGCTGGCATAGGTCAGTTGCCCCCTTCTTCGACTTAGCCGAGGCTTGCCGTCCTACAGCAAGAGACCATAGACACTAACGGTCTATGAATATCCCCAGATCATACCCTTGATAAGTTTCGTGGCCCAATCCCCAATGACACGGCAAAGGCAGTTGCGTCGGTGATCGGGTCACACTTCGAGAACATCACAACGGCTCTGCGCACGGCCCAAGCAATCCTGAGAACGCTGGGGAAAAATGTCACGCTCGTCGACGAGGACGGAAGGCCCTGCAACTCGAGCTGTATCTTGGACAAGACCAAGGGTATGGTAAAAGACACCGGGGAGGCGGCCAAGAAGTCTCTCCTGAAGCTTGGGCTGCGTAAGTACCACTCATTCTGAACTAGATCATCTGCGGCGCAACGGCTCACTGAACGCTTCTCGACGGACAGATACGCTAGGAAAGTTTATCGCCCCCGCGTTCCTGGTGCTGAGCGGTATAATCGTCGCCCTGAATACCCTCGTCGGCGGAGCTTTGGCCGTAGTCGCTACCCTGGTAAACGGCATGTTTTTGGCGATTGCCGGCGGGATTGCCTACCTTGGCCACCTAGTGTCTGAGAAAGAGAAGCAGATGGCCGGCGGGCCGGACGGCTTCCTCACAAAGGAGGTTAGCAAAATGATCGGTGAGGCGGTGGACTCGCATTTTGGGCTCTGATGCCGGTTTCAGAATGAAAGATACGGTCTGACCCAGTGATACCTTTTGGCGTCATCGCTTCGCGGTGCATGAAGCACTCAACGCATGCCTATCACTTGCTCTGGCAACAAAATTCCCCTGGCTGAGGGGGCGTGACAGAGGCAAGGTTCTCTCCTCTCAACACGTGGCGACTCTTGCCTATGCCAAAGTAATACTGTATATGCTTTAAAAATCTTAAAAGCTCTGATTGGTGCTAAGCTCGATGCAGCCACCCTCTATTAAATATCAATCCCTATTTACCTTGACAAAATGTCCATATACAACAAAAGCCTTCATATATTCTTCCGAGGCTTCTTCTTGTCCACAAAATCCATCCTCGTCCGGCAGAGTGGGCACGTGTTCTGGTTGGCCGACTCGAGCCACTTGTACAGGCAGTCGCGGTGGAAGAGGTTCTTGCAGGTTGTGCAGCGCTTGTCGGGCATGCGCTTGTCAACCGAGATGTAGCTGTAGCAGATGGCGCACTCGACGTTGCCCTTGAGAGCGCCGACCACGTTGCGCCGGAACGCGCCGAGGCCCTCGACGATGCTTCCGTGCGAGATGATGATGATGCCCTGCGTGGTCCTCACCCACGACTGCCACGTGCGCTCGTTGCACGCCACACGGTTCAGTCCAACGACCGTCACGTTGCCGATCGGGAAGTTGGCATTGATTTGCAGGAGAAGCGACGCCGATTGCTCTTCGTCGCCATCATCGATCGGGTACGCCGCAATGATCTCCCTCGCCTTGTGATTCACCTTGATGACGAACTCACGCTCGTCTGGGTCGGCTACCTGCGTTTTGGCCCACGTCTCAACCTCTTCCATGACGTCGCGAATGAGGATTGGCGAGAACCATTTGGCCGTCCAGGGCTCAACGGCGTTTTTGGTCTGTCGGGATCGGCAGTCGATGAACCATGTCTTGAAAAGCCCCGGAACGTACTTGAGCGATAAGTAGAACAGGTGGACAAGAAGCCATTGCATGTTCTTCTCTTCTGGCAATGAGTCTCCCACCTTTACGTCGTAGTCTTGAATATCCTCAGCCGTGAAGCCCACCTTGTCGAGATTGATCGCGTGAGCAGCCGAGTGGCCCAATACATCGACAGTGAATTCCATTAGCGGATTAATAGCTTCAGAACTCTTGAGCTGCTCCGTGTAGTCTTCCCGCAACTTGTGCGCGGCGCCCTGATAAGCGTCAAAGATGAGTTTCCAGGAGAGCAGATAAGATCGAATGGTCGTAGGGAACTGAACCAAGATCTCTTCGGGGTAGGTCTCTAGCGTTGGTGCATCGAGAAGTAGGGACATGAGTTCATCAGGGAGCTTGGCCTGCTTCTTCTCGATGAGGACGTCCAGCGAGAGCTCTTCCTGGATAGCTGGAAGCGCTCGATGGAGTAGGTTGAAGCCAGCTGACTGGATGTCCCGCGATTCAGATGCCACCAAGCCATAGACCTCAGACAAATCTTTGAGATGATCCAACGGGATCTTCTCGGCTTCGCGACAGAGAAGTGCGTCAACTATTGCTTGCGGTTGCGAGATATTCTCAACCCTAGGAAGCTTCAATAGTTCCAGTAGAGAGTGATTCCGGGACTCCGCGTGGGTTTCGAGAGCTTCGACAAGGTCATCGTTCGGTTCTTCGATTGCTGAAAACCCAGACATGAGCTTGACGGAGGCATGAATGTACGGCAAGTGCTTCTCGGGGCTGTCCCTGCCAGCATGTTTCCACAACCCAAGGCAAAACTCAATCGTCTGCTCCCAGTAAGGCCCGTACACCTCGCGGATACATGGCAGCAGTCGCTGCAATGCTCTGCAGCTCTCTGTGACAACGGCCACGCCAAGGCCCTCGATTGGCTGCTCGGTCCAAGAAGTGATCTGCTTTACCGCGAAGACAAGCCGGTTGTTCGCAACTGGAAGCTGTCCAATTTCGAATATGGGCATACACGCGTTCAACAAAACCAGATTGAGGATAGTCTTCTCGGATTGCGGCGAGGCGCCGGCAATGTCGCTCACTAATCGATTGAGAAGATTTGAGACGACCTTGGAGTTTGCCAATGCTTCCCCGTAGCCCGTCAGGAGTGCAATGGCAGGGAAAGCTGTCGATGGAGTCGCCTTCATCACTTCAAGTGCGGTCAACCATTCCTCCACTACAGCCATCTGGCCGTGAGCATCCGAGAATGCTGCGAAGATCTCGCTCAGTGCCCGTGCACTGTACAAAGCGATTGGCGTTAATTCTTTGGACTGTTGGATCATTATGTCCACCAGCTCGTCCCGCAGACCTTTCTCACTTCCCCCAGGCCGCCAGTGTGTTGACTCGACGAAGATGTTATTGATCATTTTCCTCGTGGTGGTAACGAAGTCTTCAACATCTTTCAGGAGGGTCGGATCACTGAGGGAGCCAAACAGTAAATTCTCGTCCATGAGAGTGATTTGATCAGATGCCACTTCCGCGACCAGGTAGAGAAGATACAACAGCTCCGCCTGGAATTTCTGGGCGAGCGTCCCGAGTTCCGCGCCACTTTCGACAAGTGCCACTGTATACATGGCCATCCTGGTCGGTATGGACAGCCCTTTTTGGTCGCGCTGGACTCGTGGCCTGGATTTGTTTCCAGTGGCTTGAGGCAGGAAGTATGCCCCGAGAACATTGCTTGTTAGTGCCAGCGAAGGACTGAGCTCGGTCTGCAATAATTTCAGTAACTCCTGCATCCAGATGTTCGTGTTCGGGAATAGTTGCTCCAGGTCCAACTCATCAGTTTTCGATATAGACCTAGCCTGCTGAACAAGCGTGTCAATGACTAAGGAGTCTGATCCGGGTCGTTCCAAATTCTCCTGGATGATGCTCAAGATAGATGGCTGGGCGTCCACATGTCCCTCTAGGATTGACCGAAGCTGGGTAGCTCGTGATGAAACAGGTGAGTCTGTAATCTCCATCATGGAGAGTAGCTTTGTGACGAGGGTAAGATGAAGAGCCTCGTTTTCCGATAAGGATGTCGGTCTGTTCTTCAAAACGATCTCCATGGCCGTGATACTAGGTTCATTTTCGGAGCTGAGCGCCTCGACAAGTCTAGAGCACATCTCTTCCAGGCTCGACTTCGATAAAGCGTCATACTGTAAGGATGACTTGAACAGTGTCCATGAGTGACTTTCGTTGCGCACGCTTGCCCAAACCCGAGCCTTGATGTAGTCCTGTAACCCAACGTCTTCCTGCGCGAGAGGTCGCGCCAAAGCGTCTGAAATTAGCAGTGTGACGTAGTCATCGGCCTTTGCTTGATCATTCATCTTCAGGACGGATCCAATAGTGGCGGCCCACAATGCTCTGTACTGGTCCGAGTCTTGCTGACCCAGAGGAATGAGACAGGAGAGAATGAATGAGGCCGATGGCGACGACAGCATCGTCTGCATATCCTCGTCAGACTCAGTTGGAATCATTGACTTGAAGAAAAGTGCATCGCTACTGTTGAAGAGGTATGGTGTCAGCTTGATGGCTGATTGCAATATCATAGCTGCGCCGAAGGGCTTGTAGTTCCTTCGTCTTAGAAGATCGGCCGCACTTCTTATGACTGTCCGAGAGGCATCTTGGGTACGATCAGGGATCTCATCGTTCGTACTCTGTTTTGCTACTGCCTTTATGTCTTTCTGAATGGTACTCACGACCAGGAACCATCGAGTACCCTCGGCTGCGATATTCTTCTGGGATGCTTCGAATTCTTTCGAGACTTCAGGGAGAGAGTTCGAAAGTCGAGCTAGTAGGACTTCAGCCAGTCTGTTCCATTCATTATCGAGGCATTGCGTAGTCAAAGGATCCCGAGACAGCGCTACAACCCGGTAGGCTCGAGATATAACAGAAACCTCGCCGCCCACTGACCACCCCTCTTGTCGCTCGGTCGAGGCTAAGTAGTGGTCAGTCAACGGGAAAACATGCTCCTTGATTATGTCGCGTCGGACTTCCGGGTCGAGCCGAGGCAGAGAGCGAGAGACGACATTCAGATATGCCGTCCAGGCATGTGGAGCGTTGGTTCTCGCCTCGTCCCTTCTACTGATGCCAATTCTGAAGGACTTCAAAAAGTTTGCAAGATCCTCCGATTGGAAAGAGTCTGTTGGAAGCACTGACAAGAGCTCATCGAAAGCTTGCCAGAATCTTGGTGCGCTGCCTTGAGATCCTTTTTCGACAAAGCTCCGTAATCTGGAAAGCGGTGACTTTTTCGTACCCCAAAGCCCTTGATCTTTGCGTGTCATAAGCGTCAGAACCGCGACAAAGTCGGTTGCGGAGCCTGATTGAGACTTCTTGAGGGCGTCGGACGTCAGTATCTTGCCAATACGTGACATATGTGGCTCAATTAGTTCCCAACGACTTTCGACGCAGAGTTGTAGTAACTGGTAGACCGTCCTCCTGACGTGAGCATCTTCGGCCGCTGCAAAGGTCCAGGCGCTGTCTCCGGGGCCGGAAGTGAAGAAAACCTCGTACTCGGAATTGTGCTTCTCTGTGTCTGAGCCTGAAAGCCTTCCCAAGAGCCCTAAAACTAGGGAAAAGCTCGCAGCGATTACACGGTAGTATTTGGCCTCTGCATCTTCGGGTTTCGTGGAGCGTTCGTCGCTTAAAGTATCGGGAGTCTCCGTGATGGCATCGGTCGCATACTGAAGAATTTGGGCTTGGCATTTCTTCCAGAACATATTCATTTTCTCTTCCGTGTTTAAGAACGTCGAGATACCCTCCGTCGCGGACCGCGCGACAGCCTTGTCTTTGTCGTAAGTGCCAGCCAGCCAAGACCCAGCAACCTTTGGTAGATTCTTTTCCATTCGTTTCCGGGCAGATTTCAACAGCTCGAATTGTAGTGTATGCGACAGCTCGCGGACCCGGCGGTCATTATCGGTAGACATGCGAGGGTAGAGACGGACCCAAGCCTCCAGCACTGCTTCTTCCACGCCTCCATCCGTCTCATTGGGATGCGCCTGGGTATACTGAATGAGATCTGTGAGTGCCTTGGACTTTGTAGTGTTGTCCTTCTTGAGCAGATTCTTGAACGAGACGACGGTGTTTGGGTCGGATAAAGAGGACAAGTCGGGGTCTTCGGAGAGGTAGGAGAGGCTGCCGCTACCGGTGGACTGCGTGGAGAATCCGCCGAAGCCAAAGGAAGCTGGGCTTCCGAAGCCCCTTCCACTCGCAACGCGCCCCTTGGCGCCCCTTGGATACATGGCCAAATTCAAGACCAGGGGTGGCGATGGGGAAGGGAGGCGGTCGCCACAGGTTGTCGTGGAGGTCCCGAAGTATGGAGGGAGGGACCAATACCACAACTTCGCAGACACAAGGACGAAGGACGGTAGTGTTTGTTGAGTATCGTGCGGCTGTAGGAGGCTGGCAACCAGGAGTGGTCTGGTTCTTGGGAGGTTATAAATCAGCAGGAGAATTATTTCAATCAGCATGTACGAAGCTACCCCACGGTGGGATGGATTCCGAAATGCGTCATGCCGGCCAGCATCACTAGCGCCCGCTCTGTTGTACTTTGGTACATGGGACCGCAGTGGAGCCCCTATCAGCTGTGCCCACCCAATCAGTGAACCCTGGACGATGCAAGAGTGAATCGTACCAGCTCGCCGGGATTTTGAAGGGAGGGAGTTCTGCACAGTGTTGCAACGCTGGGCAATGTCCTACACAATACAAGGACTGTTGGATGTGGCAACAGACACATTCTTGAAGGGAACATGGGTAACAGTTAGAAGCCAAGCGCTTCTGCTTTTATACTCTCTAATGTGATCCCAACTGTTTCTCTTGGCCATAACAAGACTACATGCTTCACCATGCTATTCGGTACATGTTGGCCACCCCGTGAGACCGTAATAAATATCTACATATATGTATATCCACATGCTACAATGGCTCGTGGGCTGAAGCCATCTGTCAGCCTAGGACAAGCAGATCTTGTATACCGCAACCCACCGGCAGAGATAGATCGAGGATGGCACAACTTTGCAAATTAAAACCGGGCGTGAAATAGATATGATCAGAGAGTGCTATAGAAGTCACACGGTGAGCTCATACATGTGTGTCTCTTACAAGCTGAGCACTGCCTTCAATATATACATATATCGATCGATTCGAAGTAGCCGACCCCCGCTTGGACGAGTTCCAAGGCTGGCCTCCAGTCTTGGGGGGGATCTGGGGATGGGGCTCGGGGGCACTTGGCCCTGGGCATTCCCGTCGGGTACCCCGCATGACAAGGAACATGCGACTGGTCCACTCTCCAAGCTGTCCACCAAGGTAAAGTACCTAGTCCTAGCCTACTACGTTCGTTGGGTACACATACGGCGAGCATATCGTATAGTCTACACAGTAGCTGTGGACCGACCTTTATTGCAGCCTGGGTTTGCAGTATCGGCAGGTACTGTGGAAGGGGAAGTTGACGTTGCAGGTGGGCTTGGCCCGGGGTGAAGGCGATCGAGGAGGGGATCATGGGACGATGGGCGGTACCTTGGGTAGGCCCGCTCCTGATTCCGTTCAGCCGTACGGCGTGAGATAAGCTAGGTAGAGGTCCCATTATGTATAGACGGCCAGCTCGTGCTTGACCCCTCATCTTGCTCACAAGCCCACGGACATCGTCTCCTCTCTCCTCTGTCTCTTGCTCAATAAGCGTTTACAGTTTCCCTGCCATCACCAGCGCACTTATGCACATACTGTGACACTGCACCTGCCGGGTCCCAGGACAGTCAGTAAGTCCGTCAGACAGAAATACAGACAGATGCCATGAGCCCCATGCCTGCGGACTGAGCTGTCTTCCCATGACCTGAAGCTGGCCGCTCCTCGGGCAATTCGGTACCAGCACAAGCACGTCAGCTTGCAGCCCCCGACCAACCAGCCAAGGCTCGGCCGTACTTGTTGCCTTGTTGCTGTGCCTTGCTGTGTGACTTGAAACTCGCCTTCTGGTCTTGCGATTTCTAACATTCGGTCCTCTGCTTCCTTTCCCAGCGGCCTGGACGCATTGCGTTTTCGGTATAGCTTGCCCCATCGACGTCACAAAGGCTGCGTCGAGTAGCCAACACCCCAGGCCACTCATCCTCCTTCATCATTCACGCCTTTCCACCCCGCTTCTGCTACAGCACTACGGTATGTTATTCGTGGGCTTTTTGCCTATAATCCATATCTACACATCCGTTGTTTGGCTTGCTGTTTGGGACTTGAGGGCAACTTGGGACTAACTTCCTCCAGTGTTGTCAGCCTAGCCGCATTTCATATACTATGGTATTGAGCAGAAGCCCCCCAAGATGTTGACCACTGCGTCTCAATTCGGCCCTCGAGCCAGGTCGCTGCGGACCAACCATACCACCGTAACTGCAAACGCCCATCGGGTGCTTGGTGCCTCCAGTGCCGCCGCCGCCCTACAACAGTGCCAGCAAACCCGGGACTTTCGGTTTGGCTCGTGGTTCTCGCACCTCGACTCGGAAGTCCAGGAGGAAGTTCGACGACGTCAGCAGGCCTTCAAGCACAAATATGCCGACCAGCTCAATCGACGCCTGGCATGGGACAAGCATCCACTTGCGGATGATGCCCGGCATGCCGTGAAGCGTATGATGGCTAGTTATTGGCTTTCCCATGATTCACGCCCATACGGCCGATCTGGCAACGATGCCGAGGCCAACAAACAACGTACACCGGACAACAAGGACGGCGTGCGTCCTGGCCAGAATATCGAGGATGTTGAGCGAGGGGCGATGGAACACCTGATATTCGGCAAAGACGAAGATGAGGTAGCCCGCTGTTCAAAGCCGAAGCGCAAGCGGGGTGGCAAAAAGCACTGGCAGGCTCCCGTGCCTCACACTTCCTATGGCACCCTAGAGCAGGACGATTTTGTCATTGACCCCGTCACGAACCGAAAGGTTGCGAAGTATCCAGGCCAGACAAGTCCCACGGGCTCTGTGGAAATCCCTGTCAAGACATTCAGGGACTACAGAATGCGCTTCACTTCAAGCTACGGTGTTTTCAACAATGCGCGTTCAGCCGAAGGATCCCCCAAATATACATATAGCCAGGTTGAAATCGATACTAACCCAGAAGACACTGATGCAACCCGCGATCCTTCAGGGAAACCAAACCCCAAATCATACGGCGATGTGTATGTGCAGAACCATGCACATGCCAATGGCGATTCTAGATATTCTGAGGTGGCCAGTTCTGGGCCCTGGGTCAGTGACAAGTCGTCAGTGCCGGAGTACGAGGGTTCGCACAACCACAAGCCAGTAACGGGCGATGATCAGGGCTCGTCTGCGCGACCAGACAAATCGTACAATGACCTCGATAAGTACAGGCCAGTAATCGAAAAGGAAACTGTCCGGTTTGAGGACTTGAAACCTCCGTATGAAGACCTCGACAAGTATAATTCGGCGGTGGTTGACGAAATTGTCGCTCGTTTTGAGAGCGACAAGGCTCCATACTCGGATCTACACAAATACGACCCTGTTCGTGATCCAGCGGCCCCGTCAAGAGAGGAGGCCGAACCAAAGTACAACGATCTTGAAAAGTATAGGACAGACTTCCTAGATGATGTCACTCCCAAGCAACCAGAAAACCCTCCAGCATACGAGGACCTGAATGCTCACCAGTCTTTCAAGCACAACGAGACGCACGGGAAACCTATGGGCCACCAAGTTCAATCGGTCAACCCCGAGCTTCAAATGGAACCCCAATCAACTGTTGAAGATTTGCAACCCGGCGACTTCCCCCAATCCACAGTTGAGCAGCTGCGCGAGAAGTATGGAGCAGCCGAGCTGAGAAAATACACAGCTGTGAGACATCTTGAGCCGGATGGGAATTCCGGCCTCACGGCAGAAGAGCTTAGCAAGAAGTACGCTGATTTGGACAAGTACGGTCCGGTAAGATGGAACGAGCCTGATGGAAACCCTCTATCATCCGCGGACGAGCGAGTTGCAGAGGAGTTGACCAAGAACTACGACCCCGAAGAGGTGGCCAAGTACGAACCCGTGTACCATAATGAACCAGATGGAAAACCCCTTCCAGACGCTGACGAACGAGTCGCCGAAGACCTCACAAAGAGGTATAATTCTGAAGAGCTTGCTCAGTATACTCCGGTCTACTGGAACGAGCCTGACGGACAACCAGTTGCGGCCGCAGATCCGCGGATTGCGGAAGGTCTCACCAAAGATTACGACCCTGCCGAGCTCTCAGAGTACAAACCAGTATATTGGAACGAGCCCGATGGGCAGCCTCTACCTTCTACGGATGAGCGGGTTGCTGAAGGACTTACCAAGAAATACGATTCGGCAGAGCTTGAAGACTACAAAGAACCTGTGGAATGGAACGAGCCTGACGGGCAACCCACGCCACCTGCGGATGGGCCGAGTAAGAAATATACTGAGTTGGATGAATACGGAACTATCAATTACCAAGAGCCAGATGTCTATCCAGCAGGACAGGCAGGTTCTGTTATAGAAGGTCTGGAGGAAATGGATGCGCGGAGAGACTACGAAAGTGCCGAGCGCTTAGCCCCCAAAGAGCTGGACACGGCTGACGAGCCCAGCGCTGAGGTTCTGAGAAAGATGGGAAAGGGCCACGAATTCGAAGAGTCCAAAGAGTCCCAAGAGACCGAACGCCGCCAGAGGTTGGAAATGCTGTTGAGACTATATCAGACAGCATCGGATGCAACTGATAGAGAGGCAAGTCAGGCTGTCAAGTCTGCAAAAGCCAGAGCCGCGGAGGCCGAGCCTGAGCAGCATGAAGCCTCAACGCCCTCAGAACGCCAATTGACCGGCAACTATGTCCGGGACTTCCCTGAGGAGTTCGAGAAGTCCTGGACGGAAACACTTTCCACCGCACCGTCCGAGACGGTTCAGCCGAATGATGTTTTTATGTATGAGAGCCAGAACATGGACGGCGGACTCGAAGGAGCTTTTGGACGCCCTTCACCGGCTAAGATCCAGCCTGCCCTCGACCGGCATTTGGGTGATGAGGCGCACATGAAAACATCAAACAAGGAGCTCAGGAATGAAGAGAGCCACTCTGAGGCCGTTCAAGACCCAGAGTCAACACCACCGGCTTATGTCAAGCAATATGAGGCCGCGCCCTCGTCTGCCGAGAGGGCGGCCGAGACTGCCGCCCTGGATACCATCAACCATGATTCTATGGGTGAGCCCACTCTGTACAAGATTCTGGCGTATGATCCGACCATGCAGAAGATTGAGGTTGCCGAGACTTCTTCATTTGTTCCTGACACAGCGTCCGCCTTAACGCCTGCCGATGCTCTTCTTCGTCTGTCACATCCGACAAGATTCTTTCCCCATTTCGCGCCTCTAAAGGCGGAAGGCTACGAAATCATCTCTGGAACAGGTGATGTGCTCGTGTTTCGCAAGGTCCGACCAGAGACCGTCAAGCCGACCGAGCTGGATGCGGCACATAATGAGCCGGCTTTCGCAACAGCAGAACCCGGAATGGCCGAGACTCGTATAAATCCTATCGATATGACCGGAAAGCCGAGGTTTTCCCCTGCCAGTGCCAACTTTGCTTCACCGACAGGTTATGTGAACTACGACAACATTCCGGAGACGACAGCAAGCAAATTGCCGCCCCCTCCTCCGAAAATCAAGTATAACATCGACGTTCATCGTGAGGAGCCCGTCTTCAGTGGGCCGAAGGCAAGGGGCTCTGACGGCCAAACAGGCAAGAAAAAGAGTCTAGGCAAGAGACTGGTGGTGGGTGGTGTTTGGGTTGCCGGCATCAGTTATGCGCTGGGCGTTATTGCCGAGTTCTTCACCACAGGAGGTGTGGATGGTATGGGCGCACAGGGGCTCTAGGATGCCTCTCAGATGGCACTACTCGTACACACGGTCTGGATTATCCTGTACGTCTTGTCGGTCTGGGGGTCGAGGATTAGTGCTCTATTATGTTGAAGGACAGGCAGCGGTGTGGCTGCTAAATGGCGAGCCAAAGACAACTTATTTTGACGAGGAAACGACCAGTGTACGAGATGTATTAGGACTACGGACACTTCACTCATGATCATTCGGAGTCCAGGTTTTTGGAGGCGTTTAGGAGGACAGGCAGGATTTGGCAGATACTCCCAATACATCAACACTCTCCTTTGAAGTCGTCTCATAACTGATGTGATAATGCTTTTGTCAACGATGCCAATCTTCCCGGACTACCTTTGACACTCGAATGCTAGTTCCCATACTGAATATTTTGGCAGGACAAGCCGCGATGAATTTCACGCAACAAAATATACCAAGCTTCCCAAATCAACTTTTGTGCGCCCGGCTCCCGCAAGCAAACTGTTTGAAGCCACGATTTCTGAACACATGCGACATGCAACTCACAAAGGGAAATACATGCAAGGTCCCCTCATTCACACTAGAAGCTCCTATCCCAAAGTCCCAATGCTCCCAAGCCCTAGCCCTACCTTAGTCCTTCTCCAGGATTCCGCTGGCGGACATCATCTGGTGCTTGTACTCCTCGTGGTCGAAGCTCACGGTGCGCTGGAGCTCGGGCTTCCAGTCCGAGGTGCGGCGGCGGGCCTCCTCGGCGGTGCGCTCGGTGGTGGGCGAGGCCGGGGCCGTCAGGCGGGCGGCGAGCTCTGCGTCCAGCCCGCCGAAGGAGGAGGTGTCTGTGTTGATTTTGGTTTGTTGCTTGGTGGCAGCCATTGTTGTAGGAGGGTGAGGTGGGTATATCTCGTTATACTCTTCCCCAGAACGAAGAAAGTCTTGTGATGGCCTGAGTGAGAAGCTTAGCTGTTGGTGAGCTCAGGCGGGGGAATATTTCTCAATATTGTGAGAGAGGTTGATAGTCTAAAGCTCTGGTCGTTTGAAGAAGGTTGGTTATAGGATAAGGATCTGTTCCTATAATTGAAACTGGGGAGAAGACGCCAGATAAAGAAGAAGATCGGGGCAGGAGCCGCAATGGGATGATCACGACCTCATAGGCACGGTATTAGTGACCCCCTCTCCGGGTGAGGTCGCCACCACAGATGGCCATCCCTTCCCAATGGTCCCTTGGTGCAGCATAAGTGGAAGCTCTTGTTCCCCGTCGCAGACGCGCCATTGGCCAATGCAGGTCGTACGCTGCGGGGTAGCTCTTGCTATCGACGGCAGCTTGACATTGACGTGACGCCAGTGAGCTGATCCGCGCCGCAGCCGCAGTCAGCCTTTACCTAGCGAGCCTAGGTGCTTCTAGACCACAGATGCCCGAGCTCCGCTAAGATGACAATCTCGTGATTCAGGCATATCTGGCTCGGCAATTTGTACGAGTGGATTTGCCATCTAAGACGAGTTGCATAATGCCTTACTCTGATGACTGCTTGACGACAGCCACCACACAAAGTCATAGGCTGTCTTCGCACAGTCTTTTACACCTACCTTTTCTGTCTGTCTCGTGAGATATCAACTGGGACTGGAGCCACTAGAAGATGTAGTCATTGAGTTATGAAATGCATGAACATATCCCAAGCTCCAGCTTCGATGGATACGAGCCGGGGTCTCTTCCAGTTAAGGTAGGCAGCAGTTCTAGATATTTCCTGAGTAGCCTACCCAATATCCTCCAAATCATACCCCCTGAGACGGGTCCTTGGCGATCCTCACATCATCGCCAGCCCAAACACGCCCTTCTCGCTCCGCTCGAATCCTCAATTTCCGCACCCGCAGGACATCCGCTTCTGAAACACGCGTCAGATACCACACCCACGCATTCGATACGACTACTACTACCACGCACGCCGAGCACACGATAAAAGACTTCTTATACCCATCTCCTACCCATCTCGATGGGAACACCTGCGGGGCAATGACGCCCCCGACCTGGGCGACAGACGTCTGCAGCGCGAGTGTGAAGGCCGTGCCGGTAGCCCCCGTCAGAGTCGCACTCCGCCAGGCCCAGAAGGGGACGAAATAGGTGAAGTAGAAGGCCGTGCCGAGCACGCATGCCGCATAGGTTGCGCTGCGGCTTACGGGCAGACAGAGCACGATGAAGAACGCCAGTGTACCCGCGGTCAGAAGCTGGATGAAAAGCGGCCGGACGATAATAGCACGGCGGAGGAAGTAAGCCGCCCCAATTATGCCCAAGACTGTGACAGCGGCGGGTGGGATGTTGAGGAGCTGGTTGCGAGGGAGGCCGGCGAAGCCCAGAGACGTCGTTATGGTGGGAAGCTGCCAGGAAAGGCCATACCCCGCGATATTGAGCAGGAACTGGGACAGCGTGAACCCGACTATCTTGGGGTCCTTGATGGATGTGAGGATCTCTTCTTTGGAGAAGACGGGGTCGTGTGTCCGGGGGGCATTGCTCGGCAAGCGAAGCTCGATGTACTCTTGCTCCTCGGGCGTGAGCCAGGACGAGGAGCGAAGCGACTTCGGGTAGTCTGGGAGGACAAGGTAAATAATCCCCGAAAAAAGAATCGTCGCCAAACCCTCAAGGAGAAAGACCCTATGATTCAAGACATTCAGCAATGTTGAGTAGCGAAAGAGACAGGAGGAGCGGGTTTCCTACCACCGCCATGCGCTCAGCCCACCGAAGCCATCCATATACGATATTCCATACGTGAGCAGCGATCCGATGATACCTGAGCAGTTCTGGAAGGCGAACATCCACATAATAGGCCGGCCGTACTCGTCACTCCTGTACCAGCTGCACATTTGGGCCGCCAGGCCAGGAAAGAAGCCCGCCTCCATCATGCCAAGAAGGAAGCGGAGAGCATAGAATCCCTCTTTGTTCTGAATCGCGGCATGGCAAGCCACTACAATTCCCCACGACAGGAAAATGCGTGTCTGCCATTTTCGGGGGGTTACCTTTTTGAGAACGAGGTTGCTTGGGACCTCGAAGATCACGTAGCTGATCTGAAAGACTCAGTATTAGTACTCTGCTGATTACAAAACAAGGGGAAACAGAGTGTAATGGTGGGCTGGGCTTAGCCAAGGGGCGTACAAAGTAAACAGTCTGGATCCAATTGTACTGATCCGCTGACATGCCCAGCTCTTTCAGCACATTACTTGGCTGTCCGACTTGTAATACCTTGATCGACGCGGCGTTGGTATAATCGACCTGCTTCACGAGGTACATAAAGCCCATCAAAGGCAAGAAGCGCAGGTCCACCTTGCGCATGATTCGGCGGTCGTCTTCGGCTGTGAAGCCGGAGAGGAAGTTCCGCCGATATGTTTCGCGGCTGCCATCATCCGCTTCGCTTTGGGGCTCGACGATCTCAGTTCCAGCGACTCCTCCGCTTTTGAAGATATGCAGGGACGGGTCTGCGTCCACGTCGGTTGGGGTTTCAAAGGCCATCTCGATGTACTCTGTCGTATCTGTACTCTTTTGCGGCTTGGTTGCACTCCTTTCTTAACATTAGGGACTGCGTCGTACCTGACTGAAGTATCTGTATCCCAAAATCTCTTTGGAGAGATATCAAATCTATTTCGATCACATCAGCAAGGTCGCATGCATATACCTGACAGGTGAGGTCTTATACAGTTGACTTGCAACACAATTGACAGACAGGTGCTAGGTGAGCTGCGCTTCCGGGAGAGTATCCACTTTACTATATCGTGATCCCATTGCAAAATCACGAAGATGGGAACAAGCCGGAGAAGACCTGACAAGAAGGCAGTAAGGTAGGTGACCTCCGCAAGCGGACCGCAGGTAAAATTCAGTGAGCGGGCCGCATTGTTGGAGATCATGCTGCTTCTTGACTTACAGTAAGTGCAGTCTAGGAGTGGAGTTCAAGAGCTCCCCAACCATTATACGCATCCAATGGACCCGAAATGCTTCAAAAGTCTTGCCTTGATGAGCTCGCACGCTATCAACCCTGCAGGTGAGCTCATTTCACTGCGAGCCGACACCCACAGCCGAGTTCGCAAGGGTGCCCACAACACAAAGCATTACAATATCTTACCTAGATTAAATTGTATTGCATGCCATCCGATGTGTAGCTCGCCAGCGAGCGACAAAACTCGCATCGTGAGACACCAAGATGGCCACCCCAGACACACCATCTCAGCCCGACAGGCGGCGCATCTTCCTCAATGCCTTTGACATGTTCACCGTTGGCCATATGTCCTACGGGCAGTGGCGCAACCCGAAGGACAAGTCGGCTACGAAGCGCCGCGACCTGTCGTACTGGACCGACCTCGCCCGGCTGCTTGAGCGCGGCGACTTCAACGCCCTCTTCCTGGCCGACACGTACGGCTGGTTCGACGTCTTCCGGGGCGATGCTGAGGCGTGCGTGCGCACGGGGACACAGTTCCCCATGGGTGACCCTGCCGTCCCCGTGGCTGCTATGGCGGCGGTCACGAAGAACCTGGGGTTTGCCATCACGAGCTCGACTTCCTTTGACGCGCCTTATGTGCTGGCCAAGCGCTTCTCGACGCTCGACCATTTGACCCGGGGGCGGTTTGGGTGGAACGTCGTCACTTCCTGGAAGGCTTCTGGGTTCAAGGCTGTACGTTGATTTTGTGCGTCTTGAACGATGTGAGTCGAACTGAGATTAGTACAGATTGGTATTGAACCAATTCCTCATGACAAGCGATATGAAATTGCAGACGAGTATCTTCGGGTGCTTTACAAGTACGTCAGTCATTCTCGCTGTTCTCACTGTTGGAAAATCCTCAATGTACGCTAGAGAAGCCGTGGCTTCAAATTATTTCTTGACTACGCTGCAGCTGAACTCTTGTCAGTAAGTCTGGAAGTGCGCATTTACTAATTCATCCTCGTAAAGGTTGTGGGAAGGGTCATGGGCAAATGATGCCTTGGTCGAAGATAGAGACAAAGAGATCTATGCAGACTACCAAAAAATACGCACTATACATCACAAGGGTGAGCACTTCACTATCGAGGCGCCGCATATCCTCGATCCCAGCCCACAGCGAACACCCTTCATCTTCCAGGCCGGTACTTCACCGTAAGCTCGTCCTTCAATCCAACATGCCTGCATTCTAGGCCTCCCTGTATTTTGCTACGGGACAAAAATGTTGACCTGAATTCTTTCCCTACCCATAGCGCTGGAATTCAGTTCGGCGCAACGCATGCAGAGGGTATCTTCGTTGTCGGCCTGACGCCAGACATCGTCGCTTCACGCGTTAAAGCCATACGTGCCAAGGCGGCCGAGATGGGTCGCGACCCAGGCTCCATCAAGGTCTTCGCCTCGATTACACCCGTCCTCGGTCGCACGCGCGAGGAGGCCGAGGCCAAGTACCAGGAGGCCCTTCGGTACACTAGCGAGGAGGGTGCGATGGCATATTGGTGCGGGAACAGCGGCATTGATCTGAGTAAGTTCGACCCTGACAAGGTAATCACGGAGCAGACTCCGGGAGAAGGCGACAATGTGGCGGATGTAAGAATCCAGTCGCTGGTGGCCAACCTGGCTTACAGGGGCGAAGGGGTTCCTGAGTGGACGCCGCGGAATATTGCCAAGGCCGTTGCGCTAGGCGCGTCGGGTCCGGTGCCTGTGGGCACGGCGGAGGATGTTGCCGACGAGATGGAGAGGTGGATTGAGGTCGCGGACGTTGATGGCTTTAATGTCGGACACATCACCACGCCGGGGACATGGGAAGACGTGGTCGAGCTGTTGGTGCCTGAGCTGAGGAGGAGGGGAAGATATGCACCTCAAGGCGAGTCGGGTACAATGAGAGAAAGGATTTATGGTCCTGGCCAGTCGGCCTTGAGAAGTGATCATCCGGGGTCCAGATATAAATATGACGTGTACAGAGAGTAATTACTATCACTATTGCAGAAAGAACCAGGGCCGTGGCTATGTTTCAGTACGCCTGGGATCAGATCATTTCATGAATGGGAAGTCAACGATAAGTTTTCCATTCTTTTTGTCGCGCTTTTGTCTATCAAGATGAGTCTTGAGTGTATGCGCACGCCATCAGTATGCGCGCATCGAATCGCACTTTAATTTTCGGATACCCAAGCCCAACGTTGTGCACGGTCTCACTTGACCTATGATTGCTGATCCTTTATGCCCAAATTGTAACCTCTGCAGTAGTTCCAAAAATGTCTCCTCCAACCATCTTCAAAACCCATACTGCTGGCAAGGAGCTGGGCATAGGCTACTCCATGGTGTACGCTGTCTGAAACTCAGTCCCTGGAAGACTAGTTTCGGACTCAAACACCAGGCAGTGAACGTCGTCAACACCAAACTCCTCGAAAACCCGCCGGTAAGCTCCGGCCAAGCGGCAGCCTTCCTCCCAGGTCACCACGCCATGGTTGCTGAAAGTGACAATCCAGTAGATGGGGAGTTTCTCCTCCGGGACGTTGGCAGGTCCGAGCCGCCGTACTTGGTCGTTCGTCGTAACTTCCGGGTAGATCAAGCCCCTCGCCTGAATCATTCTGGCAGCGAAGAGGGATGAGCCTTCGCCGATGTTTTCCCGAAGGTAGGCGATGTTGTGCTCAGTCCGGGAAATGTCAATCATTTTCTTGGGGCCAAGGCTGATGTGTGGCTCCTGCAGATCGTTCTCGACCAGGAGCTGGATCAATTCATGATCCGAGGTGCCGCAAAGTGTGCTGTATGTGGAGTAGGCGATGGTCGTGGCGTAGCGTCTGAGTGTCTCCTCACTCGGGGTCGGAGAATCAGAATCATGATCTTGGTCTATGGAAGGAGCGACGCCGCGCAACAGATTTTGGTCGCGTTCGGAGGACGAATCGTTGCTTTCCTGACTCATTGACGTCTCATGAACTGCAGCAAGGTTGTTCTGGAATGTTTTTGGGAAACTGAGAATGCGAAGGTCCCTAATTTCTGCTCGTGCGTCTGCGAGCTCGTCACGCAGGCCGTCAATCTTCTGCTGATAGTGTCGCCTAATAGGAGCTTCAATGCTGGCTTTGAAATCTTGAAACAGCTGTTGCTGCTGCGCGTGGGCGGACATTCTGTCGCATTACTTCACAGACCTCGGTCTCGATGTGGAGTGGCAACAGAAAACTGGACTGAATTGCTTTGCAGTTGGTGTGGATGTCTTGTAGTGTTCGATTCCAAGGGACATACAGTCTGAAATGTCCCACTCTTGTAGACTGATGATGAGAGAGGATGGCCAGGAGGGAGCAAAAGGAATCCAGGGGACAATCGCTTGCTCATGAAGACACTTTCAGGAAGGGACAGTCTACTGTAAGGTCCTGGAGACAGTTTCTTTTGTGCTGCATGTAGCCCGCCCCTTATGAGTGTCCAGTGGCCATTTCAAGGCGCATCCGGGAGCTCTGCAGCTCGTAGAAGTCCCAACCGACTGGGTAGGTACGACCTAACCAGTACACACAACGCAGCTTCTTGTATAAAGTCTCATATGGGATAAGTTCCTACAGGACAAAATGTCACGGGATAATCGCTTATTGGATAAAGTCCTGCCGTATCATCAACTGCTAGATGACCTCCAGGGTGCTCTGCAGGATGATATCCCGGTAAGTGATTTCGTTCGCTCTCTATTTACTTCCAACGCTGAGTGCCTTCAATGGGATCCTTATGTGCTGGACAGATCCAAAATCAGCCTGTCATTCACGTGTACCCATGTGACATTGCTGTTTCCAACCCCTACTGACATAGCAAGAGGGATAAACCAGCCAATGCTAAAATGACACTTGCACTAGCTCGTGTAGCTGAACAGAGAACAGACCGCTTGTGAATGGCAAGTATCAGATCAGAGATATCTTGACTGACAGAATGTCAAAAATGGCTGTCACCCATCGATTTCGGACACGTAGGCATATCAGAAGCGCACGCGTCTGGGGAGTATAACGCGGATCCTGACAGACCTTGACCTATCGACCTTGACCTGAGTAATGTCGAGCGCACAGATAGACATGCACTTATGCAGTGATAACCACTCTTATTCACGATCATGTATTCCGAGACACAATACAACAGCTTGTAAAGAAGTTGGAAAAGTGAAGTCGGATTGCCGAAATTGGCAGGCTCCGAGCTCGGGTGAAGTGGGCCGGCAGCCGGTCCGGAGCCGAGACGCGTCTGACAGGGATCCGCTCCGGACGACCCCCGGAGTCAGCCGATGCAACGTCACGAGCAAAGGCTTGCCAGACTCACCGAGTGATTTCTTGGTTGGAATGTCTATGAGCTCATAGTCCTGCAGTTCATTATGTGCTCTTGAGGAGATTAATACAAAGCCAGGTGTCGGAATGGAGAGGGTGTGACGTAAAGGGAGAGAAATGAGAAACGACAAACGAGAAAACGCAGGACAGAGAAAGCGCGACGGGCAGGGGTTGGCGTGAGAGGCGGCAGCCACCGCTCTGGTGAGGTAGTGCTTAGGCATCTTCCAAGATGAAGAGTACATTGGTAGATGGGTGGAAGAGCAAGCACCCTCCTAGAGCTGTTGACTGCTCTGTGGCCTTGACGCATGAAGTCGGACTATAATGATAGGCGGTGCTTGTCTCTCTGGCTGCGCGTGGGATGAAACATTGATGAGGTTCCAGAAGGGTGGAATCGTGACAGCCCAGTCAGCCTAGGTCAAGTAATAAAAGTAAGATCGGGCAGGCTCACGACCCTGGAATGGGTGACATTCGGGTGCCGCGTTGCGCTGTACTGTGCTATGCTGCTGCAGGCTGAGACTGCGTGCACCTGGGCGGGCTGGCCAACTGGGCGGCACCTGGGTACTGCAGGTGTGGTGACTCGGGCCACTAAGACGTGGGACCCCGTCAATCACGGCCAGCTCATTGCTCACACACGCCTGAGCTAGTCTGGCTGCCAGCCAAAAACGCGGTTGTAAGCCGACCATGCACAGCGCGTCGAACAAGAAAATTGGACGTTCCAAGGTTGCAGGGAGACACGACCGATCCAATCCCCAGGTACCTAAGTAGATATGCATGCAGGCTACTCAATCTGATCTAAATGGCCAACAGCTGCTTGCCTGGCCGCCTTCACTGAGGCCATGAAACATTTGTCTTTGCAGTCAATCGATCAATCAATCAACCTGCACTTCGAGAATCTGCCGTTTGACATTCTGAGAAGCTCTGAACTCCGTTCTACCTCACTTCACCTCACCTAGCTCCTCCTGTCTCTCCTCTCCATTTGCCTCTATTTTACTCATCAACAGACAGACTTTCAACAAAGTGAGAGGTGCCCGCTGCTGAGCTCTGAGCTTTGAGCTCTGACACGGGTTCTGGTGGAGACGGAGCGTCGGTCTGACGGACCCTGGAACGCGGTGCCGTCCTCCACTCCGTACTGTACGCGACTTGACCTGGGACCGCGACTTGGGCTCTTGCAAAAAAAGGACCCCCAGCCCAGCCCTTTTCCTCCCTCTTGGATCCCTTTCTCCCTTTTCCATTTCCTCGGGTCTGGGTCGAGTTTGCCTGCAGGGAAACGTCCATTCATTGATCTCATACATCCACACGCATACACGTACACACATCCATTGTGCACGCAATTGCTATGCGCGTCTAAATCCCACATCATGGACTCGTCGCCCCGCACAAAGGCACACGACCGCCCTGCCTCTGCCTCTGGGGATCCCGACACGTCCACCACCAAGAGACCCTCCTCCCAGTCCCAGCTCCTGCCGCCCCTCGAGCTGCTGTCGTCGTCGCCAGGACTGCCGGGACTGCCCAATGTCCCTTCAAGACGCCAGAGCCGCCCTCTTTCGGCCCCAAAGGCCCCATCTGGTGCCAGCAACAATGACTACCTGAAGTATCCCACCCCTGTGCCCACATCCAGCACCGGCATCTTGTCCTCGTCTCCCCCACGCGTCCACCCTCAGCCACGGCTCCAACGCGCACCCAGCACCGTGTCTGAACGTGCCCCTCTGTCTGCTGTGCCCTCCGTCGAGCTCAACGAGAACGGTGACACCCTCCGCATGGGCAGGTCTAGCAATTCGTCCGATTATCAGCTCTCCGCCAACCGCCTCATCAGTCGCGTCCACGTCAAGGCCAGATATGTCCCCGCTACCGTCCCTCTGCAGCCCAACAAGATCGAGATCGAATGCAATGGCTGGAACGGCCTCAAGCTGCATTGCCAGGGCAGGACCTATGAGATGCACAAGGGTGAGGTGCTCTCCTTCGAGACCGAGGGCGTCGAGATCATGCTCAACGTCCAGGATGCACGCGTCCTGTTGCATTGGCCTAAGAGGGATGCGAGGGACGGGCTTGCGGATCTGGGCTGGGAGGACTCACCTCCGCGCTCGGTACGGAATGGAGCACCTCAGCTAGGAGGTGGTAGTCCACGCCTCGGAAGTGGTGCTGGTCTTGGCTTGCTGCAGTCTAGTCCCCTGCACAGGACGACGCGTATCACGTCCCCGGAGTCGCCCACTCCTGCACACACGTCTTTGCAGCACATCATGTCTGATGGGGTTCCTAGCAACTCGCAGCACAGCAGCATCCTGTCGGACTTGCCCAGCATCAGCGACAGAGAAAAGAGCGTCGAGATATATGAAGATGAGGATGCGGGAGAGCAGGACATGTCCGCAAAGGCTGGATCGATTGGTGACCAGAGTTTCATGACCGACGTCAACAACAGCTTCTCCAGCGACTTGAGCGACGTCAACTCGGACGAAGAGGATGAGAACTATCCTAACGAGGAGAATGATCCCATTGTCCACTCTTTCGGTCCCTTTGGTGCCAACCTCAACAGCCGTATGGCGATGACTTCCTTCCACGTCGACTCGCCTAAGCGCCGTCGACTTGGATCTGGCGGCTTTGCATCGCCCCGAGTCAATGGCACCCGTAGAGGGTCGTCGGGTCCAGACGCGTCTAATCCACTTTTATCTGGCAAGTCCGCATCAACATCTCGAGAAGCGAGTATCGGCCATAAAGCGTCGCACACGCCTACGCCGGATAGTAACGGGCACGAGGCGCTCATGCATGCAGAGAAAGACAAGGAGACTCAACCTGATATAAGCCACCTCGACGTTGCGACCATCACCAACCATGTTGTCAACCAGCTAGCCTTCTCACGACTGTCATCCACGCCTCTATCCACCATCATGGCGAATCTCCCTGCCGAAGAGAAGAAAGACCTGCTCCGTCACCACTTGAAGTTCATCGTCGAGACTGCTACTTGTATCGGTACTATTGAGCGCGAGGGCAAGGATGCCGACGGCAAGCCGCTGGAGAGTCAGTACTACTACATCCCCGAAAAGGATGATGATGAGCACAGGCGAGCGGCGGTGGTGGACGGGTTGAGGAAGCCCACGCTGAGGAATTGCCGGAAACACCATGTGGTATGCACCTCTGTCCCTTTGACCTTGGCTTCTGCGACCGGCTTTGTGCTACCTTGTGCTGCATTGATGCTCATAGATCGACCTATAACCCATCCCAATATCACATCAGCCTCTCATCAGAACGAACAAGCGTCACTAACATTCATCTCATAGCAATATTACTGGAAGAGACCACGGACACCATGAAACGGTCAACATGGCGAGTGCCCATTCCTGTTCATATGCACGGCATCACAAGGGTCCTTGTCGCTGCTGTCAACACACTATGACATTCCTTGCTTGTCTCACTGTCTGGTCCAGCTGAACGATCTCAACACCAGGCCCAGGTCTACCTTTATCCTGTCTTCGGATGCTTGGCTCGCATAGCCGGCTCCTTGTCAACGAAAGAGGTTGGCGCGGTCTAGTGGGAACAAGACTATATTCTTATCCCCTCCCCGGCCCCCATCGTACCGCCTAATGCCCCCTTTACGCCAACATTGTCACGCTCCCATTATGACATGAACTGATATGTACATCACTGCCGGACTTCCTGCTTGACTAACTACCACCTCTGCACATACACATTTTTCACTTCTTGCATAGCGGGAAGGAGTTTTCGTTGAGAGAGTGGGGTGGCGCCGGTGATTCTCTCTTAAACTTCCTCTTTTCACCCGTCAGTCTCACACATACACACATACACCCCTAGTCACACTGTTTACCCATTTTCATCGTCAGTCACAAAGAAAGTCTAGAGGAGTGGAGGTATAAAAAGGAAAGGGATATTGGCTGTGTTCATCCTTTTTCACGGCTGGTCTTTAACGAATTTGATATTATACCAATGCGTATGATGAAGAAAATTGGAGACGGGGGAGCTGACGGCGGAAAACGAACACACCTGTGGAATGCCGTTTCATGGGGATGGAGTCGTTGTATTGTAGGGGTCCCTCGTTCTTGGTAGTTGGCGAATGGATGGTTGTTGCTGCTGCAGTTGGCATGTCTCAAGAGGTTTCTGCGTTTCCCTGCTTCCGTGCTTCTAACTTGTTTTGCCCTCTCGACGTTGACCTTGCCTTACTCGTCATCTTCTTCCCATGCGTTTAGGCAACAGAATGATGGTACATATCACTGCCGAAGATGGTTCCGACAAGCATGACCAGCACGCCATATAGTCAACACCGGAGCCTCCATGTCTGCGGTTCGAATCTCAAACCATATCAGGCACTTTTGCCTCTACCTCAGACAGACACAACGTATCGGATACAGCAAGGCACATGGTGACGAAAGTCGAGTTGACTACACAAGTATTATTTCTATGCTCTGCTCACAAACCCATAGCCAGTCTACAATCCCCAAGTCTTGATCCAGCCCACCATGTTCTTCTGCGTTATGGGACCCAAGCTAGCCGCTGTGGCACTGTCGCGAACCAGCTCGTCGGTGGCGAAGTTCATGCTAGCTTCAGTGGACAGGAACCCCTTATAGAAGTCCGCCAGCTTCGCACCAGGGTTCTTGTCCAGGACATGGGCACTCGTGTCCTTTGTCTTGTCCAAACGGTCCAGCCACTCCTCAAGTGGCACAACCTCGGACGTAAGGGTTCTCACCGCAGGGAGCAACTCTTTCTCCCACGTAGTGACCTGCGGGTTCACCACGTTATAAACTGAGGTGACCTCGGCCTCGGACCTGTGCTTCTCGACGGCGTCGACGAGGTCGCTCGTGATCTTGGCCAGCTCGTCAACGGGAATCCAGTCTACCTTCTGGCCGATGGTCGCGGGCGCCGCGCCGAGGAACTTGGAGCTGACGACGACGGACGGCAGCCACTCCCAGATGTTCCACGCGCCGCCGCCTGCCAGCGGGCCTGCCACCTGGCCCACGCGCAGCACGGCGGCGGCCGACGACAGGCCGGCCTTTGCGCACGAGACGGTGAACTGGTGCGTCATTCGCTCACACACAAACTTGGCCGAGCCGTAGCCCTCGAGCGCGAGGTCCTTCGCCTCGTCGCGGTCGAAGATGATCTCCGGCACCGGGTTCCTGGGGTTCGTCCTGCGCACCGAGGCGCCGATGCTGGAGATGAAGAGGAAGGACGGGTGTCTCTTGCCGTTGAGGACGACCTCGAGGAGGTTGAGCGTGCCGACGAACTGGGGCTCGAACTGCGCCACCGTCATGAGGAAGTTGACGGGGAAGGCGTTGTGGATGATGGAGGTCGTCTCGCGGATGAGGAGCGCGTACTCGTCTTCGCTGAGGCCGAGCTTGGGCGCCGCGACGTCCATCCTCATGAACACCACCCGGCCCTGGTCGATGGCGGGCTGCAGGGCCGGCAGGCCCCTGGAGGCCAGCGCCTTGATCTGTCTCTCCTTGGCGTCGGCGGCGCGGTTAAGGCAGATCACCTTATTAACATCCGGCCTGGCGAGTAGCGTCGCGAGGAGGTAGCTCCCCAGAGAGCCCGTCGTGCCCGTCACTGCGATGACCTGCCCTGGGGCGTGGCCGTTGGTGTATCCGTTCAGTCCGTTCAGCTGCACTCTTTTCTCGACGAGCTTTTGCACCTCAGCCTCGTACTTGTCCAGCATCTCCACCGCCTCGTTGGCGCCTTCCACGTTGCCGTTGCCGTTCGTCTCGGAGAGCATGTTTGACAGGATGTTTGCCATCTTCCGAGGCGTGGGAGCGGTGTACATCAGTCGAATGCCGATTTGGCCCAGCTTGTGCTCAGGCGTGCCGAAAGCTCTCAGGGCTGCCTTCAGCCGTGACGATAGCGACGCTACCGCGAACGAGTCCATGCCGAATGAGAAGGCGTCGTCATCTTCCCGGAGCTCTTCGTGCTCCAGGGTCTGGGCGTACAGTTCCCTGAGGAATGGAGTTAGGTCCTCGGCGGAGGTAGACTTCAGAGGGGGCAGGCCGCTCGTCAGTAGGCCTTGCTCAGACTGGCTGTACAGGTCTTCAATCTCCTTCTGGTAATATGATACAGTCAGTCGTCTCTGAATACTTCCCTTGGGCGACCTTGAGAAAGGCTTGTCCTTGCTGGCGAAGAGGACGAGCTCCTTGGGCACACGGCCAAACTTGGGCGCCTGGTGGTTCGCCTCGTCGATCGTAGGCCACAGCTTGGCCAGAACTGCTTCCCTCCACCTCGACTCGGCCTCCGCGGACTCGAATGGCTGTTCTGGGTAGCATCTCTCATCCAGCTCGATTAGCAGGCAGAGCCTGAACCGACGCTCTCCTGCGAGCATTACTGCGCTGACATCGGGATGCCCGCCGATCTTATCCTCCATGTTCTTGGGGTCGAACTTCAGGCCGTTGCTCATAGCGATCCAGTTATCAGCACGTCCCCTGTAGACCCACCACCCCGAGTCGTCGACAGGTGAAAACAGGTCCTTGGTTCTGTATTCCTTCAGCTCCGGGTAGCTGTGGAAGATCATGTGTGTCTTCTCGATCAGCTCCGTCCGAGGGTACACCAGCTCGTACAGGCCGGGCTCGGTCTCTTCCATCCGCTGGCCCATCTCGATGAACTTGAAAGCGTTCCAGTACTTGTTGTCCGTCGTGGCATCAGTGTGGTACAAAGAAGCTTCCGTTGACCCAATAAAGTTTATCAAGTGTGGAACGAGCTCTGCGATCTTGTTGCCTGAGATGGGGTTCATCGGTCCTCCGCCGTAGGCGATGTGTTTGATCTTGGACAGTGCGTCCATGCCAGGCTGGTACTTCAGCATGTTCTCCAGGACAGACGGCGCGAACATTCCGCAGTCGGGGCGGGTGAGCTGCAGCATGCCAGCCACGTTCTCGGACGTGATTCGAGTGCCTGGGACAGGGACGATCATTGTCTTTGCGCCGACGAGTATACTTGATAGGAATCCAATCATACCGCCAGCCTGAAGTCCTTGTCAGCAAACAAAAGAGAGTGGTGTGGAATATATGCATGTGAACATACGTGGTAAAAAGGGAAGGACATAAAAAGCCTTGTCCCGGACCAAAGTTGCTCGTACACGAGCTCATCCGAAGAGCCAGGCGGGCGAATATTGCGGTCGACTTGGGAGGCAAAGACAGGAATGGCCGAGTGTGTCCAGTAGATCGGCTTTGGATGGCCAGTCGTGCCGGATGTGTGAAGGCCGATGAATGGCTTGTTCTTGACTTCCTCAAAAGTGTATGTGAACGGGAAATCCTCGACCCTTTCCTTGCTCAGGAAGTCCTCGTACTTTGGCACCTCAACCCATCGCATGTCATTTTTGGTCGCGGCGTGCAATGCTTCTATTATGTCGAAGTTCTCGCTGCTAAAGAACATGGTCTTTGCGCCCACATCTTGGAAGAGCATCTGGTTCGCGTTGACGGTGTTACTAGGTGAAGGCAGTACAGCCTGGTGTGTTAAGGTTAGCAGGGTCCATTCCTTGGAGGCACCGAGGACGTGATGAAACCTACGCATTTTCCAGCCTTCATGGCTGCCAGTGCCCAGATGTAGTATCTCAGGTCCATTCGACCCATGTAAAAGAATTTGTCTTCATCCTGTCCTAAATTCTTGGACAGAAACCACGCCGCTCTGTTGGCCGCATTGTCGATGTCTGCATAGCTCAATTCCAGCACAATACCTTCGGGACTGGCTACCACGAAGAAAGGCTCGGTCTGGTTTAATCTTTCTCTCTTGATAAAGTTGGGCAAGAGGCCCTTCTCTGTCGTCCACCACATTTCCGACATGTTGGTAAGAAGGCAAAAACAAAAGTTAAGTGATTTTGGTTATAAGTGCAACACCCCGGTCAGCGAAGGATCAACAAGCTTTTTGAATTAGATCTAGAACGATTCACACGTCTTGGAAACAGAACTGTCACAGTTGGCTCTTGGCACTCTTTATATCATGGCAACAAGCCATACAATGGGGTCCTACGAGGTTTCGTCACCTGTGCACACCGATACGCGTGTGTTGCATCCACTCACTGAGAGTCTCCGTGAGGGCTGCTCGCCATCATGCGCTCAAACCGAGCCACCGAGAAAGTAGAAGAGACCCACAGTTTGGGTGAGACTCCATTGCGGAACGGATGCGGAAAGATCTCGAAGCCCACGGTGGGCCCATGTCGATGTCACAATGTCATATTCAAAATCTTATTCCCGGGCACTTGGGCGGCGAAACAGGGATCAGCCTCCGGCACTTGATTAATGTCAGTGTGAAGGTGTTCCCACACTTTCACCAAGTCAAGCTTTAAAACATCTATCGTCGTTCCCTCCGGCTCCGGTGGATCACGGACAGATCCGCAATACCCGCACGGCTTTAAGTACGGTTTTTCCTTTTGCCGTGGACGCGAAAGCGCGAGGGAGCCCCTGAAACATTCGGCGCCGTTTCGTACACCGCGACCAAAAGGAGACCACACACCAGCAACTGCAAGCCAGGCCGTCGTGGCATGCTCGAACTGGCTGGTCTGGGCAGCGGTGATACCTGTTCGGGAAAGCAGCTTTCCTCCACTCTGACACCCGACGATAGGCCGGAATAGGATGTTCTTGTGTACGACTTCATTGCTGACTGCCGATCTTCCGAGACTCTTATTACTAATTATCACAAAGAGGCATTTCTCTATGCTCTCTGCGCTCGGTCTACTCCGGAAACATTTTGTTCCACTTGCAACCGCTATCAGCGGAGCCAAAACGTGACCAGAAGGATTATCAGTACAGACTTCACGTCAAACATTTATCTGCCGAGAATCTTGCGATAATTACTTTCCTCTGAAAGCCAAAAGCCACGAGCAGAGAACCGACATGAGATCGATGGAGTTGATGGGCAACCTTGCCGGCCAATGTGAAGCTGAGCTGCATATCAAGGAGGCGGAGCTAGAGCAGACTGATTACTGATCGAAGGACATCCAACACTACGGCAATTCAGTGTTGATCTTTGTTTGCACATGATCATATCAACACGGCCAATAGCATCTTCCAAAGCAATGCCCTAGAAAACAGTACAATCGTTGGGGTTCTTCTCCACAACTCACATATTGGCGAGCAACACGGCTATGCCGTCCCGTTTCTTGCAACAGCCAGCTCGTGGAGACGCACGTCTTCATCTCGAGACTACACCATGCCGCATTGAGATGCAGTACTGGATATGCAGCAGACCGGTACTCAAAAAGCGGCATGGGCCGATATGCCAAGTCATTTGCTGAGAAATGCAAAACAAAGATTGTCGCAGCGGGCTAGGTATGTGGATTCACGGAGCAGCAATGGTAGTTGCTATGGTTCTCAAATTAACTTTTACTCTGCTCCGCCTCGATAGCCATGGATCAACCTCTTGCTTTGCTAGATGTCGATGATGTTGAAGCAAGGCCATCACCTCGAGGTCCCCTCCACCCAAACATACTCCATCGCATGGTATGATGAACCAATATTCTAGGTACCTTTCATGGCCACTATGCTGTCCTCTTTCTTGACATCGCCTTTGTACTCGATCATAAGCAGGACTTGCTCGAGAAGCTTAAAGATCTCGTCCAACTCCTCTTGTTCCCGCTTCAGTTCCCTCTCCTCTTTGTAGAAATCGCTCACAAGGTCCGAATGATGAGTCTGGAACTCGGAGAGGGCGGCGAAGAGGTTGACAGAGACTTCGGCGTAGTCATCCACGTCGCCCTCAAATTGCTGCAGCTTTTGCCGCTCGTTTCGAAGTATGTTCTCCATCTCCTGGCACTTCTCGTAGGACTTCTTCAAGTTGGCTTGGAGCTGGTGCGACAAGTTGATGAGAATGTGCAACTTGACCTTGACTTGGGCGTTGACTTCTGTGGATTGGCCACCAGGCTAGGTGGCAGTCAGCATCCAGCTTGTTTTCGATCCTCCGTGACGTGACGGGAAAGGAGAAGCCAAAAGGTGATGCTCAGGAACGCCAAGGTGACTTACAGTAATGTTGATCGAATCCTCCATGATCGCAGTCTATGGATTTGACTGAGGATGAGAAAGGTGGCGGGCAATCTTTGCGGAATCAGTCAAGGTCTGAGGCGTAAGAACAGGCCCTGGCTCCTTTGAAATTCGATGTTGGCAAGCGTAGACCATTTGACAAACGGGGTGATTTAAGAGAGGCCAGAGCTTGGAGTACATGTTCCGCTCCTTCTCTACCAACCCGCTCCTTCTCAACGACCCGTTCGCCCACAGCTCCTTCTACTTTAAGCCGTTAAAGCATCCCGTCAAGGGCTTGTTTTCTGAACAGCTAATCAAAAGAAGCCGTCGTGAAGCGACTTATCCTTCGTTGAGCAGTGCTTGCGCTTTTCTTTTCCCACAAGTGGAATATATACAGCTTGGGAAGGCGTACATACCGCTTATGAGAACAGGTATCTGCCGGCGCTATTGGGAGCCAGACCACTTGCAGAAAGATACCACTGTCTTCAAGAATGTATTTCAAATTTCAAGGCTTTCGACTTTAAAACATGAAATTTCAGCAAACATAGAATATTGCGTAACCTTGAACTCATTGTAAGAATCAGAATCCTCTTTTGTTATTGCAAGTATCAAAATAACGATGTTGTTCAAGGATGTGGTAATTAAATGGTTGTAAGTATCATAAATCAGTGCATCTGGCATTGGGCTACGACCGTTTCTTTTGCAGTGGCCTAACAGCTTTTGTCTCCACCATGTGATGGGCCTGGGTTCTGAACAACATGCGAGAAGTGGAGCAGCCGTAGATTATTCATTCCTTAAGAGGGCTTATAGTTGTAACCCTGGCCTATAAGCATGAAATCCACACAGACGGGTGTGGATGCATCCATTTTCCCTCTGTATTCAAGTCTTATGTGGAAAGTTCAGATGCTACAAACCCAAACAGCAGATACGACCTGTCGATAGAAGGCAGCCAGACGAACTTCGAGTGACTTCAGAAACCAAAACGGACACACAGACCCTCACCAGAAAAAAACCCACAAAGCACTTGGCGGGGCTGTCATTACCAACGTAAGCGATGATGGGGCCTTGTTCCTCCATCACCACCATGACTCCCAATTCTTCCCAATGCCATGAGTCCATGTCGAAAACGCAACATCTTGAGCCCTTTAGCACCGTCTGGACCCTTAGCCGGCACGACCTCGACGCAAAGCTGCAACTCATCCGCGATCCGCTTCCGAGCCAGATTGTCACCGTTGTAGATGCGCAGCGCGGTCAGATAGCTGATAATGGACTTGCCGCTCTTGTTTCTGAGGTTGACGTCCACATCTTTGTTCCACAGAAACCAGACTGTTGCGCAGACCTGGTTTGCCGCACCGCGCGTGTGGGCCATCCAGTGCGGCTGGTCCGCGACAGATTTGAGGAAGACAGATAGTGGAGTGTCGCCGTTGCTATCCAGCTCGGTCACACTGGCGCCGGAGCGGATTAGCGTACTAAACATTCGCTTCGACGGAACTGTACGGGCCGCCGCATGGAGATAGACTCCTTTCGGCGCCTTGGGATTGTTGCGGAGGGGGTGTCTGTGGAGCATGATCTCAACAAGTTTATGTTGCTGAACCATGACAGCTTTCTCAAGAGGTGTCATAATAGTGCTCGATTGTGGTTTGAAATGGATGTCCGCTCCTGCGTCAAGCAATTCCCTGACGAGTCCCTCTTTCCCCGGGAGACCGACACTTTGAAGTACAACGTAGAGCGGAGTGTGGCCGTTTTTGTCCGGAAAATTGACAGACACTTTCATGGCTAGCATTTGTTTCACAAGTGCTTCGTTGCCACGAGCTAATCCCTCTTGGATGATGGTAATCTTTTCCTTCGGGCTCAAGGGAGGTCGCGATGCCCCTCTCTCAAGGTATCTGTTCGCCATTTTGACATGGCCTCCTTCTATCATTTTCATCACGTAAGTCGACTTGTTGAACAGAATTCCATTGATGTCGAGGTCAAGAAGGAGGTCCACAGCCTCCAGATCGTGCGGTCGGTCGCGAATAGTAGCAAGAAACATCCTGTCGAAGTCTTCGTGTTTCCAAGGCTGAAGAGATCGGCGGCGTCGTACGAGTATGTCACAGACTCCCAAGAGTCCCCCACTAAACGCGGATTCGAATGGTGTGAACCCAAGCTTATTTGGAACATTGTCTTTAGCGCCCCGCTGGAGAAGCATTCGGACAATCCTCTCTTGCTTTTGATCGCTGTCGTACCGACGGTCATGGCGGTTATGGTTGAGAGTACACGCGAGATGCAGGGCCGTATTCCCGTCGTCATCCGTTGCATTGATTTTTGAGCCGTGATCCAGGAGCATTTTGATGGCATCCAATTCCGCTCCGCGCACCAGAAACTGACTCGCAGCATAACTATCGTATGATGTGATTTCTGGCCCACATGCTCGGAGTAGAGGTGTCCGGCCGCGACAACTGCAGCTCGAATAATCAGCCGCGTCTCTGGGAGGCAAAGACGGAAATTCAACAGAACAACACAGAATTTGAAGTATATAAAAAACTTCAAACAAATCGCACGAGGGAGCACACACAGAGCTACATATACACACACGCGCGCAAATGACGAAGCTTTAGAAGTGTGAAGAAGAGGCTGCGTCAACAAGTGATTATCACAGTGAGGGTACCCCTGATGAGAAGACAAGCATATGCAATCCAGAGACGCCTGTGGGCGAATTAATCCCAGGGGAGACAATCACTTACTTTCGTGATTCTACATCAGCGCCTTCGGCGAGGAGGACCTGTAGCGCAGCGACATCAAAATGCATCGCCGCGTACTGGAGCGGCGACTCAAGGTCTTGGTGGGTTTTGGCCTCGAGATCAGCTCCTGACTTGAGCATGAGCCTGATCAACTCCATACGCTGCTCCTCGTTATTCCTGGGAGGAGCTGAGGCCCTCATTGTGGGAATTCGAAGCGGCTCGTCGAAAGTCCTGGGTGGTTGACAGACGGCGTGAAGGGGCCATTTGTACTGCACATCCTGCCTATAATGTCCTTTATTGACATTCGCACCAAGGTTAATGAGCCTTACGGCGTCAGTGAAGCGGCCGAAAACACAGGCCTCGTAAAGCGTAGTAGAGAATTCGCCGCCTTCAGTTGGGGCGAGACGAGTCGGGTGACAGATCAAGAAATTGATGTCAGCGCCTTTTTCGAGAAGAAATGATACTGTCGAGTTCCAGTGCTCGCTCATGTAAGCATAATAGAACGGGGTGAGACCAGAATGATCGACGACATCCACGTCAACGAGACCCTCGTCTAGAATGTGCTTGCACAGCTCCACCTGGCCTGTGGCAGCAGCGGCGTGTAGGGCTGTAGAAGCACTGTGGCGTTGTGGCTCGCTTAAGCGTATGGAAGCACCACGGAATAGCAGCAGCTTAGCTGTGGACGCCTGAAAATGGCAAATTGCTAGGTGAAGTGGCGAGAAGCCCAACATCTCGTTCCGGACCAAGGGGATCCCGCGGCCCAGAGCAGACCGAGCAAGAATGGGCACGCACCGGCAGAGCACACGCGAAAACACGTCGATGCTAGCGCCATGATCAAGCAGTACGCGAACAACATCATTGTGGCCGCCTCTCGCCGCGAGGTGGACGGCTCGAAATGATCCCACCAAATCATCTTCCTCGTCCGAGTCACGTCCATTTGCGTGACTATCCTCATCTCTACCCCCATTTTCATCCTCATCGGGCATTTCGTCGTCATCGTCGTCTATAGGCTCGTCCTCCGACCAGTAGTCCTCAACAAAAGGATGATGAAATCCAGGCATGAAATCAGCTTCGTCCTCATCTTCGAAACCAATCATGCCAGCATCGAAATCATCAATCCCCTCGTCATCATCTAAATCCGAGAGAAATGGATCAGGAAAATGTCGCCTCGGAGGAGAATACCTGGGTTGCACTTGATCGACCGTGGAACTCGACCTCGACAGACCATCGTCATCCGTGTCGTCTTCGTGCGGCCGCCACTCTTGGTTGGATTCCATATCAGGGGGTGGATCCCAGACCTCGTGTCCATCTACCGCCTCGATCCTGATCTGGAAGCTCTCCAAGTCTCGCATCCGCATGAAGGTTGTAGAAACGAAGCGCATATTAACATCGATACCAGCCGCGAGAGCCTTCTTGACTGTCCCCGTCTGTCCAGTTTCTGCCGCCCACCGTAGAGGGTGCCATGCCATCTGCTTCGGCACTTGCTCCTTCGCGAACTTGTAGAGTATCGGATCGACAAGACTGTAGAACTTCTGACTCGTTCGCGCAAATGCAGCAAGATCGCGAGCTCGGCAGAGATGGTCTGTTATGAGGTCGACCAGCTCGACTGGGAGATCGCCGATCTTTGCCATGACTGATATCTTGGCGCTGACCGTCTTAGACTGCTGTAACGAATAAGGGTGGGTGAGACTTGAAGGGACAGAAGTGAAGCTCAGACTGTTCTGCTTCGCTGTCCCTTGCGGATCGTGGTGGGTACTCAGAAGAGTATCAGAGAAGTCTTGTCTTAATGGGTAGAGTTAAGATGGGCGCGTGTCTGCTGGGTGCCCGCGTGAATTCTGCCGCAGCTCACCGCCCGACCGTGCCCGACAACAAACGCTGACTGGAGTGACCCTGCCTCCCTAACAAAGACTGCTTCTCCAGCAGTAAGAACTGCACAATCTTATCTTCTCCCCCCAAAAGCCCCGTACGCCTGATTACCTGCTTCGTGGGTAGCAGACTGTACTCCATGTCGCTTATGTATGGAATATTCGCTTCTACAGTTTGATTGCTGTTGAGGTAAAGAGTTTCCTGTTCATACGACCAGGAGTTGGGGCCCCTCAAGCAGGGCCCTGCGGTCATCTTTTATCTTAGCATGACGACCACGTATCTCTAGGCTTTTTTGAATGTGTGGCTCTCATTATTCTGGCTAGCTGTCTATGCTGGCCGTCGCGGGCTGTAACTCTTTCGTCGACGCAAAAACACAAATCTCCAACGCCGATGTCCTTCAGCCAAAATAGCTCCCTGGACTCTATGCTACCGACCCAATCTCGAAGTGTCCCCAGATGCCTGAATTAATACTCAACGCGCGCGAGCTATTCTAATTCCCCATGAAGTCCCCTTCTCTGGTGATCAAAGCGGGCAGCAAATCCTTCTCATTTCTCAGCCTTGACCTGGACTTTGGCGTTGAACTCTGCGATGTCCTCTCGAAGCGCCGTGGTGGTCTCCCTGGAAGGCAACTCAAGCCCACGGCTCGTTTTCATCTTGGCCCAAGTCAGTAGCTTGTCCTGCGACTTCTTGAAGAGCTGTTCAAACGCCTCCGTATCAATGCTGTGATCACCAGACCGCTCTGTGATGTTCCCAGCCCAATTGAAGAGGGCCCGCACGTACTTCGTGTCGAAGCCGAAGGTGAAACGGCCACTAAGACACACCAGGATGAGGTAACCCCGAGCAACGTTCTGCAGGGCAAGGCGGCCTCCGAGTACCTCTGGATGTCCGCATCCAGTCCAATTGAGTGACTCGTCCCTTTCCTGCGATAGGAAGATCAAGAATTTGACAAGGCCCATGAGGTCGAGAACCCAGCGAGGACCGGCATGCTCGCGCGAGTAGAGCGTACCTTTCAGGACAAACTCGAGGCCCACGACGTAGTTGAGCTCTAGATACATGCAGCCCAAGGCGCGGAGGGCGGAGGGCATCGGCTCGATGTGGTCAGGCCAGTTGCCATCCTGGTACACTTTCTGCTCAATGTCAAGAAGCCTTTCCTGGTAATCCATAGCAGTCTTGAGAAATCTGGCCGAAGAGTAGAATGCCAACGTGTATTTGAACTCAAGCTCTGTGAGAGTATCCTGTGCCTTTCTGAGGATGCCAAGGTGATCTTGGCGCTTGGCTGCAGCTGTGACGTGCTCGGCTATCTCGGTCTTACATTTGTTACCTTATTTGAGGTCAGCTTGACTACTTGACATGAAATGGCAGGCTCAATAGCTCACAGTCACAAGTGAAGAAGAATTGTTCTTTCAAAATTCTGCGCCGTTGGAGGACATCTTGTCGACCACCTCGGTAGCAAACGGTGATCTCCATCCCTGCTGATATGTTCTTCAAAGCGCGACATCTCAGCTCTCGTCCCTCGAAAAATACATGGGCATTCTCGTCGCAGCAGTGGTTAATAAGAGATACCACAAGATCGAGGCAGATCCCGTACGAGGCCTCGAGCTCCGATGGACAGACTGCAAGAGCATTGGTGGAAATCTGCGACAGTAAGAGATATTAGCCGTCAATCCCTAGTCCAACTTGTGTCTCTGTCTCACTTGCCGTGCAGTAAAGTTGGCGAACAAAGTTGAGACTGATGCCGGGTTCGACGGCAGAGTGGGCGTTTTGTGCCGCTTGCAGAGACTGGTCAATTTCAGGCGCATCATCGCTTGCTTGGCGCAGACGTTCCATTTTGGTCTCGAACCCGGTCTCCAGTGCCACGACTGCACGCATATTATCTTCCGAAATGACACCCTTCTTGACCCAAATGAGAAGACGGCAAAGCGCTTGGTCCAGGGACTTCAAGGCTGGATTCTCTTGCAAGATGGTGCACTCGTACTTGTGGTAGCTCTTCCATGCCTTGACTTGGCAGTTCTATCAACATGCGAAGACATGGTTAGCAAGTGGTCCAGCTGAAAGAGTCGGCTGATCTCACCTTGGAGCAATAACGTGCGACCCTGCAAGCACTGCAGGGCGTGACTTGCGGCCTGAGATTTTCTTCATTGCTTGTGTAGAAGCGACCGTCGCTATGGACTGACGAACGGCTGTTCAGAAAGCAGAATTCACAAATACCTTGGTGGGCAGACTCGGCAACCATGATGAGTGGATTCGAGCGGAAAATCTCCGAGCCAGCAGGTATGTCATTGACAGCAAACAAGCCGCTACCAGCGTTGGGAATCAGGGAACGGCCAATTCGTAGGGAGACATTTGACTTGGCAATGTCACTGAGGATATGATCGCAAAGCTTGGGTTGAGTGTCAATTGGTGTTCTTTGAGAGGTTGCCATCGTGACGGCTGGGTACAGGTCTTGTTTTGTTGTGTTTGTGGTTGAGACGGGTCCAACTGGATGTTGAGAATTCTGCTAGGAAACCTCCTGGTTCTCTTTGGCTATTGTACGCTCGATGAACTGGGCAGTGGGACCAGCCAGGAGCAAGAAAAGTGGTGGAATGGGGGAAGACTTGACCTTGGCAGCTGGGCTTTTGCAGACGAACCTTGGCTGGCGCGCGGGACGGCTGAAGCAGGCAGGCGGCCGAGGACCACCTTCCTTGACTAGGTAAGTTGTTAGGACGAAAATGTTGTAGTCAAGGACAGAAGCCCAGAAGGCCTCCACTCAAGTACTTGTACGCCCTCACAGAAAGAAGATCTTTCGCGATAGCATACCGACCAGAGCCAGCTGGCATGATTTGCATGGGTGAAGGACAATGAAGCAAACACTCAATCTGCTGATATACACAAGGACTGCCATCGCTGTTTTCTCTACAGGACGCTTATTGTTGAGGTTCTCATTCTAGAATGACCCCAGGCTACACTCATTAAGCTGCTTTGGATCTCAACCAAAGCGATCTCTTACGTTCTGGTACCCAAACGGGCGCAAGTTAGATCTGGCAGTTGCCCACGACCGCAACAACGGTCCGTTTTCCGCCAGATTCTGCCCTGCCAAAGCACCCAAAGCACCTGGAACCCATCCGATCATTAGCCCAGACTTTGCAACTTTAAGCATACCAAAGAAGCAGGTATTTTCAATTTGTATGATGCCTTAAAAGGGAAGCAATCTGAAGGCAGCCATCTGACATCGGTATCCAAAACCCTTTCTGTCCAATCATGTTTAGGCGTAGAGGCACATTGCCCTGATATCAACTTCCAATCTTAAATAGCAAGACTGAACGGAAAAGCTTCCACTTATGACTTGAAAAGAGTGGCAAGCAGGAATCTAAGACTCCCTGTCCCACTTTTTGCCATTCCACAAGTTCCCTGTTGTCCATAGCCAATAATCTCTCCCCTTTAACATCCATATCATGAGACCAGGTAGTTGCAGACCCATTGCCGCGCCGACACCCTTTCTTGTCCCTATAGGAACCAGTTGTGTTTCTCTCGTATCTTCCACAAAAACCTTTCCAGCTCTAGCGGATAGGTCTTTCTGGTAGCCCTCCTCAAGGAGAAGGTCATCTTTCATGCTCGTGCAAAGAACGGGCACTGCAGAAAGGATGTTGTGTATTGCAGGTCGTGCGTATGAGCTGGCATCCCCGATAGCGTAGATCCTAGCATTAGGGCCGGCTCTGTCAACACGGAGAGTTGATGGGTTGGTGTCAATACGACTGTCAGCGGCAAGAAGACATTTGTCGGAGATGAAGTCGGTATTGGGTGTTGTTCCAGTCGCAGGTATGTACAAGTCTGCATCGATGGATTTCCCGTCCTCGAGGACGACGGTGGTCTTGGACGTAAGCAGTTCGGGGTCAATCCCAGCGCCGACAGGTATAACAGTCTTGACCCGGGCATTTTTGACGACTGTGACGCCAACTCCGGCCAGAAGCTTTTCCGCCTTGGCTGCAATGGCTTCTCGTAGGTTGGGCAAGATCTTTGAGTTGCTTGTTATGACCGTGATGTTGACCTGGTGGGCGGATAGTCTAGAGCGGAAAGTGCCGGGCCGCCCGTTGAAGTGCTCGCCTAGTTCTCCAGCTGCCTCTATGCCGGCCGGACCTCCTCCAGAGATAACTATGTTCTTGACTCCAGGCATTGCCTTTCTCAGAGAGCTCCAACATTGGCGAAGTAGCGTCTCATCTTTGATCAACCCAAGTAAAGGGGACGCCGTAGATGCGCCAGTGGCGATGACCAAACCATGGAACGAGATGCCCTGCGTAGTACCGGAGCTCTCTAGAGTGATAGTGACAATACGCTGTGTGTGATCGAGATTTGTTGCTGTACCTTTAATGAATTGGAAGTGTCCGCTGTTCGTATGCTGCAGGAATTGAGTCTCTATATCGACGAAGAGTCTGTCCTGAGAAAACATGTGATCTGATAGCATAGCGCGTGGGCAAGCGGGTCGACAGAAAACTTCAGATGAAGTACTGATCAAAATGACCTGGAACATTTCTCGGTTAGGTACCTGAGGGATAACATGCTTGAGGATATAGTGAGCAGTCGATATGCCGCCGTAAGATCCACCCAAAATGACGATATTCTTTCGAGATTGCGCCATAATTTTAGCCGTATAATTTAGCAGTACTTGAAGTGTTATTGACAGTGGAGAAAGTTGTTCGAAGCGCAAGATTGGCTGGCAACTGAGAGAGTTCACCAGGGAACATGTTTGAGAGAAAGACATGCGCAGAGGATACATAAATACTTTGATGAATAGGACTTGGGCCGTTCAAGGCGGACGAACGGACGAATTTTGTCTCGAAATTCGGCGGATGACGCTCATTTGGCAGTAGCTAAGCCATGGAGCGGCTTGGTTGGTCAAGTCGGATTGGAGCTCGGAGCCCGGACGGACGAATTGTCGAGGCCAAAGCCTGTCAAGTAGAACAACTACCGTCCGCAGAAAATCTTTTGAATGAAACAGCATCTTGACTACTACTCCCCGTATATTGGTAGCAAACAGTCTTCAATGAAATTGAATGTGAGCAATAGAAACCCACCTCTCCGGCATTCCCACAAATTTCACGGACGAATGACGGACGAAAACAGCCAATCATCTTACATGAAGCCGGCAGGGTTCTTCACCGCTGACCCCCCCCCCCATTGCCAAGGCGCGCCTCTTCAACGCAATTCGGCTGCCCTAGGATGAAAAGATATTATGTACAGGACTGTAATTCTTCATTCAATTCTCCCAGCCAGTCATCATGTCATATACATGTCGAACGATGCGTCGACTCTTCCTACATACTCCTCAGTTATATTCAGAGATAGTGCGATAGAAGTTCCGACGGGAGTATGCTAACGCCAAGGTCTTGTGGATCCAAAGCATGGCATCGGGTGATGTTGTTGCCATAAGTCTGAGCAGATAAACGGCGCCCGATGCTGGATGGAACGAGGCGTACACGGCCTACAGGCATTCTCCGTTGAGTGGGACTGCCCAGAATCAGGATCGCCCCTCGCCCGTCTATGTTGATTTTCTCGGACTTCATACTCCCTAAGAGTCTAGTTGGTACTGCAAGTATTTGCGACCGCTGATCTGACTGTTAAAGACCCGTATTTTGGTTCACAGCAGCCAATCAGCTCTGGTACATTCCAATCCATTGCCCATCAACACTGCAGACACGGCGGCTAGCTTAGCGTATGCTACCCTGATCTGACATGCATGCCTAGGTCGAAGGTCACAAACAAAGTCATGGAAATTTCGGGCGCAATAAAGAGAACATTTTGCTCAAGACCCTTCTCGAGGTCTCATTCTTCCCTTGGTATCCTTCTTTGAGCTTCAAGAAACCTCATGAATCAGTATGGCAGCTGATTCTGATAACCCAGTGGGTAGTTCAGACTATCTCGCGATCAGCATCGTCCTCGTCGCCTTGGTACCAATTGTGTCATGGCTACTACGGTGCAATCAACGGCCCAAAACGTTTCCACCAGGTCCGCCAACCATACCAATTCTGGGGAATATACATCAAATGCCCACAACACATACATATCTGAAGTTTGCAGTAAGTGAGCATAGGATTACCCTTTATGACAGTACAGAACCTAGGGACTTGATCGAGCTGTCCCCAACTAACCATCTCCAGGAATGGTCAAAGCAGTACGGTGACATAGTCGGTCTCAGGATCGGTCCTCAGAGTATGGTTATTATTAGCAGCCCTGAGCTTATCCGCGAAATGTTCGTCAACCGCGGTGTAATCTACTCAGGAAGGCCTGTGCTCTACGTCAGTCGTGACCTGATCTTTCCGGACCAAGACCATATGTTCATGATGCAGAATGACGAGATGTTGCGGCGTACCAGAACGGCCTTGAAGCGACTCACCGGGCCAGCTGGACTGAAAGAGGCACTCCCATTGCAAGAAGCCACAGCGGCGAAATTGATTTCCGACCTTTCCGATGGTAACGAGCCTCCAGAGAGGTGTATCCGCCTGTGGAGCTTCACGATTGCCATGACAGCAATACTGGGCCCTGTCGCAGAAGACAAGGCATCGGAAGTGCTAGATGAATGGACACATATACAACACAGGCTTATTGAGAGTGTGGAAGCAACAATGTCTTCAGCTTTCGAATTGCTACCCTTCTTGAAATACTTACCCTTCATCCCTGGGAAAGAGAACGCCAGGCAGATTGGAATTTCGTTGCGCGCAGTCTACACGGATCTGTTCGGCCGCTTGAAGTTTCATCTATCTCAGGCCCAAAGCTCTGTTGTCGACATCAAGTACTGGGGCCTCATCGGTAGCATTCTACGGGATCAGGAGAGGGAGAAAGAAAATGTGGAAAAGACAAAGTCCCACTTCACCGATTCGCAGCTCAAGACCTTGGCGCAGTTTGTTCAAGAGTAAGTACGAGCCTTCTCTTGCTATGGTCACCCGTCCGTCTTCTACTAGAATCTTCCAGAATTCATTGTTCCGGTTTCCGTAGCAGGTAACTAACATATGGCAGTGCGGCAACAGATACTACACTCTCGACTGCAATGACTTGTATCATGGCTTTAACAGCAAACCCTCACCTGTTACAGAAGGTTCAGAAAGAGGTGGACGCAGTCTGTGGACGGGGGAGCGTGCCTTCATATACAAACATTGACAAGTTGCCCTATGTTAGAGCATGCGTGCTTGAGGTATGGCACCTTATCCCACAAAATTTCTCGATGTCTAGATCCTTTGGGGCACGTGCTGATATCATGCCCAGACACTTCGCTGGAGGCCCCCAGCGCCTGTTTTGCTGCCGCACCGGCTGGAGCAGGACGATCACATACGAGGCTTCTACCTGCCGAAGGGAACGATGATCATCGCGAATGGATGGGCTGCTAATCATGATCCGGGACACTTCGAGAGACCAGAAGTGTTTAATCCTGATCGGTTCGTCGATGTCCAGGGCTACCCAGGCTTGTATCCATTTGGATTGGGCCGTCGCTCGTGCCCTGGGGACAACTTCGCACTGAATACCTTGATCATAATGATCTCGAAACTGGTGTCGTCTTTCGATCTCGCCTTTGATGGGCCAGCTCCTGACCTCAGCATCGAGAATTGGTACGGCGCTGGCGTAATAATGTCACCCAAATCGTTTCCTGTCAAGTTCATCCGAAGGAAAGACATCTTCTAGTTACCTTTTCGGCAAATCATGACTCGTGGCCACGCGCGATGAATGAGTCGTTTGCCGCCCGTTTTTCGGCATAGATCGCATGGACGGTTGGGAATAGCCGCCTTTGTTTATATGTAACGGTCCTTGGTTGGTCTTCGGCCAGGGGTGATGCCCAGAAGCATTCGTGTGTTCGTTAATGTTACATTTGAGGTTCCTCCAAGCCCCGGTCAAAAATCCACGAGGATAGAAAAGCAAGTGAATTGAATACCATGCGTTTTGTAAGTATTTTAGTAACACTGTTTGAAGTGAGTGGGCCTGAGTGTTTCGCCAAGTTTAGCGCCGTTGAGAACGTCAAGGATGAGAAAGCCCCCAATCGTCGGCAACTTCACCCATGGTTGTATGTTGAATTACTCATGAACAATTAGCGTCCTTTATAATATCTTAAGCGCGCGCTCTTCGGCGTGTGAACAAGGAATTTGCAACCTGGCATTATATCTAGGTCACAAGATAACATGTAATTCAGGTACCCTTCGAATGGACTGTTATCGCGCTTGGCTACGCCCTTGGAACTATCTTGGCATCATCTGACAGCTAACGGTATCTATTCTAAGCTACTCCTTGATGGTCAGCGAAGTCGTAGGGCGCTCTAGGGGCAACCTTGATGATCTACGGCGCTCCTCCACAATTCACGATCCGCGGCCACTACCCCCTGGTAAAGACTCATCAATCTGGCAGCCAGGGAATAGGCACATCAAACAAGCCAAGCTTTGTTATTTGGAGTGTCGAAACTTTTCGGTGCCCGTCTCCGGTTGACAACCAACGCTGAATACCACTCGGCCAGCAGTTCACAAGACACCAGCGCCCAGCGCCCAGCGCTCAGTGGGGCTCCGGACTGCTTGCCTTATTTGTTCGAACAACTAGCAGAGGGTCCTGGCTTCGTCCGATACATCGGATCATCCCAAGATATCTACGGAAGCCTTGGCTGCGATATGGGAGGAATGAAATCTGCCATAACAGCCACCTCGCTTGAGAACCATGCCTAGTGCCTGCGTGTCATTGACCGCTAAATATCTCACAGCTTACACAAAAATAACAGCCCACTCATTTTTCTTTACAGTGTGGCAGGGGCTGCATTCAGACGCAGTCCCAGCAGAACACCTTTAAACATCAAACAAATCGTACTTGGCTTGTTTATACGATGCAGTAGCTTTCCTAAATACATACCGCGAGAGCTAGATTCCAAGAATTAACAATCAGAACATCGGACACTTGTAGAAATTAGACCATGCGATTTCTTTGCCGCATGAGTACAACCAATTCTGGAAGACAGGGCAGGGCATGGATGGATATATGCTCTTCGTGATGAACTCGTGGTGAAAATATAAGTACGGTCTCATTTCTTACCATATTATCATGACCATCATCAACATCACCAGTGTCCATCAGTCATCTGTCTGTGCTAACAGGTCCTTCTTTCCACCCGTCGATCATTCAACCACAAAAGTCTCATCTCTCATAAGAACCAAGACCATGTCTTATTCAAAATTATTTGTTATAGCTTCTGCATTTTCAGTCGCCAATGCTGTGGTACCTAACATAGAGGGTTTCAAACTCACATGGAGTGATGATTTTGTTGGACAAGCCAACTCTCTTCCGAACCCGTCAAACTGGGTCGTTTCCACGGGTACGTCTTACCCAGGGGGCGCATCAAATTGGGGCACTGGCGAGATTCAGACTTATACATCTGATCCACAAAATCTCAAACTCAGTGGGAACGGCACACTCCAGATCACAGCCATCAAGAGCGGTTCAAGTTGGACCTCAGCTCGGATTGAGACGCAGCGGACGAACTTTCTGGCTGAGGCTGGCGGTAAAATGCGAATCCAAGCGAGTCTCAATTTGCCAGATATGGGAGAAGCTTGTGTTGGCTATTGGCCAGCTTTCTGGACACTAGGGGCGGATTTCCGTGGGAACTATCAGTAGGTCCTGCCTGGTGATTCATAATACCCCAGTTCGAACAAGCCTAACCAGATCTCCACAGAAACTGGCCATCTATTGGAGAATTCGATATTCTGGAGAACGTCAACTGCAAGCCAACTACATTTGGTACTCTTCACTGTGGAACAAACCCGGGGGGTGTTTGCAATGAGACTACTGGCCTGTCAGGGTCGATTACTCCGAAGTCATTGCCACAAGGCAACTTCCACACTTACACCTTTGAGATCGACCGCACAACGACAGGCCAAGAGGCTATGCGCTGGTTTGTGGACGAGGAACAGTATAAGCAGATTAAACAGTCGGAATTGCCTGAGGATGTGTGGTATGTTCTTTTCATTTCAAGTTGACTTTTATACACCACTCTTAAGGCATGGTCTCAACAGATGGGAATCTCACTCACGCATCAAAAAGCATGAAATTTGTGGCACTAGATTTACTAACATGTATTCAAACAGGGCCCAGATCGCACACAAGGGACACTTCGTTTTGATGAACTTAGCTATCGGCGGGTCTTTCCCGAACAAGGATTATGGAGCGGACGCAACACCTTTGGAAAATACTGCGTCGGGTGGCGTTTATCAGGCGGAGTATGTGGCAGTGTACAACTCGGCTTGAGTGATGATCAGTGTTTATAACAAGACCTTTTTGCCCAAGAGCGTTGTATATCAAGAATTCCATTGCCTTTACGATTCAATTATCACTTCAAATGTTCCATATGGATTTCAATTATTAACAAGAAGCTATTGAAGACACAATTTGACAGCTAGAGCACTGTATATTGAAATAAGTCAGTTGTTGTTGCACGTCTTTTGCAAGGCCAATAACAAACCAGCGGAAGAAGTCACGCAACTCTATTCAGTATGACCTTTAATCGGATTTTCTTGCCTCGAATTACCCGCGAATTTTCCCTGGTTGCTAGTGAGCCAGTAACACAGATGAGCAGGTGTAAATTCTAAATACATCCACGGCGGAACCTAACAACTCACAGGGTAATCAACACTGCAATCGTCTGTGAGAGGTAAAGAGAGGAGATCAAAGAGTGCACAGAGAGGAAGTTATTTGGTCTCTACTGCTGGAGTTCTGAGAGATCGCCAGTCCCTTTATGACCCCTAGTCAGAGCAGGTCATTTGCTTCTGTCTCCCGAGCCAGAAAAGTAGCACTCGGGCAACTAAGTCGTAAGTTGCGACTTGCTGGTCATTGAAAACAGCTCCGGACCTTCAACAGCCAGGAGAGAAATTTTGGAGCTCCTTGAAAACTCACTATGGGAATTCTCATGAGCTTCTGGGCATAAGATGGAACCAAGTTGTATTGGCCTTCTCTGCCAACAAAGAGAGAAGAGGCCACCCAACACGAATAGAATTTGTCCGTAGCTGCGCACTTCGGCACTCATGAGTTTCCGAGGGATATTAAAAAGGACAGCTAATGCTGTCAAGCTACTTATACGGTGGTACTTGCTTTGCGCGCATGAGTCGAGGTTTTGTGCTTGGACACGGAGTTCTCGCTGAAAGCCTAGCCGGCACAGGCCTCCCCGTATTGTGCGACTGAAGACGAAAATTTAAGCTTTTCATCTGGCACGCTCTCTAGGTGGTGTGGTGGGTCTCTGTTCTTGCGGAGGTCGATGCAAATTGCTTCCCTCAAACCTTGATAGTTAGCACATGCTGTCATAAGCCACGGATGTTGTCAAAACCTTAAGAACATGAATGGGAGGCATGACTCACTTTTATGAGCCTAAGACGAGAGACCATCAAGTTGTCTCAATAATGATGCTGACACTTTTGCACTTTTCCCGCCACCCGCTTTCCTTGAACTTGTGCTACGGAATGTGCAGCCGGGGGCTTTGGATCTTCTAAGTTGCAGCAGGTCCTGCTGGTCGTTCATGCAGCAGTTTCAGATCTTTTGCGGACCAATACATGTAATGGAAAAAGTTTGGGCCGCGAACTGGTACTTCTTTGAGAGGAATTGATATACTATGGGCTTTTCATGCGCCGATGCCTCTCTGTCGTTTCCGCCAACTGAACTTGCTACCTTCCTTCAGGTTTATACTCTCTACTATAAGGAAACATCTCTTTCACTGTAGATGGTGAAGCCTATATTCATGCTTCCCCCTAAAAAAAAGCCGAAAGTTGTATCGAATCGCAGCTGAAGTCCGTAATTCGGGGTAATAGCCGACCCTGGATCAATCGAGCCGACGGTACAATAGGCAAAAATACCGATAACATGCCAGCTTTAACGCTTAATGAAGCGCTGCCAAACTTTCAACAGTCATACGATGCTGCTGAAAGTGTGTCCTTCATTGCCGGCCTAATAATTTGTTACGCATGTGTCATTATCTGTTGCGCAGCGCGCCTTTACCTGAAGGCAACTAAATCCGAGATGCTTCTCGATGACTGTCAGTCTATCGTGACTCCAGATTGATGATTATTGATGCTGATGATCCACTGATAGGGCTCTGCTTAGTTTCTTGGGTATGGATATGCTATTATCAGGACATGTCTGCTCCGTCGGGTCTTTTGCTGAATGTAGACTATGCTAAGACCTGCTACTGTGTTTAGATCTTTGTTACCGGAACTTTTGTTACTGGTGTAATGGGTAAGACATGATGTCCCATCAAGCGAAAATTCTCTTGAGTTGCTTCATTCCTTGATGAAGCTTGATGACCTGACAAAGGCATCCAGGCTGGGAAAACGGATTGGGCCTACATGAGTGGGATGTTACCGAGGACATGTATATTAATTCTACCAAGGTGAGATCCATAATTCCTTCTTTTTTTTTTATCAAGCCACCCGTCAGTACTAATCAGAAAAGTGGACATATTTCGCCAGCGTCTTCTACATTCCCTCCGTTCTTACAGTCAAAGTCGCAATACTCCTTCTGTATGCGCGCTTATTCGCTGTGAAGCGTTTTGTGGTCATTTCAATTCACGTTTTTATTGGCCTTATAATAGCCACTTTGCTGCCAATACAGTGTCTCAAAATAGCAGTATGTCGGCCAATTGCCGTGTACTGGGAGCTTTCGCTCTGGCCAGATCGATTAAAAGGAAGATGTGTTGACCAGGACAAGTTGTTCAAAGCAGACGTAATGGTATCAATGGTAACCGATATCGTATTGCTTTTGATACCACTGCCTTTGGTCTTCCCTCTAAAATTTTCCTTTTGGAAAAAGGTCAGAATTTTCTTATCGCTTACAACCGGTGGAGTGGCAGCCGGAGTTACCACATACAAAGCAGTCGTTGTCTTTGAAGAGCGGGTAACGACAGATAAAACATTCAACTTGGGCGTCTTAGCGATGCTAAGGTATGTTGGCGTCCCACTGTTTTGATTTATCGAAGCGACTTGAAGCTAATAAGTACGCGATACTTCTAGCACCGTGGAACTCACTATTTGCATTCTCTGTGCTTGCCTACCAAGCATCAGCGCCCTGGTAGAACGTTTTCGAAGGCGTGTAACAGATCCCAACAGACCGAGAACAGGCTTCAGTCAAAAGAAGAAGAAGAAGAAGAGGCATCATTTTTACAGCCATGTTCTGTCTAGGCTGAAGACAGAGGTGGTCACTGGCATCACTTTATCGACGTTTGACACTGAGCTGGCAGACATATCGGGGCGGCCGACACCCCCTGAAAAGGCTGTGGTACAGGGCAATAAGGAAACCGGCCGTTGCTTGCGACTGGACGCGAGACGCGGAAGAGACGAAGGTTGGCTGGTACCAGTCGAAGACCTGAATGTCCGTGAAGGAATCGTACCCTTGACAATATCAAATTCAACCTTTTCACTCAGGGACATGAACCATGTTCAGTGGCATGGCACGGTATGGGATGGTAACAGTGAAGTCCGGATAGGCATTGCGGACACAAATCATGCAGAAAGAGAACAGGCTGCTCTGGACGTTCGACTACTTCGAAATTGAATCTTCTTTAGGCAGTCATAGGATCACCTCTAGAAATAAAGCAGACAGGTCATCGTTTACTGTTCTCTCTTTGGCGTAAACTGACATAGAGCCCAACGATGCTACCTAGCACTTAAAAGAATAGGCAGGATCCATCCGCATGCATTCAATGCAGGGACAATTATGCTGCAGGCAATGAGTGCCCATCGTTGTCACTTTGAGAGCACCGACAACAGTGGGGATGGTTTCGGACAATGCCTGTTTCCATCTGGCAAAATCAGATATGATCCCCCTGTATCAGAAGAATACGACGGTATCTTCACTTATCGCCAGCCCTTGCTCAACTGTTATCGTGGTGCCGGGCCGTTCGCGAGCCATGAGGTAAGTGGGTTCTTGGCGCTAAAGGTCGGCCTTCCCCGGCAGCGTTTTTTTCGCTGATCAGTACCATTTCGCGCTATCGCAAATGCCGATTCACAGCAGAACAGACCGTGAGGGACGACTCCACCCACACATATATACATACCATGTCTGCTCTTCTGACCAGTACGGCTTCCTGACCGAGCATATTCCCAAGCCGTGGCGACTTCGTGATGGCGACTTCTAAATTTCGAGAATACTTCAAAGCGGAGTATCAGCCTGGCGAGCGGCTGCTGGTGCAGAAGGTTGATTTCTTCATCCTTACGTTCTGCTGTCTGAGCTACTTCATGAACTATGTAAGCCAGACCCAACGCATATCCTTATGAGACTCCTATCTCCGGCCTGACGTCTTCAACCACAACAGCTCGATCGCTCCAACCTCGCAAATGCCTACGTATCGGGCATGAAGGAGGAGCTGGACTTCGTCGGCAACCAATACAATCAGATCAACACGTGCTTCACCGTGGGCTACGTCCTCGGCCAGATCCCATCCAACTTGTCGCTGCACTATGTCCGCCCCCGGGTTTTCTTTCCTTCTATGATGGTTGTATGGGCCGGGTTGACAATGGTCACCTCCTCTGTGCACGACCCTCGTTCGATCATGGCGATTCGATTCTTCCAAGGGATTGTCGAGGCCAGTACTTTCGTTGGTACCCATTACATCCTCGGTGCTTGGTATACCGAGCGAGAACTTGGGAAACGAAGCGGCATCTTTACAGCATCGGGCCTAGCTGGAACCCTGTGAGTTGACCCGAGTACACAGTCGTGAAGCACCAAATACTGACACATCTGTCACAAGAATCGGGGGTTTCATCCAAACAGGAATCCATGAGAGTATGGATGGGCTCCGTGGACTAAGCGGTTGGCGATGGCTATTCATAATCGACGGTCTATTGACTCTGCCTGTCGCCTTATATGGCTTCTTGGTATTCCCAGACACGCCGGCTACGACAAAAGCCTTCTACCTTAGCGAGAGCGAAAGAGCTCTGGCGCAAGCCCGCGTCCCAGAGGTACAAGACCGCAGCCCTATGACTTGGAGATTTGCAGGAAGAGTCCTCACGTCTTGGTACTGGTGGGGCTTCGTCGTACTCTGGATCATCGCAGGCGAGACAGAATCCTTCAGCACCAACTCATTGCTGGCTCTATACATGAAAAGTCACCCGACGAACAATTACACAGTGGCTCAGCTGAACAACTATCCCACTGGTGTACCAGCCATCGGGATTGTATCCACGCTGTTCTGGGCAACATTGACCGATTTCTTGAACGGAAAAAGGTATCTCGTTGGCTACTTCATCGGCATCACAGGCATCGTGACATCTGCAATGATCCTCGAAGCAGCCAAAGACCCGATGAGCTCTAGATCAACAGCCGTAGTCTTCGGCGCATATTACTGGGCCGGTGTGGTCTATGCGTGTCAAGCAACTTTCTTCGCGTGGTGCAACGACGCCATGAGATATGAGGAGCCCGTGTTCCGCGGTGTGGTTCTCGCTGGCATGAACCTGGGCAGTAACTCTGTCAATGCTTGGTGGTCTATCATATTCTATGGTGCGTCCATGGCGCCGTGGTTCAATGTAAGTATCCCAACTAGCCGTCGTCATGAGAAACAATTGACTGATATTGGCTCAACACTCAGCACGGTATGTGGGCTATGATCGCTGTCTCTATAGCACTTGCGATCTGGTGCGCCGGATTGTCCTGGTTCCACCACAGAGACGATCTCAGGAGGAGAGTCGAAGGTGTCGGTCAAGACGCAGGCAGCAGACAAAATGTGGAAGGTACGGGAGCGAAGTTTGTAGACTGAGGTAGCCAGATAGAAAAGTTCCGACTAAAATCAGAACAAGCTTATGATCAGTCATCACATGAACATCCACAAGGCTCTATTCTTGACCTGAAGACCACAACTTGGACAGCTCAAGCATCAGAAAACGACATTGACGTTCTGATTTATATAGTGGGATTAATAAATGAAGGCCCGTCCTGTGACAAGACTCTTGATACAGTGCGCAGCTATGACAGGGTCTGCAAAACCCGCTGGACCATTGCTATAACCTTCTCTTCCTGCAATCTCCGACCAACCAACTGCAGACTGATAGGTATTCCATTAACAACATCCGGTTCATCTATGGTTTCGTCAATATTCAAGGAAGGCTCGTAATGGGATCGCACTGACTCACATTCAGCATGAGTTGTTTTGCAGATCGCGCTCAATGGCTCATGTCCATTCTGCAAGGGCACATCGATCTGCTTGTCTGCCGAGATTCCGGTCGGGAAAGAGATGCAAGAATAGTCCAGCACGTTGAAGACCCCGGTGTAACCAACTTGAGTGACATTAGCAAGTGAAGCCGCCAAGTTCTTGGTGGGAAAAACTGCTTCCACTTACCATACTTGAAACCCCCGCTCCGTACAGAGCTGTAGGGCGTCGTTGGGCAAAGAATTGCGTCAATTCCCGCGTCATTCCACCTATCCAAGTAACGCTTCTGAAATTCTGTTCTTTCAAGGTGGAGTTGCCACATGTCGTAAGTCCCCAGCTCTTTTGCGTTCGCATAGTCCTGCATCTCGGGCCGCATAGGTTCTCCAGTACGGTCAAGTTCTTTACGGATGGAAATCGCTCCATCTGCGAGGAACATGCGCCCCAAGAGACTTACACCCTGGGCTTGATCCTTTGGATCCCAGGCCACTATTTCATGTCCTGCCGCTTGCAGCTTCTCCACTGTTGTTCGAAGAGCTCGCAAGACCGGAGGCGTCGGGGTTACAACTCCATCGTTCCACATCACTGCAATCTTCAATTTCTCGGGCAGATTCTCATCTCTCCATGGAATGGGAAGCATGCGCGGGTCATGGAGCCACGGCTGCGCGTCCACGACCGTCCGAGCTTCAAGCAAAATGTCATCGATCGTCCTCGCCATGGGCCCATTCACGCTCTGCACTGCTTCTTGGCCGCTCATGCCGCTTCGGCATTTGAGTGTCGGGAAACGCCCAAAGCTGGGCCTCAGCGTGAAGATCCCAGTGCAAGCCGCGGGGATTCGAAGACTACCACCAATATCCGTTCCAACACCCAGGCAGCTACCCTTGAACGAGATCAGGGCGGATTCACCGCCGCTGCTCCCGCCGGAGGTCAGCTGCCTATTGCGCGGATTGACAGTGCGGCCGAAGACGTTGTTAACAGACTCGGCAATCATCATCGCGGTGGGCACATTCGTTTTCACGTAAAATACAGCGCCGGCCTCCTCAAGTATGGTAGCCAGCGTGGAGTCGTAGGCTGCCGGATTGTCGACATGGCTGGCGAATCCCACCGTGGCATCAAGACCTTTGAGGTTGAAGTTGTCCTTCAATGATACGGGTAGCCCGTGCAGTGGCCCGACAGGCTTCCCCGTGCGAGCCAGATGTTCATCACGGGCCTTGGCTGTCTCCAGTGCACGAGAAAAACATGTTTCGGAGAGACAATTCGTCTGCAGCATGGTCAGTGAGAAGTTATCGTCGCAAATACGTTGGACACATACAAGCAGGTGCGCAGCTGCTGCTCTTTTGCAAAATGCTTTGGTGACAGTGACAGACTGAAGAGCACCAGAGGCGATTTTTGGGACAAGCTCGGAAGCAGTAAGCTCGGTGATGGCAAGCTCTTCAGCCGTGAACCAGCCAGAAGTCGTTGGCCATGTTGTCACATCGTCTTGAGAGTCTGGAGGCAGCAGTTCCGCCGGCACGCGCCACTCTTCCGGTATGGAAGCCAGGAGTGCCGCCCTCTTACGTGCTCCTATTTCTTCCCAGGTTTCATTCTTGTCCGGCTTGGCAGAAGGGGTAGGTGGGCCTGTGCTGCTTGTCACAGCCTGGGTGTCGTGTTGGAGAGTCATCTTTCAAAGTTTAAATTTGGGGGTGTAATACAGTACTGATGCTCGCGAAAACAATTTCGAAGCCAATGACGCACACTGGGATGGACAGGGACTTGATGCATCTTCGAAAGAAGGACCAGCGCTTTAGCGGCAGCCGGCCGTGCCGGCGTAATTGTACCGGCTAGTGCCCGCGGGAATAAAGACGCCGGCGTATGACGAACTCGGCCGCCCGTTTAGCTATCAGAAAGGAGCCAGCAAGCCGATGACCGGCCCGTTGGTAGAGCGGGGGACACCATGATCCCAACACGATCTATAGGTTTGGCAAGATAACAAGATCGATGTGTAGCAGGTTCCACCCTATTTTTGTCTCCAAAAGCAGTCGAGTGTTATCGCTGCGGCGGACTCCGGAGTGCCCACATGATAACAAGTAACAAAATCCGGCAAGGTGCTCAATAGACAATAATCTCTCCTTGGCAATAGCAAAGGGTGGGGATGAGAGAGGAGTTTTGGAAGGTGAATGGGGATATCATATGAGATGAGGCTAGGGGACATCTCTCAAGTACATCATTCCTCCTTAATCAGGCAGCTTGAGTAATGAGACAGTACGAGGGATTGATAACTCATGAGGTGTCTCGCGTCTTTCTATTGTACTCTTTAAGCTCCTACCATTCAATCTTCTGGAACCTCTCATAATATCATGCTGCGCTCCTCCAATGTGCAGACTCGAAGGGATTGGGATGTCCCCCTTCTCACCAGATCTGCAGAGCGTCTCGGGCTCTGCCTTGGAAGGATACTTTCCCGTCGAAGATCTGTGGAAGTCCAAAGACAATTGTTAGTTTAGATGCAATTATGCATTGTGTTTCAAAAAGGAAAAGACAGAAAGAAGAACACGCTGCAATTCTCAAATCAAGCGCGAAGCATAAAGTTGTAAATAATTGATTCAGAGACTATTATAAACCAAGTGCTCTGGACTGGCGAGATGGATTCTTACCTTCCATAGAAAGGACTCAGCACAGAAACAGTTTCTTCGATCCAATCGTATTTTTTGAGTCGCCGAATATGTATACTGGCATTTTATTGCGTCTCTTCCCCTAGCAACACCAGCCTGACAATATGAGACATTTCGGGCGATGTTAGACAAACCACACTAGCCTTGTAGCACAAAAGGGTAAGACCGCAGTTATATGGATTATGCGCACAAGACTATCTAGCTATTTGGAAATAGCTTGCGAAATAGCTTATCGTTTTGAACATTAGGGAAGATGTAGTCACGATACTAAACCTGGCCCACTTCCGTGGCTGTCATCGAACGTTTGGGCGATATCGAATATAATGAAATGTTCGTAGTTACTGACGCAGAAAGTGACCCGGCTTCTTATATCGCTGCTTTCCGTTGTAAAAATAAAATTGCACCAAGGTCTTCAAGTCGACAATCCCGACAGAGAGGACCTTTTAAATTTAGTAGTTATTCAAACTTGATTATATAGGAAATACATGGATGTCTGCTATCTAAGCAGGCAACTCAGCAATAGGAGAAGCCCTGGCTGATACCCTCCGAGCATACGGTGGGGCGGGGGCGGGAGCAAGGTCTCCCCTCATAACCATCCCATCTTGCCATGACGCCGATGATTTATGCGATACTGTTCCTTGGGAGAAATTTGTGCTGACAGGCGACGAGACTGAGACTACACTTCCTCGTAGCCATGCCTCACTGGCCACGCGTCTCGGAGACTGCAGCGATGGTCGGCCCTCAAGTTCCCGAGGCGATGATGCCGAATAGTTCTCGCGCCAGGCGGCCGGGTCATACATCGACACAGTCTGAGATTGGGATCCTTGATTTCCGGGGCCGTCGAACATCTCACGGACACTGTCCGTTGCCGGATTGAATCTTTCGTCGCCGTCAGGTTTTGGCAGCTTCCGTCGATGATACCACATCAAGGTAGAGATGATGAACAGTATGAATAGTATTCCACCTATCGAGGACCCGATAGCTATCCCGGCGACCTGCGCGGATCCTAAACTTGCTTGGGGACTTTGAGTTGCGGCAGACGCCTGTGTTGTTGAGGATGTGGTGCTAGTAGAGCGTGATGTTGTTGACAGGGTCGATGGTACTGTGGCTGTGGACAAAAGGGCAATTAGATTCATTCCCTGAGGGCAAGGTAGGCTTGATCCCTCATATCGTGGTACTGCTTACTTGCTGATGGCGTTGTTGCTCCAGGTACGGCAGGGACACCGACTGTGCCCCCGGAGAGACCACACTTGGTATTTCCTCCTGACTGGATACAGGTCGCTCCAACACCATAGCAACTTCCATCTCCGCAATCGACGGGAAAGAGAATGGGACAGTCGCTTTGACGCTTATGAAAAGGGGCTGAGATAATGAATTCTGTAGCTGGCGTCATCTTTCAAGACTTTTTGGGGCGAACAGATGGATATGGACCACCTGCAGCCAGTTCTGAAAGAACCTACGAGGTGAGAGCGACGATTACTGAGGCAGCCCTCTTGACTTATCTGGCTCATGAGAACTGCGGCGATTACGTCTAGACTGCTCCCCCGTGCAGCAGTTCCGGGCGTTCCTGAACCGGCACTAGGATTTGGCACGACATCATCGCGATATAGCTTGACATCCAAGGCTATAGTCTGCACTGTAGCCCTACAACGATTGGGCAGACGTCACCTGGCCATGTTCTCTGCTCTCAAATTACCTCAAAGGGACTGGCAGCGGGAGCACGATCGGTCGAACGCCCACCATGTTCTGTGAGTGCTTCAGCCCATGCCCATGTAATGTCCCAGCTGATTGGATCTCGCAGATGACGGCAGTTTGGGAGGATGCAGCACGACGGGACGGCCCACCGAGGCTTATGGTCTCCCATGTGAAGTTGAAAGCGCGGCAAATGCTCCGGAGCTTAGCAGCCCTGGCGGACCATTGTGGCTATCGGTGTCTCAGAATCAGCCTGCTAGTATATTGGAACGCATGCTATTGACATGGACAACTCCGGTAGAGCCTCCTGGCGGGTTCGTCTGATACTGATCATTATTTCATGCTCAATTGCTGCCCCAATGGGCCTAGACCGATCGGTGTAAACAGCTATGACGAGTGGGCTGCTGTGTGGGGGGTGTTGGAGAGTCGGAGTGGGGGATGGCTTTCACCTCCGCCTCCGCCTCCGGTGCGTTGGGCGGTGGAACAATATGTTGAAGCGTACTTACGCAACACTTTGAATCTTTGGCTATGAATGGTAGGCCGACATTCTGAAAGGCACACCCGACAGTGAAGTACGCTTGTCAAGCTCCAATGGGGCTTTGGAGTACTATGCTTGCTTGTCAAGGATGAAGGTTACATTGAACGTGAGACGATGGAGTAGAGGACGGCAGGGCAGAAACAGAGGCAGAACATCGACTCGGGTCGTGGACGGTAAGCAAATCGAGCAGGAGCTCCCATGCTTGACCTTGATCGTCTGCTAGATGCCTACTCCGCGCGCAAGTTGATGTGGGCTCGCTTTCGCACCGAGTGAGGTCTGTTTGTTGTTTGGTGTGCCGTGTAAACACTGATCCGCTATGGAGTGATCTATTTTGAGAGACAGGGCTAAGGTGAAAGACATTTCTGGCAGAGTAGCAACGCTTGAATAGTAGATTCAAAAATTCAAAAATGCCCCGCTTGGCTGTCCGGTTGGCATTGGATACAGCATGGATCGGGTAAGTTAGTACGGGTTGCAAGAGTCAGGTCACTCGCGGCTGACAGTATAATAAACTTTGGGCTTTAAATCGATCCAGAGGAAAAGCCAAGATGGTCCCGTCTCGAAACTTTGAGCTAGATGGAGTTTGCCCATTGCTCCAGTCCCTGGGGAATGGCCCACTTATCAAACGTATGTGAGGGCCGGCAGCTGTGTGTAGACATCGGCAGAAGGACGTGATGTGGCGTGTCATGTTGTGTTGGTCGGCGCTTCGCTTCAATCTTGCAGATCAGCCGAGGCCTACGGGAGGAGTGGGCCTGGATCGGTGGAGCGTTTGAGCCGTGCCGAGTCCATGTCCGCCGGAGAGAGGAACGGAGGAGGTAAGAGCCAGGGGCTGGCAGTCGTACAGTACACGTATTTTTTGAGCCTGAGCGGCCACAGAACCAAAGAAAACAGCAGGGTGAGCTGATCTGATCTGACCAGATCTACATAAAGTGTAAGATTTTGGTCTGTTGAGTCCGTTTGGTCCGTTTGGTCCGTTTGGCCAGTTTGAGCCGTTTGGGCTATCTAACCGGTTTGGATGGGTTCTTGGTGTTCGGGGCGGATGATTAGTCTTCTCACCTCCCGGTTCCAGGGTTGCGCCTCCCTGCCTCCCTGCCCGCCTGCACGTCAAGCAACGTCAAGGACGTCAGCCAGGTGGACCCGGCCCTACCGACGACCTCGGCAGGTGCGACCCTGCCGTGGGATGTAACCCTACCACCCTACCTCGCCTACCTCCTGTTGTGCAGGTGCAGCCTATGGAGATCCTAGACTACCAAGCAGCCACGGCAGCCACGCTGCTGCCCACGCTGCTGCGGTTCGCACACGTCGCTGCCGGTGCTACCTCGCACCTAAAAAAGTCGTCACCCTTGTGTCGTTCATTCCACCCAACCATCCACCGACTCAGATTGTTGGAACTGTGAAACCGCTCGCTGGCTGGGCAGCAGTAGCAAAAGCATCCACCCATCTGCATATGCACATGTTCCCGACGGCCTTTTCAGCTCCATCGTATCGACCCCGTCGGAGTTTGATTACTCTCTTCCCTGCCAAATCCGTCTCCGTTCCCACACTTCCTGGGCACAGCAATTAGTCCAGTCAATATCGTGGCTGCGATGTAGATACGCGCAGAGCCAGCAGACAGATTGAGGTGAGGATTCGCGAGGTGGTGCTATGTCATGTACAGCAACTCTATCTCAACGTTAGCGTCAGCATTGCATGATGCCATGATGCTGCACAGGGGCTGCCGAGGATCCCTGTGGATCTAGAGAGCGCCGCCTGTCGTCCACAGCCAATGACACCGGCCATGTTTGCTATACCATGCCATTTTGTCTATCTTTCATTGTTTCCAAGCCCCAGCGCTGGCCCGTCTGCATGATTTTCAACGCCGAGACCCAGCCAATATATAACACTTTGCCCATCACCTCAACCAGCCGGCCGTGTCCCTCTCATACCACCCCATAACTCACCTCAATTCCATTGTCCTCACTCCGCACGAGGGACACGGAACAACATGGCAGACAACACGGTGCCCATTCCACAACCCCCAGGGCTGCCGCTCCTGGGGAACATCAATGATATCAACCCAGAGTTCCCTCTGGGATCCATGATCAATATGGCAGACAAATACGGCGTACGCTTGCTCATGAGTATTCAATTAACCTCGCCGAGGCCTCATTACTGACACCACTGACAGGAGATCTACCGTCTGAGTCTCCCCGGTAGAAGCGTGGTCGTTGTGTCAACTCAGGCACTGGTCAACGAGGTCTGTGACGAGAAGCGCTTCAAGAAGGACGTCGCCAGGGTTCTGGAGGAGGTGAGGGCGGGTGTCCACGATGGGCTCTTCACAGCACACGCCGAGGAGCCAAACTGGGGCATTGCTCACAGGGTCCTCATGCCCGCCTTCGGCCCAATGAACATCCAGGCCATGTTTCCCGAGATGCACGATATCGCGAACCAATTGGCTATGAAGTGGGCTCGCCACGGCCCAAACCAGCCCATCATGGTCACCGACGATTTCACAAGGCTCACTCTCGACACCCTGGCCCTGTGCTCAATGGATTTCAGATTCAATTCATTCTATCATGATGAGATGCATCCTTTCATTGAAGCAATGGGGGCTTTCCTTGTCGAGTCGGGTAACAAGACGAGACGCCCGCCTTTCACGTCCATCTTCTACCGCGAGGTCGATAGAAAGTATGAGCGGGACATTGAGGTCCTCAGAAAGACGGCCGACGACGTTCTCAAGGCCAGGAAGGAGAACCCTACAGACCGAAAGGATCTTTTGAACGCTATGCTGAACGGGAAGGACCCCAAAACCGGACAAAAGATGTCTGATCAGTCCATCACAGACAATCTCATCACCTTCCTAATCGCTGGTCACGAGACCACCTCAGGAATGCTGTCATTTGCATTCTACAACCTGCTCAAGAACCCAGAGGCATATCGCAAGGCCCAAGAGGAAGTGGATGAGGTTGTTGGGAGTGGGCCCATCACCGTCGATATGGTGAAGAAGCTGCAATATATCCAAGCCACTCTGAGGGAAACGCTCAGACTCACTGCCACCATTCCAACCATCTCAGTGAAACCACTCCAAGATACAGTGCTGGCTGGCAAATACGCAGTGGGTGCTAATGAGTCTATTGCACTACTGGTAGCCAAGTCTCAGCTCGATCCCGCGGTCTTTGGCGAGACCGCTCAGGACTTCATCCCGGACAGAATGCTTGAGGATGACTTCAACCGCCTCAACAAGGAGTTCCCAAACGCCTGGAAGCCCTTCGGAAATGGTATGCGGGCTTGCATTGGCCGGCCGTTCGCATGGCAGGAGGCGGTACTAGTCATGGCCATGCTGTTGCAGAACTTCAACTTCATGCCAGACGACCCGAACTATCATCTCAGTATTCAGCAGACACTGACCATCAAACCAAAGGACTTCCGCATGCGGGCTTCACTTCGCCATGGCCTGACTCCGACACAGCTGGAGCACCGTCTCAACGGAACAACAGCACCCCCAACGCCTCTAGAAAACTCAGTGGCTAGTTTGTCATTGCAATCGGGCCAAAAGGCGAAGGGCAAGCCAATGGCCATCTTCTATGGGTCAAACAGCGGCACTTGCGAGGCCCTCGCTCAACGACTTGCCTCAGATGCGCCCAGTCACGGCTTCAGCGCCGCAATTGTCGATTCTCTTGACGCCGCAAACCAGAACCTACCGACTGACAAGCCTGTCACTATCATCACCGCTTCATACGAAGGTGAGCCACCAGACAACGCTGGCCTCTTCTGCAACTGGATCCAAGGTCTCAAGGGCAATGAGCTGGAGAATGTATCATATGCAGTGTTCGGCTGCGGCCACCATGACTGGTCCTCGACCTTCCACAAAATCCCTAAAATGTGTGACGCCACCATTGAAAAGTTTGGCGGAGCAAGAATCGCGCCTCTCGGAGTCGCTGACGCCGCGGACGGTGACATGTTCACCAAATTTGAGTCTTGGGAGGACGAGGTCTTCTGGCCAGCGATGAAGGAGAAATACGGAATCGAAGCAGATGAGCAGGATGGAGAAGGTCTTCAAGGTGGCCTCTCTGTGGAAATCTCCACCCCTCGTTCTTCCACTCTTCGCCAAGATGTGAAGGAGGCTGTTGTTATCGCAGCCCACGAGCTCACCTCCCCCGAGGCTCCTACCAAGAAGCACATTGAGATCCAACTGCCCAGCGACATGTCGTACTCAGCAGGCGACTACTTGGCGATTCTCCCTATCAACCCTAAGGAAATTGTCCACCGAGCCCTACGCCGCTTCCAGTTGCCATGGGATGCTCACATCACTATCAGCAGTCAAAGCCAGACGACCCTGCCCACAGGCTCATCCGTTCCGGCATCAGACGTCCTCGGTGCCTATGTCGAGTTGGCTCAGCCTGCGACAAAGCGCAGCATTGCCGCCTTAACTGAGGCTACCAAGGACCAAGACACCATAGACGCGCTTCAGCGTTTGGCCGGAGAGGACTATCTCTCTGAAGTCAACGCCAAGCGGCTGTCAGTCCTAGACCTCCTGGAGAAGTACCCTACCGTCGAGCTCCCCTTCGCCGCTTTCCTCTCACTGCTCCCGCCCATGCGCGTCCGCCAATACTCCATCTCATCTTCACCGCTTTGGAACCCTAGCAACCTCACCCTGACCTACGCTGTCCTCGACGCCCCGGCGCTGTCCGGCACAGGCCAGCGCTATATTGGTGTCGCCACGAGCTACCTTGCCAGCCTCGAGCCAGGCGACAAGCTGCACGTGGCGATACGGCCGTCGCACGCCAGCTTCCACCTACCGGTGGACAGCGAAAAGACGCCAGTGCTGTGCATCGCTGCGGGGTCCGGGCTCGCACCGTTCCGCGGCTTCATCCAGGAACGCGCGGCGATGCTGGGTGCGGGCAGAAAGCTCGCGCCCGCGCTCCTCTTCTTTGGCTGCCGCAGCCCAGAGCAGGACGATCTGTACCGCGAGGAGTTTGACAAGTGGGAGGCGGCTGGCGCGGTGGATGTGCGCCGCGCGTACAGCCGTAAGCCTGACGCCAGCGAGGGCTGCGCTCACGTGCAGGACCGGCTGTGGCAGGACCGCAAGGAGGTACAAGAGCTATGGGAGAAGGGCGCCAAGGTCTTTGTGTGTGGCAGCCGGGGCGTTGGCGATGCCGTGAGGGAGGTGGCCATCCGAATGTATGTGGATGGCGCCAAGGAGAACCACGGCAAGGAGATGAGCGTCGAGGAAGCGACAGAAAAGTTTGATGCGGTGAGGAATGAGAGGTACGCTACTGATGTGTTCGACTGAACATGCAATTTCATTGGATTATGAGTTGAATTTAGATACCGGATAAGCAGGTTTGGCTTGGATCGGAGTTCTCAGATTGGATGGAGTAATTTCATACGCTTTAATAAGAATAAGCTTGTCTCTACTGATCAACATCATGGCCGTGACTTGGACTGGTGAGCCCTGAACTCCTCTAGGAGCTTCTCCTTGCTCCAACCTTCCTCCAGGCCCTTCACAGCAACATCGAGCTCGGACACGGGAGCCAGACCGCCCGGCCGGGGAGGATTGTTGTCGAGATTCGTAGGGAACGCGTAGCCCTCGCAGATGGCACACAACAGCGCCTCGACTTCGTCACTCATGCCCTCCCGCCCGTGCCGCGCGACGAGCTCGTCCCAGCAAGCGTCCAGCAGCGGCAGCGCGTCCACGGACTCCATCGGCTTACCGAACGGACTGCTGACCTGCAGGAGGTTCGCCATACGATTGACGTCAGCGCTGACGTTCTCGCCGGCGGCGTGGAACAGGGCCGGGTTGAAGAAAACCCCGTCGCCGGTCTCGAGCGGCAGGGCGACGTAGTGCTCCTGGAAGTAGTCGACGAACTCCTGGCGGCGGTATGCCATGTAGCCCTCCTCGAACGCCTGCGAGAAGGGCAGCAGGCGCGTGGGCCCGCTCTCCAGCGGCACGTCGACGTGGGCGACGGCGCCCTGCAGCGTGAGGAACTGGCTCGCGACGTGCATGGCGCGCGGGACCTGCGCGGCGCCCTCGGCCGTCTGGAACCCCAGGTGGTAGTCCCTGTGGCAGACCTGCGCCTTGGACCCGGGCTTGACGTTGTTGGCCTGCGCGGTGATGCGGTAGCCCCGGCCCAGCCAGGCCGACGAGATGAGCCCGATGAAGGGGTTGCTGTAGTAGGCGGCGAAGGAGGCCGGGTCGGCGAGCGCGTGCTTGCTGAACGAGTTCCAGATGCGGTCGTTCTTGCCCGCCGCCGCGAAGTGGTCGCCCTGCGAGACGCCGCCCTCGCGCTCCTGCTCGATGATGGAGTAGAAGGCCTTGGTCGCCCGCTCCAGGAGGGGCTTGTCGCGGAACAGGCCCTTGGTCACGAACACGCCTGGGCCGCTGTGCAGGATGTTGTACCACTCGTCTTGGAGGGCACTGCGCTGGGTGGTCGGCAGCGTGGAGAAGGGCGGGAGGTTGTAGATAGGCACATTGCTGTCGATGGTTGCTGCTAGAGGGTATTGCTCGCGCGTCGCCCTCTGTGAGCATATGGCTGCGAGCTGGTCCAGGGACGGTGCCTCATTGAGGGCGAAGAGGCGCCTCAGCGACCCTCGAGTCGGGGGCGATGCATTTCTGATCACCTTTTGTGCTGCTGCTGCTGCCGCCATATTGGAGTGTTCATGTTGTTCTTGGATGAAGGCTCATCCATCATTGAGAAGGGGACAGGGCTGGTCTATTATATGCGGCGTACGTTCATCGCAGCTTTCCTTGCGCGGGGCTCCTCGTCGATTTGATCCTTATTCGGTCGACACCCTGTTGGGTGTGAGTGCAGCCATTGCAGGTTTCCACTCTCGGCCCGAGATCCGTTTTGCGGGGTGCTGTGCGGCTCTTGACCAGTTCAGGGGCTTCTCGGCGATCGCAGCCTGCCTAGTTATTCGTTGTTCACTCCCTTATGCTCTTGAGGCAGTCTATATGTGGTACATCGACCTAGACATAGTCGAAGTTGTCACAATGTAATAAGCAGGAGCGTCGACAACACTAATAAGACACAAATGGAGATCCTCTGTCCAAGGCTGACACAGCAGACAGCATCGCGTCAGGTCAAAGAGAACATTTGTCAGTTCTCAAGAGCATCACGCTGTCGTTCTCTGTTCTTCGTTTTCTCAAGACTTCATCATCCTATTCCGATTTATGTGAAAAGGACGGAGCACGAGCTAGGATTACAGGCTGCCTGAGACATAATCACCCTCTTCTACCTCATGAAATTGCTCTTCCACGAACTTTTCTGACCCTGTATGCCTTTCAAGGATGTCTTCTCGGCCATAAACTATTTTGTGACTACCAAATGCCTGCTTGAGCGATCTTTACCACTGTGGAAACTTTGGTGTTGTTGATCGAGCCTTTCGTGTGACTTGCATTTTATACACACCCCACCGGGTTGGGTTTATCCGGAAAATGAATTCCAGAATGTTGATTCAAGACCCGGGAAATGGATTCCAGAACCACCACTTAATACCAAGTGTCCCCAGTCTTCCGATGCCTCGGTCCTGATCGCCTAGCTTCGCCATTTTCGTGGTCTCTGTGCGGCTTGTGCTAGATCTACCTCTGGAACCAACCTTACTCCGTAAACGACAGTTGGCCGCAATCAAGAAACCATTTATCTTCCGGTCAATAGGAAAGCAGATGTTTCCTGGGGCAAGGAGATATCTCTATGGCGGATTGAATATGTCCTGAAACGCGACATTCGGGGCCCCAAGCAGATGAGATCTTATAACAATGAGAGCAACGGACAATGTATAGATTTCCAAAAGCACCCCTGCCATCCAGATTCATATAACAAGCTTTGGTGGGAGTGTCCTACGCACGAACAAAATTCTCGACCAAGACCACAAGCCCTTCCTGTTTCACAGTTTGTATTATTTACCGAGGTTTCCTGAACTGTGCATATTTATATCCAAATGTTTCAGATTCCAAAGCTGCAAGACACTACCGTCTGAATTTCTAGCCCACTTATTGATCGGTACACGGCACCCATACCTGGATGTGATTGTGAAGCCATAATGTATAGCAGAACTATCAGTAGCATTGAGTGAGTCGAAAGCAATATGATGTTTTGCAAAATCGCCTAACAACTCGAGTTTCTGAGGCAATGTCCACCTTCAGGTCTCAAGCATCGACAGGCAAACATGACTACATAGTCAAACTCGTTACACATTTTACGAGATTCGAGGCCTCGTTGTTGCACGTCCGGAGGAAACTACTTTATGGTTTCGTTTATAATTAGTGCGCCCGAGGGATTTGGGCGAGGACTTCTACTGTCTTATTGACTGTGGCCACGGGTGGCTACGTTGTCCCCCATACTGAATGGCAAATTCGCATGCCGCTCCACAACGCACATATGAATTTGTCATCCTTTCCCATTGAATAAAAATGCTCCGAGAAGTAAGAAAGAGGTCAGAGAATCCCCTGTCTGGTTCAGGAAGAAAAGCCGGTGACGAACCACACTGAGCCATGAATTGCTCAAACGCCATTGGACACAAAACATGCTTTACACATCACTCCTGAATGAACTATTTGGAAATTTCTGTAAAGTCAAGGCAGAACCTAAGACAGAAGGGGGGAAAACAGAGAAGGAACGAGGCCATCGACGATTCAGATACCCAAGGAAAAGGCGGGCAGAAAAGAACGATTGCAGTCAGAGTGATCACAGCTCGAGGTCTGTCTCGATAAGAGTCTTGTTATCGGAACAGTTCCTTGTCCGTGGGAAACTGCTGGATTGCATCGGCCACTCAGCCTGAGCGCATGTAGCTGTAGAGATTTCTCCGTGCTTTTGCAACTTTCTCGTGAGGAAATGAGCATCAAGATTGATCCCAGCGGCCCTAGATTGGTTGGTAGCATGACCTAACAGTCGCCCATGAGATTGAGTAAAAAATTCTAAGCCAGAATAAGAATAGATTCTTGTTCTCATACAGAAACGAGACCCGTCTGAAAGAGACAAGAGGTCGTTGTCTCATACAATGAACTTGCTCTGTTTTTGGCTGCTGTTCGACAGGGCTCTACCTGTAATCCATTCTAATGAGCACGAACATGAGCTCAAAACTCTAATTCTTTCTCGTAACAGCCCAGCTTTCTCCAAACTAGGGTGAGTTACATTCCTGCACTCTGTACTGAAAAATTGATCATCCCGAAGTCCAAAAGCAAGGTTGTTGCCTCAGTAAAATCTCAGAGATTGGTGTTTGCCCTGAAGGTAGTGCGCTAGCACCCTGAACTGGCAAGAAAGCCCCCGGAGTGCAGAGCCCAGGGGTGATATGCAGCCCCACTTCAGCGCTGGACCGTGCCCATCGAAAATTTGAAATTTTCAGATGCAAACAAGCAGTCGAGGTCTCAACAACACCACATTCACTCAAATTTCTGTAGAAGGACACTATCAGAACCCGCTCCAAGGCATTAGACGGTGACCTCAAGTGCACAGCGAGGGCGTCCATCCGCATCTGGTTTCATAAGCTAGATCCAGAGAAATCGTCATGGCGCGGACGACCAGGTCTAAGGCGGCTGCGGCTACAACCGCAGACGCCGCCTCAGAAGCCGTCATTCCAGCACCCGTCACCACAACGGCCACAACGGCCACAACGGCCAAGCCGAAGAAGAAGGAGCCAAAAAATGGCTCGAAGACAGAGCCAAATGATGCACCGAAGACAAAGGGTCAACAGCGCCACGCTCTCAGGCGGAAACTGTACAAGAAGGCAAAGAAGCATCAGGAGATGGAGACACTGCACACTACTTTGAAATCAGCAGACACATCAATCGGCAAGAAGGAGCGGTCAACCTTGAGGGCTCAGATCTACCAGCCATGGAGGCTGAAAGCCAAGACCACCTCAAAGAAGGTCTCGGAGCTCGAGAAACTTGTCAAGAGGCAGCAGGAGGAGATCAAGGAGTTGAGGAAGCTGGCGGTGGGCAAAATCCCAAAGTTGCAGCCACCGGCGAGCCCGCCAGCGGAAGCGGCAGAGGTCGATATGGAGCCCGACTCGTCGCCTGCCAAGATCAGAGACCAGCTCTTCGCTGATGCTTCGCGGTCGCATGGCGAGGTAGAGGCAGCACAGGAGGGCACGACCGTTGTGGAGGTCGAGGAGATTGTGAAGAGGCCGGTTGGTGGCGATGCCGGGGAGCCGATGGAGGGCGTGCAGCAGACCACCATAATCACCAGTGTCGAGCAGGATGTGGAGTATCCAACCCTGCCATCAGTCGAGGAGGCCACACAAGTGGCTGAGGAGAACGGCGGCGCAGAGGGGGACGAGAGCAGCGGCCAGCAGCAGCAGGAGCCCAACGGAGCCAAGGAAGGAGCAGGCGCTGCTGCGGACCTGACGCCGGAGCTGGCTGCCGACACGCCTACCAAGTCGAAGGGGGAAGTGAGAGACTCAAGCGCAGACTCCAACGCCGCCACGCCGCGCAACGTGAGACGATCTCCCAGGAAAAGGACGAAACGGAGGAGCTTTGCCGGCCACTCCTACACGGGCTAGTTGCCCTGGCCTTTCGGTGGAAGGAAGACAGAACGTTAGAACGGGCGCGGGAAGAGGCAGAAGACGACTTCTGCAGCAACGGGCGGGCACATTGCAGCATCGCAGACTGTGAATGGCATGACGATACGTATCAGCCTGGTGTTGGTTTGGACAGGCACATAGTTACGAAATTGCATGGCGTGAACATAAGGATTGGAAATTGGGGGCATGATGAGGCAGGCCGGGCGTAGTCCTATTTGCGAGATAACCCACGATGTACTAAAAATGTTTTCAGCGTCAAATCAGCGCCGCAAGGGATGATTCCGATGCCGCAGGCTGAGACAAGAGTCACGTTATGAGGAGTCAAATTTGGATCGGACAACCAGTTCATTGATGGTTCTTTCAGTGGGGCAAGAGCGTCACAAGATGGCTCGATGGGTATCTGTGACGTGTTGATGTGACGGCACCCACCACTACCACAGCATCGTGCACGATAGCAGCCATGTGGGAGCAAAGCAGCATGGGAAATGCCTGCCCATTTAAAGTTTGAGGCTGAGTGGATCTGTGTCTGTTACCACGGGGGGTGGGGGGATGTTCCCGAGGAGGATCCATTCGGAGCAGCTGGCCGTGGGACGACATCTAATTGCTCCGTCTTTGTCTCTGTCTGTGCCTGGGATACACCGTGTTCCAGAAATAAATAGTCTGCCTGACAGCCTTTGCGAGGCACGTTGTACATCGGATGGAGGGGGCCAATTATGACGGCTGTGAGATGAACGCCGCCGTCTCGCAGCATGTACGAGTGGCTCAGCAGCACCCTTCTGCGTCTGCAGCGAGCCCTGTGAGTTGCTTTACACAATGGCACACCAGGCAACGTGACTGCGGATGATACGGGGTCGTGGTAGTCCGGAAGTAATCTTAGTCGCTTGAGGTTCGTCTGCCTGAATGTCTGCCATCTATCTATCTACCTACCTATTCACATCCTGGTATTGCCGTTCTAGCTGACAAGACGGGTTGGGAGCAGACACATGTACGCTCCCAGTGAGCAATGATCTTGTAGATGAGAATCGAGCCTTGCCCTAGACGGACTTGTCGACGTCGTTGTGGAGACCCGCTGTCGGGCCGCCTAGCAAGCATCCGGCTGCCCCAGGATCGCACGGCCGTCCCGCCTGCGTGTCAGTGGGGCCAAACAACGTTCACCCCCAGCACCCCCCGGCCAGATCCACTCGGTGAGTAGGGGCCCGGTCCCGAAGTCTAGGTTCAGCTGTCCAGCTTGTTCAGCTCCCCCTGGTTCAAGGTAGGGAGGAGGTAGACTAGCTTCCCTCGCTGCCTTCCTGCCTGCCTTCGTGCCTGCTCTCTGGCCTATCGAGGCCAAATGTTGCCTGCGTACAACATGTAGCTTTTGCGCCCCTGTTAGGCTTCCGGGCGTTGGTTTTCCACTTGACCAGCTGGACTGGGCGGCTTGAATACTTAGTCTGCTCCTACTCATCATCTAGTCTAGCTTTGTAGATTCGTCACCTCGCCGTTACATGGCTTCACTGCAGCAAGAGCGGCTGTCTCCGCTGCACCTCGTCACAAGAAAGAGAGAATAAAGTAGCAAGCAGCTCCTCCTCCTCTTCCTCCTTCTCCTTCTCCTCCTCCCGCTCGACAGCGACCCTCATGTGACTGTGTCTTAATCCATCCCTGTACTCCGTAAACCCTCGCAGCCATCGTCGTTGACTCTGCTCCACCGCACGAGGTTCCAAGCTGTCGCCTCACTCCATTGATTGGCCGTCCGCCTGCAGCCGCTGCTTCTGCCATCCCATCCCATGCCATCCCATCCCCATGCACGTCTTCACCCTGCAGTAGCTCACATCGAGACAGCAGGAACAAAGTCAACCGACCTCTGGGCTGCGAGCCTCACCCGCCATTAACCCTCACTTGCAACCCACACCCCGATTCGCACCCTCACCCGCACCCTCACCCGCACCTTCTCGCACCCTCCTCGCACCCTTCTCGTCCGCACTCGCAGTGCTGACGTCTCGCTCCTGCTGCTGTGCCTGAGCCATCACTTCGCGTCGTACACACCTGGCGCTTGTTCTCGACCAAAATCAACCCGTCAAGTGCTGTCGAGCAACCTCTCCAGTCTCCTTCCCCTCTGGCTGCTCTTAGCTTTCGCCGCAGCATTACCGGCTCTTTGACACCTGTCGAGAGTCGATCGCCTCACCTTTCTTGTTGTGCTGGCTAGCTAGCGATCTCGCGTGTGTGGATAGTGGCCACCCGAGGCCTCACTTATACCGTTGGCATCCCCCGCGCCCGTGCGGCCGATCTACAAGTGTGCCCCATTCTTACGCCACTATACACCCAGATCTTTCCTCAAGAAAGCATTTACGCTCTCCGTATCATAGTGATTCCGAACCACGTCTTGCCTGCAAAGTTTCTTGCGGCTGCCCTCGACCATGGATCCGATTTCGCAGCAAGCCACCACCCTGATTCGGGAAGGCGAACCCTCCAAGCCTCGACCCGACAACGAGGTCAAGCCGAACTCGGCCGAAGCTGTCACCACTTCTGACGCGCCTTCAAAGACCAAAAACGCCTCCAAACCCCGCGACAAGAAGAGAAAAGGTACCAAGAAACAGTCGAAAGGCAGCAAGGCGAAGAAGGACAAGAAGAAGAACAAGAAGCGCCCCCAGATCGACGACTCTTCCGACCTTTCCTCCTCCTCCGATGACGACAGCACGGAGCTGGACTCGGACAGCGAGGACACAGATGACGAGGTTGTTGTACGCCGCAGGCGCACGAACAAGAAGGGGCAGGAATCTCTGAAGCCGAAGACTGTGGGGACCAGCAAGAAACACAAGGCACTTGCCAAGAGCAAGTTGAAGCCTCCTGCTACCTCAGCCTCGGACTCGGATTCCGATTCTTCTGGAACTGGCTGGGAATCGTCCAGCAGCGAGGTGGAGGATGCTGAGCCCCTCGCCGATCAGAAGAAGAGTAAGGATCGCGGCCTGAATCAGGATGTCGGATTCCAGGTGGCTAGGGAACTCCAGCGGATCCTTCAGCTTGCTCAAACACATGCTCCTCCTCCTCCCCCTCCAGGTCTTTCTAGTCATGCTGGCTTAGGTGCTACCCTCGATCCTGGACTCGGCTCTGGCCTGCTGCCAAATTCTGGAACCACCTTTCCTCGATCAAATGCGTTTGGAGGTCTTCAGGCTATGGCTAGCGGCCGAGCTCGCCCCACATACGAGGATCGTTTGGGTTTATTTGATGGTCTGGACGACCCACTGGGACGAGACGTTGGACTCTCCAATCGTCGAAACCGGCGCGGTGCCTCCCAAGGTGACAGGAAACTGCCTGGCGGTGGGGCCGAACCCCAGAAGCAAAAGTCTAAAAAGTATGATTTTAAGAGGGTCGATCAAGTGTGGGACAACTCGATTCACAACTTCAAGCTCCAGGACACAGCAGAATCTGCCGCAGATAAGAAGTATGATGGCTTCTGCTTTCATGTGCGACGGACCTTTGACTGGGAAGGCAAGTACAAGGCCACGGTTGTTGACGTTAAGAGTAAAGCTCTCCGTGAGTGCCTTCAGGACGTTATAGGCAATATAAAAGGTGTCAGCCTCGTGGACGAAACGCCTAAGCTTGATCCGAACGTTTTATTCCTCTACCTTGAAGATTTGAGAAAGCATGCAAGACAGCTTAAGAAGCAAGTCAAGAAACCATCGGCATCCGACAAGCAGGAACGTAAGAAGGAGGTCAAGTGGCTAGAGGAGAAGAGGCTTCATCTCAAGGTCCTCGTGAAATACATCGACAAGGATTATGAACACATCAAAAACAGCCTCCACCCGATGCTAGAGCACGGGCTCATCACATTCGACCTTCTTTGGGCCTTGTGGAAGCCGGGCACCCTTGCATACACTACAACGTATGGGTCTCACGATGAACCCAGGGTGTTCAAAGTCGACACGGCAGAGAAGCATTTCCATATGAGCAAGGGCGAGTTCTACTACGTCGACGGCAAGGTAAGTGCTCTACGGTGAAAAATGCAGGTCCAGTCGCTGACATGGTCGCTCAGTACTTCGAGTATGACGGCAAGCAGTTCGGTTACGGTCGCATGATGGAAGAGATTGGTGAATTCCGTGGCGCGAAAAAGATCACAAGCCTGAGTTCCTATCCGCTGAAGTACCACAAGAATGAGGAACAGATACGCAAAGACCTGATTGAGCGAGGCAAGAAGTTTGCGGCCCTCAGTGGTGTCCACTACAAGTCGCATCAGGGAATGGCGTACTACAAAAAGAAGAAGTCAATCATCAAGGTGAACGTGAACGGTCGTGTCATGATTGATCCGGCGATCCATAGGAGGATCAATCCGAATTACCCAATTTCTCTTGTCCGCCCTAAAGAGCAGGATATTCTCACAGAAGATGAAGAGTCAGATGATGAGGATGCTTGTTGCATTGCAGGCTCCGACTCAGAGGATGACGGGGCTCAAGAGAGGGACTTTGAGGAAGGCGAGGAGAAGGTCAGGTATGTCACGAAGGTCATCAAGGACAACAAAGGACGAATGTCGATCGTTCGTATGACCAAGGACGAGGCCGAGGAGATGAATAAGGAGAAGCTTTCCAAAGTCGAGACCCAGGACGACGCCATTATTGATGGCAGCAGCGACGAAGGTAAACCTCTGGGCTCCAAGAAGACTCCGGAGTGGACTGATGAGGAGTACTTGATTGCAAGCCCTGTTGTGCTTGGATTCTCCTTCGGAGAGAAACTCTGGCTAGAGTTTACGGTTTCCGGGGTCCAGGACATTCGATGGAATGAGCATGCGTATGAATCTCTGGTCTTGGAAAAGAGAACCAAGGAAACGGTCAAGGTTCGCGGATCTCCTCCTATTCATTTCATGTGTGCGATGAAAGCTAATCACCAGTCAGGCCCTTGTCGAATCTCACAAGTATCACGCCGCAGAGTCCATCGACGATGTGATACAGGGCAAGGGCAAAGGTCTTGTTTGTGAGCTGTCCCCCTTGATCTCGATGTTCTCAGCAGCAGTCACTAACTATCATACAGCGGTCCTCCATGGCCCACCTGGTACAGGCAAGACGCTCACAGCCGAGGGAATCAGTGAACTTTTGAAATGCCCGTTATACATGGTGTCGGCTGGTGAGCTTGGCACCGACTCCCGTGTCCTCGAGGGCGAGCTTCAGAGGATCCTTGACATCTGCCATGCCTGGGGTGCAATCCTGCTCCTTGATGAAGCGGACGTGTTCCTGGAGAAGCGCAACATGCACGACATCCATCGCAACGCCCTCGTCAGCATTTTTCTGCGGCAGCTGGAGTACTTCCAAGGCATACTCTTCCTCACCACGAACCGAGTCGAGACCTTTGACGACGCGTTCCAATCGCGGATTCACATCGCGCTGCGGTATGACCCGCTGGATCTTAAGGCTAAGAAAGCCATCTTCAAAATGTTTGTGGAGAAGGCCCGCTCGCAACAGAAGAGCGACAGTGCGCCATTCACAGAGGAGGAGTACAATACACTGGCACGGCATGACCTTAACGGCCGGCAGATCAAGAACACCGTCATCAGGGCGCAGGCACTCGCGGTCAATAAGGGTGAACCGCTGTCGATGGTCCACGTCAGGCAGATTCTGGATGTCCAGGTCAACTTTGACCGTGACTTGAAGGGTGGTACGGGCTATCAGGATGCTATGAGGAGTTACTTCTAACCTAGACACTCGAGTCTTGGTTTGGAAACGCCAGGTCTCGAGGTGGAGGCATGGTACTTTCACGTCTACTACGAGACGTCAGTTTTTTGTTCGATTCCTCTCATTTCTCAATACGGCAAGGCACGGAGCACAGAACCAACAAAGTACAGGGTTTGGAAGGCGTTCTTACGGTTGATGGATTGCGACAGACAGGGGTTGAGTTTATCAAACCCGAGCAGTCATGCCGGTCATTCTCATGTTGGAGAGACAAGTTCGGACACTTGGACAGGATCACTTGCGGCTTCAGGATCAGCACTTACTGCGGCATAGTTTTGGTAGCGTTGTGTGTGTATGTACTTGGAATAGCGGCATATCGTATCTCTGTGTGTTTTGAAGCTTGTGTCAAGTTGAACTTTTCGAATTGTTCTATCCAGCCGTGTTCGACGACGCTGCAATACGGTGGCGATGCGTTTGGGGCCGGTATCTAGATTGAGAATGGGATAACCAGATCATCGTAGGCGATCGTGGTGGTCACGTTGGGACAAGATCAGCTATCACTTGTCAAGCCTCGTGTAAGTGAGACTCGAGTCATGTCTTGCATATTTACTTATCGCTCGTGGGGATCCTCGCAGGGCTTGCTGAGCCCCAAGATGCTCGGAAATGGGTGATTCGGAGTCTCATTCGGCAGTCGGGATTCTGCACGTTTGCGATGGCTAAGACTGCATGACTTAATTAAGCACACTGCACCGAGGGCATCGTGCATGTCTTAGCCTCACTCTCATGAGGACTACGAGAGGGCGTACGAGTCTTGGATGAAGAAATAAAGAGGAAGCGAATGACTCTCCCCGTGCTCTGCGTAATTAAACGGCCCGCAAGTATCCAATGACCGACGGCCGAGCGGGTCTCTACGGCTCCAGTTTCGCGGCCATCAACACCAACACCCCGGGCCGCAATCTTGTTATTGCCCATGCTACTCCTGCTAACCTTGATTGCGCTGATAAAGACGTCACCATAACTAACTATAACTAGACATTTCCGCCCTCGAAGTCATGGAAATGCAATACCAGCTCCTCACTCCGCATTCGCAGCCCTCCTGACAATAGACCCTTGGCACCTCCGACAAGTCTTACACTACGCACTCTTTCCGCCGTGCGCACAGCAAGATGAGGTCCTCGACGAGGATGACCGGCACCCTCACCGGCGCCATGCTGGCCCTCGCCGGCAACGCCGAACAAGTGCTGCGCAGGAACGGCACAGCGACGCTGGCCGGCCCGTCCCTGACGCATTGGCCGGCAGAGGCAGCGGCATCACTAGACGCCATGATCGCCGAGAACGCAAATGCGAGCAACTACGCCGTGTTCGACATGGACAACACCTCGTACCGGTACGACCTGGAGGAGTCGCTCATCCCGTGGCTCGACAACAAGGGCATACTCACGCGCGAAAACCTGGACCCTTCCCTGAAGCCTATCCCGTTCAAGGACAACGCGACGCACACCGAGTCCATGTACAGCTACTACCTGCGGCTGTGCGACATGGACGAGCTGCTCTGCTACCCGTGGGCGGCGCAGGTGTTCGCGGGCTTCACGCTTAGGGAGCTCAAGGGCTACGTGGACGAGCTGATGGCGCTCAACACGACGGTGCCGGTGGTGTACTGGGACGGCGACGACGTCGTGTCGGACGTGGTCAGCCCGCCGCGCGTGTTCCGGGGCCAGACGGAGCTGTACAACCGCCTGATGGCCAACGGCATCGACGTGTACGTCATCTCGGCGGCGTCGGAGGAGCTGGTGCGCATGGTGGCGTCGGACCCAAAGTACGGCTACAACGTGCCGGCCGAGAACGTCATCGGCGTGACGACGTTCCTGCGCAACACGACGACGGGCGACCTCGTCACGGCGCGCCGCCAGATCGAGGACGGCACGTACGACCCCGAGGCCAACCTCGACCTCGTCTACACGCCGTTCCTCTGGACGCCGGCCACGTGGATGGCCGGCAAGTTCGCGGCGATACTGACGTACATCGACAACTGGCGTATGCCGGTGCTGGCGGGTGGCGACACACCCAACAGCGACGGGCCGATGCAGTTCCACGGCGTCGACGTGGCCAAGGGCGGCATCCACCTGTGGGTCAACCGCTCGGCGTCGGCGTACGAGGAGATCACCGGCATGATCGAGGAGTATGCGAGTGAGCAGGCGGACCTCGGGCTGCCCGTTACTGCGGACAAGAACTGGGTGGTCGTGCTGCCGGAGGAGGTTCTGTGAATTGAAAGTGAAAGTGGGAGCTATGTCTGCTGATGCGTGTGTGAGTGACTGAATGCCTCGCGGGATTGCGTGTAATCATCCACAAGAGTGCTTGCTGGTGTACTGAGAGTTGTGCATATTGCGCCCTTATGCCTGCTCCTCGAGGCAGACGGCGGTTTACAGATTCGAAGTGAATGTGAATCGTGATCACTACTGCCGCAGCCAGAATAGAAGGAAATCACATCGCCGTTACAGATCAATTTGTGCATGTTGCCAGTACGATGAAACAATTCACCTCCTAGCAAAGCGCGTGCGCATCCTTAAGCTCGTGTCGGTTGCAAGACGAGCAGCTTGTGTCTAGGGTCAGGGTACCCCCTTTTCGCGGTTCTCTCAGCGGGGGGTAGCCAAGGCCAAAGGCCCAAGGCCCAAGGCCCAGCGACCAGCGCCTGTTCCTCTCTGTGGGGCAGGCAAACAACCCCTGCAAAGAGGATCGCGTCGAGGCGCGTCAGATCAGATAATGACCGAATCGAACCGACCCCACGTATTATTATCCGGTGCTGCATTGTCTGGCGTAAAGCACCCAAGGTTCCAAATTGTTCCCATTGCCCGGATCGACTTGATGAGTTCCTCCTTTCTGTCTCTAACAGTCTCCTCCATGGCATGACAGCAGCCTTGCGCAGTCCAGAATGGCCCTCCCACTCCCGCTGGGCCTTACGCCCGCCGAGGTTTCATTCCTGTGCGAAATGGAACTCGTCACAGTCGTTCCAAGAGGGCGGCTCGACGGTATAGATCTTCTCAGCGTTCGTCTCGCCCATACAAGTCGGAACCTCTTGATCATACCATAGGTTCTGAGCTAATTGTCTCCGTCCAGGGCACAACCCCTTCCCTCCGACCACCACATCGCGCCCAACTCCCCCTCTGGCTTGCCCTCCTCCTAAAGAAGCAACGCCGCGCCAATATTGTCCCTCCAGCATGGCTTCACCCACTATCACTCGCCGAGATCATCCGGCAAGAAACAAGAGAAGACCCGACCGCCTTCAGCAAACCACCACCGCCACCCGCCAGGGCTGACAGTCGCGGCGTCGCCCATCGCGTAAATACTTCGGCCTTGGGCAACGGCGACCACGGCAGCCACGACGGGATATTGCTGTCGCCCCCCTTCCTGCCGAGCTGTACAGCCGAGGCACCAGCGGGCTACCTACCGTACCACTGGCTGGAGATGGCCGAGATGCTGCTCGCGCACGCGGCTGACGACATGTCGGCGTCGGCGGGCGAGATCAGGGGCCTGCTGCGGGACCTGGTCGAGGTGCGCTCGGCCAAGCTGCGCGGGGGCACGACGCAGCTCGAGCAGTTCGGCGGCGGCGTCATGAACCTCCGGGGCGTGGGCGCCATGGAGCTGGCCGAGAACAGGGGGTTCGTCCTCGGCGTGGTCGACGGTGTGCGCAGGCTCGGGGCCAGCGCCGAGGCCACCCGCAGGGAGGAGGAGGAGGAGGGCCGCGGCGGCAACGATGACGAGGAGAGCGACGACGACATGGGGCTATAATAATGGCGGGGGGTTGAAAGATTGGGGACACAGATGGGAGGATGTGGCATGATCACGCGCTACGACTATTATACTACTGTACGGTTACGTACGGTCTGAGAAAGACCACGGAGGGCAACAGATCTTGGGATAGCAAGCATGGCTCGGCGTTTCGATAGGGCTATTTCGGGACTCATATACTGGTAAATCAAAAGCTCACAATTCACAGCAATCTAATTCACATGGCGACTCCTGGTCCTTTTCCTCCCCTCCTACCACACCGTCTCGAACCAGAAACTCAAGCCATCCAACCCTCCAACCTATCGTCACGAGCATACGAACGACGGCGTTCGCCATCTCTCCTACGACTCGCCAACATACCCTTCAAGCATTTAGGCTAAAGCTAACATTCTCTGTATCTTCATCGTCGTCATCATCGGCCTCGTTCGCGCTGTACTCGTTCGCGCTGAAGCCAGGCTCTACAGGATTGAAAGTGTTTTCCCATTGAGGCCTGATGTATCGCAAAGCGTGGACAACACCGGGCCCTTCCTGGGAACTGACGAACTGTGTTGCATCAACGCTGTCTCTGACACTGTTATCCTGTGGTATGCCGCCCGTGTCGCCAGTACTGCGGGCAAGGACGACTGTGTTCTCTACCTCGCCTCTGGGTCCCGTAGTGCTCCATGAGCGAATGTAGGGCAGTGCACAGTCTATTGCAGGAAAAGAGTCTCCGGATTCCTCCTCGGCAGTAGAGTCAGCAGGGGCAGTATCCTCAGGTGTCGGCTCCTCGAATAACTCCAGAGGCTCCTCTGAAGCAATGATGATTGTAGAGTCAGTAGCGTCGATGGTAAAATTCTCTGACGGTTTCACGGTTTCCTTTACAACAGCGGTAGAAATGGGGGAATTGCCTTCAGTCAAGGGCTCCACGATTTCCTCGACATTAACAGTAGGGGCAGGGGCACTATCCTTTGGGGATAGCTCCCCAGATTCCTTCATAGGAAGGATAATAGCAGGAGCAGTATTCTCAATGGATAGGCCTTTGGAATCCTCTATACTAGTGGTACGGGAAGGAGCAACAGTAGCCTCGGGGGTTGGATCCTTGGATTCCTCGATAAGAGCAGTTGCAGTAGCTGAAGTCGCCTCAGGGGGAGGCTTCTCGAAGTCCTTTCCATTTGAGGTGGTAACATGGGCAGTAGCCTCGGGGGAAGGCTCATCGAGATGTTCCTCGGCAGCAACAGCAACAGCAGCAGCGGGAGCAGTGTCCTCGAGATGTGTCTCCTCAGGTTCCTCTACGGCGGCGGTGACCGCTCGAGGAATAGTTTCGGCATCGCCTTGATTGCGACCAGGCCATCTCCAAGAAGGGTCATGGCCGATCTTGTCTGGTAACCAAGGGGTAGGTTCTTGGCCCCGCGTTTCCTCCACAGCCTCTGCTGCTGCCTCTTCTTCTCGATCTGGCTGCTTGCACTTGGGTACAGGGTCTGCCTCGAATATCTCATCCTCCTCGCTCGGAGCCATGTTGTCTCCTCCTACATGGGCCTGCTCCGCATCGGTTTCGTCGATTTTTGAAACATCATGGTCCATCTCCTCATCTGTCAATCGAATTGGAGATAGTGGCAAAGGCTCGTTGCTCCGGGTAGGACGAATGGGTTCGGGCGAGGTTTCACCTTCTGATGCGTGCGCTGACCGTTCAACCTTTGCCATTGAGTTGTCGTCTCCATCCTCCATTTCATCGAAAATTACCTCGGCCGGGACTGGTTCGACGCCCGAAATGCCACTATCACCGGTACTGGAGCCGGTTTCTTCCTGAAGTTCTGCCTCCTGATGATCCCCCTTTTCTGCCTCAACGTCATGCGTTTCGTCTCGTTGGTGTAACCTCTCCTGTACCTCCTCTCTTCGGCGGATTTCGTTTTCTACATTCTTCATGCGCTCCTTTTCTTCTGCCCTGGCGATCCCAACTTGCCAGTCAGCATGCTTCTCTTGAAGCTGAGCTTTCCACTCCCGTACTTCACGCACAACAGAATCTAAAGCGTTTCTGATTGACTGTGAAGCCTGGCCAAGATTGTACTTCAAGTATATGTCCGAGGTCCGCACTTTCTCTTCGATCTCGCCAGCTTCCTTTTGACTTCTCGACAACCTTGCACCCCCAGAGCGTTTGATTTCTATTGAGACCGTTTCTCCGCCACAAGCATCTAACCAAGTCGCCAGGTCCTGCTTTGCCAGAGCCAAGGACTCTCCTAGAAGCTTGACGGCCGCAAGGCCGTTGTCGTCTCCTTCCGGATTCTCAGATCCATTCCTCTCCTCTCCGGTATCAAGAGCCTCGCCATTGTTCAGCCCCTGTCCTGCATCCACGTTGTCTCTGGTATCTCCTAGGACGACGATATCAGCTCTCCATGATTCGAGTGTCGATATAGGGATTTCATCATCATCGGGAATTTCTATTTTGAGGTCCTTGCTCCAGCGTTCCGCTAGCCTGCGGACTTTCCCCTTGATGGTTTCCATTTCCTCAGCTGAACGTGCCCACCAGGTGAGAAACTCCAGCCTCGCGAGCCAGTGAGGTTCCATCTTCCGTCGGATTTCGACATCATCGAGCACCTCACTGAGGATTTCCCTCAAATCTTGCTTTGTGAGGCGTACAATGCCCGTTGGGTGTTCAACACCGGGCGGACTTCTTTCGGATGTGATAAACAGATGCTCGGGTGTCTTTCCTGTGAGACCTGCTGCAATAGCAGCCTGTGCGAGCCGGGATGCTGCAGCAACGTCTGCCTCGGAAACTCGCCTGTCATCATCTATTGATTCCGGTTCAGACTCCCTCCTATGCTTCGCGGGCCTGGCATCGACCAAGCAAAAAAAAAGCGGATCCTGTATGGCCCCTTCCGCAGACAATCCTCTTTTACTTCGTCGGCGGGGTCGCATTTCAAGTCCTGGGTTGAGTTCTACCGGAGGACCACCATTTTCGTTAAGTTTCTTGAGCATTGATCGGGTCAACCGGGTCGGGGTTGTGGCCTGTCGCTTCCTGCGTTGCCCAGACCCATTGGCATCGCCGCTCGCGCGCTTCTTGGTCGACGACTTCATTTGGACTTCAATGATGGCCATTTAATTCTAGGGAATAGATTCAAGATCAGTTGGCCGTTGGTCAAACAATAGTCATTCACCTGAAAACTTTGGAGCTCCTCAGCGACCGAAAGCCCCCAACTGCTCTGTAACACTATGTGCACCCGGGAAGTTGATTATTTATTCGCTATTCAGCAATCGCCCTACATTTTCGCTAAATCGGCGTCCGCAATAAAGGTCGAAACTAAACCGCTCGCAGTCGCAGTTTCGATTTGTGCTGCCTTTGTTCGCCTACGAAATTCATCCCGTTTTCGGGCGCACAGCATGTAACAGGCCACGAGCACGTCTACGGTAAGACAAGAACACAAAGAGCTATTCTTGTAAATGGTCATGCATTATAGGAACTCCAAATGCAGACAACTGAACTCGTCCTGATGACACCTTAATACAAAAGGAAGGAGAGGAAAGCTGTTGACCTGATTTTCACTCGAACATGTTTACGTTGCTGAAGTACGCTAGACAGTCTCATCTTCTGCCATGTATAATTGATTGTGAATTCTCACGTGGCTTGGTATCAACCACGTCCGCTTATATCCGCTTTTATCAGTCCTCCAGATCGAAAATCCCACAGGTTCACTTCAATGACACTGGTGTCAGGCTTGACAATTTTCTACATAGAAATGTCTATACTTTGAGGCTACGACATTGAGTCCACCAAGTCCACACGACCCGATATTTGTGGAGTGAAAGAAGGGAAAGTAACAAGGCTGAGGAACAATTCTCGTGCATCCCCCGTCTTGCAGAAGAAAATAGTTCATCGGCCATTACTAGCGGTTTGCAAACAACATCAAATTGAGGGGGGGAAGAACAGTGATATATATCTAAGCACATCTAATTGGGCCTTGGTGGACAAGGACAAAGCTATTCATAGTTGGATCAAATCCATATCTGACATTGACACTCTTCAACCTATGTTAACTCTCGAAACACCTAGGTGAGGTTGGTCTGGGGCTTCTAAACCGACTCAACCCGACAAAGGGCCTCGGCACAGGTCCCAATATCACCGTAGCTCAACTTTGTTAACAAAAGACTTGAACCAGGCGTTCAGTGTTTTAGCCCTCAATGCCATTGTGCCATGGTTGATCCAAGTCTCAATTTCAATGACACTTCCCTTGAGAGAATGTTTCCTTAGCCATTGCAGGCAACCAGAGGAATCAAATACCAAGGCAGACGTGCAGGAAATTATACAGCAACTGCCTTTCGTCCGTTCCAATAGCTCTTAGCGGTGCTTTGTAGTAAATGCACAGGTAGAATTGTATCTCACAACAGCTTTGAAGCCTAAAAGATCAGAATTATGGATAGGAATACTAACTTGACTCGAAGACGCCTTTCGACGTACCGTGCCTGCGTGTATCAGTAAGAGCCTGGTATCATTCAGGCAATAGCTACAGCTCCATTATGGGCTCAAAGTGCTGATTCCTGAGGTGTCTGAGGGGCGGCGCCTTTTTTGCAAAGCTGGATCAGTGGCAGCCTTGCGGAGACTATATATTCTGTTGTTTTGGTTCCAGTTTCCATCAACATCTTTTCGCAATTTCAACACACAACACTCCTCTCTCATCCTAAGATCATCGTCCTCCACTTTGATTATCTCTCCTCCATCGTACAAGACCTCAGCCATCATGACTTATCAAGAGCCAAAGACTTCATTCATGTCGCCCGCGGGCAATGTCAAAGACCAACAGGAGAATACACCCCACGTTCTGGCTCCATCTGCACTGGGCGGTGCATCTGTTCAAGCCTCGGGAATCCCTTCCAAGTGCCACTCCCCCTGGTCAATGGTCACTCCAACAACCCCAGACGGCTTGGCTGCTCGCTTACAGCCTCGTTCTCCTCGGCTTGGGAGCGCACAGGCCTTCGAGACACCTACGCGCCCGTCTCAGCATGAAATGTTTCATAAACATCTGTTGAAAATTGTTGAAGGTGCTGGTCAGAAGGCTGTGACCGTTCCTCACGCATTTTCCGTCCAGCAACAACCTCTCCAGTCAGCTCCGCCAGAGGAAGCTGTTGATAATTTCATTTTGCCCCTCCGTCAGCCTTTACAGCCAGACTCAGTTCGTTCTTTCTCAAGCGGTCATCATTATTCTTCCTCCGAGAAAGTCGTGTCCGACAAGTACTACTGGCCCATGAACAGCATCCATGGCACTCATGACACCCCTTATCCTGGTCTCTCACTGCCAGAGAATCCCGATGCCATTCATATCGGCCACTCAGTGGGCAAGTTCTCCAAACCTATGCTGGTAAGTGATAAAAACCGCATCGCTCCTTTCACTGCTACCAACGACCCAGCATCTGCTGATGAATGTGACGCACCATCCAAGGTGGCTCTTGGATTCAGTCCCGAATACCATGGAGACCCTAACCTCATGCGCAACCGGTCCGCCAACATTCCCGACGAGCTTAACTGCTCCCTCTTCTTGGTTAACTTGCCTCCCACCCTCACCACTCATCGCCTCATCGCCGCCATTCATGCGATGGGCCCCACCGGACGCATCTATGCCACTCACATCAACGCCCCTGAGCCCGATCGCAAGCACTACGGCTGCGCAGCCAAGGTCATCTTCTTCGAGCTCGTGGCGGCCAAGGCCTTCTACCGTGCCTATGAGGAACACGGCTTCACAGTCGACGGCTACAACGTTCGTGTCATGTGGAACCGCATCAAGACTGCACAGCAGGAGCACGCCAAGTCCACTACTCGCGTCCTCCTCATCGGCGGACAACCCCAGTTTGTCAACCCCACCACTCTGACTGAGTACTTCTGTACCAAGCTCCAGTTCCAGATCGACTGCATCGTCACCCACAGCGACGGTCTCAAGGGCGACACCGATGCTGTCGTTGAGTATCGCTTCGGCAGTTTCCGCTGCCAGGCAGAAGCAGCGAAGATGGCTCTGACGCGCGAGCATCCCGAGGTCAGGTGCTTCTTCCACTGCGACCCTTGCGATCCAGGCCATTGGAAGCCCTCACAGAGGATTCCGGTTGCCCCCATCAGGCCCCAGAATCCTCTCCCTCCTCCTATCAGGCCCTTGAGGTACCCTGGCATTTGGCCTTACCAGCCACTTACGATCGTGCAAGAAGACGAGGAAGACCAGCGTGTTGGTTCGACCTACCACCCAATGCGTCCCACCGTGCGCCAGTGGTAAGCCAAATTACAGCACTTCTCCTTTACCAAGCAGCCTGGACATATTCGATACAAGTCTTGGTCATCGTGGCTGGGACACAAAATTGTTCTTTCGGCCTTGAGCATCAAGTCCTCGGCTCTCATATTGTATCTGCTCTTGGTAAGTCAATCATGCTGTCAAGCTCTTCCTGCACTTTTATGCCCAAGTCTGTGGCCTGACTCCCGAACCAAAGTCCAGAGCCTCGACGTACAAATGTCTTTCACCACTCAGCAACCCGCACGCACCGACATCCTCTTTTTGTGTCATGTAGCAGCGATACCACACCTCGTCGCGGATATCCCCCGAACAAGTGAGATGAATTGAAGTTGGGGTGAAGACGTAGAATATGGAGTGGAAAGAGTTGGGGCATTGCTGTTGTCAGGCCAGGCTTGCAGCGGTGATGTCAACTTTTGGGACTCATCCCTATCATTATGCCTATCGGGTATGGAGACGGTCACATATTTTTCGGAAGTTCTTGGTCTTCTTGCCGTGTTGGTCCCTACTTGTGGGTCATTACCAGCCGGATAACAACTTGAAGCAGACATCACACTCTACATACTCTAGAGTATCAATTATGAAGCTCCTTATCCAAACCTTTTGTACAATCCTCGCTTTGCCAAGTGACATGCATATTCAAGGCTAGAGTAAGGTTCGATATGGCCTGCAAGGTCCCAAGGCTGCCCTTTCTTTGCAGACTCTTTCACGCCGCCTTCGCTGCATCCCGGTAGTGTTGCGTGAAATCATATCTCACATCAAAGGTGCCCATCAACAAGTCTTTTAAGAAAGCCTTGTCCGTTTCTCCCTGGGTAAGCAGGTGCAAAAACTCGTCTCTGTCATATCTTGTCGCGGGATCTTTGTCTGACACACGACGAAAGTTCTCCTGAGAAATAGGGTCAATGACGGTCTTCCACTTCTCGATCCTCTTTTCACTATAAAGGTCCAGGATGGAGTCGTCCGCTTTGCCGTCCCATATCCCAGCGAGACAGTCGTAGAGGCCGCCGCAATCAACGAACCCCCCTGTTATGCCGAGCCCGCCCCACGGGTTGCACAGATGCGCAGCGTCGGCTACGAGAAGGACACGACCGACTCGGAATTTGGTTGCGCATCGTTGGTGCATCTTGTAAGGTGCGAAGTTGATCATCTTGTAATCGTCTGGCTTTGGATGACCCGGAAGCATAGTTTCGAATTTCCATGGTTGCCTCTGTTTATATTCTTCGGTAGACAAACCAGGTGTTTCGCCATATGTAACGCGATAGAGTCCATCCGTGGTAATCTTTGCTGCCATCTTCGCGTTTTGATCAGGATACTGTCATAGTCATCCACGAAAGCAGGAACAACAACTTACAAAGAAGTTTTCCGGATGTATAATGAAATTTGCATCGTGAAAGCCAAACTTTCCCTCGAAATCATAATAGGTCTGCCACATATATTATCAGCACTTCTGGCCTGGTGAAAAGTAAAATAGCATGGGCATGGTGTCACTCTTGGGTGGGTACTTACATTGGTTGCGATAATCTGGGCGTCCCAAGTAAAGCCAGGATAGTCATTACCAAACAACGCCCTTCGGACGGCGCTATTCGCCCCGTCACACCCAATAATGTAGTCTGCCTCGAGCCTCTTCTTGCCCTCCGGAGCCTCAACATCGATCCACGCCTTCTTCTCATCCTGGCCAACGTCGATGACCTTGTGCTTCCACAAAATGTTGCCGTTATATTTCTCCAAAAAGAGGTCCAGCATGAGCTTGTCCAAATCCTGCAGCGGAAGGCACACGGTACGCAGATCATTGCCGTCGACGTTGGCAATGACCTGCGCATTGAATCCAGCAATGTAGCCGTGGTCATCGGCACGGCGCCAGCACATCGTGTCTAGGCTCATTCCTTCGCTCTTTATCTTGTCTAGAATCCCAGCCCGCTTCAAGTCTGGGACGGCCGCTGGCCCATAATGGGCGGCACGAGGCTGTTGGTCTAGCTCATGAGACATCTCGACAACCGTGACGGGAATACCATGCTTTGATAACAATAGAGCGAGCAGGAGCCCGGAGGGTCCTGCACCGACGATAATGACCTTCTCAAAGCCCTTTCCTGTCATTTTCGAACGTATGGGAACACAGTCAGGGGGAAGGAAAATCAGGGTTTCTGTGATACTTTAAGCCATGCAGGCCGTCATTCACTTCAAGACGGGACTTGGTAATCTTTAGGGAGGGGGGTTCGGTGTCAGATGTATAAGCCGAAAGGGTAATACGTGACTAACCCTTCAATGTTTAGTGCCCTCGTGTGAATCAATTCCATTGCAAACGTCTCGGCATCAATGATCGCCAGCTTTGCGGGGAAATGCCTCCTTGGAACCAAGAACAGGGTTAGGGGACGCGGACTTATCTGCGAGTTGGCTCTTCTCTTCAATATCTCGGCACCTTGAGCATGCACGATACTCGAAGCGATCTTCAGTGAGGACTGAACCTCTTTTGGGTACAATATCCTATATTTTTACATTGTGTTTTATAGTTCCTAAGTACCCTTTATGTCCACTCAGCTACACCATTCCTCGAATGCTGCTCGGCGGTTGTAATTCAAAATGGTCGAACGTAGGATGACCAGACCTAGGTGGAGGTTGTGCGGGAAAGTGGCCCACATCCTCATTCCTCCTCTTTGCATTGTGAGAATCTCGGCTCGTCACCAGTGGGGCCGAAGACCCAAGACTCTCCCTCCTCAGTGACCACAACTTGTCCAGCGCCGTCTTGAAGTCGTCCAGGACAAGAGTGTCTGTGAGACACTTGAATACCAATGCGAGCTTCCAGAACGGATTGACGCCCGTAGGCAAAGCATCCGAAAGCACGCCCGTCACCGAGAGTATGTCGAGCAGACAGAACACAATGCTCAAAACCATAGCGGCTAGCATAACAGCAAATCGTGGCGATATCATGATGACCTGGCCGAAAGTCATGTCGTAATGCATTTTCAGAGTCCAGACCAGCTTGATGCAAGCAGCAACCCACCAAGGATCGCGGAAGATGGTCTCAATAGGCCTGGTCTTCGAGAAAAGGTTGCTGTTGGGCAGGTCATTGAAGAATGCAAATGTTGCATAGACCTCCAGTATCCAGTATGGCTGCACAAGGACAATTGTCCCAATAAAAAATCGACTGCTCCGCTTGGTCATGAAAGGCTTGATCTTCATCCAGGCGATAACGTTGTGCAAACCATTGGATATATGAAGGCACGTGGCGGCAACAGATAGCCACCACCCGTACGTCGGTCTTGGCCAAAATAGATTATAGCCTTGCCATCCTCCGAGAACAAGCTGAGTGCAGGCAATCTGAGTCAGTTAGCTGAGACTAGAAGCCGGACAGGATACAGGCATTCGAGGGACATACCTCAAGTAGAATAAGCTTGTGAAGGAGGATACCCCTTCGCATGTTTGCGACTGTGATACCCATCATGACAACCAATGAACCAATCACTATACACATGCTCTGTGGTAAGTAAAACCTGTGCCACTATTCCAATCAGGATCAACGTACTAAACGCGACATTGACATTAGTGAAATGTGTCTCCCAATGTCATGGTCGACACTGGCGTGCGCAGATGAAGACCAGGTTCAATATCCACCGCTTATTGTGTCGGACTCAAAAGCAACGGGTTTGAAGCTCACCTAAAACCTTCAGCCCAGCCTTCTAATATTATTGCTGAGCGCTCTGTTGGAGGATTACTCGCACCAACCGCCCTGGACACCAGTCCATTGATACCACGGAGGGGACTCATGATACATTCGGCCTGATTCACGTAGTATCTGAATGAAAGTGACGAGGAAAATTTGAGGAGCCATGTGGGACGCTCATAAAGGAAAAGTAGCTAAACGAAAGCGTGAGAATGCTAGCGCCTTTGTTGGATACCACAGTCATTTATATACACCAAAGTCTATTCCATCGGTCCAGCTGACGTAGCGTAAGCACCAAGGACGCCGAATTTGATCACTACCGGACATGAGCACAGCTGAAAGGATGCTGCAGATCCGAGGGTCTCACCGTCGAATACGCACGAACCAGAGCTCAAAGTGTAAAGGGGCGGGCATGCACCCATCGACGATCACCAGGCTCCTCCATCCTGCTCGTGAGACGAGGCGGCTTCGATCCCCCCCTCAGCTTAAGGTCCTTCTGTAGGTGTCACAATGCAGGGTGGCACCGCTGGGGAAGCCAGTACGAGTGTGCCCCGGAGTTGGGGAAGCTTTCTCACACGTAATCATTGTACCTTCGAGTACGGGTGACACAACACCCACATCAGCCGACGCATGGACTTGGTGATCTTGGGTCTATGAGATGATTTCCCGAGTACCTGGGCATACTCGTGATGACAATGCTGGACTGGTTCCCAATTGGTCACTGAAGAGTGTCATGTTACGAGGCCAGGGTGCCTACATCAGGCAGAGACTTTCAGTTTTGTTGCCCCCCAGCCCAACCTTAAGCAAAGCCTAGCGGATGCCGTTATTAACAGTTATAAAGCTCTGATCAGGAGCAGCGATAAGATAAAAGAGAAACACTGCTTAGTATCAAACCAGCCTGTGGTCTTGGGCAGGTGCAATCCGTGTAGGAAATAGATTGCGATGTCAAGAACGTTGTGTCACAGGAGAAGTGAACACCTCAGACATGCCGATGGGATTGTGCACAGTGCTACATATTATGCTGCATGGCCAAGTGATGCCCCTGCGCAGTGGACAGTCCAATGCTATGTTTCTCCACGGTCTGACCGGCGATACGTACGCTTGGATGAGTGCATTACATCAGCATTGGTTACACACACCACGATATATCTATTTCATTTATTGCCTCAGTATCATAATTGACTTCCTCAAAGTTCTCATGCAGGCGCAATTTGCACTCTTCCAATTTTTTCCAGGGAAATACTTTCCCATTCCAGAGGCTGAACGTCTCGTCCTCCCCAGCCCATTGACGATAAGTTCAAACTACTCGCATCTACGTTCTTTCGGACCGTAGCTTGACTCCTTCGAAGCATCTCTTCTTGATAAATGGATACTGCACCCTTAGTACTAGAACCGTCGTGGTCGTTGACGGCATTGATATTACCGATGCACTCTGCAAGTTTCAGCGCGTCCATCATCGCATGTACACCGGCCTCTCCTCGCGCTGATGAAATATGTGAGTATTAATGTTCTTCTTCTTGTCATCTCGCACTGAACTGGGTCCTCCTGTGACTTACTGGGAGGCATGCAATGGGCTGCGTCACCGAGCAGCGTCACCCGGCCGATAGGTAAGTCGGTCAACATGAGCGCACGCTGCGGGAACGGATCGCCGATCAGTTTATCCACGGGTGTTAAGTCGACTATGTTGCGAACCCTTGGTTCCATACCACGCGTAGTCCGGATGACAAAATCATGTAATTCCTTCCGTGATGCTGTCTTAGTCCAGTGGGCAGGATCGGCAACATTGTCATCAACCCAGATGGTAAACCAATAATACTCTCCAGAGTGACCATCAGGAAGCACTCTCTTCAAGGCACAGAAAATGTGTACAACTGGGAGCCCTGGTTCTGCCGGCTCAGAAAAGAAGTTGGAGCGCGAGGAGTGACCTAGGCGTAACTCGTTCTCGAAGTCCTTTCCGGACAGGGTCACCTCGCCCCCAATGCTAGCCACTGGGAGCAGTTGAGGCTTTAGTTCCCGGCCCAGAAGTTGGCCTCTCACTGAATTCCCAGTAGAAGCTTTTGTCAGCTCACTTGAAAGCCAAAATGAGTGAAGAGCCCTCAAACGATGGCTTGGCGGAAGGCTGTTTGGCTTACGAGCACTGTTTGTTCCATCTGCGCACACCAAAATATTTCCGGTTGCACTGGTACCATCTTCGAATCGGACCGTCACAGATTCGGGCAGCTCTTCGAAGGAAACGGCTCGTTTCCCCATCTGACATGGTATCTTGGTGGCCAAAAATTGGCGAAGCAAGACGCGGTCGGCACGGACCATATCGTGAGTGCCACGCGATGTCACACCGTAGCGTGTACCCGGCCGATCAGCCAGATACACCACAGACTGTGAAGGAAGATCCAACGGGAGAAGATGATTCGTAAGGGCCAAATCTGGCACGTCATCTGGTATCGCGGCTCGGAGTTGGGGGATAATGCTGATGGACATTATCTGGTTAGTGGCTCTGGGATGCACAGAAGTTTTACCAATGTAGCAAGCAGAAAATCCATCAGTATCCGTTCAGTATCCGTACCTATGAATGTAAATACACCATCCTGATGTTCTCAACTCCGGGTCTCGCTCGAAGATTTCAAACGAGATTCCCCTTTTGCGCAGGCATTGGGCTAAGGTCAGACCTCCAATTCCTCCACCAACGATCAGAACATGGGGCTTTGCGTTGGTCATATCTTCCGTGTGGCTGGACGTCGAAGTAGAACGATAGATTGATTTGAATTCTCTCTGTGAGTAATGCTTGGCTCTTCCCGTCAAGTGCTTAAAGGTGCCGACCTTATAAGCTTTTGAAGCCAAGATGAAATTCGATTCTTGTCTCAACCAATCTCCGAACATAGGACCTAGTCTTGTAACTGGTCGGCATCGGGGGACTGCGAGTTCCCGAGTGGCATGAAAGATCTAAGTGGAGTTAGACACTTATGTTGGCTTGAAGTCGGATACAGCGAATTGGTCAGGTGGAACGCAGATCAGCTGCAACATATGTCACTTAGTGCTATTCATGACCAGGAATATATTACCAGAAATACGGGATGGTGAGCGCTTCAGAGGCATAGCCTCAGATGCTAGATACATACAAGTTATGGCATATAAGTCAACAGATATACCGTCAAAACAATAGGTCTGCGTTGACAGCTCAATCACAAGCACGCGAGAACTACGGGCCATTTCGATCTCACATTCAACAACCACGCGGCTCAAAAGGTCCTGATATACATTATCATGCTTCAAAATCTTGTATCATCTGAGTGATTCGATACTCTCAAATTGTCTATCTTGCTGAAGAATTCCATTGAAGTCAACGTTCTGACCCTATGATTCAGGTCCAATCGAAGAAGTCCTCCGGCATATGCAAAGCTCCACTATTACACTGTGTCCTTGACCAGTGCCCTGGCTTTTACCCCACACGGTTTCTCTTGAATGTAACGCAGTTCGCTGCTCGGCTTTCACCACAAGGCCCGTTTGCACATTCATACCTGTAGACGGAGGCCGAGTATCCGACTATGCTCCTCTTCGGATTATCCTCGCGCTGAATTATATATAGATGCATTTTCTCTTCTGACAGACATGAAATAACATTAGATTTCGTTATATTGAGCAGGGATGTGAACTGACGAGATTGTATGAATCTGGCAAGTCGACTGAAGCGAGACAGCTGTTTCCCTAAAAAGTTTGAAAATGTCCCACAAGTAGGTGGCTTCATAAACAAGTCATTCAAAAACACAAAAAATGGCAACAGTAGTAATAGCCTGACTTCTGCAACACTGATGCATTTGATTCCCATAGCCGTCAATCACCCAAATTTTCGTGATGAAGTCATTCAAGAAGAGCGACACGCTGTTTCTTCTGGAGCCATGTTTTGCGGCCATCTGATCAGTCTTTGCTCCGGTCAACCCCAGTTTTCTCTGGCTTTGCCAACTTTAATGAAACGTCAAAGTTGGCTGCTCTTTCCCCTTACACAGGACCTGGGTCCTGGGAAGAACGGCGATCCCCATCCATTATAGGCATGCTTGTGTGAGCGGCAGCTCAGGCCGCGGTGTCAAAGCAGGTACTGCTGCTTTCCAGGCTACAAAGGCAGGCCAGGATCGACTGAATTTCTGCTAATAGTGTTGCATCAATATTGAAGAAACACACTGATGACAAGTTTGAGCTCTTGGTGGTAAGAAGACTCCACAATGCCTGGATTGCCATGCCCACAGTGGCTTTTGAGTTTATGGACACTTTGCGTAGGAATGTCGACTCAGGCAATGCTTTCATATATCACGAATCAACAATTGGATGACTTGTGATTTGCAAGTTTTCATTCATTGAGGTTGTCCCTACGATCCATCTTTACTTGAAAGTCGATCCTGTAGGGCCTGCTAGTTGCCGTCTTATAACAGAGGTTTAACAAGAGTTGTGCGGTATTCGAGGGTTGTATAGTATCTACAAAATGTCCTATTAGTCGATTGAGACCATCCTCGATCAACTATCAGGCCGGGTAGACCTCCATGTTCAATGTTCTACCAGATTGCAGCAGGAAAAGAGGTCGAGCGAGAAGCTCATAAGTAATAACATTCTGGCACAATGGAGCCATCATCTAGCTCTCTGGTGGTGTAAACCGGTGCGGGGCATTTCCGAGGGATACTTTAGTAAGATCCATAACAGGCACTGGGCTCTTCAGCTACGAGATATGTGTTGACCGGGCTGTTTAAGGGCGACGATGTTGCGCGCTGAATCCTGCGCGCACATCTCAACGTCTGATCCGTCACTTTTCGATATGTTGACTGCTGACTCACAGTCTAGCATGTTGTTGCACGGATCCAATACATCCCCGAGTGGTAACCCTGTGTATAAAGAATGGTGATCAGATTTCAGTGAACATAGTATGGATGATTTCAATCACCATGATAGCATCTCCGATCAAGCCCACGCATGTTGAGAATAAGTGGAACACGGGAAACCAGGGAAGAAAAATGTTTGCACACTTACCTAAGCAGATCTGCATGCATTCGAATGAGTGGCAGTGGTCGTGTGGCTTCTTGGAACTGAGTAAGGAGTGTGGGGGTCATGAGCAAAACAACTGAGGCAGAAATGCTGAGCCTCACCTACATGTGGATGAAGTCACATGAACTAGCACTATGCCCAATCACCGAGGACTTGCTAAGCTAGGCGCTCAGTGTAAACCGCGAGGGATGGTTGGTCAAGAGCAGTTGACAAAATCGGGGAAAAGGTATTATACCATGACCAATTCTGGAAATTTGTTTGCAATGGGAAAGTCAGTTGAGAGGATCGACGTGGGGTGTTTATGGGGGCAGCAGATCTAGATAGATATTTCCACAATTTAAGTGATAGCGTGAACTTTGGATGGAAGTCCCACATGACCGGTGTGTTATACACCTCGAGTAAGAGTGGGAGTTCAAATGTTGGTCAACATGGGAGACCCAGACGCCGCTACTAATCGACTTTGGTTATCTGCAGGCTTATGTAGCGAAATAGGATCCCCTCCTACGACCAAGGTTCCCAGCGGAATGGACCTAGCTCGAGAGTTTCCGGTGAGACTGAACATAGCTTGCTTGCTTATTTGGGCAATAAGACCAACGAACATCCTTGGCAGTAGGGTTAGCTCCCGCAGTTCAGAGTCATCCGGGTTGGATTCACAATGGTGGTGTGAATCGTTTCTGCATTGACAAGGGTGACGAGGACCTTGATGGCCTACAGTCTGCAAGGATATTCGCCTTTCAGTAATGCGACTTCACCCGTATAGTGTTGTTTTTCGGCGCTTTAAAGAAAGTTTCACCAATGACTTTGCTCGCCTCGTTCATCTCGCGTTGCTAGGTGTACACAGCATGGGAATGCTTATCAACTTTTTCGGCGCCCACCGCGGGTGCATTCTGCTACGGATGGACAACTCACCTTTCGCTGTTGATCCGCTCAGGTGGCTTGGTCATACGGGGCCTTTCGTCCCATTCTTCTATCTGCTCCCGCGGGCTCTGAGGCAATGAATCCCACGTGGTCCTGCATCACGCTGAATCGAGCTCACTCCTAAGCGTCACTCGGCTGGGGAGGTACTTCTGGCACCATATAAAAACCACTCATTTATCTGTTGCTTTTCCGCCAGTGATTCTCATAGTTCGGAATTATTGCGCACTAGGCGACCCCTCTGCAACAATGACCGTCGACGCGAGACAGAATGGACAGCCCAGCAACACCGTGGAACGTGTGGCCACGAAGCTACCCTACCATGAGAACGCTGCTGAACGAATCACCCTTGGAATCTTAACCCTATTCGACAAGCTTCGAAAACTCGACACCTTACAACCGGATCCAATCAACGGGAGACTCTTCAACCAGCTGTTTGACCTCGTGACCATATCGAAAACGACTACAAGCCAAGAAGAAAGGGTGAGTCAGCTCCTCGAGTCGGCGCCATACCCGATTATACTGACCAATCTCGCAGATCCTGTCTGACCCGCGGGTACAAGCCATTATCCCAGAGCTGCGACAAATTTGGGGTGATGCTGAGTACCTCCTGGAGCTGGAGTTCGCGCGTAAGGTCATCAGGGGTGCGCCCTCGGTATCTGAATGCCGACAGCTCTACGAGAGCTTCCCGTACTTAGACCAGTACCGCCAGCTGGCTCGCATGGAAACCAACACGCTTGACACCGCAATCGGCGAGAAAGGCCTGCCGCCCGTTCGCAAGATAGCCTTCCTTGGGTCCGGACCAACGCCATTCTCAGCACTGTGCTTCAGGGAGAGGTTAGGTCCGAACGTGGAAATCGTCAACATCGACCGCAGCGAGGAAGCAATCGACCATGGCCAGCGAATGGCCCTCTCGCTAGGGCATGAGTTCTCTGGGAACATGAGCTTCGTTCGTGCCGAGGTGGCCGTCTCTGCTTCTAGTCCATCAACCTCCAACGGTGAGCAAAACGCGCCGGCCTCGCCTGCTGCCCCTGAGGCGCTGGCACTGACGGATCTGAGTGACTGCGACCTCGTTCACTTTGCTGCACTGATCGGCGAGACGGAAAGAGACAAGAGGGATCTGCTCATAGCGGTCGCCAAAGCCATGAAGCCGGGTTCTTTGATTATGCTCAGGAGCACAGACAGCTTGCGGCAGTGCCTGTATCCCAAGATGGATGTTGACTGTTGGGAGGTCCTGAACGTGGTTAGCCCCGTTCTGGCAACAAGGTATTTTGGAGCCTCAACCAGCCTGACGACAATTGTTGTCAGTGTGGATGGTTAGGGTGTGGTGAATCAATCTTTTGGCTGCTCTGGAACAACTTAGAATTGGGGGTTTGGGGCTTGCTGTATGGTTAGACAGCACCATAGAGGCAAACATCATGGAAACATATTATAGCAAAAACATAGCATTCAAATATCGAAAGCATCATTAGCAAAGCCATGACTTCTGGGCCAGGTAAAAATCTCTAAACTCCTGCTCAACTGAATTATTTTGCATGAGGAAAATGCTGCCAGATCAAGGAGAGGCTTTTGCGATGCTACTTATGGTTGCTGGCCAGCGCTTGGTGTGAGGCATGTTTGTATTTGACTTGCTTGAAATTGGCTGGGTCCCTCAACGTTGTCTTTTCATATCCGGGGCCTGGGAACCGTGTTCGATTGTCACATCTCGCATCTGGAATCTCCTCTACTGCAGTGGATCTGATAGACTTCTGCACAGCGGCAAATGAGATGTGATCACCATGCTGCTGAGACACAATGGCCAAGCTGGGAATGAATGCAGCGAATTGCAACGTCAACTACATGCCATGACAACGATGTCTCGCAACCTCGGGTGTAGGCTACACAAAAACCCGGAAACGCTGAGCCCAAGCCAAGTCCAGGCGCTTGAACGTTGAAATGCACTGGAGAGCCGTTTAACTTCGCTCGGGTGAAGATGATGTCATGCATGACGGAGGGCGATCAATGGCTCGACAGTTGGCAGTGCCCCAAGACGCGCGTATTCGTGGATTTGAGCCGCCCTACGGAGCAGGAAACCCCAGCTAGCATGGCTGGAGAGCAGGTTAGTTGGGCCGGCGCTAGCAGGTGGGCGAGTAAACCGAACAATGCCACAGCATGAAACTGCGACGCCTCTCAGCCACGAATTATAGGGGGCAGATGGGGGGCCTCGGGTCGGTCAAGCCTGACTCGGCTTGAGAGGTGGGGATGACGCTGCGGTGATTGACCTCTAGCAGCCGCTGGGCACGCGGTTAATAAGGACCACCCAGGCCCAGTTCCTCTGCTTTTGGTTGTGGAACGTATCGATTCATCCCTTCTTCGAGATTTCATCAACAGAATCGGCTTGGACAACGACTTGCTGGCCCCATCAAAGCCAGCAATCTGCAGTCGAATAGAACAACTGCTATCTTTTCTCAGCCTACCCACGCAGCCGACCTACACCATGTCGCCCGCAGAGACGCAAGCTCAGGCCAACGTGGTGAACGAGCAGACTCTCCCCGCACCACCTCCGCGGATAGAGATCACACAGCCGAGAGTGTCCCCACCAATGGGTACGATCATCCTCGAGAAACATCCCAATTTAAAGTGATATCTGAAGCTGACCTTGAAGGACAGATCCCCAGCGACCGCACACTATCGCTGATACCACTCCGCGGATGCGAGGCGGTGACCGCGGCCGTTGCTGCCCGGGACGTTTCTGCTTCTGCGTCCCGTGCCCTCTGCCTTGCGACTGCTGCATCATCTGAGAGGGAGGGTGGTCAGAGGACGGCTAGGCGTGGTTTTCTTCGGCGTTCACAGGTTAAATCATCAGCGAATGGGGATTATCGGTTTATTGGTAGTCATCTCAAAGAATTGGGCGACTGTGTCACCAGTCACAGTAATACAAGTTGGGAGCCCTCTGCGGCCAACACAATCACCATGTTTCCCAAGGCTCAATTCAGTGAGCGACGTTCGTGCTCAGAGTTTGAAGTCAGCGTTCGCCCTCTCCCATCCTGTCGTTGATGGCTCCATCGCGGCCACCCGTTCCACAAGCTTGGTCTTCAGACTCCGTGACCTGTCGGTGCAAAGCTCAAAAATTGTTGCCAGGTTGAACAAGAGAGTGCGCGAGGTGAAGCCACTGTCGACCAAGCTCTCCAGTATATCACGTCCCTATAATTGCTTAGTCTGAGTGCATAATGGTGATCGAGGGAAGAAATATACCTCCTCCATTCTGCCCGTATATAGCAGACACACGGCCAGGTTGACAGCAACCATTTCGTCACCGTCCAAGTCGGCTCGAAGCTCTTGCCATTTTGAAAGAGCGGTCTCGTACTCGCCATCTGCCATACCACACAGTGCCGATATGATTCTGTCTCCAGACTCGCCATCCCTGACACAAAGCCTGGCGGCGTCGGAGTTTCCTAGATGTAACCACAGAAGCGCCTTCGACATATTCAGTTTACCGTCGGCGCGACTTCTCAGGCCTGTGAGATGATATGCCGCACCCGCAAGGTCGTCCATCTCGATCATTGCACCAGCGACCTTGATACCCAAATCCACTAGCCGGTCCTTCCAGACCTCGCTGGCCGAATTGTCGTGATTAGACATTGCCGTCGCTATCTCAGTTCGGGCCTCCCTGGCAAGATCATAGAAGCTCATGATAGCCCTTCTGGGATCTCCAAAGCCCAGGGCTTGCAGGCGGACGATCAGGACACGCAGGTCCCAGGGGACGAGGTGCGTGCCGGATATCTCGTCCATGTAAATCGCACTGTTGACATCCTCGAGAGCTCGCACCTCTTGCGCTGCAATCTGGGTGGAATCGATAAGCGTCAGGCATGATAGACGCACATAGAGCAGATCGAAGATCCGAGCATAATCCGTGGGGGCCGGGGCAGGTTGGCCTCCAGTGCCGGTCAGTGCCTGAACGGCCGCGATGGCCGCGGCGCGGAAGTGACCTCTGGCAAGCAGCTCATCAATAGGCGAGTCTGGAGGCGGCTGCTTGCTTGAGTTGCGGAAGGGGGGTGGGATCGTGACGGGCGTCAGGGGATGATAAATTTCTGGACGCAGCAGGTAGGAGAAGTCTTTGGGCGGCAGGATGGCCGGACTGGTAGCCCGGTGAGGTGCTGGCGAGCGAGGAGATGGGCGAGGTCTGTCGACAGAAACTCGTGGGCTGCCTCGCTGAGATAGTGGACGAGACGGAACCAGGTGCTTTGCCTGCTGAGGAGACAGCGGCGAAGCCAAAGGGTCGCTGTAGTCTGAGCTTCAGCGAATAAAACATGCAAGCCACAGTCGGAAGGACTCACTCATCTACATCGAGTGGACCTTTGGTAGAGGACCGAGGCCTCGATGCTGCATAGTAGGTCAGCCTGTGTCGTGCCAGAGGCTTAAGTCTACGTGGTGCAGCTTCCAGGTGCAGGCGGGGGCCGCTGAGGCAGCGCCAGGTCTCGCATTTCAGTTCCAGGGGGATGCATGAAAATACAAGACTTACGTCTACCCGTCGAAGACTTGTTCCGAACGTGCCCGCGTTTCGGCAAAGTTTGTGATTGATCCATTGCGATGTGGACGAAAAGGGGAAGTCTCAGCTGTCAATGTTGCTGAGCGGACACTGCCGCAAGCATCTTGGGAGCCTGAGTGAGTGAGCCAGGTACCGCCAGCCGCGTTTCAGCTGTCGCCAGCTGGCGGCGACTCTCGAGGCTCTGTTGCCTCAATATTTCACTTTACCCATTCCACGGGCATCTATGTATGATAAGTGACAAATCTTAAGGGTAATAAGTAAGACCCAACAATTTCTGTCAATTTTAGCCCAAAGTGCTTAAGGAGTGGGCCGAAGGTAAGCTGAGGGTAACTAGATGTCGATGGCTAAACAGTGGCAAGTCTTAGGAGACCTAACCACATCGGAGACGTAAACTTTTAGAGAAAGGATGGGTTGCTGAAGAACTATACATTCAGTAAGTGATCCCTTGATCTCGTTGGTGGAATTGCGCATGGCCTTCGCGTCGATAAAGATCGATTCTAAGACATCATGTCGCGCATGAATTAAATCTCGAGCATTGACTTCCAAGTTGAATCTTCTAGAAAACAACGGATAATGAACTCAGTTGGGAGGAAAACAGTCTTTATACCATGGAGGGCACCGTTGTTTCAGAAGAGACGTTGTCAGTGTTTTCGATCTAGACATCCCTTTCCCAGAGTTTACAATGTGTTATGCCCTTGCTTTTGCAGCATGTGTCCAAGATACAACAAGAAAACGGAAACAATTGTTGGAACCTGCTATATCATTCAGGCTGAAATATGACCCTCACGTCACGAATAGAAATTCTGTAATCCGGCGGAACATGTTTGTCGAGGGTCCGGTCCGCAAAGTCCCCACCATATTTCGCAACTAGGGACTTCGAATGCATACCCTTCGATTTCCTGGTATCAATCAATCCTCATAGATACAAACCTGCAGTGTGTAAGCTGTGGCGTATTAGACTTTTTTGACAGCTTGCTTGACTGTGCCACGGCATTCCACAAGATTGTTTTCTTGTTGGCCGAGTCATGGATGGCGCCTGGGCTACTCAGATTCGCACACCCATTGTCATTATCTCGCAGGTTCGTAGGACTAAACGTAATTGACAAATATTACGGGGGCCTGCTATAGATAAAAATTGAGAAGTATTGCTCTAAAAATCAGAACGTACGCAGTTGCAGAGCTGGTCACCACACTGACGCTAATACGTTGTCCCTGTATCAAATGCTGACGTGGTGAACGTATATTCAATACGTGTCTCAGTGTGCTAGCGGGGATTGTATAGATACAAAAGAATTATCTAGTCCAGCGGGACCACGCCAGCCGCTTGTTGAATGTTCGCGAGCTGAATAGATATGGCGACGGGCGAAGCCTGTGTTTGCAAACTTGGGCAAAACGAAGGTTAGTTGAATATGCGATCGGATACACTCTGAGATGGACGTCAAGAAGACCGCTTACAATAGAAAAGAGTGCAGCCAGGGCAGCCACGGGAGCAGGGCTCAAGTTTTGCGACATGGTGCTCAGAAAGCCCTGCCATTGTGGACCTCGAAGGGATGAAATGCGAGATCAAATGATCTGATGGGAATAGTACGGCTGCTCTTGACGATAGGAGATGTCCATAACAGCCTCAAAATGGAAAGCCTCAGGTATTCTACCTCTACGGGCCCTCACAGCAGTGATGAACTCAATGTATCCCATCTGAATCCTCCTTCCTTTTGAGAGCTACTGGCCACAAAAGGATCTATAATCTTTAATTGCGTTATAAACATTCCTCCTGACACATTATCTGTAGGGAGAACCAGAGTGGTCATCATTGAATTTACCTACTTCCAGGTAGCTCTGTCGAGCCAAAAACATCTGGTATCTATCGCTATGCACTATTCATTCTCTCACTCCAAACAACCCATTGCATCACCCATCTCCCACACGATCTCGCCTCACTCGGCACCCTTGGCGAGCAAACCTTCCGCCTCCCCGCCGCTGTGCTCGCCGTCCTCGTCCGGCTGTACCGAGGTATACGAAGGCGGCCGATCAGACTTACAGGAGCCAGCAGATCGCACACTGGCGCCATCGGAGACGATCTCGCTGCCGTCGTCACTAAGCGCGCCTTCACCCTCATAGCACACCGCGACCCCCATCTCCAAGTCCACAGGCGCCGTCGCGCCGTCGGGCCCTGGACGATCGCGCCGGGGGAGCGGTACGCCGCAGCACGAGGTTGCAGAACGGGCTGCATCCGACACGACATACGCCAGTCTCAACGCCACTTTGTACAGCTGGTAGAGGATCCAGGATGCCACGACCAGGGGCCAGAGGAAGGCGGGGAGGAGGAAGACGATGGGGAAGAAGAGCATGAGGCATGCATCGCGGCGGACCAGGGACGGGACCCAGCGCTGGTCCCAGTTGTACGTTTTCGTTTGACTGTTGTAGGCATTGCCAAAGACGATGCAGGTGGAGATGAGGAAGCCCAAGCAGTAGAAAACGCTCAAGACGATAAACGCAACCTTGTGGGGAGACTCGTCGGAATCGTTGTTCGGTGGTTGGTGATCACCCCAGTGATCGCTCCAGTCACTGGTCCAGCGATCGCTCAAAATCGGGCCGTCGTGTGAGAATTGCTGTGGACCAGCCACGCGTCCAAGCAAAGGCAGGATCATTGGTAAGTTGGTGAGATGATTCTGTTGTGCTGGTATAGGATGTCGAGAGACATTCGACGCTAGAAGGCTGCGCGGTGCGGCCTTTTATTCCACCGACATGTCAGCAACCTGCCCGCATCAAGCCTGGGGCAGAGGAGGAGGCTGATGTGCCAAGTTCTCATCATATGATCCTGCGAAACAGGTTTAGTGGGTTGAAAAGGGCAACTCCGTATCGGCGTGCACATGTCCTTGTCCAGCATCGACATTGAAAAATTACGCCTGAACGGACATTATAGGAGAAGCCTCTTTACTTGTGATGTTTAAGAAAAAAACTTCCATCAGATTCGAACTCAAAAGCAGGTGGATACGTACGAGACGACTGATTAGTGTGAAGCTCCATTCATCTGGTGTTTGCGCGATACCTGACTGACCTTCACCAAAAGGCAAGTAGGCGAGGGCTTCGGGAAAGAGGGATTATTATCAGTATTTCAGAACAATATGTACAGGCAACAGAAACGGCCAATAATTATAGTCATAGCCAAACTCCCTCACACTCCCATCATACAGGGCTAGCCTACGTGCAGCAGACAAGCATCTTCGGCAGGCCCCTCCCAGCAAATTACAGGCTTCGTGAGCTGCCTATCCAACATCGTAACGCTCCCGGTCTTGTTATATCGTAGCTCTTGATCGCCAAGTCATCATCGCGCCAATATCTCACAGAAGCGCCAACCCGGCGGCTGCCAGCCCACCGAACAGCTCCATGCCCAGGGCAGCAGTCTGCCTTGGCGCCCAAGCCGCGGACGCAGTAGTGCTGCCTGTGCTGGTTGCACTGGCAGAGGTGCCGGTGGCCGTGGCGGAGGCAGCGGAGCCGGTGGAGCTGCCCGAGGACCCGGTGGCAGTGGCACTAGCGCCCGAGGCAGTTGAGCAACTGACTGTGCTGGGGACTGAGACACCGTTCGCGGAGCAGATTTGCTGGGCGAAGGTAATGGCCGACTGCTGGTCGGCCTCGCTGCAGGCGCCAACCAGGCAGCAGGCGACGTTGCCGAGGAAGTCCTGGTTCGCGCAGATGCACTTGGGGTCGGTCCCACAGCCGGCGTAGGAGCCGCCCGAGAAGAACTTCGAGGCGCAGCCTTGCTGTTGAGGGGTAGCGAGTTAGCTATGGTGGGAATTGCGTGGGATCGCTGCTGCTGCCGGGGTCTAAGGGCAATGCATGGGCGACTCGTGTGCGCTCAGGGAGAAAAGTGAGGACGCAAGACTTACAGCACAGGTGGGCAACCCGTTGAACTGAGCAACAGTCAGGCCGGCAAAGATGGCCGCTGAGAGTGAGACGGCAGGGAAGAGCATGTTGGTGGTAGTGCTGACTGTGCTGTGTGTGTTTGTATGTAGTTTACGATTGCAATTGGACCGCAGTCTATGGATGTCACACAACAGAAGATACCCGGGGTGAGTTGGAAGAAATGTAAGATTGAATTGATCTCATCAATGGTCAATGGCGGAGCTGGAGAAAGGTGAGGCGGAGGAGTAAAGTTCACCGAGTGTCGGCCGTCTTCTTTGATGTTGGATGTTCCGAGAGCAGGTGGGGAGAAACGCCCAGCTCCAGCTGAAGGAGGAACCAGGCGCCGATACCCAGGCAAAGCTAACCCACCTCGGAAAGCCTGCGAAGATGGATTCAGCAAGCGGCAGCCAGGGGGCGCCACCTCCTGCCTCCCAGCAAGACGAATGGGGAAGGGAATGGGGTCGTTCATGCAACACCATGTTGGCGACAGACTACTGTTAGACTAGCACTGTTTTCCAGAGTCTCGTCTGCTACTCAAAGCCCCGAGCTATTATGCCGTCCAGCTACGGCTTGGGTGGGTACCGAGAACCCTGAAAGTAAGAACGGAGGGGCCGGAGAGACTCTGGAGTTGGGGTGTTCGCGTGCCAAGTTCAAGTTCGGGCTTCTGAATCGTGAAGATTGTCCTATCTACGTCTACTGGATATGTACCGCCATCTCCTGCCGACCTTGCCCGGGTTGAAGCTTTTGATGATGCATATGCCGAGTTTGCTTGACGATAGCAGTTGCTGACCGCGAAGGTTTCCACTCATGGCAGGGGTTGAGCGTCGGTTCGGGTTCCTCGGCGAGACAGGCTCATGCCGTTGAGGTCGAAATCATCGCCAGTTTAAGCGCAGAAGCAGCGCAAGGCAGCTTCTGCCGCAGCAGTTAGAGTCGAAAGAGCAAAGATTGATAAATTGACAATTTCCAACTAAACCTTAATGGGGTCTCCACCAAGCCCATGGAGTCCACTTGCCCCACTGAAGAAACTCAGCTGCACTTCCCTGGAGCTCTGACCCTGCAAGCCGTTGACTGCTTTGTTGACTGCTCTCGTACTGTACGGTATGGCGGCTGGGTGGTTGATGGTCTGCCACGCCTGATGGGCAAACATGCCAACAAGTTGTCAGGGGTATACTGCGGCATCTATCGTCTATGACGGACTGGCACGCCACTGCCGACGCTGCGAGAACGCGGAGAAACGTGCATCTGCAGATGTATTCACATAAATGAATGAGCTGGACCGTATGCCAGGCCGCAGCACGGTCACATCGGACGAAGGCTCCACTTCAAATGGGCTGACCACGAGCTCGGATTTGGCCAGGGATCACTGGACCTTGTGATACTGCCGTGTCTGCTCCCCGCAATGGCTCGAGCAGTCAGTCTGTCAACTCATTCCGCGAGCCATCCACGATCCATCTCGACTCGACCATGGGCCATAGATATGGACATGGACATGGCCGCGGCACGGCACGGCACGTAACAGTGGAAGGAATCTGTTGCTCTGTGTATGTGTGTGTGTTGCACTGCACTAGCACTGCCGCTGAGCATGACGAAATTCTGCAGGAGAGGGCAGCTTGGAAGGTTAGAGTTCACATGAGGGGAGAGGGTGACAGACCGTGCCTCTCCCTCCAGGACTATCACAATGTACTGTACTGAAGTATGTGTATACTGCAACTCTAACCTTGCTGCAGTGTGTTTGGTCTAGCTCCAGCCACTGCAGAGGAGCGGCGGCGCCAAGCCCCTGGTTGGCTCCTAGTACTTGTGTAACGACGGGACGGACGCCCACAGGTTCCCGTCCGCGCCCGCGACTCTCATCAATCCACACTCGTCTTCACAAACTCCAATTTCTTTTTCGTCCTACCTGGCAGTGAGCTGTTGAGGTCTGGTGGCTGTCCCAGCAATCACCATGCTTCTTTCCTGACTGCTCGTGTCCTCCTGATAATCTAGGTATCCTTCACCACCTGTTATTTACGGCCACAGTCATCCATCCATCCACGCTTCCATCATGGGTCTAGGAATTCTCGAGGATAGGGTCATGGACCATGTCCCAGGTATGCTCCGCGCCTGTGAATCGGCACCCCAAGCTCAACCACTCACCACCCCGCTCTAGGGACGACTCGCTATTTCGACGACGCCGAGCGGCCACAATTCGCCGCACATGGCGCCCGCGGCCTCAAGACCGACAACAGCGGTCCAGTGCCCATCATCCTCGTGCCCCAGCCCTCCGACGACCCCAACGACCCCTTGAACTGGCCGCTGTGGCAGCGCGATCTGATCACTTTCATTCTGTCCTTCTCCGCCATCTTCGCCACTGCCCTCGGCCCTATCCTCGCCGCCAACACTGTCACCGTGTCACTGTACATGAGCCATGATTTCACCGATGTCGCCGTCCTGACCGGCTATTTCCTGCTCGGCACCGGCTTCGCGAGCGCATTCTTCGTGCCCTCGAGCCGTGTCTGGGGTAAAAGGCACACATTCATCTTTGGTATGATTGTGCTGGTCGCCTCGAGCGCCTGGGGTGGCGTCGTCGGCCACCAGAAGAACTATACCAGCTTCCTCTGGTCCAGGATTATTCAGGGCGTCGGCTGCGCTCCATACGAAGCCCTGGTAAATGCAGCAGTGGGCGACCTGTACTTCGTCCACCAGCGAGGCAGCCGAATGGCGCTCACGAACCTGGCTGTGTTTGGCGGAGCGTTTTTCACGCCTATTGTCGTGGGCAAGATCACCCACGAGCTGAAGTGGTGGTGGACGTTCTACCTGGTTGCCATCTTCTGCGCCCTGTGCCTACCCGCACTCGTATTCTTCTGCCCTGAGACGGCATACAAGCGGGATACCAGCCTGAACACGGATATGCTCGCCGAGGAGGACCCTGCCGGCGTGGCGAACGGCGAGGACAATCCGCAGTCATCCCGGGGCAACAACAGCCAGGACTCCGAGAAGGCGGCCATGAACGGGGACGAGCCCACGCCAGCAGCAAATGGCGGAACGGCCGCCACGCCCACCAAGGTTAGCTACCTACGGTCCCTCGCGCTTTTCAACGGCCGCAAGACGGACGAGTCCCTCTGGAAGCTCGCTCTGCGTCCCTTCCCGCTGTTCTTCCAGCCGGCCTTCCTCTGGGCGTGCCTGATCCAGGGCACCCTAATCGGCTGGACCGTCTTCATCGGCGTCATCCTCGGCGCCTTCTTCCTGGGGTATCCGCTGTGGTGGGACGAGGTCAAGACCGGCTATGCCTACACGGCCGCGTTTATCGGCGCGATCGTGGGCTTTCTAATCGCCGGCGGTCTCGCCGACTGGACGGCCAAGGTCATGACCAGGCGGAACAATGGTGTATATGAGCCCGAATTCCGCATCGTCCTGGTCATTCCGCAGTTCATATTCGGGACAATCGGCGTGTTTGGCTGGGGCGCAGCCTCTGATGGACTCCTGGATGCTAAGTACGGTTACGCCGTGCCGCTGACTTTCTTCGCGTTTGAGGTCTGCGGTATGGTGATTGGTGCCGTCGCGAGCAGTCTTTACATCGTGGATGCGTATCGTAAGTTCCACATTCTTCACCCTGGGCCGGTGTTGGCGGAGTACTAACAAATGACAATAGGCGATCTGGCCATCGAAGGCCTAACCTGCATGATCATTTTCAAGAATATGTTCAGCTTCGCCCTGACCTTCAAGGCCTATGAGTGGCTCATCACCAACGGCACCAAGGCGACGCCCCTCTTTAATGCCCTCGGCGCGATACAGGTCGTCATTTGCGCGTCCAGTATACCCATGTGTACGTCCCCGCCGCGTTTCCTTTTGTTAGACTTGTAGCTTACACTGACAACTGTGCAGACATATTTGGCAAGCGTAATAGGAGCTTCTTCCATCGTCATGACATTCTGAAAATGCTTGGGCTTAGGTGATTAGGGCAACAGCCATCACTTGATTAATTACGCATATTTATATACAATAGCAAATTTTAATTCACATGTCGTACAGCTTAAAGGTATTCCAACCGTTGGCTTGTGCCATGCCAGTAGTGCAACTTCTTTGTGATAGACTCTGTATAGCCTCCAGTGGGATAGGCTTCTATGGGATAACCTTATATGGGATATGGGATCATTTTCTATGGGATGACCTCGTATGAGTGTGTGTAGGACAACAAGTTGTGAGATGCATTGCAAGAGCATGTTTTGTATATTGAAGGGTACTGGGGGAATCTGTAATCTAATTTCAACCTTCTGGCATGAGCCAGTTCACCAAATCTACCCATCCTGCTCATGAATATTGTACGAAAATACCAAGGTGACATATTTCGACTGTCAACATTAGCCCCAAGTGCCACCACCACCGCCGGATCGACCTCCTCTCCTCTGGGCGCTTAAGCGCCAGTCATCCTCACCCTGGTACTTATTATACAGCGGCTGGATCCTCTCCGCCTTCTTCCTCTTGCTCAGCTGGTCCGTGGGCGCGACCTTGAAGAAGGTTGGCGCCGCCTCGACCAGCCACTTGGGCTCGATGGCCGTGGTGATGTGCATGTACTCCTTGGTGGTCATGACCAGCGAGTGGTAGATAACCCACTCGGCGTTCTTGCCGAACAGCGCCGAGCTGGGGTGAAGGTACACGTTGGTCCCCTCGATGAGCGTCTTGTAGCCCTCCTGCGGGTCCTTCCTGGCCGAGTTGCGGAAGAAGCCCGAGCAGAGAGCCCGGCGCACCTTCTCCGTGTCGCGGCCGCACGAGGTGATGGGGTGCCGGTACCGCTGCATCATCTTGGTGAGCTGGTCGCGCACGTCCTTTGCCCGACGCACACTTCGCGCTTGGATGAAGTTCTCGAAGCACCATGCGTTGGAGAACCCGCTGTGCTTCCACGAATTGTACACGTTGAGTAGCGTGAGATGGTCGCCGTGTGGGTCGTGGAACTTGGCCTTCTTCTGGTCGGCTTGGGATTGCTTTTCCTTGGGCCGGTAGAACACAGTTTGGATGTTAAGCATGGAGACAATGGTGAGCATTTCATCTGAGCAGCCCAGGTCGACGCTGTACACAAGGCCTTTGGCCAGCGACGGGTCGACGGGAAAATCTGCCATTTTTCGACCAAGCCGAGTGAGAAGACCTTCGTCGTCTAGGGCGGATAAAGCATACAGCTCTTCCAGAGCCGTGAGCATGGTATTCATAGGCGGCGGGTCCATGAAGCCAAAATGCAGCAAGTCGTTGATGCCCGAAGCTTTCAACATCAAGATCGTATGTGCTAGGTTCTGCCGTTGGATTTCTGGGATTGTGGTTGGGAGCATCTCTGACTCGAATGCCTGCTGAGTGTAGAGTCTGAAGCACTTTCCAGGGCCTGTTCTGCCTGCTCGTCCTGCACGTTGTTGAGCGCTGGCACGAGAAATCGGCACGACGACTAGTGAATCCATGCCCAGCTTTGGATCGTAGGCATTCTGCTTGACAAAACCCGGATCAACGACGTAGTAGATTCCATCGATGGTGATGGAGGTTTCGGCAATATTGGTAGCGAGGACAACCTTTCTGCTCCCAGCGGGCGCGGGATCGAAGATTCTGCTCTGCATCTCGCTTGGTAGGGCCGAGTAAACGGGTAGAATAAGGAGCTCGGGTACATTTGGACCGAGAGCCTTCATGCGCTCGAAAAGAACTTCGCAAGCTGTGTCAATCTCCTCCTGACCAGTCAGGAAAACTAGGATGTCTCCGGCCGGTTCAGCCAGATGTATCTCCATCACAGTAACCAAAGCGGCGTCGAGATAATCGCTCTCAGGCTCTTTTGAGTAGAGTACTTCCACGGGAAAAGTTCTTCCTGGAATCGTGAAAATTGGTGCCTCGTTGAAATAGGTGGAGAACTTGTCTGCATCCAAGGTGGCAGAGGTAACAATGATTTTGAGATCCGGCCGTCGTTTGACCGTCTTCTTCAACAATCCAAAGAGCACGTCAGTCGCGATTGTGCGTTCGTGAGCTTCGTCCAGCATGATAATGGAGTATCTCTGCAGGTCAGGGTCCATGATGATCTCCCGCTGAAGATGCCCATCTGTCATATATTTGATGACAGTGTCTTTGCTGGTCTTGTCCTCGAATCGGATAGCATATCCAACCTCGGCCCCGACCTCGCAACCAACTTCTTCTGCCACACGTTTTGCCACGCTCATCGCCGCGACTCGACGCGGTTGCGTGCAGCCTATCATGCCTGCATCTCCAAACCCAGCTTCCGCCAGGTACTGGGTCAGTTGGGTGGTCTTTCCAGAGCCCGTTTCTCCGACCACGATCATGATTTGGTTGTCTTTGACTGCTTGTATGAGCTGATTTCTGAAGTTGAAGACAGGCAGAGACTCTCGCTGCTGCTTGATGCTCAAGTTTGATCGCTTGCCCATGGATGCATCTTTTGGCGCGATGGCTTTCCGCCAATCCGGTGCCGTGTCCGTTTTTTGTCGCATCGTGGCCTGTCTCATGTCGCTGGCGAACTTCCGTTTGTCAGGATCTGCCATGGGATCCTGCCATTGTGTTGCCAGGTCCACCTTCGATTCCTGTTCCTTAGCCTCTGCCTCCTGCTGGCGCATCTCTTTCCTCTCTTTGGCAAGGTTTGTTCCGGACATTGCGGCACGATTTAGTGACCCATCTGGTGCCTTGACGATTCGAATTGGTGATAATTCAAGACTTTGTTTCGTCTGTCCAGCAAGAAATGGAGGCTCCTCCTCCCGGATTTCGATATCCACATCTTCCTCAAGATCGAGTTGGCCCTCGCCCGTAAGCGTAGCATTGTAGTCCTCCTCCAAATCAGGATAATCAGAAGCCTTAGCAACTCCAGACGCGATCAGCTGACGTATTTCCCATCTTTCAGGTGAAGTCATCCGCTTTTTGTGCCGCTTTTGTGAGCCATAGTTGGTCGGTGGCAGGCTGCTGGGCATGGATCCAGCACTACCCAAAGCCGTCGAGTTGGCCCCCGACTGTATCCTCGCCTGGGGAGCCATGTCATGGCCACTTTCCTGATCCACATCTTTCATGGACAGTCCGATCCGGTTTCCCTCGATCTTGATGACTTTGACCTTCACGTTCTGCCCTTTCGTAACTAGATCGGACGGATGGTTCACTCGCTGCCCTTCGACAAGCGCTGACACATGCACCAGACCATCAGCCTTTTGCTTTATCCCGTGGATGTTGACGAAAGCCCCGAAGTCCTTGATGCCTGTGACGTGCCCGTCGTAAACTTTGTAAAGTTGTGGAGAATCGTCGAGCTCTTGCGGTGGTGGTCGTCGAAATTGTTCGTCTTCGTCCTCGTCCTCATCGAAACGTGCTCGTCTCCTGTGCTTCCTTCGGCTGTCTCCATTCGTCTCCTCGTCGTATTTTCGGGATCTGCCCCTGTAGTAATCGTCCTCGTGCCTACTCCTCCTCGGGCGGTCGTCATCGTATGGGTCTGTGTCTCGGTGACGGTCTTTTCTCCGTCTATGTGATCCGTCGTCTTCTGGGCTCCGGCTGCGTTTCTTCCCTTTCGACCTCTCCCTTGCGGCCTTTCCCTCCAGATCCTCGAGGAGAGCTAGAGTGTCATCGATCTCGTCTATTCCGTTCCCCACTGGATCCTTGTCGGGCATGCTCAGGCCGGTGAATATTTGCTCTTTCTGCTGAATGCTGCGTGTCGGCCTGACGCCATCCTCCTGCTGGGCTTTCTTTGCCTTCATCTTGGGGTGCATCGTGCACACGAGCCGGTCGATGCTCTCGATCAAGCTGATCGGCAAGGAAGATGCGCCCATGTTGGGCAGCATCTTCTTGAAATCATCGAGGGTGTCGCATTCTAATCGTTTGGCGATCATGAACTCGGCGAGAGTTTTGCGTTTGTCATTGTCGGGGACGCCCAAATGGTTCTGTAGTTCTGATGAAATCTTGGACACCAGCGACAGCTGTTCCAGAGACTCAAGCGCTTCAAAGTCGTCCATTTTGACCGTACGGCGAAGAGAACAGAGTGGTTGCGCGGCCGTACGGCGAAGTGAAAAAAGTGGTGGACGCGGATGGATGTGTGCGTGCCACGGCGAAAGTTGAAGTTGCGCCTGGAAGTGGGCAGGGATATATAGCTAACTGATCGGGCGCTAGTGAACTAGTCGCGCACCTACATGTACACCTTAGCCTGCCTGCCTACGGACCTTGACGGATTATCACACAAGAGTCATCCCATAGGGCGTGAAAAGTTATCTGGCAAGAGATTATCCCAGTGGAGGCAGAAGGTAATACCATAGCAGGGTAGCACATAGAAGGTTATTCTATAGGAGACAACAAGGCATCCCGTAGTAGGTTGTCCCATAGCAGGTCGTCCCGTAGCAGATTATTCCAAAGAAAACTATCTTAATACAGACTATCCTACAGCAGACTATCCTACAGCAGACTATCCTACAGCAGATTATACCATGACAGGTTATCCCGAAACAGATTATCCCATAACGCATTATCTCATAGGAGGCAGTTGGTTATCCTACGGCAGATTGTTTCATAGGCGACTATGCCATCAACGAAGTTGTCAATACATGTAGTTCCCTCACAAGCCATCACCCCGGGACATAGTATCTTATACAGAACTGCCCCAAAGATTAATTGATCCCACGGAGGTTGTCCCAGAGGACGTTTTTTCTAGCTGGTTCTCTTCCTGCTGGAGGTTGCCCCTCCACCCCCGCCGTAGATTATCCACCGAGGCTGTCCTCAGGTAGAGAGGGCATGCTGGTACAGTTAAGTTGTGCGCTCGTATGCGCACGTACAGATGAATGACTGAAAGACACGGAGAAAGTGTAGCGCAACACCACTTCTTGTCACAGATGTCCTTTAGCCGATACAAATGATAAGGATGATTATTGTTGACTTTCATTGCTCCTCGCTCTCCACTTTAGGGTGAAGCTCCCCATATGTGTTTCTTCACCCTAATGTGACAACGCCCAAGGTCCTCGGACCCCATCGAGACATGCGCGTGCCGGACGGATGACTGACAGATGCAAAACAAGACCCCATCTGCACCAGCGACAATCGAATGGTGCACCTATTTTGATGTATGAAGAGTGCTGTACGTGTACTAGCGAGCAGTCTGGGCAGTGTTTCTGGACCACACGGTTGGGGACGCACGAATACGGAGCAAGCACTGTTTATGGTACCTACAGTAGGGTTCCTGTCCACTGCAGAAGCATCCCTGTCAGGCGTTCTGGCATTGAACCCCTTAACCTTATGTCAGCCCCACTTGCGTACCCCCGGCTCAACACTGCCACCCGTCGAGGAAACATGACCTCAGTCCCTCCCGTGCCTGCTTTGCGCGGCCTAGCTCAGACCCCGTTCAGTCAAACGGGATCGCCCCCAAAATACGGCGGAGTGAGTCCACGGTCCTTGTGACCCTCACCTATTCCACTGACCCATCCATCTTCGACCGTCGAGCCGCATTCTGCCTACAGCACCCATACATTCTCTCCCCTACGACCATCCTCCACATCGCCTTGCTCGACTCACGCACAACTACTGCACGACTACCCAACGAGTTCCTATTCGTGACATTTCGAATCAAGAGCCCGCAAACCGACTGCGACCGCGCTCCACCATGTGCTCCTCCGACATCTTCTTAGGCCTCCTCGCGATTCTCTTCCCGCCATTGCCGGGTAAGCGCCGCTCGCCCCCACCACTCCTCAACCGCTGGCACTGCTCTCGTGATACAAGACGCTCGCACGAGCAGTGCAGATTGCCTTCCAACAATCATCACTGACACTAACAATGCACTTCTAGTCTGGGTCAAGTGCGGAATCTGCAGCGCCGACTCAGTCATCAACATTCTCCTCTGCGTCCTCGGTTTCCTCCCTGGGCTCCTTCACGCCTGGTACATCATCGCCAAGTTCCCAGAGCCCGACTATGGCAACTACGAGCGCGTCGGCGACTCGGAGAACGGCCGTGTGACCTACGTCGTCGTCCAGCAGGATGAGAACGGCCGCCGGTCACAACGGCCCCGCGGCCAGGGCCAGCCGAAGCCAACTCGGCAGGGCAATATGAACTACGGCACCTCCCCGACCAACAACGCTGGCTCATCCTCAGCAAGGCCGCAGCAGCAGCAGGGCTACGCTAATGGAGAAGGCTCAAGCGCTGACCAAGCACCGCCTCCGAGCTACGCACAAGTCGTCATGGGGGACAACAAGATCCAGGATCAGAGTCGGCAATAGGGCGCCGACGAACAGACGAGCTTGTTTTGATTGGGTCATAGCAACAGTAAGGAGCTCTCTGGTAGCTGTGTGCGATGACGCATCGATCAGAGCTTGGGCGATGGCGGCGAGAAGAGGCGGATGCTAGACGGACGAAGTCAGGTCACCACTGGGCTGCGTCTAGTCACTGACGAACGATAAGGCCAGAAAAATAGCTTGGGCGCAGTGCTAGTATGTTCAGGCCTCACGACTCACTCTTTTACGCGATACATACGTACACGGATTTGCATGGGACGGCGTTTTTGGGGAAGCTCTGGAGGACGATTTTGAATGGTTGTGGGATTCGCGAGTTCGGCATGCGACCTGGAGCTGAAGAAGTGTTACTCCTTGTTCCGTACTTTTGTGCTTTTATCAAGTTTTGCTATCGCGCGAATGACTTATGTCCAGGAGGCTGTGGTATCCATCGTCTCGGTGATGGCCCCGGCTTCCTAGCAAGGAAATACGTTGGCTCTGCACGACAGAATTGATTCCTTTCCCGCCTCGTGAGGGAGTAACGGTATTTGTGCAGCGTCCTGACCGAGACCTCACGGGTCAATCTCGACATAGGTCTCGTACCGAGGTGTCGAGAGAATGTATCATATCCATCCATGCTAAGGGAACTGCCTGCAGAAGTGTTCCCCAAAATATCTCTTGACCTGATTCAGCAAGGACAAGGCTGATCTCAACTGACCAGCGATGTCAAGTCCATTTTGATGTCTCCACTTGCCAGATAATGACCGACAACATCGAACGGCACACAGAGGCCATACCGAATCACTCCTCCACCTTGACCCTCTCCATGACCTTCATCAGCGCCTCCGCGTCCTCAGCCTCCTTCATCCGCCGGTCCAGCTCCGGGTCCGCCCGCCGCTCAGCCTTCTCCGTCTCCTCGGCATCTGCCTCGACCTGCTCGAGCACCGCGCGGTCCTCGGCGTCGGGGTCGTTCACCGAGGGCGGAAGGCGGTCGTTGAGCCGGTGGGGCTTGTAGTGCATCATCAGGGACTGCGGCAGGAAGGTGTGGAAGGTGGGCAGGATCTCGGAGCACGCCTTGACGAACTCGACGCCGCTCTCGCCGCCCTCGCCGCCGCCGCCGATGTTCAGCTCGCAGATGGTTAGGCGCAGCTTCATGCCCTCCTTCAGGTGACTCAGCGTGGTGTGCTCGAGGTAGATGGAGACGGGATCGCCCTCATTGCCCTCTGGGCGGCCTGTGGCCAGCGTCGGGTGGTTGTCCCAGCCGTCCTCGATGATGGTTGGGGTTAGGACGACCCAGCCGATGGGCTTGATGGTGCGGGTCTTTTTGTCCTTGTTCTTGATGCCGTTGTAAACGCTTATGATGTCCTCGGAAGGAGGGTGGATCTCCTTGACGACAAATGCGTCCTCATAGGTCTTGACCACGCGAATGGGGTTGTTGCGCTGAAGCATACGGTCGATCAGAGCGGGCTCGTGGATGGCGATGGTGGCCTTAAAGATACGCTCGGCGTCGAATTTCTCAGGCGCGATAATGCCAGTATCCCACGAGTTCTGATGCTCTGCGCCGTCGAAAAGCTTCGCTTCGTAAACCACGTCGTCGGTGGCAACAGGGCCTGAAGGACCGCTGCTGGCCCTTCCAGTGCTGCAGAACAGGATCTGGCAAGCAAGGTTGAAGTCGCCTGGCATCGCAGCTCCAATCTCACCGATGCTAGGAATCTCTTTGCGGGCGAGCTCACAAATCTTAGAAGCCTCAGCAAGGTTCTCCGCGTACTCGGGACAGACGTCATGGTGCTGGACGTATCTCAGGAAGTTCTGAATGGTGTCGATCGCGAGTTCGTACTCAGTGCCCCATAGTCCCATTGTCTTCGGAAGCCAATCACCACTGTATCACAGCAGCACATGTCAGACTCTTGCTTTTCGTGGTGGGTCTTGTCCAGGGTGGCCTTAATACTAACAGATATCCAGCTACCACGCCGGCAAAGTCCACATCCCAGTGCTCGGGGTAATAAGGGTTGTAGTACTTTCCAACCTCGTCCCAACCACGAGAGAGGACTTCATTGGCGGTCACCTCACGGACATGGTCAGCATCGTACTCGTCGTCCTCCTTCATATCTCTAGCGTGCTTTGCGGTACCAGTGAACTGGCGCTGGTCCGTGTCTACGCCACCGAGGGCCAAGTACTTGGTGAAGAGAGCCTTGCGATCGCTAGTGAGCCGACGGCGCGACATGTATCGCTGGATACACTCCTCGATCCGTCTGTTTAGGTCATGGTCAACGATCGAATTCGGTTTAGGGAAACTGAGGAGGGACGAGATGGGGCTCACTCAGGAAAAGGACGTTTTCTGCCAGGACGTTAACCAACATTTTCTCCACACAATTCAGGGACACGGTATGACACATACGGGTCGTAAAGCTGCTTCTCGGTAGCATGCTCCTCTGGGGTGACAGGAGGATCAGCAAAGCCATCCTCGAAACCCGAGCCACGATACCTGTTCAGGCTTGTCTCGCCGCGGGCCTTGACGCTCTTTTTTCCGGCCATGCTGGACCGATGGAAGAAAGTTGGGTGGGAATGAGGGAGAAAAAAGGTCAACTGAGGCCAAAGAAAGGTTGATGTTGTTTTAGTCAGCGCCGTGCGAAAGAATCACTTCGCAGAAAATTCGACAGGCTCCTTGAGATCGGAAGGTACTTGTTGGCGCAAGTCGGGCCCTTTAGGCGTGGACAAGACAAGGGAAAAAGTTGTACGTGTGAATGGAAGGTGCAAAGTCATCCCACTCGCACAAATAGAACCTTTTTAGGCATCGGACGGCTAGGAAGCAATCGATTGCATCAATTTAGCATTGATTGGGAAACTCAAATCTGTGGTATAAGATCGTTCTGGCAGCAAACTAACTACAGGCTTTCATGAATCCCTTACCCACGAAGGTCAGCCAATTACAACGATAGATACTGGAAGCTTCTGGCCACGCGGACGAATTTGGAGGTACAATCCTCTGGATGAGTTTGTCTAGCATTTCTGAGCAGAGTGTTTCTAGGAGGATAGGTCTTTTGGAAGTGGATCACAAAGCAACAAAAGAGGGCATGGCCTTCCACTTTTGAAAGCGTTGCACAATGGGGAGATGCGTGGAGAATATTAGTGATGTAAAACCGCAATATCAACTTGCCATTTTAGCGACACTTCTCAGACCAAATTGCAGAGAAAAGACATAAGTGAGGAAGAGGAGGCGACGGTAAAGTGTGCACTTCCAAAATTTCCGCCTGGTCTGCGAGATCTGTTGCAGACAGACATTGTCCTTGTCTCTGAAGAGCTCACATAGAGCCCACTTACTAGCAGCCAACCCTCTTTAGGATCTTTAGTGCAACCTTCCTTATGGAAGTGTCTAGGGGAATCAGGCTCAGCCATCTACTTACATATTGTTACGTTGGGTTGGCAGATAGGAAGCTAGAACCGATCAAACCGGCATGGTAAGACAACGAAAATTTTCACCGTGGTCAAAAAGATCCCTCTTCTCTTACTGCATAATGGCTCAGCCTGCTGTTGGTATTGAAGAGTGGCTGGCGATGCTGTCAGACGGTGAGGCTGTCGTGAGATTGAGCCATCTGTACTCATACAAGGTCGATAGCAAAGTTCTTCACTTGGGTGGCGCACTCGGGCTAGGATTATACCCGGGAAGGATTGGTGGAACGGATCTTCCTGCAGCGAGAGGCATCCAACAAGGGACACCAGGGGCCCAGGCACTCCCTGCATTATCGGTGACCCAGTAGGACGTCTGTGAATCCCACTCGCAGGCTGAAGGGTCAAATACTGAACAGTGCCAAAATTGGACCCCGTCAGGCATGGGGCAGGACCAGAGAACTCGCATCAAACACGACCAAACTTGCACGGCAACCGGCCCCAGAAAAACAGCAGCTCGGTGGTGGAACATCTTGTTCCCACTCCTGGCGTCGTTCAGCAGAGGTGCAACAAGACCCCGTCTTAGTCCGGCAGTGCCGTCTGATGTCCAATTTGAACGTCTTGGGCTCGGCAGGTGTCTCGGTCCGGAAATGTGTCAGTTGGCATAGGGCCATGATCAGCCCTTGGGCGGGTGTTGAACACCTGGACCGCTCTGATTCGCAAAGGCGGCAGCGCGTGTTTGTCTCGTGTTGGGCATGCGTAGAGTGGTTTCACTGCGTATATGCACAACACTGCTTGGGGCAGTCGAGGCGTGAGTGCGAGGGCAGGGACTGGGAGAGCGGTCCAGGTGGTCTCGGTCTATTTGTTCGACGCGTGCTGCGGTCGCTCAGGAGGGGGCTCAGAAGTAGAAAAGATTGGATGGATGGCGGAGAGGTCGGTCGTCGACTGGATCTGCCGTGAGATTGAGCCACCATCCCGTCCCTCCTAGGCCGGGAGTGGCTGAGCATGAGCTGGGGGTCTCCGAGGAGCACTCGCCCCTCTGGGCCCCTCCACTGCCCTCCCCAATAACCCCGTCCACAATGGAGAAGAACCCCTGTACTCCAGCAGAGATACGCCACACGTAAGCGCCGATAGGGCCCTGCAGCTGGGCTTTCTTGTCCTTCTGTTCAGTCGAAAGGAGACTTTGGTTCCACCTTCCCGGGAGGAGAGGGGCGCCGCAGTCTGGGTGAACACGCACGTCCCAGCTGCTGCTGCCGGGCGGTGGCAGGAAATGGACAAATGGACAAATGGACAGGACATGGACATGGACAGGGGGAGGAGAAATGACTGACTCTCCGCTGTTCTAGAATAGCCGTTTGTTGTCTCGAATCCTGGGTGCACAGTCAGTACGAGGGCAGCTATTTTTCTGATAGTACATGTACTGTAGATTGCAAAGTGAGTGAGTGGGTGAGTGGGTGAGTGACCAGTGCCTGCGGGAGAAAGGGTGGCAGAGAAGAGTGCAATAGGCAGGCAGTCAGGCAGTTCAGTCAGTCAGTCAGTCAGTCAGTCTTTCCCTCTCAGTCAGTGCCCGTGGTTTGCCTCAAACTCACCTGCAGCTGTCAGAAGATCGGCACCCCTGCCAGCTTGGCACGTTGGCTCCTAGCGCCATTTCGCTTCGGCTAGGCGTGACGCGAGCAGCCTTGGAACTTCGCAGCAGGCCCAGGTACCCACGGTACATCCGGCACAGTCAGTACCCTCGCACCCTCGGTACCGTACCGCCGCAGCAGCAAGGTAACAATAGGTTAGGGTAGCACGTTAGGTGCAGTGCGCCTTTGCTTCCGCCTTGGGCACGGTCGCCCAAAATTCCATCCCCAGGCCCATGGTCAAGTCCAGTCATCCAGACAAAGATCCATGTTCCCCCTACGCACACGCTTGACCGCGAAGGCTGTACGTACTCGTAACAGTACCTGCTCCGTCACAATCTAAGCCCTCCAAGGTTGCGATCCTCGTCTTCGTTTCCCTCTTTCCCTTCTCCTTCGTTTGTCCCTTTACTTTACCCTTCCTGCCCTTTCTCAACCCTCCTTGGTCCCCCTCTCTTGTCTCTTTTTTCTTCTTCAAAATTTGGACTACCTCTCTTTTCCAAATTCTCTTTGCACGTTCCGCCTTGACCCGGTCAATTTTCTCATTTCCATCAACCTGACACCGACACCATAGTGCAGTGCCGTCTTCAACGAGTGACTTGCTACACCCGCCGTTTGGGTGCGCGGCCCTCGCAAATTGACATTCGCCACAGCTTAATTAATTTTGGCTTCCCCCTTTAACCCCCGAGCATTACCTGTCTCCAAATACATGCGCCACACCAAGGCGCCGACTGTCGCGAAATCTTTTCTTCTTATCCATTTTCCTGCCTGAGACGGGCGCACGTCAAGATGCAGCGGGCGCACATCAGAATGCCCCTTTCCCAGAAGCAGATACCGCACCCCTCAGAGCTTGTCGAGTACAACTATGCGGTCGCTGGACAGTGAGTCTTCCCAACGTGCACCATGCAAGCCTCGTGTCCTTGGCACTGCGATCTCTCTGACAATTTCCTCCCCCAGTGATGGCACGCTCTGCGACACCGAGGGCGAGCTCTTCATCAAGCCATGCACACAGGCCGAAATCGATTTCTATCAGTTATTGCCACAGAACCATTCGCGCATGCTGGAAATCGTGCCCGAGTTCGTCGGCAGCCTGTCCCTGAACGCCGCCACCGACATCAATTCGATCACCGAGCAGCTACCGGTCGTTGATGGAGATGTCATCCCCGAGATGAAGGAGCAGGTCCTCGAGCTGATCTCGGAGAAGACGGCAGAGTTGAGAGAGATGGTCGCTCCAGCGCCGGAGCCGACACCGGTACAAGACCCGGCCCATGTGGAGAACGTGACCTGGATACCGAATGCAAGCAGGAAGATCCCCACGGACAAGGCGGTTGTCCTAGACAATGCTGCTTATGGATTCAGGCGGCCCAATATCGTGGACGTTAAGTTGGGCCAACGTTTATGGGCAGATGACGCGCCATTGGAGAAGAAGCGGAGATTCGATAAAATCAGCGAAGAGACAACGCACCGGGACCTTGGCTTCCGAATTGCCGGCATGCGTGTTTACAAGGGCTCGGACAATCCTGAGGACCTCGACGAGGAGGATTACCGCATTTACGACAAGGATTACGGCCGAAAGGACGTCACCTGCGACAACGTCGTGGACGCTTTCCGAGGATTTCTCTACAACCGTAGAGCTGGGATTGATGACGAATATGCCAGAGCTGTTGCGGAAGCTTTCCTACGAGACCTGAAGCATGTCCGTGACGTCCTGGAAAACGAAGAGACTCGCATGTATTCCTCCAGCCTTCTATTCATCTTCGAGGGCGACGGTCCTGCCCTCAAGGCAGAGATCGATGAGCAGAGCCGGAGCACTGTTACCTCTGTGAAGGCCAAGACAGAGGAAGACTGTCTGCCTGGTCGGACTACAAACCGTATTGATAGTGGCATCGGCCTTGACGACGAGGGCGAGATCGTCTTCCCCACTCAAGAACAGTACGATGAGATGTCCGAGAGCGACGAAGATGCTGATGAGCAACACATTTGGAGACTGAAGCTCATCGATTTTGCACACGCTGCCTTCGTCCCAGGACAGGGTCCTGACGAGAACATACTACTGGGCGTCAGGAGTTTGATCACCATTTTCGAGAAGCTGTCAAAGGAGCCAGAAAAGTCGGCGACCAGTCGAAGACAACGACGGTCAACATGATGCGGTGTGGCAGGCGTTTCGGGCATACACGGTAGAGATTTGAGTTCATGACATTCGGGCAAGAGAAAAAGTTCTGGGCAGCATCAACCGGTTCAGGCATGATTGGACACGACAGAGATGTGTTTGTCCATCTCGTGTGTCCATGACGATTCATCATAATACCCCCATACAAGGTCTTGTTGTTCAAGTAGTTTTTTTTGGCACCTACTTGACTTCCATAGGCGTTAGGAAAGGGGACCACAGACAGGTCTCTTGGTCTTACAATAAACCTACTCTCAAATTTACCAGCCTTCGGCGTTTTTCGGTATCCAATATGGTTGGAACATGTCTCTCGAGTTTCACCTTTACTTTTTACAGCGTGAGACTACCTTCACGGGTTGCCCACCAGAGAATGACCAGTGATAGTATTTACATGTTTGAGTAAACTCTACAGCCCCTTGAAAACATGGCCGCCCAAGTACAGTATACACTCGCATGCTTGATGTGCTTCAAGCGTCTGCTGCGTCATCATGGCCTTAGCACTGCGAGCATTGTAAGGTTGGAAGCCATGACGTCTTCATGCAAGGCTCTCTCATCTGCGACGGACCCTCTCGACTGCATCTCGGCTGCAGGATTAGGCATTTCTGATTTCCATGTCCCAAACTCAGGGGAGCTGCACTAGCCGGGCGATGTGCCTAAGGTGTGGGGGATCTCTCAGTGGGTGTGTGGGGTTGGTTCGGCTTGGCCCGCGGTAATCTACCCACCTGGGAGCTACCAACCCAAAGCTACTGTGTACTTGGGTACATTGCCTTCATTGTGCGCGCCCCTTCTGGGGCAGATCTTTAGCTCTTGACTTCAGCGGGCTGCAAGCAGCAGCTCCACTCCCCATCTGGAACCGACCTCAACAAGGCTGATCTACCAGATGCGCCGCCTTGCCTCCGACAGTTTATTCTGTATCTTGCCATTCTAATCCTTGGGGATGAGCATTTCAACATGTCAATTCCTGGATTAGGGCAGCTGCCTATCAAGGTGCGTCTGTTCCACTGCATCTCCATATGATCAAAGCAGCAGAGCTCAATCCATTCCGCAGAGCACGAGCTAATTGCCACCTCATACTCACAGGCGGCGACCACTCCCATCCGCAAAATCAACCTTCGACCCTTCTGGGAGTGGCGGTTCGAGATCCCTCATAACTCCACCGTCACTGTGCGCCTTGTCTCCGGCACCGCAGAGCGCGACGGCACCGAGCTCGCCCTTAACGTCACCTACAAGTTCCGAGGCATCAAGTCCAAAGTCCTGACCTGGCGCGGCTGCGAGATCGAATTCGAACCCAGCGGCGATTTTGACGAATATGTGGCCGAGTACGTGGGCCCCGACGAGACGCCCCAGGTATCCTACCTCAACCTGCACTTCCTGCTCGACGGCCTGCGAAAAGAGGCCAGGGCCAAGAATGCGACGGGTCCCAGGGTCTTGATCGCGGGCGCCAAGGATGTTGGCAAGACAAGTCTGGCGCGCACGCTGGCCGCTCTGGCGGTGAAATCTGGCGCGCAGCCCGTGGTGGTCAATACGGATCCGCGTGAGGGCATGCTGAGTCTGCCCGGTACCCTCACTGCCGCGGTCTACGCCACGATCATGGACCTGGATGGTGAGGGCACAAATGGTTGGGGCGGCACGCCCACGAGCGGACCATCCGGTGTTCCCGTCAAGCTGCCCATTGCACAATATTATGGTCGCCAACACGCCATGGACGACATCCAATTGTACAAAGAGAGTGTGTCGAAGCTCGCTGGGTCCGCAACCGCCCGCATGAGCGGTGACGTGGATGTTAAGAGTTCAGGAATGATTATTGATACGCCAGGCGTCAACTTCTCTGGTCAGATCGAGCCGAGTAGCTTGGACACGTTGGTACATGTGGTTGACGAGTTGTCGGTCAACATCATTGTTGTTTTGGGTTCATCACAGATACATGCAGAGTTACAGAAGCGTTTCGGCAGGGAAAAGACGACTCTGGGCGAGTCAATCGCTCTGGTGTCGCTCGATAAGTCCCATGGCGTCGTGGAAAGGGATGAGGGCTGGATGAAGGCTATGCAGGAAGCTGCCATTAAGGAGTACTTCTTCGGCGACAGCAAGAGAACACTGAGCCCCTTCACCCAACAAGTGGATTTCGATGCCGTGGCTATCTACCGTATTCCTGAGCGTGAGTCCTTGTAGCTCTCTTGTTGGGTGAAGATAATTGGTGCTGACAGTAGCGAACAGCGAACGAGAATGGCATCGAAGGAAGAGGACTCGAGAAAGTCGAGCCCACGCCAGCCCTTTCCCACTGGACCTTAGCCGTCATGAACGCATCAGTCGGCGATTCTCCAGAAAGCATACGGACGGCGCCGGTACTGGGATTTGTGTACATTTCCGACGTCGTCAAGGATAGACGGAAGCTGAGCATGTTGACGCCTGTGAGCGGCAGACTCGGCAAGCGGCCGTTGCTATGGGGAGATTGGCCAGAGCAATTCATCAACCTTTTGGGATGAGCATGGCGATGATCGAGCAGTTTGCATTTGATAAAGGGCAACTGGCCCGGCCAAGTAGGGCAAGGTTCCCACCAGAGAACCGCCGCCAGGTTCACTGTAATGTGCATTCATCAGATCTTGCATTGGAAACGGCGTTCGCGGAGTCCTTCTAGGACACGATAGACAGTTAGAGGGGTTAGGAAATGGAAAAGACTTGCACACCATGCTCTCAGCTGGAGTTGTCCCAGTGGCGCCACGCCAGCCTCGACGACGCCGATATGCACCACACGGCCTGCCCGCGTTAAAAGATACTACTAGCGTAGCGCTGTCGAAAACACGATCTACCGCGGCCTTGAAACCTCGAGGTCATTGAATTTAGGTTCTTAGCTACGAGACCTGAGAACCTAACACGAAGCCCCCAAGGTCTTGTCTGGACAACTTGATGCGTTACTCTGCTCATGACTGTGCCATCCGAGCTTTTTTTTATATCTGCAACCATCAAACCACCCTCTGCTGGCCCCGTGACAATCCTCATTGCTAGTTTAATTGCCATGGCGTCCTCGTTTCGTGCGGGCCGGAGCCAAAGATGTAGGCGTGGTCGAAGCTCAATTTGTCGTGGCGGCCACTTGCTTCTTTCCTCTCAGCTACACTCTGCGACGCCCAGCTCGTACAGCTCAAGCAAGGGTGGCCGAGTAACCAGTGCAATCTCTCGGCAGAAGCAACAAGCCTCATCGAGGTTACCAGACTCCCTACATCAAGCTACTTTCTGGACTTATCACCATGCTGTTCCCCACGGAGTACGAGCCTCCCCGTGGCGCGCTTCCTTGCTCATCATTACATTTGTTCCGGCCGTGAGGAGGCTCGGCTCACTGAACGGACCACTTTTCGTGGAAATACGCGCTTTATCAATCGTGTTCCCGCTTCTTTGCTTTTCGCAAATTCACATGATTTGGGTTCAAAGCCCCTTATATTAACTCAGTGGCATGTGTCACGTAACTGCCCGTCAAGTCAAATTGGAATAACTTGAATGACATGCGGCTCATCACTTCCATGCTAAAGATTCCGGGCCCCTGTCGATTGCGTCCAATACAAACAAGCAGATCTGTAGCCAAGTAGCAGGAGCATCCGACCGTCGACAGACACTCCCGAGCTCATCGCTGCTGCCCACTCTGCGAGAGGTTTCGTTCTATCATGAATATGCCCGCGCCGAGGTCGGTCCAAATTTCCCTAGGCATTGTAGCTGAGATCTTGTTTGATACGTTTTCATCGCTTCTGGGCCGGCGTATGCGAGAATGGCCTCAGATCTGCCTGACTGGTTGGCGCCTCGGTCACGAGGACCGAGACCAGACACGCCCGAGGATGAGTCCACGATGGAGTTCGGACTCGATTTGACTTTGACCCGGGAATTGAAGATGATGTCCCTAGGACTCTCTTCCATCAGTCTCTTGGCCGGACTATTATCGATTTACTGGCTCGTCCGCATGCGACGCAGTTTTCGTCACGAGTAAGTCGGTCCCTATCACAATGGTTCTGCGACTTGGTGTCCTTGATCCGTAGCCTCGATGTTGGCTAACTAAAGACCAAGTCTCATACTCTTACTGATCGCCAGTGACTTCACCAAGTCCTTGTGCTTCGTTACCTACTCCTCTATCACTTTCAATCGTCTCATGCCACTGGATTCTTCCTCGACCTTTTGCCAAGTCAGTGGGTTCTTTTTCTCCATGGGAGTTGAAGCCTCAGATGCTGCCGTATTCCTGATTGCGCTTCATTGGACCGTCTACATATTTCGGTCGAACAGGGCAGGCGACGGAATTTACCCTTATAGATACTCAGCTTTTGCGTTCTACATTCTGTTTCCTACACTGATGGCTTCCTTAGCGTTCTGCAAGGGGTTCCCGGCCTATGTTGACACGGGCCAGTATTGCTATTTGCCTGCCACGCCTTGGTGGTACCGTCTGTCACTTTCCTGGATCCCACGATACGTCAACGTGGCCTTGATAATTATCATGTATTCCGCCTCATACTTATATATCCGTATTAAGATCAGACGTTTCAGCGCACGACATACGTCATTTCTCGCAAGACATCGAGAAAGACAGATTCCAGATACCCCGCCGCTTATTTGTCATGGATTGATCCCTTCACCCCTCGAATCCAGACGCATATCATTCAGGATTCCCATGGGTGGAAACCTGTACGAATCCTATTCCGTCAGTCAGGCTGACGAGAGCATTGGATTCCGAGAATCACTGCGATTAAGACTGGATCGACTCAGCATAAGCTCAGTCAGGTCAAGGGGCTGGCACTGGCAAGGCTTGGACTGGGAACCTGACAGGGGACCGCATTCTCCCAGTTCAGGGTTGGTGTCTCCCAAGACAGGCCCCGTGGACCCAACACTGGAGGCCACCGAGACGAATTACACGTTACAGCCACCAAGGCCCTCGTTATCTACACTCAAACGTGGAGGAACAGTTCAGACTTGGCCCTCACGGCCATTCCTTTCGGAAGGTCGCAAGTCATCCGCCTTCTATCGCCGCCCAATATCGACTTCCATGGAACGAGTCGACAAAACAGGCAACAGGTTGAACATCGGCCGGAGACATCAATTTGACGGATCGCAGATGCACATCTATACAATACTCCAGCAGGGGCCCAGCTATGAAGGCCGTTTTAATCCAACGCCAAGCCCCTCCACTTTGCTGGACTATGAGACGCTTGAATCTGACGGTATCTCCAGAGACCGCGACAGAATACGCCGTCAGCTTCGCCTCTTGTTCGTCTACCCAGCAGTCTATGCCTGCGTGTGGGTTTTTCCTTTCATTATCGACGTCATTGGATATGACAAAGATCATAATCGCAGCCGGTATTGGATCTTGGTAGCCAGTCTTGTCTCGATGTGTGTTCAGGGCCTGGCAGATGCGATCGTGTTCTGCGTTCGGGAGAAGCCTTGGAGGCACATGAATGGAGGATTCTGGGAAAACTTAGGCATGCAATTCATCAATGGTCTAAGATTTGAATCGCGGAATGACATTGGCAGGACGAGAGAGGAGATGTTTCATGATAGCTCGAGGGCGAGGCTGAGAAGGGAGGAGGAGGAGCGAGAGAGGGAACGTACCAGCAGGGTAAGTCCAAGCGGCACGTCTTTCCTGGCGTCAGTGTCCAGAAACTGGTGGGACATCGAGTTGTATGGTGACGAGGAGGCTGATAGTCAAGATGGCAAGGATGCGGTCAAGGAGTGGCTAGGGCGTGAGATGCATAGCCAACGGAGGAGTACGCAGACCGGTTGAAGAGTGTTGTGCCACCCACGAACGCTACACGCTTATTATTTAGCAAAATCGAGATCTCGCACTGCAAATACTATTTGAATTTCTTAGGCTGAGATGGTCTCTTGGCCCTGTATAAATCGCAAAAATGCTTGCGCTATCTTCACACCGTCGTGATCGTTCTTCGCCCTCGCCACGCCCGAGGTGTACACCTCGTCAGTGAAGACCTTTGTGTCGTGCCTGAGCTCAAGGATCTCGCTTATGATGTCGTCCGTGAACTCTGGGTGCCCTTGCACCGTGATTGCCTTACCTGGGAGGAGGAAGCCCTGCGTCGCACAGACGTTGTTCTCCCCCAGGTTCTGCGCGCCTTCGGGATTTGAGAAGACGATGTCACGGTGCATTTGGTGAATTTTCTGTAACAGTGTCAGTGGACAAGAATAGGCCCACGTCGAGGAGCAGATTCCCGGTGATTGGCTTACCAGCGTGTCAGACCCAAACACTGCCCTCCCCGTCTCACTCAGCTTGATTTCCGTCACACTGACCTCCCACCCCTTCTCGTTGCGGTCCACCTTGACGCCCAGCGCCCGGCCGACGATCTGGTGGCCGAAGCAGATGCCCACCACCTTGACCCTTCCGTTGGTAGCCAGGGCCTTGCGCGTGAACGCGACCAGCTTCACGATCCACTCGTCGTCCAGGTACGCCGAGTGCTTGGACCCGCTGATGAGGACGGCGTCCACGGACTCCAGGTCCGGGTACGTATCCGGCTCATTGACCACGTCGTAGCCCTTGATGGCGAGGTGGGCCTCCAGCGGTTCTGGGGCGAGGGCGCGCCGGAAGAGATCGGTGAAGACGCCCCTGTAGCCGTGATACTTGGCGTTGGCGTTTGGGACGGGCGTGTCTGCCTCCAAGATTGCGAGACGAATAGGGGCTGTTGCGGTTGTTGAGCCCATATTTTCGTGTATGAAAGAATCGAGGACAGGTGTGGAAGACTATGTGTTGGACCAAAAAGTAGAGAGGGGCGACTCTTTGTCAGGGGGGAAGATGAGTTTATGGTTGAAGGATGACTTAATTTACAACAGACCCCGTGCTGCTAAGTTTTCCAAGCATATATCTTCGGCGGCGTACTATGTGGGACTCTCTTGATCCAATAGACGATAGCTATATCTTTATTTTGCAAAGGTTTTGGCAAGGCCGCGATGGCAAGGGAGAGTAAGGGGTATGTGTGACGTTCATCTTGACTCGTAGTCGCGATAAGCGCCTTGGTGTTGCGGTACAGCCGCCGCCGTTCTCGGAGCCTCTCGGCAAGCGCCATTTAGAATCTTCCATCGGTAGACTGGGTACTCTATCGAGAGGGAAGTTTGTAAAAAGTTTTTGAGATCAACAACTTATCGTATCTAAGGCTCGCTGTTAGTGTAACTTGATTACTATCATTTGTAGTGGGCGTAGGACTGACTGCATGCATGCGGCTGTTCGGCCCTGCGCTTATCCGAGAGACACAACGCGCCCTTCCTCATCCAACTGCTGTGCACCCAAGCACTTGGCCCTCTCCACTTCAACCCTACCCCTCGCAACGTCAGCAAAGCTGTCCGACCTCTCCACCTTTTACTCTCTGGATTGGAAATGCACACATCGCCCGGACAGCTTTCAGGCATATGTCAACGCATGGTGACACACAATCATTTGATTCTGCCTTGTTCCCAGCAAGTTACGTAAGATTTTAATGCGGTCGTGCAGCAGAAGACTAGTGCGCTGGGAAACGAGCCGTCAGATCGTCGAAGACTTCAGGAGAGCCCCATCAACACCATCATCAGTCTGGGTATGCTTCCGCACATTGATGTATTGCACCTCTATTTGTAGACTAACATGGCCAAGGGATACGATCCATACGCCCTTTTGTTCACTGTATTGCTTTCCAATTACATTCACCACAGTTCATGCCACTTTGACACGGTTCGCAGATATAGTCAAGCTGTGTGTTATTGAGTACATGATTTCTAGCGTCTGCCTTGGACTGATTCTCAAATGGGTGTATGGTTGTAAAATCGATATTTCTATTGGTTTCTGCTTCAGAGTAACAGTAAAGGATTTTTTTTCTTCTCTCGATTCCCCCTCATCGAAAATCAAGCCGGTCTCGAACTTTTTCGCCGACGCAAGTTCTTATCCTCTGAGCGGTCACGAATTTCTCTCATAGCTCCGCGGCCAGGTGACTCTACCATCGGATGCATAATTTTCTGTCGAGGGCATTATACCGTTGTGGTGACAAAACTGCATGACTTACAACTCTTCACTCGTATACTATCTGTGTTGTTTAGAGTCAAATAATCATCGCGGTAATCGACGATGTTTTCGGCAGGTCTTGCCATCATGGCCTGTGTCTAAATCTCTGCGATCACGTCGCTAATTCAGAAAATAAGTTGGCAGTCAGCAAGGCCTACTGTACCCCTTGAGTGGCACATTTTCACAATGTTTTCGATGTCAACTTCACAGCAGACTGCCATCTCTACGTCGCCCATCTGCTTGAAAGCAACTAGCTCGCTAGCGAGGGAAAGGGGTGACGTGGTATTGAGACTCTGGCTTTAGGGCTTGCTTTATCGACGCGCCTCATGTGACTTCGCAACAAAGTAAAAAGTTCCTGGACAAGAGGCTTATTTGGCGAGTATGGTTGATGCCTCAGTCAATTCCATGCAAGAACCAATTTGATCCCTACAGCTTCCGACCACATTAGATGTGCATGCGGTTCAGTGGAAGCATCTTGCAGCCGGAGAAAAAGGTTCATTAAGGCTGTGGATGCTTGGCTTTATCACTAGCTGGGCTACAGATACAGGAACCAAAGTTTCTCACAGTCGCAGTATTATTACTCGCTCGGACTTTTGAGTTGTCCCACCCATGTCATCATGGCTTGCATTACACGTACCAAGGTTGGAAACTATCGCATAACGATAAGCAATGCGCAGCATGCATTTAGGGCTTGTCATACGCTCGCCAATACTCCTTTCTGTGAAACCACTGTCTCTAGAATTTGAGCTCCAAAGCCAGAACAATTGTATCATCCTTGACTTATGCAAGGGGTCCAGCAAAGACAGGCCTACATATGGCTCTACCTAGCTTCCAAATTGGCAATTGTAATATAATCACGAGACTGCTTCCTGCTGCCAACCACGAATAGTATTTGAACCGAGAAATCGGACCTATCATTTCATCCAACCGTGGTATCCCTTGACCCACCGCTATCAGGAGGGGTAGCAAGCTGACTGCATGAATACAGTCCAACGTATGACTTTAAATACGACCTTTTTCTGCCCCCATCCTTTTAATGTGTCTTTGTATCCTCAGGCCAACAGATGTGGCACTATCTCGACTAATCATCACCGTCGTTCAATATTAGAATATGGTACACAGCTTGTATGAAGTGGCCCAGGCCGATTCTTACCATGTCTTCGCCGGCTCTGCGTTACTCGGAGTTTTGTTCCACGTGTCTATCCAGTTTGTCGAATTCGAGAAGTTCATGTTCCACTTCCTCGCAGCATTGCTGGTAATGTCTATAGCAGTGTCGACGGCGTTCTCGATCTTTGGTCAGGTTGCATGGTATCAGGCAATTGTGAAGACTGTGATCATTGAAGTTATATTCAATTCTAGCTGCCTCTTTAGTATCGGGATCTATCGCTTGCTGTTACACAGGTGCAGGAGATTTCCTGGGCCGTTTGGCGCAAAGCTCAGCCGCTTCTGGACTGCCTATATCTCCAGCAAGAACGCCCAATATTACAAGGAGCTAGAGAAAATGCAGGCGAAGTATGGCGATTTCGTGCGTACAGGTGAGAAAAGATCGTCGCTCCACACACCCCTCCCACCGGAAGTTTCACAAGACTGCTGTGTACATGATGCTAACTTGGCAGCAGGGCCAAGGGAGATCACTGTGTTCCGTGCCACGGCTGTTTCTGCAATATACGGCCCAGCATCAAAATTGCTAAAATCAACATGGTTTGGTCAGTCGGGCAATGACCCAGACAAGTGCTCCCTTCACATGGTACGAGATGCTTTAAAACATCGAAATCGGCGAAGAGCCTGGGACCGAGGCTTTTCCATCAAAGGTACATTACTTCGAGAGCAGGCTATGGGAATATTATGCTAATAACAGCCAGCTCTTGCCGAATATCAACCACGCATCAAAGCGAAGTCCGATCTCTTGAAAGAGCGAATTCAAGACCGTGCCGGACAACCCATCGATATCACTAAGTGGGCTATGTTCTACAGCTTTGATGTTGTTGGCGAAGTTGCGTTCGGGAAAGATTTTGCGAATCTTGTCACTGGTATCGAACATTCCGCCATCAAGCCAATTCATGAGCATATTAGAGTCTTCGGAGTCTTGAGCCCATTGCCCTGGTTGATGAATATTTTGACATGCATACCTAGCGCTTCAAGCATATACACCGAGATTTTCAGCTTTTGTGCGAACGAAATCCGGGCTAAACAGAAGGTCAGTTACCAATTTGTGGCTTTGACTCCTGTGGCACGCTACTTCGTTACTGACGTGCGGTTCACTCCAAAGTCGTGGGACAATGAAGAATATCCGAACGACATCGTATCCTGGCTTCTGAAGGCGGTGTTCGAAAAGGACGCCTCTGCAGCTCCAACAAAAGAAGCCCTCGATTACGACTCAAGACTAGTTCTATTGGCTGGCAGGTTTGTGTTCGCTCAAGATATCGGTACAGCTACGGTGCTAACGTAGGCTCCTGCATAGCGATACTACCTCAAGCACATTAGCTAATGCTCTGTTCTACCTCTGTAAGAATGTGGCGACACAGAAAAAGTTGCGTGAAAAGCTTCAACGGGCTCACTCTGGGGGGGCTCGGCAATGGGACTACGAGAAAGTGCAACTTGTCACATACCTGGACGACATTATCGCCGAGACACTCCGCTTGAGGCCCGCAGTCCTTGTTGCCGGGTCTCGTGAGACCCAAGCGACAGGGCTCCAGATCGACGAAGTTCACATACCTGGGAATACAAACGTACTAGTGTCTGTGTACAGCATTCAGAGGGATCCGCGTTACTGGTCGCGGGCCAATGAGTTCATACCAGAGCGGTGGGGGGACAGACGATCAGAGATGGGGACGGACAAGGCACCGTATCTCCCTTTCTTGGCCGGTATGACCATTTCCAATGAGTAATCCCCCTATTCTCCGCAAGCTGCTGACTTCGTTTCTCAGGGGCGTATTCCTGCCCCGGTAAGAACTTTGCGTACATGAGCTTGCGCATTGCACTGTCAATCCTTGTCCAGAATTTTGACATCTCGTTTTCCCCTGGGGAAAATGGGTATTCCTTCGAAAACAACGCGCTAGATTGTTTTGTTATCACTTTGCCGCCGCTGCATCTCAATTTCACTCCCCTTGTACTTTAAACCAGGTACGGCTTCAGGGGATAGAAAGTGCACATATAGAGTAGCTTTTTAATTTCATACTGCAATGGCAAATCTAAATTTTCCTGTCTATTTTCTAATCAGATGAATGAGTTATTCTAGAGTGTTGAGGACAATAAACTGGCCGTTCTACCGGATATTCCCGCACCATAGGGCCGGACCCTCCAGATGATTATCCCCCCCTCAACCGCCACCACTACCAAAGCAAGAAGCTGAATGCATCCTGTCGGCCACACAACTGAAAAAAAGCTCCAGCAGACGCGTAAGGTCACTGGACACGCCTGGTGGATGAAACCGGCTGGAACGCCCAATCAGTGGTCACTAGCAGAGGGCCAGCATGCGATGTTCCCTTTCTCCGCACCTTTTGCTCACACCTTTGGATCGTGTGGCTGTGATTTGCCAGGCATTGGTGGTGTGCGAGTCCCAAACCACGCTTACATGCCGTGAAATACCAAGCGGCCGGCGTATCCCCTTGGTGGGCACCTGTCACCCGTCAAGACGCAGTAAGCTGACGCTACCACACCATCCACACCAAAATAACCATTGAGAGGCATCTTGAGTTTTCACTGACCCACTGCAATATTAATGGAAACTGCTGCAATGGCCAGAGTCCGAGGTGATCCACGCTTCTGTCGTCCTCCGTCAAGTGGTCCGCGCCGTTCCGTCCAAAATCCTCCTTGAGTCTGTTTGAGTTCCATCCTTGGGCCTGACAAAGCCGGGCTAAGGAAAGGAGAAGTGATGTAAGTCGGGTATTATTGGGTCATCGGGTGATATATAGTTACTGGACACCGAGGCTCCGATGGGTTGACTCCTCGATCGCTTTCGAACTTCCCCAAGCTCTGTCAGCCCTTGTGGTCTGAATTTGCCCACATATGCACTCGGGAGCCACCCACAACCCGTGTAGCAGCAATTCTTTTGCCTGAACCTCGCGCCATTGGGCGTTCATCAAATTCATCATGGCTTTGTATGACCAGCTGCTTGGGCTTCTGATCTTCTTCAGCGTGCTCAACACAATCACCGTCGGACTCCGGTTACTTGTGCGCACAAGGCTTACGAAGGGAGCATTTGGGTGGGATGATATTGCTCTTGTCTTCTCCTACGTAAGTCATCGAAGTGACTACTTTCATCCACATTTCCCAGTCTGTCTTCAGGTCCTGGGCTAAATGCGCATTGAATATAGGTGGGCATGATTGTGTTTGTAGCAATGTGCATACTAGCTGTACGTTACGGGATGATGGCCTCCGACAACCAACCTTGGTATCATGTTGAAAAGGCCATGAAGGTGAGTCACTCGAGTGACGCTGGCTCTCAATCCCCGACACTAAGAACAACTTCTAGTTCGACTTCGCGAAGTATGTTATCTGCTTTGTGATATCTGGAACCGTCAAAATAAGCGTCGCGCTGGTGCTCTATCGCCTTGATAGCCGTCCAAAGGTCCGAACCGTTATCATCATCGACATCATAACATGCTGCATTTGGACCATTGTCACTACGCTCGTGCTCTCGCTCGGCTGCATGAGACAAAGCCCGTACATCATCAATGATAAAGTGTGCGAGAACACTTTCTACTCCCAGGAGGCATCCTATGTGATTTACGACGTGTTCCACGTACTTCTACCGATCTACATTCTGTGGAATGTGCAAATATCTAGGGCTCTAAAAGTGAGCGTGGTTTGCCTATTCGGTGTTGGGCTTCTGTGAGTCTGCTCCTTGACCTTCTTGAGAGCCGTGATGCTTGTTTGGGTTCATGTCGCCATTCGTTTTGGAAGTTAAATTATCAGAGAAATGTCCAGTTCTAATGGAAACGATTTTCGCAGTGCCGCCGTCGCCGCCATCATGAAACTCCAAGTTCACTACGAGATTTACCATCCTCGAGACAATAACAGCGTTTATACGTGGTACTTGGCTATGATCTGGGCAATAACAGAGCATGGACTGTCAATTTTTGCCAGTTCCGTTCTCGCCTTACGTCCGCTGACCAAGTTTGTCTCAAGAGGATGGGCGAGTATCTCAAGCACCCTCTACGGCAGCAGCAGTTCCAAGTCCACTGGCAAGGGGACTTCGAGTCGTGTGTCGAAGAAGTCGAACTGGTCCGATCCAGTGGAGTCGAATGAGCTTGGTAGCATCGGCGTTCGGAACGAAGTCTTGGTCCACAGCGAGTACACTGTGGAAGGGGATGCTCAACAACCTGTGTATATCGCAGAGGCATACAACGGCAGCTCTGAAAGCCACAAAAGATTGATGGATGGAAAGGGGCATGAACATGTGGGTGTTGCTGCTTAAGGCTGGAGATTGCTTGGAAAGGAGGAGAATGCCTCATTTCCTTTGTCGTGACTGTCATTGCAGTATCTCGGCTAGGTCTCACCCAATTGATCTCATTGATTCAATGAATTTGTAGTCTTGCAACATGACTCTCAGTATCCGAGAACTATCTGAAGAGAGACGATGTTGACCTTCATCCCCTCGCGCGAACCATGTGGCTTTGTCCCGTCGACGAGCTTGATGCTTTCAAAGCCCCTGACCTTTCCTTGTATCCTGATCTCTTTCTGATCCCCTTTCCTTCACAATGCGTTTCGTGCGGTGAGCCGCCGAGCTTGCAGCCTCCCAGATTATTGCTCAGCACGCCCTGGCCCCCATGTTTCTGAAGTGAGATTCACTGATCGCATTGAAATCCACCGGCTGTCAGCTTAGCGACTTCGGCGACTTTGATGCCTTTACTGGTCTACCGGTGTGGCACCATGCTGTTCAAGGGGTGCTTCTTCCACTGCATGCGGCCTCGTCGTCCGACGTAGACCTCAAAATTCTGGATTTGGAGCGGTATTGTATGGTCGGGCTCGCGGGTATCCTTCAGTACCTCGCGCATATCATCAGCCCAGTGTTGATAGGGCTGCTTTCCAGGGAAAGTTGTGTCGCCAGACACTTCAACAAGTCTGCAACGACGGTTTGGAACGCCCACACAAATTTCGCCCATGACAGAGCTCTCCAGAGGCACGAATGGGTTCACCACAACTGAAATCCTTTCCAATTTTGGAAAGGTTTCCAAGAGACCATTACAGATCCATGTGAACCGGGGTGCAAAACGCATGCCCGGAACAAATAAGCCAGGCTGCAGTGTAATGTTTTGGACTTGTTGCCAGGTCTCGGTGAATTCGTTGTCGGGAAGAGTTGGCAGCGTATTGGGGTCATTCCGACTATGCCATCCCAGATATTCATTCTTCCACATTGCCTCGTCCCAGTTGTGCCAACCGAGGTAGAGCGTGTCCAGCGCAGGGTCGAACGCTCGGCAGGGCACGTTGTGCTTTGAGGCGAGAGAGTAGCGAAAACGGACGCCTCCGGCCGTGGAGGTCAGGAAAGCTCGTGACTCTTTGCATGCATGCATGAGTGCAAGATCGATGTCGACAGTCAGCTGCGTGGGAGGAAAGCCGGGAAGGTCGTTGGTCGGGCTTCTGGCGTTGAGGTGAGTGCAGATCTCGGGCTTGCGATTGGCCCAAGCTCCACTCCAGATGATGTCTCTGATCTCAACTGGCAGCTGCTTGAATCTGGTGAAGGAATCTTCTTGTGGTTGAGCCATCTTTGGATTGCTTCCCAGGCTCGATGTAGCCAGCTTGAGCTTCGGATCTTTGGCACTACAGCCTTACCCAGGTGGCAGAGAGCGTTGCCGTGTTGCACAGTGTTTGGGTGGAGGAAAGCAAAAGATGTGAAGCACTGTAGATCACGTAGCGAATAGTGGAGTGTAGATAAAAGCGTTATTATTTTAGCTAAGTTTGCTTTAGCGGAGGGCAAGCTTTTAAAGCGTAATTTATAAGTACTTTAGCAGGTATATACTTTTTTATAATAGCTTTTAATAGCTTATATATATATTAAATTTATAATATATTCTTTAAATATTATTAAGCTTTTTGTTATAAACGTGACAGGAATAGAATTAGGGGAGTACTGTTAGTTTTTTAAAGGTATAGATAAACCTTATAGGCTAGTAGGGCAGGCCTAAAAGGATTTGCTATATAATAAAAGCAAGTTATATAATAAAGCAAAAGGATAATTAAAATAACTAGAGCAATATTTTGCTTTAGATAATTTAAATAATCTAATATTCCTGCTATTTTAAGTAAGCAATGCTTTAAGTAAGCTATTAAAAGCAATGCTCTTATTACTCCAGTTAAAGAGATAAACTATATAAATTACACTTATTATTAGTAAATAGTATTAGCTTAGAATAGCTTTTTAATAGTTAATTTAAGTATTTATTTAGAATAGCTATAAAGCTTTTAATTTATTATTATTATATATTACTTAAAATATTATTATTTTAAATATTTTTTAAATATAAACTTATTTATTAAGTTTATTAGCTAAGAATTAACTATAATTATTATATTTTGACTGCTTTTATTTAAATATTTTATATAGACTTTAAGTAATAACTTATATAATTACTATTTTTATTTTAATATATTTTTTAGCTATATTTAAAAGAACCTTTAGTAAAAACTAAATAATAATAATTTTAAACTTTTATAAGCTTAATATTTTAAGATAGTTAAGGAGATTAAAAAACTTTATGTTTATATTTAAGGATAAGCTAGCTAAAATAATAAAATAAAAAAACTTAAGGTTAAAGTTAAAATACTTTAAAGCGCTATTAATATTATTAATACCTTAATTAAACCTAAGAAATTTATTAAGCTTGCTAACTTAACCCTTTATAATAGTTCTTTAGAATAGTTATAAGCCTATTTTACTTAAATTAGGGCTTATTAACGCTTTTATAGCTTTAATAATTAGTTTAATGGAAAATAAGTTATATATATAGCCTTTTTTTTAAAAAATAGGCTTTAGTATAATTTAAACTTTACTTTATAGATTTTTTTAAAAAAAATAAGTTTAAATAATATAAATAAGAAATTTAGAATATTTTTAGCAATTTTAAAAACTATAAACTTGCCTTTAAGTTACTTTTTTAAGATTTAGATAAGGAATAATAAGTAAAAAGGGAATTTATAAAATTATATTAGAAGGAACTTATTATAACTTATACTATAAAGTTTTACTAAATTTATATTAAAGTTAATTATATTAATATTATAAAAATTTTTATATTTTATAATAGGTTAAAAGATAAAGTAAAAAATAAATTATTTAAATTAAATTAATTAAATAATTTTATTTAATATATAAAATTAGCTATTTGAATTAATAATTAAATTTATAAGTATAAATTTAAAAAGAAGAGGTAGGACTTAATATATCCTTTTTACTAATAAAATAAGCTAAGCTTTAAAAAATAGTACTAGCTATAAATAATAGCTAGTAGGTAGTATTTAGGCTTAATAGAACTTAATATTGCTTAAAAGAAACTTAGAAAGGATATTAAATATTATAATTATAGTAAGAAAGGATATTTTATATAAGATTGTTAAAATAAAAAAAAGGATAACTAAAAACTAATATTAAAGTAATAATAAGCTAACCTAGCTATTAAAGAACCTATAGAAAACTATATATTTATAAGCTAAATAGTATATTATAATAATAACTATAATATATACTTTTTAAATAAAAAAGTGTTAAAATAATTCCTAAAAGTACTTAAAAGCTAAAAAATTTTTATAATAATAAAATAAAAGCTATTTATAATTATAGTTAGCACTAACTAAATAGTATTTTTAAATTTAAAAAACTAAAATTCCTATAAGTAAATAGGTAAAGCACCTTTTATAATATTTAATATTAATATTATTTAAATTGCGATTTTAAAATGGGATAAGAGTATAATAATATTAGCGGTTTATAAAGGATTTCCTATACTATTATTAGCACATTTTTTTAATAATAACCTTTAAATATACTATTAATATTTAAACTATAAGGAAATTTTATAAGCTTTATATATTTTTAATAGGTATAGGATATATTATATAAGTAAGATTAAGGAAGATTTTTTTTTTAAATAGCTAAATATAATAAAAATAGTAAGGCTTTATAAGTAAAAGGAACTATAATATTAGAGTATTTAATAATATTTTTTAGGCTAAGGATATATAATTTTTAAATTTTAGATAGATTATTTTTTATATTGCTTATAAAATTCTGGATTATAAAGGTATTATTTATAGATTAATTGTTAAATATACTTTAAATTAAAACTTTAGGACTAGTATTAATACTATTAACCTGATATAGTTTTACTATTTAATAAAAAAGATATAATACTAAAAAACTTTACTATTATAATATAAGCACTAAGAGTAATAAAAAGGCTTATATAAGGAGCTATTTAATAAATTAAAAAGATTTTAATAAAAGATTAAATAATAAAAAATAATTAAGGCTAAGTTTAAATAAGCTTTAATTAGCTTTAATTAATATGAAAAGGTTTTTTTATATAATAGATATTAAAGAATATAAGTATATAAAAATTATATTATAAATTAAATAATAACCCTTTATAGTACTTTTAAATAGTAGAGTATAAGGAAACTTTATATTATTAGTAATAATAAATTAATATAAGATATTATAGTAATAAAAAATAGAACTTTATATACTTAATATTATTAATAAATAAAAAGTATTTTATAAAAATAAAATTATTAATATAGAAACTAATTATTTATTAGTTATTTTTAATAATTATAAAAAAATTATTTAGTTTAATATTATAAATATAGTAAAATATAAAATTATATTAGGGATTTTATAGTTTAAAAAAAGTAATTTTTAAATTAATTAAACTATTAGCTAGATTTATTAAAACTAATTAATAGATAGGAAAGTTAAAGATAAGGAAAATAAATTTAGTTTTTAAGGATAGCTGTGATACTAGCGCTTATATAGATTTATATAGTAAACTTTTTTAGGAATAAAAGAAGGATTTAGTTATTAAAGCAGGAATAGTTAACTTTTTAAATAAGTTAAATAAATAATAATAGTATTTTAGTTTGTTGTAAATTAAAGAAAAGATAAAGTAGTTAGCTTAGGCAGTATAGTAGTAAATATAGGAAATTTAAACAATATTTAAATAAGTATATTACCTATTAAAAATTTTAAGGATTATAGTTATATTTTTAAAAGGAATTTTATAATAAATATAAAGATAATAATATTTAATATATTATAAGATAGTATAGCTATTATTTAAGAAGTTTATCTATTTTATATAATAATAGAAAAAGATAAATAATTTAAAATAGATTTTAAAAAAGTATTAGAAATATTTAAAATTATTTTAAATAATACTTAATACTAAACTATTTAAATATAATTAGTAGGATTATAAAATACCCTTAAAAAAAGGAAGTTACCCTAAGTTTTATAAAATTTATAACTTTAATAAAGAATAGTTTAAAGTATTATAAGAATACTTTAATAATAACCTGAAAAAGGAATATATTTAATTATTTATATTACCTATAAGCTATTTTATCCTTTTTATACTTAAGAAAAATAAAAAGCTATACTTTTATATGGACTATTAATAGCTTAATAAAATTATAATTAAAAATTGGTATTCCCTTTTGCTTATTAAGGAATTATACAATAAATTTTAAAAAGTATAATAATTTATAGTATTAAATCTTAAAGGTGCTTATAACCTTATTAGAATAAAATATAGAGAAGAATAGAAGATTGCTTTTAGAATAAGGTATAGTTACTTTAAATACTTAGTTATGCTTTTTAGCTTTACTAATATATTTACTTTTTTTTAGGTAATAATTAATAACATTTTATAGAAATACCTTAATTACTTTATAATAATTTATTTAGATAATATTTTAATTTTTTTAAAAATGCTTAAATAATATAAATAGTATATATACTAAGTTCTTTAAACTTTTTAAAATATTAAACTTTTAATAAAATTAGAAAAAAGTTACTTTTATATATAAGAAGTTAATTTCCTTAGATATATAATTTAACTAAGAGAAATCAAAATACAGGCTTTTAAAATTATAATAATTAAAGATTAGCTAATTTTAATTAATATTAAAAAAGTTAAAAGCTTTTAAAGTTATATTAACTTTTACTAATAATATATTAAAAACTATAAAAAGTTATTTATATTATTAATTAACTTTATTAAGAAAAATTAACTTTTTAAATAGGGAAAAGAAGAATAGAATATATTTAATAAAATTAAAAAATAAGTTTTTTTAAAACTTATACTTATAAAAGTAAACCCTAAAAAAGTTTATAATATAAGTATTAATACTTTAAACTTTACTATTAAAGGAGAATTAAAATAATATAATAAATAAAAACAATTTTATCTTATTACATTCTTTTTACAAAAACTTAACAAACTTAAATTAAACTACTTAATATATAATAAAGAATTAATAGCAATTATTAAAGTATTTAAAGAATAGGAATACTATTTAATTAAAATAAAATACTAAATATAAGTATTTACAAATTATAAGAATTTAGTATACTTTATAACTATTAAGGAATTTAATAAATAGTAAATTTAATAATTAAAATACCTTTTATAATTTAATACTAAAATTATATATTAAAAGGAATTTAAAAATAAAAAAGTAAATACTTTTAATAGATAGTTGGACTATT